GATGAGCGGTTAGCTCAACTGGCCGATGTTGGGCGTTTATTCGACATCAATGACCTCCGGTGCACAAGATCCTTGGTTCGCCCTCACAACATTACCTGGCAGGTGTACGAGGCGGATGTGGAAGACAGAAAGTCGAACTGAGGAACGAGTGCCTGGAAGTAAGAAAGGGATGATTAGGGCGTTCTGTTTGCTCTTGGTTTCCTGACTTTTCAATTTAGAAAAATAACCCTGATCAGGAGTCATAGTCAAAAAATTTGAGCAAAAGACTTAGTTTTTTTAAGAGTGGTTTTTTGCATGGGATCCTATCTTTTTTTTTCTTCGCTCTCCTTCTCATCGGAGAGCGTTTTTTTCTGAATTTATACTAAGTGTCGCATTCCATTCTCGAAAAGTTTAGTAATAGAAATCCCATTTTTGTTCTATTAACCAGCACTATTTCCTTATTTTCCTATTTCTTATTCATCCTTAGCATAGTTACATCTTACTCCAGACAGGGTTCGAACCTCCACTTTCAACCTCGGAAGGTTGTGTCTATCCACTAGACCAGAGAGTTCGTTGAAGACACCTGGTCATTTTAAAGTGCCATTCCTACCTTGAAGTATTTAATGCCAAAAAAAAAAGACCATTGAAGGTCTCGAATCAAAATTATAGCAGAACACTTCCAGCTAAAGATAAAGCAACAAACCAAAAATCATATTCGTAGTCGAGTGTTGATATAAAGACTGAAAAAGTATTACAAATAAATACATTTATATTAATGTTAGTTTGGCAATACAATAGCAAAACATCTATAGTTACTTATGTCTTCTTTTGAAAAAGATAGAGAAAAGTAATAAGTCTTTCAAAAGCAGCACGTTTTCTTACGGCTAAACCATGCAGATTTCTTTTAGCGGCTGCTGTCGATATTAGCTTTACCAGCCCAATGGCACTTGCCGTAGTTCACTCGTAGTAATTTAACTCGTAATAATTCCGCTTTGATAGTTTCTTCAGAATTGTGACCAGGGATATAACGGGCGGAAAGCGAATTCTTAATATAAATATCAGAGCCTCTGCTTTGATAGTTTATAATTTGCGTGCAATCCACGCTGAGAATATCTGTCAGTTATCGGCAAATTCTTTCCCAACATCAACGTTGACGTTTATCTAAACTTCTAGCTGTTGATCGGTTTATATACCCAAATTCTTTTCGACAAATGCTCACTTTGTCAAATTCAATTTCATCGTTGTTCTGCCATTGCACTTGCTGTCGTTGTTTTCTGTTCACCTGTTGGTTGGGCTGTTGAGATGTAACATGCTTTATTATGAATGTATCGTACACAGGTGATTCCAAAGAGTTCTTTCTTCAAAACGATTCTTTCTTGAGACTTGATGTACGACTATCACCACCACAAACACCTAATTATAAAGAGAAATACACAAAAAAATTACATTTTTTCTAACTTAAGACTAACACTATCACGAACAGCAAGACTAAGAATATAACCAAGGCAAAGAGTTAAAGTAACACCAACACTATCACTACATAAGTCTATCACCAGCCCTAAGACTACCCTAACATCAGTACCAAGACTGACAATATCATTAACACCACTACACCATATTCCAATGCACCCAATAAACTTACCACTAACCAACTTGATTTTACTCTCAACCTTGGCTAATAAGTGTTTAATAATTACAAAGAAACCTATATCCCACCATAGAAATCATTTGATAGAAATTAAGTAAATAAAAAAGCTTGAAATATCTTTGAATCCACTATTTCAGTTGACATAAGGAGATAAAGTGTATATCATTGATAAAGTTATAAACAATCTGCAATTTGACAACAGTTGAATTTATCACTCACTTACATGCTACATTTCAGCCAAAACGTCTACAGTTTTTGTAGATGTTTTAATTCACGTGTGTAGGAAAACAAATATACATGAAACCACATGAAACGAACTAGTATGACATCATATGTCTAAGATTTCTTCTACTGAAATACAAATATTCGGCAATATTTTCAGGGAATGGTAAACAAACCGTTAATATTTATTTCTTATGATCATCAAAACCATCGTACCTTGTACCAAAAAAGGCAAGCCGTGAGACTCTCTTTGCTTTGACAAATCGACAACAGGTTTGCTGAGTTCGTGGAAGACTTTTTCAATACCTTCAAGACAAATAGTCGTGTATTTGACAAGTTAAGCTCACTATGATGCTATAAATCTCATTTATTCGACAAATATTACAATATTGTACATAATACTTACGATAAAGAGTGTGTCAGGAAGAAATTATTTTAAACATGGCGCGTGAAGGATCGGCAAATTTAGTGCCAATTATCAAATGTAATTGGTTAAAATAAGTCACGTGTTAAGTTTGAGCTAAGAAGCTAAGAAGTGGAGGGTGAATGATATAAGTGAAGGTTTGACATAAAGTAAACCAAGAACGTTTTTTAGAAAGCATATTTACATACAATGTTACAGATAGTGCCCACAACCTTGACTTTCTATCCTCACTCCCATAAATTTTCACCACCATCACTTATCTTCAACAATTATGCAAACCCAATGAACTCAACAAACTGTCAATACCTACATAACCTCTGGGTATTCTTGTATGCAAATAATTGCTTTTATAAGTATAAGGGCAGATGGTATAAGATTTGCCAAACTTTTAATTAATGAATTTGAATGAAAAGATAAATATATTTCACTTCCATACATCACTACTTATCTCCATCTTTCAGATCCTTTTCTATCTTGTACGTTGACATTAGAAGACTTGATCAAGCCTTAAATTTTAAATTAAGGAGACAGAAAGGATTCACTGTCATGTTTCTTTAAGATGTATGAAACATCAAGTAATAGTTCTTGTCCATCAATGTTCTCTTTCCCTGATCTTATTACATTCAGTGATTTGTTTGCCATCATGGAATCTACACAGATTTGAAAAGAAATTGGTCAATTTTACCCTTACCAAAAACACTGGGTTTACAAGTGTGAAATGATTAATGTTTAATATTTCGGATGAAAAAAACTTCATTTGTGAACAAGAGAAAAATCTAGCTAAGGTGTGAGAAAACAGTTCATCAAGTAATACAATGTAAGTATTACAATAAAAGTATAAATGGCCAAGGATGAAGCTTAAATTTGTTCTTGCTGAAATGAACAGATCCAAACCAAGAATTATTTGAGTTTACTGCACTACCCAGTAATAATATGAATTATACTTTTAAAGATAAACATTTCTACCTTTTTTTCTGATTCGAATTCATTTTAGTGTGTCTTCGTGGGCAAGCTTTCCTTTTGTGACCAAAATCTCCACAAATATGACATCCTCTTGTTAAACTAGGAAAAAAACCTCGAATATAAGATTGTGTAAAGAAAAGTTGGCCAATGAAACTTTTTTAATTACTGATTTATTGATCCACAACATTGCAAATGAAATGAGAGTAAAGTCACCTCTTTAACAATCATGTCCAGGGGGTTTGCAGGATTTACATATCTCGCAGTGAACATAACCTGATAATTAAAATAAAATGTTTGCAAAGAATTTTCAATGCAATTTTGGCCAATCAACATACCTTTCTTTACACATTTCCCACAAATAAGACGATGCTGCCAAACATTGTTATGCTGTAATAACAAAATAACACAAATATTGCAAAATGTTCGATGGAAAACATGATTTGCTACCAGGGGCATTTCTGACCCCAATATGGATTTCAACATCAACCCACTTCATTTTCCCTGTTTGTAGACAATGACTGTATGTTGTAATGAGGCCCTACTGGGGAGGTATGGCAGGTGTTAGTGTAATATGTTCACGGAGTTTCACACTTTGTCTGAGCCCTTACTGATAGCAACTAGCTAGCCAGTGAGTATTTTGAAAGGGTGATTTCAAAAAAACACTATTTTTGCAGCATACACAGTAATGTAACATTGCTTTCATGTGTTTTTGAAATTAACTAATTTCAGTTGTTCCTTGGGCCCCCCCTTTTTAGCTAAAGCCTGTACCCCCTACCAGTACCTATGTTTGCTACTACACACTACCTTAGTAGGACAATCGTTACATAGATCACAATGTAAATTCTCTTTGCTGAAATATTGTTGACATTTGTCACAAAAACTACAAAAAATATCAGAAACAAAATACATGGATATAGAAATGTTATTTACTTATCATTTGGTGGTAGAATGATGGTCTTTAACAAGACATTCGTGAACTCTCTGACAGGAGATAGTTTTTTTGTTTTGAAATGCTTCTTGTAGAGTGGATGATTGTCATAATCAACCTAAACAAATAAATTACCAAATTCAATGGGGGAAAGAACAATGACTTTGACAAGAGCTTCACAAAGTGTAATAAACTTATCAAACCTTAAAATCGCACATCTTAAAGAATGGTAATTCTTTGGTAATGTGTGATTCCATGAAGTAAGGAAAAATCCAGAAAGTTCACAAGCAAGATAAATGGTAATCATCTATAATAAGTAAATAAAATACAATAAAATAAATTAATATTTCAGAAAATCTTTGATATGCAGTGGGCCAGTAATATCAAACAGAAGAACTATTCTTTAAAATACTTTACCATACCTCCTTCTTTCACATAATTCAAAAACAAGCTTCCAAAGTTTTTTTAGGGATACTGGCAGCACTTGAACCAACCCACCAAAAGGTGGATCCAAAATAACCATTAGAGAATTGGGTATAGAATTGTATAAGAACTTCTTAAATCAAACCATTGCATGGTCTTCTTCAAAAAAATGATGGTTGAACATGTTATAGTGAATAAAATGGCTGTCTTTATGAAACTGGACCTGTGAATTGAAAAAATTATTTTCAATAGTATCATGCAAGGTTTGTAATGAATTTATAGATTAGGGCAAATATATATTTCTAGCATTATACTCTCCTACAGGTAGGAGCTGAAACAAAATCAATCTTTTGCTTAACCCCCCCCCTCCCTGATCACTTATGCTGTCCATAACTAAAAGAGTTTTTTTGAAACAACAATAAATTGAAACTATGATTTCCTCAGTGCCCTCTAAACAAGTATTCTTTAACTTACATGTCTATGGTCTATATCCAATAAAATACTGTCAATCACACCAGCTTTTCTAGTTTGAATTGCTTCATGTATTCTACACAAGAACCATCATATAAAAAAACAAATAAAACAAAAGGTATTTAATTAAAAGTAAAAGAAAACCTCAACATCTAAATATCCATTAGAACAACATGGTACATGGTTTGGATGAAATTTGAACATACCTAGGAGTACCTACATAAATTATCTTCTGGTAACCAAGAGTTTGAAAAGTGTTCAAAAAGAATTCAGTTGCATCATTATTAAAGAGATATTGCTAAAATAGAAAATACAACATCATCACAGTCACGACATGCTATGTATTTAGTTAAACATGAAAACATACAGCATGTGATTTCTTGTTTTCTTTTAGCTTCAAGAAACGACTTGAATTTTTGATCATTTCATTCGTTACATTACATAAAATTTCGTGTTTTGCGTGTTTCTCCATTTCTTTAGGTAGTAAAAATAGATCACAGGTATGACAGTAAGTCCGTTCATAGTCATTTAAACTTTTGACTATCTTTAGTCTTTTGCCAAGTTGCTTAGCATTCATTAATGGTTGTGATGCTTCTATGATCTTTTGGTGTGCCTCAATGGACACATTGCTTGGAGACTCATCTGCCCATTGAAAAAAGCTACATTCTTTTCGATCATGACAGGCGGAGCATGCAAAAAATCGTCTTGGTGGTTTAGACTCAAAATATCTTTTAAACATTAACATTGGTCCTTCAACAAAAACTACAGTTAGATTCGCTGACTAGAATACTAATCAAAACACATGAAGATCTATAAAGTATTTTAGACACCTAAAGTAGAAACATGAAAAGAGGAGATGAAGAAGCCTAGGAATGTAAAAATATAACAAATATATTTATTATAATTTACCATGTGGACACCATGGAGTTTGGTAGTCATCTTCGTCAGATATGAACACTTCAACTCCGAATCTTTGACATGATGGATGCATAACAATAATAAATTTAGTGTTTTTTTCCAGTTTTCATTAACTTGTGAATTTATATTATTATTTTAATATTGATTTTTAAATATTGATCAACATTGTGCACTTCGATTGTATCATGTCAGCAGAAACATTGAGCAGAAATAACACGACACGATGGACACGAGTGTCGCGAGTGGATAAAATACTCTCTAACTGTTTTTATCAACCAATGACAACTACTACACGTTGTATCAATAAGTAGCAAACCTTATCACTAGCTATCCCTGTCATATACTATACAAAATTTAAATGGAACGATTACGATAAAAATACTTAAGATAATCATCAATCATTGGTAAATGAATGTGCACTGGTCGTCTTGCTCATAAAACATGCTACAAAGCTTTCTTTCTCTGAAAGGAAAGCTAAACTATTAAATCTGTATGTAACTAGACACATGTGAAATGGACTAAGCTTCATTGTTTCTGGTAATCACGCACTTCAAATAAGAATTTTTTGACGAGAACAGAAGGTCCAAGAGTGTCGATCTACTCTTGTTTCTTCAAGTGGATCGGGAATCCAACCCAATAACCATACAATCCCTACTGCAGGTCCCAGGCATGGCCACCCTTTTTTCTTATTCTTTAGAGTGCTTCTCTAAAGATGAGGGAAACCGGCGTATCGCCGGAGGAAAACCCTCAGAGATCCAACAAGCTACGAAAGCCAGTCGGTGGATGCACATTGCTTGGGATCACCTCATCTATTTTTACTAGTTATCTTTACAAAAAGATTGTTTACAATTTTAAGGCCTTGATTATATGTACAAATTTCATTAGGCTGCCTTTATCTTTACAAAGTTGTTGAGAAAGGTGACTTAGGCAATATACATCCTTTTAAAAAAAACCGTAACCTCCGATGTACGCCATTTTTAGGCCGCTTTCAGCTGCGCCATTTTTCCCTAAGCGCATTCTTAGCTAACCCTGTTGATCAGTGGCATGTAATAACCGATTTGAACATCTACCTACGAACTACTCTGCACAAAAATAAGTAAACCATACCTTTGAACGATGAGACACCTGTAAAGCAACGTTAGTACCCGAACCGAAAGGGAACCTAACGAATATGGAACCGCCTCCCTGGGCCCTTATACTTTACCAAACGGCGTGCCAACCAATCCTTCTTGTGTCCAACACTCGATCACCTAGGTACCAATTTGGCACCGTTTACGTTATTCCTACCTGGAACTACATTAAATGTATCGGATAAGTTTGTCTCACTGTCTATCAAATCATCTTCCATGCATAAAATAGATGAAGATGTTCGATTTGATTTCGAGACGATCTAATCCAATACATCATGAATAATTGAACTATATTTCTTCTCTGAACTATTTTCTTCAAGTTAAATAACAGTGAGTTAATTAACTTCGACATGCCAGTGTCATAACATTGATTTTGACATCTATTTAGCAAAAGCAATGCCGGGTTTCATGCACCTATTATTCTGTTTCGTTGTTTATTAGACCAACGTTGCATATTCGTCTTGATGATGCAAATCACTCATTTTTCTCTAAAAATATTTTTAAGCACTTTGACTTGTTTTATTCATTTTCAAGCGTCTGGTGAACATTTCAAATTTTGCATGGTTCAAAATTCAAACAATTCGAACTAAACGTAAAAATGATTTATAAAGCATCATCAAGCAAGAATATTTCAGACGTTTATAACTTTAGATTAATTTAATTTGCGCTATGCAGCTTGCATGCCGGATTGCGCCATGTTTTGATCCGAAATTTCTTTTGTTATTTTAACGTGCAATCTGTGATTCGGATTTCGCCATTTTTTGGACCGTAATTTTCGCCATTTTTTGGACCGTAAGTTTGATAACTAAATATGCATATGATTCAGTTTTAAGAAGTATAATATGTAAGATAATAAACACGACCAAAACTCAAAGAAACCCATGCTTATTTCCTTGAACTTAGGTTTGTGTATCCTGGTGATCAAAACAACGAAAAACTTATAAAAACCGACATCAGACATGTATATTTTACCTTGCACAATGATAATCTTACATTATAAGACACTTTGATCAAAGTTTCCGACAATATAAGATGTATCATCGTTTTCAGGCAAATGTTTCAACGGCAAAAAGCACTACATCACATGCACAAAACTAAAAAAACAACACTAACAAGAATCAAAAGAACAACTAACTTTGTTATACACTCAGACAATGATCAATCATCCTCCTGTTAGTGTAGATCACCAGGATTTTAACTAAAACACTATAAACCTGCTACCTTAAACGTCGTCTTTGGTCTTCATTCGTAGATTAAGGTATAACGATGATGTAAATCCACGATAACGATGATGTAAATCCACGATAACGATGATGTAAATCCACGATAACGATGATGTAAATCCACGATAACGATGATGTAAATCCACGATAACGATGATGTAAATCCACGATAACGATGATGTAAATCCACGATAACGATGATGTAAATCCACGATAACGATGATGTAAATCCACGATAACGATGATGTAAATCCATGACAACAATAAAGTGCACGTAATCCACGACAGCTGTGAGTTAATCTACGATGACTATATGACTGTGATCGGACGACAATTATGCTTTGACCCACGACATACATGATACAATGATGCCATATATGAATCATAATGTGCCAACATTGCATTCTTTTTTCACTACAAAACAAATGAAAGGTTCAAGATAACACGAAATTCTTCAAAATTCACGAAAACTGCACAGTCATTGACAATAACGTGACACAAAAACCGTTAATAAAACTTCAATAATATTATAAATTATACTGTGAAAACTTATATATTCTGTGTAATGTTATAACAATTAGTGAAAAGAAGTTTTTTCAAGACAAAACGTTCCCAACAAATAACATTGCTTTTTTGCGAAGCAAATTCCCATTTACAACATTATCTTCTGCTCGTAATGTAGCCAAAAAGCAACTATAAAGATAGGTCAATAAAAAAATACACATGAATTACCTATAGGTTGGTCGTCATGAGCAACCAACTGCCTCTTCAAAACTTCCAGCAGTGTTGTGTAAGGTGGTTTTGTTCATAGGATGAAACATACTCTGACAATCAACAAATGAAGCGTAATGTTTGTTGATAAAGTGGAAATTACTGAAATTTAAAATGATGTAATCCACGACAACCACGATGTAATCCACGACAACCACGATGTAATCCACGACAACCACGATGTAATCCACGACAGCCACGATGTAATCCACGACAGCCACGATGTAATCCACAATAACCATGTTGCAATAAATCGATATAATACACCACCATTCTAACATTCCTTATCTACAAAACAATGAAGTTCAAAAAATTAAACGAATGTATTTCAATTTGACAAAAAAATAACGTATATAATGAATCAAAAGCTTTTTAGCAACTCCCGTTACATTGCTGACTGTCCTTGCTCAAAACTCATGATAATTTTATGTGAATTAGTTGGAAGACTTTCTAGATCTAGTAATAAAATATCACCAAAAACCAATAATCCAATTTTGAAAATTTATTAAAAGTTAAAAGTAGAATAATTTTTTATTATAACGTCATACTGTCTAGTCTACTCATAATGTAACCAGCTTTGCAGAAACTGTAAGTAATGATAAAACAAGTAAGGTATTAACAAGAAAATTTAATACCTGTAGATTCTTCGTCATAAGCAACCAACTGCCCCTCCTAAATATACTTCAGTTTTTGAAGAAAAATTTCTGAAATGAAAAATCATTATACTATTATTACTTATTACATCCATCCACCTGAAACGATCGCTTGTTTGGTATCGAACAGATAAAAACACATCAACAACCACTTACCAAAATATATTTTAAGCTTTGTGGTATTAGGATGGATAATTTGTTTCCTGATATTGAGTTTATAGTTCACCATAGCAGTTTTTAAACTTCCACACAATGTCATCACCATGATTATTAACATTTCTATTATGCAGCATAACAACCATAGATAGACAAAGCACCATAACTCATCATGGCATTAAATGCATGCTTTTTGCTAAAATTTAGGTGACAAAATATTCAAGTAAGATTTAATGTCAATATAAATGTCTGTGCGTCATCTAATTTTCATCTTACCTAACGTCCATCCTATATCTTGGGCCAACTGCAGCATCTCTAGTGATATACTTGTGCACACTTGGTCGAAAATTACGCGCAAGTCAAAAACAACAGAACAAAAAAACTTTCGACGATAGCTAGGTTATTTACATCTTAGTCTGAATTAATTTGTTCAAGAGCTTATTGAGTTAAGGTAAGTTATACGAGACGATTAAGTCGTGTCCTTCACGTTAGACGATAAAACCCACAAACAGAAAGCAACAATGTAAAACAAAATTATATCTGCAACAAGAAGTCTTCAAAAGTCATGCATGGGCTAAAGTGTCATGCAATGTATTTACAAGTATAGTTATAGAGTCCTTAAATCTTTGTCTTGCATTATTTCATCTTGCTGTCATTTTTTCTCTCTCATTATTTCATCTTATATTTCGTCACAATATTACTTTGTCATCTTTTTTCTTGCACTGTTTCACTGTAATTTTACTTCAATAAAATAGTAGTGAACTTTGTGTTTGAATTTTTGGTTTTTTTTATTTGTTGATTTTTCTATGGAAATTTCTGACCTGTCGAGAATGACGAAGGACCTCAAAATCGAAAATTCTGCGATTGAAAAGTGCCTCAACAACGGAAGACGCTACCTTCCAAGAATCAATGAAGTGCCTCAACAACGGAAGACGCTACCTTCCAAGAATCGACGAAGTGCCTCAACAACGGAAGACGCTGCAATTGCAAAATCGACGAAGTGCCTCAACAACGGAAGACGCTGCAATTGCAAAATCGACGAAGTGCCTCAACAACGGAAGACGCTGCAATTGCAAAATCGACGAAGTGCCTCAACAACGGAAGACGCTGCAATTGCAAAATCGACGAAGTGCCTCAACAACGGAAAACGCTGCAATTGCAAAATCGACGAAGTGCCTCAACAACGGAAGACGCAGCAATTGCAAAATCGACGAAGTGCCTCAACAACGGAAGACGCTGCAATTGCAAAATCGACGAAGTGCCTCAACAACGGAAGACGCTGCAATTGCAAAATCGACGAAGTGCCTCAACAACGGAAGACGCTGCAATTGCAAAATCGACGAAGGCCTCAACAACGGAAGACGCAGCAATTGCAAAATCGACGAAGTGCCTCAACAACGGAAGACGCTGCAATTGCAAAATCGAGGAAGTGCCTCAACAACGGAAGACGCTGCAATTGCAAAATCGACGAAGTGCCTCAACAACGGAAGACGCTGCAATTGCAAAATCGACGAAGGGCCTCAACAACGGAAGACGCAGCAATTGCAAAATCGACGAAGTGCCTCAACAACGGAAGACGCAGCAATTGCAAAATCGACGAAGTGCCTCAACAACGGAAGACGCAGCAATTGCAAAATCGACGAAGTGCCTCAACAACGGAAGACGCAGCAATTGCAAAATCGACGAAGTGCCTCAACAACGGAAGACGCCGAGCTCGAAAGAATCGACAAAGTACCTCAACAACCTAAGACATTGTGCTCTCAAGATGTGAAAAAGTAGATGCTGTTCTGCCATCATAGGCTCATAAACGTTTCCTGAATAAGTATACTGCGTTCTTGAGTTTCCTTGTTCTTCTTATCCAATATTAAACTTATGGTTCCTAAAGTGACCTCTTCCAATTAGTGCTCTTTTACTTGTAAGGCTTTCATTAATTCCTACTATTCTGGACGTCTTGTAGACATTTTACATAATTTGTTGAACGCTTTTTTCTAAAGAGTACTTTTTACAACAATACTTTTACTTACTTTTCTAATTAATAATTAAACGAATAGTGGACAAATGAAGACTTCAAGTTGCTGATGTATGATTAAGTATGATATCTACTTTTGTTTTATAGATAAATTTCTTCCAATTAATGTTTTTTTCATATCTTATAAATTTCTGAAAAGAATGAAGTCGTATAGACTCTTCATTTTCTCTTAAACGTCGATTTCATATCGATCGTTCACATTGGCAGTTTTGACTTAATTATTGTCTGATAATCCTTACCCTAAACTCAACCGCATTTTGTTTAAAAATGTTGACATCATTTACTTTTGATTCATGAGTAAATTTCTTCCAGTGAATATGTCTTTTGATATCTATACATTTCATAGGAAGTCTTATAGACTTCTTTATACGCCATTGAACGTCAATTTCTTATATATAGATCATTCACAACACTAGATTTGTCAATCCTTGTATACTTTAAACTCAGCAGCATTTTGCTTAAAAATGCACACAATATTTACTTTTGATTCATGAGTAAATTTTACAAATGAAGGCTTCTCTTTATATCTATACATTTCAAAAGAAGGAAGTCTTATAGACTTCTTTATATGTCATTGAGCGTTGATTTTTGAAATATCATTCACAACACTAGAGTTGACTTAAAAATTTAATCAAAATCGTTGGCGCATGCACACAACAACATTTAGTTTTGTTTCATGAAGGAATGTTTGTTTCAATCCGATGCACATTTCAAATGGAGGAAGTCATATAGACTTCTTTAAATGCTTTTGAACATCGTTTTCAGATAGATCGTTCACAACAATTGTTTTTTTGATTTATTATCTAATCATTTTCATCCTAAACTTGTAGCTAGTACTCGTCTGCCAGCAGCAAAATACGAAGATAGTGGTTGCACAACAAAAATCTTAAACAAACTTTTCGTGCAAAGTTGTAAGAAAAAGGCAAAAATTTTGAATGTGTGCACAAGTAAATCCATAAAAACACGCTCTGTCTGTTGCTTTCATTTGAATATCCTATCAATTCAAATCAAACGAAATGAGCTTCTGTGTTTTCACCCATTTGATATATATTATAAAAATTGCAATATTAAAATAAAAATATTAACAGAAAAGATTACTACAATAAAAGAATATTATAACAAAAAATTTCAAAAGCGTTTTCGTATAAAAAGAACCAGGCAGTCAATGAAAGTTTTAAAGTCATATAATTTTGAGTTTCCTACCTTACTCCTCCTTTGTTCTCTTCCAGTTGTTTTCATAGCGATCCGTTTTATCTTTGCTTCAAATTTCAACCAGGATACGACTTCGGTTGCATTCTTTATGATTGCTCATAGTAAATTCTCAAGAGAAAATTAGCTTCTTTTCCTATAGAATATAAACACATTTATTGGTAAAGTGTTCTTAAAATAGCTTTCAATAACAACTTTTCTAAATTGTACTCAAGTAGCGTACATCGTATTTCGTTAAAAATCTTTCTCGCCCACTGAAACTACTATCATTCGAACTTATTGAATTGAAGAACCTGTAGCCGTCTACACTCTTCAAATTTTTCCCTGTATCCCACTCCATTCAAAGATTTTGTGGGTATTTTCGTAGTCAAGCTGGTCAGTTTTGCATAATTCGTGCCCAGTGTTCTTCATTTTCACGCGGAACAAAATTCGCGCCAATTTTATCGAAAGTTCAATGTCCACCATGAACCAACATTTCATATTTTTTCACATATCTCAAAATTTTTGCTCAAAAAAGTCAAAAGAACATTTTTTACCAACAAAAAATCAACCCATGGGATAAGAAATACCCTCCTTATCGCTTATTTTGCCATACTAATACTTTTCAACTAGAATTTGCACATATTTTTGTGTTGAAACGAGGAAGATGTCGGTCGCACAACTTTGTCGCTAAAAATATATCGATTCAAAAATACACGCTAAAAGCAAAAATATTCAACAAAGTTTCACTTCGAAGTATTCAAAACACTAGCAGTCACTAACACACGAAAGCAAAATGAAAAGAAAGACTTTGAAACATACAAACTTGACGTTTTTATACTGACAAGTTTTTCTGACAAAGCAAATACACCGTCGAAGGCACGCAGTTAAAAACGGCGAATGGCACAAAAACAACCGACTGAAAGATTTACAAGTAAAACAATACGTAACCATACATCAAACAAGGCTTTTGTCATCGAATTTATCGACATTTGAAGTACTTTTTTAAACACTAAATTAAAATTTCAAAAACGTACCTTTCTCTTTCGTCTCTTGAGGGCATCTACTGTTGTGCGAAGTGATTGACGTTTGTTAAGATCATTTGGTGGCCCGATTTCATTGGTTGATTTCGATGGGCTTGGCTACCTTTTTTTCGAGCTCTGATTGGCGGAAATAGGAAATAATTTATTCAAGATTTTGATCCCAGCTGAGAAGATGGTACTCTGTGCTTTTTTCCCTCCTCTTTCTTTGAAAAGAAGATAGTTGAAAAGAAAAAATGTTTTCTGTTTTCATCACAAGCAAATATACTTGTAACAGTTTAAGTACAGACAATTGTTTTTTATTGGGCTTATAAGAATCCTTTATATTTGTTTTGAATAGAACGATGAACCAGTAGCTCCCATTGTGCAAGTGATGTAAGTGGATTTATCACAAACGAATGGATCTTCTGACTATAATCAGAAGGGGAGTATTCTGCCCTGTTATTTCTATATAGTCACTTAAAAGAAATGAAGAATTATAATGTAACTTAAGCAACATAGCAGAACTAAACCTTGTGATTATACTGACTAATTTTCATTGCCGGAAAATCAACTTACTCATTATTTTAGAATTGTATGAATATATACCAATTTTTATGGTTAATTTGCTTAAGTGTTTTGTTTCTGTCCTCCAAAAATCATGGCATTCCAATAATTCTTTAATGATAAAATAAGCTTTTAGAAATGGCGAATTTTGCCTATCGAGCCACCTTAATGATGTTTATCGAATATCATGTTGTACACGAATGGATACTTACAGAATAAATCCATTTTATCAACCAATAGCAACTGCTATCACGCTGTAACAATGAGTTGCAAATCTTATCACAAGCTATCCCTGTCATATGTATACAAAATTTGAATTTTACGTGTACATTGTTGTAATTCTATACTTTAATGATACTTTACATAATATTTCATAAGCTAATCGTGGAATGTTCCATTGCTGAATCAGGATATAATTTTGGAGCAGATAAGTACTTCTTAGAAGACGGTTGAAATAAAGGTAAAAAGTTTCTTATTTATATTCATAACTAAGCATAACAACGTAATCTAGCACCAATCTCGAAGTCAGTCATTTTGTTTGTTAAATTCTCCATCATAACGACAATTACTGCTCATGTTTACGATATTAACAACATCTAAAAAGTAAGGAATGTTTAACGATGATAAAGCTAAGGATCAACTAGACTTCTGCCTAAAATGATGATCATGGTTTTTGACAATTCCAAGTTACAGTTACAGAGATCAAAACGAATTCATATAATGATCAACTTGGCATCTTTATCGTTAGAGGTTTTCGAAATTTCAAATTCATATTCTACACATGTAAAAATTCAAGTTCTCTACAAACTGCTTTCGCACACAGTTCACGACCTTCACTCGATATTTTTACCATATCTTTACATACTTTCTGTAAAAGAAAAACCAGTACAACACCTTACAAAATAACAACTATACAACGCAGTAAAAATCTCCATCTCCAAATAAAAGCTGGAGCGAAAAAAAAACAGGTCTAGCAAAACATTGCTGACATAGCAATCCACCTTAAATGACTCTGGGAGTGGTGTAGGACACGTGAGCAGCTCGTGAACAGCTTGACAGACGTTCCAACAAGCTCTTCCCCAGTGCGTCGTGCTTTACATAAAAGATATTCGTTAATGATAACCATTTAATTGTTGATAACTAATGAGTTTATATCGTGAGATTCTACCTTTATTTCATGAACGCTATTACGTCATAATTATGAAGGTAGATCATCAAACTAAAATTCGTGGAACGCTACCTGTAATACAAAACCCTAATAATTTTTTTAAGCCATGATTTCACCCCAGACACGCGTGTGTAGCCAATCATTACTCCACTCGAAACACTAAGCACGCGTATATGGGGCAAAATGTCGCGTGTCTGATGTAAGATTTGGCTTGATTGAAAAATTTACGTAATATCAAAATATGCGAAGAAAAACAAAACCTGTTGTTCTTCTCATTATTCTTCGTCACATGTTTTTCGTCGTTTGACTTTTTTCGCATTTTAGCATTCTTGAGTAAAAAAATAAATTAATGATACTTTTTGTACCCCCTGAACATAGCATTTGAACAAATTTTACGATATACAAAAAGTCAAAAACCCTTCACTCCAACCAAAATTTTTACTTTCAACATTTCTTTCGCAGCTCTAAAAAATTCTTCTTCACTCTTACAATATAAAGTCTGATATCGTTGTTTCTTGGCAGCCTCCTTTACGTTGGCATTTCTACCTTTGAATTTCTTTGTTTGGAATTATTAAACTCTCGTCTGTGCAAACCAACACCAACGGTCGAAAAAATATGGTTGGTGCGTAAGATGATACAAAACAGTTCAGTTAGTTCAAACATAAAGTCAAATGATCGCGACGCCATTACATCGGAAAAAATGACCAAAGACATGCTCGTCACTGCCCTGATTTACCACATGGCAATTCGTGAATTGACTACCTTCGATTACTTCGACTACTTTTGACTATGAAATGACCAATTGTAACATAAACTGAAGTCTAAGTTGTTACATCTAGTATTTAAAAATTCCCTAACTTGTGCCATATTATTTTTCTGTACCTAAATGCTCCAATATTGATGATATTCTTATGAAACCGTATGGCAACTTGTATTTTTCAAGATGTTCCAAAAAGTAAACACATAGGTAGCCACGAAGGTTTTTAAGAGCTTATAGCTATTGCTGTTGTGAATGTTTTGTAAGTTAATCTTAATGTAATTAACTTTTGTTTCATCTCATTAAATTTACTTATACATACAGAACGTCTAAAAAAACTCATATAGAAAGGTAAAAATATGACAATGCAATATCTACACGTCAAGAAAGTTTATCATGCAAACTGTGGCCTCTTTTCAACGAGAATATTTGCTTCACTCAAAAGTTTCTCTATTTCCAACAGTCTATTGTAAATTTGAATATTACAAGAACGCGATGGCGCACCAAAAATAACGCAATGTGCTTGAGCAGCCACAGCTAAATCAACCATAAAATCATCCAATACACTTAGGTCGTTCGTAGTAACAAAAATTAATTTAGAAAATTCTAAAAAGTAATAATAACAGTTGTTATAGAGCATGAACGCTATTATAATTGGTTATGAGATGAAAACAAATGACGATAAAAATGAGAGAAGGACTGAGAACGAGATAATGAGAGAAAGACTGAGAACGAGATAATGACAGAACGACTTAATAAGATAACGACTGGGAACGACATAAAAAGTGAAGATGACATACTAGTTGAAACTATATCATTATTTTTTGCTACTAAAACGCTTTCATCAACGGATGAAATGATGAAAAGTTTTAATTGACAGATTAATACGTAAAAAGTGTAAAAAATACTTAGAAAATATTCCTACCTGCAAAAAACCTTGATTGTTGCATAAACTGCGCAACAGTAGATACATCTTGAAGTTCCATAACTTTACCACAAACTAAACCTTCTTTTATAGCTTCTTCCGTAGCATGTTTGGCAAATGAATCCTGACTTAGAATGAAACAGTTCCCTTTCAATCTCTCGCTAAGTTGAGAATAACTCTGTGCGTCCTACAAGACGGGAGAAAAGATAATATCTCTGTGTGTTTGTGTACATGGACTTGAACTTGACAGAATTGACAGAAGTCATATAAATACACTAGTATTATAAAGATACTTGTGATATAAAAGGATCTACGAGGATCTTTATTTCAGGATAACGCTGGCAGAGATCAAAGTATACGTTCATAATCTCCTCTGATGTTTTCAATGTGTTCAAGCAGATTTCATACTTTTGCTTATCCTAAAGAAATTTACCACGACTTAGATAAACATGATTTTTACAAAGTTGGATATTGACAATCAATAATATGTGAAAATGAATTGAACAATTATATTCAGACCTTGTCATAAATATCTTGGCTACATATTCTTATTGCGACTATAACGTCATCTTCATAGCTGTATCCTGCCGTTGTGATGGCGTCTCGAAGGAGATCAAGACTTTGCTCTGGTCTGTCAATGCTGGGAGTTAAAGCGCCATTGTCTGCAGTCATGTTAGCTGTCGGCTAAAAATAATGATAGAGAAGATAAGAATCCTTGAACCTCAAGAAACACAAGGATTAAACTTCCAAGTTTTTACCTTTTGTCGAGTGTTTGACTCAAGTTGTTCGTAAATATTCGTCAACTGTTTCAACGCCTGTGTAAAGAAATTTTTCCTTAAAATGTTTCTTGTACAAAGATCTTTCATGAATACATATGAATATTTTAAATACGTTACCTGAAACGATGATATTGTATTTTTGAATGCAATCATTACATCCTTAAACATATAAAGCTTTCCAGATGTTTTCTTGTCACATCGTAACACACACATAAACGGCATGGGTAATGATAGAAAATCTGGTTCCTCTTTCGTTGTAGCAAAGTACAAATTATTAAACAGTTGGGATTCTTGTAATACAGAGGCTGACTTTGCAATTGCCATTGAAACAGCAAGTATGTCTAAATGAACAAAACCATTACGATGTTCGTCGTTTTTTGGTATATCTTCTACTTCTGTGGTATCAGTTTTAACAAGTTCATCATTGTGTGTGATTGAGTTCTCCTTGTCAATGTTGAACTTGTTTTGTTTATTGATGACAGACAACAAGTTTATTTCGCTATCATTGTTACATCTGTTGTTCATAACATCTCTAAAATATTAGAGAGAAGTTTAAGATAATAAAAATGAAAAATAAATATGTTCTACTGCAACCCATCTAGGGAACACTCCTACTGCAACCCATCTAGGGAACACTCCTACTGCAACCCATCTAGGGAACACTCCTACTGCAACCCATCTAGGGAACACTCCTACTGCAACCCATCTAGGGAACACTCCTACTGCAACCCATCTAGGGAACACTCCTACTGCAACCCATCTAGGGAACACACTGCAACCCATCTACTGCAACCCATCTAGGGAACACTCCTACTGCAACCCATCTAGGGAACACTCCTACTGCAACCCATCTAGGAACACTCCTACTGCAACCCATCTAGGGAACACTCTACTGCAACCCATCTAGGAACACTCCTACTGCAACCCATCTAGGAACACTCTACTGCAACCCATCTAGGGAACACTTCTACTGCAACCCATCTAGGGAACACTCCTACTGCAACCCATCTAGGAACACTCCTACTGCAACCCATCTAGGAACACTTCTACTGCAACCCATCTAGGAACACTCTACTGCAACCCATCTAGGGAACACTTCTACTGCAACCCATCTAGGGAACACTCCTACTGCAACCCATCTAGGGAACACTCCTACTGCAACCCATCTAGGGAACACTCCTACTGCAACCCATCTAGGGAACACTCCTACTGCAACCCATCTAGGGAACACTCCTACTGCAACCCATCTAGGGAACACTTCTACTGCAACCCATCTAGGAACACTACTGCAACCTACACTCCTACTGCAACCCATCTAGGGAACACTCCTACTGCAACCCATCTAGGGAACACTCCTACTGCAACCCATCTAGGGAACACTTCTACTGCAACCCATCTAGGAACACTCCTACTGCAACCCATCTAGGGAACACTTCTACTGCAACCCATCTAGGGAACACTCCTACTGCAACCCATCTAGGGAACACTCTACTGCAACCCATCTAGGAACACTCCTACTGCAACCTATCTAGGGAACACTCCTACTGCAACCCATCTAGGGAACACTCCTACTGCAACCCATCTAGGGAACACTCCTACTGCAACCCATCTAGGAACACTTCTACTGCAACCCATCTAGGGAGCACACTCTAACTGCAACCTATCTAAGGAACACTCCTACTGCAACCCATCTAGGAACACTCCTACTGCAACCTATCTAAGGAACACTCCTACTGCAACCCATCTAGCCAAGGCTTGTAGGCAGGAGAAAATTATACTCACTCTAAAATTCTGTTGATTTCTACATCATTATAAAGCTCTACTCCAACAAGTGCAGGCTTGATATTTTCCTGGATAGTTTTCATTACTTGTTCAAATGAATCATCAATTTCTTCCAACTCGTCACCTGAAGGATTTTGCTTTGACTCCAAGGCAGAAGTCTTGCCTTTAACTGCAACTTTCATTTCATCTTCAGGTTGACTATCCAGGGATAATGGAATAGAGGAGAGTCTCTGAACAGAGTTAGAAATACAGCAACCAATGACAATGGTTGATGACTGAATATGACGGAACTGCTGTTTACAAAATACTCTAAATAAATTGTAAATCAAATAACACACCAAAAAACATCATTTTCAACAAAAATCTTTGTATAATTGAGTATTGGTTTCCTATACAAATTTTTATAAAGTGTTATATACAACAAACATGATTTCATATTTTGAGTTTTGGCACAGAAGTATTTTAAATTTCCATTAAAGACTGAAATGTTGAAAATCTTACCATGAATGTAAAATTAACTTCTCTGTCAATTAATTATTGTGCAACATGCAAATTTTTTATACAAAAGGCAACAATAAGTTAGGATGGTATGGTATAAAGCTTTACAATAATACTTATTAATAAGTTTAAATTATGTACCTTTATATTTCCATGATATAATACTTCTATTTCAACCTTAACGGTCATATTGCCACATTCAGTAAAAATTCTTGAACACAGTAACTAAAATAAGTGTTTATTAATAACACCTTTACATATATAAAAGTTCAAACAATTAAGTTTCTTAAACGAAATAAATTTTGAAAGAAATTTTTGTACAGTTTGATGAAGTAAAAACGAAGTAAATAATGAAGTCAAGGAACGGACGGCTTACATTTGTTATCTTAGGTGTTTTTGCCTTTTTTGAAAAATATTCAGCCTATAAGAAAACAGACATTACACACAAGATTAAATAATTTTTAGCAATACTTTAAACACGTTACACAGTATACGTCACGTGTAGCATTTTGAGCTTTGAAGTAACGAAGTTTATTAGTTTAAGTTCTACCTTAATAACTACGCAAAATACGGAAAATTTACCATGAAACCAAAAATATCATCGGGTGGTTCTTCTAAAATGTTGTTGAGAAGTTTCTGAAAGCAGTTTGGAACATCATTTGTTTTCAAATAGTCAATGGCAAACCGTTTTCTTTCAAGATATTTATTTTCTCCTTCGGTCGCCATTTTCTACATGGTTACGATATTTCCATGGCAACTATGAGTAATGACGTATAGTTGGCGTATTAATCGTCATATTGCTCGTCGTGTCAACGAGTGACGTCATAACGCTAAACTTTTTAACGATTACAAAGAGAAATGTGATAAAGTACAACACGAGAGAGGAATTTCTTAATTTACTGAAAACGTTAAATGTCTGTGGGTAATAAAACACATAAAATAATTGGTTTATGTATTTTAATAAACAAATGTCAGATAATTTATTTACAAAAAACATTTTAACATAAACTTGATTTTAATATACATTAGGGTGCTTTTTTATATTTTCACAAGTAGAGTAAACATTCTACTTTCAAGAATATTCAGGTCTTCCCAAATAATCGTACCTTACTTTAACGCATATTCCACCATCTGTTGTGAAAAAGCAAGAATTCCATTATTTTAAAAGTTCACAAAAAAAAGAATTCAAAAAAAGAGATACTCCATACTTACAACGACAAACATACGGCTCACAGCATTGACTTAATGAATCACACTCATCACCATAAAGTCCACAACCTGGATTTTCAGGAGGTTTATAACCTCCACCCGCATCAGGTGGCAAATGAGGACTATCCGTCCCAGTGTGACATTGTTTTCTATTGTCTGTTTAAGGAAGGAAAACATGTTAATAAAAACAATGCAACACTTTCACTTTATAAATGAACGAAGAAAAATATTCGGATGAAATGTTTATGAACACTTACTTATATTAAGACATCTCATTGGAACACAACATTCCTCGTTCGTTGTACAGTTCGTGTAAATTTGACGACATTGAGAATCATTTAAGGAAATACTGGGGGGTAAAGGTACGACTGCGCCTAATTAAATGAGAAATAAATTTTCAGAATGATTAATGACATGAATAGGTCATACAAGCAGTAATATATAGCAATTCAATAATTTTATGATACAAAATAAAGGAACTGATTTTTAAGAAATTGTTGAACCAATCTAGAACTGTTTTACGTTTAGAGAAACAGGTCTTTCACTTTTTATGTAAATGTAACATTAAGTGGCTTAAAAGTAAGGAAAATTCTTAGTGAAAATCACAGAGGTGCACAGAAATGAAACAAAGTTAAGCTTCGCGTCACGAAGAACGACATCTCAAAGAATTTGTGTTTTCCCAGTAATACGAACATCCATAAAACCACTGCAATGGTTATTCTGACCAGCAAAACAACCACGCAGTGACAGACATGTTATTTATTTTATTCACCTTAACAAGATTATAGGACGCGTAAATTACTCACCATAGGCCAATGTAAAGACTGCTACGACCAAAAGATATAAATTTCTCTTCATTTCCACCAAAATTCGTTTTCACCAAAATTCTATTTATTTACATGAAGTCAGAACAGCCACCACAACCAGTTTAAAGTGAGACTTGGATCATCCTATTTTATATTCTCTTCAAACGATATGAGATGCATTGACATGAGATCATTTTAACCACTTTTGACGTTATACCCTTGAAGCACTTGAAACACTTTTAGTCACACCCTGTACTCAAAGTAAACACTTCCGATTGTCATAGAATGATCTACGTTAATGATCCATGCGTGTGATATGATTTCACGAAATTTTCAAGTTATAACTTGGAAGTTATTACTGGAAGCAAAATGTTTGTTTGCGAAATTATATTTGCCCATATTTTCCATGAATGTATTGTCTGAAACACAACAACAAAACGTCTACGCATTTTACAAGCGAAATGAACTCTCATTGCGTCTGTGACTGCAAACAGGAAACAGCACTTGAATCGAACTTTCAAAAGATGAAAGACCGCGTAATGACGAATTACAAAAAAAAAACAAAACTTTGCAAAATCTTTGTCTACTGTTCGTTATGACAACACCATACACATGCAGGAACTTTAAAGAATAAAATTTATGGACGGACGCCATCTAAGTTTGGCGAATACAAAAAGTTCACTCTATTTCACCTCACAAAATTTCACAATAATTCTTTCAACACCTAAATTCCATCACGTAGTTTTAACTAATAAAAAATTTGCAACTCAAAATTTTTCTCTACCTACTAATTTACTAGAGACTAGAGTGATTTTGCCTCCGATAATTTACCATTGACGAAATTTCAAGAAGTATTTCATTAATTTAATTCAACCACAAAATTCATCAAGGGGCATCGAGGAAATACTTGATGGTGTAAAGAAAGTTTCCTTAGTTTCAGGAAGACCACATTCGTTGCTTGTTTTGTATCAATTGCTAAAGCAAATCGAGTGAACTAAATTTCATTAATTTATTTCATTAATTTAATTCAACCACAAAATTCATCAAGGGGCATCGAGGAAATACTTGATGGTGTAAAGAAAGTTTCTTTAGTTTCAGGAAGACCACATTCGTTGCTTGTTTTGTATCAATTGCTAAAAGCAAATCGAGTAGAACTAAATTTCATTAATTTATTTCATTAATTTAATTCTACCACAAAATTCATCAAGGGGCATCGAGAAAATACTTGATGATGTAATGAAAGTTTCCTTAGTTTCAGGAAGACCACATTCGTTGCTTGTTTTGTATCAATTGCTAAAAGCAAATCGAGTAGAACTGTTGCATCTGGAATTGTTAAAACGTAGAAGGAATCAAACATATAAGGATATATAGAGGGTCAAAATCTTTATGTGGAGAGAGCATAAAAAAGGTCAAATTACAAAGTCAACTAAGCTGACCAAAACATTTAAAATTCCTAGAACAACCTGGAAGAATTCAAAGGAATGATTTTTCATCGATGTGAAAATATTTACACGTGCATGTTTAAAGGCTTTAACATGAATGAAAACACTTAAATATCAAAAGCCATAAGTATTTTGTACACTTCTTGAGATCAAATGTTCATTTTAATTTCGGTGTCAAAATTTAATATATTTGCAACAACTATAAGGCAGTAAATGCTTAAGACTTAGAGGTGTAAATTGAAATACATCAGACAGCTGAAACTACTCCAACATCATTTTGCTTTATCATTACGTCTCATTTCTCTATCAGAACTCCATCTTCCTCTGCTTTCCATACTTGTTGATGTAGTTTGTCTCCTTTCTGTAATCTTCTCTTCTTTGTTTACTGTAGCTTTCCTCACTTTTCCCTTCTTTGCTTTCCTTTCTTTTACATGGACTATATCTTTTATCATCAAGATCATGACTTGAGCTACGCCGACCTCCTTTATCCAGAGATTTCCTTTTCTGTATTTTGATATCCCTAGTTGTACTTAGATATTCTGTACTCTTCAGACTATCTTTTCTATGAACTTTGATTATTCTTTCAAAATGATCATTCTCATTTTTTTTAGATAATTCATCACTAGAACCACTGCTATCTGTTGAGCTTGTACGATAAGACTTTCTGTATTCTCTACCACAAGACCCAGACTTCTCCATATTCTTTTTCCTGTTTAAATTCTCGTGTTTCATCTCTTGTTTTACACAAAACTTTTAACTTTGAGTCTGGTTCTTTGCTACGTGAAGGATGCTGCTCAGTTCGCTTCACATCATTCATTTCTGAATTTTTTATTCTGGTCTGATTATTCGCCAGTCTGTCATCATATTTTATTGAAGATCCATCATCGCTACCATCGTCAACTTCTTTTCGTTTCTTTTGTTGTATAACGTGTTTGCTCTCATTAAAAATATTTTTATTTTGAAAATCATGGAAACCCAACATCATTTTATCAGTGTTACCATGTTTCCCAACAAAAACACCTTTATCATTTTCAGCTGATTTCACACACTTACTAAACTCCAGTTTTCCTTTATCTTCACAACTTTCTTTAACATCCTTCCAACTTTTTGTAAATCGCTCCTCACTTTCCTTTCTGATGAGATGATCATCAGTATCCTTAACTATCCATTCATCACCACTGTTATCGCTTTCATCGTCATCATTTGAACTTGAAGTTTCGCTTCGCTTCTCTCGTTTTTTCTTTTTTTTATACTTCCTTTTTTTCTCCTTTTTCCTAAAGAAAAACAGCGTTTCTCTTTTAATGTTTTTTGTCACGAACGTTGCAGAATTAGACCGCCAATTTGACTACTTTTTAAAGTAAGAATGAAATAATTAACGAACCTTCTTTTCTTTTCACTTCGTTTAACGTCACGATCAGATTTTATTAGTTTCTTAACATGTTCAAATTTTCTACGATTCACGAGCAACGCACTCGCGGCTTTACGATTTTTCTCTGCTTCCTCTTGTGCCAACTTATGTTGTTGTTTTTATTCAATAATCATAGCATCACGAAGTATATAGCGAATATTAATTTAATATTGAACAGCGAACACCGGAGTAAAAGACAACCGCAAGGATCGCAACAGGTTAGGTATAACAAATATTTTTGTAAAAATAAAAAGGAACAGTGAAAATGAACATAAAGTACATCAACGTGTTGTCATCGTTCACAATTTTATCACGATAATCACAATAGCAAATGAAGAAGATATATAAAAAGTGTACCATATAACATACCCAATGATTGGTCCACGAAGATAATGTATTGCAAGTAATGTTAGAAATGGTCAACAATGTATAACAAAGGACAAACGTGTCCCATGTTGAATTCATCCCGATAAGATGTATTGTTATAAAGAAAAGAAAAAGATCCAATCAGAGCAAGTATAATATAGAATAAGATACATATCAAAGCCTACCTTAGAATTTAGTAAAATATTTAACTCGTCTAAGCTTTCTTTACTTTGTGCGTCGTGAGGATTAAGCTCCGTCAATTCTTGAAAGACATCAATGGATTCTTTTAGACTGCCACTGTTTTTTAACCTGAGATATAAAATAAACACAATGAAACGCGTGCGCTGATTGGTCTAGAGCTGTGTTTGCATTAGCCTGTGCAAAACACATCTGAGCTCAACCAATCATATCAATCAAAACAATCAATCAGTCAAAGAGAATTTGCAAGTCGATCATGAATACATTTTAGAGGAAAAATTAAAATGTCTGTCTTTTTTGACTTATTTTTATTTTATAAAAGAAATAAAAGATGTTTTTCGTGTTTGCACTGGCTTATGCAAACCTCGGAGACGTTAGTGAGAACTCTCGAGCATGTGCAACCCTCGACCTTCGGTCTCGGGCTTGCACTGATCTGCTCTCGAGTTCTCCCAAAGGTCTCCTCGGTTTGCTGCATAAGCCCGTGCAAACGCAGTAAACATCTTTTATTCTTAAGTATCACAAAGAAGTTTATTACTTAAGAAGTTAAAGAGGAGATCACTTAATATAAGAAATAAAGTAGCACCACGCTGAGGAAAAGGAATTGGGAATAGTTTCTAATATAATATGATGAATCTCACCTCGATCCTTTTTCAAACAACGTTTCTCTGAGGTATTTGCAAGCATTATGATGTCTGGGTTGTAGTTTTAATGCTTGTTTAAAGTCTTTAATGGCATAATCCAGTTTATTTTGGTTGGCATATCTAAATGAAACAAGGAAGTCAACATGTATGTATCACGTGTTATTGAAGAAAAATTAAATGTCTAACAGCGCTCCACGGGCAACTAAAGCTTCAGGATTTTCTTCATAAATCTGCAAGGCATGGTTTAAATATTTCAAAGCTTTTTCGTGATTGCCTTTCTTAAAGTTTTCCACACCAGTTGCAGTTCTGTTAAAAAAAATCAAAATTCGTTAGAAGCAAAAATTGTTCAATACAACATTGATCATGTGATAGACATGTCATAGATCACGTGATAACACGAACATACGTTTCCATCGACCATTTTTTTGATTGCTGTTTTCGAATTGAGTTTGCATCCTTGTCAGAAAAAGTCCACCTGAAAGAATCCAAGTTCGTAATAACAACTTTTAGAATATAAAAAATATGTAAAATCACAACTTAAGTTTCAAGTAGTTTTATAGAGTTTCTTAAAAATCTAAAGCGCACATGTAAAAAGTATAACACTCAATTAAAAACGTCAAGCATCAGCTAAAATCCTTGAAAAGTAACACTTAAATGTGTAAGAAGAAAAATATTCACAGACACGTAACCAGGGCGATAATTGAAGAGGCAAAGATTCATATACTCATTTTATAATCTGTAAAAACAAAGGATTTCAGAGAAAATCTACAGGGCATATCATGCTTACATTGCCTGTAATCATTGTTTTGGCTACGTACGTGCCTCATAATGCATAAGTACCTTTGACACAATGTCAACAGAGAATTGGGAGGTCTACAATCAATACCCAAAGCATCAATCAATGTTTGAACATTGCTTGGATTTGAAAATCCAGGATCTTGTCGCAAGTAGTGATTATAATTCAAATCATGTTCAGAAAAGTTAGCTCTGGCGAGAAAAAAAATGAAAGCAATTTGACAAAATATTGTACAGGACCTTGAAGAAAGTAAAGACGAGATTTTACACTAACTTTGTGTCTTCAATATCATCAATTACTCCCTATAAAGATATAAAATTCATGATAGAAACAGTATACGTAAGAAGGTTTAAACATTCCAGATTTTAAAAAATATAATGATATTTACAAGTTCAACATGACCAAATTGTGAAGGTAACTTTGAAGAGCGAAATGAGATTGCAATTCTTTCATCATCTCTTGATACAGAACAAATTACTCCTAAAAAATATAAAACAGACATTTTCTTGGTTCATTTCTAAAACAAAAGTACAGATCCTATTTGATCCTTCATATACTTTAATGATCCTATTTGATCCTTCATGTACACAAATGTTTTCAAACCTTGAACAAAGTCATCAATGTCAAAGTCATCAACTGGGTCAAAATGTTCATGAGATTTGTGATCTCTATTAAGTTCAGATTTTGGACACAACACCTTCAATAAACATATTGTGAACATTAATCAAAATGAATAAAACACAAACTGAACTTACTTAGTTCTTCCAAAACTGAATTATCTTTCATACACCACAGTTTAAAGAACACCACACCTCCTAATGCATAGTAGTCCCCATCCCCAGTCCTTGTATCACAATCACTCATCTTTACAGTACAGTTATCCTACTTATGTCACAAATTCCTTTCCTGAAATCACTGTTGCCTCTTCTTTTGTCACAGTTACCCCTCCTTATGTCACAGTTACCCCTCCTTAAATCACAGTTGTCCCTCCTTAAATCACAGTTGTCCCTCCTTAAATCACAGTTGTCCCTCCTTAAGTCACAGTTATCCCTCCTTAAATCAAAGTTGTCCCTCCTTAAAGATCAGTTATCCCACCTTAAATCAAAGTTGTACTTCTTCATTGTAAAGATGAAAACCATACTAAACAAACCAACCTGAATATCAACATCATTAAAACATAGATTACGCCCATATACCAACGAATCAAGACGAACAAATATTCCAAATGGACGTTTACCCACGACTTTTCCCATAACAATGTCACCAACTTTCAATAACTAAAGAATAAACAAGATGTTAATTTTATTTTCCTTGATCATCGATTAATGATCATCATATCAATTCTAGCAATTCTTATAAACATTGAGCTACTGCATCATATATTTATTGGAGGATAAGGAGGGGGTAGAGTGTACACATAAGGAAGGTTAGAGTGCATAAATAAGGAGGGTTAAACATTAAGTAAAATAAGGAGTTATAAGGACATATAAATTATGTAAACATATCAGATTCAAATAATAGATGCATATTTAAACATAAGGAGGGTAGAGTGTTCACATAAGAAGGGGTAAAGTGTAAACATAAGGAGGGGGTAGAGTGTTCACATAAGGAGGGGTGAAGTGTATACATAAGGAGGGGTAGAGTGTATACATAAGGAGGGGGTAGAGTGTATACATAAATAGGAGGTTGAGTTTTTTACACATAAAGGGTGAGGGAGGGAAGAAAGACAAATTTTTGTCATCTTGCTATTTGTACAAAACCTTGAAAATGTGAGCTTTTCTTGCTTCTACTGGAATCTTCATACTTTTCTCTAAGGGTATTAACTTTGTTGCAAATAAACTGTAAGCTAATAGTAAAAAAATTATATAAATATTGGTTGAATATTGCTATACATTGCCTAACACAGCACATACTGCACACCTCTAACTAGAATGCATCAAATATTTGAAAAAATTAAAAAAAAACCTTCTTGAGATCTTTCCATATCATAATCAACTCCATTCAACAATTTTTGTTTTCCTTTCAAGTTGAAAATAACATCTGCCTTGGATGCTATAAAATTCTTTACCCTATTTCTTTATAAAAGAAAATATACAATTCAAATTCCACAAAGTAATTACTTTCAATACTTTTTTCAACAATGTTCTATAGAATTCACCTGAATTGTGAATCTTCAAACGTATTTTTGTGCTGTTCTGCTGACTACATGAAAAAAAAGACGCATATAAAATCAAATATTACATGACATTATGTAAAAACTACTTGGAAATTTAACCTCCTGGCTCATTTTGTAGGATAATAGGTATTCTGGATAGCTGAAACAGATAATTCTTAGCTCTGCTTACAAACAGTGCCTTTGTAAGCCATTTCTAAAATATCTCTTGCCAAGAAAAATCTCCAAAAATAAGTTGAGATAGACTCTTCTTCTTAAAAATTCTTTCAGCAACTTCTCATAGCCAAACTTTTTCTTCTTAGTTGCCTTACTCTTACGAAACAATGGTAAAAACATTTAAAGTTAAAAATGAACTTTTTTTTCTAACATAACACGAATCAGGAAGATCGCCATGTTGAATTATGATATTCAGTGAAAGTGAAAAATATTACATTCTCATTGGTCCATTGATTCGTTCGCATATCGTATTTCATTCTTTTCCCAGATAAACATCCACCAAATCATCAACATCTTTTTTATTAAAACCTTTCTACACTAATGGTTATTTAACATAATTAAAATATGAATTGTGTTTGATTTTAAACTTGTTCAGTAGGGATTAATGTCATCTTTTCACATTCACAACTTCATAGAATCTAACTTCTTAGAATCTAACTTCTTAGCAGAACCTTGACAAAAGAAGGAGGAAGTTAAACAGTAGCTAACATATGAAAATTCAAAATAAGATACCTTCGTAGATTGTTTCTATGGTCTCGGAGCTTCGTTTTAGATGGTTTATATTTCTACAAATGAGATTAAGCCAATTCAACTTAGCTGCACAAAACAATCCACTTGAAAAACATTGCTCAATACCTCATAAAATCCTTTTGCTCTCTCAAATCATCTTGCATTTCTAAAGTTTCCATTATTTCTTGATCTAGTGACGCAGCACCAGAAACGAGATTTGGTATGAAGCGTGAAAACAGATCAGGAATCCTCTGTGCAAAGTCTTAAAGTAGAAAGAAATTTCGCCACCTAATAAACATTATTAGCTATGAAATGTATTTTTCTCATTAGTTTAGTACCTGGCCTAAGTGTGTAGAGACCTCGCACAATTGTCATAAGCAAATCTGGCTCGGATGAAAATGATTCATTCACACTATACTCAAGAATTTCTATATTAAAAGTTCAAATAGATATTTATATATTTGAAAGAAAGAAATTACCTACATAAACAATAAATGCACATACACACCAAAAAGTCTTTCATTATCAGCAACTACTTGTGAAAACAGCATCAACAACTCTGATTTTAGATCACAGTTTTTCTTCGGCTGTACATAAAATCTGTTCTTTGTATAACATGAAATGCAAATATATTTGGAAATACGTATATAAATAAAAACATTAATTGACTAGAAAACAGGAGACAACTGAGTTGTACACATACCATATAATTGAAAACTGCAGTAATTCCTTCAACACTTTGAAAATATTGTGTTTGGATGTAAGCAAATTGTTTCAAGAACACATTGAAGGGTTGACTCTACAGAAGAGGAAACATGTCAAAAAATTCTTATCACACAAACCTTAATTACTCTCATCCAATTACAGACAATAAACACATACCTCTAAATCATCTTTTATTCTAGTAAGGACTTCATTTACTAAAGTCATTAAATTTTCGTAGAGCTTCTCAGAATGTTGAAAACAAACACATTTGTACACGGCACTATAATCAAATAATGTTATTAAAACACTTGAACCAAAACACTGTTTATTCGTTTTTTTCCAACCTGTAGGTCTCTTCGTAAGATATTGGTATAAATTCCCCTGGTTTTTGACGTAAAATAATGTGAATAGCAGCCCGCAATTTAGGCCAATACTCTTTGTAATAATCTTCGTCACTGATTCTTGTATTACTCGCCAAGGCTAACATCTTCAGACCACATGCTTTGAGCTCATGACTTATTGACCTAGTTTGACATTTTACCTATTACTTTTCGTAAAGCTCGGTGTCCAACGTGAATATTTCAGTTTTGCTCATAGCTAATATTTTAAAACAAAATATAAATTATAATCAAGACATTTTAAACTTTTTACTGTACTAATGTACTTTACGTTAAATTCCGACTATTTCCGGAACTCAACGATAGTTATGTTATGCTAAGCAACTAGGTACTTATATAAACAATAACAGGCCCTGTCTCTTTCTTCTATCTTCGTTTGTTTTACTGACTGCATTGAACGATGTACAAGAAAATGATTTCGACTCCGTTACCGGGCACTCCATCAATGCTTCCGAACAATCTTACAGTTCATAAAATCAATAAAATTTCTCTTGGTGTTGTTCATTCATCTGTAGTTTGTTTGAATATAGTTGGAGCAAATGGCTCTCCTCCTCAGCAAAAACAGATTGCATGCAAAGGAGAGAATTATGTAAAAAAATTAACAATAATGCAGGTAGCTATGCACTCATTTGTTCAATAGAAAAGTTGTCTTTGTTTTTTATAAATGTTTGTGCAATTAACGAAAAAGCCTCAAGCAAAACAACTGACAGCAGCGCATGTTTTCACTAAATAGCTTGAAATGTTAAATGTGTGTATTTTTTAAGTAATGACAAGTATGCCAAAATGAACAAGGCTCTAAGATAACTTTTTAAAAATACTGAAAACACATTAGTTTATAGTCAACGAAAGTCAACGAAACTAATTAATTTACAATTTTTATCTGTGTTATGGAAACCTCACCCGTTGATTTTTAGGAAAGATGCAGGTTTTGGTAATGAATTTTTTACTTGCTTTAGGCTAAGTGGTGTAGTGTATCTGATAGGGCTCTTTTGGTGGCTGCAACAATTCAAGGACTTCAGGTACAATAATTTGTAGAGAGCAAGATGTTGGTTATATATGTCTAGCTAACCGCTACATATTTTCTTTCTTTGAAGATATTTGAAGAGGATGGTTCCGAAATGATATTTGAGCATTTAATCAAACGATCCCAGGAGAAGAATTGTAAGTTTCAAGATTTTGTAAAATGTCTGCTAGAAAATTGCAGGATTGAACACTTAATCTATTTAAAGCAACTTTGCCCTTCACAAGAGGAATATGCGATGCTTTGAATCAATTTATTTGTATTGGTAAGCTGTTATTGTTATGTTTAACTTATTTGAAATGACTGATCAAATCAAGTGAACTGAAGGGATGTTTTTTAGGAACAAGCACAGGATCAATTTTGGTGTTTGATATTCCACGTCAAGGAAATGAAATAAAACTTCATGATACGCTAACATCCCATAGAGTAGGAATAACAGATCTATACAGCATAATGGACAAAATGACATCATGTGACGAAGATGGAAATATTACGATATGGCAATGTGATGTGAAAACCACAAAATTAAATGAAATCCGTGGTTCTGGGTAAGGTTTTCTATTTTCTTTAATTAAATTGATGGGGACCAGTGTTTGATTGGTCATTTGTTTATATTATTTTTTTAGAGTACCATGTATGAGTGTTGTTATGTCAAATACTTTTATCATCGCTGGATTTAGTTCTGGTCATATTCGTATGTATGATTTAAAGCATGCAGTCTTGAAAATAGAAATTTGTGCCCATGCAAGATGCATAAATTCACTAGATATAGCCTTACATGGTGGAATGGTATGTTAAACTAGTTTTATAATATTAATTTATTGTTGAATATGTGATTTAGTGTCAACATGTTTTTACTTGCGCATTTAGTTGTTGTCAGTAAGTGAAGATACATTTGTTAGAGTTTGGCATTTACCAAAAGCTTCTTCAAATAAGGTATGCGCTTAAGTCTTTGTGAGATTTTGAAATGGATTTTTCATTTAATCCATCTCTTCTTTAGATTGATTTGGCATTTGAAACTTCAGTAACCGACAGTCAGTTATGTGGTGGGCGTTTTTTTGATAATTCGGGTGAAATGTTTGGAGTTAGTGCTTATGACCTTCGTGAAATTGTAGTCTTTAAAAGACATTAAATAATCCACCATCCACATAATAATACTTTTCAAGTAATCTTTTGTTCACATCAAGAAAAAGAAATTAATGAGAGTTGCATTGCTGTAAAACTACATATTGTGATATACGTAATCTGGATGTATATAATTAATATATGTTATTTTGTATTACCTGAGCAATGTGAAGTTAAGAATCAGCTAAGTTATAATAAACTGGTTTTTAATATCAGAGCAAATGTGAATATGTTACATATTCTTTTAAACGGTTCTTTACTTGGATTTTTCAACTGAAGATCCACTTCTCATTTTCACCAGACCCCAGATGGCCAAATAGCTGCCCCAAACAGCAAATGCAACCTAGAAGTGGAAAAAACAAAAAATAAAAACAGGATCATAATGAATCATCAGTTGAGCGAAACCCTTGAGTTGCTTTTGCATTGAAAATTTTTCAAAAGCCACAACAAGAGCTTGAAAATTATTTGCATTTACAGAATGTTCAGGCCATATCTTTATGATTTCTACATGAATTTCTATTTTATGGTTTGATTTCACCATTTATACTACACCAATATCAAATGATTCAAACTATCAAATGATCAAAGTCAAATATATAACTATCTTATAAACCTACAGAACATTTGGTGAAGCGTTCACAATCTAAATATTTCTCTGTTTGGTGAAAAGTTAGTCTCCATTGTCGGTAGACAGGATGAAAAGACGACATAAGTATTTTTAAGTATCGTTAAATAAGAAATGTACATATTATTTTAAATTGTCAACTTACATTTCTTCGTCCTTTCACTGTCACGTTATTGAAATATATTTGCCAGCCTTTCAAATTAGCCCCTTCAGTTCCACTGGCCATACTCTCCGTTGAAAACAAGTGCTAAAAGATCATCAAATGTAGTTTCATTAAAAAAATTCACAGTTCAATCAAAGTAAAGAAAAATATAAGTCTTCAATACAAAAAACTCACTTGTTAACGACTGAAAAATTAAATTTTAAATACAGAAAAGACAAAAAAAGATAATGGCGTCTATATTCGTCCCAGGCCTCCGCACAAATCTTTATTGGAACTTGCCCAGCAGCAGTGGCAGTACCAGGTTTTAGGAATGCAGTACAATGGTCCAGGAAAGTATTCAAATATATACTTCGGGATAGACTCAACATATTTTACTTCAGGAGGTGAACCGAAAGACTTTTACAGCGTCGAGTACATAAGAAACTGTGCTTGTTTAAACGTAAGTGTTGACCAATTTGATTTTCACGAAAGGATAGTTGTATTGCTAAGGTCAGCCTGGGGGGACACGTGTTCACCTAAAAAATAATTGGACACTCATGAGTGAATTTTGAGAAAAGTAGTCTCATAATGCATCATTGAAAATTGAGAAATGAGCACGTGGTATTAACACTACTCTCACAGTCAGGAATTTAGGCAAATCCAATATCGTGAAGGGGGAGCGTTGTACATGCTGTACTACTAGTTTGCATAGCAATTGCAATTTCTGCCTACAGCCAAAAGGGTGAAAAAGTTTTTCTTTCTTGAAAATGTATAAAATCTACCAGATAAATTCAAGTGGAAAAGGATAAAACGGCAGTAGTGCTGTCGCATCATTGAACTTTAACGAGATGTTCGACATATTTGCTTGTAATTCCAAAAAATGCGCAAATATTGCATTACTTAACTAAATGACTTCGGTTATTGAAAATAACGCAGGCAATTACTGGATTAAAATTAATAATCAATAATCAACATACATAATGTCATTACGTGTACGATGCACAAATGTGGAGTGGTAAAACTGGGAATAAAAAACTGTTCATATCTTGTTTAAAGTTTTCAAAATGTTCACGATGCAGTCATACGATTTTCTGTTCCACCGACGTGAAGTAAATTTTCGTGTGCACTCCCCAAAAATTTTCTTTTGGCTTGTTCCCCCACTTACAAAATATTTACGACTAACATTTAGAAAGAATTTTAGCCATGAAAATAACACTTTTCAGACCAACTTCAATTTATTACTGACTGAAATAAAAAACCAGCATCACTCAAATTACACCTCATGCACTGCACTCGATGCAAAATATCATGTGTCACTACTAACCTTAGGTTGGAATTTGAAGTGTCAGCTTATAATTCTTTGTCGCTATGGATTATTGTTATAATTACATTATCTTTATCCAGGATACCCCGACATAAAAATTGAAGTCACTTTTATTGACGAGAGGACGAAGGTATAGTTACGGTAAACATTTGTGGACTATCCTGCGAAGATGGGATTTTTGGTAGCAAGCGAGAGGACTGAGGAGTAGGTATGGTGATTTCAGATGTAATGAATAAACGACTTTAAAGGAGTGTTTCTTTTCCTGTTCTTTACATTTTCTCAACTCTTCACACACATATAAATCTTGTCCAGTAATCTATTCAATTACGATGGTTGCTCATTAATGAAGAACATACACAAATTATTTGAATACTGGTATTGAAAAAATTAAACCAAACTAATTCGTGAATTTGTCTGTCAGCACTAACATGTTTGGTATTTGGTGCGAAAAACTAAATATTATTCTCACACAAAATGAACGTCTCATTGTAAAAAAATTGGATTAAAAACGTCACAAATGACAGTGAACTTTTAAGCTTAAATCACATGCACACTAGAACTAAATGTAAAACAACAGATCGTTCTTTAATTCTTTTCCGTACCGAACAGCAATTTCTTTAAGTATCAGCATTGTTTCGTCGTTGGCGATCTGAATTCCAAAACCTAAGCTCACTTCATATGCTAAGAAGATAAAAGATTAATTTGCAATCTTTGTTTCCTCTTTGCTACTGAATCAAGAGGTTGGCAGGGTAATTAATGGCAAAAGTTGCACGCGAATCCGAATGGTAACGTCGCAGAATACAACACAGAACTTTATCATCAAACTTACTACCTGACTCAAGTTTTGTTCACGCTATGAGAGGAAACAAAATATGGACTATAACAATTATGCTGGTCTGTAGCATTAGCTCCCTTAGAAGCACCTTACATCAACCATGTGATCCTGTACCATCACATCTTGTGAAGTTATATCGACGTTTAACCATCAAAAGGAAATATTCAATAAAAATAAGAAAGACTCAGGACTTGTCGAGTGAGTATGTATCAAATTGTATTTCGTTGAACATACTTTGCATGATCTAGAAGCCTGAGCATACATCATTTCATAGTTTAGAATATTGTTGGCATTTCCATACGGTCATAAATGAAGTTTTTCATGAAAAAGATCGTTGATGATTTCTGGTAGTAATTCTGCAAACAAAAGGTCCCACAAAGCAAGCACAAATTCTGTTGATTGACATTTCACAGAAACGTTTCGTATTTCATTAAAAGACAACTTATATTGGGAAATAATTGTGAACGAATAAGGTTTTCTACCATTACGCAATGGCTTATGGCACATTTGAATTTAAAACATTGATAAACATGAAAGTACATAAACACTTGGTTTTTTTCTGAGTTGAAATGAACTTTCGTGTTGTTGAAGAACATGATATTTTACCCATGAAATATTTTCTTAGCAGAGTCTCTAACGTCGTAAACATTGTGACATATCCGAACTCTAGCTCCTACTTACCCCCCTCCCCCCTCCTTTCATCAAAAACACTCCTACGCTCTTGCAGAGAGAACATTTAATACGATGTTGACAGTTGATATTCAAATAGTGACAGAAATATCCATCATGCAAGACAAAATTAGTGGTAGAGCAAACCCAGTTTAACCTATTGTTTTAGGCATTACCAACACAATATCTCAACATTCTCGTGTTCCATTTTCCGATATTAGAAAGATTACAGTAGTAAGAAAAAAAGTATAACAAGCTTAAGGCAAAAATCAAGAAGTAATATAAAAATCATAACAAGCTTATGAGAAAAATAAAGAACTCATAAAAAATATAACAAGCTTATGAGAAAAATCAATCAGAATGTCCGAAAGATTAGCGTGATGCTCTCAAATTAAAAAAAATCTTCCCAAATATATGTGAAACAAGTGAATAGTGAGCATTAGAAAGCAAGCGTACAGGTAGCTAGTTGTCACGAACTTTAAAGCTCGCTTCAAAGAACTAGGTTAATAACTGAGAAACGTCACAAGGACGTCCTTTCTTTCAAAAACATCTTTACCTCACGTATCCAAAGATCACTTAACGTCAACAAGCTAAGATACATGATTTTACAAACGCGCGTTTTGGTGGTAAAATTTATCTTTATGTAAGTAGAGGCATGTTCATCAAAGGTACTCTCCTAGTTCTGTATTTACAATTTAGTTCAATGGTTTTACCTAAAAAAATAAAAGTTATTGTAGTATTTATTATGTAAAGAACAAAACATTTCATTAGATCACTACACCTTTACACTGAGAACTTTTACAATAAAATCCGTTTCACCTTTTACAGATGTATCATGGAAGAATTCCAGCCTTCGTTTCTACTTCAATACATCCAGTTTGACGGAGGAAGTGAAGATACACAGCGCTGATCTCATTCTTCACAGAAGTCAAAGATCCTTCATACAAACATTATTTAACCAAAAACGTACAAACTCATTTTGAAGGATCTCAACACCAGTAGCGTGATATATAACCGAACGTTGGCAAATAATGGCAGACTTTGTCTTGTTAAGGACATAATACATATTGTTAAGCGATGGCAACAGTTCCCAGCCTCTAACAAAGGTCTTCTATTATCGATAAAAGATACTGGCTTTTACTCAACTACTTTACAAACATTTTACGCGAAGAAGAGTATATCAGTTCCAGCATTGGTTATGTTTATAAGCCCTGGAAATAATTTTCTCAAAAGATATAAATTAATACCTAGTGAACACGTTCAAATTCTCAAAACAAACTTTGGACTAAATTGATTATTGCTGAAAATATACAGCACGAAAGAGAAGTCGTTCTGCATTTCATGAAATTCACGAGATTTTCAGGAGAACTATGTTCTTCATACTTATATTTTCATACACGATCGATATGTGTCATCTGCAATACATTAAAGCCTTGAGCTTCATACTATAAAGAACAGTAAACATACTCGTCGACTATCATAAGAATAAACGAATGTTTACTTGTGTGAATACAATAGCATGTATTAGCATGGTCATGTATCGTTAATGTGACCCTGTGTTTTAATTTTTGTACAACGTAAGGAAACTGCTACCATTTTTCCTTGTATGGTAAATTGGACTTTTCCACGTCAAAACAAAACTTACACTACAATTTGCCTTTCGTCAACGATCCAGTTGTTTTAACAATTTTCATTTTTCTCGACACTAACTCCCGTCAACCTTCATGCATCGTAACGCAGATGAGATTGCAGTGATAAAACAGTAGAAATGCCTTACTTATTTTCATGGAAGTTCGTAGCTGTAGTGAGATTAGTGTATGAACCAAAATTATCAGTTTGTCTGTGCAGGCTCTCGGATATTTCATCCAGGTTCTCTCGCACTGTCAAAATATCACGCTGGCGTTGATCCTCAAATAAAAGAACCAAATGTTAGCTTTGTAAAAAAAAGATGAAGGCTCATTCTTTCATCATCGTACTTCGTCAATTAAATATGAAGGCAGTTTGAGCGGTGTGCTTGTAAATGCATGACGAAGATCGTGGCCAGTATTATTTAACACATTTCTAAAATCAACTTGGCGTTTTTTGAGCTATATAAAAGAGACAAAGACTGAAAAATTAATTCCACACCACACATTGCCAAGAATAATACACGCGATCTGTGAAATTCATATTGAATACGATAAAGTTAAATACATACTCTATCAAACTGTTTTCTCAGTCTTTGATTCTCGGCCTCCAACCTTTTTCTATAAAAAAAATATTTAATGTAAGTCATATACAAGACAACGAGAAAATGGTAAAAATTTACCGAACAGCTTCAGTTTCAGCCTTCGCCACATCTTCCTTTGCTTGTAAGATTTTCATGCTTTCCTTTATTTCCTTTATTTCATTTTTAGATTTCGCTCGTTTCTACAAATGAAGAAAATTTCATTCAACCGTTGTATGTCTGCTTTCCCCCTGTTCATAAGTTAACAGTTGTATCATCAACTAAATGAGCAAATATCATCTTTCAAATCACCATTTTATCATACAGTAAGCAGCGTTATTAATTACATCCCTACCTTCGTTAAAATTTCTATTTTTTTACCACATTTAACTTCATTCAACAATTTTTCCTCTTTTTGCTTTTGCACCTTCTCCAGTGACTTCTCTCTTCCATCAGCAATTTCCTAATAATGAAAATGATTTGTACACAAGACGATATGATTTTACACAAGAAAATATCATTGAAACATGAAAGAAATAGTATTAAAGTTAACTAAATAAAAAAGATGCGACTCAAAACTGCTAAAAATGAGTCGTTAAATAAAACATAAATAACAATCAAATGCATATCATCACAAACTTGTTTTTTTCTTTGTTCTTTTCGTGTTGTGTCTGAGCTTGTTGTAAATCAGATCGTGCAACGCCTATACATAAATAAATAACCGTAAGTCCATGAAATGTATTCAACAACGTGAAAGTTTTAAAAACGACGCAATAAGACTTTGAAATAAAGTAAAAAATTTTACTCTAAAATTCCTATCACTTGTTTTAATTCATCCACTGAGTTTCAACATGTTCATTTTTCTTCGAAATCTGCTTCTTTTTATAAAAAATATTATACTTCATGTATATTTTACCAATTTCATCATTTAATACATCCACCATGTTTTTTAATCTATCATTCGACGCCATTAACTGCTGTTCGCTGTTAAGTACACTACATAAGACAAACAAAAAAATTTAATTTACTAAGGTACATTTCCTATGATAAACACTGGTTTGCAGAATTCTTGACAAATTTCTTTTTAAAAAATGTATCAAAATCTGCACGAAAAATATGTCAAAGTTGGTTTACCTTTGCAGTTCTGTTTGAAGTTTTTGTTGTTTTTCTTTCATTTCTTGATTTTTTAACTTTTCCTGTCAAAAATAACAATGTTTTGACAATAATTGGCGCGATTCTCCCTACAACGCCAACAACTATTCCAAGAACACTCCCCGGGCAAAATAAACTCTCCCCAGGCCTAAAACATTCCCAAGGTCAACAATCCTCCCAAGGTCAAAAACTCTCTCCAAGTGAGCACCATTCCCCTGGTCAACAACCCTCCCCAGGTCGAAAACTCTCCCCAGGCCAACACCACTTCCATAGGTAACAAATCTCGACAGTTCAACATCAATGGACACTCCAACAACTATTCCCATGGCAACAACACCCACCTTTTCCAATTCATCGAAATAATTTTTGTGTTGTTTTACTTGAAGACGCAAGCTGGACGTTTCTGTCTCCAAAATGTCCTAAAAGTTGATAAGATACAGTAATATAACTAGTTTATATAACTAACTCCATTTATTGGCTGCATTTTGTCTTACCTTTATTTCATTAATGGACCTCAACTCCTCTTCAAGTTTGCGCACTTCATCGTGATGAGAAATCTTCTCTTCACCTTTTGTCCTTTAAAAAAAATGTTTATATTTAATAAGCACCACAGGTTTATCAACTCAAAACTATAGCAAAGAAATAAAAATTGCAGAATTTATCATGAAACAAAAAAAAACTGTAGTTGAAAAGCGAGGAACCTTTCCAACTCTGATATTGTCGCCTGTAATTCTAAATTGTCTTGTTCCATTTTATTTAATTTATCCCATTCTTTTTCTTTGACTGCCTGTTCACGTTTGCAAGTTTCCTTTTCCTAACAAAATAAATTTCTATACCATCAGGTCTGCGATTGGTTAAAACAAACATTATCCACACAGCATTCTTAACATCATACAATAAAAAGCCAACAATTCTTACCTTCTCTGTAACGATACTGTTCAGATGTTCAACGGTGTTGTCTAAAACAGTTACTTTATTTTTTAATGAATCGCATTCTAATTTCAAATGGTCTCTTTCTCGTTCTAAATCTCCTCTGCTCTTCGTCAACTCCATTTTAACATTTGACAACTCAACTCTGTGTTTATGTTCGCTCTCCTCGATTTTACTAAAGTCAACAATTTAAATGTCTATATATCCATGTGCATTTTATTGACAAATTATTAAATTCAAACCTTTTCAATGTATTTCGTTCTTTTTCAAGTTCGAAAACTTGCTCTGCAAAGTCGTCCTGAAACAACATTTTAAATAGAAAATGGATAGAAACGTACGTAGCTAAGTAAAACAAGAAAACGTACGTAGCTAAGTAAAACAAGAAAACGTACGTAGCTAAGTAAAACAAGAAAACGTACGTAGCTAAGTAAAACAAGAAAACGTACGTAGCTAAGTAAAACAAGAAAACGTACGTAGCTAAGTAAAACAAGAAAACGTACGTAGCTAAGTAAAACAAGAAAAAAGACATGCCTGCTGTTTTTCATTTATTTCTTTATCTTTCTGGAGACGTTCACATTGAGATTTCAACGACTCGACATTTGTCTAAATACATAAACTCCATGCAGCAATGTTCTACAAAACTTTTTTCCGCGTCTGTTTTTATTTGCTTCATACCTCTAACTCCTTGCAGTGAGACGTCGCCTCTACCAATTGACGGGCTTGAAGTTTAGAAACCTGTACGATGGTGAACGTCATCATGACGTAAACAATATACGTTAAAATGATTGGATGAAAGAAAACTTACATGATCAGATTGTAAACCGGCTGTTTCATGTTTCTCTCTCATTTCCTCTAGTTCGTGAATCAAACTTTTCACTTTAAGATTAAGCTTAAAATAGAAAATATATTATTTCAAAGAAATGATATTATATCATAAACGTTTACAAAAGTTATGATCCATGCTTTGCTAAAGGACAGTTCTATATTTTATTCTACAGTTATTTTAACAATAAGACATGTTGTTAAGAGGTGACAAAAGGAGGCATTCTAATGACCATTTAAATACCTGAGTATTTTCTCGCTGTAACACTCTCAAACGCTGTGTATCATTAACTTCTTCTTGTTTTTTTATAAGTTTGTCATGTTCTTGTTGCAAATTTTCAAGCTAGTGAAATAATATCATAGATTATGGTACTTATGGTTTGTTGATGGAATGTGTTAAATTTTTTACTATTGGTCAATGCTAGAACTATGCTTAAAGTTAGTTAAGATAGTGTGTTCAATTTTTTACCATTGCTCAATGCTAAAACTTCAGTCACCTGTGTTTGAAATTGAGCTCTTAGTTCTTCCATCATTCTCTGATATTGAATGTGTTCATGTTCGTACTCTGACTTTAAAAATGAGTAGTCATAGCGCATTTTGTTGTAATCACTAAATCAAACAACACAAACTGATGTTTATTTCATTATGTAGTTCAGTGAATAAAAAAGGGTTTTTTTAATCATTTTCCTGCCTTTTGCTTCTCTGTAATTCATTCTCTAACATTTCAACTCTCTGTTTAAAAAATAAATAGTAATTATTATATGATAATTTTATTATAAAATATTTTATATTTCATGATACCTTTCTATAAGGTTCTTCAATTTCACTTTGCAATCTCATTTTCCATATTTCCATTTTCTTAGGAGTCAGAACCTAAAGCAGACATACAATACCTTTCATCACAGGAAAAAAATCTAAAATTTCAACAATTATTAGTTTTACTTGTAATCGAAGCTCTTCACATTCCTGTATCTTGCTATCTTTCTCTGCTCTTGCTTTAGTGACAATCTCCTGACATTGACGTTGTACTTCTTTTATTTCTTCCTTTGCCTCAACAGCTGCTCGTTCACTGCGTTCATTTTGCTTTGAATGGGAAACATGGAAAAAGATTTTATGTTTATATTTCAGATAAATTTTTAGAGACAATACATACCTCTTGGAGCTGAATGTGCTCAGCCTTCAACATCTCATATGTCGTTTTCAGTTTTTCCATTCTCATACGTTGTTCTGTAATTACAGATTCTAGATTTCCAACTCTCTCGAGTTTTTCAAGAATTTCTGTCCCGGACAATTGTTTATCAGCTGCCATCGTTGTTAAATATTTCTTGGAGAATTTAATACTTCAATGTGAAGCTTGGATCGCTGTATACTAATTTTAAACTTCTTTTTGTATTAAACAAGATTCCCCTTGCACCACAAGATAGTTTCTTGAGCTTGAACTGCTTTTAACTTACAGCAAATGAAAGCAAAACAAATGAGAAAATAGACGATCAAAGATGTATCAGATAGCACTCACGTACAAATCGACAAGCACCAAAGACGTGAAGCGCCTAAATCAGCATTAATTTTATTAAAAGACAGGTGCTGCACCAAAATTTTGGAAAGAATTCAACACATTTTCGTTAAGTTTGTATTGTTTAAATCTTAAATATAAATCTGCCGCCTTTGATGTCTTGACAACGGCAGTCATTGACGCCAGCATTAAATCGGTCAGCAGTATACACAATAAGCATGTTTCCTTCGAGCCTCTCCTAGACAAAACCACAACAACTTTATCTTTCCGCAGACTTACGTTCAGTCGTGAATCTTTTATGAGTACCGCCAATTCATCCTAAATGTTGAAAGTTAATGTAATGAATTCACAAGAGCCCACTGCCCGCCATCATATATTGGCTTCGTTGTAAACTCCTAGTCAAGTCCTTGTGCACTTTCTCAGAAATCTTCTCTTCACTTTTTCTAATTTATCATAAAAATAGCCATAGTTAAAAAGTGAGTTTTCTGACCTTTCGAAATCAGATTTTGTCGTCTGTAATTCTGAGTTTCTTTTGCTTAATTTTACTTAATTTGAACCCGGGATATCGTTACATGTTTGTAGATGTAGATCGTCCAGGTTGGTATAGTCCTGAGAAGGACAGAGTCATTTGACTTTGAAGATGACTACCGCTAAGGTTGTCGAAACGTCAGTCAACAACAACAAAAACAGTCCTTCTCAGGACTATACCAACCTGGACGATCTACATTTACAAACATTTACTTAATTTCTTCCCTTCCATTCTTTTAACTGCTTGTTCGTGCTTAACAGTTTTCATTCCTAACAAAATTCATTTCTGTACCATCAGGTCTGTAATTGGTTAAAACAAACATTATCCGCACAGAATTCTTAACATCATTCAATAAAAAGTCCACCATTCGTACCTTATCTAAAACAGCTATTTTTTTTTTAGGGAATCCAAAAAGTGTTTAAAGGAAGTACACTTTTAAGACAAAATCTAGCTATATTTACTACTGATATATGAGTTGATGTTTAGTACAGCACATCTACAACTTTTCCCTTCGTTTTTTAAAGTTTTGATGATCCAGTAAATTTGCCTGAAATCAACTGCACCTATTCTAAAAAAGATGGTTCTTTCCTTGATTTCGGTACTACTTTTACAGAAAACAATAGATGATTCCTGTGTACCTAGAATACCATCTACTATATATAATGACACCGTTTGCTCAGACTGTAACTATTCCACACAAATTTATTATAAAACACGTTAATCTCGCGTTGAAAACAGCAGTTCAACATACTAATAAAGACCAAATAGGCAAGCAGATTGTGGCAATAGCAATTTAAACTACCAACAACAGTTTAAAATACTATTCTTTCATCAACTGAACAAGCTACACTACCAAGCACATGATGGTTTTATAACACGATCAAACTTGAGCTTTATGTTAATTGTAACCAACTGATGTTTTCAGAAACCTTTTATCCAACACTAGATTAATTATGCTTATGCTCATGCTGATGATTGTGTCAGCATTGCTTTCCTTTGTATTTAGTTTTTGTACTTGTCCATACGATCAAGTTTACAAAAAAGAGAAACCCAGCTAGAGAAAAAATTTGCACGAATCTTCATTATGATAAAACCACCAAGAAATTTATTTGCGGGCATTTCTTAATTTTGTAACCCAAATCTGCCCCATAAAGGACAAATGATGTTTGAAAAGTGAAATCTGAACGGAAATAAGATCAAATGAAAATTTAATTAAACATAATTTGTTTCAATTTATTTATTGCTTTTTGATTTCCTGAGTCCAACCCACTAAATTTCTGATATACACAATCATTTAAAATGAAAACCGTTCATGATTTTATCTCTTTGTTCACGATAATCTTTATAATTGACAAGCCTTAATCCCCTGTCATAGTTCATACGTCAACTGACTGAATCAATTCATTACTGCATGTAAAATCTTGATGGTAAATTTACTACATAAAGCCTAGTTTTCACTATCGACATAAGCACAAGCGATAATAAAGAAAAAGGATTTTCTTTCAATTTGTTTTTGTTCTACCTTATGCTTATGTAAAGTCGCGGTGCTTATGCTTGTGTCAGTCTCTTCGTCTCCTTTGTTATGTCGCTAGTGAAAACCAGGCTTCAATAAACTTATGAAAATGAACGACAGAGGCAATGCTGTTAAAAATTTAGTGTATGTCCAAACTACATTTTACTGTATTTATAAAACTTAAATTTTCCAAGAAGTAAAAATTATTGAAATTTTATTTTCATCAAAACATCTTCAAACATAGACTCAACGATTAAAATAAAATCAACAAAACCACCATGATGGAAGATTTTCAACATGCAGAAACAACATTTAATAACATATTATGTTGAAAAAATCGACACAGGACAACTTCTTATTGCTAGTCAATGGAATTAAAAACTTTTACGCAAAAATTTAGCTACACTGGCTAAAACGAAGAAAATTTCTTTCCAAAATATTTTTGGCACGAAACAAAGGATCCAAAAATCTTCAGTCAATGTCCAAATGTTGTTTACACAGTAATTACTTGCAAAGCACAGCATTATTAATAGATTTTTAATAGATTTGAACGGATTTGAAAGGTAATGTATGTGTTATATATAATTTGGTGAAAAACGTGGATTCCCCAAGTTAGAAGACAGGAAACTGAGATTTATTGTAAGTAAAAATAAGATTGTGTTTGATGCAATGTGTCCTAAAGAAAAACTTTCATGCATAGATAACTGATGGCATCTTGGTGTTTTGTTAAACGAAATGAAAATAAGATAGATGGTAGCATTTAGGGATTAAATACTCCTGAGATGGAGTCCATGTTTTATCTACTTGTCAAGGTGTTGAATGTTTATAAGCATGACAGTTAAAGCGTGGGTTGTTAAGTTTCAGTGCTTTATTCAGAGTTGGGAAGTGTGTGTCGAAGAAGGAAAAAAAACATGAATGATGAACGTATGAAAAGAAGTTCAAAGACGAACGACCAAGACAATTATAATTTACAATGGTTTTATCCATCTTATCAACTACATCAAACTGCTATGTATCCGATACCACATTCAATACCAAGTTTTACTTTCTCTATGAGAGAAAATAAGAATGAAGAGCAGCCATTCAAATCTTTCACAATAGAAAGTATTCTACGACGTCCACATCCCAACCATTACGTCACTCCCAACAACTCATTCTGTATAAACACCAATTGTTTTGGTATGACTCAGTATACGCCATACTTCAGCTATGGAGGATATTGGACCTCGCCTTTCTCTCACAACTTCACAGGTAGAATAAAATGTTTTGGAAGATTTTTATTGGAAAATAGACTGACAGGATTGAAAAAATTTCTCATAAGACCGAAGGAAAGTTTACGATAAATAAGAGTGGGCAAAGAAACAACAGAAAATGAACTCTTAAATTTTTTTGCAAAGTTAAATAAATTAACACAGCTGTATTATGTGTAACTGAAATAGCCATGTTGTAATTTAGTGCCCAATACATGATATTTTTTCATGTAAAGTCTGAAAAAAATACATGTATAATATGTTTGCATTGTCCAACCCAAATTCTTCAACAAAAATGTTGACATTACTTTAATCGGCTGTTAAGATTTGAGTGGCTTTTTAATTAATTTGCGTGTACATCCCACTATATTATTTACTCTATTAATCCCGCTTGATTTCAGATCGAGTTGTCCATATTGGCACCTGTCATTGGGATAAAAGATATTAAATTAATGATTTTGTAAAGACCCGCATAGATTTTACGCTCAACGCTGCCTCAATGTAAAGGCAGCCAAAAAAGAGAATTATAGAAAGTAAATCGAAATTATGAAGAAAAGTTTAAAAAAGTACATTGCTTCTATTTAGATCCAAGACGCAAGGAATTTTACTCGGAGAGAGAGATTCTGAGAAGGCGAAACAGCCGACCTACGTTCAGCGGTCGTCAGGTGTATTTGTTGGAAAAAGCATTTCAGCACACGAAATACCTTGCAGGTCCAGAGAGAGCTCAACTAGCGTACACACTGCACATGTCTGAGAGCCAAGTTAAGGTTTGGTTTCAAAATCGACGAACAAAATGGAGAAAAATGAACGCCCCAGTAAATACATCAACAAAAGAAAATGATCGAGGGGAATCAGTGCCTCGCGATGAAAATGAAAAGGAAATGAGCCGGAAAGGAGAGATGATTTAGTGTAAATATGACTGGAGATAACTAAACGGAATGTTGAATCAAAAAATGGAAATACTTCCAACAATGTACATCATGAATGCAATGTTTAGTCTCAAAAATATAAAACTGTGTTCATATATTTATGTTGTCCTATATCAATGACATCTCTATTCCTGTCTTCATAAAACTACGACAGATCAAATCCTGCTCCTTCGTATGATATACGAAGCATATGAAAAATTTGCCGAGGATCTACGATACTTGTGATTTGTTTGATTGAAGGTTTATAAATTTGACCGTTTATAAATTCCACAAGGATCAATTTAATACAATCACGTATTAGTTAGCAACCAAACTAATGACAAAATGTCTCTCAATACATGACTCGTGGTGAAGACAAAAAAATTGCAAAATATTGAATCTCACTAAAATTGTCGTCAAGATGTGAGTGTGTCATTCATGATATATATTTAAGTTTCGAGAACTCTTCACGATAAAAAAATTCATGTTTATAACTGATTAACGTTGACCATATATAGTAATATATTAATTTTCAATGGTAACAGTATCTTTTTAAAATGTCCGACTTACATTGAACTTTTAAACTCTGAAGAATTCGCCCTTCATTCTTTAACATGTCCTTATCATTGTACTTTCAACATTTGTGCAAAATCTTCCTGCTTTTGTTGTCGTAGTTCTGGTTTCACTTTACTTCGTTTTAATTGTCCATCCCTTTAAGTTAAAAGAAAAAAATAATTTTCAAAGTGAGCTGCATATTATCGACATAAAAACATAACGAAAAGATGTTAGAGTATACCATATTAAATCGACCAAACCCCCCTGTCTGGCAATGTCAGCTTTAACTCTATTGGCCAGTTCAATAGCCGTTTCTCCCTCCTGTCGCTGTACGGGGGGTAAATACCAAATATCACAAACCAAAGCCCAACTTGACATTATATCCAAGAGATAATGAACCAGAGAGTATTGACTTGAATTCCAGAAGGCATTTGAGAACAATGGATCATACTGCAATCAAAATGAAAGAGAAATACTATGATACAAAAAACTGACATATGAAATGGCATAAACAAAAACGTGAACTTAAATGAATCTTCTCTCCAGTTTTGATAGAAAATTTTTGCAAGTTTTAAGTCTTAACATAACGCTTACTCGAATAAAAATCCTGCAGAAATGCGCAACTATGTATTAAAGCAATATGCAGAGTATAGTTAAACCTTTATAGCAACAGGAATATGTAGAGTATAGTTAAACCTTTATAGCAACAGGAATATGTAGAGTATAGTTAAACCTTTATGTAGAGTATAGTTAAACATAGCAACAGGAATATGTAGAGTATAGTTAAACCTTTATAGCAACAGGAATATGTAGAGTATAGTTAAACCTTTATAGCAACAGGAATATGTAGAGTATAGTTAAACCTTTATAGCAACAGCAATATGTAGAGTATAGTTAAACCTTTATAGCAACAGGATATATAATCCCACCAATTTCAAAACTTCCTTTCTTGAACATCATAACTGAAGTATTATTTATGCAAGTTCCTTTGGATAAGAAAGAACATAGCGATGCAACGGATGTAAATTTTACCAATATAATTTCACTGCAGTCATTTTACCCTCGGGGAAAATTAATATCGGATCCTTTTCGGAGTCTTCAACATGCTCACGAAGCCTATTGAAATGAGAAGGAAATTCGCAACAATATGAGATGACGAAAGATTTGAAATCAAGCTCGTTCCCAGGACTTTTCTTCGAAAATTATGAAAATGCATTTCCAGAGTCGATAATTAGGACGGATTACCTAAAGTTTTTATGCCACTTATGTTATAAAGTAAATGGTTTGAACCCGTGAGTATCGTTACATGTTTGTAGATGTAGATCGTGTAGATCGTGTAGATCGTGTAGATGTAGATCGTTACATGTTTGTAGATGTAGATCGTGTAGATCGTGTAGATGTAGATCGTGTAGATTGTAGATGTAGATCATTTTGACTCTGAAGATGACTACCGCTAAGGTTGTCGAAACGTCAGTCAACAACAACAAAAACAGTCCTTCTCAGGACCATACTAACCTGGACGATCTACATCTACAAACATAACACCTATGTTATGTAGGGTATTTGGGAGCAGCACATGGATCAACATGGATAATATGTACATAACGTGTACTTGATAGTATAACAATACACGTGAAAAGGTGCTTTAAGAAATTTTTTGTTTTATTTAATTCTAAAATACCTGTTTCACTGACGTTCAATTCATTCATAAAAGAAACAAAGTTGTTAAACAAAAATTGTAAATAAAGACCTTCTGGCGACAACAAGCCTGTCCTTCATTTCAGATCTCTCAAACCAAATATGATCTTGAGCTTTTGACAAAGATTTCTGCATAAAACCAAAAAGTCCACCTTGACTCTGTCCAACCTACATAAAAAAATTAAGTTTGGTCGAACGCAACATAAAAGCAACAGCTTCACAATTTTAGAAATAGATGTTTTTAAGTTGTTCCAGCAGTTTCATTCACTAAAATTAAGTTAACGCTTAAGTTGATCTTACCAATGAATAATTACCATCGCATGCTAACATAATAGCATCAATTGGTGACGTATGGTTGGCAACACAGGTCCCCCCTCCTTTAGCTTTATTTTCTCTGCAAACGTAAGCAGATCACCATTATCTTCAAATATGAAATTCAACGATGGAAAGCTTTGAGACAATATAAAAGTAGGTGACCTGTTGTGAAAATTGATGACCGCTGACAAACCGCGGGCGAGAATACGAAAGCCAATGGGCATTGATTTTCGCGCTAGAAGTTTCCTAAAACTAAATTTTCAATGGTGATAAGTTTTAACGATCTTACAATAAAGCAATAGGACCATCTTAAGATTCTTATCAGACAACTCACTTATTTTCAGGCATAAGGCCAATTAAGCTACCAGTGACAGCAATAAACAACACACCAATAATAGCGAGGGTTAGCCTACAATATGGAACAAGCATTTATTAAAGCGAAGCATAGAACAATTATTTTATGCTTCTCGTGAATGGAATGAAGACATATCTAGCTTGCTAGTGTCGAAAAAGACAAGTTAAAGACCAGGGAAATCTGGGCAGGTTTTTCCCCTGCTACACTGACATATAGCTACATTACAGAAAAAATCTTTACAAATGATCAAATAATGTGATTCATAAGTCAACAAAAGCATTTTTCAAATTAAAGGTCACTGTGAGTTTCCATTTCATTAATACATGTAGTTGTACGGTAACGTTCAATGAGCATGCGCAGTTACCAAATGGCTGCTAAATTAAACACCTTACTCTTGTAAGTAGATTAAGGCATGGTGATTAGGTTATAAAGTGATAAGCAATTGTAATGTTAGTTATGTCAGCGTTTGGTGAATTTAAAATTTAAAACAATTTTTTAGGTTTGTGCAAATACGACTTTTTGATGTTACATATGTCCCACATGAATAGTAAAAGAAGGCTTACCTCACTGGTAGAAATATTACATATCGTACAAACAAACCAATTGCCCAGATAATTGTAACTTTTAGTCTAGGAAAGATACATGGCAAGAATAAAACATAATTTATAAAAATAAGAGGAATAATTTATGACAAACCCCATGCTTTTTGATGTGTTATTCCTCATGAGAAGATTCCAATTTTCCAATTCTAAAAATCAAACAAAAAATCTATACATCAAATGCTCAAAAGTGACAAATATTTTGCTAAATTGATTTACCTTCTGCTGTAAACCTCTTTGTGACATCATCATCTATAATTGCCTAAAATAAAATGAAAACTTACATGAAAATTTAATATTTTGTACACTTGTAGCTCCTAATGTACCAAAGTAGCTCTTGATGTACCAGTAAAACATGCCATGTACCACAGTGTACAGTAGCTTCAAGTGTAAAACTTAAGTTCTTAATGTAACTCTTTTGCATCAAATGTACAAGTGAGACTTCTATCGTACCTCTGTGCCACCTCTGAGGAAGTCACATGCGTCTGTCAGTTTGAACTCACGTGTGAATGTTGCAAGAGATCGATTTCTTGGAATTTGGTTGCTTTTACTGCTATCGTCGACATCTTTCTCTATGAGAGCTATAGAAACAAATATTGTTTGAGAATGTATTATTGAAGAATGCATCAAAGTGATGGAATTAAATAAATGGGGACATACAATATTGATGATTAGGGTACTTAAGGGATATCAAAAACAGTACCTAATTTATTATTATGTATCATACCTACGTTATTTGACTCCATTGAGCTTCTTCCATACTGAATAACATAGAAAAGCGATTTATTGCATTGAATGTCAAAATTACAAACTTCATTCCACAAGAATGTTATTACAATACAAGCAAAAATATTGGAAATTTGACGAGGAGGGTTTTTCTTTAAAGTCCATAATTTTAGTAAATTTTGGTTCACAATACATGAGTCACAGGACTAAGATTTTGTAATAAATACCAGAAATACCGACCTCTAAAACGACACAAACAAAACATACCTTTATTACTTTAACAAGAAATCTTGTGTACCAACGCTTTACTCCTAATGACACGTTCAAAGCAGCAGGAATCACGATAAAAATAAAAAGAAATACAACGTAGACTGTCCACAAATAAAGAATGTACAAGCCAAGTCCATCCGCCATGTTGCATTTCTGCTAATTTCCATCAACCAAATTGACAGATGTGTCAATAATGAACAATGACTTTGCTTTGACATAATCAAAACGCAAATTCAATTTTTCTTGTGTTATATATTTAATAAGTATGCTAACTCTGAAGTACATAGCATAGGTATCCCGTATTCAGGTCTTCTACATCCCTACTGTTGCCAACATGAAAGATTTTGTAATTTTTCTATTGCGAAATACTCAATGCCAGCGTCTGACTACAATGAAAAAATGAACAGTGAATGAAACCAATATACGATTCAACCGATACTTTTTAAAGTTGGCAATCATCGGAATTTTGCTTAGGTATTTAAATATTACAAAAGAATTCTTCAATCTTCATGTGAAAGATGTTCCATGGTAACAGGCCAAAAATTCTTGGCCTACTTACAAAAACAGCTATCATAAACTTTAATCATCAAACCATTATTGATTTAAATGCGAGAAAATTCATCATTGTGTAACTGCCTTGCTATCTCCCGGAAACGGAAAATCACTTAAAGTGCGAGACTGTGGTTAATTTATCTTGTTTTCATAGTTTTAAACGACATCCCTATTTGTGAAACGAATATTGAATAAAACACATGCCAAGATTATTTCTTCGACCCAAATGCCCAATCTGTAGTTGGAAGTTTCCTTGTTTCTCTTCTCAAGACATAAAATAACCAGCAAAAATAAATAGTTCGATGGAAAAGGTACAAAAACAGCAAAACGATGCAGTTTGTACTCTTGCAATTAATTATAACACTGATATGCTAACGCAGGATATGCTAATTTTCTATCTACATGATCATTATTGAAGCACAAGTAAGAATAGGTGACATGGACTGACGCACAAAATTTTCAGCATCGATCTTCAAATGATGAACAGGTCAGAGAAAGGGATTGTTGTAAAATATAACAATAATATGGAGGATTTCCACGAGGATTTCGATAATGAAATCCAGCATAGAAGAGCGCATGACAAGAAATGAGAAATCGTGTTATGATGGGAAAATCTCTTATTTGAAAACTTGAATCAAAGTAAAGAACACCATAATTTGATAAATAAAAAACAAGTGTTGACAAACATAGTAGAAATTTTGCAAGATGACCATACACAAAGTGAAAGTATTACTGTGAACTAACTTGGCAGCAACATATTTTAAATACTGCATAAAACACAAGTTGAGATAAAATTTAGGCTATAAAGACATTCTATCAGCTATAATCGTTAATCGAAGTGGGTTATAAAGACAAAACAATGGCCTGTAGAGCATCGTTGTGTGCGGCATAGTGAAGACGCTATCAATCCTGCCTCGACAATCAGTTGATATGTAACGGCTGTGTATCCGTTGTAACTTATATAACCACGACATTATGCATCCAACGAAACCCTTTGCTGTTAAACCACAAGATAAATTTTAATTTTATTTGAAACCTAAACTTGTCTCACAAAGTGTCAACGATGACACAAGGCTGATGAAACGAGACCAAGACTAAATGCAGTTAACAGCAGAACGATGAACCGGTGTTGTCAAAACTAAATAAAGAATAAAGATCTGACAAAAGACAGATACATCGCTAATGGAAGAGAAATAGATAAGAATATTGAGCGTTGTGGACTATTCAATGCTTTTGATATGGTGATAGCGTAGATTAAATTGACCAATTTCCTCATAGATAACCAAAGATGAGCATAATCAAATGAAATGAAAACACGTTTGGTTTCCGTGATAAACAGTGATTTTTCAGACAATAAAGTATTCTTAACATCAAGTAGAAGTTCTCAAACCATCATCAAAATTAGGAATAACAGTTTAAACTGACTAAACCACTTAATGCATTATTATTGACGCATTTTTGTGATTGTCTTTCTCGTTAAAACGAATCTTATCAATAAGCTGAGCAATCCGAAACACAAAACCACAGCACAAAAGAGACAAAACTAAACAAATAAATAAGGCAAAATATGAAATAAAAATGTTGGAGAACCACCTCACTGAGTCGGCCTAACTTTAAACAAACTTGTGTTATTTCATGGGAGCATTGTGTTCAAATCCGATCAGATCAGACCAGTGAAAATTTGAATTCCATACTACAAGAATAAAATATTCTTTTAAAGAGAGGCGCACAATTCGGAAATCGTTCAAACACAAAAAACGACTCAGACAATCTTACTTCTTAAATCATTAAACGATAAACCAAAGTATTTGTGATAACATACAATACTCTTTATAAAACATTAAATTGCTCAAACCGTTGGATCATTAGTCGTCATGTTCGTCATGCATGTTTTATAAATACGCTTCCATTAAGTTGTCACAAAGACTTCAAGAAACGTGTTCATTATTTGATCATTTCAACTATTGCGTATACATCAAACGTCAGCGAATTATGTTACCATGTTAATCTCAGCGAGTGTTTACCTAGATACTGACATGTTTTATTCAATCCACTTGAAGAAGACTACCGCTTTTGTTTTCAAACGCAAAGCGCTTCATGCTAGGCCCAATCCGAAACCGCAATGTCAATTGAACATAGCCGAACGCTTATAACTTTAGAAGATTTTTACCTCCAGGAAGAAGCGCAACCGAAAAGAGATCGCTTGAAACACTCAACAGAGTGATGGTAGTTGTCAATCTTTAGCAATACATCACATAAGCACGTTCTTAGCTTAAATCATTTGTGCAATGTAGTTAAGTCGTGAGAATCGTTTCAGAGTGTTATAAAGACGGATGTTTAAGTACATTAAAATGTATGAACAATTGATAAACCTTTCCTGAATTTCCATGTTTTCAATCTAAATACTCCTTCTTAACAAATCTTTTTGCTCATCTACACTTTTTTATGTTTTAAATTTTATCGTGGTTTGCTTTATCTATCGCTTTGCTGGTCAAATCATATCAGCCACAACTTATTTTTGGTTTGTCTGGACAGTGCTTATGACACTTAAGAGTTTGAATGTTGTTTTAGAGACCGTATATCCACGCTGTAAAAACTTATGCTTGATTAAAAAGGCGACTATGCGTCGCCATGAACAGAACGCTGACAAATCAGTTGTATTATATGCGGTCTTCAACCATGTAATCGTCAAAGTTTCCCAAGCAAGTTTGCTTTAGCAAATCTGCTTGGAAACACAAAAATTTCTAAGCGCGCCGACGGTTCAATTCATGACATTGAGGGATGACATAGTCGCCTCGAACCGCAGGTGACCTGGTCAATTTAGTTAACCTACTTTTGACCCAAGTAGGAAGTTAGTGAGGAGGCATGTAGATTTAAGTAAACCAACAAAATGAATACCAAGATATTTACACCACATGGACAAGCAAACAAATATCGACATGTTTAATTTGGATAGTTTTATTGATGACAGTTGTGTGTTGCTTCACAGATGGACCGACTAAAGATCGCATGTGTGTATGATAATATTGGGATGAGTTAATGGCTTGCCCCTGAAGCTAGCAAGATGTTACAGGAAAATAGAAGATTTGTAAAAAGACTCTTCGTTTATTGGATCCAGATCATTATAGAGCACTAATTAGCAAATTTAATGAGTTCATTAAGATCCGTTTCTATCTGTTATTCATTTAGAAAAATATGAAATATTATTATCTACATTAACTAACTTATTTAGTCGTTATTGAAACACTAAATACATGAAAGCATAGTTTAGTTTGAAATGCCAATCTATCAAAAGATGATCATCTTTATAGCTGATACACTTCAAAATAATTCAAACAAAACAAGACCACAATTCAATTGTAGCTAGTACTTCAGTAAAAACTTTAAAAGCACTGTGTTAACTATAGTAGTGGTATTTGTGAGGTTATAACTTGGTTAACGACTTTTATACTTTGAATTTTTAAAATGATATGTTAGTGCGCTGGTTTTAACACGGATACTAAACAGACCACTTGAATGAAAAGCCGCTTTTTGACTCCAACCTTAACAAGGATGACATTGATGAATAATAAACAAAAAACCTTGTGGCGCCACGTTGTTCAAAGTGGAGTTATAATGTCCGTAGGAAGTAAAGATTGTTTATACTTACTAACACACTTCTAACAATTGGACGAATATGTTCACTTGAATACCGAGAATTGACATTCATTATATCTTTTTGTTATTTTTTATCTCTTGAAAACGTTTTAAGTCAACTTAAGAATGCAAAACCACATTGTCTAAAACAAACAATAAATGTAAAAAATTTTCACCAGGAGCATCTAGTTCTCCTCTCGCGCATCCCACATATATGACCGCTCAAAGTTTAACACATATTTGGACGTTGACAAAATTTTTAAGCATAACTAAACATGCTTATGAATACATTTCAGATCAAGGTAAAACACGTCAGCTTATAGAAGAATGCGCAAAAAACATTTGTAATCGAACAACGATATTATCTTGAGACGTTAATCGCATAACTGCACGTCCAAATACTTTCAGTTGTCGGAGAAAACATTGTCAAAGTCATACATGTTAAACTGGAATCGGAACTTTCTCCCTAACATGCACTGAGGGAGTTTATTTTTTGATTAGCAGCACATGGATAGAGATAATTTTTCAAGATAAAAATTGAGTATGAAAACGAAGGGTTTTCCAAAGAATGTCGCGACGAGTCATTCAGTGATCTTGAGCTCGTGTTTCAATGAATATAGGAATTCACGCGTTTGTCGGTGAACGGTAAGACAAGATGGTAAAAAAAAGATTCACTTTTTATTTTCTTTCTAGACGCGCTAATATAAGACGCGCATTACAAAACAGTTTTGCTTCATTTGTACACGCCTTCTTATTGATTGCCTGTATATTCATTACCCAATTAATTAATTGATATCACGTTTTTCTCACAAATGTTTTTGATAATGTCGATATCGTCTAAATTCAGCAAGATTTGCCATTGTAAATCACATTTGATTTATAAAAATGAACGAGTAAGCTACAGTTGACACTTTCATAAAGATATCACTGCTGCAAACACTTGGCAGGCGTCAACTATTGACATTATATTCACTTGATATTACATTAGAAAAGTACGATCAACGAGAACGGCTTCATTTTTCTACTGTACATGATTCGATCCCATTTGTTGAAGCAGAGTTTGTGAACACGCCCCCTCCTCTTTATTAACAACGATATTCGTTGTTCAGTGACATGTTCATGCAATTTATACAGCATTGACAATGACGAACAAATAACTAATATTTATACCAGTAATATATATGAAAATGATTACGACTTCCGAGAAGTGATAATTGGCTCAGCTTATTCGGTATTTTAACGCAATTTAACAAAGTATTGCGTTTAGCGAAATGATTTTGATTGTCATTCTTCAACAGCTTTATGCGTGACAACGTTATTAGAGCACATCGATGGAAGGATTGTTCAAGTTTGAATGCGGCCGTAAATGTTCTTGTAAAGTACACTATGATGACACAGTATGTACGTTTAACATGCAATAGTGAGCAATTAGGCCACAACCTTCTCTACGGGATACTGATAAGCATTCAAAAATTGGGCGTTTATCACCATATGGCTTTGGTATTTCCTTAAAAGGTACGTATTCCTATTGGTTCAGCCGACGACAACTCATTAAGCTGAATACTCAACCAACAAAGGAATGCGACAGTCTGTTTCTTATCACATACAGAGAGGAGTACCACCCCCCCGTCATGCCCCTTTGCCGCGACAATGTGTTTGGATCAACACATTTTATAGCGTTGCTCCGGAAGCTTAGAGTCCATTCGACACATCTTAGTGAAGCAGAAAACTTGTCAATATGCAGTCTGGTGAATGGAGATATGATGCAAATTGTAGCAACTATATTTCACAGCATCAACCATCAACAGCATTCTGTATTGACAATATACTTGGAAAACCTTCTGTGAGCACAGAACCGCAAAATCCAGGCACCTCTTCACCATATAACATGGAACAAGCAAGACTTCACAATTCATATAGAACAGCAAGTTATCCATTGGTGTTACCACCAAGAGCTTACCACAATCCTTTCATTACCTACCAAAGACATCATCCCTATGCAATGCCAATGACATACAACATACAAGCACCAATGATTCCCAGTATTTATGATGCATTTCAAGATCCTATGGGTAAGTACCTTCGTTCTTTCAACCAGATTAGTTGAATACTTTTTGACACGAAATAAATAAGAAAAAAGCAAAGTACATCACTTCTGCCCAACATCTATTGAAACAAGACAATGCCCTCTATATACCTGATTATTTGCAAAAGCAGTGATTCTAGACGTGCTTTTTTAACAAGCAAGCAATAACTAACAAAAAGTTTCAGTCTTTTTCTTTTGTTGTGCCACATTAAGCACAGGAAAAGCTAAGACCAAACAGGATAAGGGAATATAATATTAGATCACAAAATCCTTTGAAGTATTTACAAATCTCAGCTTGTATCTTTTAAAATCCTTCTTGGTGACTGCGAATAGTACGACGAGAAACATTAGAAACTTGTAGAAACATTAAATAATTTTCTACAAATGTTACGTGAATTAGCCATTTTTTTAATTCGTATTAAGAGAACAAGCCAATTGCCGTAAGATGATTGACGATAGTGCGCTTTAAACAATAATGTAAGCATCCTCTATTTCATGTAGCATATTTGTTTTAATGTTTATAGTATTTGATTATAATTCGAATTGATAGCTTTTAAACACAAGCAATGTTTTGTTTATAAAACAGTGAATGCTTAATCTTCGCATCATACACATGTAATGCAATTTAATGTGTACTGATTCTTTCATATCGTCGTTTTCACGCCGTGAAAATGCCGCCGCGAGAAAGCTCTAATGCAATTCACACGTATTATGTAGACTGCAGATTGTTGAAGACGTTATACATAGTGAGAAATGTAACACTTGTATGATACAATTTAAAACACGAGGATAAAGAACGACCGACAGGGCATATAATATGGCTGGAGCACAACGTATTGACGACGGTCATCTTTTTCTATGACTCCTGACATTGAAGCACTACATTTGGGGCAAATTTTCCACGCATTCAAATACACATATTGTTTGAGAGGCAGCTTGCTATATAAGACGCGCATTTTACAATTATTTATCACACGATTCAGTATTGAAGAACGCTTTTGCAAAATTGCTAAAACTCGTCGACTTTGCTTGTTTTTGGTCATGCTATATAAAGTTAACTACGATGTCTATATTACGCAAATATTTAATAAGATGTAGATAGGTTTATAGCTTAAATGTCCGTCAATTTTTTTAAAGCCAGAGAGTTAAGAACAGGCATCATCGTTCATCGGATGTATTCTCACCTATTTATGAGTATAAAGCGATTTCTACATAAAGCTTAGCAAGGACGTTCCTCGATAAGAATTTTCCTTATAAGTCTGTTAATAAATGTCTACATGAAGCTAATCCAAAGCCCAAGACCCAAAAATATTTTCATAATCTTCACAGCGAAATACGTACCAGCAAACTGAGACAAGAAACTTCACAACTTTTTATAATTATTTTAACCTTAAACATATGTTTCGATAATTTCCTATAAAGGAGAATATCACAATCATAGAATATTTTGTTGTCCTAAAATTCAGCAAGAGAAACACCAGGGAAATAGAATACAGTGTTCGTTGGACGTTTGCATGCATGCTAGGAAGTTAAGTGTTCAAAGTTCAAAAGTATTTTCCATTCAATAGCACTTAAGCATCGTTTCTTTGGCAAGTTGTTGCCGGAAAATGAAGAATTTACTCATTTCATATTCCTGTATGTCCGTCATACAACCTCCCTGGCTTATAAAAAACGTAGGTTGTAATAAAGTAAATTTCCGCTGTATACATCCATTGAAGTCATATGAATGAAAACACTTCAACGATACACAATACAGACTATTAGCAAAGATGATGAACGCATTCATCATTTTATTGATAGATGATTTTCCCATGGTTTCAAATTTCTTACAAGCCCGTGGTTTATCATCGTTTCATAGGAAGTTTGAGTTAACACCATTGAACACAAATTGTTTGCCTTGTGAAATTCTTAACATTGCATTATGTTGTTGAAAAAAACTTGAAATTCAAAACAACATATAATTTCTGTTCTTTAACAATGTCGTTGATTGAAGAGGATTAATTGAAACTACGTTGGCTGTGGGCAAATGGACTGCATAAAATTTGTGTAAACATCGTTATTCGTTGATCATGGATAACAATCAGAAGTTATACTGCATTCTTTACATCAGTGTTAAATATTTGATATGCATTGCAATAACTTGGAAAATAAAAAATATTTATAAATCGCAACAACAATTGTTTTGCTTCATTAAAAATAATTATTGATTTCCCATTTTACAGCTGTAGTGTGAATAAATATTGTCGTTTGAGCGTTGAACACACGTTAAGACTATTGTTTCAAGAAAATTATTGGCTAATGCTGTTTAGAAAAAATTACTTTAAGTTAGTATTTAATTCTCGCTTTATTTTCTAAGGATTGTGGAATTCTTTACTGGACAGACATCAACGAAAGAAAGGAGGTCAAGTTCGCTTTTCTAACGAGCAGACTGTCGAACTAGAAAAAACGTTCGAGAAACAGAAATATTTATCGCCACCGGAGCGAAAGCAGATCGCAAAGATGCTACAGCTCTCCGAGAGACAAATCAAAACTTGGTTTCAAAATAGAAGAGCCAAATGGCGACGTTTAAAACAAGAAGGAAAAACAAGTGAAGAGATTGATCAAAATACAGTCGAAAACAAACAAATCATCGACGCAGAAAAAGAAGACGATAAGAGAGACAACTAACTAGGGAAAATGTTTTCGTAAATATACCAACGAAAGTACTGTTTTTTGTTATTCTAAACAGATCTTGATTTCAAACCTGTTAAAAGCTTAGTAGTTTCGATGTATAATACTTTGTGGACAGTGTATAGTTATGAAGGAGTTATTCTTCGCTTACAACCATACAATACATACGTTTCAAAGTGGGATAGTATATTCCATTAAATGTTTTGGTCGATTAGATTTCGTACTGATACGTGGAAACATGAAGAACACTGTGTGAATTCTAATGTATACGATAAAAAGAACATTTAGTACTATTGATGAGATCATCAGTCGTCCTTAAAAACATTTCTTGGTTCTTATACAATGTTAAAGTGACGAATGAGATGATTCTATGGTAATAAGGGTTATCTTGAGTTTATGAAACAACGAGCTGGTCTCTATTGTCTTCATATTTGATGATGAATTTTATCGTTCATCGTCGCTTTAGACCCCAATGTAAATAATTGTTAATTAATTGTTACTTTTTTATATGTATTTTAATTTATATACTTTATACATTTGCTTTTGAAATCATTAAAATAATTTGTTGATATTATGTGCAACCGACTGTCTATACAAAGAGAAACGAATATGCGTGACAAGGAGAATTCCATTTCGCAAAAACAAAACATTTTTGAATCAAAACTTTTATTTAGCTACTTTAACGATAAACCAGATGGATTATCGTGACGTTCTTCTCTAATTAACGTAAAAAACATTTTTATAAAGCGCTTCAAATTTGTAAATATTAATTTCTGAAATTGGATTTACTACCCAACAACAGTGGATTGTGGCTATGTTTACTTGAACATCCGCTATTCCTTTATAACGTTTGAATTGAAGATATGTTTGAGTAAATAAGTGAATACCAAGCCAAATATTTAAACTTGTGATCAAACTTGAATTCTTTCAATATCATATGGCAAGCAAAATACCGCAGCATTAAAATTCTTGCCCCTGTATTTACTATTTAAAATATCTCACTCAGAATTTAACTAATACGTCAAATGTATACTGCACTAAAGCCAAGGGAAAAATAATAAATTTTAGATGAAACAATTATCTTTTTCTTAACATGTATAAAATCGAGTAATGAATAGTCGAGGATATGCAAAGTTTTCCCTTGCCTATAAACATTGTGCAACTTAACTTCTTTGAAGAGAGTTTAGAGGGAAACATGGTTTGTATACATAGGAAACATGAACAATGTTTTGCACATATAGTATGGTAAGGCATTCGCACAAACTGCAAGGATCTTGAAGCAAAAGTCAAGAGATTTAGTTTGGTGATAAAACGAAAGGCCCAAAATCCTTTTTAATGCCAAATAATAAAGTATTGATCGAAGGTGAAGCAAACAAAAAAATAAAATGGGTGTGTGTGGAATTTCTGATGAATTGCTTTGTGCTAATGGCGAGCGACAAAATAACTCTTACAAACAAGACTGATATCATTATTGTGGGCGTCCACACAATGTAAACACCTTACCATGAATTCTTACGATTGAAAAATGCACGGTGTTATCATCTCTAAAATAATTATCACCCAAATTTATCGAACTAATTTAATTCCACGGTTTTCTATCTGTTGGCGTTCATTTTGACATTAGCGCGCAGTTTATGATAATGTTAAGCATGCGCTCGAAGGGCTTAATGCACTTATAAAATGATTTCTATTTGTGCGTGGCAAGCTGTTGCGCAGTATTTGTGCCACGAATTTTTTATTAGACGTCAGTTTGTACACAATTTCATGGAAGAAAATTTAAAGGATGAAGTACAATATACGTGAAACAAACGCATAATTAACGAGGATAGATTTTGTATGAATATCCTTATGAAAAACTCAGTTTCGTGGTCGTTACAGCCGATAGCGTGCATGTAGTGACATATGTGGATGAAAGTAATACGGTCAATAGTGCAGAAGAGTAACAGGATCCTTCATGGGGGACTAAAAAGCACAAACAGCAGCTAACGAGCATGCCATGGTGTAATTATGTACAACTCTTTCCTGTTCTTTTCCTCTAATAACGTGCTCTCTTTATTGTTTTTGCTTACACTTGGATAATTTCTATGTAAATATATCATAATTCAATGTTTGAAAGCATTGTATTTTTATGCATGTGGTAACATTTTAAAAATGACATGCAAGGTTTTTATATTTCTACATGAATACATCCATATATATTTCTATTTCTAGTAAACTCTTTATAAAACAACTTTTTTTGAAATGGAAGAAACATTTCTATACGTGATCAATTACATAACTATTGTGTGCAACAGTTAAGCAGCGTTGATTTTAAACATCTCAGTTTTACCAAACACTCTAAAATTGCAATTCTTTCAGTTTATGAAACTAACGCATTTGAATTAATATCTTGACACATTCTATGCTCTTGCGTCAAACAACTAAAACACAGCGAACTCAATCTAATTGTTTTTGTATCCGCCTCTTTGCCAAAGGCATCAAGAATGTTTTCAAAAAGGTGTTAATAAAGAAGTAAGCTGTCTTGTGCCGCGTAATCGGGACAAGATCTATTTTCATCTGATCCACACCCAAGTTTTCACACTTTATGTTGCGGCCTGATCATGGTTTTACTGATTAGTAGGATTAAAATCAGTATTATGATTCTTTCAGTTCTGTCGCAGATGTTATCTTGAAACTCCCACAAAATCAATCACGTTACAGCAGACAGGCTTCCTAATTGAGTGAATTTACAATGTTTCGAGATAATTTTCCTTGTTTAAATGTTTAAATCTCGTACGAAAACCTCCCTACACTTCGAAGCAATATAAACCTATCTAATTATATTCACCCTATTTCTTCACTATCCGTCCCAATATAGAAAGAAATTAGACTTTAAAATGATTGTTTGCAAAGGCGCAAAATATGCAAAGTTTAAAGTGTGTTGAAAGTACACATAAGTTTCTCAAAATGTTTCAGAAACAAATCTATGACCAAAATTGGTTTATTACTGTGCGAAGTAACGAGATATTACTAAAAATGACGGCAGGTCGTAGCAACAATTAAGAAAAGCGGTAAATTGTATCGACCGATGAAAAACGCGTTGCTAGAGCAAATAACATTTTCCCGCAAAAGCATATTTCCTGTAAGGGATGAAAAGAGAGGATTAACCGAACTAATGCACTTTGACAAAAATTGTCATTATGACAATGAAAGGTATGTGCATCTTTACTTTGTCGGTTAAGATATGTTATTTTTAAAGTTCACTTCACCTAATGTAAACGATAATACGCCCAAGTACTCGAGACATCTGCTGTATGGCAAACAATACCAGGCTAAATAGGTATATTTATGTAATCATTACAGCACAGTTATAGTTAAGTAGGCAAATGAGAACAAGGAATGAAAATTCCTCTTAACATCACTGCAACATGATTATAATCTATGAATATAGGAATACATATCACATGACGAAAAAAAAACCAGCCAAAGACACGTTGTAGAAACGCACACAAGTATCTACAAGTTCGTGGCCGTATTCGTTATCGGTAAACTCTGATTTAAAAATTTTTATAAATAGGAGACGATGCAAAACACAGACAGAAAAAAACTATGCAACCATAAGGAAATGGGCTTTTTAGTGCTATCAAATCTATGGGCATATCAATTGCAATATCAGTGAAGAATATCTGCTTAATGTAGCGTTCGAACGATTAATAACACTTAGAAGATTTGGCTGAAAATAGCTGTGTAAAGGAAGCAATAATTTTATATATCACTCAATATTTACGCTTTATTGCTTTCAAGTAGCTAACGTATACGTAGGTATTAGGTGTCGAAATGTGACCCTTCTTTCTTTCCTGATTATTTATATTCTGGAAATGAAAACATACAACCCGTATAAAGCAAGCCACTCTAAAGATTCACAAATGTATAAATACGTAACATGACAAGGATGCGCAAAAATACGACGCACAAAATCAATTAGCAAAACTTTAAAGAAGACTAGAAAAATCTATCACAAAAAAAAACTTTATCTTTAACTAATCATTAACGACAGATGGTCTTAGCAAACCCACAATGTTCTGGAAGAACTTTCGACTCGATATACTTCTTTTATAACAGCATTGTGAGATAAAATGTTTCTTGCATACGTTGTTTTGTCGTGCATGTTGTATAACGTTATTCATCTCAACGAGAGTATGCAAATGATCTTTAAAAGCAGTGAGTAATGGAGCATTTCATAACTATTTAGGCAAAAAAGCATTGATTGGTCGAGCCAAAATACCTCAGTTACTAAACTCCCAACTGACGTAAGTTTGGGAGACAAGATGAATCAGAAATTATCTTTTAAAATCCTTTCGTTGACATTTTCCCATAAAATGTAGAAAAGAAATTCTCAGGACTATTGAGGATTTCACGTAAACGAGAAGCAATGGACTGAAGTGGCACGCCGTCAAAGAGCTGGAGACTGGGCACGAAAAAATGTTGACAACTGCCACTTGATGCACTTTTTTGGAAAAATGAGAGAAAGTCGAGGAATCTCGCACTCAGATTCTCTTTGTTCCACAGTGATGGATTTGTAATCATTGTGTTAAGATGAAGTATCATGATTTCTAGATGGTAAGGAGTTAAACCACAAGGATACGAAAGATAGTCTTCTAAAATGGTCTTTGCAATTTGCAAACACTGATTGCGGCAACCAACATTAGTAGAATTCAGCAATATTTTCTCTCCAGATAGAAACGATATACGCCATAGCAACGACGAATGTTCAAGAGAACTTTTTACATGTTCACAAGTTAAATGTATTCCAGCATTTATAATTTTCATTCTTGTTTCATCCTCTGGCCAACGGAACACAACTGTCTTCCACAGTGAAGCACAGTCTGGCCAAATGTCTTTAAAGTACAACGTTGGTATCAAATGGACAAAGATCGTCTCATCATTCAAACAAATATTTAAAACTAAACCATCTTCGTTGTTGTTGGTAAAATCAAACCAGATATTTGAAACGCTATCATTGCTTCTCTTTTTGCTCAGATCTTTAAGACATGCGCACAAGTATTCGCGTAGTTTCTCAGACGATAGAAAAAATCCTTGTTTTTTACCACCAACCATCAAATCCATCCAACACCTTTCTACCTTTTTCAGTTTTGCACTAACAAATGCAGCGCATTGATGTGAGTCAACGTCAACAAAGGAAAGCTTAGTCGAATCAAATTTCTTGAAAACCAAAAACACTTCCAATACATTCCTCTGACGAACACGGTAGAACGCGTTTGGAGACATTCGTTCAAATCTAAGACGCTTGTCGCGTCTTTTTAATTCTTTTAGCAAAGGATTTAACACGATTTCGATCGTTTGCAAGACATCACCATATCGCTTTAGATGAGATTTTGATCTTGTTTGAAAGTAATGACTCAACAAAACCTCAAGATTCATTGTTGGACAAGAAGATCACTTCATTTAACCAATTTGTTCCACTTCTACGGTAAGATTCTCCTTACTTCTAATTAGCGAAACGTTTTCATCATTGAAATATAATAAATCTAACTTCCCAGTTTCTAAGTTTGACATATTTTTCATCTTTAAGAGATTACATAAGGTAAACAGCAAGAATTTTTTATAGAAATTTAGCATAAATTATGGCGGACAAAATCAAACAAATGATTTGGCATGGACAATAAAACCAAAGTTTCCTTCATGTAAAATGTTCTTTTTCTCAGAAAAATTTAACACCAAGTACAAGATGAAATAGATTCAATGACAATGTAGCAAGCTGAAAATTTTGTGAAACGTTTGGGTATTATTTCATTTGAATGACAACATCGACAAGTAGATACACAATCGCATTTTTTAAACAAGAAAAATGATCTATTTTTAATATCAATATTGCCTATAAATAAACATAACTATAAAAACATATTAATTTTACCTAGACTAATGGCAATTCGCGCCAACTAACAGTGTACCTAAAACAGTTTTCTATAAACATTTTTAACATGGAGCTTCCTTGATTATTCTCTATAATTACAAATTCTGGAAACTTTCATTTTGAACACGAAAATAAACAATAAGCATAACTTAAAGTAAATTTGCATTAAACAAGAGCGTTTTTTATGGATTCTAATGCTAGTTAAGATCATTACAAATTCTAAGAGGATCAATTTCAAGAACTTCCTAACATATTAACATTTCTTGCTTTCCGGTTGCTGATCAAAGCTTTCTAGGTGCATCCAAATCATCGTTGACATTAGGATCAAGACCGTCATGCATCATTTTTACAAGTATCCTAGCAACATTTCTGGCATCATCAATACCACTGTGTGGACGACCTTCAAAACTCATTCCCATGCTCTCCAGCATTGACTCCAACGTTAATGGAGTGTCAAAGTCTTCAGCTTTGTAGTATCGTCTATAGTGTTTACGTACATTAATCCATTTCTTTGCATACTTTGGCATCGGATGGTCAGAAAGTGAGCATTGACCTTGAAGAAACTTTCCCATGTCCCATGGTCTAAATAAAATGGCTCGTTTTAAAGTAAATCGCGACCTTTATGTAGTTTAAAGGTTTAGTGGTACGAAGTTTAACGGAAGGTTCTGTGAAGCTTCCATAGACCTCTTCATCGACTATTCATCAAAAATCTCACTGCCATTTTCCTTTTGTAAAACATGTTTTCCTTTCCTTTAGTCTTCAAAGATGCTCAATAGAAATTTCACTGACGTTTAATAAACGCATTAAAAAGCTGTAAGGAAGCTTGTGTAAGGTATTGTGATGCAACCAAAACCAAACGTAACTCAAAAGTGCATATAAAAACATTTTTTAAATTCATCGTTCGCCATGATGTCTTCCTCCATATAAAAACATTTTTTTAAAATTCATCGTTCGCCATAATGTCTTCCTCCATATAAAAACATTTTTTTTAAATTCATCGTTCGCCATAATGTCTTCCTCCATATTTTTAAATTCATCGTTCGCCATAATGTCTTCCTCCATATAAAAACATTCATCCTTCGCCATAATGTCTTCCTCCATATAAAAACATCGCCATGATGTCTTCCTCCATATAAAAACATTTTTAAATTCATCGTTTGCCATAATGTCTTCCTCCATATAAAAACATTTTTCTTTAAAATTCATCGTTTGCCATGATGTCTTCCTCCATAGATCGCAAGAGATTTTTGGCAGTCAAAAAAAACGTTTGACTCAGAAAGATCAATGATGTGATTGTGTTCTTTGGAAAAAAAATACTTGAAAAACTAAATATCCTCACGTGCATAACCTACTCAATCATTTTACTCAAAGATGTGGAGTCGAGAGATTTCATTGGCTACACGTCAGCGTAATATAATTTTCGAGTATATTAAACTCGCTAGAAATACGTCATACAACGAAAGAAAGTTTTTGGTGACGTAATAGCACGGAAACAATTTGGCAAAAATGTGCTCTTTATAATACAGTGTTGTACCTTTTGGTTCCCCATCACACCTAAGTATTATGAATTCAGTAATTGCCACTTTATTATTAAGTTGACTTACTGCGATAGGAAACATTTTGTTTCTTTTGAACCTTTCCCTGTTTCTCTTGCCTCAGATATAAAAAACTCAATATCCTGTCATCAGTGCAGGCAAGCCAAGTATCTCTAGCATTTTCATTAGTATGAAAGTAGTGATATGATGGTACTTACCCATCTGTTGCTATGGAAAATGTTTTTTCAAGTCCCAGTGAATGTTTACTCAACCATTTTTCAAACTTTCCTAAGACTTCTGTGAAAGGTTCAGCAATATCTACAATCTCCTTCAAAGGAAAAATTACCATGTCAATGCAGTACTATGTGGGTCAATGCAGTACTATGTGGGTCCAGTACTATGTGGGTCAATGTAGTACAATATGGTTCATTTTCATTTAACAATAATACAAAACTAACTTGTGTTATTCCAGTGAGTTTCTGACAAAAATCAGACAACTTCGATTTCTTTAAAGGTCTGCAATATCTGTGAAACTCATCCTCCTATATGACAAACATAATTTTATAAAGAAAACAGCATTCTATGGTATCTGTGAAACTCATCCTCTTATATGACAAACATAATTTTATAAAGAAAACAACATTCTATGGTATCTGTGAACAGTAGAACAGCCAGTCTGCAGATTTCCTCTGGAGCCACCATATAAAGTAATTTCTGTAGTATTCTATTGTTCTCATGGTCAGTGAACACAAAATCATTTGTAGAGCTTGAGAACTTTATGGAGTCATACTAGCTATGCAACTACTGTCTGTGAAAGCATCTATACATCAATGTCTTGAAGAATTACATGGTAATGCCATGAATATTTTATAATTTTATATCGCAAGATAAACTTACTGTCTGTAATGTTCTTGCATTGACAAGTACAGCAGGAAACTCAATAATTTCATGTATGTATCCAATCTCGTTATTTTCCTCACAAGTTGCTTCAAAATCAATCACAACAAAATAATCGTGCCGTGAATTTAATGATGCATCTTTAGTTTTCTTCTCTTGTTCATGAAACTTTTGCTTCTTATAATGATTCTTCAACCGTCTACTTAAGACAGCTTTCACACCACTAAGATAAGAAAACAATTGTCTCAATGACTGATATCCATGCTTTTGGCACAATTATAGACTACTTTGCCCCAAACACTGCCAATGACAATCTGAAAACAGTTATTGTTAGGCACAAGGATAGTGAGGTATGCCTCAGGTGGATTTCTATAAATACTCCGTAGTTTCAACATAATTCATTATAAGAAACAGTAACTACTTCATGTTACATTTAACTCTGTAATGTACTGTGATGGATATTTGCAAATGACAAATACATGATTAGGTTGCACTAGTGCTATGAAAAATACCAGTCGGCTGAAAAAACTGTAATTATGTCTACGGTAAATTAGAAAAAAGCAATAGTTTACGTCAACTCTATTCTATTGTCCATTTCTGATTACCGATTATCTAACCCAAGTAATGTCAATTGCGCTTGTATTTCACTTTTTTTCATACGATTAATAGCGCCATTGACATTCGCCAGTTTCTCATCACGAAAAGCTTCCTTTAAAACCATTTGTCTATCAGACATAGTAATATTTGAACAAGAAGAAATGCTTTTCCTTTATCAAGTAATGTTCTGTTGTGATGTTGGGTCCACTGACCTGTGTACACAATACCTGGATGGAAAAAATCATCCGAATTATCATATACTTTATATGGCAAATTACCAATTACTCCGCTGGTATTATATAAAAATACCAGCGGAGTTGCAAAGGCTGTTCAAAGGTTTTTCTCCCCCTGATTTCATAAACCAACGCGATTATAGCACTTGCAAAATGTCAAAACTTTTTTTAAAAGGAAGCTTAGAGTGGAAATTTTCAAACATGGCTATCGTTATATTGACCAATGATAGAATCAAAAACATATTCCAAGAAGGATAATTTTCCTTATGACACTGTGATTCAATGAAAAGGAACTTAGAAGTCCAAAACGACCTTTTCAATTCATCCAAAGACCGAACCCTTTTTCTTTGACGTTAGTTGACTTTTTAAAGAAACCACCTAAAAAATGTAACAATAGAAAACCAAAAATGACGAAACGCATTTACTTTAATTATACCATTAATTATACCTGGCAAAATTAGAGAAAAATAGTAAATAATAATCTTTTATAGAAATATATTGACATAAACGAAAAATTTTCCACAATTTTTTCAAGTTTAGTTACACATACATACAGTTAACACGTACCATACTCAAAAATTTCTACTTGTGAATGAATGTGAACTAATCCTTCTACAGTCTCACAGAGAAGCAGCATTTTTCTCTGCTGGTCCTTGTACTATCCCTCGTCAGTAAAACTCATTAGAGTACTCTTTTCATAATACTCCATCTGTATATATAAAGATTGCAGAGTACACTTTGAATCTTCTTGCAAATCTCTTGTGGTGATTGCTTTCTCTTAACTTTCAAAACCAAATTCCTTGTCCTAAAGGGGAGACACTGGTAGTTATTTTTACATATCTTCAGCAACATCATGAGCAATTCCCACAACTATATACCACATTAGTCAACGACCTTCGAAGACCTTATTTATAAAACTTGTTAAATATCTTCCTTAACACTATTATTTTTACAAATTTTGTTCTCATGCAGCAATAAACAAGCCTGAAAAGAAGCAATGCTCCATAATTTAGGTTATAACTTCATTAAAAAATTATAGTCCAGTTTAGTAGTTGGTCATGGGTCATTCTGAACAGTTTTCCATCCTGTTGAATTATCTTAGTTTACCTTATCTAAAAATTTCTAACCAACATTATGAATAGCATCATATCATAGTATTTTTGAATTATGTTCTTTTTTGCAGCACACCAACATATTTCTTTAAATGAATTCGAAATTACCAGCATATCATTCTGTTCTAAGACATCAGCCAACATTCTGGCAAAGTTAACTTAAAATTTAATGACTACAAACTTATTCAAGATTTATCTAGCACTTGACAGACATACTGTAGACCTAGGACAACACGATTCATGCCTTCACGTGTATTTTTTCTAAGACTTGTGAACTTATGCGATGAAAATATTTGCACAAAGCCATAAAATACATATTAAAGATCGTATTTTTTAAGACTGACTTGAACGCCAAATATACTGATGTTTTCCTGTTTTTGTTTATAAAATTCTGCATACTTTTCTGTCATTTGTTAATGCATGAAATCGTAAATTTACCCATTTATTTGCAACGAATAAAAGGCGAAATGGCGAAATCTCATTATGGATATAGTATGCAAAAAAATTTGCATAATGAAAATATGGCATTAAGGATATAGTATGCAAAAAACATTTGCATAATGAAAATATGGCATTATGGATATAATATGCAAAAAGATTTGCATAATGAAAATTTACTTAATCATAACCAATAGATGAGGTAAGCATTTATTTTTTATTTTTCTTTAACTATAAATTTAGTGATTATTGTAATACATTTTAGAATAAATACTGGCGTATTTTCTCGTACCATCCACACGGTATGTAAATAGGCCACTCAGCTTTTCAAGCATGCCATATAGGACGTATACGTAGACATAGCAAAGAAATGTTCACGATGTAATCATCGTACCAAAGGCAGGCAACAAGTAATGACAAATGATAATGATTAATGATAAATGTAGAGCTTGTTAAGTTCTATTTGCTGACAACATGCAGGGAAGATCAAGGAGTAAAGATGACTGGAAGATGTTATTGACCAGGCAGAGTCTTAAAAAATGATAATGCTGTAAAGATAATTGATTTATTGTCTGCCCTATCCAGAGTTATTTAATTTGATCATGGTCAAATTCTATGGATGGAGACAATGGATTCACTAAGGATGCCTTGAATGCTTTGAAGTTAAAGTTCATGAACCAAAGAAAGATGGCAAGGTTGTGTGTGTTTTGATGCTTAATGAAATGTCAATTCACAAACATGTAAAATGGAAGGCCATAAAGTTTGTGTCTATGTAAACATTTGTACTGAGATTGATGATGACTTGATGCAGATGTGAAGCTTCAAACTGTATAAGCCATTGGGTTTTATGTAACTTAATGTTTAAATCATGTCATATCTTTATCAAAATATTTTAGTTGAGTGTTGTTTGAATGTTACTAATATCTAATGCACTATACTGAAGCATTAAAGATTCAGTGATGAAACCTTTAAAGTTACTGTACTGTATATTTCTTATATATTTCTTATATTTCTTTAAGAAAAATTTGAGCTTATTTACCTATTAGAGTACAGAATGGATATTTATTATATGCATTATTGCTGCTTTTTTAAAGAAAAGTTTTCACTTTTCAAAGCTTTTCTACAAATTTTTGCTTCTTATTTCTTATCATGAGATTGATGATATAGAGGTAATATAATCCAATAACTTTCTAATTTCTAAAAAGCTTTTAAGCTTCTAGCATAAAAGTACACTATAGGTATGTAATTCATTTGGTTTTATTGCCTTGCTATGACATATCTAATTGCACTTCATCATTCTTGTATGAACAAAACACCAGATGTGGATACTCAGAGAACAAAATGCACTACCAACTGCTTATGAAATTTATTATTGAGGTGAAAACTGTGTTAATCATTCAAATTATAGTGCACTTTATTGCAAATATAGGAAAAACAAAACAGAGTGAAAAAGGAAGGTAGAAGTATTAAAACTACAAATGAATTATAAACACCATTGGAAGCATAAGTGTTTTGATGATTATTTGCATTTTGCCCAATTCATATATCAATACAACAAAATCAAAATGTGCTACAACTTCACAAGTATTTGATGCAGTTGCACTTCAGAACATCACAAAAAGGTTACTTAAAGTAATTTCTATACAATATTGTTTGTTTTCATTTACCAAACCTATGCAGACTTGAGTCTTTTTGAAATTTCATATGAAACTCAATTACAGAAAATCCGTAAATATCCAGAGATTTAATATGTACTTTTTTAAAGAAACAAGTAAAAATCCTACAATTGTGGCGAAAAAAGCCATTGCCCATTGCATGAAAAGAAGCAAAATAGCAATGATAAAAAATAAGCTAACTTCTCTCTCGTGAACCGTGGAGATGATCAAACAAGTTTGACGCTGGTAAGAAAACGACGCACATCTGCATTCATACATGTGTAGCCGATATATAACTCTTTCGTCGATAGTTATAAATGCATCCTCGTAGGAGCAGATAACTGACAACCACAGTTGACTCGCTGTTACTAATTTAAGGTTTTTACCTGGATTTTCATCAAAAAATTGCTTGCCGAATCCCAAATACACACATACATTTTCCTCACTCTTTTCTCAGGAGGGAGTGGGAAATTGTGAAATTTTCGGAAAATCGGTCAATTTCGGTAAATCTCAGCGGCAAAGGACGAAATCCGCCATTTTTTTGGCATCATCAGATATCTAAGGCCGCGCTTGAGATAGCCGCTCCAGTTATTATAGAACTCAATGTTTTTCTTCCAAAATTTCCTTTTGTACGCATGTTTCTTTTTTCACAATTTACATGGCGTCATACATAGGCATACATATATACATAAATTTATGTTAACTAGAGATTTATTTTTCTTTATTTTTTAAAATAGTAAAATGATTTCACTCTGGGCATTCAATACTTGAATTACAAAAAGTCATCAACAATATGAGTCATTCTTGTAGCTGTTATTTGAGCATGAAAAGTCGTGGCAAGATTGGTCATTCTTATATTTGTAATTTGTGTACAAGTGAACCCAAGTTTTAATTAATCTTTATAGAATGATATTTTCTTATAATTAAATAACCTAACGTATTGTTAATCACTAAACATCACTAAAGAACCTCTAAACAGGTGATCAGTGGACATGTTTTTGTTTTGACAAATTATCATTATTTATTTCATTTGGAAATCAATTGTTTTCATCCATAAGTAATACATAAAAATAAGAATGCAGGATACTCAACTTTTGATCATAGTCAGAAGATCTGTTCTTGTCGGATATATCCTCTTATAGCATTTTACATGGATCTTCCTGTTCATCGTCATGTTCAATGCAATTATACGGAAATTCTTATAAGCCCAATAAAAAGCAATTATCTGTACTTAATCTTTCATTAGTATATTTGCTTATGATGAATACAGAAAACTTTTTTTTTCTTTTTAACTATCTTCATTTCAAAGAAAAATGTGAAAAAAAAACACAGAATACCATCTTCTCAAGTGGGATCAAAATCTTGAATAAATTATTTCATACCTTAGCCAATCAGAGCTGAAAAAAACGTAACCAGTAACAACTCTAGAAGTTCATCGAAATCAGCCAATGAAATCAGGCCACCAAATGATCCTTAATACACGTCAATCATTTTAGACAGCTAGATGCCCTCGAGACTCGAAAGTGAAAGGTACGTTTATGAAATTCAATTCATTATTAAAAAAAGTATACTTCAAAGTTCAAATATCCGGGTAAATTCGATCACGAAAGCCTTGTTTGATGTATAGATACGTTCTGCTTTACTTGTAAATCTTTTCGTCGGTTATTTTTGTGCTTTTCGCCGTTTAACTGCATGTCTTCGCCGGCGTGTTTACTTGTCAAAAGGACCTTGTCAGTATAAAAACGGCAAGTTTGTATGCTTCAAAATCTTTCTTTTCATTTTACTTAAGTGTGTTGCTGACTGCTAGTGTTTTGAATACTTCGAAGTGAAGTTTTGTTGAATATTTTTGCTTTTAACGTGTATTTTTGAATCGGATATATTTTCAGCGACGAACTTGCGCCACGGACATCTTTCTCCGTTTCAACACAAAAATATGAACAAATTTTTAGTAAAAAGTAATATTATGGCAAAATGAGCGACAAGGAGGGTGCTTCTTGTTCCTTGGATTGATTTTTGTAGATAAAGAGTGCATTTTTGAGCGAAAATTTTGAGAAATTTTTGAAATATGAAAATCTTCGTTCATGTTGGACCTTGGACTTTCAATAAAATTGGCGCGCATTTTGTTCCGCGTGAAAATGAAGAACACTGGGCACGAATTATGCAAAGCTAACCAGCTTGACTATAAAGATCAAATTTTTCACTGAAAACACCTAAAAAAACTTGACTTGGACACAGAAAGGAGTGGGTTGAAATCAAAACCTTTCACCTAGACTTTGGAATAACTTGATTAAAGATAGTAAAGTTTGCTTCTGTACTTGAGTACAGGTTATCATCGAAAAGCTATGGATTATTTTAGAGCATTTTGTTAATAAACGTGCTTAAATTCTCTAGGAAAAGATGCCAATTTGACTATGAGCAATTATGAAGAATGCAACCCAATTCGTATCTAAAGTGAAAATTTGAAGCAAGTATAAAGCAAATAGTTATGGAAAGACATGTAAAAGAACCTGAAAGAAGTAAGGTAGAAACTCAAAATTATCGTTAAAACTTTCATTGATTGCCCAAATTGTTTTATATGAAAATTGTTTCATATGAAAATATTTTTATCTTATAACATTCTACAACGTCAAATGGGTGAAAACACAAAAATTAACTCGTTTCATTTAATTCAAATTGATAGGATACATAATTGAAAAAGACGATCAGACTGAGAGTATTTTTATAGATTTACTTGTGCACACATTGAAAAATATTCCGGCTTCTCCTTCAAAACTTTGCACGAACATATTTGTCTTAATACTTTTAATATACAATCATTGTGTTCATGTTTGCTGCAAGTATATATGAGTGCCATTTTAAAACAAAAAGCAGTTAAGTTTATTGTAGAAACAATTAGACGATAAATCAAAACAATTGTTGTGAACGATCTATCTGAAATGACGTTCAATGGCAATCAAAGAAGTCTAAATGACTTCCTGCATTTGAAATGTGTAAGGGATCAAAGAAACGCTGATCCATTTTAAAAAAACATATTCATGAAACAAAATTTAATGTAGTGTACTTGTCCATACTGCCAGCTTAAATTTTCATTTGTCTACTATTTTGATAAGCTAGTCAAATTAATTGGTGTGAACGATCTATGAGAAATAGAAGTTCGATGGCATACAAAGAAGTCTATAAGACTTCCTTCCATTGAAATGTATAAGATATAAAAAGAAGCCTTCATTTGAAGAAATCTATATTCATGAATCAAAAGTAAATGTTTTGTACATTTTAAAACAAAATTCTGTTGAGTTTAAGGTAAGGATTAACCGACAATAAGACAAAAGTGTTGCTGTGAACGATCGATATGAAATCGGCGTTTAAGAGAAAATGAAGAAGTCTATACGACTTCATTTTTTCAGAAATTTATAAGATGTAAAAAGAAACATTAATTGGAAGAAATTTATTTATAAAACAAAAGTAAAATATCATACTTAATCATACATCAGCAACTTGAAGTCTTCATTTGTCCACTATTCATTTAATTATTAATTAGAAAAGTAAGTAAAAGTATTCTTGTAATAAGTACTATTTAGAAAAAAGCGTTCAACAAATTATGTAAAATATCTACACGACGTCCAGAATAGTAAAAATGAATGAAAGCCTTACAAGTAAAAGAGCACTAATTGGAATAGGTCACTTCAGGAACCATAAGTTCAATATTGGATAAGAACAAGGAAACTCAAGAACGCAGTATACTTATTCAGGAAACGTTTATGAGCCTATGATGGCTGAACAGCATCTACTTTTTCACATCTTGAGAGCACAATGTCTTAGGTTGTTGAGGTACTTCGTCGATTCTTGCGAGCTCGGCGTCTTCCGTTGTTGAGGCACTTCATCGATTCTTGCGAGCTCGGCGTCTTCCGTTGTTGAGGCACTTCATCGATTCTTGCGAGCTCGGCGTCTTCCGTTGTTGAGGCACTTCATCGATTCTTGCGAGCTCGGCGTCTTCCGTTGTTGAGGCACTTCATCGATTCTTGCGAGCTCGGCGTCTTCCGTTGTTGAGGCACTTCATCAATTCTTGCGAGCTCGGCGTCTTCCGTTGTTGAGGCACTTCATCGATTCTTGCGAGCTCGGCGTCTTCCGTTGTTGAGGCACTTCATCGATTCTTGCGAGCTCGGCGTCTTCCGTTGTTGAGGCACTTCATCGATTTCCGTTGTTGAGGCTTCATCGATTCGTCTCGGCGTTCCGTTGTTGAGGCACTTCATCGATTCTTGCGAGCTCGGCGTCTTCCGTTGTTGAGGCACTTCATCAATTCTTTCGAGCTCAGCGTCTTTCGTTGTTGAGGCACTTCATTCATTCTTGCGAGCTCAGCGTCTTTCGTTGAGCTCAACTACGTTGACCAACGTGGCCAAAATGACCACCTACGTTGTTCTTGTCCAATAGTGAGCTTGTGGTCCCTACAGTGACCTCTTCTGATTAGTGCTATTTACTTGTGAGGTTTTCATTAATTCTTACTATTCTGGACGTCTTATAGATATTTTACATAATTTGTTGAACGCTTTGTTCCAAAGAGTACTTTTTACAACAATACTTTTACTTACTTTTCTAATTAATAATTAAATGAATAGTGGACAAATGGAGACTTCAAGTTGCTGATGTATGATTAGGTATGATATCTACTTTTCTTGACCAACGTAGCTTAGACTAACATGCATGAATAACCTAGCTTTGAAAAGTTGTCTTTGTCATTGTTTTCCACTGGCACGTGATTTTCGACTAAGTGTGCACAAGCATATCTGTAAAGATGCTGCAGTCGTCAAAAAATGAAGAATGGGTGTCAGGTAAGATGAAAATTTATGATGCACGAATGCATTACAGTTAACTTGAGAGAGTGCTCTCTGCATTTCAGAAAAAAGATGCTTATGATATCACGAATAATGGAGCTTTGTCCAACTGTGATTTGTTATGCTTCATGATGGAAATACTAAAGATTATCATGGTGATGATATTGTGTGAAAGTTTTAAATAAGCAGCCAGCGATGAGCTTCAAATTCACTATGGCCACAAATCACCCATTCACTTGACCACGCACATCACATTTATTTTTGTAAGTGATTATTGATACAAATAAATCCGATAATCAGTAAGAAACAAATGATCGTTTTAGTTGGATGAATGTAGCTAATAATGTTTTAATAATTTTGATTTCAGAAATTTTCCTTCAAAAACAAAACCCCTTTCACCACTGCTGAACGTTTATGAGAGACAGTTGGATGTCTATGACTACGAATCTAAAGGTATTGAATTTTCTTGTAAATATCTTTTATAGATAATCATTACGTTACATGTCGTTTATTTCCCCTTTAACCCTTATTTACCCTCTTCCGTTATCTACCTCTAACCCTCATTTTCCCAAACACTTATTTATCCCCACCCTTATTCATCTCCCACCGTTTTATTATAAAAAATGACGTTATTTTTATGTCATTTTGAATGACCTTCATGCTAGTTTGAGCCTTTCTTTGTTTTCTAGTAAAGGAATGTTTTAATGGTAGTATTTTCTATCGATTAATTACATCATGGTTTTTGCGAGCTACATCATGGTTGTCGTAGATTACATCGTGGTTATCTTTGTTTACAACGTGGTTGTCGTGGCTTTGGTGGATTACATCGTGGTTGTCGTGGATTACATCGTGGCTATGGTGGATTACATCGTGGTTGTCGTGGTTTACATCGTGGTTGTCGTGGCTTACATCGTGGCTATGGTGGATTACATCGTGGTTGTCGTGGTTTACATCGTGGTTGTCTTGGATTACATCGTTAATCAACGAATGACGACTGAAAAGGACGTTTCACAAGCAATGGCGTAATGTTCTGGTGGTGATCAACTTTAAAATTGATTTTGTTGTAAAACAAAGTTGGCTGGTGTTCTTCAAGTCAAAATCAATTTAACATTTTGTTACTAAACACACTCTTGCTTTCATAAATTATGGTGGTATGTCCAATTACGAATCAGGACATCTGTAAAGCTGCAGGACATGGGAGCGCTGAAGATATTCAATCACAATACAATATTGCGCGGAAACTTCAACGCAGGTGTGTTTTTTTTTAATTTCCTAACAGAACTTTTGTTTCAGTGAACAATGGTAATAACGTTTCAACATTTTAAATTTCAGAAATTTCCACTTCGTAAATTAAGCCACCTTCAAAACTGCTGAAAGTTCGAAGAAGCAGTTGGTTGCTTATGGTGACGAATCTACAGGTGATTCACGAGTATTTATTCTTATCGACCAATCGTTGCAGTTGCTTTGGCTTTCATTACGGACACACATTTATGCCGTAAATAGGGATTTTCCACGCTAAATACGAAATTTTCAAATAATTGCAATTAAGCAAAAAATTTTCAAAAATATTTTTTATCCAAAAATATCGTTAAAATAAATTGGGGGATTCTCTAATGTTATAAAATTGCATAAACCGTTACAAGTTTTCACATTAACGGTGGACAGTACTAATTAAGTTTGATAAGAGGCTCTTTGATTATTTTGTATAACGGTTTTCTTTCCAAGTTTTTATCTATGATAACAGTAGTTTTCGTAAGTTTGAAAACGTTTGTGCAAACTTGATTCTTTCATTTGTTTTATAGTAAGAAAGAACACACATCATGTTTGTCATTGATCACAATAACAGTCGTCGTTGATCACAATCATAGTCCTTGTTGATCACATTCTGGTCATCGTAGATTAATTCGTAGCTGTCGTGGATTACATTATGGTTGTCGTGGGTTAAATCATCGTTGTCGTGGATTTTATGGAATTAATATGGATTTATCATTTGGGGATTACGTTAATCTACGAATGAAGACCAAAGACGACGTTTAAGGTAGCAGGTTTATAGTGTTTTAGTTAAAATCCTGGTGATCTATACTAACAGGAAGATGATTGATCATTGGCTGAGTGTATAACAAAGTTAGTTGTTCTTTTGATTCTTGTTAGTGTTGTTTTTAGTTTTGTGCATGTGATGCAGTGCTTTTGGCGGTTGAAACATTTGCCTGAAAACGATGATACATCTTATATTGTCGAAAACTTTGATCAAACTGTCGTATAATGTAAGATTATCATTGTACAAGGTAAAATATACATGTCTGATGTCGATTTTTAAAAGTTTTTCGTTCTTTTGATCACCAGGATACACGTCCTAAGTTCAAGGAAATAAGCATGGGTTTCTTTGAGTTTTGGTCGTGTTTATTATCTCGTATATTATACTTCTTAAAACTGAATCATATGTATATTTAGTTATGAAACTAGAAAATTGCGGTCCAAAAATGGCGAAATCCGAATCACAGATTGCACGTTAAAATAACAAAAAATTTCGGACCGAAACATGGCGCAATCCGGCATGCAAGCTGCATAGCGCAAATTAAATTAATTTAAAGTTATAAACGTCTGAAATATTCTTGCTTGATGATGCTTTATAAATCATTTTTACGTTTAGTTCGAATTGTTTGAATTTTGAACCATGCAAAATTTGAAATGTTCCCAGACGCTAAAATGAAAACGAATAAAAACAAGTCAAAGTGCTTAAAAATATTTTAAGAAAAAAATGAGTGATTTGCATCATCAAGACGAATATGCAACGTTGGTCTAATAAACGAAACAGAATAATAGGTGCATGAAACCCGGCATTGTTTTTGCTAAATAGCTGTCAAAATCAATGTTATGACAGTGGCATGTCCAAGTTAATTAACTCACTGTTATTTAACTTGAAGAAAATAATTCAGAGAAGAAATATAGTTCAATTATTCATGATGTATTGGGTTAGATCGTCTCGAAATCATATCGAACATCTTCATCTATTTTATGCATGGAAGATGATTTGATAGACAGTGAGACAAACTTATCCGATACATTTAATGTAGTTCCAGGTAGGAATAACGTAAACGGTGCCAAATTGGTACCTAGGTGATCGAGTGTTGGACACAAGAAGGATTGGTTGGCACGCCGTTTGGTAAAGTATAAGGGCCCAGGAGGTGGTTCCCTATCCGTTAAGTTTTCTTTCGGCTCGGGTACTAACGTTGCTTTACAGGTGTCTCATCGTTCAAAGGTATGGTTTACTTATTCTTGTGCAGAGTAGTTCGTAGGTAGATGTTCAAATCGGTTATTTCATGCCACTGATCAACAGGGTTAGCTAGGAATGCGCTTAGGAAAATAGCGCAGCTAAAAGCGGTCAAAAAATGGCGTACGTCCTACAAATGACGTAAAAAAGGAGCCGGTTTCGGTTTTTTCCTAGTATGAAGGGTGCATATTGCCTATAGGACACCTCTGTCAACAACCTTAAAAAGATGGAGGCAGTATTATAAATTTTGTAAACATGAGAAAAAAATAGCGCAGGTAAAAGCGATCAAAAAATGGCGTACGTCCTACAAATGACGTAAAAAAGGAGCCGGTTTCGGTTTTTTCCAAGTATGAAGGGTGCATATTGCCAATAGGACACCTCTGTCAACAACCTTGTAAAGATAAAGGCAGTATAAGAAATTTTGTAAACATAACTAAGGCCTTGTAAACAATCTTTTTGTAAAGATAACTATTAATAATAGATAAGGTGATCCCAAGTAATGTGCATCCACCGACTGGCTTTCGTACCTTGTTGGATTTCTGAGGGTTTTCCTCCGGCGATACGCCGGTTTCCCTCATCTTTAGAAAATCTCTCTAAAGAAAAACAAAAAAGGGTGGCCATGCCTGGGACCTACAGTAAGGATTGTATGGTTATTGGGTTGGATTCCCGATCCATTCGAGGAAACACGAGTAGATCGAGACTGTTAGAATTTCTGTTCGTGTTCAATTTAAACATACCAATGTTAAGGTAAGGTGTGCCTAGATGTAGAGAACAAATACCCAAAGTAAAATCACGTTAGTAACAAGCAAAAACAGCTCTCTGTGTGTTGTGACATATGGGGCGTCGTAATCATAAGCATGCATTTGTGTGCAGGGAAAAAAATTCTCAAATGCTATTATGTACTATAGACGATTAATATAACATTATTAGAGCCTATGAAACTGCACAGTAAGACTAACTAAAAGTAGAACTTCTAACTTCAAAGATAATTACGTACATATGTTATACCATCACCGTTTGCAATTGAGTATTACCATACACGCTTTCATTGAAACAGTAAAATTTAAATAAATTACTAACCGTGTGCATTCGTTAAGAAAAAATACAAAAATTTTTTTTAAAATTACACAAGGTTCACTCATTTGTAAGCCTAAAAATCAACAAAAGTCTCAAGTACTCGCAACTTTTGTAGGGATAATGATGGATCTCCACTGAAAAAATTGCCAACCCTCCTGTAAAATGAGTACTAATACACCCCTGTTTGTGTATTGACCTGCCCCCAGGTCGCATCTTGCTTCAGTAATCAACCCCATATTAGAGTGAATTATGAGTTCCCATCTTGTAGGAAAAAAAACAATAAACATGGTATATTTATAAATGTTCATACAAGGTTATTTCTATCTCTAGTGCAAATTATCACATCAACACAAGTAATGTAGATCATAAAATTTCCAATGAATGGTAAATATACAGTGTTCAAAATTGCATTTTTATCCTATATAAACCTAAATCCATTAAGATGTGTCTACTAGTGCATTTTATATAATTTTATAAGTGCCACAAACATGATTTACAATAAAAGTAACTTTTTTATAAATCAAAATAATCTGTTGTAATTGATATCAATACATATCAGGATAATCTCTGATCTTACGACTGGCCTGTCTTGTGTACTGCTGCTGTTTATAATACATTTTGATGAAACCTTTTGTGAGCACAAAAAACAATCCACCCTGAATTTGAAGAAAAATAATATCAAAATTTGTTCATTGTATGTTTAGTACAACTTTGTAAAACTTACCAAAAATATTCTCTTTATTCTTGTTGAGCTGGGAAATAATAAATTACCACAAAATAATGCAGTTGTTGGGAATGATAATGCTCCACAGATAATTCTGGTAGCAGATGCAGCATCTACTAGACTGTCTTCGTTTGGTTCACGAAGAGGAGCTTGTTCTTCATGAGATTCTTCAGGAAACAAATATTTATAAAATGCCAAACCTGGAGATAAGTGACGCCATCCTCGCAGTACGTAATCCTGCCATCGTATCATCTTTGCTAATATCAATGTCAGTGGTATGGTTGGTAATCCAATAAATAAAACCATTGGATCAGATTCCTCTATAACACGAAGTCCAGTTTTCTGACCAAGAACTTGAAAGATCGTCACAGCTCCAAATGTCACTGCTGACCAATAGATTGAGCCAACCAGCAAACCAGCTGTTGCCACAGGACTCAACCGATTGATTATGCCATCGACATTCTCAATAAGGGTTAAAACTATATTCATTGGTGGATAGTCAATCAGGTATTCAGTATTGCACTGCGGACAGTAAACTTGGACAGAAGAATTTCCACCCTGCTTTTCATCAATCCATCGTTGAAGGCAAGTTTGGTGTACCCAACGACCAGTACCACGGCAGCGACAAGGATGTGTCCATTCAGCTCTAGGATCATCATCCTCTGACATAAAACAGACCCAACAACATCTCCTAAAGGCAAAATGGTGGTAGACTATCTTATACATAAAATAATTATACGTTGTATGTTAATTTCTGTTTTCTAAAAACAGTCAAATTATTATCATTGGCATATGGCATTAAAACACCTTGATCTGAACTAAGGGAATCAATATTTTTTTGTACAAACATGTCGCTTTCGCCGATAATTTATCTTTAAAAACGATTTAATTTAAATTGCGGTTAGTCATCAAACAACAACAATTGATAGAATTTTACCTGTCGCTTGGACTGAATTGTGCTGTAATATCGTATGATGAAATGGACATATTCAATAAAATCAACGTAATTGATAAAATACTAACGATTATTGGTTTGTTTGATAAAACATGGATTTATATATAGCCATAGCTTATTTTCCATGTACTTCTGCTTCCTTTGTCGCATAAGTAAATGATGAAATGAAGCATATCCATAACGTCCCACATTTCGTTCTCAGGCTCCAGAAATCTGCGCTGCGGAAACCATGTGGTAGAATGGTAGAAACGTGGTAAAAATGTGACACCGACAGTTAATAAATAATTGTACATTTTCAGCTTAACTTTGTTTCACATTTTATAATAATTCCGTCTGAATATGTTATTGGCTAGGTTTATGGGCTGTATTTGATGAAAACGGACTATCACATCGTGCACTGGCTGCATTATTGTATGCCTAAATGCATTCTTTAGGTAAAGTACGTATCTCAAATTATTGCACCATTTATTTCAATAATTTATTTTTAGATATGTTTATTTTAATTAATTGTTTTGCCAAATGTTCTTCCAATGTGGACAAATTCATTGTACATCTTAAATTTGTCACAGAAACCCTCTTTCAACAGTTTTTGGATTATCATTTTTTGTTAAAGTATTTCACCATGATATATAAAAACACTATGCTTTGAATGTCTGAATGTTCTTGTTGTCTATAATTCCCCAGTTGGATATAAGATGAAGTTGACCATTTGAGTTTCAAATGTTTATGTGTTACTTCTCCAAATTTTTCGTGGGTAATGTTTGATACACTTTTTGTGGTTCTGGAATAGATCCAGTTTCATGATGTTGTATTTCTTGATAGGAAGTGGTGTATATAAAATATTCCATCCCTTGCTTTTCAAAAAGCAATGGATGTATATTAATGCTTGCCCAACTGTGGTAAGGTACATACTTGTGTTGTGAACATTTTATGAAGTTTCAACTTTGTTGATGAGTTCAATGAAATTCCTAAAATTGAGCAAATTGTGTGTTTGAACATTGTTTGTTTGCCATTCGTAAGTCTTCAAAAATTATAAAAACCAAGAAACCAAAAAAATATATAGCTATGTGCTTCTAGTGAACATAACTGATAAATAATGAAGAGCTTTCAAATTTGTTTCAAACAACACAAATGAATTGCTTAAGAGCAACTAGCTGAAAAGCCAGACATATCAATGGTAATGAAAGATAACAAGTTTTTCTAGGAAATCTTGGCAATATTTGAATACAAGTTTTTGATGATTGCTTTATGGAAATTTGATTTGTTGCTTAGGTCAAGATTGGCTAGAGATCAAAGCCAAAAATTTTTTGGTCAAGTATCTGAAAGTAAGTCATTTGCCATAGAATTAGAGGCAGCATATTTTATCTTATTAACCATGCAGATTACCCATAAAAATATCATGCATTAAATATTGTAGGATCTTATTCAATTTTTTCATTCCCACTCTTTGGAAGACTGTGGAGAAGAAGTGGAGCATCTCAGATCAATCATGATTGATCTGAGGAGAATAGAGCCTTTACCTGTTGATTTCAAAGCTGCTGTTGACTCTTTGTGTGTATTTTTTCTTTATAATCATTAGCTTTTTTCCACTCTTCAATTAAAAAATGTTTTATTTCAATGTTCAGGTCTTCAAAGAATTCTTTAAGTTATCTTCTATTCAGGAAAATAATATTTTCAGTAATCAAAGTTGAGACCTACATAGTTTACAAACGTATTGTCTTTCTTTAATATTTCTGTCTTTCCTGTGTTTCCAAACAATTACTGCCACCTTTCCTAATACTTAATGACACTATTTTTGTTGTCAGGTTTTGAAATGTATTATTTTGCAACTATCACATAAACATGTTGAGTAAAATTTGCATCAGGGGACTTTGTAACAATAAACCTTGTGTTCTCGTTATGTTAGCTTTGTAATTAATCAATTTAGCTCCTTAGATTTATATTCTTTTTTTATGTAGACCTTTGAGCATCTCTTACCTAACATGATATATCAATTTATTGGTGGAATACATCAGCTGGAGCTGTTTCCATTACAAAAGAAAGGCAGATTGGGAAAGACAATCCTGTTAATTTTGTGTGGTACGTAGATTGATGAAGAACATTGTAATATATTTATATCACACAGCTTTTGTTGAAACAATTATTAAACCATTTGGCCAAAATATAGGTGATGTAGGTAGTGATAAATCAACAATGAACAAGAACAGTTTTTCATTAAATTACACAAACTACCTAAGATAATGTGTTTTAGCATAAAAATGGTATTTTTAAATTCCCCTGACAAGATTGTTGGCTCACAACAATATTTTTTTACGACAGCTCCATGACTCAAGACAATAAACAGAATTCATTGCCAGCAGTCGAAGTTTTGTTCAACAAGTTTTCAACCAAGCAGAGGTTAGGAATTCACTTGCCAGTGTACGTACTGTTATTTTTTAATAGTTGTGCTTGTTAAACAGAAGGAATTCACTTGACTTTAGACAATCTTTCACTACTTTTGGCATTAACTGTCATAATTGAAACATTTATAAGCGCAAAACTAAATGATCTGATTGGATGGATCAAGAAATGCCCAAAAAATTCAAAGATTTGTTTGCTTACGTGTTAGTGAAATGAAACACTCTCATTTTTGGAACCTCATTAGAATTGTTTTCATTTTCCTATAAAGATTGGCTACCATGTTTTTGCACTGGATATCATATTATGTATTCTCATATTATCATCAGGTACAACATTGCTTTTACGGCGGAAAGGAGAATGCTTAGGATGATGTGTGGTGTAACGTTGATGGAAAGGATTCGAAGTGAAGAGATTAGAGAAAGTTGATGTTGAGTGTATCAAGAATTGGGTAACGCGCCAACAATTGAGGTGGTTTGGGCATGTGGAAAGGAGGGAAGAAAGTGCTGAAATTCGTAGAACATTGCATATGAATGTTGATGGAGTCCGCAAACGAGGTAGACTGAGAAGGAGATGGATGGATGCTGTGAACAGTGATATGAAGGCGATGGGCATAATGAGAAATATGGCGAGAGATAGAGACATTTGGTGTAGAAAAGTTCATGGACCGGTCAACCCCCCTGGCGGGGATTAATACTGGCCGGTATGCAAATGTTGTTTGTTTGTTTGGTTTGGTACAACATTGCTTTTACGTTATTAATTTTTTTGAAGATAGGTTATGATTATAACATCAGGGAAAAGGATAGCAGCTAAACTTTTTTATTTCAGATGTGAGTGAAGAACGAGCTTATTGTTATTTGTATTTTAGTTCACTTCAATTTGTCATTGGCAGTTGTTCTCAAATATCACCAACGTAAGTTTCATTGCTTTTTTATCTGTTTTCAAGATAAAAGCATTCATATCAAGTTATTATTTTTATTTGTTTTCCTTTAAAGTCTTCTTCAACATCTTTCATTTTTTGGCCAAAGCTCTCTCTCATTGAGCTCAATATATTTACTTGTTTAATGGTATAATCAGAGCCATGGTGAAAAAATTTCTGATGACACCCATCACTAATGGCAGTATGAATAATTGTTCAGCTACAGATTTTAGTCTAACAATCAGTAAGTGTTGATTGTTCTGTATTTTCCTTCAATGGTTTCCATTAAATTTCCAGAAGTTTCCAAGAATAGTCTTGAGGATTTAACTTATTGATACACCTGAAAATGTTATAGGATGTCTTGTGTTTTATATCCCTCATCACATAAAACATCCATTATCATTTGTGTTGCTTATACATGGATGTTTAACTTTTGTTGTACCTGTTTATACCTTATGTTTATCCATCATCATTTGTGTTGTTCATATGGATGTTTAACATTTGATGTACCTCTTTATACCTCATGTTTATCCATTATCATTTGTGTTGTTCATATGGCTGTTTAACTTTTAATGTACCTCTTTATAACCTCATATTTATCCATCATCATCGTGTGTTGCTCATATGGATTTTTAACATTAGATGTACCTCTTTATACCTCATATTTATCCATTATCATTGTGTGTTGCTCATATGGATTTTTAACATTAGATGTACCTCTTTATACCTCATATTTATCCAAACAGTTTCTCATCAAATGAATATTTCTGCAATAAGACGACAAGTTTTTGGATGAACAATTCTTGTAAGAAAAGCCATTAAACAGGTGTGTATAAGGTTACAGAAAGCTGATTTAATATGAATTTAATTATTTTAAAATAACTCCCTGATCACAGGGAGTCATAAAAAAATTTGAGCAAAATTTAATTATTGTTGTTGATTATCTTTTGTAGGTGTTAGAGTCCATTGTAAGAATGAAGAGTGATGAGCTTGTGAAAAGGTAAAATTATTTCAATTAAATGAGCGTATTTAGTTGTTTTGTCTGGTTTTGTTGTCTTGTCAGGTTTTGTCAAAATCTATGATGTAGCTATTTTAACTTTGATCCATGATTCACGAAGTCTTCGTGTGAATAACTTATTCAATAATTAGTTTGTGGTTTGTCAATTATTATTGGATAAATTGATATGTTTTGGATACATACATGATTATGTTTAAAACTCCCCATTCATAAATAAAAGTTATGTTTTCTTTCATCAAGAATCTTTGGACACTACATGATAGGACTATGGATTTGGCATTGTCAGTTCACAAGCAAGGTATGATATTCATTACATCTTTATTAAATGAAAATTCTTGTTCATCTCTAACTGAATATGGTAAATTTAAATGCTCTTAAGGTGCATGCAGCAAGTACAATTATTTAACTTTATATGAGATATACGTATGCTCTATAATTGTTTTTTTCTATATACTGCAATTATGCTGCATGCGGAAATCTTGATAGTGGATACTTCTTTATTTTTTTATACTTTTCTTTGAAAAGGTTTGACTATGTCAATACAAAGTTCCATTGTTTTTCCGTTTTATCACTGAAGCACGTAATGTTTTTACTGATTTCTCTTCAATTGACATTAATCATATCTTTCTTTAGTATATAACCGGTTTCAGCAAACGAAAAAAGAAAAAGAATTGTTTTTATTAAGAGGAGAAGAAAAGGCAGGGTACGTTATGTTAGAAAAATGATGTGTGTTTTTGAAGGGCTTCTACATGCAGTTAGTTATATATTATTGTGTTTATGGACGTTATAGTAAACGAATGATTATCTACAAGTTCTTGCTCGATCACACGACTGGCGAGCAGCGTTCTAATTTGATTGAAAAGGTGTGTAACTGAAGAATTTCATATAAATTATATTTCCATAGAGATTATATACTGTCATACCGAAGGGGTTGTTGTAGTTTTCCATTTTCAAGATTTTTTGAAGTGTTTTCCCATGTACTCACTTCTTCTACCTTTGTAACTTCTAAGGTAATTAGTGGATTTGCTGGTCGTGACATAAAGCTTGATGATAGCTCTAAATTTGTTCTTAAAGATGCTATGGCGATTCTTTCTTTCAAGGAAGATTTCTCAATGATTGTTCTCCGCAATACTGCACTCATTGGTTGATGTCGTTGTGCTCTTTATTTTTACTACATCCATCTTTGCATTGTGTTTAATTAGAGTATCAAACTTTCTTCCATTCAAATAGAAATAGCATGGCTGATAATGAACGATTTTATTATGTTTATAGCGGTGATGTGGACGCTAATGTGTCATTGAAAATTTATAGCGATATCTATAAATTTTGGCGATCATGTATGACCATACTACATTAATTTATATTATTTATACTGAGCTTTCACTCTTTGTACCTACACTTATTGTACATGTTAAATTTACTACGATAATCATTTTGGGGTTTTTTTCCCATTATCATTTGCTCAATGCTGTAATAAAATTTTGCTTCAAGTTTTCAATGGTCTGATATTTTTTTTTGCATCAATTACTTCAAGGTAGGAATGGCACTTTAAAATGACCAGGTGTCTTCAACGAACTCTCTGGTCTAGTGGATAGACACAACCTTTCGAGGTTGAGAGTGGAGGTTCGAACCCTGTCTGGAATAAGATGTAACTATGCTAAGGATGAATAAGAAGTAGGAAAATAAGGAAATAGTGCTGGTTAATAGTACAAAAATGGGATTTCTATTACTAAACTTTTCGAGAATGGAATGCGACACTTAGTATAAATTCAGAAAAAAACGCTCTCCGATGAGAAGGAGAGCGAAGAAAAAAAGATAGGATCCCATGCAAAACCACTCTTAAAAACTAAGTCTTTTGCTCAAATTTTTATGACTCCTGTGATCAGGGAGTTATTTTTAAATTTTGAAAAGTCAGGAAACCCAAGAGCAAACAGAACGCCCTAATCATCCCTTTCTTACTTCCAGGCACTCGTTCCTCAGTTCAACTTTCTGTCTTCCACATCCGCCGCGTACACCTGCCAAGTGTGTTGGCAGAGGGGCGAACCAAGGATCTTGTGCACCGGAGGTCATTGATGTCGAACTAAACGCCCAACATCGGCCAGTTGAGCTAACCGCTCATCATCGAAAGCTCTATGTTTTTTGGAGTATTTCCTAAATTTTTTACAATGTGAAGCGAAAGAAAAGGAGAAGATCTTGAACCTTAGATGGTCTTGAACCCGAGTAGGTGAGAGCACTGCACCGACATCTTTACCACTCGGCCAGACGGGTGAATTGGAAAACCGTTTAAAACATGTCAAGTGTTTCTGACTAAACAACATTGCCTTCATTTCTCTTGAGGATCACATTTAATACTGTGTTTATCTTGTTCTTCGTCACCATCATTGCCAAGATGAAGAAAGGGACTTACTACGCATTTTAGTTGTTTAGCTCTAACATTGCAGGAGAATAAATGATATAAGTGAAAGGAGGAAGACCAATAAAGTATGCACAATGTCAGACATTGCATGTGGTGAATCAAAACAACAACGCGCATGTTCGTAGTCAATTTAATGGCGCTGGGAGTTTCTAACTTGTCTGTTCAAAGTTAAATAAAATATTTTTTACCATCATGCATGATAATATTGTAATGGTTTGTACAAAAGCATATGGTTCCTACAGAACAGTATCCACTTACTAATTTTACAATCTTGCCATGTCTTGAGTGTCATCATTTAAAATATAGTCAATGTAATCAATATAGCCAATGCGGTTTTTGTCTACATTTGTGTCTACCTTCTTGTCTACCTTCTTGTCTAACTTTGTGTCTACATTTTCATAGGACAAAGTTCTCATTTTGTTGAACACGACAATTGAAAAATTAGTCATTTCATAGTCGAAAGTATTCGAAGTAATCGAAGGTAATCAATTCACGCGATGCCATGTGGTAAATCAGGGCAGTGACGAGCATGTCTTTGGTCACTTTTTCCTATGCAATGGCGTCAAGATCATTTGACTTTATGTTTGAACTAACTGAACTATTTTTTATCATCATATGCACCAACCATATTCTTTTCAATGTTGGTTTTGGTTGCACACAGACAAGAGTTTAATAGCAAGGACAAAGAAGCCTATGAAATGACGTCTTTATGATATCATGTGCATTTTCAGAAATTTTCACATTTTTTCACAAAGATTATAATTCAATCATTTTCACAAAGGTAGACATAACAATTAAACATACAATGGTAAACATACATACAGGTAGACATAAATAAAGGTAGAGATAGATAGGTAGACAAAGGTAGACATAAAGGTAGACATAAAGGTAGACATAAAGGTAGACACAAAAGTAGACATAAAGGTAGACATAAAGGTAGACATAAAGGTAGACACAAAGGTAGACATAAAGGTATACACTAAGTTGGAGACAAAGGTAGACACAAAGTCTATAATTCATGCATTTTCACAAATTTTCACCTGTTTTTCAAAAACACACTATAATTCATTCATTTTCCAAATTTTCACATTTTTTCACAAAAGACTATAATTCATGCATTTTCACAAATTTTCACATTTTCTCACAAAAAGACTATAATTCATGCATTTTCACAAACTTTCACATTTTTTTCACAAAAAAGACTATAATTCACGCATTTTCACAAACTTTCACATTTTTTCACAAAAAGACTATAATTCGTACATTTTAACAAATTTTCACATTTTTTTCACACTATATTTCACCGAATTCAATGCAATGAATTCTTGTGTTTTTGTGAAAAAGTGTGAAAATTTGTGAAAATGCATGAATAGAAAGAGAAAAAGATGTAATCGATTACATAAAAGAGAAAAAGTTGTCATTGCATAAAAGACGATATCATAAAACGACGTCATTTCATAGGTTTCTTTGTCCTTGCTATTTAACTTTTGTTTGTGTGCAACCAAAACCAACATTGAAAAGGATATGGTTGGTGCATATGATGATAAAAAATAGTTCAGTTAGTTCAAACATAAAGTCAAATGATCTTGACGCCATTGCATCGAAAAAAGTGACCAAAGACATGCTCGTCACTGCCCTGATTTACCACATGGCATCGCGTGAATTGACTACCTTCGATTACTTCGAATACTTTCGACTATGAAATGACTAATTTTTCAATTGTCGTGTTCAACAAAATGAGAACTTTGTCCTATGAAAATGTAGACACAAAGGTAGACAAGAAGGTAGACACAAATGTAGACAAAAACCGCATTGGCTATATTGATTACATTGACTATATGTTAAATGATGACACTCAAGACATGGCAAGATTGTAAAATTAGTAAGTGGATACTGTTCTGTAGGAACCATATGCTTTTGTACAAACCATTACAATATTATCATGCATGATGGTAAAAAATATTTTCTTTAACTTTGAACAGACAAGTTAGAAACTCCCAGCGCCATTAAATTGACTACGAACATGCGCGTTGTTGTTTTGATTCACCACATGCAATGTCTGACATTGTGCATACTTTATTGGTCTTCCTCCTTTCGCTTATATCATTTATTCTCCTGCAATGTTAGAGTTGAACAACTATAATGCGTAGTAAGTCTCTTTCTTCATCTTTGCAATGATGGTGACGAAGAACAAGATAAACACAGTATTAAATGTGAGCCTCAAGAGAAAAGAAGGCAATGTTGTTTAGTCAGAAACACTTGACATGTTTTAAACGGTTTTCCAATTCACCCGTCTGGCCGAGTGGTAAAGATGTCGGTGCAGTGCTCTCACCTTCTCGGGTTCAAGACCATCTAAGGTTCAAGATCTCCTTTTCTTTCGCTTCACATTGTAAAAAATTTAACAAATACTCCAAAAAACATAGAGCTTTCGATGATGAGCGGTTAGCTCAACTGGCCGATGTTGGGCGTTTAGTTCGACATCAATGACCTCCGGTGCACAAGATCCTTGGTTCGCCCCTCTGCCAACACACTTGGCAGGTGTACGCGGCAGATGTGGAAGACAGAAAGTTGAACTGAGGAACGAGTGCCTGGAAGTAAGAAAGGGATGATTAGGGCGTTCTGTTTGCTCTTGGGTTTCCTGACTTTTCAAAATTTAAAAAAATAACTCCCTGATCACAGGAGTCATAAAAATTTGAGCAAAAGACTTAGTTTTTTTAAGAGTGGTTTTTTGCATGGGATCCTATCTTTTTTTTTTCTTCGCTCTCCTTCTCATCGGAGAGCGTTTTTTTCTGAATTTATACTAAGTGTCGCATTCCATTCTCGAAAAGTTTAGTAATAGAAATCCCATTTTTGTACTATTAACCAGCACTATTTCCTTATTTTCCTACTTCTTATTCATCCTTAGCATAGTTACATCTTATTCCAGACAGGGTTCGAACCTCCACTCTCAACCTCGAAAGGTTGTGTCTATCCACTAGACCAGAGAGTTCGTTGAAGACACCTGGTCATTTTAAAGTGCCATTCCTACCTTGAAGTATTTAATGCAAAAAAAAATTAGACCATTGAAGGTCTCGAATCAAAATCATAGCAGAACACTTTCAACTAAAGATAAAGGAACAAACTAAAAATCATATTCGTAGTCGAGTGTTGATATAAAGAGTGAAAGAGTAGTACAAAGAAATACATTTATATTAATGTTAGTTTGGTAATACATTAGCAATACATCTATAGTTACTTATATCTTCTTTACAAAAAGGTAAAGAGCAGCACGTTTTCTTGCGGCTAAGCAATGCAGATTTCTTTTAGCGGCTGCTGTCGATAAAAGCTTTATTAATCCAATGGCAGCCGATAACTTGTCTTCTTTTAGCAGCCAGATAACTTGTCTTCTTTTAGCTTTTATATAATATACATAGGAAATGAATTTTCCTATCGTTCCGATTTTGAGGTGTATTCTTTAGGAATGTCGATTTCACGAGTCATATCCTACATTTCAATGGTTTATGACACTTATAACATATCACCGCATATTTGACAAAGCAGCCATATTATCTCTAAACATTGTGTTGAGGAAATCAGATGTTGTAAAGAAACCAATCTGCATAGTCTTCACGGCGCTCTTGTTTGTTGCGTTACGCTATCACTCAATTCCATAGCTTCGATACAAACTGTATGCTTATCAAATGCTTAGATTTCGTCCGGTATATCCATTGACATTTAGTTTGTCTGGTAGACGTCGTTAACTCGTAGAAAGTCCGCTTTGATAGTTAATAATTTACGTTCAATCCACGTTGAGACTCCCTTCCAGTGACCGAATAATTCTCTCTCAACTTAAACGTTAACGTGGTCTTGCCCTTGTATCTTTGCCATTGCCCTTGCTGCTGCTGTTTCTGTTCAAATTTAGTCTAGGCAGATTTATAAGTGGAATTTATGTTCTTACACACATTGTTATGCATGCATAAGCGAAACAGATTAATCCTACAGTACAAAATTTTCTGTCTTTATAACAATGATTATTGTTGCACCTGACTGAATTTTCATTTATTGCTATTGTTGTTATGAAGTTTGATTGTTGATCTTAACGGCTGAAAGTGTTAAGCTCCACGACGTGCATAATTAACCTAATATTCACATCATCTCATCGAGAAATGCTTCAAAACTATCAACAGATTTAGAAATTTGATTCTATTCTATACCGTTAATGACTTTACCGCAATTTTCTAAATTATTTGAGTTCTCATCAGTTGCGTACGTTTTAGAAATGCCTTCCTCCAGCGAATGGACATGATCGTTGCCTGATAGTTCTCACAAATGCAGAAATCCACCAACTGATAAATTGGAAGAACTCGAAATTTTTGCTGTATGAGCGTTCTTTTTTTTGGGGCCGTATCGCATCCATTACTTTAGTTTTGTCAAAGCCATAAGATTGCCCTTCAGGAACGTGTTGAGAATATAATATTATGGTCAAGTACACAAACGATTACGTTTCTTCTTGTTTGACAGCATATTTTACAGTAGTCTTTATTCCCTTTGACTCGGCCATGGTTTCTTGATGTTCAAATATTATATTCATATTCTTCTATAAATACTGACCATTTGGAGCAAATTAACTGTTCTTTGAAAACACTTTATAGAGTCATGACGGTGTTTTACAAGAACTGGTCGATGTGATAACTTCAACATAAACAGCATGCCTTTCATATTTTTAAATATTGTGCGGTATACCCACAGAGAAATAGCTTTCTTTGTGGACGTCGTTGTGACTCTGCATTGATAACTTGCAATGTAAAGTGGAATTTCATTGAGAATCACTTCCAAACTTGACATAATAGTCGTCCTACATGCGGTCTCTCATAAATATCGGTAAATATTTCGGCTTGCTCTCGACCGGTTTATCGTCCAAGTTATCGTCAGTTTTCAAGTAATGTTGAAATGATCAATTATTTCTCTCCTTCTTGTGTACTTCCATTTCTCGCTCTCTCAGCGATTGCACTTGCTGTTGCATTAATTCACAACTCTGAATTCAGCGGTACTTTAATAGGCTTTGTTGTTAATTATTTAGACCTTACCTTGTGCTTTGTTCACACGTGTCTGATCATAAGCTTAAACGACAAGAGTTTTATTTCTTTTACCTTAGAGGTTTACGAAGACAAAGAAATTGGGATTTTTATTTAAATCTTTCTTTGTTCTTTTTTTAAATCATGTACTACTATTTTTCTTATACTTGCCCTTGCATAAATAACTATTTCATAATTCTTCGCTGATTGCCATTGTTTCATTTTTTGTTATTAGTTTTTCTATTTCACTCGTGTGAACCAGGCTAAACACATAATGGGTGTAACTTTATGTCTACCTTTATGCTTACCTTTTATGTCTATCTTTATGTCTATCTTTATGTCTACCTTTATGTCTACCTTTGTGTCTATCTTTATGTTTACCTTTATGTCTATCTTTATGTCTACCTTTATGTTTACCTTTATGTCTACATTTATGTCTATCTTTATGTCTACCTTTATGTCTATCTTTGTGTCTATCTTTATGTTTACCTTTATGTCTACCTTTATGACTACCTTTATGTCTACCTTTGTGTCAACCTTTGTGTCTACTTTTATGTCTACCTTTATGTCTACCTTTATGTCTACCTTTATGTTTACCTTTATGTCTATCTTTATGTTCTACCTTTATGTCTATCTTTGTGTCTATCTTTATGTTTACCTTTATGTTCACCTTTACATCACCTTTATGATCTACTTTATGTCTACCTTTGTGTCAACCTTTGTGTCTACTTTTATGTCTACCTTTATGTCTATCTTTATGTTTATCTTTGTGTCTATCTTTGTGTCTATCTTTATGTTTACCTTTATGTCTACCTTTACGACTACCTTTATGACTACCTTTATGTCTACCTTTATGTCTATCTTCATGTCTACCTTTATGTCTACCTTATGTCTATCTTCATGTCTACCTTTTTGTCTACCTTTATGTCTATCTTTATGTTTACCTTTATGTCTATCTTTATGTTCATCTTTATGTCATCTTTGTCTCTATCTTATGTTTACCTTTATGTCACCTTTATGATCACCTTTATGTCTACCTTTGTCTACCTTTATGTCTATCTTTATGTTCACCTTTATGTTCATCTTTGTGTCTATCTTTATGTTTCTTTATGTCTCTCTTTATGTCACCTTTATGTCTATCTTTATGTCTATCTTTATGTTCACCTTTATGTCTACCTTTATTTATCTTTATGTTCACCTTTATGTCACCTTTATGTTCACCTTTATGTCTATCTTTATGTCATCTTCATGTCACCTTTATGTCTCACCTTGTCTATCTTCATGTCACCTTTTGTCTACCTTTATGTCTATCTTTATGTTTATCTTTATGTCTACCTTTATGTCTACCTTTATGTTCATCTTTATGTCTATCTTTATGTCTATCTTTATGTCATTTATGTCTATCTTTATGTCACCTTTATGTCCACCTTTATGTCTATCTTCATGTCTACCTTTATGTCACCTTATGTTCTACCTTCATGTCTACCTTTATGTCTATCTTTATGTCTACCTTTATGCCTACCTTTATGTCTACCTTTCTGTCTACCTTTATGTCTATCTTCATGTCTACCTTTATGTTTACCTTAATGTTTAACTTTGAGTCTACTTTTATGTCTACCTTTATGTCTACCTTCATGTCCACCTTTTTGTCTACCTTTATGTCTACCTTTATGTCCACCTTTTTGTCTACATCTATACCTCGGAGACGTTTGTGAGAACTCTCGAGCATGTGCAAAACAGACGATTTACATGTACAAACCATCTAATGATACTCCCCGTTTCAAACCATTCACTAAATAAAGAGATTCTTGTTTAAATTGCAACGAGGAAAAATGAGCGACGCGCATGATGTATATGAGAAGTTCGTGGGCATAGCTAAGTGTCGACGTGGTTCATTTTATTTTTGCTTTCGTTTATTAAAAAGGAAAAAAACAATAAACAGCATAAGGAATGTAGTCACACAATGTTCTAGGAGTTGTTATAAACATGAACAAACACAATAAGAAATTTTAAAGGACGCCGATTCAGTGTTAACCTTTTAATAAAATAAAAAGGTATTTGATAGTTTCATTCTATAATATATAACATATGTGTACTATGTACGTTTGAATATGGTAGAAATAATCACACACGGAATACGTGTGCGCATAGAAAGACTTATGCTGAACTTCATTTCATGATATTCAGAAGACATTCATTTCAATGGACAATAAATCTTTTGGATGCTAATGTGTCAATATTACAGAAACTAGATAAGCCACAATCGATTTCCTCTTTGATGGGTCCTTGGAAAGTATATGTGATTATTGTATACAAGGTAAATGACCGTTACTAATTTTCTACTTAAGGTTACCACAATGATTATGCTACACATAATGAAAATTCTTCACCAGTGTAATGCAGTTCAATTTCCAACTTTAGACAAAAACGATCTAAAATAAAAACAGGAACTCTTTATAATAACATATAAATAAAGTGGAGAAAAATATAATTAGTCTGTTATGATGAATGAAATCATATTGTTTAACGTTGTCCTGTTTCTTTTACTTTAAATCGTTCATCATAAACTTTTACGGCGACAAACTAAAGTGTATATATGGGTTCTAAAGTGCTACAATCGCCAAAACTATACATTTATTTGACATTGTTAAATCATTCTTAGTATAACAAAGATTGTTTGTCATATACAAAACACATGGTGTCTCGAGTTTCCTGCTGTTATAGAGTGAATAAGAAGTAAGGAAAGATTACACAAAAATTCAACATCTCAAGTACAAAATGAACCTCATATGCTTTCCAAATGAAGGTAGGAACTTCGAAATATGGTTGTAAGTTATGCCATTGATTCTGCTTAAATTAACCCCATTAACTATTGGTTTACTTTTAACGAACGATATTGATATAACTCTACCTAACTACATTTATATAAAATCTTCCTTTCAAAACAAGGTACAATAAAAAACATTCAATGAAAGATCATTGTACATTGTTAACCGTACATATTCCACATTTGTAACACTGTCATGAATGCAAAGCCAATAGAAAACTTCGTGTCATTCATTCATGAACGCGGCCTTTTGTGTTAAAGCGCAGGTTGCTATGTAAAAATACTCGTAGCCACGTGTTCTCCCTTGAAACATTTGTATTTCATCAATGAATAAGAGGTTTGTACTTCGAAGTTTCAACACATTTAATACCTGTATTCAAGTAAAAGAAAGGCTTGCTAAAATCATGACGAAAGGTAAGCTTACAATAAGTCAAGTTAACATATAAACCATTTTTTACGTTACAATAATTTAATAAAAGCTTTCATGCTAGCTAATACTATATAAATAAAGATTTATGTACATGTTCGATTATTAAACATCAGGTAATACCTATGTGAGCGTGGAAATTATCGTAAAACATTATCATTATGAAACAATTTACAAACTTCGCATAAGAGTTTGTTTTCGTGGAAGGATTTGACTATAAAGAAATATAAATTTGTCACCGTGGTAGTTTTGTGTAGCATGCGCTAAAATTGCAAAATACGACGATAAAAAATCATATATGTAAATATATTTAACATAGAGCATTGCAGGACCCTGTAAATTTGATCTTAAGGCATTTCAATCTATGGTTTATACAGTTGAACACAAATTCATGAATGATTTGTAGAAAGGCACAAAAGAATAATTCACTGGGGCTTAGAAACACAACGTTTTATCAAAACATGTTTCTTTAAATTTCTTGTTTAAAACAAACTTTACAAATATGATCTCATTTGGAACATTTATGATTGTTCTTCCAGAAGTTTTGCGACTTGCCTCGTCTACTTTAAAACATAATTAGATATACCGCTAACTCATGCATACTAAACTTGCTCAAGAGACAAAGCAACGCGAACGCTAACAATTGTGACTCACATATACGATGCCCAGCTTGTGACTTCTGATTGGTTTTGAGTTGAGATACATCCTCTGAGCGAGAACTGACATGCGTGGAACGAAAGCTTAAAAAGCTCAGAGGACACAATACATCCACCTGCTCGCTACGTCGATTATTTTCTTAGTTTTGTACATGAAGACAAGGCACGAGATTCTTACGGCGGTATGGATGAGTTGAGTCATGCAATAGCAAGAGAGTTGACACCAGTTAACTTTCAAAACTCTGAGAACAACACCAGTTTGTTTGTAAGACCTTTGAAAGACGACATTTCTCAAGAAAAGACAACGATTTCGGAACAAGTGTGCTTAACAGAGGACGATTTCCTCAACGAAAACAAGTTTCGAAATTCGTTTAGCCTCCAGTCTCCACTCGCTTCAGACAACAATAAAAAACCAAATATTTCAAGCGAACTAAGGACAAGCTACACAAGTAGTAGTACATCAACTAACTCTATGTTTCATAATCTTACTCCAGGCAGTTTGTGGACTACGCCAACCAGCGAAGATATACAATCTCAGACAATAGCAATGTCTTTCACTGGCAATCAACCCAATCATTTTCACTTATCGAAACAGAGCAGAATTCCAAACACAAATTATCCAACGATGATGTCGACACATCCAGGCAAACGAAACATAAATGGCTACTCTTTCTTGCCAATAGGCAGTCCTTCAAAGCCTCTATCACCGTGGAATGGGACTTCCAATGGACATCAAGTTTCTCCTTGGCAACAGTTTACGGGATCTTCTGGACCTTGGCCATATCACTCTACAACAAGTTACTCGACAATGACAAATCAAGCGAGCGTAATTGGTCAAAGACATAGTATGGGAAACAGTCGGTCGCCATTTTCACCCTTGACCCCAAGACAAGTTCGTGGACACCGATCACCATTGAACGGTCTGTATTCGCGATCCGTTTGTACGACAACAAATCTAACACAAGGCCTGCAAGGAATGAGTCTCTCTGAGAGACCCATTGATGGAACAGTTGTAGGCGACTCAGGAATACTTGGTATATCAGGAAATTTAACGGAACTATCAAACTCACTCTACACGGTGAGTTTTAAATATATTTTGATGTTGACCGTTGTTGCCACTTTTAGAAAAATCACATATTTTTCACCCGTTCTTTATTTGGACTTAAAAAAATCAAGGAAATGAATACGAAAAACTGGTACTTTAAAATCTATTAAATTTAAAAGACACAAAAAGGAATTTTGACAAAAAATATTGTTCGCGCATTCCCTGCATTTATGACTGAAATAAAAATTCAAGAGTAATTTTATTAGGAAGAAAAAAACCTATTTCTCTCTTATACGTATTAAGGTAAAGCAAAACTATATGATCTTTAATAAAAACAATGTTTACAACCGATAAATCGTGATGAAAATGAATAAAGACTCATATTTATCTTCTTAAACGTTAAAAAATATTTTACGTTCGTAATCTATATGAAAAACATGCATCGCAGAGGACAAATTTTAAAAGCGAAGTTTGACGACGCATCTTATTTCACATGGTAATTTTCCGGCTGTGAAAAAAACAGCTGCATGTTTTAAAGTAAATAACAGCATCAGAGAGAGATTATTTCTTGATATGACACACATATATATATAGGACGCGTGCAGTACACATGTTCGGTTTTATGATCAGTTTTAAGTATCAGTTTGCATGTATTGATAAGTTATTTTAATTTTTCTTACAGGAAAAAAACAATCAACCAAAACTGTCAAATCTAGAAAGTAGTTTACTTGACATTATAAAATCTCCATCAACAGAGTGCTCAGATAATTTAACAGGTATGTCAGAATTTCATTCAATTGATTTTGGTTGGGTCATGAAATTAGTAACCAGACTACGTTTATAAACGTGATTGCGTTGTCGTAGAAAATTGAAATCAAAGACATCAAAATTTATAGGAAGTTAATTTCAAAGTCTTTCACCGCATGCAGAATATAAAAACGTGAAAAAAAGAATTGTGATCGTATACTGGCTTAAGAACTTTTCATTATTTTCGAGCGATGAAGCAAAATTAATTTCATATTTCGTCTGAGTTGCATTCTGTTCACAATTTAAAAGATTAATTTCGACGTATTGTTTTCATATGCATGCAAATAAGAAATAATTACTATTAATGAGTTACGAAATAAATACTTAAAATCAAAACGTTATAGCTATACGCTGATGAAAAACATCTATTCGAAACCTTTTGTAAAGAATATGAATTTGCTACACTTTTCCAAAATATATTTAAACAAAATTCAATTTAAAAATTTCAAATGCGTGGTCATCAAAGCTTTCGTTTTTAAAATTTGGCAAGACACATTTCATGTAGACATCGACCAAATTTTAATAAAACAGTTTCGTTAAACTGCATGCAACATTTTCTTTTAAGACATACCTCCCTTCAGACATAAAATGAATTCTTTATCAAAAATGAATCTTTCACTTTGATTTCGATTTTTATTTTGTTTTCACGAATTTTACTCGCCTACACAAAACACAAGTAATTAAAATGGAAAAAGTAAACGAAATTTTTCCTAACTATATTTCTCCCTGTTATCACCTGCATAAAAAAATCAATTTTCTTATCTATGTTCGCAAACATAAAGAACAACGGTGCGAACACATTGTCACAGGTATCTACGTGAATGCATGAATGAAAAAAAGAAAAATGGCTGAATAATGAAAACTTTCTCGATAGGAGACAGTAAAAAGTCTTCTATTTTGTTTCGTTGGCATTATATGTCGAATGACAATCGCCATGATTTCAATCTGTTCATTTTTGTTCGTCCTGTGTCTTTTTTTATGAACTAAATACACTAAAATTTCCTCCCATAACAAAGTGAGAATGACTTATACAATACTCCTAACGAGAATTTTTCAGGATAGATACCAATGTGTTACCACAACGAACATATATTTAAATGTCTTCAAACATACCGCAAAATACCATCCAGTAAAATACTTTTTAATCTTTAACTTGCAGCTTTCCGAGCACAACTGCAAAGAAAATCTTACAATCAAGGTAGAGCTCTCGTTAGAGCACTGAGCACATGTTGAATAAATAAACTAGATCATGAAATAAAAGATATTTTTTATTAATTTTCTTTTTTTAACGGCAGACCAAACAGTACCTTCTCTGGGCTCTTCTTTAAATACATCGCCAAAATCCGAAGATTTACTAGAACGATACTCGAGGAAAGTCTTCGTTGGTGGCCTTCCTCCAGATATAGATGAAGGTATACTATAATAAATATATAAAAACAATTATTGCTAATATAGAGATTCGTGTAATATTTTATTTCCTCATGTAGTTGAAATTCATGCCAGTTTCTGTAAATTTGGGAATCTCACTGTCGACTGGCCACATAAAGCTGAGAGTAAATCATACTTTCCACCCAAAGGTAAAGATGAGTATCTCTATTTCTGATTGAATACATTCATAATGTGAAATAGCTCTGAAGGTTTTACAAATATTATTTCATTACCTTTATAGGTTATGCATTTCTACTGTTCTTGGAAGAGATTTCTGTGCAACGTTTGATAGAGTCTTGCATTGAACAAGATGGTAAACTCTATTTGTGTGTGTCGAGTCCAACAATCAAAGACAAACCTGTAAGTTTGTTCGTAATATCGTTCTTGTTTTACAACTTTGTAATGCTGGTAACTCTTTCCCCGATGTACAACAACGTCCCAAAACTTATGTAAGTGTGTTATTTCCATTTTCCCCGATGTACCACAACGTCCCAAAACTTATGTAAGTGTGTTATTTCCATTTTCCCCGATGTACCACAACTTCCCAAAACTTATGTAAGTGTGTTATTTCCATTCTCCCCGATGTACCACAACGTCCCAAAACTTATGTACGTGTGTTATTTCCATTCTCCCCGATGTACCACAACGTCCCAAAACTTATGTACGTGTGTTATTTCCATTCTCCCCGATGTACCACAACGTCCCAAAACTTATGTACGTGTGTTATTTCCATCACCATTTCATCAGGTTCAAATACGTCCCTGGTCATTAGCCGATGCCGACTTCGTTATGGATGCATCACAAGTATTGGATCCACGAAAAACCATATTTGTTGGTGGTGTACCTCGTCCATTACGAGCGGTGGAGCTGGCGTTGATTATGGATCGTCTTTATGGAGGTGTGTGTTATTCAGGGATTGATGTGGATCCTGAGCTCAAGTATCCTAAAGGTTAGTTTACTATCGAAATATAAAGTAACAATTGATAAAACATTAAATATCTATATAATTCAGGTGCTGGTCGTGTAGCATTTTCCAATCAACAGAGTTACATTGCAGCAATCAGCGCTCGTTTTGTTCAACTACAACATGGAGACATTGACAAAAGGGTGAGCATTATCATGAATGATGAAAGAAAATAATCTTTCACTCAAAATTACACATATACGTAAGCTAGTGACGCTTATATAGAAAGAAACTAAATTTATTTGAATATTGTTAGCGCCACAAGAATTAAAGTCACAATCACAACAACGAAAAAACATAGCGTTTTCTTTATCACAGGTTGAAGTAAAACCATATGTTTTGGATGATCAAATGTGCGATGAATGTCATGGAATTTGCTGTGGAGGAAAATTCGCACCATTTTTCTGTGCTAATGTCACGTGTTTACAGTACTATTGTGAGCATTGTTGGTCCTTGATCCACTCTAGGCCAGGGCGCGAGTATCATAAGCCGCTGGTCAAAGAAGGGGCAGACAGACCTCGAAGTTTGCCCTATAGATGGTGAAAAATGCATGAATTTTTTTTATTTCCATATGTTAAACTAAGTACCAGCAAGTGATTATTATGTATAGCGATTCATTTTTTCTAAAATTGAAGAGGATCAAGATAATTTTCAACGTCATTTGTGGTTATATTTTCATGTCAAATCGCTATACAATCATATCACTTTAAATTTTATCCTTCGTTATTTCAACCACGCATGTGCTGGTCTCGGTGTTTGTGTTCCATTGCTATTGTTAATTCTGGTTTACATGAAGTTTAAGCTTCGGAATAGTTGGGTTATTTTAATTTCAAAAGTTATATTCTTAAATTTGTATACTAAAAAATATCAAGTTATTTTACCATAATTTTCAAAAAAGAATAATATATTTTAGATGCAGACAAAGTACTCAAAAATTTCATAAAATGATATTTAACTTGGGTAGCTATATAACGTCATAATGACGGCAAAATTTTAGTTCAAATCAATGAACAATCACTTTTCTGGCTTTGAGTGCTTGATGCTATTTTAAATGAAAAAAAAAATCGAATTATAAAGATTTTTTCAATAAATCATTTATATAAAGTAAAATTTCAAACTTAAAAAATATGATGATGATGGTTTTTGAGCAGATAGTCATAGAGGGGGATAAAATGAAATCAAAAGTTAAGTTAAAAAGTTTTCGTGATTTTTCATGGTATAATCGTATTAATAGATCTATCATTTCTCAACATGATAAACTTCAATGTATCTAAATTCATATTTTATGTCAAAATATCATAAGAGATAAATTCTTTTTTTCTATTGTTTTTTCATCTATCAGCTTGTAAACATTTGCGATACTTTTTGCACTAAATGTTTGAATTCATTGCAAACATTATTTGTCATGTTCATTATTACCACTGTAAAAAATGAGTTGTTAAAATTTATATAAGGAGGAAGGTTACCGCCATTTTTTAGTCTTTTTGCTAAATATACCATGTAAGTAATGATTATATATATTGGCGACATGTAAACTAGTTTGTAGTTTGATATAAGTGAAAGCACTCCATTTATTTATGAAATTTATCGTTAATATAGTTTGTTTTGATGTAATTAATGTAAATTGTTTGAAGATATTTTGATGGTTATTTAAAATATATTCATTAAAAACTCAACAGGTATGCAGTAATTTAATTTCACCAGTCAACACAAGGATTTCTGCCTTTTACCTTTTATCCCAATATAACCATCATCATCCTTACTTAATATCAATGGTCACACTTTCTTCATCGATGTGTGAATACCAACAACTATTCTCCAAAGTACACAAACCTTTTTTTGAATCTCTTGCATTCGAATTTCAAAATTTTAACGTTGGTCTGCGTCACTTTCCCGCTTTTTACGTTTTCCTTGATTTCGTAAACGTTTCTTAGCCAAGTCATCTGAATCTGCTTTTCTTTTTGCCCTTAAAAAATAATTTCCATGTTTATCTGTTGCTATATAAAAGATAAGAAGGCACAACGATGCAACAAGAATCCTTTTGTATTCCATATTATTCCCTCGTGTTGCTATAGAAAAGTCCACAAGAATCCTTATGTAATCCTCACTATTCCCTAATGTAACCAGTTAATGTCATAAGAAAATATATTTAAACAACTAAGAATGGACAAACAACAATACCTGGCCTTAGGACCCCATTCTGGTTCGGGGTTTTCTGGAAATCGCACCATTTTTAGTTGCTTTGAGACAGGGTTTGCTTCAAAGTGAAACTCAAAACTGACTTCAGTTTTAGGTGCGATTTTTAAGATATCAAAACCTGGAGATCTTTCGTGATTTTTCTTTGATGGATGATCCTTGACCCACGTCCGCATAATGTCCCAAATAACTACAACAGAAAACACGAGGATAACTGTAATGGAAAAGGACAAATCTGTAAAAATATCGTATTATGTAAAATGTTGAATAAGAAAAAGAGGACGATACTAAAAGAAGAGAAAAAATAAAAATATAAAAGAGTTAAGCTATAAGCTACGATTGTTCTCACCGTTACTTGGAGCGTTTGTTTTAATGGCAAGTTTAGCGGCATGAGAACCTGAAACTTTGTATCCACATCGCAATATTGCTGAACGCAGTTTAATCATTGATGGAGTTGTACAATGAACAATGGAGCTGAGATGATCAAGGGTGTAATAAAGAGGAGAATGGGGAAGTTCTTCAGTTATCAACGTCAACATTCCTGTAAAATATAATAATATCGAATACAGAATAAAATAAAAACAAGAAACGATAACATGTATGGACAATTAACGTGTACGAAATGGACGCTTGTTTCTAGTCTTTTAAACAAACAACTATTTTCTATTATAAAGGTGAGTATAGACCAGGAAATGACAGTGTTTATCGTAAGTTAGAGTGTTTTCGTGCATCATTTAAATTAATGCACATAAAATCCATCTACAAGTAGATAATGATCAAATACAACAGATCACGCTAATGATAGAGAGATATCACACAGATGGTTTTATAATTAGGCCATTCATGGCTCAACATAAGTGGCCTAGTTACTTACGCTACGCAAATATGTGTTTACTGACCCGCAAGAACAATATATCTCTAAAGAAATGAATGGTGATAATATTTCCAAATTGACAAAGCGAGAGTAAATCTGCAGGCTGGCTACGCTACTGATAGTCTGTATCTCACATATATCAATTTAATAAATGCATCTCTACAAACCAATTATTCTTTCTGAAGTTTTATAGCTCTCACGATTCATCTTGACTTTCTCCAAAACTTTATTGACAAACTGAAGATCATGAATAGGTTCAGACCATATTGGTCCACCAACATGGAATTTTCTTCCACAATGTTCACATGTTTCTCCTACGGGTGGACCAACACCTGGGGATATTTCTTCGAATTACCAACTTCAATTCTTTTACCAACTAAAATGAAGAGATAATGACAAGTGAACCTTTTCAAACATATAGCAATGTTTATATAAGAAATGATAATTTGTGTTCCTTAGTTGAAAATTGATATGTTCCAGTAAGACTTAAACTCCATGACAAAATAGGCTACAGAACAAAATCTCCAAAGTGTGTAAAACAACCAACCAACAATCATTTTTTTAATATAAATATATTCATGTGCAAATAAGATAATCCCAAGGGATCATATATGTTTTGATATTTTTAAATAGTGTAGTGGATTAAACAATACATATAATTCCATCCTCATAAGATAAAAGTCAATTTCCAATTGCAATTATCCAATGAATATTCTTGCCAAAAAATGAGGTATGTAATAAGCAAACCTGGTTGAAAGAAAAAACTTCCACATCCAATGCAATGATAAACTAATGATTTCTTGCTTGCAGATCTCTTCACTTCTGATGCACTGGTAAAAACTTGAACAAAAACACGTATGTAGAAGTCTGCACTGATGGACAACAACGGAACAATGTATCTTTTATAGTGGTTTGCATGTGACTCAATGCTTGATAAAATAATCCTCAAAGCCTACAATGTTTAAAATATGATTTAATGTCAAGTTGAAGTTGTTCTCTGGTGTAATTCATGAAAATTACTTAATAAGAAATGTTGACTAAACTTACCATTTCATGACAAAACTTTCCTTTCAATGACATACTTCCATATTTTGCATAACAAGCCTCACTGTGGTTACCACAAAGTACTGCCATATCTGTGCATGTGACAGCCAGAAGACCACCATCAATAATACATTGGACAGCACCATCTAGGAATTCTGCTGGAGAACCATACGGATCAAGGTCAATGACATCAAATCGAGACATGACAGGATATCGATGTTGATACATGACTAAACTGAAAAATGTGTGAAACATGATGACAACGAACAGACATAAAGTGAAAAAAATTTGCAATTTCCCTCAAGGGTTTTAAGAAGGAAGAAAAAAGGGTTCATATCCTCATCTTTTTCTTTACTTTATATCTCATTGTTCTTACCTAGCATCCATTTGAAGTGGTTCAACCAATCCTGACACATTATTTTCCTCAATATTCTTCTGCATAAGTTTAACAGCATCAATGCTTATATCAGTTGCAATTACCTTTTCAATGCCAGGTATCTCCAGGGCATAACGTATAGAGCGCAACCCAGATGCTGCAAGGCCTTCAAAAACCACAAAACCTGGAGTTTCTTTAGAAAAAAAACCCAATTTACTGCAGTTGGTTCCAATTATACTGATTGTCAATTATAATTGGAAATTATTTGTCAACATACCATTGCTTGACTGTTCTGTTTGTGAGACATCCGTATCTTTGTTGTCATTGTTGTTCGTCTTTTGCTTCTTTTTCTTTTCGTATTTTACCGTTTGGGGAAACAAATCTTCTTTAAAAACGTGAATACAAGCCACACTTACATCTCTGTTAAAAACTTGAACAGGATTATAAAAGACTTCGTTCGAGTTGGGAAATGTTATTAATGCTTTTCCTTCTATAACTTTATGACTCGTCGATATTTCGGCCTCCTTCGACATCACTAAGTCAAAATACAACAATAACACGAGAAAATCACCAGAACTTTTCAAACAAAAACTTTGCCAGCTAACACATGGAGTTATTTACAAATTTGAATATGTAAATAATAACTTGGAATAATTAAATATAAAAATTTATATTTGTAAATAAATTATATTACAGGCTAAAATTTTACCCACACGCTCTGTGACGGTATGAAGGTGTGGGAAACATTGGTGGAAACTACCGATGGTGGGGAGCTAGTAGACAGAAACGATGAATTCTAAAGACAAAAAGAAACGTCTTGTTAATACAACATCAAAAGAAATATGCCCTTTACATTTATTTTCTCATGTTGACATTAGACATTTGCAGACTCAAATTTTGCATTGGTATGAATTGAACAAGAGAGACCTACCCTGGCGCAGGCGGGGTGCACAAGAGGAGGATAGGAACCGCAGAGGATACGCCATCTGGGTTTCTGAGGTTATGCTACAGCAAACACAAGTTGCTACAGTCATAAAATATTACAATAAATGGATGGACTGCTGGCCAACTATGCAAGATTTATCTCAAGCTAGTTTAGAAGAAGTGAACAAAATTTGGGCAGGTTTGGGATATTACTCTAGAGCAAAAAGATTACACGAGGCTTGCAAAAAAGTGTGTAAAATTGTTATATTGTGTTGTTGTCTTGTGTTTGTTATTGATAATGGTTAAATGTCCATCATTTTTTAAGGTTATAAATGAAATGAATGGTGAATTACCATTGAATGCTGAAAGTTTGATGAAATTCCTACCAGGTGTAGGTAAATACACTGCCGCAGCTATTTCATCAATTGCTTTTAATGAATCAGTTGGTCTTGTTGATGGAAATGTCATACGTGTCTATCACGTCTTCGAATAATTGGTGCTGACTCTTCCAGTAGTGTAGCAATGGAAATATTTTGGAAACTTGCTGGAGATCTTGTGAGTAAAGACCAACCTGGAAATTTCAATCAGGCAATGATGGAATTAGGTGCAACAATATGTACTCCAAAGTCTCCAGACTGTCCTAAATGTCCCATCAAGGGTATGTGTCTTGCTTACAGACAGTCACCAAAGTTCCAACGAAAAATAACTAACTTCACCAACTCTCACAAACAACTATCACAACATTTAAATGTGACAGACATTGAAGATACATTTACGTCAGAAGAAGATACATATTTTACCAACAACTGTGAGCTATGTCTATCAAAAGATTCTTTCAATTCTGAACTAGGAGTTTGCAACTACCCAAAAAAAGTGAAAAGAAAAGAAGTTAGAAAAGAGACAATCGTCGTTTGTATCTTAGAAGTTTTTATAGTGGTGAAACTCATCTGTTTTTAATCAAAAGACCTGAAAATGGAATGTTACCTGGCCTATGGGAATTTCCAAATTTCATAACTGAAAAAGTACCTCCATATAAGAATGAAATCAAGAAATTCATGAACGAACATTTCGAGATGAAGGACGTTTCAATAAACGAAAGAAATGCAAAATTTCTCGGCGTTGTCCTTCACCTCTTCTCACATAAACAACACACGTACAACGTCCATAAGATTGCTATCCTCGCAAAGTCTGAGCTGCCAATTTTGAAGTCTGTGAATGGTTTGGAAACGAAATGGGTGAACGAGAAAACGTTTGAAGTTAGTGCCATATCGACTGCAATGAAGAAAGTTTACCTTTTTCTAAAAATGGAGGAGAAGTGAAGAAGACGAGTAGAAAGCGAAAACGCGGAACAGAGCATCCTACAAAGAAACAAGAGATTCTAGATGCGTACTGTATAAAAACCTGACTTTCTATGAGATAAGCTACGTATATTATAGTCAGAATAAATACATGTTATTTAGATACTTGTAAATTAAAAACCATTCCCTATTTTAGTCATGATTTATACCTAAGATTTATAATTATGTTATGTTGATTTGAAAGCCTCGATTTGACCAGCTCTGCCAGATCACAATTTTGTAGTGGGGATAAAAAATATGTCAAAGTTTGGCTCCTAAAATATTGTTACGATAATTTGATAAAATTGTTGATTTAACACGCGGGAACAGAGGAAGACCACTTTTGAAGCTTACAATATCCAAAATTTTCGTCATTGCCTGCAAAGGAAAATAAAAACCTGTATCGTATGAACGAAAAAAAATGTCTCAACAACTTTACCGGCAATTCAGTGGAAGTATCATCATCAGAAACCAATTCATCCGACTTCTCTGAACATTGATCTTTTTCTATGAATGGATAGAATAATTGAAAAAAACTCGTTCAAATAAACTAAAAATAACCAACTATTGCAGCTAACCAAAGTTTACTGGCAAAACATGAACAGATAACTTGTGTCTTCGCTTTGACGACTGTGAAATCAAATTCTAGGAAAGAGAAATTCATAGCAATGTAGATTGTATGCAAACAAATTTGTTCATAATCAATCCAATCAAATAGATACATTGTAAAAATAAAGTATTTTTGTCTTGGTTATTGTGTACAAAAACGCGACTTCTGTCGTATCTATAAAAGAAAACGACAAAAATATGGAAACACAAAAGTTGATCATAAGAACAATTTCATTCCCACATAACATATATATATATACCTCTGTTAAAATTATACTGCTGTGAAGAGATCTCCGACCAATATCGTACAGATTCAGCGTACAATTTCTTGGGTTTTTCAAGACGTTGAACGGCTAAAGATTCTTTGAAGTTTTCAAACTCATCAGTTTCCATTGTGAGCAACTTTTCCTATGGTTAAAAAATTACATTCTCTAAAACGTTATTTCACTGCAAACTAAGACTAAAACAGAACGAAAAATCTCTACGGTTGAGCCAAAAGTACCATAAGCTATACAAAACACTATAAGTAGAATTAAAGTTTTTTCTAGCACATTTCTAGTGACTGTAAATCATGTTTCACGTCAAAGTACACCTTTACAGTGAGAAGGAAATTTTCCACTCTTGAATCTAAATACTTTGGATCTTTGTCAGATTGTATTATAAACCTCACACCCTAAACGATAAGAGATATACATAAAGTTCTAGACACATTCTTGCAGGAGAATTTATTTACACTGTAAATAATTTATCCATTCTCACTGAAGATGATTTATATTTAAATCAAAACATGTTTGAAAATAAGTTTCAAATTTGCTGTCGTTTATTTAAAATGTTTAATTAGTATTGTGCTGATAAGATCATATGTGGTAGAATTTATTTACTATTTGAAGTAATTCAAACCTGGACCCCATTTGCTCTTCGTACTCCGCTCATTACAATATAACCTACAAAATACCCCGACATATCAAACAAAACTTAATGAAATGTACAAGAGAAAATAAAGTTATCGTCATGGTAAGATGGAAGCTTTAACCCACCCCCCTCCCCCTCGCTCATGTGTTTTGTATGCACCCTTATAAGGAAGATATGACAAGTATACATTTTACCTAGTTGTTCCTTGGTACGGAGAATGTCAAAACATGATTCCGAAATAATTTTACAAAACAATTCAAGGAGCATGTTAGTTTCGCATGACTGTAATTCACACTACATATGAAAAAGAAAGATTATAACGTCAATAGATGGTGAATGAAAAAACTGTAAATCTAACAAATCTTATCTGACTTGGTAATAAATTTCCAAGCAGCAACTTTTGTGAACCTCGTTTTCAATTTCGTAGAGAAGATCTACTCCTAAAGAAATAAAAATGCAGAAAACAGCCATGAAAAGCAAATGATTTTGAGTGTGATTTTTTTCTGAAAAATTACCATCTGGTAGTTGAACTTCTCTATGTTTCGTGAGTTGTGAAGGAACCAAGGCTTTGCTTCCTGAATTTTCAATAAATATACTTTCTACCTTTCTTGCAATATCAATAGCTTCCTTGAGAATATGTCATGGACAGTTAGTGGCATCAATAAATAACCTTCCGCCTTCTTCACAATTCTATAAAAATTAATTCTATGTACCTCTTCCGTTAAGTTTCCATGGAGTAAAATTTCAACATGAATTCTTTTTAAAAATTCGCTGATAAATTTCTCAAATACTTCTTCTGTGATATCTGTACGTACGTAAGTGTTTAAAACATTAAAAAATATAATTATCATAGCGGATATCTGCCATCAATATTTAATGGTCTTAACTACAAACAGACCTGCCATGGCGTCCAAAAGTTCCTCGTTGGACCAAGCAAGTTCTTCTAGTATATATGACGTGTAAAATATCGCATGATGATGAGGTTGTTGAGCTCGAAAGTTTTTTAAAGAACGTTCACACTACATATGTCAGAATAACATTGTTTTGGAGGAATGATTGTTCAAAACCATCTAAAAAAGGTCAAATTTGTCTACCTTCTCTTTCAAAACTCCATATCTCTTAGAATCCAGAGTGAAATTGGTTAACTTTTGGATAATCTTCAGCAGAAACATGTCTTGTTTATCGTTGTATCCGCTAACAGATAACTGAAAAAAATTGTTCCACATGTTAAATATTTATATCTTGAATCATGAAATCGTAGAGTATGATATGAAATGAACAAGACAAGGAATTGTTTCAACAGAAAAATTGGTTACATTAATGGTTGTACATGAAACGCAAGACTCTGCGATGTATGACTAAAGTACGGTAGAATTTCGTCTTAAAATATGGCGAATTAGGAGATTAAATGGACCAACATATAAGCATCCTAAATGAGGTTATGCAATTAACCAAGGTCAATAGCCATGGAACAGCGAGCAGATCTGGGCACGAGACCGCCTGCGGTTAGAACAAAGCATCAGATAATAAAATACAGTAAGGTTCATGTCATTAACGAAGTACGCTTGCGGAATAAACATCATTATTTAAGTTTTTTTGTTGTCTTTTCCACTAAATAATTGGTGTGATCAGGTGCAGAAGTGTGGTGGTCAAGTTCTTAAGGAGTAAGTTTAAGGATAAACCTTAACTCCAAGGCACTCAGCATGACTTAACCATGTCTGTACTTAATTATCCACTCACCTAAGTATGACATCATAATATGACGTCAGATATTAAGCGGCCATAAAGCTGTAGTCTTTATATTCTTATATAAGGAAAGGTAATAAAATTTAAATTCTGTGAATAACTCACATTGATTCCGTAAATATTCACATTGACGGAGTATTTCAAGCCAGCCAATTCAGCATCATATGCGTACTCGGTAAGAGAATCTTTGAACAACATCACGAATAATCTGTTCATATTACAATGTAGTGGATCGCGGTAAGCCAACGGACTAGAAAACCAAAACACTCATGAAAAGGGATGGAAAAATAAAAACACACACAGAACATTTACACACCGGGAACACACACAGAACATTTACACACCGGGAACACACACAGAACATTTACACACCGGGAACACACACAGAACATTTACACACCGGGAACACACACAGAACATTTACACACCGGGAACACACACAGAACACTTACACACCGGTAACACGCACAGAACATTTACCTGGTAATTTGAAAAAATGCGCATGATTTTGGAACAAAAAATAAATCATCCTGCTTAAACCATACTCGCATTAGAGGACCGTTCTAAAAATCAGGCAAGACGGAAAATTTAGCGGAAATCGCAGTGAAAATAGGTAGCCGACTAAAGAAATACCTTTATCATTTCTGGAACATTCTTCTCCTTCAAAAAGTGAAGAGTAAAACGAGAACAAATAATATTCACAACAAAAACAGGTTCATAGCTTTATATGTACTTACTGAAGCAACGTCTTTTCGTGGCTTTATATCAAAATTTGTAGCAATAAACTTGTTCGGCTTTGGTAGATTGAATGCTTGATTTAAATCTACATTGGACCATTTCTGTCATTGAAAAACAACCAAAAACAATTAGGTCATACAGGAGTGCAAGGTGAGATTTAAAAAAACCATAAAAAAATACCTGAATTACATCAGATGGTATTTTTGTCAGTTTGTATTGCGTACCGTACCATTTCTCTTTTTTATCAAATATCTTCTCAAATGTCTTTGAAACTACAAATACGCTTCTCAAGACAGAAAATTCCAAATCAGAAGTAAGTTTGCGGCAGGCTGCTTGTCAAACAGAGGGCGAGCTTTCTCGTGAGGAATACAAACATCTCTTGTGACTTTACCGTAATTTTTCGGGACGAAGTAAATTCAATAAGTCGGAAACCATTTTTTCATCAAATTCATAAAGGAGATAAGGTCCACACAACACATCCGTCATTTTATAATTCTAAAAATGAATAAAGTAAATAAATTGAGATGCAAAAAATCGTTATATAAAGTTCATGGATTATTCAACTTGCATGTAAACATTTTGATGCGTTAACCACGAACTGAACTGGTTTCTCTTTATCTTTAAAACGAAAATGCATCGCAGCCAATGCCTTTAAACATACATTTGAAAGCATTAAGAAGACGTATACATCAAAAATGTTTGGAGGGAGGAAGAACGTAGCAGTCCAAAAAAACAAACCTGAACTTCCTTAAATATCCAATCTTGAGGTCCTAACTCTTGAAGCATTTTTATATATTGAAACACGCTAGAAATTATATCATCAACATGTTCTACAAAAAACAACAAATGACAATGTTTTGAATGAAAAAAAACATCTTCCTATGCGCATGTTCATTTATAATATCAGTACCCAGTCCTTTTTCTGTGATGTCCATTTCGCAAATAAAGAACATAAAACCTTTAGCTCCGTCTATATTTCCAGCAGCAAGAGTGTTCACCCAACCTGCACGAAGAAAAATAGTGAGTAATTCTAGGAGGGAAAGCAACATCAAATGTCAATAGCTCTCACCCTGTTCCTTTAAAAATGATAACAAACTGCCATTTGACTCGTGTCCAAGCAAATGTGAAATACACTCCCCAGGCTATACATATTCAAAAGAAAAAGTTAGTCAAGAATGATCCACCATCATGTTTATTGTGAACGTAATGTCGAGAGTGTACCTTTGTTCTGTAATGGGACGAAATATCAGGAAAAGGAAACAAAAGTTTCAACTTTCTAGAATCCATAACGGGAACAACATGAAACTTAACCTAAAAATAAAACAATAAAGTTTCTTTGTAACGTTGCTCATCTTAAAAGAAACGTTGTACAAGATACATAAAGTCACCTGCAAATGATCTTCCTTGAAAGGATGATAATCAAACAATGGAACAGTAACATTGGAATTTTTAACATGACTGAAGAAACGACATACCATGGACATCAAGTCATTTAACGACTCTAAGAACAAAAATATCGTGAGATGTACTCGCAAAACGGAAAATATTCTGTAAAGCCAATTATAAGACAATCGATAATCGATCGAGAACAGGTAGTCAATGATTATTTTCACATGATCGATCAGTGAACGGTTGCACAAAGCCTTGTGGAACGTTATCCATTTGATCGTATTTTTTTTCAAAATTGTAAAATAGGCGGTCATTTTTTTCTTTACGATAATGTAACTTTGTATTCTAGAAATAATATTGTACTAATGCATTCATTATCCATTTCAAATTGTGGATTTTTCACTTTGAAAGATTGCTATCCAATGGATGGCGCTATTCGACCTTCGTACAACCAGTCCAAGATATGAAACTAGGCAGTTCATGTTACGCAGCTCTTATCATACCTTTTCCAATGACAGTTAAGGCCATAATATTTGATGAATAATATTTTTCATGAAACTCTAGCAATGCCTTCTGAACATCAATGCCCATTTCTCGAGGTTTTGTCTCCAAAGTCGTTTTGCTACCTAAAAAATACATTAACTTGAGACATAACGACAACGATTTTAAACAACTTGATGATAAACTTTATATCCACCTGTACCAAACTTGCTGTAGGGATGTTTGGGGTCTACAGTTGATCTGTTTAATTGCTCAAGACGCCATGAGTCATTTTTAAAATTTTTGTCATTCTCTATCAACGAAAATGCGATGAAAATGTTAACGCTATTCCAGCTTAACAAACAGTAAACATTTTAAACGTAATTGAACAAATTTTATTCCAAGCTTTTGCAGAGTATTTAATTAGAACCTGAATCTACAGCATTCACTTCTCTGTCTTTTGCTTCTTCACTAAACAAAGGACTTATAAAGAACTCGGCAAATCTAAAAACAGACATAATGAATAAGTGTTTTACATATTTTTGGGAAAAGTATAAAATCCCCTTTCAATAATAAAGAACAAATAAGAGAGATTTTAAAGGATACATGACATTTACATTTCAAGTGCTGTTTCCAGACCATCATGTTTCACATCAAAATAATAGTTTGTGTTTTCATTGGATGTGAAGGCATTCGATGAACCACTGTTTTCATTGAGAAACTTGCAAGAAAGAAGAAATAAATTGATAGAAAATTGCAGTGGTTATCTTGTCATACATATTATTAAAAGTCATGCTTCAACTGGAAGATGTATAAAGGCATCTTTATCCTTGCCTTATTTGAGCAATGGAGCAAAGGAGCAAAGACACCTTTTAAATTTAAACCATCTTCAATCAACCAATATAAATAAAATACAAATGTATATAGATCATGGATGTACTGGTCAGCTAACATTTTTTAAGGAGGCAAACGATCTATTTTCAACCTTGAATGACCTCAAAAATTTACTGAACTTTCCCTTAAATATATCTTGACTGCTCTTGTTAACCTAACATTGTGAAGGATGGTAGATGCTCTCCTTGTTTCTCTGCAACTAATATATCTATGGTTTACAAGTGTATGATCATTGTTTCTAACTTACACTGACAACAGTTCTACATTACAATAGATTGTTTTTTGTGGGATTAATATGCAGTTAAAATAAGGTTTATGTTTAATTTTCCTTCATTATTGTGGCAATGCCAAGGCCATAACAAGAGATGCTACAAAATTACACATACCTGGGAAAATCTATTCTCCTCCGGAAACTAAAATAAAATACTAAACATTAAACTAAATAATTTGGTTACATAAGCTGTATAAACCATTTAGGTACCTTCTTTGTTCCAAGAAATAACATATGTTCACAGAAATGGGCCAGACCTGGAATGTCATCAGGATCGGACAAACTTCCTATAAATACTTAAAGCTTGAGAAAGTTCCTTTCATAAAGAGTTTGTGCAATGTAAGCCTAACATTACAACTGCATACTTCATCTCACCTATATGAACATCCATAGAAGCAGCAGCCTTTTCTGTGTGAGGATCACTAGCTAGTAGAACTTTCATATCATTTTGTAACACTAGACCTCTATATATTCTATCGTCACCTTCTGATTTGACAATATCATCATAAATAGCTTTTACACTGCATTCCTTCGTGTCAATAGTCATTTTAATGAATGTTTAACAGCTTTAAGTTAATGTTAATAACAAATAATTTCTTAAAATATCTTTTGCAAGCATTACACCCCCCGTAAAATAGTACCCACTTCTTCTCCCCCCGTCAAGCTTCGTACGTCACGTTTTTAGAAAGTGCGCGCAAATTCAAGATGGCGGAAAACAAGGAGCGAGAAGAAATATTGATATTACAAATGAATCTGAAATAGATGAAGATAACGACGAAGAAGTCACAGCAGCTGAAGTCTTGAAACGTCTTGAGCAGGTAAATGTATGATTTTGTTGTTTTGAAATTTCAAATTTGATGATAGTTTATAAAATATTTAATAACGATGTTTATCTAAAGGCTTGGTTAAATGAGAAATTAGCACCCGAGTTATTGGAGAGTAAAATTGAGCTTGTCGAGTGTTTGCTTGAACAAATAAAGGAAATGGTAAAGTACAGTTTATTTATACTCTTAGCAACTTACACTGGACGCTGTGATACAATTTTGTGTTAAATTGTTTCAAGGAAGAAAATTTAAAGAACGCTGTAAAAGGAGATCTCGTCGGATCATTGCACAAACTGGAGGTTTATGAAAATGTCATTGTACAGCAATTTTTACAATATAATGTATCTGATTATCGTTGTTTTTTGCTGTAAAGATTCAACGAATACGTTATATCATCAGTAATTATTTAAAGATCAGAATAAAGAAGGTATATGTTACTTCCGACAAAATATTGTCATGAATAACGAGACTTATCTTCTACAACTGTACATTTTAGATCGAGAAATATGCATTTCATATAATGGATCGTTCGCACGAGAAAGTGGATTATATTTCTCGCCTTTCCAGCGAAGAACATTTTTACGCAAAAGAGTAAGGAAGTGTTTCAGGAAACACAACTTTACGTATCAATTGTATTCAATCAAAACCAACGATATGTCCTGTTAAATTATCAAAAACTGTTCATTTAATCCTTGAGACTTTGACTACCATGATGTTTTCTGTTTTTCAGATATTGTAAAAATCTTCAAGATTTATTAAAATCACTGACTCTGGATTGCATGCCATCTAACATAAACACTTTAGATAAGAGAAACTCAGGTAGGTTAAGAATTGTTGTATGAACTGATGAAATTCCAAAACTTTCGATGTTCAAACTATTTTTCCATTAGCAAAGTTAAAATTCATTTTGTTTTAGTTCCTCATCCAAACTTGGAAAGTTATTTATTTATTAAAGTTTTAAAATCCCAAGAACAAGTCGAACTAGATCCAGAGTAGGTGTTTACGTAATGATTTACGTAATGACACACGTGGACAACATTAATTGTCGCATTTAAATTCTAGGGACCAGCCCTCTGATTTGGAAGAAGGTGCGCAACATTTGGTTCGGTACAGTGCCATCAGCAGCCTCTTGGAAAACGGAGCTGTAGCGTTAATTTGAAGATTAGAAATTCTCAAAAAGAGGATAAACGTTGAAATTTAGATTACGTGCAATTTTATCTACAAATATTTTGTTTTGTAGTTGTTATATTTTATATTGATAGCAGTTTGACAGTAATATGAATGTTTTTTCAAGACTTAGTATGAATAGTCATATACACTGTTGTAACCAAGTTTTAAATCAGCAAATTGTACACATCGTAGTAAGACATCATTAAGATCCAAGGCCCAGGGCCCAGTCCTCTGGCAAGAACACTATACAGTAACACAATACAGAATTGTTCCTATTTCGTTGATACAATGAACAATTGTAAGAAAATTAAAAACATTGGCTAGCTGCGCCGACGTGATGAAATATAATCATACAACACTTGACATTGATAATAATACATACTTCATATTTTGGATAACTCACTTACCCGCAGTTTATTCAACATGATTGCGCGTTCAATTATCGAACTTGTGTTTGTTTGTTGTTGCGTTAGCCTAGTGCAATGTCGGCAAAGAATTAAAGTGCGTTTAGATGGCGGTAATCAACCTTATGCAGGTCGTGTGATGGTTTACTATGCTAATACATGGGGTGGCATCTGTGATAATGGATGGTCAAAGAAAAACGCTGAAGTCATCTGCCGACAACTTGGATACCAAGGCGTCGTTTTATATACTAAAGGGTAGGAAAATATCGTTGTTTAAGAAATAGCTTGAATTATATTATGGTCGTAAACTGTTTAGTTTGACCAAAGATTAAATGATTGTTATACATTTACTGACATGTTCAATGCAATGTACTTTGCGAATTCCTCGTTTCGTAATAAAACAAAATACGCCGACATCGGATCTGTCAAAAATGAAAATATTCACCAAATTAAATTTCGATGATAAAATGACGATAAATTTTAAATCAAGTGCTGAAAGGAATTTAAATTTACGAACTATGTCCATGATAACACAGCGTTATTCCGTTTTTGATGCAGTAAGTTTTATGGACGTCAACCTCTCTACATTGGACCAAGAGGATCAAGAAGAAGAAGAACACGAATTTGGCTAGATAGAATCAGTTGTAATGGGAGAGAATACAATTTAGGAAATTGTTTACGTGGACATAATCGCTGGGGTCAAGTACGCTGTAGTAGAAGACGTCTAGCAGGAGTCATGTGTGATCCAGGAATGAAAATATTAGTAAAAACACCACCACAACACAACATGACACTTCACATTGATGTAAGTAGATAATGCAATACAGCAGTATAGTAACTAAATATTTTGAGCAACGCAGACAGGGTGTCTTTAAAAATCTGTAACTGGGTTGGCAAGCTGTAATTGTGACTTCTAGAAATCTGTAATATTACATACAACTAGCAGTATGTACGGTGATAGATAAAACTGTAATCTCTTGGAATGTATCCAGCAAGGAACGATGTATGTTTAGGTCTTTCAATTGGGATAGAGGGATAAAATTGTTTACTTATTGGACCAGAAATAGCTTGGACAAGCCTCTCCAGTCTATTTGTCAAATGAGCACCTGAACAGAGATAACGACTTGCAGTATACAACACTGAGTTCACATGGATTGTGGGAGAACAAGAAGTTGTTGAAGCATCAATATCTTTTCAAGAATAGAATATTTATTCTTTTCAGATAAAGAAATTTCATCTTACGTTATTACCAAAGAAAACTACAAACAAAGATGTCGTCACTGAAGGTCTTCTCATGATAAACTACGAAGGAAAGAAAACTGGAATGATTTGTTCAAATCAATGGGACACGAAAACTCTCGTGTGGCTTGTGGTGAACTGGGATTTACACATGCAGTAAAGGCAGAAAACCTAGCAAATGTTGATGAGTATAGAAAGCAATACCAGTAAGCTGTAACCTTTTATACTGCATGAAATAGCAAATTCTCGTAAGCTACATCTACGTTCCTTCAGATTTGATCTCAATTTCCATATGGGGATGTAGCATGTAACGGAAACGAGGCTTCCCTTTTGTCATGCAAGTCTTCTGGACTACGGGCACAGACATGTTCCAGCGGTCAGGCAGTTTGGTTGAAATGTGAAACAAAAACACCAGTACGTTTCAAGTTGCTCAATTTTTATTATTTTAAACGTTTTGTTAATTTTGTTTATAATGGTCGTAGATCGCTCATGTAAGACTCCATGCTGGTGTTGTACCATGGGAAGGCCGTGTTGAAGTGCACGATCGAGGAAAATGGGCAACAGTTTGTGATAAAGATATGGACATTTTAACAGCTAATGTTATCTGTCGATCGTTAGGGCATGGAACCGCTAAAGAATATGCTTTGGGCACCGTTTATGCACATGCGATGGATGATATGGTATGATTGTTTATCACTTTCATAACAATCTTTCACGTTTTTATCTTTAATAAACACGTTTTTTTGTTGCTTTTGTATAAGAAAATATACAAGGCGATCAGTTGCACTGGCATGGAGACACATTTGCACAGCTGTGTTTGGACAAGCAGTAATCCGCCTGGATATCCCCACTGTAGACATTATTCTGATGTCGGTGTTAAATGTAATGTTCCCAAGAAAAGAAGTAATGTTGAGGTTAGCGAATCAATAGATGTCATCTTATTTCAACACTTGAGGTTTCATGATTTCATGTATCTTCTCTTGTTTTTATCAAGATTCGTCTCGGTGGCAGTAGAGACTACAACACTGGTAGAGTTGAGGTTAAAGTTAGTGGAAAATGGAGGATAATCTGCGGTGATCGATGGACAATGATGAACTCAGTAGTTACATGTAGACAACTTGGACTGGGTCACGCAGTGGCCAACTACAGTACATCACATTATGGTACAAATGGTACAATAATATGGACCGGGGTCACGTGTCTTGGACATGAAGCTTCATTGGATCAATGCCTACGTCACGAAACATATAATTGCTCTCAAACTAAACGTGTCGCTGCCGTAAGATGCAAAAAAGGTTTGACAAAGGAAACCACATTTTAAAAATGACAGCATATCAAAGTAAACCAAACAAAAATAACGACATCGACGTGTATTTTTCTTCTTTTCAGTTGCACCAGATTTAGTCTGGGACATCATAGAATTAAAGAAAACAATGACGATCAGAACATTTCCAATTGCGTCCTTACGTTGCGCTTATGAAGAGAAGTGCTTGGCATCCAGTGCTGACGATCAATTCAAAGAAATTCGATTACGACGCGATTGGTTAGGATATGTCCGACGTTTACTCAGATTTTCAGCAAAAGTTCATAATGTTGGAACGGCTGCTTATCGACCATATTTACAGAAGAATGCTTGGCAATGGCACAGTTGTCATCGTCATTATCATTCTGATGAAGAATTTGCATTTTACGATCTCATCGGTATGTTGTGTTGCAAAGTTAGCACAAAATACAACTCATTAAGAGATAATTCATCTTCATTCATCTTGGCTAGTTGGCATATAGCAACTCCTTTAGAAATTGTTACGGTATGACATCTAGTTAGCCAAGTATGCATCACTTAAACATCATTCCTTTTGGATATTTTTTTGGAATGTTAAAATAACTGTACATGGTATCTTGTTGTACCTCTAGATCCTCGTACACACAAGTGTTAAAATAACTGTACATGGTATCTTGTTGTACCTCTAGATCCTCGTACACACAAGTGTTAAAATAACTGTACATGGTATCTTGTTGTACCTCTAGATCCTCATACACACAAGAAAATGGCCGAGGGACACAAAGCTAGCTACTGCTTGGAGGATACCAAATGTGATGAAGGAGTAGATCAGTTCTATTTCTGTGAAAACAGAGGTGATCAGGGGATATCCGTGAATTGTCACGACAACTATGACTACACATTGGATTGTCAATGGGTTGACGTCACAGATCTAACTGCGAGGGGTCGCTCATACAAACTACGTCTTGTCGCAAATCCCGCTCTTAAAGTTGGCGAGTCAGATTATTCCAATAACGTGGTCCTGTGTGACGTCATTGACCGTGGTAGATACCTCACGGTTGGTGCGTGTCTTCAAGGTAAGATTTAATTTAATTTTTAAGCACACTAATGCTATTTAATGTTGCATGTAAAAACAAAATAAACACCAATAAATGATTGCATGTAATGAATGAACAAATGAAATAAAAATATTTTCTTTGTAAACTAGAAACTTGCGTCAGTGGCGTTCGTTCACATCATGGCAATGGTAACTTCGCCTGTTGTCGATTTCCCTTTATATACAAAGGCTTGTCACGTGATACATGTCTCCATGACAACCAAAGTGGACAGTTCTGGTGTGCAATATCTGCGAATTTTGACCAAGATGGATTGTTTGGTTACTGCTAAACAAATGAAATTCAATGTCTATCTTTTAATCCAATTTATTTATACAATCGATGAAACAGTATTACCCATTAAATAAATCTTTCTCGTGCATGTAGCAAGCCTTGAATGCATTTCTTTATTGAATACCTTTGTTATGTTTCATCTTCCTTGATGTACACGATCAATGACCAAAGTATGATACAAAATTCACCGTTGTTGCCCGCATGTGTGGAACATTAGTTTGAAAGATTTAAAAATTCATGATTGAGTACTCGTTGATGAATTGTTGTATTGAGGCATTTTGAAAAATTTAGAAAGACTACGTCTTACAGCTTGACGTATCTCCACGTTAAATTTGATGAGTAAAATGGGATTGATGGCAGAATTTGTAAACATCCAGCATAAAAATATCCTGAATAAATTTCGATTGATACTTTCAGAGGACAACTTGTGCATGGTTAAAATGATAAAAAATGGCAACCAACACAAGATAAAAACACCTCCAATCAACGCAAGCACCATGGCAGCCCTTAACTCTGCACGTTTAACATTTGAGTTATCTTCATTTGATGCTACAGGTTGCCAAAGACTAATGTCACGAATGTGTTTACACGTGACATTATAAATGCGTACATAAGACCACATCATAACCATCGATGGTAAAACGATAACACACAACCAAAGAAGTGCAACGTATACTATCTCTACTATGTAGTATGTCTCTGATATTGCACCACTTTGACATATAATATTCGCCGATCGCCACGTGACAGGGGGGAAAGACAGTACAATACTAGCCAGCCACACCCCACCGACAACAATCCTGGCGACTGACGGTGTTATTTTACTGACGTAAGTTAATGGTGATACAATAACAAGATATCGAGTTACTGCGACCGATGTAAGACTTAACACTGAAGCCGCTCCAAATAATACACCAGTAGGTGTTGTGAAGTAACAAATTACTTTGCTTGGATGCCAAGAACTGTCAAAAAGAACGGCAACAGATGTCGTTATTTTTAGCGACGCGTTCAAGATATCAGAAATACAAAGATTCAAAACAAAGTAGTTCGTCACATCGTCCAACAACCGTTTTTTTAAAATTCCAAATATGATAAGGGAATTGCCAACAATTGCAACCAAAATAACTAGGATTAAGTAGGAAGCTTGAATAATAACCCACTCTGTGAAAAAAATTTCTGTACTTGAGCTGTTGTTGGATGGCATTGTGGTTTCTGAAAACATCAGTTAGTTACAATTAACATAAAGCTTAAGTTTGAACACTTCAAAATGCTTCAAGAAAGTAGAAATTCATAGTTCAACAACATGTAAGAATCCCCCCCAGTAAACAAGCGATGAAACTCTATGCCCTTGCATGCAATACCTTTCCACGCATTGACGATCAACTAAGACTTTCAGAAAATATGGCCAGCTTCAAAATGATTTGAAAAACATCGCAGAATGAAGATGATCGACACAAAACTCCAAGTAAACAACATTATGAAGTGTAAACCTTTTTACTGCAAATTAATTAAACCATTTTGTTATGACAGTAAAGCCAGGTGCACCATAACTCATTTAAAAGATTAACGACAAATGTCATGTCTCGGCAGTTTCAAAGGCAATTTAAAGGTGATAAGATCGGCTTATTAGCATTCAAATGTGTAGCAAAATAATCAAGCGATGTTTGCTTTTACTGGGGATTGAAAAAAATGAAGATCATTTCAATTTGAAACTCGTGCATAGTTAAAGTCAAGAGCGCACATCTGACATTACACTAGTTTGACGACAGTTCAAATATTCACTTATATGATACGAGCAAAGAACAAAGTCCGGTGCTTAATTTTCCTGATTGTGTCAATGATGTACGAAAATTAAAATGAGAAGAACGGAAACAATAGGTGAAGAGCACTAAATCAGCGTTTCTCTCATAAAAATTTAAATCATCTCAATTGAAATGAAATTTCGAAAATCATTAATGTTTCGGAGTGAATATAAACATGCAAATGAATTTTGTTGCACGCGTTTGTGTGTGGTTTGAACTATAACACTTTCGTCACTAGTCGCAGCTATCTTGCTGTTCACCATGTTCGAAGTTATATTGGCTAAAAAGCTCTACTTTTGGGTAACTGTAACTGACCATGGCAAATACTTGAAGGGAAAAATCCAAGATTTTTAAATATGCATAAGAAGCAACGTGTTTAAAAAAAAATATTGTACCCTTTCCAATATGTCTGTTAAGTTAGTCTCAAATAGAAACTTCAGCTGTGTAGACTCTGTGGATAACTGACACAACATTGTTTTTGAATCATAACAATTCTCCAATTTTTCCAGAAAATTTCGCGAGAAGAAATTTAAACGTAAGAACAAAATTATTTCATACCTGGATTAATTGTATCCATATGTCTCATTTCAGTCAGTTATAATCTCTTTGATAGCCTAAATGTGGATTAAAAATGTGCATTCATTACGTGGTTGGTATGTTTTTTATGAGTAGAAATTTTTATTTAACGTATTGGGATTCTTTGCACATCAAAGTGACTTTGGCATTTTAAGAACAGGACAAAATTCAATATACGACATAAACAGTCTAACATTTCTTGGTCGCGTCAAAGAAAAGACAGACGATACAGAAGCAAAAACATAAAATCAATGTAAAAAGCAAGTTATCAAACAATCTATAAAACAATAAAAGAAACAAGCCTACTCATTTACGTGAAATGGTTAGGCGATTTTATTCGCTAGCAGCATTGTTGTGTTCGCCAAAAGTAGAAAATCCATTGCTTTATAATAGACGCTTCGTATAGACGTGTTATTTATTTATAAACAAGGAATTTTATGGATGACGTAGAGAAACAAGAAATAAGTTGAACTATCCTTTCATTTACACCACAGGAAAGTTAACACACCACAAACATTCGCAAACGAAGTTCTCATTTTAAAGTCCAAGTTTCAACAATAATTTCTCATGTCTACTACATAACACGACAAGACAAAAGCATAACGTACACAACAAAATTTAAGTTCTAAACCATTCAGCCGTAATCACTACAACATTACTGGCTTCTTTTACTTATCAAAAGTAAAAAGCTTTCAAACTAACATGGCGAACAAGACCTCGACAACGATAACTTGCCTTACTCGTGAAAAAATTTCGGTAGAATTTTGTTGCAAATTACTCCTGCTCGAGACAAAGATCAAACGAAGAGCATATCCTTTTCGTAAAGTTGTTCAATTTCGATGTACGTTTTTAATGCTCTGAACAGCAATGGTCAGTCAACGTGTTACGTTTAGAAATAACGTTTTTTATCACGCTGAGTTTAATAGGAAAGTGGTAATTCTACACCACGTCAATGATTTAATACAGTCATCATGTTAAGTCTGAACTCTAAATTACTTTTTTTAATGACATCATAAACGTCATAATAGCCGGATCAACAGATAATACACAATTAATGGATGAGATTGAATATGATGCCATGAATTATTCAGTCCAAGGTGAATGTTATAAGAAGCTCAGTTTAAACGAAGAACAAGTATCTTAACTGAAGGTTACTCGTGTTGGAGCCTTTGATGTTCGTGTCCCCACTTTTCTGAAGTAAATTCTAAAGCAGACACGCCTTCCAGCAAGATACTTCCGGTAGATCGCAATAGAAAATATCGTTGTTTTTACGAATTTTCCGTTTTGCACTACAGAAGCTTATAACCTTATCTTCTTCGCAAGATGATAAAAATTTGCTTTGAACTATTAGTAAAATAGCATTCTCGTGCAATACTATTCCATATTGATTTTTGAAAGTATTTTGCTGGGAAGTCAAGCATGCGTAATGAAAAAATACGGAATGATTTTAGCTGAGTGGGCCTTCTGTCAGATGTCTATTCTGTGGTGTAAGCTTAACAATCATGTTTTGTTGTGTCAAGCCTATGTCTTTATAACTCTACACCAGCATTGTTTGAACATATTTATACTAATAATTAATGAACATTATTGATTGTAGTACACACCTACAGTTTAGTTTCCTTCTTTACCGCAGCATTCTTTCAACATACAGTCAAATTTTGCTCTCACAACATCACCAAACTCTTCAAGAGTGATTAGGTCCCAAAAATAGTCCATAACAAAAGTTTTATGATTGGAGTCCACATGAAAAGTTGATAGAAGAGAGTTTTCATTAAATGGTATACGTATGTCATGTTGTTCCAACATACTTTCCTTCATAGTCAAGGATTGGGATGAAGATGATCCATACTGTAGTATCTGCTGCATATTTTTCTCTGTTTCATTTCTTGCATTATCAATAATTGTTTTCCTCAGTTGATTAAAAGATTTTGCAGTGTTTTTTAAAACATCAGCACAAGCATTCTTGGCTACAAAGTAAAGGCATGTGAAAATTTAACAAATATGTAAGATATGTTTATCAAAAACAGGCGTAAATCTCACCTTTTAATGTCTGCAACATTTGGGAAATATATTTTCTTAAAATTTGATCTGTTTGATGTACAAAACTTCTTGCAGTGACATTCTGCTCCCTGGCCTATAGGAGCAAAAAAACTTTAGTCCTTATACATTTTCAACAACATGTATCTTATTTTCAGAGAAAAAACCTTTTCAATGTCATTGAGCTCTTTTAAAGGTGATGGTTTGTTAATGGCAGCATTATGAAGCAGTTCAAAAACATCTTCCCTAAAGAAACACTTGCTCGTGAATCCCAAGTGCTCCAAAAGATCCTTCTGTAACACAAGTATCCCTCACCATTTATCTTCAAATTCAATGTTAGTGGTGTCAATGAAAAGACTGTACTTTTCCCAAGCTAGTTTCTTTGGAGTAGGCTTTTCAAAATTATTAAATATTCGAAAAACAGTTTCCTCTTTTACAGGAGATGACCTTTTTTCATTACGCATCAATGCCACTTCAACAGGACAATGGAAATAGATTTGTGAATAGCTGAACGAAACTGTAAGGAAAACAACTTAATGTCCTCAAAGACTTCCCGATTATGTTGTTAAATAATTTTCTCTAGATGTTCCTTTCCGTATGTTGAAAAAATGGGATAGGTTAAAGGAATAAAGCTGAAGTGATGAATATGTTTAAAAAATACTCATAATATGATCACCTTTCCTTGCAAGTTGATAGTATTCATGTCTCATGCTTCTGTAGAACATATTGTCATCAATGATAATGACATGGAAAGCTTCCTTCAAACTAAATGAAATAATGACATTTTAGAAGATAAAACACAAACCATTTCATTCTCATAATGACAATGAAACAGCAAATTTTAAGAGGACAGAAAAAAAGACGACGAAGATGAAGAAAGGTGAAAGATAATTAAGATGAGATGAGGAGGAAGGTTAATAAGATAAAATTTGGGAAAGAAAGTAAGTTTAGGGAGAAAAGAGATTTAAGATAATAGGCTGCTTCTTTTGGCTGGGAAAGGATAGAAATTGTTACAGTAGTACTTACTTAAAATTTGCATGAAACAAACACCAATCTTCGAAAAATTCCCTAAAGTTATAATTCTTTTCTTCTCCCCAGGGTTTTTTGAGTAAAACTTGCTCCAAATCCATACGTATTTTTTCGCGCGTTTGTTTCCATATGGAAGACGCTTTGTCTACTGGAAGGTCTGCAGTTATCAATTGATCATAGCCAATGTAAAAGAAATGAACAGGTTCTTCATTTATTTTCCAATCTTTTTCACGAAGTTTCTCTGCAAAACTGGACTTCCCTGATGCAGGAATACCGCACAAAATTAGAAAGCAACCATGAAGGCAACCGTCCGCCATATTGGTTGCCGAGTGTTCTCCGACCGTCTCCGGCTTATTATTTTCCTCTTTTGAGTGATGAAGTTGTTTTGATCAGAATTCAAAATGGTGGTCGCCAAAGGAGAAGCTGCGATTCCTGTAATTGTTGTAACTATATTTTGGTTTGGTTTTGCCGCTGTAACGCCATGGTTTGTTAAAGGACCAAACAAAAGGTAAAATCCAAGAGAATTACATCTACGGAAAGATATTTTTCGTTAGTTCAACATGTATTTCAAATTGAACAAACATGATTTACGGTTTGAACTTTTAAACGTATATTATGCAATATTTATTTTCAGCACTATACGAACAATGATTGCTTTAACTGCCGTATGTTGTTGGCTTTTGTATCCTTTTTATTGTGTATTCAATACCTGTTTGTCATGTGCATTTCCGCCAGCGATAAAAATCTCAACGTATTTCTCAAAGCGATTTTTGCAGCTTCAGCTCATTGGATTGCTCCTTAACTGTTATAATTAGCTGGCTTATTGCGTATATGTCACAACTCAACCCAATCATTGGACCTACTTTAAAAAATGAAACGTACAATGCAATAAAAAATCAATGGTAATTGTGAATAAACAGGATTTGAAGAAACATGAAATGAACGATGGCGCAAGTGTAAAATCTGATTGTTAATATAATTTAGAACAATCAAACTAAAAGATGACCTACCTTATACTAGCCAATAAATGTATTTACAATGTTAAAAGTAATTCATTAACTATGAAGAATAATTTTATATTTGTGTATTTCACATAGCTTTATCATGTTTCACGTTACTCTTGCAATATCATAAAATCATCCATTGATGTTTTGCCTTCAAGCTTCAAATTCTTGAAAACATATAAAGAAAATTTTATAAGAAAACTTTTCCCCCTCATATGTAGAAGCAAAAACTCCTGAAAAAGACAAATACCTTTTCATTGGTTAAATGAAGCAAACAAACAAATGCAATGGGAACAGAAAGATTTTTTGCCATTTGTTTTGAGATTTTGTCAGGAATTGTGTTGTTCAACATAGTAAATCTACAAGGTTTTACAACACTCTCTTTAACAACACTTTCTTCACAGCCATGGTTTTCAGGCAAGTTTTCCTACAAATAAAACACTGCACATTAATTTTGTGCCATCATAGGCATTTGTGATGTATCCAATTCGGATGCAATTTTAAAGAGATGAAAAGAAATAACACCACTATATCCTTGTGTGTACCTTATCTTCCAGTGATGTACTTGACATCACAATATCCCACATTGCTTTCTTCACTTTCTTAACATCAATCTTCTTAGCTGTTTTAGAATATGCAATCTCAATCTTTTGTACCTGGAAGCAATCAAATGCGTATATACAATTTACATCAACACTCTCATCATACAAACATTTATCAGCTTTAAGAGAAAACAACATCGTACCTTATTTGGTTGAGAGACAAGATTATCTCCATGAAAGAAAGTGTCATTGCTAGACAAACCTGACACCTGAGTCATCTCTTGAGAGGAAGAATCATTGAAACCTGGACCTGAACCAGTTTCAAAAACCTCGTCATCATCATCCTACACACATAAAAAACATTTTTATACTCCACTACAAAAAGACGTTATTCATGTTACACGTGACATCACCTGTGCATCCGCTGGGCAAAAGTTCGCACAGTCGTTTTCATTTTCGTAATTGTACCAATTCTCAGCTTAAAAACAACACACTCATGAAAACAATGTTCATTGTGAATCCATGATATAACTGTTAAAACTAACCATTTTCCTCATAAGTCATTGTTGGTTGAGCTCCAAATTGACGACGAACCTAGAAGATGAAAAACGTCAAACACGACATTTTGTGTTAAAGATTTTATTTCTTTCATCAAGCCTTTTTTAAAAGATGTAAACATCACAACGCTCCTGACTTACCATAAGTTTACTCTTTAGGAACAGTTTCACCAAACTGCTCATTTCATAATGCAGATCATCAGGAAGAGTCTTGACTTCGGAAGAATGTTTATCAATCGTTGTCTTTGATAACACCGTTGATCCCTAGTGGTACAACAACAAAAACGAATATCCCTCCATGTGAACACATCAAACAAACCTTTAACAATGATAGATATCTCGTGTATACCTTTGCTTTGGAAAATAGTTTATTAAAATCATGACTTTCGTCAAAGTCAATACGAAACGCTTTTTTTCTAGGCGTCTTTGTCTTCTTCTCTGCGCCTACTTTATTCAAACCTAAGTCGAACAATAAAAACAAAAGCAATACCTACGTTGAAAAACAGATGTATGGAATAGTTACCTTTGAGAGCATCAAATTGAGCTCTGTGTTTCCATTGAACGGGTCCAGCCCACATTGGTAGGCCACTATAAGAATACTCATTTTCGGCATTTTCTGCCGATTGTATGGACAACATAAAGGTACCCAAATCATTGTCACTTCTTGTGAGAGCGTTCGCACATCTTGAGTATAGAAAAAATATCCAAAATGATGATAGTTAATCTTGAATTAAAGATTGGAAAATGATGATATTCCTTTATAGCGTAGTATACTCTCGACATTTTGGTCAAAGGTAGCTATACCTTGCTTGTCCTGGTGCCAGAAATTGAGCCTCTTGACCATCGGCAAAACCCAGTAAATTATCAGATATGTTTATGGTGTTATCGGGAACCTGGTAATAGAAAAAAAGATACCAAATCCAATGTGTCAGCGGCAGTTTGTCGATATAGAGTTGTCGATACTACATACATTGTCTAAGTTACAAACATCATTGTTAATAACGTCATCACAGTCATCATGTTCCATATCGTCAACTTCATTGGCTGATTCATATGTTGCTTAATTAAACGTCAATCACATACATTAGTGGTGTTTTCGATATAAATCATGTAGCGTAAATTCTTAATGTGTACCTGGAGCATTAATATCAAAGACGCTTTCATTTGTGTGATCAGATGTGCACGTTTCACTTGTCGCCTGGTAAATGAAAGTGAAAAATTTTTGTAAAAAGCTCGATCGCGCATAAATTCAATTGTATAAACTGCGCATGTCTGATAAAACCTCTTCGTTATTTTTCACTCACCTCCACATCTGTGAAACTAAAGTCTTCGTACTGCGGACAAATACGGGTACTCAAAGATAGTATACGCATGCGCATATCTTGATAACGAAAAATATGAAATATTTCAAAAAAATCAGTTTCATCATTTTAAAAACCCACAAAGATTGTTCCTCTATAGACCTATCTGTGAGAATAATCATTTTGTGAACAATCTCTGTGTGCTTCTATAAACAATTTAAGTGTGGATTATTGATATAAAGTTACATTAACCCAGGCTGCATTCCGTGCACAAAAATTCGGAGATCTCCGGCTTGGAGAAATTATCATCTTGGCGTAAAGGGCGAAATTAGTTATTACTATTTATTATTCACATTTGTTGTAATGATTAAACTAAACATGAATACTTGAGCTTATATTATTTCTTAATTTGGCTTAAATTGGGTTGGCGTGAAACTTCAACATTTTGCCGTAAAAAGTTATTTTGAAAGCTTGGGCGTGGTGTTTACACGGAATGCGCCCTGGGCATTAACTTTGATCTTTTGAACTCCAAAGTTCAAAAGTTTGTTGGTTATATAACATGTAAATTTGATATTAAAAAATGGTTGAAAATGCTTTGTTTTGCACTTTCACACCAACAAAATGATATTTGCTTATTGGCTATTTACCTGATGAATCAACAATGTCTGATGTTCCACAAATACTGTAGTCTACTGGTGCATGTATAAATTGAACTGTTTTTGAGTCGAACAATGTTTCACATAAATCATCACGACGACCAAGATGGTTCAACAGCAAACTACTTGTGCTGCCTTCATCAAAGGTTGTTGATAACTTTTGAAACAATGGATCAATCTGAAAGAAACAATGAATCAAACCATTTGACGGAGTTGGTCTACAAATTTCAAAAAACCATTTACTTCAAAGCAAAGATCAAATTGATCCGTGTTTATGTTGCTCAAGTTCAATTCAATGATCTTGGCTGACTTTTGCGTCTATAAGAAATAAAAAGTTTTAGTTATCATGTATTCATTGTTTATATCAAATCACAGTAGACGATAAATAATGGTGAGAGAATTTCATGTAAAAGTAGGAAATATCAAGTGCTACGTAAACATGGACTTGGAATATTTGAAAGAAAATAAATACATTATAAAAAAACCTTTCTTTTTCTGGAAGTATTATCATCACCATTATTTTGTTGACCAACAACATCGACCATATCTTCACCATCTTCGTTTGGATTCTCAGTTCTTACCAAACCTCCTAACATTTTGTAAGCTTGTGCATGGATTGAGTCAACTCTACCTGCATAGATCTTCGCCCCAGCATCCAAAGTACAGCTGGCTATCTAATGGTTAATGCAAACAAAAATTAAATACAGAAAAAGTAAAATGTTCAGCCGTCAACGGATGTATAAAAACCTGAAAGTTTGTCATTCCTTGGTCTTTATTCATATCAGTTAAAAACTCTTGCATGTAATCAATGAGTTGAAGACCAAATGCATTCTTTGAATTGATTTTCTGAACCACAAAAGTTTTTGATCATATTAATAACAATTAACAGCCAATATTAAATTTACAACTTCTTTGACATAAATCTAGCCTTATGTATCTTTCATACATATATCCTTGCATATACCATCAGACACTATGAACATATTTATCCACAATTTTAGCTACAAGAGTTCAGATATGGTAGTTTATAAAGTGGCCTCAAACAAGCTTGAGAGATGTTGTTTAACTACCATGTGAGATAAATGAGAATACCAATTTTTCATTATTATTCATATTTCACTTACATTTTCAGTAGATAGTTTTAAACAACTTGAGTAGAGTTCCTTTAATTGCACGTTAGTAAGTCTCGTCTGAGAACTTGGAGCGAAAACAGACCTTCAATGAATGTAAATATGATGAATATTTATTATCTAGATTGCTTGTACAAACAACTAACCTTTCATTTGGCGTTAGTCGACTTGTACACTTTGGTGATAATACGGGGCTTTGTACAACCAAAGCATTCACCCTGGACTTCTGTCTTTGCTGTTTCTCGGTAGCATCATCATTTTCAGCAAGTACACCGTTTTGTGACTGCGTTGATAAAAGTATGGGACGGTTGCGTCTTAACTGGCTAGTTGGTGAAAGAAAATCAATTGGCGTTGAAGGTGATGAAACGGACAGTTGTGATCTTCTTATTAACGTTGGGGTTGATACAGAGGATGTACCCATGATAATGAAACACAATCTTGGATAAAAAGACTTCACCGTTCTCTATAATCACGTACAGTTGACGATGGACATTTTGAAATATTTCGTATTTGGCGCCATCTTCGAATGTAAAATTGAGTGAACAATTGGTTTTCGATAGTTTACGGTGAACCACGACAGTCCCCGAATTCGAAAAAAAACAAAGAAAAGGTCAAAAGCCGTGATTAGACCATCAAAACTTGAAAACGAAAACAAAAAATTAATAACTACCACCGTTAATTCTATACTATCATAAATAATTACAATTTTCTATTGAATTTAAAGCACATAAATAAAATCATTAACCAAAATCACATTAAATTCATCAAACAACTTTATCAATAATTCTAAATTTTCTATGTACAGCTGTCCTGCACTATGACTATCATTTAGCACAGCACAAGTTGAAATGAGGGATATTTCAAAGGCAATAATTAGTTTAGCAAGCGTCTAAGTTCGCAGAACGATGCTCGCGTCAATAACTTCATAGCAGTATCAAGGAAACAGGCATATGTACATTGTCAAACAGTTTTGTTAATTTGCACAAGCAGAGAATGCATGAGTTAAGGTTGAGGATAATACTTGCTAGTCACATGTGCTACCTCAGCACACTTGTCGTTATAGATGTTGTTCCAGGAGGGTTGGAAGCTGTACGTAGAGTTCTACTTGTCGATTGACTTGAATCATTACAGTTAAGAAAATCCCACACAAGGATTGTATCATCGTGGGAACTGCTTACGATTTGGAAATCATCAAATTGAAGACGAAAAACACGACCAGTGTGTTCCTATAATAACACCATAACAAAAAAATTATAGACATCTCAACATTGGACATGAACAGCTGGAGCATTTTAATGAGAAATCTTCAACAAATGGTTAAAAAAAAACTAAACAAAAGCAATAAATAAACAGTTTTACTTACAACAAGCGTTCGTACGCACAAAGCATTTTGAGGTATCCTTGGATCCAATGCGGCTTTCAGATCCCATACTTTAATTTTTCTATAAAAAATAGTTGGTTTGTGATAAACGTCAAAAAAAGCCATGTTTACAAAAACGCATAAGAGGTTGATTGGGAACAAATAGTGTAACATACATACCCATCATAAGCTCCACTCACAATTCTTTTGTTATCAAATCGAATGCACCTGAAATAACGAAAGAAAAAAAATCGCATAAAATCATCACCATGTGTAAGATATATAAAGTCTTCTACCTAAACCTAACTAATCATTCATAATTATATTTAAACATGTGTTTTCAGGCATTGCTAATGTATAAATGATAAAAAAATTAGCGGTAAAATAAAAAAGAAAAAAACATTACATATATTACCTAACTAGTTCTTCGTGACCTTCAAGAACTCTCAAACACGCACCACATTCAATATCCCAAATTCTGAAAAAAATTAAATAAGTGATAATTATATTTCAATATTGTTGTCATTCAAATCATCGTCATTGATCAAACCTAATGGAGTTGTCTGAAGACCCACTGACAACAATTCTGTCACGATATTGTAAACACGCAATACCACGACGATGGCCATTTAAAGTACGAACAAACTCACATGTTGATGTACTCCAGACCTATAAAAAATTTGTAGTTATGTCATAATGCTAACAAAGCATTTTACCTGGGTTTTCATTCATCTACATGAAGTACGTACCTTGATTGTTCTATCTCCAGATGCAGACACAATGTACTTGTCATCAAAATCAACAACATTCACAGCTGCACGATGGCCAACCAAAACTCTTCTCAGGATGATATCTGTTGGTGAATGCATATCCCACACAGCAATAGAACGATCTTTTGAACATGTTACCATCATACCATCTTGGAAACGTAAATGTAACACAGCTTCACAATGATGTACAAGATTGTTCACCATTTCAGCATTGTGAATGTTCCATACTCTATTGGAGAAAAATGATGAAATTATAGGAGTGACAATGATGCATTATGGGAATAACAATGTTGCATTATGGGAGTAACAATGTTGCATTATGGGTATAACAATGTTGCATTGTGGGAATAACAATGTTGCATTATGGGAATGACAATGATGCATTTCACTGTAAACCTAGTATGACAATATGAACAGTTATGTTGAATAGAATAAACAATATTCAAAGGACTTTGATGGCAATAGAAATGAAACACAATTTCATTTGGTTGAAATCAACAATTGATGAAATAATCATTTTCTCTAACACAAACAAAGAGCAATCTTTCCATACACTGTAACATACCTCACAGTAGAATCACTAGATCCGGTGACAATGATATTTTCATCATATTGTAAACAAAGAACAGATCCAGTGTGTCCGGTTAAAACCAATGTACTTTCTAATGACTTTCTATCCCAAATCTAAACACAACTTGATGACAATATTTGTGATTGAATGTCATAAGTAAGAAATGTTTCAACAAAAACCTTGATTGTATTGTCACGTAGTCCACTGACAATTTTTTCATCATCATACTGAAGACAATAAACTCCTTTGCTATTTTCACTATGACAACTTATACGATGAAGTTTATGTCTGCCTGTTCTCCAGTTTGTTTCAATTGACTTTAAAACAACAAAACATTTCACAATTATAGTAAAAAATAAACAAAGAAAGCAAAACCAAGAAAACGTTACTCACATCAAGGTCCGATATTATCTCTGGATAGAGTTTGCGAAAGAATGAATTTGTTTGTGGATCATCACATTTACCCTTAGTTAAATACTGTGCCCTAAAACACATAAATAATCAATGAAATAACCCTTTTCTCAGAAGTAACTAATGTTTCACTTTCACAAAATATGTACACTTTTCATTTAGCATATCAGATACTAAAACTTTCATTCATATGTCGGTACTGTATGTGGAAAGTTTATGTTTGCATGTTTTTGTAATAAAGTGATCAATACATATAAGTTGAAAAAACTATGATTATAGAAATGAAACATTTATGCTGTTGAAAGTATCACATTACAATAATACTTTACACTTACCATCCTTTTCTTTCTGATAAACCTTTCCACATTGAATCTGTTCTGACTTTTCTTTCAATCAACTTTCTCCATAACATTCCATCATTGATAACACGTGACCATTCCCTACATACGAGCTCAGCAGCACACAATGATTTGGCATCCAAATATGATAATATATTCTCAGCAATATGATGGAGACCTTTTTCTGAAGACAAAGAAAAAAATTCCAAATTAAGAAAGCTGATTTTTGCTTGCACAAAATAAATTATAGCAATGATCATTATTAAAAAATTGAAAAAAGTTTTGAAATCTATGATAATGTAAGAAATGCAATGTTTAATAAACTGCATGATTAGTTCTAAGGAAAAGATTTTACTTTTAAACACCCAATGAATTAAAGTACACACAAAATGTACAGACAAACTTAAACGTAAAACATGTAGAATAAAAATTCAAATATTCTCATACTCTTTTATAACGAAGGGAACCTGACAGATATTTTGAGCAATCATAGTCCTAAGCAAATACAGTTTCTTTACATTCAATTGAACAAAGTGGTTCTTTCTTAAGGCCAACGTTGAGAGAGTGAATTAAGTGAAAGGCCAAGCACTGTAATTGTCATAAAAGTGGCAGTTCTGTCATTTTAATAGAAATTATATTAATAATTAATGTAGAACAAGGGTAGCAATAAATAAATATAGTTTAGTGCAAAGTACAGTAAGGTAAATTTTCGTGTCACATGATTTCCTGGTGTCACAGAGAAAATCAACAAAACTTTTGGTAGCAAAAGTATACATTAATGTAAACAAATTGTTTTATTTCAAATAAATATTCATTAGATTTCTAAAGCAAACAACTTTTAAAATTTAGAAAATACATATCATCTTCTTAAGCACAAAGGATAAAAGAAGTAAAACGGATTATAAAATCTTTTCACAAACAATCAATGTTGACCTATTTTTTCCGTTGTATGTACTATAACTTTCTGGCAAGACAGTGTTGTTTTCTATCATAAAAACACATCGTATTTAACTTGAAATAAAGATGTATAGTTCTAACCTGGAAGAGAAGTGATGAAATCGCGCTGTAACATTGGTTTTAAGTAGGAGTTGATGTGTCCATGTTGATAATGACACATTCGTGATAGGAGCTTTTCAACAAACTCAACTTGCTCTGATTCCGTCCATTTTTCAAACATTTGTAGACAATCTTCATTCTCTTGTAAATAATTTGTGTTAACCTTCTTTTTCATTGTCGTCATATTCAAGATATCTGTTTGCATGGGCTGAGAAAAAGGAGAAAAGAAAACAAAGATTTGTACAATACATTTGACGTATTCCCTTCATAGTCAGCAAAAAATACAAAGAGCATATTTTATAAAATTTTGTATTTTATAAAATATGATTCATTCTTTTTAGATTTAAACATAAAATTACCAAATCATCATCGGTGTACTTTTGTGTGTCATCCATGTTATTTATAAAGCAAAAATAATTGAGATTTTTTCAAAGACACTTGTTCGCTTTCCCTTTGAAGGCGAAAAGCAAAATACAATATCGTACCAATATACGCATGCGCATAATAATTCAAGAAATTCCCCGTTTCCATGACATCATAGTATGGAGCCTTCAGTGTTTGAGTCAGCGGAATGGTTGACTGTTCTCTTACGTAGTGTAACAATTGAGTGTAACATCATAAGTAAATTTCTAGGTAGATGATATTTTTGCCACATTTGGTTCATGTCTGAGTCACCAAACTACATAGAGATTTATTACCTCGTCAGACCAAGAATCTAGTTCAATGAGTATCAGCACAGATGCAAATAGTTATGTAAATGATGTAAGTATTGTTGATTATTTAAATGACAGCACAATCTACAGACTTGAGACTGAAACTAATCTCACTAACTTACCATGGTGCATTTCTTGTAAAATCTACCCCTCGCGATTTGGATATTGGACCGTGTGTTTAAAATGAAAAATTTCTAAACGTTTCGTTCATTAGAGTTCAGTTGAATTGGCATGGGCTATAAAAGCTTATGAACATGCTGAAACATATTTTAATGTAAGTTTGGTGATTTTCAAGTTTGTAAAATGATTTTGATGTGCATTTGTTGATGTAATTCTCTTTTTAAATGCAGTTGATCTCCTCCCTTGATTGTTCAGACCTAAATTTCACAGGGTGCGTAATGTTGTTTTGTGTATATTATTTTCTTGACATGGTGCTGTGATAACTAAAAGGATTTATCCACTTTTTGCAGTCATGACAATGAAATCTATGAGAAATACAAGTCAGAAATGGATACCATTAAGGTAGTTTAAATCGTGAACATTTTCAATATCAAAACATTTCATTTCCATGATTTGTAAACTTTAGATTGATGTCTTAAACATTGATGAATTAAAGAGTAGTGAATCAAAAGAAGTATGAGTAATAAAAAGATCTTCTTTCAAAATCATGAAGCACTTTCTTTGGTGTTTTTGTAGACAATTTGTTTTCTTTGCAGAAATGGAGACCTTTCTGTGAAAGCTTTAAAGGTGTAATTGAGGATTATAATTTCGGAACATTACTTCGGTTGGCTACTTTTTTGTCAGTTTCCCACACATCATTGAAGATTGATGAGATTTTTTAACATAATGATTTTTGGTGCTTGTTTTATTTAGACTTGATGCAACAAAAGGAATATCTGACGATAATACTACATTAGGTACTCAAGATGATATGTTTATCTCAAATATGTAATAAATTGATGTTTACAACAATATATTAAAGTGGTGCATTTTTGTTTTCAGTACCAAGAATCCAGTTCTGGGCCATTGAGATTGCAAGGAATCGTGAAGGACTGAATCGTCATTTAATAACTAATCAGACAAATAGATGACTTTTTGCCTTTTTTTATACAAAATATGACAAAACCCTGTTTTATAAATTCTTACTAGATGATCAATAACTAACAACTCGTTTTTTTACTGAAAGTCTTTTGAATTTTGCTGTTTAATTGTAGTACATTCTTGTCCAAGCTGAGAACATGGACGGAAATTTAGCTGACATCACACATGTATATACTGTTGAATCTCTCAAAACAGGCTTTGTGGACAATACTTCAAACATTCCAAGAAGGCTAACATTTTTTTGACCCATTTCATCCATTGCTTTTATTGCCACAGATCGTCTTTTGTCTCCATGCGGTGGGCTTTTCCAGTGATCTGAATTGGTCTCAACCAAAAACCATCTAAAATTGAAATTACGCTTTTAAATTTAAAATTTGAATAACCACTATTCGAAAGGAACCTAACTCCTGTATTCCATCTTACTTGATTCATATTATAATATTTCTTCAAACCAATAAATTTCTACTTTCCTACTACAATAAATTATTTAGTAAAAAATAGTAGCTTTACCTTCCTACAGAGATATCAATTTTCCAAACATTGATTGCATGAGTCCTGTCTCTTGTAATCACAGCTCCATTGTTTATGCCACCAACAATAATGTATGCAGGGGCAATCATTTCTGTTGTAGATATCTTTTCAATAGCCTGTTCATAATTGCTGTTCTTATCAGCGAGAAGTGATCTCAGAAAGAAACCAATTGGTGATGTTTTTACCAGGAGAAGTTGAAATATATTTTCCCATAGATACCCTTTGTCCCTTTCATTCAAACTTATGGTAAATGCATGAGGTTTTTGACCAGTTAAAAGGCCAATGTATGCAGCAAATGTAATTCCACTATACACAGTTTTACCTTAAATAAAATAGGCGTAAAAGTACATGATTACTGTAGAAAAAATAAAACACATCACAATCAACACATAAGGAAACATCATTTTGGCCGATACAACATCAATAGAGTGAATAGAAACAAACCATTTCTCTGAAAATCAACATGTATTGTGAGATTTTTCAAACTATCTGCATGTTGATAATCAAGATTTCTTCCATGGTAAATAATTCCATTATTATCCTTGGCCACAATGCTTGTACAGAAAGCTGAAAGGTCATACGCAACGTTCATCATAATAATTTCTGCTAACGTTATGTTGATTCCTTCTGCGACGGACTTTAATTCACTTGGATAAGGTTCTTCAAAAAGTTTATCTACGTATAAAGCAACTTTTTCTGCTAATGAGAAAACGTACCATGGAACCTCTTGCTTCAAGAAATTTAGCATAAACGGTGCATATTTTTTAAAATCACGCATGATGTTTGTCCATCTTTTTTCGGCTGGTGCATCAAGATTAACAGTGTACTTTGGTATTACTTTCTTACAAAATATCTCTTTTGGATTATAACAGTAAACCAGAACCAACCAAATGCACATAGACTTGAACATTTTTACCGCTTCTTCTCAACAGGGTGCAGTTTATCTTTTACATAGCGAATGGAAAGAATGATCACAAGTTTGGTTGAGGAGACTTCCTTTGAATCCCTTCCTTTGTAAATTTTAGGGAATCGTTCATACTTCCGTTTTCCGTGTTGCTGAATTTCTTACTGGCATTTAGTTGGGTCTTTGTATTGAAATCTGTAAATACACATACAAATTTATATTAAAAATGTTTTTAAGTGGAGATTGAGGAGTTGCTTCATCATGTCATTGGAGGACATGCTTTTAAAATTTAACATAATGTTTTCTTGGGAATGCCGTGGCAATCTACGATCTATTTTACCTCAAGTAGTGAACATTTGTACTGATGTTGACCATAGGTATGTATTTATTATTATTTACTATTGCAAAATAGCTTTATCCTCGTTGATAATCTTATTCATCTTGTTCTTTAATCTCTTCTGTTAAAACAGATCTCTTGAACAAATCATGGATGGTTTTTACCATCAATCCTGTCCAGGTTTGCTCTTCTACCGACCAAATAATTTTGATATTGTTTCTACATTCAAGCTCAACTTTACCAATAATCTACCTCATGCGAACTTATGTGTGACTACAATTGTTGTTTTGTCTGAAGCAAGAAATCTTGAGCTATATGTTAATGGTGAATATGAAAAAAGTGTCAAAGGAAGACGAAGAATGAATGAAGAAAAGTTAGTATTACTGATTATTACAATGTTGAGTAAATGTGTGTTGACAACTCTTGTTGGCGGTAAAATATTGTAAAATCTAAAGCATATTCTGGTTTGACAGAAAATCATCATTATATGAAGCCCAGTTTGATCTTTCAAATCATGTAAAGAGAAACTCGGATGTTGAAATAAAAGTATGTTCAGTTTTTTGCTGAATGACAAAGAATTACAAAGAAAACTAGACATTGATTAACTATTATTCCAGTTCTTGTCATATCCTAGTAAAGATCAAGTTCGACTACAAGCAATAGTTATGGAACTCAAACAGTATGATTTGATTGGATCAAAGCATGATCTGGAACAGGTGTACTTTAAGCTGTACTTTTTAGATATTTTGTTCATCTAAAATAATGATGAAGATTCCATTGTTGATTGTAGATAAGTGGACCTTTTGATCTATCCAGTGTCAAACAATACCTTGGATCAGTTGGACGACCACTAAGTCAGGAAGCGCAAAATATGCTAAATACTATCGAAAATTTTCAAAAGGTATTAGTTAACTAGGTAATCTCATTTATTTCTTTGAAAAAGGCTTCAGTGTTGTTTATGTTGTGTTTTCTAGAGTCCTGCTTTTAAAGCCCAGCAATTGCTATCTTTTAAACCAAGTAATTTTAAAAACATCGTGGAAAATTTTAAGAAAGCGAACGAAAAAGGTCGACAGGAACTTTATGTTATATTATCACGTGATTTAGTTTACGTAAATTGAATATTTCTTGTTTAGAAGTACGACAAAAAGCGGTCTTAGCTGGGGAAGCGTTACCACAGGAAAATGAACGCTTCCAAAACATGCTTTCAAAACTGACTTTGAATGAAGATAGGAACGATGAAAGAGTTCCCTGCTTAAACAAGGACGAAGCATTAACATTGCATTTTAAATCAACGTGTAATTCTTTTCCTTCGTCACAAACTCCACAATGAAACTGGAATTGTTGGCCTCGGAAACGGGGAGAACTATAACTGACAATGATTTAGGGATAGAGAGCACCGAACTTACCAATGGAGATGTATCGTCGTTTGTTACATCAGAAAAGTTAAATAGCACCTCATTGTCGGATGAAGAACAAAAGAACAGGTCACTAACAAGTTTACACTCAGTAAAAAAGTCTAACAAAAGAACGTTAGTTCACTTTTTTTTTGACATAAACATGAAAGCATGAACTGCGACTGGTTGTAAACTATAATAAACACGAAGGTTTTGGTGGGTCATTTATAGTTATTTTATTTGACGTATAAGAGTTGATTTGTCTGGATTTGGGATTAAACTTTGTGCATATGCAAAGGATTAAAGGTTGCCAGCCACCTAACATTATCCTTTATGATTCTTACAGATGCAATAAATGCGAATGTGTTGCTTGTGAAACTATCTTGGACACAATCTCGAGAAATATGTGTGCTATCGAAAACAGACTCGTTACGAAATTTGAAGAGAAATTCTCTTTACTACAAACTGATCTTAATTCAAAGTTTCAATTGTTGTACAATCAAATGAAAAAAGAAAAAGATAATGAATAAAGGCCAGGTCGAAGGGGCAAAACCTTTTCATTTGTAAAACATTTTATCATGTAAAACATTTATTCTATAAAGAATTAAAACAGATTATTTCACGTTGACTTAGAGAGCAAAACCAACTATTTGCATGGATAAATGATACAATTATGTTTTGTCAATGTAGATTTTTCAGGCAGTACGCCATTTAAATAACTTAACGACTTCAAATTTTCTATTTGCTTGTTCAAACCTTCATTGATTATTTGCGAGGAAGTCTTATTGGATTAGACGAAGTAATTTTTATGGCAAATTACTTTCCCACTGACGGCAGCTTAAAAAAGCCACATTTATCTAACGTATTTGATATATTCTTTAACTGAACGTTCGGCCTTCCTGATGAAAACATAACCGACGATGATTGAGAAGATAGTGGCATAAAATATTGATTTAAATGAAATGAAATTTTATCAAATGAAAAGAAAATTTTAAAAACAACTTACTAGTGTGTTTGCTGCATGCTAGGGCTGAAAGCTAACACAATTCTCGAGAGTTGAAACGTAAAGTTTATAAGTCTGTATGTTGAGTTTTGTTTTTCGATCTAAGAAATTGTTTTCACGAAAAATTTTATCATTCTCTTGTACACAAGTCAGCCAATTTACGATTCTTAAATTGCTAGAAACGACAATTTTTGAAGTCAATTTGCTCAACTTAGAAATCAATAAAATAACAAATGAAAAGCGTTGTAATATTAAAAAAATAATAATCACGCACTTGGAGCACAAAATCAACTAATTGAAACCTTCAAAACTAAACGCGAATTAGCGGTTAACATTAGGCGGTTCAAGTTCGCCGAAAATTTTTCATTAACACACTTAATTAACGTTATTTTCTTCAAGATCAGCGCCCTCTAAAAACAAGACTTTAAACATAAATTAACCATGGTAGGATCTTTGGTTGCTAATGAAAATGAGCTATGAAACAAAATCGAAATCAGAACTGACAAAAAATGCTCACTAATTCTACAGAAAAACTTGTTTTTCATTTTGTTTTGTGTCACCTGCTCAATTACCATAAATTAATAAGATCAATTTCAAGATGGCCAGAGTTTGGTATAAAATGAATGTTTGTCCTCAAACTGATAGCATTGTGAGAAGATATTTGACAATTATACTGGAGTAAGTTGTTTGGCTATTTTTCTGGAGAATTATTTTTAAAGGTAAAGAGCCATATCTTTATAGGGTATGAAATAGCTATTGATCATCATCCAAACTCTATATTATCTATGTAAACGAAAGTGAACTTTGTTTATTTAACTTGTGTTGTCAACTAGATTGAAATGTTTGACATGACACGTAGTTTCATTTTCTTCAGATCCAACAATGAGTTCAATTAAAATAATTCTCGTGACAGTCATTCAAGTCAATGTATTCCTACTCGTTAAAGGTAAGTAAAACGTTCAGCCATTGATGCAGGATTGTACAAATGATCAATCATGTTATGTAAAATAATGTAATACATTTTTCATATCTTGAATAGATTTGTCTGTTTTTACTGATAAAGGTTTTCTTTAAATGTCTGTTGTTATCAAGACGTTTTGACTCTCTCTATCACTAAAATTTATGAAAATGTCTACACTGGAAAACCATTGTAACATATTTCTAGGTTATTGGCTACAAAATTTCAGATCATTGAGCAATCGCCTTCCAAAAGAAATCACTTTAAATGGCAAGATACATAAATGTGGGACAGTATTACCAGACGCAGAAAAGTGCAGTTGTAAAGCCTTGATATGCGACAATGAAAACAAATGTCTGCATCAGACTAAACCTGTTGCTGGCTTTGTTTATCGTATCGGCTGTCAACTCACCAAACCCTGGGAAGAAATCGACAAGGAAGCGGCTATCTCTGGAGAATCTGAAGACTGTTATTGCAAGGGTAGAGCCATCGCAGCACAGACATGAAAACTATAGACATGAAAACTATAGACATGAAAACAGCAATTGAGTTTTAATACATAATGATAGAAGCAATATAGCTATAGTCAAAAACATAAATTTAAAATGAAATGTAACAATTCATGAAATATTTAGTGCTTAAATTTCACTTTGCCATAAATTTAAGACCTAATCAAATGTGTGAATTCTTCTAAAGACTTACATGTTAAATAGGTTCGTGTACTGTTGAGCACCAGGGCCCAAGCAAGGACACGACCATGTCTTATATATAGATGATGATCGCAACTAGCAACTTAATTTAAGTCTTAAAAGTAGGTTTTATAAAGAGTGCTACCTAACATATAAAATGATTCACTTGTTAAAAAAGGCGAGTGTGACAAATCATCTTTGCCAGCGGTTTTGATCAAGTTTCGCTTTAACAGTGATATTGTATTACATGCATACATGACACTTCTCTCGTCATGCTTCAACGAATTTTGAACTTATAGACAAATGATTACATTGCATCTTAATAAATGATGGAGAACGAATCACAGAGAAATTCATCGCAAGAAATGAATTTGACGAAATGTCTTGTATCTTACATCGTGAAATCACCATCTCAATCATATATAAACAACGTGATTGCAGCATGTTTGATAAATGGTATCTTTCTTATTGTTGGATCTTTGCTCAACATGATGGTCGTCGTCGTATTTTGCAAATCAAAACAGCTTCGTTCTAAAATGGCGCTTTTTCCACTCTTGGTTTTGTGCAGCGTGGACTTGGCTACGGTGTTGGTCGTGCATCCTTTATTTTTGATGGAAACAATAACGGAAGTAAAGAAAACACCAAAGTGTTTGTATAAGATTATTTATTTCTCCGCTTTGTACATATTTCCAGCAACGTCAATCTCAACCCTCTGTCTTATGAACATTGAAAGATACATAGCAATTGTAAAACCTTTGTGGCATCTGCAAGTATCAAAGAAGAAGCAAAAATTCTTCTTCGCTTGTATCATTTGTTGGTTACTTATGGCAGGAAATCTCTCGTGTCGCTTGATCAAACCGCCATATTCCAAAGCATTTACGATGGTTGTACTTTGCATAGCATGTTTGATATCTCTCTTCACATACGGTTCCATATTCCATGTTGCAAGAAACAGACGCCGTTTTCCTGTGAGTGAAGACACAAGCAGCGAATCGTCGGAGGACGATATCAGAAGAAGAAAGGCAAATTTTCTTAACGATTTGAAAGTTGCAAAGACTTATTTCATCGCCATTATTATCTCATTTATTTGTTATCTTCCCATTGGTATTGTAGTGTTTGCAACAAACTATCCCTGGCAAGAGAACGAAACTAGAAAGGCGTTACTGGTAGAAGTTTATATCTGGGGGATACCTTGCTTACATTGAGCTCAACATTTAACTGTTTAGTATTCTTTTGGGCAAACACAGGTTTGAGAAAGCAGGCTTGGAGGTTATGGTCGCTAGGCTTAACATCAAATAAATCAAGTTCAAACGATGATAAAATTCGAGCTCGTAGAATCAAAAATTACAATAAATTGTCATAAGATGACGAACGTGCAGACATATTGCAGATAATATTTGACAAAAAGAAATTTAGATTGAAGCTTGCTGTTAAATCATTTGCCAAATATTCTTTTGATAGCTCTTCAGCAAATCATCTAGATTTTAAAAATTGCCCCCAGTTGCCTATCATCTGCCGAAGGAGAGAAAATAAAGACAAGTACGTCTAATTGGATTCGTCCAAATGATCTTTGAACGAATTTATTATTTACACCTGTTACAACAGGTTATTCGATGAACAGTTTTTACCAGATACAAAATAATAATATATAGAGTATTTCAATTATATCCCGAAAGTTGTCAAATTTTAAATTTTTCGCCAATTTTCATTGAAATTTTCATTGTAAATTCTACGACAATGCACCCGTTATGCATTTTTTGTCATAACCAGCGCGCTAATAAAATAGGATGAATTTCTAGAATAAGGTAATTGTCGACCATTTCCTTAATCATAGGCAATAATCTATATGTTATCAGATAACTGACAGATTCGAAGACATTGACTCCCGGCTAAATGAGAGTTTTTCTCTTTTAAAGCTACACATGGCTATACCCATATTTATTAAGACAATCTACATTTTCGTGATCCCTCTCAAGAACAGCTGTCTCATCAAATATACACCGATAGGAAACCAATAAGTTAATAATACAAATGCACATTTAAGCAAAGCGTCAATAACGCGAAGATTCCACACATATGTTCAGTCACGAAGATAACATACTTTGAAAGACAGAAAAGAAACCAAAACATTTTCCCAGAGAGAAAGAAAATCCTATATAGTAAGTTAAAACAACATGAACTTTTATAACAACGTTGACTTCGTAGGGATGTTATTATCATGAATTTCATTCGCAGATATCCTACGAAGTTGTCACAGCTATCCAATATAGCTGTCGTTGTTGGCGTTTGTCCATCGTGTGTTCTCAACAGTTTTAAAGATGCGTAAGTTGCTCATTCTCTAAGGATAAAATATAACACTTTTTCGCTATGATGCAAAACTCTCAAACTTTTTTTCATTTTTCCATTCAATTTTATTGCATCATCAACAAATACATGTTTCATGTGTAAACTGAATTTTGAATGTTGTTTCTGAAGTAATGACTGTTTGCTGAAAGTAAAAATACACAACGAACGACTTACATTTTTACACGTTTCTTGCAGTGGAAACATTCAACACAAATCATCTTAAAATGGCAAACCCGCACTTTTAAATACTTAAATTAATGTATGAATTATTCCATGAGCCGGGGGGGGGGTAGAATTCATATCGACACTAACATCCGTATTTATCAAGCAAATATCACGAACATCAGTATTTATCAAGCAAATATCACGAACATCACTGGTAGACTATACGAAAACCTTACGATTCCTTATTGGGGATTCAACTCGACATGCGATTGGCGAGCAGCAGTTCAGGTTGATCTAGTTTTCATTACAATAGCCTTGATCTACAATATTTTGATGGTATTGGCCCCATTGTTTGCAAAACATGAACAAACATCACAAAGCAAGATAATAAGCAGCTATACTTGTGCTGCAAGCCTTGTCAGTCTTTACATGATCTCGCTCGATACGAGAATGATTAAGAGTGACAAAGATTATCTGGATAAAGAAAAGCACATGCTGTATATTTTATTGTGGTTCATGAACTATCTTTTCCTGTACCACTTTCATCTTCTGTCGTGGGATCAACATCACAGCATCATTAGATACAGAGGCCATCATAGGTAAGAAAATACTACCATGATTGATGATAAAATATCTTCAGAACAGTAGTTAGGTTAGCCGAGAAATTACCAAAGTGTACCAATTGTGTAACTTATCTTTAGATTTACGACAGTATCCAAATTAAAACATATCGGAGTTGTGGTCTGGTTCGCAGCGATTGCGTTCGCTTTCTTGGAAGCATTTTTTGTTTTTAATCTTGGAGATTATCAAAAAGTGTCTGACCACCAAAAAGCTACACGGCTGTCTAAGTTTCGACTTGTAATAATTTTAATATCGGTCGCATTTTGTTGGCTCGGACCATTGATTCTCGTGATATCTTGGAATAGAACTGTCTTCAGTTTGCTGTTGAGAGTTGTTCACAACGGTTTCAAAAAGATACCAAGAGAAACTGAGGTATATTTTAAACTATTCCATACATGCAAATTTATATCCTAAAGAGCAACCTTGCTGTCCTGTTCGACTTCTTTCATTAAAAGAAGACCTTAAGTTCTGCGCATCAAGTTCGACATTCAAATGCAGCACATTGTTGCCTTGTCTATAAATGATTTCCTAGCTTTGAATATTTTATGATTAAACATTTCATACCAGTGAAAATCAGCAACATGCTTTAATAATTCATCGAGTATTCGAGGGGTTGGGGCGAGCTAGGTTGGACAGTGTTTGACATTTGTGGAGCGTTTGTGAATATAAAAATAAATATAAGATGTATTATATCTTTCTGTTCATTTTTTTTTTCAATTTTAAATTATCGCCAAAGATTGACATGGAGATCCATTCAAATGGAACGAGCAACACCATAGAAGAGGACAATGTCGAAGACGGCCATACGAAAAAATACAAAACCAAAAAGAACAAGTACATTCATGGCTTTGACGAAGAAGAAGAGGAGCAAGAAAAAGAAAAGGAGCTGGCGACGCTTCCCGATGATATAAAAAAACAACTAAGTAGAAGCTTCTTGAATCTTATTGTACTAACAATATATGGTAGCACGTTCATGATGTGGTTAGTTTACCACGCTCTGGCAATAATTCGAACAAGCGACATATTAGATGGTTACAAGCTGTACGATATCATTTATATGTGTGAGTTGTACATCTCCATTAACACAATTCTGAAATTTCAATTTTTGCTGAACCCGTTATGGTTCATTTATTACAAAAATGATTTACGTGCAATGAACGTAAGATCACATGGAGTAACACACGAATGAAATAAAGAGATCAGAGGACGTTCTATAATGATACATTACCTTTGTGATTGTAGAGTTAATGAGTAACACATGAATGAAATAAAGAGATCAGAGGACGTTCTATAATGACACATTACCTTTGTGATTGTAGAGTTAATTTAAGTATGTTAAAGTAATAGTTTAGAAATAAAAGTGTAGTTTCATGATTGTAATTAGAGTTAACAGAACTTTTAATTGGAAAATGATTTCTAGATTACTTTAAACTGTGATGACTATACTTGAAGACTGCATGTACTTGGAAGTATATAAATACAAATTTAAACGTCGGTGTTGATAAATACTAGCTCAAATTAGCTTGAAAACAATTATGATCCGTGGAAGGTAAAATTTCTTCTGTTGATCAATGTCGACGATAATTTTTTTTCTGTTGAGTTATGTTCACATATATGAAACACATTATTTTTTATGTTCACTACTATAGCATCACACTTCTTTTTGTCATAAGAACAGGGGCGTCCCAAGAACATTTAAAGAGAGGGGGGAGGGCATATCTCAGAAATTATGAGTACAATTACGGCAGTAGTAATTTCTTTCTGCATTTTATGAGCATTATATACAATCGAAAAATCAAAGCAACAAACTTTGTAAAACGCACTAGAAGTTCCCATTTTTACATAAATTTATTTACACGATATACTTATAGAAAATAGAACACGAGAAGCCATCACTGTTATGTATGAAAACAAAAATGGGTCATCTTGGAATTGTTTTTTGTCTCGGCAGTTAATGTGAGTGAGGAATTAGAATAGTGAAAAAAATACGCTTAAAGTTTCTGCACGATTCTTTAGTAGCCCATTTGGCTATTATGTAGATACGCAAGTTTTATAGAGAAATAAAATACCAAAAGTAAACATTTTCTCTTTATGGTAATTTTACCATTTATTTAACACACTTAAATTAAAGGAAGACTATCAATGGTCCTGTTTCGACTTCATGGAGAAAAATGATTAATTAAATTAGATCGTGAATAAAAGCAGTACGCATGTTTTATAGCTGTTCCAGAAATCGTTATGAAATGATTTTAAATTTTTGCCAACGGTACAGACGACGTCTGGTGGATTATTAACGAGAAAGAAAACAGGAAAATTTGGAATTCGATAAATCGAAAAGAATTTCTTATAGTTGGCCAAAACACGCTTTTATGTGAACTTTAATCACCTTCAATTTGTAATCACGGCAATCGTGAATATAAGTGAACTTCACCTCTTGACCCCAGACTCCTTTAGTCCACTCCGCTTTTGTATATCATATATCGTCGTGGAATTTTCTAATTATGATTTTAGTATCCCGCCGAGTGACTTAAACGTTTTAAAAGCTCATATATTAGTGCGAAATAATACTAAAGATTTTACCAAATCAATAGTGACTTCGCTATAACATTAATAAATGATATCTCATATCAGACGGCCAACTCTCCAAGTTTATGAACTTGCATCTTCATAATGGCCATGATAGTCAGATAGATCGAGGTGGATTTTATTATTGCTACGACATTGCTTTAATTGGTCGGCAATATGTAGAAGAAATTATCAAAAAATTATAAACAATTGTCAGATACATGTGTGTGCACATATTGTTCAAATTAACTCGGCCATTAACTTCTTTTTGCATATATATATTAAATGACCCTCGAGTCACGGATTTATTAAATGTACACAAAAAAAGTCCTCGTTTCCGATTGAGCCACTCATTTAACATCATTGTAACACCTTTCAGCAAAATACTATTCTATTGTCAACGTGTTGGTGCGAATAGTTAAAATAAATATGTTTCTATTCTCAGTTAATTGGCTACCAATAACTATATATCGTAAAGAGTGAGCAAGCAATGTCTTTGCAATCATTAATTGTGATTTCGTTATTTTCCTCTTTTTTTAATGACCATTACAGATTTCCTGTTTTACTTTCTCCGTTGCACGACTAATTGAAAACACTGCAAGATGAGCACGAGGATTCATTTTCGGCTTCATTTCCAATGTACACGATGTATTTGAACACTTTCAAATTTACTAAATATACGATGCGGAGCTACAATCTCACTAAGTGCGTGAAATTACTTTCGTCCGTATGAAAGGGAAAATTTGCCAGCGAACTTAATGAATATTTTGGATAAACGTTAACACATAATGAATTTGTTTTAAAATGTCAAAGACCAACAATTGTTTCTGCTTTACGAAAGACATTTGCATGGTCACATATCCTTGGTGATTTTCTCGGCTTAAAATATGTTTTCTCTTAATATGCAATAACCATTTATTTTAAATTAAAAGGTGTTGTCTGTTTAGCGAGAAATGATCATTGTCGGTAAGAAATATTCAATGCTCGGGTGCAAGAATTTTGACAAAGTTATCAAAAGTCACCGCTTTAATATCTTATCAAATAACGCAGGTGACTACGAACGAAGACATGAGAAAATCACTTGATTTTTCTGCGACACATGACTAAAGAAAAGCAAACTGCATAAAAGCATGACTTTGCTGGGTTATGAAGTTCGTCCACTTCAATTTAGGTTGTAAAGATCACTTAAAGAGCAACCAATCAGAACGATGAAGGTTAAAAGCAGCCAATGGCACAGAGCTATTTATTTAAGAATAAAGTAGAGAGCATTTGGCTTACTAATTATCCTTATCATCAGAACAATCAGTTTTATCAGACTATTGATTTAATGTAAAGAACGAAATCACAAGACGTGAAGCCATCAAGTGGTAGCTACCACAGTGTGTTTTAAACAACACACAACAGTGTTGCAACAACACTAGACAATAGTTCAAACATTATTGTCGTATGAAGAATTTATTACACCCTAACTCGTGTGCGTTCATTTGGATTTAAAAATGCTTCATGGCAAGTCAATTTACACGATAAAGGAAGAATTCCATGACACATGGCATGCCCACTTGTATTCCAAGCCACCCGCTCAACCAACGCCGCATTTCATCAACGACATCTTGGGACTGTCGAAGACGGAGAGCGAAGGACGAACAACATTGGAGAAAAAAGATGAAAAATCTGCGTGCTCTCGTAAAGCAAGGGTGAAATCAAAAAACAGATTACGCAGTGTTAAGGCACCATTTAAGCTCGATGCATTTGATGGTAGGTTAAAAGCAAGCACAATTGTAATTATTTTAACAGTAGGTGATAGAAATCACAGATATGAAACATAACCTCGCGCATGAAAATTATCAATACAATTTCATGCACATCCGTACAAAATGAATTTAAGCCATTTAAACACCATCACAAGCCAGATGTTCACGACCTCGTTTCCATCGTCAATGCTATATACCGCTTCACAAGCATCATTATAACACCGAGATAGTTTGAATGGTAAATAAGAGGACATTCGTCCGTGCCTGCTAAGCTTAAGATGAAAATTTTGCACTCTTCACAAGATAACCAGGGACAAAAGAACGTTAAATGCATGGATCACCCGCTGTACAACATTCACAGGAGCACGCTATTAATGTTTTATTGTTGTAAAAGATTACTGATCAAGCAAACGCAAAAAGGATATGATGTTTTTATGATTGCAAAAACTTAAACGTTCAGAAATCTTATAGAACGTATTTTTACAGAGCCAGTAATTATGATGCGCGCATGCATTATTGCGCGCTCAAGCGCTTGATTTTTTAAAACTCAATTTTCTAATTGCCATTTGGATAAGACTATTAATAAATAGCACGGCGAATTAAGACATTTATCCTTGGAATGACCTGCAGTCATTTAGAGGACTTTATGTTAATATACCGCACAGTTGGAAGCCACAGTGATTTACAAATCAACGAACATCATATTAAGGTCGAAATAAACACTTTTTAAAAGCGCATTTCTACGTGTTTGTCTTTTACAATAATTCGCATCAGGAATTACTAAAGCAGTTGGAAACGCAAAAATCACTTTTTGTTGCGCTGCACAGCGGAAGTATTAAAGATTGTCATTTGTGTACAAGTACTCATATATGCTTAGATGCATACATAGACTTATTCCTACATAAGCAGACGATAGATAACAGCATATATACATATATAATACATTATATTGTATATTATTAATGAGATAAACAAGAATAGATCTTCCTCCGTTAAAAAGATGAATTTTTATAGCAGAGCAACGACAATACCAAGATGTAAATAGTATCAATATATTGTTCGATTGCCCCTTTGTTCAACGACAAAATGGAAGATGAAAAAATCGAATTTCAAGTTCGTTGATTAATGGCTTTTAAAGTAAACTTTTTTCACTTTGTGTGAAGATTAACACCAAAACGCGCCAAGCTGTTTGTTTTGTTTCAGCATTGAAAGTTAAGACTGTCGAGTGTTGTTAATTAATCGCATAAAGAATAAAACCATTAGCAGAAAAATTGCTACGAGCTTTTTAGCGATAATTTAACCGCTTTAATATCGAAATATTTTTCTATCAAATTGTCACATTCATTATGGACAATGCCATTTTGACATCATTGATAAAAGACCAGATCATATGAACATGCATAGCATACAAGGACAGCAATTTGCAATGAAAAATTTTTTCAACAAATGTCAAGCTGTTTTACTTAACCGAAGAGAAATATTGTCATTACATAGTAATGCAAGTTGTTGTATATAGATAGGAATATAGCTTACCGTTTTTAAAATGTAGCTACGACCCACCACATCTGCACCAACATATTTTGATGAAGTGTGTTTGAGCATGCAGACATGACTTTCATCGAAGCAGTCGGCTACAGAATATAAATTAAAGATGTTTATTTGTACGTTGCTTGAGAAAACAAGAATTTAAATCAATAATGATAATTTGCCAATTAACGCAGAGAACAAATCCTAATACGTTATAAAATACAAACAGCGGACACAAGATAATATTTTGACTTGTCTCTATATAGCCTTAATCATAACAGCTTCAACAGATTCAGAACATTCCCAATTTCGATTACAGTCAAACAATGTACCCATAGGCAGGTTTTAACTTAGCTATTGTCAAACTTTGCAGATGTGTTGAGTTTTTAGAAGAATTTGGTTTGAAATATTTTGACAGGTTGTACGCTGTAGATATGAAAGTCAGTGCTTTAATTGAATATAAATGCAAGACACCTGAAAGTCTGTGGCTTTAAATGAAAATTCTAAATTAATAAGCTAACATGTGCTCTTATTGAATAAAACCACTCCCCAATACTAAAGTAAAAAAATAATAACTTTTACAATTTTAATTAAAAGACATCTGAACTTTTTATTTTCAGCAGGAGACGTTGACAAACGACAAAATGTTCCCAGCAAGTCAGAAAAAAAAGATTCAATAACGAAGACAGGAAACAATAGCAAACAGATAAAGTCAAAAGTCGACACGAAGTTAGAAATGAAAAAGAAAAAGAAAGCCAGAACAACCTTTACAGGTAGGCAAATATGGGAACTAGAAAATACTTTTAGAGAAAAGAAATACTTAACACCAGCTGAAAGAACGGACCTCGCTGAACTATTGAATGTCACCGAATGTCAAGTAAAAATTTGGTTTCAAAACAGACGCACAAAATACAAGAAATACGAAACACCTTCAACAAACGACAACTATAGCGATGAATCGCGAAGCATCAAGAGTGTTTCACCAACAAATTGCAAATGCTCGAGTGTTGATGGCGAAATTTCTCCAGGAATTAAACCATTGAGCAGGAAAAATGACAATGATGGAGAAGTTGACCTTAGAAATAGTGGGAAAGATAATTCTACTGAAGTCGATGATATTGATGCAAATGTTGCAACTGAAGATTCTTCGATAGATAAAGCAGATATTATTTAAGTATCATATTAATTGTAAATTTCATATTGTGGAGAGTTGTCAGTCACAATTTCTATCAAAGGTAATTTGGAAAAATGCATAGGTATCTATATACCTTTTTTTGTGAGTGCTTTTCATAAGTTTTATAAAAGATTGCAAAGTTTGAATACAAGACGTGTGTTATGTAACAAAAGATCATGAGAAATGTGTGCTTGCAGTTTGTGAAATGTATTGTCGTGGTTATCAAAATAAAGAAAATAAAATTGAAAAATGGACGGACGCACAACAAGTTATACTTTTCTTAACACAAATGGCGATTGAATTGTATAATATTTCTAAACATGCACTTTTCAGAATGGTGAGGATTTTGAAAACTGCGTTATCGTAGAAACAAGTCAATTTATGTTGAACGAGCTAGAAAGAAATCATAATATAAAACTTCAAATGAAGAAAACGGTCATACGAGACCAATCAATGATTTGAATAAGATGGCAAATCATTCATTAAATTAAAAGCCTCCACCCTTAATTGTTATAACCCTTGAAAATTCAAGATATAGCTATATGATGGGCGATTGTGCAATACATAGCATCTAAGACTATAACCACATATTTTGTCTTTGCATTTTGAATCCTGTTTGTTAACTGTATATGAAGGATTAAACAATTGGCTAGCTGTTCCAACTGCCCAATAGACAAGACAGGATGAACAGTTATGTGTTAAGCTACGGCGACCTTACAAAGCCTTCAAACATGACAAATTAACAGAAATTCGTCAAATTACACCACCCATTAATGGGAAAACACTTACTTGTTGATCATACGAACGCATATCAAGTTGGCAGAAAATCATTTAAATTTTATCTAATTTTTTTATTATAAATGTTTTGTGAGCAAATCGTGCATCTTGGTAAAATATGAAAGTTGAAGTTGCTTTCATACATGTGAAAATTATAATCAAATGCAATATAGGACTTTCAAATCTTTTTGACTTAAGTCTTTTTGTCTGAATAGTGAATCGTCTCTTTTCGTCAGAGTTATTCTGCATACTAGAAAAACCGTTGAAGTCGAAATGCTTTTTAGACTTACGAAAGTTATTGCAAAACGTTAACAAACATGAGCAGATATCAGCTACCATTTTAAGCAATTGGTTTCGTGTTTTAGCTTCAAAAAGACCGACAACGCTTTCACTAATTCGATTAAATGAAGTGAATGAGATAATTTGCAACATGTGGTCTTTGAAATCATTCAGGAATTAGCAGCTTCATATCGCCAACAATGAAATTGATTCTTAATTATCATAAAATCCTCTCGTCGTTATTTTTCTCGGTTCGATCTCTTTCATTTGTCATTCCCAAAGCTAAGACAATTAAAATCATTATAAATAATATTTGTGGTATTACACAATGAGAAGGTTGTCGTGAGCGAAGTTCACAAGCAGAGCCATCGTTGTTACGAGTGTACAACAACAACATAACAAATGCTTTATTAAATCAATTCGATAGATCACTAATGACACGAGGCAGACTAAATCAAACGATCAACGATATTCGCTTTATGCATATGTAAAGAAGAAGAACAATGCTGTCTGAGAAACCAAATCATTTCTTCATCAACTGTATTACAAACCATACACTGTGATGAATGTACATTGTCTCTACATTTCATAAATTCATAATTATTGATATCGATCGTGAACTACGTTTCTCTGACCCAGACTTCTTTATACGCTCTGCTCTCATTGCGGTTGAATTTGAGCTATGTTTTACAGCTAATGATATATTTCGGTTTCATGACTTTTATCTTATTTCTAGTAAGTTCAGATCAGTTGGTCCAACAATAAAACCAAAACATTTATTCCAAGCTCTAGCTGACCGATTCTTTTTTGGTGAAACTGGGATTTTCGAGAAAAATATTAGTTTTATTGAAACATCCGCGCTAGAACTTAATGTTTTCATTATTATACATGAAATTCTACCTTGAATCTTCGTTTCTCTCATCCATATATTAGACACTTGTTTTTACAGCTCGTAATTTTTCAATGGTATCGTCAGGTTCAGTCGTAAGGATCCCTATTCAATTATAAACGTTTTGTTATTTCCACCAATGATGACATGTTATTGGTGTTATCAACATACAGCAACCGTGCGCTCCATCGTAAATTGACAGAGCAATGTATAATTATGGGACGATTTGAGATATAATTTAACATGACAGTAAACACGATGACATATGAAATAAGAAAAAACGAACACTCGAAGCAACGCGAGTATTTTGTTGACAACTTGTGCTGGCAAACTTACACATGCTTTACGTCCTCACAAATTGTGCTGGCAAACTTACACATGCTTCACGTCCTCAACCAGATATCAATAAACCAGAGGATTTTCACTGGTTTCATTGACATCATAAAAACATTGAGAATTTTTATTTCGATGAACATCCGGCTTCATAGACTTTATTGTTTAGAATAATATATCTTCTTTTCAAATAAGAAGAGAGACGACTAAGTAATTACTAACGGAGAAACAAACCAGAAACGTTTCTAAAATTGTAAAATAGATATTTCCAATTTTCTCATCTCGTATAGTGCATGTGTAGGTGGAGCAGTCTTCTTTGTAGAAAGAAATTCACTTGACAGCCGATACATGTAGCTACAGATATTTTTAAAACTTGTGAGTCTCTAAGAAGATTAAAGAGAGATGAGATGATAAAAAAGAACAATTTGGCAGCAAAGATGTTGAGAAAAAGAAAAATATGCTTCTTAAAACTTGTGAATAGTTCAAAATAATCACCACATTTTTGATAAACATAAAGAAACAACCGTTTGAACATATATTTTCATCCTCTAATTTTGCTCAATTGTTCTCTTCGCGCTAACCATCGACTCAAATGTGAGAAAGTTAGATTTTCAAAATGCTTTTTGTTAGCAATCTTTCAAAAACGAACCTCGTACGAACTCAATCGAGCAAACACAATCATTGCAACAGTTTGGATCATGTGGATGTGCAAGGCAGTACGATGTTTACTATAGCAATCATTTCACATCAATCGTTAACTATGCAACCGTGCGTTCCTTGCTAGAAGATGTGAAGGAATTTTATTTCAGAATGCGAAAGTAAACATTATTTGCTTAAGTGCTACATATGACCAATTAACAAAAAGCAATTCATCTTAATGAGTTTTAATTGATCTTAAAATAAGACAGTATTTTATTCCACATGATTTGTTTACATTCACAATTTACTTAATCGTAACACCTGCTACCACAGCAATTCTCGTCTTCTCGAAAGAACGAGCAATATTTTTTTACTCTACAGGAGATGAACGGCGAGACGGTGAAATTTCGCGTAAATCAATCATACTCCTTTGGCCACATACACAGTTTATAATCCATTTAGAAGCCTTTCCGCAACCTAAATCAGGCAGTAATGTTCTATTTTTGGCAATTGCCACAGTGAGAAACATCCTAATTGCGATCGCTAAAATTGCGGGCTCGGATCACATCTAACCAAGACAAACAGCAGGGTGTTTTTCGCGGCAGTGTAAGATGTTAATAGTTTAATTTCCGGTGCCATATCTGTTAATATACCTTGGCTGATGTATTTATTGTTACCATATAATGCATGTTATATTATCACACAAATCAAAACATAAAGAATGCCAAATGCCGCTTGTGTTAGACAAAGGATTTAAGCACTTTGTACCGAGAGAACTAATCAAACGGTAATGGAATATGAAACGAAGATCTAAATGACTGTTTGTTTTTGTGTTAAATACAAATGGTATGTTTGAAGAAAATGGTTTAGGAAGTTATTGAAGTTTTATCGAAACTTTCTGTCACATCAACGCCAACAGATAATGATAAGTTAACAAGAGTTAGCCATATCAAAGACGAACTCGAAAATAAATCCATTCCAACTCTAATTCTATCTTCCTCGCATTCACTGAATCGACGACGCGAACGAAATGTTTCACAAAGACCTTGCTACGATTAGCCATGCACTTGTCGTCGTTCAAAACTCAAACATTACCCTCTAAACACTTTATCAATGCTATATTGTCCTTAATTGTTGCAGTTATTAGCATTGTTATGAAGCTGATAATGACCCTCAAGTGTTATCACAAACAACATTGCATTGAAAATCAAACAAAATATTCCGCCGAAGACATATAAGACCTGCTTTAACAAAATATTGTAACTTTGAGAGCATTCAAATCCCATATTAACAAATAGAAGCACAACTGCAGCCAATCGGTGCAAAAGTATCTACATAGTGAGTTTACTAAACGCTTTTAAAATATTTAATTTGAATTTGGTAAATCGCAATTTTTGGCTACAAAGTGACGGTTTGACATATGGAAAGCTACTTTTCGGTATCCGAAACCTTATACGACTCTCATTTCTTCAACATGTGCCGTTTGAATCATCGAACGTTGAAGTTCTGCACAAAGTCTGTCTTCATTTTGTGACAAAACGACGAGCTTACAATGATGAAAAAGAACGAGTTTAGCCAATCACCTAGGTGCAAATTTATGCATAAATTGCGTTGAACAAATATTGAAATAGTTAATTGCATATTAAAACTTTTCTTACTGTTAGAAATGTTTCTGTAAGTGAGGTTGCGATTATGGTAAGCGTTGCTCGATGGCTGTCTGTAATTTCAATGTGATATTAAAGAGGTTTGATCTCCATATCAATAGAATGATTGTTTAAACTCTCATCTAGCGCTGCTTCAAAACAAATGAGTCGTTAAATATTTCTTGATGATCGTCATACCAGTCGCTAACAAACGCCGCGTGTAGCCGCTACATAAACAGCACTAGCAATTGCACTAACCTAGCACCCATATGACAAAACAAACAAAATATAACGAATTTTAACTGGAGTAATAATACTAAAGCAATGGCGTACATTTGATTGTATTCTTTTGTAAATGGCATTGAATTGGCGAACACAAAAGATAGACTTTTGTGTCGGTAACATCACACGATGTCGGTCTAACTATACCTTCACTGAATGCGGTCAATAATAAAAGCACGCTTTTAAATGAAAAAATGCGTTAATTTACACAGCCTGTTCTTCTATTGTCTATGATGTGTGATTACCAAGACATGAAGTAGATACGCCAAGCAAGCGCAAGTCGAACGAATGGTCAAAATAAGCTAATCGTTTGAAGTGGTTATTGCACTTGTGTTCTAGTGTTAATCTTTCTGACGACTCAACACCACTTGACTCGGTCAGCATATTTAAGTAATTTGACAGGTAATTATAAGCGCTTTAGTGATCAAACTAAACATCGTTCGCCTTGCATTGTGCCCGAAAGAATGACCGTATACGAGCCTGCATGCTAGGCAATTCACCCCCTGTTGTTACCCGCAGACAGGCAAATGAGATCGAATAGTGTCGGCAGTTATCACGAGCAATTCAGTGTTGGACGTGTCGTGTATTTGAGCAGACCCCGGTGAGAAGAGTGTAAGCAAACACTGCTGTATATATATAAAAAACATTACGTTCAATCTTCACTTTCAACAGAAGCATGCAACATTCCAGTAGGAGTTTCTGCATCGAATCCTTAATCGCAAACCAGGATAATTACACACGGAAATTATCCAGAGACGACGAGGAAGAATCAACATCAGACACCAGTGAAAATGAAAGGCCTAAAATGAGTCCCCAAAGTACACCTTTCTCCGTCAATGATATCTTAAGTCCTGGAAAATTCTCGCGAGAACGAAACATGACGTATAGTACAGTTGAGCGTGAAACTAACAAGGTTGTCTGGCATCCGTGGATGTCTGCAACCCGCTACAACAGACCTCAAAAACTCTTGCAAGGTAAGAAGATACATGTTTATAAACTACGACTGCGGGAGAAATTATAACCGAGTTCAATTTCGAGCAAACTAAAACAGACATTGCTCTAACAATGAAGCAACGTGATTTTCAAGACGTAGCTGTTGTCATCTAAGACAACAAGACTAGCACTGTACATATGAAGCTTATCTTCTCAAGCTTATTGTCATTTCTTCAATTTCAATGATGTCGAGCCTAAGCAACGCAAAAATTACATGCAGTATTATGTGTATATCTTGTTTCTGCATGATTCTGTATCATATTCCAGTTATGATAAGCTTTATCAAACAACTCACTAGTCTTCATTAGATGTATAGCTATATTCTTCACAATTGATCTAAAGATAAAAGTTACTGGCTTCTTAGTTGAGGCATGAATTCGTGATGGTAAGAAAATACAGCCACTGAAGTAAATATTTTAATTCTTTGTGTTCGCTAAATTCACACATGATTAATTGTATGAACAAAACTATCTAAAGCTATATATCTTTGTACTACCCGTTCTACAACATACACCTTAATTCTGCACATTGAATATATAGTATCTAATGCTTTAAGATAAGATAGAAGTCAATGGTTCACCAAATAGGAAAAGAGAGCTTGTTTTTCAATTTCTACATTTTATTACAACGCTCGACGTGAGTTGATAAGGTGCACAACACAGCTTTATTCACACCTAAATTACTCATTAATCGTTAAAGATATAAGAAGTTCACAAAACAAAGAAAAACACGGACAAGTCAGTAGCTACAATCTAAAAGCATTTCCTGAAGCACGATATCAAACTACCTCATGTAATGAACACACGCGTTCCACAAAATCAGCTATAAGATTTTTATAAGATAGAAAATGAAGAAGAAATTAAATTAATTCCGGAAGGAATAGAAATAATTTGACGACGAAACAGCAAAGTGTAAGTGTTTATAGATAATTTCCGAGCGGTTCCTGGCACTCCAGTCTTTTTCGCATAAATGGCTCACAAACAGATGACATAAAAAGAGCTACACCGTGATTGGGATTAATTTCAAGTCCATGGACGATATCTGCTACAAAATCTCCATTTATATACATATCGTTGGCAGTCCTTAGAGATGTCATGTTATAAATTGCTTGATCCTATCTATGCGCAGGGTATTTAAATGCAAGCCTTTAAGAAACAAGATAAAAACTTAATGTTCCACTTTATTTATTATTTTTGGTAATACAAAAAACATGTTTCGTTCATATAATCTTTTATAACCAAACACTGAGCAACTTAGCTAACACCTAAACGTCTTCGTTAAGGGTCGGAAAAACGCAAAAGCGAGGACGAAGTAAGTATAGAAGATACAGAAAAAGAAAGCGAAGAGTCGGACTCCGCTGATGATGTAAAATCGTGTATGGGGAAAAAACGAAAACGAACATCTGACAAAAACGGTAAAGAAGGAAAGCCACGTCGAGCAAGAACTGCATTTACTTATGAACAGTTGGTCGCGTTAGAAAACAAATTTAAAACAACCCGATACTTATCAGTATGTGAACGTTTGAACCTAGCAATGTCGCTTAGTTTGACAGAAACGCAAGTGAAAATTTGGTTTCAAAATCGACGAACAAAATGGAAGAAACAAAATCCTGGAATGGATGCAACAGCTCCAACGAGACCTTTAATGACAACTCCAACACTGGCACAATGTTCTTCACCGTATATGCTAAACTCTACACGTCATTTCTTTCCTACAAGTTTTCAAGCCACGGGAATACCATTTATGTTCCCTAAATCCCAACCTGCGTATCCTCACTTCTAAAAACGATGGCTCACATAAATCAATTATGGTTTTAATAAAATGATATGATTCGTTTACTTTTGTCCACGATCAGACTATTGGTGATCGCAAATGCTGCATTGTTATAGAGAATGGCAGATGAAAGCGGAGAATGAAAGAATTGCGAGAATTTTGGGTTGACTTGAGTCAATGCATACATCAATCGAAATTGGAAAATGAGAGATGAAGAATTTGAAAACAAACTGCATTTATCTTTTAAAGACAGAATTATCTGGGCGACAGTTTTCAATGAAAAACTTTACAGATACGGCATCTTAGCTAAGTGCAGAGGGCTTCACCGAAAATTCCGTCTAGACACATTAAAAATGTACATTATCTTAAAGACGTTAATATTTATTCCAATTCTAATATAATTTTTCTAGAATTAAGAGTTCTTGTCGAAAAAAAAGTTCGTAAATATTGTAAATATCCAATACAGACATCTATCTCGTCCATCTGAGAACACCGGAGAGCACCGCAATAATATCATTGATATTTCAATAAACACAGTTAAAAATTTTTCATTATAACATATTGGAATCACGATTTGAACAATGTTACCCAATAACAATTCAGCTTAAATAGGAATATGATATAATACATACAGAAATGTACCCATCGTGCAACTTTAACAGACATAGGGATTTTGATGCACCAAAGATAGAAAAATCAATTTTATAAAAGCTACACTTTTTATGAACACAAGGCAAGCACACAAAGTCAATGGATTCCAATATATATACACACAACAGCGACACTTATTATCCTAAAACTATGTATATAAATATCACCGTAAGAGACTTTAAGTGTAATTAAACGCTCGCGGTATGAACAACAGAAAGAGAAAGTCAAATAGCTATGGTACTTATAACATACGCTGCTGAGATTGCTTGCTTGATTGTACGAAAACGTTGCATAATATCATTTCTAGCTTCTGTTTGCTATGGAGTATTTTGTGACTTTGTTATCTGGTTTGTTGTATGCGTCCTCTTTTGATGAAGATTTATAGAAACGATTCAGCAGGAACACGACTTCATTATAGCTAAACCGTTTGTCGTTGATATAAAAGATCATTATAAGTTACCAAAAGAGCAGTATAGTACAGCTGTATATATACAAAGTTTGTGAGATAATTTTACTTTACCATGTGTCTTGTGTTCATATATAAACTAAATAGATTATCTTATACGTCCATTCAGCGCAACGACTCGAAATGTCAATGATTTCATCTAACAAACATGTTTATTGATTACCCAAGCAGCAAACTTTAAAACAAAGGCGATTATCTAAATAAATAGCAAGGAACGACGCCTAACCAAGCAACAGTTCAATGCACATTTTTTATACCAGTTATCGACCGAAATAATCATTTGTTCTACAATTCAACAAAACATTATTAAACACTCTTTCCTTTTCTCCTTTACACATATTTTTGTACAAAAATGTGGTCAACTGATGGTTATACACGTCATGGATGGAAATTACCTGACGACAAATTGCAATCAAAGATGAGCAAGGCCAAATAATAGATTACAACAAACAGAGCAATATGCGGGGAAAATGTATGTGTAAACTGGCTGTGTACGCATGCAAAGTCTTACAGATATAGTTCATTTTGAAATCAAACGAAAGTAGAGATATCTGTTTGCGCGAAATTAGTTTATCTTTGATTGCTCCAGACGTTAAACCGGTGAGTTATAAGTGGATAATCGCTAAAGTAAGGTAAATAATTCCTTAATGAAAAACACACAAGATTGAAGCGGCGGTCTTAAACATTGAATGGTTTTGATTAACTAATAAACACTAAGAGAAGCGACCTTACGGCTCACCACTAAACAGTACTTTTATTTTTAAACAAATATATTAAAAAATGAAATGAGGTGGTCAAATCCGTTCTTAAAAATTCACCAATCATAAGTGAATTCTCTAGGAATGAACAGGTACATTCGTTGTCCTCAGTTTAAAAATTTAACTCCAAATATAGCTGGAAGTTTCTAGCTGCAGTAATTTCAGCAAGACAATTTCCTTCAATTAGATCGTTTATTTGATCATAACTGCACGTAAAAATGAATTAGCCATCAATGAAGCTACTTTAACGTACATGTACAAGCAAAAATGGTGACATTTTTAACCAAATTTGTACAGCTAGGTGGTAGGGCGGTTGAGAACAAAGATTACAACTCCGCATGCAACGGAACTCCTGACGATTTAGCTAATAATTGTTATTGCATATGTGTCCTCATGGAGTGGCCATTAAAACAAAATATTTCAATCAAATTTGTGGGAAATTAAATGCCGTGTGAAGATATCTATCCACGTCAGTTTTGGATATTTTCAACAGAAGGGTTGCATCTATACTATATAAGCGGTACGACTCTTGCATTATAAAGAGAAAAAACACCATCTGCATTTCCATCTCACATGTTTTTTATTACAAACTAGGGTTAAATGATGAAGTCGGCAGATATCTAAAAGCATGACCTGATAAGATTCAGTCTATTAAGTAGTAATGTGCGCAATCATGACTTCAAATGTCTTTCACAATATTTATTGCTCTTCAATCTTATTCTAAACACCTTAATTTACGAGAAGTTGTACCAAAGTCGTTATATCAATATATAACGACTATTGTAACCGTTAGAGCACTCTAAATATCGATAGTTAAAACATAATATTGCTGCATGTCGAAGACAATAAATGAAATATATCCCTTAAAATATCATCTCATATTGTCACGCCCATGCAAAAAGCATGGTTCGGCAATCAACTTTGATGCAGAAACACATATTCATGAATGTTCTAATCATTTTCTTATAACATGATCAACCTAACATGTCTCGTATAAATATAATGAAGATTTCACCGAACATAAACAGTCTTGCATGGTCGCTTGCTTGCGCGTGTGTTCGTGGCGCAAAGCAGTCTATTACCTTTAAATTACCGTCTAAATTCATATCAATATGCAAAATGGAATAATGGTATGACGATGATTTGAAGAAATGCTCATGTGTATTGTGTGAATGCCTTCATTAGGATAATCGTGCAAATCGCTAAACTACTTAAAAATATGTTACCGTAAATGGGAAAATAAAATTTGCAAAACATAATCAAGCGTAGGTGACAGAATCGATTCACAACTGTGCTCGGAAAGCTTTGTTGAGATAATGAACAGATTGACATGTACATATAGGAAAATCTAGCAAAATTGCGCGATTTGCAGGTCAAAGAAATTACTTCTGATGATGTAATTCGAGAAAAAACGGTGAACTTCAAGAGAGAAACATATTTAAAAATAAAAAGTGAAAACACAATAGAAAGTAGGTGAACATACAGACTGATAAAGACATCGTTTTTGTGGATTTTATTTATGGCGTATGCATGCTATCATGGTGGGCGACATTCAATAGATTGAATTGGTTTTCTAATTGGATTTAAATTATAAACAATCTCTAAAACGTATTTGTTAATAACGGAATCTTACTTACATTTCATGAATGGCTCAGCTTGTTGTCTCAACGGGTTGTTTGTGAGATGTTTTCTCGCATTTACCTAAGGAGATAATAGAGAGAATGAAGTCTAGAACATTCTTTTCTGTGGAGCGAACTGAATCTCTACATTCATAGACTTCATTGAGATGTCTATAGCGAAATTTATGAACGAATAAAAGTCATTGAATACACAAACGTTGTTTCCAAGAACTATAGGTTATCTAAATAAAACACTTCATAAAAACAAATGAGTTCTATGATATCATAAGATTTCACAGAACATACATGACTACATCCAGTCTAAACATGCGTATTACAGTTTCAAAACAGCAGGGAGAAAAGCTTCAACGCCCAGATGAAAAACCTTAAAAGAGGAATATATGATTATGAAGAGGTACTAATTGCAGCTATGCAGCCGGCCCACTTAACCACTCATATTGTTATGCATTTTTGGTGCTTACTGCGAGAACATAGCATGATGAGGAAATACAGTCTGGGAAGATAGGTCACAGACTAATAGAATAAAATAACATTCTGTATATTTGCTGTGAAGAACAAGAGTATTGCAGTTTTTAATCTGTATTATAAAGTATTGCAGTTTTTAATCTGTATTATGAAGTATTTAATGAACAGCGTCGCAGTTGGCAAATTAATTATATCAAACACGAATGATATAAAAAGTCCTGCGAACTTATTTATTGCTTAGAACGAAAGTCATAAAAACAGTGAAATTTCACTCGACTAATTTGAAAAACAGAGATGTGGAAAAAAAAAGCGATGCCTTGGAGAAGAAAAATGATAAACACCATTTTAGGTCACGTGATGTAAGAATTACAGCGAAAGCAGTAGGTGTGAATATTTAAAGCAGTATGACACTGAAAATCAACATCTGCAAAAAAGATCAAAATTCCAAAAGGTAATTGAAAAAAGAATTTTAAGCATAATTTGCTGCATGATGTGCAATGAAGGGGTGTATAGCTTGTTACATCATGTTATGAAGATCAAAATAACGTCACTATTATAAAATCTATGGCTAAAATACTCTCGATTATCTCCGCTCTGTCATCATCAACAAAAAAATACAAGCATTTATCTACGGTTCTTATTTTGGTTTAGAAAATGGGGAAATCATCACTAAGTTAAAATGTTGAATCACAAACAGTTCGACAGTATTGGTTATTTTATTAAGATTTTTTAAGGTCAAGGTGAGTAAGGAAATTTCGCATGACAGCTTCCTCTTTCAAAGTTGATTTTAAGTCCTTTCTTTCATGAAATTTAAATCGCTGATTTAAAAAGTGATCGATGTTCTAAAGCACATACTACAAAGGCATACTTGGAAGAACTTTCCACTCTTCGTTGGTTTGCACGTTTGCAAACAATACAAGAAGACGAACATTCCAATTGTTGGAAAAAACGAAAAAGTGAACACGAAAACAATAAGAAAAAAATCAATTTGAAAATTTTCATTAATACATAGATGAGTACAATTTCACATACATACGGCACTTATAACATATTGGTGAAAGATTTTTCAAAGATGATTTTTGTTTGAGCACTAGCTTCACAAAAGAACCTACAAATGTAAATTCCGTCAATTGTAATATATTGATCACCTAGAATATATGATTAAGGTCAAGGTTAAAATACCAAACAGTTACCAATAATGATGACCTGGAAATTTATGAATTCAGCTAAAAGATTTGTAATTCTCATTAAAACAATATCACTGTGTGTAAGTGCATTTGTAGGAAACCCATTTCAATGAAGACGTATTCCTGTATTGAGGAAACACACTATGGCTACCAAAATTGTAGCACAAAAACTTGTCTTAATATAAACCACCTTTCTAACATACTTTATGCCATAGAATATTGCATTACAACATTTCAATGAGCAAAATTCTCAAATAAGACCAATTAATGCGAAATCATCTTAAGAGAAATTTGAAAAAACGTCTTTTCTAAATCAATACATCACATACATAATGAAAGAAAGTTATACTGGCAAAAACAACTAGCTGTAATAAGTTAAACATCGTACAACCAACGAAAATACACACTCCTGTAAATAAATCACAAGTTGTTGTACACATATGTAGTTTCCAGTCTCTAAAATATACCCAATCACACACATATGTAGTTTCCAGTCTCTAAAATATACCCAATCACACACATATGTAGTTTCCAGTCTCCAAAATATAACCAGTGAGAACATGGAACGTGTGGATCATGTGATCATAGTTTTTGCAAAATGTATGAAACACGATTAATCCTACAAAATGATGGTATATATTACGTGGCAATGAGCACTGTTTCATCACTAGTGATGTAAGTGAAATCAATCATAAAATTCATGCATGAAAAAGTGAAATAAAACATTGATCACCATTTATCATTACGTAAAGAACAGCCCTTTCTAATGACGATATAAATACACATTTATTTTTTTAAAGTAAGAGTAGAAAACAGTATTATTCCGAAAACAATATATGAAAAAATGAACAGATCTTGATTTATGCATTTCAAAAGATACACTGCCCTCGACCAAACAGAATCGATCAATCTTTATGTAAATTAGTTATTATTAAACCATAATATATGTATGTTGCATAAATGGCACGATTTAAATTAAAAGATAAGCAATGGTTAATTAGTTATTGCACTAAATTTTATTACTGCAAGAGAGTTTGTAATATGTGTGTATCACTGTCAGTGGCAACTTATCTTGGTCTGCTTTTACAAGAAGATGAATTCAGTCTTGTACAAAAGCATTATGCTAATCAACGAATATATTCATATAAACAAGCAAAATAGTCTATGTCTTGCTTCTTATTGATTTACTTCATAAGGAAGAATTTCAACACTAGTAAAGAAAACGAAACAAACGAAGAGAGAGTTAGACACGTTTTCGCAAAAAATGTTTTCATTTCTCAAACGGTTTCCAGAAGTGCTGGCCTACGTGTCGATACCGATCTTCCATGAACTCCAACCTAGGGGGTAATGTAAACATAGCCAAGCCCTTTTATGAACGATGAACCAAATATACATCGCTTTTCCTCATTGAAAATGAATGAGTATTGTATTGTATTGTATGGCAATCTGCCCATTCACGATCTTCACCAAAATCAAGCTTCCTCCACGTAATGGTTATTTATGATGATGATGATGTAGCCATAACTGTTGAATTTAGAGCTCAAAGCCACTATAGGTAGTAATTTAACAGTTAATTAGAAAAGATAATCGCTTAACAGTTAATGATAATTCATTTGCATTGACAATCGTATCCTAGGAATATCCTTTTTACCGTGCAACCACTTTCAATAATGATCAATTCGAATCATATCTCTTTAATAACAAAATGTTAAATCATGTCAATAATAAAACACTTCAAATTTTAACCAAACCGGGTTTCCTTAACGTACGAACAGGCCAAATCCCTAAAGACCTTTTTATAATAAACGACGATTCCGGCTATCTATAAACTTCTTTTGTCAAAAGACTGTGTAATGAACAATGACAAGAAGTTGAACTATTTCGTGTTTCAGCAGTTTAAGATTCTGAAAATAAATTAAATAACTGTTATCAATAAACATCGAAATTTAAATAAGTTGATCATCATATCGTACACGATAATATCTGCAATAGTGCTGTCGAATTATTTCAAGAATTATCATGGGTGACAACTAGCGTTCACGAGGGTATTTTTCGTTTCGTTATTTAGCTGATGTTATAAATATTTGAATAAAAAATTTTCCCTTGGTAAAACTACATTTACAACTATTTCGTTTCCTATTCTTTCAACGACATCATGCATTCACAGGTTGTAAAAACCTGCAAAGCAGTAAACAATAACGAAAATAGTGACAGTTTCGTGGTGAAATTATGTCTTCGTTATTCCCAGATGGTCAATAACTAAAACGACAATAAACTTCGACATGAGTGGCAGACTGTGACATATTTTACATTAGTACTCAACAATCAATACTTTCTTATTGGTTTATTAAAACAAATGCCAGTTCAAAAGAGCTCTAACTGTGGTTAGTTGGGCTACCAATAAGAGGAAACAAAAACCATCGAAAAGATTATTTTGCCATTTTCCTTTACTCGTGATGTGGGATGACGTGTGTTCAATTCAAAAGCTTCCGGCAAAGTTGAGGTCATAAAGTCAATAGTTTCAATTTGGTAACGGTCACATCTTTTTCAAGACGATAATCTTCAAGACTTGAGGTAACAAATCAGGAAGTTTTGATTTGAAGTAAGAAGCTTCGATTTCGAAATAAAAGGACAGTAAAGTCTTTTGTGTAGAACCCTTTCCCATGAAATGAATTTCCTATTTTTTGTTCCATCTTTTCCTACGTATTGTTTGAAACCAGACGCTAAACCCGAAGCAAATATACGATTTCCGGACTTGTAGTTATCATATTCAATTAAACGTGGTTGAATCTCATTTAACACCCTCTTCAATATTGCCAACGGCTTTTTAACATTTCTTTCTCGAAGATTGAAGGTATATTTCATATGCTTCATGCAATAGAAATAAATCATGCACTTGCATACTTGTGCATTGTATTATCCTGTAGTTTTATAATAAAATTCTTCATACTAGCATTGTAGGGGTTAAATAACTCTTACTGACTGTATATTGACCGGCTGTTATTTTCATTATCTATATTTATAAGGTAGTATATAGTTCATAAGACTAAGAAAAGGGGAGTACTCAAGAATTCAATACAGTTCAATCCCTTCAAGTTCCTATAAGAAAATGGTAAGTCCGAGCAACTTTCCATCCGCGCCTTTCACTATTAGTCTTCCTGAGATAAATGCAATCAATAATTGACCATTAACATAAGAGTTTGAAGATACAGTAAAAATGCAACTAATGGCAAAAGAGGAAACTATAAAAAGCAAAACACGTGTTGGCACATGCAACATATATAATCTATGTATTAAAGAAATCTTATTTAATGTTGATGAATCATAATGCATTCGCGCGAACATCATGCATGTAACAATGAAAATAGTATCAATTAAACTGTTTTTATCATACTTAGAAAATAAGATTGAAAGTCTTTGATTGCAGCGCATGTGTAATTAAGCACATAACGATCGAGTGTTTTGTTCATTCAAGGGAAATGCACGACGTCAAAATGTCTGCCCTCTTGATGACGTTACAGGTAAAAGTAAATGCCTTCTACAACTTGCTCTAGTTAAGTAAACAAGTGCTGAACCAGATACTCGGAAATCATTGGAGAGAGAGATGATAGCATTGAAGAAAAATTTAGTTCTTAGTTAGCACATGAAAAAGAACTTTTACATTATTGATCAGCATTAAACATAAGAAAGCCTCAGTTGTTTCTGTTGGCGTTAGTTGTTTGTACTCGAAGTACCCCAACGGTTTTGGACATAGTCATTTGAACATAACAATTTGCTTACATAAATATATATAGCACAAATATAGAGCAAGCCAACACATATACATACACAGACAAGAGCGATGCCAAGCATATTAAAAAAAGACAATTACGACAGATATAGAGATAAAACGAAAGTGTGAGTCATATAATTAAAATGAAGTGGTTAATCGAAGACAAAGTAAAGAAAACAAACGACCAATATAATATTTGATATACCTTATTTGGTTGTGGAGGCGGTGTTTAACTGTTTATTGTGTTTCGCATTGTCTAGTTAAATATAAACATTGAAACGTTGAATAGTCTTGAAAATCCAATAATTATTACCACTTTTATGCACTGTTTCAAGTTCCTAGTAAAATATCGTCGTTCTTCTATTGATAAATTCAATGACACATGTGTCCCACTTCAACCACATATGTCCCACTTCAACCGCATATGTCTTCCACTTAATGTTTTCGTTTTTGGTTTATCTTTCTATGATTCATAAGTGACAACGTTTGCTGCGTTCAAATTCTCAAAAACAATGATTTATGAATGCGGGAAAGCTGGCTTTTATATATTAATGCGCTTGTTTCAAACTGTTTTCTCGCGAAGATAGAGACCCCTCCCCTCTCCTTTAATCAGTCGAATCCAGCGTCGCTCATTTTCATTAATATGAAGACTTTATTCATTACTTGGCGGTAAGCGGAAACTCAATAATAATCCATAAAATCATTGATTGCAATAGAATTTTCATGGGAAAATAAGGCTTATGTCTATGGCAAGCAAAGGTCGCATTGCTAAAGTCTGTCTGGAAACTACGCAGTGACAAATGCTGGAGAATCGTACGTATAATAGTGCAGCCAATATCATAGCAGGCAGATTAAAGAGAGGTTTGATTTTGCTAATCATTTTCAAACAAAGAGCAGCAATTGTATATGAAAGGAAGACCTGCAGAGTCTTGGTGAAAATGCAATACATCGTCAACAGAATAAGTTTACAATAATAGAAATGAACCAAATGCTTTTTCACTTTTGTAGCCATTGCTTTAACAAAAAAGAATGCTTTCAAAGCTTTCCTTTTCTTATGACTAACAAGATGTCAGCATGTTGAATAAAATTGCAAGCGTGTGTATACTTTCAATTCTTAATTTCTTCAATAACAATTCAACAAAGAACCTCTCTTGTTCATATCAGATATAAAAAAAGAAATCAGTTCTCAAATGTACTGTTAAGCACAGAAAGACAAAATAATTAAAGAATGCTGTATACATCGGTCTTTCCTGATTTCAAACATAACATTAGTAAGTAGAAGTAAATGTTGAACGGCTAAGCACTACCAGAGAAACAGAAAAACACAAGCGAGCAGAGCAAAATAAACAACAAAGTAGCTAAGCACGTATTCCTAACGACATATACGTCTCAAAATGGATAGAATACAAAAATCTTTTTTCGATTACAAACAAAGCGTTTTACATTCAATGAAATCGGAAATTAAATAAACTAAGTGCAAAGCTTATGACGTCAACTCGTGAAAGATCGTTTGTATATTGGCGTTTAGAGAAGACATGTTGAAACAAATCACCAAGCCACTTCAGAATACGTACAATCAACGTGTTTAATTAATGTAGTAGAGAGTATGGGTCTCCCATGTTTGTCTCATGACCAAAATTCTTACGTGTCTATATTGGTACACCTGACGTTTGCAAACCAAGAATAATATGCAAATAGCAGACGACATAGTGAACTTAATTGAGCACATCTTTTTTGAGTGTTTAATGAAAGTCTTCCGACGTCTTGAAAACAAAGGCAAGATATATTGACATGTTTTTTAGCTAACTACATCAATGCACTTCAGCTAATATCGTAGTTTGGCCAATAATAAGGGCAATGCCACCTACGAGTCCATTGCAACATCTGACACAACACTTTATTAACGGTGATATAGGCTATAAGGAATAATTATAAAGACTTGAACAATTTCCAACAAAATGCTGAGATTCATATGAACTCGTGCAATGCTTTTGCTATATTCGCGTTCTTCCTCTCTTCCTGTTTACGATAAATCCATTCAATCTGATGTTTTGATAATGAAAGCAATTTTTGCTGTAATTTTCATCAGTAGATACATTCACAACAAGATTTATCTTCATTTCCCAGTTCAAGACCCTAAAGGTTCTTCGATGTTTACAAGAAAGAAATTTAAAATGGCGCAGAAAATTTACTTGCATATATGTAAATGAACTACAACTGAATCTAGAATCTAGAACCATTACACATCATTACCACACAATCTCACACGTGCAGCACGAATGCGCATGCGCGTCGAAGTGTCCGCATCACAAAGCAAATTGAGCACTTTATCAAGAGTAGAACATAACGCGATAAGAAAGACTGCAATAAGATGTTTTTGTCTCAGTCACAAACAGAAAACATGATGAATTATACCACAAAAACAAGTTTGACAGCCTTAACATCGAGATAGAGAAAGTATTTCAATATAGCGTGTGTTATGATAGTGAGAGTGCATGCATTTTCCCGTCTCCTTCCTCTTTGCATACTTGTCAATGTCGTGAACAAATATCAAATTGAAAATTCCCAATGTATAGTGCAGCAATTGAAACGATATAGACCAAAAATGATTTCCTAACAATTTGCCTACATCACAAAACACTTAAGTAGTGGTAATTTCGTCTTGAGATGATGATGACTTATAAAGATGATTTTTAACAAGAGCAAATAGCTATGCGTGCCTTCTGGGTGAATTACAGCCTCGTGCTTTACAAAACTAACCGCAAATCACGAGAATAAATGTATTGACACGCAATGTTAAAAAGTTAAGTCTAAAAGATGTTTATGCTATCGTAAAGTTCTTCTGATGATCATTTCAAAGTGATTTCCGTCATGCTCAAGGACCATGTGTCCCAAATATAACGCTAAACAATCAATTTCCTTCCTAAGTTAAGAGGTTTAAGTAAGCGTACGACGCTTGCAAGCAGCGACGAACAAACGAACTCTGTTAAAGCGCACAATTTCAACGTCTATTTGAAGTATTAGACGGTAATATCTCACTCAGATATTGGCCAGGAAGCTTCAAATCATTACTGAGCAATAGCACATGTAACATAATTAACTTTCGAATTTTCTCTCTGAAAAAAGGGACAGTTTGTTTTACGAGTTTTCTTACTATACTTCACATGCAAAAGCAATCTCGATTTTTCTAAACAAAAAAAAAAAAGACTCGTGGTTGTAGCAACAGCAAGGCAATGAAATATGATATAACCAAGTTGAATATGAGACGAACGGATAATACCATTCAGTTTCAAATGAATGCATTTTATGACAGGAAAAATTCACTCACGAAAATTTATACTATGTCAAAACTATGGGACGATGTCCAAATGAAGCGAACCAAAATGTCGAATAATTAAGCTTTAATAATAACAGCATCACCATATTGGGAAAAAATAATTGTATTTGTTAGCCCTAAAGACGATTGCAGGCATGGTCAACATTGTAGAGATTGTATTCAAATTTCTCTGTTCTTTTTATAGCTGTGAACTCAGTTCCTCTTTACGGAGGAAAGATTGTTTTCGCCAATTTTTGAAGAAAAGTATAATGTGTTTCGAAACTTTACCTTTTTGTCATTTGGTTTGGGAATTTTGAAAGTGAAATCATTTCTACAGAACGCGTGCATAGGTACTGCAGCAAAAGTTAAAGCCGATATTAACACAAGCAAGCGCTCAACTTACAAAAAGAAAATGAAGTCGAAATATCCATAACATACTAAATTACCTTCTATCATAAGCTAAATAGTTAATCTGTTTACGGCACTGCAAAAATTACGAAGAGAACTTATAACCCTAGTCAACAGTATTGGCTTACACTACAATCACTGAACTACATACACACATATATTGCATTCTAGTTTCACTTGCTGAACTGTTTCGTTATTTTTTCTACTATATCACAGGATTTATATTTGACCAAGAGTTACAATTTTATAGAACAAATTCGCTGACATATATACTTCCATGCAGCAACAGCATAAGTAGAAACATTATATACTGCTATGAATTGATATATTATGTATGTTTAAACTTCAACGTACTGAGATATTATATACATATATATTACACTGCCAAACTGTCTAACTGTGCGTGCGTTTACAAGCAGTATTTGTAACACAATAAATTATCGTAAAAAAGACTATGACATATGATGTTTATCATTTCAAGTTCTTCACGAGGTATGAAATGCCAACCGCGTTTACTCTACCTATGCATTATCTCTGTAGCCGAAACCCAGACAAAAATATAACCTCAGGTTTAAATTGAGGCAGATGGCTCCTTCACCCTACAATAGAAATACAGCTATCGTCGAAACTACAAGCCACCATTAAAATCTCATCATTCTAACCTTCAATTTCTCCCTTCAAATGGCAAGATCCAATAATGACGAGTTTAAAATTCATTTAAAACTCTTCAAATTTCAAAAACTAATCGTTCAACATACAAAAGCAATTGTTCGCACTTTCCGAGATAAAAAATGCAGAGAACGACAAGATTAGTGGTTTTTAACGAGGCGATGGGCGCTCTTTAAGTCGTTTCAAGTGTGATAAGGTTTGTGTAAGATGTGGCGATTAACGTTGGGCAGCTGGCCACTTCACACACGCTCCGATAATACAGTCAACGTTCGTGAAACAACATTTGACAAGTGATATTTGAGAAAAAATACAAACTATCAAAATATTCAATTGCTATGATGTGGGTCAAATGCGTCTTGAAGCGCTGTATGTAAAAATATATATATAGATGTGGTAGTTATATTAAATGTGTTTATTGAAACATATCTGTAACATAGCGTATAAATATACAGTTGTTCATCTCGCCTATACATGTATGTTTGATAGATCAGGCGTGTGGTGTACTTGCGCCTCATTAATGAATTTCTAAACAAACTACAAAACAAAAGGAAGCATTTAAGATTTTAATATAAAATAACTCAAACATAATTTGTATACATCGGTCTTTGATAAGAAACATAAACAAAATTGAGATTTTATTATTATATGATTATAGTTCTTCTTAGGACGTTAAATCGTGGCTCACCGATGTTTAGTCGACTCGAGAAGGGAGCAATTGAATGTTTGATGATTTCATTGTAAACATTATTAAAAACTTTAATAATTAAAACAAGGGAGTTTTTAGCTGTAACTGACAAGCTGAGAAAAGAGCACACACGCATTTTTTCAATTTATGCTCAAATGACTATGTATTAATTTTCCAAACGTGTTAAAATGGGACAATTATTTTTGAAACATCGACGCTAAACAAATAGGCAATTAGCTATAATTTTTAAGCCATTGTCGGCTATATACGTTGCCTTGTCTGAGTGACAATTGCACAAACACCGTTTTAAATACAAAGTTATATATGTCCATGGATATTATGGAGGATAAGAAATACTTCAATGAAAAATACAAATCATAAAATAGCGTTGAAAGATAAAATTTCTCTAAAGATTCTAAATTGCTAATATTTAAGTGCAGATAGTACAAATTAGAATTACAAACAAGTAGGAGTTTTGTATAAACATTCTCGTCAAGTTGCCTTGACCATATTTAACACATAGAAAAGACAGTATATCAAAATTTGGTTACATTTTTGTGGAAAAAAATAACGTTGTTAAGATTGTGTGCATGACAATGTCTTCAGCTATTTTGCCTTTTGTTCACGAAGCTTAGATAAGAAAACGCATCATAAATCATTAGGAGATTATAACGTCGTGCTCGTCACAAGAAAACCATGATTCAAATGTACGGTTTTGCTTAAGTAACGCAATCCAAAGTAGTTATAGAAAATTTGAGATATCGTAAGTAAATTTGAAGAAAAGTAGATCTGAACACAAAAAAATAAACAAGTGATGTTTTATGAAAATTATAGCAAACTCGTTTTAAAAATTTTATTCTCTTTTTTTGTCATCGATGTAATCTTCGGTATTTATCGCATGGAAGCAGGTGATGAAAGGTGCACACATCGTCATGCAAGAAGTCAATATACGATTCTTGTGTCTTCAAACATTCCCGTTATCAGTCAAAGTTCCAACGCATCAATATTAATGATAAATATGGCTTTATTTCCAAATTGATGCATTTGTGTATATTAACGAGAAGGGAAACGTTTATTGCAAAGCGATAAACAGTTTTTTTAAGAAAAACGTTATTCGTCAAATACAAGCAAAATGGACGCAACATCAATGAAAGATCCACATGCCATAGTGAAACTAATGACAATGACCGACACACGCAAATAGGAAGTGTATATAATACGAGATTATTCACTTTCTTATTTCGTTTGTTTCAACGACATGGATATTATGAACGTAACGTATGTTAATGAGAATAAAATAAATAAATAAATAAATCAAGCAGTATGTACGTAAATAGCGTTTCCTGTCATGTAGAATAATATATTGTTTATGTGCGTAAAGCCATTCATCAATAGATATTTAGAAAGATTTTTATATCTGTACGTTTTCAATGCTAAACAGGAAATTACCTAATTGTTCGCCATTGGCCAATTGTAGGAACTTAAACCAAGGATTAGATACGCTTGCACGATAAGAGCTATGGCAAGACTTAGCCAATCATAGCCACGCTTATGTTCAACTTTCGCGTATGCACAGGAGGGCGTGTCTGATTATCTGTCCTCCAAAAAACCATTAAGCTTTGTATCAGCCAATGGTGTTCGACATTCAAACACTGCTTTTAAAGTACTCAACACAACGAATGCAGATCATTATCGTTGATCGCTCGAACACTGTGCCACTATCACTCATAGAGTTTCATAGAGAGTTAACGAAACGTGTCATCTTGCTTTGTACAAACTGAGTGAACGAGCACTTCGGAGATTAAAATCGGTATTGAATAAACTGAAATACAAATGGCTAACAAACGCGCAAATCCTTTCTCTATTTCAAGTCTTCTGGAGGACAAAGCCGGGAATGAAAATGTTTGTGCAGTAAAAGAAGAATGTTATGAGTCTGAAGGAGAATGTGAGAAAGAAAGAATTCCAAGTGTTACAGATGACAATCAACAGCACACTATTCATTCATGGTACGCCAATTACCAAGAACCACAGCCAAACATGGAAACAAGTAGGAATATACTATTGTTATTATTTGCGTCCTATACAACCACCAGTTTAAGAAAGATTTTCTTTCTTTCCATCGTACAATGGAAATCACATCGTGCACGCACCATTAAAACGTTGCTCGAAACCTTTTACAATAAGACCGCGTTATTTGAAAATCGTATGAATAAAAATTACAATGCAAATTCAATAAAAACTATCGTTTTCTATTCAATTCGCGAGAAAACAATGCCGGCGAAGCAATCGTTTACACATGCATCAACACCATTAATTTCAAATGAAAGCATTGAATTTGCAACAACATGCGACGACTAAATTTGCTTGTAAAATTACCCATCAATGGCTACATGCTATTTCCCTCGTTCCACCAAAAAGTTAATACGGCTAAATTGATCAATAAACAAAGCAATAAACTCACAAATTTCGTGGCCACCTTGATTAAAGTACTTTGGGCGATCTCTTCACTTTTGGTGCCTTTCCCTATATCAAGGCGATTGACATTTTTGAAGTGGAATTGTCAGTTTAAATTGAAGCGTTATGTAATTTTCTCATATTATAAAATACTTGCTCGCAATACTGTATTTATTGACATGTGCATTAACCTTTAAGTATTTACCCCGAGAGACTAAGGTAGCTAACAGTAACTAGTCGTGATATACCATTGTATGCAAACATTTTGTCATAGTTTGAGCTAAATAAACGCTACGCCCAGGACATTGAAAATTTTTAAGAAATTACCGCCAAAATAATATTTATATAAACATAATTATCTATAAAAATACGCCACACATGACTGTGTTATCATTGAACGAGAAATGTAGTCGTTATTTATCGAAGATCTTAAAGAAATTTGAACATGATTAGCTAAATTAAAACGTCTTCGGCAATTTTCGAACGATAGAAAAAACAAAAAGTCGAATTCCTCATAACCGATTATGGTTATTAACACGACTATTATTTCAAGCGATAGAGACTTGTGTTTCTAAAATTTGTTTATATTTGCCTAGATTTACAAGACAAACAATACAGCGGATTAAAGTCTCCACCACTCGAGTCTGACGACGAGACAAGCAACGATTCCTTAAAGAAACGAAGGAAGAAGAAGACTAGAACAGTCTTTTCAAGAACGCAAGTTTACAGGCTTGAGACAATGTTCGACTTGAAGCGATATTTGAGTTCGGCCGAGAGAGCTGCCTTAGCAGTACAACTCAATCTTACAGAGACACAAGTAAAGATATGGTTTCAAAATCGTAGAAATAAATGGAAAAGACAAATAGCTGCAGAACTTGACGTTAATGTTGCGCACGGGTCGCCCGCTCAAAGGTATCTTAAAGTTCCATTGTTGTATCACGAAGCCAATCTACGAAATGCTGCTTTTCCTTATTCACCATTTATAACTCCTTATCCGGCCTTTCATTATCAATCTTCTTTTGCCCCCATGATTGCAAATCACATGAAACTGGCACCTATGTCTTATGAAAAAGGACCGATCCTTTAAATGAATGAAAAGGAGGCACATTGAAAAGAATCCCGCTACTTCATATTCATACGACGATGGAGCAGGGCAAAATTTTCTCATTCGTTGAATTAGTTCAACCAACCAAAAGAAATAGCACATTAAAATGGCTGTTAATTGTAATGAATTATGAGAGGAAAAAACTCAACAACATAAGAAGTCTGGAAAAAAAGTATTCGAAATATTCGAAAAGCATTTTCAGAAAATTAAATTGAACTGTGTTGTAAATAGAATTTGTAAAATATTTTGTGATTTTGAATAAACGATTTCTCAAAATAACTGTCGTTTTCATAAACTTCAACAAATTATCATTTACCATCAAAAAAACCTCATACATTTCCACAACCCATACATTATTCTCCCGTATTATTTCACTTTGCAATTGTCGTCAACTATGGATTGACAATGTAACGGTCTTCCCAAAGCGCCGTTGCATGGATAAAAGAACGTCATTTAAAAAATATCATTTGGAAAGTAATATTATCACGTTAATGAAAAATTTCTTTTTGCCTTAGTAAGATATGATTAAATCCTTCTTTCCCAATGATTTCCTAACTAGAAGTAAACTGAAAGTGGACTTTCAACATTTCATAAGTTTACGGTTTTAAACTTTGGCCAATTGTGGGAAAAAACTTTCAAAAACTCTCTGGGGTAGTGATGCTTAAAAAGTATGTCTGTTGTCCGGTCTATCAAATGGTCCGATTACCGTTATCATACGGCCCATTTTTATAACCTTACTTTATGGGGAAACTTAAACGAAATAAAATTTACGAAAGAATAATGTTTTGAAAAAAGCTTGAATTGTGCATGTTTGGCATTATAGTGTGCTTAAAAAGGTTTATTAATACACATTAATGGCTTAAAATGTACACAAACTGTTTGATTATTTCATACAAATGTTTTATATCATATGTCATACGAAGCATGTGAGTAAAAGAATACCAATGAGTCATCGTTTTCCGTCTATCATCACAGACACGTAATATCAGTTTCCAGTTGTGTCCGTTTTATTCTCACAGTATTATTCATAACTTCCTTTCATATTTTGCATTAACGTTAATCACAAACAATAAAGACATGTTCAATGTTTAAGATATTTTAAACTACGACAAGACATGTGTCGACTTAATCTCCTCACAGTAAAATAAAATACAGTCGAATTTATCGCGCAGTTTCTAAATTTAATCCTTGAATAGCAAAAGAGCCGACACTAAAGTGCATGATGAATTAGATATTGGCTGTTTACAAGGCCAGACTAACAACAGCCGCACTGAAGAATTTATATAGTCCATGTAGATAATATAAATGAAATTTTTATGAAAGTCAATTGATTGTATACATACAGTCATACAAACTATATCGTTATATTTCACAGTTAACCTCTATAACAAGAGCATTGGGCTGCTTTATATATCATTTCCGGTTGTTTTTTTCGATATATTTTCAATACTATTCATCTTCGATTTCATTCGCGATTCCAACTATAAATATCACGAGGATTATGCTTAAACAATATAAACGTTAAATACGTCAAAAGAAACGCGAGGTTTAACAGAGCATGCTATAGTAATGTGAATCCATATCTATAACTATATCATCGGCTTAGATAAATGTATTTTACAAAGTATGATCTTTTTTCAAAGTTCAGTATCATAAACAAAGTTAAGTAGAAAATGACAAAAGTCAAATGGCAGATGTAGGAAGGTATTTTTTGATGGACTTATGAAAGATTGAAAGGGATAACGTAAAGACTTACACACTAATAAATCTTCAAATAGACATTTAACAAAACATAAACTGGCTGTAACATTTAAGTCTCTTACTATGTTATTGAGCGACTGCACACGCTTTACATGAAACGTGTGGGTATAAGGATCTATGAACCAACGTATGGAGAGTAGCAAATTATGGGATAATTACATGATGATTGCCTTGAAATTAGTTTGCATGAGAAACAATATCGACAATAAACACAACGTTTTATCTACACAATGCTAGCTACTTATAAACGCATGTGGGCTATGGATGTTGCAATTTCGAAATGGTTTTCGACACGGGACTATATGAATTAAACACATCATATATAATGCTTAATCAGACAGAACAATGATAGATATTGGGCGAAGACTAAATCGTTCTCGCTTTTACTTCACTGCTGACACTTATGAAGTTGGAATGGAATAATTGAAGGGAAAAACATTTGTGATATAATATATCTTTTTCTAAGCTTCTCCCAGTGTTACTGAGTAATAAAGAAAAAGGAAGTTTCTTGTCGAAGACATTATACCATATGGTGTAATAAATTATAACCTGTATGCAATCAAGAATGACGTAGTTCATTCAAAAATACAAAGGCACTCGAACAAACCATTTTATAATTCCAACAAACAAGTCATTAAAGCGGTCGTTCTGAAGTAAGATCGGCTCGTCATAATCCTATCAGCAAAGACACATATGGCTTTCTTATGATTATGAATGTCTTCGATAGCAGTACGCATGAACTTCATACAATGAAAATATGAAAACATCAAACTCAGAAACAATTCCATGTTGCGTATAACTTTAAGAAAAAAAGATGAATGAAATTGCACGCACTTTTAAAATATTAATACATTTGAAAGAAGAACAATATATAATGCTAATAAACATGTTAATGGCGGGCAATTTGGTCTTTTTAAGGAGTACAACATAATGTACACTTAAAAGGAATGGAAATATATAATCATTTGGTAATTAACGCTTTTAGTTAAAAGACATAGTGCAAAAATCATTAAAATTTTTTCAGTAGGGAAAGAACACGTTTAGCAAAACCGAGGGATTACTGCTTTACTTTTATCGACCGACTTCCTTGAGGTTTGGTTAGTCATTTATCAAATAATGACTTTCAAATTGTTGTTGAAAACAAATTATAAAAAAGTGCCTCGTGTTAGCAAAAGAAAGGAAAAAATATTAATTCGATGGGAATTAAAACAGAGCTAAAGCACTGAACATAAAATCCATAATGCAGATTATTGTCGACGTGAGCATTAGCTGAATTGTTTATACAAATGACAATTCATCAACTTAACCTGCTGTATGCGTGACGAGACAAACCAAAAATATCATCATCTTATAAACTCAACATTTGAGCCGTTTAAAAACAAAATCCTTGTTATGGTTATTTTTACTGTAATTCTAACTTAGCGACTTTAAAAACAATTTCCAAATACTATCAGAAATTTTTTCAAATGTCATCTTCACATAGCGGTAATTTCGGGAGTTGGTTTCGTTTCAAATTTATAGCAATTGTTTGCAAATTTAAGGATCAGTTTTGGATGGAGAAATCAAAGCGTTCCATCCAAAACATATTATCATAAAAACAAACACATTTGCAGCGTGATAAAAATATCATAATTATTTTTATACATTTCCTAAAAAGAAATCTGCCCGACAAATAGTGTATTTTACAGCTTTCAGAATTTTTCAAAGAAACATCGATACAACATAGAACTAGACGACAAACAACTTTTCCACTTAGGTCACAATTGACAGCCAACAGCAACACGTTATCCACACGTGTTTTTCACAATCATTAAACCACATGAAAAAATCCTATCAACATCCATTGCTAATCAGTACAAAAACGACTTGTAATTATATTTTGCTCTGATATGTAGAATTATGTGGCAGAATTAGGTAATAGATAATTTCATGATAACATTGATGGCAGGCTTGTCTATGCAAAGTCCTGCTTTACAGGATGGACAGCATGATAAAAAGGTATGTTATTTAAAGGTGTACTATTTGTATCCTTAACATTGCTAATGAAGAGCAGAAAACTAATTTAACCATTACATGAAAACAAAAATCTGTAAAACAAGAGTAAAGAGTTATGGTTTTGCCACTGTAGGTCATAAGTATTTAAGTTCCGCATGTTCAGGCAAGTAAAGAAAAACATGACAAATTCATTTTGTCTTAGTGTCTATCAGACAATATAAGATTATTTGGAAATATAATCTTCATGAAAAAGCTTTTACAGTAGACATTTATATTCGATAACACTCAATGTGACATATTTCTACCAATTACTCACAAACCTTAGATGTCAAACATATTTAAGTTTTCTTAAACATTAAAATAGTTAAAACCATTCCTTCATCACCATCAAGCAACATGTCTCCCCATATATCCTCCACAATCCTTCATTTCAACAATATTTTATAGGTAAAAAATAACCCATAGATTATAAATCATATAAGGCAGTGTTTAGCTACACGGAAAGCACCCTGCAGTGATGCACTGGTTTGTGGTTTAAACTTGTTAAAGTACATATGATTGCTTAATAGTTGTTCAAAAATTACAAAAAAAACCACGAAAACAATGTGATGTATATCGGTTGAGTCTAAGGCATTCAAAAAGAAATTCAACACTTACATTTGACCAACTGCCAAATAGTGACGATTTAAAACGTGCAAGTCATCTTTTGTGAGTTTTGCAGTATGCACAATGCCATTTAACTTTAATAAAACTTGCTAAATATCTTTTATAACCAGAGAATTTAAAAACTTCACGCGACAGTTTTTTTTCATCTATAAATGGCCGACTATGGATTGCACCATTTCATCCACTATAATCGAGTTTCATGAAGTATTCCCACATAATCAAATATGGCCGCCAAATTGAACGGAAAAGAATTGAAAAAGTTCACTGAATTTGGTCGAAAAATAATTGGCGTGGGACGTAATTATCGGTTTGTTTGTTGTTGATAGTTGCGAATACCACCTATTGCTTCTTGATTATCTGCTTAAATTGTTTAATTTTTTTATTGAAATCTGAATTAAAGTAAGAAAACTGAAGGTTATTTAACTGTATGTAATTTCTTTTTTCCATTTCATAGAGATCATGCAAAAGAACTTGGAAACAGTGTTCCTGAAACTCCATTGCTATTCTTAAAACCTGCCACAGCTTACATTCATGAAGGGAAAGAGATAAAGGTATATTTAAAACTGATGTTATTCTACCTGTGGCTGTGTAAAATATTCCTTTCTAAGTAGCTTACTTAATTAAGATTCCTCAAGGAAGCGAAGACTTTCAACACGAAGTTGAGCTTGGCGTTGTGATTGGTAAAAATGGTACAAATGTTGATGAAAATCAAGCCATGAATCATGTAGGAGGCTATGTTCTAGCATTGGATATGACTGCGCGAGATTTTCAACGCGAAGCATCAAAAAATGGACAGCCATGGCTGTTTGCTAAAGGTTGTGATACTACATGTCCTGTCAGTGATTTCATCCCAAAAGATAAAGTTTCTGACCCACATAACCTACGACTTTGGTTAAAGACAGACGGTGTCATGAAGCAAGATGGAAATACCAAAGATATGATATTTCCAATAAATTTCTTAATAAGTTACATCAGTAATTTTGTATCCTTAGAAACTGGAGATCTTATTTTAACTGGAACTCCTGCTGGTGTGTCTGCAGTCGTGGCTGGTCAGCGAATTACCGCCGGCTTAAACGATCTAGTAGAGATGAGTTTTATTGTTAAGTAATTTCTTTTGCTTTGCACAATTACAAGTTTTCGTCTTCAAAATCAATGCCAGTAAAGAAAAAATTGCGAGTCAGGACTAGAAAAGCGTGCTCGTAACGCTACTGCAAAAACATTTCTTTCGTATTATGATCCTTCAAACATTCTACATCATTTGTCTACATTCAAAGTTCACTTGGTTAAAAATGTTTAGAGAGAAACCAGAATTATATTATAGTTGAAAATAATAGTAAAGTATCAGTTATGAAGTTGAAAAACAATAAATCTGAGCTCGTAACCTCAGTTCGTAACTCGCAACTTAACCAGAGAAATTGTGAAGTTTTGCTGACTTCTATGGTTTCCTCATAACCTCAGTTCGTAACTCGCAACTTAACCAGAGAAATTGTGAAGTTTTGCTGACTTCTATGGTTTCCTCATAACCTCAGTTCGTAACTCGCAACTTAACCAGAGAAGTTGTGAAGTTTTTCTGATTTCTATGGTTTCCTCATAACCTCAGTTCGTAACTCGCAACTTAACCAGAGAAGTTGTGAAGTTTTTCTGATTTCTATGGTTTCCTCGTAACCTCAGTTCCTCACTCGTAACGAAACCAAAGATGTCTTGAGCCTTTGCCGACTTGTAACCCACGAGAGAAAACTTTCGTTGAAATTATTGTAGAAATTGTTTTGCTAAAGATAAATCCTGTATTTTCAGTGTTTTACTACCTTCAGAGTTGACGCAGAAATTTTAAAGTTGATTGTACGTTGTACAATGTATCTCTGAAGCAAATGTTGGCAAGATTGTTTTCCTGTTCATTCTTCGTTAAATTTTGAACTTTTGATCTCAAACAGGGTGTGTTTGTTTTTTTGACGTATGAGGTTAATCCTTTTTTCCTTTTCAACATTCCAAATCGTTCATCGGCCGCCGACGTATCTTTGCTATTTCTTCGTGAAAACTCTTCACTGCAAGTAATTAAATACGCTGAAAACCATGAAAAAAAAGATTAAAAGACGCGTATTTCATCCGTTTACACACAAAAAATTTAATACAGGCGAACGTAGGTGTATTAGACGGGGGGTGTTCTGCCACTCTGCCGCCCCCCTAAAAATATTGACCCGTACGCCCATTTTGCAGAAGTTTTTTTCAGTCTTTTTTCACATCTCTCTCTTTCCCTCACTACCAACATAAATTTTTTTTAACCTTCTAGTGCCACTTTCCATACGAGAAAATTGAACAATCTTGAGTATCTTTGGTGTCAGTAAGTCAGGTCTGTGTTCGACAATTTCAGCTGTCATGCTCAGTTTTGCTTATCGCATCGTTTGTCTAGACCATTAGACGAGCGTTAATGTGGAAAGCACAATACTATCATCAGAATTCGAAGTTCATACATCTAGACAAAAGATGCTTGTATATAACACAGCAGATCCTTACTTTACATGCAAACGCATATATATTTAACTAATTATTATCATATTAGTGTCTTGACGACGTAGTAGCAACAGACAGACATCTTTCTAGTAAAAAAATCTAAGTATAAATCCCGTGGATTAAGTATGGTAAGAAAAAAAATCTTAAGTGTGAAGTGACGGAGTTTTGCACCTGATAACAATGACGAAACTTGAGCTCTTCACCAAGATGGCTTCAAAAATAAATCGCTATAAAAGTCAAAAGAAAGTGTACGTATTTCCAATACTTTATCTCGTTTGTTTCTTTTCATTACCTTTCTTGACTCTTCTATTGATCCAAGTCCTCTGTCTCCTCCACAGGCCTTTCATTATTAACGATCTTTCCTAAACACAATAATATCGTCCAAATTAATTTACCTCATGTTGCGAGAAATTTGTTTTTTATCGTAACAACATTCATACATACACGAAATCTTTGCCATTGACCATTATTCTTCATCATTTCATCAGACTTTATCATTTACAATTATTTCTACTTCTTTAGAAACTGGGAACAAGTACTTAAAAGCTGAATCAAATTTCTCAACATCTAAAATAAACTGCTAAAAATTTAATTAAAATCGTCGATAACTACGAATAATGTCCTAAAGTCGGTTTTTGATACTCGCTCATTTCCTTATGCAGGTAGAATGCTCAAGTAAAACATAAAATGACTCTCGTCAAAAGCGCAGACAAATGAAATGAAGACATTGTCATGCAGGAAGAAAACGTGCTGAAATACATTTTCATCCCGGTCCAAATGATCCCATGTAAAGTTGAAAAAATGTTGCAGGTAATAAGGGTAAGTTAGTTTGAGCTGAGTAGATCGAAAATAACTCCTACTTGAATGTTAAATATGTACAATTAAAACGTTTAAGAGTTTACAGTATTTTATCGTTTGTTTCCAACACTACCATACATTACGGACCAAGATATTTAATATCCCGTGTTCTCCCGTTAATGAAAGCTTTACATCTTGGAATTCAATAATTTCGATATGCGCGTTGCGATTTGTTGTCTACATGTAAACAAAAACTCACGTGTTCTCCCTCTCCCACTCATTTGACAACTTAAGAAGCTGGTATTAAAAGCATTCCCAGTAATGCAGTGAAGCAAGTATAAAATTACCGCGTGCTTTCGTGTCTTTTATTGGCTATACTGGCATTTGATTGTGAAGATAAATGAGATATTATCAGCATATATAACGCAAGATATAAAGAAAATTAAAGATCAGCTGACTAAAAATAGTCCATTCAAATTGGATTGTCGTCTAATAGCGCACATTTAAGGTTAGTGTCATTTGCTTTTATTTGACTATATTATTAAAACCATTAATAATCGCATATATTCTTAGTTTTATCGCTTTTTAACCGGCATTCGGTTCGCATCTATTGTCAAATAGTTATTCAGCTATATCTCATCGTGTATCACAAAAAGATATCTTCATTTTTACCATTACGTAGCTACATCTGCAGTGGCATGGAAATCTTTTACATAAAGAATCTTTTCCAAACATTGCATGTAAAATACACAGATTTGACAGAATACTGTGAAAGATAACATCACATTATTACACAGAGTTATCCATTACCTCTTCCAAATCATTTTTAATTAATGACATTTTTCTGCTCTCAATAATATCTTTGCCGACCATTCCTTTCGTTTTTAAGGAAAGTGTCAAATTAACACAGGATTTCTTGGCCTAAAAGACCAGAAGTTTGAAAAATCTTTTCCCTCAAGCATAGTGGGGGGGATTGTGCGACCTTGGCAGGTTTGTACAGATTGATCAACAGACAAAATAAACTGACCTCACAATTTTGTCATGAATACATGTTTATTGCACTATTCACGATGGCAGAATTCAAAATAAAAATCACTATAAGACCTTTATAAGTTATAAGACGATTTAACATTAATATTTTGTAATCCTTTAAATTCAACCTTACCCAGAGCGTTTCGATGTTTGTTTTACTAATAGCCACTGCCAGCCACCTCGAACATTTCACTGTCGATTGATGGTTTTGAATCAACCAGAATCGCAGAATTAAAAGAGTATATTACTATGGTATGATTGAATATACGTCAGAAAATGCTGTTGATTATTTCTTATTCTCCCGTTTTGTTAATTAAAATGGCATGGATTGTACCTACCTCATTGCAATGATCAAAAAATTTCCTCAACTTCTCAGGCATCAAATGTCAAGAGGAGAATATTAAAAATATTACTAAATTTGGTAGCCACAAGAATAACTAGTTTGGCAATGACTTTGATTTTACTCGGATGAAGAGTCTTTCAAAGGCATCATTTTAATTAATTTATAATGTAGAAAAATGCCACAACTTTTAAGGAAGAAATTTAACAATCAAGTAACGCCTTAATGGAACATCATTAATTACTTATACGAAATGTGTGAAAACTGTATTGATGTATTTTCAACCAAATTTCTTCAGCCAAAAAAACTCAACTTAAGGGGCAGATGTATAACTCAATGAAATTTTTAAACAGACTCTAATTATAGATACATATCTTGAGAATTTACCTCACATCACGAGGAAAAATTGATTTCTTTAAACCAATTGCATTTGCATTTATATCAGTACCCGTAAGGCTTTCCATGATTATCTTTACGTAAACGCATAGACGCTAAAACACTTTTCCAAGCATACTGCATCGATATTACACTTCTTCAAAATTCTGCACTTTGAAAAAAAGTCACGCAATTTGTGTCAACGATGTCTGCATCATTTTCGAAATAGATTATTGCCAAGAACACTCCGGAAGCCTTATTTACATTTCTCATATTTGGTATAGGTACGTATATGCGATTTTGTAGAATAAATACTAGTTTGTGGTGTTCACAAATGCTTAATCAGTTCTATATTATATAGCATGCAATTTCATAAATGTTTTGCATGTTTTTACGATACAAGCATACAGTTTTGGTAAAAGGTCATAATGTTATCTGCCTTAGTATAGATACATGTAGACGTATAATATAAGCCTCGTAGTCAATACATGCTTCGTCATTATCTAAGCCCGCCCAACAACACTAAATAACGTACGAGTGTAAACATATTTAAAGTATACAGAACTTACTTATTATCTGCTAAAGTTTTCATTGAAAATGATAATCGCATAAAAATATTGTCATAAATTTCAAAATTATTAAAATCCAAAGCATTGCCAGATGATGCAATGAACAAATGCTGTCCGAACAAGCAAAGATGAAATCTATAAGTAATTTATTTCTAGAACAGTCTGTATTGGGCTGTTCAAGATATTAAGCCCTATCTGTCCCTATTCTTCAATTTAAATGCATCGTTAGTCTTTGCAAACTTACAGGAAATGGATTTGGGAAAGATTAAACGAATTTGCAACAAAAATCAAAAGTCTTCGTCGACAGAACGTTTGTAGGGGCTAGTAAATTGAAACTAGATATCGGTGCTTGTTTTACGAAAGTCTGAATTGTTTTTATTTTCAAATCAAAATATATTTAGTACTCTCCAGCTCAATAGAACAGATGGCATCGTTTCTTTATTCAATATTTATCTGTTTAATTGTTTTTTTCAGCTGTAGGGAAGAAGACGAATTGTAAAAATAACAGTGACACCCACATTGAGGAAAAAATCTTCATGTATTAATGACTCATTTCATGATTTCTCCACTTTGAAGAAGGAGCTGAAGACAAACATGGACAACTCGTCAGAAAACACAACTACGTATCAAGCGAGTGGCTCAAATGTTGGTCTTGTGGTAGTTATATGTAGTCTTATACCGTTGACTGTGATTGGAAATTCCCTCGTTTGCATTGCGTTTCTAAAGTACCAGAAAGTCCGTACGACAACAAACTGTTTTCTCCTAAGTTTGGCTATCAGTGACTTGATAGTTGGGTTAGTTTTGATACCATTGTGGATTGGTTTTCTTTTGTCAGATGGCTTTAGGGAGCTACCAATTTCTTTTCATGACGCATGGGTCATGATCGACATAACTTGCAGTGTTTCTTCCATGTCGAATCTTGCTGGTGTAAGTCTTGAACGCTGGTATGGCGTTTGTTATCCATTTAGGCACAAAAGAATGGGTATAAAATATCCAATAATGGCTTGCACTGTCGCATGGATTTATTCCCTAGGTGTCGCGCTGTTGTATATGCTTAAAGACAAAATTTCTTGGGTATTTACATTGATTACAACCTTGGGGCTTTGCGTGCCGTTTTTCATAATGATTTTTTCATACACCGCAATTGCACGCAAGATTAGACAAAAAACTTTATTAGATACTCCACAGCAAGCTCGCATCGAGTGTCGTACAATACGCACATTGGTCTTGCTATCGTCGATTTATATTATCTGCTGGCTGCCTTTTGCTGTTGGTTCAATAATAATCGTTTACTGCCACAAATGTGCAATATACGTGCACGAGAGGCCAGTATTGCAAAACTTTCCAAAGATATTACATTATGCTAATTCCTTTATGAACCCACTCCTTTATTCTTTATTCAATCCAAGTTTCAAGGCAGCGTTCAAACATTTATTGTATGACTCTCGTCGACGACCTGGAAGTATGCGAGTAAGAAGTTCATTCATTGGTGACAGAACGATGTCGACAACTCACACTAATCACACCAATCACAAGATAACTGAAATTTTACCTCGCCTAACTGTCGACCAGAGAAAATCAAATTCCATTGATAATCAAAGTAATTCCTTAGAGAATGTCAAATTCTTACAATCAAAGGTCCTATTTTTACAAAATTAAGCTGCATTGCGATATGACCACCTGATAAGGATGAAGATTAACAGAGACTGAAGATAAAAACTGGCTGGAAATTTTTATCTAGCAACTAACAAAGATGACTTTTAGTAGAACGGGAAGGTTGTAGAGCCTTTTCTAGTCTAGATGGTATATTTATACTTATGAATACAAGAAAATCAATAAAGACAACCCGTTTCATAATAGGAAGAAACAGATTCGGTGTTGTTGTAATCAACGCTATCGCAAAAATCATGTATTTTATTTTGACTAATGATTTCTAAATTCCGACTGCTAAACTTATTCCGAAAAGATTATATGTTCCTTCGATGATCATCAACCTATCTGAATTTTTTAGAAATCATTCAAACGGTTTAAAAATGTATAAGATGAACAGGTTCCAAGTATGGCATTTACAATTACCGTGATAAGACGGCTGACCAGTACAAGCAGACGCGCAGGCTCGCGTCAGAGGACACTGTTGTAAACAAATTGTAGTGAGGAAGTTTGAACCTTTCTTCTGAAAAATATATCTTCATTTAATGACATTATTTTATGCTGAATGCTAATAGAAAACCTTAAGAAATTAAATGGACGGAGTATCCTTAAGTAGCAGAGATATTTAAGCGAGAAATACAACAATGTTTCGATCGTCTATCGCGACTATTTATTTATAAATGATCACCTCACTTGGAATTTATTTGCACGACATAAATGAAGAGAGATTTGTAGAGTTCATTGAAAAAGAGTTGAGCTACTTTGGAAAGCAAAGATCGTCTAATGCAGTGCTTCTTTTTCCAAGTTTATCAGCAAGATATAGATTTCTAATACATAAAATCGTCGATAAATTTTCTGCTTTTGAAAGTTATTCGATTGGTTCAGACCCATGGCGACGACCCGTAGTTTACTTTAGAGCAAAGTAAGAAGCTTAATTTGTTTACTTAGAAACTGTAGAAAGGGGAAAATGGAATGAACAAAATTTCCTCATTAATTTTATCTACGATAATTTAAAATCGGGTTTTTGTTAAAAAGGAAAGGATAATCAACATCTCTACACTTACTATTTTAAATTTTCTACATACTTTACATCCGCGATTTTAATTCCAAGAAAAAATCTTTTGCAGGCAAAGTCCAGCATCCATGAATAGTTCTGAAGGAACACAACAAGATTGTCGACAATTTCTACTCCAAAGTGGGGGGAGAGGGGAAAAAGAGGAAGGTGAAAGTGGAAGCTCTCCTTCAAATCAAAGGCCAACTCAAGCACTTTATACCCCTGGTGCTTTTAGGAAACAAAGAAAAAATGTAAAAGATAGCAGTTCGAAGTCAGCTTTTGGTGATGGGATTTCTAGAGCAGACAAAACAACAGAACATATTGGTGATGATGTCCTAGGCAAGAAAACAAAACATGCGGGTATAGACCAGAAAACAGAACATGCTGTTGATGATGATATTAAATCATTTGAAATAATTGAGGAAAAAAATAAAACATTAGGTCCAGTTAAGAATGACAAAATCAAATTAGATAAAGATACATTAGCAAACATCTCAAAAGTTGAAGGAGATGTCCTGGAGGCAAGCGATGAAAGACTCAGAACTAATGCAAGCAACGAAATTGAGGAAGAAAGAAAGATTGAGGAAGAAAGAAATATTGAGGCTACCATAGACAACAAGACTGATAATGAAAGTAAAGATGAACAAAAAAATGGTTTTGATGTTCATAAAAACAATGTTAATGTTGATAAAAATTTTGATGAAATGAAATGCTCCATTGATAAAGATGAAAGTTTAGAAACATGTGATAAGGCATCTCAATTGGACGTATCTGAAAATGAGTTGATTCCACAGAAAAATGAAAACATTCATGATGATGATGATGACTATAAATTACTGGTCAATGAATGTCGCTCGACGGCTAAAACAAAACGTCAACAAAAGAAAGAAGGCAAATTGAAGAAAAAACAAGGAAAATTGAAGAAGAAACAGTCAAAATTGAAGAAAGAAGAGAAATATGCAACAATCAGTAACGATGTTTCAAATGTAGACGATGAAGCATTAAACGAAAGGAAAAATGAATTACCTTCGTATGATAGGACGAAAGAAAGTCTGGATAACACTAGGGATGATGACGTTAATGACAAGGACGGATCAGATGAGGAAGACTGGGACAGAGTATGGAATGAAGATGGAGAATGTTTAGATAAAGAAATGCTTGCGGAGGTATAAATATACACTTCCGATCTTTGTTGTGTGTTGCAGCAACGTTACATTGACTTAATGTAAAATATCTCAAGATTGTTCAATGTTTTCCAGCTCAACAAACAAATTGACACAACTGATGTCGAGATAATCCCCACGCAGTTTGATTACCTGTCGTTTAAACCGAATGACGTCATTCTTGAAGAAGACGGTGAGTTTCTACATGTGTTTAATGTTAACGTTGCCAAACTCCAATAATAAACAATGACTTGTTTGTGCATTTTTAGTCTTTGATCACGTGTTGGAAATCTACGACTTTTCTCCAGAATTGGAGACGCACCATCTCATGAATGCTTTGTCAAATTTACAGTACGTCTACAACACATTCGACGTTTAACTTTTTAACATAATTCGTGCAATTTCTCTGTCCGTGTGCGTTTCCCTGTTTTCAGGAAGCAAGAGGTTTCCATAAAATGGGTGGACGATACACATGCGTTGGCGGTGTTTTCAAGTTCCGCGACAGGTGAGAGTTTAATTATGTAGCTAGGTAAGATACTGTCTGAAAGTGGAAGAGTTTCTGAAGCCAAGTTATGTTTTGTAAACAATTGATTACGTAATGACGTTTTTATAGCATTGCAAGCGTTGAATCAATTTGTAAATCCTTTGCTGAAACTTCGTCCCTTACACCATGGAACTGAACAATCAAAACGCAAAGCTAGGAGAAACACAGGTTGCAAAGCAATACTTTAACGATGTGATCGTGTTAATTCCCGTCTAAGTTGTAATAATGGTGATTTTTATTTTGTAGAGTTTCTTCGTCCTTATAAAGAAAGACCAAAGACGACGAATTTGGTCGCGAACCGTTTGGTAACGGGGGCACTTGGCATGAAGACAAAAATGACAAAAGAAGAAAGACATCTTGAAAGAGAGAAAATAAAATTCGAACGAGGTTAATGTCGGTTGTTTGTTTAACTCCAAAAGCAATGAAATGTTATTCGCACTTGATGACAAAAAGTATTCGTTGTTTCAGATAAAAAGATAAACAAGGAAAAACAGAGAAGGGATTTATGGGAAAGAGACGATATTTAAATTACATTTTTTACATGTTAATATGCGTATTTTTATCTATTTTTAATTACAAAATGTAAATGAAAACTTCATGCTAGAAAAGGATTTGTTGATAGCTAAATAATGTTTTTACGGGTTTTTTTTTGTGCACATATGGTTTTCGCAATCTTTTAATGTGCGTTTTTTTGGCACACCTGGTGGTGATCAGAACGATAAGCCGATAAATTCCTCCCATCTTGCATTAAGGTATAATATATCTGGCACGAGGTTACAAAACAGCTTCCCATTAACTCGTGGCTAATTTAAAAGTGGAATTTCAGTAATCTCAATCTGCTTCGTTGTGCGTGCAGCACGTCACGACTGGACTAAAGTACAACTTATTCAATGCACATTCTCTGCGTAAAGAACAGAACTTTGGCGTCTTTCAGTTGCATAGCATGACATTGCAACATATTCATTACTTATGAAATATTTTACGTTAATCCATGCACAATATTATTGATTAACGTATTTGTAATTGCATTAGCTATGCAATCACGCGCAATTGACGTAAATTTTTCTAAAACTGTTTCGGCCGTCTGTTGTGCGTTCATTATAGCGCAGCAGGAAGGAATTATGTCCAATCCTTCCTTACCTAACATACGCAACATTCATAAACAATGCGAAAGCAAAACTGTCATTTATTGATTCAACCAGACAGACTATGTCAACACACTCCTCAATAGTGGAGCATACATTTATTGATGATGACAGGAATTTGTAGAGAGAATTACTATAATTGATTTAAGCTAACCATGATTATGCAAAGTGCAGAGTTTATACAATCACACTGATCTACACTGACGCTGTAACCAAGAAGTTGATTTCATCAGAGAAATGACGTTCACAAAACATCTACTTATATTCTGGATTTAATCACATCTCTAAAAGATTCAAGACATCTCTTCCTTTAACGAGAATGCCAGCAAGTTCGAATGTGTCTTTTTCTCCGTCGGATGTCGAACTCGGTGTTGTGATAACAATAAATTCTGTGTTTAGCCTTTGTGGAACAATCGGCAATGTTGGTGTTTGCTTGGCATTCTTAATGTGCAGGAATCTTCGAAATACAACTGGTGCATACATCTTCAGTTTAGCTTGTTCTGATCTAATTGTTTCTTTTATCGCACAGCCAATGTTCATTGTGAAACTAGTGTTGCATTGTAAATTCCAAGTCAACTCTATGGTGATGGAAGTGATCAGAAAAACACTAACATGGATTTCACTGTTGGCCTCCATTGGAAATCTTCTTGGCGTAACGCTTGATCGATATTTTGTCATCTTCCATCCATTACGTTATACAGCGAGAAGTCAAAAAAACATGGTTTTCATGATACTGACAGCAATATGGACGATTGCTTTCGTTTTGGGCATTCTAACAGCTAAATTCAAGTTTGCCAAATTCATTGGACAAGTTTACGTATTATTCTTAATCATTGTCGTTATTATTCCATTGTATTGTCGAATTTTACTCGTCGCTCGAAGGCATGCTCGCATTATACGCGTTTCTTTCTCCCATTTCCAAATGACCAGCAGAGATAAAAGAACCGATTTTCGAGAAACAGAAGTGAAACACAAAGTAGAAACGAACAGCTTGAAAACAGTTGGCATAATTGGTACAATTCTTGTGGTTTCCTGGTTTCCAAATCTCATTTTGCCATTTTTCTATCGAGCAGGTTTTAATGGTAAAGAGATGTTACGAGCGTTTCAATGGGCAAATACCTTGGCACTTTGTTCGTCCGCATGTAATCCCCCTGTCTACTCATGGAGAGACAGAAGATTTCGTAAAGCTTTGAATACAACTTACAACAAATGGAAAGCTAGACGATCTATTTCCTCAGATACAGGACCGCAGACACAGTGTATATAAACAATATAACTAAAACGTTGTACAAAGACTAAAAGCTGCTTAAAGATGAGGTACTGCTTATTGTAAACTATTACGTGAAGGACACATCATTATTAGTATTAAATAATGCGTAGTTTAGAGTATATATGAATGACATTAACCAGTGCATAACAAAAATATACTGTAAAATAATACAGTGATGACATTTAATGACGATAAATAAACAGTAAATATATATGGGCAACATCTGTCGATTCCTGTAAAAATTTTGAAGGACTGCATGTTGATAAATGCAAGTCACAGTTTCAGACCATGTATAAGTCAACTCCACAAATACTTTAACCATCCGGTACGTCATTACGTCACGTAGCAGAATTGAATTGTGGGAATGATGGGAGATGTATTTGAGCCTCTCCTCTAACACCTTGTTGAACTTTTGTCACTCAAATCAATGTCCTTTTTCTACATGATCGTGTGAAATTTTAATGTTACTTTTGAACGGTGAAAATAATTCGCACAATCAGAAAATCATAGGAGTTTCATCTTGACTGAGAAAAATTTGACTGCTCTAATATGATGCTAGCAGGTATCTCTTTGACAAAGTAGACAGATGTGCAAAAGGGAAAGCGTGGCAAACAAATCACTTTAAGAAGCCGGCTATTTATGCCTTATCTCTCTTCACCAAAGCTGTTTCTAGGACTTTGAACTTTGCTTCTTTTTAAGCAAGTAAAAAATTTCGGCTATCCGACCAAAACAATGCAGTGCCATTATTCAATGCTTGCTTGATCCAATGTGACTATCCATTTCGTTGTGTTCAATTCTAATTGAATTTCTAAGCCTCTAATGATAGCTTCCTATGATTAAGGTTATTCATTATTAATACAAGCGTATGATTGCTTATTATAGAAATTTTGATTGAAAGAATTGTCTGGAATCACGCTATTCATTGTAATAAATTTGACACTTATCAATATTCAAGTCTAATAAAAAAATTGGCAATGACATGTTCAGAATAGTCATGGTAACGACACCTTTGGACGCTAAAAAAATAGTTCATCTCACATATGATGGAAAACTTTGCCAAGGTCGAGTTTCTTTGAACGTTGTTTATCATGAAGTTAAGCATTCGTTTTTTGACGTTTCTTATGTCTCTTCAAAGATAAGATCTCATTGATGTCTGCGCGTATTTGTGTGTGTGTATGCCTTTGCAAGAATTGCTAATTAAACTACGAATATTGGAGCAAAAGTTTATAAAAGCAGCTGCGATATTCATTTCATAGAAGTGTAAGATAGTCAATGACAAACTATTACGTTATAATAAAATATATAACATTGATTTGTAAAGAACGAGTGACAAAATCAAAGATTCCTTCGAAACGAAATATTAAGAACATATGCGTCGAAAGTTATATTTTGGAAAACCATTTGACGAGGTACTTTCAAGAAATTTCCAGCTTATGGCAGTAACTGCGTAAAGTTTTGTGATAAAAATGTTATAAATGGTCCAGATCTTCCATATCTAATGAACAAGACGACGGAAAATCAATCTTCAAAGACGTTTGATTTAACAGACATAGAAATTGGCATCCTTTGTGCGAGCAATCTTCTCTTTAGCATGACAGGATCATTGGGAAATATGCTTATTTGCTTTGCTATTCTACGTTCAACGAAACGAAGTCAGACACTGAATGTATTCATCCTAAGTATGGTCTGTTCTGCTTTACTGGTATGCTTGTTGGCTCAGCCCATGTTTGTCGTAAGCTTATTGAAACATTATCAAGAAGAAAATGTTGAGAATTCGTTTGAGACAATTCGAAAATGTTTCGCATGGACGTCTATGCTTGCATCTGCTGGTAATGTTCTTGGCGTTACATTAGATCGATATTACTCAGTAGCAAAGCCTTTAAAGTACAATAATGAAAACACGATACCAGCATTTGCACTTGTGACATTTCTTTGGACAATTGCTATTGCTTTGGGCATCGGAGCCGTGTTCGAGAAAAAATTAAGATATATTGCGTTGATTTATGTCATGATCTTAGTAATTGTCCTCAGTTTGCCTTTATATAGTCGGATTATCCTCATAGCGGCTAAACACAGGAGAGATATTGCAAAATCGTTTCGGACGTCAAGCCTTGTCCCGGAAGACGAAGAACATCACACTCGGAGAGATCGTTTACGCGTTTCACTAACATTAAATCGCAGTGTCCTTGTTACAATCGGAATAATATTTGTCGTGTTCGTAATTGGATGGTTCCCTCTTTTAATAATGCCTTTCGTTTATCATTTCCATGTAAAAAATCGGAAAGTTATATTGGATATTTTACAATGGGTCAACACACTTGCTATGTGTTCGTCAGCCAGCAATCCGTTGGTGTATGCAGCTACGGATAAAAAATTACGACACTCAATTCAAGCAATACATAAAAGATGGTCGACCAAACGACCTCAGCATACAGTTGCAATGAATGCATTTCGATCCAGGCAGGCGGAATGCATGGAGAATGATAAAGAAAAGCAAACAAGCTCAGACCAACTCCGAGCTGTACAATGAATAGAGACCTCGAAAAAACTCTGCGTGAAAAATAGCTTAACAAACCAATAGCTTCGTAATGAAAGCGCTGTAGGATTTATACAAGTTTACATGAACTTCCGCTGGCAGGCACTTTAATTGATTTGCCGCAATGCTTTTTCACTCAAAAAAGATGTCTTCCTTAATGCTCTACATCAAAAGTTTTAAAGTATAGCATATGAGGTAAAAAAACCGAATTAGCTATCTATAATTGTATGATTCGTTCATAATATTCAATTAAATGTAAAAAAACTCGAAATTTCATAGTAACATCCATCACATGAATGCTGTTATTTTAGTTCAGCAGTTTCCAGCCACTCGTAATTAATTCATATAAAAAAAAACTCTCAAAATGGAAGGGATGCATACAAAATCCCACAGAAATGCTAATTTATAAAAGACGAATAAAAAATTCATAAGATCAAAACATCCATCCTCCGTAAACTTAGATCAACGATGTTACGATCAAGAAAACAAACCTCTGATTTTCCTGATTATAAGATCTTCTATGTTATTACATGGTAACTCGACAGTGACAGCCAGTGCATAAGCTGCAGCATAGGAAAGGACAATCGCTGATATGAAGTAGTATGACTACAAAAGAATACGACGGAATTATATACATCACAGCACAGCATGAAGGTTACACATTATCTAATGCACGTCAAGGTCCGTATGATTTATGGAGACCTTGTAATCAGATACGTGGAAGATGTGAAGGAACCATGTCGCTCATTTCTTCTTAATAAGCAACTGATTTCCAGGTACGTATTATCAAAGGTTAAAACAATAGATTCCTAATGATATGAACAATGATATTTTGAAATCTATATATTAGTATAAAAGCCTGTTGGTCGGCTACGATGAAATTGTCCCATGAAAAATAAGTCAGGTTATGTTTCAAATTGACCAACGACTGCCAAACCATAATTTGATATACTTCATGTTACTTACAACATTAAAGAAATCGTAATGAATTTGTCCTTGTGCGCCAATGAACATTACCAAGAGAACAAAAATATGAAGCAAGTAAACGTTAAACGTCAAACGACTCAGAGGAATCCAGAATTTTGCAGACAAGAATCTACCAACAAGACCTAGTGAATGAACACAGTATGCCTAAATCAATAAATATTTCAACTCTCAAGAAACCGAATAGAACCAGATTGATTTTCAGCAACAAACAGTTAACAAAGGCAAATAAAACCTGGTCTTCTTTAATCATCAAAAAAACATTCCTCGAAATGATTAAAATTGTAGGTTTAGGTTTTTAAAAACCGACCAAAATTCGCTCAAAATAAATAGAAAAATTGCAGTCAGTTGAATGACAGTGGAGATAACACAAAAATAAACACAAAATTTACGTACATCCACTGTTATAATGACAAGAATATGTAACCCAGGCAAGAGCGAGAGCCCACAACAATCTTTCAAACATCCCAAATGCAACTCTTCCAGCCAATGGCCATTCTTTAGAACCAATCACAATAGACTTGTGAGGACCGTAAACCAATAGCATACCAACAGTAAAAGCAATTGCCCAACCAAGAAGAGTGATCAACTAAAAATGTGAAAATATATTGAAAATACAATCTAGAAATTTAACTTTACTAACATTTTCACAAAGATTACCACTATCCGTTAACAAGAATATCAATAAACACAGATGATACGATTATCAGTAATCAAAACAAGGGCCATTTCTCACCCAAAACAGACGAGGATTTCGCTGTTTGTTATAATAACGGTGACATGATTTGTACAAGACGTAACCAAGAACAAAACCAACGAGATAAGGTTGAGCTCGACACCAAGGTTTAATGTATACGTAGGAGTTAAATTCTTCAGACTTTTTTTTCCTAAAAGAAATCAAACAATCGTGATTAAAATCAAAGAACCTTAACAGGTTAAAACTATTAATTTCAATCATTACATTTCAGGTGACATATGCGCAGCTTCACCAATTCTTAAAGACATTACGGGATCCAAATCATAATATCCAATAACAAAAGCAATAGCAGCAGTAGATAGAGCCATTAAACCACCAGGACCAATGATACCTAGCCATCCAAACCTTCAAAAACATTTTCAATGACACATTACTTTATTAAATTATGTTATGAAAACCACACACATAGGAAACTTATGTGAATGGTTTGCCCCAAGTATATCGTTGCATGTTTATGAATGTTGATCGTCCATGTTAGCAGAGTCCCGACAATGATCGTTGGTGTTGATGTTCAAAGATGTTTTGACAACGTTAGTAGTCATGTTTATGTTGATCATCTAGGTTAGTGAAATTCTCCTCATCTTTTCTCTTCATTCTAAAGATGACTATCGCTCTCGAATTCATCAGTCAATACTAACACAAACAGTCCTATTGAAGACTACACATACCTGGACTATCAACTTATACAAACATGTACGTACGTAACATCAGAAAACCGTTGCAAAAAATCTCTTTTATACATACTTGTACATTAATATCAACAAAGGAGGAGTTATTATGAAAAACTGCATGTCATTTGCCAGATACCACGTTACTGCAACACACTACAGTGATAACGTTTTAAAAAATATCAATATCATATTAAAGATTTATAAAGACAATTTAACGGTGTGGAAATCAAACAAAATCTTGGTAACTTTTCCTAAACACAATGATACAATGACGCCAACATATCGAAAAACATGCCTACCTCATCTTCAATCTTTGTTGGATAAAAATTATTAATGTACAGTAAATTTGTCCACCAATATTCCTTGCATAATTTATCTTCATACTGTGTATACCACAGCGGTCCCTCGGCCAGGAATCTTTTTAACTGTATCGAGATGAGTATGACCGCCATCAACGTTGGAGTTAGTCTAATTAACAGAAATATACATTCGACAATACTTGGAAAAAGCCTTTTCATGTGACTTATTCAATTCTAAATTATCTTTTAGAAATGTGAGATTTCCGCTTACCTCCAAAATCGATGAAAATAAAATAAAAACCAGTTAAATTTGGTAATTCCACCACTTTTTTGCAGCTTTCGAAAACACGTGTATGCTACAAGCAATCCACTGAAATTTGTAGAAACAATTTTATAATTTGAGCAAACGAAGGCTCAAGCTTTGTATCAGAGCAACTGAAAGAGTTTTAACAGAACATATTTATAAGAGTTACGACAGTAAGACGTAAATACATTTGCGGTCGTTCAAATTTGGTATTTCTTATATAGGTAGAAGTTTTAGATAAACTATGGTAGAGCGTCTATACTGCTTGGAGAAAACTCTCATCTGATAACCAAATTAAAATATGGATAAATACTAAATACTAAACATTACAAAATTTGTATACATTTTATTTCATATTTATCGTTTCGATAGAGTGACTTTACGCACTCTCTTTTGTAATTGGCCGTAAAAACAAGTTTTAAAAAGTAATTTTCGACCGCTGATATAGTACAAGAACTTTGAGATAACCTACCTCAAGAAGAAAAAACTATCAACAGAATAGTAGCCATTAATAACTGGCATAGCACTCAAACGTTGACTGTCTTCTATCACACCGGCTCTGTTGTCTATAGAATTACAACAAAAACGTTCATGACAATGTGCTTGTACATGTAGAATGATGTAAAATGAACAGTACCTGATAATGGATTAAGAGCAAATACCATAAAAAGATGACCCAAAATCACCCATGTGATACTGATCACGCGAATACCATTGATACATTTTATTGCAATCGGAGGTACGTTTGTGTTAAAGATCTTTTCTGTATTTCTTATCAACGAGAAGCACAGCAAAAAATCGCGTAAAAATGCTAAAAAACATAAAGAAAATTGAAATCTGAAAATGTTTTAAGTCAAAACATTTTTAAATAAATCACCAAAACTTTACCAAGAATAATATTGATGATATGATGAATTGGTGGTGTATAAAACGTTGTAGAAGACAGCAAAGGACTTTCACCATTCATTGAAACGTTTTGAACATCATCTTCGTTAAGTTTTTGATCTTTGGATCCAAAATTTTCCCACTGATAATTCTCAGAAGGAAGATGGTCATTATTAAAATTTGATAACTTGATCTTTTTAAGATCGTCCAACTCTTCCATGCTGAGCTCAACAACAGTACCCAATACGCAAAACAATAAAAGGACGCCAAAGAAAGCTCTGCAAAGATTACAGACAGGTAACAACACTATTATTTATAAAAACAATTGATGTCATTGGTGCTCTAGCTTGCCTGAGCCTGCTCACAATCTTCACTAAAAAAATGTACATCATATAGAAAGAATGATAAAATATTTTGTAAGATAAAACAAAACTCAATATTGCACAAAGTATTGACAAAGTTTTCGGGTTCAGACAACCAAAACAAACTTCTATGTAACTATTAAACCACATGCATTGATTTTTAAAACATTGATACCGAACATTGAATTTAAGATTTACAAAATCACCTTAAAAACAACAAAATTTGAAGTAAATTAATGATGCTACATACATTGTAATTTTAACACCAGTTGAATAAGTTGGCCCTTTAGGACAAAGAGTGCCAGGATAGTCTATCTCAACTCCAGTGAATTTTTTTACTAAAGACATAAAATGAATTTTTGTTCTTTGTCAAGGCTCATTGTAAATTGTTTAAACAAGAAATTCATACCTTCATTTAAGATAAACTTGGTTACAAAATATATATCATAGACATTGCAGGTTTTTGGAAAACAAGCACCCCAAAGGATTTTATCTAAGCTCTGTAAACACAATAAGATTTCATAAGATAATATGAAGGACTATTATTGACCGTATCTCAAAAACAATTGTAAAAATTTCTTACAACATTGAATTTTGGGTAATTAACATTTATTTGTGAGATGCAATATTTTGCAGATGACAACGCCAGACATTCACTATAAGAACCAAGCCAGGCTAGGTTTCCTCGTATAATACCACTTCTTGGTCGACCCACTGCATCCATATCTATCAATGGAAGATCAGGATATGACAAAAATAACAAGAAAAATACAATATGAATATACTCAAATATTTCATGAAAGATTGTAAAAACACTCGACAATAATTTTACATCACCATCATCACTATGCATTTCCATAGATACTCAAAAAAGTTAGGCTAGCAACACTATTCTACCTCTACGCATGCTGGTCATACCAGAATAACCTCACAGCCATGCTGGTACAACTACAGCCTATTTCTTAGGCTAGAGATGGCTCTACATTATTGCACCTCTACCAAACCTAACTTTGCAAATACCTTTCTGTCTAGACTGGATTTGATAATTTATTTTTTCTAGGGCAAGTACGCAATGTCCTGAATGTTCAGCATAACGGTCGCTGGCCGAAAAATTTTTAATTCAGTAGGGCATTACGTCATTTCGTAATTTCAGTGAAGCATTGTCATTTTTCCTGATTATTATACTCACATTGAAACAACTCGCGAGGATTTTTAGAAATCTTCGTTAAGTCTGTCATACATTCTGAACTTGTTGAGAAGTCCGTTTCATTAAATGCCGTCTTATTGATGCGATTGAGTAAAAAGGAGCGATAAACTGTACGTAAATATTGAGAAATGTCGTCCTGTTGAATTAACAAATGATTCGTCTGGCGTTCATTTTCATCTGTTATACTTTCATCAGCACTTGTTCTCGCATAACAAAGAAGAACGATAATCAATGTATAAAAGCATGTATGGTTTGCCATCTTCGTTGAATCAATGTTTCACTGTCCTGAACTACACTAATTTGTATAATCTAAATTTTTTATCCGGATTACGGAAAAGGACCGGAATCCAAGACTCCAATCATGTGATATTACTTTCGGGGGGGGGGGCTACAATTATTTATTAGTGGTGGGCGATAATAGGATTTTTTCATTCGATACGTCAGCGATATCGATAATTGCTGTATAATATTAATGGCATTTGTTACATTTGCCATTTGTGCAGAGGTGTATAGCAAAAATTTTAACACAAGGGGGTTCTGTTACGAACATCGCTTGAACATAAGTGTAAAATAGTGCTCTTTGTGCTGTTAAAGATAGCATACGTTTTTGTTATTCCTCCTTTCCGATAAGCTCTTCCATTCATTGTACATGCACATATTTGATAAAGTGCTTCCTTTAGTTAACGCCACACATTTCCTGTACACACAATACAATGACGTAAGAACCAGATAACAAATACGGCTAACCTGACGTTTACTCCTCATTTGACTATGAAGATGACTACTGCTAAGGTTGTCGAAACGTCAGTCAACAACAACAAAAACCGTCCTTCTCAGGACTATACCAACCTGGACGATCTACATTTACAAACATGTAACGATACTCCCGGGTTCAAACCATTTACTTAATTAAAAATATTGGTAAATAACATTAATAAAGACAGTCTTTTTTCAAACAACATATGACGATGTAAATTACCGTTTACAATTTTATGGTAATTTCTCGGATACAAATCATTAAAGCAGTTTATTAGGCATTTTTCTTACCACATGTCGAAACATTTGATTCTCAAAAATACTAACGATACCGGGTGCTAAATTTTCAACAACGGAAGTATCGATATTTTTTAGAAATATCGCCCACCACTGTTATTTATATGTTTATAAAACTTATATTTTAGCAAAGTTAATGCCCAAAAATTTTTGAAAATTATTATTTGATAATTGAAATTTAAATACAGTGCACAGCGTAAAGTTATGGCAAATTACAGGACTTCAAACAAAATCACGTGGTAACAATTTTTGAGTTCGATTGTTTGAGCAATGAAGTAGCAAAAAAATATTAAAGCAATCTCTCCGTTAATTTTAACTAAAGCATTTACAAAACAACAATTTTTGCTAAAATGATGTTTCATAAAGTTATGTTTAAGAATACCGAGTACGTAGTTTTTTAATGAGAAGATCTTCTATATTGTTACATGGTAACTCGACAGTGACAGCCAGAACATAACCTGCAGCATAGGAAAGGACAATCGCTGATATGAAATAGTATGTCTACAAAAGAACATGCCAAGTGTTAAAAACAAAAATTGACCTTTGTAAAAAGATCAAAGATAACGGATAATTCGTGAGGCAGGTTGCGTAAGGTGATTTGTCAAAAAGTCCATCAAAACGCCTTCAGCAAAACAACATTATTACAGCCACTAGACCACAGCCTGTAGCTGCTAGAACTGCTACGCAAAACATGCACAAATGTAGGATTGTTATTTACCATATTGTAAAGATCATAATGAATGTTTCCTTGTGCACCAATGAACATCATAACGAGGACAGGAAAATGAATCAAGTAAACATTATATGTCAAACGACTTAAAGGAATCCAGAATTTCGCTGATAAAAGCCGACTGATAAGGCCTAAAAGAAGAAAAACAATTCGTTTTCTGAAGATGTGAGGAGACTGATGTTGTGAATATGAACTGAAAGTTTGATAGCAACACTAAACAAGAAAAGTAGCAGTAAATTGTAAAAAAAATTACTAGACAAAAAAACTAGTTGACATATGGTAAATCGTTGATAAATCTATAATTGATCTTGCGGAAAGAATACTATAGTCTTGTCATATGGCTGGTTAAACCAAGCACATTGCAAGAATTTGACACAGCGATCGATTTGTCCTTCCTGTTCTATTTTAGTACGATGTTATAAACTGAAAACACATAATAAAATATATCAGAAGTAACAGACAAGGAAAGGTACAGAGTATAGACAGTAAAGCAGCTGTTTTTTTCTATAACATGTCCATGTCTAAGAACAAGTAGTAGACAGTGAAAATTTGCATGGCACGACAGGTATATAAGTATAGAGGCTGCATGTTATAGAGACACAAACTTTACTCACTCTCACTGTTATAATGACAAGAATATGTAACCCAGGCAAGAGCGAGAGCCCACAACAATTTTTCAAACATCCCAAATGCAACTCTTCCAGCCAATGGCCATTCTTTAGAACCAATCACAATAGACTTGTGAGGACCGTAAACCAATAGCATACCAACAGTAAAAGCAATTGCCCAACCAAGAAGAGTTATCAACTAAAAATGTGAAAATATATTGAAAATACAATCTAGAAATTTAACTTTACTGACATTTTCACAAAGATTACCACTATCCGTTAACAAGAATATCAATAAACACAGATGATACAATTATCAGTAATCAAAACAAAGGCCATTTCTCACCCAAAACAGACGAGGATTTCGCTGTTTGTTATAATAACGATGACATGATTTGTACATGACGTAACCAAGAACAAAACCAACGAGATAAGGTTGAGCTCGACACCAAGGTTTAGTGTATACGTAAGATTCAAATTCTTCAGACTTTTTTTTCCTAAAAGAAATTAAACAATCGTAATTAAAATCAAAGAGCCTTAGCAGGTAAAAATTATTATTTTCAATCATTACATTTCAGGTGACATATGCAGAGCTTCATCGATTCTTAAAGACATTACGGGATCCAAATCATAATATCCAATAATAAAAGCAATAGCAGCAGTAGATAGAGCCATTAAACCACCAGGACCAATGATACCTAGCCATCCAAACCTTCAAAAACATTTACAATGACGTAAAGGCTTTGTGACTAGACGTTTTATAACTGTGTATTAAAGAACTGGTGCCCAATATTCTACCAAATCGTTTTTTCACAAAAAATGTTCTGCACTGACATAAATACATTTCTGTTCTATACTACCTTCTCAGAGAAAACAAGACAACAAATAAAATAATCATTAAAGATAAGATGGCCTACTATCAGCAGCTTTTTCAGCGCATCACAATATACTTTTTCAAGCAGTTTGGACAAAACTAATTAGCTATTTTCCAATCAAAAATATATTTGCTGATTTAAACCAAATTTTATCACATATGCGTCAAAAACCACCAAAGTTTTTCTGCTAATTTATGTAATGAGTTTACCAAAGCTAATATCAATTTGAAAAAAGTTCCATGGGAAACAAAAAATAAGATATCTTTTCTATACATACTTGTACATCAACAACAACAAAAAAGGTGTGATTATGAAAAACTGCATATCATTTGCCAGATACCACGTTACTCCAAGACACTAAATAGTGAAAAAGTACTTCAATGTATACAATTATTAAAAAATAATCTTTCCTTCCAAACATTATTGCGCAAAAAAATCAACACACTTATTGAAAGATACAATGTTACTACCTCATCACCAATTTTTTTTGGATAAAAATTGTTTATGTAAAGTAAATTTGTCCACCAAAATTTATCACATGTTTTTTTTTGAAGCTGTGTAAGAAAACCCCAAGCCGGTCCGTCAGCGAAAAATCTGCCGACGTGCATTGCAAGGAGCATTACAACCAGTAATGTGGGCGTTAGTCTAAAATATCATTCAGAGAAATTTTGACAAAAAAACAACGGTGTAATTTATGTATATGACATGTAGATTACTTCCATTTCAGAACCATTGTAAGCTTTGGGTTGAACTTCTCGGTTAAGATGTGAAACTATGTGTTTGATGAACAGAAACTTATCCAAAAAGACATTTCATCATGTAAAGTAAGAATCAATATGTTTCATGTGAATTTCATCCATCATTTTATTAAGGATTGTTCAATGGTTGAATAATATTTCAGACTATTTTAAATGAAAAATGACATCAGGTTTATGATTGCAACAAGTTAAAATGAACAATATACGGTAGGTAGTTGACTTGTTTAACATATCTTCAAATTACATACTTATTGCCTGTAAACTATTTTCGAATATACTATATATAATAATCCAGTGTGCCATACCTCCAGTATCGATGAAAATAAAACGAAAACCAGTTAAATTTTGTAATTCCGCCACTTTTTTGCAGCTTTTGAAAACAGGTGTATGCTACAAGCAATCCACTGAAAAAGTAAAAATAAAATCGACAAAAAATGAAAATTTGTGAGGACTACATAGTCTCAATCAACTGACTCAAGTATGAAACTACAGTGACGTTTGAAGAACTAAGAAAAATAAATGTATCGAGGAAGAACTTAAGGATATTTTACTTTCTTTTATAAACGAAGCGTACCTTAGAAAGAAAAAACTATCCACAGAGTAAAACCCATGAATAATTGGCATGAAACTCAGCCGTTTAGCGTCTTCTAACAGACCTACTCTATTGTCTAAAAGTTAAAAATGGACAAAACATCGCCTCTATATTGTGTAATGAATTGAAAGATGAATTGACAAGTTAGTTATATACTAAAGAGCAAGAATAATAAAAACGGTATCAATATACCTATCAATGGATTTAAAGACATTATCTGAGTAACATGACCCAAAATCACCCATGTAATACTGATTACGCGAATGCCATTGATACATTTTATTGCAATCGGAGGTACATTTGTGTTAAAGATCTTTTCTGTATTTCTTATCAACGAGAAGCACAGCAAAAAATCGCGTAAAAATGCTAAAAAACATAAAGAAATTGAAATCTGAAAATGTTTTAAGTCAAAACATTTTTAAATAAAACACCAAATCTTTACCAAGAATAATATTGATGATATGATGAATTGGTGGTGTATAAAACGTTGTAGGAGACAGCAAAGGACTTTCACCATTCATTGAAACGTTTTGAACATCATCTTCGTTAAGTTTTTGATCTTTGGATCCAAAATTTTCCCCGATTTTATAATGGTCAAGAGAAACACGGTCGCTGCTCAAGCACGATAATTCCATCGTTTTACGGCTTTTCAACTCTTCCATGACGAGCTCAATAAATGTTCCCAGCAAGCAAGACAGTAAAAGAACACCAAGAAATACACTAATAAAATTGAAAAAAAGGGCTTGCACATAAACTTACGCAAGATAAAACAAGACTAATTAGTCAACTGCATATTCTGAACCATTTAACGAGTTCAAGTTTGACAGAAGTTACTCTTTTTGAGAAGATTTTCTTTAATGAAAAAAAAACAAGCAACTGTTATGACAAAATAGCAAAATGTTACTTACATTGTCACTTTCGAACCAGTTGAATAGGTTGGTCTTTCGTGACACATGGACGATTCAATGTTAATCCTATCTCCAGTGTATTTTCTTGCTATGTAAAAAACGACAAAAATGATATTTTCAACTCAGTCCAGGCTCATTGCATGCTTCAACAACAACGTCATGCCTTCGTAAAAGACAGCACGGAAAATATTGTTGGTATCCTTGACAGAACAGGCGTCGGGTAAACAAGTTCCCAAGCCGAACGATATTTCCTGAAGGACAATATTTGATTTTCATTTGAGATTAGTGCACAAGACTTTATAAAAATTAACTTTAAAGAACTTACTTCCATAGAAATGTGAATATCTATCTTTGAGAGGCAATATCTTGCAGACGGCAACGCCTGACATTCACTGTAAGAGCCAAGCCATACAAAGTTTCCACGTAAAATACCACTTCTCAATTTACCCACTGCATCCATATCTATCAATATATAGAGACCATACTCAAAGAAACATAAAAGAAGAAATAAAGCTATGTCTATGGCAATATACAAAACTAAAAGAAAGTAATTTTGATAAAATTGTAAAATTTATATTTGAATTGTAAAATGGTACAAAGCACACGTTGAGGGCTTCCTACCCATCATCGTAAGAAAATCGATAATTCGGAGAAGGGGAGGGTTTGTATTCATAAATACATAATTTCCAGCATTATGCTCTTTTGAGATCCATTGTTTTCAAGATGCAAATAGACATATGAATATGAGCCAAGCTTCCTACATTCATGTTGTCAACCAATACTGGAGGGAAAACCATAAAAGCAGTCATATTACAAAAAAATGTGCTTTTACGTTTGCGTTTAGACGCTGAAAGGTTTAACTTATACAAATTGTCACAAGCGTATGCATTTACCGAACAAGTTTGTTAGTGAGTCAACATCAAAACGAGGTACAGTGCTGCATGCATAAAAAGGACAATTACATGTATTTAAGTCAGTTTGCTGAGAGAAATATATTTTTGAAAATTAACTGTTTTTGATCAACTTATTTGGTGTGTGTAGTCGAGCCACGTTTGAAAACTTTTCTTCTGAAGGAAAACATTCGTGAATATTTTAGCATGTGAAAACACAGCGAGGAGTATGATCAGGTTTCAAGTGAACAAAAAAATATTCTTCATTTCAACTCTTCACATGAGAATCACGCACCTCAATCATGTGCCGACAACAACAAGCAAGTCGAATTACATTTTCACAAAAACTGATCATTGATCAATGAAATTTCCACGCAAGGATATCACAGGATAGTGCAATTTTAAATAAGAAACGCTTAGTTTATGATAAAGAATAGTTTTTAGATTTCTGCTCATACATTACACATTGTCTTATAACAATCAACATCATAAAGGCTCATAAAAGTCTACAAGATCTTCTAAGAACTATGGAAGCACTGATGAAGTGTACGTACAATGGTTACTTTACAGTTGTCGAGTATCTGATTTGATAGAAAATATTTGAAATTAGGAAAAACAGAACCATGCACTTTTTATGGTGAAAAAAGTGGGCGATATTTTATTCAAATAAACATAGCTCCTATGACTGTCATGAGATATTTCATTGACGCTATACTTACATTGTATAAAATTGTCAAAAAAATCCTTCCAACATTTTGGACTTATTGACAACTTTGTTTCATTAAATGCCGTCTTGTTGATGCGATTGAGTAAAAAGGAACGATAAGCTGTACGTAAATATTGAGAAATGTCGTTCTGTTGAATTAACAAATGATTCGTCAGGCGTTCATTTTCATCTGTTATAGTATCATCAGCACTTGCTCTCGCATAACAAAGAAAAACGATAATCAATGTATAAAAGCATGTATGGTTTGCCATCTTTTATTCTCTCATGTAGAACGATAGCGACTGACTAATGTTGTGTTGCAATCACTTCAGCCTTGTGAGTAAAATGTGACGATGAAAATCATCCGATTGACATTTTTTAAAGTCCATACTTGTGACATGCATTATTGTTATAAAAAATGATGCATTCTCTTCATGAAAACAAGCTGTAATACAAGAAGCTGAATGCAGACCAACACTTATATTTTCTCAAACAAATATATTTGACGTAAGCATGTGACATTTGTACGTTCATCGATGATTTAACACACCATAAGAATACTATTGGTTCATTTTTTCATTAATACACCTCCACGATATTTGCACAATATCATGAAGAATGAATTTCAACATGTTTTATACAAAATTAATTATGAAATTTGAGAATGGATCTCGTGTATATACTTAAAAGTCGACTGAAAATAAAAATTTACACAAAAAACAAGCATCTAACAGAGACCCCACTTGAAATTTCCTTGATAAATTGTGGTCGTAGAACACCAGTATTTGCTAAATCCGGATTTTGTGCAAGTGTCGTACCAGACACCTTTGAAGTAAAATGGAAATACACAACATGCTTTGTTTGCATTCCCACCGTGAGATCTCAAACCACTTGTACAATAATCTAAAAAAGTGCATGGACAATTACTAATGGTACAATAATTCAAATTTTGAAAGAGGAATCAGAAAAGCAGCGGCGTTTAGTCAGCCCGCAAAAGTTTGGTTGTGTTAGGTAAACTTTAAAACATAAGCATCATTTATTTGTTGGCAAATCTGTTGTTTTTAAAGTTATTAAACGCAGAAATATTTACAAAACATGCCCAAACTTGCAAGCTGACTACCGCTCATTCAAGGAAATTGAGTCTCACCACGTACTGACCGTTTGTAACAAAAACAACACAACCTTACAACATGGTAAATGCTATAATTTTCTCCTTACCATAACCGCAGTGTCTAACGCGAATGGACGAGCCTCGATCAAATATATCGCAGATGACCACATTATTGTCAAAATCTGTTTCAGGAACTATAAGATTTGGATTGATATTGACCTGAAATATATAGGATCTAGGATAATCAACTGTTGTCACATCTATCCACTGACAGTCAATGTTGTAAGCATAATCATCATAACAGTTCATTGAAATCCCTTGAATTCCAGAGGTGCAGTTGTATTTCCTATCTATTCCGGGCAGGCAACTCGTATCCTCCAGACAGAAACTCGCCTTGTGACCCTCTGCAATTTTTTTCCTAGCTCCGTCTGCACCTGAAAATGAGCAGTGCAGTCAATACAACAATGTTTTTCATTAAATTCAAACATTTATAGAAAAGTTTTGTGGAGATACTTACTTAACAAGTCATATGTGGCAAATTCTTCCTCAGAGTGAAAATGTTTATGACAACTGTGCCAAATCCAATCCTCTTTCTTTGCATAAGGACGGTAGTCGGCAGAGCCGAAGTTCAAAATGAGCGAACTAAATCGCATTAGGCGTCTTTTGTAGTAAGTAATATATTCTTCTCGCATGTAAATCTTTGCTGAACTATCAAGGCAGTTTTCCTCAAAGGAGCATTGTAGCATTTCATTAGGTAGGAAATTCACACGAAGAGTACGGTAAATATCACGAATACTCAAAGCCAAATCAGGTAGGACTATAAAATAGCAAAAATATATTTACAACACGAATCATGCTCATGAAACTGGCGATCAGAAAATGGGTAGAACTGTATTTTACCATCTGTACATTGAACTGCTGCAAAACTATCATTAGATGAACACGTGACCTGATCGTCACGTAGACATTGTGTCAAGGATAGTTCATCTCCGATACAAATTGGTTTACTCATCACCATCTTTGCACCGACTCCGTATTTGTCTCCAGTGATATTTGCTTTTGCAAAGTTAAGACCTAACTCTCTACATACGATCATAGCTGATTTCACGAACCAAGCATCTCCACAAACTGTTCCCCACTGTCCGTTGATTTTTACTTCGACACGACCTTCAGAAGAAGTACTACCCCCGGCCAGTCGAACCTGTGATTATGGCTCATTTTCAAAAACTCACTTCAAACAATCAATTTAAGTGAAGTATTTCACTCACAACAAACCTCACGAAGTTGATACTTTGGAACATTACATTCCACACCTGCATCTTCAAAATGAGTACATTTCGACTTTTTTAGGACGGACCATCGACATTGTTTTATGTCTGTTTCGTCACCATCACAAGATACCTCTTCCACAACGTTCTAAAACGTTCAAGCTAATGATTAAATACAAAAATTTTCAAATCTTCTACATCTCAAAGGCTACTGCTTGTAAAATTACTACTTCATGAAAGAACCATGAAAATTTCTCCATTTCAAATATTTACCAGTTGTGTTCCTTGGCCATACTTTGCAGCAAAATTAGCCTCTTTTGCTGTACCATAACCAAGTGTACGGCAAATCACGTTCGCAGTCAGTAAATTATATTTATCGTCACAAAGGTTTGCCCAGCTACGTCTGAATTTCAATTCAATACGTCCGGCCCAAGGATAGGCAGCACCACGAAGTTTAAGAATCGCATACTAAAAAGAAGTTTGACGAGATTCGTTGTTTTATCAAACTCTCTCTTTTTATCTTAATTGTGGGATTTAAAAATAAACCACTTACACTAGTCCTTGCTTTAAACACCACTTACGTTTTTTGAACGAGAAGTCCTGTTGCCAAGTGTACAATTCAGCCACACGACATCGTTATTCTGGCAAGACTGGCCTTGTACAGTAAATCCAAATTGTTTACAGGAAAGAATAGATGACTCTGAACCATTACATGCCAGACGACTAAGAATGATGTTTTGGCTACTTTGTTTTGCAACCATTTCTGAAGCGTTGGGAAAACCCAATTCTCCACATGCAACCCTCATGTTACCAGGATTTTCTTTCCAGCTTTGAGCGCACACGTAACCAATATTGCCTTGGTAAGATATTCGAAAATAACCAGCGCTTACGATACCGTTTTCAACAGTACCATCTAACGATATTTCTATCTGCGATGACTAAATTCCAATGTTTCATGGATAAAATTTTAGTTACAGTTTGACTCTTCAGTTAGAAATTCTCAATGTCTACATTTCCTTACCTTAAAACCTGACCATGTTGAGGAAACATTGGGTCTTAGAAATTGCCCTACTTCAGTAAAACACATAACACCAGCTAAATTATAGAAATTCAATCTTCGTCGTGGTTTGACCCAACCACTATGGGTACAGTCATCAATATGAGTCTCTGTTCCTTGACATTTGATCATTTCAAGATAGACAGGAACGGGCCTTGAAGGATGCCCATAGACAGTCCTGGTAACGCATAAAAAACTGAGTTTTAAAAGACGAACTTGTTATGTGTTCGTGGATGTCAATAGCACTTCATTAGAATTATTTAAAAGCTGTGAAATCATTAGCAATCTAAAGTGATCATGACAGTTGAAGGTAACAAACTTAAGATACAGACTGTCTTTAATATTACGACGTGACGAGATATTTTCATCTCTAAGCGTCACAGATTTAGTAGTGCAAATAATGACGGACTTATAAAATAAATTAAAGTAAAACATTGTAAGTGGATTTCTTAAAAAAGAGCAAATGTATTCTACCACAAAACTCGTTCATCATAAATACGTTCATTCACGACAATCTATACTAATATTTACCCTTGAGAATAACGGATAATTTTACCACCAAATCCCAGCTGTCGACACACAACTTGGCCAGCTTTTTTCCCCCAACTCTGAGCAGATATAACTGCCCATTTTCCATTGACAAACACCTCAACACGACCTTCGTAATAATGTTTTCCTCCAGCTAGACGCAACTTAACGCGGGCTTCACAATAGCATAAACACAAAAACAAGACAAAACATACTCTCTTCATTCTTATTCTCTCTGTCGACATTCTCTATGTTGCACTGTAACTTTGGATAAGCGCAAATTATTCAAAAGGAATAAAAAAATATGAAAGAGAACGATGATGTAACTGCGGTAATATGTATGTTTAGCAAGTTGAAATATTGTTGACCCCATTTCTAAAGGTCAAATCTTTTCATCAAACAATCCTTTCATTGTTTACTATTGTTTAATCACATATTTTAGTCCAACGTTTTCTTTTTTTCTCACATTATTGTAATTATATAATGATATTGATTTCAGACTTTAAACTTGAGGCAAATATATCCTCTGCAATAAACGAAGGTTAAACTTTGTGCATTTGATGTTATACATGGGCAATGTTATATTTTCAATAAGATATCCGTATAGGAAACGCAATTCTATATACATGAAGACTGATGAGTCGACCTTTTTTACAGTAACCACATAACCATAAAATGGATGCTCGTGGTAAATCATGACATTGGTCGGTGACCTACATAAAAATGTTACCATAGGCTACATTTCTTCACAGGATTCATAGGTGATCCTTTAGGACACTGAAAAGCCTCTGCAAATCCTTTAGAATTCATTATAACTCCTTGAACTCTGAGAAAAGAAAGTATACTCTGTATTGTTGCCGAAGGTTTTTTCCGTCAATACATTTATTAAAGATTCGTACCTAATGTTCATAGGTGGCCAAGGAAGATTGTCTATTTGGTGAAAAGCTCCTTGACGAGTGTATTTAGAACACCAGCCCTATGAGATAGGTTCGTATAATTTTAAAGAAGGTACAGTTGTTTATAGTGCCGTCTGCTTTAAGCAAGTAAAAAGCAGGGGGGGCTCTTAAGGTTAAAGCAATTTTCATGTATGTGGTAAAAGATCACTACAAACATTTCAGTAATATTTAAGACGTCGGCAGAGAATCTGGAGGTTTAATACAACTTTGGCGAGCAAATGTCTCCCCCCTTGAGCTAGATCAATGCCTGAGCGTAAGATATAAAATTTGGCGAGCAAATATCCCCCCCTCCTTGAGCTAGATCAATACCTGAGCGTAAGATATAAAATTTGGCGAGCAAATGTCCCCCTCCTTGAGCTAGATCAATACCTGGGCGTAAGATATAAAATTTGGCGAGCAAATGTCCCCCTTGAGTAAGATCAATACCTGAGCGTAAGATATAAAATTTGGCGAGCAAATGTCCCCCGCTTGAGCTAGATCAATACCTGAGCGTAAGATATAAAATTTGGCGAGCAAATGTCTCCCTCCTTGAGCTAGATCAATACCTGAGCGTAAGATATAAAATTTGGCAAGCAAATGTCCCCCTCCTTGAGCTAGATCAATACCTGAGCGTAAGATATAAAATTTGGCAAGCAAATGTCCCCCCCTCCTTGAGTAAGATCAATACCTGAGCGTAAGATATAAAATTTGGCGAGCAAATAGCCCCCCCCCCTTGAGTAAGATCAATACCTGAGCGTAAGATATAAAATTTGGCAAGCAAATGTCCCCCTTGAGCAAGATCAATACCTGAGCGTAAGATATAAAATTTGGCGAGCAAATGTCTCCCCCCTCCTTGAGATAGATCAATACCTGAGCGTAAGATATAAAAAACAATTGGTACGGTGTATAATTAAGACCAGGAAGTTTTGCTTCGTGACCATTTCTTGAAACCCATCGTTTATAAGCCTAGGAAAACCAACATCAAAATCACCATACCATTTTTATACGACAGACTTTGACACGTTAACGAGCAGTTTTGAAAAAAGAAATTACTTCATACCTCGTAAGCGAATTTAATTCCTCCGTTATCAGCAATATTTTCACCAAGCGTTTTCTTTCCGTTGATCTATATATCAAAATTAATTTCCTTTATTTTTGGAATGACTGTATTAAAAGTCTTACGTTGGGCATTCAGAATGAAAATTCACTTCACGCCCGACAAATCTCTGGCCGCCACTTCAAAATAAGGCTTTAATTGCACTTTAAAAATAAAACAAAACGTCAAGATGCTTTAATAACTTACCTTTTTACCATACATTTCAAATTGGCCATATTGATCTTGAAAACACTGACTTTTTCGTTGAAATTCTTTGGTGGCATTTCGTGACCACCAGTTGCGCAAATTTCCCCTCTCATCGTGCAAACGACCTAAGGAAATTTTTTTATCTTTTTCACGATAACACTCACACAATCTGATATCGTATCAACAACATCATTTAAGGGATGAATTACTGGATTTAAGTGTATGAAGAATTGTATAAGATGGATTAATGGATTTGAGGTCCTAAGGAGGTATTTCTCTTTTTCAAATCCATTTTCCTCACCGTTGGAATCAAATCCATGAGTCAACTCATGTCCAGCAACCATCCCAATTCCTCCATAATTTGACGCTCTATTTGGTAAATTATATCATTACATTACGACGTAAAAAGCAAAATTTACACTGTCATAAAACAGTTTTTACCTCAAATTATCGTCATCGTAAAACGGAGCTCTTAAAATTCCAGCCAAAAATACTAGATAAAATTTACAAAAGTTCACAAGGATTTAGTAAAAAATAGTTTCATATTAAACAGATTTAACCTCAACAGATAAATTTGAATGGCGAAGAAGTTTAATAATAAATCTTGTACCATTTTTGTTCTCTGATCGATAATGATAAGCGTTGACCTCAACAGGCGAATGAATGATTCTAAATAAAACGATAAAAGCATATTTATAATATGTAATGTTTGCAGTGCTACAGTAAGAGACTGCAGATGCACAATCCGAGACAAGAAATTCTTTATAGCGATAAATCCAGTGGTAAGACAAGGAACAGAGAACAGGGGATGACAAATGCAACAATCCTGCAACTGACAGATTGGACCAAACTTTTAGAAGATAGCCATGGACAATTTTTTCTTATTCCAGAGATTAGTTCTCTACATTTACTAACCATGACTTTTTCATTTGAGTACGATAAATGACAAACTATCTTACGCATTTCTATCCACAGGTCTTTTGTACTCCGATATCGACTTAAGGAATATTGCACTACGTATGGAGAAAACACTTTTGAGAAATTCACTCGCATTCACACTTATCTGAAAAAAAAATGAAATCTTTTAATCATCAATTTTGTCCACGTTGTTTCTGATTTACATATTAAACATAATATACGACCGAATTTATACCACGATCAAAATACTTAAATATGATGAAGACCTAGTCCAAACTTACCCTCTCGTATTCAACATTGAGTTTTTCTTCATCCTTGATATAATCGGAATAACCAACTAAGATCGTCGATGCTTTTGCCTGTGCAACAAAAGATCATAGGTAATGAAAGATTACAAAAATATAAAACATGTTTTGTTGTCAAGAAATAATCATTTTATTAACCTTTGCCTTTGCTCTTTCTTTTGTTTCATTATCCATCCAGGTTTGATCGTTTAGTTCTAACAAAAATTCTCTTCTTATTTCTTCAAATATCTCTTTGGCCTAAATTCAAAACGACCATGAATAAATCTGTAAACAAAACGCAAAGTAAAGAGGGCAAACCTTTTTTTAAGATCCATGCAGTTCACATCAAGCAATACTTTTATGTTATAGAAAGGAAACTTCACATGGACACATACCCGAGTCTTTGTTCGACTATCCAATTTTTTTTCAACGTACATTAAACCAAGAGGCATAGGAAAATATTTCTTTGTAGCTTCATAACAAAAATCCCAACGTTCTTTGTCTTCGTAAGAAAGACCATAAATTCGTTGTTTGTACTGAAGTCTGGCGTGAACATATGGATCTGGTAAAAAGCGTATCACAGCTTCGATTGCCACCCATGCAATATAGTTGGAAATGGTCCTATAGTAAAAGGAAGTATTTTATTTCTGGACTAAATTTCTCATCAAAAAATAAATTGCTTTTACAACGCACTCTTTATTTGTGCTGTTCATCAAAGCGATGACCCCTTTAATCACGTCTTTTGTCCTCACGAGAATTGCTTCACGACGAGAAAGCACAAAACTTTGGTTTGCAGCCAAACCCGACAAGAAAGAGAACCAGTCGAACTAAAAATGGTATATATACTGCCTTTCAACGATGGTTAGATGACTCGGAGGAACGAAGGAAAATTGTCAATATTAGGGGGTCAATATTAGAGGGATTCTCAAAACAGCTGGAAACATTTCTAGAAAAACATCCTTCCTTAGGAGCCTCGTCTATAGTATTGTGATTAAGTGATATCTTGCCTACCTTTGTGTAGTTAATAAGTTCCAAGATAGTAGATGATTGTGGCCATCCTTTGTGTCGTCGAATAATCTATGAAATAAGCATCATCATGATTACAAAAGATTTTTCCACCTTTGTTCTGTACCCATGCACGCAATAAACTATTCAAATACCGTAGCTATTTTTTCTTCCAACAAATACACTTGTTCCATTTGTTTTGTAGCGTTTATACGGTCCGCTCCAAATAAGACCATCACATCAATCATGTACTGACGATAGGAAAGACGAGTCTGAAAAACAACCAAAATAATGAACAAAGGCAATGGGGGCTATATTAAATGGGGAATATTATATAGCTAAGTACACCATATGGATTTCAAGCGGGGGGGGGGTGTACTTATATAGCAAGGTAGTGTATATTGATGCATGATGGACGGAAAGGACACAAAATTATTCATGTTTATAATGATTATCATAATAAATGCTTAACAATTCAGATAATTTTTCAAAAAAAAAGGATATCAGCAATAACCTTTTCATAAAAATCTTCACTTGAGTTTTTCTCAAAATAAAAAGTGGTATCCAGTGTAACACCACCATCTGAGATCTATCCACGATGATAAAATAAAGAATTTGAAAAGCATGTATTGATTTTCGTTATAATCTTTTACAGCAACATATAGCATTATGCCCTAAGTACACTTACTGCAAAACTTTTCTTGGACGAATTTTTAAAATCAGGGCGGACAGACACTGAAAAGAATGGTTGAACACCAAAACGCGTGAAAGCCATCAGTATTGCTTTGTTGACATCGTAATTTCTTTCGCTCCAGTTTGGAGTTGTAAGTTTTGAACCTCCTAATGTTGCAATGACTTCTTTCAGGTATCGATCACCTTGTCTGTTGATGGTTGCTTTTGACAAACATGTGTGATAATAGTTCAAGGCCTTTGTTACTGCACGATTCTGTAGTTATATAAGTGCAAGGTAAATAATTCGTTAAAGTTATCCTGGAATGATAAAAGGCTTCCATACCCGCTACTTTCTATTGCATGCAATCTAATCATTTCATAACATCTTTACATGGAACGAAAATTTGAAAATTAATTTCTTTCCAGGGAGCAATCTCCATAAAACCCGGAATCTTTTTATTTGAGCGTTCGTTCTTTTAGGAGATAACATCACAGTAAATACCTTCCGTATGCAAAACTATTTTATTAATACTGTATCTCTCAATTTGTGTTTTTTATATTTTATATAAAGGGAGTCGATTTTCATCCTGTTTCCTCTCTCATTATAAATTAATTTAAAGATTCTGTAAAAAGAAATAAACAATAAATTACCGAAGCATATTTCGTCTTCGTAGCGGAGTCAGCTAAAAGATTTCTCATTAATTTCTTATTTTCCTCGTTGATGTTCCAGAGCACATGAACTTCTGTTTGAGTTGTCGGTATGAATGTGTTCGCTTGCCATCTTTCACAAGCAAATGAGTAAAAATCTTCACAAGGATTAACAGATTTGTTCATATACTCCAAAATGACTACATAAAGAAAATTTTGGAGATTCTTCAGTGTTTTAGCTAGTTCAAACGTGAAATTGATCAGCAGTTCAGTATCTAATGGTCAGCAACATATATCCCAAACTCTTCTTAACATTTTGGTAAAACTGCAGTCTTTGATACATATTCTAAAGTGTGGTTTCGTATACCTACAGTAAGAATTTATACAGAGATGCAAGCTGTGCAATAGGTTTAAAAAATTTTAACTGAGCAAAACATTTCTGTCACTTCAAACACGCTGCACTAAAATCAGAGGAATGATTTGTCTGCTGTGCAATAGGTTTAAAAAATTTTAACTGAGCAAAACATTTCTGTCACTTCAAACACGCTGCACTAAAATCAGAGGAATGATTTGTCTGTTTCATGCAGACGAAAGGATGAAATAACCATAACATTATCACAACCTCTTAACTGAAACAACTCAAAACAAGTTTGAATTAAGAGTTCCTTTTTTGATATCTTAGATACGACACCAAAAGTACCTGCAGCATTGCTGACACTTTGATATCTTAGATACGACACCAAAAGTACCTGCTGTATTGCTGACACACGATTCATTTAAACATGGACGTAGCAATGATACATTTTTCTCAAGCTTACTTTCATTACGTTTACACCACACAAAGCAGCCAGAATCGTCACGACCACAACTAATACGATGATAAAGATAGCTACAAACATAACTTTCATTTTGGATTTGCTTAGTTTCACGCGAGTCGTGTGATTTCATGTTTGTAAATGTAGATCGTCCAGGTTGGTATAGTCCTGAGAAGAACTGTTTTTGTTGTTGTTGACTGACGTTTACTCCTCTTTTGACTCTGAAGATGACTACCGCTAAGGTTGTCGAAACGTCAGTCAACAACAACAAAAACAGTCCTTCTCAGGACTATACCAACCTGGACGATCTACATTTACAAACATGTAACGATACTCCCGGGTTCAAACCATTTACTTTAATCGTGTGATTTATTGGTACAAAAAACAGAAGTTGATTTCATTTCGGTCTGTTTTTGTTCACGTTCACAGCCATTTTATTTCTGCTTTTCGCGGTAAGTTAAGCATAAACTAGCAAACGAATGAATACCTTAAATTTTTTAACAACATAATTAAGAAACATATTTTGAGGAAAAGGCGGGGGCTCGACCTTTTATTTTCTTTCATTGGTAGGGAAAATAATTCATTTTTTTCTGAAGGCGGCTGTGGCTATTTATTGTTCATTATCTGTAAATATTTTTACTTGTTATTGACACAAAGATAAGGCACATGAAGTGCAAGTATAATGGTGTTAAAAAATTTGAAATATTTTACACTTTATTCTTCTCTTTCGCGAAACGCATCTCAAGAATTCTTTTCATTTGCCAAGAATCTCAAGATAAGCTTTTAAATTTGACACAATTAGCAGCTGGACTGGGGAGGATTTAATTGCCAGGAAGGAAAATAGCTTTTATTATGCAAAAGATTTTCTTTCCTGTTTTGTCAAACTATATAGCGCGAAAAAATCTTGAATATTTTTCATCAACACTTTCATCAACTGGAGTTTTTGAAATTTAATTAATAGAAGATCGCGTAAGGTATAATATATTATGAATCATTACACAACAGTTAATTCTCAACTTTCGTCATACTAAACACTGTTCAAGTACAATCTAACACGTATTTATAACAACAAAGAAGATAAAAAATTCCAGCTAGTTACATAATTAGACGTTGACAGATGTTGAATCAAGAATTCTTTACTTTACAAAAAAAAGATGTAAACATACAGCTACAAGTTTCTTTTTTGCACTCTTGTAAGTTAGATCGGCATCATTTATTGTAAATGAAACAAATTCAAAAACTTTTGGTGCTGCATTTTGTCATATAATGACGTCAAAGACAAAAATAAAACTGCCAAATACAAATGATTAGGGCCATATTACTGAGAGAAATTTACTTCCAGTATAGCTGAGCTTATTTTCCAAAATCACTGCATGGGTAAAGATGAGAGAGTATATTTTATAAAAGGCAGCAAGTTGAATATTATTAAAGGAGTAAGCATGCTGATAACATCCTTTTTATATTTTACATCATTTAAAAGTTGTTTTTAAAAATTGAACTTATGAAATGGAAAGTGTGACACAAAAGATGACTTGCCTGTAGCTGCAATGGATCAATGAAAAAGAAAGTGAAACGTTACCAAACTCAAAAGTGACAATCAGAGGCAATGCTCTAGAAGTCATACTTCTAGCTTTTGAAAAGGACAAAATATTACGCAGCGATGGTTCAAATGCTAAATCAAACATTTAATTAGTTTTAAATAAAGTAATTTACTGTATAAAGTCTTGAAGTTTCCAAGGTTACAATATTGCTCATTTACTAAAATCACTCAATTATGAAGGACTTGAACTTTCTCCTATATATGACTACAAGCAGTTGTTAGGTTAAAATTCATATATTCTTTACATTAAATCAGAGCACTGCTTGCCTTCTCGAGATATCAAATAGGAAAAAAAACTTATGATAGCTGAATGAAGCAACATCTTACGTGCACTCTAAATCATGCGAATCATAAATGCCAAAAATTAATTAACGTGTAATGGGCAACACTGACATAAGTCTAACAATTACAGTAATAAACAAGACACAACGAACATAAATTGATTTAAACACTATAACTTACCAGCAGATCGCCTGATACAGATATCTGTTAAACACACTTTTTCATCCGATTCTCGTAGTTTATTTACATGAATGAGGAGAACGACAAGAAAAGCGGCAAGAAGTAAAAAAGATACTAAAGTACATATTATGCATTGACAACGAAATGGTTTTTGTAACGTCAACTTCTTCTTTAAGAGAGCACCATTTTCCTCGACAGACACAATGGTCGATTTTAACACCATGTCATCCAACTTTGTCGATTCATCGTCCTTTGGATTTCCATTAAAAACATCAAAATTTGCAAAACCATTATTGACGTTAAAATCTAAACGATTTTCTACATTAACTGTCGGGTTTGACGGAGGACTTTGTGAGGTTGCCATGGTAGGGGGTAATTTAAAAATACAACGCAATTGAATGTCGCGGATGTGTTTGGATTCGGTGTGGCAAATCAGCGGTGGATAAAAAATGTTTGCAACAAAACCGTTCTGGATGACTAGATCTTATGAATATAAACTGTATCACTTGAAATAATTCCCTGAGGAAACGAGACAGACAAATCATGATGTATTTCACAATACTACATGCAATAATCGGATTTAGGTTTTGCTATATAAGCTTATTAAAACGATGCTTAACTTGTCTTTTTTCATTATTTAAAGAACAGCCATCAGTTTGATGAATTTATATCATTTGATCCTCAATTTATTAAAGATAAACACAAGATGCTAATTTCTTTGCTCCAGGTTTTAAGATGCAGTTAAAGTGGCATTGAACAATACTTTTGGTGTCTTTTTAATCTAGACTCTTTAGAGTATCTATTTTTTTACTTTCTAAAAAGTTTTCTAACGATGATAGCTGAAGGGTTCATAGTCATTATAGCTATTTTAGTCCAATTTGACCACCGTGAGGTCAATGGTTGGGATCTTCAAAATATTTGATCTAACAATCTTATATAATCCACATAAATACATCAATGGGCTCAACTTGTAGTTATGTCTTTGAGACAATGTTTTGCAAGATAGAAAAACGTACGTGTCAATTTGTGATAAGTATAGTAACGAACTAAAGCAAACATTTTCCCATCTTTCCGTTTGATTTAAACGTCTTTCCTTTACGTAAAAAAATGTTTGGAATTTTAGTGGCAAATATCACACGATACACTAAATACGTGAGTCGACTTTTGATTGTAAACTGCCTTCGACATCATCGAAGTTTTACAGTTGTATTTTACTTTGAAATATCGCTGGTTTAGGAAGGATGGTACAGTAGCAAGATAAATTTTAGCGATCACAAAGATGTTGTAACGAAATACGAAAAATGCGTGGGAGATCACCCCGCAGAAATTAAAATAAAAGATTTTTTAACGAAAGAAATCTTTTTTTACGCCAGACATGTAATTGTCCAATACATCTAGATCATCTGATAACAAAATAAATAAAGACTAACCTTATCATATATCTTATTCAATGCCTAAAGATGTCTTAATTACGTTTCCCAAACCTCGCACCTTTTATGAGGTATCATAGGAGCATCGGGGACGCACGAAAACGCATCAGCAAATCCCTTCGAGTTCATCATGGTCCCCTGGACTCTGAGAGGGAAAGGGTACGAGCCTTTTGTTAACATTCTTTTCAACTCAGAATCTTTGTATTTTGCACACCACATCTGAGTAGATAAAAATGTAATATATGTTAAAGTCCACAACATAGACATCAACAAAAAAAAAAACAAAAAGTTTATTCATACTTGAGCGTAAGAAACAAAGAAAAGTTGATCGTGAGTTAGTTTAATTCCAGGCAACATTTCTTCTTCTGTATTTTGCTTTTTCCATCGTTGATAAGCCTGGAATTAATCGTTATAAATGCAAAGATTAACATTTGATCGTTCTGAACGGAATGATTGTGAACAACTGACGGTAGCAACGCTTGATTAGATCAACTAAAACATTGTGATATTTAGGAATGCAAATCTATCATATGTAGGAGTCCAGTTGACATAAAAAGACAATAAGAAACTTAGAGCAGAAATAGATAGTATAGTACCATGGCTATCATACAATATGAATGGACAAAGTTTAAGAAACACGGTAACCTACAGTAAGCATGCATGATTAAGAAGATTACCTGAAATGCAATTTCTACCCCGGCGGCATCACAGAATTGTTCTCGATGATTGATGACGCTACGAATCTAAATTATACAACATGAAAAATGAGCGATTGTAACATGTCATACCTTACAATCGTGTACGTAGACACCTTTTCGCTATTATGAGTGAAATTGTTGTACAAATCTTTGAGACATAAATGTTTTTGATAGATGTAATTGGACGAGTCTTTCGACAACAACTTTCCAACATTGCCAACTTCATCATATCTACTGCCTAAAACAATCCATACGGCAACGGTTATCGTAATCCATTCAATCTTAATAATTATATAAAAACGCACTCCATGTCACTCGTTTTGTGAAACACAAACCTTGAATGTCAAATCCGTGATTTATTTCGTGGGCAAAAATCATTCCTAAAGTTGCAAAATTTGCTGCCCTACAAAAGTCACAAGCACTAGATGACATGGATGGAAACAAAAAATGCTATAGCTAACACTTAAGATTGTTTAAAATAACAAGTAATGGCGTCTATATAGCTGTATCCGTCTATACTCTTGTCGTGAAAAATTCCCTACAAGCTTTGTAAGATATTTTGTACATGGAAAACGTTGACTTGAACGAACAAACATCTTAGGATGAAAAACACTCTTACTTGTAATTTTTGATGGAAAAAAAGGTGTTTTCGAGGAGACTGATTGCCATTTCTGGAACACCAATGAAATAATCAAATGAAGACATATATAAAATACGAGAACAATGACTTGTATACCAATTTTATTGTAGGTTCGGTAGTAATAAGCGTTGGGCTTCAACGGTTCCCTTTTCATGAATCTGAAAGAAGAAATGCAATCATAAATACTTTAAAAAATTACAGCCGATTATAAAAAAAATTCAGAGCTTATACGTGTTGCGGTTCTTGACCGTTTTCAAAGACTTGATCTCCTTCAACACCACAAATCTTATCATATTTCTGTAGGTTTTTACGTAATTGACATCAATGGCAAACTAAATAAACACATAAACAAAAATTAACGAATCCAAGACATGCAAGGATAGAGAAACAACATTGACATACTAACATCTCTCAAGCCTTCTTTTGAAAGGATCATTGTTAGATTTTCGGGATATCCAATGTCGTATAACATAGATTTTGCCTTTATCGATAGAAAAACTGAGTCAAGTGAACTTTACATTGCTCTAGGACATAAAATAGTACCTTAAGAAGAGCCTTATCACGTGTTCTTTGGTCCATCCACGATTGCTTTGGTATTAAACCCAGAAAAACATCCATTACATCTTGCAATAGGTTTGTTGCCTATTTATGTGTAAATTACAATTATATCATACATCAATGTTCGAATATTTTCAGATACTTCCATTATGTCAGTTGTGACGATGTTCATATCGAAATATAAAAGAGTTATAAACTAGTGCATAACTAGTTCAATGCATGCCACAAACTAGTTTAGCCACATTACGATCTACTTTTATTCGTAACAGAACTTACACAAGTGACAAACAACAAACTAGAGTCTCTGGTTAACATGTTATCATTCAACGACAGGTACAGCATGACACTAAGTGACTTTGTAAAACTTTACATGTTTGTAGATATAGATCGTCCAGGTTAGTAAAGTCCTGAGAAGGACTGTTTTGTTGTTGTTGACTGACGTTTCGACAACCTTAGCGGTAGTCATCTTTTGACTCTGAATAAAACGATACTCCCGGGCTCAAACCATTTACTTTATTTGTAAAACTTTATCCTGAATAAAAATATCAAAGTTTTAACTATAACCATGAATCTATTTGATATTACCTCGTCCTGGGTGCCTTTAGGTAGTACACGCTGTCCATAAAGTAATGCAGTCTCCAAAGGAAAAGCATAGCTGGTATGTTGAACACACATGTCCCATCTGTGAATTTTCACACTTTTATATTCTTCAAAAAGTCTTACAAACTTTGATGGGAGGATATTAATTAATTCATAAACGATTCTCCAGGAGAGATAATTTGCAATAGTGCTGAAAAATAAAATAACCTCATAAAGACATTTGTCGTTGAAAAAACAAAATGATTTATGACTTACGAAGAGACATTCGAACAGACAAATAGGAATTTTACCTAGCTTCAATTTTGTTCAAAACACCGAGAATGCTGTGCAGCATTTTGGCAGATGTAATTAATAATTCGTCGCGTGTCAAGATGTAACCGCCATCTTTCGATAAACTATGAAAGAATTTGAGCCAATCAAACTGTAAAAAAATACAATCGTCAGTTAAACGTAGAAAAACTGAGCTCAATATTTGTAAATGAAGACAAAAACCTTGGTTTTGTTTGATAGATTTTTAATGGTTATCCCTTTCAAGTTTGGAGGATATTGACTCTATAATGAATAAATGACAACTACTGTCTGAATGGTAAATCGATCGACAAGAAAACTGCGTGAAAAATGTTTACATTTCAGAAGATAAAATTAACCTTTCCAATAGCTACTTCAAGCTCACAAACTTTTCTCATTTCCTGCTTGATATACGTTCGATTGTCGGATGAACTGATCAAGTACATAACTTCTGTCATAAACTCAACATAGCGCTCTAGATTTTCCTTATATGAGAATAAGACAAATATTAGATGCCATGAAGCATCGTGATTCACAATCTGAAATTCTGCTTCTATATACATCCCCATACCTCTTTCTTACTTTTTGAGCCCAACAAAATGATACTGCTTGGTAATTGAAGAGGAAAAGTCTAAAAAAATAAAGAGAAGTGCCACACATGTATTAAATCTTTGAGCAGCAGTTAATTATAGTTAACATTGAAATAGAAATATCCATCATAACTTTAATTTATGGCCCATTTCTCACCACAATTCGTTTAAATGTGGGGTTGCTTAGATCGTCCAATACACGTAGTTTAAAAATGCATCAATGTTAAGTTGACGTTTAATTTTTACGACAACATCTGGCCAATCATAGCTGGAATTTCTTTTTTTTGTTAGGTCGAAATCTGCCAGCTCCACTAGAAGATCTTTCACATGGGATTCACCAAATTTATCAATCGTTTTCGAGTCTTTACATGATGAATAAAATTGAAATAGTTTCACCATAAAAGGACTCTGAAAAAGAATGTTTTCTCCTCAGTATAATTGACTCAATTTCACAAAAGTACATTCGAGTGTTTAGTATGAGATCTTTAATTACAAAAATTGACATGATGGACGATGAGGATCAAAGGCATTAAATCTTTTCAACTTCAAGTTTCTCCACTTTCCAAACATAAATATAACTATACATATTTATAAAATATAGTTAAGTATAACTTACTTTAGAGTACTGAGCTTTTGTTTCTTCGTTTTCCAAAATATTTTTCAACTGGCGTTTGTTTTTCTGGAGTACTTGAAGAAAAGGAAACACGTATGCTTTCGAATCTTTAATATAATTATTTTTTCCCATCCACCGCAGGAAAATTGATAAAAATCCTTACAAGGGTCGACACTATCGTCCATGTAGGCGAGAACACCTTTGAAGAAAAGATGAGATCATTTGATACGTTTATAAAACTTATTTATAAAAGAAATGCCAAATCCAATTAAAGTAATAAGATATTTTTGGTTCTACTGATCAAATTTGTTCTCGCGCGATGTAAAAAATCCCAGTAAACCGAATGACGCGCGTTCAATTTGCTGATCATTATTCTCGTAATTCAAAACACAATAAAAATACATTTCCCAATTGTCACCGTGTTTCTATATCGTTCACAATCATTCATCAACTTCAAATAAATTGATCAATGGTGACTTGTATTAGAGTTGTTCATTGACAGAAGTAATGACCTCTCGTGTTCAATAAACTGGAACTAAGCACTTAATTTTCAAGACCAACTACGTTGAGGTTACATTTCCATACAATCACAAAGATTGCAAAAACATCAGTACTATTTCATTCTTAATATCACCGTTAGCCTCGCTAACAGTTGACACAGAACATGTCGAGCAAGTCGTATTGTTAGGCCCGTTTGTTGGGGCATTTGACATTGATTAAACAAACTGATGTAAACTATGTAAAGTTTAATAAAAACGTGTCGTCAGTTCATATCGTCGTTCAGTTAATTTATCAATGACTTTCATATCGTTTCAGAGTCAACATGCGTGCATTTAATTGTCTCAACATTTTCTCTCACAATACACAAAATCAAGATGAAAGCTCAACTTCATATTTTTCTCGACATATTTTGATATATTGAGAAAAATTATCACTACAAACATCCGGGTGTTATTCCACACATACAAACTGCCCACGTAAGCTGTCAAATCGTGGAGCAGCAGCCTATCATCATCTCATATCTCAATGTTTGTTTTTGTTGGCAAAACTAATAAAAAATGCATTAATTTCACATCATAAAACACGAAGGTAAAATAGTAGAAACCTTCCATAGCAGGACACATGCAACATTCAATCATTCAAAAACCTCTATAGCCAAAATCTCAAGTCGTTTTTCATTTTTGACTTTCGGACCACATTACGAAAACAATGCGACAACTCATGTAAACAAAATCAAATTTAAAGACTCATTGACTACTTCTTTTTTTAGAGAAGATAACGCAGGGACACTACAATGATTGAAGAAAAAAATGTAGGCAGCGCAAGTTAACTGCGTGCAACCATATGGATTTCAAAAGAATTTAAACATACGTGCAATGTTGTTCACAGTTTTCTTATAATTTTCCCTCGGTTTGCTATTTGTTTCCTTGCTGTGATTATTTTCATCCAAGACAAGTATGACGACGACCAAACTAACAAGTAAAAGAAGGGCCACACACACAAGGAACATTTCAAGACGAGAATAACGATGCAACTTGATTCTTCTCATGAAGGTCAATGAGTGAGTTACACCAACAGGACCAGATTCAACAGTTGAAATACCATCAGCATCTCTTACTATGGTAATGGTACTGGGAGACTGGTCCTTAGAAAATTTTAATGAACTCATTTTCAAATGAAAACTCTTGATTGTACGACGATCTGAGAAGGAAATGCCGTAGACAAAGCAGGCAGTTTAAGGATCAGCGATCTTTTATATTGTTGATTGTTAATTCGATATTTCAAATGTGTCGTAAAGATAACGATGAAAGATCGAAGAGTTGAAAACACGAGTCAACAAATCCTTTTACACTGAGTTGTCATTATTTCGATCTCTTTGGGATTTTCCTTCGAGAGTTTTCGATGCCACTTTTCCTTGTGGAGAAATTGCCAACCTGAAAGAAAGCAGAAATGTTCGCTTGTGTTGCAGACAGACAGAAATTCTCTCAACGTACTTTTAACAAAAGATTCCTCAGAAGTTCTCCACCCAGCTTTCAATTCTGTCACTGCAAAAATTCTCTGCACATTCAAAACTATAGACTGGCGTTTCTTGGCCCACTCAATTCATTCTTTTTAAGGAGAAAATACGTGGCCGATAATCCGATCGAGAAAAGATAGGCTGAGAGGAAAACATTTAACAACTTATCAACTAAAGATAAAATTTTATCATCACACAATCTCTGATTCTTTAAATAAACACTTTAGGTTTGAAGCATTTGTTCATTAGCATGTCTGTTTGGACGTTGTTTCCAAATTTTCACAAATAGATCACTGCAATTTTTAATGCTTACCCTACAAAAATCCTTTTCACAACAAGCAACGAGGAAAATGCAAATTTCTTATGTTGATGCCACTGAATTTCGTGAAGAAGTTTTGTCGTTGTGAAAAATTAAAAAATTGGCAAAGTTTCATTCATTGAATTTTTGAAATTGCATAAAGAGCTCTACATAGATATAAATCAAGAGAAAATGATAACAAAATGGAAATCTGTTGTTTGAAAAGCAAACAAGCGCAAATATGCACTTGAATTTACGGAAAAATTTAAAGTTAATTGCCAGGAATGCATTTTACGCTCGCCCAAAAACAGAAAATATTATTTTATTTCTTATACAATTGTTTGAAGAAGACAATTAAAAAGAACATAGAAAAGCTTTAAAACGACAACGGTTCAAACACAGTAGAGCCATGTATTTTATTATCGCGCATTTTATGGCAATTAAATGGGAGTTAGCGATATGAACATGCCCTGAATACAACATTTTCCATTCGGCAAGAAAAATAACATTTGAATGAAACTTTCAGCACAAGGCTATTGATGAAAAAAGTGTTGGATATCTATAGCAGCACTATTCCATTATATTAGTCAGAAAATCTCAACACTTGCTTAATTATTCGAAAATTTAAGCTACTAGATGCTTCTTTGAAGAAATTCGAAATTCCTCAGACAAAGAATGTGCTCGATTAATTAAGTTGAAAAGTGATTTACTTTTAACGAATGACAAAATCTACCATTTTTTGACAACGCGTTAATTGATTATGCCACAACAATGTGTGCTGTAGGGTTGAAAAAAAGTATTATAAGTAGCTATTAAGATCGTAAATAGTTTGAGCCAATATATGAGATTTATCTCAAAAGTTCATTAGGTAATCAATTATGGTCACTGACATAGGAAAGATTGTGAACTAAAAAAACATTAGACATGGTCGCTGTATTTTCATTTGAGGCGAATGCGAAAATTACTGACCTATAAATACAAAAAAATAAATTCTCCAACATAAGAAAATGTATAAGCACATTTTCAACGTTTGATTTTTGCGACAAGAACTATTTTTAACATTTAGCCAAATAATTTTTGTACAAAATGCATCATGTCTATTCTCAAGTTTCATGAAGTCACGATACTACTGTCCACTGCTGATGACCAATACAATTGCAGACTCAAGTTGTATCGATTATTGAATAGTCTATAACTCACTTATCGTTCATCAAAAGGATCGATGATTAAGAAATATTGTCAATAATGATATATTTTATCGATATTCGATAGCTCTTATAAAGCATCGAAATACTTAATCTTGAATTAAATCATGAATAATAAATCAACCACATAAAGTTTTAACATTCCAAGAATATTTCTGTATCAAAGTTTATGCTCGGTCTATAAATTGTAACATTTTAATTCCTAAATAAGTTTTATCGGTTCCAATGAAGTTAATTAGCTTGTATCTCTCAAACGGAAAAACTACATCTATAACGACAATGAATTTTTTATTACTCGGCTTTTTAATCACAATTCACCCACAGGCCATGACAACTAGTAATAATGACATAGTAATCTGAAAAAATATAAAATACATCAGTAGAAACATCGCATTAAAGCATTTATTCATGGAAAACATATTTTTTCGACACACTCAAGTTTTTGAGTTCTTTACGGAAACTGTCAACGATATTGGCAATGAAGAAAAGCAAATTTTCTGAATAAACATACAAGAACAATCGAAGCGTTGCAAATTAATGCTTAGATAGAATGTGAAACAATTTCAAATACGTAATTGTCTGGGAAACACCGTCGACAAAAGCATTGAGGAAAGGATATACCAGAAAAATGTTCTTCTTTTATGGTCTAAGTGCATCGAGAAGACGTAAAAATAACTATTTGTCCTTGTTAGTTATGATCTACTGGTTAGTAGGGAAATTTGGCGAAGGAAATACATATTTACAAGGTATGACATAATGGTAATGAATATGATCAAGCGTCATGTAGCTAAAATCATATTTTTAAGCGAGCTAAAACATTAAAAAAATTGAAATTTTTAACTGTCAGAACAGCGGTGATCAGCAGTGATCGATTTACAACAAAAGTAATATATTTTGTTGTGGAGATGAAATAATTTATAAATGTAAATAAATTTGTGTGCCGCTTTGGCACAATTATGGCCCAAGGAAAATAATTTCCATGTAAAGATACAATATGTCAATGACGATGTACATAATATGGATTTAATAGGCACGAAAGTAAGTGGCTTAATTTTTAAAGTCAGTCAGTCAGTGAGTGTATATTATAATTTTATGAGTTTAAAACATAACTTGCATTCAAGCCTCGACAAGTTTCACAATCAAAAAAATTAACCTTGTAAGATATATATTCATTAATGGTTCAACTGACTAAGTACAAAGCATAAATCTTATTTCATTTATAGAATGCATTTTTGGTTTCTACTGCGATGGTGAAGACGATCCGTTACTACGATCTAGTTGCCAGGCAGGATACTGCCAATGCTCAGGAAGATTCGCTCAAAGAAACTGCTTACGTAAGTATTGGCATGACATACAATTGCAAAATACTTGAAACATATTTGACAAAATTTTTGACGCCATTTTTTAAACTTTTATTTACCATGATACAATTAGAAATTGCTTTTTTATCGATGAATAGAGTATTTGACGGCAACTCAAAGCAGTCTCTTTGGTGATAAAGAATTTTTTTTTAGTTTGCTTTTCTCGATTTCCTATGTATAAGAGAGGGGAGAGGAAATACAATTCTACCGCTCCTTAATTAACATGTCGTCTTCATATTTGCTCTTGTTTTACACCATTTTACACCATTGAAATAGAAAAATTTAATTCTCAACAGCAAAGATGTCGAGCTGTGTTATGGAGCACGGTCCGACGACGACAAACCATCCAGTTAGCGTTTGTACAGAGATCTCTTCGACACAGATATGTAGTCAGGACTTTATAACTTATCATTGTCATAGTAACAAAAGCTCTCCGTACGAGGTTCACGTTCTGGGAACGTATCAAGCAACGTCACCCTGTTGTGATATACCTGGGATCTCAAGGATAACAGTTGTTAAACAAGGACATTTGACAAATAAAGTAGTCCTTGTGCTTGCATCCGCATGTCCTGTGACCTGGTATTTAAACATGAAAAATGATGTTGAGATAAATCAAGTTGTACTGGTTGGTAAAACTGTTGTTTACTGAACAAAATTTGTCATATTTATTGATCATTTCTTTGTAAATAAACATTTCAAAGTGACGAGTTGATACTTTTTTACAGGTTCAGAAGACAGAATCACTTGCGTCTGTAATTTGGCCGAAGGGTAATGTCAAACAAATAATTAAAGTGTCGAACATTTCTGTACAACAAAACAGTTTATACGGTAAAGGAAGTGATACAATTAAATTACTTCAGTATGTTGAAAACGTTTATGGTTCTCTTACCTCATTCACTGGAAAATTCGAAGTGAAGCAATGGAGAATAAATATTGGCGAGCAAGGTACGTGTATTTTAAAGAAAGATTATGGAACACATAAAAATTCAGTAAAGCTTACTTTGTTTTTACTACGCTCACAGGAGCTGTGGATCCTTCGACAAGTACGCAATCTTATCCTTCAACATCCCATTTTATATCCTCCAGTCGTACACAAATATCGTCAAGTATCCACTTTGAACCAACGAAGTCATCTCCAATGGAACAACTTATACTTCCAAGCAATCTTTTGATGTTTCATGCTTTTGGTACACTGGAGTTTAAACATATCTCCGCACTAAAATACTCTGTCAGCGGAAGCCTAGAGATTCGTTCACCCTTGATCACGGTCAATACCCCTTCGCCAACAAAGATGCTTGATAAAATAACATCAGCCGGGATAGAATCCTCAATTTTCCCAACACCAACATCATCATTTTTGGTAACAAAATCATCTGCAATCCGTAAGTGATAATGAATACCAACAGAGTCGTTATAAACAATTTTGATTGATGTACTTAGTCGTATTTCTGCATCTCAGGGTCTAGTTATCTCAAACAATGTAAACGTAAAATTCCTACAGGTCCACCACCATCATCTTGTAAAGATAAACGGTGCTCCCAGAATGCTTTGTGCAACGATACATCCATAGGTTTTTCATGTGTTTGCAAAGCTGGGTTTACAGGAAACGGCTTTCAGTGCGACGGTAGGAGAAACATTTGCTTTTTACGTCCTATTCCCTCTTCATCTCTTGGGTCATTATGTTTCATTTCAGATATTGACGAATGTTACTCCTCGCAACCGTGTCCAACCAACAGTCGATGCGATAACATACCAGGATCTTACAATTGCACATGTCTGCAGCCTGGAAATTGTCGAGGTTTGAAATACTCACAATACACACATATACTTTGTTTAAAGTGCTCAATTGTATAATACTCCATTGCATTACACCTGCGTTTGAAAACTTCCTTTTAAACTGCACTTTTAACAATATTACGTAGCAACTCGTATACTTGGCTTCGATGATCACAAAGGCCTGGTGAGCGTTCTTTACGACGGAGAGTGGGGGACCATTTGTAGCATTGGTTGGGGTTTTGCGGACACTCAGGTGGCATGTCGTGATGCAGGCTATCCGTATGCTGCAGGCTATACGAGCGCGTTTGGTTTTGGAAAAATCTGGCTTGCAAACGTACAATGCCAGGGTAATGAAAGTAAACTAGCTAACTGCGCACATCCAGGATGGGGAAATGTCGATCAAATCTGTACACACGATCTAGATGTTGGAGTTGAATGCGTTCCCACAAGTAAGTACACGTCATTTAGCAACAGAAACTTTAACTCTATGTATAACTGGTCATGTTTCTCTTATTGCTTGGTACTTAGCAATTCGTCTAGCTGGTTCAGACAAGCCTGACGAAGGAAGAATCGAGATCTACTACAGTAACGAATGGGGGACAATATGTGACAAAGGATGGGACAAAGATGACGCCGACATAGCATGTAGAGAGATGGGATTCGAAGGTGCATTGAGAGCACTTAGGGGTAACGAGGTTGTTGATGGAACTGGACGCATTTGGTTGGAAAGGATAAGATGTACCGGAGTTATTGAGAGATTTCTGAAACAATGCAACAATAACGGCTGGAGCAATGTCACGTGTAACCACTCACGTGATGCAGGAGTTAAATGTCGACCTAAGGGTAGGGAGAGTTTTGCACGTTTATCATGGCGAAAATGAACAACTATCGACAGTAAACCTCGTTTTTCTTTTTAGTTTCTTGTGACTTTGAACTGAATACTTGCAGCTGGCGAAATGAAAAGAAAGAAGATAATTTTGACTGGCAGCTGAATCGTGCGGAAACGCCGACACTTAACACTGGTCCAAGTGTTGATCACACTAAAAAAACAAAAAGTGGTAATTAAAGTGACCGAAGTATTAAATAATGAAACAGAGACTTTGTCGTGGTGACAAACTTAAAGATAGATTTCAAAATAGCAAATACCATGGTGAATGGTGATAATAACAATGTAATAGTTCTTAAAAGAACTGTTTTAACCAAAACTCAGTTTTGTTTGGTTAGTGTTTTGGTTAAAACAGTTCTTTTAAGAACTATTACATTGTTATTATCACCATTCACCATGGTATTTGCTATTTTGAAATCCATCTTTAAGTATTAAATAAACAACATTGAATAATTTACTTACCGATAGAAGAGAATGAACAGCAATTATGTAGTTTTTAGATCGAGATAATTCTTTTAAGACATTTACTTCTTGATATGCTTACCTCTGCTCTTCACATTTTCCATTTTATACATTTGAGTGATATGTACGTTGCGTTCTAGGAGTGTATGTGTACATTGAAACGACAAGACAACGTCCAGGAGATAAAGCATGGCTAGTGTCACCAGTACTTGAACCAAAAGGCAATTATTGTTTAAAGTTCTACTACTACATGGTAGGAAGTGATGTTCGCCAGCTGAACGTGTTCATTAGGGAAACTGGAAGGAATTACACGACAAGACTATGGAACTTGGCGGGTGCGAGGAAAGTACAGTGGCTGGAAGGTCGTGTACCTTTACGTTTTAACAGATCAAGCGAGGTATCAATACAACAGTGAAAACATAAAACTAAAACATAATTGCAGATGTAGATCTTCCATGTTAGTGCAGTCTTGGGAAAGATTGTTGAGGTCGACTGACGTTTCAACATCTTTAGAGTTGATCATCTTCATAGTCAACGCTTACAGTCCTTCTTCCATGTTAGTGCAGTCTTGGGAAAGATTGTTGAGGTCGACTGACGTTCCAACATCTTTAGAGTTGATCATCTTCATAGTCAACGCTTACAGTCCTTCTTCCGTGTTAGTGCAGTCTTGGGAAAGATTGTTGAGGTCGACTGACGTTTCAACATCTTTAGAGTTGATCATCTTCATAGTCAACGCTTACAGCCTTCTCGGCGTCTATGCGTTCACGTCATGATAGCAGAAATTTCAAACTACAATTTCTCTGCAGGTTGTGTTTGAAGCTGTGAGTGGTAACGATCAGAAGAGCGATATAGCTATTGATGACATTTTACTGGACCAATCAAATTGCACAATCTATCCAAGTGATGCAGTTCCAGGTTGAGACATACGAGTTGCCAAATATAATGAATACCTCATGGCACTGCAGTGAAAGCGAAAATCTTTTTTTTTTAGTTGCCGATGAATGCGAGAGTGACCCCTGTGATGTAAATGCAAAATGTGTAAATATCATTGGTTCGTATCGCTGCAATTGCAACAAAGGTTATACAGGAAATGGAACATTTTGTACAGGTATGTTTGATCATGGATAGCAAATGAAATTCTACATATCAAATTTGAAGGGCATTTCTTCAATTGGACGTTATATTTTTCAATCCATAGACTTCAATGAATGCATTACAAATCCATGTCACATAAACGCAACATGCAACAACACAATCGGTGGCTTCACATGCAAATGCAATCCAAACACAGACGGTATTTGCGATGGTGAGTAACTGTTTCTTGCATCTAAAAATACACGAAAGATACGATGAATTTAAAAATCGACTTCGCATTAAACAACTTCTCATTATAAACTGGTAATAACCTGTATTCCATTCGTCACTCCAGATGCATACAGACCATGTGGTCTTCGCAACATCTTTAATCAGCTTGATCGACGCATCATCGGAGGAACTTCGGCAGCAAAAGGCTCTTGGCCGTGGGTGGCAGCGATATTAAATTCGGATAGACCCGGTACAGTCTGGTGTGGAGGAGCATTAATCAATAACGAATGGGTATTGACCGCTGCTCATTGTTTTGATGGAAGTCGGGACACGAGAAAATATACCGTCATTTTAGGTTAGTTACGTAATCTACACAAGTCCGTGTTTCACATTTGAAAGAACAATAATATATCTTTATATCTTACTTAAGGTGAACACACAAGTCCGTGTTTCACATTTGAAAGAACAATAATATATCTTTATATCTTACTTAAGGTGAACACACAAGTCCGTGTTTCACATTTGAAAGAACAATAATATATCTTTATATCTTACTTAAAGGTGAACACACAAGTCCGTGTTTCACATTTGAAAGAACAATAATATATCTTTATATCTTACTTAAGGTGAACACACAAGTCCGTGTTTCACATTTGAAAGAACAATAATATATCTTTATATCTTACTTAAAGGTGAACACACAAGTCCGTGTTTCACATTTGAAAGAACGCTAATATATCTTTATATCTTACTTAAGGTGAACACACAAGTCCGTGTTTCACATTTGAAAGAACAATAATATATCTTTATATCTTACTTAAGGTGAACACACAAGTCCGTGTTTCACATTTGAAAGAACAATAATATATCTTTATATCTTACTTAAGGTGAACACACAAGTCCGTGTTTCACATTTGAAAGAACGCTAATATATCTTTATATCTTACTTAAAGGTGAACACGATGTATTGAACTTGGAATCTGAAGAACAACGATTTAGTATCAACCAAATTTCGATCATACCACAATACAACAAAAGGCAAAAACCTTTCGACATTGCTATGATACGTTTACATATGCCCGCAAACTATACAACACATGTTCTACCTATCTGCATAGCGCGTACTGCATTTCCCGTTGGTACTCAATGCGTCATTGCAGGCTGGGGTACCCGGACATTTAGTGCAAAAGATTACCCGCAGTTTCTACAGGAGGCCATGGTGCCGATAATTGATAGAAACTTATGTAAAACTTACTATAGTAACCTTCATGATATAAGCTTTGACATGGTGTGTGCTGGGTACATCACGGGAACTATAGATGCATGTCAAGGTGACAGTGGAGGACCTTTAATGTGCAAAAGGGGAAACAAATGGTATTTGGCAGGATTAACAAGCTTTGGTTATCAGTGCGCTTCACAAGGCTATCCAGGAGTCTACGCCAACGTAGCGGCATTACATACATGGGTAGAGTCTCAACTTCAAATTAACCAATAATAAGGCCACCCAGACAGGGGTAGCGAAGGGGAAACTCGTCCCAGGGCCCCACCAACTGGGACCCCAAAAACAAGATAAGGCACTTCTATAAAAATAAACGGGTTGCTCATGAGAACTTTACCCCTGGTCACAAATATTATATTGTAGAATCTACCAATAATACAACAAATCTTATAGTATAAAATATTATGGTATAGTCATGTTATTTTAATTGTTAGTTATTATAGATTATGTAATACTTCAATTATTTTTAAAATATAATTATCCAACGCGTATAATTATTAGGAAATAAATTTATGGATTGCCGAGTATTAAAATAAAATATATATTTACATCAACAGCCATTTGTGTTTTTTTAGCTTTTAAAGGCGACATTTCTTCATCAATAGTGTGCATAAAAACAAAAGCGTTTCATAAGAAAGCATTTAAAAATCTAAAAGCAGTAAAATTGAGGGGCGTAGCTAGATGTTGAGACTAACGAATCACTTTTATAATTTATACCTTTAAGAAAGAAATTTATCCAGAAAATCCCTTTTATGTGTGAAATCACAGACTTCGTTTTCATGATACTGCTCAGTTACAAGGTTGGTTAGGTTCTACATGTCTTTCTTGCCGTTCTGCTTGTAAACGTTGAAGTTTTGGCCGAAAGAATAATACGAAAACAAGTGAAATGACGACGGTGTAAATAGCCATGAAATATGTTGCATGAGTGAGATCTAGATTGCCTGACTGGCAAGGTAGATTTTTCGATTTCTCAGTTGGAATATCCGTACCGAGGGCTTCAGCAACGAGAACTATCAAAATCATTGCTACTTGCCTATATAAACAACACGTTCAACAAATAACTTGTTTGAAATAACAAATACTCCGTTGATTATTGAAAGTTGCATTCAATAACACAAGTTTAAATATCCAAGGCTACCAATCTGGGGAAAAGTTTAGATATACTCTGAAGCAATTATTCTGAAGAAGATTTCAACCATGAATGCGTAATAATAAATGGCTTTTTTCGTGCAATTGTTTAAGATAGTAAATGATGTTCAATGATAAGATACGAACTCGTTATGAACCATGCAAAGACAAATAAACATGGCTTACTTAGAGATATTAAGACCGTTGATCTTTCCTCGTGCAAAGCCATGAGAAACATCAACATAAAACATTCTACTTTCTTGGCATCACTTGTTTTGTTAAAACAAGTGTTTAGTTAAAACACTTACTTTGATAAAATAAGTGTTTTGTCAAACTTTTGTACATAACGTTAGGATAAACTGGCTTGTTTATTATGTAAATACACTCACCCAAATAACCACAACAAAGATGCACTTGTCGCCTCAGCCACAGGATATGTGCATTCCACTCCCAACTCCAGACAAACAGGAAGCAAAGCCAAAGCAAAAAATCCAAAACCAGAGACAGAAAAACTAATCAATATTAATTCACCCTCATATAATGAAGTCTGAAAAAAACAAACATGATTTATTATATAATGAGATCATATTGCACCTGTTTTCATGAGACAAATCTGATTACTTATCTAATCTTAAATTGTCATTGGCTGTCCTCCTACGATCCAAAGTGTTCAATAGTTAACAAGCTCTGAATGTATTCATGTGATCCAAAGTGTTCAATAGTTAACTTGCTCTGAATGTATTCATGTGATCCAAAGTGTTCAATAGTTAACTTGCTCTGAATGTATTCATGCGATCCAAAGTGTTCAATAGTTAACAAGCTCTGAATGTATTCATGTGATCCAAAGTGTTCAATAGTTAACTTGCTCTGAATGTATTCATGCGATCCAAAGTGTTCAATAGTTAACTTGCTCTGAATGTATTCATGTGATCCAAAGTGTTCAATAGTTAACTTGCTCTGAATGTATTCATGTGATCCAAAGTGTTCAATAGTTAACTTGCTCTGAATGTATTCATGTGATCCAAAGTGTTCAATAGTTAACAAGCTCTGAATGTATTCATGTGATCCAAAGTGTTCAATTGTTAACTTGCTCTGAATGTATTCATGTGATTCAAAGTGTTCAATAGTTAACTTGCTCTGAATGTATTCATGTGATCCAAAGTGTTCAATAGTTAACAAGCTCTGAATGTATTCATGTGATCCAAAGTGTTCAATAGTTAACTTGCTTTAACACAGAACATATTCAACACAAACTTTGCTCACCAAACCAAATAAAATGACAAACAAAGTAGCAAAAGTAAAACAGATTTTAGCTGTCATTTCAAATTGCTTTGTTTTGTCCACATATAAACTGGCGATACCAGCACCAATGAAGCCAAAACCAATAGCAAGTGCTGTCATATAACCAGCCTCTGTCTAAAAAATAGATATTCATAACAGCAATTTACTTGCAAATTCTCCTGATTGCTTTTACAAAGAAGGCTGACTTACATCTGAATAATGATGGACACAAATGATTTGTTCAAGAAGAGTTGTGAATGCACTAAACATTCCGATTCCTGAACCAAAACAAACCATCAACACGAGAAATGATTTACTTTTCATAGCCTAAAAATTAAAAAAAAATTTACACCATCTAACATTAATACAATAGAACAAGATACAAAATGCCTATTTAACTTGTGATGTATAGAAGTTACTATAAAGAAATTCTTTAACTTTATCTATCTCGATAATCATAAAACAAAATTTCATTGAGGGAATAAAGCATTTAGTTCCATTGGAAGGCAAACATAAATACCAAAAAAACAAAAAACTATGAACCATTCACACAATGAAACTGTAAAATACATGACACATTCAACCTCATGATCCACGAAAGCCTCCTCATCTCCAAATTAAAACCTTCACTTAACACCCAAGGCAGCTCCATCGCTCTTAAGCTTTTCTAGTCCCAACACCTCACCCTAACAATACATCACACTTACATCACACTTATATCACACAATACATCACATCACACCTACACATTCACTGTAACCTGATACCTCAAGCTATGTAAATAGCTCTATATATATCTATATTTTTGTTAACTTCCTAATTAGTCTGAAGATGTCTTGAGTAAAGACGAAACGTCACTCTTTTAATAAATTTCACAAAACCAAATTGTTTATGACTATGTTTAAAATTATTTGTTGGGTTCTAATATTATATTGAGAAACTGTAAAACATCACCTTTGTCAGACCGGATAAAAATGTCTCGCTTGGTTCGGATGCAGATAGTGAAGGTGGTGTTGGAGGCCTGGAACTAGTTATCCCACATGTGGCAAGAATTGTTCCAAGCACGCCTGGAGCAGCAAATACTGTTAACTACAATGCATAAAAGATATTCTAGTAAATTAAAAATCATTGCGAGCTTTATTTATAGTAAGATTTTACCATAATTTGTATATCTCTAGGCATTTTCACAATTGTTGGCGATAAGATATTTGCAACTAGTATTCCAACTGTGTTGGCTGAAAGAGAAGAAAGTGAATTTCTCACAAACATACACACATGATTGAATAAGGAATAACACAAAGTAAACTATTACATGTGGAGGTGATCATGTTAGCAAAAACTCTCTGAGAGTCACCAAACCATAACGCAGCAAGCTTTGGTGGCAATGGTAGAAGCAATGTCTGTGCAACAGCTGCCAAACTTTGACCAAGCAAAACAACAACAATACGATTCGCTTTTCCAACATGTGGCAATGTGCTAACCACACGAACAACACCACCAAGACCATTCAGCCATGCGGCAAAAAGAATCTAAAAAAAGTAAGATTTCTAAAAACGTATTTTAAAATCCATTCTTCATATTATAATTTCTCTGTCATTGTCGACATCTTGTGTTGTCTTACCCCTGCCCTCAAACCATAAGTATCAATAAACCAGGCAGATATAATTGAACATATAAGTGCAGCACAAGGAAAAACCAAAGACAACCAGTTAATTATTGATGTTGAAACATCAAAGTACGTTCCGGCTTTATCAGCCACTGGAGCAAAAGTAATCCAAAGCTAAAGAGAAATTTTTATAGTGAGAGTTCATCCCAAAGAAGACTAAGTTTATTAAAATTAAAAAGACTGTAAGTTATAGTTCTACTTACAATTCCATTTGAGAAATTGATCAACGTCACGACTAAAAGGACAAACCATCGTTTTCTGTACACACGATAGATATTACCACCAATGTTGGTCGACCTCAACAATGAAGTGTTCTCCGCCGAAATATTCTCTGCCGAAGTATTCATTTCTGTAGACATTCTCTTGATTCCAAAGTGAACTAAAAAAACTATCAATGACAGCCAACTTCAGTAATAAACCTGAAAACAAAACCATTTTAACAGGATGTCCACTTTTCAAATTACTTTAACATGACAAATAGTGTCACTCTGGCGCCCATGACAAGCGCTGTGCTTAGTATGATTTAGTAAACCCCCTGCCAACCGCGATTGATAATTTAAACAAACACTAAACTATGAAATAAGACAGACCTAATTTCGTCTTCCTTTCGATAGAAACACTTTAATCCTTATATCCATTGCACTTTTCTTTTTCTTTAGGTTCATGTCAAAATTCTACGAATTTTAGGAAGTAATTAAACTATAACCAGGGGGGGGGGGATTCGCTACATATTATCTTGTACACTGAACATTTGTGAAGATTAAATATTTTCGACAAAATCACAATAGTTTCTCTTTCAATTGAAAGTGAATAAACACATTCTTCATATATGTCGTTGATTTTCACACTTCTTAAATGCTGACTGCTCTGGTTATCATAAAATGAGACAAAACCCTGACCATTTTCCTCAGTGTTTAGATACAATACAGCAAAGACATCAAGTTCATCATCATAGTCCACATCTAGCACTATTTCTAATCCTTTGGAAAATTCTTTTTTTGGATACAACTGCTTTATAGTTCGACCGTAACGTGTCTGTATATTGGTACTTTGTATCTCAACCTTTGGTCGATAATCTAACACAAATTCCTCGGATAACGAGCTTGCTTTGCGTTGAGAATTACAGCCATTTAACTTGAAGCAACTAAACAGAAAATTGATCAAACATCTTGATGTTGAAAAACTAAATGAGCAAGAACATCCCAAATTCAACATCTCAAATTACCGTATATATGATGGTGTTATGTAAAATATCCTTCCACTGCAATCTGAATGAAAAACAGCTCTTGTCGTACCAAATGAACTTATTTCATCATATTTAAAGGTTCCATTTATAGCTGGAATGTGATTTTTCACTGACCGTACAGAAAATGTCTGTTCATCATTGATAATATAATGCCAAGGATAGCCACCAAAACTGACCCAGTCATTGACGCTTACATGAAAAAGAACTTCAGGTTTTTCTGTTAGATTTACATTAACAGGTATGCCAAATTGAGGACTTCCAATTATACCATTGCTAAGACTTTTATGTTTCCAGCATCCATCTGTTGACTTTATTTTTTCACCAAGTTTTAGAGGTGTGATATGATTCCTAATAATATTTTCTAGACTAAAAAGTTCAAAGTTTTTATGATGCCTGACAGTCAACAATCCATGAGCAACCGTTACGGAAGTAATGGATCGACCAAATACTCTTTGGCTGATTGGTAATATACAAACAAATTCCAATGGCGTGACTTTAAAGATAGCAATGTACACAAACACATTGTCAGCTTGCAACTGGGTAGAGTTTTGTGACAAATGCGTGGACTGCACTGCAATCCTTTCCAATTCTTTCTCCCAGCCCAGATATTTGAATTTTGTTAATGACCCCAAGTACCATTCTTCCAATCTTTCACCAGTAACAAAATCATGAATCTCCAAATAATTTTTTGAAGTTAAAGCAATTGTGTACGGACGTTTTGCATAAAAACTTCCTTTGATTTTGCAAAATGTGTCTTCATCAAATGGATATTCGCATTCAATCATATCTTCAATTTTACCATGGCTGGTCGGACCACCAACAGCACCAGTACCAGTCAAAGATTTATCAATAGAATACATCATTCTGGGTGTTTGGCTACAACTAACGCTATTCAAATCGGCACATTTGGCAAAGGAATCAAAATACAATCTAGTTCCATGACAGACCATGGGAGATTTGTGGGACTTTTCATATACATTGATGAATTTTCTTGACTGTGTACATTCAACAAGTCTTCTCAATATGGTATTTGTACCTTTGATAGGGCTACAGCCATGTACTCTACGATCCAATATGAGTTTTAATAAATTTCGACTTTTTTTCTTTCTATCTGCAGAATTCGATGAAACGATTCTTGACATCTTTCTGTAACCTCAAGCGTCTTCCTCAATTTCACATTTATTACATGATACCACAGTAGCCTACAACATAAGCCGCTGGTACACCATACAAATCGCTTCACGGGCTCAAGTAATGTCTTCGTCCTCGCCAATTTACAAACAGTGACACCAGACGTGGCTTCAAAGTTTACGAATTCAATCCTTCTTTTCCTAACATGAGCAAAGCACATCCTCCCGAACTGAAAAAGTAAGTCTCCCCATATTTATATATATTTTGATATAAACAAATACTTTTGCATTTACTGTTGTGTACCTTGCGAATATCCATTAAATTTCACAACACCATGCGATTTTTCTTACATTCTATCTTCTCTACAGGTATATGGACAAAAGACTATCAAGTAGGTATTTATTACCATGTTGTAAAACAGTGCTATTGACATGCCTTTATTTAATTTCAGGTATAACTATAGCACAACATTAAATTGTGTCTTGTTTTATTTTGATTCAAGTTAAACTAAATGGTGGTCGACATGTTATTGGTGTCTTGCGTGGATTTGATCCGTTTATGAATATTGTGCTTGATGAAACTGTGGAAAACATATCAACGTCAGAAAAGCATAATATTGGCATGGTGGTAAGTTTATATGATATAATTACCCCCCTGCTTGATAATTTTGGTCAATCCCCCCTGTCTGCTAATTTAAGTTATATTGTTTGAAATAATGAGAATTGTTTATCATTCTTAGGTTGTCCGTGGCAACAGCATTGTGATAATGGAGGCATTAGACAGGATATGAAGAAACATTATTACCTTTAGTTTGTAAATTTTCTATATTCCCATTTGTCCTGTTTCCTAAACAAGTTTGTTCAATTGTCTAACAAAATGGGATAAAATATCTTAAGGACCAGGAAGTTGCTAAATGAAAAGTTAAATGGTATTTTGGCTATGACATAGATTATGGTAGTGTGACAATTATACATAATTATCAATGTAAGACTATTTTCTACTAGATTGTACATCTCCAACATTACTTTTATAATGTCCGCAGTCTTTTATTAAACATATTTCTGCTAAAATTACAATACTTTACATAATCTGTGTGTCATTGAAATTTTACTTATTCAGCCAGCTGAATTCAGTGAAATGTGTCCTCATTTTTCATTGAAAATCATTGTTCAGACTTCATCAATAAATTAACATAAAACCCAATATAATTTATACAACCAATGTTATAAATAAAATCTATCAATGTTATTGATCATTGTAAAACCACTATAATTTATACAACCAATGTTATTGATTATCAACATTATTGATAACACCCACCAATATATTGATAACACCCACCAATATATTAATATCACCCACCAATGTATTGATAACACCCACCAATGTACTGATGACACCCAGCAATGTTATTGATAACATCTACCAACATTATTCATGAACCCACCAATGTATTGACAATATCTACTAATGTTGTCAGTACAATTTGTGCTTTCAATCTTATTAATAATGCTCATCAATGCTATCAATAACATCTACCAATGTCATATATCCTTTTTAATTATCTACCATAATTCATGTAATATATCCTATTGACTCAACCCCAGTAATTAATCTTCCCAAACAAACCCTCATTTACTATAAAAATCATCAACATAATCCTGAGGAAGATGTCTTTTAAAACTAAGAAATGGCACCATCCTAAGACTGTAAAGTTCTTCCATATTTCAAATATTTTGACAGACAAGCCAAGACCTGCCACCTGTCCGTAGCAACATGCACAATTGCATGTGAAGGATGCAATTGAAAGCGTAAAAGAAAGTGATTATGTGGAGGTAAAAATACAGCAACATATGCTTTAGAATCTAAAAGAACAATGATAACTTGCATTAACAACACAACTCACATTTGAAAGTTACACGCAGTCAATGTGGACGGATATTTTATCTCTATAGTGTACTCAGAGACGTAACTACAACGTTAATTGAAATTCAAATCACCTTTAAAAGAAATCAGTAGGTCACAACAGAATATATGAATATGCACCACCCCCCCCCACCCCCCAATTAACGTTCTAGTTACGCCTCTAAGTGTACTCACTGAAAAAGCATGTTTGGTACTTACGTTAATGAAAATTATAAACACACACATACAAAACATTGAAGATAATTGTTTGGTCATTAACATTGGGGTTGACCTATATGTTGGTACTGGTAACTAACATTGGGGTTGACCTATATGTTGGTACTGGTAACTTACATTGGGGTTGACCTATATGTTGGTACTGGTAACTTACATTGGTGTTGACCTATATGTTGGTACTGGTAACTAACATTGGGGTTGACCTATATGTTGGTACTGGTAACTAACATTGAGGTTGTCTGTATGGTTATACTGGTAACTAACATTGGGGTTGACCTATATGTTGGCACTGGTAACTAACATTGGGGTTGACCTATATGTTGGTACTGGTAACTAACATTGAGGTTGTCTGTATGGTTATACTGGTACCTAACACTGGGGTTGACCTATATGTTGGTACTGGTAACTAACATTGAGGTTGACCTATATGTTGGTACTGGTAACTAACATTGAGGTTGTCTGTATGGTTATACTGCTAACTACAAATCAAAAAACTTACTACTTTTCTTGATCGTGTAATCCTTTAAACGTTCCAACATGGCGTCTACTTTTTCTTTGTCAATGTTCAAATGAACGATTGAATTTGCACCAGAGCATTCTAGGGATTTTCTTGAGTACTGCTGTTCTTCTATAATCCGCCAAAACGTCTTAAATATTTTACTTTCTGACATGAAATGGACACCACCAAAACGCTACAATTTCAGTAAAAAAATTAACGTGGAAAGAAAAAGCCTAGGATTGCCATGAATTGTTTCAAGAGAATTACTTTTAAAGAAACGTTTAAAGGGACAAAAATGTCATGAAACTCAAGGATAATTGGCGATAACTCCATCAAGTACGAACAGCCGTCAGCATCGTTGAAGATAATTCTACCGAAAATATAGAAGAAAAATAATTTTGAGATTTGTAAGATATAAATGACAAGTTAAATATGAATGGCTTTTCTATACCACAAGGCATGATTTACAAGAAACAACACAATACCTGACATCGAATGAAGACGGTAACGATTCGTTTGGATAGAACTTAATGTCGACGAGGATACAGCCTCACAAATAAAAACAATAACATATCAGCAAATAATCAACCTCGTTTTCACTTTAACATGAGTATAAAGAGTGAAAAAAAGACATTGGACAGTTTTTAATTTAACGCAAAGAACGCTACCTTCCTTTGGTTCATATGATTTTTTAAACGACAAGAAAGGAACATGAATATCTAAGAAAGAAAAACACTCATTATGATAAGTTAGGTTTTTTTGTTGTGGCCATCAGTTATTTAAGAGATTTATCGTTATTAAGGTTACGTACAAGCCACACATTATACGAATTATCTAGTTTACAGTATAGGTTCCTTGTATTCTACCAGTGTTCTTAGTGTGTTCTTATAAAAATGTTGGGATTCGTGTCAGATAATTTGAGTGAGGACGGAACATTAATAATCTACGATATAGTAGTTACATATATACATACCTGGTATTTTTTTGTATTTGCTTGATGTATGAATCTGAACAACCGCAGCAAAAATATTTTCAGGTATTTTTTCGTTCGGTTCTCTAGTCTAATATAAAGACGAAATGTTATTTTACGACAACACTCACAAAGTAACATAAACACAGACAATAAAGCAGGATAATTCATCATTATTACAGAGGAATACTTACATAATGAATATAATAAGGTACGACGATGGACATGTACTCGGCTTCGGTGTGCAGTCGTTTCAAATACGACAACATATATTCTTAAATAAGAAATTAATCAACGAATATCATAAACATAAAAATATATGTACGATGATGAATTATTGGCAATTTTATAAAATATTTTCACCAGTGTCAAATACGAACGAAAGCGACAAACCTCTTGATCCGTGCTTAAATCTTTCCGTTGAGTTATCCATATTTTCAGGAGAGCATTCACACCAACGTATAGGTCCAGCCCTGTAAGAACACAAGTTCATCAATGAGAAACGTTCTCCCAAAGTCAAGATCAACATAAGAAAATTGAACCTGGTGAGCTTTAAAAATGGTTCGTTTATCCTTGCTATTGGTATACCCAACGAAGCGCTGGAGTTGTCGAGGTCTGGAAAAAGGAGTTAGCAAAAGAAGATAGATGTTTGTAGATGTAGCGCGTCCACGTAAGTTGAGTCCTGAGAAGGACTGTTGTTGTTGATGTTGACTGACGTTTAGACAACCTTAGAGGTAGTCAGAATAAGATATTTATTGTATAATTGACATTATCAAAATACTTTCTCACCAGATCTCTCTGAAGAAAGCAAACTTTTATCTAGTTGTACATTTGAAGATTCGGCTAATAGCTTTGCACACTAAATCAAAACAAACCAACATATAGAAAAATACATTTCAAACCAACTACAAATCACAGCGACATACATCACACACACATGCAGAGGTAGCAGGAAAAAATTCACAAACTACAATTTTATCCCGAGAAGCCTGTTTTGTGATTTATCATTCTTCAGGGGATTTAATGATAAAAATACAAATATTTATAGATATATATCACAACCTTTTTTGCAGACACGGTGGTCAGAAGTGTATAATAAAGCATTGCCCTGTCACAGATATCTGATGTTGACAAACGATGAAAGAAAAAATTGAATCGAGATTCGTGGGAGAGAATGAGTTGGATCGGTGGCGAATCACATCACGTGACTAGCTCGAAACTCAATGGATAACAGGGTGCAGTTGTGATTTGCACGGATTTTACTAATGCAAATGAAAGGATACCAACACCAAGATTTGTCAAATATATAGTAAGAAGACAATCCCCAAGTTCTAAAGTGTGAATAAATACACAGAATTATTCAAACGTCGCATGAAAAAATGAGATGACTTAATTTTTCGGAATACCTGCGATAATTGTAGCAGTATCGTGATACTGTAATATACTCTTACAAACATGAAGTATTGCATGCCCAATCGACCAGGTCTGGCGGCACTTATGTATGTCTTTACTGATAGCCAATTCCCTAATGTACTTTATGGTCCCCTAAAAGGAAACTTTTATGTTTCAAGTGACTAAATATTAACGTTTTGCAATTTGACTGTCACACCTCTGGTGAAATTTCTTTGAATCTCATAGAATACTCGAACCCCTTCAAAAAACTTTCAATATTCCTCATTTGTTTTGGAAATGGCAACGATATAATGTACTCGTTAAGAGAACGCAGTATTTGTGAAGCTAGATCACTAAAAAGATAGTTATATTATTAAGTGTACAAGAGATTTTTAGCGAGTAGAAGATGTGTGTGTCAAACCTTTCAGGATCGTACGCTGCAGTGGACATTGCAAAGTCCAGCACATACTGAATTAAATCGGGCTGTTTTGATACCAGCGACATCTGAAGTCTATGGAAAAAAATCATCAAAAATAATCAATTTGCATTTTATGAAAATATACATTGTAATTGTAGAAGGTATAAATCAAAAGAATTGTAAGTTTTTAAGAGGAACTAGATTTATAGTGGTAATCAAGATCTTTGCTGTTCGTTTTTACATCTATTGCAAAACTACAATAACGAGAAACCCATCAATACTTGTAAATTTCCTCAACCAAGGCAGACGACTTGCTGTATCTCGTAAAATAGGAAAATAAAACTTGACACAAAAGAGTAGCATATGGACGGAACAAACCACGATGCAAAGGTCGATAAAGGACAACAAGACAGTTCATCAACGTAGCACTAGCAATATCTAAATGAAATGATGAACAAAATTTATAAAAATGCATCTGGTTTCAACCTGTAAGACACGCATCTCAGTGACAAGTTACAACAGCTCATACAAGCCACATTGACATAACCTGGTAAAATATAAACAAGCAAACGGTTAATGTATAAAAATATGATCACCTGGTTCATCTCCAGGAGCATAGCAACACGACAAAACATTTAACTTTGCAGGTATAACATCTACAAAGAATTGAATAAAGACAAAAACATATGTGAGATGTTAACTCCGACAGAAAAAACAGAAACTCATCCCGCCATGATTTCAAAAATGTCGAAGAACATCTACATACGTACCAATTGGCTCGAACACAGTCGGGTGAAATTTAGCCTTTTCTTTGAAATCCAAATAATCCACAAGAAAATGAGGAGACTTTTATCAGGTTTTGCCTAAAACAGCTCAGGACTTAGCAATTTCGGTAAGAACTTGTGTAGCTGCAGAGACGTACTCTAGTACGCACCTCGTAAGGGAAATGAATCACCCAATTAAAACAGAGAAGTCTTTTGTAGATCCCAAGAGAAGGTTGATTGGATAACTGACACAGTCTAAAAGCAAGCTTTGTAAATAAGTCTCATATTATCGCGTCAGAAATAAATTATATTCTTAAAGGAAATCAAAAAGATGGAAAAAACAAAGTTTGAATTCGAAAGAGAAAATGAACCCACTTCTGTAACAGTAAGGCGACATCAGCCTCTTCAAAAAGCTGGCTTTTAAATGTTGACTGGAATAAGAAATCATCAAATATAAGTCGTTTAATCATTTCTGTGGCAATAATATCCCGTGTTATCCATACTGATCAATCTTCAATGGTCCTACAATGATTCTACATCATTCCTATAGATATACAACAGTGTACCTGTAGCAACAGTATAATTTGGAATAAAGGAAGATCAATTGTATGAAATAAGCTCTTCACGAATTGACATTTGAACACCTGTGTGATAATTGAGATAAAAATACGTTAAACTCTACAAAACTAACTTATCACAAGAAATAACTATTAAAGTATCTTCGTAAAATCCAAGACACTTATACGACACTTCTCAAGTTGAAGACTTTTATCAAAACATTGAAGAATAACACTTACACTTGGTGAAAGAGATGCCAATCTTATACATTGCATCAACTACAAAAATAGATGAAAGGAATGACTTTCGCGAGCAAAAAACGTCAGAAATGCAACGCTATGCAGAGAAAACAGTTACCTGAAAAAGTACGTGGAACAGAGGAATGTTTGTGAGAAGATGAAAATTTTCAGCAATGAATGAAACAGCTTGCTTTAATTCTTTATTTTTGACCGTCTTCGGCAGCACTACGTCACAACAATCTCCACCAATTACATTGCTTGTAATAGGAAATTGTTCTTCAATAGTTCTCATCTCCGTCGCGCCGTTCATCTGTTTTAATGTAAGAGTTGCAATTACATTATTTAGGTTTCTTAGCTATTGTAACAAATAAATGATAGTTAATTCCATGAAATATATCTTAGTAAGGTCCACAATATTTTTTTGTGGAAGGAGACATAGTATAGAATAGTTTTTACTTCATTTAAACATCAAGAAGTAGTTTTATTCAATCCCACTCATTTAAAAAAAATTTTACCTTCAAGCTGACATCAGCTTCGTCATTTAGTAACACGCTAACACAATTAATATTTTCTTCATCACTAAAGAAAAAGATGTTAGATTTATCTATTAAACAGAGTTTGAAAGTATTCTCTCAGCAATATTTAATGTACATACACATTTTGAAAAGCTGATAAATGTAACAAAGCATTCTTCAAAGTCGTCACGAACAATATCTAAAGAAGTACAGACAGGCATAAAAACTGGATAGTGTTAAACAACAAACTGATAACATCTAGAAACTCAATGAAAAATGGGTGACAATTCTACCATGTAGTTTTGAAAAAGAACAGTTTTTTCTTTTTCACAAAGTTTTAAAAAACACCCAAGTTTGTCTTGCAAAAGACCCTGAAAAAGACAAAATGTTTCATTGAATAAATGATTTAGCAAAACTCATAAAATTATCAATTGCCAACATACTGGATAGGATTGTTCAATTTCCAACAAACATTCACATGCTGTCTTTCTTGTTAACACTGATGGCACATCATTGACCTGGATATAAATAAAAAAAATGAAGTGACTACAGCTTGTAACATGAAATGCTTGTGCTTTTTTTGTCATAAAGAGGCATACATCAACTAGATGAAAGCAAGACTTAGAAGTCTTCACGACAAGAAGTTGAATTAAAGTGTCCATCAAAATTACTTTGTTTTAATAACAAAATGTGCAAGATTTGATTCATGCAAGATTTTGCATGAATTTAGGCAAGAATTTGTCATGATCATGCAAGAATTACTTAGTTTTAATAACATGAAATTCATACCACTTCCCATAGCTCGAACATAACACTCATAGCACAAGATCTGTATCTCTAATCTCCTTACCTTTGATATTATATCGGATAAGAACTCTATGCTATGATGTAAGGTTTCACAATGTTTGTGCTGATTCTAAAAAGAAACGTTTAAACGTGAAAATAGAAAAAATTGATGGTATGATTGTCATACGAAATTCAAACAACCACTATGTTAATTCGCTCGTTTACCATGAGTTTTGAAGATGAGATGACCAAAACAACAGTTATTGTCACTAAAAGCTATATTAGGAAAGCAAAATGTTTTTAAAAACTTCTAAAAATTTTTAATGATCAAAATAAAGATAAGATGTGATCAACAAATATCATCATTATTTACCTGCGATCTATAAAATTCACTGTCATATTTTACAGGATTAACATACATGTTCTTCAATGACCCAATCACGTGTTCAGCACTACAAATTATTAAAGTTTGGTATTTCATTGTCATTGTCGTTGGATATTCAAAATTTATTCATTTTTTATTGCAATACCTTGTGACATCCAGAGAGCTCCAGTCAATCTAGAGAGTATTAATGAAGTTCATAATTCATCTTGAATAAATGATCATTGGTTGAACACTTACTTTTTCCTGAAAGGCTGATAGCAGACTGATTTTGTCGACATTTGAGCTGCTTTCAAGGCATAATGCCTGGAAAAAATTGAATTTCATGTTTAATGGATTGTAGTCACCAAAAAATTGCTTTTCGTTAAAACGTCGAACACAAAAAACGTCGTAAAACAATGAGCAACTTACATCTAAAGAATCCAAGAGAAATGTTTCGATATTTTTTATATTTTCAAGGTCAATGTCCATATTTACAGGTTAAAATCTGGACAATTTAAGATCTGCTTCTTCTTGCATGGTTTCGTACGAATGAAACACCATTTCTCACAGATTTTTTTCAAAAAAATAGAAAATTCACATGGAAGTCATTACTTAACATAGGTATATTTTCCAAATTTAACACAAAATCACCACAAAATAGTTTTTCTATCAAGAATTTGTGTTGTGATAATGCTGACCATGAGTCCACGAGATTAACAAATGATGTTTACCTGTACCAGCCTGCAATCAGGTGGTGTACCATAGTTTGCCTCTGGTCATCCTTCAAAGGTCATGTATTCTCATTATTTATCGATTAACTCGTGGATTTTCTTTCTACACTCGTTTTATTCGTTGTATTTGTCGAGAAATGCAAAACATTAGTATAGAATCCTTTTTTTGATCTCAAAAGTCTTCAAGTAAATCTAAAAATGACGGTAATGGAGGCTTGCATGAAAGCACTCAGGAAAATGGTGGAACCTTGTCTAAGAGTGCCTTTTGTGATCGTAATTGATTGGTACTTCGAGAAATTGGATTTGAGTAATCTTGGTTCTGTCTTAAGGTTCTCTCCAGGTAATGTACGATCTCATGTATCAATATGCATAAATGTTCATTTGGTAAGCTGATAATTTTCTTAGTGAATTGTCTGGTTTCGGACGGAACAACTTGTCCCTAGTTCGTATTCGTCTCTTGCAGTCTTATTTTATAATCAACGCCAATTTATTTTTTCTCCAATATTTCGTTTATAGGATTTCTGATATTGCTGCCATTTCTATTTTTTGGTACTGTTGGAAATTATCTGTTTACATATGGGTTTCTAATAATCTTCAATGTTGCTATTCTTGGTGTTTATATCGTTCTTGGTGCATATTTACCATGGCTTGAACTAGAGGATTTAATGACTTCGGATGTGAGGAAATTTTATGTGGATGGCCTTATGTTTTACCAATTTTTGATTTTTATGATGGGTTTAAATAGCAACAGCATTCACGAACTGCATTCAGTGTATAAAACCCTGCTGTTTGCTATAATGACTGCCATTCTTAGTCATGTTAGCTGGGGTTTTGTGGTTGGTTTTTGGTACTATCTGGCTTCGGAGATGTTTGGTGTTCACAAGAAATTGAAAATATCTTTCAAGGAAGCTGTGTATTTTGTGAAAAATTTTGGTTATGTCAGTACAGTTGTGTATTTTTATCAAAATAAAAAAATCTCATTGGTATTGAGACTTTTTTGGTTGGTTGCTATGGTAGCAAGTTTCATCTCCCAAAAACAAGCAAAGTTTAATTTCATGTGGTTTTTCATTTGCACTGGTAGTGCGTCAAACTCAAGCTTACGTTTATTTTCTCTTGCACTATGGATACCAGAAATTTCCTTTTTCATATTGTGGTCATCACAAGCAATTCTTAAGTGGTCCATCAATCACACAGTACAAGATATGGACCAATACAATATTGGAAAGGCATTCATTTTCTTTTTCATTGCCAGTTTCAACGCAATCTTGCATGTGGAATTAATTCAAAGAATATTCATCATTAGTCTCCTGTTTTTTATATGTTTCTCGTACATAATGCAAAGTGTTCATAAACTCTGTGATGAAACGCTAATGGGATTATCAACATCTACACATCCTAACCTCTATGCACACGTCCGAGCAATATTGTTAACGTTATGTCTGATCTGGGCTCTTGTGTACGTCAGCTGGATATTTTGTTATCAGTTTCAATTTCAAACTTGGCAATTGGTGATTGTTTCAACAAATATTGTCACATGTGTGCAAACTTTAAGCACTTTGGCAATATACGCATTGTTTATGTACGACCTCAGGTCTAGGAATAATCTTGAAAATCTTGACGATTGGGTGTATTGTCTCAATGGCATCTCAAAATTACTGGAATTCTTATCTGCATTTCTCCTTCTGGGTTTTGGATTGTGGGATACTATTCAAGGAAGCTGGAGTATTTTTGGTATAAATATTGACATCTTAGCCGTTAAAGTTTCCTTGTCTTTTGCTATTTTTGTATTTAAATCCTAGGCAGCTTGCCTATACTTATTGTGTTTGTTATTCTTCAGGTCTGTTGATAATCATAGTTCATAGCTACCACAATGTTTGGGTCGCAGGAATGAATGGATGGAAGACATTTCTCAGTCGACGAAATGCTATGAAGAAGTTGAAGCAACTTTCTGATGCTACAAAGGATGAATTAGAAAATCTTCAAGATCTTTGTGCTATATGTTTTGAATCCATGTCAAGTGCCAAGGTTACAGAATGCGGACATTACTTTCACGCAAGTTGCTTACAAAAATGGTTGTATCGACAGTCTACATGTCCTCTTTGCCATAAAGATATTTTGCTGATCAGTAACGAGAAAGATTGACAACTACTGAATCACATACAACGCATTGCTGCAGTTGGATGACCAAAGAGATGAAACTCTTAATTTGATCCTAAAGAACCTGTACATAAGGCCATCTCTAACATAGATCACATGACAGTGTCAAACGTACAGATAGTACCAGACTGCGCGTACTTTATTCACCCAGGATTGCCTATAGATTATGCATTCGGGTAGTTAATAATAGATTTTCAAACAGCGGAAGTAGTGCGTATGCGTCATAGATCGCGGTCTGAAGATGCATTTGAAAATTCAACGCGTCATCGTCAGCGTCAAAAGCTTGGCGAAACATTGAGCTACCATTGCGTGCTGCACCTTCAAAAAGAAATATCTCTTCAACTCCAAGGGGAATGGTTGCGTCATAGATCACGATCTGAAGATGCAGTTCAACTTTCAAACAAAGCAACCCGTCTAGGTCATCATCAAAAGTTGTTCATCCAGTATACAAGTCACAAAATGCTTGTCGCTCTACGTCACGGAAAGAACAGTCAAACATATATATTCACATTTGGCCAGTGCTTTAAAATCCACGATACCAATATCCCATCTTTGTCGCCAATATAATATCTCAACCTTCTACTTTTCGACACACGGTTGACACGGTCGTATGTTATTAGTCTTGTTACAAATATGCCGTCTTACATACATAGGTGCAGCTAATCACGTACATTTATTACTTCTAGTGTTTAATGACTGGTCACTACAAATGTGTTGATACTAAATTAAAAATTGTTTTTCTACTGAATTCTTTTGCATTAGATTGGAATAAAATGATGTTATTTTTCGCTTACATTTTTATGTGGTATCTAACTGTTGATGATATCATTTGGCATTAACAAAATTAAAAGTTATAAAATGAACACATTTTTTCATAATATGAATGCTTTAATTAATGACTAAATAAGTTTTCTACTTCCAGTATTTTCATTTATTGTCATTTCAGACAAGAATCAAGTTCCCGCCGTTTCATCGTTGAATTCTTTCATTCACAGGGATTTTAAATCACCCGATCACGTAGGTAAAAAGCAGAAAGACCAAGTATAGGTGTAGCAGTTGGCATTTCTGGATAAATGCCACTAGACCCAGCAATGTCGAAATGGACATAGGGTAACTTTTGCTGAGAATCAGAGCCATGCTATGAGAACAAAATATACCCAATAAATATGTTGAACCATAAATCATAAGCAACATAAAACTAAAAATGAAGAAACACTTTAACGTGGGACGACGAAAGCCACAAATCTCGTTAATAACACGTGATCATAATTTTTCCAACCAATTACATGGTGTTGATGGTGTGTTAATTATTGATGATTACCTTATCTAAACCTGAAGCACGTTGCAAAAATACTCCAGCAAACTGATGTCCACGATTGCTACTTTTTACGTCCAATTGATAGAAATCTTCATACTCCGTGTTCGAGACACTAGCATCGAAATCCTAACAAAATACAATTAGCAAATACGGTGAAAAAATCAACCACTCTTCAAGACGTGACTCTGGTTCACATTTAAGATGGAAAAAAACCACACACACACCTCACGACGCATAGTTGAAATTTCACAGGGCTCACCAGTGGAATCTCCAGCTAGAAGAAGAAATGAAGTTGTTGACTGTAATACCAGAAATATCGACGGTTTTACTCTTGCAATACTTATCGCAAAAAAAAAGGCAGGATTTACCTGCTTGAAAAGCTTGGCAAAGATTCTTTTCTTTAGCAGGTCCATTTTGCATGATTGCCTACAAATCACAAATTTTCCCACGTAAACAAATGCTTCTATTGTCTACATTAAAAATGCATTAATGGTACAAAAAAACATACGGAATAATTCGGACCATATGTTCGTATACAATGTCCTGTTAAGGTAGCAAATGTGTAGATTTGTGGATTAGGTAGTCCTATTGCCTGTAACGAGATAAACTCATGTCAACACTCAATCATTAAAACGACACTTCTTTCCATAAAACACGGCGATACCTCTTGCTTCATATAGAAAAGACAATCTCCCATGGCAAATCTTCCTTCCGCATCAGTATTATTTACGCGGATTCGCACACCAGATGCAGCTGTGATAATTTCATCAGCAACATACATTTCTGCGTGAAATTTAAAAGTTTTGCACCTTTTAACCATCATAACTTAACACATAGAAAAATGGTTAATGCCATACATTTTGAAACAATGCTAAATTACAAGTGATGCAAGTTGGTTTGTAACGAACTGACTGTCACAGCCAATGCTTCATTCTGCTACTTTAACTAAAACCCGGCAGTTTGGACAAGTTGAGAGAGGCAAGTTGTTGTTGACTAAGTCGATTACTACATAAAATTTAGAATGCTCAACTTACCAGGACCAACACTATTACGCACCATGGCCATTGTACCGCGAACGCGGATACCAGCTGGTTTGAGCATTGATAATGTCTAATCAAGAACAAAAACGCTAACGTTAAAAATACATCATCAAAAACACATTTCGCTATCATACATTGAACTTACTTTAAAAAAGCCAGCAACAGCAGCTGCTCCAGATTTATCACTAAAAATATGTTTTTAATGTTGATATCTGCATTGAATGATGTCATCAATAATTAATTTGCTACATTGACATGTGATACATACCGATTCATTCCAGGCATATTACCACCAGTTTTAATGTCTGCACCACCAGTGTCATATGCAACACCCTGCAAGAATCCACATTTATCCATCTTGATTACCTATGCACTATCCATCAAGGACATACACATTAATAAGTGGTACCTTTCCAACTAGCATAACTGTATCACTAATGGCCATCCGCTGTAAAGGATTGTATTCCAGATTGATCACCCTACCCTGATGCCGCTCAGTAACTAAAAAAATAAGCCCATTATGAGCAGGGGCATGCATTATTCCAGAAAGCTAATCAGGTTTGTAGATATTGCTCATCCAGGTTAATACACTCCTGTGAAGACTGTTGGTAGGCAGGTAGAGTGACTTTTTCACAACATTAGCGGAAGTCATTTTCAAGTGAGTTAAGTGAGAAGTAAACAAATTTTTTGTCAGATTCAAAGGTTCAGACATCATGCTGTTGTAAATGCAGAGGGAACTAATGCCAACCGAAGATGCAACTTTCATCCATAGATTGACCAAAGTTCAACATACCAGTTGCTGCACGATCTACAGCAGCCAAAAGTGGATATTGTTGTTTGAGAATTTCTGTTCCTTTCGTCACTGTTATCTTCACGCATTGAAAATAAAAGCTCAATTCATATTTCTTTGTATAAGAAATGTAATTTGAATAAGAGAACACAGTTCAAAATGAATGAATATAACTAACCTGAACAGTTTCTTCATTTCCAAGAACCTTAAGGACATATTTCTCCACTTCACTGGTGCAAGAAAATTCAGGATCAGAAGCTGCAATATCTCGGCAAACCATTCTGTTGTCAATAAATAAAAATATTATCAATAACTCTTGACAGCAAGTCCCACAAGCCTATCAAACTAATATTTTCATTTCATCAATTCATCATGCCTATATCTTCTCTACCTGCCAGTCTCAACAGCCTTCACATATTCCAGGAGTTTTTCCCCTTCCTAAAAAAGTTGAAACTATCTGTTTGAAATGTCTACAAACGTACCAAAAAACAGTCAATAACATACACTTTCAGATCCAGAGTAGAATAGTGCTAAGGCATCAATTTTCATTGCTTTAGATGAATCAAACACAGCAACCTCTATTGGCTAAAATAGAAATGTTTAGAATATTTTACGGCCATAAATCTATACAATTCTTATAATATTGTTTGTACTCACAGTATACAGAGCATGAAGAGCACCAAAGGCTGACACAGTCCATGAGTGTATAAATGAAGTAGTTGCAGGCAATGCCAGTACTGGTCTTTTTGAGCCTGCCTTCAAAGCTCTAAATGATATTATGAACTTGTAGAAGAATATTAATGTATATGTCTTCTTCTTAACTGTGAACTCATCAAAACCATTTCCTGTTTACAATGTCTTTCACTAATATGGCAGTTCATATTACAATTAAAAATTCCAAAGAGACCCCCATCAAGAAAACCAGTTTTTCAAGGTTTTTTCCAAAAGGTTTTCACAGTGCACATAATAAACAACATACCTCTTCATTCCATTACAAGCAGCATCATAATATCGCCTGACATCATCATAATCACGGTTAACAGGACCAGTTGGCACATAAACCTACCATTACAAAATCATATGTGCATTAAAAACATCTGACAATCATTGATTTAATTACCTCTTCTGAAAAACAAGAAAAAGCCAGGTTTTCACAAAAGATGCGACACTAAGGATTCCTTCAAATACATATTATTTAACTTACTAAGCGTTGCACATTGCCAGGAGCTTCAATAAAACTGACTTCCTTTTCAAAAGTAGAATCAACCTGCAGCGACAATATGTTGATATGTTGTTATAGAATCAGAAAATAACCACAGCTTCAAAGAGAATGTTCACAGAAAATGATTATGCTTAATGAAAGAACTGCCACTACAGAAATCTAGCTACAGCAAACCTCTTTTCTGCTATTGAGTGGAGCTTTCAAATACTCCAATTCAGGATCCGTGAAATCCAAATTCTCGCTAACTAAAACAATACAGTCATAATCTGCATTGTTTGGATCATTCGTCAAAGTTATTGGAAAGATACGACCATCGAGACCAATCTAACAAAACAAATTGAGCAAATTCATTAAAATTGCAACAATGCGTTGGCATAAAACCATAGATTATTACGAAACTAACTTCCATGATAGAATATGCTGGAAATCTTTCAAATCCTGAAAATTTGTAAACATGCAAAAATTAAATCCAAATACTTTGTCAAATGAATAATTTTCCCAAAAGATATTTACTGCTAACGGCGACTAACCGCAGTTTTAAATTCTTCCAGAAAATTTCGAAGGACAATCAATATCCACTGAAGAAACCTGAAGAATAACTTGTTTTAAGCCAGATATTCTTTTTATGAGCTAAATCATGACCTGTAAACCAATATCTTTGTAATAACACGTGGTCATTAAAAATCGTTCATGTGATCACAAATATGATGTCACCAGTATTCCACAGGTTAAAATTTTGCATGATGGTGCACAAATCATGGGATTATTTTATGAATGCACCAAAGAAGGTATCCTAGACTATTCTCAGACACGACAATGAAGAATCATCGACATTTTTCTATCGACAAAAGCTTCTTCAATATCATTACATGATTTATATCTTACATTATTAAATATGTATATGACTCACACACGCCCTCCACTGCTTCTGTCTCCAATTGCCCAATCTTATTGGTTAATACGGTAATGATAATGTTAGAGAGTTGTTTATCTTAGAAAATGACATAAACAATCTTTTAAAGTGACTAAAATTAGAGAAACAACACTTTATACATATATGCAATATTGCGAAATTCGTTCGCCTTTTGAAAAATGGAAAGCAGCAAGCCGCCGACTATTATTTTATTTATTAAATGGAGGTAACAGGAGAAATGTAATTTGTTGAATTTCATTTTTGAATTTGCGTGCCGTGTGATGTTATGTAAATTAATTTGGACCCAAAGCTCATCCTCGCTGTTTTATATTCATGGCCCTAGAAGTGAGGAACAATAAACTGACCAACATTCTGATTGCATCGTTTCTGCATTATTTTCATTTTCTAAGTGCAGCGTTTCTACAGTATTTCCATTTTCTGATTGCATCGTTTCTGCATTATTTTCATTTTCCAGGCGTGTTGTTTCTATACCATTTTGATCTGCTGCATAATTTCTTTCTGTAATATTTTGCTCTTCTTCATTTGAATCTGACTCACTTGTCCCCATAGGGAGGGAGGTTTTTGCTCGCTTACAAGGAGGAGTATCATCTTCAATATCTATTACTTCAGAGGATTCGGTAGCAGATGGGGGCTCGTTTTCAATGATTGTCGCTTCGCTATTATTTATCTCTTCGTATGTGTTACTACTTGGTGCTTCTAACCCGGGTGTAGTTATAGACCCGCTTTCAATATTTACCGTTTCAAGCATAGCAGATTGTAATTCTGTTTGGTTTTCGTTATTGATGACAGATGTAGCCTCTCCTTCAGTATTTTCAAGTGAAGGCATACCCATGCTCACTTCTTCAATAGGTTCGAATAAATTTGGGGGTGGGGCTATAGCCATAGGCTCTTCACCTATAGATTCTGTGTTTTGTTCTTCCCGCTCTTTATCCATTGTTTCATCATCTTCGCTACTACTATCAGGAACAACATCTTGTTGTAGTGTTTCGATAGGTGTATTTTGTTTTCTATTTCTATGTCGATACGGTCGTTGTCTTTCTAATGTTTGGGTTGTGTCTGTATGTTGTAACTGCGCCATAACTACGGTTGGGATTGTGTCTGTAAATGTTTCATGTTGTAAAGATATGGAGTCCTCACATGTCACATCTATGGCAGTCATTTCATGTAAATTACTTTTTTGTAATCTAATTTTTAGCCTGTTATTAGTATCGATAACATCCTCAATCCAATTTTTATTAAATTCGTCAAACATATGTACATTAAAGTCTTTGGGAATGTCACCAAAATCTTCAAATACATTTTGGAAAAATGTATTTTCATATAATTGATCCCGAAAAAATATTAATGCTTGATAGAACCTTGAATCGTGCTGAAGCAAATAGCTAACATCCACACATCGTAAAAATATACGTTCAAGTGTTCGTATCCGCTTATTATGAATAAGTTTGCACCGAATTTTGTATAAGTACATGTGCGTCATTAAAAAGAAATCAAGCAAAGAAGCATTCCGATTCTTCGCATCGATCATCTTATCACGCACCATAACAAGTTGTATAGTTGGATGTAATGAATCTTTATATGCTTTAGCAACCCCTAATCTCTCACATTGAGCGTAATGATGTTTTTCGTATAATGTTATAGGTATGTTTTCACCTTCAAAATACTCGAAAACACTATTCAACGATATGATGTTGTTTCCTTTACAAACTTTATTGAATGATGTTTGTAGTTGTTTGTAGTAGGCTTTGATTTTCTTTTTCTTTCCTTCGTCAACTTTCTTCACATCTTGCGTTATAGATTCAAATAATGGTAGACAAGCGTCAATAATCTCAAATCCGTCAACATTGATATTATCAAATCGAATATGTAGACTTCTACTCATTCTAAAAAATAAACAAATAATCACTAAATTTATAGTTAAAGAAAAATAAAAAATAAACGCTACCTCATCTATTGGTTATGATTATGTAAATTTTCATTATGCAAATTTTTTTGCATACTATATCCATAATGCCATATTTTCATTATGCAAATTTTTTTTTGTATACTATATCCATAATGAGATTTCGCAATTTTTTCAAAATATATCGAACAAGGTTGAAAATATCAATTTTAGTTTACTTTTTACTCAAACTAAACATACAAATACTTATATAGCGTAAAACAATGATGATCGTGGACAATTTCAATAATATCAGGAAAATATATTAAACCGCTCCCTCTAAAACAAAAAATCAATGCATTTCGTCGACTTTAATATCTTAGTATTGTTTAAATTAAATTATATTTACCTTTACTGTGAATTTACATCAATTCCAGATATTCTATTTATGAGCTTAATCACTACTTGTAAACCAATATCTTTGTAATAACACGTGGCCAATAAAAATCGTTCATGTGATCACAAATATGATGTCACCAGTACTCCACAGGTTAAAATTTTGCATGATGGTGCACAAATCATGGGATTATTTTATGAATGCACCAAAGAAGGTATCCTAGACTATTCTCAGACACGACAATGAAGAATCATCGACATTTTTCTATCGACAATAGCTTCTTCAATATCATTGCATGATTTACATTTTACATTATTAAATATGTAGATGCTCACCCACGCCCTCCACTGCTTCTGTCTCCAATTGCCAATCTTATTGGTTAATAAAGTAATGATATTGTTAGAGGGTTGTATATCTTAGAAAATGACATAAAGAACTTTTAAAGTGACTAAAATTAGAGAAACAACACTTTATACGTATATACAATATTCCGAAAATCTTTCGCCTTTTGAAAGATGGAAAGCAGCAAGCCGCCGACTATAATTTTATTTATTAAATGGAGGTAACAGGAGAAATGTAATTTGTTGAATTTCATTTTTGAATTTGCGTCCCGTGTGATGTTATGTAAATTAATTTAGACCCAAAGCTCATCCTCGCTGTTATATATTCATGGCCCTAGAAGTGAGGAACAATAAACTGACCAACATTGTCGAAGGGCAAGTGGATTCCTCCTTCGAGTCAACTTATCAAAACGATCCTTCAAGCTTTAGTACAGCAATAGTTGGAGGAAGAGACGGATCTCTCGACAGTGAATCGGATATTGCTTCGGGAGAAAAAAAACCTTTGCTTGGAGATTCAAGGCGTCCTATGGAAAAACTAGGCGAGACGGAACATTCACAAAACAACTATGATGATCCTGACTTTACAGCTGTAGTTCGTTCAGCTGAACAAGCCATAGACTCTGGTGTTTTTCCGGAAAGAATTTATCAAGGAAGTTCTGGCAGCTATTTTGTACACAATAAAGAAAGGGTGAGGGATCTTGCAAGATCAAAATCATTATTTGAAATTTTTTATATAAGATTTTTCTTTTTTAATTTTCGCATATGTCTTTAATAGTGAAAGTTATTACTACAACAAAATACAATGTTGTTCATTGTAAAAATTCTTTGTTTGTGTACAGTTTTTATTCTCAAGCATTCAATATCGTATCCCATTGATTCATTTTGTTGTTATTGACGTTGTTAACAATTACTTGTACCTGTTGTTTCCTCGTGATTATTGACTGACTAAATTTTCCATGTCATCGATAAATATTCTGTTTCCTTGTACATTTACGTAATTATGTAAACAAAAACTTGAAAGTATTTAATTTTGCTTGGATTTATAACTTAAATTCCTTTATAAATGCTATAAAGTTGATTTTAGGATTCAATGAATTTTTGAAAAGCTGTTGTCAATAGAATTTTTAGGCTCGGTCATCTGTGCTTATGAAAGTAAAAGTGAAACATCTTTTCTTTAGAAAAAAATCGCTGTTTTCAAACCAAAAAATGAAGAACCCTATGGTCAATTGAATCCAAAATGGACAAAATGGTTACATAAGACTTGTTGTCCATGTTGCTTTGGCCGTAGTTGTTTGATACCAAACCAAGGTTACATGTCCGAGGCTGGAGCAAGTCTAGTTGATCAAAAATTAGCTTTGAATATTGTCCCTAAAACTAAGGTTAGTTTGTTAGCCAGGCTTTTTTCATATCATATCCATCAAATACATGAAGAAAACCTATTCATTTTATCCCTTGCAGATTGTACGATTGGTCAGTGAAACATTTAACTACACAAGACTTGATCGTACTGTAGCAAGCTCAAAGAAACGTGCCGTTCAACATTTTCCCGATATGATTGGCAGACATGTGAAACTTGGTTTACCACCTAAGGTTTTTGTCTTTTGCAGTAAACCCATGTTGTCTTTGACAATAATATTTTGGACGTTTTGTATTTAGGTTGGTTCTTTTCAGTTGTTTGTTGCTGACTATAAGGACGCCGAGTATCATTTGAGAAAGTTTGAAAATGAACATCTTCCTAAAAAAACGTTGGAAAATTTTCAGTTTCAATTTGAGAAACTTGTTTGTCTGGATTACATCATTCGAAATACAGGTGAATTACATTAAATGGTCGTGTTTTTTCAACTCCAATAACAAGATAGTTATTCGGTATGCATTGTCATTATCATGAAAAGTTGTATTATGTACATTTTTAGACAGAGGAAATGACAATTGGCTCATTAAATATGACAAGACTGCTGTTATTGCAAATGATAAAATGGATGTCTTAAGTGAAGATGTACGTTTTCTAAATTTCCTTCCTAGTTTTTTTCCATGAAAATTGAAGGTGCTTTTTTGCCTATCTCTCTCAGGTAGAAGACTGGGACTTAGTTGAACCTCCAGAAATTCACATAGCCGCAATTGACAATGGTCTTGCATTTCCATACAAACATCCAGATTCTTGGAGATTATGTAAGATTTTATATTATTATATCGGTGATTACGTATATTAAATTTTTTGTTGTATTGATTTTTGGTTGTAACTCACTTTGTTGAACCAGTTAGAAGTAGTTAATATCTTCTCCGAAGCTATAAACATCTTTATTTATCCACGTAAAAATTATCTACATAGATCCTTATCACTGGGCATGGCTGCCCTATGCAAAGAAACCATTTTCAGATAAAATACGGCAACTTGTTTTGGGCAAACTTGAAAACATGCAATTTGTTCAAGAATTGGTGAATGATTTACATAGTTTGTTTAAAGTAAGAGATTTTTTATGTCATTCAAGATAACTTTGTTTAAAAATGATAGTCAACATAAAATGGATAGTATTCACATCAATATTTACTGTATAAATTTCTAATGTACAGGAGGATCGTGGCTTTGATAGATCACTTTTTGAGAAACAAATGAACGTTATGCGTGGCCAGGTGAGAAAAGCATTTATTACAATATCAATATTTATCCTGAGTAGACAACAGGATCTTTTTTTTGTTGTTTTTTTTGTTTATTTTGCCATTCCTAGTTTGTTGATTTTTTCTTCTTTCTTTCTCAGATTCTTAATCTAACTGAAGCGCTTCGTCAAACAAAATCACCGTTTGATCTTGTGCAACTACCGCCCATCCTTATTCAAAGGAAGAAAGTTGACAGACGTTCACATGGCGAGACATACACACAGAGCTTTCATGAAAAACGCCCGTTCTTTTCATGGTGTTAAAATCGTTAAGACATGCTTAAAGCGTTGTACCTGCCGTAAGAAATGTCCTTCCCCTTGCGAGATGAGAATAATGGGGATGTATTTTGAAAGGACGTTGATCGCAAATCCACAGAAACATTTGGTTTATTGATATCACTTTTTTGCTTGGAGATTGTTTGGCTTTGCTATTTATTTTCCAACCAGAAATGGATGAAAATGATTAAAATCTATGATTGAAAATCGACAGTGCTTTGAGTCTTTTGTTCCTTAATGTGGCTTCATTACCTTGTACAAGTTATTCATACGTATATATACCTTTCGTTAGATGGCCAAAATCGTAAAGCTGCTCAAGCCCATGATTGTAATTAAAAACCAATTGTTTTTAAGGCGCAAGAAGCTTCCTTAAACAACAGTTAAACTTTTGAAACACGAAAGATTTGCCGAATGAACAAAACCATCTATCCTATGAAATAACGAACGAAGCGATGTTTGACCTTTACGAAATGCTGCTTATTTATTATGATGGTCACTTTTATTTATTTTTATCTGGATATTTGATTTTTGTGAAGATTGAAGAATTGTTTATGAACTTGTTTCTTCACCAACTTTTTCTGTTTCCTTTTCATCTTCATCTTTCTTCATTTCTCCTTCATCTTTCTTCATTTCTCCTTCATCTTTCTTCATTTCTCCTTCATCTTTCTTCATTTCTCCTTCATCTTTCTTCATTTCTCCTTCATCTTCTCCAGTACCTTTATCTTCGGGATTTGTACTTTCTTCATTTTTGTTTTTTTCTTCCTCGGGTTCAGTCTTTTCGTGTCCTTCATCCTTTCCTTTGCTGGTATTTTTGTCGTCGTCTTGTTTGGCTTCTTCAGCAGAGTCCGGTTTTTCATCTTTCTTTTCCGAAGTTCCTTTGCTAGCTTCAAGCTCTTCGGGTGTCATCGCCCATTCTTGTTTCTTTCCTTTGCATAACAAACTGAAGAATAACACGCCAGTCAGGTACATAATGAATGTAATCCAGAACACAACTCGCCATTCGCCGGCTGTCTACAAAACATTTCAAACACGAAAACATTTTTATGCGCGAAGTTTTAGCATAAAGACATAAACAACATCCATAAAATACTAATGTTTGACATGGTTGGGCCATGTCTGGCATTACTCTAAAATATGACAATATACCTTATTCACGGTGATAATACCAACAATCTGTGGGCTCAGAAAACCAGGCAAGGAACCAAAGACATTAGTGATGCCCATTATGACACCAGCAAACCTTGGTGCAATGTCCAACAGGTTAACTGCATAACCAGTAGCATTTACCCCAGTTATACCGACGCCAATACAGAGAAATAGCACACCAAGTGTGGGATTTGGACTGTATCCGACAGCAAGGACGAACACTCCAGCGGTTGTACAACCTCAAATAAAAGGAGACTTACATAATGCCATGTGTCCATGACTTAGTGTTAAGATTTGGTGAGAGGTTAGTTGAAACCACGAGAAGAAGGATGGGATATGGCAGAATTGCTTACACGTTAACGGGCAAAAAAAAGTATGACAAATTTTACCGATTGCAAAAATCATTTTTCTCGCATTTCCCACTTCCATTCCTTGGTTGATCATTTTATCCACAATGAATCCCCCTGTTGGTCCAACAAATGCTTTCACAACGTATGGTAATGACGCTATGAAACCAGCCTGTGTAAGAATGTTTAAAGTCAAACAAAAAATCACTCAAGATCTTTGATTTGAAAACTTGTGGAATCATTCTACCTTGGCAATGTCAAATTTGAGGACTTCCACGAAGTATTTTGGAATGCAAATGAGAATGGTGTACAATCCCCAGTCGGCTGTAAAGTTTGCAATAATGACTGCCCAGACAGGTGGAGATGTAATAATGGAACACCATGGAACACGTTCGGGCTATTGCAATAACAATGGAGGAAGATATAATTTTGAAGCAAAAATGCAATTTCAAAGCACATCAAGTAAAGACGATAGTATAGAGAAATTAACTTTAACGTTTGCAAAAAGTCAGGTAAGATTTTAATTCGACATTTAAGGATATCTAATGTAAGCAATGGATCAAAGTACTTTCTGTTCATTTCAGTGCTGTTGACAAGCAAGGTGAAATTCTTCGAAGTTGATTTAGTGGTCAAATACCATATTTCAGTTTAGGCACTGCAGTTAACTTTACGATGAGTCTGCATGATCATTGAATACGGTAACGATAATTTTACATCTATACATATCTTACTGTGGCGTCGTTTGTACCAGTATCTTTCAAGATATATTCTTTTTCTTCCTGAGATATAGTCGGATGATCTTCAGGAGTTGGATGAACTATAAGCATCCAGATAAATGCCCAACACAGACCGATCGCCCCTGTAAATAAAAGAAAGTTATTCAAGAGATCTCAAGATGATCCAGTCGTTTGTACAGCCATTTTTAAAGTATAAAATGACAAAACAAACCAAAGCAATAGAACGCAGATGCCCAGCCATCTGGACCGTATTTTGTCAAAAGACCAGACAAAGGCATTGTAATGATGGTACCGACAGGACATCCTACAGTGCATGAAAATAACAATATATTCAATGGATTTCATTGGACATGTACATTCAAATAGATGTAATCATAGACTGACCCACCTGCGACAGTTATGGCAAATAAACGAGCTTTTTCTGAAGCTGGCGCCCATTTTCTCAGGATATCGTGATTACAAGGAAAAAGAACACCCTTTAACAAAATGAGATGAGTCATTTTTGAGTACAGACACCACGCACAAATGACGACCAATGATAATTCGGTTCTCTCGTAACCTTTTCAAGAAGATGTAATTGCTTACCAAGAAAACGCCCTCCATAACACGAAGGACAATGAGGCCAACCACCGACATTCTCGCCACAAACGGAGTGAGCATGGTCATTAGGGAACCAGCAAATAAAGATATACCAAATACTCTTGTGCCCCAAACCTGTAGGCTAAATAACCTCCGGGAATTTGGAGAACAAGGTAGCCGTAATAGAAGGAACCTAAAATAGTTCCTAAGAGTGAAATGGAAAACATGAACGGTGAGATTTATTGCATCATGGTGCTAAAAAATAAACATTGTTAAGCTTTATCAAAACATATTTCAACCATCCAATTCAATGGAAAGATATATTTTCATGCACGCATGCAGAACTGTTATAAATTTATACTACCTTGAAGTTTGGAACTCCAGTTGAATTCTGCCGGCTGAAATGGATTTGAGAACGGAAACAATTAAGAGGAGTCGATAAAAATGAATATTGTTAAAAGAAAATTAAAAATGAAGACATAGTTCCTTTTCATTTGCACCTTCGTAACAGTAAAGCCATTTTCTTTCACCGTGTGGTTGTTTGTCATAGCCGTGATTGCAATGTTAATATTCACTCTGAGTGCATACTGCGTTGAAAGGCCGAGAAACAGCATTATCACGATGACATAGCGTTTGGGAAAGCCAGTTTTTGTTGTTTTGTTCACGTTATCGTTTCTTGTATCGACCTTCTCAGGATCTGAAGTCATCGTGTTTGAACTGTAGTTGAAGGATGAACTACAGATTAACCACGAAACTAAGAATTAATTTTTGTCGTATCTTTGGCAAAAGATATAACAAAACGGGAAAACTTCTATCAGTTTATATAGCTTTTTTTGGTACCTGCCATTGTCATAACTAAGATTTGACTTAGAAATCGCTTGACAGTTGACACAATGAAAAAATTCAATGCAACTATAGCTGTAACTTTAAATTTTTAGGACAATTTTCACAGAGACTGTAATGCAATATAATCGTAAAAGTTCTGAATTGATCTAAAACGTATGAATGCTAGACGCCTGCTACGTGTTCAAGACGCCTTTTCAGTAAGAATTCTATTTTAAACAATTAAGTTCTCCAAAAATTATCTTGTCTGAATAGTTCAATATCAGAACAGCTAAAAGAAATCAAACAAACTGTACAGAAAAGTACAATTTACTTGAGTGCATGAAACAAAGTAGAAGACTCTTCAACATACCGTCAATTTTTAAACCACAGCATACACTTTTTATATCACATAGGATAGCACTTCCATTTTAACAAAAATTTCCGTAAATAACCGACAATTTTAAAACTTTAACAGTGCATGTATTTTTAAAGATCCAAAGGCTTCTTCCAATTCACAGATTCTTGGAGAGACAAGTTTTTGTCGTCACGGATTAACGATTTTCCTTTGTCTTGAACTAAATTATTTATCCACTGGTGAGAAAAAAACGAACGTTTGTAAATGGCCTTTATAATGGAATCAAAAGAGCCAAAGTTAAGGTTGTACGAATCAAAGTAAATGATCTCGTGTTGTTCGTACATTACTGAATGTTTGATGTTTTCATCTACTAACAGTGCTAACTTTTTCAAACCTTTAAGTACCCATATGATCCCATGTTTCTTTCAGAGTATTTGTCTAAAGATTACTCAAGACACAAGGTAAAAAGAACAAACGAGACCCATCTTATGGGAGGTTTCAATCTCAAGCTTACTCGAGACGTTTATATCAATAAGAAAGATAAACATGAGCGGGTGTAGGGAGGATATCTATTTCCATTACTCAATCCTGTTATTTCCATTACTCAATCCTGTTATTTCTATTACTCAATCATGCTATTTCTATTACTCAATCTTGCAATTTTTATTGCTCAATCATCTTTGAAAAAAGAACAAAGATCACAATGAAAAACAACTCACTCTGCTGGATAAAACATGGGAAAATGTCAAAAACAAATGAGTTATCTATTGTTTATTATGACACTGTGGAAGAGAAGCTTTTACGTCAACATATTTGTGGTAAATTGAACAAATGGATACAACGATTTTTCTTTTAGTAGTGTCGCACAAGTGACGCTTGTTTTTAGAGGGAAAATAACCTTCCTAAATATGGTACACTTCATTAACTTCCTATGTCAATAAACAGAAAGTAAAGGGAAAATATTTGTGCTTTTACAAAAACAGATTGCAAATTATACATACAAATGACCAGGGCATTCATTCTCTCCCGTCCCCTCCCCTAGAGTGCTCTCACAATAACAGTGTTCTTCCTTAAAATTATTTGTAGATCTTTGTTAAAGATAACCTGTCTATATAAGGTGTTATTCATTATTAATTAAATTATAGTACACATACATAAGCGGCGGCTTTTATAAAACACCGTCTTGTTTCCACACGAAACTCACTTTCATTCGCGTTCGTCAAAAAGACAGATTTGCTGTTTGCACATCATTAAACATTCATTGGAAAGTTGTTCATATACAGAGCACCTCAACAAGTGTCGAATCACACATCGATGACATAAGACGTAGAATTTTATGTGAAGGATGTACTGAACAGATATTTCTCTTTAAAATTGTCGCAGCAACACTTACAGAAAACGCTGAGATATCTATTCCTGTAGGTAAGTGAATTCGGAATTGGATCTTCTGATAGTTTAAAAACTCGCAAGCACATAAGTTGTAACCACAGTTTAACTTATTTAGATAGTAACTGTTTGCTGTGCTGCAGCTGTGATTGAAAATTTCCATTTAAATTGATGAGCACTTAGAAAAGGATGAACACACGAACATTTGAACTGTTTTCTTGCGCAAGTGAACAATTTGGTTAAGACATATGCCATGTCAATTTTAGGAAGAAGAAACACACGAATACACACACATATAAATCAATATCTTTTGAAACTGTCAACAATGACAATGAAGGAAACGAGGGCAATGAAATATGTCGTTTCATTAAATACTAAGCATTTAAGGAACACTTTTATAGTCTTCCTAAATCATTACTCTAGTGCTTACATAACAAATACAAATCTTTTGACGTGTCACTATTGTATAATTGATGGATACTAAATTGTGTACATCGATATTTGTCTGTTCGATATCGTTAATTGTACCTTTACTGAAATTAGCACATTTTAAGTAGGCATGCATATGTTTATAGAGAGACAAAACACCGATGGATTATTTTAACGATAAAATTTTCCATCATTTCATTTAACTATACTGGGGATTAATAATACTAATAATTCTACGATGGTAAACCTCTACACCCCAGTGAGCATTTTCTTGAGCTTTCAGCTAAATATCCTTTCGTGACAGCGCATTTCAGCTATCTCCAAAGCAACACTCGGACAAGTATATCAATTAAATGAAAATTATAAACTTGAGATCGAATTTTCGCTTATTTGCAAGATAAAATTGTTATTTCCTCAATCGCTATGGAAACAAGAAAATACATTCTTCTAGAACAAAGAAGAAAAAAAATAGAAAGAACTGTAACGTATGATATGAGCCTCAAAAAAACATAGTGAAGATGGAAATCCATTACATGATAATTTAGTAGAAGCATCTTTCTACAACATTGCTATTGATCATGCTTAGATAAAGATAAGAAGTAGTTCAGCCAATCATATTGCAGCATTTGCAACAGAATACTCACAGCAGATATATATGGACGTGAAAAACATGAAACGTTTGATAATGTTTTTTGATGTAGAGACGGGTTTTTGTGCCGACGCAAACAAAGTAGCTAGCAAGCTATGCTGGTCAGTGATCACACATTTAATCCATAAAGCAGTAATTAAATGTGAGCCTGCGATTGCTTAGCGAGTGTTCGAGAGCTTTTATTCGCGACAGCTGCTTATAGAAAGAATTCTCATTAAGGATACCCAAAATATTTTAACGTCAATTTTTCTTTTTATCTGACTAAACTAATGATTAATTAACGAATATTTTTTGAGATATTAGATCGAGCGCGTTTATCTTGCCGTAATAGCGCAAAGAAAAGCCTTCCCTCAAAAAAACATGCGTTCATTTACGAGTTTCGATGATTGCTGGATGTTGATGAAGAAAGTTTGAACATGCATATCGAAAATAGCTCTTAAAATACTTGTGATATAGTTCAACAAGTTGTTCTAAAACAAATTCTTCAAAACTAAGAGAGCTAAAGAATCAAACGTAGCGTCGAAATTACTTTAAAGTGGTCAAAGGCAACAAAGAAAACAAAGTAAGATTCTTCCAAAGTTTTTTTTCCAATAAGAAAGTTTTAAATATTCAATTGAATGATGGTGGGAACATACATTGCAATCACGATCTCTCGGCTGTATTCTACTTTTTTAAAAAAAAACCCTCAAAAATGAAACTTAACATGCTTGAGACGCGATATGGATCGATAGAATTATGTACGCGCAATTCTTTCCATTTTAGAGAAAATTTCATCACAAAAATTGAATTGAGAAATTATGTTATAAATGAAAAGACAAACAAACAAAGTAAAACTGTCACAAACTTGAGTGACGATCAAGTTTTCTGTTTTTTTAAAACAGTGAATTACATAAGTTCGTTCACATGACGTTTGCTGATTTCCATGAAAAATACACCTTAGATACTGCAGTAAATTGTATAGTTCATGATGTCGTGAAATACTAGTATTTTAGAAAAACAGGTTGTTTGAAATTTGCCTTTCCTTAGCCGTGTATCACAACTATCTATGTTCTTGACGATAAGCGTTTAACGATAACCTTTCTCGATCAAAGGATCCTTAATTTGTCGTGCAAGCTTGATATGTCTGTCACATCTACTATATGTTTCAGCTGATTGCCTGACAATACACCCAGCTGCATCACAATGAAGACAAAACAGCTAACCATTGTGCTATTGACGATAACGCTGTTGCCAAAAGGTACGTATAGCCATATTAGAAAAATGTTTTTTTCTTTTAAATTCTGGATTGTGTTTCTTTTAAATCAATAAGCAGTTTACTTAAAGCATGCATGTTGGAATACAAACACGGACAACTATAAAATTCAAGCTTGGACTTAAATCATGAAAAAACAACAATAAGTATCGCTTTATTCAAGCTACAATCGACCGCCTAGCAAAGGTTTCAACAGTCCCCATTAAAACCAAAAACCAAAGCAAAAAATTAAAGTAGCTATACAGAGATAGCTGCCTTTTGCACAGTTAGCTACATGATCACATAAAATCTATAGATCAGCAAATATTTTTTTATCAAAATTCAATCCTCATACAGTTTCAGGTTTAAGATGTTATAAATGTCAAAAATACGACAAACAACGTGAAGAACGAAGATCTTCCCGCCTGTATCCTGGAGCCGGTCATTTGCGATAGCAGTAAGAACGAAACACATTGTGCCAGTACGTATGTGATATTGAACAACAAAACGGAAGTTTCACACAAGCGTTGTGCAAATGAAGAGTTCTGCGTGACCTCCCACAATTTATGTAAGAAATTATTAAACATGAACAAAGTGTTGAAATGTCATCCATTTTGTTGTGAAAAGAACTTTTGTAACATGGATGTACATATAAAGAAATGTTTTAGCAATCATAATTTGCGCCTCATTGAAAGTCGATTTATGCTACTGATGACGTCATTATGCGTACTTTTGTTACATTTCTACCAGCTCATATAATCCTACTAATATACAAAGTAGAGAACACCTATGTTAGTATAAAACTTTGCTCGAAACGTCAATTGAAATCAATTGAAATTTTTCCTGTTTTCGTGTAAATAATCCAATAGTTTGTTGTATTTATATTAATTACAAGTATGAAACTTTTCAAACACTTAGCTTCGCAAAGATTCTAGTCTCTTCTGCATATCTGCCATGTCATTTTCTTCGTCCGATTCAACCATGGCAGTAGCCCCTTCAATTTCACCCTAAATTATGTAAATGACAATGATATTGTTTCAAAATAAACTCTCTCCATTTGTTGCTGAAATTATCTCTACATGGAAGCTCCCCCTGTGTACTGCTGTGTACTGCTGATGACATCAACAAATGAACTCCTACCCCTTGCTATTGCTGATGTCATCAAAATTTAGCACACCTCTGTGTACTGCTGATGTCATCAACAAATGAACCCTACCCCTTGCTATTGCTGATGTCATCAAAATTTAGCACACCTCTGTGTACTGCTGATGTCATCAACAAATGAGCACACTTCCCATTCTGCTGATATAATTTCCAAATGACTTTCACTGTCTTGATGACACTTCATTATAACGAACTCTCCACCTCATTCATTAACTAACAGTTTTTGGATGAAAAAAAAATCATAAAACAATTCAAACATACAGGTAATTCATTTGTGGCCACACTCCCAGCTTGACCAAGAGCACCTACAATGAATCAAAATTAACCATTGTTAGATTGATAAAAATCATCATTAAATCAACACACTTTTTCTACCTTGCGTAACTTCAAATAATATCCTATCTACTTCTTCTTGTGCTTCTTCCTCCATTTCATCATCATCAAGACTTTCAAAAGTATCCTCTAGCATTTCTTCGATAATTCCAGCCTGTGATATTAATGTTGTTGAAATTAATGTTAGTTGTTGTGATGTTTGAGTTCCTTTGTCCAATTACCAGGTGAAGCATTTAATTAAACAATAGCTTTGTTATAATCTCAACTTATGATTACAAACCTTCATCATTTCTTTGGAGAGTTCTTGCATTGTAGCCTGAATTTCAGGTAACTTAACCAACTCCTGCATGTTCTTCATAACTTCAGTACTTTTTTGCAGCGAACCAGAAACTCGTACTGTCGCCAGCTGATTCTTCATACTCATCTCAACAGAACCAAGTTGAGCTTTTGATGCATAAAGTTTGCTTACGGCTTTTTTTGCTCGAATGACCTCTTTTGCAAGAATACGACAGCTTTCGACATCACCTTTCTTTGCCGAATCCTTTATAGTACGAGTGACTTTGGCCTTTTCAGTCTCAATGCCTAAAGTAGAAGGCAAATTGTTAAAGAGTTTCTGATTTTTCAGAAATCTTTGTGTACTTTCTCACTTCTTATTTGACGATCCAACTGTCGAGATTCTTTACGCAAAGTGCGTGACCATTCTTGAACCTAACACAAACAAAAATACTCATAAGAAATAACTAAAAACTTCGTCTATTTTAAATATTTCCATAGTAGATATTAATACATTTTTTTTCAAAGTAAAACAATATTTTCAACCTTTTTCTCTGAACTACGGGAGCAGTAACATTGCTGGAATTTTGAAATGGATGAAAATATCATTTACCTGTTCTTTAGGAGTTTTCTGGGGAGTTTTACCGAACAAACCCATTATGAAAATCAAAAAAAGAAAGAAAATTTGTTGTGAGTTTAGGTGTTTACATATTTTTAGTTTATTTTTGTCACATGAAACCATCCGCCACAAAAACATGACGTCATTATTTAATCTCGTGCACATTCCTCTATGACTGGGCCCGGCCGGTGCCTTTACTGTAGTGTTTAGGAGAATTTCTAAGGTTTATACAAGTCACGTCATGTCAAAGTCTTTCTTTCAAAACATTGACCCAATTCCCATTTCGGAGGTCTTTCGTCTTTTGGATCAATTCAATGAAGATACGCATCCGAAGAAAGTTAATCTTGGCATTGGAGGTGAGTTTTTGCTCCATTGAAAACGTTTGTGCAGACATGACCATGTCCATTTCACGAGTATAGTTGCTTTTAGATGGTCAATATTGCTGTTAGCAGTTTCAGTTATTGAATCGAGGTTTTCATGCAGCACATATGGTAAAACAGGAGTTTTTCTCAATGTCAAATCATAAGACAAAAGCATGTGTTCCAAGAGAATCTCAGAACTGCATATTTTTTTGGGACGTTTACAGACTGTTGATACAAAGTCCAAGAATAGTTGATGAAATTATCATTTATTCTTTCACATTCACATTAAAACATTCACATTATTCCCTGCTTATTTAGTATATCGTACTGATGAAGGAAAGCCGTGGATTTTACCTGTTGTAGCAAGTACTGAAGCAACTATTGCATCAGATAAGACACTTAATCACGAATACCTTAGTATGGATGGGATGAAGGAACTTTACACATTGGCATCAAAGTTAATTCTCGGAGCAGAAAGCCCTGCAATTGTCGAGAATAGAGTAAGATCTCAAGGATTTTTGCTAGAATTTTCAAAATGCTCCATGATGATTTGCGATTTGTGAATGACATTATAGGTTTGTGCTGTTCAGGCTTTATCAGGAACAGGAAGCTTACGTGTAATAATGGAGCTCCTTTACAGATTTCTACCCACTAAAGTCATATATACATCAAAGCCAACATGGAGTATGTGTTCTTTTTTCAAAAGTGTGCAATTTGAATTATCTGTATTGATTATTTGATTTGACCTCATTAGCAAGTATAATTTAGCATGTTTTATAACTTAGCATGTAAAGGATTCCATTGAAACTATTATTTCATGCAAGCATATCTATTGCAGCCAATCACAAGACAGTAGCTCGGTATATTGGTTATACGGACCTGCGAGAATATCGTTACTATAATGAACAAACTCATGGTTTGGATTTAAATGGAATGTTGGAAGATTTGCAGGTATAGAATATATTCCACAGTTGCCTATTTTTAGATCATCTTTTAATGAATTTTTTTGCTTAGAATGCTCCAGAAGGATCAGTCATCATACTTCATGGCTGCGGACATAATCCAACTGGCGTGGATCCTTCACAAGAAGAATGGAAAAAAATTGCAAATGTTGTGAAGGTAACATTATGACCAGGTGTATAAAAGTCGAAAATCAACGCACCTTATTCACTGTCAAGTGGAATTTTTATAAACTCAATATTTTGCTGCAAAATGACTATGGTATACTGAATAGAAGCTGCAATCATTCATTTTGTATAAATGATTGTGTAATGAAACGACAGCAACGTCTGTTGTAAGACCTTCAATGTATCATCAAAATATATGTTTTTCTTTCCACAGTCAACGTTCTTTTTCATCTCACACATGCAGTTGTTAATCTGATTGATTTTGTCCAACGCAGGAGAAGCATCTTTTTCCATTAATGGACTTTGCTTATCTTGGTTTGGCATCCGGTGATATAGATCAGGATGCTTTTTCAATTCGTCATTTTGTTTCTGAAGGCATTGAACTCGCGTGTGCGCAATCTTTTGCAAAGAATTTTGGCTTGTACTGTAAGTGGATAACATCACGATGCGCATGCTAAATCATGACCTGAATTGGATTTTATTGTTTGTTGTATATCAGCTTCTAGAATTGGATGCGCTTTCTTTGTTGCTAACACTTCCGAGTTTATCAACGCTTTACGCAGTCAGGTAAAAATGATTATACGTGCCACCTGGTCAAATCCTCCAGTCGAGGGTGCGCGTATCGTCGCAAAAATCCTCGGCAACCCTGCGTCACTTGCCGAATGGTAAATAATATAAATTTTTTAGCTTATTGGAAGTATTTTTGCTTGCCGATTTCACACTTCATATTTTGTTGGTAGGAAAGAGTGTATCGCGATTATGTCGAGACGGATTACGTCATCGCGTAAGGATCTATATCAAATGTTGCGGCAGTTGGGAACTCCCGGGAACTGGGAACACATTATCAAGCATTGTGGCATGTTTACTTTTACTGGCCTAAACCGTAAGTATGAATGAAAGATCTAAGTAACGATACATACATGTAGAACTGTAGTTGATTAACGAGTTTTCTATTTTCTCCGTGACAAAGCAGATATCCACTCATGAAGCCGCATTTGAAAATCTTTATTAAGTCCATTTTGTATATTTTCTTTCGTAGGGAGACAAGTGAGCTATTTGCTAGAAAAGTATCATATTTACATGTTGAGCAGTGGTCGTATCAACATGTGTACTGTTACCACAGCTAACTTGGATTATGTTGCCAAGGCAATTGATGATACGGTCCGAAATGTTACTGAATAGCGATGTTGACGTCTTTAATGGCGACAAGACCATTTATAAAATTGGGATTATTAGAGAAACTATATGTCTTATATTATTATCCGAGATATAATAAGTAAATATGACGCTATGGGAAAATGAAAATATATATTATCGAAAGCTGTTTCATTGTTCACACATTGACCAATCTCAACCTCTTCCGACTTCTTTTTACGGATAGCAAGGATCTGATCACCTTAGAGCCCGAGAAAGACTATACCACTCTCTTGTTCTTTCCACCTTCAGTCCTCTAGTGACGTCACCTAGTGCGTCATTTTAGTGAATGGAAATTAGGAAAGCTGTAATGTGATTATGCAAAATGGCCGACAGTATGGCATTCTCTTCTTTAGGTGTTGGAAATGTAGAAAATCAACAACACAGGTGAATGTTTTTGTTAGTGTTTTCGTTTTTCAACGTACATTGTTTTAGTTGTAATTTTTTTACAAATTTTTTAAAATTCGTAGTCCTTTTTCTGTTCCACACACCAAAGTCAAAATATAATATGTTTGCTTGGCAGGCCACATTTTCAAAGCAATCACGTTCTTCAACCATCTCATCAAGATCCTCCCGGTATGTTTCCACCTGCTGTTAACATGATATTCACCACCAGACCACCAGGAATGCCAGTGAACAGACCAAATTTTCCTGAACAAATGCCACCAATGGCTATGCAAGGATTGCAGGTTTGAAAGACAAATTGTAAAGTGTGTGTACTTTGGCTAGTATCTTCCATTTTTCATTTTTTTGTGTAGAGGCCACCAATAAATGTTCCTGGTATGCCTGGCGTTCCTAGATTGCCACATAACATGCAAGAACCAATGATTGATGCAAACGGCGATCTCTGGCTGGAACATAAAACACCAGAGGGTAAAGTTTATTACTATAACGCAAGAACAAGAGAGTCAGCTTGGGAGAAACCCAAGAATTTAGTCAGTAATGCCTCGAATCAAGGCCAAGTTGAAGGACCAATAATAAATGGTCAACAACAACTGGTACCAAATTTAAATCCACTTTTACCGTAAGTCATATTACTTCATTTCTTTATCTGGGAAATTAAGTAAATATGAAAGATGATTGTTTATATTTGTCCATAATTGATTTTACAGAGGACCACAACCATTTTTGCCCAACATGCCCCACTTTCCATCGCGCATGCTATTTACACCCAATATGTCTCAACCACCAGGATTTGGCAACCCACACCAGATACCAATGAATCAAGGTTGTATAAACTTACTGTTGTTATTTTCAACTGGGTTTATTTGTATTTTATTTATTAGTTTCATGTGTTTTTAGGTCTTATTCCACCAGGTCCAATGCTTCAACAGCCCAGAGTTGATACACCAGAATGGAGTGAACACAAAATGACAGATGGACGGACGTACTATTATAATTCAAAAACTCAGGTTTCTGTCTGGGAAAAGCCAGATGCCTTAAAAACTCCTGAGGAAAAAGCGTCACATGGTCTAAATGATGGTACAAGTCAAGAAACTATCACTGGTAGCCAACATTATTACAGAAAGTTTTTCAAATGTTTTTTTTTCAGAAAATATTTTGAAAGTATTTGTATCTGTTTAATTTAGCTGAATCAGGGAATAGCGAAAACAAGACAACAGAAGAAGATAATATCTTGGTGGAGGATGTAAAACAGGATGACAATAAACCAGTAGCAAGTGTTCTAATACCAGACACACAATGGTCTGTTGTGTGGACTGGGGATGACAAAGTTTTTTATTTTAATCCTACGACAAAGTCATCAGTTTGGGTTAAACCAGATGAGCTACTTGATAACCATCATGTTGATGAAATATTAGCTACTGGACCAAATACTCAACCTAACGGTATGCTTATTGTTGTTCATTTGTCTTTCCAGCACATTTTTGAGTGTTATAATGTGTCTTTTAGAGGTCAGCGACAACAAAGAAATATCAGAGGAGTCATCAAATGAGCCCACTGCCAAGAAACAGCGGTAGATTTGAGTTTGATTTTTTTAATGTAAACAAATGTATTGATTTTATTGTCTTGTTACGTTTGAAAGTCTTGAAGATGTTGAAAGCAATGACGTCGAAATGGCAACTATCGCGCAAATTAAAGATAATGAAAATGAAACTCAGCAAGTTCAACAACTTGAGCAACAAGTTGAATTACAGAAAATCAATGCGGAAACGGGCAAAGCTATCGAGCGTGAAAGAGATGCTGCTATAAAACGAAAGACGTTAGCCTTGGAAGAACGCATCAATGATTTCAAAGAAATGCTTCGTGAACGAGCGGTTAGAATTGAAATTTCATTGATTTTGTCCGTTTATCATTCGGTCTTTTTATGTGAACTTAATATGAATATTGTTCCAGTTTACTTTGATGGCTGATTCTGAACGGAGAATGAAATCAATATAATTTTTTTTCCACTTTATGGTTTTTTTTACCTAAAAAAGCGGACGATGAAAACTCTCAAAATGATATTTTTTCATTGTCCTTTTTCAGGTTTCCGCCTTTTCAACGTGGGACAAAGAACTGCCGAAGTTTGTTTTTGATTCTCGTTACCTTTTGTTGAACCAACGAGAAAGAAAGAGTGCATTTGATCATTACGTACGCATGAGAGCCGAAGAAGAAAGGATCGAGAAAAGAAACAAACTAAAAGAAAAGAAAGATGCTTTCAAAGCACTACTAGAAGAAGCAAAGGTGTCCTCACGGTAGGCAGTAATTCTAACTTTACTGAAATCATCGTCCGTTCTTAGAAAGAGTCTTGAAATCCTTTTGAGGTTAGAAATTCACAAACAAACGCCCCCCCCCCTTCCCACCTCCAATATTACTCCATCGCGTTAGGCCATTTACCTTCACTGATATTAGGAATTCACCCCCCCTTCCCACCTCCAACATTACTCCATCGCGTTAGGCATTTACCTTCACTGAAATTAGGAATTCACCCCCCCCACTTCCCACCTCCAACATTACTCCATCGCGTTAGGCATTTACCTTCACTGAAATTAGAATTCACCCCCTTCCCACCTCCAACATTACTCCATCGCGTTAGGCATTTACCTTCACTGAAATTAGGAATTCACCCCACTAATGTAGATTTCTCGCCCATTATATTTTATGCCCACTTCCTGAGCTATGACTGAAACTTTACATAAACTAGTTATGCTATTATGATTATTATTTACATTTATTTAAACACGGTAGTATCTCAACTTGGATCCTAAAACACAACTACATATAAAAAATAAAAATGTTGATTTTCTGAAAGCCGTGTGAACATTTTCCTGATAGCATGCTAACTCCACAAGAAGCTGTCTTTCTGTTTTGCCGTAGCTTTGCTGTGACGACCCGTGTCGTGATTTAATTAAATTTCTAATATTCACCAGGACAACTTTTAGCGAGTTTTCTATGAAATACGGTAAGGATGTCAGGTTCAAAGACATTCCCAAAATGAAGGAACGCGAGACCTTGTTTGCAGATCATGTTGCTGAACTCAGGAAACTGGAACGCGAAGCCTCGCAAAAGAAAAAAGATATCGTCGATGAAACGGTAATGTTGTCTCTCTGTTGTGGGGGATCCCCTCCCAGCGTTCATATATAATGAAGCAATTGAACGACCTGTGGGAAATTCCCGGAAACTAAAGACACCGTTTTACATAACCGTTTTATCGATTGCTTCATTAGGGAGGGGGGGCAGGGGAGTTCAAAGACATTCGTTTTCAATTGTCCATTTTTCAACCGTGGGTTTTGAAAGCGTATGTTTTTTCTGACTATTTTCCATTGCTCATACAAAGTGCTAAATTATGGTTGACGTTGAAAATTTGACATGTTGCTTATGTGCCTACCGGTGCATTGTAGTTTGTTTGAGTTTTAACGCGATTTCTCATTGTTTGGATGTAGTTAGGTTTCATTTATAGATGTTAACTGTATTTACTCATGATAGTTACAACAGCCAAAGTTACTGGCCCGAGGTTGGAATTTCAATGTTTTCACCTACTCTGTATTGTTAAAAAACGACCAAAAAGGTAAACGCTCTTCATTGTTCTTATAACCACACGCGCAAACACACATGCACACACTTCAACACACAAAACACGCACTTGAACACACAAAACACGCATTTGAACACACAAAACACGCGGACAAACGCTTTCCACCTTGGTACTAAAGTCCCTGTATAGTTAAAGTAAACTACACGGTAACCTTAAATGGCGGTTTTTCGATGTTACGGTAGGTTTTTATGTCGAATCCATTTTTATTATTGTTTATTATTGAAAGAGCTCGCTACGTGTTGTAATGTTTGTTCCTACTTTAAGATTTAATGTATTTTTAAGAGGAGTTGAAAGAGTCTAGAACTAGGGAGGCTGTATGACACAATAGAATATTTCAATTTTTCTTTTCGTTGTGATATTGAGGTTATTTTTTTGTTTGTTTATTGTCAAATCTCTAGGCGAAACAAGATTATTTACAACTGCTATCCGAGCAACAAGGTCTTATTAATAAAGAAGCTCATTGGCACACAGTCAAGGGGAAAATATGCGACGATCCTAGATATGAAGCTATTGGCAGCAGTCACCGTCGGAAGGAATTGTTCAGAGAATATGCAGAAAAACTGGAGCAAGTATGATATTGTTTCGCAAATTTTAGAAACTTCTTCTTGACCGTAATTCCTTGTTTGGGCGAGTTTTAACGGAGACTTCTTGGTCATAATTTGCCATCTTTGTTTAGCCATGACTTAGGCTGATTGATTTGTTACAAAATAATAACTAACCAATAATTTTGCTTCCTAATCTTCAGACCGAGGTAAAACACGTAGACGACGAGAAAGAAAAGTTGAATCGGGTGGAAGCAAGTCTCCGCGAGAGGGAACGTCAGGTGCATGCGCAACAAGCTGAAATGATGAACGAACGTGAAAAAGAGAAGGAAAAACATGTCAAAGAAAAGGAAACACAGCACTTTTTGGCTTTAATGTCGGATATGGTGAGAGTTGTGATGGAAGTGTTTGTGCATGATATTGCCAGAGTTTTTGTTGTACTTGATGTGATGAAAAATATGTGTGTGCATGGTATTGCCAGAGTTTTTGTTGTACTTGATGTGATAAAAAATATGTGTGATATTCGTGTCTGTTAAGGTTCGTAATGCGGATGCGAGCTGGAAAGAGACGAAGCGTTCGCTTAGAAAAGATCATCGCTGGCAAATGTTGGAAAGTTTGAGTAAAGAAGACAAGGAAAGTCTCTTTAATGATCACATCAATCAATTGAATCAAAGAAAACGTGATCAATTCAGAAAACTTCTTGATGAACAAAACGAGGTTTGTATAGTTTTTCAAAATATGGCCAACAACAATTAACTGAATAAAATAGAATCTTAAAGGTCACACGCTGTATTATTTACCTTGGTGGGCATGCTGTGAGTATTTTTCTTTCTTATATCTAGATTGGTTTGAAAACAAGCTGGAGAAGTGCCAGGAAATTGATAAAAGACGATCCAAGATTTTCAAAATTCTCTTCAAGTGATCGAGTATGTAGTTATGGATATAGATTTTATATTATATCGAGTATATTTTTAAGATTTCAAGAAATTTTACTTTATTTCGCAGAAACGCGAAGCAGAATTCGTTGAATACATTCGAAATAGACTCAATCAGGCAAAAAATGAATTTTGGGATCTTTTGAAAGAAACGCATATAATTGATCACAGGTTGGTAGAGAAAACATTTTAACAAATACTGTTGCAGATTTCTCCATCGATTCACTTACATTTCTTATATTTTACTTTCATCTTGTTTTAGATCAAACAAGTTATTAGCTGAATCAGACCGTCATCTCAAAGATATCATTGAAACTTTGAAGGTCATTCATCGAAATATTTACATCAACTCCTTTCTTGCTACGTGTTTTAGTAACTAGTTGAAGATTGTTGTTCGTTGAATTGCAACTGTATTTTTCAATGTGGAGTTCACATCTTGTTTTTGTGTTTTAAACAGCAAGACAGTCGTTATTTGATTCTCGATGACGCCGAGGATGAGCGAGATCGTATTTTGTATCAATATATAGGTGAGTTATCACGGCGTGGTCCTCCACCTCCCCCTACGGCTTCAACTCCATCTAACAGAAGTAAACGACCGTGGTTCGTACAAGAAACCTTGTCCTCAAAACAATAGAGGAATCATTGGTCAAATGAGTTTATTTCATTTCTTCTTAAAGTAGTTCAAAAGACATCTGTAAATATGGCACATGCACAAAATATCTGCTAAGGTTCATCTTGTATGAAGAACTGAATGTCCGAGTCATTCGTTTTGAAGACACCAGAGCATAATCTTTTGCAATGAATACATTGCTTTAAGGTAGACAAACGAGAATATTTTAACCGTAAATGGAAAACGTTATCTCGAAATATTTTATGATGAAACGAAGTAGATAATTTGAGATAAGTTATTGCTTTAACTTCCAGACTTCTGCATATTATCTGCGTGCAACGTTTGCAGCGAAAACCAACTTCGTTTTAAGTTTGTGCTTTCCATACCTTTTGATCATAAATTATTACAAAGTTATGAATTATTATCAAACAGAAAGTGGTGTAGAATCTTTTAAATATTATATTCCTTTTAAATCGCCTTGCATTCTTTGTTTTGAAGTTGTTGCTTCATGCTATTCATTGGTCAAAAGCATCTTCAATGCATAATACCATTTACTTGCATACGTATCTTAACGTATATTTACACAGTCTTAGAGTTAGGTGTTAAAGTTAAACTGTTATGTATATTCAGGTGTTTCGTTCATTATGTTACCACAAGTTTCTATACAAATATATTTCAAGCTTGTACTGTTTCACTCTTATTGCCTATTTCTGGCCTATAAAACGTATGTCCATGAACCGTACCGACGTAGGAAAATCCAGGCATTGGCTCTTTTGCTGGGCAAGGGGGCGGTCGGTGGCCTTTAAAAGTGTCTTTATAGCATGTATTAAATTCCATATCACCTCGAATAGTTGTTGCTGCTGATGGTTTAACTGCCTCAGCTGGAACGGTGTAATCTCCTGTATAATGACTTTGATAGTTGGTACGACCACCAAATTTCGTCGATGGTGGTTTGTAGTCGTCTGGTTTTCGTGCTCTATCTGGTAAACCAACATTCCATAGCTTAAACGAATCGTTATGTTCGGTGCTGTCATTCAAAGGCTGTTTAGATGAAAAGGCGTAGATGTCTGGTTTAGCTAACTTCGCTCTACATAGCGGATGTTTGACGTAATCACGTTGAAAGGAAGTTGTACCACCAAACTTCGTTGTTGGTCGTTGGTATGTTTCTTTCTCTTTCGCCTCGCGTTTCGTTACTGGCCATTTTTTAAATGTATTCTGATAGCTCGTATCGCTTTCAAATGGTACACCTGTTGTCATAACTGCAGCAGAAGGCTTAAAACATTCTGCTGGTTTACCATCTTTCCATTTAAAATCTCTACTACAAGTAGTCATGTCATCGAGTGGCGGCCTATTGCTGGGGTACTCGTATACTGGTTTCATGGGGCTTCTTGGTTGAATGTCTTTTTTAGTATAGTCAATCTTAGTTGTTGTTTTGCCTTCCATTGGTGCAGATGACAGACGTAAAACAGGACCAGGTGGATTTATTGTCTGCGTTCTGGCTCCATAATGCCCCGGAAAATCCAATTGATGAGTTGATTTCGTATTCATCTTGGCGTCTGTTGTTTTTAAAGAATTGTCGGGTTTCATACTATCAACTTTTTTCACTTGCCATGGAAGATAAGTGTGATTGTGTGTGGTACCATCCTCAAATGGTACTTTGTTGGCCACATACGTCTCTAATGGTTTTGCTGTGTTCGCAGGATTGGATCTGTGTGGAACATAGTCGTAGTTATAACTTGATGTTTTCTCCACTTCGCCCTGTGGTTTTCGTAATCTCCCTTCTCATGTTTAAAGCGAGGTTTTACGTCATGTGGAATATAAGTAATGTTATTGGTCGTCTTTCCCTCCAATGGCTCAGATGAGAACTTAGGTGCGCCAACTTGGATTATGGGCATTGTACGAGGGACGGTAATATTTCTGTATGTGTCTTTGTATTCAGAAAGAAGGCATCTTGCTCCTGAATTTACTTTTATATTTGGATGATGAACACATTTGTGTCTGCTGAAATGAAAATATTAAAATATATTTCAATTGAAAATAGCTTATTTCAACAATTAGACATCATTGCAACGTTACGTTGCCTAGACAACGTAAACAACTTATTTATGATTGTTTATATAGTATGAAAATATTCTTCTACAAAAATATCAAGACGCATAAAAAGAGATGTTGTCATGATCGTAAGGAAACAATCGTGGTTATTGATAAAAACTTTCCGAAAGCCAAACAACTTTTCTTGGCGAGCAATGACGACTGACCAACAAATGAGGATAAATTTTGCTGGCGAATTTGTTGTAAGAACTTACCCACAAGTACAAATTTGGCAAATACAACGGGTAGCCATTTTATTAGACGGGAAAACAAATCCAAAATTATACAGTCCTAGCCTGTTTTTACGTTGTAGTGTTTTTTAGTTTCTCTCTGTTTTGATGCTGTAATTTAGTCCAATTGTATATTTGTAATTTGTTTCTATCGAATGTTTTTGCTACATCATGTTGCTATGCGACGCCTTTAACGACTGCGCTTTAATGCGCGTCTCTGATTCGTTGAAGCAAAACATAACATAAATTTGTTAGGCCCCCCCTGAAATGACGCATGTCTTTTTGGCAAATTAATGCTTTCAAATAGGTTTATTTTTTGTCGGTTTTTTTACTCATTTTGTGCTTTAAAATTGCATTTACCGTACTTAACTAATTTGCTCATGACAGCAAGAAATTTTCGAGGAAACATAATCTGTAAGAAAACAGGACGATTGATCGACAAACTAATGCAAGACGGAACTGAATGACAAAAAGGAGATGAAACATACTTGAATATCATATACAACTGATACATCTTTTTTTGTATACAATTCATGTCTTTTTATAAAATTCAAGAGGAAAATTTTGTTTTGAAGATACGCAATTTTCCCATGTTTATTTTATTTTTATTTTTAATAATATACTCCAAGCTTACCTGCCCGTGATATTCAATGAGCTCATTTCTTTAACTACTCTATTTACTTTGCGAAAACCATTTCATTGACAAAGGCAAAGATGTATTTTATTAATTTAGTTAAATTGCGCACAAATACGTCATACACCATTGTTATGTCACTCATTCCGTAGTTCTCCGACTGTTTTAGATCGGAGATCCCCGGTGCTAAAAATAAAAACAAATTTTGTAGCGGGAAAAATAAAACAACAACAAAAAATCCATTGTTTTTTATTTATATTTCTTGTTTTTCTTCTGTGACAACATATATTTGAAAATAGCTCGTACAAAGAGCTAACGTTCATGTTGAAATCACTTCTTTTTCAAGCTTTGCGATAGCAATGAAGATATTGTGATGTTTTTCACAGCTTTCTTTAGCGTAGGTTAGTTCTTATGAAATCTTACACGAAGAAGAAGTGTACCAGATTTTTTGTATAAATGGAAACCAGTAAGCGTTGTATAAGTTTTGAAGAAGCCCAGGAAGTCATTCGGAATATAAGAAAAAGACATTCCTCGACAAAAAGACATCTCACATCACCTCAATGTAATCTCAAGTAAAACAAGGTAAGTCTTCAGTTTAGTTTGGATCTGAAGAACCATCATAAAGTCATGGTTTATGTATTTTATTTTAGGGATAAAGCGCTTAAAAGATGACTGTCAGGAGTCTCGTCCACGACAAATATCCAATAAATCAGCGAACTTTCAATTCGATGGCAGAAATGAATCAAATGATAGATTCAACATTCCTTTCTCAAACATTGTTTCACAAACTCTGTCCTTGGAGAGAAAAGAAAATCACAAAACATCTTCAATAGCAAGAAGACTCCATGCTATAAAGAAGCATGGCTTAATGTATATAACTGCTACTATGAACCCAAAGAAAACTAAATTGTTTTAACTTTGAAACTTGTCTTGTTCAACAGGAAAGAAGAAAGAAGAACAGTATTGAAGTCAGCGTGCCATTCTGGTATTGAGAAAACTTATAATCGATTTAGTTTTTTACTACATGAACAACTATAATATATTTGTGTGTGTTTTTTTTCATATTACTAGGAAAATGCTCAGAAAACGAACAACAAGCATTCAAAATATTGGCGCCAGAGGAAAAGAAGAGCTTTCAATCCTCCAAAAAAGATTCAAATTGTCAACAAAAAGAAAGGATAGTTTCACGAGCTTTATCTCAAGCCACGATCACCTCATACTTACCTAAAATGAAAACAAAAAATTATGTCAACGATAATACTCAAAGCAAAAAGAGAGACGGTTTATTCTCGTCTTCTTCGTCAATTCAAGAAGTAAAAAGTATGAGCTTAATGGAAAGAGAAACGACAAAGAAAACCATCTTTTCCGCCAAAACTGTTGCATGCACTATCGTTTATAGCGATGGTTCCACTCTTCTTAATCCAAAATCAAATTGTACTGAGGTAATTAATATCGTAAGGAAAACACACGATCTATAAAACAGCTCTCCATTAACTGTCTTGACTTTACCTAGGTGAAGAAATTATGCATCAGCTGCACTAAAGATGACAGCGAAAACTCAACAGACGTTTCTTCTCATTTTACATTCTCATTTTCATCTCTTAACGAAAACACCCATCTATTTGAATACAATCATTGGTTAAGGTACTGTCCTAATTAAATCCTCTTCATCATAGTCAAAACTAAATCATTTGCTTTGATCATAGGGAGTTCATCTTTGCTCTGATGCTTACTGATTGCAACAAAGTCATTTTCGACGCTCAAAAATTCATGAAAACTATATTGAAAGCTTTTAGTGTTGGCAACGTTGAAGGTGAATGTTATAAATGGAAATATGGAGACTAGGAAGGGTGGTATTAATTGGAAATACTACTTTAGTTTGTTATCAGTTGTGTTGCTATGATCCAAAGATTGCTTCGTGGCTACTCCATCCAGACAATCATTTAGAAAACTATGAATATATTTTACACAAGAGTTTTGGGGAAAGTAACTCTTCAGGGATTAAAGTAAGTTCGATTTGAGTAAGATTTAAAATAATGCTTTCTAACTATAGAATCTAATAAAAAATATGAAGATTTAATCTAAGTATCGACAACGCTGTCCTCTCTGACCTCTCATTGCATGCTTCCACTTGTTTCTTTTATCATTCATTGTAGAATTCACGACATGACAATGACAATGGTGAGGATAGATTGAGGATGGTTATGTTATCATTGCTCACACTAATGACTCCTATGTTCACCACTCTTCAGGTTAGATTTCTGACCTATGTAAGCTTCACTGTAATAGTCATACGTCTGTATGATGTTTTTGATCTCATAAAGATGAGCATATGGTTATTTTATCATAGGAAAACAATCTTTGGGAACTTTTCTCCAAAGTTGAAATGAAGATTGTCCCTATTCTTGTTGGTATAACTTCACACTAATCTTTATTTGCCGATGTAAATTTTTCCATCTCATATATTATAAATTTTTTAAAGTCGCTGCTCAGATTTCCTTCTATATATCATTCTACATCCCTTCAGAACACATTAGATCCATTTATTTTACTACTTTATATACCTATATGTTCCATAGTGATGGAGACAGTTGGGGTTCGTATCGACAAAGATCTTCTCCAGGGTTATTCCAAAATTCTTGAGGTAGTTATTCTCATTTCTTCGTCTCATAATGTCGATGACCCAGAGATTTTCAACTGTACTTCACTTTATCTTTCATTATTACAGAAAAGATGAGGAGACTTGAGGAAGATGGAAACAAGGTAAAGTAAAAGTTTCTCGTTAAGGAAACATAGCAGAGTGAGATGGTATTTTTTGTCGTTGTTTGTTAAAGTCTGTGGGCAGTCAAGTTCATTTGAGCAGTACACATCAACTACGTCAAGTAAGTATTGTATTTGTGTTTGGTTAGCACAAACGTACTTACTTGAATAATACTTTTTCATCTTTTTAAATTTGATATTTGTCTGCTTCAGATTCTTTTCGGTGAGCTTCAACTGGACAAAAATATCGAAAAGAAAGTTGCTAGAACACAAATAAATAACTACAAATCAACTTCTGAAAACGTTGTAAGTCTAGCCTACGTTTCCACTTTTAGATTTAAAAAATCCACAAGTCTTTCGTTGTCTTCTCTGTTGTCATACATACACTTTTATTTTCCAACAGCTTAGGAAGCTACAAGATTTTCATCCTCTACCAAAAATTGTGCTGGAATACAGATCAGTATGTATAACAGATGATATGACATGTGTGTGGTGTTTGCTCCTCAATACACAACTAAATAAAGTTTACTTAACATCTTGTTTAACTAAAGGTAACGAAAGTGAAATCTGCGTACGTTGATGGCATTTTAAACTTTGTTCATAATGTGAGTAAGTTGATGATAAATTTAAGAGCACGTTATGAATGTAACGTATGTGTCTTTCAGTGAAACATCGTTTTAATCATTCACAGGGAACGTTGCACACCAGTTGGTAAGTTAATCTTTTATGTCCTCATCGATACCACTCTTGCCGAGAATAACACGCTGAAGACCTTCCTGATGCAGAAATAGCTTTGCAAGTGCACTTGATAGAAAATGAAAAATTTGAGAGCGAGGATTTATTGCAAACAGTTACCTCACTATACTGAAGTGATTGATTACCAAGGACATGGTGGAGAGATAACGTCATTTTCTTAGAAAAATATCTCTGTGACGTATAACTGCATGGTGTCAATGAAAATATTTTTTTTCATTATAGGAATCAAACATGTGCTGCTACTGGTAGACTAACATCAACGTGTCCTGTAAATGTTTAAAATTTACTTAATTTTTTTCCCTTTTAATATATATAAATTGTTAAATTTGAAGATGTCTTTTTTATACAAGCTATCCCAAAAAACTCGTTGGATGTATGCAACGTGGAGGAACCGTTTATGAAAGGTTACATTTAGTTTTCTTTTTATACATTTATGATTCTTTTTCTCTCATAATTGATATTTTATGACAATAAATCATTGTTCTCGGGTAAAGAGTTCGAAACGACATTGATTGTGCCAAGAAAAGCTTTCAAAAGTCGCGAAGGATGGTCGTTTATCTCTTCTGGTGTGTTTAAATAACAAATCTCTGACTATGATATTCGACTTTGTTGTTTCACTTATCCAAATTCTTAATTTTGTTTAAAGATTTTCAAAGTATTGAGTTGCGTTTGTTGACTCATTTCTCAAAAGATCCTTCCCTCCTTCGTATATTCAACGAATGTTCAAGTGATGTTTTTGTACATTTGGCCGCTACGTGGTTCGTACCTCATCAACAATCCCGGTGTCACGGTAAACACGTCATTGATCTCATTATGAACTTGATCATTTCCAGGTTATCAGTAAATCCAGATTCAGTGAAGAGCGTAGACAGGGAGCGAGCAAAACGCGTCGTTTATTCTGTAGTGTACGGAGTTGGTATGTTCATATTGAAAGATCTCAAGCTTTCTTCCATCATCAATAATTTCAAACTATTTTCATTTCAAGGCAAAGAGCGATTGGCTGATACTCTGAATGTTAGTGCAGAAGAAGCAAAGTCATTTACGACTAGTTTTCTTGGTACAATACGACCTATCCATATACTTTGCCAATTGAAGCTGTGAAACAATTCTCCTAAATATTCTTCGTCTTTCAGACACGTTCACTGGTCTTAAGATGTTCATTCAAAACTGCATTCAAACATGCAAAAGACAAGGTAGACTTTAAAAGAAATTTCGTACTTTCTCACACTTTTTCATTTGATCCACTTGGCGGAGACTCACATCTTTTTCACCCAGGCTACGTCACGACAATCTTTGGACGTCGAAGATTTCTACCATTTATAAATTCTAATAATGCACAGTTACGCCTTCAGTCAGAAAGACAAGCAGTCAACTTTGTAATTCAAGGTATCTGTCATTATCGTGAATCCCACCCCACCAATGTGTATAGTATTATGTATACTTATACCAGCAGTTTATTAAGTGTAATAATTTTAGGTTCCGCAGCGGATATTTGTAAAATGGGAATGATAAGTATAGCAAATGCCTTAGAAAGAAAAGATCTGAAAATTAAAGCTAGGCACGTGTCAGAACAAAAATCACTCAGTTAACAATGTATCTGTTTTATGATTTGACCTGCTGCTGCTGTACCTTTGCAGATTGCTCGTTCAAATTCACGATGAGCTTGTCATCGAAGTTCTTGATGAATGTCTTCATGATGTAAAGGGTATGTTGTTTTATTGCTTGGTTAAGATTGTTTGATCGTGTACCTTGTCCGATCTCTGTGTCTTTTTGTTGTAATCTTCACTTTAGAGTTGGTGAGAGCATGCCTTGAAAACACGAATGATCTTTGTAGTGGAAGGATGAAACTTAAGGTTAATTTTACAATGGCTTCACAATCGTTAGATTGAATTGACCATGACGTGTTTTTAATTACCAACTGTTTCTCAAGGGTGAAAAAAACTGACCAGTGTTCCAGTCAGGTGTTATAAAATAGCCCGAGTAACTGTCAATGATTCGTTTTGTTGCAGGTTGACATGAAGGTGTCATTGAATTGTGGAAAATCCTGGGCTGACATGCAACCACTGTGAATCATTCGATTTAATGTGGCATTATTGTGATTTAGAAACATTACCCTCGAAATATTTAAGATCAGTTTAAAAAATAATCGAAACGTTAAATGCAGAGTAGAATTTGAATGACCTTTCCCTACCTACCTACATTTTAAATGAAGTAGTTCTCCTCTCCTCCTACCCCCTTCTACCCCAGCACGGCAAAATTTAGCTTGGTCATGTGATAACTCATTTACTACAAAGCGACAAAGGTTTATTCTGCTGCTGACTACAGTAACTACACGTCATTGTGCTCAGTCAATGCCCACTAGGACAATAGTACCGGGAGTACTCTCCTCATCTGCATGTCACTACTTTATTTACAAACTGCAAATCAAAACATTGTTTATACATCGCCAAGTTTAAAGTACTTTATCGACTCGAACTTCAGCGAGGTACGTAAGGTAGGTAATTGACTCTCGTGTATCATATATTGTATGGGATATTACTTAAATTTTCCAGTACATGAATCAGTTGAATATCTTTTCAATGGACCTTTAGAAATTTTGAATTGTGTTGTTGCAATGAAAATTTAAATCCTTTTTCACTATTAAACGGCATTCTTCAGACTTTGGTACAAATATTTAAAACTTTACGTGTTACATTAAATGTACCATTATCTACTTTAATTAAGCTCTTATAAGCTTTATTAGAATCAATCATAATCATGGCTGTGTTGATGACTCATCATTGTGATATTACAGTCTAGTTCAATTATATAAACATGGCAGAAATACCAAGACTTCCAAATGGAAGAATTAATCTTGATAAACCAAGATATGATCAAGAATCTTTTTGGGGTCGTGCCAAACATTTCTTTTCGGTGACCGATCCGAGAAATCTTCTTCATTCGGAAGCTGAGTTGGACCGCTGTAAGAATCTATTACTAGCATACAGGTAATTTTGTGCATGTAGAGATGTATTCTTGAATGTGATGTGATAGTAATCACATTGTTTTATTTCTAGGAATAATTTAGAACCTCCTGGAACTACGGATGAGGACATATTTCATGCAAAAAGATATATGAATCTGCATTTCATCCTGAGACAGGCGAGAAGCAGTTTCTTATTGGTCGGATGTCAGCACAGGTTCCCTGTAACATGACTATTGTTGGGTTTATGATGACATTTTATAAGTATGTCAATATATGGTAATTGTGATTGCACTCTCTTGTCAATTATTGCATCTCAATTGTGGGATTTTCTTTTGTGTATCCTAGAACTCAACCTCAAGTATTTTTTTGGCAATTCATCAACCAGTCTTTCAATGCAATTGTGAACTATACAAATAGAAGTGGTGACAGTCACATAACAGATAAGTTAGTTTTAATAATTTTCAGTTAGCAATAAATGTCCACTTAGTAATTTTGTTTCTCTGTATTTCATGTTTTTAGACAGTTAGGGCAGGCATTTGTAGCTGCAACAGTATGTGCGACTGGTGTAGCCTTGACGCTCAATTCACTTGCAAAAGTACATATGCATACTTTTATTTATAACTGCAATATCATGCATATGCTGTATCCTTCTTAACTTACTTTTATAGAAAGCACCACCTCTTGTGGGAAGATTTGTTCCATTTGTTGCTGTTGTGTCTGCTAACTGTGTGAATATACCTTTAATGAGACAAAGGTGATTTGGAGTTAGTATTGTATCATATTATTCTTTGTAATTATATTTCAGTTATGTGTTTGTAGGGAATTAAAAAATGGTATTCCTGTGTATGATGAGGATGGCGAAAAGCTTGGTATTTCAAAGGTGTCAAAGTCAAATGATATTTGTGGAAAAGTTCTTAAATGAAATCTTACCATTTTGTTATTTTACCTTTCAGTATGCAGCAAAGTTAGCTGTTCCTAGTGTTGTGTTGTCAAGAGTTATTATGACAACTCCAGGAATGAGTATGTCTTTAAATAACATGTACATTTTAACAAAAGCTTTCCGATTGCTTGAAGATGTGCTTCTTTCCTTTTAGTTTTTCCTCCATTTATCATGCATCGCTTAGAATATACTAAATTTATGAAAGTATGCTCAGCTCTCTCATTTATTTTTAAAGGCTTGTGGCTCAACTCAGTCTCTTACTTCTGTTTTTTTTTTAATTGCTTTATGATAGAGATTACCATGGACAGCATCTCCTATACAAATATTTCTTGTAGGTTGCTGGTAAGACTTCTATATGTATATTGTAGTGTTATAATACCTCAATGTACATGAAAATTTTATCTTTTTACAGCCTTGTGTTCGCCACACCAATGTGCTGTGCCATCTTCCCACAAAGATTGTGAGTTTGTAATCACCAGTAAAATCTAAAATTCTACCCCATTCTAAAAAGCGGAAAGCACAACTTAAAACAATATTTCATGTTTCATTCATGTCATAGTGCTTTAGTACTGCTTCATAATTGCATACCATTGCATATGATGGTAAATATATTAATGGCTTTTGTTTTAGTGCAATACCATTTCATAGTATTGAAAAAGAACTACAAGATGAATTGAAGAAGCAAGATAAAGAATATGATTATGTTTATTTTAATAAAGGACTTTGATAAACGCATCACAATTTTTATGAATATAGCAAACATAGACCATGGGGGCATTATTATATATTTAGGAGTCATGTACGTTACAAGGTATAAGATTGTATCAAAAAATAAATCTTTTTTAACATTATCGAATGAATGAAAATCTTTATTTTGACACCAATAAAAAATTGCAAAAAGAAATGGAAGAAAGGTTTGTCATAAAACTTGCAGATAATTCTTCACTGTGTTTTATTCTTTAAAAAATAACAAATTAACTTGCTTTTCCTTTGGTGATTCCATCTGCGATTTTGCGCGCTAATTTCAAGTAGAAAGAGATCTTCATGATGATTGGTCAATTTTAAACAATCGGAACTGAATTTGATTTGTTTTTAATACGAAAAGTTCATTGGTCAGATTTGTACCAAGCACGTATTTGTTGTAAATGTACGTGTCAAGTGTCATGTCTCTTTCCCTGTCGCTTTGCCATCATAATATGTATTTTTTTGATAAAGTTATTCAGTTTGGCCTATAAACAAAGAATTATGACGGCAAGATAAATTACAAAACTTTTAGTTGATCAACTTCCTTACTTAATAACCACTGTTTCAAAGATTCAACTTTAAGTCTGGGCTCAAAGTTCATTTGGGGAGGGCAAGATTTGGCTCAGGATTTCCGACCAAAATTTAACAGAAAAGATGGCTGTTGCGAAGAGGAAAGTTTGTCTAATTGTCATTGATGGATGGGGTGTGAGCGAAAACACAGAAGGTATTTATAGTGAAAACAAAGCACTTTTCTTTTCTCTCCATAGCACGAAGCAAATTGCAATTTGACAATATTGGTCTGACAACAAAAATTACGTAATCTGTCTGTTTTATTTTAGTGCAAATAAAGCAGAGAATCAGGGTTTTACGTCCTGAGCCATAGAATGTTTTATTATTTCTTGATGACTTTTGATGTTATGAAGTTCTCAACTGTCAATATTTTTGTAACGTTTTAAAATTTAGATGGTGGTATGTAAGTAATGTTGATGCATAATTGTTCATCACAGATAGAGCCTTGTTATTAAAGTTACACTCACAGTTGCTAAATTTATTTTTGGTTCTATTATTGCCAAGGTAATGCCATTTACCATGCAAACACACCAGTCATGGATGCATTTGAGAAGAACCCAGACCAGTACCTAACTCTGGATGCATCAGGCTTGGCGGTAGGACTACCAGATGGGCTTATGGGTAACAGTGAAGTTGGCCACTTAAATATTGGTGCAGGGAGAGCAATTTATCAGGTTTGTGACGTTATGAGAAACTCTTGTTCAACAGACCAACTATATAATCTTGTACTGCTTTATCCTTGATAAAGGACATTGTTAGGATAAACAAAGCTGTCTACGAAAAGACTCTTATACATAATAAGAACCTCATTGCTGCTTGTACCAGGGCAAGAATGGGAAATGGTCGTCTTCATTTTCTTGGTCTTGTGAGTAAAAGATTGTTGTGTGTTTACTTTTGGTTTTAAAACCTAATGATAGATGATCAAAATTATGTCTTTTAGGTAAGTGATGGTGGAGTTCATGCTCATATTGATCATCTGTTTGCATTGATGGAGTGTGCAAAAGAGCTAGGAGTCCCAGAAACATTCATTCAATTTTTTGCTGATGGCCGAGATACCAGGCCCACAAGTGGAGGTAAGCTTTTCCTGAAGATTTGTGTATTATATTGTCTACTGAAACATTTCATCACACACTTCTCAGATTTTAATTTTTAGTGTATCACAGATTTGTTATACACATGCGTATTATGTTGTTTTTTCAAGTTACCTATGTGCAGCAAGTTTTGGATAAAATAGCAGAACTTAAATATGGGTCGCTTGCATTAATTGTGGGTCGTTATTACGCCATGGATCGTGATAAAAGATATGAGAGAATCAAGATTGCTTATGAAGGAATAGTTGAAGGCATTGGTGAAGAGGCATCTGCAGACACTGTTATTGATGTATGTTGTTAAGAGTTTATCACTTTAGAAATGTGACCTTAGTTTTTGTTATGCTTGTGATATGTCTTACATAAATCTCAGGTTATAAAGAAGCGTTATGAAGCCAAAGGAAATGAACGTCAAACTGATGAATTTCTCAAACCTATAATAGTTGATCCCGATGGACGTGTAAGAGGTTAGTTTATAGTGTCATTTCTTATTTATCTCATACATCCTCTATCCTCGCTACTTTTAAAGCATCATTTGGTGGCAAAATTGTTTTAGATAATGATACTTTGATATTCATTGATTATCGGTCTGATCGGATGCGACAGATCTCTGAAGCCTTTGGAATAAAACCTCAATTTGAGACAACCAAGATACCTAAAGACATTGTAAGTCCAACCTAGACATTATTAAAGAAACAACTTTTTAATTTCATGATTGTTACACAGGTTTAGTTTTGCCCGTTGACTTGCTCATGATTGATTTCAGTGTGGTTCTTTCTCTAGAGTGTATATGTAATGACTCAGTATAAGAAGGAGTATCCATTTCCAATATTATTTCCTCCTGAAGTTCCTAAAAATGTTCTTGCTGAATGTTTGGCATTGAATGGCGTTCCTCAATATCATGTTGCAGGTATGGCATATGGTGCTGTTACAATATTTCAATACCAATTTTAATATTGTTATAAGCTTTGCTGACTCATTATTAATTCACCAGTACTTCTCCCAATTGTTCAGTAACATCCCAATCTACCCTAGCAACATCCTTATCTGAACTATTGATAACCTTTTCTATACTGGTAACATTCCTATCTTCATTATGTAGCAAGATCCCCATCTGGATTAGTAAAATCCCCTTTCTCACTAGTAGCATTCATCTACATTAGTAAGACCACCATTTGGCCGAGAGAAAAATGTTTTTAACCAGCAGGAATTTTACATTTCTTTAATAAAATAAAGTCATTAAATGTTTTATTTCTTATTTAAAGAAACAGAGAAATATGCGCATGTGACATTTTTCTTCAATGGTGGTCAAGAAGCACAGTTTGATGGTGAAGATAGAAAGTTGGTACCCTCACCAAAGGTTGCCACCTATGACTTACAACCTGAAATGAGCTGTGAGGGAGTTGGAGAAGAGGCAAGTTTTTTATGGATCTAGAAGTGAATATAGGCAGTAGCATAAAGGAAAAAATGTTATCTAAATCCAATAATGATGGAATTTATATTTCTGCCTTGTAGTAGCTTTGATCGAATCTATTTATAAACAAGATATTTCAATCCCTACTTGTGGATAGGTAAAGAGGAAAAAGAGCTTAGGAAGATAGCCCTGTTTGCATGATATCTTCCTTATCCCTCATTATCTTCCTTATTGTAGTATTATCCCTCATTATCCAAGGATAATCTCTCAAAGCATTGCAAGAATACTTAGTTTTATTTATCAAAGGTTTGTGCTGGTATTCGCTGTGGTAAATATCCATTCGTCATGTGTAACTTTGCTGCCCCAGATATGGTTGGACACACAGGAGCATATGAGCCTGCTATCATAGCTTGTTCTGCTACAGGTAAAAATTGTGGGATTGACAAGAGGGAAAGAGAAATGAAAGTGGTTTCATTTGATCTCATCATCACATGATCTCTCATCGTGCTTATTGTTTGCTTCATTGATTATAGATTTAGCTATTGGTAAGATTAAAGCAGCTTGTGAAGAAAATGGCTATATTCTATTTATTACTGCTGATCATGGTAATGCTGAGAAGATGTTCAGTGAACAAGGTGGCCCACACACAGCACATACAACTTATAGAGGTATGGGAGTGGGACTTTTCCTTTGCTTGTGGAATTCATATCATCCCCTTCTTTATAATATTGTATTGTTTTTCATTTAGTACCACTGATTATGTACAATACAAATTTAAAGTTAGCTTGCCCTAATGGTTATAATGCTGCTTTATGTGATGTTGCCACAACAATACTTGATGTTATGGGTATTGAACAACCACCGCAGATGACTGGTCGTTCTCTAATCTCAAAATATATCTGAGTTAATGAATATAATTATGTAGATATATCGATATAGAATTCCTGCTTTTAGAAAGCTGCAAACATTATTTTTCTTTTGACTTTTGATGAGTCATTGCATATATGGCACGTGACCTTGTATGGGCCAACGGAAGTGGCGTAATTAATCATAATAAATATTTTTATTATTGATCAAATGCGAAATGTACAAATATTTTTGAAAATTACATATTTAAAGTCTATTTCACTTAGAAACACGTGTTTTTGGAAGTTGCTCTAATTTTGGCTCATTCAAAAAGGCAAAAATAATGTTTAATAAGTTGGCATGCAAAGTAAATGTTTACTCATTTCTGTCGAGAAAACTATTGGGAACGTCGACACGTTGCACTCAGTTATCTTCTCAAGAAATATTTCAACGTGAAGATACCTACGGAGCTCATAACTATCATCCATTGCCTGTTGCTTTGTGCAAAGGAGAAGGTGTGTATGTTTGGGATGTCGAAGGAAAGCGTTATTTAGATTTTCTTGCCGCGTATTCCGCTGTGAACCAAGGACATTGTCATCCTAAAATAATTGAAGCAATGAAAAAACAAGTGGAGAGGATAACTTTGACTTCAAGAGCATTTTACAATGATGTTTTGGGTGAGTTGCAATCAAGTTTCAAAGATGCATATTTGTACAAAATTTGCAACATTTTTGTTGTACTATAAGATATATATATATATGCTAGCTGTGTCTGGTTTATAGTTGTTATAGTTCCTTGCCGAGGAATTTGTGAAGATTTAGTTCACATTTGGAATTTTATAACTTATGTGTGTTCTACGTTGCCACAGAGTTGCTGGACGAGCCTCAAAGCAAATTCTAATGTTTGGGGCAGAATGAGATATTCAGTTTATGGCAACAATCTTTATAGATCTTCAAAAACTCAGGACAATTTTAAAGAATTTTCCACCTTTTCATTGCATTTGTGTGATACAATCATTTTTTCTTTTTCAGGTGAATACGAAGAATTTGTCACCAAACTATTTGGTTATGATAAGTTGCTACCAATGAATACTGGTGTTGAAGGTGGGGAAACAGCGATAAAATTAGCTAGGAAATGGGCATACAAGGTCAAAGGAGTTCCCAAAAATGAGGCAAAAGTGGTGTTTGCATCTGAGAATTTCTGGGGACGAACATTAGCTGCATGTTCATCATCTACTGATCCTGATTGTTATGAAGATTATGGACCATTCATGCCTGGTTTCGAAATTGTACCATATGATAATCTTGAGGCATTAGAGGTGAGTACAATGACTTCACACTCATTTCCATTTTTACTGCCATTTATATAACATCTATATTTAGGTCAGCTTTAAAGATCCAAACACTTGTGCCTTTATGGTTGAGCCAATCCAGGGTGAAGCTGGTGTCATTGTACCTTCACCTGGTTATTTGACTGGTGTTAGGAAGCTTTGTGACAAGTATAATGTTAGCAAGAAAAAATTATCAAATAACTTTATGTATCTACCTTGACACAAAATTATTGCTTCCTTAAAAATTTAATACATATGTTATTTCAAATAGGTATTGTTCATAGCAGATGAAGTTCAGTCTGGCTTGGGTCGCACAGGAAGGTTTTAATAGATTGACAAAGTTAATATGTATCTTTTGTTTGGAAATGTTAAGCATCTTTTTTGTTTAAAGACGTCTTGGTGTGGATCATGAGGAAGTAAGGCCGGATCTTGTAGTTCTTGGAAAAGCTCTATCTGGTGGATTGTATCCTGTAAGACACATAAAGTATAAATAAAGCTAATTGTATTTTACAAATCCATAATTTCTTTTTGAAATGGCAGATTTCTGCAGTTTTATGCGATGATGAAGTCATGATGACCATTAAACCAGGCGAGGTTAGTTGCTATTTGTAGAGAATTTGACATTTGATACTGTTGTAATGATTCTTTTTCTTGTGAAAATGGAGGCTTGATTTTGATGTATAAAATTATGTGAAATATGTATTAAAATAACTTTTATTCCTAATAAAGCATGGATCTACCTTTGGAGGCAACCCTCTTGCCTGTAAAATTGGCATTGCATCTTTAGAAGTAAGCGAACTTGTGATGGATTATGGATTGTTTTGAGTTAATTTTTAAACATGATCAGAACTATGTGATAGGTCTTGGAAGAAGAAAAGCTTGCTGAAAATGCAAGCAAAATGGGTGATATCCTTCGTGCTGAAATCTCATTGCTAAATCATGAGATAGTCACAGATGTTCGAGGAAAAGGTTTGTTCACTGGAATCACAGTAAATGAAGTCAATGGTAAGTGTGTTAATTCTACATTATGACATAACCTATAAATTGAGGAAATTTACATTGATTAAACATATGCCTTAGGTGTTGATGCATGGGAAATTTGTCTTAGACTACGCAATAATGGTCTTCTTGCCAAGCCTACTCATGGTGATAAAATACGGTTTACTCCACCTTTGGTGATTAAAGAGGAACAAGTTTTTGAAGCTGTTGAGATAATGAAGAAAACACTGGATTCTCTCTAGATTATACACTGTGTGTAAAATATATGACCTAGTGTAACTATAAAACCATTGATATTGCAATGAGCAATGAGTTTGGAATTATTTGTACGAAGAATGTAGAAACAAAAAGTATCAATTCTTTTGATTTGTGGTGGCTCTTAAAAGAGCCGTTTTGTTGTTGTCTGTGAAAGACAGAAATTTATTTCTTTGATGTCTTTTTACCAGCTGGCTTCTTTGTTGTCTTCTTTGGCGTTGGTTTTTTCCCTGCCTTCTTTGCCGGAGATTTCGCTTTACTTTTCTTTACTCCTCCTGCTGGTTTGCTGGGCTTCTTTGTTGGCTTTTTAGCTGGCTTCTTCTTCTCGGAGACTTTTTTCTCCGAAGCTTTCTTTGCAGGCGGTTTCTTCGCAGGTGACTTCTTGGTTTTCACTGGTTTCTTGGCCGCTGGCTTCTTAACGACTGCCTTCTTAACGACAGGCTTCTTTGCCTTCTCTGGTTTTGCTTTGCCGGCTTCAGTGAGGGCAAATTTGAATGGTCCACCATTTCCTTCCTTGATTTTACCATCATCCTTCAATGATTTGAGACTTTTTGTAACATTTTTGGAACAACCATTTTCGCTGATTTTCTCGTAGTTTGCTTTGATGTATTTAACAATCGCCTGACGACTGGATCCTGATCTTTCTTTTAATCCAGCAATAGCTGCACAAACCATCACAGAATACGAAGGATGAGATGCTTTCTTCTTAGGAACCTTCGACATTTTTGTTAAAACCGACTATCTCTGTGCGCAAATAATGTTACCTATTGTGACGAACGTTTGATAATGAAATAAAATTCAATTCAAATTTCGCGCTTGTTTATAAAGTCTGTTGGTCGGACGGCTGCGTAGACTCAAGCAAAACATGGCGGACGAATTTCATGCAATTTGTGTTTCTTTTGAATCTTTAGCAGGAATTTTTGAACATGTTGTTCACTCAAATTTTAATATGGATAGACTGTCTGAAAGATCAAAACGTGAATATTCAGATGGTTTGACTTTTGTTACGACTTCGATCACGGCTGCATCGAAATTTGATAATATAAGCGATAGTGTACTCCTTTATACTTGACGTACATGTCGTTTAAACGAGTGTAGAACAAGAATGAGAATAGTTTCGATTATTTTCACTCGCTAAGTGTGTTCATCGAGATACAGGTTTTTCATACGTTGATTTTCTGTCGCTCATTCCCTTTGGTTTTTCATAAATTTTCAGTAGAATTTTATACGAAAACACATCGTCTTTTTTTTGGGGTGCTACAAACCCCAAAATCACTATAATTTTTCCCACAACCTGTGAATTTGAAGTATTCTATTCACCATTCCCAAAGATATCTGACACAAAGCGATAAACAGAAAATTAGTCATAATTTCGGTCTGCGATAGCTTTAAAATATATATGTGTGAGCTTCTAACAAAAATGGATCAAAATCTGACCTAGGTACACACACCAACAGCCAATGAAAACGAGAGTTTTTACAGCCAATCATAGAACGAGATTCTAAACCAATGGGAGTCTTAGCTCTTTGTTTTAAGTAAACCAATCATAATGGTCTTTTCAAGAGTATATATAACGAGGCGCTCATTTTGAATTATTATCTTGTTCTCGTTCAACAAACTCTCGCTCTCGCGGTCGTATAGCAAAATATTTTGGCTTATTATTGAAGAAGAATGGCTCGTACTAAGCAGACAGCTCGTAAATCAACTGGTGGTAAAGCCCCAAGAAAGACTCTGGCAACGAAAGCTGCGCGTAAAAGTGCTCCAGCTACTGGTGGTGTGAAGAAACCTCATAGATACAGGCCTGGAACCGTCGCTCTTCGTGAAATTCGTCGTTATCAAAAATCGACTGAGCTTTTGATTCGCAAACTGCCCTTCCAACGTTTGGTTCGTGAAATTGCTCAAGATTTCAAGACCGATTTGCGTTTTCAAAGCTCAGCCGTGATGGCTTTACAAGAAGCTAGCGAAGCTTACCTTGTTGGTTTATTTGAAGACACAAACTTGTGCGCCATCCACGCCAAACGAGTTACGATCATGCCTAAAGACATTCAGCTGGCAAGACGAATCCGTGGTGAACGTGCTTAAGTCGTTTAATAATAAAAACAAATACAAACCGGCTCTTTTAAGAGCCACCAAACTCGTTAAAGAATAAGCGTTCTTCAACGTGGTTTTCATAACAACCAAACATTCCGCCAAAATATACCGACTAATTGCTTTGCTCTGTAAAGTTCAGACTGCTTGCCTGCGATATTTTGTTCTTGTTTAAAGCATAACTGTTTAAATACTAAAATAAAACACAGATTTTCTCTGGCGCGCTACAATGATTGTTTATACGCTTCGTAATTGTAGGCAAATAAAATACAGACAGCTAAAAATGTGGTAAGTTCAATCTCGGCTGAGGCCGCAAGATGATAATGAAATACAGCATACAAAGATCCATTTGCATCTGAGTTGGTTCTGTTGATTACCAGGGTAAATGTGCTAAACATGAATCTCATGTCAAACAACTACGATATTTTATGTATATTTGGAACCTTATTTTATATCATACAAAATTTAGAGAAAAAACTCGATTCGGTCTCAAAGATGGCGGACTCCTTGAATTTGACATTTTTGAGCACTTTCCACCAAAAGACTGGTAACTAAAGTGTGTGCAATGGGCTGGTAGGTCACTGCCTCACTGGTAATCTGTCGTGCATACAATTTTCACTGGTACCATTTAACGATGACAATGTATAATAACGATACACAATGCTCTCATTACAATTGCGTTAATATTCTGACAAATTGAAATGCCTATTTCATTACTTTATAATTAAATTTTTAACTTGATTGGATTTGTCTCTCCAAAGTAGTCCCACACATTAAGGTATGTGGGACTAACTGTACTTAGATCACAATTCTTATAATTTTTAGGATTTAACATGATCTGGAAAACTAAATAAAATAATATTTTGCGCAGTTCTGTTTTTTTCCCATTTACAGTTGGGCAAAAATGTTCATTAAACATTCGTGTATTTATTCATGAAAGATGACACTAGATATAAATGCCTCATCTGTCGCTACGATTACTTGAAGCGACATTACCGAAAGGCATTTTAGAAATTTAGTTGATACCAATACGCTGTGTTGAACAAGATACTGTTTGTAGAAGGATCGTATCCATATATATCAACGAATGCCACTGTTTATCCACGTAACGAAATGGGAAAATGATAGGAATTTACGTTAATGGTGCACTTAATGAATAGTCAAATAAGATGAATTGTGATGCAAAATAAAAGCCGTGACCTGTCGTCATATTAACGACGCTTGCTTGTTTGTAAATAATGATTAGCGAAGTTGTGGTATTCGCATGGATGAAGTTATAAATGGGAGTATGTTTTGTTTATTTGAACGTATAGATTTGTGATTGCATATCAAGGTTCCGTTGTATGTTGCTATGAATTCACCAGTTTCTTCCTCGAGAAACGCTGACAGTTTACAAAAGTTTCAACGCGATGTCTCGAGGCTGTTGACTGATCAAGACAGAGATTACCTTCACGATGTGCTAAAGGATTTTTATTCAGGCAGATCTGTCGAACGTTTGGTATCGAGTTTAAAATCATGCCTTGACACTCCGAAGAAAATGGATTTACTTGTAGACATTCGCAATCTCTTACCAGCAAATTATCGAAGTAAATTTGACTCACTTGCTCCTTACAATTTTATGTCTAAACCTTTTCGGCCACCGAGCTTATCAAACAGTCAAAAATCGGGTTCTTCTCATCCCTTCAGGTCTAAAACAAACGGCAGTTTTTGTGTAGTAAATTTACAAAAATCTGACCCAGATGCCAGTCTAGGATTCTCCATACGAGGTGGTCGTGAGTACGGGACAGGTGTGTACATTTCAACCATCGACGAAAATACTATGGCTCGCAAAGAGGGTTTGAAAATTGGTGATCAAATTATTGAATGCAATGGAATGGATTTTGAACATATCACACACACCTCAGCTGTGAAATTGCTATCCAGTATTACGAAAGTGAAGCTTGTTGTTAAATCTGAAGGGAGATTGCCTGAGTTCAATGAAGTTAAAGCTGGATTTTCTTGGTACTGATGTCTGTCTTAATGTGTTTAGATAAGTCTCGTTATTACTTCTTTCGTTTGCTTCATTTAATTTACTAAAAAGTTATAAGCATATCAATAATCAAACCTAAATCTTCAATCACTTCAGCCATATCACATTTCGAAACATTGTATTCATTACCTAACTAATTATCAACTATCCATCTTTAGGATGGATGCAAATGGTTTACCCGTAGAAGATAGTTTGAATGATACTGACGATAGCGATAAGGTAATTCAGTATCGCGTTGTTGGCTGTCAAATCGCCAATGCAATAAAAAGTACTTGATCTTCTTGATCTTCGTGTAGGAAAGCATTGATCAACACATTCCAGATTTTCAGTCAAATATTAAACTTTTGCACAGCATCGATGAAAAGAGAATAGATTTTACGATAAATGAACTTAGCGATGGTTTCATTGGTTTCAATCTACGAGGTGGAAAAGAATACGGTCTGGGAATTTACGTTTCCAGGTAAGATCTTCTCAAAGTGAACATTGAACTCGACACAAGAATCTTCATTTTATAATCCTCTCTCTCTCAGGGTTGACAAAGATTCCGTCGTTGAGCAAGCTGGTTTACAGGTTGGCGATCTTATTCTTGATGTAAACGGGACTAGCTTTGAAAGTATTTCACATCAAGCGGCTGTGGACTTTATGAAATCACAACATCGCGTCATCATGAGAGTGAAGGTAAAGACAAATACCTTTTACCACCATTTCTACAATATAGGTTAAAACAGCTGATAAAATTGCAATCAACACCAATTTTCTGCAGTCGACGGGGATTTTGCCTGCAGCAAAGCTCATCTACTCTGACGTCAGCTGGGTCTATCCTGATGGAGCAGAAGCAAACGGTAAAGTCGTGTATTCTTCGCGCCATCTGCAAAATTGTTCTTAAATATTCACGTCTGCTTTACACAGTATCACAAGAGATGAAACAGAATATGTCGATGTTGCAAGTACCAGTCCCCTGCTCGTTGAACACATCCCATAGAGACTCTAGCATTCAAGTGGATCTTCTTGGATCCAGTCCTTCTCCGACTCCATCTCTATCGCGATCAGATATTGGTATACAGGCAACCCCTCTTGACGAAGGCACTCAAGGTAGTAGCTTTATCTTCATGTTTGGCCATTTTCAGCCCGATCAAAATCGTTATTAATTATATAAGTATTGGCCTTACTTTGTTTTAGAGGCTATGAATACGTCTTTACCATCGCAGACAACAACAGATCTGGAACAGACGCCAGTTAGCGCCGTGGAAGCTAGTGATGATCAAACATTTTCTCATATATTCGAACCAAGTCCTTATGAAGCCATGCAATCTGCTAGTTCCTATGTGAACAGCGAGAACACGAAGACGGCAAGGCTAAAAGGTGGTGACGAAGAGTCGGGTGGAAGTGTGAACGAACGCAGTTCAAATGGTAGTGGCATAAGTGGAGAGGATTTGATTGGTCGTGATGTAGAAGATGGGAAAGGAAGAAAAAAGAAAGTGAAGAAATCGAAATCTTTTCTTCAGAAACATGGTAATAAAATCAAGGCAAAGTTGAGTTTTGGAAGACGAGGTGATCAGAACAAGAAAGTTCGAAAGAAAGGTTTGTGTACAAGTCTTTGATTTTGCTCTTTGTTACTTGTGAAGTTTGTGTAAAAACAGTTTTCGTGAAAATCTTTCACTCGTTGCTAAAATTTCTAGTGGTTTGTAATGAAGAAATGGTCAAGCATGTTGACACGAGAAGCAAAAATCTTCTGGATGTCAAGGATTATAACAATGTTATGACGCATGTGAGAATGGTACGAACATTTTAAATCAGTAAATTCTAATGATAAGTTGTCGCGATATTTTAATCAAGTTAATTTTTTTATCGTTAAGTACAAAGATAAGGAAGTTGACGTCGAAGGACTTGTGAATAGTTTACTGTTAACACTTGATTCACCGCGAAAAGCGATCCTTCTTCGAGACATCAGGTGCAAAATATTGCAATGTTTTGTACAAAAATATTTCTCTCCCTATTGTGATACAGGGATTGTGTTTCAAATTTACCAAGCTTCTTTTGTTATCTTGACTTTGATTTTGATGTTTGTGTGTTTCAGAGCGATTGTCGTACCTTACGATGTTGGGAGATTTGATGCAATGACCTCAAACCGTGAAGTTGAAGCACTGGAGTTCTATGGTAACAAAGCTCCAGGTATTTCAAATAATAATAGCTTTATCAAAGCATTGACTTTGCATCTAACTACTGTAGATTTCTTGCAAGACAGACATGTTTATTTTCTTGTATCATTTCCGTCATAAGATTGTCACAGTGGTCAGATTAATGTTTTACACTTGTAAATACTTGGAGCAAGTTGAATTCGTATGAATTCTTTTTTCTTTTAGTCTCTCCCGTTCTTGACGACAATGCAGTTCAAGCCAAACCTAAGAAAACATTAGTAGAAGCCGTTCAAGGTTGGTTTACAGTGTGTAAACAATTACTACTTTTATAATACTTTAGTTGTATGTCTTTTGAGAAAGGTTGAACTATTGTATTTAGACAGCCATGGTAATTTTCAACTGCGTACAAGAAGCGAGGCGGAACTCATCAAAAAGACCAGAGAAGAATTAAAGAAGGAAAGACTTGCGTTGAAGGTTCAAGGTTCTTCAATCTTGGAGCGAGAGGCAAAAAAGACTGATTACGACAAATCAACATGGTCAAAAAACAACAACATTGAAATGAATCCAATTATTCAAGGTATGTGGAACTCGTTGTAATGCTGCGTGTCTACGCTATCTCAGTTTTATGTTATTTTCTTGCAGTTGTAGACGCTTCAAGTGATTCACCCCACCTTACGACCTTTGGTGTGCCTTTACCTCCATCTCCTCCACCACCTGCAAAACTACCTGAAGTTGAAGTGACAGAAACGTCTTTCGAAGATCACTCAAATGATTCAAACATTGGAAATTATCTTAAAGTGCCCGACAGCCCTAGCAATGAACATCGGAGAGCAATAGCTGATAATCAATTATGTTTTGATTTGCCAAAGATTCGAACAAGCATGGGTTAGACGATGTTTCACATAGAGATATTACAATAATACAGGAATAATTATGTTAAGGTGAATTGTAAACTTTTTTTGTAGGTATAAGCATTTCTGGGGGAAGTGGATCCCGGGCTCAACCTGAGATCCGCATTGAAAAAGTTTTTCCGGGGGGTGCAGCTGAAGATGATGGTACATTACAGGTGAGACTATGCAAATACAGGGGTGTACTGGAGAGGGATAGTTCGAAGGGAGTCAATCTCCTTGTTAAAATCTATGTCGAGTTTGGGAAACTTATCATGGTATTTGTCAGAGAGCCCTTATTTAAAAGTTTGCCAATGACACAAAGTAGCTACAATTTTGATTAATTTCTTACTTGTGTTCAAACTTTTCAATTTAGCCTGGTTGGGAATTGATTTCGGTCGATGGAGAAAGTTTAGTTGGTGTAAGTCATTCAGAGGCTGTGGACATTATAAGACGATCTTACAATGATAAATCAAAAACTGTAATGAAAATTGCTTGCGTACCGACCTAGCGACAGGTGATTCGTGTAAAATATAGCAAACATCCTGTGATTTGTTTGTTTTATGTGTCGTTGTAGATTCTTATTTAAAATTGATCACGGCATTATGTAAATAGCTGTTGGATGCTGATTAAAGTAATATGAAGAGATATTTGATATTTCTACGGTAATTTGATCCCATGGAGATAAATCATCAACAGCTACATGTTTTAAATTAAACTGTATTAGCTTCAAACATCAAATACAATACTTGGATATGTTGTAAAATTATAATTCTAAAGTTAGTATTATCATAATGTGCGTCGTGTCGTTAACTGCTTTGGTGTGAAGATGAACTAAGGACCAGTAAAGAAAACTTGAGCATGAATCCCTACACACAATGCGTTTTATTTAATATTTTATTTCTCACATCCAATGGCTTGACTAATAATGGCGTTGAGCAAGTTTTAGGTAACTGGATGGAGTGGTCACGGTGGACATCTTGCTCAGAAAAGGAGTATTGTCTTGAAGGAATACGAGAACGGAATCGTGACTGTGAAAATAATAAAAGATGCGTTGGTATTGAAGCAGAAGCTGAGATGTGCCCACATGTACTTTGTAAAGGTTTGTCTGGCATTTTGAAATGTCACACGAAATACAGCGAATTTAATAAGTCAGGTTATGCTCTTGTTGCTGAATATTTTCCAAATCTTTAGGTCGAGTGAAGAAACTAGACACGAAACATGCAGATATACATTCCTTTATTGCGGAAGAGTGTTCTACTACGACAAAATATCTAGTGACAGGACGATATAGCTTTTTAATTAGACATAACATCACTAGAATGTTTCCACTCACCAAAGATATCATCGAAAACAGTTACTTTAACGTAAAAATCACGCCAAAGACTTTATCATCAGAGTATGATATTTACCGGGTAAGTCAACAGACTAAGCAAAGGTGAGATAAAACATAGTGAATCCCTAATCGTGACTTCAATTCCGATTGATTAGCAACGTCCATCTATGTTGAATTTATTAATATTATAGTAAACGCTGTGTCTTTGATAATGAACATCAATACCAAATATTCTATATGTTTACATCATAAAAACTCACAGACTAAAATTTTTCCTCCTTTAGTACTGCTTTGAGCCTGAGGATCGAAGTATTTCTTTGGAATACTTAAAGAGTGTTATGTACTCTGGTTCTTTGCGTTTTAAATACGCTTCTCTTCAATGTCCATTAAAAGAACCTGTGAATCCTACTTATGTGTCGGGTTTCGTGTTGGGGTTTTATTCAAATGGTGCTCACTATGGATTATACATACAAGTAAAAGACAAATATTCCTTTAAAGTTGTTTACTATAAGCACATGCGAGGCTCTCGTACCGATGCCTACAATCTTATCTGGGACTAACATCACAACAGTTTTTTGGAGAAAGATTTATTTCTACGTTATAACACACACAAAACGAAAATATTTTTATTCCAAGTGTAAAAATGTTGCGTTCAATGCTTTTTCCAAGTTTCTTGAGTGTTAATTGTGGGGCTTGGTATTTAGAAATGGAAACAAAGCAATACTGAAATATATAGATTAGAGAGTGGTAGCAGTTGGTGTGACCAGTGGATAATACCAGTATTAGTACCATAGGTGACTTGTACTAGCTGAGTGGTGGGTAAACAAGCTAAGTGTGCGCACCCTGCGCACATGTAAGTCGCTGACATGTGATCAACGCGAGCCCGCTAAATCAAAGTCACGTTTCATAATGGCGGAGAAAGCAAACACAACATCATTAACGTCGAATTCATTATTTCCTGGCAGCGACGATCTAGGTCCTTTGTCTGGACCGTTTGCACTCGCACCAGCTCTAGTACCTAGTGCATCAACAACTATTTCATCTTCTTCCAACGATAGCATAACCGAAGAAATAATTTTGAATAAAGGTATGATCTGTTCACAGTTTGACTGTTTATGTTTATGTTCAAGTATCTGAGTCAAGGAATTTTATGTGTGTTTGTTGGTGTTTGTAAATTTCCACCTGAAGTTTATTGGTGTATTTTATAAGTAAATTTTAATAATTTAGATGAAGCAGAACCTGAAATGGAAAAATTTATCGAGCAACCAATAACACCAACGACGAGTTCATACGTAGGTGATTCATCTCCAAGTACTTCATCAACATCAGTCAATGTACCTCCACATACTCTATATTCCCCAATGGTAAGCCATTTGAGTGAAAATTAAATGGTTCATACCCCACTTCACAATGTTTTTAATTCATAGGACCAGCCACCTCCTTCAGTTTCATATCAAAATTCATCATTATCCTCACATACTCCTAGTCAAACATCCAGACCAATTCATGCTGTGCCCCCATTTACCCAAAGTCAACAATCAATGTTCCCACCAGCATCCCCTCACATTCCCTCAGCACCCCCTCCTACACCAGAACAACGAGCTAAAGCATCTCCTGTACGTCCACATTGGTTTTATCTAAAACATGGTAAAGTCTGGACGCCATTTTCCTGGAAAGACTCTAATTTGTTACAGTTGAGCTACTCAACTTCCTCTCGAGGTGGTGATAGAATAATTGCAACAGATGGAGGCCGTTTTGATGTGAATATTGACAAGAGAACAAGAACAAGTGTTTACTGGAATGAACCAGTTACAGTTGTGCGTCCTTGTACGTGGTTTTGTAAAGCACATGAACGTGAAAATAAACTAACGCCTTATGAAGAAAGTCTATCAGCAAAGTTAGAGGTAATTTATGTTTATCATTAGATTTTGTCTAAATTCTTTCTCACGTTACTATGATAAATCTTCCATGAAACAGCAAGCATTCTTGGAAGCACATGATGAACAAAAATGGCCCAAGACAGTCAATCTCAACAAAGGAGAAACGGTTATTATGCACAACTCCAATGTCATGGTGCATTTCAGTGGAACTACATCAACAGCTGATGATTGGACTGATGATGAAATAAGAAGCCGACCGAAAGTTGTGCGACGTGGAATTGATGACTTTGAGTCAGAAATTGATGATGGTATACATATGATTTCCATGGAAAATGTTTTCTTTGGATTAACTAAATTTTCTTGTGCAGGAGAACCCTCTCAAATTGATCATTTGGTTTTTGTTGTACATGGTATTGGACCGTATGCTGATCTTCAGTTTCGATCACTTGTTGAATGTGGTTAGTATGTAAGCAGAATCTGTGTAAACTTCAGTGCGAGATCATTATAGCAAAGGTGATCCAATATGTATTTATGCTACAATTTTCATGTGATTTTGATTTTCAGTGAATGACTTTCGTAAATTGTCACTGGAGATGATGGAGGGTCGTCGTGAAAATTTGATTAGAAAGCAGGATAATTTGGTTGGACGAATTGAGTTTTTACCTGTTCTTTGGCACGCTGCTATACATGATGACATGGCCAATGGAGTGGATAGGTTTGGCAATCAATGTGTTTAATTCAATTCAATAGTTTGTTGTAAGAGTATTGTGAACTAGTGATAACAGACACTAAAGATATGTTGAATAACAGTGTCCTAGTAGTGATTAAAAAACAGTAGGATATTTAGTATGTGTGTCATGAACTAGTGATTACAGGGAGTGAAAATATATGTAGGAGTACAATGAACTTGTGAGAAAAGGCAGTGAAGTTATGTAAGAGTACTAGTGATTACAAGCAGCAAAGATTTGTAGCAGTACTGTGAACTATTGACTGTAGGAAGTTAGGATATGTAGGAGTACTGTGGACTATTGACTGTAGGAATTTAGGATATGTAGGAGTACAGTGGACTATTGACTGTAAGAAGTTAGGATATGTAGGAGTACTGTGGACTATTGACTGTAGGAATTTAGGATATGTAGGAGTACAGTGGACTATTGACTGTAAGAAGTTAGGATATGTAGGAGTACTGTGGACTATTGAATGTAGGAATTTAGGATATGTAGGAGTACAGTGGACTATTGACTGTAAGAAGTTAGGATATGTAGGAGTACTGTGGACTATTGACCGTAGGATTATGTAGGAGTACTGTGGACTATTGACTGTAGGAAGTTAGGATATGTAGGAGTACTGTGGACTATTGACTGTAAGAAGTTAGGATATGTAGGAGTACTGTGGACTATTGACTGTAAGAAGTCAGGATATGTAGGAGTACTGTGGACTATTGACTGTATGAAGTTAGGATATGTAGGAGTACTGTGGACTATTGACTGTATGAAGTTAGGATATGTAGGAGTACTGTGGACTATTGACTGTAAGAAGTTAGGATATGTAGGAGTACTGTGGACTATTGACTGTATGAAGTTAGGATATGTAGGAGTACTGTGGACTATTGACTGTATGAAGTTAGGATATGTAGGAGTACTGTGGACTAGTAAGGATATATAGAAGAAACAGGATATACAAGTTATAATATGCAATATTTTAATTTGACATTTAGACTACTGCAATCCATTACCATCAACAGCGTGAGTAAACTTCGAGAGTTCACCAACACCACATTGCTGGATATTTTGTTTTTTACAAGTCCTGTTTATTGTCAGGTATGTACGTCGTTTTAGAAATTAATTTGTCATCACTATATCAAAGTTAATCAACGATTTTGTTGTTTAGACAATTGTAGATAAAGTAGGCTCAGAAATGAACCGTCTCTTGCGTCTTTTTCGAATGAGAAATCCTTCTTTCAAAGGAAATATTTCCGTTTGCGGTCATAGTTTAGGTAACTACAACTGACTATAGCTTGTCCTAAATCGAGGCAGCTCCTTACTGAAAATATTGTTCGCTTAATTTATTATAGGATCAGCGATATGCTTTGATATTCTTCAACATCAGGTATTGACATTTTGTACCTTTTATGAACGCTACATATAACTGTATTGAGACGAAATATTCGTAGGAACATTTTGTAAAGTAGGGATAACTGTGAGAAGAACTCTTGTAGACAAACGAAGAACTTTTTAAAAAGAAATCTCGTTTTCGCCCAATGCCTCCCGATACCTTTGGAATAAAAGGACTAGAACGCCGCATGTTAACGTTTTGGTTTGAGATTTCGGCTCCTCCACGCTATCTTACTCGGGGATGCCAATACGTAGCAAGCTTCCGCCCATCTCACCCCGAGATCTCCTGCGATAGGCTTTGCTCGGGGTACTTAGGGAGTTGAACTTAACAAGTGGATTGCGAATGCTTATATGATTGCTCTTTTGTATTGTGATTGAGTGGGCATGTTACTGTGAAAGCAACGCACTTGCATTGAATTCAGTTGGTCGTTTTTATGGCATTAGGTGATTTCTTTCAGGGTGATCAACATGAACCTGGCGTGAAAAAACAGAGTAAAATGAACACATCGCAAGCTTGCCAACAACGAAACGTGCAACATAATGTCGATTCCAGTACTTTGCCTAACCTTGAGCAAATACTACAGCGTTTAGGACTCGAGAACTTTTTGCTCACGTTTCAAATGGAACAAATCGATGGGGAAGCTTTGGTCAGTAAAAAAACAAATGTTCATATATGCATGCAGTAAAACCCCTCGTATAGAAACCTTGATTATAAGAAACTTTAAGACTAAATTTTCTTATTTATATCCCATATGTTATGATCTGGCAAGGCTTATTTTATTGTTTTTTTCGAACCAGCCGTATAAGAACCTTTTTAGCCTTATATCGCGATGAGCACCATTTACATAAGAATTTTTTTTTGGCCAATGGTTGTTGTACGCACTGTTTTACTGTATTATTCGTGGCGTTTTGTTTACATATGAGCATAATTACAGCTTTGAAGCGCGTTAATGGCTTCTCGAAAATCTTCTTTTCCACAGATGATGTGTAGCGAGGATGACTTGAAGGAGTTAAGTATACCGATGGGTCCAAGAAAAAAGATAATTTCCTATCAAAAAGATTACATCAAAGAGAAAGTAAAAACTGCATATTTTTCATCGTTGGTTTCCGATAAACGCAGAATGTTAGAAATAACTGTTTCATCTTTTTTCATTTAGGAAGTGCGCAACTTATCTTTGGAAAATACAAAAGTTGCTGACATTGATGTACGTCATCTCTCTGACATATTTCAAGAGTAGTGAATGATAAAAGCACCCTCAACCATAATGTCAATATTTTTTGATAATATTTATAGACAACAGAGACGTCACAAGTCAACAGTTCGTTGACAAATCTCGGAGTAACTTCGCCATCAATCGAGATAGTGGAAATCCTGCAGTATCATCAGGGTCAACAAGGAACAGCAGGGACTGGACAACCGTATGTTCATTATCCCAAACTGGATTTCGAACCACGAAATATGTTCGCACTTGGTTCACCTATTGGATTGTTCTTGACTGTGAGGTATGAGTTTTTGTCTGTGTTTTTTTCCTCGGTGTTTACAAAACTTTTGGTTGAAATAAAGTAGGGATTGTTGAATGAATGAATGAATGAATGAATGAATGAATGAATGAATGAATGAATGAATGAATGAATGAATGAATGAATGAATGAAGGAATGAAAGAATGAATGAATGTATGAATGAAAATCTTTATTTTGACACGCTGGCCTCGTCAACTGGGGTTGATCTCCACGAGGAGCGTGCTTTTGTTCAATAGTAATTACAAAATTTACTAAGAAATAAAATAACTATAGAAGTGAAAGTTAAGTTTAAACATTTACAAAGTTTAGTTTATTAAATTAGTTACATGCTAAACTAAATCATAAAATGCAAGCAGCAATTTTCTTTTGAAAAAGCGACACACTTTTGCTACTTCTGATTTCTGTTGGAATTGAATTCGAAACAGAAGCTCCGTCATACGCAAAGCTTTTCTCCAAAGAGTTAGTGCTAGGCATAGGAACATTCAGACAACTTGTAATATTGTTGTACGTACTTTAGAGGTGTCGACAGTGTTGGTATGGATTATTGTTTACCAACATGTCCTGGTTTTTACAACATATTTCATCCTGTAAGTAACGCATTTTTTTTATTCGGGACCGCACAGATAGAGGAGGAGAGGGAAAGATATAGGGTGGTGGGGCTGGTGTTAACCCCAAACCTCCAAAACAAGATCGGAGGTGTAATTTCTTGATTGTTTAACTGATTGTTTAACTGTTCTTTAAAGTAAACAGGGCCCGAGTGAAAATTTTTCTCATGGCTCCAAATCTTCTCTGGGTGGTCCTGTTTTATACCTTACACTATAAATGAATTCATTTGTGTAAAATGGCCATATAAGATTTGCGTTTTAATGTATTTTCTATTTTTATATGAAATTCTGTTTACTATCTTTCGATTTCCGAAGTATGATCCTGTGGTAAGTTTTTGACATTTTATGTTATGGTTGCAGTTTAATCCATTGTGAAATTCCGTGTTTTTAAGGCATACAGAATTGAGCCTTTGGTCATGAAAGGTTTTAAGGGTGACCCAGTGTTAATGCCTCATCATAAAGGTCGAAAGCGAATGCATCTTGGTAAGAAATTTTTTATACTTATAAACAACGCGACGTGGTGCGTTTCAACAACGAAATGTTTGGAGCGAAATATTTTGTTATAAATTTCATAGAACTGCGAGAGAACTTGTCAAGGATTGGAGCAAATCTTAAGCAAAAATTCGTGGAATCAGTAAAGGAGACTTGGGCATCATTGAATGATTTTGCGCGTGCGCACACGGGTGTTCAGGACCCAGACGTTGATAACGAAGAACCAGCAAAGACCACAGGAGATTCACTTAACTTGAGTAGTATGTAAAACTGCGGAACTTAGTTTCAAGATCTGTGAAGTTTGTCAACTAAGAAATATGAATTTTTTTAAAGATGAGAAGTGTGAAGTTGGCAGTGTCTCCATGGGCAGGTTAAACAGGGGTCAACGATTTGATCTTGTTCTTCAAGAAAAACCAATTGAAATATTAAATGAGTATCTGTTTGCTTTGAGTGGCCATGCTTGTTATTGGTAAGTTTTAAATACATCCTTTGATTTATTTCTATTTTTGTTTGGAAATCAAAGATTGTTATATATTGTTGTTTTGTTTGTTTTCACAGGCAATCTGAAGACACCGCTCTCTTTATGCTAAATGAGATTTATAAAAATTGAGGAAGTATTTATAAAAATAGAAATATATCGTTTATTTGAGAATGTCTGAAAATAAAAGTTTCAGAAACCCAGGTAATTATTATATTTATGAAAGTTCATAACAAAATCACAATCATTTAAAGGATAAAATAGACATTTAATAGGAATTTCCATTGTGTTTAAGTTATTAATACCTACATAACTGTTATGTACATTTTAAAACTCTTTTGCCCTCGGGAACCTCTTTTTAATATCATCACTGAAATTCAAGAGTGGTTCTTTCAGAATTATGCTTCCTTGAAAAGCAATTTTAGAATTTGAGCTGATTTCAAAACATATTTTCATTGGATGTTCGTTGTCTTGCCAAGTCTCGATATTTACCAGTTCATCCAGGCAAAGTTCCCTGGCATAGTTGAGGATAACATGGTCCACTGTTGCAAATGCAATATCTTGTTTCAGACAGGAATAGTGTCCTTGTCTTGCAGCAGTCAAAGCCGCATCAAGTATGTATTCGAAATATTTTGAATGGTTAACATGATAATAAGTATCAAGATCACTAGGTTGCACTATTCTGCTTACTTTACAAGGTGACTCTGATTTAGCCTTGAAAGCGGGAGGTATGAAATACCGTTCGTTGCTCATGGCAAAAGGTTGTAAAGTTTTGATCATATTCTCGGGAATAGGGTGTGGTTTTGTTTGAACATCACAAATAACAAGTGTGCGCATGTTTCTACATAACAGTATACTGTTGGTCTTATCATAAGTATCAAACTGTAAGTTTAAGGATGTCTTGCCCAAGTCATGCAGTTCACAATGTATATAGATGTCGTCATTAGTTTTCCAATTCATGTAGAATTCAGGAAAGATTTTAAGGTCTTGTATTTTAACAACATAAATAAGGCCGGCCTTAGAGAGGTCATGAAAGCTCTTTGCAAATAATTCACTTTTGTTATGAATACCAGATGCCGTCTCGTTCAGCTGTGTGACAAAGTTCAGTGGGAAGCGTCCAGCTCTATCTGGTGGAAAGGGAGTCTGAATCTTTAAAGGTGGAATGCCCAAGATACCACCAGAAGTCTAAAAAGTTGTTAACACAAGAAATCCCGTAAAGCGAAAGTTAACATTTAATTAACACTCAATCATGAACTTGTCAGTTTGTCTTTACCTGGGATGAGAAACTTTTAAGCCTTTTGCCAATTGTTGAACCTCTCCTGACGAAATTTGTTGCCCAAACTCTCAACATGATAACCAAATTATGAAACACAATTTATCTGAAGAATTTCAAAAACTATCAAATCTGGGAATAAATGTTTTCACGAACTAAATAAAGAAGATGTACTATAGACATAAATTTAATTGCATCACCTTTAACAACGATTTCACATAAAATAGAACCTTATTAAATTATGCTGATGTCATAACCGGAACAATAAAAACTGCTCTAATGTAAATATCACTCCATATACTTATTAGATCAACTGGCTGCCTTGAATGTTCAACATGGCAGATGAACTTCCACGAGATAGTAAAGTTAAAATAAGAGAAATTGTACAAATTGAAATTGATACAACTGCGTTAATTCAAGAGGCGAATGGTATAACTGAATTTCAAGATGAACTAAATCTTGTGACATCCAAAGTGAAAAAAATGTTTATAAGTTTGCGAAGAAAACTGGATGTAATGTATAAGTATATATATATATAAAATATCACTTACAACTATGTGTTTAATATGCTTTGAAACTATATTTATTCATCCTCTAGTCTTTATGTGCATGTCTATTAATTTATAATAATTCGTTACTGAAATATGTGTCGACAGTTAACGTAACATATAACGGTCTTTTGTTTTTTTCGTCAATTTTAACAGTCGTTAGCCAAACATATGTTTCATGTTCTTAGGAGTTGAAACAAATTGGCGAGGAAGAAGATAGGGAAAGCAATCACCTTAGAATAAAAGAGGAAGTCAAAAAGCACTGTCAGAATTTATCAACGTATGGTGTAATTACTAAATAGAAAATAATTCAATGAACTTAGCCATGAGTCCCATGACTTGCTAAGATTGCTTTGATGTTTGCTATTGTAAAGCAAATGCAACCGAAACTTCATGTCTGACTGTGAAATTTCTAAAACTAAATTTGCAAACAAAGTTAGTAATGTAAAATTTACAATATGTTTGTTTTGCATTTTTACTTAGAACAATTTGCAAATTTTAATATGTGTAGTCAGTAATAACTGCTCTTGACTTTCATCTTGTTAGCATGCAGGTTAACTTGCGCAAAGCTGTGGCTATAGCTCAGAGTTCAATTGAGAAATATGAAAAAAATCAATTGATTACAGGAGAGCGTGAACAGCACTCAGGGGTGCGACAGAGGTGAACATTTATCCCTTACATTGATTTAAGGTTATTTATTCAAAATATTATAACGTGTTCTTTTGTATGGTTTCAAGGCAGCAAAGCAAGGAAGGCTTAGCTAGAACAGCTAGCAATATAACAGAAAATTTAATGAGTATTTCAAAGATGATGGAACATCAAGTACAACAAAGCCGTAACAATACTGAAGCTTTAAGTGAGGATGTTATTTAGTACCCTTGAAGAATTTTTACATAAAATAGGTTCACAAATGTTGTTTTTTACATTTGTAGTGATGTCCTCGAAAGGAATTACAGACACCGATGAAGAACTTAAAGGATTATCAGGTTTTATTCACACAAGTAAACAATTATTGAACAAATATAATCGACGAGAAAACACAGATAAACTTTTGATTTTTTTTGGTTTGGTTTTGTTTTTTTGTACGGTATTGTACATTATTAAGAAGAGAATATTTTCATCTAGTGCATAAATCATATCATCCAATTACATTCAAGGCATTTCAAACAAACATACTTGATTTTGACAGTTGGTGATTTCATTTACGAACACGACAAGGAACACTGCCTTGTAATAGATAGACACTGTAACACTTAAACAACTACAATACAACAAAGTTTGACAAAAATTATGCAATTGCAAAATAGTATATCATTTATTTCTTTAAAGTAACATTGCTTTGTGCAATAAAAGGCATAATACAGTCCATGACAGTAAAAATATCACCGTAATAAGTCAGTATATTTCATGTTTGTTGTTGGCTTGCAACAGCAGCAACAAGTGCAGCTCCTTTGCCTGATCCGTCTTCAGATAACATTAATTTTATCGTGTTCCCAGGAAGAAGTTCACTCAGTGTACTCTCCATGTATGTCTTAAATTTTGGATGTTTCTTAAACAATGAACCATCCACAGCAATAGTACAACAAGAGCGTCCAATTTTCTAGGGATAAAATATGTAACAATAGCAGTTGCAATTAACTGTTAGTAGTTCTTATTAAAATTATGTAAACCAACCTTGACTATTGCTGCAAGGCCAGCAGAGGCAAGACGTGCAGCTCTTTCTGACATAACATGACAGATTTGTTTAAGACGATCTACATCTTCTGCTTTCTGCTCATCATAACCGAGCTCTTGCAAAACCTTGTTGATTCTTTCTGGTTGGCCACTTATAGCAAGAAGACATAGATGAAAAACATCAGTGCATATGTAAATAATTTGTTGTCATACTTGTATCTAACCTTTCTATGTCTGACACATATTTTGTCAAGAAGTTTTCCCTCTTGGCAATCTTCTCAGTGCACAAGCCACCAAAAAGTAATCCTTTTGAGATCAGGTGTACACAAACGAGTCTCACAATCTCTCCGAGATACATTCCCGAGATCATTTTCTCAAAACTAGAAATAGAGCAGTTTTTGATATGCAAGGTAAAAAAAACAATATTAGTATAGAATTATACTTTGTAAGAACATACATTTGATTTCCAGGGTTCAAAGAGTTTGCATCAACCTCTCGATCATATTCGGTTCGTATCCAATCCAAAGAGCCATTATCCCCGAATGCTCCCCATTCGGTATTAATAATGACTTGTTTTGGTTCATCAATTTTTCCTGTCCATTTTGCAACATTTTCCAGACGCTCCATGTAACAGGCATTTGTCCCTGTACCAAGAATAAGACCTATAGTGACCTCCTGGTCTTCCCAAGCACAAGACATAAGTGTGCCAGTGGTATCATTGACCAAACCAACAATTTCAATCATGTATTCCTGGTGGAAGAAATTTCTTTTTAATTACTAAATAAGATAAACAAAGGCACTCAAAAATCCTCTCACACCAACCTTCTTTCGAAGGAGAGCTTCTTTTAAAAGGACAACCACATCCTTATTCTCCACTCCAGATGCTGTAAAGCCCTTTGTCCACTTGACTAGTACACCTGAAGTGAGACTTAACATTTTCACCGGGAAGGAGAAGGTAAACCCTAAAGGTAGCACTTTGTCTTGTACATTTTTTTCTTTTACAAAATTACAAATACACTCAGCAATGTAATCAAATAATGTAACCGCATCACTGGTCATCAGGTCCTTGCTCATAGGCATGACTTTACTATCCATGGTGATGTGATTTTGTTCAATAGAGATCAACAAAACACGGAAATTTGTTCCACCAAGATCAAGAGCCAAAAAGTCACCAGATTCTTTTCCAGATGGTGTATTTCGTACATATGTTACTAACATTGCTATTGAAGACTTGAGCCTTGTTTCTTCATCGGCTGCAAGTCCATTGTTCATGTCCTCCGTTATTAGTTTCATTTGTTTAATCAGATCATCTTTCGACAGTGTAAGTTTGGCAAGTTGTCCCTCTACCTGTGATAAAATAAAAAATTTTTGTATGTTATTCTTGCAACACCAGTAGAAAAGGAACAGTTTTCCATTGAAAATGGTTGCATAATCAATAGAGATTGTCATTAACGACTTTAACCAAACAAAGCAAGCAGCTGGCTATAGTCAACAGTTGGAGCACTTGTAAGAATGAAAAGGAATTCATAATCAAAGAATTTGTACAACGTAGTCTCTTGGGGTATTTTATAAGATACAAAGAAGTAGGAAGTATTAAAATAACCACAAGGAAGTGAGACGGAAGAAAAGTAGAAGACATTGACAATAACAGATGAGAGTAGCAAACGTCGTTACGCTCGACAAATTACTCCATGAAATTTACAAAGCTAAATGATAAAGACTTCTTAGCATCTTCATAGCAATTTCTACTCACACTATTGTCATCCATTGTTCTCACACCACAAATATTATTATTGCAAAATATCTGTTGGCACACACCTTCGTAGAGCAAAGCTATATTCACACGTATGCATATGAATCGTTAACACATCATAAATATTCATTGTATAACATTATTTATACAGTATTTACATAGTTTAGCTTAGGCTTGTAATAGTATTCAAATGTTTCCCTAAACGTGTACTTAAAACATCGTAAATACGAGTAATTTATGGAAGGAAAAAATCTAGCACTAAAGCTTATCAAACCGTATACAATACTCAGTAATGGGTAAATTTGACATAAAACTGAATGAATATTTGCGTGATTATTGCTGGAACACTTGAGCATGTGCATTTCCAAACCAAAAACTACTTACTGTCACTCCATTAGTAAAGTATGTACGTAATCTTTGAATGAATTGTACACCAAAGTGCACAACGCTTCCAAGCATGTTTTATTCTACGTTTGTTGACAATTGCCAATAATCTTACAGGTCGAGGTAAATGTCCACCCGAAAAAAAACACTGCTTACTTTCAGTATTTCCACTCTGGTTATGAGATATCGCAAGAATGCGCAAGACGTTCTCGTCGAGGCAAGGTTCGTAAATAGTGGTGTTAGGTTTCAAGTGCTTGATAAACCAAAATCGTCCACAACTCAAGTGCGAGCATATTTATTCCCACAGAAGCTTTATGCTGAGAACATTATATAACCCAAATAGATGGACATCAAACCTTTTGCATGATATCGGCAAAGTTGGATGAAATAACAAAAAGAATAGAATAATTTTAACTTTCTTAGGATTAATTGAATAACAAGTGGTTAAACTAGTGATGTACTTAAAACTTGACCGTTTCAAAACTTGAGCCTGTTTTGCATGTTATCATTTAGTCAAAAGTCATGACCAGCAAAGAATATTTTCCCCATTTAAGACAATCACTATTATTTAAATAACCATAATTATAACCTTTACAGAAAGCAGTGGTTAGCAACGGAAGTTGAAGTTTGGCATTCCAGAGATATTGAATCAGTGTAAAGTGGAAGCATCATTAAAAATTACTATGTAAAATATTGTACATTTAAAGCAAAATTTCTCTGGATTTTCTGCGAATTATGAATGAAGACTCAAATGTAGACCAAGATAGCATTGAGTCAAAGCCATCTTCAAACATTTCTAAGTTAAGGAAGTTTAGCAATCCGTTGAAATCAGCTTCAGAATATACAGTTATGGATGCCCTTATTCAGAATGTTATTGAAGAGGAAAGTGGAGTTTCTAATGTCATTGCATCGTCGTCAATTTCTAAAGATGTTGAAACCTATCTTCAACAGCTTGAAGAACAGTTCGTTGCATTCAAGTCGTTTGTTGCTGGAACAAATCCTACATCGTACAGACAAGAACTCGTCGCTCTAAAGTACCCTCTTTTTGTCAACATTTATTTGGAATTAGTGCTGAAATTACAGGAGAAAAAGTCAGTGTTGTTTTACAGTCAGCATGCTGGTGACTTTTTCAATGAGCATAGAGATGAGCTGCAACATCTTCGCGGGATTACAGTGCCTGAAAAACTGAGCACTAGTGATATAGCCGCTAAGTTTCGAAAGAGCAAATTCGTTTACAAACTTTCACACAAAGCTTTCATATATTTGCTTCAGTTTCTAAGCACTCAGAGTAGAATCATGCTGCTTCGTTTTGTTGAAAAACACATTCACTTAGACGTGGATAACGTTAGGACTTCTTTGTGGGAAAATTTGAAGTCAGGTAAAATGAAACATGTCTTTGAAACAACTCAACAAAGTGATTCTGATGACACTCCAACAGAACTCTTGAGAGCAATAAAAGCAATGAAAGATGAACCACCAAATACACCACATGTGATTTTACATCATTTGGAAAACTGTCATCAAAGGTAATAGTTTTGGCTTTGAAAATAACATTTACCAGATAATTTCATCCACATCATCAACTCCTTTAAATTATATTTTCATTTTGCCATTTAATTTGTTCTTTTTTTTTTAACTTTATCAAATGACCTCATGTATTCGCCAATTATATCATAGTATAACATCTATAGAACTACACTACATCAGATATTTTGGTTCCAAGAATTTTTCAACTAATAATTAGTGTGGCCTTTTCCCCCATTAGACTCTGTGCTTGCTCCAGTATTGAACCTTGATTTTGTAGAATGCTTCATTAAATTGTGTACATAACTGCTTTTTGCAATCTGTTGTGTGGCAAAATGGTCTTAAAACAGACAGCTGTATCTTGTTCAAGGTTTGCTATTCACACCTAGTTAATATTCCTTAAAATTGCTTTAAGAGATGCCATTGACCAACTACTTGTAATTCCTTTGCTGAGTTTACTGAATGATTTGCAAGACAAGTCAGTAGGTTTTTGTAGCACTAACATTAAATTATCTAGTTTTGGATTGATATTTGATTATGAGTGGATGGGCAAAATAAGGATAGTTATCTATGATGCAGATTGTATAATTTAATTGACCTTAAGTCATCACATGTAACTCTCTAACAAAATGCTTATTTCCTACAAATATGACGTTTAGTACGAAAAAAACAATGTCGAATTTTCCATCAGTGTATTGTAACATTGCAGTCCTTTCTGTGTGTTAAATGAATACAAATCATACAAAATATAGATATACACATAACCAACTGCTGTGCACGTGGGCTTGCACATGTTGCACACGTGAGCTTGCACATGTCGGTAAAGGAAATCCAACGTATAATTAGATGTTAGCATGGAATTTTGATTGATCCAATTATCTGCTCATACGTTTCCATTTTTTACGAAATTTTGTACTTTGCCTCCTTACATCGTTATGCGAAAGTTGTTCATATTATTCGTTTTTACTAGTTTCCAAAATTTCCCATATTTTGTCCATCAACTTACTGAATATTTACGTTAAATCCATCTTGTTTTCCAATTGAATATTTCCCATCATATGATTACAGTACTTCAGTAGTAAGGAGCAAATTACGCGACCTCTTGAACCATTTTTTTATTTGATTACGCGCGCGCTTATTTTCAGTTTATGTTAAAATTACATTCGTTTATGATACCGTAAGTTTCGTGGGAGTCAAATGATTATAAAATAAAAAATTTGACGACTTACCCTTGTATTTTTCATCCATGGAATGTATATAACCATCGTGAAATCTTGTATTCTTCTTGTTGTTAAATGTTGTTTTTTAACTTCTCTAGTCTGACCTCAGCTGCTGTAACCAATGACGGACAACTGATGTGCGCAGGTTTCGAAGATTCTGCCGTGCGCTTGTGGAGTTTGACGAGAAAAAAATTGGTCGTGAATCGACGTGCTGGCGTCAACTGTCTGATGTCAATCTTAGCACTGGTACGCAGTATGCTAAGGTTGCACATAAAAATATTCTTAACATTTAAATTGTTCTTCTTGGTGTTGCATTACAAAGCTGCTTTACGCAATCCTTTCCATTGCAACAATTTAAAGTGTCACGTGCATGAGCATGTATTCACCGTGTGATCAACCTCGTGCACGATCATGTCACCAATTTTGGTAATTTGCCACCTTTGAGCAATATTTTTTTATCCGTGATATGACCATGTGTTGTAGGGTTGAGGATTTATGAGAGGAATGTTAAGGGAGGTACATATCTATATTTCCAAAAACAGACTGAGTCATTGATTGAACAAAAATTTATACCGAAGCAAATCCAAACCTAAACTTAACTCTTGAATCTCAAAATGTGCCAGTTTAGAGTGCTAACATCAGTTCATCTTAAAATTCCTTGCTTCTGTATTTAAAGTCTTTACAGTCCCTTGACGAATGATTCTTCCATTATTTTATTTATAACTATGAGCTAATGTGTCTTCACCAACAGCTGCCCTATATCGTTGGGAAAGGTGTCACAACATCCCAAACTTCACGCCCCTCGTCCTGTTACTATAGGTTCGAGTTGGGAGAAGCAATGTTTTGTTCTGTGAGGGATGGTTAGGGTAATTTTGACGCCAATGTTTACCATTAGATATAATTTGTATATGACTATTTAGAAATGTCAGATGTTGATGACGAGAAAAACATATCCAGAGATATGCTGACATTACGAGCTCATAGTGGACCTGTGTATGGCGTCTCGTTTTCAAAAGATAACACGTTTTTGCTTTCTGCGTCAGAAGATCTTTCAGGTATGACGTCTATACTTCTACTTGACCGACCTATTGCGCTTAAACTACACTAGATATGTACGGAATTCCTTTTTATTTACTGAATGTTTTTGTATTTTTATTATAGTACGATTATGGACAATGAATTCTTATACAAACAGAGTGTCGTACATAGGACATAATTACCCAGTATGGGATGTTGATCTTAATAATATGGATGTGTATTTTGTGACTGCATCCATGGATCAAACATCGAGACTTTGGAATCTGGAGTATAATTATCCATTGAGGATATTTGCTGGCCACGCTTCTAGTGTTGATGTAAGGAATGATTTGTTCAGATTTTCTTTTTTTGGTGTTTTTTTTGGGCATCTTCTTGACATAATCTTTGATTCGTTTTTTTTTCCTTCCAGACTGTAAGGTTCCATCCTAACTGTACATACATTGCCACAGCCTCAGCTGATGAAACATGTAGACTTTGGGATGTGCATACTGGATCATTTGTTCGTCTTTTTACTGGGCACAAAGTAAATGTCCTTTTTTTATCTCACTTAGTGAAGTCGTACATTGATGACACTTTTTCTTGTAAAGTTTTCAATTAAATATGCGACATTTTTGTATTTAAGGGTTCTATGTTTTGTCTCGCGTTTACTCCTGATGGTAAATATCTTGTCGGAGCTGGAGAAGATAGAATTATCCATATTTGGGACATTTCTACTGGACATAGAGTAAAACAGCTGATTTCGCATGCCCACACTTTATACACAGTCGCTGTAAACTCTTCAAACTTGTTGGCAAGCTCTGGAGGTGATGGCAAGGTATGTTTTTGGAATTTGAACGAAATTTTGAAAAAATCGCCAGAAGAAAATGACATTGGTTGTATGAAACCCTCACATACGTATAGAAGCAAATGTGATAACATAGTCACGTGTAATTTCACCAATGAAAATTTGCTTTACGCTGTGGGGAACTAAAATGTGTGTATCAACAGTCATATACGACACTTAGTTTCTATACACGTAAAGTCGGCCTTGAAATCGGTAAATGAAACACAAAATGGCGGCGTTTCGTATTTTTCTTTCGTATCGTTATTCTTCCACATAACATTTGGTCTGTTAATATACAATATGTCAGACTGCGCGCGGAAGAGACTGAGAACGAAAGGTAGACATACTATTTTTTGAGTATCTATTTTGTCTGAGTCATTTACTATCTTGACAATCAATCATTAATACCCACAATGCAATGGTGCACATGGTCGAACTTGACCTTCGATCATTGGTACATATTTCACAAATGCACATGGTACATTCAAGAGAAAGTAAAGTTTGAACGGAAAAGGGTCAGACAGCATGCGTTTGATTGGTGAATTTCGCTGATGCACATGGTACATTCAAGAGAAAGTAAAGTTTGAACGGAAAAGGGTCAGACAGCATGCGTTTGATTGGTGAATTTCGCTGATGCACATGGTACATTCAAGAGAAACTACAGTTTGAACGGAAGAGGGTCAGACATCATGCGTTTTATTGGTAAATTTTCTTTATGCCACCGAATCTATTGGACGCTTTAGTTTGTCATGTTTCTCCATGTTGGCTAGTAAATATTTGAATGTTACTTGGTGAGAGTTAGAAGACGTGAAAAAACTTGAGTTGGGTTGGCTGTAACACCGCAGAGAGATTTGAACATTTGTAAAGTGATATATACTGTGTTCTGTGGTTTTATATAATTTAATTAAATATTACAAATTGAACATTCGTTAGTCAGTTTTGTAATGTAGAAATCTACTAATGCGACGTCAGTCACAACAACACTCACACAACACAGCAACAGTTACAAAACATTCAAACAGCACAGTTGTTGCACAACACTCACACAACACAGCTGCAGTTACAAAACACTCGAGCAATTACGCAACACAGCCGTTACAAAACATTTAAATAACACAGTTGTTACACAACATCCACACAAAAGGCAACAGCAATATTTTATATACACAACTAAAATTAACTACACTAAGTACTGAATTTAAAGCTCCTCACGAGAGCACTCTTTACTGATTGTTATAAGATAACAAATATATACTTCATTAAGAAGGACGAGAATATGAAAATATTTTAATTTATTTCTGGCCATCAGTTGTCGGCAGTTTTCCAGCATGAATATTCTGCACATGTCTTCTTAAATCACCTAGTAACATTACATAAATATTAAAAAATACATTGAATCAGCAGGCCTGTACATACGGATATTGCATTAAATAATAAATCATTCTAGCACTGGTAACGTCTTGCTTAAAGGTAAAAAATAAGACGCCAACATCACAAACTTCCTTCAACAATCATTCACATATCGAATAACATACATGTTTATTGCTGACCTGATCTATTGAATGTCTTTGGACATTGGTCGCAAGGAAATGGCCGCTGTTCAGAATGTGTGACAACGTGTCGGCTCAATTTACTGGATGTTGCAAATGTCTTCGGGCAGCGAGGACAACGATGCGGTTTCTCTCCAGTATGAATGAAAGTATGCGTCTTTAGGGAAATTGTTGTTGCAAAAGTCTTGTCGCAATGTTTGCATTTGTATGGTCGTTCACCTAAACATTGAAAATGAAGGAATAGCTGTAATGACGTTACTTCAACCAAAGGACGTACATCTGAGATATACATTTGCCTCGTGGATAGGATGTATATATATATTCAATGGTACCTGAGTGAATTCTACTATGTCTCCGTAAATCATTGGAACTGTAAAAAGCTTTTGGACATTGTGTACATTTATGTGGTCTTTCCCCAGTATGTGTAAACACATGTTGTTGCAAACCAAATGGATGACGAAATGCCTTCTCGCAATGATTGCATTTCCACTTTCGTTGCGTCATATCTGGACACACGCGTTTGATGTGGCGTGCTAGGTAACTAAGCGAAGTGAATATCTTACCACATTTTCCACAAGTATAACTTTCTAAAAAAAGTTGTTAGAAAAGTATTGTTATATACACGTAAAGAACACAACTGTACGATGATGACGTTGGAAGATCACTAGTCATACACTTAGTTCACGGGTGATGTTGCTAAAGGAATGAAGACATTTTCTCCACTTTGACATGTGTGATATGTTTATATAAGTGAATGATGAATGAAAAATAGACTAACTACCTTTTCCAATAGTGTTTACTTGTGGATCGATAGTGACGTTATCAACTTTGAAAATTCCTTTATCAGTATCAAAGACAACTAGTGAATCATCTGATTTGTTTAGTTCACTAGTTTTACTCCTCGGTTCATTCTCCTCCTGTCTCAAACGAACAACCTGTTGCTCGTTGCCAATACTGAGTAGAGCCTTAATTGCTTGTTCCTTCATAGTCATTTCGATATTGCTCGGCATTTGAGCCATAGTTGTGTTCTCCGTGGAGCTTCCACCGAGAAGCTGTTGGTTAAATGAACTTGCAATATCTGGAAGAGTTACAGCTGTTGGCTGTATCGAAGGCAACTCTTTGATATTTTTTGTCCGCCCGCTGTCAAGTTGATGTTTAATGTTGTTATTCACAACGTTTTGATTAGTAGCTACGTTAACCCGAGGCTGACTAAAAAGTCGCAGAGTGGGTTTAGCCAAAGGTTCCCGCGGTAGGATTGGTCGCAATTTACGAGCCTGTGAAACATTTGATAAATATGTGGATTGATTCTGGGACGTTTTCATCACAACTGTGCTTTGTGATGAAGAATTTGAATGCAGTAATTGCTTACTGTCGATTACATTTGTAGATGGTGGTGTTGAAATCTGAATTGCAAACTGTTTCATTTTAACTGAAGGATCATTTACTTTCAATACAGGACCAATTGGAATATTACCCTTCAAAGAAGTGGTGATGTTTGTTGATGATTGAGGGAGAACACCATGTGATAATGTTGGAGACGTGGTGGTAATTGAGGGTTGAGTGAAAACACCATGTGACAGTGTAGGAGCAGAGGTAGCAGTTGATAGTTGACCTTGTGATGGAATTGAAGATATTGTTGAATTTGCTGGTCCAGATACACCTTGTAATAGTATTGGAGCAGTGGTGACAATTGATTGTCGATGAGCAACATCTTGTGATAGTCTTTGGGCAGTGATGGCAGTCACTGTTTGAGGAATACCTTGTGATAGTGTTGAAGCAATAAAGGCAGTTGATGGTGGCAGAGCAACACCCTTTGGTAGTACTGAAATAGCAGTGCCTATAGAATGTCGAGGAACACATTGTGATGGTATTGGTGCAGTTGTGTTAGTAGATGGTTGAGGAGCATATTGTGATAGTAAAGGACCATTGATGCTTGTTGACAGTTGAAGAAGACCTTGCAATGGTATTTGACCAGTAGTTCCAGTTGACAGTTGATGAACACCTTGCAATGGTATTTGACCAGTAGTTCCAGTTGACAGTTGAGGAACACCTTGCAATGGTATTTGACCAGTAGTTCCAGTTGACAGTTGAGGAACACCTTGCAATGGTATTTGACCAGTAGTTCCAGTTGACAGTTGAGGAACACCTTGCAATGGTATTTGACCAGTAGTTCCAGTTGACAGTTGAGGAACACCTTGCAATGGTATTTGACCAGTAGTTCCAGTTGACAGTTGAGGAACACCTTGCAATGGTATTTGACCAGTAGTTCCAGTTGACAGTTGAGGAACACCTTGCAATGGTATTTGACCAGTAGTTCCAGTTGACAGTTGAGGAACACCTTGCAATGGTATTTGACCAGTAGTTCCAGTTGACAGTTGAGGAACACCTTGCAATGGTATTTGACCAGTAGTTCCAGTTGACAGTTGAGGAACACCTTGCAATGGTATTTGACCAGTAGTTCCAGTTGACAGTTGAGGAACACCTTGCAATGGTATTTGACCAGTAGTTCCAGTTGACAGTTGAGGAACACCTTGCAATGGTATTTGACCAGTAGTTCCAGTTGACAGTTGAGGAACACCTTGCAATGGTATTTGACCAGTAGTTCCTGTTGAAAGTTGAGAAACATCTTGCGATGGTATTTGACCAGTAGTTCCTGTTGACAGTTGAGGAACACCTTGCAATGGTATTTGACCAGTAGTTCCAGTTGACAGTTGAGGAACACCTTGCAATGGTATTTGACCAGTAGTTCCAGTTGACAGTTGAGGAACACCTTGCAATGGTATTTGACCAGTATTTCCTGTTGACAGTTGAGGAACACCTTGCAATGGTATTTGACCAGTACTTCCTGTTGAAAGTCGAGGAACACCTTGCGATGGAATAGGTGCAGCAATAGTATTTGAAGGTTGGGGAACACATTGTGATAATTTTGGAGATGTTTGTTTTGAAGGTAATATACAATTTGGAAAATACACAGACACTAAAGGATTTGTCAATAAGGATGCATGATTTTGTTTTGATGAGGACTGCAATGTATTTATAGAAAGAACATTTGATAGAAGAAGATCTTTGCCACTTATAACCGAGTTTGCTTGGCTACTAACAGGCATTCCAAAGCTTTGTGTCAACAAACCTGGACTTAGCAATGGTGGTGCACAAGAAGATACTTGCAAATTATCTGGCAATGAGCTTGATGTATTTACAACAAGCTGCAATGAATTTCCACCATTATCCCCATCTAATTGTGCTGATGTTGTATTTCCACTACGACTGACCAAAGCAAACTGTTTTGCAAAAGTTTTGTCATTATTTATGGCCTCTTCAATAGATTTTTTTGTTTGAAGATGATCCTTGTCATGTGTTAAAATAGTATGATCAGATGGTGTAAGTTGACTTTCCAAGGTAACGCCGTTATTTGATTTTATGTCTTGCATATTTTTTGCCACCAAGCCATCTACAAGAGATTCAGAACATTTTTTATCAGCTGATGCTAGTTGATTAGAGAATATTTTGCTGAGGTTTGGCACAGTAATTTTCTGAAGTAGTTGAGCACATTCTGCAACAGTGATCGAGTTACAATCAATCACTTTTTCCAGCTTCTCTTTCAGCTCATCAAATGCACGTAGTTTCAGCTTCTCAGTGGCAGATGTTTTCTTTGGGCCAAAATTTAAATTCTTTGATTTGCTTACATCGGAGTTCTTCCTCGCAGAATTTTCTGACATTTTTACCTTTTTTGAATTGCCCCTATTTACAACTTCCTTTTTCCTAGCAGTTGTAGTTTTCGAATTATTACATTCAGATTTTGTACCACTTTTATGACAAATCTTTGAAATACTCCCTTTGCGACTTTGTTGTTTTCTTCCACCATTGGACTTGATTTCATTCTGGTTTTTGCATTTGTAACTCTTTCAGCATAAGCATTGTTATTTCTTCGCTTGCTTTGAATAAACTCATTATCTTCCTGCTTTGCTTTCCTCTTTCCTTTATTTCGTAAGGAGACTTTATTTTCTTGCTCACCAGCCATTACCAATGAAACTGGAGTGGTTCGACCAGAGCGAAGTGTTATACCTTCGACTTTTGTGGTTTCTTCATTCTCTATGTTGCAGTCAGTTAAATCATCAACATTTGTCAGCAAACACCCTGATTTTGAGTCTGTTGCATTGTCATCATCCTAGAAAAAAACTTTTTATTTGAAACCTCTTTTACTTCGATGTTTGAGTAACCTTATCCTAGTGCTATACTACAGAGAGAAATTTCCAAGAATTTTTTTATAATATAATACTACTACTAAATGGGTGTGTACATTTTGAGCTTGATTTGTTAAACTTGAAGTACAAAGTTGAAGTACAAAGTTGAAGGAAAGCATAGTTTCCATATGGTCGTCTCAAATCTTGGAGCTTTCCATTCCGAAACAACTCTATGTGTTTATAAGCGAGTCACGAGACTCCGACAGGTCATCATATTATTGACGGCCATATGGAAACTTCTCTCAAGCATGAAAAGTCATCAACATTTGAATTGGAGCCGTGAACATATTTCCCCCACAAAAATATAGTATACTACAGGTCGTAGAAGGAAATGACTACTATCGCTTGAATTTTTTTTTATTTTTGTTTCGAAGAGTTTTCCCTGTGTCTCGCGGCTGTGTGTTAACTTTGTATGCGTATGAAATGAAAATAATGACGCGCTCTTTTTGACAAAATCCTCATAAATGTAGCCATTGCACTGAATCGTTACAATAAAATTCACACAGAATAGTTTGAGTAATCGTTAAGTGGTATCTAGTGCCACAACTGAACGAAGAATAGTGTTTTTCGAGTATAAATTCCATGAAACATATTGCATCGTCATCATACGATAGTGTATACGTCAAAATACTACGATTATAAACGAAACGAAAGCAAAATAACTCAACAACATTAATTCAAAATCATAAAGCTATCATAGTAAACACATTATTCTTTGATATAGAAGTGTACGTAGTACGTTCAACTTTGTCACCTATTGCGTGTGTTGTGAATATATTTGCAAAGTTTATTGTTATGTACACAACATTTTCGTATTTTGTTGATAACATTTCCCCGTGCATTAGTAACATCTTATAATATCCACATTCATAAATAAACGTGAAGATAAAAATTAGTATTGGTTGGTGAAATTAAATCGGTTAAACAGCGATTGCTTTACCTTTCGCTTTCCATGTAATATGCTTCCCAATTCCGGCTTTTCACCATGCATCCAAGTATACTTGGAAGAATGAACTCTGTTTCGTCTAGATAAATTACAACATTACAATAAACCAACACGATACAAGTTAGATAACACCTTTTATCTCTAACCTTGCTCTTACACCGACAACAGAAGTTTCCATGAGTTAAAAATTGAATTTCTTAACAATATATTGTGTTTGTCTTCAAACACATTTCCCCGCAGCCAGAGTAAACCCCATCAGGCATCAACATATGTTTACGAACTGCGTAAAGCTTATTAATACTACGCATGCTCGGAATTGAAAACCGCTGTATTGTCGCGGGAAACAGGCGCAAACTCAATCAGTGTTACATTGTTACAACAGGGTTATAATTTAATAGATTATAGATGTTTTGTTTGTTTATAAATTATAACTTTTGATGCAGTTTGACTTTGGCATTAATTTTCATGCGCTTTGCATAAAATTAGATGTACAAAGACAAATGGAAGATTTGAATAGCAGGAGTAAATATGGAGCTTCTTTTCGTTATTCTGACCGTCGCAAATAAATGTCAAACATTGTCCAAACTTGGTTGACTAAATAATCAATTGGTGAGATAAATCATCTCTTGCTAAATTAATTAATCAATTGGTACACTAAATAATCAAATGGCGAACTAAATAGCTCAGTGTTTTGGCGACTCTAAACCTTTTTTACCATCAGATTCTGTCGTTGCAATAAAATTGTGTTGCAATAAAAACTTTAGAAAAATATGCTTTGAAGATGTTAACTTTTGACAAGTTAGACAAGACACTATTACATATTTGCACTTGTAGAGTCAAACTTAGGAACGTCAAAATTTCATTAAGAACGTTTTTTTATATTTAAACAAACACGGTGAATCACCCCCCCCCCGATTTGCAGCTGATGTCCCATTTTTTTGATGTACATTTTTATGACTGGGATTTAATTAATGTCATTTCTCTTTAGATAGATAAAAAAACCTAAAACATTTCTCAAAGTTTGTGAGATACTTTTGATTTCAACGAGATAAACAACCGTTGTCTAGACACTTTTTTCTTTGTCCTAAATATTAATTAATTCTCTCGAAACAGCACGAGGATACTGTCATATTCGTTGTCAAATGTCTTTCTCCAAAACGTTTGCGTTAGTAAGGTAAGAAAATGCTAGCGCGCACATTAATGAAATCACGTTAGATTGTTGAGATTGCATAAAGTTTGTTTATAATATCTCTGCAACAATCGATTGTAACTAGGTGGGCATACTCCAGAGTTAAGAGTCCAGCAGGTCATTAGTGTGCCCGTGTCAGGCAATAACGTTTTTTCCCTCGACCTTCCCACGTCATGTCAATATTCTGATCTCACTTTAGTTATAGTGAGCCACGCATGTCAGGCAATAACGTTTTTTCCCTCGACCTTCCCACGTCATGTCAATTTTCTGATCTCACTTTAGTTATAGTGAGCCACGCATGTCAGGCAACGTTTTTCCTCGACCTTCCACGTCATGTCAATTTTCTGATCTCACTTTAGTTATAGTGAGCCACGCATGTCAGGCAATAACGTTTTTTCCCTCGACCTTCCCACGTCATGTCAATTTTCTGATCTCACTTTAGTTATAGTGAGCCACATTTTTACTCAAGATTATATCACATCAAAAATACATCTTTCAATAGTGCTCAAACTGTCAACATAATTTAACTACTCCATTAATGGAGCATGTCTGTTTGCTTTAAATAACCTGTGATAACCATCGCACAATTTCCAATCATATGAAACAGTATTTAATCTAATAAACTCTTCAAGCTGGAGTGCATCTTTTTGATATATTCATTGGCGCTATCACGCTATCTTTCTTGTAGTTACATTACGTCTCTTTACATCGACATTCATATTAAATAAAGAGCTCGCTATTTGCATAATTCCTGCGCACTTATTAGCATAATACGCGCGCAAATTCGACGTCATGTGTGGTATTTTGGGTCCACAATGGTTGCTGTTAATTAAGTTATACTTTTTGTCTACGTTATCAAGGCACGTGAAAGCATAGCGTCATTGTAATGCACGAAAAGTTTGTCCACATGGTGCTTAATAAAGTACTCAAAGAGCGTTAATCGGATGACATGAGAAAGAAATAGGTATCATACAGAAGAATTCTTAATTGCTGCTTAATAAGAGGAAATGCGAGTTAATTTGATACATCTATTCATTTCTTGTGTTTTATATACGATCGAAACTCGTCCATTTACTATTTAATCATTTTCAAATAGTAAAACAGAGACTTTGTCGGGGTGACAAAATTGAATATCGCCTTAAAAAGAGCAATTGTAGTGAATGGACCGAAACCAAATAAAAAACACGAAACCCAAGATAAAGCCGAGGAAAAATTAACCAGAGTAAACAAAGAAATCTTAATCTTTTTCTTGATTTTCTCTGGTTAGATTTTGTCTCGGTTTTATCTTGGGTTTCGTTATTTGTTTTCAGTCCATTTACCATGGCAATTGCTCTCTCTCGCTATATACAATCATTTAATCGATTAAAGACTGTAAAATTTAAAAAATGATGACATGTCACTGTTGGAAAACTCAAACATATTCTGTCCACCGTGAGTGAGGACAGAATATGTTCATAATCTTGCTGGCTCATTGTCTGGGAAATTTTCGTAGCTTTATGTATTGCTATCTTCTGTTTTGTTGCTTTCGGTAGCGCTCGTCACATTTGTTCAAATAACTTCATAATTTCCTTAAGTTAGTCTGGAAATCTTGCCTTTGAATTCCCCCATTCATTGAATATGCAGGTCAGTATTCAACTTCTTAAATGGATTTTCCTGTACAGACTGTCCATTAATGTTGTTTGATGCGTTTGGTAATGAACTAAGATTGATATTTAATAACCTATTCAGATAAACACCCTGCTTACATAAGAATTACTTTAAACGTTGTTTAAAGTATGGTTTTTCCTTTATATAGTTCTTCTTTTTCAAGAAATGAAAATTTTTATTTCTATCCAATGAATGCAAAATCATAACTATTTTATTGTGAACCTATGACTCACTCCATTCGTTTTGTGAGAGGTACACTATTTTTTCAAAGGTCCTTAGGATGATCTTTCTTCTAATTAAAACCTCAATTTCAACTTCATCTACAGCAAATTGTCATATTTCCACGATAAGAAAACTGTCTCTTTATAAGTGTGTAAGATGTTTTCACAAGGCTGTTGATCTTTGGATGTTGCGTGTTTTCACAGCTCATGCAATAAAACTATCTTGAATAAACAAATACGACAGCGAGAAAATATATTGTCAACTTTATCTTATCGCGCGACCTCAACTTGCAAAATGTCCCAATTGTGAAATCTGATCGCTTATTATTCGCGACAACTGTCCTCGGCACGAAGAAAAAGTTTCTGCTCAAATCAAATGTGTCCTTTCAGACACAGTCTTGTCAATCATTGATTACGTACGCATTTCTATAGCAGCAGATCATTCTTAAACCCTCTTGAAAAGTTACAGTTGCGCATTTGCGATTGTCAATGGCACAGTGCTAGCACGCCCATAGCTAAATCTCCAACAACCTGCACGCGATTTTATTTCTCGTCTCGTCTGGTGCTTCCGAAGGAGTAACTTTACGAGATCAATGTGAAGAAAATTCCATTATAAAATTTGGAAACAAGGTTGTATTTGCCATAAGATTTTCTTCAGCCAAAGGGACGTTGGTCACACGGAGGACAATCTCAACATGCTCCCAGGCTTGGCGCGATATAGTGTCTCCTCACTTATGAGTGGTCAAGCTCAAGATTCTAGTCTATTTGCTCCATATTCGCCAACTTTTTCAAGTATTCATTCCATGGACAAAACTCAGGTCTATCCATCAGACTGCTATCGTCGACAAGAGTACACAGCGCGAACAACAAGTACTCCAAATAGCCCTCAACAATTTTGGCCGAATGCTTCAAACGCATGGTGTTCTCCACCAGCTATGCAGTACGGTGGAAACATGACTGCATATAATCATAATCCTGGTGAGTGCGACAACATTCTTACTTTTGCAGTAAATTACCAGCAACTGACTGTCGATGTTTGAAGAAGTTCTTGTCGTTACAAATCGTCTTCGTTTATTTACTCTCACATTGAGAGAGTTTCAATTTTAACAAATAACGAAAATTTACGTTTCCATTTACTTGTCGCGCACACGTAGCTTAATATCATCACGGAAAAGCTCCAAATTAATTCAGTCAATAATGCTAAATGAACCCAAAAAGATGTTTAAACTCGACATTTGTCAATATAAGACTATGTTCGGAAGGATATTCCACTAAATGATTATATGATTGAGTTTATAATGTTTATCAATATTGTCAATATGACAATATTTCTTATGACGAGTATGCCAGAACAGTTAACCACATTGCTATAATAGAGCCAGCCGTATTTATTAGACTGAGTCTAAACACAAAACAACAAGGGAACTCCTCGATGATATATGACTAAAACTAGGAAATTAAAAACGACATGTTTTGTTTGTTTAAAGAAAGTATTATTTACGCGATTTATGAGTTTCTCTTCGTACGTTGGGTACGTAACTTGCGCCAAAAAGTTGATTTGCATATTTTGCGTGCGTTATGTTACATTGATGCAATTAAGAAACGTTTAATAAAAAAGCTGTATTGAGGAGAGTTGAAAATACGTGTTAATTGATCATTGAAGATCGTTTAGCGTGTTGTTACATTGTCGCTTTCTTCATTTCGCTTCCAAAATATGCTACTACGGTTTTTGCTGTTTTCGAAATGTTGCTTTCGAGTTTTCAAAATTGGGCGATTATTGCAAATCACTGAGCAAGTCATGGTGTTTATCTTGAGACGGATGTTTGAAAATCACCGAATAAATATTGAGGGCTTTCCTCGAAATTTCGATTCTAATTTCCATCGCTTTTAAATGGAAAGTTGCTTTAGGAATCTTGAACGGAAAGACGTTTGTCGTCGTGTGTTTGTGTATTGTTTGAAAGCCAAGGTTATTGTTGAAAATACAAATACAAAATCACCTAATGATTAGTCGGCTGTTTTTTCTAACGAACATACAGATGACGCAAAATAGCGAATGTCTATATTTTCGTCCAAAGCACGGAAAAAGACTGTTTTAATTCTTACTGTTGTAAAGCAGGATTTCCATCCAACATTACCACACGTTTTTCAGTGTTACTATCGTATTTATTGTGCGATCGTTAGTTTTTGGAGCTTAGAAAAAGCATTAATATAAATATTCTTTGGAAACATCTGGTGAGCATCATTGTTGGCATGTATTTTGCCTTTTTGGTCAATCTGATGTTTCCTGAGATAATCTTTGAACGTGAGAATAAAATTGGTTTTTAGTAAACAAACTATAATTGTAATCTGAAGTATAATCGTTTAATTTTTATTGAAGAGGACAGCGCGCTCTTCCATGACCGAGCTGGCTACGTCTTTTTCGCTGTTTGTGCAAATTAGTTTTAAAAAAAATGTTTAGAAAAATCTTTTCTTTCTTGCAAGATATTTAAGGTCATTTTGAAATTGAAATTGAAAAAATTGTTCATGGTCTTCAGTACAGTTGTTAAGATTTGTCAATTTATATGTGAAGGCTTGGTAGGTACGTAGCTAGCTGGCTAGGTAGCTATCACTTTTCAGAAAGCTGTGATAACAGACATTTTCTGGTAAGAAGCAGATAAGAATTCGATTAAGATAGACCATATGAACATTTTACAGTTGATGTTTTTAACAAGAATCGCAACCAGACTTTTTCTTAATGAATGGTTTTTCCTTGTACGTGTAACTTGCGATGAAAAAAGTTGAGCTTTAAAATTGCTTTTAATCGGTTTCTTTGTGACTATCGTAAACTGTAAAATGACGAGTGCTGATTGATCTTTTAAAGCGGTCATTGGCTTTGGCTTTACCAAGTGGAAAGCTTACCAAATGAAGAGTTTTTTTTCGCACATAAGGCTTGTCGAGTCTCTAGATGCGATTTACTATATAAAGTCATAAGTAATGACAGTTTTACTGCAGTGTCTTAACTTGCGTGCAAATATTTACACGGCCTTCTGGTTGTCTGTCTTAATTTAAAGGTTGACTAGTAATATCGACGTTATCAGATTAGCAAATCAAATAATCTTACGTCTACTATTATTTACGTTGCAATATTTCTGACGTTATAATTGCATTCCACGTAGGAGTTTGATAAATAAAATGCACACACATGGAAGGATCAGTCAACATCGTGCACTATGTGTACGCGACCAGTATTTGCGATTAGAATGGAATTCTCCAACTTTAATAAGCTTACGTCGTTAGGATGACTTACAAATAGATCTTGTAAACGTCATGTTTGTATTGTGATGTGGTGTTCCATCAAAGTGGGCGCCATACTAAGAAACTATTACAGTTCTTGAACACATAATGTGTGTATATTTAGGTGTTCTGTTGCTATTGTTTGCATCGCAACAAGCAATCTTCAAATGCAGAGCAGCCACATGCAGACTAGTATATTCAGCTGTAAAACGATTGTTTGTTTTGGCTCCACCTGTCTCCTGAACTGAAATTATATTTTGTTCCCCAAACCTTGCACTTTAAGTCTTCTTTACACCATATTTTCAATTATTTTATTGTACAAATTCATGATCAAACCAAACAAGATTTGATTCGAGGAAAAAGAAGCAAACGATTTCTAATACTCTCCATGATGTTATTCTAGCAACAGGGTATCCCTGTGGAAACTACTATTTCTCTGATTACAACGTTGATAGAGATGAGAAGGACATGAAAAAGAAGAGAACGCGTACGGCGTTTTCAACTGATCAAATAAAGAATCTGGAAAAACGTTTTGTATCAAATCATTACGTTGTCGGTGCAGAAAGACAGAAACTTGCCAACGAACTTGACCTTTCAGAAGCCCAAGTTAAGGTGGGCAGCAAAACTTCACCTTTGTATAATGCTAATCTAGATGGTATCAGAGAAACCTCAAGGCAAAATCAGGAAATCTTTAATATTTTCTCAAGTGTACAATTTACAAACTCTTTATGGGTTGTCGCTTTGGGCATTTTAAGTCTCTTCTAGGACGCACTTTTATTTAATATTCTGGCAAGACACATACCGTTTGAAGCAACATTTGACTAACATAGGCTGTTTTGTGTATGTAGGTATGGTTTCAAAATCGACGAACTAAATACAAGAAAGAAAAAGAACTAGAAAAGCTAGGGAAACGAAGAGTGAAAAGAAAAGGCGAACACCACATTAGAAAATGGCAAATACTAACGAAACATTTTGGACCTGATACCGAAGAGCTATTTTCTGATCCGTGAATGTGGAAAAGAATATTTCGATAATAGTATTTGTTGAGAATAATGGTTATCCTATCCATTTTATTTGGCTGCATTTGTGGTAATTTCTTTCATCATAAGGGCTGAAGATCTTTGATTTCATATGTCACCTGATAGAAAAATGGTCAGGATCAAGAACAAGGATGACAAAAGGGCTTCGTTACAGAAAAGAACATGTTCCAAAATATGTTCTATACTCATGCACACATTGTATGAAAGCAGTGGGATTTAGTCAAATTATGTAAATAATCAAACATGTAATGTATTTAAAGAATAAAATATATTCATCGTTTTAACATGATTTTTAGAATCTTCAACTGCTAACTACCTATACCGGCTATACGTGTTGTTAAACACAGCAAATTTTCAGGAAATCGTCGTTAATATAAAAAGTTAAATTATCATTATTGGACATTTTCCTCGAAGCTAGCAGGAAGTCATCACATGGTCATCATGATTTATACTTTCTCATTGTTTTCTTTCAATATATTGACGTCACGACACCATAGAAATTTAATCTGTAAACTGATCTGGTTCAGGCACAGCTTGCATCGAATCGCGTCTCGAGTTGGTTGATAGTTTCTTCAAAACGCTTTTCAAAATGAACGTTTTGGTAGTTTTAGCTGGATTTGGAATTTTAACATTATGTCATTGTCTTGCTGACATACCGCCGTATTGTGGCGCTGAGATGAAGGAATATGTGGCAGTCAAAGAGGGCACCTTGCGTCAAGTTCACATGATTACAAGGTGTTGTGTAAAATAAAATAACCGTAAAAACATCTTTACTTTAAAAGATTTCTTATATTGCAAACAGCAATCAATGTCATGTGTCGTCATCTTATGTTTTCGTAGCAAATTTTACAATCTAACTCTCTTTGAGGAGATTACACGGGGAAAGAATAATTTGGTATAACACGGTACCACACAACAATTGTATTTTTACTTCATATCGGGTTTCACCGCGTAAACATTTTAGGATTTTCAGCTGTCGAAAAAAGCTAAATTACCTGATGTCAAATTTCAGCTTATAATACGTCGAAAATATATATAATGAAACTGTCAAAAAAACAGACTTCACAAGTTAAATGTTTACTCTTGACGTTGCTCCTTTTAATGATTAAAAAGCTGATATATTTAGCGAAACGATTGAAGACAAGTAAGATGCAACATTCACCTAAATGATAGACTGCACGCGGAATGCTTTAATGCATTTCATAAAGAACACAAATAACATCTTTCAACAAGAACGAAGATTCAATGTCAGTCACGTTAATCACAAAATCGACGGCAAATATTATTTTCATTATGTCAACAAAACAAAAACGTCATACAATTTTTGTGTTAATTTTGGACAGACATGGAGACCGAATTCAAGCCAATGCTGGTGAATGTTGGAAAGGCGATACTTATACATGGGATTGCCTTCTTACTGAGGCTGTTACACCCACCATAAATCGTGCTCAACAATATCTACGCGTCGAGAGGTTGTATAGAAAAGGTTTGCAGATAATATATTTTTTTTGTCACTCTTGAGGCTTGGTCCCTCTTAGTTATTGTTCTTTTATTTTCGACCTCTCTATTTGATGTATTTCGTGTGTAGTCTACTATACCGGACGTGAAGAAATTCCTGGAAATTGTGCTCTGGGGCAACTGACGAGTATTGGCTTCCACCAACATTTAAGACTTGGAGAGAAAATAAGAAGTATCTACGTTAAAAGCGGATTTCTTTCACCAAACTTCTCCTCCGTTGAACATCGTGTTCGTAGCACTGGTAGAAATTCATTCACGTTGCTTTAAAAATCTTTTTGATATTTTATCTGAACATTATTCAGAAACTTTTTTGTTTTTCTTTCAGTTGTGTTCGAAATTTTTCAAGACAGGATCTGCTGTCTTTTTTTTTATTTTTCAGATATTTACAGGACTTTTCAATCGGCTGAGATGTTCATGACAGGTATGTTCCTCCATTCCAACCAGTAGAAGGACGACCTGGAATCATGGACATTAACACAATGGATGGAACTTATGAAAACATGTACCCTAACCCAAAGTGTGTGTTTGTGAAAAGACAAAACATCAATGTTTTGAAAAAAATAAGTGTTTCCTTCAATTGAATGATCTGTTTTCAGACTTTGTCCCAAAAGCCAAGAATACTTAACAGCCTTTTTCGAGTCAGCTAGTTTCGTGCGACACTATGAAACCGTCAGTTTCCCGTTGGTAAAGGAGCTTCGAATTGCTCTTCGTGACCCTAGTTTTAGTAAGTTCATTTTTTACTGTAATTATATGTGAAAGTCAAAAGTTATTTCCAGTTGTATAAACGTTTTTTCAATCTTACCTAGACTACCAAGATATTTTCAAGTTGTTTGATTGTCTGAATGTCTACAAATGTCACAAGATCGATACGCCATCAGCAATTACACCAGAATTGTACCAAAGGATTGTGGATGAAGCAACTTACGTGTTCTATAATATGTACTCCTACCCAACCATACAGGAAGCTTCCAAAGTTGGAATTGGATTCTTCATTAAAGAGCTCGACAAAGTATGTGCGAAAAAATTGACATGAGTCAAGTTTACAGTTAAATGTAATGTTGTTTTGTGTTTTAAAGTTACAGTCGACATTCTCTGTCGAAAAGTTAGACGTTTTTATATGTTTTGCTGTTATCGCGACACAAGACTAGTTTTTCTATAAATTTTCTTTATTTTTGCTGTAGGAAATTGCTATGTTGATGAGTGGCGAGTCCAAATTTAGATTCATTTTGTATTCTGGCCATGATATCACCCGTAAGTATCACGTGATTCCTTTCATACGTGACGCTGTCAAACGAGTCACGTGACAAGAAATTCTCTGCTCAAGTTTGACATGCGTAGTGTGGTTTTTCTTTACCTTTTCGTATAAAATTTCCTCCGAATGATTTTTTAATGCATCAAATGGCAAGCATTTATCTTTCTTAATTATTAGTCATGACTTTATTGTTGGCCTTCAACATCAGTGATGGCGTATGGCCACCGTATGCATCACAGTTTGTAGTTGAAATCTACGAAATGGATAACAAAGAATTTTATTTGAGGATTCTTTACAATGGAAAGGCGATGAAACTACCCTTCTGTAACGATCAAGAATTGTGTGACATTGTTAAAGTTGTGAAACCGTACATTGACAACTTTGAACCGGAGAGCGTTGAAAAAAATTGCAAATCCAGCGAAAAGAAAATATGAACTTTTATACTTCTAAACTGGGGACTTCGAAAACGAAATGATTAATGGACGAACTATTAGTTGATTTTACAAAAGATGATTCAAAATTATACTAATTTTTCTCGGGAAAATAAAAGGAATTAAACTCATTTAAAACGGTGGCTCCACTCAGGCTTTTGAACATTTGTGCGAATTTTTACATCATCAAAATTTTTCACAAACGCTGTAACATGAAGTAAATGAACGAGCGACATACTTTAGTTAACTTACTAGCACTAGACATCCTTAAACTCGTCATCTTCGCTGCTCAGAGATTCGAATGTATCTAGAAGAAGATATAGATGGTACGTATTGCTCTCAAGTCCTCTAAGTTATTAAGCTTCTGTGAATTAAATTGAGTTTTCAGCTTTTTTTACGAATAAACACATCTGAACTATACAAAGACATTTTATACTTACCAATGATTTCAGATTGCAGTGTGAATTCCAAATCTCTCGTAACTTTGTTGTTGTTGAAATTGTCTGAATTTCAAGAGATTAAAGGTATTAATTTCACAGTTGAAACTTGAAAGACCACTTTATTAATAGTGAGTTGATAAGTTAATTTGATATTGTAATGATTATATCCTAGCCATGCGGCCATGTCATTCTTTCAACTACTAAGAAAATCTCTCCTTTACCTTTTTCTAGAGAGTTATACTTATTCAGTCTATGGATTGTGTAATCTTCGCTATGAGACCGTAGCCTATCATTTCTTTGAAGACTTGACTCTGATTGAGGAAGTGTTAATGCATCTAATGGTCGATGCATAAGTGAAATGTTGCTCATAAAACTATCGATGCATTGTTTTCGAAGAAGCGCCATTCTCCATAGATTCTTCATTTCAGCCGTTGTTTTCTTGTTTGATAAACTCACTGTGAACTCCTTTCCTTCCAATGGTAGACCATATGCTAGTCTCGAAACGGCTGGCGCATCTAGTGCGCTTTGAGAAACATGCATTTGACTTTGGCGATTTTTCTTTGTTTCAAGAAATTTTTCACGTACTCTTTTAAGCTCCTTGCGATTGCTCTTGTCTTCTTCACTCCTCCTGCGAAATTCCCGAATGCTAAGATCCACTTGTTTTTTGATGGATTTTTTTTGAAGTTCGTTCATTCTTTCGTGGATGTTTCGTAGCCGACGATTCCTCTCATTTTCGTTTGAATATATTGAACGCAATCGAGAAATTACATCAGCAGACTTTTCATTGAACTGCACGTCAGGTAAGTGAACGTTCGATGATAATGGTGACTTTTTTGTTGTGAGTACTTTCTCATCCTGTCGCACTATTTTACAGTTATGCAACTTATTTGAGTCTTCTTTAGTTGAATGAACATCTTTCATGAGTATTGCTTGTTGTGCGCGATGGTTGGCCCATTTTCTTGCCCAATTTTGTTGGTTCTTCGTCGGATGTGAACAATAAGGATTACTGAAGTCGCTTGATTTGCAAGATCTGATAGCCTGAAGATTTTCTTCAGGAGAAATAGAAAATGCGTCAAATTGCATGTTAATATAAAAAATATGTTTTCTGTGGCAGTCAAAGCTGGACTGGGTTATATATATGTATCTTTAGAATGTAAATTCTTACACCTGTCATTGTTGGTTTATTGAACATGACGCTGTTTATCTTTTCGGGTATTTTTGTTCCACTTGTACTGTGATGTCGTATCCTTTGAAATATCATCCAGCTCTGTGAAATGTCATTACGATCAGAAGATCTGGAAAGAACAACGGTAAGTTGTTGTAATGTACACACGTCTTTTAAGATTGCAAATTCATCTTAAATCATACACATCCTTCGCTTTATTCTTACCTTTGAGAAATTGATCCAACAGTAGTCTTCGACAACAAGCTCTGATCCATTTTGACAATTGTAGTCTTCGTCTCCTTGTGCTAACCTTTGTCTATTGTTGTTAAGGGTAACGATGTAATAGACGCCAATCGCAGCTAATTAAAATTAAAAGCCTTTCCTTTCGTGTACCATCGCTCTGTAGTATCAATGCTGAAAAGGAAATAAGGAATTCGGAGATGGATTTTGATCTTTTTTTATGTGTGCTGATTCTTCAGGTATTTATACAAATGTCGAAAATTACAATAGTTCTCATTGCACAAATTTGAAACAAAGCAACAACAATGTATTCTTTTAATCCTTATTAATTGAATCCTTATTAATTGAACAAATTTAATGGTAGAGAGAACTCGACAATGCACACATGTCGCTAACTTGTGTTGTAGTGTTTGCCAAAGGTCATTAGTATCATTTAAGTTGTCTGCTTTTCACTCTTTTTTTTCACTGGTTAGGGTCAAGTGAACTATACTGTTTTTGATCTTTCCCGCTCCCCCCAGACTTAAACTTTCTTTTGTGTCCCTCCCCCCGATTTAGATCTGCATAAAACATGGCGACCAACATTGACGATACGGAGTTAAAAGAAGATATTGCCGGTGTGTTGAGCTGGAAGCCTTAAGCTTTTTGTTTTGTTTTGTTAAGAATTGACTACATGTATAAAGTTTGTTAAATTTTAGCTGTTTGTTTTATTTCTTATTGATATTTGTTCAACTTTTCGACAAAGAAATTATTAGAAATGGTGACTTGGCCGTCCTCACCTCGAAAAAGATTCGATTATTATTGGAGAAGAAATATAACACGAATCTTTCTAGCAGGTAAATGCAATTGTCATCTAATGGCACGCTTTAAATGATTCATAAAGGCGCGAGCTTGATCATATAAAAAAGCATTGTTAGCTAACTGAGCTAAGTTGCCTAGTTTCAAAGAATACCTTCGAAGCGTCAGTCTACATGAATACCAACAGTCCTTCTCAGGACTCTATTAACCTGGACAATCTTCATCCACAAACATGTTACGATACTCCTGGGTTCAAGCCATTTACAAAGAATACATTTATTACTTTATCATTGTTGAATCTGCAAACAAATTTATGCATCGTTTGAATAAATACAAATGACTTTAAGTGTTTATATTTATTTAGGAAGAAGCACATCGATGATATTGTAATGCAATTAGTCGATGAACAATCGGACGATGATGTTGGAACTGATCCAGTTGTCTCTTCTGACTCTTCAAGTATGACAGAAAAGAAAATTTTACCCAAGGTAACAAGATGCTTATCATTACAGAATTTTTTAATGGCTGCTTATTATCATTCGTTTTGTTAGAAATCATCCGAAAATAGCTCACAATCTGGTCAATCAGTAAGAACTTGTAGTCGTTTTCGTATTATTTTGATACATTTCTATTTGTTGTTCATAATCGAGTGACATTTTTCAAATATTTCATTTGTTATTATTGTCAGGTTGTAGAAGAATCCGTAAATAATGAAGAAAAATCAAGAAATAAAGTGAAAGCCAACCATGTTAAATCTGAGAATGAAGAGGTGTACTCGTGGTTTCTGTTGTATCTGTTTTTTATCTTCTCTATTTTTGTTAATGAAACCAATTCATAAAGTGTGGAAAATCGTTTGTTGATTAACCAAACATTATAATTTCATTTATATTGATTGTAGAGTGAGAGTGAAGATAGTGTGTCGGATATTGAACCTCCTAAACCTAAAAAACAAAAAAGACTTGCTGCAAAAGCTGTAAAAGTAAGTGTATATGAGAATACAAACAAGGCATGCTCTCTGATTTGAATTGTTTGAAAATGATTTTGCAGAAAGAAAAGACTACTAAAACTGTTAAAACAGAAAAAGTTGAAGGTGCTAAGAAAAAAACAGGTTCGTATTGCTAAATGATTTGTAATATGTTAGATCCTGTTTTACTAAGAAAGGCTTCTATTATAACAGGCTTCTCAATGCCCATGGTTTTGTCAGCTGAACTAGCAGAATTAATGGGCGAAACTCATGTGAGCTAAACACTATTTTTCATTTCTGTGTTTAGACTTGTATTCTTAAAAAATCTCAATTAAAATTTCAGATGGCTCGCCCCGAGGTTGTGAAAAAGATGTGGCAGATAATAAGGGAGAGAAATTTATTTGTGAGTTTGATTGATGCTCTAAAGATTTCTCAAGCTAAAAATTTATTTGATAGTGATGTTTTTAAAATTAATTGAATATCAGGATCCTTCAGATAAACGCTTCACACTCTGTGATGATCAGTTGCTAAAGATAATCGGTGAGTTACATTGGAATTTACTTAAACAAGATAAGTGAAAATTAGGGAGTGATAAGCTTATATACACACCTAATGTTGTGCTTAATTGCTTAATTTTTTTGTTTTTATTTGCAGGTAAAAAACGTTTCAACACATTTGCCATGATGAAGTTTTTAAAGAAACATTTGAAGGATCCTTCGTTGATGTGAAGAGGTTAAAAGATAATTACGATAGTGGAATGAGAGAATGAGCTAAGTTCATGTTGTCTAATGTTTTGTTTGTTGTGTTACGGAAAGATGAAAGTATGCAATGAATATTGTTTGCAAGAATAAATTGATGGTAAAGGCAGACTTGCTCACCCATAGTTCCCCTCCCCATTTAAGCGCAGACACTGGAAAAATCACACGTGATCCTGGCGAGTCATGTGTGTCAATCAAATGAATATCAACAACATAATTGATTTTGAAATACTTTATTTTTCCCACCATCAGTTACTATTATTGAACACTTTGCTCTATGCATACAAAAAATTGAAAAAACAGTTACATGTGTTTGTGCGTAAAAACATTGATTTTATCAAAGCTAAACTATAATAAGTGAAAGATCAACAAAGACATCGCATTGCAAAATTTCTAAATTTGCTTTGAAATTAAATTGTAGTAATAATTAATATTTGTAGCTAAGAGTTTAAATTACAGTAAAATTTTGACGTAGTAATAAATATGTTTTGCAAATTACTTAATGAGAGAAATGCATCAGAAATTGAGTTCAATAAAATATACACTACCAAAACGTAGTTCTGAATTATAGTCCTTTCTGACATAAGTCTGAATATAAATCCTTATAGTCATACTGCCGCAGCTATTATTTTTATTGTCTTAATAAACAAAACCTGCTTTTTTCGGAAAGTATTTTTAAGTGTAAATACAAATAATACACTTGACTCCAAGAATTGTGATGGAAGGTGTAAGCCTATTTTATGAAAACAATTTTAAAAACAATTTCTTTGCATTTCCCAAAAAAGTTTACAAGAATACTACGAGTGCTATTATTCACAATTTATTTACAAGATATATATTTTATGGGAATACATGAACCTGATTATGTTGATGAAGACAGAATTTATTTATAATATGTACAAGTTTTGATCTCCTAAGATAAGATGTAATATTGCACAACAATAATGACATCTAAGATACCTTAATCACTTACGTTTTTCAATTCATTAACACTTGCGTCACTTATCAATTTTAAATTGAAAAATTTTACAATTCGATCACAATTGAAGGGTAATTGTTTAAAATCACACTAGGTATGCAATATCATAGAATAATTTAGATATTAATTAAGATGTTCAACAACATACTCATTTTGACTGTCTGATTTCTACACTATAAATCTCAAGTCTCACATCCCATACATAAGTATTTATAAAATATCAATACACCCTGAAATAAGTACAATATATATATTATTAACCTGTATAGTTATTAATAAATAGCTGTTAAAGACAACCGTCACTACCTCCACTGCCATCCATACTAGATCGGTCAGATTCACTGTTGTATTCAGTGTCTTCTATATCAATATCATCATCACAGGTTGAATCACCTTCAGAATTGCTCCGAATCCTTTGTACCAGCTCACCTCGTAGACATGTTAATTGTTTCACAAGTCTTAAATGTTCCTGATGAAGTTTCTGTTTCGCAGCCATAGCTTTCTTATCGTTATTTTCCAGTACCTTGTGTGAGGAGAGCGAGACAATACAGGTTATGACATAGAAAGTTCATGAAATTAACCACAGCAAGGGCATAAATTTTGAAAATGTTAATTATTATAATTATTTGATAATGAATATCAGACATCAAAGTATTACACATATGCATATTTAAATTACTTTCCACAGCTGTAGATTTACAATTACAGCTGTTTCAAAAAACCATGTTATGCAAAAGCAGAGGAAGAATTCAACAAATACCTTTATGTAATTTCTAGCATTTTGAAGAAGTGATAGTGTTGTCGATTTTTGATGGTCAGGAGGCGTTGGAACGATTTCTTTCAATGTCTCGAGACAATCGCGAAGATGTGCACGCCTTTAAAATGAAAGGAATAGGTTTTTTCAAAATAGCTTTATGCTGGTCATGAACCCAGCACAATTGGCGGCTTGTTTTGGAAATTTTTCAAGAGCACTCAAGCCTTATTTAAGGCCATTGCATGGGGTGAAATTCTCTGCAAACTTAATTGTCAGCTGTTTATTTAAATACATTTTATTGAATCTTTTTCTTCGCATAAACAGCAATAAAGCTTTCAAAAAAATTAACGAGCATAGCGACCAAATTATGTTTAACCGTTTATGACGATCTTACAACTCTCAAAGCAAACAATTTAGCAACCGGACGACATACGCACAAAACCACTTAAATAATGGCAATAATGACCAGCGTAGTCATCTAAGCGTGGCTGAAAGCACGATATGGCACGATTTTTCGTTTATATTTAAGAAACGAAGTTTTATATCAGGCGATAGTATTTTACCCACCAAGATGCAATATCATGTCGGCATAAGAAACATCGCCTTCATTTTCAGTCGGCTGTACTTTATATTTTAAAGCAAATATTTTGGTAGCTCAAAACCGCAACAGGTTCAACCCGAAACTTGGCAAAGACCTATTTTTTGCTTAGGTTATTACAATGAAAACACGACGCATGGAATATTAAGGATGGAGGCCTTAATTTAAATAGTGTTGATACAGAGGTGTGTAATATTTAAAAACAATATGAATGTAGCCTGGAGGTCAAAAGCACTGCGACATCACTTCTTTTTGCACAGTTTATACAAGAATTCTGCCGCAAAATGGTAAGATTTAAGTTTATTTTGTACTCTTTGTTAGGTGCTTGCACAACCTATGTACAATGCAAAAATCTGGGATAATGAATTCACTTGGGAATATGTGGTAAACGGAAAAATTCGCAGGTGAATACCGTTTAAAGACACGTGCAAATTTTCAACTCCCCCTTCACACGTGGCGTAAAAAAGACTCGTGCTTTATAAATCCAATAAACACTTTAAGGTCCATATGTTAGCTCGAAGTCAATCTCTTGAAATCTTACCTATTTTTCTCCAGCTGGTTGTGTGTGGATCGGCTAAATGATGAGATAGCAAAATTCAAACTATTATTGACAAGTAAACAACGTTCTGGGGGATCAATCGTCCGCGTAATCCAATTTCGTAATTATCTTAAATGCATAAAAGGATGGGAAACTAGGATGGTTCAGCGCTGTCTAGCTCGGGGAATATTTTGTTGCACAGGGAGAGTAAACATGGCTAACAATTCTGTTTCAGTGCTTCACACAGCGTGAAGTACAATTTATAAAACGCCATCTGGCTGCACTTCGCACATTATTTAACCATAAAATAGGAATGAAGGACTTGAAAGATACAGAGAAAGCAGAAGGAAATCATATGACACTGGTCGTATATATGTAGAAATATAAGTGGGTTTAGCTCAGGGAAAGCCCCACACCCCCAGTTTAATACGAAGTATTTTCCTTCGCACGACGGAAACTCACGAGTTCCCAAAAGCCTAATTTTTTGTTGGGTTAAATTGCCTAGGTGTCATTTATATTCCTGATAATCATATAAAAACTAGGACTCATATTTTTCGAAAAGCTCACTGAAAAAGTCAAAGCAGTTTTCTCGCATGCATATTTCAATCCACAAGTAAACACAAGTCAACGAAACAGGCAAGCGAAATGTCGGTAATTATCCCGACAAGTAGTAAAGCCAGAAAAAGTACAATTTTCTCACCTGTAACTCGGTGAACGTTTGTTTATTTTCTTGCTTTTCTTATCGGGAGTTCGTACTCTTTTGTCTACGAGAAAATTAAAAAAAACCAATCTACATGGAGTATATTTGAGGTATCTCGTATGTCGATGGCGATAAAAACATCCATGATGTAGTTTTTGGTAATGTACATTGTTAGCTTGTAATTAAACGTACTTGCTTCTTGTTCTTCTATTAGCTGCGCTGCAGCAAGTAAGCATTCTATCCCCATTATTTCGCGAAGAAAATGAGATGAGTTTTGAAAAATCTACAAAATTATAACTCAATCGGTGATGTTTGTAGCTGACTAAAGAAAATTATATCATGCGCGATAACGTCATTCGAGCTCAACCCAAACACAAGTAAAACGGAGAATCTGATTGGTTGATATTTAAAAAGGACCAATTAGGAAATTGACTATCGCAAAATGAACCAATCACAAGGCTACATTTCAACAACGGTAAAGTCCACATGACTGTCAGAGTGTCACACGTGGGCGGCTATTCAACGTGCATGTAAACATAAGCGAAACCATGGGGCAAAATTTTATATTAAAAAGCTTTAGAGTCACGATTTAATGCTAGCTTTTTGTCAAATGTTTTTTCCGTCAACTCTTAGCTCTACTAAACGCATAAAGATAACAATATCATCAGTGGTTTTGTTAAGCAAAATTAGAAAATCCACATAATATATTTCTTATTAATAGAATACAATGTACAATGACTTTGAACATTGTTTCCTTTTGGGGAAAGTCATGCAAAGCTTTCTTTTCGAAAACAGAGAACACATCGCAATATTTGGCTTTCATCAATAAAGAGGATTATTCGTATGTCAGTACAGGTTAAATGGCAACCACAGGAAAATACGAAAGGGCAATATTGAAAGATGACGCATGGTCGCCTTTCTGACACGTATTGTGGGATATTTGAAAGGCGACGCAGTATCACGCGAATTTCATATAAATTGCAGACATGCTATATAACATGTTGAAAATCGTACATGAATGCATAAAAAGTTGTGTGTATCTTTATGATATTTTTAGTATTGCACTTGTATTCTGGTGTAACTTTTAGTTTGATGTTTTCCAGAACAAGTTATTATAATAAGCAAAAGAATGTAGAAGTCAGCATTTTGAATGTTATTAAGTGATGACAAACAATGGTTTCTGGTGCAAGCCAGAACCAGTTTATAGTTGTTTTGTGTTCTCATCTAAAAACTACTGCAGTCTTGCATTATGAGAAATGTTCGTATTTACTTGAATCGTAAAGCTTCGATGAGGCAAAAAAAAATTAAGATGAACGAATAGATATGAACAATCAGGCCACTCTGCTGTAGCGATCAACGCTAATTGCTTTGTGCACTCTGATATAAAAATCTTGGCTTGCTGATCTTTTGTTCCTGATAGGCAAGATTGTTGATATATCATAAACGCACTTCTTAACCAAGAAAACTTTTAATTCGAGTTCGGCTTCTGACCAAACAAAGAGCTTTATAAAAAAGATTTATCTGTGTTCTCACAAACCAAGAATTAACCTCAAAATAAATAAATCTTTAAATGGTAACGTTTCGCATTATCAATCCGTGGAATGTAGAAATGTCACAATTTAATGGTAATAATTGCCCACGTGAGCTGCCACGTGTTGTTTAATTTTTGTGTCAAATACTTTCAGCATTCAAGCTGCAACACACAAGACTTCTGGCACTTCAAGGTTGCTGCTTTAACTTTTGTGTTAAATTCAGCCTTCTCCAGCATTTCCCCGGCGAATGTTAAAGAATTTCGTTGTGTTCGAGCTAGCTGTAGCAACGTCCGTAGTTTTATCAATTTGTTTTAAGAATTTCAGTCTTGCGTTATGCGAGCATCAATTCCACCTCTAAATGGATAAGTATTATGAATGGAATAGAGAACGGCAACTAAACACAAACAATACTTAAATACTCTTACTGCCTATCAAAATGAATCGGTTTTTTCCCTAATAGGGCAAAGTTTTAACTATCCGCCAATTTATCCTTCAATTATAATCTGCCGCATTGGCATCTTCCTTGTTTGAGCTTCTATTAGCCAATTCTGTCTTGCCTATTAATTTGGAATGCTTTCGGAAACGTGAACAATGCAAAGGGTTTTGAAAGCCTTCAATAGTTACCCAATAATTCATCCGCTGCCAATAATTCAATTTACTGTCCGAGCGAGACTTAGGGATACTTTATTATCGAAATCAATAAATTATATAATTGTCTTTATTTCAACGACATCAATGATGATGTTATTTGAGCATACTGAGACTTGTTGTCAAGGCGTTTATTTTTTTGTGTTGTTGCTGGGAGGAACACATTCTTCATGTAAAGATCTTTATTGTTCGACGTGTAGTCAGACAGCACAATATGCACGTGCTCCAACGAAAAGTTCGAAAGTTCCGCTACATACTTACAATGCCAAGTTATTTCCCCCTGTAAAATATTATAAGTAGTCATTGGGAAGAAAACAGTATAAAAAACAGAAATTGAGCAATTTAGGCACGTTTTCCATTAATACGTGTTTCAAAAATAAATCAACTGCGTCAAAAATCTTTCATTGCCAAAAAAGTCGTCACAACCTCTACGTAATTTGTGTGCGTCATTCTGTGTCTCAACATAGAGAACTTCTTCCTGTTTTAAGTTCTCTGAAAATTGATTTCTAATAAAACACTTTCATGTCGATAGTCCAAACCCTGTTTTACGGATACTGCTCTGAATTTGAAAATGAAATTGGCTTTATTTGAGTATATATTCGAAAGCAACAAGTGTATAATGACTTGAAATTTGACAAAGACCTGTTCGACAACTCTGTTAGGAAGTAAAAGCCCTGAGAACTAGTTTATAAGAATATAGCCCGCAAAAGGGTTTATTTTGCCCGCAGGCAAGGTCAAATTTCAACAAACGAAATGTGTAAATTCAGTGCAGAAAACTCAAACAATGAAAACTGTCACAATTTAGAAAGATTTTCTTTGACGAAGCCTAGGTATGACCAGGTTTGTATTAGAAGTGTTATTTTACTCTATACTTGAAAGCAAATAATGGATAGTTAAGTCTTGTGATAAGGTTACAGTCTTGACATAGGGACGTGTCACGTGGCCACCCGGGGGGTTGGTTGATACCAAAAATATGGGGTTTTCTGCACTGAGTGGTTTTCTGTCGGTTAATACCGTGGTGTTTGTCGTCATTTAAACAGTTGTCAGTAAATATCTATTTAGCAGAGTAAATTTCAAACTTTATTCATATGTTTGTCATTAAAATAATGATTTATACCCCAAATACCAAGTAGAAGAAGATCAAGTCCTTGCCCCCCCCCCTCCCCCGCTAGAAGGACTATGTCATGGTAAAATGTATGGTAGTCAGAATATATTGCTGAATTTGGATTATGAAAGTTGATAGAAAATTGTCGCATTGAAGTAATTTTTTCCTAGGGCACATTTTGGGGTCGATATAGACGATGCCTGGACATCATAGATCCTCGGACTCTGCTTGTCAGCAAGGTGAATATTTAATTTCACCATCTATCCATTTTCATCCCAGCAAGGTCTCTGCCATTTTTGATGAAATAAAATCATTTTCTTGTTTTTATTCTGATCCTTAGGAAAAGGAGAAAGAATGTCTCTCCTTGTTGCATTTATATAAAGAATGTCAACTTCCATCTCATGTCACAGCAGAACAAGTACGTATGCCTGCTTTGTTGTCAAATGATTTTGTTATTGTTGTTAATTTGTTTGTGAATTATTTCTGACAGTTATGGGAAGCAAGAAAAGTCAAGGAGGTTAAAGCTTATTGCAAGTTGGATTCTAAGTTTTAAAATGAGTACTTCGAAAGTCTGAACATCATTTTAAAATATTATTTTTACATTTTACCATGATTTATTTGATTTTTTAGGCAGTGTTTCATCCAGATACTAATGAAAGGATATACATGCCATTTCGTATGTCAGGTACGAGCTATATTAATCTATTTTTTTAAGTAACTTGAAAATCATGAAAAGTCTATAACACTTTTAGGTTTTGTCCCATTTGGCACTATAACAGTAAGAGAAAATCTTCACCTCATGCTATTTTTCAGTGCTTTCCTTTTTCAAAGTTCAATTCTTTAGGTTGTTGGCATGTTGATGCCTGCCCCAAGTTTATCGACCGTAGTGTTTTGGCAGGTATTGTGCATTGTAGTTTTGCTCTCCACTCAACTAACATACCTACCTACTTACCAATCTTGGTAAAGCCAGGATTTGATTGTCATTTTAAATGGTTTAGTTGTTGAACCAAAGTCATAACGCTGCTGTGAATTACTCTAACAGAAATGCTACAAAGGTTAAAATCATTCTTCATGTAGAAAATAGTTCTAGGATCCAATTGAATGAATCTAGTTGTGAAAATCTTCCCCGTTGCTTGTTTCAGCCAACGCCAAACAGTAGATTTATACTGAGTTACGTTGGAGCCATTACAAGCGCTGTTTCTATTGCTGTTGGATTGACTGTTTTTGTTCAAAAAACAAAAATGTTTTCACCACAAGTGAGACGGTCTTTACAAAGATTGATTGCATTTCCTGCTACTGGTCAGTATGATCTACATTAACTCGTTAATCTTTTTGCAAAAACTTTCAACGTTCAACGAAAACAAATTTCATTTTTTGTTCAGCATGTGCCAATGTGTGTAATGTTCTTTCAATGAGAAGTAACGAGCTTATAGAAGGAGTGGATCTTGTAGATAGCAATGGAAATGTTCAAGGGACATCAAGAATTGCTGCTAAACGGGTAGCTTGAGTTTTACGCCGTGAATTGACAGCGTTATTTTGTAACAAAGAAATCCAAAATTTTTGTTCACAAATAATAATGTTTTAGGCAATTTACGAAACGATAATCACAAGAATTTTTTTGTCTGGTACAGTATTATGTACTCCTGCGATTATTATGACTGTATTGGAAAGGTATTTATAAATCATCGCTTGTGCAATATTAATAATTAATTGCTTAAGTTGTCCCATTTCTTAACTACGACGTCTTTATACTGTTATCTCGTTGTTTTTATGTATAGAGCAAAATTCCTCAAAAAACATCCTCGTTTTGTTCTACCAACTCAAGCGATCGCCTGCATCTTATCATTTGGCATTGCTTTGCCTTTTGCTATTGCCCTCTTTCCTCAGTTGTCCCAGGTGAGAGTTTGCATCAGTTACATTGCTATTTAGCCATTTAATTTATACAAATAGCTGCATGTATGAAGCTTTCGAGTTAAACGCATAATAGTTGAAGTTTTTAGCGTGATTGCGTGTGCAACTTTATTTGAAATCGTGACTCCATTCTATAAAGCTTCCTATATGACCTTGGCCATTATGAAAATACATCATTAGATATGCATGCTTGCTGCAGAGAACCTACTCAAAAATCTCAATGAAATAATCGGATTTACGCGATGATGACGGCAGCACTAAGTGTTAATGTAAGGACTCCTTTGATGTGCATGGTATTTTCTAAATATAGTCGACGTGAAACACAAACCAGTTATTTTGAAAAAAAATATTCTTTTATCGGTTGGGTGTGTGTCTGTGGTATATCACATGCATGTATGATGACAATGATGTTAGATGCCTATTTATAGTAATTTGATGTACAAATCTCAAATATTTTCGACTTTAACACCATTCAAAAGATCTTGCTAGTTCATACATAAACCCAACTATATTCTTTGTCGGTCAGGAGATTTGATGATACGTTTTGTCTCCAACTTGTTTTTGTTTTTGTTGAAGATATTAAAAATTAAAATGTTTCCTCTTAAACACCACTGTATAAACAAAGAAACAGATGATTCTTTGATGTAGTCCTTAATATTGACCGACTTGAAGGTTTTGTGGCAATCACATGGGTCTCCGTAATTTCTAGATCGACTTAAAGGATACAGAAAAAGAAATTCAAGCAAATTGCAGAGAATCTATATTATATTATAACAAGGGATTATGAGTTTGATCTTTATACGACAGTAATGCCCCCTAGCTATACACGTGTGAGTTATATGTATTGACATTAACGTCACAGGCTTCAGATGAAACGATTTGACAGCGCACACGCGACAACAGTGATTTAATTGAACGATCTCATTTCACGTGCATGTATAGAAGGATCACTGGAAATTAACGTAACTTACTTAAAAAAATTAGACAAATAGTTAGAACTTAGAAAATTCTATTATAAGTATTACCATTCTGTCATTCTATATGGTTGTTTGGTGAACGATATATGTAACTGGAGTATGTTCATTCGTTTTACCGTTGCCATAGCAACCAGCCCAAAAAAAAGCAAATGGCGAATATTTTTGAAGTTTGTGTTGAGCTTTCTGCTGTTTTATTGACTATATTTGAGTTTGTTTTTACCACAATATACTTTTGAAAACATGGACCAGTTTGGCACACTCGAATTAAGGTGAGAATATTACTATCTGTATTAATTTTTATATAAGTATTATGTTATTTTACGTTTAATTTGTGAAAACATTTTCTACTGTCATTTCTTTAGATGGTGCCAAGGTTATTCTGGTGAGAAACCTTTGTTCATTGAAAAAGATGTACTGTCTTACGTGTGTGGGAACACAATCAAGTTCCACGACATGTCGTCGGGTGTGATAACTTTTTTATCTTCAGAAGGCAAGGGAATCTCTTGTTTCGCTGTGAACCCTACCAAAATGGTCGTAGGATTTGCTAGCAAATCAATAGACCCTGTTATTTACGTATACAATTATCCCGACCTAATCACTTGCCGAAGCAAACTCCATGGTAAGACTGTGAATAAATACTGATGAATTTTCACCATAGATTATTTGACTTTCTTGTACGTTATTCAACATTGAATTTTAGGAGGTGCAAAATTGGAGTACACATCTTTGGCATTTGCTGATAACAGCAACATTATGGCAAGCTGTTCTGGCATTCCGGACTTCAAATTGAACATATGGTATTGTATATATTCTAAATTTGTGTTTAAATAACAAGTTGATGTTCATGCATTTATATTTTTGCAGGAATTGGTTTGATGAGCAGAAGTTATGTTCTGCAGAAACCAATGAAGTTGTGTGTAGAGAAATGTCATTTGATCCATCCACATGGAAGAATTTATTGTTTATTGGCAATGATGATGATGTTATATGTTTGTGGAACATTGAACAGTCCAATGAACAATTTCTTCTTACAGCAAAGTATGAACTGCATGAACATCATTTTGCTTGCGAGATTTTCTATTCATCATTATCCTTTGCCTTGACTTTGTTGCTTTTGTGTTTAGAACCATCAAACTTCCATACACGGATGGTACTCCCGAGTTAAGTGATTTCGAAGATCTCTCGAGTTCAATTAGTTGCATGAGCAACCCCCTCTCATCAACAAATATAAAAATGACTAAGGCAGCCATTGCTGGTATTGATGTTAAACGTCTTAGATCTTACATTCCAGGTGAGTTGGTGAGAATTCTATAGTTTTGTTCATTCTTGTCAAGGGTGAAACGAGAGGGTGCACACCCCTGAACTCAGATAATTTTATAGCTTTTTGAGGAAAATATTGTATTTCCAAATGATGCACCCCCAGTAATCAAATCCTCGTTGCACTCTATCTTGTTGTTATTTTTCCAATCATTGCACGAAAGACACTTATAGTGTGTTTATTTAGACATTCACAAAGAAAGATGTTGTGTTATCAGCCATTGTTGGGGAAACAATAGTGCAGTTGTATTTCTGGGTTGTAAGAAAGGATTTCTTCTTGTGCTTGATTTGGAAACCCTGAAATTGACTGTTTTAATGGAGTGTAATTTAGAGGAAGATCATTCTTCTAAGGAGAGTCTAAATATAATCAAGGAAGGTTTGTATATTTCTTATGTTACTCTCTACTTTCCAACTTCATTATAATCATAAGTAATGCACAACTTTCATCTTTAATCAACGTTACCTAGGAACAAAACATGTCGTTGAAACAGAAATATGGAAATCGCTGCTACCGTGGAAATCTGGTTTAATTGCTGGTGGAAATGTATGACAGAAATGAGTGAATCTTTGTTTTCAAACGGGACTTTGCATGAAGCTCTCTTTTTACAATTTTTAGAACGGAGTATTACGATATGTGAGTAGGTCAGGACTGAAAGGAAGAATCGAAAATGCTGTTGAATTGAACATTGCCATTAAACACATGAGCTCATGGACAACTGACGAGAAATTTATCATAACAGATCAAAACGTAAGGAACGTAATAGGATAATCTTGTGTTAATGTGTTACTATGATGAAGAAAAGAATCTATAAAAGTTTTACAATACACGCCGTATTTCATTGCTTATTGAGCTATTTTGTTCTCGACTTCTCGTTGAAGAAAGTCTTCGTACAAAAGAGGACATTGTTTTTAGAATGCTGTCTATCATTATGAAGACGAAAAGTTGACGAAAATTTTTTACGATTGTGTTGGTGAGATTGTTGCCGTAGATTGTCTTGAACAGGGAACAGATTTTGTCGTGGTAGGAGCGGCTCTTTTTTGAGCATGATCATTGAGATCACACGAAATTCCATACTTCTCATCAACTGACGTTTTTCCTTCTGTTTGTTTAACTTAGACCTGTATTGATAATGGATGCATACAAATTTGGTCAGTCAGCTCATCAATATTAGTATCACAAATCCTTCTCTCGCAAGAGGTGAGTATTATGAAGCGTTGTTGATAGTGGTGTTTATGAAAGATGCACGTGGTTTATGGTGGATGTAAAATATGAAAAAGGTGTACTTAAGGATATATATTTTTTACAGACGTGTAGTATGGCTTGTTGTCCTTCTTCAAATATTATCGTATGTGGAACTGCGGCTGGCTTTGTTTACTTTATTGAAGCGACGACAGTTGAAGAACCTCGAATCATATCATGTTTTATGATCCATAAAGGTCCTGTTCTTCATTTATGGTAAGATTTCTATGCTTGAGCTGCATGTCCGATTTGACGGTGATTGGTTGGTTCATAACCACGTGATCCAAATTAGAGGTAGTATATCTCGCTTTGGAAGAAATATGGTAACCGTTTAAAGCAATCTAAACGTTGAGGAAATGAGTATTATTTCAATATTTGGAAATACCATTGTTCTATATTCTTTAGATAAAACAGTTTGGGTTTTTGAAACAAACACGAATTTTAATAAAATACAATATGGACGTAATATAATCTCTCTTCTTCATTCAGTTTCGACACGTTTGGTCAGGTGTTGATCACTGCATCAAATGATGGTCACGTGTTCCTCGTTGATCCTCGTATAACCGCTGACTTTAAAGTTCTTGGGCACACAGGTTGTTAAATGTTCTGTTACACTTAATTCCATTATGATGTATGATTTTAGGAATTTGCTAAAATGTTTTCGTTCTTTTTATACGTTAGCTATTGTTGGTGATGTTGTGGATCTATCTTGTCTCAATGTAAGAGATCAAAGTCGACATGGTCCATATAAAGTTTGTGTTTTGCATAAAACTTCAGAAACTTTGTGTAAGCTGACTCATTTTGAACTTCCAAAAGATGTGACGTTGACAGGTGAGATGACTTATCCGGCATGTTTTAGAGTGTAGTGTGTTTGTACTTAATGTAAGGATGTTGTTTTAAACGTGTGTCTGCCTTGTTGGAGTGTAATGTGTTTGTACTTAATGTAAGGATGTTGTTTTTACCGTGTGTCTGCCTTGTTGGAGTGTAGTGTGTTTGTACTTAATGTAAGGATGTTGTTTTTACCGTGTGTCTGCCTTCTTATTTTTCCAAACGCGTGGTTTTATAAAACTTAACAAATCAAACCAATGAATGACATCTTGCCATACAAGATGCATCATTGATAGAAATTAACTTTGAAATTATTGATAATCCTAATGGGATCGTTGTCCTTCTATCAGTTTGTCTTTCTGTCAAATGTTTTCCCACAATTCATTAAAGCATAGTCAAACCATTTTCCAACAGGTTTGTCTTCTTCACTTCACGAAGACGCAACGTTTCTGTTCAAGGATGATGTCATCAATAAAGCAAAATGTGACCTCAGCATTCTATGTTATAGTTTGGCTTTATTACCCAACAATATTTTAATCGTCATGTCACATCACGAGAAAAAAATCATCAAATACAGTCTTTCCATCTCGAACAAGGTAAACTCAAATAATTGCCCTCAATATAAAGAGATTTCTAATTTTCAGCCCCCCCCCTCTCAATATAAAAAGATTTCTAATTTTCAGCCGCCCCCGTGCGGTAACGTTGTAACACAACTTTTTGTCCAGGTGCTAAACCTTGAAATTCAAGATTCGTTCTGTGGTCATCAACTACATGGTGGTTACATTACAGTTTCTCCACATTTACGTTGGTTAGCTAGTTCTTCTCCTGATGGAGACGTTATACTGCGTGCTGTTGGTGCTTTGGTATGTATCATCCTTCCTTCGAAACTTTCTCATGGTATTACTGTTGACGTTGTATCCTTTTACCATACAGGACCGTTTTATCCAGACGCCTGCTCATCATCACAGCACTGGTGGTGTCATAAAGGCTGTGTATTCTGGCGATGGTCAATACATATTTTCTGTTGGTGGTGATGGTGTTTTATCGTGTTGGCAATGGAAATTTACCCAAATGGGTATGTGTTGTGGAAGTTGAAATACGAAAGTTTTATTATTAATATGCCTCCTTGTTGTCTAGTGTAAGAATTGCACGAGAACCTTAATACGCTTAAAGGTCTTTAACTCGACTTTTTATTTTACTGTGTCCCACACAGGAAAGGTTAAAGCTCAAGGAGCTGTTGATGCAGCAAAATTGCGTCATTCAGTGCTGGGGAGACTACAAAATGAACAGAATGATGCCGCTAAAAGAACAACAGAGTGGAAGGAAAATGATGATGACAAAAGAACAAACATGAGTGGTCATGAACTGCATTCTGTCGATAGTGATATTTTACACAAAGGAACTACTTACGTCACGTGGTTAGAGAAAGTCACAGCTCAGGTACAAGATAATATAATCATGATTGATTCCTATAAAAGAGTTTTAAACATGCTTACCACCTAAAGTACATGTTTGTTCCTTGATATTCCCCGTTATATTTAATGCCTCAGTGGTTTTTCCATTTCCAGTACACGATTGTTCCTTGATAGTCCCCGTTGTTCTTTAATGTTCAATTTGCTGTGTTTTAGGCACGTCGTAACGAGGACCTGATGCACGCGGAAAGAAAGAAAGAACTGAGAAAGGAACTGCAGCAATTGAAGCAACAAATCATGGATTTGATTGAAGAGAATTCCACTTTACCTGATCTTGAGAAACTTGAGCGCCACGAGTTCAATCTCGATGAGGAAGAAAGGCAGCGATTGATTGCTGTTGCCGAAGAGGACGTGAAGAAGGTTTTCGTTTCATCCCAGTATCTTCTTTTCATTTTATCTTTTCTTTTAATAGTAAACATTGCATTCTTTTATTGGACTCAGGTGCGTGAAGAAATTGAATTAGAAAACTTGGCCAAAATGTATCTTTGTGATGTTATCAAGAAGGAATGCTGGGATTCGATGGCTGTAAAAGGACGTGCCGTAAAAGGTTTTAACAGTATACTCAGTGTTACAAACTATCCCATGATAGAAAGATCTCAAGAAGAACTGCAGGAACTAGCATTTGTTACAAAACAGAGAAAGATCGAGCTTGCTGAGTACGAAGCACAGAAGGAATTTCTTAAAACCAAAGATATACTACAAGGTATCCCCCGTGAGATAAACTATCTTCCCAATATTTGCTTTGGTTGTCAGTGTATTTTTCCACATACACACACAAGAACGTAAACACGATCCATCTCAATTTAATTACCTAGGTGACGATGACGATGACGACACACATGAAGATGTAAACACTGAAAGTTCCGAGAACTTTTCTCCGGCTCTCTATGGCAGTCATGCCTTTAGTTATGGCGGCAAAAATGATCTTATTGGCGATCAATTTTATCTTCACACTATTCAACAAAAACACAATCAGATTGTTTTGATTCAGGTATTTATTGCTACTTTTATTTATATTGATCGTCTACCTTGTCAATTGTGCAGACCAACTCATACACGAATACATCTTCCAGGATTGTATTTATAAGATCAAGGAGTCGTTCAACTTTGCTTTTCAAGAAGTGTATCGTAGCAAAGTGTCAGAGCTTAAACGCATTCGTGAAAAGAATGTTCGAGTAAAAAAAATATTAAACGATCTCTCGTTAAATGAGTTTGTCTTTGAGCCAGTCATGGATAATGAGGAATGTCCGGAGACGCTGTTGTATGTCAAGGATGACGAGGTACCTTTTGAAAGATATGTAACCGAAGAAGAAAAGGTTAGAATCGAACAAGAAAACAAGAAAAATGAAGGTGCAGTAAATATCATAAACATTTGAATCTATTTTTCAGTTTTTCAGTAAATTTTTATCGTTGTCAAAATTTTTCCCGGCGTCTTATAAAAAAAAACTCTCAATAGTTGGCGATTTCGAGGCCGCTCTCAACCTGACAAATGTTTTTAAGATTATTTTACCCATCTAATGTAGACAGACAAGTTCAGTTTGTGTCTTTTATGTTCAGAACGTCGTCTCGTAGCACTTGCAGACAATGCTCGCGAACGCGCACTTAACCAGATGATGAAAGGTGTCCTTGAAACGAATCCGGAGGAGGAGTTGAAAAGGATCTGGAACGACCGGATGTGCTAAAGAAATCGGAAGAGGATTGGGGCGAGGAAGAGCATCGTATTGCTAAGGAGTTTGAAAGAAAGGAACAAGAATTAAAGGAAAAAAGGGAGAAATATAAGAAATCTTTGGAGGCAGAACTAAAAAAGCTTCAGGCAAATATTGATGAAGCGACCTCTGGTTTTGATGAAAAGTTGAATCAGTTATTTCAAAGGAAAATCAAAACTGAACAGACCATATTTCAGGTAAAGTAATTTCATATGTTTTTTTTGTTATTTGTTCCAAAAATTCTTACTTTCCATTTACAAAATATGTTAAAATATTTCATGTTAGTGTCTACGTATTATAAGGCGCTACTTTCATAAGGTCCATGTTCAACTAAAGCATCATTAGATATACAGAGCATCTTATATTAAAATCTCATGTATTTATAAAGGATGATAAAGTTTTGACTAATGTGAGAGTCTTTTTGGGTGTTAAAGGAAGAACTCAAAGTCCTTCGACTGACTGCAGCAATTGTTGCCGAGGAAGAGCTAAGAACGCGCGAAGCGCATCTTGTTCACGTTCTGGAGGAGAAAAAACACGAAAAGGGACGATATGCAAACGCAGCTGCCGAAGCAAAACGGGAAATGGAGCTGTTTCGTGATGAGTACGAGATTATGATGGCCGAAGATAAAAGTTTGGATAAAGGATTTAAACGAGATTTCAGTGATCAGGATCCTGCCACTGTTGAACACTTATATAAATTGTTCAAACGTCGGCCAAGGTTTGTGATGAACAATTTACATTATCCGTTCACAAAATATATGTTATGAAAGGGAACTTATGTATTCGAGATATGTTTTATCATTCCATGTGACATGTTTCTCTTTCTTTACTAGAGGTCAGAAATCGTTGAAAGCGGCAACGGATGTTCATGCTGAAGGCAAAACTGCTTCGAGACAGTCGTACACGGGAATGCAGTCTTTGGAAAAAGCAATAGATGAGTTAGATCGCCCGGTACATATGCCCGATGGTCTGGATGAAAATGTGTGGAATAGACTTATACAAGCGAGAAGAGTAAAAGTCGAGAGTGAACAAAAGGTCGGCTTATCTTCATTCTTATTTCATTAAAATAGGTCCACACAAAATGCGTCGTTTGTAAATGAATGATGTGATTGGATATTTTATAGCTAAAAACGAAGGCGTTGGTGTTAGCAGACATGAATGGATTCCTTCAAAGGCGATACGAAGAAGACGAAACATTTCGAGTCGAGATCGAAAATCTTTTCAAAGAACTTCAAAAGTAGAACAAAGAATGACTTCATTTTTGTGGAACTCGGTTCATAATTTTTCTTGTTACTTAGTTTGCGAGAAGAAAAGACAAAGTATGCGATGGATTTAGAAGTTCAATTGTTGCTGAAACAAGGCCAGGTACGAAAAATTTATAATGTAAATTATTCTAACTCGCTCTTAATCATCACATATACATCATTTATGTTTTAACAATCGTTTAATATATAATGTGTTGATATTTTTCATGATTTACCTTTGCCTTGCTAAAGGTGGAAGTTCCTGCTGAATCATTTATTATTGACTACTCGAACAGTTCATTGCTCCATCGTTCTGTCATTGAAGATTTAAACCAAAATATACGGGTAAAGACACTTACGTTAATCAAGATTTGAAAACTTTTTTCACGCGTTTCATTTTTAGTCGAGATCTTCTCTTTTTTTTTCTCCCCTCCAGTCGCTTGGAGAAGCTAAGATAAACATCATGACGGAAAGTAAAGATTTCAAAAAGGGAATTCATGCTTTAGAATGGTGAGATGATGGTTCAATGCAACTGATAAATTTGTAAGTGAATTCGTGTTTGATGTTTGTTCAACTTTTCCAGGGAACATAAAAAAATGAAAATGCAAATTGAGGATTTGGAAGCAAAAGCGCGTGACATACAACTATTAAGAGTTACGAAAGATCTGCAACAGGTAAGAAGAGAACAAAGTAACGTTAAGCTACAAATCTTTCTTCTTTAACTTATGACTTACTCTGTCGGTAAGGTTTTGTCATTAAGATTAATATGAAGATTATTTATTTAGTATCTTGGTGAGGTGGATCAGCAAGCTATTCAACAAAAGGAAGTTGCAACACTTGAACAAACTCTTCAACTTTATGAAAAGGTAACATACACATTGGAGACCTCCTCCATGTTGTAACCGAACCAAGCGAGGCTACGTTGCGTTTGTGTTTTAAATCCTTCGCTTTCATCACAGACTCATGCTCGAAATGTAGCTGCGACAGCGGGTTGTTCGTGATTTGAAGAGAGCGATCAGGAAGAGAGTGATAGAAAACGAAAGGATGGACATCGATTTGGAAGAAATGTCTTTAAAAGTTGCGGAACGAAGAAACATCAGTAATCCACATGGTGAGGGAATAGTGTTCTAATTTTGATGATTTTAGTTCGTTGTACTGTATCTTTATGACTGGGTATGATGATTTTAGTTCATGATGCTTTAACTATCTTCGTGACTGGATGTGATGATTTTAGTTTTTGGGTTTTTTTATTTTAGACGAGAGTCAAGCGCAAGCAAACAGAGAAGCACGACTTAAAAATATTGTCGCTCGACGACAATTGGTTGATCTTGCTAGACGGCAGTTAAATGAGGTAACAGTATTGAGAACAGAACTTGAGCGATTACGCATGCGCACATTTCCTGCTCTTGTTCAAGTAGATCCATAAAAACAGATATCTTTATTTACACATTTTGTACATTTACTTCCCTATATAGTTTTGTAAAAAGTTCATTTGCTTAAACCAAATCGTAAGCACGATTGCAATCTTTTAATACAATTGTTTGATTTGGATTTCTCACGAAAGGACTTGGTATGGACAATAGTAGAATGAAGAAATACGCAACAGTAGTGATTTTATTCATTTTAAAAATGTTGGTAATTCCTTCATAGCACTCTCACACGAGTGCATCCTTTTTTTAAGTCGTTCAAAGTCCGTGTCACATTCTTTCCTTTTCATCCGTAAAGTGGATAACTCCTGCTTCATTTTCTCTATGCTATGTTCTTTTTTCTTTATTTGCGAGTCTATATCTGAAATAAAGAAGAGAAAGTTTCATCGAAGACATTCAACACGATGATTGATGGCAAGTGAAAGGTTTACTCTTTACTTAGTACATCCAGGAATACGAAAGGTTTATCTTGTACATCCAGAAAAAATAGGAAAGGTTCATGCAGTGCATGGTACATTATTGTACATACCACTTGCTCGACTTTCTATTTTTCTTATGCTCGCTTCATCTTGCGCGCGGGCTCTTGCAACCAACGCAGACACATCGCCAAGTAAACCAGCATCACCAAGATATTTGAGAACCGCAGGCGAATTGACTGCTGCTCCTATAGAACTGGTGGATGGTGACGATGATGTGGAAATTCCAAGAGTGTCAGATATTACTTCAGTGTTATCAACTCTTGGCGATGGTGATGATGAATATTGAATCATTGAGAGTGTTTGAGGTTCGTCCGTATCACATTCACATGCTTTCTGTGAGTCACCATGCTAAAATACATTATTGAGTTAATTAATATCAATGTGACTTGATTGGGTTGTGAGTAACAGGTATTGTCTGTAGGTATATGGTTAGGGTAACATTGTATTGTCTGTTGGTACATGTAAGGATAACATTGCAAAGTTAGTATTGGTGCTTGAATGAATTTATTGCTGCATAGCGTCTTTATGTGTGAGTACTTCAAAAGCATTTTGCAAAAGCTTGCCACCATAACATAATTATATCATATTATATATATATTTCTAAATGACATTACCTCTTCATCATTAGATGGACTCTCTTGCTTTATTCCTGACCATACGAGTGTCGCTTGGCTCACCGTGTTTTCACTGTTGACAGGAGTGATGGAGGATCTTGAACTGGCTCTCTCACTCCAATTTGTATCACTATCGTCTGTAGGACTTGGAGAAGGGAAGAGATTTGTAGGTAACGCAGCATTCACTTCATGATCCTGATCAAGTTCTGAGTAGAATCCCAAGCCTAGATGCTCGCCATTCTAAAAAAAACAGGTGGCTAGGGTGAAAGAACCGCAAAATAGAATATATAACTGATTTTCGCAGATTCAGCAACCATAATTTCATATCTTGTTCATTGCTCTTAACATATTCACTAAAATGATTTGTATGAGTTCTATGTAGACAATGGTTCATAACAATTGTGTTTCGCGTACGGTGGAGCCAAGCATCTGAAATGAAAACGGGCTTTACCCTCAAAAGTTCGTGTACAATATTCGGTACTCCTTGCGCAAACGCAATGTCAGTGCTGTTTCATCGTTGTTATCCCGTATCGTTTTGTCAGCTCCTGCATTAATAAGAGCACGGATTGCACTTGCACAATACTCCACCTTCATAATAAGAAACAATAGCAAGGAGTTCATGCGTTAAAGTTAAAGGAAGGTGGCACTAGTAACGTCTACAGGTTAGGGTCTAGCACTGTCAATCTGTTGAACGGAGTGTATCGTGGACTGTAAAAGAATTTCGTGCTATTCAAAGTGCGCTCTTTCTTATATAATCTTTTTCTCACGATAAAATAAAAGAAAGGTGACGATGGTTAGACTGCTAATTCCGGCAAAGGTTCCTGAGACGTCAGTTCAGTTCATAATATTCACAAAATCAACATGTTTAAACGAACCCTCGAACAGGATCCTGCCAAAAGATGTAATGCTGTTTTGCCCTCATAGTTTCTTCCATCTAAGATAGAATTGGCAGGGTAATCCACTTTGTTTGCTTGCGTAGCTATTGCTTCAATACACGCCTACAAAAAGACGAGTTTTTTCATAAATGTCAAGGCAAAGTGAACAGTGCCAGATCATTAATACATTTTGTAACTATGTGCTTGTTCATCAGTGCTTGAAATTCTTCATTAAAATTCAAATAATAATTTTAGGCAATTCCATTTCATTTATACACAGATATATCAAGGCTACTTAAAAGTCAGGATGGCTCTGCTATGGTACATCTCCAAAAATATTTTGATGGTGCTTAAAAGCTCCAAAGGCAATGTCCTTGAAATGTTTCATCACCATGTATCCTTAACTTATTAGTTAACTCTTGTTAACTTTTGGACATTGTCAACAGAATTGTGTCCAATTGGTCCAATATGTATATTAGGATCCCTTAATGTCATGTTGTATCACCCTGAATCTCTTCACTGCTGTGAAAGTCATGGCAAACAAGATTAAAAGATGTGCAATCGAAAAATAAAACAGTTAATGAGACAGTGAGTGAATTTGCTTATTACATGGATCCTGACTTGAGTGTGGTTAAGTTGTTTTATATCCCTACCTGAAAGAAGTGAGATTTACTTTCAAGTGTTTTTAACTTATTAACTGCTGTATGCAATGGTGTGTCGCCATTTATTTCATCATGAAATGCCAACTGTTTTGGTAAGGCAGTTATTATTCTGTTCAATTTTGGAACCAGTTTTGATGAAGACACCTTCGTTCTTGATCGATATAGTCCACTCAGTGCCGAGTGCAAAGCAAACTGTCCAGTGGAAGATTTGACATTTTGATCAAATCCATAACTAAGCAACCATTCTAAGGCAACGCACCTTCCAAAAGCACATGCCAAATGTATAAGTGGTAACCTTAAGTCCTCTGATGGATCTGGAACAACATCATTTTTCTCCCATCCCTCTTCAATGTATTTAACAACACATTTTTCAAACTGTATAATATTTGATTTTGTGCCTTGGCAGTCATTTGAGCTTATCAAGGTAAGCACAAGATCATGGTGTTTTGGGCATTCTGCTCGACTATCACACAGTGGTGTACAAGGATGTTTGATAGCTTTCTTTGACTTTGATCTTGATCCTTCATTGCTAGATGATACATTCGCCATTGTTGGTAGTGAATCTTGTAATCTTGACATTGCGCTCAAATTAAGCATACTTATCCTGAACATGAAAAGAAAGAAATACATGCTACTTGGTAAAATAATCCACAGAGTAAAGGTTATGGTTGCCAGAATTATGGTGCTATCCTACCTTGCATCCAGGTCTTACAAGAAAGAAATTTACACATTCTAAATGATAAATATAGTAGAAAACGGTTACGTACGAAATAACTTTGGATCCTCCTGCGCTTGCTAGCGGGATATCGTCCACTCCATTTTCATCGCTATTTAAATTCCAGGTGACCGTTTTAATACTTAGACAGGTTTCACGAAGCGCGCGATGTCGATGACCCAGTATATGTTTCACAATAACTCTAGATTTTCACGTATTTATGTAAAAAGCATGCCATACGTCCCAAAGGCAGACTACCAGAGTTAAGAGAAGGAAGCCAGCATGCCAACGCTTGCCGCATGCTGTCGTCATCAAGTGGCAAGCCAAGCTTGCACCTTGTTCCGTAACCAATCAGAATGCAGTATCACAGAAGCTTTGATGGAATATTGGTTCATATTGACTGGGTAACTACGTCACAATATTGGCAAGTCGCCTGCCTTTAGAAAATTTTATTGGTCATTGTGAAATCACCTCTCACGAATGTAATTTGATCAACACACGGGGAAACCTTTCGAACAAAGTTGAGTCAATGAATCATTAGAGCGTATTTATTTAAGAAGCTTGCTCCCCCCCAGTTTATGTTTTCACTTTCCAAGCTACCGCGTTTTGTCTTTCGCTCTTTTGACTTTTTTTGAAAGGGACAATGCTTTAGATATACGAACTAGTTTCTACTAAAAGTGTGTTGCCCGTTTTCCATAGCTACTTCATTAGTTGTGTGATATGGGAAAGTTTAGTAAATTAATATCGGATATAGCGGTAGACGAGAACCTAGAAGTTTCTGGCCATAAATCACGACGTTCGTCAAGCTTATTTCCTGCTTAAATTAGCCAATAACCATAACCTGACGATTTTCATTGAAAGCACGGTCACCACCCGTGGGGGATGGGACTAAGAATTAATTTGAGCTCTGGAGGCTAGAGCCACCCCCCCCCCAACCCAGCACTTTTTCATCAAAATAAAGTTTTTGCCACCATTGTTATCCTGTAGCGTAACTCTGGACAAAAAAACGCGCCATGACCTTCCCCAGGCTCAATTTGCTTCATCTAGAAGAAAGAGGAGAGGTAGGTAATTTAAGTTTACTGAAAATTGTGATTTCCACCAAATATTCACACTTCTTGTATGTTTTCATGTCAAATTCCAATGATGGCTTTGCAAATCAAATCCACATAATTATGAAATAATTAAGCTCTTAGCTTATGATGAAATGTGGTTTGTGTACCATATTCTAGGAAGGCTTTAACTTAGCAACGAGAAATATATTCATTGCAAATTATTGTTTCGTTTCCATAGAAGTTCAAACAATTTTCAAGGACCAGTGAGCTCAGAAAAGAAAAGTTCATGGATTTTTAAAGAATGGTTTGAAGTCCAGAATATGCTCAAGAAACCTGTTATTACAGCTATGTTGTACGTTCAAATGTCTTTGAAAGCATTTAAGAATGAATTCTTAAAGAAACAAAAGCTTGGTAAGCAAATGATTTTAGCAAATGAGATGAAGGCAGCTTTTGCCATTTCATTGGCTGGTTGTAAATATATCTTGGTTGATATTTTAGTAAGTGTAATTTTGTTGTTTAAGTGATGTGCAACATTAGTTTGCATTCACAATCGATTAACAATTTCATATCATTTACAGCTTCATGAACACATTGTGGGCTGTCTCGAAATCACCCTGGAAAATGGGATAGTTAATTTGGTGAACTTATGCAAAGGTTGCTCAGCTGAACCTACTCTTTGGTTACCTCTGTTGTCAATGTCCGCTTTATTTGGTAAGTCATTTATACAGTTTTATTGTACTATTGACTATAAATGACTAATAACACAAATAAATTCATGAGACCTATGAGATGCAAAAACATAACCCATTGCAAACCCTTGGCTTGTCTCAAATTGCTATGCTGAACATTTACTGAATTATCCATTAAGGAGATTGTCCGGCATAATACATAAATTAGTCAACTTGTTTTGAGAAATTTATTGAAATATTTAAAAAATGTGAGTCCTTATACTGTGTAATTACATTTCACATAATTGAGCTACTTGCATTGGTTGTATGCACAAGTTGCTGGTAGCCTGGTTGAGTTAAGTATTCATGCTGCCTACATGAATTATTACTCCAAATCGTAGTTTGCATTATTTGCCAGAAGTAAGAATTATTCAAAAGATTCAAAATATGTTGAAAGTGTCTGGTCTGTTTGAAATAAAATTCGCACGAGCATTGCTGGGAGCAATGTGCATCGCACTTTGGCTAAAACAATCACGAATTACCAAGTTCGCTTAAGCACGAAAAGCATTTATCTTTTAGACATTTGGTGGCTCTTAAAAGAGCCGTTTGTTTAATTTCTTTGGTATGTTTCTTGTGTGTCTAACCGCCAAATCCATACAGAGTACGTCCTTGTCGTTTCAAAGCATAAACGACGTCCATAGCTGTGACAGTCTTTCTTTTTGCGTGCTCGGTATATGTAACTGCATCACGAATGACATTCTCCAGGAAAACTTTCAAAACGCCTCGGGTTTCTTCGTAGATCAAGCCGGAGATACGTTTTACACCGCCACGACGAGCTAGACGACGAATGGCGGGCTTTGTGATTCCTTGAATGTTGTCTCGCAAAATCTTACGATGACGCTTTGCTCCTCCTTTTCCCAAACCTTTACCACCTTTTCCACGGCCAGACATGTTTCTTCAGAATTCTTTGCTTCTTTGATGAACTGCTTGGTTTAAGTCGCTTTCTGACAATGGATGAAATATGAAAGTCTATTCGTACATACAAGCGTTATTTATATTCTTCATGTGGTGGCCGGACGTCTAAGGAGAGTGTTGCTAACTATTGCAATTTGATTGGCTCAAATCTCGCGTTCTAATTGGTTAATTATAATCCGGAATGCAAATATTGATCCTGTGAGACATGAAGCTTGAACATATAGATAGGAAAGAAATATAAAATCGCGGAAAGTTTACTATATAATGAATTTTTATGGCGAAATCACAATTTGGTCATAATATCTTTGGATGGATGAAATTGATGCTGTCATACGTGAAGCTATTCCGCGTCGATGTTCGATTTAAGAATGAGGATCTTAATTGAAAGGTAAGTGTTCATGTTCACGAATTAGAATAGTGTTTTGGTTCTATTAAATATCAACGAATACTTCAATCAAGTTCAATTATACATTTAATTGTGTTCTTCGTGTTATATTTACAGGTTTAAAACAACTGGTGACAAGGAGACGTTTCAATTTCCAGCCACGAACGAATGCAGAAACACATAAACACACAAGGACTATAAACAGCGATTCACTTTCAGTTGAAGATACGTTGATATTGGTTTCATGCAAATAACTGCATGTTCATTATCCAATTAGTGATATGTATTTTACTCAGTTTGTTTTTACTTCATTCTCCTTCAAGGCATACGTCTTAGCAGTTTGTTATTAGCTTGGCATCTTTGGAAATTTCTTGTTTTCTCCACTGACAGTAGCCATCTTTAGCGCGATAACAGAAATCTTCCTTTCCAACGCAGTCAGTTTGACCGAATGTCATGTCACGGTCTTGCCACGTGCAGTGATTTAAGTGTTTTGTGACTTTTTGACTTTCCCACCAAACTGTCTTCACTTTGCAATTTTGGCGACATCCTTTCGCGTATTTCTTACGTAAACCTGTACACAAATAAAGATGTTAAATTTACATTTTTGCCAAATGTATGACGTTTTATAAGTCAACAAGTGCTTCTTGCGTCTTGAAGCAAGGCAACTCCTAACGAAATAATGTCGGTAAAGTTACAATTTTCACCTCTTTTCATTAATTTCGTCATCGAGGATTCTGGTATGACGTTTGTCATTCCAGCCATCATCATTTGTTTGTCGGCTGGTTTCATCGTTTTGTTTGCAAAACGAAACATTTTGCCGAAGAAGAAATATTTTTTGTTCTCTTCCAATTCTTGTCGACCATAATCTACAGGAAAAAAAAGTAGAATAAAGACTCGTGTAGGTACATAAATAAGTGGCTTTTGCTTTGCGAGGAAGTTGCTTCATTTTGAAACTTGCAAAGCAATTTCTAGCAAATAAATATTACAATTTTCTCATAAATTATATAATTTGGCTTACTTAAGCATATCTCTACGAAAAGTTTCTTCGAAGCAGAAAATGAATCACTTGGCGCTGCGTTCCCATTTGATTCCTTCATTGAACGAACCATTTCCTCTCCTTTATAAAAGCGTTCAACTTCAACAATGTGCTTTTTGGTGTCATTGGTGACATGAATCCACGTTTCGTTCGTCCAGATGTCTTCCTCATCACTTTAAATCTGAACACTACATCAGAGAGAAGAGGAAATGCATTTGTTTATTGTTCAATTGGATATTCTAAGTGAGAGAAAAATAATTGGCAAAAGAAAGTTCTTAAAAATTCTTTGGTATATCGTCCTAAGTGTCGGGATCCGTTAGTTCCTGCGGTGTTCTTGTGAATATATTGTATCGAATTATTGGGTGAGACTTGCTGTCATGTGAGGCTACGAAATAATTCAAAAGAATTATTTTCGACAAATTCAGTGGGTTTAGTGGCAGTGTCAATTTTCCATGATTAACATTTGAGTTTCATTCACTCAGTTGTCTTTGTGTGAGAAATTTCGTGACATTGTATCATCTTTACGTAAATGAACAATTATCTATTTATAATGTTGACACAAAAGTGCTGAAGTGATGGATTAATAAAATATCTGAGTTAAAAATAACAACTTCGGCATGGTTGCCTTGATGAATGTTTCCTTAATGCTATGCAATGTTCAATAGAGTCTTGTTGTTCACTTTTTAGGCCGATAAAAAATGTATTTAAGCCGGATTGACAAATATTTGTATCAGGAAGAGATAAGACTCTCATAATAACTGTCAACCATTGATACACTTCAGATATGAAATGGTCTTTTATAGTTACGTCTGCGGTTGGTAATGTAAGGTTTAAATTAGTATTTGACCGTATAAAGCGTGCAAATTGTTATATTTACATGTACACCAGTGCTTTGATTAGCCCTAAGAAGTCTGTGTGTTGATGCTTTCTCTTTTGTGCTTTTAAAATACATTCGAGTGAGAACAGACTTTATTAGTGGATAAGATAGTTAACTCACAACTGTACGCTGACATTGCGAATGAACTAACATTAACATTGACCATCAACGATCCATATTTACCAAAGCACACATACGTACAGTAACATTTTGAGGTACATTTTACGTTTAATGTCAGTAAGTTGTAAAACAGAAGAAGCGTTTCCTTTGAGATAATGGTATATACAGTCCTTTATCGAACGCAGCAATCGACAGATGAAAGCAAATGAAAAATGTCAACTTACCATATTCTGCATCACAATACATTTGTTGTGGATGTCGTTTAGCTGCGTAAGACGCTCCTGTTGTATCCCACATGACGAACAAACAGAGCGCAAGGAAAGCGAGTGATAAAATCTTTGTCGACATTCTTTATATCCTGTATTCACGTTGAAGCTTTCTTGATGCCGCAATTGTGGTACTGAACCTTGGTCTATGGTTGTTGTGTCGCCGAGCGGTCGTTTATATGTGGTCTACGGGCGTAAAAAATCTCAAGAGTTGTGACGTATATCTTTGAAACGGAAGTCGGCCTAAGCATCAAAGATTTAACGTCGTGATGTTTAAACGTTATTTCGAAGAAGGGTGAGGTTTTCCGTGCACAAGATACAAATATGTAGGTTATTTTTATTGAACTTATGCACACTTACACAAAATGAATTTGGTCTTGCATATTTTGGGCAATAGGATTAACAGATGTTAATAATTATATGAGGATGAGATGTAAAACGTTGATAAAAATGTTCCTATTTGTACGCCTATTTTAGTATTCAGTTTTGCAATATCCCGGGTTGAATTTTTTATCTTTATTTTACCAATCTTCGTCTTTATTTGCTCAATTGAAATGAAGCACGTTTACATGCTTAAAACAGAAAGTTCTGTCGCAATCATTTTCTTTCTCTTCAAATTCAACAAATATTTGTTCAAAAAGAGTTCTTGTATATACTTTGATTTCCAGTAAGTGCCTAAGATTATTCAAATTTTACTGTTGCTTAAACAGACAATAACAGATGTATCTTTCTTTTTTTCTCTCGTCCATTTATCAGTTTCTCTTGAAATTTAATTCGTGCAATGTCATGAAGACGCAACTTTCTTTTTCAACTTTCTTTATCATCTCATTCCCTCTTCCTCACTTCAAACTTTTTCGTGCATCCGATGGTATCCGCTAGGCAGGGGAACATTTTATTTCGTGTTCAATTGGTGTTCTACTTAATGAATTTACGTGCTCAACCCATGCATTGCCTTTGAAAAGGTTCTACAGCTCCTCTTAAGTCATGAGTTTTAAGGGCTAATGACAGGTTAAGTATGTACACACTGACTTGAATGACCGTCTACTTGAAATGTTTATTTTTGATTATTACGTTGCATTTGGCATATTTGCTTCTTCCATCCAAGCCCTACATGTCTACCTTTTACGTTGATCTAAACATCCATAAAAAATGTTGTTTAATTAGTGTTGTTAAAAAAGTTATCTTGAGAATTTGCAAATTTGGAAATATCGTTTGCTTCCTGAGCATACACATTAGCGTCAAAGAATTGCTCTTGATGTTAACAAAATAAAAGTTTTGTAGAATTTTGCTTGCAATCGACAGCAAGCCTATCTTTTGTTATCCCAATTTGGGCGAAATTAAATCGACTTCTCGTGTGTTAGCTTTAGAATTCTTTGGAATTGAAGTGAACTAGGCTTTTCTCGTGTATTAAGGTTAAGAAATCAATGACACGGAACAAAAACTGTCTAGAAAACCGAAGAAAGGGATCTAAAGTTTCCAAGGATCTACTGCATCTGTGAATTTGTTCGTTTCTTTTACGTTCAAAAGATCACATTTTCTAATTTCCATGTTACAAATTTTCTTATAAGCTTGCCAATGGCAACAGCCGTGTTTTGTCGAAAAAATTCATTGTCTTTTGACTAGAAACTTCGGCCAAACTTGTGATTACAATATTGATGAAAGTATTTATTAAGTATAGTGTATTAGTGTTGTTATCTTAACCGACCTGGTGGTCACTTTGAATAATAGTACTTATGGCTTAAATCGGCGTGGAAAATATTTTATGAATTTTTAGGCCCAGCTAAAATGTTTGTGCTTTTGATATCGTGATGTACTTGTAACATGAGAACGTGGATATTTTAGTGAGGGCAATGTCCAAAAACGTTAATTATCGCGAGAACTAATAACCACAGTTCAAACAAGGTGATCATTCATAATTGTTGAAAGGGCTTGTTGCTTGATGATAGATAAACTGCAATAGAAGGCGTGTAAGTGGGGAATTTAAATTGCATTTTGATGAACATAATGCATAGCTGTGTGCAAGTATTGTCGTGCTGTGTAAACAATCTAAGGTCGATGTAAACTTGTGCTCGTACAAACATTTGCTCGATTTAAGGATAATGGAATTGTTAATTTAAAATAGACTTAGGATTATGATGACAAAATATATATCTAGTCATGGGAACATACTATACTTCTGGAAGGAAGGCGTTATACTTAGATACATAGCGCTGCTGATGGCTTGAAAAAATTTGTTTCTATGATTTTTTATGCAATTCTTTTATGAAGTTTACCATTCACCATGGTATCTAGTACGCTAACTTAGAATTACAAATAAATAGATTTTCTCTAATTACTCGATACAAAATTAGAATAATTGGACGAAAACGAGAAATTAAGAAAGAAGCACAGTATGTTGTATTCAGTTGTAATAAGTCAGTCTTGGTGTTTTACACAAAGGAAATTATGTATACTTGTTCGTGGGAAATTATCTGGACATGAACATTTAAATTTAAGTCTTAAGTATTGAAGGTTATTTGTTAATAAACATCAAGATACACTAGAACATACACCCGGATATTAACGTGGGTTGGACCACATATTGTTAATTAAACAAATTGTACAAAGACTATCTTGGTGATCTTCTCTAACACGCTGCTATACTGTTTGTTCAATGGGATTGTAGAATTAAATGTCACCTTGTGAAAAATTTCCAGTGGTGATGTCTGAAATATTTCAGCCCCACCCACCTTGTTTGATGTATCGTATTGCTGCTAATGGCGTCAAACACGCAACATATATATTTTTTCTGGGATCTTTAATTTTAAATCGTCACCTCTGCGGTCGTGTGCCCTTTGTTGGAGTGGTTAATTATTTAGGCGATGCTTTGTCTATATCGTCGCCGTTTTTCTTATTTCGTTTCCCCGTAATGACGTGTTGTATTTTTATATTGTTCATGCCCAATATGTTTATTTTGCTGTGACAGAAGAACGGATACAATGTTAATACGGCAGACAAATGGGAAGGCGAAAAGGAAGCAGCGATGCGCGAGAGTATGACATTCATGCAATTCATGTCGCTTACGTTGTTAATCAACACTGGGAGTAAAGGAGTCAAGAGATACTTAGTGCTATCGGATATACTGTGTGACCTTTACCCAAAAAGTACTAGGTGTGGTTACGCCGCAGCTGTCTCTAGATTTAATTACGTTGGTCAGTTTACAGAAAGCGTACCCAAGTGAATATAAACAATACATATATGTAACGTATGCATGTTTGTCACGCGATTGATATGCTTTTGTACCACGTTCAACTTTGAAAGCAGACAAGCATGTTGTATATATTTGTTCCCATGGTTTTGTGATTCTTGTGAATAAGCTGAAAGTGTATCTGTCCAAAATACAGACAGAACATGACGATGAAACTCGCTAAATTGCAGAGGGGCTACTAGTAAGCACTTAAAGATATACATCCGTTTAATACTCAGACCACTTGGCTTCAATTGACAAATATTTGTTCATGAACGATGACATGGGAACAATCATTGAAGTCGAATTGTAAGCCACGCGAGAAAAAAAGAATAGAGTAGATGTTGTCGTGAAAACTATCTTTTCAACACCTCATCTTAAATATTTAATACGCTTAAACCAAAGACTCGTTCTTTGTTTATGACTTGTTTTTACAATCTTTTGATTCGAGCAAAATTCAATGCCAATGTGCTCATCTCTAAATATAATTTCATAAATAAAGTGTTTTTATTGTTGAAGTTCATGCCGACAAGACAAAACGGCGCCTTTTAACATGTCTTGTAATAAATTAATATCTGGCAGCAAGAACTCAGATTGGCCCTTTGTAAATCCTTTCGATAGATCGATAAAATTCTGAAATTCTTCGACAACTTCTCGGAGTTTTTTCTCCGTTCTCTGACGGATCTTTTCTTTCTGTAAAAGTTCCTCTTTCAACTTTTCGTATTCGATATTTTGCTGTTTTATTTTTCTTCCACTTTCTGTATTTCAACCAACTGCGTTTCTTTACATTGCTGCATTTCTTTCATAAATACTTCACGACATTTCTTTTCGGTCTCAGCAACCGTCTCTTTTTCTTTTTCTTCCATCCGACATCTGAGATTCTTCAAAGCTTCCTGAAAAGTTGATCAAAGAAAATTAAGAATATGAATAATCAGTACTGAAATTTTCACCATGGGAGGCAGTTTATACCATCCATACCGCTTTTTCCTTTTCAGCATCTGAAATTATTTTTTTCTTCGCGCTTCTTCTAAATCAGAACAACGCGATGCCTCAGCAAATGCGTTGTTGATTTCCTCTTCCCTGGCTTCGCGGATAGCTGAATCTTTTTCAACTTCAAACTCAATCCTAGCGTCATCGAGAGCTTTTTGCAATCGCTCTTGGAATCCTTCGTTTGCCTTCTGTACTTCTTGTAGCGTTTGTTCTTTCATGTACTCCTCCACTAAACGACATTCCTCTTCAATGGCCTTCTCCTAAAGAAATATCGCGATCATTTTAGTGAGTCACCTTGGTCATGTTAACATCGTCTAACTGTCCAGTTTGAACAGTTTCTTCAATGCCATTGAACAGTATTGGAATATGCATTGAAAAAATATTCAAAATCTTTTAAAAGTAATTAGTAACATGACGCGTTGTATTCGTTATAATGGAATGACAACGAGTACAAAATTTTGTAGGTAATTGCATAGTCTTTGGTGCTTGCTAAAAAAACTTTGAAAGCTTTTTATTTCATGGCGTTCCATGGATTTAAATACAAAACAAAAATAAAAATCTATACCAACATTATTCGACTTTATAATGCTTAAAGTATACCGTGAGTTAGGAGTTTGAACAAAGGTTTTATAATACAAAAGTTAGAATCATTAACCTTCTCTTTCTCAGCATTTTCTTGGCATTGTTTCAATTCGCGTTGTCCAAGTTCAATTGCTTCCTGAACAGCTTTGTTGCGTTCTTCATTTGCGATCTGCCAAAGTTTCACCTCCAGTTCAGCCAAGGACTCTTCTCGCAATTTTTCCAGTTCTGCACACTTTCTCTCGTATATTTTATCTCCATATTCTTCGGGAAAGTCGTAAATTAGAAGTTTACAACTTACAACTTTAATTATAGGAATGATCTTTATAAATTACGAAAACCTAGACTATCTTGGCAACCAAATTGCAAACAATTTATTACTCTTTAGCAGAAAACAGTTTAAGTGATTTAACGTAATCATTGCATTTCTATAAAGATACAACAGAGAAATTAGGCTTTCAATCAACGCAATGCTGACAATTATCGCAATATGGTAATCACTTGCGCTTTCAGCGATGAGCGGGCGAATTAATACTCACTTAAAATGTCGAGATGCGTTGTATGTTGGTTTGTGAGACTTTCTGAGCCATTTACTGTTTTTTCGTTTGCTATTGCTTGAGCTTTTTTTGATATAAAGTTCGCCATTCTTCACAAAAAAATTAAAAAACGAGATTATGTTTGACAATAATACATTTTTCTATCTTCCATCTTGGAAGGAAAGTGTGTTGCTTAGCAACATTGCTGTGCTTTTGAAATTTAAAATGATTTGACTACAAAACGGAAAAACTTGTTCTAAAATGTTTCATGCCCATGTATTTTGTAAAAGAACAAATTTTTACATGTGTATAAAACATAAATAGAATCCAAATCAAACCATTTGTACAAAAATGCGTGTTTATTTAAATTTTAAAGGAAAAGAAACGAATAAAATGAATCATTGAACAAACCAAGGAAGCACCAACACACTGTCTCCTAAATCTTCCTCCTTGTACCTTGATGTCCCCCAAATTCAATATGGCGGAAAATTTAAAATACAACTTTGAAAGATAATTTCGAAGATTTTCTCCTGCAAAAGTCATTAATGATGAAAAAATTTGACGAAAAAGAAAAAAATAAGTACGAAATTGTAGTGCCAGGTCAATATCTTGGTCCAACAGATGAATATAAATGTGGAGAAGGAACATATGTGCGATTTTGTCAAATTTATGCAAACCGTGCAGGGTACAAAACGGTGGAAAAAATGAACGAAAATGTGCGTTTTCCACTAAAATATTTACTGAAATTGTTTTATTTTTCGCGTGATGGGATTATTTTTTCTAATAATTGATTGTATCTATTATTGAAACAGGAAATTCGTGTTAGTGTTTTACGAGATAAACATGGTCATGTATTGCCAACTATTGGTGCCGTTGTAACAGCCAAGGTAATCTTTTTAAGCTTTTTTGTACAGTTTTTTCGTACAAAATAACGTATAATCCTGGTCAATATTCACTGTTTATAGGTGAATGGATTGAACACAAGATTTTGTAAATTGGCCATTTTTGCAGTTGAAGGTAATTCTCTTGACGAGCCCTTTCGCGGTACCTTAAGAAGAGAGGATATTCGTGCCATGGAGAAAGATACTGTTGAAATTTACAAGTCATTTCGTCCTGGTGACATTGTCCAAGCCAGAGTAATTTCCTTAGGAGATTCGCAGTCATATTTTTTATCAACAGCCGAAAATGAACTTGGTGTGATTATTGCTACTAGTGAAGCAGGTCAGTTTTACAGTTAATGGTTGGGATTTCTACCATTCATTTGAAATGTTTGCAATTACAAAATGATTATCTGTTTCAGGTGCCTCCATGATTCCTGTCAGCTGGAAGGAAATGCAATGTCCATTGTCAAAGATCAAAGAGTTCAGAAAAGTTGCCAAAGTACAGGTTTGAAAAATGAAATTTCACCAATCGTACAATTTTTAAGATGTAAAAACTGATGTGTGATGCACCAGAAATTACTTTGAAAAAACATTGAAAAAAGAATTACATCATATTATTGCAATTAATAAAATTAACACTATGCTCGTCCCAGTCCTCCAAATTGAAATTCGCCACTTTTCCCGCCAATCTTCATGATCACTACAAATAAATACTCGAAAATTATGTGCTCAAAAAATATCTGAAAAAGAGGGAAAATGAAAGGTACATCTATCGTAATACGTTTTCTCGCTGCCATATTTCATGCTTTTGTTGTTGGTAATACGTTTCGTAAAAATATGGACGTGTATTTTGCGCTTTCAAACTCAGAAATGACTTTAGACGAACAAAAACAACGCGGAAATCGTTTGTTGTTGATTGAAGGGGAAGAAAAGTTCGTCGTTTTTGCTCAACTTGTGGATAAAAATAACTGGAGTTTAGCGAGAAGCGAAGAAATTACGAGAAAATATTTGCTCTCTGGTTTACATCCATACATAACATTTCGTAATAAAACATGGCTTAAAACGTTAAGTTTCAGAGTAAGGTGAATTCAAGATGGCGTTTTGAAGTAAAACAAGATGTATTTGAGCCAGGTTAGTCACAGTCTTGTTAGTGTTCTTGTTGTGCTTGTTCATCATATTTGTAATCTTAAAGTAAATTCATAGTTAAAGAATATAGGAAGTTTAAGATATTGTATAAAGATATGTGATTTTATTGCAAGAAGATGCCTTAACGAACTAGAGTTTAAACCGTATTCTACACAAAACATATGGTATTTTATGTGTGAATTTCCCTGAATTTCCCTATGAAATGCTTTTGCTTCCTTTTGTAGGCTCCTACGATGTAATTTTTGAGCCATGGTTTGTTACTGTGGAGCTTGGCTTTCGTCTTGGATTGTACGAAACGAAGACTATTTTGATACCTAAAGACAAAGTTTTAAACTTGAGCAAAAATCTTGGCGTATCGAGAGATCAAGCACAAATCACCATTACTCGTTCTGTAGATTATATAATCAAACCATCGCCATGTTGTGGGGATGTAATGTTTGTATTACCGTTTCGAAATAAAACCTCTCGCAGTGTAGGAGGTGAGAGAACAAAACATTTCAACTGAGATTGCAACGATTTCAATGGTTTCAAATTTAATCTAGGTTGCTATATTGGTGTAACTTATGAAGCTTTTGCACCAGATTCGACAATATTGATCGATGTTTGCTCTAAGCAGAATCTGTTTGCATCCATATGCAACGTCTTTAGCCACGAAGATTGTGGAAAACTTCGACTTCTTGATCTCGTAGTCACTCGAAATTACATTTTCTTAGCCACATCGTTTGGCCTTGTGAAAAGTATTGGTTTTAAAGGACTGCTGTCGGAACCTCACATAGATAAAATGGTATGTAGCAAGCAATTATTTCAACTTTACTATTATTTATGTTTAAATCTCATTTATTAATGTTAATATATTTTAAGGTTTATACCAAAGTGTCGTCACCGCAAGCTCTTGCGTCCTCATTTCCAATACTTATGTAAGAATGAAATACACGTCATATTGTATGGATCATCATATATATCGTGAAAAAGACGAGTTGATTTACTTATTTATAAGTGATCCAGTGCACAGCCGCGTTTATCGCATTAAATCACCTTACACTTCACTGGAAGATATAAATATTCCTTTGAAATCTTTTAATGGTAAAACAGAAGTGATGGAAATCGTTAACGATGTTAGTAAAGGCAACGAGGTGTTTCTTGTGAATGTCCTCGTGGATAAGGTGATGAAAAATCGTTAAATGCTTGATAATTTAAATGAATTTTTGTTCACTTATTCCCAACTTTTTCGTGTTTAGATTAAACGGTATTTGGTGATGGTGTTGTCACTTGATTCTAATCAGTGGGTGTTTCCACTTTGGTATTTTCCAGTTAATTCTACTGCATTTTCACTCCAGTTTCATACTTGGTCGAATTCCTTGTTTGTTATTGGTTCAGAGGTAATGAATATACACGACCTTTAGTGCGGTTATTTCGCTTTGACAGAAAGATAAACATTTCGCTTTGTTTCCTTTAAAAGGTGTGGAAATCCACTGATGGTGGAAATTCGTTTCAACAACTTACCGAGTTACATTTTCCTCACGTTATAAAGTCGTTATCTTTTCCACAATATGGTGACCACGTGGCTGCCCTCACTAACCAAGGCACCATTTTATACGGTAGAACGACGATTTCAAGGCTCCTCAGTGTACATCACAAGAGGTTTTCGAGTATTCCAAACTTTATCTTGACTGATGAGTTTGAAAGTAAAGTTTTCACCAGTCATTTTTCCTTGTTTGGAAATCATTCTTTAGAGAAGGTCAACTTCAAATCTTATCAGAATAATTTCTGCACAAAGCATGTTTTGTTGCAGTTTATACGATACGATGAAGTTTATTTGTATGTAGCTGCACCATTCGAGGTGACCACTCGGGAGAATCATTCCAGTACTTGTTTTGGTCCATCGATCTTACATCAAGTATTTAAAAGTCGACTGGGGGTTCGGCACAAATTTTTGAGTTAGCACATTTAAACGCCACCTCTGGTTACCATACTTGGGCTAAGGCGAAAATTGCAAAGGAATTTGTCGGTATGAAGGCACATTCAGCTGATGTTCTAAACATGGAACTTCATCTAAGACTCATCTCTTCCTTTGTATATGATGTCATGTATGAAGTGACTATAAATTCAAGTAGTACTGCATGGTCTGTTGTTTATGTTGGAAGAACAATCGTTCTTCAAAATGGCATGAGTATCTTCTTAATAAAATATGTAAATTCCAGTACAATGTACGGGCTTCCACCACCTGGATTAAAATTTAGTAGATTACCTAGAACGAACCATAAACCTGGCAAGTGGCAGTTGTACGACATGAGTTCATCCACCATTATCCTGGAAAGAACTGACAACATAAACATTACCTTTTCTAATGGTTTCTTTAAGGCTCGCTCTGCCTTCACGTTCTCAAGTTCACATGTCAAGAAAGTGTTGTTCATACACAATGACAACCATGGAATCATTGAAGCCGTTAATGTCACTGGTATTGCAGTGTTTTATACAAATAGCTCTTCTCTTACCGACGGTGTTTATTCGCAATGGAAATTGTTAGAACCACGTAATTACACGAGCGATGTAAGGTACGGCTATGGAATGTGGTGGATTGAAGAAAAAAATTGTTCGAGCTTTCCTATTGTTACACCCAAACCATACAAAAGATTGTACCATCTTGATACTCAAGATTATATAATAATGGAGTTTGCCGTTCTAGTAAGGTACGTTGGAGGCACTGAGCCATTTATGTCTATGGAGGTCAGTAATCCTACCTTATTTTTGATAAAAAGTACCTACAAGAAATTTCAAGCAAATCATACCCTGCGTGTACACTTGGTGAGAAAACGTGGAACAACAGGAGTATCCCAGCTATCCATCACCATCCCATATTCATCCTTAAAATGCCCCAGTGTTTCAAATACATTTACAATACACGGTGGTTGTCCACCAAGCAAACGCCTTGTATTTGAATACCCAATCACTTTTGATCCCCATGTGTTTATCCATGGTACACCAAAGGATAGCAAGGGTATTCTCAGACATTACAGACTTCCAGAAAATTATAGACCTCCTTCCTCCAGAGGGATAGGAATCCCAATGTCATCTAACTTGTACAATGTACATCCAGAAAAGCCACCGTACATGGAAAGGTTTGCAATATCTCGACAAACACGTGCTTACAAACAATGTGCTGGTATGTCCTCGCGTCGTGATTGCAAATGCGGTAAAGCCAATATAACAATGTCAAGATTGGTTGAATACTCTGATTGTATCAACATTGTCTATAGGTTATTGTATGGTGAATCTTTTCGACCTAACTTCACCATTATACAAGAGGATACCATGGTTAAACTCTTTCTTGATCCGTACTATGTTGTGGAGCTGAATCAAAGATCAGACTATACTGTATTAAAAAGTCTCACTTTATCTATTTCTGATGACAAATCCTCCGTTACTGGTCTTAAGTACGAGCTAAAAGTTCTATAGAATTTAGTGGAGGTGGTCTGTATCATTTTCGTGCTTATGCTATCAAAAATGATTACACTCATTGTGATCTGATGGATGAATTCATCGTGTTTATTGATGAAGTTCCTTTACCTAATCCTTCCAGAGATGTTGTAAGGCTTACCACTGGAATGCTTTTCACAACATGCTTATTTTTCACTTATCTTTGGTACCTCTATTGCTCAAACGAACGCAATCAAAACAGGGTCTTTCCAGACTAAGGCAGTAACCATAAATGATGTGTGAATGTAGTGAATGGAAGCACATTTTAATTTTATTTTTGGTTTAAGCGTAAAGTGCGATCGAGAGAACATTGCAGTGGTATCGCTCAACAAAAGCTATTCTTTTGTCAGATAAGTTCTCAATTGCAGCAAATCAGGAATATAACAAATATTAAATTTTCGTCAAGTTGTTTCTTCGAGTGGAACTATTTTACAAATGGCTAGCTCCTTAGTGTCTTTATCAAGACGAACACACAGTTTCTATTGCATCGGCGTTAGTGTTTGATATGATGAATATATTCAACACAATGTTTCTGGTTGCTTTAAACTGATTGGGAATTAGTTGTAGAGTTACTTTTCGTCTGAGCATGACCACCTTTGAGAAATTGTTCGTTCGTGCTGTCGGTACGAATCATGTAGTTACAAATATATCACCTTGGATGTGGTAAAAGTCTTTAGGCGATACCCTAAATGACCACTTATTTCGTTTGCCGCTTCCGTTATCTTTTCCTGGTTTTAAAGTAAACGAAATAATTTTGTTATCTTACGCATGGCATTTGAGAGTCTTATCTCGAAGGAAACTAGGTTGGAATTGCACTTAAAAATCGGAAGTATTTGTACACGCTACATGTAACTTTTACTAAAGTCATATGGAACATCAATGTAGCAACGAGACTTACCACTTTTCTTTTGGACGTCGGTAGTCTCGAGTCACATCAACGAAACAAATTGAAAATAGAGAATCGAAGTAGCAAACCGTTGGACAGTTGTTTACTCATTCACGTCACGCCATTAAATGTTCAAAGTTTCAAGCTGTCGGCATTTTGTGAACCCACGAAAAGGAAAACAAAAAAAAAGACTCAATTGTTTGTTGTATGTAGCGTTGACAGGCGTTATGTGTGCAAAATGACCCCATACGAAGAGACGCATAGGTCAAGTGACATGTTACGTAGGTGTACCCAACCTGTCTTGTATAATTCAAGATAATTATATATGTTTTTTGTTGTTTTGAAACTTGTTCTTCTTTGAGTTTAGTTTATTTTCTCGTTGACATATATTACTCGTTACCTGGGTATATTAATCAAGTGTGTCGGTGAATATTGCTACGTCCTATAACAACATTTGTTTTTATCTCTCGTTCTAATGTGTAATTACACTTTTGCATCAGGAAACTTGATGCAATTAAACAATATTGTTTTGAGCGGTCTCTGCAGAACTCCTGCCTTAAAGAAAAAAGTAATCCAAGCTTATACGACGTTATAAAATCTACAAATGATTACTAAGAATTGTTGCATAGAAATTGCACAAAATTTCATAGATTAGAGTTCTTTTTGGTCGTAACGTCTGTACATATATGTGGTGTGGACATATAATTTAAATGAGAATGTTACTTTTTCATTGACTCTGTGTTTTCTGACATATTTACCCACGAAACTTGTTGTTCTTTTAATGGAAATGTCTTCAGTAAATCTATAGCAGATGCTAGAAGTTGCAATTCGTCGAAAAGAAGTGTTTCTTTACCAAAAACGTTTGTTGAAATCCATTCAAGGTTTCATATGACACAAGAAGATGCCTAGATCATTTCGTGTGAAGTTTTATGTCATTTTCCATGAATTTCAAAATGCTTTTCAATTAATGCGACTTTAATGAAATTAAATAATTTAGCTGGATCAACATGGCATGTTGTTATAGCTTTTTAATATAAAATTAACATATTAATTAATTTTCTTGTAATTTATAATCTTTATATCCTACATTTCATTATGTTTTAAAAGATATCTGATCGATTTCCTATAATTAAAGTTTGCTTCATTGCATACTTAATTTGACCGGAATATTCCTGTCATAAATCTTCACGAACTTCGCTGTTCGCTGGCGTTTTCAAGATTTATTGTTATATTATTAAAACACAAGACGATATAATCACGTTGAAAAGGTTTTTGAAGAAATTGTAGACGAGACCTATTACATTTCGTTCACAGGGCCTTTCGTAATTGCGGGAAAGGAATTTTAACGACGAGATATACTTGGAAGTGTAGATTAATTTTCTAGTTGGTTATATCAATTTTAAGTTATGTCAATGTTATGAAAGTTTACAATGGAAAATGAGTCAAATAATTGTCATTTGCTGCATTGCATGTGTGTTATTTATCTAATGGTTTGCCATAACAATGCTTTCAAACGGTCCATATTGCTTCGTCCATAGACCAATGAGCATGATAGATTCAAAAATGTAGCTAAATCTATTCTTCATTTTCAAATAAGAATTGAAAATACAGTAGTTTTTGTTTAATGATATTTCCACCTTAACTTTACTTGGAGAGATCTATGTCCAGCAGTGAAAATGAGATAGAATTAGATATAGTTTAACTCATACCTCCTTTCGATCTCAACGTGCGATAAAAAGCGCGTAAAATCACTGCACGGGAAGCTAGTCATAATTGGAAATTTATCTACATTGTGTTAGTTAAGTGTGAAAGGCAGATGTCCTATTCGAGAGAGAAAGGCCTTCTGCGACATGCACATTTTTCGAATTGCTGGTGACGGAAATCGACGATGATCGACTAGGCAACTAATTAAAACACTCAGATAAAATTGTAAACAACACATAATCATTTTGTGTTTGATTCATGCTGAAACACACGAAAACGCAGATTCTTATTTATATTTACCTAACTACTATGATATATTTCTATATTGTCGTAAGGTAAACATTTCCCTCGCAGTCAGTTGCCATATGGACATCGATTATTCTTATTGTTTTGCAAATAAAATAATTTTTCTGTCATAATTCACGTTTATCCCAGCGGTATTTCTACAACTGCAAGTCGTGACAAAAGACTACCTACTTAGTTCAAATCTGAGGATTATGGGATTAAGACAATTGGAAGGCTGCACAATCTGACTCTATTTCTATACCTTTCTTGTATTGGCTTAGCTTCGGTAAAATACTGATCAATCGATGCTCTTTTGTTAAATGTGGTGGATTACTGGCATTTGTTTCCCTACACAATAGGAAGATTAGTTATCAAGACGTACAGCCCGCTTGTTTCGCTTCAACGCAACTATTATTGCTCCACTGACGATAATTAACGATTATCATTGTAATTAGAAACATTGTGACAAAAAGAGCTTGTAGACGTAAACGCATGTTGGCGAAAAACGCATGTTTGCATTCTTCACATCATAGTTGTTGTATTTACTTATGTTTTTCTTTCCAGGCGTTTATTTAATGCACTTCTCTAATGCGTTTTGAAATTTTCAATCGTTGACGAACGTTGTATTAAATCAGCATTTAAATTAATTGAAACTTGAAAAAAAGTCGATGAAGATTTATAAGTTGAAAAAATTATTCTTAGCTATAAACAAGTGGGGCCGAATCATGCCATCAACACTCTTTAGGTTTTTATCGACGATAAAAAAGTCTATCGAACCTTGCGAAACATGCTTTCGAAATTATTGTTAGATAATCGTCATAACACTATTATATCGTCATTATACTTTAATTTTTATTTTGCAAAACTGTTATTTTCATGCTCTTTCAAAACATTCTCTCATCATTGAATTCATAAATATTACTTTAAAAACAGTAACTAGCGAAATCCTTTTTACAAAATAAAGCAAACATGAATTATAGCATAAGATATGTTTGATCCCACAGACTTTGCATGTCTGTATGTTTTTCATCCAACTTGCAAGGTGTTAGTCTTGCGCAAGCCATCGGTTTGAAATAAAGCTTCAATTATTAAAAGTGAGCCATATATAACAATTAATCCAACAGTCTTCGTAGATTACTATGTAACCTATTAGTTTGAAATCGAGGTGTAAATTTATGTCTGCATGATGAGTATTTGCGAGCAAAGTTTTAACATGTTTTACGATATTGTAAACATCGTGTGACAGAGAGAGAGAGAGAGAGAGACCGCATCGTTTATCAAATGAAAAAGAAGGGAGTCAGTGTCTGTCCTGCCAAATGAAGATAAAAAACCACATGAGATAAGACAAGAATAGATTACAATGCCGGAAAAAAAACAAGCTGCGCTCGTTTATCTCATCAGCCATACATCACTTTACTTCAAGAAATCCTCGTTTGATAGAACTGTTTATAAATATAACACTGATAATTGAAATAGAAACCTAACGAATGAACGTCGACTATTAATGAAGCAGATTTAGTTCTGCCTGAGGCGTGCGAGTTAAGAAATACATCCACTTATTTACTGTACGATTTCGTTAAGGACAGATTAATCGATCATCCGTGGTTAATTATTTGATATTCTACTGAAAATATATAAATCTCATCGATTACTTGTTTATATATATTTGATTGGATATATATCTGTGATTATTTGCAAATAATTGTAAGTGTAATCACAGCATTTTACAAAATATTCGCTTGGAATGACCTCCAGTGCCCAAGAAGTGCAGGTTTCTTTGTTTCTAACTTCGAAGACTTTGAAACCTCATCAAAATATCACTAAATTTGTCATTTTTGTCTTCGATTAGTTCTACAAAGTAACTTATCACGACTGTAATTAATTAATCGTCGACCAATTCCCAGTCAGTGTTTAGGAGATATTGAAATCTTCGAGAGGCAATTTGATAATTACTATATACAAGTAATTTCACGTGTAGAATTGCTCAATAAATATTGGAATATTATTGTCCGGCTATTCGTTGACTGCGCTAGCAATTGAAAAAAATTGCAAAAATTTACATTCAATAGTGATGTAGCTCCCGCCCAGGAAATTAATTGAGTATTTTTCTCAAGAGACGTCCATTGGAGAAGAATGTAAAAATTTCCTCACCGCTCTTAGCTTCAGGCAAACGTTCTTTCTTTACGTTCTGTTTATATGACGACCCAAACGTCTCAAATATAACCAACGACCGTTATTTAAACAAATACTCGTCTTTAGATACACTTCTTAAGCTTTTTTGCAATACTCTTCCCGAGTTTTTACTTTTTAAAACAAAGCTGCTTACATCGGCAACGTTCAAGTACGACACAAAGGGATTCTTTTGAGTCTTTCACTTAAGTATCTTTTTAGTGTTCCAGAAAGACGCTCTATATCTGAGTCGTGTTTTGTCAGGAGCATTTGCTTATTTACTTTGCGGCAACTTTGTGCAAGTTTATGGAATTTTTTACAATGTAGAAATTAGGGGAAAGGATCTTACAAGCATGGTGTTAAAACGTCATTGTTTGTGCGAGGTTGGGCTATGATTGTTGCAGTTTTGGATGGACGGTTTTGAAAACCTTTAAAATATGAAAAAGACGGTTGTATTCCTCGCACATTTTTCTCTGTTATGAAAATATTAATATTGTGCTATTTTTTCTAATCTTTTCCATCTTTCGTGAGAAGGTTCGTCTTTCAGTTGGGCAACCACGAGCTTTTTTGTGATCAAAATAAACTGATAATCAACGTGAAATTTTTAGATTGTAGCAACGTAATCAAGCTCACCATTTCGACTGTGAAGGAATTGGCACATATTGTGTTTTCACTTAAGTTTTTACAAACACGAAAAATTTTTTCACCTCTGCGTGGGCGAGTTTGAATATGTCTGTTTACGTTCATCAGTAAAACGTTGGCTGATTGCAATAAATAAATGCTCGTTGTCAATAGTTTTTCTACACAAGATTTATTGCTATCATAAGAAAATTATTATTTTAATTATTGTTCGACGAGCAGTATAAATGTATATCTCTCTCCGAGACTTTCAAGCAAATGAAGTCGGAGAAACTGATAAAAGTCGCACATTTCTCTATGTTTCTTTACAAAGCAACCACAAAAACCGCGTACTTACGCATGGACGCATATCTTTTGTCCCAGAAAACACTGTCTTAAGCCTGCTATTCAATGCAAGTGTTAGACATATGCATACAAAATGAAAAAAAAGAGATTAGGAAGCACATTTTAGAGTCGTTAAAACTTAAATTATTTTTATTCAAAGTTCCCAATAAATTTTACCTCGTGAAATATTTTGCAACAAGTTTTATTTGAAAGTATTTCAATCATCAAATGTTTTAAAGATTTTATTGATTCCATTGATCATTTCATTGCAGCAATACGCCATTCAATTGAAAAAAAATTATGCAAATAATTAAAACATTACACCCGCTTACTGCATCTCCAACAAGTGATTTCGACTCATTTCAAATACGGTCATTAGAAAACTAAATAGCCTAATAGCGTTAACTTAAGGCATAATCGAAATCAAAAAGTTTTAACTGTTTCGGGCGAGTTTTAAAACGAAATTTATTTTGGAAAAAAAGTCCGAAACATCACAATCCACGCACTTCTTGTCAAAGACTCATTGACATAATCTGCATTATTCATGAGCCATCCGAGTTATAATTTATAAATAACTTCAAAAGCGAACACTTGTAAGTCAAACTTGGCATCAAAAGAAGCTCCGAGACAATACTCCATTTCTAAAAATGCAGTCACCACATCTGTACTCTCATTTCAACCCTACTCTTGCTGCATACAAAGACAATGCTATGCCTTCAAATGTGGACTTTCCGTATTCTCCGTGTAGAATGCAACAACCGACGCCAAGTTTCTTTGCTAACCACCAAAATCCCATGTCTGGTTATATGACTGCGTCTCCGACTCAGGCAAGCGTTTTTAATACTGGAATGTCACCGAGTCCCGAAGGCCCTACCGTCAACTTTGGACCCACTGCTGTTTCAGCACCAAACGCACCAGGTATGAACACGACTGATGGCCAACATCTTTTTTATCCGAGCGACGCCGCGTATTCTCAATATCCATGGATCAAAAGTAGCGAAGCGCATTGGTGGCCAAGTGGCGGGATTACTGGAGGTATTTTTGGCTTATTTTTCCTTTGGTTGTTGAACGACTAATATCTTGTAAGGTTATTTACTTTAATGATTGATAGTATCAGCTGACCTTTTTAGAAAAGTCAATATTTATCGTACCGTTACTTCGATATCATACGACCATATATTTCATCGTCTTATATGTAATGATTACTAGGGTTGGTTTGTTTTTATATCATGGATCATTGGCTATTATGGATAGTTAATGTCGACATGTGGGTTTCTTTGATAGTGATCGCCTCTCTTTTCATAACCTTAGCGGCCCTAAAATTTTCGATTCGCAAATTCTTTGTTTCGCATCACCAACCAGACTTGCGTATTATATTTGCATTCGAAAAATACTCGTGCCCCTTCCTTTATATATAAGTCGAATTTTATCATATCATGAAGTTTTTCTGGGGCGTTTGAATTGCAAACAGCACAGATCACAATGTGCTATTTTGATTCTAAATTCAACCGATTGTGCGTGTAGACAATGAAACAGTTAACAATACTGCAAACTTGGCAGTTGGTGTTCTTCGTAAAAGGTTACTTTATGTGCGATTCAAGCTACTTTGAGAAAGAAAGGCTTTTCTGAAAATCAGCGAATTAACCTCACAAGGGAAACCACTTTAATAGTCCACAATCGCTTTTCAATAATAACGTTCATTTGATAAACGACTTAGAGCTTTAAATGTTGCAATTTTTATTGGTCTAACTCTATACAACGTATGTAATCAACAAGCACAAATATTTAATACAGAAGTTTAGCGTCAAAAATCATAAAAAAATTTATTTGTTGTGACACGTGTTTTACACCTTTCTTCCTAACAATCGTACATTGCTCAAAGAATGCCAATCTTTTCGTTCATTTCGTTTTATTGACATAGGCAATAGCCTATAATTTATTTAAACGGTACGGACCATGTGTGCTATTTCACTTTCCAACTGCTAAGGAAATCTGGAAATGCGACTTGTATGCAGTAGCTAGAGTTTAAGACAATGTAAATTTTTTTGTCAGTGCCAATAAACGTATATTTAGGTAACATAAACGAACTTATGAGAAAAGTTAACTAAATTTTTAAAGACCATAATAAACATTAAATATACAATATTCTAATATTGCATAACTATCAGGCGTTGATGGATATATCGCTAACTACACGACACGTATGCTGAAACATCATTTAAAGTTTTTCAATCAAGCTGAAGTGTCCGAAATATTACATAATCATTTGTTTTAGAGAACGCGAGTAAACGAACGTTCGCATTGCAGTGGTCAAAAAAATATTATGCAAAATATTGTGTGGTTTGTCATGGTTAAGTGAAGCCCTTGTACTTGCTTCGTGTTCTTGCATATGAACCCACTCATAAAAATCGCTAGGAAGTTTCGGTAAAGCAGTTGAGAGAGATGGTCACCTGGGCATTTATAAACAAGTCACAACCATTAACATGCATTAGAGAATACATTGTTTCTTTAAATGTGTAAAGTCTGCAAGTGTTGATATACATGTTTCGCTCTTGCATATTGCCTGAGGGTCAATTTGGTTGGAGATAAGAGTTTCGCTATCAACCTTTTCATTCTTTCCATTTAAAACATCTCTACGATATTTTATTACATTTAAATTATCGGGGGGACATTTTTCTCTAATTATCAGCACTTGAAAAAAATTGTTGGGGGCGGAGAACAAGTATGGTGTGTTCGAAGACACGTTCATCGGTGTCAATTTGTAATAACTTCACTTGCGATACATCTAGTTCCAACACATTGATGTTAGTAATATCAATGCTACTTAAAGTTCGTGTGTATGACATGAATAGCCATTGAAATTCGAGTGTGTGTCCTCCCTAAGCATCGCATCATTGAAGATGACATTGATAACTACAAGTACGAACCATTGAAATGTCGGAATCTGATTAAAAGTAAATATAAAGAAACATTTGTCAAACAAAGTACTTCTGGTCTGGTGTCATTATAGCTCACACGCTAAGTTCCTTTTCCGATCTTTATCGGAGTTGGGGAGCCTTCCGATGACTTTGTGTACTTTTACAAGAATATATTCGAGGGTTTTTACCAAATATAGAACTGATGGTGAAATTTTTGATACGCTTCACTCTTAGCATCATGTCTAGCGTATCTACACTACAAACACTTTATTTCTCTCAGTGTACCCTAAGTTTCCAGTTTCTACACAAGCTCACACACTCTGGGGGGGGACAATGTTCAAGTTCATTCAGCAGACCGCCCAGCGTGTTGTAGACAATGATCGTGCTTGTGCACACACACGCAATGTTCGTTGCATAGTCCATATTCAGGAGGATGATTGGAGCATAATTGTTATAACCATGTTACTTAAAATTTTTGTCATCAATTTGTTTTTAGTGACAGCGTCGAACGTTTGGGGTACAAGACCGTCAGATGGCAAGAGGAAAAGAACAGCTTATACTAGAAAGCAGTTGGTGGAACTCGAGAAAGAATTTCACTATAATCATTTTTTAACAAAAGAGCGCCGAGCAGAGTTAGCCTCACAGTTGACCCTCACCGAAAGACAAGTGAAGATTTGGTTTCAAAATCGACGAATGAAGCACAAGAAATGCGTTGGTAGTGCTGGTGCCACGGCTGGTAACAAAGTGAAAGGTTCATCGTCAAATGCAGATAGTACTCTCACAGCAAGCAAATCGTTATCTCCAGTAAATTCACCAAGAAATAACAATGAACAAGTTTTTAAGCCAGCAATCACCAGTCTTCAAGGATTGACAGGCAACAATTCACCTGTTATAACGAACAGTGCGCTCTACCGTGTGTAGTAAGTAGAGACTCTTCAAAGATGGATTATTGGTCAGATGCTATTATACATATGGTCAGCCTGTTGGTTAGACAAAGTCGATGAACGGTGGATAGTAGTGACTGACACTTGTGGTTTTGATAAAAACATCAAGGAGCTGGTCTCCTAACACTTATTCACGTGGGGTGAACGTTTTTTCCGTATAATATTATAATAATTAGATTGTGGCTCAAGCCTAAAGAAACTCATTTGGCTGTATGATGTTGTATTTGACAATTGTGCAATATCACACATTATACACTAGGTATTGTCTTAATATAGCAAGGCATTTGCAATTCACTGTAAAATATTTTAAACTTATTTATTGTGTAAAATGATTAACTTGAACTACGTCGTTGATATAAATGATGTTTGTTTGTTTCTGCATTGATGGCGTTTGGTAACGTTTAACGAGAATACTATATTGCTATAAAGACGTTAAAAAATGATATACAATTTGAACACAAGCAAAAATAACCCAAAAAGTATAATTGTTCATTCATCAAACAATTACAAATTTCTGTAGCCGAATGAACATAAGCTAAAGCGTTTATTCTAAAGGAAACTTTCAAGTGGGCAAGCTATATTAAGTACGCTTCATGTCAAGTTAACCAAGGTTCGATAGCTTTATCGAAAACGACTTTTGAATGGTGCCAATGAACGTGGGAAATATTTGGAAAGGTGTACGAATGAATTGCGTTTCTCATATCAATTGTTTTCAAGCCAAACCAATCTTCCAGATACGCCTGTACGAAGAAATATAGATGTATAGATAAAAATGAACGGACAGCATTGATTTTATTGACAACACAATAATGGTATTTATCGTTTCTATACCTTCTGCTGTTTCATTGGTAAAACCTCGAGTTTCACGTCATAAAAACCAAACAATCTGAAAATAAAACAAAAAACATGAGAAGTATTGAGTTTTTCTGATGAAACTTTAGGTTTATGTACACCTGTGAACTAGGTACATAAAGTAACATTTTAATGAAACGAACAAAATACACAATTTACTAAACAAATGATAGTTTTCGTTATGTATTTTCAATTGTCCTGGTTTTTTGGTACTTTAGTAGCCAATTTCTCTAGTCGAATTTGAGTCACAAAGTTTTGAAAAACATTTTCCAAAACTTTTCTAGCAAAAGCACCTGGGTCCTAACATTGCAGAACATTTCAATTTTTCTAAGGTAAAATATCAGCTTACGCCGATTGCCAAGGTGTGATGACGCCATCTTGAGGACCACCAATCACTATTAGATTTTTTATCTTCTCAAAGTTCTGCTTTTGTATTTTGTACACTACAATGAAATGTTAAAATGTTCTTTGATAAAACAACAGCAGCACTAGCAGCAAAATGAAACATCTTCACTCATATTAAGACATTTAAACATACATTCTTTATCTGCAAGCTTTGATTTGTCATTGTTGTTTACAAAAGGAAGAAAATTACATCCAGCAAGGTACTCTTTTGCATGTAGGGGATCTGAAAATCCGAAAGTTAAAATTGAATGGAATTATCATCTGTGTCTGTTGTCAATATGTTGTCACAAACCGTTCCAATAATTTGCCAAACTTAGAGAGTCTTGAAATACTTGGGTGTAGAGAAGGCTATCAAATATAAATATAAATAATGTAATTGACAACTTAGCACAAGATATAATTACCATAAAGTATAAGTTTCATCTTAGCAGCTTACCTATATAAAAATTCCCTTGATATTTTTGGTAAAAACTTTGACAAATAAGATGTCACTACAAGTAGATAACAATGCAAATAATTGCCATGACTTAGGCCAGGCTGAACATACTTGCAAGTCTTAAATATGTATGAATATATAGTAATATTTATTTAAAAAACATGCCAATAACTTATATGTATATATAGTTTTTTTTTTACCTCCAAACTGTCCCATCTGTGGACTGGAAAGGCTAATAAAGTTCACCACATTATGGTTGGAGCTGTTTTCAATGACAGCACGGGCCATAATTCCTCCTGTGTGATAGGTACAAACAATACAATAATAGATAAAGCAACAAAGAAAAGATACAAATTGAGTGAAATAAAGGCAAACTACTAGAATGCATGGAAACATTTTCAACTTTGTTATTTAAACTGGCTGAACAGACAAAACCTTGTGAATAACCAATAAGATGAATGCCATCTTTTGATTCTGCCATAACCTTCTCCAAAGCTTCTTTGAAACCATTCACTTGTGTCCACATTGGAGTGTCAATGCTACTTATTTCATCGTAAAGACTGAATACAGTAACGTTCGTTTCTGGATGTGCTTGCTTTATCATCAACTTCAAATCATCCATAGATGCAGCCGTATCAAGAATTCCATGGATTATAACAACAGGTTTGTATGACCAAACTTCATAGTAACATAAAACCAATGGAAGTAACGTTAAAACCTTACAAGGCATGAGAAATACAGACATGGCTATATATATCAATCATAAAATATATCCAAGTTGTCCAAACTGGTTTTTTTTGTCACTTTCGCAGAATCCAGTCAGGTGCTGAGGTGCTGAGCGAAGTTGAGCGAACGAACTATGGTGTTTTTCCCAGAAAAATCATGCAGGAAGTGAAGGAAAAGTTAGCAAATAAAATGTCAAGTTCGTGCATGTGGTGAAGCATGCACTTTGCGTTTGTTTTCAAATTCGATGCTCTTAAAAAAATTACTAAAATGTTTCACGAAATGAAAAATGAAAAAAAGACGTCATTCACCTTGAACCACTTCATGTAAGCGTAATTAAAGGTATTTTTGCTAGTGCCAGTCTCGTCTTCACAATGCGCGATTTTCAAAATGTCAACTCCACGTGAAACTGGAAGAGCAAAGAAACGAAAATTCATTTCGGAGAGTGCTGGCGAAAAGAAAGTAAAGTCACATAGAAAGAACATCAGGTGAATCATAAATAGTAGGCTTTTCCATATTCGAGGAATTATCATTGGGCTTTCGCATGCAGGACTTTGACGTTGCAATTTAATTCGTTCATAGATTTCATCATTTTAACAAACATGTGCAAGTGTTTTCTTCTATAGTAATATTTCAACAACGACAGAAAATGAAGAGGAAGACTTCCCTCGTGGTGGTGCATTATCTCTCACACCACTCGAAATTAGGGAAGCTAAGAACATGGCTGAAAAGGATGTCTTGTTTGGGGTATTGATTTTAAAGCGTGTCTAATAATAATGAAACATTCTTCCACATTCTCTCTGCTGTGTACAATATATGTGCTATTCATTGTATTTTCTGCAATTTTCGTATTTAGGCTGGAAGAAATTTAAAAAAAGTTGGTAAAGGGAAAAAGAAGAAAAAAGTTATTAATGAAGCAGTTGAAAATGATCCAATGCCAAACATAAGAACAACCAGGAACTTAAATGTTGACTGTCTTTCTTCAAAGGTATAATTAATCAAACCAAAGAGTATAAACATATTTCTCTACCCGTTTCCATGCAATTTTAATCAGAAGTTGTGTCTTCTTTGTCATATTTAGAAACTTTGTAAAGATGTTTTAATACTTGGTGTTGTTGAAGAAGTATTTGAATTTGAAATGGTGATCAGCTTGCCAAGTAATCTCAGTGGTTGTGTTCATATCACAGACATCAATCCTGTCTATACGTCGCTTCTTGAAGATGATGATTCTAATAATGAAGTAATGATATTTTATAAAACATCCTTGTTTGAGTTGCTACTGACCTATGATTCTGATCAATTCTATTTACTTCATTGTTTTAACTGGTTATCAAGATATTCTTTATGCAAGTACAAACTTTATAAACTTAATGAAGTCTTGAGTAAAGACGAACGTTCACAATAAATTCAATTTTACAACTTTTGGTCTATTTCTATGGCTTTAATTAAAACTTTATGTTGGGCATTAATTTTTGTTACACAAATAAACTTAATTAGTTTGTAACAATTTTAACTTTTGTTTTAACATGATGTTTAGATGGATCATTTGACGCGGCTTCGAACCTTTTTTCCTGTTGGTACCCAAGTGAGATGTATTGTTGTGTCTACTGATTCAACCAAGCATGGTCATAGTAAAATAAAACTCTCAATCAACCCGGATCATGTCAATTGCTCTTTAAGTGCTGCCTCTTTATTTCCAAATATGGTTGTATCTGGTTATGTACGTGATGTGGAAGATCATGGGTATTCTGTATCAATTGGGGTTAAAGGTGTACAAGGATTTTTACCAGACAAGGACTTGAAGGGTACCTCATGTTACATTGTTTATGAACAAGCTGTGCTTTTTTTGTGTTCATTAATTTTTATGTTACAGATAAACTGAATGTTGGTCAAATTTTGGATTTTATCATTTCCTCCATCAGCTCAGATAAAAGAATGATACATCTACAGATTAATAAAAAGAATAGCAAAAAACGGCCGTGAGTCAGCTACCATGTATGTCATATTTTATAGACGAAAGTAACTTTTAAATTTTTTCATTATGTTATAGATGACACAAAAAGAGAAGATGGTGTTTTCAAACTTGTTGCCAGGAATGTTTGTGAAAACAACAGTCAAACAGGTGAAATTCTAATATACTCATCCTGTAATTTACTTTACATACATAACTGTTATGCTAACTTATGAATTCAATCCCATAGATAAGTTTACATGGTATTGTTGTGTCATTTCTTGGTGGATTTCATGGCTCAGTTGAAATTCTTCATCTTGCTGAGCATGATGGGAATGAAGGCCACCAGATAGACAAAACCTATCCTCCAATGGCAAAGGTAGAGAGTTATATTTTTCTTCTGGAATAATAACTTAAAAGTAGGGGGGGGGGCATTTTTGAAGTCAAGGGCTAGTCTATATGTATCATTGAACTATAATACATGGAAAGCTTCCTGTAATAGAAAAGCCTGATGATTTTTTGAAGCCAAATTTTACACCCAGACACGCGTGCGTAGTTCAATCAATTTTCACTCCGCGAGAGAATCTCGAAACACTACACATGCGTGTCTGAGTGTAACCTCATGTGTCTGGGTGTAGGATTTGGCTTCAATTATTTGCTTTAGGTAGCATTCCATGTAGTTTAGTTCAATCATATGTCTAAGTCAGTTTCAAGGTGGCTCAAAATCTACAAAATAAATTAGAGTACCATAAAATTAGTGAAAATATACAGATTAATTGCGTCATTGTGAATGTTATTATGTTCTTGGTTTAAATGTCAATCTGTTCTATAAATGTATAAATGTTTTTTCTAGGTTATGTGTTGTATAACCTACATTGATCCGTCAAACAAGACTGTAGGACTGAGTAATCTTAAACACTTAATCAACTCCGAAGTCGTGAATTTTTCTGGTTTGAATGTTGGTGATATAATCGAGGACTCTGAAATAGTGAGAATTGACGAGAAAAATGGCGTTGCTCTTAAGTTGAAGGATCGTTGGCCGGCATATGCTCATGTTAGTAAATTAACGAATGGATGAAATTTCATGGTTTTTTTCAATGGAATTGTAAGAAAATGAAATAAAACAGAGGATATGTGTTGTTTTTTATTTTTAGATTTCTCGTTTGTCCGACGAAAAGATTGCGAATATTGGCAAGAAATTTAAAACAGGAAGCAAGCACAGGTTTGCGTTTGAAAAAGATACATGGTTAACTTTCAATGACTAATGTTCTGATAACTTCTGAATATGTCATTTTGTCTATTTAGTTGTCGAGTTCTTAGTTTCAATTCTATGGTTGGATTAGCATTGGTGACCTTAGAGAAGTAATGGCTGACATGACGTCACATGAAATCACGTGATTTTGTTGTTCTTTTAAATAGGAAATATTTACGGTTTATTCAACAGGTCTATCCTGGAACAACCTTTCATTCGATACAAAGATATCAAACCTGGTCTTGTTGTTGATGTAAGAAATTTACGTTGTATTGTTTGCTTGCAATTTTAATCCTGTGACATCTCTTTTTATATACAAAATTTTCTATCATTTCGGAACGTCTGCAATCCTCGGGCATTAAAATAGGGCATCAGTTGGGAAATACAAAATGCAAGTTCAGTTGATGTGTCTGACGCTTGTGAAACTGCAATATTTTTGAAAGTGGTGTCTTGTGAAATGATTTTAAAGGATTCTTTGGTCAATCTTTGTTTTAGGGCAAGATTCAAAGTTTGCTAAGATCTGGAATGATCGTCGCTCTGTCGGATCACATCCGGGGATATTGTCAGTCATTTCATTATGCTGATGTCACTTTGAAACACCCGGAGAAAAAGCTCTACGAGGGAAGAAAGTTAAATGTCGGGTATATTATAACGTGGATATTCCATATTGATTGAAGTAGCTACACATGCCCTCTTTCAGTGTTGATAACTGCTAAAATATTTTACAATTAAATTATAAAGGTTCTTGAAGTTAACGCCGAGAAGAAACGCCTTCGTTTGTCGAACAAGAAGACTTTGGTGAAATCTGAATATCCTGTGATCACCAATCTCAATGATGTCCAAATTGGAATGAAAACACATGGATTTATAACATCAATACAAAACTATGGATGTATTGTTCATTTTTATAACAATGTTCACGGTCTTGTACCAAAAGTTGACCTAGGGTATGTTGTAAAACTTTAGCAACACTAATTATTACAGATTAATATATTTTTACTGCCTAAATATAATCGAAACAAAACAAGGAACAAAAATTATTGAAAATACGACGCACGGGCAGACAAAATGGATTTCCATTTCTTTATATAGTCTTAAATCAAGTGAAAAAGCAAGCGATGCCTTCTATGTTGGGCAGGTGGTCACGTGTGTTGTGACGTCATGTTCCTCAGAGAAAGGAAAACTTAAATTAAGTTTTAACGTAAGTATAAAGACAATTCCGCAAGAATACTTGGTTTCTTTTAAAAATTATGCTGTTTTTATTTTCAGACATCAGCTACACCTTCTTTAATTAATTCTGAGTCTCTTCTTCCTGGAACGGTATGAATGAAAAATGTTTCGATTAAATGTAGATAAATGTGTAAAACGTGTTTAAGATTGATTGAAATTACAAGTTCAAAAATTCAATGTTGTTTTGAAACTTTGATCTTCTCTGAGATTCGTGTTTAAGTCTTTTTGTTGCCATAAATACATCATTTTGTTGTTTTTTTTAGCTTGTAAATGTGGAGGTCGTAGGAAGGACTGATTTGGGACTTGATGTTCAAATAAAACCAAGTAACACTCATGCGTTCATTCCGCTGGCTCATTTGTCCGACAGTTACAGCAATTGTCCTTCCCTGCTGGAGATATATTCTCCCGTTCCTGGAGGTGAAGTTAAATGTCTGAATAACGTCTTGTTTTATGGAAAAGATAAACAGAAATCATTGGTATGTTGTTCACTGAAAATTATAAAATTGCTCAAATATACTTCTTTACTGTCTTCCTAATCTTGGGATAGTTAAATACCCATGTTTTCGCTACCTTAAATAAATGTAGCTTAATTCTTGTGTTTGGATCTTTGGATACTGATAGATCTGGCTACAGTCACACTTCTTAAAAATTCCCTAAAATCATGATACTAAAATTTGCATTGATTTGTTACTCCATTGAAGATTATAACACGTAAACAGTCTTTGATCAAAGCAGCTTCAAAAAGAGAACTAGTGAAGCATTTTGAAGACTTGAAGGTGCACAGGCATATGCTCATTTTGTAAAATATTGTGAAAACATTGTTACTTTTGACGTATCTTCACCTTATCCATTAGGTTGGAATGATTCTTTCTGGCTTTACTAGGCAGTTAATGCCTTATGGTGTATTTGTGAGGTCTCGCCAAATATCTACGGCTTAGCGCCAAATTCGGTTAGTATCTGGTTGAAGTTGATGATTTTATGAAAGGGAACCAACATACTTGGATTATAGTTGAATATAGACCTGTTGTGTTTTGAATATTCGTCAATTTTTGTATTTTCATGAACATGTGTAGCTTTTGTCAAATGGTTATGTCGCTGATGCTTCGGATCATTTTAAAGTTGGCCAGTCTGTTATGGCAATGGTAGAATTTCAATGTTGTTGCAACATTTTACTGTTTAACTAAGTCTTTCGCTTTTTTGATAATATTTCGTCTTCTCAGGTGACGGAGATAGACTACGAACGTCATCGGTTATTGGTCAGCTTGAAATCATGTGATTGCTATCCTAACCAATCGGAAGACGAGAAAGATCGTAAAGAAAGCATAAATCTGTTGGTTGAATATTTAAAGGAGCGGGACGAAATATTTGATGGTTTGAGGCATTGTAAGTTTTTAAGACAGTTTTTATAAATTTCTCAGTCGCGGAAGTGCAAATTCAGGTTTCTAGCTGTTGTATGTGTTTTTTTCTAGATGATGAAAATTCGTTTTGAAAATCTCTCAAGGTTATGTTGTTCATGCAAAGGTATTTTACCCGCAAAAGTTTGCAACAATATTTTTGCTCTCCTTAATGATTCTTTAATTTTTCATGAAGGTTAACTCCATTACAAATTCTGGAATCAAACTTCTTCTTGAAAATGGAGTTGTCGGCTTTGCAGTACCACAGCTGAGCCGAGGTAGGCAGGCATATCTATCCTGTTTTGTTCCCTTATCCTAGGTGCTAAAAGTACTGTTTATCCACATTAATCCTCCTTTGTCCCTTATCGTAGGTGCTAACCTTGCTGTTGATAAAGTCTTAGAAGCTTTTGTTTTGGATTATGATATTGAATACAAGAGACTTGATCTTACTGTTGATTCAAATGTTGTCACAAAACGGAAAGATATAAAATCTAAGAACAAGAAAAAGGTTTAACATCAACTAATTTCGTTGCAACTTTTTGCCCTGTACATCTTCATCCGATTCTTCTTTTGAATAGTTGAACATTGGCGAAATCGTGTCAGCGGTCATACAAAGTATCTGTAAGGAGTACTTACTGGTAATACTGCCTGATCATGGATTGCGCATTGGCTACGTTGCAGTGAGAGAGGTTAGAATCTACATGTACGTATTGTACTGCCATTTGTATTTTTGATATTAATGTCTTTGTTTTTTGTCGAAGAATATGAACGACTTTCGTGATCCAGCAAGTCGCTTCAAACTTGGTCAAACCTGCAAAGCTACAGTTCAAAAGTACGTATGAAAATTTTGAAATATATGTATAACTATAGTTCTTACTCTGCTGATTGAAGTTATGTTTAAATCTTCGTCCTCGTTACCGTTATTTTTAGGTACGTGCGTTCAAAAATCGATAAACGTGAATACATGATTTTAACTGTTGATGTCAGCGAAGAAACTGGCGACACAGTCCATATTGGGTCTATTGTCAATGCTATGTATGTAGAACTGAGAAAATTTTGTCATTGGAACATGAATTCATTGCTCGTTGGCTAAAATATTTAGAATTACTTCTGTGAAAGGAGTTCAATTGAATGTTCACATTGGTGCAAAGAAATACAAAGGAAGGGTTTGTGTCTCAGAGATTACGGATGACATATTGCAGGTATATAAGAATTATTTAATGAAGATTTATAATTTTTGTAATATGTTTAATTAGTTTTCTTTGTTAAATACAGCGTTCGTGTGACTTCTCTTACTAGGGAAAAAATCCGTTATCTTTGTACTCTCGTGGTCAGAAGATTCAGGGAAAAATTTTAGGATTTCGTGACTCAATCAAACATAAGTAAGAAACGATGTAAAAAGTCATCAAAGAAGACATAGTTTTGTCCCTAGAAGTAAAATACTGACTGGTTTATAATCGGAAATGTATGGACTGAAATTTATTATTTTCTTTGTTCCGCTAATTTTCAAAAGAACCCCTTTGTTTGAACATGTTCTTTTGTTGAAAACATAGAATGTACGCATAACTACCATTGGAGGTCAACAAATTTTGAATAGTTTCTATCGTGGGTGAAAAACGTTATCACAGAATGAAATCATTATTGTAGATGACGTCAACACAGAATGACATCACTGCATTTTGACTTCACCACTGCATAACATTACCACACACATGTCATCACCACAGCATGACATCACAACATTTTGACGTCACCACAGCATGGCGTCATCGCAACATGTCATCACCACAGCATGACATCACTACAGCATGTTGTCATCACAGTAGGGTTAACCTTTCCAGCGATATAACACGAATATACAGATTTTCAATCGTTCTCCTTTCCATATTTTTAACAAGATCTGTTTCGTAACCTGTATTTCTACCAAAATATTGATGACATTTTCATCTTCACGATAGATCTTCATCTTTTTAAATTCTTCAATGAATGTTTGAATGGTTTCCAGGATTTCGAAAAAAAAAACAAACAAAATGTTGTCTCTTTTAGTTTTCTTCCTATCACTCATCGTAATTTCTCAAAAACATACGCTGAACTTTCTATGAAGGCAAGGTAACAATGTTTAAGACGAAGTTGACATTTTAAAAATGTTATTACTTTTGCTTTTTGTGTTGTAGCAATCTTTCGATGTATTTTTAGTCGACTACGTGAAGACGAGAGCGATGATTCAAGCCAAGAATTAAAGTCGTTTGAAAAAAAACTTGAAGATTACAAAGAAGGAGAGAGGATTTTTTGTTTCGTGAAAACTGTAAGCTTTGTTGAAAAATTACAGTGGTTTTATAATGGTATTGATTCATTTTCCTTCATTCAGATTTGTGATCGTGATATTTGGATGGTCGTCTCGACATCAATCAATGGAAAAGTTCGACTTGTTGATGTTTCAACTGATATGAAGGTAAAATGATATTGTTTACATTAAAACTAAGTTTTATTATGTTGTTAATGGTATGTAATAAATTTTCTATCTTTTCATCATGCAGGTTTTAAAGGATGTTTCAAAACACTTTAGAATTGGATGTGGCTATTTTTGCACGATACTCAATGTAAATAAAGAACAAAAATCTCTTGATCTATCGATGTCAGGTAGTAAAATTTTCCTAAATTGTAACTTGTTTAGTTTTGTGTTAAAAAACATTGACATTTTATGTATCAGTCGATGTTTAGTATTTAGTCAACTTTAGTTTTAGCATTATTTTTCTTTAGGTTGTCTAGGGAAAAAGGTGATATTATTCCTGGAGTCATTACGAAAATCCTACCTCATAAAGGTCTTGCGGTTCAGTTACCTCATAAAAACTACGGATTTGTCTTTCTCACGGATATAGCTGATGATTTCCATGAAGATCCATTGAATGAATATAAAGTCAATCAATTGATTAGGTTCGTCATAAATGTGTGAATATATTTGAATGTTTAGAATGAGCAAAAACATTCACAAAATATGACAGTTATTTTTTTGACTTACGATGATTAAAATGTTTTTTATTTTTTAGTTGTTATATACTCGAGTTGAATAAAAATGGAAATATGACTCTCTCTATACGAGCATCTAGGACTCAACCTGAAACAAAGACAGGTAAACATGACAATTTGAAATATTAGTGTTAGCAGTGGTGTATCAACCCACAAATTTAGTTCTGCTACGTTAAATTTTCTGTGTTCACTCACTGTAAAAACACTAGATTTCTATAAAAATGAATAATGTTAATGATCTGAAATTTACATAGCACGACCAAAACTTGCGGGCTGGCTACGTCATTGTGTTTTTTCTTTTCCTTCATGTTTCTTCAGAGAAAATTGATAAAGATGTACAAAGTTTTAATGATATCGAAGAAGGTGAGATTTTGAGAGGGTTTGTTAAAGCCGTCAGCGATGTTGGAGTCTTCGTCAGGTATACTAAAACCATACGTATTTTATGAGTTTTGATAAATTTATTTTTTCTAAGGAATATTTACGTCTTAGTTTGTCCAAAGACATCGTTGGTCGAGTCCAGATTAAGAATCTCTCTCAATATTTTGTAAAGAATTGGAAACCATTGTTTCCCATAGGAAAACTTGTCAAAGGGAAAATTTTAAGGTCGATAATAATGCAGTATTTGTGAATTTTTATGAACTGTAATGTTGACTCAATGATCTCTCTTTTTTCACACTCCAGTATCGATCCAAACAGTAACCATATAGAAATATCCCTGAATGATCTCTCTTTTTTCACACTCCAGTATCGATCCAAACAGTAACCATATAGAAATATCCCTGAAAGGAATAGATGTCGGCGATAAAGATCCGGCTCCAAAACCTGAACGAAGAAAAAATAAACGAAAGCTTGATATGGATGAGGATTTTACAGATAGTGAAAATGAAGACGATAAAATTTTAAAGAAACTAAGAACAGGTTTAGCAGTAAAACCTTTTCCAGTCGACAATATAAAGGAATATGATAAAATCCCCACCACCCTCCCCCAAAAAAATGAACAAAACATCTTTTGAACTGAATATTAAAGTTATCTTAACTAGAGATAAGATTTATAAGCAATATTTCGGCTTTATTTCAGAATCATTATCTAGATTTTATTTCATTAAAATCATGCTTGCTTGTCAATAAGCACTTGAGTTAATGATTTTGAAATAAGGTGCGAAATATTGCTTTTAAATCTTATCTCTTGTTAATATACGTAACTCGAATCTTGAGTTTACAAGATGATATTTTTTAGAGTGTATTTTCTATTATAACTTTAGGAATACTTAACTGTATATCTTGTTGTATGGAGGCGTTCTTTGTTGCCATTTTGCAAGATCAATAGCACACTTTGTTGAACTTTTTATTTTGTATATTTAACTTTATTTTAATTGAAATGAATTTGATAAACGTCGAGGTCTCTGTTGAACTAGAGTTGAAATTTTTAGAAGAAACTGACGATGATGTTCACAAGAGTGAAAAAGAAAATGAAGATGTTCCATGTTCTGATGAGAGCGAATCTGAGGTAAAAATTACTTATCACTTTGTGAAGAATGTTTGAATGATGATGAATCTGCTTCCTTGAGGGTACATAGTTTAAAGAAAGTAAATATATTTATTGATTGTTGTTGCTAATTGCTATCTTTATAACAGGAGGAAGACAATAATAGACCCACGTTAAAGGTAACAGAGAAATCTATCAAGTTTCATATTAGTATCGTGTACAAAGTTTATATGGATACATTGCCTGCATTTATTTTAAGATTCCAGGTGGATTTAACTGGCATTCAGCAGTTCACGATGATAAAATGGCGAAGCATAACGATGAACGAGCAGCAAATACGGAAGATGATGAATCAAATGATGGAGAAGAAAATACCGAGGTTCGTGTATAAACATCATTATGTGTACACCTTTATTGTACCTCAGTGGTTTATATATTGTCGTTTAAACTATAGTGTTATTTTATATGTTTTACATAAGACGGCGAGAAAGAAATCAAAGCGAGCAAAAAGAGCAGCCAAGAAAGCGAGGAGGAGTTTCTTTATAAGGTAACAGACTTCCTCCTTCGTACTTCTGGTAAAATGTCGATTACTTTGTAGTGTAACTTACACACAACATGATTTTGAAGACAGAGCAAGCTCTCCTTGACAAAGATCTTGGTGCACAGACCGCTGAAGACTTTGATCGCATTCTCCTTTCTACTCCAAATGACTCGTTGCTTTGGTTACAATATATGGCGTATTATCTTCATATGACTGAAATAGAGAAAGCGAGAGCTGTTGGCGAACGCGCCCTTAAGTCTATTTCATTTAGGTAGGAAATAGCGCTTTTTGTCTACGTGATTGTTTACAAAGATCATTTATGTAATCCTGTTAATTCTTTCAGAGAGGAAGATGAGAAATTCAATGTTTGGATTGCCTTATTGAATCTGGAAAATTCGTACGGTACTCAGGATTCTCTCGTGAAAGTTTTCCAAAGAGCTCTGGAGCAGAATGAGCCAAAAAAAGTCTTTGAACATTTAGTAACGATATATAAACGATCAAGTAAATTTGAGGTATTTTATAAATTGTGTTTTACTTTTAAGAAGGTCTTCAAATATACTTCAGTCATATACATGATGAGTTGCTTGTTAATAAGCCTTTTTTGTGAAATGCTGAAACTTCATAAAAGAACTTTAATGCGAAAATAATATTTTTAACCTACATGTCCAAGCTCACTCAATTCATTTTATCTTTCATTCTATCTAAAGGAAGCAGAGCAACTGTATCAAACGATGATAAAACGATTTAAATCCAGCAAGAGTGTATGGGTAGAGTACGCGTCATTTCTTATGGAGCAAGGAGAACTAAAGTCATCAAGAGATTTGCTACAACGATGTTTGAAAAGTTTGGAGAGACGTAAACGTAAGTAATTTTAAAGCAATCGTAGTTTTTAAACATGCTCCGGTGTTATTCACGTGCAGTTTTTACGCATGCTCAGTTGTTATTCGTGCGCAGTTTTACGCATTCTCAGTTGCTTCGTTGCTACTCGTCTGCAGTTTTTACGCATGCTCAGTTGCTACTCGTGTACAGTTTCTACGCATATTCAGGTTTTAGGCATATAGAACATGATACAACTACATTACTCCGTATCTAAGCCAGGAGACTGTGAATTTATTTCAAGAAGTTGCTTTTCCTAAGACCGTTGTACATTCGTTTGGTAGACGTTGAAACTATTGCTAAGTTCGCTTTGTTGGAATTCAAATACGGCGAAACTGAACGTGGAAAAACAGTATTTGATAATGTACTGACGAGTTATCCAAAAAGAACTGATATTTGGTCAATATATGTGGATGTGTTAACGAAGAATGGCGATATTAATGCGGCCAGGTAAGCATTGGTAATATTGTTATTTATTTCACAACCTTTACTTTTTCTTTTATAACAACTTATATAGATTTTTACTTTTATAAGATTTTTACTTTAATAACAACTTATGCTCAATATATGTTCTTCATTTGTACTTCGCGGAAAGTGTAGAAGTATAGTTTTAAAATGATTAAATGTTTTGAGTTATTCGGTTTGTTTTACGATACTTGTTTCGTTTGTTGTTTTTTGTAGACGTCTTTTCGACAAAGCTGTTACTAAAAAATTGTCTTCAAAAAAAATGAAGTTTATTTTTAAGAAATATTTGGAGTTTGAGAAGAAACATGGCGACGAAAGCACTGTGATTAAAGTAAAGAAGATTGCCGAGGAATACGTGAAAGATAAGACAGATAATGAGCTTTAATTACTCTAGTTATCAAATGATCCCATTAAAATGCAGACTCTCGAAAACTAAATGAAAGACAAGGCAAAATGACCTTAGTTACAAGAGCACGTTGCTTTTAAAGATTGCTCGTTTACGATTGTAATCTCTTCATTAAAACATCGAAAACACGTACACACATTTGTTCGTGCAATTTATAAGAGATACACGTGTTTAAACAAAACCACAATTATTTTATTCGAGAGTTGATATAACCAGTATACCTCCATGAAATGATTATGAAGACTTCATTTAACTGAACCCTGCAGCTATGCTTGGAATTTATGTTTACATGTATGTCTGTGTCTATACATATTATATACTGAAATTCTAATATACTGTATGTAAAATTTAACATATATGGAGCATTTTCTTAAATATTTATAAACACCATTGGTCTATATGACCAAAGTAATCCAACTTAACCAAACTATTAAATCAATTTCCGTTGGAAATTTCTAAGTAGGTACTAGTAGGTACAAAATTTGAAATACCAGTTTCATAACATATTTAATTATACAGTTTACTTACGCAACACGAAAAATAGATTACACACTCCCAAAATCCCACCATTATATTTATATCATTTATCATCGACCTCCGGTAATACCAAACCTCCAGTTTTGTTGCCCCGGGCGACCTCTTGTAGAACGTCTCGTACAAATTCGGTCGTATGACCAGCCACCTGTTGCGCTAAAACGAGAAGGAACGACAGTGAAAATTATGAACATAGGTCATTGTCAAATGTTCAAAAAGAGATTTGTCACGTATGTTTAAGATCAGTCAAAGTTGTTTGTCATCGAACACTTACTGAAAGCTTTCTTTGCCATGGTTTTAAACTTTTCATTTAAAGGTGACACGACTTTTCTTGGACTTTGAGCTTGAGTGACTATGGCGTTTTTCATGTCGTTAATGATGAACATCAGGTTTTCTAAACAAGACAAACACATGATGAATATTAACGATATCGAAAGTGAAAAATATGAAAATAGAAATGACGACTGGTAACCTTAAACCATGACCAGCCGACAATTTAAAGAAATATAGTATAAAGCAAATTCCGAAGGAGCGAGACATCTTGAGATTGCAAAATATGCATCAAAACAAGACGAGAAGTGAACTGTAAATTTTCGACTTTATTTCAAAGTCATCCTCAGACAGAATGAAGATGACTTTGAAATAAAGTCGAAAATTTACAGTTCACTTCTCGTCTTGTTTTGATGCATATTTTGCAGTCTCAAGATGTCTCGCTTCTTCGGAATTTGCTTTATACTGGTAACCTTGTTCACTCTGAAGGCCATGGAGTTTAACTTTGTTGGCTTCGTGTTGTTGCTTCTTTTTCAATCTGCACGCCCTGAAATTAGGAACATTCCAAATGTATATAATGACTGGTCTATATGGATATGACAAATACCTCAGATAACATAATGAAAATGTCATGTAGCTATGGAAAACGGACATAAATCCGCACAATTAATTTAAGTTTATTTCGCACATTTGAATGTCCACAAATGACTGTGCTGATATCGAAAATTTCTAAATTCTACAAACTTTTGCTAACATGTAGCCATAAATTATTTACGAAAGTAAATTAAAATCCAAGCTTAATCCAAGGGTATTTTTATTTTACTAAACCTAGTCAACCAAAATATGTGCGCAAAAGTATGATCATATCTTCTTTCTACGTAGTTTATTCCACAAATATTTATGTGTTCAATCTTCTAAAGTAAATTTGGGCAAACTTTTAAATTGTAGATTATTTCTAGATCGTAGACTGACAAAACATTGCTTCAATAATAAAAATTAATGGCCTGTTAAAAGTTCTATGTTGGGAAATCGTGTTTGTACGATACTTGAAAAAATTTTGGAAAAGCGGCGAAATTAAATAAATTCAATTGAAAACTATACTTAATAAATTGCTCAAGGTTATTTCTCAAATTCACAATCGCTCTGCAATTTTAAAGTAAATATTATAAGAATCGACATTAAATATTCATGTTGAGTCATTGTGTGTATATCGTTTGAAAAGAATTAGAATCTAAAAAATGCACTTAACATTACACAATGCAGATTACAACATGAAAATAAAAGATACTGTGGATTACAATCTCTACATTTAAACCTGTGAAATTAAATCGTGAAAACATATAGCGAAGTTATTTATGTATTAAAACTATGTTTGACATAATTTTCTGTTAGCTGGTGATAATTGTATGGGGGTTTTTTTTGACTCCTAACATGTTTAAATTAATGCTCATCTTCCTGCATCGAGAGAAGAGTTCAAAAGACTTCGGAATGCTTGAAGAGTGGCATTATTTTCTTTGGGTTGGCTTTATTCGAAGACTCTTTAACTTATTCTTTTTAATTACTAAAATACAATAAATTAATCCCACATAATATTTCAAAACTCATAAAACAGAACGACTTCATTATTTTTATAAATTAAGACAAGGGAATATTTGTCATTCGCATCATTTTCCCATATGTTGAAATTTGAAACTTGGCTATATTTATCGGAATTCTTTACATCCGCTTTAGCTCAAAGGCCAAGGTTATTACCAGCAATTAAACTAACTGTTATGGCTCTGTCAAATACCTGGAAGCAAGTTTGTTCTTCTCTCGTCTTGAACGTCCTCGAGACTGTTGCGGCACTTCGTTGATAGGTTTTAGAGAACTTATAATTTTATTTAACCTGTCCAATTCCTTGCCAATGTGTAATAGTTTTGATGGATTTGGTACCATATCCTCACTTTCGCTTTTTCTCCCTTTTCTTCGCGCCGGAATTTTACCTTCCTTTTGAAACGGACAGTATTCCTCCTCAATGTCCTCAGTTTCACTGTCAATGTCATCATCGTCTTCACTTTCGCTCTGGTATGCATTAGAAAAAACTTGCCTTGCTACCTGTTCATGTGAGCCAGATGTCTCACATGTTTCTTGATGTGCTTGGTTTTTGCAATCCGCTACTGTTTCTGTTGCAGTTCTTCCTAGACTTGTCGAAAACTCTGTGTTTTTTTCGCTTTGGGGAATGCGCTGTGGAAAGCTCTTTGATTGGTGAAAACTGTCAAAAAACTTTCTGTTTTGAAACAAGGGTTTTTTATCTGACGGAGAAGTCGGAGATAGACAACCAGTATGTGTATGTTTGATGCCTTTCATAGGAATTGGTATACTTGGAGATCTAGTGACAGTCGATGATATAGCTGTATTTGCACTGCAATGGTTAGGATATTGTTGTTGATGATATACACTAGCTTTCTGTTGTGTTTTAAGTTGTTTTTCGAGGATAGAACTGCCCTTGGTTTTGAGTTCACTTTCAAATTTGTATGTATCGCCTGTTAAAATTGCCGCTTGATGGAGACGTTTCATCTCGGGGTTTATCAGCGGAGAACGCGATCTTGAATCGTTCAACTCGGCCAACGTTGGCCCACAACTGTAGTTGTCAAACTCATTAGAAAATATCGTTTCAAAGTCCAAATCCAAAAGGGAATATTCCTCGTCAATATCTTTTGCAATTTGATCACAAATGTAGTCACTCTCGGCGCCATGTATTGTATTGAAGATACTCTGTTCCATTTCTAGTATATATTCTGGTGGAGGGGTTAATCTTCCAAAAATATCGCCTTCCCAACTTGGCTGTTTAACATTATAGAATTTACAGTCAAGTGCAAATACTTCAATTATAAATCCCGTGTTTTTCTCACGAGAACAACAAATTATCGCAAGAGAATAAATGTCTGTAGTTGTTATACTAAAATCAATCGATTCAAATTCGACACTTACCGTTTTTAGCCTCAACTCACAATACATTGAGTGTAGATCTTTTGAAGAATCTTTTTTCTTTCTTGATATAGATTATCAGAAGGCAAAAGTTTTTCGACAGCATCTGAGTTCTAATTTTCCTTCGGGTTTGTTATTGTTTTGATATACTACCCGCGGTCCCCAAATCACGGGACTTAGTTGCCAAGCGACCATAATATTGGCCAATCAAGTACGAGTAGGATGTAAATGATGTTGCAATTACGTAATTTGCCAGTATTTTTTAAAACAATTTCAAGAGTAAATTTGCCTCGACGTAAAAAACATTTAGGCATTCTTAAAAGTGTGTAAAATGATTCCTTTAAAAAGGATTCATCAACTCTCAGTATTTTTTTGTTATTGATGAATCATACTGACACGTGTCGTAATCTATCTTAAGAAACATTATCCTCAATGACGTTTTAATGTTTTGAACCCTGTGCTCACATAACGAAATGGTAGCTCGTTGAGATGCATTTAATTTCTTGCAATATTTCAACTGCCAGTTCTCATGCAAAATACATAATTGCAATTATAGTTAATTCGTATTTATATAAAGCATGTCCTGTTCAAACAAAGACCAATTTTCCAGTTGTCATAACTACACAAGTTTGTGTTAAACATCTTAAATCTTTCGTTGGTTTTTTGAATGGGAAATTATTTTCTCGTTGAAATGTGATACACTTGTGGGATGAAGCCAATTTGCTGAAACGTTACCTTTTTTAGCATTCAACTCGCAGTTACGAAACGGCAAATTCCTTGTGACATAATCTCTTTTACTACAATAGTTTTATCAGATAACCTTATTGTTAATGGTACCAGGTGCCGTGTCAACATTGAATACTCTGATGAAAGATTTTGTTACCGCTTCTCCTGGTCCGTCGACACAACATTCCGCGTGTAAAATAATCGCATCTCCATGACAACATAAATAAACAATATGGAGGACGAAACTGTTGGAGCAACTGACAATATAGTTACGGAATTTTCTACGTATGAAGACTTTCTCGATAGTCAAATCACTCCACTGGATCTTTATTATCTCGAAGATGAAGAACTTGCTAGACAACTTGTCGAGCTCGGATATAGAGGCTCGGGAGAAGTCTTGAAGAGGGAAGAGTTCGAGGCTCGAAAACAGGCTGCCGAGGCTAGTCGTTTATCAAAACGAAGTCAACAGAAGACGCTCGCTAGCTTTGGAAAGGAACTAACAGATCCTTTTCTCAAAGCTCTGGCTCAGCGCGAGGAGGCAAATCGTAGTGGTAAAATGACTTCAATTATATTCATAAGAGATAAAAATTCGCGTGGACAAGAAATTTCTGGCTATATTGATTATGCACATAGGCTCAAAATTGAAGATTTCGAACCGTATTTCAGTGGCAGGAAACGGCTTCTTCCAAGACCATCTGATCTTAGCTTTTATAATTGGGAAACACAAATGGCAACATCATCTCCCACGCCTAATTATCAAGTTATCGCAGAAAATACAACTGGACTATTGTTTAAGAATAAACGCGATCGTAAAGTCTTAAATGTTGATCCTAAAGCTCCATCACCGGGCGATAATTCTGCACGAGTTACTGTAGAATCACCAAAATATGTACAATTAGTTATATATGATCATATTACTCGTCGAAAAACCTGACTTGTATGTACACAATTTGCAATTATTTAAGTGGTTGTATTCAGTATTGTAATAAACTACTTAAATTATTTTTTAACTCTTGTTCAAGAAGCAGTTCGAAATAAATAATCTTTGTGTAAAAATGCTCAATACTAGATTGTCATTTGTATTGAATATGTAAAATTTGTTTTGTACCCCCCCTCTCCCCTCTCATGTCACGAAGTCCTCCCCTCCTGTCTAACCCCACCTTCACAGCTATGACGTCAGACACATGTTTCGTTATCAAAATGGCTGCCAAGTAAACAATTATATTTTGTGATTTTTCTCCTTTGATTTATTGCGCTTTGGCTGAAATCTGTTTCATTTTTTTTTGTGTAATTTAATTGTATTGATAAACACATGTTTCACTTCTTCGAGATCTATTTCTCTGAATAACGAGCGGATAGCGAGAGAGAAAGCAAAAAAAGTATGGCTCAACAAAACATGGTGTTGAAAGTTTATGTTCAACGTGATTATTCACGGGGTACAAACTGTCGTTTCATGAGTGAGATGCCTGTAGAATTACAAGGAAGAGTGAGTACTCTATGATATATTAATTGTCATGTGCTTCATTACTTCTCAGAACTTACATTTTCATTGTTAAAGCTTTGTAAGTCACTAGTACTCCCTAAACTTTACAAATTCATGTGAATAAAGTAATTTTAACAACAAGAAAGTTTGCACGCCAGTTGTTACAACACAGTGGTCTGTAGTGTCATTCAAAGCAGAATCTTGCCTTCGTTGACAGAAATAAAATACCTTTTTGAATTTGAATTTCGTTTAGATTGAAGTTGAAATCTTTCTAAAAACAATTGAAAGAATCAATGAAATCATGAATGATGCAGAGAAAATAGGTTGTGCTTCATATTTTGAAAACTGTCTTGGTTGTCTTACTGGATATCTTAGTTTGTTGTGTGTAGAAACTCAGTATGAAAAGGTATTTTTAATCCATTGAGTTGTGAAATAATAATTTGATTCGTTTTAAAAAGATTTTTATTGCAATCACAGGCTTTAAAAAGACTAACAGAATATGTGAATCAGCAAAATGACAAAATATTTGTACCTAAAGGCTTAATGATCACAAATCCTATTGAGAAAGGACTCCGAGTAGTATCCTTTTGATTAAAAAATTATAATTCAATACATTTTTACTGCTGTTGAATCTTCAGGATGTTGATGATGGTGTTGACTGATTTTTATACATCCTTAGTGGTTGTCATCTTTAAAGTCAACACCAACACCAAAAATCTTTCTCAGAGTCACACTAACCTGGATTATTTATGTGAAGATGACAACAGCAAGATTATCAAAACACCAATCAAGTATTAACCTTGATGATCAACATTTGCAAACATGTAACAATACCCCACTTTCAATCCATTCCCTCTGCTTTAATATTCCTTGACTATAATCTCAGATTGAAATAAGCATTTTAAATCTTGGATCAAGATAATGAACATTTCTTGTAAGGAATAATGAACAAAGGTAGAAGAAGGCTTTTCAACTACCATATTCTATGTACAAGGATACATTGAGCAATGATATTGGGCAAATTATTTGTATTATAGACTTCATCTGCTACAAATATTAGAATTGAACAATAATGCTCAAATAGTATTATATATATATATAGTACACCATATATTCAGTTAATTAATTGCAGATATTTTAGCATTGCAGTTTAATGTTAATGTAAAATCATGTGCTTTATACACTGGTAGTATAGCTCTGTATCAAATTGTCAGGGTTTGAAAAGGAAATAGTTATCCTAATGCGAGGGATTTGCAAAAACCAAATCATTGACCATTGTTAGATCCCAGTGTACGGTATGGGTTAGATAAGCACCATGCATGCATGGCAATGTTTGCCATTAGACAAAATCCATTTAGAGCAGTTGAGAATTTTTGGAGAAAAGTTCTTATGTACTAAGAGTACAGCACTGTGGGTGAGTCCAAAGATGATCATATAGTAGGTGATAATAGGTGTTTTTCAGGTTGAGTGAGTTCAATGTTTCATTTCAAGACTCTTTGTCTACCTTTGTGTCTACCTTTGTTTCTACCTTCATGTTTACATTTATGTCTACCCTTATGTCTACCTTTATATCTACCTTTATGTCTACCTTTATGTCTACCTTTATGTCTACCTTTATGTCTATCTTTATGTCTACCTTTGTGTCTACCTTTATGTCTACCTTTATGTCTACCTTTATGTCTATCTTTATGTCTACCTTTATGTCTATCTTTATGTCTACCTTTATGTCTATCTTTATGTCTACCTTTATGTCTACCTTTATGTTCAATGTCTACCTTTATGTCTATCTTTATGTCTACCTTTATGTCTATCTTTATGTCTATCTTTATGTCTACCTTTATGTCTATCTTTATGTCACCTTTATGTCTATCTTTATGTCTACCTTTATGTCACCTTTATGTCATCTTTATGTCTACCTTTATGTCTACCTTTATGTCTACCTTTATGTCTACCTTTATGTCTACCTTTATGTCTATCTTTATGTCTACCTTTATGTCTATCTTTATGTCTACCTTTATGTCTATCTTCTTTATGTCACCTTTATGTTCACCTTTATGTCTATCTTTATGTCTACCTTTATGTCATCTATGTCTTTTTATGTCACCTTTATGTCTATCTTTATGTCTATCTTATGTCACCTTTATGTCTATCTTTATGTCTACCTTTCACTTTATGTCTATCTTTGTTCATCTTTATGTCTACCTTTATGTCCATCTGTCACCTTTATGTCTATCTTTATGTTCACCTTTATGTCCACCTTTATGTCACCTTTATGTCCCTTATGTCTATCTTTTACTCCTTTATGTTCACCTTTTATGTCTTCTTTGTCTACCTTTATGTGTCATCTTTGTCCTTTTATGTCTACCTTTATGTTCACCTTTATGTCACCTTTTTGTCACCTTTATGTTCACCTTTATGTCTACCTTTGTGTCTACCTTTATGTCTCCTTTATGTCACCTTTATGTCTCTTTTATGTTCACCTTATGTCTACCTTTTATGTCTACCTTTATGTCTATCTTTATGTCTCACCTTTATGTCTATCTTTATGTCATCTTTATGTGCATCTTTATGTCACCTTTATATGCACTTTGTCCACCTTTATGTCTTTTATGTCTACCTTTATGTCTACCTTTATGTCTTACCTTTATGTTCACCTTTATGTCTATCTTTATGTCACCTTTATGTCTACCTTTATGTCTACCTTTATGTCACCTTTATGTCCACCTTTATGTTCACCTTTATGTCTACCTTTATGTTCACCTTTATGTCATCTTTATGTCTATCTTTATGTTCTACCTTTATGTTCACCTTTATGTCACTTTATGTCTATTTTATGTTTACCTTTATGTCTATCTTTATGTCTATCTTTATGTCTATCTTTATGTCACCTTTATGTCATCTTATGTTCACCTTTATGTCTATCTTTATGTTCACCTTTATGTTCTATCTTTATGTCACCTTTAATGTCACCTTTATGTCACCTTTGTTCACCTTTATGTCTACCTTTATGTCTATCTTTATGTCACCTTTATGTCTATCTTTATGTCTATCTTTATGTCACCTTTATGTCTATCTTTATGTCTATCTTTATGTCACCTTTATGTCTATCTTTATGTCTACCTTTATGTCTATCTTTATGTCTATCTTTATGTCTTCTTTATGTCTCCTTTATGTCTATCTTTATGTCACCTTTATGTCTACCCTTTATGTGTATCTTCTTGTCACCTTTATGTCTACCTTTATGTCTACCTTTATGTCTACCTTTATGTCCTTTTATGTCTACCTTTGTTCACCTTTATGTCACCTTTATGTCACCTTTATGTCACTTTATGTCACCTTTATGTCTATCTTTATGTCTACCTTTATGTCTACCTTTATGTCTACCTTTATGTCATCTTTATGTTCACCTTTATGTCACCTTTATGTCTACCTTTATGTCCACCTTTATGTCTACCTTTATGTCTATTTATGTCACCTTTATGTCTTTATGTCTGTCCTTATGTCTACCTTTATGTCTACCTTTATGTCATCTTTATGTCTACCTTTATGTCTATCTTTATGTCTACCTTTATGTCTCTTTTTATGTCTCACCTTTGTTTATACTTTATGTCTATCTTTATGTCTACCTTTATGTCTATCTTTATGTCTACCTTTATGTCTATCTTTATGTCTACCTTTATGTTTATCTTTATGTCTACCTTTATGTCTACCTTTATGTCTACCTTTCCTTACCTTTATGTCACCTTTATGTCTACCTTTGCATCTTTATGTCTACCTTTATGTCTACCTTTATGTCTATCTTGTTCACCTTTATGTCTCCTTTATGTCTACCTTTATGTCTATCTTATGTCTACCTTTATGTCTATCTTTATGTCACCATGTCTACCTTTATGTCTATCTTTATGTCTACCTTTATGTCTATCTTTATGTCTACTTTATGTCTATCTTTATGTCACCTTTAATGTCTACCTTTATGTCACCTTTATGTCTACCTTTATGTCTACCTTTATGTCTACCTTTATGTCTACCTTTATGTCTACCTTTGTGTCTATCTTTATTTCTACCTTTATGTCTATCTTTATGTCTATCTTTATGTCTACCTTTATGTCTACCTTTATGTCTATCTTTATGTTCTACCTTTATGTCTATCTTTATGTCTACCTTTATGTCTATCTTTATGTCTACCTTTATGTCACCTTTATGTTCACCTTTATGTTCTACCTTTATGTCTACCTTTATGTCTACCTTTATGTCTACCTTTATGTCTACCTTTGTTCTATCTTTATTTCTACCTTTATGTCTATCTTTATGTCTATCTTTATGTCTACCTTTATGTCTCCTTTATGTCTACCTTTATGTCTATCTTTATGTCTATCTTTATGTCTATCTTTATGTCTACCTTTATGTCTATCTTTATGTCTATCTTTATGTCTACCTTTATGTCTATCTTTATGTCTACCTTTATGTCTACCTTTATGTCACCTTTAATGTCTCACCTTTATGTCACCTTTATGTCACCTTTATGTCTATCTTTATGTCTACCTTTATGTCTACCTTTATGTCTACCTTTTATGTCTACCTTTATGTCTATCTTTATGTCTATGTTTATGTCTACCTTTATGTCTACCTTTATCTCTACCTTTATGTCTACCTTTATGTCTATCTTTATGTCTATCTTTATGTCTACCTTTATGTCTACCTTTATGTCTACCTTTATGTCTACCTTTATGTCTACCTTTATGTCTAACTTTATGTCTATCTTTATGTCTACCTTTATCTCTACCTTTATGTCTACCTTTATGTCTATCTTTATGTCCATCATTATGTCTTTTTTGCATTTACATTTTTGTCTATTTCTTCATTTCTACTTTGTTGTTTACGTATATTTAATGACCATAGAACATATTTCTTTTGTTTAGCACCACTACCTTTTGTTTTTAAGGATTATATTTGATAGACATAATGTAATAAGTTCAAGTAGGAACAATGAATTTTAAATCAATCATATGGAACTAATACACAATGACGTGCATAATACAAAACATAAAGATACTATTTGCTTCAAGTTTTCGGCATTTACTAACTGTGAGGCCACATGGTCGTGGTTGGAGTAAACAGAACTTGTTCATATGAGAAGGAACAAAACTATACACAAAGGCGACAAGTATAACGTATTCAAAAGATTTATGTTTGCGCAAGATAAAGTTGGTGCCTTAAATGGATAGATTAGTCGCCGAATGAAAGGGATTCTCAACGTGGATTGAACGTAAATTATTAACTATCAAAGCGGAATTACTATGAGTTAACGACGTCTACCAGACAAACCAAATGTCAATGGATATACCGGAGGAAATCTAAACATTTGATAAGCCTACTGTTTGTATAAAAGCTATGGAATTGAGTGATAGCGTAACGCAACAAACAAGAGCGCCGTGAAGATTGGTTTCTTACAACATCCGATTTCCTCGACACAATGTTTAGAGATAATATGGCTGCGTTGTCAAATATGCGGTGATATGTTATAAGTGTCATAAACCATTGAAATGTAGGATATGACTCGTGAAATCGACATTCCTAAAGAATAAACCTCAAAATCGGAACGATAGGAAAATTCATTTCCTATGTATATTATATAAAAGCTAAAAGAAGACAAGTTATCAGCTGCTTTAAAGCCTTCACCAACGTCAAGCCAGAAATATGTCATCCTCGTTTTTAACTACGACAAGTGCCATTGGATTAATAAAGCTTTTATCGACAGCAGCCGCTAGAAGAAATCTGCATGGCTTAGCCGTAAGAACGTGCTTCTCTTGAAAGACTTTTGTCTCTAGCTTTTTTAAAGAAGACATAAGCAACTATAGATGTATTGCTAATGTATTACCAAACTAACATTAATATAAATGTATATATTTGTACTACTTTTTTACGAATGTGATTTTTGGTTTGTTGCTTTATCTTTAGCTGGAAGTGTTCTGCTATTTATTTTGATTCGAGACCTTCAATGGTCTATTTTTTTTTTGCATTAAATACTTCAAGGTAGGAATGGCACTTTAAAATGACCAGGTGTCTTCAACGAACTCTCTGGTCTAGTGGATAGACACAACCTTTCGAGGTTGAGAGTGGAGGTTCGAACCCTGTCTGGAATAAGATGTAACTATGCTAAGGATGAATAAGAAATAGGAAAATAAGGAAATAGTGCTGGTTAATAGTACAAAAATGGGATTTCTATTACTAAACTTTTCGAGAATGGAATGCGACACTTAGTATAAATTCAGAAAAAAACGCTCTCCGATGAGAAGGAGAGCGAAGAAAAAAAAAAGATAGGATCCCATGCAAAAAACCACTCTTAAAAAAACTAAGTCTTTTGCTCAAATTTTTTTATGACTCCCTGTGATCAGGGAGTTATTTTTTTAAATTTTGAAAAGTCAGGAAACCCAAGAGCAAACAGAACGCCCTAATCATCCCTTTCTTACTTCCAGGCACTCGTTCCTCAGTTCGACTTTCTGTCTTCCACATCCGCCGCGTACACCTGCCAAGTGTGTTGGCAGAGGGGCGAACCAAGGATCTTGTGCACCGGAGGTCATTGATGTCGAACTAAACGCCCAACATCGGCCAGTTGAGCTAACCGCTCATCATCGAAAGCTCTAGGTTTTTTGGAGTATTTGTTAAATTTTTTGCAATGTGAAGCGAAAGAAAAGGAGAACCTTAGATGGTCTTGAACCCGAGAAGGTGAGAGCACTGCACCTACATCTGTACCACTCGGCCAGACGGGTGAATTGGAAAACCGTTTAAAACATGTCAAGTGTTTCTGACTAAACAACATTGCCTTCCTTTCTCTTGAGGATCACATTTAATACTGTGTTTATCTTGTTCTTCGTCACCATCATTGCAAAGATGAAGAAAGGGACTTACTAAGCATTATAGTTGTTCAACTCTAACATTGCAGGAGAATAAATCATATAACAAAAAGGAGGAAGACCAATAAAGTATGCACAATGTCAGACATTGCATGTGGTGAATCAAAACAACAACGCGCATGTTCGTAGTCAATTTAATGGCGCTGGGAGTTTCTAACTTGTCTGTTCAAACTTAAATAAAATATTTTTTACCATCATGCATGATAATACTGTAATGGTTTGTACAAAAGCATATGGTTCCTACAGAACAGTATCCACTTACTAATTCATAGTCTATTCAAGTCTTTTTGTCATTTTACAATCTTGCCATGTCTTGAGTGTCATCATTTCAAATATAGTCAATGTAATCAATATAGCCAATGCGGTTTTTGTCTACATTTGTGTCTACCTTCTTGTCTAACTTTGTGTCTACATTTTCATAGGACAAAGTTCTCATTTTGTTGAACACGACAATTGAAAAATTAGTCATTTCATAGTCGAAAGTATTCGAAGTAATCGAAGGTAGTCAATTCACGCGATGCCATGTGGTAAATCAGGGCAGTGACGAGCATGTCTTTGGTCACTTTTTACGATGCAATGGCGTCAAGATCATTTGACTTTATATTTGAACTAACTGAACTATTTTTTATCATCATATGCACCAACCATTTTCTTTTCAATGTTGGTTTTGGTTGCACACAGACACGAGTTTAATAGCAAGGACAAAGAAACCTATGAAATGACGTCTTTTATGATATCGTCTTTTATGCAATGACAGCTTTTTCTCTTTTATGTAATCGAGTACATCTTTTTCTCTTTCTATTCATGCATTTTCACAAATTTTCTCATTTTTTCACAAAGATTATAATTCAATCATTTTCACAAAGGTAGACATAAAGGTAGACATAAAGGTAGACATAAAGATAGACATAAAGTTAGACATAAAGGTAGACATAAAGATGTACATAAAGTTAGACACAAAGATAGACATAAGGTAGGCATAAAGGTAGACATAAAGGTACACATAAAGGTAGACATAAAGGTAAACATAAAGGTAGACATAAAGGTAAACATAAAGGTAGACACAAAGATAGACATAAAGGTAGGCATAACGGTAGATAAAAAGGTAGACACAAAGGTAAACACAATGGTAGACATAAAGGTATACACAAAGTTAGAGACAAAGGTAGACACAAACAAGGTAGATAATTCATGCATTTTGACAAATTTTCACCTTTTTTTCAAAAACACACTATAATTCATGCATTTTCACAAATTTTCACATTTTTTCACAAAAAGACTATAATTCATGCATTTTAACAAATTTTCACATTTTCTCACACAAAGTCTATAATTCATGCATTTTCACAAACTTTCGCATTTTTTTTAACAAAAAGACTATAATTCATGCATTTTCACAAAGTTTCACATTTTTTCACAAAAAGACTATAATTCATGCATTTTCACAAATTTTCACATTTATTCCCACAAAGTCTATAATTCATGCATTTTAACAAATTTTCACATTTTCTCACACAAAGTCTATAATTCATGCATTTTCACAAACTTTTACATTTTTTTCACACAAAGACTATTTTTCACTGAATTCAATGCAATGAATTATAATCTTTGTGAAAAAGTGTGAAAATTTGTGAAAATGCATAAATAGAAAGAGAAAAAGATGTAATCGATTACATAAAAGAGAAAAAGTTGTCATTGCATAAAAGACGATATCATAAAAGACGTCATTTCATAGGTTTCTTTGTCCTTGCTATAAAACTCTTGTCTGTGTGCAACCAAAACCAACATTGAAAAGAATATGGTTGGTGCGTTATGATGATAAAAAATAGTTCAGTTAGTTCAAACATAAAGTCAAATGATCTTGACGCCATTGCATCGGAAAAAGTGACCAAAGACATGCTCGTCACTGCCCAGATTTACCACATGGCATCGCGTGAATTGACTACCTTCGATTACTTCGAATACTTTCGACTATGAAATGACTAATTTTTTCAATTGTCGTGTTCAACAAAATGAGAACTTTGTCCTATGAAAATGTAGACACAAAGGTAGACAAGAAGGTAGACACAAATGTAGACAAAAACCGCATTGGCTATATTGATTACATTGACTATATTTAAATGATGACACTCAAGACATGGCAAGATTGTAAAATGACAAAAAGACTTGAATAGACTAAGAATTAGTAAGTGGATTCTGTTCTGTAGGAACCATATGCTTTTGTACAAACCATTACAATATTATCATACATGATGGTAAAAAATATTTTATTTAAGTTTGAAAAGACAAGTTAGAAACTCCCAGCGCCATTAAATTGACTACGAACATGCGCGTTGCTTTTTTGATTTACCACATGGCAATGTCTGACATTGTGCATACTTGATTGGTCTTCCTCCTTTTTGTTATATGATTTATTCTCCTGCAATGTTAGAGTTGAACAACTATAATGCTTAGTAAGTCCCTTTCTTCATCTTTGCAATGATGGTGACGAAGAACAAGATAAACACATTATTAAATGTGATCCTCAAGAGAAAGGAAGGCAATGTTGTTTAGTCAGAAACACTTGACATGTTTTAAACGGTTTTCCAATTCACCCGTCTGGCCGAGTGGTACAGATGTAGGTGCAGTGCTCTCACCTTCTCGGGTTCAAGACCATCTAAGGTTCAAGATCTTCTCCTTTTCTTTCGCTTCACATTGCAAAAAATTTAACAAATACTCCAAAAAACCTAGAGCTTTCGATGATGAGCGGTTAGCTCAACTGGCCGATGTTGGGCGTTTAGTTCGACATCAATGACCTCCGGTGCACAAGATCCTTGGTTCGCCCCTCTGCCAACACACTTGGCAGGTGTACGCGGCGGATGTGGAAGACAGAAAGTCGAACTGAGGAACAAGTGCCTGGAAGTAAGAAAGGGATGATTAGGGCGTTCTGTTTGCTCTTGGGTTTCCTGACTTTTCAAAATTTAAAAAAATAACTCCCTGATCACAGGGAGTCATAAAAAAATTTGAGCAAAAGACTTAGTTTTTTTAAGAGTGGTTTTTTGCATGGGATCCTATCTTTTTTTTCTTCGCTCTCCTTCTCATCGGAGAGCGTTTTTTTCTGAATTTATACTAAGTGTCGCATTCCATTCTCGAAAAGTTTAGTAATAGAAATCCCATTTTTGTTCTATTAACCAGCACTATTTCCTTATTTTCCGATTTCTTATTCATCCTTAGCATAGTTACATCTTATTCCAGACAGGGTTCGAACCTCCACTCTCAACCTCGAAAGGTTGTGTCTATCCACTAGACCAGAGAGTTCGTTGAAGACACCTGGTCATTTTAAAGTGCCATTCCTACCTTGAAGTATTTAATGCCAAAAAAAAAAGACCATTGAAGGTCTCGAATCAAAATTATAGCAGAACACTTCCAGCTAAAGATAAAGCAACAAACCAAAAATCATATTCGTAGTCGAGTGTTGATATAAAGACTGAAAAAGTATTACAAATAAATACATTTATATTAATGTTAGTTTGGTAATACAATAGCAAAACATCTTTAGTTACTTATGTCTTCTTTTGAAAAAGATAGAGAAAAGTAATAAGTCTTCCAAAAGCAGCACGTTTTCTTACGGCTAAACCATGCAGATTTCTTTTAGCGGCTGCTGTCGATATTAGCTTTACCAGCCCAATGGCACTTGCCGTAGTTCACTCGTAGTAATTTAACTCGTAATAATTCCGCTTTGATAGTTTCTTCAGAATTGTGACCAGGGATATACCGGGCGGAAAGCGAATTCTTAATATAAATATCAGAGCCTCTGCTTTGATAGTTAATAATTTGCGTGCAGTCCACACTGAGAATATCTGTCAGCTATCAGTAAATTCTTCCCCAACGTTGACGTTTATCTAAACTTCTAGCTGTTGATCGGTTTGTATACCCAAATTCTTTTCGACAAATGCTCACTTTGTCAAATTCAATTTCATCGTTGTTCTGCCATTGCACTTGCTGTCGTTGTTTTCTGTTCACCTTTTGGTTGGGCTGTTTAGATGTAACATGCTTTATTATGTATGTATCATACACAGGTGATTCCAAAGAGTTCTTCCTTTACAACGAATCTTTCTTGAGACTTGATGTACGACTATCACCACCACAAACACCTAATTATAAAGAGAAATACACAAAAAATTACATTTTTTCTAACTTAAGACTAACACTATCACAAACAGCAAGACTAAGAATAAAACCAAGGCAAAGAGTAAAAGTAACACCAACACTATCACTACATAAGTCTATCACCAGCCCTAAGACTACCCTAACATCAGTACCAAGACTGACAATATCACTAACACCACTACACCATATTCCAATGCACCCAATAAATTTACCACTAACCAACTTGATTTTACTCTCAACCTTGGCTAATAAGTGTTTAATAATTACAAAGAAACCTATATCCCACCATGCTATCAAAACTCCTGAGACTCATTCTTCCTAATCCCAACAACCCCATTCCTTATTTAACTCAACTCTTACCTTCCAAACCTTATTGTCTGCGTGCAAAAATCTTACTTCTAAATACAACTACTCACTTGCTAACCTGTGTATCCACACTTGTCTTGATTTCAAGCTTCAACATTCTTCTTGATTGATGAAGTGAATATCCTTAAGAAATCATTTGATAGAAATTAAGTAAATAAAAAAGCTTGAAATGTCTTTGAATCCACTATTTCAGTTGACTTAAGGAGATAAAGTGTATGTCATAGACAAAGTTATAAAAAATTATCTGAATTAAAAACAGTTGGATTTTTCATTCCACTGGATATTACTAATACACCAATTTTCAAATACCTACGTTTCATCAATTTGCTGTCTACGATTTCATGTACTTTATTACAAATATTCATTAATATTTTCAGGAAATGGAAAACAAACCGTCAACATGATAAAAAACTGTTAAAAGCTATTTATGTTTATCAAAATTCAAAACAATTTTACCTTGTGCAAAAGCCCAGCACCGAGGCAATTTGAACTCTCCAAAACAGGTTTGCTGAGTTCGTGAAATACTTTTTTCAATACCTTCAAGAAATATTATCGTGTATTTGACAAGATAAACACGCTGTGATGCTATAAATCTTATTTATTCGACAAATAATGTAACATTTCACATGATACTTACGATAAGGACTGTGCCAGGAAGAAATCTTTTTAAACATGGCGGGGAAGGATCAAAGTTTGACTAAATCAATCATGAAATGTAATTGGTCAAAACTAGTCATGTGTTAAAATCTTGGGAGTTTCATTGGTTATATTCATTGAATGGTTTAATTGCAGCAAATTAGGATTTTGGAGAATGTGGAGACTTGTATCTGTAAAACAAGAAAATATGAAACAAAAAATTTTTTTTAACTCCAGCCTTGACGTTCTATCCTCACCTCTCAATTTTTTATCCTTACTTTTTCAATTCTTTTCACTCTCCTGAATACATGAAAATTAAACAAACACAGATCATGTATACCAGTATGCCATGCATCGCACAGTCATAGTTTAACCAATAGGACTTTATAAAACTCAATGGATTCAACGAACCACCATCAGGGCATAGCCTTTGGATATTCTGTTATTTTTGTTCTCCAATAATTGTTTTTTCTAAACATGCAGGACAGAAAAAGATTAAGCAGAAGTTCCAAAATTTATAAGTATTAGGAAAGTTTGGCTCAAAAGTTTGTAACAAGTTTCTATGAATTCACGTTAATAAAATTGATAGTTCTCTTACGAGGTTTGATCGTCTGCTAACACAACGAACATATTTTCATAATGATGGCGACGACCGAAAGAACCAAGACATTTTAGCACCTTTGTTTGTACAACAGCAAAATTTCTTCATTCTTCACAACTTTTATCATCCATTTTTCACTTCAATGTGATGTAGGTCCCTTGCAACTGCCTCAATGAGTATAATAGGTACTAAAACTTATAGTAACCTACAATAGTCATCTACATCTTTATAGTTATCTACATTTTACATTATATATCTAACTTAACGAAATAAGATACGCAATATTTGCTTTAACATGTTCTATATCTAATGAAGAAAGAACAAATTTCAGCTGTTGTTTACATGACTTCAAATTGTTATGAGCGATGCAAACTAATACACTAACAACCCTTTTTAGATATAGTTTCATTCGTATAATTCGTGCAATTAACACTATATGAACAGATTACAGCAACTACATACATGATTAACTTACGCGGGACTTCAAATTGCATACACTTTTTCTTTGCAACTATGTGTTAAAAAAATCATTACTTTGTGCAATCACGCTGCAAAATAAATACTCACATGTCTCTAAAATCCTTAAAAAATTCATTTCAAGGAAAATACGACAAAAACGTTAGGATGTAGGTGGAGGAGGTTTGGGTATACTTGGGATACACATTTGAGGAAAAGTTCCGCATTGTCATCTACGCACCTTCCGTGTCCCTCATTTCTCCTTCTTAAAAGTAAGTCTGAAATCATTACCTTCTCTGTTATCAACATGTCTATTCATAATAATTAATCAATGTTTTTGAACATTTCTTTCAATAACACTAAGTTTGACTTTTTTTGATTGAATTTCTAAAATGGTTTGCTTCATCAAAACATTTTAATGCATTAAATAATTTTAAATGCAGGTGTAATCGAATTTTTCTCTCTCTGCTATGTAAATTTTTTATTGAAATTGTTAAGGCTTATTTTTGGAGAACTAATAAAAAAACCCAATAAAAAACCAAAAATGTTCACATAGCAATAGAAAAATTGGACTTCCTGTGCCACAGAAATTTTCTGTCCACTCTCCCACCCCCACAAAAAACACTGGATCTTGCTTACAACTATATAATCTAATTCACTACCATTAAACGTGACTAAGTTGATAATACTAAGACAATAACAATGGACGTATTACCAGATCTACCTTATGAATGCAATAAATCAACTAACACACTTTTAATTGAAAATTATTAACCTTATGTATATTACTTTGTATGATCATCTTACTTTTCTCTTTAATCTCGAGAGCATCGACAAACATGTACTTTGTTAAAATCAGCTACCAAAATGGACACCAGCCGATATAACCCTGACACAGATTATCATACGATGTTGCTTGGTCAATCAATAACTCTACCTGGGTTTTCACGTCTAGCACCTCTCTATTTGGAAAGTCGTTTCCAGTCAACTTGTCACGAACGCGGTTGATAATAGACACAGCTTTCTTGTTTAATTCCTCAGGCTCGTGATTACCTTGGTCCATAGAATGCAACTGTTCAATATTCGTCGTCGTCTTTCTATTGGGAACTTCATGTTCTCCACTTTCTAAGATATCAGAACCGCTGTCCACAATAGACTCAGAATGAGCCTTGGATTTCTTCACTTTAGGAACGGTATCCATAAGACGCCAATTAAGAAGAGGATCATACACAAATGCCTCGAGAACAGCCATGACACTATCCTTGTTTTCACGCATAACGTTCATGACTCGTTCACATGTCAGTCGATAATTACCATCGATACCTACAATACATTGCTCATTTAGCCTGAAAACACCTGAGATTACGTCACGTTGATTTAAATGCTTACCGGTAACTTCCATAGCGTTGATCAACATTCTTGTCAATCGGAATGGGATCTTTTCTGGAAATTTTTCCCTTGTCATCGCAACTTCAAAGCAGTCACCAAAATCGATATGAATTATTTTACCAGTAAGACGATCCAACATTAGATTTGATGGGTGGCGATCACCTAAACCCAGGATATAACCAACCATTGACATAACTGCCAGCGAACGGGTGTAATTCGTGCGGCGATCAAACCAAACTTCTGAACTTGGGCTCTTTAACCATAAAAGCTTGGCCAAGTCGTCACCTTTGGTGTTAGCAAGCGCATGTTCAAATACTTCAACCTGTAGGAAAGATATGATAGAAACTTTAAAAAAGAAAATTTGATAGCGTTGCAGGAAATGATTTTAACCTGCCTTTTGTATTAAAGTGAGACGATCGTAATCAGGAGCCATTCTCAACATAATTCTGTGTTCAATATTCAACAAAATTTTCTGCTTCTCGCGATAATCACGAATGAGTGCGTGGAGAGTATCGCAATGTGGGACCCAGCCAATCAGACCAGAGTTCGTCGATAGCGGTATAACGGAGTAACGTTGTATGCTAAGGTGACGTTTGGATGTTGTAGGATCCTTGTCAAGAAGGGTATTGACCAGACCAAATAGTTGCATAACACGTTCATCTTGTCGTGGATCTTCATGTCCTGTTTTGTAAGATAAACATAACATGTAACTATCATTGGATGAGGTTGAGCATGATATCCAAAATTATTCAGACCGAGGTCGATGTTATATTATTAGACGTTGATTACAATGACCGAGATACGAATAATTCTAGATATCATGTAAAAGCCGAATTCAATAATTGTTTTACACAGTTATAAATGTAAAAACCTACAACCTCCTTTTTACCGAGGCCATAAAAGTTCTTCGTACTTTGACATAAAATCATGTTAACGATACACTTTCATGTTTTCTCGTTAAAAACTCATATGAAACTCTCCCGAATGAAAATGCGCATCTTTTCGTGTTCTTGTTCACAAAAATTCGAGCGAAATCCGTTAGTGAAGCGCTTGCGAATCTCGATGAAGGTTCTGCCAGCATACTTTTTGTGTTTACAGTTGTCACATAAAAAATTACGTCACCTACAGATAATTTTCAATGTTTTGTATGTAACAAGACGGTGAAAATTAATTGTAGGCTCTTAGCCAATCACAATCGAGACAGCCCATTATTGTAAAATAATAACAAATAAAACACGTGACATCGATGATGGGAAACAGTGGTCAACAAACCTTTTAACAAGAACATAAATTCAGCACCGTTACTGCCAGTTATGGCCAACTTTCTTGGTCGTTGTTTTGATATTATAACATTGAGAGATGGATGAACTCGAGTGATATGTATAACCGGTTTATGTGGTTCATAAGTTCCGGGAACAGCTAGTTCCAAATCTCGTGACATCAGAAGTCTCGGTGAAACGTATTGTAATTCTAAAGATATAAGCTGAGGTAACTGTTTGGCAATTTTACGAAACACATGGTAGTAAAGATCCCAGGCTTGAGTAAGATCCTTCACGTTGCCGGACTTTTGGTATTTCTTACACCAATCTTGTGCTTCCATCAAATCACGACCATGTGCCTGGCTAAACGACGTCTCTTTTAAGGTTTGTGGTCCACGTTCCATCTTTGCATGTAACGGCTCGAGTACAGCAAACATCCCTTTGACATTTTTCTCACCGAAATAAAGTCGCGAAGCTTCTTCCAATCCTTCATGCCAAAGCTCGTGCCACAAGATGGCGACGCGAATCAACTCTTCACTGACCATCAAAGCTTGTTGTACTAACACCTGACTATGCTCGCACATATTATTCAAGATTTCATTGGCGGCATTATGTCTAGCTGGACTTGCAGACTTTGAAGCAACAGTCAAGGGATATATAAGCGCTTGAGGATGCTGTTTGCCAATATCTGTCAATAGCTGCTGGACCAACCGTCTGACCAATTGTCGAGGAGTGTCGATTCTTGCAATCAACTGAGGAATGACTTGAAGCCAGGTATCAATCTCGATCGTTTTCATTCCCTCCACAACCGCATCGTAAACTTGGGACAGTTGACCAAAATCAAAGGCAAGAGTTAACAGTCTCAGGGTGTCTTGAAGCGAGTTACCAGGACGTGATAAAGCAATAGATTTGAAGAAACCGTGTACAGCTGGAACAGCATGACTGAGGATCGGATTTGAGGATTGAGTTGGTGATTTAGGATCACTTGCATTTTCTTGTAAATATTGACGATTCTTATAATACAGAACAGCTTCGAAGTTCATAAAAGCCCATTGATGCCATGCTTTGTACCAAGTCTGATCGTTCTCAGTAGCCGCTTTGTAATGCTTCAGAATTACAGGAATCGTATCTTCTTTGAAGCCAGCAAGATCAGTTTGCCAATCACCGAGTTTAAGGTAGCCTCTAGCCAACAATTTTAGTAATTCTTGCCTCTTTTGTTGATCTTCTGGACTTATGGACTTCAATGCTTGTTGATGTAGAGTAGTTTTAACGAAATGTTGAAGATGTTGAAACGCTTCTTGCTTCTGACCATTACGAAACATGTACTTCATATAGGCAAAGGTAACTTGGGGATATGTAGTGGGTAGAGGATCATGAGGGCTCTTCGATGGATCTTTATCAAGAAGCATTACCAATGTATTATGACTCAATGCAAGATGACCACTCTTTCGACAAAGACTAGAGAACTTTAACCAAGACTGCATGTCCTCCTGTGGACTCAAGACCAACGATCGTACTTTAAGGATCTTATGCCAGTCTTCAACAACTTTCTGACAGCCCTGAAGTCTATTCCACCAGGTAATTTTAATTGTTTCTTGACGTTCTTGAACGAGTTTGTATTGAATAATCTCCTCAAGTTCAGACAGCATTTGTGCATTAACAACAGCGCCATAGGCACGATTGTAACTTTCGCCTGCTCTTGCTGTCAACTCCGTGTCCAAGACATCTCTTGCAGCGTCTATGCAAGTCTGAGCTTGTTGAAAATGATCTTGATGAAGAGCCATAACGGCACGATGAAATGCTCCATCCAAAGTTTCCCGCGGAATAAGACAAGTGTACTCCTCCATGCTTTCCCAATTACCTAGTCCCCAGGCTGCTGCAGCTGCCATGCGAGCCATATCTTTACGCGTGTCGTCACTCACATCCGGCCATTTACGACATGCAACTTTGTGGAGCTCGCCCCATTCTCCCAATGCCTCAAGACACCTCATCTTACCTAGCGAGTATTCGTTGTTTTCCGGCTCTTCTTCGAGTTTCTTTTGATAAGCTTGCAAAGCGTTTTCCCATTCATGCAACTTTTCATACCAGCGTTCTTTCACTTTTAAATCCTTCATTTTCATATCAGGGCCATGATCTTTCATAGCATAAGACAGCACACCGTACGCGGCTTCAGGTTGTTGCAATTTGTTATTAATACTAATTAACGATTCAAGTGTTTCAGTGTTTGGACCGTCATGAAATTCCTTTTCCTTGTAATGCAAAGCCTTAGCATAAGCACGCGACTTGGAAGCACATTCGCCCAAAAGTTTGTCGCTCAGAGGAAGAGATGCAACATCGGTATGTTCCATGAACTCGGCTAAATTCAACAATGTTTGCGTCACTTCCGGGATGTTTTGGGATCGAAGGCAATGCTCGAGATTTTTCACAAGTTCGTCCTGCATTTCTTCGTGAAGTTCGCACCAACATGAAACAAAGGAAGCATTCAATAAGTCCCTAGCAAGCGGTGGATGTGACTGAGCAAGAGACCAACATGAACGTAAGGGAGTTGACGGTGATTCTCTCAGGAGTTCAAGACTAAGACGTCGTAGCCATTCTAACCAGTCATCTTTTGAAACACACCGAGCCGACGACCATGCTTTCTGTAAACTATTAACACTCATTTGAAGCTTTTTCACACCGCTGTCCACGGAACTCGTTGACTCAGAACTTTGGGACCTTCGAGCAGACCGTAATGGCGGAAAATATGGTTCTTCTTCCCAAAACGATATTGTCGACTCTCGTTGTATCCTAGCGACGGTAACATCATACCTTGGGGTTGATTAAAACACATTAAATTAGTCATTCTTAATTATTTATTTTAATATAAATATGTACAAATTAACACATATACGTGATGTTTTAAGGAGAAGTTATAAAGGAGCAAATAAGACCAGGGTGTGTGTGCAAGTAAACCAACACAAAATTTTTAAGGGAGGAATGGGGGAGACTATTTCAATTTAATTTTGATTCATGTGTCATAAGGAAAGCGTCGATTGATTTCATGACAAGTAAAAATATTTTATTAAAACTATTGTCTGCTTTCTTTAAAATGGTTGAATGCAGTAAGAATTGCAAGTGATGGCCTAAATAACCACTTGTTGTCTTGTGGTTACCTCGCTTCCACAGTCTAATTTAGTTTTACACATCGTGGGAACACACATCGCCCCCACAAGGGTCACTGAGGAAACGAGTTCAAAAACGCATTTGTTGAAAACAACGAAAGAAGACAGACAACACGCCAACAAATTGTCATTCATTGCTCATTGCACAGTTGACTAAACCTTTCATGGTCATGGCAACGACCAACATTACGTACTAGTACCTATTATGGAATAATAAGCTTGCTCAGTCACAAATTTTCAAATAAATCATCTGCGCATGCGCAGTCGAATTGACCAGCTGTACAAGTTTATGGTCATGGCAACGACCAACTGCATCTACTTGCACTGACTTTGAAGTAAATAGCATGCTTAGAAACAATTTAAAAGAGAAATTATCTGCGCATGCGCTGTACGCTCGAGCATGCGCAGTCGACTGGACCAACTGTCTAAGTTCATGGTCATGGCAACCACCAACTGCATCTACTAGCACCGGATTTTGACGTAAAAAAGATGCTTAGTAACAATTTAATAGAGAAATCATCTGCGCATGCGCTCGGGCATGCGCAGTCCACTCGAATAATTGTTCGTGGTCATGGCAATGACTAATTATATGTACTTGCACTACATTTGTGGCAATTAGCTAACTCAGTCGCGAATTATCAAAGAAATCCTCTGAGCATGCGCAGTAGTGACTTTAATAATACCACAACTTTCGTAAGCCTTTGAATTTTTGTATATAAATATAAAGCTAAATATATGGATAGTAGATGTCAACTAGCAGTGGAAGCCGGGTGCGATATGTATGCAGTGGCTTAGGGGCCCAGACGTTTCGGGTCGCGACCGCACTCTCCCTGCGTACCCCGAGCAAAGCCTATCGCAGGTGATCTCGGGGTCTGATGGGCGGAAGCTTGCTATTGCATCTCCCAAGTAGGATAGCGTGGAGGGGCCGAAATCTCCTACCGAAACGTTAACATGCGGCGTTCTAGTGCCTCGGCTTAAGAAGGTATCGGGAAGCATGGACCGAAAACGGGGTTTTTTGCTTTTGAATTTTATCTTTTAAAAATAAAATAAACCAAGCAATGCTTCAATTAAATTCTTCTGAAACTGTCCCTTTTTATGACACTTACAATTCAAGATAACTTTAAACATGTTTTATACATTTCCATTGGTTTATATCTTTCTGATTCAATTCTCTCATTTACTGTTTCTCATGTATCACGAGCAAACCATCCATGGGCTTCATGGCAAACAAGATTATCTGGTTCCCTTAACTAACATGCGACGTTCTAGTGCTAAACTATCTCGGGGTATCGGGAGGCATGGACCGAAAACGGGATTTTTTGTTTTCAAAATTTGTATTTTTTCTTTACAAGAATTCTTCTCATAAAAGAAACTACAACATCCAAGAATATTGCAAAGGTTCAAACAATTTCTGCCTTTTTGACTTATAATTTAAACCAACTTTAAGCATGTTTATACGTTTTTTACTTGTTACCTTTTACAATGTAACTTCCTCATAACTCTCGCGTGATAAACGAGAGCCTCCTTATACAATATAACTCTCCCGTCATGAACAAAAGCATCAAAGGGCTGCATGGAAAAAAGAGATTATCTACTTTTTTATAATACTTTCTTCAAATATAACATTTAATAAGCCAAGCAATTTGTATCGTCTAAATTGAACCTCGCCTTCAACCCTTATGTAATAAAATTTTGATAAATTTTGGATAGTAAATTTCTTTTTACCTTACAACATTTTCATGATTCAATCTAGAAAGTAACTTCACATCTCGAGTGATTTTGCGATTAAACAGTACACTTTTCGGATTCATAGGACTTCTTTTGATCGCACAGAGACAGCCGTTCAATTTATTACGTAAATTCATGTAGTATGCATTTCGTTATAAGAAACCACCCTACCAAAAAATATCCAGATCCGATTTTAGCTGCATCTAAGTCCAGCCGTAAAGGACCGTAACAATCTTTACAAAAAGTCATTAGCGCTGCAACATGCCTGTATTCAAGCTTTCCTTTGATCATTATGCTTTTTTCAAACGCAAAATAGAACTCAAAAGCATCTCCTAAAACTCAAAAGCATCTCCTAACCATTTTATTGCTACTGTTCTACATAAACAATACTATGTCCGACCATTTGATTGTCCGAGTTTTGCAATTTGATCGCGTATTTTTGACATGTGCGTCTACCGTCGGGGGTGTTATTAAAGACCCCTCCACTCCCCATGTAATTTTACACTAAAAACATGAGTTGTAGTTAGCGATTGGTTTTGCACTGATGGAACTAAAATATGTTGGTAAATTGCTGAGCAAGCAGGTATGCTGCATGAGGAGAAAAATACAAGTAATGATCGACAGAAGACGAGGAAGTAAATGTGTACAGTAACGATGTACACTGTCATTCTTCTATTTGTTTATACTTCGAGCAGTAACAAAAATTTTCAAAGTGACATTACACATGCTCGTTACTGCAGGCATTCAGATTACCGGGAACATGAAGCTGGCATACAGAAATATAAAAATACATATAATTTTATAAAAGGATAAAACTGCCTAGTGTGCTTACCTCTTGTGATTGATCTTGTGCTTCAACATAACTTTGTTTACCATTGGAATGAAAGGTATAAACTTCTTACCAAGTTGATTGACAAGAGACATTAGTGTTGCAAGTGCAGGTCCACGAAGTTCCGGCGTTGAATCTAAGGTACGAACGATTGCGTGAATAATACGACTTACGAAATCTGTAAGATCAAGTTGATGACATAACTTCTCTATCGTCTCAAGAGCCTTTCGACGAACACTCATAATGTCACCAGAATCGAAGAGTCTAACGACAGGTGGAATCATCAGGTGGAGATAATCATCTAAACTTGAACCAAATTTCTCGAAAGCATTCAGGAGTTTAAGTGTATCAATCCTATTTTTGGAACTATCGTGCATAAACACCTTCAAAATCTGTGGTATGATTTGCGGTAGGTACATCTTAAATTCACCACCCATTGCGACGCATATTGTTTCCACAAGTGGAATTAGAGTTTGAAGCGAACTGTCCATCGTCCAAGACTCCTTTATAAGGGCGAAAATCTCATCCAGATAGTGACGAATATGCTGCTTCACGATACCGATCAACATTCCAAGTTGTTGAAAAACATAATCTCTTAATGATTGATCGCATGTTCGAATAACTGTCAGATATGGTGGCATAACTTGTGGAAGATACGTCACACATTTCATACCGATGCTATTGAAGATAAACCTAACCGCCTGTATAACTTTAGGATGTTGTTGGGATAACGAGGGATTTCTCATGATTCGCATGAGTGCACTAATGGCAGCCAAAGGATAGAACTCTTCAAGTTGTCCACTTCCCATAGTCACGAAGATTTCACTTGTTGTATTGTCTGTAGATTCGTTACTTTCCCCTGTGTCTTGACTAACGCCAGAATCAATACGAACACCGCCAGTTTGGTTTAGTTTGTGTTTGTACGGATCCAAGGCACCGAGAAGACCTAGAACGCGAATGGCTTCTTTACGGATACCCGACGCTTGCTCTGTTTTTAGAAAATTTAACAAAACATCAAGAAGATTGGAATACTTTTGGTACGGTTCTACGACATATCCGGTGCTCTCAACAAGTTGACCTAACGTCCACAAAGCTATTTCACGTTTCGATAATGATGACGCATCTTGTAACATTTGTATGATGATGGGAAAGAGTTCATCTAACCATCTCTTCATTTCAGTACCGCAAACCTGCGCATGCTCTCCAACAGCCGACAAGACACTAATAACGACATTCGGGTCAGGGTCTTGGAGTTTGGGAATAAGGGCCTTTAAAATGGAGATCATGTACGGACGGATCAAACGGTGCGCATTCCGGACAAGATGACCCAACATCTTCGCGCTTTGCTCTTTGTTTCTACCCACACCGCTGTATTCGAGTTCGGTGAGAATTTGAATAAGTGTTTTTCTCAACGTCGGCATGATATAGGCAGGATTGAGACCACTAAGACGCCCAATGGTACATATAGCAACTTCACGAATCTCGAATTTTTCATCATTTAGAGCAACGAAAAGCTGTTCCAAGCATTCAGCTTGCGCTAAATGCGAATCAAATCTTTCATCCAGGGAAGATAAAACACAGAAACGAATGTCACGATCTTCGTCCGTAATACCCACGAGTAGAAGTTTGGCAAGAACTTCTGAGACAAGCTGTTGTAATGCTGGACTTATTGGACCAGTTGGCATTGGTGCATTTGGAACAATCATCGGATGGACAGACGGTGATAACAATCTTGAACAAGTTCTAACAGCCTCCATTCTTATGTCTTTATTTTCACTGGCAAGAAATGATTCAGAGCAATGTCTTATCAATTTATTGTGCGTGAGTTGATGGCCATCAAAATCAAACGATCCGAGCGTCCGCAAAGCAAGGACAATATTTGAAGTTTCAACTTGGTCAGTAGATAGAGCAGCTCCTGTAGGCGTGGCTGGTTGACTTGAACTCTTTGGTTGCGCGGATCGTGAGGAACGACTTCTCAAAATTTGTGAAAGTATTGTAAGTAGACCATCTTGGATGCTTTTCTTAAGCTGTGTGCACTCTCGTGCAAGATCACAAAGACATGCAGTCAAAGCAGGACTGAGACCAACAGAAAGCATGGGTTGCAGCAACTCCTTTAATTGATTGTAAATACTTTTACCAGCTGCTCTTGCCAAACAGCTGATGCATGCAAACACCATGGGATCAACAGAAAGTTGTTTCTTTGATTTATGACCAGTATCTTTCATAGGTAGAGCTTGCCTAATTTGTTCCAATGTCACCTTGGATAACAGTTCCAGATCTGTTTTATGGTTCCTCACAGCCAGTATGACAAGACCATTGGCTTTGAAGGCAGCTGATCTCTCTTTTTCACGTTTGAATGCACCAGATAAGTACTGGATGGTGTCCTTAAGATAGTTTTTGTGAACAAATTTTGTTGGGTTGAAGGATGCCAACTGCGGAAGCAAAACAAGTAGTGCTTGTTGAATCAAATTGTTGCGTTGATTACGAAATCGAAACACAAGACGGCACATTTCATCAAATTTCTCCTCAAGATATTCCCTACAGATACGACTGTAGCAGTGATGAGCATCATTAAACGAGTTCCCGCTAAAAGTCATATCCAGTTGATGTTGAGATTGACAGCTACCCTGTTGAAACATGGGACTTTTTGATGAAATAATTTTTTCAACACTTTGTAAATCTTCTGAATGATCAGAGTAAGTATTTTCAAGCTCTTGACGATGACGTTCACCTTCCATGCAAGATATTCGTAGCAGCTCATTTAAAAGCAACAATGAACCATGGGCTTTATCTTCCTTTGTTAGCATCATTCCTTTTTCTTTTGTGCTTGCACTGTCTTCAAATCCACTCTTTGCTTGTTGATAAATCTGACAGTAACTTGATTGCTTTTGTGTTTGTTTGTTCTCTCGTTGGGCTAGAATGATCAGACAGGCACGTAGCGCCTCAACTGCTCCTTCACGTATCACCTGCTTTGGATCTCGAACAGCACCAAAAATATTATCAAAAAATGGTTGCACATGCTGGAAAAAAAATGTCGGCGCATTAAGTGCCATTTCTCTAAGCACTAACACTGCTGCATGGCGTTTGCCTTCGTTGCGTTCACTCCAAGCCATTCTAAAGCTTGCTTCAGCTCAAACTCTACGTAATCTGCAGTATAAGTTCCTCCAGTTAAAGCTAATCGTCCCATAGCTCTGGCTGCCATTTGCATCACTACCGGATCATTTGATGGCAATAAATTTCTCAGATAATTCGCGAAACGAGGCATAAAGGTAGCGTTTTCTATATCGACACCAATTAACACCATTATGGCAAGAATTCCACCTTTTCTATCGCTAGCGTCTGCACTGTTGGTCATTTCAAATATACCACGTATGATAAAATCTTCCATGAACGCGGTCGCCTGTTCTGCAGACACCTCGCGTAACTCCGTCGAAACATACAGCTGAAGTTTCTTTGCGGCCTCAAATTTTTGTTCGGGAATTCGTGACTTTAACCCAGCAATAATCTCTTGAGCCATTTTGCCACAATTATTCAAAAATACCTCTAAAAAAGTATTTTAAAGTTTCACCGGCCTTCTTTCAACCATCGCCATGCTGAAATCACAAAATACAAAAATTAATGTTTCCACGTATTCTTTGCCAATTTCTCGTGCTTTTCCCAAATATGCCAATGACTGTTTGTTTGACTTTACTAAATATTTTTTTACATGCAGTTTGGTCAATTGTTTTTGTCTATTTCGTCCTCCCACTTTAACTTTGTTCTTATTTAATAATCATAAATTAAATCAATAAAGTTTTTACAATACGCCATATGCTTTGATTTGGCCATGATATTTTGCACGGCAAAAAGGCAAAAACTGGCCACGTGACGTCATATGCGCGCGTGGTAAACACACGCAGTGCGTGGCTCTATAAATTGTTACAGGCATTCGAGAATCGAGAACGACGAAAATGTTTATGGAGATATATATCAGAAAGAAATGTCTTTCTGGTTGATTTTTGTGGACTAAAACATTAACTGTTAGTTTTTCCATCATGAAATCGCAGGATAACCGTCCGTCAAGCTGGTTGCCATTGAGTTCCCCAAAATTTGGCGTAGGTAATACCTGGGTGTCAGCTGCTCATTTTAAACTTCCGTATTTTGTTCGCTTATGTGAGGAATGAGCCCGTTTTTTTCTTTTAAATTAGCTATATACAACTTTGACGAGAATGGACAATACAGGCTTCCATTGGTACTTGGTGAAATGGTTAAAATAGTCGAAGAATGTGAAGGTTTGATTACATTAAAACGTTGCTAATTGATTTATATTTACTTATACCATGTTATGCAGAATAAACATTTCCCCGATGACAATTGTTATTGAAACACTAATTGTAAGGAATGCATTGTTGGAAGTATTGCCGTGAAGTGGAAAAAATTGGTTGATTAAAAAGTACCTGTTAATACCAGCCAAATAAAACAGAATATGTAATTCTAATATTTTTAACTGCTCGGCTAGGGTGGTATCGAGGCTATGTTGTTCGAAACAGTTGTATACAGGTGTGTTGATTTTACACTTTTTTCTTTTTGTTTTTATGTCACCTTCAGTTTTTTACTTCCTTGTCTTTTGACCTTTTTTGACCTTTTTTTTCTTTTGATATTAATATCATGCTTTTAATGATAACTTTAGGGCATCTTTCCAGCTTCCTTAATCCATCTAAAAGAGTGGAATGAGTCAAAGTAAGTCTAAATAACTAAATAGCAAATGAAATTTTGGAAATTTTTAACTTTTAACTATTCTTTCCTGCAGGATCGTGACAGTATACACTCCACAGAATATCCCCTTGTTCAGGAAATGACAATTGTGTTACGAGAATGGGGGATCAAGTTGAAACATCTGTACTTGGTAAAAAAAACTATAATTTTCAACAATTTAAGATCTGGAGTTTTGTGAAATTCTAAATACTTAAAATAGTTTCCAACAAACTCTTTAATGTTGTTGATTGGTCTGTCTTTATTTTTGAATTCATATTCCTCCTTCAGATCAAAAATCTCGAACTGTTTCACATGATTACCAAACAAATGGATGACCTCATGATGTGGAGAAAGCAAATTCTATCAGGAACTCTTCCCGGTGTAAGTCAACACAAACTTTACTTTTGTTGTAATTTTTCTCCATTTTCTTCAGTTTGTTCAAGTTTATTTTTCTCTTATGCAAGGATCGGATAAAGCAACTTAAACAAAAAGTCACAACATCCATTGACTATGGTAACAGGTAAAAGTAAAGTGTAATTATGTAATTCTCTGTAGAAATTCCTGAGTGGGATATGATAAGAACCTTTAAGATCCTGGATAAGATAAATTTTCAGACTTTATAGTATCTTATGTAAAATTTTCTCCAGGGATGAGTAAGTTATAAACTATGATTTATAGTCTTATGTTGGGAAATGAAGTAAATGAAAAATGCATTTATTTTCCTCCAATCAAAATCATAACAGAGTTCTTGGTCTTGATCTTGTTGTACGAGATGCAAATGGAAACATTCTCGACCCAGACACTACTGGAGTTATTGAACTTTACAGACGAGTATGTCTATTATTTCTCTTCAGAAAAAATTGCTTATTTAATCTTATTTAACATATGATGCAATTCTGTTTTTCAGCATAACTCTACACAAACTCGAATATCAGAGAAGGTAGTTTATCTTACTAAGAATTTTTTGTGAAGACCATACCATTACTCATTCGTGCTTTTTTCATGTCTTGTTTTCCTTAGGAAAATCGTACAAGTTTTCCAGAAGTTCGTTTTTACCATAACCAGATACTTTCCCTCTACGTCTCCCAAATAGTTGCTGTTTGTCATATTGGTGAAGATGCTGAAGTGTTTGTATCATTGTATGAACCACCAGGACCAAATGGGAAGGAAGGTAGATTTATAAGGTAATAAATATTAGTACTCAACATCTCAATATTATAATTGACCTATGAGAATGTTGGATTTATTTCTCCAATGTACATAAAGCGTCATCATTTAGTGAACATTTGTTATTGCTAAAACAACAATCATGTAAGCCACGCGAGACACCACGAATGTATTACGTCATTTATAAACTTCTAGGGACGATTGTATAAAATGCAGTTAACTTTAGCTGTGCACTGACTACCGTGGTTAACTCCCTAACTGCGTTACACAAAGCTTTGTGAAAAAGCACAATGATCTTTTTGCTACAGTTAGCGGTTACTACTTTTTTTATTCAACTAAGCTAACTGCATGGTTGACTTTATTGAACAATTTTCAATCACAAAATGAATAGTTGAAAAGTAGTTAAGAGCTTTGTTCAACCGGCCCTAGACTCTAATGAATGTTTATATTTTCTTATAGTGAGCATTATATGATCGCATGGGATAAAAGGGGATTGCCAAAAGACATTAATAGGATTGATAACACTTGCTGCCTATTCACGGTAATTCGTTGTTACGAAACAATATGTCTTTGGTTGAAATTAATTTTACATGTTTGTAAATGTAGATCGTCCAGGTTGGTATAGTCCTGAAAAGGACTGTTTTTGTTGTTGTTGACTGACGTTTACTCCTCATTTGACTCTGAAGATGACTACCGCTAAGGTTGTCGAAACGTCAGTCAACAACAACAAAAACAGTCCTTCTCAGGACTATACGAACCTGGACGATCTACATCTAACAAACATGTAACGATACTCCCGGGTTCAAACCATTTACTTTATTAATTTTACAAGTTATTCAAACATAACGTGTTTTTCTCAATGCTGTAAATAACATTAGAGAAGTTGTATAAAGAACTTAACTGTTACGGCAATTTGTCGCAAAAATACTTCACTGTCGTTTAATTTTTCTTTTTTTCAGGATCTCGGTAGCAGGGAACTGGAAAGAGATAAGATTTACATTGTCTGTTTAATTGTCAGAATAGGTGAATAATTTATTGAGAATTAATTTAACATGACTGCGATGATATTTATGTTTCAAAAACTGTTTCGAAAGCTGTAGACATACATGGTTTTTGTATAATCCATCATGCAGGTCGCTTAGAACTGAAAGACGTCAACAGTAAAAAGGCAAAACTTACCACAGACTTACGTCGACCGTTTGCCGTTGCCGGTGAGAAGAATTATACAAAAATCTTAGCTAGCAGTCTCTTGTTGTTTTCACTTCTGATTATTGTCAAATCTGTCACAGGAACTATTGCAAATAAATTTTAAATTTTAATAGTTATGGATGTGACGCATATTATTCAAAAAAACATCGAGCTTGATGATGAAGAAGAGCGTTTCCTTCCATTACAAATGTACGTTGATTTGATGAATTTAAAATATTACCAAATATCATCAAGTATGGATGGTTTTCATGCTATTCGTCTTACGTACGAAGATATAGTTCTTAAAATCGAAGAACTCCCTTGCAATTGATTGTCGACTCGTCTAAGAGTTCCATTGCAATGAATAGTTTAGCTAGCGGCCGTGTAATGTTCGTATGCCATGTAATCTTTAATTTGTGTACAACCTCAAAGGCTGTGGTAGTCTTATAAAGATTTGATTTTCTTAGGGTCGACAATAACACAGAATATTTTCATCAATGGATTACAAGAGCGATCGCTCGATATAATAGCGGTGGAGACAATCTCAACAAAGGTCTAGGTATGGTAAAATAAGAAGATTTCTGTCGACAGAGTAATGTTGATAAATGTTTACATATATGCGAAGATATTTCGTTGTATCTTTTAAAGGTGTGTCACTTTCTCTCAGATTACTACGAGGCGATAAAGATCAGGTACAAAGTTTGTTTTTAAAACTTTTTATCTTCAAAAGCATAACCCTTAACTTTCTTTCTGAATGATAATTTTTAGGTTGCTCAAAGCTATCCTGACTTAGTTAATTCAACAACTTCCATTGCAAGAAAACTTGGATTTCCCGAAGTCATTATGCCCGGTAAGTGAATACAACCTTTTGATGATTTTGTCCGGTAAGTGAATGCAACCTTTTAGTCATTTTACCCGATACGTGTTCAGTACCATGTACGGTGCCCTACGTCATTACCCCGTAGTTCTTTATCTCATCTAGTTTTAGTCATCAAATTGAATATTTTATTTCATAAAAAATGACATCATAAAAAATGACATCATTTTAGGTGATCCACGTAATGATATGTTCATTGGTATTGTATCGGGAAAGTTCGATAAAGGTATAAGTATATCACTCCAGATTACTTATGGTTCAAGTGTAATTATCTAATTCATTGTGTGTATTTCTCAGGATAAAAAAGCCCATAAGAATATTGAGATGATTATGCGTGTTTGCGACCAGTCTGGAAAAGTTATACCGGTACGAACTAATGAACAAAATAACACCGGGCTCAGGGTGTTTTATGTTTTGTTTGAACTTCATGTAAGATATCCAAATTCTCTATCCATTTCTTTACAGAATGTTATAAGCCTGGGCACTGGTGAATCTTTACGGAGTGAATATCGTAGCTGTGTTTACCGTCATTCTTTGACACCAGAATGGCAAGAAACTGTGAAGGTATAATTCATACAACATTTATTTCTTCTAGAAGAATTAGGTTTATATTTTGTTATTTTTTATATAAACAGCTTGTTATTCCTATCCAAATATTCTATTCGTCGCATCTGACATTTTCCTTCAAACATCGCTCATCAAAATTTGGTAAGTTGTGATCAAAGTTATTATTGAAATATTACGTATAAGAAGGAAATTGACAGTTGACAATTCTGTAAGCAAGATTATGTATAATAATATAAGTACATAAAAGATAAAAGTTTCTCCTGATTTTAAATGATTTTTATTGAGCTTTCGACTCGTAACTTCTCCAAGCTAAAAGCACGTGTAAATAAATAATATCCTCATTCTGATGAAGGCTCGAAACAACGAGTCGAAAGCTCAATAAAAATCATTTAAAATCCGGAGAAACTTTTATCTTTTATGTATTAAATGCCTGGATTACCAATTTTCAAACTTAATAATATAAGTATATATTTTTTATAAAATACCCTAGATAAAGACAAAGGTCTGAATATAACCAACTTTGCTTATGTTCGATTAATGAACTTAAAAGATGGCACAACATTATTGGATGGCATTCACGATTTGGTTGTTTACAAGGTAGTAAACATAAAAACCACTCTCTGTATTGAAATTATTCCTTTTTACTTAGATTCATCGTACTTGTCAACATTTTACAATGCATGCTTGCCTAAAGGGCAAAGTCATTATCTCCTAAGGAAGTAAAAGTTTTGTTCCGTTTGTAGTGTAACACGAGGGAAATCAAAGATAACAGTTACTTTAAACTACCGTCATTGAAAAAGGAACTACATCATCACCCCACTGAAACTTCAAGTAAAGATAAAGCCCTTCGTGAAGGACAACTGACTCATAGTCCTAAGGAATCATTTCAGATAACGTCGTTGCTATGTTCAACAAAATTAACTCAGAACGGTGCGTACGTGTCTTCGCAGGGAGGGAGGGGGGGGAGAGTAGGATTATTGAATAATGAATTACATTTTCTATGATTATGTCACTCGTAATGTTTGTTTATATAATTTTAACTTAACAAATTGCGTCCAATCTCCCCACCCTCTGAAAACATCGACATTTTCTTATTAATACATTGATATAACAATGATAGTGACAATTACCCTATTGCCTCATAATTGTAGTACATCTTCTTGGTCTTTTAAAATGGAAATCGCAAAACGAGAAACTTCGCGGCATTTTGCAGCAAGTGACCAACGTGAAGGGGAAGAAATCGTCAAAGTATAAATTGATCTTCTTTAAAAGTCGCTTTTGTGTTACAAGCGTTGTCATTGGAATTTTTGCATCTTCAATAAAAAAGTGCATTTCCATTATAGTTTCTTCAAGATATTTTCGACGCATTATTTGCCATCCTCATGGAAAGCCCAGATAAATATGGACAACTTGTGTTTGACGATTTGGTAAATATCGATCACTTTGTTTTTTGGAAGCTATTGAGTCGTATGAGTGTTAATACCGAGGGTCATGTGTTTTACATGACCAATCAGAATACACATTTTATTTTAAAGGTATTTGTAATCAATCTGCTGGCAGACAAAAAGTATTCACATTTCAGACCTGTTCTCGACGCCTATATTGCTGAATTGTTCTCAGCAGCGAGGGCCTACGAGTAAGTGCTATGTTTTAAAAATTTGGCCAAGCACATTTTGATCCTTGCTGATCTTCGTTTATCATTTAGTACCCTTATAAAAGTATTGTCAGAATATGTCATGATCATAACTCATGGTAAATCAGTGACACTTGCTCCTGCTGAAAATGATACTATCTTCAAAACTATGAAAGCAAGTTTTCAATTATCCTACTCTATCATCTTTTGTTGTCCTACTATATCATCTTCTCTTTCTCTCTGTAGGCGCTAGAATATATTTTCAAGCTAATTGTTCAATCCAGACGTTTATTTGAACGGTACTTTACGTAAATCTGTTTGTTTGACTTAATCAGTTGTGTTACATGAAGTAATTCCATTTGACTGACCCGAATTGAGAGAATGGTAATTTCTGTTATTCAGAACTTCTATCGACTCGCAGACCGAGAAGTTTCATCGGGATATGGACACACTGTTTCAAGTGTTAATTCTTATGATGGCTGACCAACGGAGTGATACGTTAAAAGTTCAGGTTTGTTTTGATTAGTTCACGAAATGCTTTTTGTCTGTGATGTTGAGCTCAACATGGCGCTCAGCAATGAACTTAAGTAAAGAACCAATCAAAAGACAGGAATTTGAGAAGTTTGTTGAAGCAAAGATTTGTTGTGTGAGGCATTTGGTTTGTGGGACAGAAATCTGTGATTATTTCCATTTCATTTCTTAATAAACGCTTGATTATTTTACACGGTCATTTTATTTGTGTTTTCTCTGCGTCGAAAAGCTTTTTTTCATGTTTGTTTATGTATGATTATTGGATCATTTAGGGTCAAGCATTGAAGAATATTCCTACAATTTTTGGTCACGCTCTCAAAGTGTACGATCCAGTTCGTCTTGGGTAAGACATATTTTTTTGAAAACCGTTCGTAGCAATTGTACTTAAATACCCCTTCCCTTCCCTTTCATGATCTTTTTCGTTTTTCTTTTCCTTACACGATTTAGTTTTACGCAACATTTCCCTGCCTGTATGTTCTCTATTATACACAAAATTCTTGTGTCTACATTATACTAAATGTACACAACGTTCCCCTGCCTATATGTTCTTTATTATACACAAAATTCTTGTGTCTACATTATACTAAATGTACACAACGTTTCCCTGCTTGTATGTTCTTTATTATACACAAAATTCTTGTGTCTACATTATATTAAATGTACACAACGTTCCCCTGCTTGTATGATATTTATTGTATGCAAAGTTCCTGTGTCTACATTATACTAAATGTACACAACATTCCCCTGCCTGTGGAATTAAATATTTTCCTTGTTTATTCCACAGAGAATTTGCTCGTGATTTTATTTTGAGCATCCCCCCTGGACGTCTTAGTTCACAAAGGCTTACTTGTATGTATGATATGGTAAAGACAGAACTTTTTGAGAATGAAGGTTTGCTAATTGGTCTTTATGCAATATTGTTTGTATTTATGACTTTGTGTGAATCATGACAATTCTAGACGACAATTGTCGATTTTTTAACAGTTTCCAGACGAATTACGCTAGCGATGTTTACGAAAGAGTTAGTGCCTTACCTTAAAAGTGAATCAGAACTGAAAGTTTGTGTGGATATCATATCTGATCTTCTTGTCACATTGAACAGAAATGATGTGGTCGGTTTACTTTGAACTTTAAAACCTTTGATGTTACTTCATGTAGTCATAAATATTCCTGTTATCATTTCGTTGTTACAGGGTCAAACATTTGACGACGTTAACCAGGTTGCAATTGAATTGTTATTCCCCATTCTCAAAACTGTCATTCGTATCGATAGAGTTTTGCCTTGTGCGGTAAGCTGAAGTTTGTCCATTTTGATTTCCATCGCCGCTCATCCTCTCATGAAATACTTCATTTAGGTGAAATATTTTGCCTGTTTTGTTTCGTTACTTCGTTTGATGACCGTAGCCCACTTTGACAGATTTGTCGTCTCATTTACTGATCGAGAGAAGTTTACGGTTAGTACACATTTTCGTGTTTGTTCTTTTATCTTTAGGTATAAAATCATTTGTGTTGCCTTTGTGATTATATTGAAACTCTGATTATACCAAACTTGACTCTTTCCTTAAGCATTTACCTGCGTGCAGCTCGTTAAACATACCATAGCATTCACAACACCCGTGTGTTGCTATCTTACTCCTGTTTTCAAAACCATTATTTAGGCAATGAGCGTTTGAACTTCCATCGAGTGGTTGTATTTAGATTAGAAAAGCTACCACAGAATAGTTTTGAAATGAAATGCGAAATTCTAACCTCAAAGTCTTCATTTTTTTACGTTTAGGACTTTCTCATCTCTCTTTTCATGCATTTTCGAGATGTGATCGCAAACAGTGTTTATCAAAAGGACTGGATCACAATGATTATGGTGCAAAATAAGTATGTTATTGTAATAAAGACGCTCTTCACAATATTTTATGGAGTATGTTTGATATGACAAGTATAATGTTTTCATTAGGGTTATTGTCAAGACTTTAGATTATTTTTCCAATGCCCTGGAGCTCAATTACTTAGATCAAGAAAAATTTAGTATTCAGGTATTTCTCAGGAAAGATTTCAATTGTTTGATTAAAATGTTATGAGAACCACAATCTCCTATAGTCTTTGTGTTCTGTTTTATAGCTGTGGACGAGTTTCTTTGAATTGTCTGTGTCGTTCATCACTCAAGCACCTTTAAATCTTGAGAGCTTTACCGAGACAAAGCAAACTAAAATACTCTCAAAGTATGTTTAACATTACGTATGCATGACGAGCAATCCTGGCGTGCATAATGATCAAATATTATTTAAGCTTAAACCTAGGCATAATCAGTAAATTATTTGGGGGGAAGCTCTCAATGATTCAGTTCAATATTTGACCTTTTTTGCGATACGTTCCTGTTATGTGACTATTGTGCTGAGTACATGAAACCAAGGCTGCCTTTAGGTAAACATTTCTATAATTGCATGAAACCAAGTTTATTCTTTATTTTATACACGTGTTCTAGCTTAATGTCTTAGTTAACTTTCTTTTTGACCTACGTTGAAAAATTGCAATCAGTTGAATTGCCGCGTTGAAAGTTTGGCAGGGGGGGCTGGCCTTCTAGTTGTATTTAGTTGAAAAGATGTCACCTACTTAAATATTTTCTTTATCACAGATATGGAGACATGAGAAAAAGTGTGGCTTTGAAAATACGCGACATGTGGCAGAAGTTAGGTATGAGTAAAGAACTTAGGAATGAGCGAAATGTTTGATTTTGTATCTTGTTTCTAGCGCTTATGTTTTGACTTCAATATAACATATATAGGTGGATATAAAACGAAGTTTATTCCTCAACTTGTTGGATCATTCTTGGAAATGACTTTGATTCCAGAAGACGGTGAGTCGATGAGCAAAAAATTTCAGAGAATCTTTAGTTTCGTACATTGCCAATGTTTACAATCTTCTTTTAGAGATACGTCGAGATACAATACCTATCTTTTTTGATATGATCATTTGTGAAAACAATGCAAAAGGAGGCTTTCGTGAGGTAAGACTTCTCCTAGAAGTTGATTTAACGTTTTTGCTCAACAACACTTCTCGAGGTATTCTTTTCAAGTCACCTAACCATTAAGAAATGTTTCTTATGTTGTGTTAGACTTCATGTCACACGAAATGATTTAAAAACGACTTAAAAAACCAACAGAACAATTTTAATACAAAAAGAAACGGATTATACATGTCATAATTCATGGATTATCTTAAGTTTTACTTATTTAAACCAATCATCGTGTATACAGCTTCAGATGATCATGTGAACATGCCATAATTCATGGATTATCTTAAGTTTTACTTATTTAAACCAATCATCGTGTATACAGCTACAGATGATCATGTGAACATGCCATAATTCATGGATTATCTTAAGTTTTACTTATTTAAACCAATCATCGTGTATACAGCTTCAGATGATCATGTGAACATGCCATAATTCATGGATTATCTTAAGTTTTACTTATTTAAACCAATCATCGTGTATACAGCTTCAGATGATCATGTGAACATGCCATAATTCATGGATTATCTTAAGTTTTACTTATTTAAATCAATCATCGTGTATACAGCTACAGATGATCATGTCAATATGCCATAATTCATGGATTATCTTAAGTTTTACTTATTTAAACCAATCATCGTGTATACAGCTACAGATGATCATGTGAACATGCCATAATTCATGGATTATTCCAAGATTACATAATGAAAATTTTAGATTGAAAACGAAATCATTCAAAAACTGGATGTAATTTTGGAAAGTGGTCGAGGAGATGAAAATTACAAGATTTTGTTTGGTCAAATGTGAGTTCCATTAAAGTTCAAAACAAATTTCTTCTCTATTCACAACTCACAAGGCAATGCTAAGTACACCTGTGTTCTTACATCAAGTATCGTTATATTTGTGAAAGAAACGTTTCAAACCCCTACGTAAAATACAACCACTTTTTCTATTTTCTATTTTTGCTAGTTTTAAGATTGAATTTAATGCAAACAAGAGAATATAATGTCCGTGTTTTACATCTTTAGCCTTACAAGTCTTTTCTCGGTGAATCCCAAATTGTGTCAAGTCGGTAAAAAATTTGTTCACACGATCACAACATTGCTGGAAAAACTCCTCGATTACAGGACCGTTTTGGCTAGCGATGACAGCCTTGACAACAGAATGAGTTGTATTGTCAATCTTTTGGTGAGTGACGTGATTAGTTAAACATCCCATTGTATCTCTTACCTTCCCATTTTATCTCTTGCTTTCTTTAACTTGTTCTTTTCTGGCTAATAATGCTTTCTTCTTGTAGAACTTTTACAAAGAAATCAAACGTAATGAAATGTATATACGGTAAGATAGATGATTTGAATCTATATAGGTGGAATTTTATGGATATTAGTTGTACCTTGAGCGGTATTATCGAGATATTTTCCACATTTTTCTGCACAAACTTCATTTCTATTTCTTCAGTTATTTGTACAAACTTTACGATCTTCATGTGCGAGTGGAGAATTACACAGAGGCTGCATTTACTCTACTTTTACATGCTGATATTCTCAAGGTGAGAAACACCAAGGGACGTTGCAACCTTGGTACCCTAGAGGACTAGGGGAAGAAATATTTTTCATCTTAGTGTTAGCAGCGATTGCCTTCAAAGAAATGGACTAATCTGAGACTCGAACAAATAAGTGCTCGTAGCTCCTAATTGTTTTTAACTCTGATTGTGAATAATAAGAACTGTGCTTCAAAAATGTGATATGTTCTCTTCTGGCAAAGTGTGAACGTTTTCATTCTAACGATGTTGCAGTGGACGGACGATCCCATAAGCATCGATGATCATGGTAAATTTCAAGCGGAAACACAGCGGGGAATGAAAGAAAACTTGTTCAAGGAAATTATTAAGCTTTTCGATAAAGGAAAGGTAACATGTATTCATCAATTGATGATTCATGATTATTCAAATAAATATTATTTTGAATAGAGTAAATTATAAGCAGTTTTCATGAAATATGTTGTAGCTCTGTGGCTTTAAAACTAGCTTGTGTATCTTCTGTGATATAGACTTGGGAAGAGGCGATAAAGTATTGTAAACAATTGGCTGACCAATATGAACGCGAAACATTTCAATATATGGAACTTGGTGAAATATTAGTAAGTTGATTGGACTTTTCTAGTATGTTAATATACAACAAAGACAAAATAATCTTCCTTATGTAATAATAATTAAGATATTCGTAAAAATACCGTGTTATATTTTTCCAGAGAAAGGAGGCACAATTCTTTGATAACATCGTGAAGCAATTACGGGCAGAATCCTCATATTTCCGAGTGGGATTTTATGGTCAAGGATTTCCCTCATTCCTTCGGGTATTCTTATTCATTTTGTGATTTGTTTGTTTTATGAGAGAAACAACTAAAGATTTATTGTGTGTAGAATAAGGAGTTCATTTACCGAGGCAAAGATTACGAGCAAGTCGGAGATTTTACTGTGAGAGTTCAGAATAACTTTCCAACAGCTCAAGTATGTTTTGACTTTATTTTGCTTTTCTTTTATTCTGTGAGTGCTTGACAATATGTTTAAGTTGTATTCTTTACCGTGATGTTGTCGTTTTTTCCCCATCAAAATTTCTCCTTCCTTAGCTTATGACGAAGCTGACGCCTCCTGGTGAAGATATCAAAAATTCCAACGAGCAATGTATCTTTTTATACTTTGTTATATGAGTGACTAACTCAAACTATCGTCATATTCAATAAATTACATATCACATTCGTATAGATTTTTTGATATATATTCGTATAGATAAATTGACAGATCATATTCGTATACCTTTTAGATTTGGACAAACTGTGCAGTCTTTTAGACAGGCCGTAGTTTTCTTTTTAATGTGAGTGTTGAAGACTGTGAGGATTGGTGTAAATTCACTTTAAAACATTGGAGGAGTGCGTCCTATATTCCTTTTAATTTGTTTCGGGCGATGATTTACGTTTCTTCAAAGATTGCTTGAACTCCGTTTATGTATTATAAAAGTCAATAATTTGTAGATTGGATTGTAGCATTTCTAACTACTGCTATAAAAAATGGTTGATATCGTGAAAGATATCAGATTATCAAGAATCTATCAATTAAATATATGTATTTATGGTTAAAAGCAGTGTTTGTTTCAAACTTTGCTCCAACCTTTGATCTCCTAATTTTCATTTATTTATCTATTGAAATATCTGTTATGTTTATCTATTTCATTTTGGTTTTACCTTAACCTAACCTGAAAGATCTTCAGATCAACTTAGTTGATCCCATACCAATTGAAAGACGTAAATACCAAGGAAAGGTTGTTTCTGAAAAGATAACTCAGTAAGCATAGCTTCTACTTTAGCATAGATCGTTCTACATCTGCCACATTGACTAAATTTGCGATTTTTCTGCTTGTTTATAGATTTTATGAACGAAATGAGGTAAACCAGTTCAAGTACGATCGACCTTTTCACAGAGGAGAAAAGGATAAAAGCTCAGAATTTGCTGTAAGATGCTTTTCTTTTATGACACATTCTCTATTCGTCTGAATATAATGTGTTTTTTGTGTCATCCTAGACATTATGGCTGGAAAGAACGTGTTTACAAACAAAATACAGATTTCCGGGCATTCTTTGTTGGTTCGAGGTCACTCATATATCTCGGGTAAGTCCAAAGTGATTTTTCTAATCCACGGATTTTTTGTTCTCTCTGATTTGAAGTCTCTGCGTTTTAATTTCAGCATGAAATTTCACCAATCAACGTGGCTCTGGAAACGATGCAACAGAAAAATCAGGAATTAAAGACGCTCATCTCCAGATATAGGAAGAATAATCAACAAAACATCAATCCGTTAAGTATGGCTTTGAATGGAGTCATTGACGCTGCTGTGATGGGCGGAATAGCGAACTATACCAAAGTAAGTATGCTATCGAAATGCTATGAACTTATTTGCATGTTGTCCAAACGCTGGTTCTTCTGAAGATTTAAATTGGATACCATAACTACAGGAAGAAAAAAAGTTGTACGAACGTCAATTTTTTTCCAAATCGAAGTAATTAAAGAATCATTTTAACTAAACAACCTTTGTTTTGTTCTTTTCTAGGCGTTTCTCACGAATGAATTCTTAGCACAAAATCCCAATGATGCCCACAATGTTGATAATTTAAAGAAATTAATGGGAAATCAGGTTGATTCATTTTACTTTGTAGCGTTGATCAAAACAACTACAACTATTTTCTTTTCAACTTTTTAGTATGAAATACTTAAAGATGGCATGAGCGTGCATAACAATCTGGTGACAGATGCTCTTCGTCCGTTCCATCAAAATCTCGAGAAACGATTCTCGGATCTAATGGCTCTCATCCCGAAGGCATCACGACAACGAGCGAGGGAAAGGGTAATGTCCTTTTCCCTTCAAATCGTTTGAGAGTCAATGCTCATTGATTTGTATTCTATAGTATTCAAGTGTAAGGGACAGAACAGTCCAGAGAAATTCATCAGGTGGACCAGTACGAAGTAGAACGATGGTAGCAAATCGGAGCACAGTCATTATTGGAAATGGACTGGGACCTATACCTGATGGGTAACTACTGTTTACTTCATGTAGGAACGACGATTATCGGTCAGATTTACTTTTCGAGGAACCTCAACCATGTTTTTACTCAAATGTTGCTTTTTTGATACTGCAGACTACCTCCATCACTTCCTGATAAGCATATGTCAATGAATCCAGCGGGCGCTCCACCTTTACCAAGGCGATCAATTGCCATTAATGGAGTAAGTTTACGCTGAAAATGTTCATCACTAAACTATTTTCTAATTGCCAAGAAAGTTCATCATTACATGTTTGTAAATGTAGATCGTCTAGGTTAATATAGTCCTGAGAAGGACTGTTTTTGTTGTTGTTGACTGACGTTTCGACAGCCTTAGCGGTAGTTGACTCCGAAGATGACTACCGCTAAGGTTGTCGAAACGTCAGTCAACAACAACGAAAATAGTCCTTCTCAGGACTTTACTAACCTTGACGAACTATATCAACAAACATGTAACGATACTCCGGGCTCAAACCATTTACTTTAAAGTTCATTTACTTTAAAGTTCATCATTCTTATACGTAGCAAAGTCTTAGCATTGGACCTTTATATTCAGTATAAAGTACTACATCATTAATACACTTTAGAAAGACGTACAATGATGTACTTTGACGTACAATGATGTACTTTATCAAACATTTTTACTGTCTAGTCGCCACCTTTACGGACAGCCGAGCTGGATCAATCACCACCGCCAACACCAAAGCGAACTAACACGATGTCCGTAGCTGCTGATGCCAATTTTACCAAGAATACAACCCAGTCAAATGCTAAAAATGCAACAATGCCTGACAATTCTGAGGTGAGTTATTGATTAATTGTGAACTGGCAGTTTGATTACTTTTACAAACAGGTGAAAATTTAGAGTTTTTTTTATTTTTGTGCTCACTGCACTTTATTCATGAGATTGTGATGATTATTATACTCATATTTGAAAACGTTTGGAATTTTTTATAGATTCCACCGCCAAGGCCCCCGAAAACTCGACATAATTGAATCAATTTTTTTGCAATTGATTACGTAATATTTTATATGAATATTTTTGATCAAACTTTTTTATCTCAAAACTTCTCGAGGTCTTTGTATAATACCTATCTTCATGACTTCGACTGCATAAAGTATAACAAACACCTCGTGAAAATATAACAAGGACTCGTAAAATTTTTATAAAAACATAGGGCAACAACTAGCAGATAATATCACAGCTATGGGATGATTAATTTTGATAATAAATTGTGTTATTTGTAGAAACGTCTCACTTTCTCAAAGTGCTTCCGATTATGCCAGCGCACGCGCTATTGTTTGCTGCTTCACAATGACCAGCGTTATTTTTTTCAGCGCTAGTACAACATAACTCACATGTTCAATTATAGTTTGTCACGGTTGCAATGGTGGATTTTTTATGTCATGCTCTCATCGGTACCTTGTTTTCAGTTATTCGTCTCCATTCTTTTATTAAATAATGATAAAAATACTTTAATTTCATTTTTCGTATGATTTGGAGAATTTTCATGGCTTTTTCTGACCTTACACTCAGGCCTCAGCTTATCTTTATTTGACTTTGCCAACCTCATCCTTGCTAACACGTCACTGGTCCTCTCCCCGTACTAAATGACAGTTAAATTGTTAAACTGAGTATAGTTAGTAAACTTTCGGTATTTAGGAGTTTTGTTGGTGGTGTCGTATACTGCCAATAGCAATACCAAAAACAAAATTCTCCTTTTATTGTTATTTTGCTTTTTGACTAAGGCTGGGACGCTTAAGTAAACAACGATTACCCCCCGTGCAGCTTATTCAAAGACATCTTTCAAAGGGGGTATAGTCGGGACGTTTTCCTCTTTCAGTTATCACATGCACTGTAAAAACTACTTCCGTGCTTTATTTCACATTTCGAAACTATTTGAAATGAATTATTTGCCTTTTATTCAACGTGACGACTACAATTAATTCGAGCTTATTGAATAACGATGTTTCATTCTTTAAAAATGAAATATATTTTTTCCTTTGTACATCGTGACAGTAAATTATACTCGTGGTGATGTATATCTTCACTCGCCAAGAGGATCAAATAATCGTTTGAACGAAAAGTCAGCGAATCGTAGGAACGCGAATAGAGTGTTTGACTCACAGGTATTCATTATTTAAATGTATGACATCCATAGTTAAGTTTTGAGACTTTGACGTTGATATTTACGTACAATTTATATAAAACGTTGTTTATGAAATTTAATCTTATTGTATTGTACCTGTCAAAGTACTTATACTTAAAGTATTAAGCAAAGTATAGGATTTTATGGATTATTTTCAACGAACCATGAAAATTTCATCTTTAGAAGAAGTTGTGATGTAAGTTGAATAATACATAGAATATTTTAGTACCAAAGTTGTAAACGCTAGTACATTGTCATATGTACAGGTGTGTTTAATACAAACTGTTTAAACTTCCACAAAATATTTTGTGTGAGTTATTTTAATTCTTCCTACATTAAAAGAAGGTTCACAAGTCCTCAGCAATGCCAAGGTGGAATTTTTTATTTGTCACTAGAACAACAACAGAGGTGGATATAATGTTGGCGATAAAACAGACAAAGCTGCAACTGATGAAAGTGGACAGTACAATATGGTATGCTTTGGTTGTCAATAACAAATTGTCAGCTTTTATAACAGAATCCTAAACTTTTATGGAGTGGGGTCTGCATAGATATCTATTTATGATGTACATGTATATTTGTTGTCAGAAAGGAAAAGGATGGAAATGAAATATGCTTAGAAAAGGGGTGAAAACTGCTCAATTTAGATTATTGCTTAAGAAGTATTGTTTTAAAAGGAATATTTTCAAAGTGGACCAAGTCATAAAGGGAAGGATAACAAAGGCAAATCATTTCTTACAATTGAATGGACAAATCAACATGGTTGTGGTGGAAGTGAAGACAAAGATACGCATAAGCTTAACTGTAACCTTGTTTTACAATACATGTGCGAGGAAGATGTCAAAAAATCTAAACCTGACATTAACATAAAAAATGGTAAATAAATATTGGTGTTATTTATTTTCAATGATAAAGATATCGGTAGATGTAATTTCACTAAAGATTGAAAGTGTTGTCAAATTTTGTTCATGGTACATCAAGAGTATCAAAATAGATTCTGGAGTACACAAGATAGAATTCAAAATATTTCAACCACTATAAACAGTTTAACGACATGTCCATGTCACGCATAAGTTCGTTTAAAGCAGAAAGTCTATGACAACTAAAATATGTTGTACGACTTGACGTTATGTTTTACAATAAATAAAATTTAAATTTGCGCCGCGTCAAAATTTTTAATGTGACGTTAAGCAATTTTATCAACTTAATGAGTACTGTATCACAGCAAAAATACTTGCGTAACTTATTCTTGTTTTCTGGTTTAATTGCGTTCATGTACTAAACGTGGGATAGTAAAGCTAAAACTTTGAGATTTTCTGAGAGAATTTTGTAATATCGTGGCTAAAAAGGGTAATTTTTTTAGGTTATGAAACACAAACACAGAAATATACAAAGACGGAACATAGCACAAAGACAGCGAAACAGAACAGAAAGATTGATGATGTTAGTGAAAAACGAGTAATTCATGAATCATGGGAATGGTACGATAAATGTAGCAAAAGACAAAGAAATAAAGGTCGGTGTTTTCATCCATATTTTTCATGCTTTATTCAATCCTTTCTTTCGGATATATTTCCCACTCTCATGGGAGACCTTTAGCCTATATTTCCACACTCGTAGTTGTTTCTGGGAGACCTTTAGCCTATATTTCCACACTCGTAGTTGTTTCTGGGACCTTTAGCCTATATTTCCACACTCGTAGTTGTTTCTGGGATTATTTCCACACTTGTAGTTGTTTCTGGGAGACCTTTAGCCTATATTTCCACACTTGTAGTTGTTTCTGGGAGACCTTTAGCCTATATTTCCACACTCGTAGTTGTTTCTGGGAGACCTTTAAGCCTATATTTCCACACTCGTAGTGGGAGACCTTTAGCCTATATTTCCACACTCGTAGTTGTTTCTGGGAGACCTTTAAGCCTATATTTCCACACTCGTAGTTGTTTCTGGGAGACCTTTAAGCCTATATTTCCACACTCGTAGTTGTTTCTGGGAGACCTTTTAGCCTATATTTCCACACTCGTAGTTGTTAATCTAAGATTATCTTCAACAAAAGTAAAACTTCTTTTAGGGCTGTTTACCGCTGACCAAAGGTTACGTGGCCAGTCCAGTAAGTATACAAGACAAAATCCAGGTGGTACGAGGTATGGATATGAATGTCCTGAAGAAAGAGATTATTATCCATATTGGCATCCTACAGACTGGATAGACATTGCTGTCCTGGCTCATGATGAAAAAATGTGTGATTATTACCAATCTGAAAGCTTTAATGTTAAACCTAAAGGTATACAGTTGTACACTGCTGTATATAGTTGTATATACATGTATTATGTTTATGGATGCGTGTACCTGTTATAAAAGTAGATCGTCAGGTGAATGGAGTCCTGAGAAAGACTGTGATATTAAATACAACTAACGCTAAGGTTGTTGAAACTTCAGTCAACAACAACAACAACTCTCTTTCTCAGGACTCTACTAACCTGGACGATCTACATCTACAAACATGCAACTAATAATACACTCGCGTTTAAACCTTAATTGTTTAATAGTTGTGTGTAGTTGTTCATAGTTTTCCATGGCATAGTTGTCCGTAGTTGTCCATAGTTGTGTATAGTTGTCCATAGTTGTGTATAGTTGTATACAGTTGTCCATAGTTGTCCGTAGTTGTCCGTAGTTGTCCATAGTTGTGTATAGTTGTATACAGTTGTCCATAGTGTTCGATAGACCATGTTTCTTGAAAGAATAACAACTTTTCAGGTGAATGTCTCCAGAAATATGGCGACGGTGGATACAAACACTTCTCCGTGTACAATCAAAAATCGACTTGCATTGAGAACAATGGAGAATGGGTCGAGTTCAGTAATTATTTAGAAGAGTCCAATCATTTGACAAAAGCGGCATGTATTGCAGCCAATAGAACAGATGCTCCACTCTTTTGGGGAATACCCTACCGTTCCCATGATATCGACAAGGTTGGTAAGGTTTTAAAGGAAAAATGTTTGGTTGCTTTGGATAGACCTCATTGTGAACTTTCCCCTTGGTCACGCGATAATCACCTTGGTAACGGCCGTGATGGTGTTCCTTTGAACTATACGTGGGTACTACCTCACTTTCCAAGCAAGAAAAACCAACGTTGTGTTTTTAGATTGAGGTTTGCTGTTGTCTTTTCTTTGAATTTTCCTACCTATATTGATAGAAATGCTTGATATTCTTGTGTTCATTTTCGCTTAGATATAACATCACAACTGATGATTATGATCCGTTCTATACCAACAGCAGTCACAATCAAAATTTGTACGTATGCACATTTTGAATTTTTATACAAAAACACATAAAATTCCTCTTGCAATATGTCCTTTTCAAAACCATTTTGCTTCATCAATCTTTCACGTCATTCCCTAGAGCAAAGATGGTGTTTTCTCCTGTCCGTCAGAATGAACTGGTCGATGTTGGTGCCGACCAAACCCCCCTGAGACTTGCAATTAATACAGCACAATACGGGCGGGTCTTTCAAGATCGTACGCACGTCTTCAAACTCAAAACAAGACCAAGTGAAATAGAAGACACGGCGACAATTTACAATTTAAATGTTCGCGGAAAGCGAGGAAACATTGTCCAAACTTATCCTGCTGTTGAGTATGATTTTCTTCCTAACAGATTGAACATAACCGAAGGTGAACTTGTTCACATACAATGGACTGGTAAGTAAATAAAAGAAATATGTAGCGTATGCTGAACTTTAAAGCATTCTGTACTGTTTACTCAGGTTCAAATACACATAACAATGGCAGGCCTGCTGGTGACGGGCAAGCTGGTGATGCAGGCGAAGGAAGAGCAGGTAAAATAGAGTTGATTTACAAAATTGATTCTCGACACAATGAAAGATTGTTGAAAGCTTTCTGGATATTTCCACTTTGAAGATTATTTGTGCTCGTACTTACCTTACTAGTTATTGTCGGTTTAAAAAAGACAGACGTCAAACTTTAGCACTTTTTTGTCATTTTACTGTCTGTAATTTTGTTTCGTTGCATTCGAAAATATTTATTTCGTATTTTCCAGGCACTGACCGCAATAATATCGTGGAAATACTGGATCCCAATGACAATTATCCGGTACCTTTTGAGAACGCTACCATGTTCAGTGGTGCAATATTACGTTGGTCGAGCTCTGCACAGACTAAAAATATGCAAGATGTTGCCGTGAGCTTGGCTAGTGCTGGCTACTATCCTTGTCTCAAAAGTTGTAATAATTCTCCAAAGAGTAAGACTCCTGTGTTGAATAATTTATTGAATAATGCTGCAGCATCATACCTAGGCGTGATGTTGGAATTTTCACAAGGAGTGTATCATTATATATGTTCAAGGAATAACAATTTCTCAAACCGAAGTCAAAAAGGGACGATTAAAGTCGTGAAAAAGCCTTCAAAATCAACATGATTTGGTCAACACGATTATGGAACCATTCTTTTTACTTGGTCTCCATCTTGAAAAAGTTCTTAGAAATGAAATATAAAAAATGTCAGTTCTTTTCGGCGAAAAAGCCATGAAGCGAAAAATGAATTTTATCAATAAAATATAACTGATGAATTTAGCTCCATTCTAACTTTTGCAATCATATTTTATTTTGTTGGCACAATTGTAATTTATCTGTAGCTATACACTCATATGCAAATGTAGTTATGTAATTGATTACCAAAACCTAATAATTGATTATCAAACCCCTCCAAAACCGAATGTTTGATTGATTCGTAGTAATAATTTTCAGCGCATGATTATCGAGGAATGGGCTCGAATTCAGAAATTTCTTCGCAAAGAACTGTGGGACAGTTCTCTTTTACTTGACCTCCATCTTGAAAAGGTTCTTAAAAATGAAATATAACAAAAATGTCAGTTCTTCTCGGCGAAAAAGCCGTAAAGCGCACTTTACAGCACCTTCAAGTGTTAGAAGAAAGCTAATGAGTGCCCCTTTATGCAAAGAACTTCGTCAAAAATACAACGTTCGCTCTTTACCCATTCGTAAAGATGACGAAGTTCAAGTCACACGTGGTCATCACAAAGGTATTTATGTAGCTAACACTATTAATTCATTTCAACGGGTTCAGTGAACTTAACTTTGCTTAAAACGTGCATGTAATAATTATCAAAGTTACCATATATATAAAAAAAATAATTACTGGCTATACACAGTGTGGTACATTAATCTAGTATAATAGTACTTTTTTAAAACTCTCCAATTTTACCACATAAGTGTTTGTTGTGAAGAAAGTTACATTCCATTTTGTCTGGCCAACCTGCTGGTTAATTCTTTCTTTGTATATTTAAGTGCGTTATTGTTCATTCTATTGTTTTTATCGTGAATGAGCATCAAAATATGGCTAGAATGCTGTTTAGCGGACACCAAAGCGCTTGTGTGGGAGCGTGGGCTCGTTTTTGCTAAGGATTATAGGGTTATGGTTTTGGTCAGTGACCAAGGTGTCCGCTAAACTGCAGTAGTCCCCAAAGTATTTACACAGCAAGATTAAATACTTGGGCTGGCCACACCACCGCATTTATTTTCATAATTAATTTGAAATTGACATCCTATGGTCGTTTTATAAATGCTTACTATATACTCCCAGGTCAACAGGTTGGAAAGGTCATTCAGACTTATCGTAAAAAGTGGGTTATCCACATTGAAAGAATTCAACGTGACAAAGCTAATGGTGCAACGGTTAGCGTAGGCATCCATCCTAGTAAAGTAGAGATTGTCAAATTAAAGTTGGATAAGGATCGACGAGCCATCTTGGAAAGGAAAGATAGAAAGAGATTGACAGAAAAAGGAAAAGGGAAGCACACAGAGGAAGATGTTGCCATGGCAACTTCCGATTAAGCTCACCAATGTAAGGTTGTACTTCTTTACAGGTGTAACTTAATCATGATTAATTTTTGAGGTGTATCTGATTTCTAAATCTGTTTTCAATGTTTTTTTATAGGGAGAATTACATCAAAATGAATATATAAAGTCACAAGTTGATGGAGTCAATAAATCTTTGTGAAATGTGTTTTTGTTCTCTTTCATTACTAATGTCTTCAATGAATATGAAACTTTCCAATTACCAGACAAGGAATGTCTTTAAACATTTTTCTTTATTTTTTCAACTGTGAATGACTAGTTCTTGTTGTTCAAAACTCCCAAAACTTCCCATGTATGACTTCATATCTGCATATAAATTTTGGTTGACAGTAATTAAACGCTTTTCAATGCTGTTTTTTTTAAAGAACAAGCATTGCTTCATGATAGCCACTTAGAAACCCACAAAAATCCTTTATAGACAAGAAACTCTTCGTACTCAATTGTCATTTGCATGAAAGTAGACATTTCCCTTCTTTGATGCATTATGGAACTTTCTGGTCAGAGTAGTACTCTTTACATTCCTTTAATATTGTTCATGTTCAGAAAATGAAAATCATAAAACTTGTCAATTGTTGAAAGAGTGACAATGTCCATATATGGTCAAACCAGGAAAGGCTGGTTTTCAAACTTCGGCAGCCCGGGGATCCATTTTGAAATTCAAAAACATATACAGATATGGCGGCGATTGAAATCCCTCGCAATCCTTGTCCATTTTGTGTTTATTGAAGTAGTTTTTGGGCTATTGCTTATATTAACATTATTTAGCACTCATTTAGCTAATAATTTTTATGAATGTTGGAAGGAGGTTGGCTCAATGGCTGATGGTAGGTGTCTTAATGTAAAGAAAATTACTACTCTTTCCACTTCAAAAGATATTTTTTGAAATACTGTTGGGTTTCATTTCGTTTTGTACCTTGTTAAGGCAACAGTGATGTGGAATGGTGTTTCTCTCAAGTCAAAGGAACCGTAGAAGAAGAAGTTACCGAAGGTATACTCTACTACCTGTTGCAACTTGTACAATATGACAATATGACTGCTAACAAATCTTACCAAAAGAGAAAAGGCCAACAGAAAACTCTAAAACTATATTTAAATGTCAAGATTTTGTCTTAGCGTACATAAGGAAGATTTCGTTGTTCGCATAAAAAAGTGAAAAATACGAACTGACGATAGTTTTTTCGCCATTCATATCAAAACTTGTTCGTCCTTTACCAAATGTACAAAGTGTTATATTATCGATATTTTTACTGACAGCTGACATCATTTCAACTGTCGAGTTTAATCACGATGGTGAGTTGTTAGCAACTGGAGACAAAGGTGGAAGAATTGTGATTTTTCAAAGAGAGAATGCAGTTAGTATAAATAATTTTATCATTAGTGTTAGTCACGTTTGTTGAGTGAGTTTAGCTTTCGTTACTGTTAGATATCTTGACATTTTATCTTAGATTGTCTTTTCTTTGTTATTATACCAGCACCAAACTTATTCAGTTTGAATTTATTATAGCCAAAGGGTTCACCTAGGTATGGTGAATACACAGTCTACAGCACTTTTCAAAGCCATGAACCAGAATTTGACTATTTAAAAAGCCTGGAAATTGAGGAGAAGATTAATCAAATTAAATGGCTTCGTCGAAAAAATCAAGCCCATTTTCTTCTTTCAACGAATGGTATGACACTTAGATTTTTCATGTATTGTTTATCCTTGTTATTTTTTGTATGAAATGCCTCCCATTCTATTTTCAGACAAAACTGTCAAACTTTGGAAAATTTCTGAACGATGTACTAGAGCAGAAGGATTTAATCTTTGTGATGAGCGAGGCATGGGAATATCATCACCAAAACTAACAGAGTTGAAGGTGCCAGTTTTGAGGCCTTCAGAGTTGACTGTTGAAGCAAGTCCAAGAAAGATATTTGCTAACGCTCACACCTACCACATTAACTCAATATCTATAAATAGTGACGATGAAACTTATCTGTCCGCCGATGATCTTAGAATTAATTTGTGGCATTATGGAATTACCAATCAAAGTTTTAGTATCCTTTCACCATAACCTTAACTTGGATTGAGATCAAGCATTTTGTTGATAACACTCTCACTTGGTTTAAGGCCTACTATGTTTTTGATAGTCCATCTCGCGTGGATTAAGATCAAACATACTGTTGATAGTCCTTCTCCCTTGTATTAAGATCAAGCTTATTGTTGATAGTCCATCTTGTTTAGATTAAGATCAAGCATGTTAGTTGATGTTCTTCACAGCAAAATACTCCTTAACCATTTTCTTTCAGATATTGTTGATATCAAACCTGCAAATATGGAGGAACTCACAGAGGTGATAACCAGGCTGAGTTCCATCCCCTAGAATGTAATATTTTTGCCTATAGTAGCAGCAAGGGTACTGTTCGTCTATGTGATATGAGAACAGCAGCACTCTGTGATCGACATTCAAAATGTAGGTTAATGATTTGTCACTTCTATAATGAAAAAGGAATGATCCTTTTTATATTTGTTATGTTTTGTTTGCTTTTGACTGATTTGCTTATTTTATTATTGTAGTGTTTGAACAACCAGAAGATCCTGCAAGCAAATCATTTTTCTCTGAAATAATATCATCTATATCTGATGTAAGATTTTGTCACAGTGGAAGATACATGCTGACTCGTGATTATCTCACTGTCAAAGTTTGGGATCTCAATATGGAGAAGACACCCGTTGATGTTTTTAATGTTCATGATTATCTCAAGACTAAATTGTGTTCACTTTATGAAAATGATTGCATTTTTGACAAATTTGAATGTTCATGGAGTGGAAATGACAAGTAAGTATATATAATGCATATAGTGGTTTACATTTCAGTTTATAAAAAAAAGCAGACTGATGGCATGTGAATTGATCAGTGTGTAAGGTTTACGTAAACCTTTAGTGGAAATAGGTAGTTGGAGTTCCTTTGGTTTATCAAACAGTAAATTTGTTATGTCTGAATTTGGCACCTTATCAAACAAATAAACCTTGCACTCTTTGCATGTTGATCAATTTAACATTGCAACATATGTATTTTAATGCACGTTGTGTGTAGTATATCTAGTCATGTGACCACTTTGTTTCATGAGATCACATGACCACTGTAGTGTAGGTGATCATGTGACCACTTTTAATGTATTTGATTATTTAACCACTTTGTTGTATGTAATCATGTGTCCAGTGTGCGAATTAGTTCAGAAAAAACGATGTGCAATTTTTTTGACAAAAGTGTTTCTTTAGAGGCATAATCAAATCGATATTAAGTTAATTATTATACAGCCCTAATTGCTAAATTAATATTTTTAAAGTGAACAAATTCATATGATTTACAACAGTGTTTTTCGTTAGAACTGCTGATTTTTGTACATCATTTGAAAAAGTAATGTGCAATTGTTTTCATTTTAGCTAAAATGACGTGCAAATTGCACACCGTTAATTCGCACACTACATGTGTCAACTTTTATTTATATGATCATGTGATCACTTTCGTGTATATAGTCATGTGACCATTTAATATGAATATAATAAAAAAACACTCTGTATTGTATGTGATCATGTTACCAATTCTTCATTCTTTGTAGATCCATTATGACAGGCTCCTACAACAACTTCTTTCATGTATTTAATCGTGAAACAAAAGAAGATATGTGCTTTGAAGCATCAAGAGAAGGTGCAAAACCAAAGCAAGCTTTGGAATTGAAAAAAGTTGCTACATCAGGAAAACGAAAGAAAGATGAAATTACTTTAGAATGTTTAGACTTTAACAAAAAAATTTTACACACAGCTTGGCATCCTCTGGACAACATTACTGCAGTTGCAGCAACAAATAACTTGTATCTTTTTCAAGGTCGACCAAAACAACATTGACCTATTGTTATAAATGTGACTATTGAAATCATACAATCTAGATCATTTTTCTGGTGCAGAATTTAGCACCCTAAATAAACCAATATAGTTTTGGTTTTGTTGTAACACTTGAGTTGTAAATGTCTTCATGGTGAAAGTATTTGGATTTGTCACAGATCTATGGAAACAAGGCCATTAGTTTACAAAGGATGTACCTAGCATGTGTACCATGATGTTTACCTATAAACATGACCATACCCTAGCACCAATGTATAGGACCATACTGAACCATACTGAAAATCAGCTTATTTGTGCAACACGCGATTTAAATAAAATAATTTAGTTCACAATTCAATGAAGCAGAGTGGCGCAGTGGAAGCGTGCTGGGCCCATAACCCAGAGGTCGGTGGATCGAAACCACTCTCTGCTAAAATTTTTCTTTTATAGATATTGTATGATTTTAATGTTTCAGAGCATTCTTTCCAGTCTTTGGTTATCTACCTGCTTCTTTTCGAAGTCTGAACTAAAAAATATTTTTGTATGAGTAAAAATCTAAGAGAGATGGAAGAATTACTCACCGCCTGACTCGCCCCAGGTTCTCGGGTCGTGTGAATGACGTATGATTCGATATGAATAATGTATAAAATTTCATAACAAAATTACGAAAAACAACGAAGTTAAAACGAAGAAATATTTCAAAATAAAACTGAGACTCTATGATGTAGAAAGAAGAAATAGTCATTTTGTGCGAATACTTGGTGAGTTGAATGTTAAAAATGCTTTGCTCTTAAACATTATGATTCATTCCATGACGATTCAAGTAATATATTTTTACGCAGTTTAATCATTAATTTTTTAATAAATTGGAGGAGGGCTGTTTTGTTTCCTGTTTAATGAATAGAGAATCTTTCTATGAACGAACAGATCTGAACTCGTTGTGATCTGCAATTGAATGAAATTACAAAATTTACAAAATACATGACGCATTTCGTTAATTAAATTGTTGTTGACAATACGAAAAACGCAAGTTCAACATTAATCACGTCAAATTCAAGACTTTTTTGCAGATTTTGAAGGTTGCGGTGGCTTCACATTAGCTCTATATTGTCCAAGATATTTTCCCGATGCAAAATGTAGTACCTCCTCTAGCTCAATGTGCCTACTACAAGTTGCTTTGATTCAAGATTTTAGAAACTTTAATATATTTTCAACCTTACTGTATTGTGGTGTTGTAGTAAAAATTTAGGCAACCATGGCAAAGCAATCGTAAACTGTCAAATAATAATCCTAAAAATGATAATCATTCTCGGTTACTCATGATTTTCTACAACAATATACCATAGCACAGAGTATGCGCTTTTGCATAGACAGACATGTGCAAAAGACTGACCGGCAATCAACTAATATATTTATAGATATTTAGTGTTTTTCACGCAAGTTTAATTTGTCATTTTGTTGGTAACTTTTGAATGAGTTCAGTAATGTTTCTATAAACCAACACATTTGAATTCTCTCGAACTTCATTGACAATTATTACAAAAATTTTCGACAATTTGGAATTCTTTATTCAAAGTGTTGTAAGTAGTATTAGCAACAAAAGTCCAGCAATAATCATGCGAGAAACAAGACAGTTTTTTGCGGATCCTGTAGGTTGTGGTGATCCTGTAGATCGTGGTGATCCTGTAGATCGTGGTGATCCTGTAGATCGTGGTGATCCTGTACGTCGTGATGGCTTGACTGGCTTCACATTCTCTCTAAATTGTCCACGATAATTTCCAGGTGGATAGTAACGAAAAACAAGTATAGTACCTCCTCTAGCTGTATGTGCCTTTCCTACACCAAGTTGTTTTGAATTCACCCAAACGACCTGAAGAATATAAAAAACTACGAACTCATAATTTTCTAAACTTCTACTCATTTCCAATGTTAATGAGCTGCACACATCAGAAAAGTTCACTTAACTTCCGTATTGTATAATGCTTAGAGCGAAACTCTGTTTTAAATATTTGCAAAAAACAGACAACTGGTAGACTGTAGACGTTTAAACGGAATTGTGATTATAGTTTAGAATCGAATGATTTAGGCCATTGATTTTGGATTCCTGTATAATGAAGTCTCCAATCCAAATTAAATTTCATGCAGATATCTAACATCTTTGACAAACCTGTGTAAAATGACCTGTGGCTTTACTAAATCCTGGATTTTTATAGTCGTAGTCATTCACTTCGTTGTAAAATGCTGTAGTAGCACGTTCACAGGAATTGACAGCGTCACCTGAACTTGCATAAAGATTTTCACCCTGGTTTCTATTCTCGGGGTCATGTTCAAGTTTATTTTGTCTAGCGAGATGGTTGGCCCATTTTTGAGCATCGTTTTCAAGACTTGTTGACCACTGAAGATTCGGTGCCTGACAAGAAAAAAAACAACAACATATTTTTGGAGGTGATTCAGTTTATTCATGGCCGACGATGGGTAATTTCAATGAAAGAATAATTTGTATTCTTTCCACTGAGGACAGTACGATTTATGAAAAACTGACAAACAGGTTCTTTTTATTACTTGGTGTAATTTTCTGTACTTGTTATGCCACTCAAGACATTCATCTTTATTCAACGGATGATCTGCTCTAACGGCTATGATAAATTATAAAATGAACAAATATAAAATATTCTATTTTGATAAAACGTTTGTGCACGACGAACTTGCATTTAACTCATAAAGCCAAAGATCTTGACAGAATATTTACCTGCAATGATGCAGAGATAAAAAATAGCGCTGTAAAGATTCATTTTCTTTGTAAATGTTTGAAACTAGAAATAAAATACTTGGTTGCAAAACTTTATCATCATTTCAAAGTTATTTAACTTGTAACATTGATCAAAGTAGATGAATTTGCAAGGTTCTATTCATATCCTATTCTGTTCTATTCATATCCAAGACTGTTCTATTCATAATTCATATCCTATTTCTAAACAGAAGACAACAGCTTAATTGCTATTCGAATTTATAGACATCTAATTTAAGTCACAAATGCTTCAAACGCTCAAAATAGGGACTCTTAGGATAAAGAAGTTGAAAGAAAACTTTTGTCGAAAAAACATAATTTACTCACATGACACTTCCAAAGGTTTTAGCTGTTTTGTACTTGGTGAACCAGCTGTCTGTTGTCAAAAATATCGCTGAGTAGATAAATTCCGGAAGTCTTGTGACAGGTTGCGTAGTTTCGCGTTTGTTCAACGACAGGAAAACAAATATCTGTTTTGCTCGATGATATGGTACTTGACATTTGATGTGAAGGTTCTTTGTGTGTATGAAAACAAAAGGAGAAGTATATTAAAATGTTTTTCAATGGATGGAGAGAAAAAATTTATTAACATTAACCACTTCAAATGTTTACAATTTATAAAATTAATTTTCAACCTTCACTTTTACACACGTTCGATTTGTTTTATGCTTTTCTTGTCGTCACAATTGCTATGTCTGTTTTTTTATTGTCGACGTAGAAAATTTATCAATGCATTGCACAGTGGAGTTCTCAATAGACTGTATGGAAAAATTGATTCATTAGCATTTCCCATCCGTTTCCTTTGGCCTGAAATGCAGCTGTTGATGTAAAAATTGTGGTTAATTCATAAGAAATGACATTCTCATCTTTAATTCAGCTAAATGAGGGGGAGGGGGGCTCATATTAAGATATCGTTCATGGATCACAAGCATGTTTTTGTGTCCATCAATTTGTTCAAGAAGACTGTATCTCATCTTTGATTTGTACTTTTTCGACAGTGTTCTTGAGTTTAATACAAGTCTTTTTCTTTTTCTTTTGTTCTTCTTATTCTTGGATTTTTAACATTAACACTGGAGGGCCCAAGGGGTCATATATGACCCCACGATTTTCATGGGCCGATTTGAACCTATGCGTTTACACACAATAAATATTGACCCTATTGGGCCAAAGTCCCATATATGACCCCTTATTCGTGGAGGTCTGGTAGCTATTGCATATGCTATGTCAGCAGAATATTTTCACAAAGATGGCGTCCTTTGCCCATGAGTGTGTTGATGTTTGTTGGTGAATTTCAAGGCTCCATCATGCTTTTATAGGGACTTTGTGAGAAAATCACTGCACACTGATAAATATTTAGCTCTTCCTTTATCTTTCAGTAGTTTTTTGTGCAGTATTGTTGCTTTCTTCATGAAATAAATTCAATTTGAAATATACGGGTCATATATGACCCACTGGGCTTTTACGTCAGGTGAGCCTCTTATTGCCTTGTTGATATATAAGCAGTTTATATTGAGCGTATGAACTATATTGTAGACGTTTTGTCGAATTGTTTGTTAAATACAAATTTCTTATTTGTATATATGAATTCATTTCGTAAATTTTCAGTGTTTAAATCTTTTCCTCTTCATTGTATTAGTCAATCATGTCCACAAAGAACAATGATTACACAACCAACGATGTTCTCGCAATTCTTGATGGTGACAAAAGCGATTTCAGTGAGGGTGGTTATACTGATTGGTCTGAAGATGACAGTATGTCTTGTGGGGACAAATCATGGAGCTTGGCTGAGGCTGGTTTTCAGAATGAACCAGTATTGAGTGGCAACGAAGATGATGGTTGCAATTGCAATGGTGAAGATCCCGAGGTTTATAATAGTGCTGAGGACATACCCTTGACTGCCAGATTAGTCAACAACAAGAATCGCAGTGTCCAGTATATATGGAAAAAGAAAACATTCAAGCCACAGAGTGACAAATTTCAAGGAAAACTGTGACGCCACAGATCCTATTGGTTTGTCTGAAACGCCATTACAGTATTTCAAGCGATTCGTTACTGACAAAATGTTAGAGCATATTGTGGAGCATACCAACCGATATAGCACACTGAAACATGGAAGATGTGCCAATGCATCTTTGAAAGAAATGGAGCAGTTATTAGGTATGTATTTCAAAATGGGTCTTGCTGAAATGCCATCTTACAAAATGTATTGGGAAAATGGAACTAGATACCCAGCAGTTGCTGATATTATGAGCAGGAACAGGTTCAAGCTGCTTTTGGGTACAATTCATTTTGTGGATAATGAAATTGTTACTGATGACAAGAAGAAAAACAAGCTTTGGAAAGTTCAACCATTCTTGGAAATGTTTCGCATGCAATGCCTTCAAGTCATTCCAATTCAGCATCAGTCAATTGATGAAATGATGATTCCATACAAAGGTAAGTTTGGCAACATTCGTCAGTATGTAAAAGGCAAACCCCATCCCTGGGGATTCAAGGTTTGGTGTAGGTGCTCACCGAGTGGCTTGCTACATGACTTTGAAGTCTACCAAGGAAGAGTTGAGGGGAGAAAAAAGAGTGAATATGGTGTTGGTGGCTCAGCTGTTTTGAAATTGTGCGAAACTCTAGAAAAATATGCTCAGTATAAAATATATGCTGACAACTTTTCACCTCTATCAAGCTGATTGAGAAGCTTTCAGCAGATGGATTTTATACTGGAACAGTGAGGCAAAACTGTTTGGGCAAAGCCTGAAATCCAAGCTTTTACCAGAAAAAGATCTCAGTCGAAATGGCAGAGGCTCCTACGATGTTAGAGTTGAATCCACCAGAAGTATCGTCTGCCTCAGGTGGCTTGATACCAGGGCAGTCACCATGTTATCCAACTATGCTGGCGCTGAACCAATTGACCAAGCTCGTCGTTAGGATAAAAGTACTAAAGCATACATTCAAGTGAACCGACCTTATGTGATCAAGGAGTATAACAATTATATGGGCGGTGTAGACATGTTAGATTGTCATATTTCCAAGTGCAAGTTGTCACTCAGATCACGCAGATGGTACATGATTCTGTTTTGGCATTTCATCACTCTTGGTATGATAAACGCATGGCTCATTTACCAGCGATTGTGAGCTGTTGAAAGTGACAGGAGTGACGTGCTGAAGCTCCGTGAATTCCAGGCAATGGTTGCACAAGGTTTGACGGACGTTGGAACCAGCAAAAACGTGGTAGACCATCTGAGGAGAAGTGTACCCCAAAGGCACAAAGGTGGTAAGAGTAGAACCATGTCAGGACGACGATATGACCAAGTTGCACATTGGCCATATAAGGGGAAAAAGACGAGATGTGCTGTATGCAAAACGATAAAACGGATACATACTGTGAAAAATGCAACATTCCACTATGTTTCAATGAACGCCGAAATTGTTATAAGGTATATCATGTAAAATAGTTTTTGCTATGTTCAAATCTTTTTTAAATTACCCATTTATATATTTTACCAGACACATACAGTTTTATCATAGTTCTTTTTTTTATAAACGGTTACAATTTTAATAAACAGTCATTATTTTGTTGTTAGTGTATTGTATTACTTAACACCCACGAAGGCCCAATGGGTCACATATGACCCATTGGGCCAATTTGTTCGGATTGCACGAAATTCTTAAAAAAGACCTCTGTTATGTTTAACCGGCCCATAGTAAGTGTTCTTGACTGATAAAAAATTTTTTTCTCACGTAAGCAAATTTTGGGCCCTCCAGGGTTAAAATATACAACAAGCTTCACTGATCACTTATTGTGAAAGGTACGTCTTCTGTGATCTTTTCCATCCGTATTTACTTGTCTTGCTTTGTCGTGGTCATTATTGGCATATCGTCATTATCCAGGTCATTATATATTGGTCATTATTGATTGTTATTGATATATTAATCACACCAATGTCACGTGCAAGATGATCTCACTCTAAACAGTAACAAGATGGCGCCGGTTAGTGAAATAGATCAAAATACTTCAGTTACGATGGCTAAGGAACACACAGCTGCTATTACGAGAGATTACATTTCACAGCCTAGGATAAGTATGTAATTTTTAAACTGGGCAGATTTTTATATGAATTTTTAGTTTGGGTGAAATTTTTGCCAAATATGATTACTGTAAATGTTTGACATGAATGTCGTAATTGTCGTTTGAAGTTTGACTTCTAAGATTATTTATAAAATGTGTTTTGTGTGTAGCTTACAGAACTGTGTCTGGTGTTAATGGACCTTTAGTTATATTAGATAATGTCAAGGTGAGCAGTATTGTTTACTGTAACTGCATTTGGTTTTGAATTTTTCATACCAGAGTTCTTATTTCATTACTTTGTGTGAATGAAATTCTTAGTTTTTTTCATTCCATTAGTTTCCAAAATTTGCTGAGATAGTCACACTTACATTATCTGATGGATCCAGACGAAGTGGGCAAGTGCTAGAAGTCAGTGGATCTAAGGCAGTTGTTCAGGTAAACTGCTTGTATTGATGGAACATTTGTGGATAATGTAGGTGGTTGAAAGGTACATTGATTGTTAACTTAGGTATTTGAAGGAACATCAGGGATTGATGCAAAGCATACAACTTGTGAGTTTACTGGAGATATTTTAAGGACTCCAGTATCAGAAGACATGCTAGGTAAGGATGAAATTTATATTTATGTTGATCATTATGAACATGAAAGCTGGTGATAATTACATTGAACTATAGGAAGGGTCTTCAATGGATCAGGAAAAGCTATTGATAGGGGACCTTCAGTACTTGCGGAAGATTTTCTTGATATCAATGGTAGGATATATTTAATATGTCTCGACATCAGTTTACTTGAGTATTCATCTTAAATTACATTTACATTGTAATATTTAGGTCAACCCATAAACCCGTGGTCTAGGATATATCCTGAAGAAATGATACAAACAGGAATATCAGCTATTGATACAATGAACAGGTTTTCCAATTAAAAAAATATTTTGAAATAATCATTGAACATTTCATCATGATATGTGCTTATTTCAGCATTGCTCGTGGTCAGAAGATTCCAATATTTTCTGCTGCCGGTCTTCCACACAATGATGTAAGTAATGAGTTTCATTTTCAACCTACCACAATAATGGAAGTTTGCTGCTTCGTCATGTGATTTGGGAGTAAAAACTCACTGTTGGACGTCTGTAGATTGCAGCTCAGATTTGCAGACAAGCAGGTTTAGTGAAGTTTAACAAAGGAACGAAAGATGATCATGAAGATAATTTTGCGACAGTCTTTGCTGCTATGGGAGTATGTAAATTTAAAATATTTTTCAAGCACTTATAATTGTGTTTAAGTCTACAATAATTGACGTCATTTTTAAGGTTTACAATAGATGACGTCATTTTAAAGTCTACAATTGATGACGTCATTTTAAAGTCTACAATAGATGACGTTGTTTTAAAGTCTACAATTGATGACGTTATTTTTAGGTAAACATGGAAACTGCACGATTTTTCAAACAAGATTTTGAAGAAAATGGTTCTATGGATAATGTTTGTCTGTTTCTCAATCTTGCCAACGATCCTACGTAAGTTACGTCATCCGTACGTAATTTACGTCATCGCACGCATGTTTCGTCTTCCAACGTCAATTACGCCACTTTGCATAAGCTACGTCATCCTCTTGTTGTGATTGATATTCCTTTGGGTCGTCAATTGTGGAAATAGCTACTGCATCTGCACTGAGTCGTTTTACGTACTTTTTATATCTTTTTATTTATTTTTTATGTAGAATTGAACGTATTATTACTCCAAGATTGGCATTGACAACTGCAGAGTTTTTGGCTTATCAATGTGAAAAACACGTTCTGGTTATTCTTACGGACATGAGTTCTTATGCAGAAGCTCTTCGTGAAGTAAGTTTAACTATTTATTTTCATGTGGTGACTAACACACTTCAGTATGGATTAAGAAAAATTTTCAGGAAGCGGTTATTTTCAAAAGTTTCATCATCAAGTTTCATCCTAATTGATTCAGGTTTCGGCAGCTCGAGAGGAAGTGCCAGGTCGTCGTGGATTTCCTGGTTATATGTACACTGATTTAGCTACAATTTACGAAGTATGTTTTTCCAACATCCTGTTTTGCTGTAAGTTTTGCTGTGTAATTAATGTCGCTTTCTTGCTCTGTCTTCTTTAGCGTGCAGGTCGAGTTGAAGGTCGTAATGGTTCCATTACACAAATTCCAATCTTAACAATGCCTAACGATGGTATGTGTTTCGGTCGAGATTTTATCCATGACAACGACTAAAAAATTTTATAAAATTTTACGATAAACAACTATGAATTTATGGTAGATATAACTCATCCTATTCCTGATTTAACTGGCTACATCACCGAGGGGCAGATCTACGTTGATCGTCAACTACATAACAGACAGGTAAGATAAAATAAAGAAACTATCTGACCGTGAGGGGAGGGGGGATATACCTAATAATGTCCTACATTGTACATGTCTATCCTCACATGAATTTAACACAAAATAGTACTACCCAACACTGTTCGTCATTGTAACAGGTCTATCCTCCCGTTAATATACTACCAAATACTACCCAATATTATCCTACATTGTACAGGTTTATCCTCCCATTAATGTACTACCATCACTATCAAGATTGATGAAGTCAGCTATTGGTCATGAAAGAACAAGACGAGATCATGCTGACGTATCCAATCAATTGGTTCGTAATACTTAGAGCACTTTGACTCTACCTCCTGGTTCCCTGTTCCATACCTACCTACCTTTATATATTTATCGCATTTTGTAAAATTTTCATCTGTTGAATTCTGTTTTATAGTATGCAAATTACGCTATTGGTAAAGATGTTCAAGCGATGAAAGCCGTAGTTGGTGAAGAAGCTTTATCAGCTGAAGATCTTCTTTATCTTGAGTTTTTATCGAAGTTTGAGAAGAATTTTATCAGCCAAGGTATTCTAGCTAGCTATGTTTCTGATGATAATTTGTTCGCAAGTTTGAGAAGAATTTTATCAGCCAAGGTATTCTAGCTAGCTTTGTTTCTGATGATAATTTCTTCGCAAGTTTGAGAAGAATTTTATCAGCCAAGGTATTCTAGCTAGCTATGTTTCTGATGATAATTTGTTCGCAAGTTTGAGAAGAATTTTATCAGCCAAGGTATTCTAGCTAGCTTTGTTTCTGATGATAATTTGTTCGCAAGTTTGAGAAGAATTTTATCAGCCAAGGTATTCTAGCTAGCTTTGTTTCTGATGATAATTTGTTCCGCAAGTTTGAGAAGAATTTTTATCAGTCAAAGTATTCTAGCTAGCTTTGTTTCTGATGATAATTAGTTGGCAGTTACCTAGATGATTGTGGATTATGTTTAAGGTTAGTGTTAGGATAACAGTTTTTAATTATCTAGAGTAGCGTTTTTCTGAATATTATTGTGGATTATATTTAAGGTACTTATGAGAATCGTTCCGTATTTGAATCTTTGAACATTGGTTGGTCGCTTCTTCGCATCTTTCCAAAGGAGCTGTTGAAGAGAATTCCACAAGATGTCCTAGCTGAATACTATCCACGAGATAGTGCAGCAACAAAGAAGGCAGAATGATGACAAACAGTTAAAATTTTCAAGGAGGTTTGTGCAAGTATAAATGATCAAACGTAGTCAAACTGAATGCAATGGTAATCACAAAAACGAATTTTTACGCAGTTACTTCACGCGGTAATGACGTAACTTACTTCACGCGATAATGACGTAACTTAATTTCATAACTTTCTGATCACTAATAAATTATTAATCGCCTGAATATTATGCAACAAGTTTCACGTTTACTAAGATTTACACACAGGATTAACGTACTAAAGTTTGTGATCAAAACTTAGAATAGTCAACTACTTTTTCATTCTTGTTCAATGTCGCCATTATCCATTCTGTGTTTAACTCCACGTGGAATGTGTGTATACACGTAGGTATAAGTTAACTGCTGGTCACTGTGCTTCACTTTGCTTCTAATGTTTGTATTTGCGCTAGTTGCAGTGCTTCGTAGATTCACATACTTTCTTGTGATTATACAGACTTTAGTGAGTCTGTGCAGCGTTGAGTGTTCCTTGATTCTATTTCGTGGAACATTTAATTTCCTCTACATGAAGTAGTCCTAGGTTCTTTTCTTTAAATACACCGTCTTTGACTCATTCTGTGCTTTTTGAGCTCTTCATTTAAGCAAACTTTATTGGTTGTTCAGTCTTTGTTTTCTCCATTTTATTCGTCTATTTTGAAACCAAACTTTTACTTGTGTCTCACTAAGTCGTAATGTCGACGCAAGATAACGTCTCTCAATACCCACTAGGTATTGTTGTTCGGCGAATTCTTTCTCCAGTCTTTCCAATTGTTCTGGTGTAAATATTGTTCTTATACGTTTTGGCTTTTCTTGTGTCCATAATTGATCATCTTTCTCGTCGCTTAAAAAGCTTCTGTCCTCATTGCAAATGTTTCCTGAAATTTAAAATTTGGTCTATTTAGTAAGTGTAAGGGCTCTTGTTATTCTTCACCCGAGAATTGACTCGACTGTTATTTTTGCTATAATTATACATTCGACAAACTTTATGAGTTATTTTTCCTCAGTTCTCCCACGCCAACTGTCCTAACAAATTTGTTTGTTTCAGATTGACATTTCTTCATTTATTTTAAGTTATTTAATTTATTTATGAGTACATCGCTCATGCACAGTTCATAAAAGAGCATACTAATTTAATACGTTACCACGCGTCGATTATTGATTACGAAATCTTACCGACATTTCAACAATTTAGTCATCATTAAGATTTTACTCGGATTTTTTGACCTTTTTACGATATGAAATAAGTTTAGATGGGAAAGATGCTTAAAAACATTTTCAATGCTAACCAAAGCAAAAAAATCCTTAGTTTGTATCTGTAATATTACTCATTTCATACTTTAAAGAAATCTATATTTGATTGATTATACTTTCGTGATGCTCAATTTTTTTCTGAAATCCATTTATAAAATACAATGAAACACGGTACGGTCGGACTTGCAGTTTGTATATTTCAGTAGTTAGTTAATATTTTACGCGTTGTGTTTAACGCACGCGCAGTATTAGCGTCAATATGGATTTATTCGCTTATAAGACTCTATTACTATTTTGCCGTGAGCTATTACTGTATTTCCTGTGTTACTGTTCAAACAAGCATTAAAAATAGGTTCACATCCGATCTCAGACAATAATCGAGTGAAAATGTTTCGCATCATCTACGAAAAGCTCTATCATTATGGAATTTTCAAATTAACTTGCAAGCAAAAAGCTTCGGTTTAATCTAAATGAATATAAGGCATTTATTATTTATGTGTAATAACACTGTAATTGCTTAAGTAGCAGTTTCAATGTTTCTTCCGTGTGATGGATTTGATTTGATTTCATAAATAGATTGTAGATGTAAGCTTATTCTCGATTAAAATTTTGCCTGTGTATGTATATAAGTGTACTACTTTCTTTCACAATGTTTCAAGTCATTGTCTTGTTTCTTCATCTATAAATAGGATGTAAATAGAGTCACCCGTTGTCTCAAATAAAGCTATAGAGACATTATTTCTTTAGCTGTTAACACAAACCACTGTTTAGTTTATACAGCAATTTCATGCTTATTTTGACAACTGTTCACATTAATTATGTTGTAGTTTATCTCAATGAAGTAAATATACAAAACCAACAGAGACTCTACTTTTTTGTTTCGTTTGCAAAACTTGTACTTTTCGTTTGCGCTGTTTCGTGTGCCTTCGAAGCGGGATAAATTTCTGCGCTTTTTTGTGTCGATTAAGTCTTCAATGAGGGCCAGAATTTAATTTAATGAATAATAATACGAAGCAAACTTGGAATAACAGCATTTAGGCAAACTGAAGATTTTTTGAGGTCATCATTTATGAGAATGAAAGTCGTTGGTTGAATTTAGATTTTTGCAATGTTTGCATCACGAAGAAATTTATACAATAGTCTTCCTCGACAGCATACTATTTTTTTCTTAATTGTATACAAGCTGTATGTTTGTTTGAACAGGAACAGTCATATGGAAATAGCTTGCATTTGCCTAAAGCACTTCATTTTTCAGGTTCTCTTCATGCTCTAACTACCATTAATTTCGCGGTTAGATTAGCATGTACTGATGTGCATGAGGATATATGATTAGAAAATATTTTGTAGACATGTAGATTTTTCAAAATAAAATGAATTTTCTTCATTCAGAGCAACTTTGAACTCACTCATTCTTAATTACACTTCTGTATGATATTTAGGAATATACTTTCTACCAAAAATGATCCAGTTAGCGAAAACCTAGATATTTCCAATGTTTCTGAAAATTCAGGCGCATTGGAAGGATGAGTTTATTAGCAATCGAGTACTTGTTGATCAATGAAGTATTTTTGAAGATTCAAAATTCTTTATAATGAGACAATTACCTGTCTTAGTGGTACATTCTTCCTTTCTTTCCATCATTTCTGCATGTATATAGTGACGCTTCATTTTTGAAGTTTTCATCATCGCTTGCGGTTTATGTGTCATAAATAAACTGTCTGTAAACGTTGAACTTCTCGATGGCTGTCTTTCATCTTTATTTTCCTCCGTTCCAAGAATAGAAGAAATACTAAACGACATCCGTGGCTTCGTTAGTGGTTTTTGCTCGTGAAAGGTGTAATGCGGACTGCTTTCCTCTATTGAATATTCACTGGAGCCGGTTTCAAAAGTAGGGTAATAATGAAAAGTTTGGTTTCCAAATGGATGTATTGCGGTAAAGTTCTCCCAATTGTACGAATCATATTTTTCTTCTTTGCAAGTTTTGATTTCTGGTGTCATTTCTTCTTCCTTCTTCACTGTGGTCTTTTCCATCTACAATACAAAGTGAAAACGTCTTTGATTTTTCCTTTATATATATATAAATAAGACTGTGTTGCAATTAACGGCAACTTTGTTCAACTTATCACACGTTTTCAATGGAGTTGGAACAAAAAACAATAGTAAGTTGCTATTCAATTCAATAATGACATAAAGCACGCTTGTTATGCGAACTCTTCAATATGTTTTGTAATGTGTGTTTATTAGTTTCTATTCATTGCCCTTTCTTCTAATTAAGCATTCGCACTAATTACGCTGAGAAGTTTGATCGGCAAACAAAACAAAATATTCTATGGTTTTTTTACATGGAATATTCTCATGTAGGAAAGCGTTTATGTATCAAGCACTAAATCAATATATTTACAATAACAATGTGCAATTATATATTTTAAAATAGATCATTTTTTTTCTTCTCATACTATTTTACGATCTGGACAAACTACTCCCAATCAATGCTAAAAATCTTTGTATACCCACATCACATTTTCCTTGCCTATCTATAAACGACAACGATGGCATTGAGACATCTTCACAAGTATCAAATAAAGGAAATTCCGAAATCGACGAGTTCATATATATTAAAGAATTTTGGAATTATGTTTCTATATCAAAACAAATTTCAAACATAAAACAAATTTCAATGGCGATGCTTTTTATTTATAGACGTAAATGCTTTAGTGATAAATATGCTATAATAACGTTTTCTTGCACAGAAATCTGTAGACGTAAACATGGATATCTTTTTTGATGTGATCTGTGTCCTCTGCTTTATGATACTTGTGTGTTAGGTATCTATCAATTTATAATCGTCGATCTTAACATCTTGTTATAAAGTATCATGTATATACATATATATATATATATATATATATATATATATACCACGTTTTGACGACAGGTTGAATTTTACCTTGAGACTTTTCTCACTTCAGCAACATTTTTGTATGAAAGTAATGAATGGATATTGGCTTGAAATTAAGTAGTGTGCTTTTAAAAAAACATCTGGCTGTTGTTCTTTTTAAGCAGTATTTATTCATATCCCCCCCACCCACCTGCAGCCATAGCCATCTATGCTCCCTACTTAATTACAGACTCTGTATCATTGCAAATACATGTATTTTCTGTGCTAGAATAGATACGATCTTAATTTGCAATTGTTTCGGCACTCAACAATTATCTCCGATGAAAAAATTTCGCGACTTTGTGCGTCATATCTCGCCTCGTTGGTTTTCAAATCTTCAACAGAACACTTCTGAGGAGTGCTTGCTAATAAATCTTACCAAAGTGTAAGAATGTTTTCGTGTTTATCTGAAAACTACGCGAGATCTGAGATCTGTAATTGTAACTTGCCACGATGAAAATTCTAACACTTCTTTTCAATAGCTCTTTTTTGATGTTAATTGCCCACTCCCACTTTTTCGTTGTTTGAAAGCCGTGAACAACGCTTCATCAATATATACGCACACGTGTGGGTCTATGTGCTGAATAATAAACTAACTAAAGCAAATAAAGAGTGTATGAGTGCCTAAGAAAGTCGAGTTTCTTATTTTTTGTTTTGTGAATATGGAAACTCTTGATTTGTTTTTGTTTTATTTTTTGTTATCCCCATGCATGCATTCCCAACACTTTAGTTCTGGCGGCATTAATTCAACTTACCTTTTTTCACTGAAAAATCCTCAAAAAAAGAATTCTCGGAGCTGAACGTTATCCTGTATTCTATAATGATATTTCTATGTATGTAGCAATTATCCTTTGTCCAAACAAATATATTAAATTGTATCTCTTGCGATTTCTATGCTATCGCGGAGAGAATTTTCTTCAACTACTTTAGAATTTAATTCGTATGTCAACTTTCCAGACACTTATATTCTCTACATGGGCGATAAGCCATCTAACTTGCTAATTACTCAAGCTATTAATTGCTCAAAATAACAAAATATATCAAAGACAAGCATTAGGCTCTCCCCATTCATCTGTGTATACATTCACTGTATATTTATTCATAGTTCATGGTCGGATGTTCTATCTCTTTTAAATTTACTCCTCCGTGCGGATATTGTCCTATTCAAATACCTGAATATGTTTTTCAAAACACTTCTTACATTAATTGAACAATATACAAAATATATAAATTAGCAAAAACATAAAAATCATCTTATAGTTGACGGTTGCTTAGTACAAAATGAACTGTTGAAATATTTCCTTTTGCGGTTTTAATAGAAACATATTGTCTGATTAATTATTTATCTCATTTTCTCGGTTTTGTGTCAAAATTCTGGATCTTTTTTTTTTCATCTGACCGCATCTCGGTAGCTTATTATAAATTAAATATTAAGAATTAAAATAAGCATATTTTGTTGTACAAGTGTAAAGGTCTGGATTATGTGTTTGACTTGGGGGAAATCGTAGAAAAAAAGTTGAAAAAGTGCAGAAGTAGTTTCCCAAAAATGTACACAACCACTTTAATGAATTAAAGAGGCAACTTATGATTTATAGAAAAATTTTGATATTTGACTTAAGTAACATTAAAACTCCCCTTTCTAAGTACTTTTTATATGTCAAATGGACGTAGTCTGAGATCTGTTGATATGCGCAGCAGAAAACGTTTCAGATGGTTTTTTTCTCATTATTCTGCATGCAGTTTTTAATGGTATTGTGTAAAATAAAATGTAAGATACATTTCGTGCATTTGTTTCGTACTTTCAATGAGATGCTGTTATATTTAAATTATTGTATAACTGATATCTAGTCAACAAATTCAAGCAGGATTTCTTCATCACGAGAGTATGAAAAATTTTTTTCCAAGTTTGAGTCTTGGAGCATGTTGTGGAAGTAAAACTGATGATCATTGGGAAAAATATTTTTCTGATCAGGTCTTGTTTTCGTCAGTCGTGATATAATTAGGATGTATTTTTCGTCAAAACAATCCTTATTCGTCGGCCATCTGTTTTATTGTTACTCCATTGAGATTAATAATTCAAGATTTTTCTTATATTCTCAGATGTCTGTATGATAAGGACTGAACACGTTCTGTTCGCGCACACATTATTTGCTAAAATTATAGGAGTTTAATGTGACCGTGGATGGACCTTTAAATAGCAGGCCTAATATTATCGTTACGTGTTTTAAACCATCAAGCACTTTCTTCTTTCTTGTTCGTGTAAAATGTTAGTATGTCATCAGTCTGCATACCACTAGGAAGATCATGAATTTTCAAGATGTTCTTAGGTATCTCTTGCTACGATAACTAAACCTATCTTCCAAATACTTCAGACTCTTCCAGACATAATGAAATGACTGCTTGTAGCTATTATTCAATGTTATAACATAATTTCATTGATAAATTCAAAGAATTCTCTCCTGTTAGTCCTTATGTCTACATCTTTTTTTCTCAGAAAAAAGAACTAGTGACTAAGTTCACTAAAATATTGTTCTGACACGAGTTTTCAAACGTTAAGTTAAACACAAAGCTTGATTTACTCCAGGAAAAAAAAGAACCAAAAATTTGAATACTCAACAAATCTTGGGAAATTTACCTTTACATCTTCAGTCTTCATGAAGCGTAGTTCATCCATTCTAAATCTTCATTCTTAAACAAATGCAGCCAAACGAACGCGATGTCGACTCATAAACTTATTTTTAAACCAAACAGTTCATTTATTTAAGCGACAGATGTATGCATTGTTCATGTAAAATGGCTGTAATATGTACACAGGTTTTGTATGAGAGACATATGTATTTCGAACAATGCCTTATTTATATACTAATTTACTGGGACAACTAGAGTGTATCTGTGATTTTATAGATTAATTTAAGTTTTGTGCGTGAATTGATTTTTGAAGGGTGGTGTTGACTGGGCGTTAGAAGGAACCTTTGATGAAAAATCTCTTTGGTTTTGCTATGCAAGAATTCTTTCGATAGTGTGTAAGGAAGTTGATTGCTAATTATCGTGACAATTTATTAATTATTTTCACTATCATCTTCGTGAAAAAAAGCATCCAATCCTGTAATCTCACTCCTTGTTTTGGAAATGATTTCAAAATGACGTCATCATTATCGGATTTGAATGTGCAAATATTAGATGTCAGCTGTGTGTCCCATTAGTATAGAAATTATATGTAATTTTTAATTGTTTTTAATAACATAACATATGATATTTCGTTCTTGTTTTGTCTTTTCTTTGTCTTTCTTAAATTACTATCACTTTAAGCCAATTTAAAATGTTCAGATAAGGAGGACATATGGCATTGGCTAGAACGCAAAGAGAATGGGCAATTTTAGTGGGAGAGGTGAGGCTGAGTATTGGCGTCTTAATATATGAATGCTGTAATATTGAACCATAAATATTTATATTTAATCAGTGTATACTTGGTTAAGACACCTTTGTACATACACGAACTCCTTTCTGTGTTATGGTTTTGTTGCTTATGTTGTATTATAATCACAAATCCTGGAGTTTCTATTAAAAGTCCATGTTCTTCAAAAAGTAGTATATTTAATATAGTTTCATACTGATTCACCCAACAAACAAGTTAGTCAAGATAGAATATTGATAAAATGATCTCAGCACTCATTTTTCAATCCATTTAAAGTACAATATTTGTAAAAAGAAGTTGGAAAGCAAGAGAGAAGCTTTGAAGATCATGAAGAAGGAATGGCACTCGGCACAACGTGAAAATGAAATTTATAAGAATAAATTAAATCAACTTGTAAGTTAGCTGTGCAATGAAAAGTGTTTTTTATGATATTTCAGCTTCAAAGTCTTTTTGTGTAAATTCTAGCAAAATGAATTAGATCAACATAAACAAAATGAAAAGTTGTTGACTCAGGAAAGGAACCACAAAAATACCACTCCACGGAAATCTCCATCAAGTCCAGATCTTGTCAGCAGTCATACGTCCAAAGTATGTCAAGTGTTTGATTTCCAAAGTGATTTTTCATTTTAGAAATCTTATATAAACTGGTAACAATAAGACCAATTAACAGAAAAATTTTCGTTGTTAGGAAACTTTGGCACAATTGGTGTATGAGTACAAGCTGGCCAATAAAGCTTTAAAGCATGATTTTGGTGAATTAAAGAGACTATACATTCAGTCTCAAGAAGATGTTCAATTCATACGAAATCGAATGAGACGCCAGTCAAGTTCTGGTAGCCATGGTGATGAGACAAACGTGATTGATGGGAAAGAGACATGTATAAGGCAGTTGGAGGAATATAAAGAACAGGTTAGTGCATTATCAAGTAGGATGGCATGTTTATGCTTGAAATGTCTTGTTCGAGTGACTAAGCATGTTGGAGTGGTGAATGGTAAATATATTTATTTTATGAATAGGTAGCAAAACTGGAACTTGACTTAAAAAGTATTAAAGATGAAAATAGTGACATTCTCTCAGAGGTTTGTACGTTGATTATGTCTTTGAGTGTATATTTATATAAGTAGTTGATTAAATGTCAGTATATATTTTTATTTGTTTTAGAAAGAACATTACAAGGAAAAATATGAAAGACTTAACATGCAGCTAAACTACATTTTAGGTGCAGATGATAAGCGTCTTTTTGACATCGATGCTTTGGTTCTTGACAACGGGTAACAATCAATCTCTCTCATTGTTTTCACTGTTTGCATGTTGTAATTGTTACCGTCATGTTCGTTTGCATTTGGTTTTATACATTTTTTCAGGTATTTAAAGGAAAAGTTAGCCTTGTTGGAGGATGAAAGAAATCTTGAAAAGGAAACAATAAAAAAGTATGAAGTAAGTCACTGTTGTCTCTTCTTGTATTTTCACATTTAACAAAAATAAACTTAATTCAAACTTTTTCACAATAACCTATCATTTAGTTATAATAACCAGGTCTGATCAACTCTTCATGCAGCTGCATAAGTTTTCAATTTAGACTTAATCAAATATTTTGTATTTAGGAAGCATTCGAGAAGAAAAAAAACAAAGTTTTACATCAAGGAATCGAGTCAAGATCCTTTCATAATCATAAATCATCGAGTAAGTAAAGTAGCTATGACTTATGCAAACATTATCCTAGGAAATATTCAAAAACTCTGTATTTTATGATTCTTTTCTTTATAGATAGTGATCATTCAATGAGAACGGTCGAGGACCTTCGAAATGTTGCAAATATTCTTTCACAGACGGTGACAGAAAAAAATCTTGCCTTATCTCATCAAAAAAATGCCAACAAGTGAGTTTTTGTTGTTTCTTTACTCTCTTTTTCTTGAGTGAACGATCGTTAGATAATCGTAAATCCATCTGTCAGCGAAGCAGCAAAAATCTTTGCGTAGAATTTTAGCATCTAGAAATTTTAACATCCTAAAAGTGTTTACTTTGATCTATTGACTCTTCCCTTAAAATAAAGACTTGAAATTGAGAAAATACTGACTTGAAATGAAGAATAGCTATATTAAAGTAAATGGTTTGAACCCGGGAGTATCGTTACATGTTTGTAAATGTAGATCGTCCAGGTTCGTATAGTCCTGAGAAGGACTGTTTTTGTTGTTGTTGACTGACATTTCGACAACCTTAGCAGTAGTCTTCTTCAGAGTCAAATGAGGAGAAACGTCAGGTTAGCCGATAACTGAGCCATTTGACTCTGAAGATGACTACCGCTAAGGTTGTCGAAACGTCAGTCAACAACAACAAAAACAGTCCTTCTCAGGACTATACTAACCTGGACGATCTACATCTACAAACATGTAATAGCTATATTATAAATTTCACTTGCGGCTGTTAAAAACATAACGAAGAACGAAATTCGTCCTTCAAGACAGTTTCTGTTACGTTAAACTGTCGTAAAACTAATCATTTCTGGCCAACATAGTTTTTATGTCAAATGTGTTATATCTTTGAAATGGAGAGAAACTGTGGATTACTGTGAGAAACACTAACAGTTTTAACTAGCACTTGTTGATTTTTTCTGCCTATTTTAAGTTGATGTGAACAAAAAAATAATTAAGAAAATATTCTGAATCATAAATGTTTCTGCTCCAGTTTTCAGTTTTTTCACGAAATGTACATATCTGCGTTAGAATATTAGGAAAACGCGTTAGCGAGCTCGAGAAAAAGTTGAAAACGTTAGAAGTTGCTGGATTATGGTCTTTACCAGGTATAAGGAACAAAGGTTGAAGGATTTTTGTATTTATGCATGAACTGTGTTTTATAATTTGAACATGGTTGCAATTGTACTTCTTAGGTCATTGTGGGTTTAACATGGTTGCATTTGTACATGTTAGTTCATCGTGGGTTTAACATGGTTGCATTTTTTACATCTTAGATCATCGTGGGTTTAACATGGTTGCATTTTGTACATCTTAGGTCATCGTGGGTTTAATATGGTTGCATTTGTACATCTTAGGTCATCGTGGCTACGGCTCTCAAATTCTTTCAAACAACAATATGTTATGTGATGACGTTAAACATTGCCCTGGTAACGGAATGAGCCCACAACTAGGTGGGACGTCAGAGATTTTTGATAGAGCAAACGACTCGAACATGGTGCTTTTAAAATTACATGATGATGACGATGTTGACGGTAATTTTGTCGAGGATGATAACGGAAAAAGTTTTTTATGCCGTTAATAATCGTATTTTATTTATCTCAATGTAGGTAAACTTTCATCTCATCTTGAATCACCTAATGTGCTATTAGATAAAAGTTTTACATCACCAGATGCCGGCGCAGCTTTGCTTTTATCTTCTCAAAGATTGACAGGAAGTAAAAACATTCGACAAAACTGTCACGTGTTTACTCGGCACCATCCTTGCTGGAAAATTTATCTTTTGGTAATGAAAGAATCGACTGATTGTGTGATGGTGATTGTTTAAATTTTGTATGAAACAAGTTATTTATGAGAAAGGGGTTTATTTTTTGCAAACTTGCATTGCATATGTGTAATACCTATCACAGTTATTTATAATAAACAAAACTACCCTTTTTACTTTTTTACTTGTAGTCTTTTCTCTAGTACGTTGAATTTCTTATCTTTCTCTGTTAAAAACTCCCCCGAATGAGAACGCGTTTTTACTGAATGCTTTTGTATATTGGTTGTAATATGGAAACTTGTGACGTTTTCATTGGTTTGCTTAAAAGTGAGGTAAGGTTTGTTGTTGGTCTTGTTGCAAACGATTTGAAGGTCGTTGTATGATTTTAAAATACCAGAATATAGTACGTTAGACCATTGTGGAATTTTTGATGCCTACTTGTTAGTATCGTCAGCAATGAGCGATTGTGAAGTGTGAATTTTTTCCCTAAATGATGAATAGTTTTTTCTGTCTTTTCTTTAAGTCATCCATTCTCTTCATAAGTTTATTCTGCTCTCTCGTCAATGTTGATAGTTTCTCCATTTTTTGTCGAGATATTTCTTGCATGACTTTTTCGTGTTTTTGACACGATAGCACATTGGCTGCGTATAAATTATCGACAGCAGTTCTTGACTGGATGATGTAACATTCACATAATGTGTCTTCAACTGGCGAACGTCTTTCATTAAAAAGCTTTTTTAAACTGGTTGTGGATTCCTCTTCGCGTGGCTTTAGTTCTTTTCTTGAGCTCTTTAAGAACATTTTACTGCTCGTTTCTCAGACCTGTTGATTAATAAGGACAAGCTATTTTTAACTGTGTTCTCGTCAGCGATGCAAGAATATAGGCGTAAAATCCTTGCAGTTTAACTACTTCCGTACAAAGACTTTCTGTGTATTGTTCTTGGAATTTAAATTCTCTTGTTGTTTACACGTGTAAGCGACGTGATATACCTCGTTTTGTGGTTAACTTTTTAGGGAAAACAATTGTTGAAAAGTCTTCTTCACTACACGTCTTTCTGCAAATATAATCAGACTTCTTGTTTATCTGCTTTGATAGTGTGGAATTATCTCAGTATAAATTACTGCGGCGTATTTAAATTTAGTAGTAAGTGCTTGTGTAAATACATAAAGATGACTTTCTTTGCTGTATCGAAATTAGCTCATCGTTCCAACAGTTATAAAACTAAATCAATCACTAAAATTTTCTTTTCCAAACAAGTTGTTGTCTGTGTTTCATCAACTGTGGATATTTTTCATTTTCTAACGATGTTATGGACGTTCCATACTTTGAATTGACTTAAGGAAAAAATCTCCTCTAAGCTTGTTTATTTTATTTTCAAAATGTAATTTCATTTGATGATTTGATTAATGTGACCTGGCATTATTATTATATTTTAATGAAGGCCAAGATCATTTTATTCATGTCACTCGTAAATTATTACGAGTTGATTTCTTAATTTGGCTGTCTGACTTATCTCTTTCAACAAACAGCATCCATTTAACTTTATCCAAAAAAATCACAGAAAGTTACCATTCTGTTTATCTTTTATTTATTCACATGAGAATTATCACAACCTTAACAAGGATAGTTATCCGCTCCTGGAACAGATAACTAAAGTTACTAAATCGAAGTTGGTCGCTACAATTGTAGCAAAATAGAAATTCAATTGGGACACATCTACAAATGCATTTGAGTTTAAGACATTTTCCTTAAGCAGTAACATCACTTCAGATAAGCTCGACGCTGAAAAAGATCAGAGCAGAAATCAAAATGGCTGTGATGATGGAGATAAGTATCGTTATTTGATGTCTATTGCTTTCGGCTACGCTGCGAGAAATTCAAGATTTCGGAATGAATTTGAGGTGTTGCAAATGCTTGGAAAAAGGAGGGTTTGCTTCAGTTGTCAAGGTAACTTTTTATTACATACATCGTTTAAAGAGACGGTAATTTGGTCATGTGAAGGAAATTTTTTACGTGTTTTGAACATACCATATATACGCTTAGGTTCGTAATAAATTGTAAGGCTATCTTTATGCGAGCAAAAGAATTCCTTTGAATTCGAAAATTGTGCTGTTTAATCGCAAAATTACTCGAGAGGAGAAGTTACTTTCTAGATGGAATCATGAAAATATTGTAAAGTAAAAAGAAATTTACTATCTAAAATTTATTCAAAATTTTATTACATAAGTGTTGAAGGCGATGTTCAATTTAGACGATACAAATTGCTTGGCTTATTAAATGTTATATTTGAAGAAAGTATTATAAAAAAGTAGATAATCTCTTTTTTCCATGAAGCCCTTTGATGCTTTAGTTCATGACGAGAGAGTTATATGGTATAAGGAGGCTCTCTCGTTTATCACGCGAGAGTTATGAGGAAGTTACATTGTAAAAGGCAACAAGTAAAAAACGTATAAACATGCTTAAAGTTGGTTTAAATTATAAGTCAAAAAGGCAGAAATTGTTTGAACCTTTGCAATATTCTTGGATGTTGTAGTTTCTTTTATGAGAAGAATTCTTGTAAAGAAAAAAGACAAATTTTGAAAACGGAAAATCCCGTGTTCGATCCATGCCTCCCGATACCCCGAGATAGTTTAGCACTAGAACGTCGCATGTTAGTTAAGGGAAAAAGATAATCTTGTTGCCATGAAGTCCATGGATGGTTTGCTTGTGATACATGAGAAACAGTAAATGAGAGAATTAAATCAGAAAGATATAAACCAGTAGAAATGTATAAAACATGTTTAAAGTTATCTTGAGTTGTAAGTGTCATAAAAAGGGACAGTTACAGAAGAATTTAATTTGAAGCATTGCTTGGTTTATTTTATTTTTAAAAGATAAAATTCAAAAGCAAAAAACCCCGTTTTCGGTCCATGCTTCCCGATACCTTCTTAAGCCGAGGCACTAGAACGCCGCATGTTAACGTTTCGGTAGGAGATTTCGGCCCCTCCACGCTATCCTACTTGGGAGATGCAATAGCAAGCTTCCGCCCATCAGACCCCGAGATCACCTGCGATAGGCTTTGCTCGGGGTACGCAGGGAGAGTGCGGTCGCGACCCGAAACGTCTGGGCCCCTAAGCCACTGCATACATATCGCACCCGGCTTCCACTGCTAGTTGACATCTACTATCCATATATTTAGCTTATATTTATATACAAAAATTCAAAGGCTTACGAAAGTTGTGGTATTATTTAAGTCACTACTGCGCATGCTCAGATTATTTCTTTGATATTTTGCGACGAAGTGAGCTAATTGCCACAAATGTAGTGCAAGTACTTATAGTTAGTTGTTGTCATGACTATGAACAATTAGTCGAGTGGACTGCGCATGCTCGAGCGCACGCGCAGATGATTTCTCTATTATATTGTTATTAAACATGCTATTTACTTTAAAATCGGTGCCGATAGATGCAATTGGTCGTTGCCATGACCATGAACTTAGACAGTTGGTCCAGTCGACTGCGCATGCTCGAGCGTACAGCGCATGCGCAGATAATTTCTCTATTAAATTGGTATTAAACATGCTATTTACTTTAAACTCGGTGCCGATAGATGCAGTTGGTCGTTGCCATGACCATGAACTTCGGCAAATCGTCTAGTCGCATGCGCATGCTCGAGCAGACTGCGCACGCACGAATGATTTATCTGAAAATTTGTGACTAAGCGAGCTAATTACTCCATAATCGGTACTAGTACATACATTTGGTCGTTGCCATGACCGTAAACTTGGAGATTATGTGGAGTTGATTACGCATTCTCAGATAAAATCTCGATTAATTTGTAACGGAGGGAGCGCTGGATTTACTGCTTGTGTATATGCCCTTAACAAATTTTCAATCATATATTTTTGGCATGCTCTTTGTATTCTTAAGCTTGTTTTGACAAATGCAATATCAAACTCATAAACTTTGTTAAGCCACTCGTAATATCTGTGACCATGTTAGAGATGTTTTTGTTTTTCTGCATAACTTTGTATCTGCATATTTTGCATAAACAATGCTCTAATTTTTTTGCGACAGATATTATAATTTATGGATTGAGGTAGAAGAAATACTTGAAAATGAAACTTCCAACAGTGAAACAAAATCAAGCATGACAGAGGAGAAACAAAGACGTATGTGTAAAATTTTTACAACTTTTCTAGATACGTATTGTTTAGAAAGATGAAGAAGTCAAAGGTGTGGACGATCCTGTTGAATATCTCAGGCAAAGATTTCATTTGAATGTTGTAAATTGTACACGGCGAATAACGTTGAACAGTTCATTTTCCCCGATTTTTTCACCCACGAAATTTTGCCATATAAGGTATAGTTGTTCGCTTCACAACTTGCTAACGACTATACAAGGTATAGTGGCACCCATGTTTTTTGGAACATGTTGCGATCTATAAATTATAATAAATTTGTGATGATTTCCCGTCCAGGTATTTACTATACAGGGGCCGGTTGCACGAAGCCTGGATAGTGTTATCCATTGGATAGCAAAAATTTTCAAACTTATAAAAAAGGTGTTTATATTTTTCATGCGACAAAGAAATTTCGTAATCTTCGAAACAGTATTTTATTTCAGTGGTTGCTCAGCTCAAATCTTACATTCTTTGCTTATTCATAGGTTTTATAAAAGTTTAAAAAAAATGCTATCCAGGCTTCGTGCAACCGGCACCAGGTCAGTGTTTCCTTTCCAGTTCTCAAATCTGGATCAATCTGGATGCTTGTTATAACTGGTCAGCGGTCATCAGCGACAGCAAGCACTTTGTGTTGAACGAATAACTGTATCTTCCACTACACATGTGTGGAAAGAGAAATTCATAAATTTATCTTATATTTCTAAAGTATGAGTGCGCTCATACACAATTGAAATGATTTACAAAGTGTTAGCAGAAACAATTGATCATGTATGGGTTTTTTCGTGGATATTATCATCTGAAAAAGAGTTTTAAATTGGGAACCGTAATATTTGTACATCGGAGTCCAAGTTTTTCAAGAAAGAGATGGTTCTGTTGTCCGTCGTACTTCACCGGTATCCCTGCTTCTTTTGACAGAAGTAAAATAATTTGCAAATACAATAAAGAAAGAGTTACTTGCTCTAACGTTGTCGGTGATAAAAGTAAAAGCAGCGAAGACAGGATACCATCTGCAGTTAAAGAATTACTAGGAATTGAAGTTTACCCAGAAATATTTGACCAACTTCCTTGTAAATGCACAGGCTGTGGTGTCATCTTGCAAAGTGATAATGTGCAAAAGCCTGGATTTATTCCCAGCTACAGAAACCCTAATATTCACAGTAACATCGAAGAAAATTTTTATTACCTGAGATCATATGTCAGCGATGTTTTAATCTTAAACACTACAGTCAAGATGTTGGACCTATGGTTCCACCTGAAGCCACTGAAAAATTTTTAAAACACATCTCTCGAAGAAAAGCCTTGATACTATATGTTGTTGATGTCATGGATATTCCCGGATGTTTCATTGAAAATATCATGGAAATTGTCGGTGAAACTAAGCATGTTATACTTGTAATCAACAAATTAGATAGCTTTCCTGTTGATGGAAAACCAAAACATCAAATTGAACGGTTAAAAAAAATTATTCTTGACATTGGTAGAAAGCATGGCTTAGCTTATGCAAACATTCTTGATGTGGTTGCCATCAGCTCCAAAACTGGGTTTGGTGTAAAAAATTTAGTACGAACCATCAAGGAACATTGGAGGAAAAATTCTGATGTTTATTTAGTTGGTTGCAATAACTCAGGAAAAACAACATTGTTTAACTTGCTAAAAGATCTTTTGCCTCAAGCCGTTCTTCAGAAAATATGCTTAAAAGAGGTGTAGTTAGTCCATCTGTGGGGACAACACTAAGCCTTTTACGCTATCCTATTACAAAATACAGATTTCAAAGACTTGGAGACAGACTTAGGACTGGCGTTTCTGAGAAAATGGTAGTTGTTGTTATTGTTGATTTTCCAAGCTTAATTTTCATCATTTCATGTCTTTTTATCCATTTTTAATTTGTATTGATGATCATTTTCAGATTAATGACAAAGAAATGATTATGGAGGTTGACTTAGACGATGATATAGTAGACAAAAGTTTGACCAAATATAGAGACATAAAAGGTGATGTTCTCAATACTTGTGCTGCTATATCACCTTATCATCAAGTTGAGATTGTAGCACAACAGGAAAGTAAAGAAACCATTTCATGGTTATATGATACACCAGGTTTATTCAATAAAAATCAGGTATTGTTTAAGTATGTAGTCTGTACAAAGCTCAGTAAAAACTATTGTTACTTATTGGTTGAAATTTGTACCTGCCTAGTTGACACATATTTTGAGAAATGAAGAATTGAAGCTACTCAATCCAGCTTTGTGGTTTGTTCCACGAACTGTGATAATGAGACCAGGTCAAGTTATGTTTCTTGGAGGTCTAGCAAGACTAGACTATCTTCATGTAAGTTAAATTTAAATTAGCTAAATGAAAATGAATTGCATAGGACATTCATACGTGCTATATGACAATTAGTGGTGTCAATATACAGTATCACTGTGTATCCTCTGATATCCTTACACATACTGAGATATCACATGGTATCCTCTGATATCCTTACAAGTACTATAGTTTCTTTATCTTTGATAGATCACAAGAAAGTCGTTGCACCATCCAAATAAGGATGATAATGTTCTTAAGGTACTGATAAAGCTTTAGTAATTCGTGTGTATCCATTATATTTATATATAATTATTCTTAAAGTAAATGGTTTGAACCTGGGTGTATTATTACATGTTTGTAAATGTAGATCGTCCAGGTTGGTATAGTCCTGAGAAGGACTGTTTTTGTTGTTGTTGACTGACGTTTCGACAACCTTAGCGGTGGTCATCTTCAGAGTCAAATGAGGAGAAACGTCAGGTTAGCCGATAACTGAGCCATTTGACTCTGAAGATGACTACCGCTAAGGTTGTCGAAATGTCAGTCAACAACAACAAAAACAGTCCTTCTCAGGACTATACCAACCTGGACGATCTACATTTACAAACATGTATAATTATTCTTAATATAATTCATTGTATAATTAATTATCAGTTGCTATCAAACAATTTTTTTTCTTAATAGGCCTCCCAATACATCTTTTTTACAATTTTTGCTTCGCCTAATCTTCCTGTCCACGTAACCAGTTGTGAAAGAGCAACAAAGTTCTATGACCAACATGTTGGTGAGGAAATTTTGAAGGTAAATAGGGATGACAGTGCACTACACAATTGATCATTGTCCTCACTCAGGGTCCAAAGTTGTATAGATGAAGTAAGAGACAAAGAGTGAATGGTTTGTTTGAGTTGTTGCCATCTAAATCTTCAAACTAAATCATCATATTTCATCTACATATGCAGATACCATGTGGTGGTGAAAGTAGAATGAAAATTTCCCACAGTTAAAAGGAAAAACCTTTGAAGTGATGGGAAAGAAGTGGAGGTACAGTGCAGCTGACATTGTCCTATCAGATGTTGCATGGGTTGCTGTGACTGCAGGCTCAGCATCAATTGTTTCAATCAAAGCTTACACACCCAATGGAGCTGGCTTGTATCTCAGAGAACCTGCTCTCCTACCTACTAGTGTTCAACAACGAGGTATGCCCATGCTGTACATTATGTCATTTTTATCTGTATTTTTTAGTTGGAGGCTTGACTATTATGCTTTAAATTTTTTCTGCCAGGACGTCGTGGTGTGCCATATTTGGGGCACGTCAATCGTAATATGTATCAGGGGACTCGTAAAAAGAGCCCCTCGTTGATGAAGTATTTTGCTAAAGAGAACTTTGGCACAATTCAGTGGATGAAAATTGCTGATAAAAAAGGAAAAACAACGTGTCTTGTTGAAATTTGCAAAAACACAATATTATCAAAAGCTGGGCGTCGGTTACAGCGCACGTAGCAATCCTCGCAGATATTTACCTGACACGAATGACCAAGAATTTGAGAGCAAGATGTTACAGAATGAATAACCTTGTGTTTGGTTATTAGGGAAGTGTCTTCAAGAAAGAAGATGTAGTTGTGGATTCTTTAGCCATGAAAATGGAAGCTTGGAGAAATTTTAAAACGTTTCCTCTCTGTGTGTGTCGATTGTTGTTTGTGGTATTATGACGAATTTGTTTTCGTTGACATCAGCAAAACATTAATATGAAGATAAGATTAAGGGGCTGTTCATATGAGCCCGGCTAACCGGGATCTAGTGATGCATTAAATGATTTTGATGCATTGAAAGGGGGCAAAACTTTAAGCGTAAAAATTACAACTGTTTGCTAAGAGCGCCACAAGTCATTTCTGTTGAAATTCTCAAATTAGGCCAAACTGGCTGTTTCAATTTTAAATGTTTTGCGCTGTCATTAAATCAGAATATTGTGAAATTGCTCGGGAAGATTTAACTGATGATAAGTGTAGAATCGTTTCCATTTGCCAAATTCATCTAACGCCTCACTAAATCCCGGTTAGCCTGGCTCATATGAACAGCCCCTAAGGTCTCTAACCATTCTATAACCCTCCTCTAACTACATTTCGTGAATTATGTATATTATGCAATATTTATAAGGCCTTTGCTCTATTTCTTGACTCCCACGCTCTTTAACCGCCGTTTATCACATACCTTATGACGTCACAAATATTTCACAACGAAATTCTTGTTTAGTTGGCCGAACAATAATTCCTGATAAATTTTATTTGTGCCTAGATTTGAGAGCGTTTTTCTGATTATTGTTTTGTGATAAAAAAACCACAGAATTGGCTCTTTAACCTGTTGAGTAAGGTTCGTAGTTTTTGAAACTGCCTTTGTGTCGAAACCTGCATCACTTTGGGAATGGCGTCAGTTAGAGACTTACTTCGTTCATTTGGTCTACTTGTGTTTGTGGCTTGTGTAACTGGTCAGGCTTTAACAGGAGTAATGTATGAACTGTCTGATCTTAAATCATGTAAACGTGTCCCAAATTTGCCACCGTGTAGTATAACAAGAGCGAACTATGTGCCTGATTATGCATCGAAGCAGTTCTTGAAGTTGATGGAGAAAATTTATCGCTTGGCGCGCGATATTTCTCGTTTGGACAGTCGTCCACAATGTAAAAAGGCGTACGAGCAGTTTCTCTGCGCTCAGTACTTTCCTAAATGTAAGAAAGGTCAAGATCCACGATATCCCAACCTAAAATAAACCGTCGGATCATACACGATCCTGACATATCAAAGAAATGCAGTAATGTCATAGCGTCATGTAATGAACTTGTGTCGAAGAAGTTTGTTGGTGATCGATACTTTTTATGTGACCATGTTGACAACTATCCTCGTGAAGGCTGGGAAATTGGTCGTTGTGTTAAATATGACGAGGAAAGTCGTTGTAGAACGACTGGGTCAGACGAACTAAAGGTAATACATGATTATACTACTTCACTAAAATTTTCAACTCTTCATCATTTGGAATTTGAATTCGTAAATAGAGATAAATTGAAAAGTATACGTTAGATAGGTCATAGTTTTAGTGGTGTGAATTTTTGTTATGGCTTGACAATTACTGTAGATTTGCAACATTTTGCTATATATTTGCAACTCATACAGCATAATTGCAACATATCTGTATACTAGCGACATTAACAGTATATTTGCAACATTTATTGTATATTTGCGACAATTAAGGAATACTTGCCACATTTGCAGAATATAGTACAAAATTTAACAATTTAACTTCATTCAGTTACCAGCATGGCTGAGAGACCAACATGACCAAGAGGTTCAGCAGTTCATGAATTTGACCACTTTCCATGTGAACCATACATTACCTCTGTGGTGCAGAATACGACTTGAAAATTTTTTATGTCGTCATCCAATTTGCAAAAATGGCAAACTTTTGACCAACTACACCCGACAAACCTGTTCTAATGAACTTGAATGGTAGGTGAATGAAATTCATTATTGCATTAATGTTAGATTGTGTTATCATTAACTTAATGTATATTTTCTGATTTAGTGCTCGTTTTGTTCCTGGCGAAATCAATGTAGATGCGATCTGTTTAACATTTCCAAGCACTTCATCATATAGCTTGGCAAACATGATGCTCATTCTCATAACCATTTTCATTTTTTCTGCTTGTGTACTCTAACATACATATTTTATCAATAAGTAATATTTTGTTCTTTGAGATGTTCATATACATGAAAACTTTCGAGCACCGTGGTATAAGTTGTACATGTTGTTTTTGATTTTACCAACAATTCAGAATTTATATGTGTGGTGAAGGTTAAATTTCATGAGGTGTTAATATTAGTCTCTTTACAGGTTTATAACTGATTCAAACATGATCATTCACCAGCTCGACAATTGTTGATAATTTCTAATTGCCGCAGAAAATTATTGCACGTGTATTACCTAATTTCAACGTTAATAATTCCTGTGAGTTTTTTTGGAGATGAAAATCCTTTCAATACTGCACAAAAATACGTATGTTGTCAATTTTTTTAGTTAATTTATAAACAGCAGTCATCGTTGAAATGGGTTGTAATAATTGGATGAACAGGTGTAGTTTGGTAAAATTTCATCGCTGCATTATCTAGAGCGTTTAGTAGTTTTAAAGTTTAACGATAAGAACATGTATTTGCACGTAAAATTTTGGAAAAAATGTACCAAGAACGCAAATTTAAACTATGGACTACCTATCGCTTTAAAACCTGCAAATGACCTATGAATACCAACATGTATGATATCATTAGAGAAAATACTTTCATTCTTATTGTAAGTTGTATCTATTGACTGTGAAATATATTTACCTTGTTTTTTAAAGTGTAGTCAATGAACGTCTTCAACTTTAACCCACGCATCATATAGTTCTATAACAATGATTAAAGATACTTCGAGCATATGCTGGTTAAATACCTTGCACGTAAACGCTGGGGGAGTATATGGTACTTACGTATGAAAAGTAAAAAGTTGCCAAAAAAAAACCTTCTCATCGACCGTCAAAAACATTGTCTTAAAAGGCTTATGGTTTTGTGAAAAGCTTTCTCTCCGAAACTACTTGAACAACGGAAACTGAAAATGAAAACCACATGTGCTGATTAATATCCGAATCGTAAATAGTGAGAAGTGTACTTTATTGTACTTAGAATCAATCATACACCACACTCACAGCGGTTGATGCCTTTTTTTCGATGGTTAAAACGCTGGCCTACCATCTTTCTAGAAGGATATCTATGCCGAAAAAATCTTACTTGAATATTTGTTTCGTATTACAAAGTATTTAATTGGTCGTCTTGTCATTTGCACTTGCGATATTGTATGTCGTGAATTTTTCATAAGAAAATTTCCATCCATGCAATTGCGTAGTCATGTTGCTTATTTGCTCTTGTTGCGCCAACATTTCGTGTTCTGATTCTTAAAAAAGGAACGGTGATGAACAGTCTAAAATTTACACAGAATGACCAAACTTTATGACAGGCTGTATTTTAAATTTATTTTCAATGAAAAACGAAAGATTATATAAACCGTCGACCAACAGTAGTTTTTCAAACTTTTTCATCTACGTCATCATTTATGGTCAAACGTCAGGAATTATTTGAGGATTGTATCATGCAGTGCATTTCCCACGGCCAGCGTTCATTAGACAGTGATGTAAGCATTATATATAATTAAAAATGTAACCTTTATAATCTCGGAAGTTTGTATTTGTATAATGTGATGCATGTTAATCATATTGGTTGAACTGTTGTAGGATGTGTTTCAACATTGTGTTGAAATATTGGCCTACACTTGCGATAGTTCATCTCTATTCTAGAACTGTCTACTGGCGTAACAACACGAAAGCACTTCTATGGGATGTGGTCGAGAGATATGCACAGCAATGAGTGTTTCCCACGCAAGGCGAAATGATATTTCTATGTGTGAAGGCTTGTATGATTAACCATACATGATTTGATTGTTTGTCATCAAGAGGATGGTCGACAAAGCTGAAGTAAAATACGGCAGTATGTCCAACTTCACCAGCACAGGTAACTCAAGTAAGCAAGCTGTTTAACTTTGTAAAACTTCGTACACGGATGTCATGTTTACATATTCATACATATCATATGAAACATGTGGGGCTTATCTCGCAAAGCGAACAACTAAGTTTCTATTTAACATGTATTTACAGCAATGTGCAATTGGCGACGAAACTTGACAATGTTTCAAAAAGCCTAAGTAATTATTTTTATTTTCTTTGGAGGTTTAAATGATCGAAGTGCTTTAAAGAATATAATGCAAATTGCGATACCAAGTGGTTTTGCTCTTTTTATTATAATCCTGCTAATCTTTATGGTAATATGTTGCAAAAAGAGAACACATTCGTCGAAATCAAGTTACACAGTTGAAGTTGTCCCCAGTCCAGTGTCACTCGATACCAAGATCAGTATAATAGAGACTCCTGATAGTCCAATTCCAATATATTCTGAAGCCGCTGAACGTCCGCAATCATTTGGAACGATAGGAGAAGTTGATATCGATGACGTCGACACTGAGGATTGTATAGTTACGCAAGATACACGTGTGGATGTTAAGTCAATATGTGTAGATACACATGAAGTGTCACTGGTGAATATATCAGAAGAAATGTTGGATAATTTTGAACAAAATTATGAAAATGTACAGGCAAATGAAACCCAATACGAAAATATTGAAAACCTGGAAAACGTTTACGAGACCATGAACGAAACTGAACGATACTCCTATGCATATGGTCACGTGAAAATTGATGACGTCAATGACGTCAATGATGGCTACGTTGTTATGAACAAATGTCAGAGTGATGACGAATGTGAGTATGGATATGCATATGATTGGATGACAAGTACTTTAAGAAAAACAACAAGTGAGGCCTTGTTAGAACATAATGACTTTCTTAAAGATAACGAGGATGATAATTTTTATTCTAATTACGAAGCAGTTTCAAAAGATCCAATGGAAAACGTTGAAACATCAGGAGAAGTCGTCGATGTGGAATATGTGAAGGTTTTATGAAGGTTAAATTTTTATTAATGATTACTTTGTATATTTTTTTATGATTCCTCGTGTAATTTTAAATAAGAAATAATTTTTTATACAACTTTTTAGTGTTTTTCTTGCTTCGCTGTTTTGGTATTTTGTTTGTAAACCATCTAAAAGGTCGACGATATTGGTACGAAACAATCTAACATAAATAATTTGCTCCGTGTTATTTGACCTCTTGTTATTTGAGCTTCCGATATTGTGTGACATATTTATAATTTCTGAAATTCATTATTTTTTCATGAATGAACGAAAAATGTATGAACTGTCTGTGAACAATAGTTTTTCAAATTTCTTCACACACTTCATCATTTCCTGCCAAACCAAACGTCATAGAAATTATTTGAATGGTTTCGTGCCAAGCATCTACTAAGATCAACGTCCAATAAACAGTGATGTATGTATTATATATGTTCACGATGTAACCTCTATAATCTCGGAAGTCGGTGTGATACATCAGTATATTTGTTACTTCTGTAATCTCGGAAGTCGATGTGATACATCAGTATATTTGTTACTTCTGTTATCTCGGAAGTCGGTGTGATACATCAGTATATTTGTTACTTCTATAATCTCGGAAGTCGGTGTGATACATTAGTATATTTGTTACTTCTATATTCTCGGAAGTCGGTGTGATACATCAGTATATTTGTTACTTCTGTAATCTCGGAAGTCGGTGTGATACATCAGTATATTTGTTACTTCTGAAATCTCGGAAGTCGGTGTGATACATCAGTATATTTGTTACTTCTGTAATCTCGGAAGTCGGTGTGATACATCAGTATATTTGTTACTTCTATAATCTCGGAAGTCGGTGTGATACATCAGTATATTTGTTTCTTCTGTAATCTCGGAAGTCGGTGTGATACATCAGTATATTTGTTACTTCTATAATCTCGGAAGTCGGTGTGATACATCAGTATATTTGTTACTTCTATAATCTTGGAAGTCGGTGTGATACATTAGTATATTTGTTACTTCCATAATCTCGGAAGTCGGTGTGATACATTAGTATATTTGTTACTTCCATAATCTCGGAAGTCGGTGTGATACATCAGTATATTTGTTTCTTCTGTAATCTCGGAAGTCGGTGTGATACATCAGTATATTTGTTACTTCTATAATCTCGGAAGTCGGTGTGATACATCAGTATATTTGTTACTTCTATAATCTTGGAAGTCGGTGTGATACATTAGTATATTTGTTACTTCCATAATCTCGGAAGTCGGTGTGATACATTAGTATATTTGCAAATTTTGACGTTCATTAATTATGTTGGAGAATATTTTTCAACGTTTGACGAGTTGTCCTCTTCTTCATAATATCAGAATATTGGCTTGCACGACACGACATGCCATAGTTTATCTGTTCATATGATATGATCCTCTTAAGTTGGTTAGTTTCACCAAGTCACGTCCATAGGATGTGGTCTTGTGAAATACCCATTGAATTCTTCCCACGCTGAGCTGAATGATATTTGAGCATGTAAACATGTACGAATGATCACAAAGGGACTGTCTGTCTTCTAATTCATGGAGATAGTCGATAAAGCTGAACAAATTTAACTATATTACAGCCATGACCATAAAGCCAACAGAAAAATCGAGTAAGAAGACTTTCAATTTTCTAAATGATTGTAATTTTAGGTATTCACACATATCTAATGAAACTTTGAGGATTTATGTTACGAAACAAAACACTACGTTTCTATTTAACATGAATTTACAGCAACGGTGCATAGGCTGATGAAACCAGAAAATGTTTGAAAAAACTAACTGATTATTTTTTCATGTAAGGTTCAAACAAGACTTCGGTGCAGAGTGAAAATGTTTCAAATAAAATATTGGAAATAACACTACTATGTTTATGCGGTGTGATTCTCATATCAATTCTAGTAATCTTTATAGTAATATGTTGCAAAAAAAGAAGAGCTCTTTCAAGTTGCCCAGTCGAAGTTGCTCCAAGTCCAATATCACTCAATACTCAGATCAGTATAATCGAGATGCCTGATAGTCCAATACATTGTGAAGCCACCGAACGTCTGCGTTTCTGTACAAGTACAAGAGCTGTCCATGATGTCGACACTCAAGATGGTTTAGTGAAAGAAACCCAAGTTGGTGTTGGGTTAATGTGCATAAACACATCTGAGTTGTCATCCGAGGAAATATCCGACTCATTCCGAGGAAATATCCGACTCATTCCGAAGAAATATCAGATTCATTCTTATCAACTGTGATCGACAATGAAAATGAGAAGGTAAAAGAAAACCAATACCAAAATACTCAAAACGAAGAAGACGTTTATGAAACCATAAATAGCGCAAACGATGAAACTGAACAGTACGCGTACGCATATGGTCACGTGAACATTGATGAAGTGGATGACATCACTGATGGCTACGTGGTAATGAATAAAAGATGTCAGAGTAATGACGACGAATACGAGTACGAGTTTGCATATGATTGGATGACAAGTACTTTAAGAAAAACAGCAAGTGAGGCCTTGTTAGAACATAATGACTTTCTTAAAGATAACGAGGATGATAATTTTTATTCTAATTACGAAGCAGTTTCAAAAGATTCAATCAAAAACGTTGAAACATCAGGAGAAGTCGTCGATGTGGAATATGTGAAGGTTTTATGAAGGTTAAATTTTTATTAATGATTACTTTGTATATTTTTTTATATTTCAAATAAATTTTTGCACATCTTTTACACAAAGTTTTGGACACTTAGTGTTTTTTGCTTTGCTATTTTGGTGTTTCAAAATAAGATAAATTATGGTACTCTATACCTTAATTGGCAAATGCGAAACTGTTGTGTGGGAGTGGTTTTTTGTGAAGAAAAATCGAGAAACATGTGATATGTTGAAGCAATTATTATAAAAAAAAACTCATAATACGCAAATACATAAAAAATGAATCATGTGTTGGCGAATCCCCCAGCATCCTATTTAAAACGGAAAGTATAGTACTGTATTCTTCTTGAATTTTAAGTAAGATTACGTAAAGTAAGTTTGCCTGAAAACGGCAACGGTAAAGTAAGTGCTTCCTCAAATTGCATTTCCTGGCAGCCAGTTCAAGTTTCACAACTATATATACATTCGTCAGGTTGTCTTGTTCATGATCATACAGTAAGAATGTTATCCAAAAAACGTACTCAATCAACGATGGTTCAAATTCAACGATTGTTGCCCGTGTTATGTTTCGCTCGGATCGTTGCTAGCAGCTCACACGTGTGGTTATCGGTTAGAGCAGTAGAAACAGAAGTCAAAAAAGCAGGAACATGTTTTAAAGATGATCACCACGGAATCCATGAATCATGTCGGAGAAGATCGTACATAACAGCAAAATCATACTGGCAAAATGAGGATTTATGCTTTGCTGATGTGAAAGAAGACATCTTCAATAAGTCATTTGCGTCTAATGTTACGATGATCAATGCTGGCAGTTGTAATATAACACACAAGCAGAGAATAGTTATGTTTCTCAATGATAACTGCACCTGGCCTGTCAAAGATGTTCCAAATCAGAAATTCTACTCCATAATCCTGAGATGCAAAAATATTTCAGAATTTCTCTGTTTGATAACGTCGATCCATTCATTCAAGCCTATCCATGTCAAAACATCAAGAACCTGTTTACGCAAACAGCTAAACAAGACGGCTCTCATACCCAGTGGCTTTCACACGACTAGCATGCAGAAGACGTCTGAAAATATTGGGAAAATGAACTTTTTTAGTCATGTGAAAATGTACGTTATTCATATTTCTGGAGCAATAGGTGGAGTTCTTCTAATTATCATAATACTTCTGGCAAGTTACTTATGGAAAGTTATCAAGAGCAGTAAAAGAAAGAAACCTGTTTCCGAACAGGATGATATCTATCTTGAGCCAATCGATAATCACATGGTTCAGCAACAAGAACCACATGATTATGCGTACGCCTACGATCATTTGATGAACATTAATGGTTTAAACAGGATAAGGCCGACGAGCTCGTCACCGTGGGAGGAACAACATGATTTTATGAACTCAACCCTGTCAGTTCAAATCTTAAATTCTGATGAAGTTCAAGACTATTTAAACATGAACGAACAAAACCAGTATGTAGTAACGAACAGTCGTTATGCATCTTTAAACGAATTAGACATGGTTGACAGCAATGATTCAACATATCAAAGCTTGTTAAAAGAAGAGAAAGAAGAAAGAAAAATTCCCCCGAAGGTTGCACCCAAACCAAAGATGCGACCTTAGAAAATGAATGCATGTGAACTTTTTAGTTATATGAAAATTTGTAAACTTTTATTAACTAATTTAATATCTTCAAGAAAAAGTAATAAGCTTTTACGGCTAACATTTGGGACATTTAAATTGTCTGTGCGTCATCCGCATCTACTTGACAATAGGGCTGTGTTCGTTTTCTTTATCTTATTATGATACTATTATTAAAAATGTCTTTGTCCTTAATAAAAAGTATAAAAAAATCTTTTTAATGAAAGGTTGCAAGTGGACGAAGCAATTTTCGTTTGATTGAAGTCGAATGTATACCTTAGGAGCAACTTCAGTATCGTGATTTGGGGAATACATAAATCATACAGCTGAGAGAGACTTGTTACTGAAAATGATAAAATTTTTGGACTATGTGAAGGTCGCCATTTCAACAATGTCAAGACAATTATCGTTAAGGAAGATTTTGTTGGAGTAAGATACTAGCTCTTAGTATTCTTTCAAAATAAGATATGAATTTTTATGAACTTCTCTGGAACGCTTGAAATGACGCCAACGTGGGCACAAATTAAAGCAACAAAGAGAAACTCTCAGTTCTTCGTTTTACTCTTGTCTTTATCTAACATAAGTTTGTTCTATCACATACCATCATGAGGCAGAGTAGACCATCCACTCTACGTAAAATCTTTGATCATTAAAGATGGATTTTCGAATGACAAGGCAATGACGATAAAAGTTTTAACTCAGTCAGCAGCTATTGTTTTAATGACGACATGATCGTGATGTTATGCACAAACAAAGTTTTTTTGTGCATATTGGCTTCTTATCCAAAACAGGAAGTTGTTTCCTTTGAATTGGCTCTTCATTGGAAATTGTTAAAGCCATTTGACAATCATGAATGCGTCCATTTAGTTATAAACACTCATACATTGAGCACCTTTCAACTATTTGACTTTACCCATTTCTATTCTTAACACGATTCTTCATTGTCGAAGTTTCGTTTTGACTTTCCCAGAATTAGGAAAAATGTGCATTAATGATGACACGCACGCGAATGTAGTCTCTCAAGCATGTCGTACAACTATCTTCTGAAAGATCTTACACGAATAGTAGTCGTGTATAACATTCTGTTTATAATTAGTGTTTAATTCTCGTACAGTTTACTGATTCAACTTCATTTGTTTCTGGATATGTCACGTTTGTATGTATGTTAAGTTTTGCTGAAAGAGAGCAATGAAACCAGTCGCAGTAACAATATTGTAAACTACTTTAACAATATTGTAAAGTCAAAATGCATCGTCATATTTATATTATCATATATATAGGATGTGTGATTGGAGTGGCCGCACATATTCACTATGAAGTATCATTGAACGTTGAGAGACAGGTTGATGGAGATGTCATATCAACTGGGAGAGCTAACGGTAGAAATGTCACTTGTGAACAATGGGATGCGGTGACCTTTTCGATGAAGAATTGCACTTTGAAATGTAAATGTAGCTGGCCTAAAAATACTTTCAGCATCCAGCGTGAACGATGTGAAGATGATAGACGCATTTTGCTGAATGAAAATTGTAATGGTTCCATTTTACCAATACACAGAAACCTTCTATACGACTTATCACAACCTGGTTGGGTCGAGTTAAATTTTACTAATCTCACAAACCAATCACACTGTGAGATCTCGACAATTGTTTTCATCAACAAGATGATTGATATTGACATTTATCAAATAAAAAGTGGTTTTAATATATACAATATTAATAATACTTTAAGATTCACCTGGCAACCTGAAATGTTCATATTCCCCGTTACTAAGATTCACAAAGACGGCTATCTATTAAAGATCCACCTGCAATGCGGGAATGAAACGTCACAACCTATAAACAGCTGCTTCGTAGTCAAGACTAAAGGAGAATTAGCGAAGAAAAGCAAGTTGATTGATAGAAATAGAGGATTACATTATACATTATGTTCAAATGAACAGACGAACAAATCCTCGTCAAATGTGATGCTTTGGTATATTTTGGTTGGCTGCAGTTGTTTTATAATTCTATTGAGTGCTTCTATTATTGTATTCTGCGTTTGTTATAAACGACAACATCGACCCCCTAACCGAAGACAGCACATACCACGTATCTCGTCTCGCAGTTTATCCATCTCTGGTTTCAAAAGTAGAAAGTCATCAAAAAGCAATGAGCCTGCAACTCCTGCGATCCACGATATGATTTTCAATGAACTTTCTTGGGATGGCGATGGTGGCTTCTCAAATCGTGCATTATCAGATTCCAAAGGTCTGGAATTTGGGATCCCGGTTGATTGTGGAACAATTCCTAGACCTCAGTCTACAACATCTGTGGAGAGTAAAAGAAATTCAATGTCACCTCTAACCGACGGGAGTCGTGGAGATGCCGAAGGCAAAAAAATCTAAAACGAGCTATTGCCATTTCAAATGTACATACTTTCATTATACCAAGCGCAACTTTCATATTATTTTGTGGTGGTTGTTATCAAAGATATACATCGTCAATTTATCTACTTGGTATAACGTAGATTATATTTTAGATATTAGAAGAAGTGCCTGTTTTGACGAAGGGAAAGAAGTTTTTTAGGATTTTTCTACGTTTGAAATTGAGGATTTAAAAGTTTGCCTTTTAAAATAGTCGTGTCGGAAATGTTTTTGTGTCAAATGTAAATTATTCATTTTGTTTCAATGCCCATCATGTTTCTGTGGGCATTTGATTAATCTTACTCAGTCATGAGCTAGTTAGTACGCACTATTCACTAACTTTAAAAAAATCAATATGTATTTTAGATTTAAGACTCTTGACTTAGTCAACAGTTGACTGTTCAAAAACTGTACGCCATAATTGATGATAAGTGTAATCTAATTATCTGAAATCGTGTATTTTGATGTTTTAAATCTGTCGTGAAGTTAGAGGAGACACTTTACACATTGTCTTCTAATCTCTAGACTCTCAACTAGTATAACGAAGTCGATGAAAGAAATCTTTGTTCCTAATCTTCTTCCTAAAAGAAAGAAGACTTCAAGGTGAATTTGCAGCAGCCAATCATATTGGTTAGAATAATACGGATCTCAGACTCCATTCGATTCCAGCGTTCAGTTCCCATAAAACTTACAACAGCCAATCAAATTGCTTGAAATAAATTAATCCTGAAGCTCAGTTCAAATTCAACATGTCTGGCTTTAGGTGCAGATTCATTTGTGGGGACATTTAGTCTGTATTGAAATCAAAATAGAATCACGTTTTTTAGTTTCAAATGATGAATGCGTCGAGTAGAGAGTCTTTAGATGATGTATTTAAAAAATGGGAGAAAAGGGGTGAAGAACGCCGTCAGAATGGACCATGTAGGAATGTGAATAATTCTGATGAAAAGTTTTCTGGATATGATGCGAGACTAGGGCGGTCAGCATGGCAGCGAAAATTCGAAACCTCGTCTTTGCCTCGTCGAAAGCCAAAACAGAAGAAGAAACGAGAAATTACGCATTTTGTAAGAAAAATTTGTTAGCTATGAACATTCAAATAGCTTTATGTTTAATAGGCCTTTTGCAGCTAGAGGTCACGTGCTTAGGTAATGCCATACTGGAGAGCACGCTTTCCATTAAACAATGGCGAGTACAAGGCAATTTAATATGTAAAGTAAATTTTCTTTGTTTTTGTGGCGATTTCGGCTAGACAACACTAACATGGCGTCGAATCAAGGTATATGACAAGCAAAATTTTTCGTCAATTCTTTTTCTTGACTTTTAACTGAAAAGGAGTAAATTTTCACTCATTCTCGAAGATTCCGCAAGTGTTCAAAATAAACTTCAGTGCTCAGCAACTTTAAAGCCAAAAAAAAGATCAAGTTACCACTGTTGTGTGCCTCTATGTAATGGAGATTCCAGATATCACCAAGACCTGAAGTTCCATCGCATTCCAAGTGTCAATGACGGCAAAGAAACCCGTAAACTTTGGCTGGTCAAAATACGAAGAGACGAAGGGCCTGATTTCAAGGTAGCTTTGTATTATTATAAAAAAAGCTCTTGCATATTTCTTCAGTGAATCTTAGATAGTGCATCATTTGTAAATAAATACGCACTAATGCTATGTTTTGTTTTAACTTTATAAGATATCAAGCAGCACAAGGGTTTGCTCGAGACACTTTTTAGAGGACGATTACCTACCTCCTGATAATGCAGGACGGTGTTTATTAAAAAAAGGGTCTGTTCCCAGCCAATTTGACTGGTCTTCAATGACTCCAAAAGAAGAAAACTAATTCGCACTTGTACTGGGTATGCGGAATTGTCAATAATAAGTTTATATTATCGCCTTCACCTGTACCTTGTTTCTTAATGATTAAAATGTTATTTGCTTTAGAGACACAAACTGAAGAAACTGGCAGTGAAGTGTGCACAGTCGATCCTTTGCTAAAAATGCAAGAAGAGTTGGAAGGATTAAGATTGGAGGTAATTCTGAAAACCAAGAATTAAAAAAGTAAGGAAGAAACAGCTTCTGTTATGGAAGAAATGAATGCATTCAAGGCCCAAGCACATAAAGAAATTGAAAATACCAAGAAGGCTGCTGCCGAGGAGTTAGCACTATCCAAATTTGGTTTAGAAAGATTTTCAACTAACAATGACTTAGTCAGATGCTACACAGGATTTGTTTCTTACGAACACATTAAGGCTTTTTATGAAATCATAAAACCAACTGCTGAGAGAATGACCTATTGTTATGCTACAGGAGATAGAGAAAGTCGTCCAAAAGCACGAACCATGCTAGTTATAGACGAGTTGTTTATGTTCCTGGTTCGTATTAGATTGGGCTTATTTGAGCAAGACCTTGCTCACAGATTTAAAATACATATATCCACTGTTAGCGAAAAATAGTTACATGGAGCAATTACTTATATTTCATGTTGGGATGTCAAGTAATCTGGCCTTCTAGGGAAAATGTCAATAATTACATGCCCCAGTGTTTTCGTAGGCTTTACCCAAGTACTAGAGTTATAATAGATTGCACAGAAATTTTCGTACAAACTCCCAGCTCCTTATTATTACAGTCACAATTATACTCAAGCTATAAAAGCAACACTACCCTTAAAGGTTTGGTTGGGATCTCTCCTCATGGGGCAGTCTCTTTTGTATCTGGGTTATATACTGGAGCAATCTCAGATAAAGAACTAACTAGGTGTTGTGGCATCTTAGATTTAATTGAGGAGGGAGATTCAATAATGGCAGACAAAGGTTTTGATATAGAATATCTGTTATTAGAAAAGAAAGCAATACTTAATATTCCCCCCTTCTTAGGGAGTAATGTTCAGTTTACTCAAAATGATGTTCAAAAAACCAAAGAAATTGCAAGTGTCTGCATACATGTGGAAAGGGCTATCCGAAGGATAAAAGAGTATCATATTTTTGATTCTGATATACCACTTAATTCATTGGGGTCAATTAATCAAATATACACAGTTGCATGTTTGCTTACCAATTTCCAAGGCCCACTAATTTCTGATCCTAGTAAGAATTAACAATTGTAAATATTGGATTACAGTTGTCTTGTCAAAATAATTAAATGTAGCTAAAAACATGTAACAGACTATGACTATGAGAATAAAAGAGATTTTCACAAAATTGTAGAAAATTATCACAAGTTTACGACAATCACTTTAAAAATATTGAAAATAAAACCATCAACCTTATTTTTGCCTCTTGAAAAAGTCTTTGTTAAATTTAATCCTATTGCAAACAAAATGTGTGTCACTTATGTAGCTAAAAAAGTCACACCACTCAAGACCTGTCAAAGCTAACTGACACTGTACTTGGTAAAAGTAAATATCAGTGTTCTTCAAAATAAAGTCATTTGTAGCCACATTTTTTGAAAGATATCTAACATTAGCAAAGTCATTTTCACCTTCCTTGACAACTTTGATTTCCAACAATCCAAAAGGATTGCAACAACTCTCAGCTGCTTGTAGGTCATATACCAATCGGTCTGGACTGCAGCCCAACCAAGGACATCTGGGATGAATAATTAATCCAGAAGGAAATAGATTCACAGACCCATTCTTAGCAACATTAGCATAGGCCATTGCAGCTGTAGATTCTAAATCAATGCCTCTTTTCATAGCTGCAGTTATGACATGACGAGATGGATTGAGCTGTTTTACAAGATTTTCAAAATCCCTCGACCGTCTTGCAACAATCCCAAACTTACTTGCTGTGATTCTTTTACTTCTTAACATATGCCACAAACTGTTTGCACTTTGAGTGATTGTTTTCTCTTGGATATCAAGTGACTCTTCTTGAGTAATCATTATAGCATCTAAAGAAGCTTGTTGTTGCTTTGTGAGACAACTGGAAAAATTATTCTGAAATCTCATTTCCGCTGAAGCCAATGGTAGGGTTGGAAAGTTGGTAAAACTGAAATCATTGATAACATAGTCTTGAGAGAGCTTTTGCTGGTAAGAAAGAACACATCCTTTAGGAACTTCTCCAAATTTACTTTGCACAAGTGGGATACTTGCAAGGTTCTTTTCACTTGGAAGTATACTTGCTATTAATGGTTTGCTTTCAAAATCATCAAAATTTTCTTTTGTCATTGGTAAATAAACATTTGAAGGTGAATATAGTGTGCTTTTAATAAATTTGGTGAAATTAGCCCTGCTCTTGGTTTTGACAAGCACATCTTGAATCTTCTTCTGTTCTATCTTTTTTCCTCTGGGTACACTCCATCTTTGAGGCATACTAGTGCATGTCAATGAATCGGGCAATGAACGAAAACCTAGCTGTTTGCAATGGGCTAGAAAGAACAGCAATCCAACGACATGATGGCAGTATCCCCCAACACCAGCTACACATGAACACCTTGCAGAAATTGAACTGTTAACAATGTTGATCTTGGTTTCAAGTACATGTGGAGGCTCATTTTTCTTCATTGATCGATAGCATCGAGCATTTATGACAACTAAATCATCCTTGGTTGTAACTGACAAAAGAATATTAAAATTTTATGAGATCAAATTAATCACACTCTGAAAGTAAGCTTAGTAACTAAAGAAAACGCGAACAATGATTGGCAATTTACCTTTCATTTCATGTAAATATCCAGGTTCAGCAAAAAACTTGTAGGCCTTTGCGGTACTCTGACATCCTGACAACTCTTTTGCATACTTCTCGACAAATGCAAAAGTCAAGTTAGGAAGAGAACTTATGTCTTTACTTTCGGTACACGAATCATCTGGAGAAGCATGCATAAAAACATGAAAATACATTACATTAATCATTAATACCTTCCCGAAAGCCAAATCTCCTACTTGTGACTCATTTTTCGATTAAAAAAAGTCAAGAAAAAGATTGACGAAAAATTTTGCTTGTTACATACCTTGATTCGACGCCATGTTAGTGTTGTCTAGCCGAAATCGCCACAAAAACAAAGAAAATTTACTTTACATATTAAATTGCCTTGTACTCGCCATTGTTTAATGGAAAGCGTGCTCTCCAGTATGGCGTTACCTAAGCACGTGACCTCTAGCTGCAAAAGGCCTATTGTTCATGGATGGACATCTTTTAGGATTCAAATGATTTTTTGCTGTTTGACAATGTTGAAAAAAAATTTCAACTCTCTCCAGCTGTTCTTCCCGACAGTTATTGTGTACAACAACAATTTTTAGGAGTGAGTTGTCCAAAGTTTACAAAAAATAAGGTACTGCTTAACAAATGCCTCTTTTTCAATGTGTATTTCTGAAAATAAATTCATCTCAATTGCTAACGTGATAGCCAGTCTTTGTAACTTATATCCTTGTAGATTTCTTTTGAAAAGGAGCAACTGCTAAAGAATAGTCCATTGAGAAATCTATTGGACATGAGTGTGTTTTGTCGGTATGACATGGAAATAGTTATTCTCTATTTTCCTTTAGTTGAAGCTGCTGAATAACATACTTTTATCATTTACAAATCTTATAGAAAATACATGTTCAGATCAGCCTTTTGTGACATGCTTTATGTGGTTAACCTACCAAAGTGCAAAAGTGTAATCCCAAGAATTGATAACAAAAAGATTCTCTATTCAAGACTACAGTACGTCATAGTATCTTTGATACAATTGTATTGTATAAAATATTAATAATTAGCTCTAACTAGTTGGCGTATTCAAAAACAGAGATGAAAAAGAAGCAAGCCCAAAGCAACTCAATCAAGAAAGTAAGAAGATAATTGATGGTATGACAGGGAGAATTAATGCATATTTAACAAAGTAAGATCCATGTATGTGCTGCAATATCTTTTGTATGTACAGATATGTAGATATCCTTTCTGTAATCATATTTACTGCTATATCCTTTCTGTGTATAGCATGTTAAAAAAGATATATTCTTGGTAGGGTAGTTTCCTGGATTCTCTTCAAGTTTCTGGGAAATATTCTATCTAGTATTCATGTACATGAAGGACAGACTATGCTACTCAAAGATCTCAATCAGGTTTGTCAATTCAATGTTTTTAATCAAGTAAATGAGATGTGTTTTTTGAACTTGTGTTATGTATTTAAAATCTATGTAAATGTCTATGTGAGTCAATATGTTTCAGTTAAATATTTTTACCAAATTTTTTACTAGGCCAACACTCCTTTGGTTTATTTGATGATTTATAAAAATCACATAGATTATGTTTTGCTTCCATTCATTCTCAACTGGTATGGGATAAAGGTATGCAAAAATTGAAGTTTCTAAATAGCTTTTCACCATTTTTGTTTTGAATTGAAATATGTACATATAAATGCTGGTTTTATGTTTATTTATATCAGGTACCATACTTTGCTATTGAAGGTATAAAGTTTACCAATCATTAATTTTTTTGTTTCTTCGTGTCTACATTAAAGACAACTTTTGTGATTTCATCATCTTCATCATCATTTTTTAGATGGTCTTAAGAATATCCCAGTCTTAAGGTAAATCAATAAATCTGTTTTCCTTTCTTTGAAAATTCTAAGAAAATGAAATATTTTCTATATTTATGACAGTTACTTGATGAGAAACGTTGGAGGGTTCTTCGTTAGAAAACATCCCTGTATGAAAACACTAAAAGATAAACTTTATAACATTATATTGGATGAAGTGAGTTGCTTTTCTGTTTACGTTCTCTAGGCTGTAAATTTTTGCAAATTTACCTTGTTTGGATTGAATAGCTACGTCCAATGGATACACACTTTCTGTCCTAATAATTTTACTATAAATTACGAGAAATATACAGCTTCTACAATGCGTGAGTGACAAACAGATGACAAATTTTTGTGTTACGTTTTCTCACTAACATTTCCATGACTTTAAAATCATTTCTTTCATTAAGACAAACTTATTTATAAAACTTTTGTTAATCGATAGACTCAAAAGAAAATAATGTATCATTAAAACGAATCCACCAATCGTTATTTTGTTTAGTTTTCTTACCTATCTCATTTTTTACAGTATATCGCAAAAATTCTTGTAACTGGCAACAATCTTTCGATTCCTCTTGGTAAGTGTTGTATTCAGTTATAAGTGCTTTTTTACAAATCATTATTAAAGCGTTAGGTGAAAAGAAATTTTCGAGTATCAACTTTTACTTTGTAGAAACGAATGTTCTGTCTTCTGTAATGTCAGCAGTCCAGCAAGGTAACTATTAGATGGTGTATAATGTTATTTTAGGCAACGAAATGTACTGTCTTGTGCTTGTTTTTAACTATGGTATAAGGCAAGGCATATTTTAACACATATATTGAAAGGGAAGGGCGCCTTTTGTTGACCTTGTACTGACACAAATCGCCCTCCACTTCTTAGGTCCTTTTTACGTTTTTTGTAATTGGTATTTAAAATATTATTGTTGATTGTATATTTCTCACTTGAAGTTAGAATGCTTTTTTCATACTGCGTTTGTTACGCTGTTTGTTATTAAATTGCTCCAGTTTTTAAAAGTTCCCAGGGGACGGATTTTGTTCGGTCTCAGGCTCCGTCGCATGGCTCACGCTTCACAGACTCTCCCAGTGCAAAATCCTTCAACTATTCCTTTGTTTCAAGGTCGAGTTCAAGATGTCATGATTGTTCCTGTTGCTATTTCGTATGAAAAGGTAAATGTCGATAGTCTTTTTATGTTTGTTTCACGATGTCATGTGATCTGCTTCGATTTTTTAGATTCTACTTGATCATCGAGAAATGACGCTTGAGGTTCAGGTGAGATACGAAGTTTTTCTTATAATAATGACAAGAAACCACGAAGACATAGAAATGTTGACATCAGTTATCGATAGGGTGCTGCAAAATCCACGAAATCATTCTTCAAAACTATGAAAAATCTATTGGCGACTTACCGAACTTATTTTGGTCAAGTTAGGATTAATTTTGGAATGCCTGCCTCACTTACGGTGAGTAATGCTAATATATCGTTCGTCGTCTTTGAATAATTTTAGCTGATATTCTGTCATTTTTTTTAGGGATATGTTAAAAACTTTCAATCATCAGAATTTTGGAAAACAACAACTGATGCTTCAAAATTTGATATCTTAAGTAAAAAGGATAAGTCTCCTGACGAAAGTCTAGTGATGGGAATTTCAAATCATATTGCTTATGGTAGGTATTGTTATAGTAAATATTTTACATGATAGATATTGTTTGTGATTGGTGTTGTTTGTAGTAGGTGTTGTTTGTGGTAGGTGTTGTTTGTAGTAGGTGTTGTTTGTGGTAGGTGTTGTTTGTGGTAGGTGTTGTTTGTAGTAGATGTTGTTTGTGGTAGGTGTTGTTTGTGGTAGGTGTTGTTTGTAGTAGGTGTTGTTTGTAGTAGGTGTTGTTTGTGGTAGGTGTTGTTTGTAGTAGGTGTTGTTTGTGGTAGGTGTTGTTTGTGGTAGGTGTTGTTTGTGGTAGGTGTTGTTTGTAGTAGGTGTTGTTTGTGGTAGGTGTTGTTTGTGGTAGGTGTTGTTTGTAGTAGATGTTGTTTGTGGTAGGTGTTGTTTGTGGTAGGTGTTGTTTGTGGTAGGTGTTGTTTGTGGTAGGTGTTGTTTGTAGTAAGTGTTGTTTGTGGTAGGTGTTGTTTGTAGTAGGTGTTGTTTGTAGTAGGTGTTGTTTGTAGTAGGTGTTGTTTGCAGTAGGTGTTGTTTGCAGTAGGTGTTGTTTGTGGTAGGTGTTGTTTGTGGTAGGTGTTGTTTGTAGTAGGTGTTGTTTGTGGTAGGTGTTGTTTATAACATAAGTATTTTTTGTTTGGTATATATTTTATGGTAAAGCTTTTTTTTGCTATAGGTGTTGTTAATGTTGATGCTTGGTATTTTTACTGATAAATTTATAGAAACTTTCCCAATAACTGGACATTTTTATATTTTTAGACTGTGTTCAAAACTCCACGATTATGGCGACTAACGCGGTAGCTTTTCTTTTATTGACAAAGTTTAGAGAGGTCTGAAGATGTACATCTTCTTGTTTCTTTGTATTTGTACGCACATTCATGACGATGATTATCTTGTTTTCAGGGTGTGAAAATGAAGAAAATCGATCATGAACTCGAATTGTTGAAGAAAGATATTGTTGCCCGAAAAAGGTCTGTCGATAGAAAGTGTGTTTTTTATGCATTGTAACTCATCACGATTCACTGACAGTTAAACATGTTTTCGTAGAGGATATGGCTTTAGTGGTAAGAACGAAGAGGTCGTTCTTCATGCTATCAGGCTTCTTGATGAACATGTTTCTTACAAGTCGGAAACAAATTTCATCCAACCAATTCTTACGTTGCCAAGTCTTCTCGAGCTCTCATTCTACGCAAGACAGGTTTGAATAACCTCTTCGTACAGCAAATTTGTTTTTTTTGGGAAAGTTTGAAAGAAACTTTCCGTTGTTGTTATTAGCGGGCGAGAAAATTCATGCATTTTTTTCTAATAATTTGTGATCAAGCAAGCTATTATTACTCTCAGAGCTGTGTAACGAAATGAACTTAATTTGTTGGTCTTGGGGATTGTGCAAATTTTTGTATTATTGGTAAATGTTTGATATTTTATTCCAGGTTTTTTCTGTGTTTATATTCGAAGCAATCGTAGGTTTGTTCTCATTTTTTTAATTGTTTGACTTATTTGTTCAACATGTTGAATAAAAATGCAATATTTCTCTTAGCTTGTTCCATTGCTGCTCTTCTGACTGGGCAAAATCTTACTTTGTCCGAGTTGATTTGTCAACCAACCACTCTTTCAAGAAGAGAAGTGAGGCTGTCGTTGAGAATTTTTCAAATAAGTTTTTTGCATGAAAATTGTATATTGTATATCAATTTATAAAAAATTTTGTGTTGAGTCGTATACAAACCATGTGAACGATGTTTTCTATGTACACCTTTACTAAAGTGAGGTATTTTTATGCAGTTGTTAAATGCTTCATTGGATTTGTGCGATCTTCTACAAAAAGAATTCATTTATACACGTGTAAGTTTAAAATGTTATCGTATGATTGTAGAATTTCGTAATTTATTAGCATTTTTCTTGTAGCCATGTGTGTCTTTGGAATCACTTCTTATTGAAGCGATTGATATGTTTATTGCTGCTGACATATTGAAAGTGTGTGAGGTTTGTACAATGAATTTGTTGAGCAATGGGAGTTTATCCTTAATCTTATCCTTAATCTAATCCTTAATCTTACAACTTGTAGGACGCTGGTGGTAAATCACGTCGAAGAGAATGGGCCGATCGACTTGCTCTTTCAACAGCGTGGTCCGACGACGAGGATAGCGGAGATGAAGTGGAAATATCCGACCAGGAGTACAAGGTTGCATTTTAAGGTTTGTGAAATTGATCTTACACGTTTATATTTTTATCTTTGCTTTTTTCATCTCTTTTAGATGGGTTGCTCTGATGAAGCATTGGAAAAGATGAGGTTTTTTACTACAATGCTTTCGCCAATTATAGAGTCGTATTGGTTTACAACTCTTCAACTGTCAACTCTTACGTCATCGCAAATAGACGGTATGTCATATTTATTGGTCCTTTATTTTCACAGTTTATACTCTATCGAATTAAAATTTTTCATAAATGTTTCTTTGTCCAGAGGATGAGCTGATTTTATACGTTCACGAGGCTGCTATTGAGAGATTCAAAAATCGAACTGCCTTCTTTGGTAAGAGATGTTTGGAGTACTTTGGTTGATATGAAATGTCTCCCTAGTGTGTTATGGGCGTTTCTCAGAAGTGAGAAGTTCAATGTGGTGGAAACTTGTTGGAAAGATGTGTCTTGTGGTTTAATTCAGTTATGTTTTGAGCTCATCTGTGTCATATTTTATATCAGGTGAAAGCTGCTCCCAATTGTTGATAACGAATGCTTTGGAGATCTTTAAGAAGTATAATATTCTTGTTCGAGAGAAAGATGGTCAACGAGTTACGTTGAACAGTTCTCGTAAGGAACTTATACAGTTAGCAAACACTATAAATCAATATAAAACCTAGTCATGGTATGATTATCGTTTTATACCAAAGTTTAAGATTATGTTGCATCGTGCACGATCAGTTTTAGCATCATTGGATCGACCGTGTAACGTTAGAACATGGTGTGTTTGTCCGCCACTCAGCGCACGAAGCGTATATACGTTTCATGTATCTGTTTTAATTGAAACACTGTCTTATATAAACATAGGTCATAGTGATTAATACCTGTCATGTATCTGTTTTAATTGAACACTGTCTTATATAAACATAGGTCATAGTGATTATATTAATTGTTACTTTGTAAATGTCTTTCTGTAAACCTATTTGGTTGGAAAAAGCCGTTAAAGGTGTCCTTTTGGATATCACTGGTGTTTTATACAACAGTGGTCAAGGTTCGGGTGAAGCTATCCCTGGATCAATAAACGCTGTAAACAGGTATAAAGCTTTTAAAGGTCATGGAGCAATGATAATGAAGCATTTACAAACATTGAATCTTTGTTTTAGGCTAAAGACGTCAGGTATTCCTCTCAAATTTTGTACAAACGAAACGCAATGCACTCGTGAGAAGTTGGTTACAAAGTTGAACAGTCTTGGTTTTTGTTTAAAACTGGATGAGATATACTCACCGGCACCGCTCGCTGTTCATTATATTAAAGAAAATAATTTGAGTCCGTATTTATTGGTTCATAACGAGGCTATTGATGACTATTCAAGTGTAATGCAATCAAATCCCAATTGCGTAATTGTTGGAGATGCAGCTGAAGAATTTACTTATGAAAATATGAATAAAGCATTTCGAGTGTTGTTGGAATCTGAAAATCCAACTATTGTTGCTCTTGGAACCGGGTAAGATTTTAGTTGGTGTATATTACAGATTTTGTAATTAGTTTGTGCATGTATTTACTTCATGTTACACAACATTGTAGAAGGTACTACAAGGATGGTGGTGAACTGGTTCTTGATAATGGTCCATTTATTATTAATGTTATAATTAGTTTGTGCATGTATTTACTTCATGTTACACATAACATTGTAGAAGGTACTACAAGGATGGTGGTGAACTGGTTCTTGATAATGGTCCATTTATTATTAATGTTATAATTAGTTTGTGCATGTATTTACTTCATGTTACACATAACATTGTAGAAGGTACTACAAGGATGGTGGTGAACTGGTTCTTGATAATGGTCCATTTATTAAAGCATTGGAGGTAAAGAAAAAGAAATGTTTATGGCCGTGGGATCAATCAGAAAATTTTAAGAACATCTTTTACACTAGTATGCCTGTCCAGTAACTACAGTGGTTCTTGGCAAACCTGCCAAGACTTATTTTATGGGTGCCATTACGGAACTCGGCATTGCTGTGGACAATGTAAGAGTAGTGATAGTGATTGTTAGGAATTTTATTAGACAAAATTTCATCTTGATGTGTTAAATATTAATTCAGGTTGTGATGATTGGTGATGATTTGCTTGGGGATGTGAAAGGAGCTCAATCTTGTGGCATTCGAGGAATTCAAGTTAGAACTGGAAAATACAGGTAGTTCTTGTTGCATATGGCTTTAGTAGCTAAACAATTCTAGGGCCAATCAAAGGCTAGTTTGATTTTTTTTTTATCTATTTCAGACCTCAAGATGAATGTCATGAAACAATTAAAGCTGATGGTAGAGTGAAAGATCTTGCAGAAGCTGTGGATTTGATTTTAAAATATTACTCTACAACTTAAGAGGGTTTTTGCGATGAACTAAGGTCAGTTGAGCTTTCACAAATATTTGATAAAATGAAATTAGTTTTTAATTAAATATTTTTCATATAGTTTAAAATCACAATATGTTCTTTATAAAGGCTATCGTAAACTATGCAAGCACAACTTAATCACAAAGCAACAAAAACACGATCTTTTTATCTAATGTTAAGTGTTAACTGCTTGCTGCTTGTTGGTATTATCTTCTTCATGAGACTTTACTAAGCCAACAGAGTTGCCAGACATTGAACGAGTGCGCAATGTTGGTACTAATGATAAAAAATATATGGTTTATGTATGTCAACAAGATTCCAATTAATATGCAAGCTATGAATTGACCATTAGTTAATTCAACTTGCTTTTGAAAACAAATCTTGAATAATTGGTTATATGCTTAAATTTATGCTTGAAAGTATGATGAATTCATGTTTACAAATGAAATTATTACCAAGTCCCAATCCTTGAATAAACAAGAGCACACCCTCAGCTGATTGCATGGGCTAATGAAAGTAGATCAAATCATGTATAACTTATAACATCATAATTTAAAACAGCAATTTGTCAAAGGCATCAATCACCATTTCATCCAGAGGATCGGAGCCACAATCATCCAGTCTTAAAATGTTGCACGTACGTTTATTCAAGACGCTGAAAAATTTCTCCTGTATAAAATATGGGGAAACATAAAATCATGTTCATATAAGTGTCTGAATTATTTTTTCAACTTAAAACTTGAGAACAAACCGAGTCCTTGTGATGTGGTGAAAGATCACCATTGATGACCAGAACCGGACACCTACACACATTGAATTTATAAAAAAGTTTTACATAGTTCTGATGCATTAAAATTATCAATTTGCACTCACTCAATATTCTTGAGTTCATGGGTAATGTCGCTGCGTCTGAAAAAAAAAGCTATACGTATAGCAATTGCAATTGAAAGTAAACTTTTATATAAAAAATAAGGGCCTTACTGCATGTACGCATGGACAAAAAGAGCTAAATTGTGAGGATTAAAAGAATCTGTGAGATTCTTAATGTATTCATCAACAGCCTTCATATCTGGCTTTCCATGTTTCTATAAAGTTAAAGAAATCACATCATGAATGAGTGACGAACAGTTGAAGATTTTCAATGCAATGAAACATAACACCACACAAGGAATGAACCTTTCCAAAATGATGATGAACAAAATAATGATTCACTTGATCATTAAAACCACTTTTTTCCAATTGCCATGATCGTAACTAAAGAAAAAATACATGGTGATGAACACTGATCATTTGATGAGAAAAAAGGTTTTACTGCATGTCCCACTGGAAGTTAACCTTTTCTTCCGCTTTCTCCAACAGTGGTGCTTTACTAGCCGAGGGTTCAACAAGGATAAGACCCAATGGCTTTGAAGGATGTTTCAACTATTGCAAAAAAATCAACTCATATTAATTTTAAATTATGATAGACTTCAATCAAATGAATCTCTATATTGTGTTTAAGAGGACGTACTGCATATCGAGCTAATATGTTAGCACCAGCTCCAACACCAAATCCTACAATATCCACGAGCCTGAAATCAACAAAACAATTATTATAAGTTATTATTTGAAAAGTAAATTCATGGGATTTTATGAACATGTGCAAACCCAAAGTGTTTCACGATATTGTCAACACTGTTAGCCAAATCATCCATCGTTGGATATTGGTATCTTGAAAGAAAAATAACTCTCAGTATTACAGATGCAAACAAAGAATAGATTAATAAAATTGGATGTTAAAACTCAAAAGGCCAACCCTTCAGAAAATTTCTCTGCTCCTGGTTCCTACCACAAAATAAAATTTTATTTTCACAAACACAGTGGAATTATTATGCATCAAGTGTATGGTTACAGTGGTAAACCTGGCCTGGTGCAAGAATATGATAGACAATAAACTTTTCATGGAGTTGTTTCATATCTTCATGGTTCAAGAATTTCTCAAAAGATGTCTTATCTAGGAAGTTAGAGATGCATTGATGTATTATCTAGGAAAATGGAGATCCTTTGATGTGTTATCAAAGAAATATGATGTTCTAATCAAAACTTAAGAAAATGAGCTTGCACATTTGATGCAATTCATTCATGCAATACTACTAGAGTGGTTCATCAATAGTTGCTTGGAAATAACTAAGTATAAACAATTCAAAGTTTGTTGTCTCATGGTTCAATTTCAAAAAATGGCTTTTCTCTTGTACATCCCGAAGAAAAGTTTAAGCTAACCTTTGATCAACTCACTAAACTAATGCGATATAATTCATGATTTATAGATGACGCCCCATGACTTAGTTATGGAAACCGATTAACCCGAATGAAATATTCAAAACATCTGATGTTTAGAGAATCATCAAAATTCATTGAAAAGAAAAAGTCGCCACGCCGGATATGATAGACGAAAGAAGTACAGGTTGTAGCCTCTCGAAGTTAACAAAGTTATTTTATTACATAAAAACTTCACTTACGATTTAAACCGATATCGTGAAAAGTTAACAAGATGTTTACTCCTTTTGATTTGGTATCATCTTTACCGTCTTCACCCTGCAGTAAACGCGTTTTGTTGTAGTCAGCTTGAAAAGTGGATTGCAAACTTGTATGTGTCTACGTGTATGAGTAGAGTGAATCTCGAAATTGTCAAAATTATGTTCAAAAAAACCTTGAACTTCGTTTTCTATCAAATTAGAAGCTAAATATCATATATGTACCTCGATTATCACAGTAAAATCTCCAACCTTTTCAATCTGCAAAATACATCATTTTCCTTCACAGAAAAGCAAGCTTAAAACTCCAAAAATGGTAGAATACTTATCACGCTTCAATAGTCTGTGCAGTGAACAAGAACACTACGATGATATTCATAAATACATACTCGTTCATCCATTGTACAATTTATGCAGACACACACCAATATGATCACGAGTGCCTCTTGCTGCAAAAATTTTTTTTGCAATATTTTTGACTGATCAGAGGACGACCTGCGGTGGTAATTTTTTTCTTGAAGAAGATGAGACCTATCTATTTAACCTTTCGAAGCAACTTCGATAGCAAATGCCAGGCATTTTACTTCTTGGCCAATGAAATGGCCGAGAAATGTTTTTTAACCAATCAGATCTTTTGAATGATTTAGACTTTAAGTGGTTGCCTCACTGGCCAAAATATAATATGTGATATAAACTCATGCATTCATTTAAAAATTAAGCAATTCTTATCCTTTGTTGGTATGTTAATATCGATACTAAAGCGTTACGAAGTCAAAACACTTCAGTTCCACTTCAAAGTTATAAAATTTTCATGCCATTTGCCCCCTATATTGAGGATAAACTTCCATGGTCAATTGACTATCTTACCTCCAAAATCATTAATATTTACTTTAAAACTTTATTAAACTGACGACTATTAATACACTTCAAACATTAATTTATTTATGTACATGTATAAAAATTACACATTCCTCTGAAAGCCACATTTTTTAATAAAAAAATACGCATTGTATAATCTACTTATTCACACCAAGGTGTGATCTCTTTATGACATTTCAATTCTATTGCAATCATCGACACATGATTGCCTGTAATAGTCAACTCATATCTATTTAGTATTTTATGGTCCATTGTATTTAACCCAGTCTTTCTATCTCGCTTGAAGGATGCCTAAAATAAGAGAGTAAATTCTTGAAAAAATTCTTTTTTGCTTCATTGCAATACTGCTAGCATTACCTTGCGTTGTTCATATGTACTTGCATAATCTCGTTTTCGCTGCTTGCTGTGGTTATGACGAAATGTCTGGTATCCAGTAGTGATACCAACAGGTTGTTTTATCTACATAAAATAAAATACATAGTATTTTATATAATATTGGTAGCTACTGTGATATGCTCTGGGTATACATACACTGAGATTAGCTTCTTTGATCCTCATATATAATTCATCATCCTCTCTACCCCAACCCCAGAACAAAGTGGACAGACCATTCACCTTGAAATATCAGCAGTCATAGTCTATCATGGGTTGTGGTCAAAAGATTTTAAATTTTAACTTCAAACCTGACAAACCTTTTCAAATTGCTCACTTGTCATCAGCATGATACCGCCAATAAATGTTGCATAGTGATATCTTGGATGCAAGAAAGGAGCAGAAACATGATACGGACCATCTGAAGGATAGCCATAATTCAAGTCGTTATTCAAAGGAAGAAGGTCAACATCGTGCATAGCAATGTAATCACACGACTCATTTTGAGCAATTAGGTAGCCAGCATTCAATAAAGCTGCTCGGTTAAACCTTTTGTAAAGAATAACAAGTGTTGCTTAAGGATTTTGTTTACATTCCAAACATCAATAACTTAAGTGAACAAACCTGAAAGTGTCTACTTGATTTATAACATAAATGTGAAACAAAACATTTTTATTGTTTAAAAATTTCGTCATATAAGGCACAAATTCTAGCAATTCTTCAAGACGATTACGAAATGGTACAATAATACCAAGTTTGTGCACTATAGCATCAGATTTCCTTTTCTTTTCAACAGCTTCTTCAATTGTTGAATGAATTGATGAACTTGACGGTATGGTGTTTTTGAAGATCTCCGTATCTTTATTATCTATGTTTCGTTTGGTCTTCTCTCTATTTTCATGAGCTAAGTTTGTTCTGAGTTTGTTTGCCTCTTCATTATGTTGGCTTCTTTTGGAGTTCACTGTATCTTCAAAAAATTGGACGCAAGGTTTACAAACACATTGTTTCTCGGGAAAGTTCCTTGTCATAAACCAAATTGAGATGAAGACAAGAGCAGCAATATACAACAACGATAGTAAGACAGTTTTTTGTGACACCATATCACAGAAAACTAGGAAGTTTATAGCTCGTTAACTGACGAAGAAACAAAACAGAAACAGCCATTTCTTCAGTATCATAATCGGTTTATGAAATGGTCATTACATCGAAAATTAAAAACCTGATCATAGTGAATGAACTCTATAACAGTTTATTGTTCTTTTCTTAGCCATCAACGTGGCTTGTACCAATAACATGGATTACATGACGTGTAGGGTCGACTTTTACTGCTGTAAAAAACCGGGGGTGAAAAAATTTATAATGTTGACCCTCGCTTTCTTTTAGTCTTGAAATAACTCAAATGAGCAGCTCTTTCAAATGCAGTTGAAAGGTTTTATTTGAGATTTGTGACACAGTATATTTTCTTTTTGCGCTTGTGGCTTTTTCATTGTTCAATTTCGTAATTATGCAGTTCAAAACTTCAAATGAATGAACCAATGGACCAGTGAAAAATGCATTTTATTAATTTATGATCCCCCCGGGTAACGAAATACCTTCCATCAACGTACTGTGATACAACAGCGCATGCGTAGTTCAACACGTGGTGAGTGTCAGTGAACTACCAACTACAACATCCAACGTTGTAGATTGCTGTTTTTTTTCAGAATTCTTTCCCGTGAGAAGAAAACGATGGTAAATTTCATATGCGATGCTTGTGGACAGACAATTAAGAAACAAAAGGTAGAAAAACACTACCAAACGGAGTGCAGAAATTGCAGTGTGCTCTCATGTATAGATTGTGGTCAAGATTTCCCGGGGGATTCGTATGTTTTTCACAATAGCTGTATAACTGAAGAGGAAAAGTATCAAGGAAAATTGTATAAACCGAAGAACGATGGAAGTAAGGGTGAACGTAAACAGCAAGAATGGCTTGAGGTTGATATTCCTTCTTCATAAATGAATGCTATTTTGAATTTGTGGTATACTTTTATTGCTTTCGTACGCGTTACTTAATATAACACCTCCACCCCCCCGGGCGGGCCATGTTGTGTAATTTAGAGGTTAAGGAAGGCATCTTATGATGAAGAAGATGCCCGTGTTCGTAAGCTTGTTGTTAAAGTACTATCTTACAAAAATTTACCACGAAAGAAAATGAAATTTAAGGTTTGTACAAATCAATCACTGCTTTCAACGGCACATCTTGTCAGACAGTAGGATAAAATATTTGTTCATGATTATTTGACTCATTTAAATGCATGTAATTAAAATCTTTGTTATTTCTGCGGTGCAAAGTTTGCATGCGAAGGTATTTGCATCCAACAGAACAGTTAAATAACATGTAAACTTTGTTACCTGTAATCATTGACTTGTTATCATGTGTTTATTTAGAAATTTTGTGAAAACAGCATCAACATAAGAAATGAAGATTTACTTGAGAAGTTATGGCTAAAATTTTCAGCAACCAACGATGAAAAATATCAACAAATGGTGAATCCAACTACTAACAAAACGTCTGAAGAAAATGACACTAATTGTGCTCAAAATGAGAACGTTAACAAACCTGATGGGAAGCGTGAGTCTGCAACTGACCAGGTGGAAAATATTTGCAAAGAAAACCCAAAAAATTTGGAAAATAAGATTGAAATTAACGGCAGCATCGCAAATACTGCTAAGTGTAAAAAGAAGAAAAGGAAAGAAAGGGCTGACGAAGCAGAATCTCACGTTCAGAAAAGAAAAAGAATCAGATTTAATGGTGATATTGAAGAAAATGATAACAAAGGCAAGCAAAAAGATATGACTAAAGCAAAAGAACATGTTGAAGTAAAACAAAAGGAATTAAAAGAACCAAAGAATAATGGAGGTATGTATATTGAAATGAATCATGGCTCATGCCACTCTACAAATAGCATTAACAAAATTTTCTTTTTCATTTAAATTTCTTCCTCATAATTAATCATTTTCAAAGCAATATACATATTTTCTAAACATATTAGATAAATTTAAGTGGGAGGCAACTATAAAGAAGTTACTAAAGTCTGCACCAGATAATGAAATGTCAGTGAAGAAGTTGAGAAGAAAGGTTGGTAAAGGACATCAAATTTCAACTTTGTTTTTTCTGACTGTTTTAAAATGACTTTTGGTAGGCTAATATAGGGAAGAAATTTGGTAATTGTGACTGAGAATTTTTGTTCTTCCTTAGCATTATTCCTCTTCATCAGAAGAAATGTTAGCAGAGGAATTTAACCATTTTCCAACTTATGAATAATGTTTTGCATCTTGTCATAGGTAATACGTGAATTCCTTAAGAATACCGAGGATCACCAATCAAGAACAGAACAAGATTTAAGAATCTTGTTTGACAAAAAACTTCACAAAAATACAAAAATAAATGTATTTAAGGAAAAAGCTAAATACTGCAAGTGAAGTCTGGCTATACCAATGGTGATCAATCACTGTTTCTGACATGAAATATTGTTCATGTCATTTGAAATCCAACCTTTCAATCTCAACATTACCATCAAAATTGGTACATTTTATAACACACTGTTCATGTTCATTAAATATTATACATTCTCTAATCTCGAATACAATAGATGAATTCATGTTAGAACTCAGCAATTACTTCTTGTTCCTTTTAAAATTTGTCTACTTTCAAAAAAAACTTTCTTGTCAATTACAACATCCACCACATATCAGCCTTGGTCCATGTCTTGGATATCAAGCTCTGAATTGTCATCAGTGTATCTTGATTTCCTTGTTGGAATTATTGGTGTGTTGATGTTAAAAGTACTTAATACATCCTGTGAAGGAAAGATTGTTAAGATAAATCTGTAAATGTGCCAAGTGCTTGCTTCATATAAAAAGCTTATGTACTTACTCTCCAATCTTCCATTGTGAATTGCATAACAACTTGTTTACGGCAGATTTCGTTTTCATAATCCTTTTCAGAATATGGATCTGTTGCATCTACAAAGACAGATATTATTTGATTAAGATATGATTGCACTGAAATTTGTATAAACTGAACAGTTTTTCAACATACAGACAACTGGTAGATCATCTTCATCCAACTCAATAGCAGCATTTCCTTTCTTTTTAAAATAAAAATGAACAGACATTTTTATAAATGGAGAAGACTTGGAATAATACCAAAAAAGAAGAACATACATTGATTAGAAATGACAAATGAAATATATTTTCCACGGTTTGGCTGAAAGAATCTGGATTTGTCACAAACTCAAAAAATGACAATCTATCATCATCTCCTACACACAAGAAATTATTTTTAGTTGTTAGTGACAACATGTGAATAAAGCATCCATGTTTGGGTTGAGTTTTACTTTCCTGGTGTTGCCTTTACTAAAGCCTCGTACACTCTTTGCACCTCTTTGGTTGTCGCCTCCTCGTTGTTTTCAACTTTATCTAACTAATAACAACATAATATATAACAAATTATGAATACAAAATGCCTGTGAATGAGGAGAAATGTTCTCAGTGGAAGGCAATGGCTAATATTGTACTTGTGAATTCTTAAGTCATTTCAACAACTCCACTAATCTCTTTGCATGATGAATAATATTAGGTTGAATGTATTTGAGATCTTTTTCAAACCTGTTGGGGAGTGATTTTAGCTGTTGCTCCAGGTTTCTCACCACTCTTTGGCTTGGGTTGTTTTCGTTGTTTTGCAGGTGGAAGATCCATTGATAATGGACCGTGCCTTAGAACATAAATAGCATATATATAACAAATGGTCACCTGCTTTTTATCACACGGTGTACTTTATCACAATTTACTAACATAAATTCAAGACCAGTTGTTCTGTGAAAGGATTTTGCTGCAATATTTCCAAGTTTATTCCAGTCAAGATTATCAAGGTTAACATCTTGCAGATTGCCTTCCTCATCTGTTTCATGACCAGCACATCGACCACCCATGAAAGTTATCTGAAGGATTACATTTTATCATAAAGGTTTAACTAAAACTATACAAGCTGTCTCTGGTCATTATAACTCAACATAGTTACCCTACCAGTTTCTCCGCAAACATTCGAGGCTCAAATGTTACAACACCAGTTTGCAAGTGTTGTGCTTGTTCGGTACCAAGGTTTGACAAAAGCACAAGCAACTGCGAATCTAATGCTGCTTCCCTTGTGTGAGAAACTTTTGAAAAAACAATGCAAATTTGGTCATGTTTTCTCTGAAATATATCCACACTACTATATGAATGTATACCATTTTGAAACAGTTCATCTCCTTCGCCCAAAGTCTTATGCAGTGCATTACATTCCGGCTGCACTAACTCATGTCGTTTCTCTAAAAAAATAAAACATTAATGATTAACTTGTAAATAGGTAGTAATGATTATTTGATCAACAAAGTACTGAAAGTCTGAGAGAAGACATTAATTACGTTCAGTGTTGTGGATGAGTTGACGATATTGAAAACGCAAGTTTCTCCTTTCTTCTAAATTGTCGTACTTGTCCTCACCGCTCATATTTTCTATGCAAAAATACTACAGATGGAGTTTTATTTGAAATTTGCTTTTGCTTCGTTTACACATAACACAATCTATATTTTCCCGCGTTACCCCGCGGTTTTCGCGCAATTAGTGCCTGTTTGCAGGCTGATAATGCATGATGCTATTTTTGAGCCTAAATTTCGGGCTTAGGATTGAGTTGTTTATATAATACATCGCGTGCATGTTTTTCTTTCACATTTTTGTATAAGTAAAGAATGAAAGAAAACGAAGGTCGTTCGGGAAGAAAACATTTGCAAACGGATTAACCTGTCATAAAATCACAACATGAATGCGATTAAATTAATTGATTGTGATATAAATAGCACGCTTACGTTGTAGTAAATAACGCTGGCCTTATGTAATATGTACCGCGTGCTCATTTCTGTTTGGATGATCAAATATCAAGTGTTGATGATCCTTAGTATGTAATAAATGTCGCCAGAAGCGTCTCTTTTACTTCAGTATTTTGCAAATTCACGGGTATTGGATATCGGCAACAGGTTGCTGTGTATGGTTACAAGTGAATGCTTGGTTTCGATACAAGAATTTAATTTGTTTAAGTCTTTAATGAAAATAAGACTCGGAGCTGAAATAAATTCTCGTTGTTCAATTAGAATTGAAATATTTCAAGCCGTATGAATCTGCTGCTTTGAGTATGAAATGGCCCATTACACGTCTACAATAAGGGGACCTGGTCATGTTATGTCGAACAGGTGAGTTACGAAGGTATATTTCAACAGAAAATGTCACGTATTTGGCAAAAAACTATTTTAGATTGCCTATTTTATCATTTTTTTATGTTGGCACTGTGCTGCTTTCCAAAGTGTCTTTCATTTGTCGTGGAGACAACATGATACGCTTTGTAATCCTTTCTTTAATTGCTTCCGTTCTGTATAACTCTTTATGTTGGAAAGACAGTAATTTCCTTTAAATATTCAGCCATGTTTATAGTGAAAGTAGTTATTTAATATGTTCACAATTTAGACAATTATTACTCTATAAACTCCCTTTGCTGCATATGAATGAAAATTCCCAATGATAATATCGCCCTACTCAATTATTTCAATACCTTTGTAAAATATCACCATATGTCTAATATATAAATAAAACAGCTAGCCAATTCGATTCGGGAACCGGTAGTCAAAAGAATGGTTCTCACTAGCTATGGGGGAGGTTATATTCTAAGTTATTTTTCGTGTGGCATTTGTTGGTTTTCCTTCTAGGGTTACATTATAACCGGAAGATCCATATTCATGCATGTTATGTTTTAAAAAAACGTCACGAGATATGCTCCTAACAACATTCGGAGCTCTTTGTACTTGCATTTTTTACCAGATAAGAACGACGTATGATTTTTACCCATTGTGATATTTATACATCACTCTTAGGTAATGTTTTTGTATTTCGCAATGTTATATTGTGTTAAGTGATGTCATTGTATCTACAGCACTTCACTTGCACAAGATAAAACCCAAAAGCCGTTTAGTAAATAGTAATGTTGAACGCAAACAAAACTGGGAAAGGGAAGGCGCTGCATAGTTCGTCTGTCGTGTTTAATGCCGTTAAGCTTCTCCTACCAAAATAGGTTTGTATGTGAATCTAAAAATATATAGTTTATATTGTAGACGTCATTATACTAATGCAATATACTAATAGTACTCGCTACAACCTGTCATATAGCCTTTAGCAATTGTGTATAATTTAAAGGTGTTTGTTTGTTATTTCATTCCTTTTATTTTATTATGAAACATATATTGTCCTTTGACAATGCATGCTGTGGATTGACACAGGTCGCCTAGTTTCATGTATCATGTTAATAATTGTTTCACCACACGCTGGAGACGTTCAACGCGCAGGAAATAAGCACTAAAATGTAATTTTAGTGGCATAAATCGCTGGCGTAAATGTGATTATCTTTTCTTAGAAGCTTCATGCGCTATTTTTGATATTAATTTTACGTATTCCGAACCATTTTTTTGTTTCAATTCTTTCAGAAAATTTTTGACGTCTTTCATGAAACTTTGAAAGATAGTTAATGAAATAACGAGTTGCGTTGAAACTTTCCAAGGCTACGTAGAAACATATGGTCTTAGATTTCTCATAATATCTTAAGATAGACCGTGTTTGTGCTATGTCGTGATGTCGTGATTGTTATCTTGTGTATGATATGTATCTAAACACGAGATTTTTAAGACCTTGATAAATCCTCGAGCCTTAAGATCATATGTTAACCAAAGTTGTGAAGTCAGTCAGAGGCTAGCGAAAAATCGCCACTGTCATATCTGTTTGATAAAGACTTGGTATTGATAACAAAATACACCATTTTTGATTTCTCTAACTTCAATATAACCTCCTCTACATGGCAACCCAATGTTTTATCACGTAAATACCTTAAATATCTTAAATTTTATGATGGCACGCTCGTGTTAAGTTGAAATTAGTCTAGTTTGTGCATGTAAGGTCATATGCATAATCATTTCTGGACCACACGCGTTTCGGTAATTAAGGATGTGCTAAAACGTCCACAGGTATTTAGGTAACAGTATAAAATATAGCACGCTTTAGCACCCACAACAATCTTTTTACGTGGCTAATGTTAATAGGTGTAGTTGATATTACATTTGCATAACTTCAAGTGGCTGTCTTCTCCTTTACGTACTTTTTTCCTTATTTTTTTATTGTGATTTTTTTTGTCAAATGTATTCTATGCAACCTCGCGTTTCAACGCTACTAAAACCTTTGTGTCTTCAGTTTTCTTTCATTTTGCCGACTTCCTCTTTTCTTTTTCTTTGTACTCGAAATTATGTGGGACGAGGCAGTATTTACTTATTTTCATGAGACGTCAAAGTCATGTGAAACTCATATGACTTTATAATTCCTACTTGTAACGGTACGAGCGCTTTGTGTTGAGCGAAATAGAGGTTATTTTTTGTTATTTTTTTTGTGTGAGAATCTTTGATTCTTTCAGTTTTAGTCAAAATATAAAGTCATCGTCCAGAATGACGGATATTCACGACAAAACTCAAACAGACCACTCAATTTTCATTGGTTATGGTTCTAATGCAAAGCTCATCAAAGATAGATGGGAAGCGAGTAAAAGGCAACTTCGTTTTGACAACAATTACGTCGCATTAAAATGGCTGCTGGACAACTTTGTCGACGACTATTTGCGGTCAAAAAATCTACAGGATACCGCCACCTTAATTCGTCATCAAAATGTAACGGTGAAGAAAGAACGAATCCCTCACGAAGCTAGCACCAGTCATAGTCGACGAGCAGCGAGCCGCAGTCCTTCAAAAACAAGATTTGAAGACATGGCTGCTGCGGAAAACAGTAAAGAGAACGGTATCAAGGATAGACAATCCCGTGACAACTGGTCAGAATTACGTCATGGGATAAGCAATCGAAAGTCTGCCGAGTCATCACGCATGTCCAGCGATGATTTTCGGATGTCAGGACAACATTCTTACAAATATATTCCTGATTATTGGTCACCCTATTACCACTGGCCTACCAACATTCCCATGAACTCTCGAATGATGAGTGTTGGTTCCATCCCTGGATATCCCGAATACATGATAAAAACTCCTAGTTGTTCCTCGTTACCCACACGAGACTCCAGTCAGTCGGCTGATACGTTCACGTCTGCTACAAGCGAGTCATTTAGGCGATTTCGTCGCGATGAAAGGGAGCATTCGCTGGAAAAAAAATCTGGCCTCAATCGAGGCTTGAAATTTAAATCCATGCCCAATCTTCAATCCATTCCAAAGGATTCCGATTTGAATTCTGACGAGGAAGAAGAAAGTCTGAGCGATTCAGAGAGTCAAGGTGATCTTATGTTCTCCAGTTTGTCAATGCCTAACCTACGAAAGATTCCTCCCGACCGTACCCCATTAAACTCTCCACCAACGCGTGAGCGTTACCAATCAACGTCACTTCTTCGTAGTCGTCACAACGTTTCCAATCCTTCAAGTTTATCCATGCCCAATCTTCAAGCCATTCCAGGCAGCGATCACGACAACCGGAAGAAGACGATACGCGAATTCGTCATGAATCGTTTGTCCGGTGTCAAGGAACATGATTCCGGTGAACTAAATTCGAAAATCTACAATCCTAACGGTTTTTATGCACCGTCAGCAATGATGGACTCAGAACGTAAACTTGTTATTCGTGAACGTTTATTGAATCGTATGGCAAAACGAAAACGGGAGGAAACGAATCAGTTACAGCAGCACAACGGAGCTTTGTCGTCCTCTTGTACATCACATCTGAAATTTGCCCCAAGTACTCTGTCTCTCATCCCTGAGAGAAGATTGTGGTCAGGAAAAAACTTTTCTAAAACCCCAACGTCAAGTGCTGTACGCACGTTGGATAAAAATGATCGTGTGGATAATAACAAGTGGAAATTTCCCGACTCCGAACAACAATCTAAAAACATGGTTTGTGTTTATCTGTTTTAACCCCCGGCGTTTATATTTCTTTGAAATTTTAAACTGTTCACAATCTTGTATTGTTTATATATGATTCGTATTGTGGTTGATGAATGAAGACTTTGTCATGGTGACAAATCAAGTAATAGTCTCTCGAAAAATGTATTTGTTATGTTGAATGACAACTTTTTAAAACTCAAAATTATTTGCAGCGCTAACTTAGCAAAATTCCTTTCAGAACTACCTGGGTTGTAGTTTTTATTTAGGACTATAGTTGTTAATCAGAACTACCCAGGCTATAGTTGTTAATCAGAACTACCAAGGCTATAGTTGTTAATCAGAACTACCAAGGCTATAGTTGTTAATCAGAACTACCTAGGCTATAGTTGTTAATCAGAACTACCTAGGCTATAGTTGTTAATCAGAACTACCTAGGCTATAGTTGTTAATCAGAACTACCAAGGCTATAGTTGTTAATCAGAACTACCAAGGCTATAGTTGTTAATCAGAACTACCAAGGCTATAGTTGTTAATCAGAACTACCTAGGCTATAGTTGTTAATCAGAACTACCAAGGCTATAGTTGTTAATCAGAACTACCAAGGCTATAGTTGTTAATCAGAACTACCAAGGCTATAGTTGTTAATCAGAACTACCAAGGCTATAGTTGTTAATCAGAACTACCAGGCTATAGTTGTTAATCAGAACTACCTAGGCTATAGTTGTTAATCAGAACTACCTAGGCTATAGTTGTTAATCAGAACTACCTAGGCTATAGTTGTTAATCAGAACTACCAAGGCTATAGTTGTTAATCAGAACTACCAAGGCTATCGTTGTTAATCAGAACTACCTAGGCTATAGTTGTTAATCAGAACTAACTAGGCTATAGTTGTTAATCAGAACTACCAAGGCTATTGTTGTTAATCAGAACTACCTAGGCTATAGTTGTTAATCAGAACTACCAAGGCTATAGTTGTTAATCAGAACTACCAAGGCTATAGTTGTTAATCAGAACTACCAAGGCTATAGTTGTTAATCAGAACTACCAAGGCTATAGTTGTTAATCAGAACTACCAAGGCTATAGTTTTTAATCAGAACTACCAAGGCTATAGTTGTTAATCAGAACTACCAAGGCTATAGTTGTTAATCAGAACTACCAAGGCTATAGTTGTTAATCAGAACTACCTAGGCTATAGTTGTTATTTAGAACTACCTAGGCTATAGTTGTTAATCAGAACTACCAAGGCTATAGTTGTTAATCAGAACTACCTAGGCTATAGTTGTTAATCAGAACTACCTAGGCTATAGTTGTTATTTAGAACTACCAAGGCTATAGTTGTTAATCAGAACTACCAAGGCTATAGTTGTTATTTAGAACTACCAAGGCTATAGTTGTTAATCAGAACTACCAAGGCTATAGTTGTTAATCAGAACTACCTAGGCTATAGTTGTTAATTAGAACTACCTAGGCTATAGTTGTTAATCAGAACTACCAAGGCTATCGTTGTTAATCAGAACTACCTAGGCTATAGTTGTTAATCAGAACTACCAAGGCTATAGTTGTTAATTAGAACTACCAAGGCTATCGTTGTTAATTAGAACTACCAAGGCTATAGTTGTTAATCAGAACTACCTAGGCTATAGTTGTTAATCAGAACTACCTAGGCTATAGTTGTTAATCAGAACTACCAAGGCTATAGTTGTTAATCAGAACTACCAAGGCTATAGTTGTTAATCAGAACTACCAAGGCTATAGTTGTTAATCAGAACTACCAAGGCTATCGTTGTTAATCAGAACTACCTAGGCTATAGTTGTTAATCAGAACTACCTAGGCTATAGTTGTTAATCAGAACTACCTAGGCTATAGTTGTTAATCAGAACTACCTAGGCTATAGTTGTTAATCAGAACTACCAAGGCTATAGTTGTTAATCAGAACTACCAAGGCTATAGTTGTTAATCAGAACTACCTAGGCTATAGTTGTTAATCAGAACTACCAAGGCTATAGTTGTTAATCAGAACTACCAAGGCTATAGTTGTTAATCAGAACTACCTAGGCTATAGTTGTTAATTAGAACTACCAAGGCTATAGTTGTTAATCAGAACTACCAAGGCTATAGTTGTTAATCAGAACTACCTAGGCTATAGTTGTTAATCAGAACTACCTAGGCTATAGTTGTTAATTAGAACTACCAAGGCTATAGTTGTTATTTAGAACTACCTAGGCTATAGTTGTTAATCAGAACTACCTAGGCTATCGTTGTTAATTAGAACTACCAAGGCTATAGTTGTTAATCAGAACTACCAAGGCTATCGTTGTTAATCAGAACTACCTAGGCTATAGTTGCTAATCAGAACTACCAAGGCTATAGTTGTTATTTAGAACTACCTAGGCTATAGTTGTTAATCAGAACTACCAAGGCTATAGTTGTTGATCAGAACTACCAAGGCTATAGTTGTTAATCAGAACTACCAAGGCTATAGTTGTTAATCAGAACTACCAAGGCTATAGTTGTTAATCAGAACTACCAAGGCTATCGTTGTTAATCAGAACTACCAAGGCTATAGTTGTTAATCAGAACTACCTAGGCTATAGTTGTTAATCAGAACTACCTAGGCTATAGTTGTTAATCAGAACTACCTAGGCTATAGTTAAATGAGATATGATCTTCGCACTTAGCTGGACAATTTAACAGGACCGAAAAATCAGGTGACTCAGGGATTCGAACGATCTGGTGTAGTGCTCTGACCACTGAGCTATGAAGTCACACAGTGGTGAGCAGTCAATATTGTTGGGCTCATGAATGAATGTCATATGAATAGTGCAGTGTTTGAAATAAATGAGATATGATCTTCGCACTTAGCTGGACATTTAATCGTCTCAGACCTGAAATCAGGTGACTCAATCGAACCATGACTTCTGCGGTGGTGCAGTGCTCTGACCACTGAGCTATGAAGTCACACAGTGGTGAGCAGGTCAATATTGTTCTCATGTTAAAGTGAATGCAACATTCACGGCATTCATCAGAGGCTATTGACCTGCTCACCACTGTGTGACCTCACAGCTTCAGGCACTGCACCAAGGTTCGTCCAGTCATCCTGAACGATAAATTCAGTGCGAAACTCATTAATTTCACATTCATATGACATTCATTTCACGAGAAAACATGAGAACAATATTGACCTGCTCACCACTGTGTGACTTCATAGCTCAGTGGTCGAGCACTGCACCCACCGCAAGGTCATGGGTTCGATCCCGTTGAGTCACCTGATTTTTCAGGTCCTGAACGATTGCTTAAATTGGCTCGAAGATCATATCTCATTTAATTTCAAACACCGCACTGCATTAAACATTCATAGGCTATAGTTGTTAATCAGAACTACCAAGGCTATAGTTGTTAATCAGAACTACCAAGGCTATAGTTGTTAATCAGAACTACCAAGGCTATCGTTGTTAATCAGAACTACCTAGGCTATAGTTGTTAATCAGAACTACCTAGGCTATAGTTGTTAATCAGAACTACCTAGGCTATAGTTGTTAATCAGAACTACCTAGGCTATAGTTGTTAATCAGAACTACCAAGGCTATAGTTGTTAATCAGAACTACCAAGGCTATAGTTGTTAATCAGAACTACCTAGGCTATAGTTGTTAATCAGAACTACCAAGGCTATAGTTGTTAATCAGAACTACCAAGGCTATAGTTGTTAATCAGAACTACCTAGGCTATAGTTGTTAATTAGAACTACCAAGGCTATAGTTGTTAATCAGAACTACCAAGGCTATAGTTGTTAATCAGAACTACCTAGGCTATAGTTGTTAATCAGAACTACCTAGGCTATAGTTGTTAATTAGAACTACCAAGGCTATAGTTGTTAATTAGAACTACCAAGGCTATAGTTGTTATTTAGAACTACCTAGGCTATAGTTGTTAATCAGAACTACCTAGGCTATAGTTGTTAATCAGAACTACCTAGGCTATAGTTGTTATTTAGAACTACCTAGGCTATAGTTGGTGATCACTGTGATAAAAACACTCCTTATAGCAATACTGTGAATATTTTATTATACTAGTGGAATCGCTCTCCTGTAAAGAAAGTACATGTTAATCCGGGAATCTGGAACCCAGCCGACGTTCACGTGAAACGGGAAACCTTACCAACATGTACCTCGAATGACGTCACTTCGCAACGAGTGGTAACGTCATCAGTCCGTCAAGAGGAGGAGCGCACATCCAGGCCTTTACCTAAACTTGAGGATGTAAAAGAACAAAATCCCGATGGGGATAACGAAGCCAATAATTTAGATGGGAGAACAAGTGAGAATGAAGAAGAACATGTTGATGTGGAGAATGTAAAGGAAGATGAAATGGAGGGATCTGGGGAGAGCGATAGTGAAGTGGAGGATGACACGAGGTAATTTTTTTTTGGACAGCTGAATTGTTTTACGAATTTACTCTCAATACTGGCATTCTTTAATTGTTTTACAGTGATGATGATAGAAAGAATAAACGAACTAGAAAAACAGAAAAGCCAAGGAAAAGACTGAAGGCTGTTTAGTTAATTCATTGTTATGTTATCAAAGATGTATGCAATAGAGTTTATAGAAAACTGTTTGAAGTTAGACTCATACAAACATGTAAGAAAAACGCGGTAACTTCATTGAATTATTTGAAATGTTATTTACACTAGAAACGAGAGTCGTATAGAAATGTCGAAATACCATCTGTAAATTTATTTTTTTACTATTCACGTTGTGAAGTAAGTTGTATTAGCAATATTGTCCTCGTGTAATGTGTTCAATGATTAAATCTTTGTGAGACTAGTTGTATGAAACATTTTCCACAGTAAAATCAAATTCTACCTCTGAATATTACTTTCTTACACGACTGATCATGAGATAAAGCAAATTTGAAGTCTTGTGAAAAGTCTATATGAATTTAAAAATCAGAAAGGTCACGTGACATTGACAAAGCACCAATGGTGTAACAGGTATGAACTCTGTGTGGGCAGAGTCCCTCGGGCACCAAAAGCTATCAGCTTTCAAGGGGGCAAATCAGGGCAAATTAAGAAAAAAATTGACAGGACTACGTGCAGCCTGGTTCAAGGTTAAGCCACTTGGAAGAAAGAAAGAAATGCAAAGACAGCAGCTGTTTGCCAACAATGTACTTTTTTAAACTTCTCTGATTAGAACATCCAAGCGTAATAAGTTACTGAAACTGAACAAAACAATGCATTAATTCACTTTAGACCAACACTATCCTGGCAATTTGTGGCATTTTGGTGGATGGAATGTTGCGACTCCATCAGGGAAAGAAGGAAGAGGATTTCATAACTTGCGAAAATGTTGATGTATGTAGCAAGTTTCTGTTGTAAATAAATATGATCACAGACTTTTGCAGTACTCTTTGGGATACAAGAATTGAAAGTGATGCAGTATGTAGCGATGGATACGATGTGTTGAACCTCATCTCTCGGAATAAGTTTGAAAAACACCGTGGCTTTTTAGCCGAACGATTTGTCAAACCTGTTGTATCGATTTTAGTGAGCTTTCCTTTCCCGGTTGATGTGAGTGTAATCAATGTAAATCCACGAGTAGGTTGCCAAAAGGTTTGTGGCTTAGAGATCTTAGCAGCTGGCTTGAGATATAATCAGACGAACGACAAACTTTCTAAATATCAAAGCTATGGTCATGATGAATCTAATGGAAGTCTTTTTCATTTGTATCAGTATTCACTTAATGTTAACAATATTAAGAAAGATTTTGTAGGGTTTTAATGAAATACTTAGAGTCAAGCTAGCCGAAAACAAAGTTGGTCATTTTCGAAATCACTGTTTTCAGCAGAAAACAGATAATGATTTTGACAGCAAAATCATTAAAGATCTATCATGTGTTCAATGCTGTAATCTAAAACATGGACAAAGGCTTCATAATACATCACATTTGTGGATACGCATCACTCAAGTTCATAATAGTTCCATTCCATGCCTTGGGGCTTTAGAGGTTATTGGTCGGCCAGCAAAGAACAATAGTACATTTGTCATAAACTTTTCTAAATTAATTACCACAAAACTGCAGCAAGAGTGTGGGAAATTATTGCCATCTTACAAACATGACACAAGGGAAAAAAACCAAATTCCACAGGTTCCTTCAAAAGTTGATACAAAAGATACTTCTTTACAAGCTGATGCAATACCTCTAGAATTCATTGATCCAATTACCTTTAATATAATGTCAGTGCCCGTTCTTTTGCCCTCCGGAAACACTGTTGATAATACAACTTTAGAAAAGCATATCAAATCGGAAAGCAGCTGGGGTCGACAGCCTAGTGATCCTTTCACTGGTTTACCCATAAGGACCAAGATTGTACCGAATATCTCACTAAAATATCGAATTGACAATTATATTTTGTCATCTCAAGTAAATGTTGATGATCTTGGTCGAACTGTTGGCTCATTATCAGATTTTAAGAGTACTGTGAGACTAAAATATGATGCCATTTGTGAAGAAGACAAGGTTTCTTTTAAGAGAAAAAGAAAAACATTGCATTCAATCATTGAACATCAGCCAAAAAGACTTAATATGAGCTTATCACAGCAAAACAAGAGAATTGAAATGGAAAAGCAACAAAGCAGTTTAGATGAAACTCTAGACAACCTCCTTAGACAAAATTCAACTAGGACTAGTACAAGAATGAAGACTTCATCGCTTGTTCAATCCTTGTCAGGAAATTTACATGAAGGTAACAACTTTATTTTTTTGCTTTATCACCATTAGGAAAACTGAATGTCTTTTCCTCAAACTTTGTTTTTGTTTTGTGTTTGATAGAATCCTCTACAGAAAACATGCTTGTTACAAGCTCCGAAAAGCAATGTGCTCATCTGTCAGATGCATCATTTCAATTACCTTGTATGCATTCATTATGTAGATCATGCGTTGACTCTTCCCTTAAAATGAAACATTGTCTTCTTTGTAATCAAAGTTTTGAGAGTAGACATGTTGTTCGTGTTCATCGAAAAATGTAGGTAGTTTACTACTCAAGAATTATTATTGTCCCATTTACATGAATGCCTGAAGATTGATGATTGGGGTCATATTCATAATGTTTATCTGTTCATATGTACACATGACAAATTGTACAATATTGAAGAACATCTTGGCTTTTATTTTTAAATAAACCGTCAACTATCAAGGTAATGAAGAAATACTTCACATTCTTCAAGACCTTTGTCATTATATATAAAATGTTTAAAAACCAGCAGCATCATATAAAATATTGTTTATATGGAAATAGGACGTAGTTTGACAACCCATTTGCTTCTCTTCAGTGTTATGTATAATTTATATCTAGTGTTTATATCACTCCCAAGCACTATTTTAATTAGTTTCGTTTTTAGCATGTTAATTTTCAAGTGATGTAGTTTTATCTTCATATTTTTCGATTTGTATTCTTTTTATTTTTCTTTTTAAGTAGTTATATTATATTTAGTTACTTTTAGAGGACCCCTCTGTAAACCACTTTTTAGTGATGTTGGCATCCTCAATAAAGATTAGCTATTATTATTATTATTGCAAATCTACTTTTGGTACACCAAGTATCGTAGATCATGATTTGCGACGCTGACCTCTCTTTTATTCCTGTGCGTGCGTGGGCTCTTTATAAAGCGATAAAGATGGCGGCCGAGAACGAGGTTTCTCAATTATTTGGTGAACTTGAGCAGTGCGAAATAACTGGAAATTATTTTAAAGGACTAAAAGTTGCAAACAAAAGTATGAACAAGTTATTTATTTTTTTTGTGTTTTGGGATGATTTGCGGTTTGTTATTTCATATGTTTTTCTTTGTTCTTGTTAGTTCTTGAGAAGGTGGCCAACGATAAAGATGCATTTCAGTGCAAAATTGTGTGCTTTATACAACAAGGAAAGCTACACGATGCGTTACAGATGTTAAGGTCTTGGCGTGTTAAAAAAGGGTTAGTATAAAATGTTTAAACACTGTGAATAATAGAACATGTACGTTACTTACGACGATTATTTTGAAAATGCCACCCATAATTTTATATTTTAGTGTTGAGAACATATTGTTTGATGTAATTGTACCTTTTATTCAGGATTTCCCTCCCTTTTGAAGAAGCTTTTTGCCTTTATCGTTTAAATAAAACAACTGAGGCTTTGGAAATTCTAACAAAAGTTGAAGACCCTTCTCCTAAAGAGAAGGAACTTCTTGCTCAAGTGGTAAAAGAACTTGTGTTTGCACTTGCTAGTTTTGTGGAGGATATTTTGTGATGTTTTGCTAATCTTAATATTGCATTAGTATTATAGACTGGAGAACTTTGAAAAATGTTATGAACTATACGTAGATCTTATAAAAAACTCACAGGTTCAAATCATTTTGTTCTGGATAATTGTTTGGAATGGATTTCTTAAAGTATTTATAAATTTTATCCAGGATGACTTTGGGGATGAAAGAGAGACAAATCTAGCTGCAGTAATTGCTGCTTCACATTCCTCTGGAGTGTCAAATCTTGTAAGCTGTTCATTTTAGCAATGCTAGGCAATGTAGTGTAATTATTCTGGGGGATTGTATTTTATATGAGAAGCTACTAAAGACACCAATATTATTACATTGTGTTGTTGTGTAGACTTGTGAAGGCCTACGGGAGGACAAATATGAGCTTTGCTATAACAATGCTTGTCTATCTGTTGCCAAGAATGATATGAAAGCAGCATATGAAAAACTCATGGCAGCAGAAGGTATGCCTGTAAGGTTTTCAGATATATAGGATGGAACTTTAGAAAGTTTATTTCAATCTCCAATGTGAACGTTGATTTTCATGAACAATTTTGGAGCAATAATAACATGAAGTAGTAATATGAATGTTTTAAGCAGTGCGGTGTTTGAAATTAAATGAAGATATGATCTTCGCACTTTGCTGGACAATTTAAGCAATCGTCTCAGGACCTGAAAAAATCAGGTGACTCAACGGGATTCGAACCCATGACCTCTGCGGTGCCGGTGCAGTGCTCTGACCAACTGAGCTATGAAGTCACATGAGCCCAACAATATTGACCTGCTCACCACTGTGTGACTTCATAGCTCAGTTGGTCAGAGCACTGCACCGGCACCGCAGAGGTCATGGGTTCGAATCCCGTTGAGTCACCTGATTTTTTCAGGTCCTGAGACGATTGCTTAACTTGTCCAGCAAGGTGCGAAGATCATATCTTCATTTAATGAAGTAGTAATATGACTGAAGACAGTGCATTCTTTTTTTTATGTTACCAGAACTTTGTCGAAAATCAATGGAAGATGAAGGGGTGTGTTGCTACAACATATTTTTTCTCATTTGTTCAATTTACATACTTATCTTTTCACAAACAAGAAGATTTCAATATGACCAAGAATATGATCATAAACATTGATGGTGGTTGTGCAGTGGTCACAAGATTTTACTCCCAAACTTCTTGAAATTTGTTAATCTCATTTTCAAATTTGATTTGTATTCTTATTTCAGGAGTTAACAGAAAATGAAATGGAATCAGAGCTTGGTGTACTAAGGTAGAATTAAAGTACAAATTCAGAGAACCCAATTCATAAAAATACCTCTTGTCAACTATCTCTCTCTCTGATTCTTGTGCAATTTCTTTTTAAAGAGTACAACAAGGTTTTGTGTACCAAATGCTTGGTAGTGACAATGAAGCCATGAAACTGTATAATTCTGTTCTCAAATCAAGGTTTGTCATCATTTGTTGTATTTATATTATTCTCCAATTGAACCACACTTTGTTTTCTGTCCATTAAGACCAAATGATGTTGCAATCAGTGCAGTGGCTTCCAATAATATCATTAGTTTAAACAAGGTATTTATAAATGATTTTTTACAAATGCTTTGAAAAGTTTTTTAAAAGATTCTTTTGTCATAAAATATTATAGGATATTATCGGATATAAAAGGGTATTGTATGATATAATAGGATATTGTATACAAACTCCATTATAGGATAAAGATATCTTTGACTCCAAGAAGAAAATTAAAGTTGCAGCAGCTGTTGGCGTAGAAGGAAAGTTAAATGATTGTCAAAAACAACACATTTCATTCAATAAATGCTTGGTGCTGTTGTACAGTAATCAGGTATTAATTTTGAACTGTTAGAAAAATTGTGTGACATTCCTTTTAAATGTTCAACATGCACAAGGCGAACTGTGAATTTGTTGCATAGATTTTCAAACATATGATGAAAAATCGGGAGCAGTCTTTGCATATATGATTCAATCTTGAACCACAAATGATTAAAGCTTCAAGCCTTCAAGTTCTCTAAAGGGGCTTATTTATTCATTATTCTTGTGAAATTTTTGAATAATTTATATAAACAATTTTGATCCAAATGAAAACAAGAAGTACATTAGCATGACAATGTTTGCGAGTTTTATTAAAAAATAACCTTTACGTCTATGTAAACAATCCTGATTTATTGCACAATGTCATCCAATGTACTATAAATAATCTTCCACAAACAATTTGAATGAAATGAAAACAGGAAGTTCATTTGCGCATCGCGCGTCTTTTCAACAGATAACGCCCTTGACGTTTATTCAAACAATCCTGATCTGTCTCTATGTCTTCGAGTCGAGGCTTGATGTCATCCCTTACAAAAGTATACAGAATTCTTTTTAAGCCGCATCAGGTCAAGCTCAAAGCATACAGTCTATAATAAATCCACTATAACAGTTTACTGGATGGCACCGTGTTTCGACTTTATTCCAAAGCCATCATCAGAGATTATACATAATATAAATCCTAACACGGTTTTTTTTATATGCACATGAAAAACATGTGATTTGGACGAGCTTTGAATTCGGGATACTAGTCCGCCGCTCTACCTGTTGAGCTACCAAGCCCACAGGGATTGGAGACGAGTCAAATCTCTTTAAAACTACGTATGGACGAGAGATTCTCGATCCAGTAACTGCTATCGTGGCGAGAATCTCTCGTCCATACGTAGTTTCAAATCCACTTTGTTATACGTGTTTTAGTGGTTAACTTTAAAGTTAATGCTTCAACACAGACAAATTCTCAATTTGAAACGGAAACAATGATTTTGGGAAAAAAACCAATACACGCTGTTTACGTTAGAAAGTTTATTGATGATGTTTTAAAGGATTAGCAAAGCATCGATTTTTCCGTGAATTTCAGATTTTTTAGAAAACATTTTCATTTCAGAACGATGCATGTCGCAAAGCTCTTAATGAATTGAAGACAAAATATCCTCAAAGTGATTTTCCAGTACTTCTTGAAGCAGCTTTGTTCTTACGTGAAAAACACCATGGGGATGCTGTGAGCATTTTAGAGGTAAGAAATGTCCATCTTAATAAAGTAAATGGTTTGAACCCGGGAGTATCGTTTCATGTTTTTTTTTTGTAAATGTAGATCGTCCAAGTTTGTATAGTCCTGAGAAGGACTGCTTATGTTGTTGTTGACTGACGTTTCGACAACCTTAGCGGTAGTCATCTTCAGAGTCAAATGTCTATCTATTAACATTTTGTTCAAAGAACTCTCCATATAATCAGCATCTTACTGGGGGCTGCATACTTACAGTAACTATTCGTTTTATTCTGCTGTTGTTGTAGAAATACACAGATACTCATCATGATTGCTCAATACAAGTTTCACTGGCTATTGTACAACTTCATCTTATGCTTGGCAATATACTTGATGCTTGCAAGCGCCTGCGATCTGTTGACCACATTAAATATCGCCCGGCGGTTGTGGCGCTCTTGGTGAACTTGTATACGCAAGTTGGTGATGCAGACTCCGCTGTACAAGTACTGGATGAAACTGTGGCTCATGTCAAAGAAAATGAGGTATAGTTTTCGTTGGCCATGTTTTACAATAAAAACAACTGATTTTATTTTGTCTAATGGGATTTGTTATTTGTGTTTAGTCTTTAATGAATCGCGGAGAATTGATAAAATTATTGCGAGAAAATGTTACCTTTAAGTTGAAGAGAGGAAAGACTCGTGAAGCCGTCGATGTGTTAGAATATTTACACAAGTATGACGTTTTTCATAATGTTTTTAAAAGAAATTTTCCTTCGAAGCATTTTACCATATACTAAGCAGACTGTTTCTTCATTGTCCCATCTCTTCTTTAGTTTGGATCCTGATGACTTGAAAACCATCGCACATCTTGTTGCAGCTTACTCGCAGATAGATGCTAAGAAATCCGAACAGTATCCTTCTGGTGTGATTTTTGATGTGACTAAGACCCAACGTATATGCAGGAGAAACGAATTGTGACTTGGGTGTAATATCCAAGTGCATTGCTTTTCGTAACACAGATAATTCCTCGTAATAATGTGCTTGAGATCATATCACTAAGAAGCAAACCAAAAGGCTAGCTTTTGGGGAAGCATGCCTGCTTTGCATAATTGCATGAAGCCAAATGTTTACCTCCATTTTAGCGTACTGTATCATAGTAAACTTTCTTTGGGCCGTGCGTTAAAGAGGACTGGAACTAGTTAAATTTCTGGCTCTAAATAGCTCATTTCAGGGGTAGAGACTTGCGTTTTTTTGCATTTTCATTAACAATGTAACAATGTAGATACAGTAGGAAGCTACCGCCTTTACAAGGTGATGAAGTTGATGTTAGTGCACTTGAAGTTTCATTAGGTTCACGTTACGTCCGTAAAACTGCTAAACTTAGCTCTGAAGGAGCTAAAGACAAAATGAAAACGGAGGAAAAGTAAGTCAACTACTTATTCAAGCCATTGAAATGAAACAAAAGTGCATGCCAGGAGGGGGTGCTGTTAAGATTTTGTACCACTTTTTGAGGAAAGCAAAGAAAACTAACATTTTTATCAATCATTTTTATCGTCCAATGAGCTTTTCCTAAAACATCTTTCTAGGCAAGATGTCGTCGTCAAAAGACGAAGGAAAAAGAAACCAGGTAGATTTTGTTTGTTTTTGTTTAAAGTCCTCGACTAACGAAGGAAAAATTAAGAGATCTCAAGTTATTCAAACATCGACTCTCAGTAATGCTTCCTTTTTATCACATGCAAATTTTTTGTCGACGCAAATTTTTTGTCGACGCAAATTTTTTGTCGACGCAAATTTTTTTGTCGACGCACATTTTTTTGTCGACGCACATTTTTTTGTCGACGCAAATTTTTTGTCGACGCAAAGTTTTTGTCGACGCAAATTTTTTGTCAACGCAAAGTTTTTGTCGACGCAAAGTCACGTGACTCTTTCATGAATTTAGGTAAACGTCCGAAGAACTTCAATCCAGACGTTGATCCTGATCCCGAACGTTGGTTACCTCGCCGTGAACGATCCTATTTTAAAGGCAAGAGACAAAAGAAAACAGCCGCTATAGGTATTAATATTTGTACAATCATCGAAGTAACCTTGTTCGGAGAAAATAATTCGTCATACTTTGTAAGTGGATTAATTTTTTTACGTTGATGCGACAGGAAAAGGAACGCAAGGAGCTACATCAACACAGGATTCGTGAGTATTATGAAGTTATTTCCTTCTGAGATAAAATATTAAAGTAGAAAAGGACACACATGAAGATGGTGATTTGTGCTTCATTTTACACCAGTTGAAAATAATCTACACCGACTACTTTTATTTACTGATGACATAGTTCGTTTAATACGTCATACGTTTGTTGAGATCCTAGAGGCATTTCATATTATATTATTATGTTTATTTAATATCTAGGCCTTCTGCTCGGACTGCGTCTAGTCCCAAGTCTACGTCATCCCCAGGGACCCCAAATGTATCCTCTGCCTCATCAACAGTTGTGCCTCCACGCCAACAACAGCCTCAAGCCAGCAAGAAAAAACAGCGGACTAAAAAGAAAAAAAGTGGCTGGTAATGTTAATTTTAATGAGGGTAAATAGTCCGTTTCATGAATTGAAATAAAAATGTTTCTTCTTTGTGTATCAACACAGAATTGTACATTCTATTGAATTCACTCTGGGCCTTATAGCACGTTACCGATATGACGTCAGATGTGGGCACTCGCCCTAGTTTCTTTTACTATCGCGGCGAAGCGAAAATTACCAACTTTTAGCTGTAGAAAATCAACAAAGATCAAAGCGTGATTATAAAATATATTACAAAAGTGTTTAAAATCCTCTAAGCGTTTTAAATAACTCGATTTTAAAAAATTGTATAACCACTTTAACCCGAATTAAGTTAATGAAAATGTTATTTTGACTGTGATAAGTTATTAATTTTAAATATTTAATCAGATTTTCACCACCAGTACATCCGGTTTACATAAAACCATTACGGTCAAACGGTTAGCAAATTCGTAGTGTTGATAACATTTCAAACTTCAATATAAATCTTCAATGTCTACTTGAAAGTCGAGAGCTTTGATTGAACATGCTCATTTCTCATTATAGTTTTTTAAGACAGTATTTATCGTCTCAAGGTTGCTCAGTTGAACGAACATTAATTTAAGGGCCGTGTGCACAAAGAAATGTGTACTCAAATATGAAAACAATTTTCGAAAGTTTAATTATTTTGATTGTTGACTGTCATAGATCATTCGCATGATTTCATTTTTATGCTAAGCTTGTTAAATGTCAAGGCCTTCGTTTGCTATAATACGCACGAATTATTTGTTAACTCGTGCCTGCACGATGATCTGTGCCGTCAATCACATTATCTTTGTTATAAATGCGTTCATCTTGACAAGGACGAGAGCTCACCGAATAATTTTGATAAGCAGCACGTATTGACGACATCTTAATTACTCTAAATATAATTTTTATATTACAGTCGGTCAGGTGTGTGTTGTGTGTTGTAAGTTATTCACTTAAGCTTATCAAATTCTTAAACGCTGATTTAGCCATGTATGGTTCGACTAATTTTAGATGTACTTATTTTGCTAAAACGACTTATGACTTCACATTTAGCGATGTTGTATGCTCAATAAATTATAAGGAATGTTAAGCATTCTCCCGACCATTGTATGCCATGCGATTTTTAATTGGAACTTTCATATTTCTTGCTGTTGTTAAAGTTGAAGTCTTCCCACGGTATAATGTTTCCCATTTCATGTTTTTAAGTGATTTCAAGACAATAACTATCACCATTTGACATAAAAATGCAGACGTCGTGATTATTGCACTTTTGTTAAGAGATATATCTGTTGAAAAATTAAATTAGGCCTGAGTTGGTGATGTGGATTGTTTTCAGTTTTCAGTGCGTAGATATGAGAATACACTATGTCGAAAAGTAAATTTTACTGTGGCTATGATCTAGGACAACCATGTATAGTTCAGTACTTCAGTCTAAGATGGTATGATGAAAGAACTACAATATACTAAAGTAATGATTATTTGAATTTAGTATCGGAGTTGAACCATAAGATTAAGATGTGGTTTATATCATTGCATCAGATATTGACATTAATGCATTAAAAATGCTTTTTTATCGTGATTCAGTCCTGACCTTTATGTCATTTCCTAGACTATTGAATGGGTTAGGTCTGGCAGAAATAAATCTTCCTTGGAATTTTCAAAAATAACTTTATTTCCTCCGACTGCATTATTCTGACTAAATTCACCCTCCTACATTATTAAGTAACTTCTTAAACATGTACTTCACAATCATGACATAATTGTATATCCTGAATTTTTTTGCTTGTTTTTATAAGTATTAACTGTTCGTTGACTAAAACTATACTTCACTTAGGCACAAGACTTTGTGATCAATCATTTATATGAAAATCTTCTCAGACTAAATCTCTTGGAAATAATTAAAGTTTATTCCAGAATTTTCGAAGAAGGATGAATTTGAAACCCACTTGCACCATATTGCAGACGTACACGACAAGGCTCCGAGGTTGGTGCTTATCTTTTTCAAAATTTTCTCAGCATGCGTGTCGTTTTTTTTTGTTCAATTATACTCTATATTCAGCTTTCTTTCATTCGTCACTCAAATTTTATTGCTTCAGAGACTCCGCGTGTTTAGAAAGATTCTTGAGACACTGATTGTGCGTCAACATTTCTATATATGTGGTAACAAAAACTTAATTACATTTATATGTGTTTAATCTACGTTGTTCGGAAATATTTTTTCACGATTAGATCGGAACGTTTCCCAAAGATTTCCATAATCTTCACGGCATTACGTTCGCGTGTGTGAGTTAAGATCAGCCCACCCTGTTGGCTTGCTTCGTATCTCGACGTTTTAGCGCAGTGTTGACTTTAAGGGACGTCGCTATGCAAGTCTTATCACTCAAGTAATTTGCATAAAATGCGACAACATATCGCTATCCCTAAAGCAATGCTCGACACAACCACGTTAATCCCATGGTTGAAAGAAAACTAGAAAAGCGCATTCAGATTATGAATTTTTTGTATGATGATGGTCACAAGACCGAAATTCTTGTTTACCTAAGATTTATGTGACTCAGAGTTTTCGTGACAACAAGCGGATATTTGTGCACGGTCTTTTATGCTTTGACAACGTGTTAGCCCGCTTCAACAGGCGGTGTTCTTTTGTCGAGTCACCTGCTATTTCCATCGACAATTTATTAAAGACATTTTCAATTGAATTAAATTGTGAATCTTATCTCTTGAAATTCTCATTCCGTTGCTAGAATTGACGCTGCATTTGGACGAATCCGTTCGCAATTACGGCAGCTGGAAATTACATTAGTGGTGTCAAGTTTTTCAAAAAACTACCGTTCGTCCTTACAACTCCCTGGAATCTGTGGAATTCACTTGTGTCGTATGAAAACTGATAGCGGCTAAGCTGCAACTTCAAACTGTCAATGCCTGGCACTTGAGGAAGCATCTTTTATCGGTCCCGACCAGTTAAAAGGGCGCTATTCAAGTATTCTGTCCATTCTTTCGTAGGTTCGCCAGTTGTGAACTGCCGACGTTATGGGTGCATATAATTTACTGGTGGCAGCTCTAGTGTTTTCAATAGGTTAGTGAATTATTTTTTTCTACTGTATGATGAGTGGCATTATTGTATGACACCTCGGTCAAAGTTACGGATATCGGAGGATAACGATGGATAAATTTATGTTGCGTTATTCGCTAAGATAGCAAATGTAAAGGACGAAGTTGAGTTGATGGTCATGTGTTTTTTATTTGTCTCGTTTTTATCGCATATTTTCGATAAAAAATTTGTTGGGGTTAAATAATTGTTTTTCGTCTCCCACGTTGCTATATAAATTTGTTTGTTTTGGTAGAATTATTCAAAGTGAATGTGATTGCGATAACTTTATGACGCGGTAAAGCCTTTTTCTTACTCGCATCCCTTCATGATTGTAGGATAATTTTCTCTTTATAAAACAAGAATTTGTTTGCAAGTTTCGTGCGATAACTGTGATGTAAGCACTTGCCAGAGGTAACTCATTCTTAATCCCGTTATCGTTGATTTTTGACTGTCTGGATCATAAGGGCTTTTTTTAATTCAGCTATGGTTACTCTCGTTACAAGTGCTTTTCGTCTACGTTATTTTGCTGGTGGATTTTTTACATTTCTCGCGTTTGCATTTTGATAACACACGGAAAGCGCACTTGTTTATCTGTCCTTGTGAACATCCTCGCTTTTACATTCTTGAAGTGACTGTACAAATAGGATTTGTTGGCTTATGGCACTTTTACAAGAACGTAGAAATGTTGCATTATTCACGAAAGAATTTAATCGAGAGCAGATTTCATAGTAACTGATAACTTATTGCACGAAAGCACTGCTGTTAGTTTTCTCTCTTTCGAATTGAGTTTTTTTAGTCTTAAGATGAATAATACATTGTCAATAATGTGGAGGATATGCCCAAATTAAGTTGATTCGAGGGTTCGGTGCAACTGGACTAGTTTTGACTTCATACTGTTCTTTTTGTCTGTGTTTAAGAAATCAATCCATGAACTGCACATTTGTATTCTTTTTTAAAATTACCACAGCGTGTATTCTTCGAGCCATTGAATTATCTCTATGGGATACACAACCATGAAAGGACGGATAGTTTATAAAAACAATATCACAGCTAATTCACGTAGTTTCTGTTGTTCTTTCATATAAACATAGCCTAAATTGTGAATAGAAAAAATGTCTGTGGACTCAAAGGCATGAATTTCGACGACCACGTTTATTTAATTAACCTGCTTCCTGTTTATAAATATCTTTAACGAGTCAATTTTGAAATCATTTACAGACTTACGCGGACAGTAATAGAACCTTTCAGTTTTGAAGACAAGAAGTAAATATACAAAAAAAATGTGCCAATTTCGAATAAATGCGTGATGTTTGGTAAAAAAATCCCATAAGACGATTTTTTACTCTAAAATCAAACGTCATCAGTTTTTTTGTTTCAATAATCGTGTCTGCGATTTGGAAGTCGGTTTCAAACCTCGTCAAGGCATGTCAACAAGTTCGTAGTTCGTAAGGTATATTTCTAATCGTTACTTTCAAAGCTGCTTAATGATCCTTCAGATCGCGCGAGACTAATGGTTGGAGATGGCAAACTTCTTTTTCTTTAAAAAAACATGAAAAGACTTTTTGATTTTATAGAGAGCTATGTTGTTGTAAAACTGATGTTTGTTTTTTTTGGATGTGAATTTTATATTGTATCTGAAGTAATGGAACTCAAGCATTTATTATTTAATTTGATTTTGGCGGAGTGCTGACAGGAATGCTGCTGTGCTTCAAAATTTTTCATAGCTACGCACAGTGTTACAGCCGACGAAGCAGTCAATAAATAATATATACATGACAGATTTTAATTGTCCGATATCATCTTTTTAATTGTTCTATAATTAAACTGTCTACTCGACAAGTGATTAAATATGTTCAAGCAGCGAGGCTATTTGGTTATTTATAATAGTTGATGGTTTCAGTCATGCCAAAGTTCTCAATATACCCTTACTGATACGATCTTCTTCATAATATGATTTTCTTCATATGACATCACACATGCACGTCATAGATATTGGTTGATATCGGCTATTCTGGGTGTATAACATAGATCCATTAGGTTCACAAAGGGACACGTTGGATTCCTCTGAGATGTTGAATTTATTCAAAGTGATAACGTGCAACCTTTATGCAGTACACGATGCAAACAACTAATGTAGAGCATTAATATTTTTTTAGTCTCTTACCTCTTCATCGTCATAGAAGCAAAAGTAGGCGACAACCAGACTGATGATTGCTACAAACCATGTAGAGTAAAAAGCAGTCCTGTTTGTGGTAATGATGGACGAAATTATACAACTGGATGTCACTTCAGTGTAGCGCGCTGTCGAGCAAGAAAGATTGGTCAAAGCCTGGTTGCAATGCAAACAGGGTATTGTCAATCCAGTAAACCCATAAGTCAGTGTCTCCTGAGCTGCACTGATCTTAAAGCACCTGTCTGTGGAAGCGACACAAGGATATACAGGAACCTATGTCTTTTTAAAAAAGCAAGATGTGAGGCGAGGAAGAAAAAAATGAAGCCACTTAGCAGAAGTAAGTTTTTAAGGAAATATGGCAAACTACCATGAATAATAATCAATGGCTGGAAAGGAGTTAAGATCATTGGGGAAGATTTTTTGCCTTCGCTGCATGAAGTTACTATCGAAACCAGTTTTTGACAAAACTTTATGATGAACTTTTCTTCCTTTTTTTATCTGACATAACTTTCTGTATTTTCAAAGGACCCTGTAAAAAGCAAACTCCCAAGTGTCGATTGTTGTCATCCTGTCCGAAAGTGAAACGGCCCGTCTGTGGTTCGGACAGCAAAACGTACCGGAATATTTGTTTCTTAAAAACGAAAAATTGTCGACTCAAACGAGCAGCTAAAGGAAAACCGTTCAAGAAACTAATTTTGAAACATTGTGGTGCTTGTGGACGTCGGCGTCGATTTCGGCAGTGGAGGACGCAAAAATGTCCTGAAGTAAAGTTTTGTGATCAGCTTTTAAGAGCTGCTGTGCGTCACGCTGAAACGAAAGGAAATGGAAGACCCACAAAACTAAAGAAAGGACGCAAAAACAGCAAACCCCGTGTTCCACGTTTAAAGAAGAAGAAACTGTTGAAAAAAAAGAGCTCAAAGCAAGGGAGCTCAAAGAAAAGCAAAACCCTTCGGACAAAGCTGAAAACAAGAATTCGTCCGAACGGCAAAAAAACGGGAAAGATTGGTCCTAAGAAATTATTTCAAATATGCGGATCTGATGGCGTAACATATTCAAGTCTTTGTCACCTTCAGATTGAGCAGTGCAATAGGATGAATCGATGTCAGCGGTTACAGATGAAGCATAAGGGAGCATGCAATAAACGACCCAGGAGAAGGAACTAGACGCATCGTTTTCAACGTAAACAATTTATCTCTGTATAATCTGTTCAACGAAATGTGCCAACAGAAATGTGTTCAGACATTTTTTCTGTGTAGTATAAACGCAAGTTTTTAATCTTTTTATATCTAGTGTGTAAAACGAACACGATAAGTCGCGAAAAACAGTTTTAGATATATTTACAAATATGAACGGCGGGTTTGATTATTACAATGTTTTATGAAATAAATGTATCACCCCACGATTTTGGTTTTATATATCTCTTTTCTCGTTGCTTCGTACGCCAAATTTCAATATCCAGAAAAAGAATGTAGAAATATGATAGAAATCGGACTAACTGCTCATTGTTATTCGTGTCTCAGGCTACGCAACATGGAAATTTTTTTGGGTGCTCATTTGCATACTTTACGCATATTTTCATGCGAAAGCTCCTAATATGGCCATAACACGTGCTTTAAGTTTACAAACAAGGTTACTTCCGCAACAAGTTAAAGAAATTGGAGATGCAAGTTTGTCGTTCTAAGCATACAAAAGCAGACGTAAACGATTTCAAAACTCGCTGAGTTCTTTCACAAGCGTCACTGCCAACAGAAAGCACAACATAGTGTGAACTTTTCGGTGTTTATCGTGTTAACTTCTTGAAAAGGTAAGAATACAAATGAGTTTTGATTTACAATTTTTAAATTTTATTATTGCATCGCTCATCTCCTTTCATTTCACTATGAACGTTTTACAACTTCTTCCGCATAGTCATGAGCTGTTTTGTACTTTTCTCGCACAAAGTGTTGTGTGTCCTTTAGCATAGTGTCAGCAAAGTTCATGGCCCGCTACCTGTTCTTTCATGGCGAAAAACATTAATGACACAAACTCTTCGAAAACTTATCGTGCTAGTGATATTTTACATTCATGAAAAAAAGTTTTGACGTCTGAATAAGCATAAATTCCTCAATTGATGTGGACATGTGAGTTAAAAGTTCTTTGCAAGGTCCGAATATTGTGCTTTTTTTCCTGAATATCGAGGCTGCGTGACTTTATTATTGCGTCTAGAAGAAGGATTAAAGTCGTGACTTTGGGGTCATTCGCGTGTAGGCAGTAACCTATCTATGGATGATCAAAACATCTGTTCTTTAAATAAAGATCCTTGTTTATGAAATAAAAATAAATCTTCAACCATGGCAAATAAGTTATACACAAAAATAGACTACGATATGTGGAACTCGTGGACAAGCTGTTTGACTTTTACAAAATGAATAGATTTTTATCAAGGCGACTGTAATGTTCAGTACTGTGACGATTTTGCATAATTTGCGTACTTTCAACCGCACTTTCTGCATATCTCATTATTTATCACATAAAGCTATTTAGTTTGTGCGAATTTGATATCGATTGTGCTATTGTAATGTTTCATTTTACAGTCATTTTGCCAAAATACAAATACTGTCAAAGACAAATACTGTCATTCTAAGACAGTAAGATGATACTGTTGTAATCTTTTGTTTCAAAGGTCTGCACTTATCTCTCTTTCGTCATCTATCAGCAATGTTTCTATCGGGGTGCTTCAAGTACATTTTAACGAAACTCCCGTAAAAATCGATTGGAAATAGATACTTAAAAATTTTATTCGAACGGGGTGAATTGTAGGAAAATTTTAAGTGTGTTTGCAACGCTATTCTTTTCGTAGATTTATAAAATGAGTGCTGTAGCCCAAGTTAAGAAGCGTATGGCTGAGATGCGTGACGGCATCGATGACGCCGAAGAACGTGCGAAAGACCTTGAGTTACAAAAACGCGAAGCTGAGGCGCGTTGTTTGACAGCTGAGGGCGAGGTGTCCTCACTGAAAAATCGTGTTTTCCAGTTGCAAACGGAGATTGAGCGCATCGAACAATTAAAGTCAGATGTGAGTGCAAAGCTAGACGCTGCAAACGAGCGTATCCTTGAAAATGACAATGTACGTAAAGACTTGGAAGGGAGAGAGACAGATAACGACCAAGATTTGGTCATGTTTGAGCAAAGCACAAAAGATACCAAGGTACAAAGTTTATCTTATCTTACTGATAAATTGAAGGTGAAAGACCTTTACAATTAAGACAAGATAAAATTTAGATTGACGAACAAAGTCTCTCTTAATAGGAAAACAACACATTTTTTTGTTTATCTTCAAGGTTTTGCTCACGGAAAACACCCAAAAACATGACGACGCCTTGAATAAGTTGAAGGTACTCGAAGGAGATCTTGGTAGAGTCTATGAACGTCTCACTGGTGCCCAGAAGAAAGTTGAGAAACTCGAGAACGAAGCAGAACAGGTTAGCACTGATCTTAAAGATCTTGAATCGAGAGATGAAGAAGCCAGCCAGCGTGAAATGACATTAGAAGACCAAGTGAGGTATCTCGAGGCCCAAGTCAAGGAAACCGACCAGAGAGCGGATCACGCCGAACGTATGGCGACGACTCTTGAAGTGCTGCGAGACAGTCTGGGTGGTACGTTGATGAATGATTAAAGTGTGGAAAAGAGTGAAGAAAGAAAAATATCTGTATACTGTATGTGATATCTTCAAAACTTGTCTTCTTTTATGTTTTTAGGAGGTATCGAACTTGAACAAAAGAAGACTGCGGCGATCAAGGATGAGCTTGAAGCAACGATGAATGAGTTACTTGACATGACTCCTGATCCTGTAGAAGGTAACGAATGAAGTGCAAAAGCCATAAGAGAGACTTTCAGACGTTTTTAAATATTACCTAAAATAGAACATTTTATATCGAGAATATTGAATTTTATCTTTTGATCAAACAATGTTTATTGTTGTTGAGAATACAAGTTATCAAGTCAATTGTTCCAACTTAAACCTGCATGTTCATATGTTTGTTTGTCCTGCAAAAACACAGGTTCTAGGCATCGATATCTCGCTTTCATAACTAAGATCAGGTACACGTAACTTCAATATTGTACTGAAATTCCTATTTTTATGGTCGTGACCTCCTATTATCCATAGAAAACAATCGTTATCCCGTTCTGTCTTCATTATCTCCGCACGTAGACCACTTCTAGGGTTGAAACAATTGCGGATCAAACTCCAAGTGTTGCTTTCAACATCGAGAAGTTCCACTGAATTCAAAACAGCATACTTGTTAGCACCGCCAACAACATAGATGTTTTTACCATGATGTGTGGAAGCGTGATGCATACGTGGTTTATTCATGCACGCAACTTCTGTCCACATGTTTGAGAGTGGATCAAAAAATTCCACATGGGGTATTGTACATGATCCACAGTACCCACCGATGGCGTAAATTTTTCCAGAGACAGGTTGAAGGCAAAAATGACTACGGGGAAGGCTCATATGGGGGACTGGAAGCCAGTTATTTGATAAGCAATCGTAGCGTTCTACAGATTTTAGAACCTCGCCATTTTCAGTGCCTCCTGCGACGTAAAGCCAGCCATCAAGAACAGCAACTGCAATTGAACCTAGGACATAGCAAGAAGTTTAAGATAAGTTCATTCAGATCACTGATGTCGAAGATTACCTTTGCAATTTTGCAGTGGAGCCAAAGAGGACCAATGATTGGTGGAGATATTGCAAGCCTCGACTGTCACGAGGTCGCCATACTGGTTGTTAATCCCACCTACAGCATACAACTGACCATCAAGTATCGCCGTACCAACAAATTTCCTGGGAATGATCATGGGAGTAAGCTCGTGCCAGTCTCCTGTGCTGCAGTCGTAGCACTCGACATTACTAAGGATGTTTCCACAATCTAAAGAATAATTGATTGATAAAAAAGACAAAACATAACCAGATATTTGTTTTAATGATCACCTTCACCGCCAAGTAAGTACAAATATCGGCTAATTCTCTCTCTCTGTCCGTCCATTTTCTCACTAAAACTTTTTCGTGTTTCAGGAAGGAGATGGTAGCGAATAGAATCGATAATCAACTCTCTACAGAACTCGTTTCCTACGATAAGTTCGTTGTCTAAAATATCAATCAAATATCGTCTAGTGATTTGTGAGAAACGGACATATTTCATCAGATCTTCTAAAAACAAGATTCTTTTATTTTGATCAAATTTTACCCAACGAATGATTGCAGTTACCAAGTCATTCTCATTCAAGATCCTTAATTCGTCTGATTTCAGAAATTTCAACAGTCGCTCTGCGGTCAAATCTAAAAATTCGTCATATTGGGCAATGTGTAAGAAGTTGGTTTTAACGAAGCTCTCGATTTTTGCTACAATTGTCTCATTTCTAGGAATGACTTCGGCCAATTTCCATATTCCAAGACAGTTGGCTTCGTCAAGATTACTCAACAAATATTCCATGCATAATTTTTGCACCTTGGTGAACTGCAACATGCCACTCGCAACGAGCAACTGTTGCACGTTGTCGTGTGTTATTGTTACTGTTGCTCTGTAACAAAACTCTATGAGCTGCTCAAGAGCTATGGAATCGACATCCCTGATTGTGATATGAGTTTCCTGACATTCTTTCATGTCAGCCAGAAACATAGCGCGAAAATACGAGCTTGCTGAGGCTAAGACAAGCTTATGACATGTAAACTGCTTGTTGTCGTCCGTGCAAATCACAACATCGGTGAATACAGATTCTCTACGGAAATCCGTCATAATTTTGAATGCATCAGTCAAAGCAATTTTGTCGTTGAATTCGTATGAACCTTTCCCATATTTTGATGATGAATCCATTTTCCTTAACTTTATCTCTCAAAGGATTTTGATGAAGACTCGTCATTACATTACCTAGTTTCCGAGCGAAAGAAGTTTAGCTAGTTTTGTGCTGGTGATTGATAAGCATGATTAAACACTCTCGCGTTATAACTTCGTGCCAAACATACAATCTTTACAATGTCATAAAACGTTCACTACAATGTGTACTACAAGAAATTTTATATCAGTCAAAAGTGTTTTAGACTAACAATTTTCACTTAAATCTACTGTGTTCATATCCCAGAAATGATTAATGATGTGAATAATATGACTATTTCAGGAAGTGAAGTAGTGATTGAACTGCATTTCTTTTGTTTAAGGACATTGATGATTCGCCGTTGCCTTTAGTTTTTTTGGGGGGGAGGGTTTACTTTAAAGATAAGGCTTGCTTGTAATGTTGAACTCGCAAATTGCAAAGTTCTGCTCTTTGATTGTCCAACATGAGTTTTAATTTATTGATCAATAACGTCCCATTCTGGCGTATTAACATTGGCAAATTATAACTATCTAAGAGGATCAATGGCAACCATACGAGCCTCTTTCTTCACGAACGAAGATTCATTCATTCATGTAGTGTTCAAATTACTTCAAGTATTCGTGGATAAAACTAACGCTGACCTCATATTTTACATATTCATATCTAACATGGCGGATAGTTTGCCTTTTTCACAACATACATCAACGTTAATTTTACAAGCGTGGAGAGAACGTTGGACTCCATTGCAATGGGCTAAAAAATTGCGAGGAACGCTTTTAGAAGATGCTGAATTGAAAGATAGCTTGCCAGGTATCCACGAATTTGTTTGAAATTGATGTACTTTAAACACGTGACGAAGTATAAAATATTTAACATCAATATATCGTAATTGTTGTTTACAAAATTGCATATTTTGGAGTGTTTTTTTATAGTTTTATGTTTATGTTGTGGTATTTGCGTTGACTGCTTATTTGAATTGTTCAGTGAGTAAATTGAGCAAAGGCTACATGTGCAAAGAATAATATTTCTACATGTTCGTAAAAGTAGATCGTCCAGGTTGGTATAGTCCTGAGAAGGACTGTTTTTGTTGTTATTGACTGATGTTTAGACAACCTTAGTGGTAGTCATCTTCAGAGTCAAATGAGGAGTAAACGTCAGTTTAGCCGATAACCAGATAACAAATACGGCTAACCTGACGTTTACTCCTCATTTGACTATGAAGATGACCACCACTAAGGTTGTCGAAACGTCAGTCAACAACAACAAAAACAGTCCTCAAAACTATACCAACCTGGACAATCTACATTTATAAAAAAAAACATGAAACGATACTCCCTGGTTCAAACCATTTACTTTATTACGATAATATTTCTACTGATTAATATCAGTAATATGATAATGTAATGTAATGAATTGTACAAGGCATATGTTAGAAGTGTTTTGGGATATGGAGCAGAGTGTTGGGCGCCGAAAGCAGAGGACCTGAGAAGATTGGCGTCGACGGAAAGGAGAATGCTTAGGATGATGTGTGGTAACGTTGATGGATAGGATGTGAAGAGATTAGAGAAAGAGTTGGTGTTGAGTGTATCGAAATGGGTAGGCCAGCGTTTGAGGTGGTTTGGGCATGTGGAAAGGAGGAAGAAAGTCTGAAATAGAACGCTGCATATGAATGTTGATGGAGTCTAGACCGAGAAGGAGATGGATGGATGCTGTGAACAGTGATATGAAGGCGATTATAACGAGATATGGCGAGATAGAGACGCGAAAGTTCATGGACCAGTCAACCCCCCTGGCGGGGATTAATACTGGCCGGTATACAAATGTTGTTTGTTTGTTTTGTTTTGTTTGATAATGTAATGTAATTTATTATGATTTATTTATATTATAATATTTGTTCTTTTATTATTCATTAATATTCCAGTATTTACTAATACTATCATTTATCTTCAAAGTATTCCTCCATTGTTTATTCCTTGTTTATAGTGGCTTTGATTGAACAGGCGACGATTGGAAGCACGCCTAACACATTACTTTTGTCTTACATAAAGTATGCAGCCATCAACAAGGTGACAAACTAAACAAGAATGTTAACTTTTTTTGATTTTGTATAAAGTTTTGTTTAGTAAGATCATTCACTAAGAAAGGTAAAATTGTAGTTATGCGCCGGGAGATTTTCACTATTTTTTTAAAAACCAATCTAATGTTTTTGGGAATGAAATCATCATGTTTAGGCTGGAATCATAAGCAAGGCAGCGTGAATAAATCATATTTTTTGTTACTGCAAACAAATTGATTTGATGTTTCTTTGCAATTACTATTTACTTTGTTTTCATTTTAAATTTCCAGGTCATTCCCTATTCATCCGTTCTTAAAGCAATAGAGCAGGCAAGAATATTTTTTATTTTGCATCATCTAACAATAAAATAAGTGGCTTGCCTCAATGTTTTGCAGCTTTACTGATTAGCATTACATTTGTAGTTTGAAGATGTTCAAGAACCATCAAGATTTCGGACACTTTATGCTCTTCTTGAACTATTGTGGGACATCATTACCAATATAAGGTAAATTTCATTGGAAAGCCTTGTCCACAAATTGTATTACACTAAAGTAGATGTATTTTATATTCCAGTTGTCATGGTGATAAAAAAGATTGTCTCGATATGTCTGTGGCATTGTCTCATACTTCGTACTGGACTTTCAACTGTATAGTAAAACTCCTCATCTGTGTTGTAGAGGTAATAAGTGTTTCTGTAACTTATATATGTGCAGTAATAACTGTATTATTGAACTCTTCATGTGTGTTGTAGAGGTAATAAGTTTTTATATAACTTATATATGTGTAGTAATAACTGTATTATTGAACTCTTCATGTGTGTTGTAGAGGTAATAAGTTTTTATATAACTTATATATGTGTAGTAATAACTGTATTATTGAACTCTTCATGTGTGTTGTAGAGGTAATAAGTTTTTATATAACTTATATATGTGTAGAAATGGTGGACCAAGTATATAGAAAGAAAATTCAACTAGTTTTCATGATGATAGGATGTGGCTATTCCTAATTCAGAGTCCATTCCAAGCAATAATTTTCACAATTCAAGACAGCTCGTGTTATTATTGTATAAATAAAATTATGAGAAAGAAATCAAGTCAACATTGCACGAAATTCAGTACAATTTATTTTATTTTAGTCATTAATCACTCCAGATGACGATCAAGCCACATCTGTGTGTTTTACAAGTGCAAAGAAATGTAAAGTTATTATCAAAGAACTTATTGAAAATACTGTACTTCGAAGTCTTGTGATTATTGGCAAGAAACAGGATCAGTGTAAGTTTTAACTTTCATCTAAATTTATTGTTCTTGTCAAAGAAATGATTTATATTTCTATATTCAGGTATGCATTCATTCATGAAACTTTTTGTTAAAACAAATTCTACGTAAAAATAGAAAACACCGTTGTTTGAGAACAACAATGCGTCGATGTTAGATCAAACTACTATTTCCTGAAAGACGTAAAATGCGATGGTAGATCTTCGTTTCATTCTTCCGGCGAGAAAAAAATAAGAAAATGGTAGTTTGTTCTCCATTTTACAAAAAAAATGTGGAAAAAATAGAGGATGTTGCAGGATTTTAAGGACCCAATTAAAACCAGTTTTTAACCTGTATTCCCAGTTTATTGCGTGACTTAACGGACCACAATCCTTTGTGCTCCAACTGGTATAAATTCGATGTGATGTCATGAGTTTATCGTCAATTGCAATTGATTTGTTTTGTGCACAGATTTGCACTACTCAGAAAAAGTGAAAATTACTTTATTAGCGAACGAAAATATATTGCAATGGATTATGTTCAATTAAACGACATCCTTCATTACGAAGAAACTTCATTAAAAGTTTGTTGAAGAACTTGTGGCCACTGTTTTTATTTTACTCAAAAGATCATTACTACACTCAAAAGATCATTGCTATGCTCAAAAGATCATTGATATATACAAAAGATCATTGATATACTCAAAAGATCATTGATATACAAGTGATCATTGGTATCCTCAAAAGATCATTAATATATACAAAAGATCATTGATATATACAAAAGATCATTAATATATACAAAAGATCATTGATCATTGTTATTATTTCAATACTATATCTTTTCTCTTTCCTTTTACATATGATTTTTTACATCTTTCAACCATTGGTACTGTAGATGCTAGCATGGCGTGGGATCAGATCCTTCAAACCAGTCTTCAAAATCTCTCCGTTAAACAAACACAGGTTCTAGTGAATTGTGACGTCATGAACGAAGTTCGGGAGCATTTGAAAGATTTAGTCCACGATATTAAGCGGTCAGTGTTACTCCTCGCTCTTCGTGATGATGAAATGTTTTCTTGACTGTGTCGTTCGAGCTGATACGAGCTTTAGAAAATCTTATATGAAGTTTATATCATAGAGATTATGAATAATAGTAGAGGTGACATTTTAGATCGTAGATTATATTACAATGCCATTTTTAATATTATTTCTTATTTGTATGGTTTATTTTGTGCCGTGTTTCATCTTAATTTTGTATAAGTTTATAAAACGAGGTGAAATGCGTTGTTTTTGAGCATGTTTACTTTTTGTGCCGTGTTTCATCCTACTTTTTGTATAAGTTTATAAAACGAGGTGAAATGCGTTGTTTTTTTGAGCATGTTTACAAAGCTTCATGAGAAATTTTGGCGAAATAAAGCGAATTTCACAATAAATAAAGTTAGTAAAACAATAAAAGGATGCTCGATGTAATTATCAACCCCAGTCTCTCTTCACGAGTAACCAGGCAACCAGTTTTTCATTTTCCATATCCATAGCATAGTAAGACTACAATATGAATGTTTTCTAACTTTTTTAGTCTTCAAACTTTATCTCCCATCAGTGATGATTGTCAACCTGGACTCGTTCCTAACATGGCTATTCACATCATGGCGTATTCACAGGTCTGTTTCATTCTTCATTCTTCTACGTAATTTTTTCTCTATGTTTTAATTTTTGTTTGTTCCTAAAGTTTTTTTTCCTAATAAACTTTCTTTCATTTTCTTACGGTTTGTGTAGACATTTTTGTATCCAGAAGACGAATTTGATCAAATGTATAATTTGGCTGATCTTGTTTATCGAACTCAGGTAGAAATTTCTTTGACTTGTTAATGAAATAGAAACACGAAAAACTTATTCATGAAATTTTACAATGATAAAGAGAAATATTGAATTTCACAATTTGCTCAACATTGCCCTTGTTTAACGTGAGTATGATGTATGAAATCCCATTTCATCACCTCTTATCCATTATTGTCTCTGTTTAACGTGAGTATGATGTATGAAATCCCATTTCATCATCTCTCATCCATTATTGTCTTTGTTTGACGTTTGTATAATTTATGAAATCCCATTTCATCACCTCTCATCCATTGTTGTCCTTATTTGTTATCCTTATTTGTTATCCTTATTTGTTATCCTTATTTGTTATCCTTATTTGTTGTCCTTATTTGTTATCAGTGCATGTGATTTCAACACGAAGATTAGTCATTTGTTCTGCTGGGTTTTTCATAAGCCCGCGGTACTTATCTTCTACCTTTTTCAGTAACCCCGTCCGCTTGCATGTTAAACTTTTGCCAAAATTATTAATTTTGAAAAATTTTAGAATCTAACAAGAGTACAGTTTTACACAGAACTCGTTCGGTGTTGTCTTGTCAACTTGCTTCAATCAACGAACTCATTTGATGATGCGTTATCCTACAGTTATCTTTATCATAAGGTTCCTCTTCTTTTTTTTTTGTGTTTGATGTGTTATGAATTTCTCAAATCTGGTTTTCTCCATTTCGCTTTTTCCATCAGATACCATTTATAATAATTGAGCTAGAGAAGAAACACCACTTTGGCGTTGACGTGGTTGTCATAGTTACTGTATTACAGCAGTTGTTACAGTTCACGCAGTTGTGGGATTGTATTGATGCCAAGTTGAGGTGTTTGCACATGCGTAGTCTTTCTTAAATCTATTTTTACACTGTACCTTATGATGTGAATGTATTTTATTTCAGAATCAACGCCTACGATACTGTGTGTCAGCAGTTTATATTAAGAATGCCAGTGCCTCAACTACAGCAATATTACGAGCCTCTTCGAAGTAAAAGGTCGGAAAGGATCAAAATTATCTTTCAGTGTAGACTGTATATCCATTCATTTGTGTCTTGTCTCTATTAAATCGTTGGTTTTACAGGATAATTTCCGAGCGATTAAGTTCAGTGAGTAACCAAAACATTTCACCTGTACAAACTTTAACTGCAGCAGGTAGGTTATAATTATTATGTTTCTTATTTATAACACGTGTAATAAACGTGTAATGGAATTTATAACACGTGTAATAAACGTGTAATGGAGTTTATAACACGTGTAATAAACGTGTAATGGAATATTTTTTTTACCACCTTTTTAGAATCTGAACTTGGAAACATACTTCAGGTATAAAATGTAGCTAATGAAGTCAACAGAATACTAGCACATAAAGGGTCGTATTCGGTGATTTTAATGCAAGCGTTTATGTCATACGTTCGCCATTTAGGCTATGTAGAAAAAGTGGCAACTCCCCTACATTCATAATAGAGGATAGAAGATTCAAACGAAAACCTATCGAGGGGGTTGACTATGTTTCCTTCACTGGCTAAGTAGAGAACCAATGGGGTAAAACGCTTGCACAAAATCATTGAAGATGAGTCTGTATACTTGTGGTCTGAGGCGAGATTTTCTCGTTATAAAGTTGGATGTTTTATATTTGAGAATGGACGTGTGAGAGTATTGCTTTCTAGATTTTAGGCATGGAACAAACAAAGGATAGTTTCGTTGTAATTAAAGAATTGGTGAATAGACCTGATAAACTTATGTGGATATCTATTGCCGCCTTAAATCGTGGAAAACTTAAAGAAATTAGCGGTGCTGTCTTGAGGTATTGAAATGTTTTCGTTTTGTTCGTATTTCAAAGTTTGTGTTTCCCACATTAATTTTTGTAGACTTAATGAGACAGCAGAATCATGCCAGGGTCCCGTGGAAGATGGTATGACCTCTTGCAATTTAACCTTGCTTTTTCCTTAACTTTTTCGATTCATCCGTCAATTACAAATAATTCGTATTTACTTTAGAAAAACTTGCTGAGCATCGCAGTGAATTATTCCATCACTCGTTCGTCATACTGTGTTATATTGTGGTCAACTTTGGAAAAATGGTAAACAAATTTGTCTCGATTCGAAATGATATAATCCTTTTCGTATAATCTTTTTCATGCTTGAAATCTTATTCCTCCGAAGGCTGTGCTAAACGCCGCTGACAGCAGCGGTTGGGGCTTCTTTGTCGGATGGGTGAATCTCTACATAACGAATAAAAAAGATCAGCCAATCGCCAAGGTTTTATCACGTTTGGTTGACAAGGCGACCGTTGATGAGATTTTAGATCAATTTCTTAGAGGAAAAATACCAAAGCTAACGTAAGATTGTTTTCATCGCAAATTCAAATGACGAAATGTACAAAAAACTACCGAAATACTCACTGATGCTGTTAACTTGTTATCTTCGTGTCGACCTCGTTGAACTAAAATACATGGAACGCTACCTGAAGCAAATAATTGAAGGCAAATCTTGCATCAGACACTCGAGATTTTGCCCCATATACGCGTGTTTAATGTTTCGAGATTCTCTCGCGGAGTAATGATTGGCTACACACTCGTGTCTGGGGTGAAATCTCGCGTGTCTGGGGTAAAATCACGACTTCAAAAAATTATTAGGGTTTTGTATTACAGGTAGCGTTCCACGAAATTTAGTTTAATGATCTACCCACATAATTATGACGTAATAGCGTTCCATGAATTTTAGTTTAATGATCTACCCACATAATTATGACGTAATAGCGTTCATGAAATAAAGGTAGAATCTCACGATATAAACTCATTAGTTATCAACAATTAAATGGTTATCATTAACGAATATCTTTTATGTAAAGCACGACGCACTGGGGAAGAGCTTGTTGGAACGTCTGTCAAGCTGTTCACGAGCTGCTCACGTGTCCTACACCACTCCCAGAGACATTTAAGGTGGATTGCTATGTCAGCAATGTTTTGCTTGACCTGTTTTGTTTTCGCTCCAGCTTTTATTTGGAGATGGAGATTTTTACTGCGTTGTATAGTTGTTATTTTGTAAGGTGTTGTACTGGTTTTTCTTTTACAGAAAGTATGTAAAGATATGGTAGAAATATGTCCTGCTCTTGCTTTGTGTGTTTTAGTCTGGCTAAGGAGCTACATTCTTGGTCTTCCTTCTGAAGAAAGAGATAAAGCTTTTAAGTAAGTTGAGGTTAACGGTATGGGTTAGAGTAAAGTTGACATTATGGTTGTTAGTAAGGTTAAGATTATGTTTAAGACTATAATTAACAGTATAGTGAACAGTGTGGTTAAAAGTATGACTAAGTGTGCGGTTAACAGTATGTTTAAGAGTATGTTTAAGAATATGTTTAACAGTATTGTGAACAATATATTTGAGAGTACTGTCAAAAGTAAATGGTTATGTGGATAAATGGTTATGTGCATAGTGACGAGTACTGTTGGCTTGATTGTTAAAAATATATATGGTTAACAGTATGAATAGTTTATAGTATAGATAGTTAACAGTATGATTTGTTTACAGTATAGATAGATAACAGTATGATTGGTTTACAGTATAAATAGTTAACAGTGTGGATGGTTAACAGTGTGGATAGTTAACAGTGTGGATGGTTAACATTGTGGATGGTTAACAGTGTGGATGGTTAACAGTATCATTTCAACACTGGTTTTCAAATTCTTACTCAAGTTTTACTGCTCAACTGTCCACAAATGTTATTTTTTGCTAAAAGTCTACGTAATATTATTTCCTACGTACAATAAGTTTGCATTTATTTATAATGCTTTACATTTATCCATTACAGTCTTCTCGATTTGCTTATTACTCCTATCGTCAATACCAAGTAAGTTTGTAATATCATCGATTGTAAAGACATTTGATAAACCTTCTATCCAGAGACTTTCATTTTAACTTAATTTTTCAGTCATCCATTGCTAGAAAGTTTATTGGATAAACTGAAAGTTGATCTGAGACGAAGGAAAGATTTAAATCATGGTATGCAAAATTCAATAAACACGTTTACCTGTTCAAAACCATCTGATGTTCTACATCATTTTTACAGGCAGCCATAGTTCTCTTCAGGTTGGTTTGTTAGTCAAGATTTAACTGCTGGCAAATTATATGTCCCAGAATTCAACTTCGTTTTATTTTCAAAAAGTATTTTGAATAACGTGTTTTGTTTTTGCTTCGTAACAGATGACAACTAAGTTATTTTCCACTTCAATTGAAGATGGTGCTGTGAGTCTGCCTACCCTCAATAAATTTCGCTCAATACTGAATGTGACAGGACCTTCTGCCTTTGCGGATGCAATATTAAGAGTTCGTATAATCTAACTATGTGTTGGTAAATCACCATTGTATTCCATGTAACGATTGCTGTTTTTCAAACATGTTCAGGAGTTGTTGAATCAAACACGTAAAGAAGACATAAAGAAAGCTGGTTTGTTTCCTTGTTTTGTCATATCTTCAATTATTGAATCATCTCAATATAAAATCAACTTTTTATACAGCGGACATAGGTTCAATGCTTGTTTTGCTCGATCCATTTTCACTGTCGTTGGCGTATTTATCTTCTGTCAAAGCTCTTATAAAGCAACCCAAGTCGGAAAAAACTCTTGTTGATCCAAAGGTATCTATAGTGCAACGCAACATTACATCATACTCTACTACATATAACATGAGGTCATACTCTTCTACGTATAACATTACATCACTGAAGTGGATCTTTCGAATTGAAAGTAAATAATTTTTGAACATACTTCGAGGGCTGGGGTGTAGCTCGTCTTCTCTCACATTCAACTGCAATTGGTTTACTTCGTGATCAATCACAAAAGAAATCGGACGACGAGGATGTTGAACGGTAATTGTAGTCTCCTTAATGCCTGTTTGTAGTCTTGTTTTTGGTTCATTGCAACATCTCTCGTATTTTTAGACCAATCAAACTTCAGCGTTTTGATGACGACGATAAATTATGGACTTCAAAATCAATTATACAACAAGGAATTGGTAAAAATTGCAAAATTGCAAACAAAGAATTGATTTCTTGTTATGTGGTGTCTTAAAATGCTGTTTACTATAAACAAACAGCATAATGATATGCTTTGTGGGTCAGCTCTCATCTTTATACAGAAAGAAGATTAAAATTTCTTACACATATTCATTACACATATTCATATATTTATATTTCGTTAATTTTGCATTTGTAAATGCATTTATTTTAGTTACGTTGTTTGAAGAATTGTGCCATGAATTGAACCATAATGAGATTGGGGCTAGAGCCTCGTTTGCTGTGTCTTTTATGAAGCAAGCAATATCTTGTAGCGGCGTTTTCTCTTCGCCAATCTTAAGCTGTCTTCAACCACATCTTGTAGGTTTTTGTGCATTTTTTTTAGTTATAACTATCTCAAAGAAATAATTATTTATTTCTTTAAAATTTTATTGTCTGTTGTTTTCCCACTTAGATAGCCGAAGTGGTATCGTTCGTACCAGGCTCTGCTCTACCTTCCGATTATTTACTTGGTTTGTATGACTTAGAGTCGAGTGAAGGTCGTGAACTGTGTGCGAAAGCAGTTTGTAGAGAACTTGAATTTTTACATGTGTAGAATATGAATTTGAAATTTCGAAAACCTCTAACGATAAAGATGCCAAGTTGATAAGTTGATCATTATATTAATTCCTTTTGATCTCTGTAACGGTAACTTGGAATTGTCAAGAACCATGATCATCATTGTAGGCAGAAGTCTGGTTGATCCTTAGCTTTATCATCGTTAAACATTCCTTACTTTTTAGATGTTGTTAATATCGTAAACATGAGCAGTAATGGTTTGTCTGGTCGTTATGATAAAGAATTTAACAAACAAAATGACTGACTTTGAGATTGGTGCTAGATTACGTTGTCATGCTTAGTTATGGATATAAATAAGAAACTTTTTCTGACATACCTTTATTTCAACCGTCTTCTTAGAAATATCTATCTGCTCCAAAATTATATTCTGATTCAGCAATGGAACGAACATTCCACGATTATCTTATGAAATCTTATGTAAAATATCCTTAAAGTATAGAATTACAACAATGTAAAATTCAAATTTTATATACATATGACATGTATAGCTTGTGATAAGATTTGCAACTCATTGTTACAGCGTGATAGCAGTTGCTATTGGTTGATAAAATGGATTTATTCTGTAAGTATCCATTTGTGTAGAACATGATATTCAATAAAAATCATTAAATAATCACTAAATAAGAGATTTTCAGTAGAAAAATTTTAGTTCTGCTATTTTGTTTAAGTTACATTATAATTCTTCATTTCTTTTAAGTGACTATATAGAAATAACAGGGCAGAATACTCCCCTTCTGATTATAGTCAGAAGATCCATTCGTTTGTGATAAATCCACTTACATCACTTGCACAATGGGAGCTATTGGTTCATCGTTCTATTCAAAACAAATATAAAGGATTCTTATAAGCCCAATAAAAAACAATTGTCTGTACTTAGTCTGTTACAAGTATATTTGCTTGTGATGAAAACAGAAAACATTTTTTCTTTTCAACTATCTTTTCAAAGAAAGAAGAGGGAAAAAAGCACAGAATACCATCTTCTCAGCTGGGATCAAAATCTTGAATAAATTATTTCATATTTCCGCCAATCAGAGCTCGAAAAAAGATAGCCAAGCCCATCGAAATCAGCCAATGAAATCAGGCCACCACATAATGTTAAACATGCCAATCACTTCGCACAACAGTAGATGCCCTCAAGAGACGAAAGAGAAAGGTACGTTTTTGAAATTTTAATTTAGTGTTTAAAAAAGTACTTCAAATGTCGATAAATTCGATGACAAAAGCCTTGTTTGATGTATGGTTACGTATTGTTTTACTTGTAAGTCTTTTCGTCGGTTGTTTTTGTACCATTCGCCGTTTTTAACTGCGTGCCTTCGACGGTGTATTTGCTTTGTCAGAAAAACTTGTCAGTATAAAAACGTCAAGTTTGTATGTTTCAAAGTCTTTCTTTTCATTTTGCTTTCGTGTGTTAGTGACTGCTAGTGTTTTGAACACTTTGAAGTAAAACTTTGTTGAATATTTTTGCTTTTAGCGTGTATTTTTTGAATCGATATATTTTCAGCGACAAAGTTGTGCGACCGACATCTTCCTCGTTTCAACACAAAAATATGTAAAAATTCTAGTTGAAAAGTAATAGCATTGCAAAATGAGCGATAAGGAGGGTATTTCTTATCCCATAGGTTGATTTTTTTTAGTAAAAAATGTTCTTTTGACTCTTGTGAGCGAAAATTTTGAGATATGTGAAAAAAATATGAAATGTTGGTTCATGGTGGACATTGGACTCTCGATAAAATTGGCGCGAATTTTGTTCCGCGTGAAAACGAAGAACACTGGGCACGAATTATGCAAAATTGACAAGCTTGACTACGAAAACACCCACAAAATCTTTGAATGGAGTGGGATACAGGGAAAAATTTGAAGAGTGTAGACGGCTACAGGTTCTTCAATTCAATAAATTCGAATGAAAGCAATTTCAATCGGCGAGAAAGATTTTTAATGAAATACGATGTACGCTACTTGAGAACAATTTAGAAAAGTTGTTATTGAAAACTATTTTAAGAGCATTTTGCCAATAAACGTGTTTATATTCTATAGGAAAAGAAGCTAATTTTCTCTTGAGAATTGACGATGAACAGTCATAAAGAATATAATCCTAGTTAAAATTTGAAACAAAGATAAAATGGATCGCTATGAAAACAGCTGGAAGAGAACGAAAGAGGAGTAAGGTAAGAAACGCAAAATTATATTTCGTTAAAACTTTCATTGACTGCTTGGTTCTTTTTATACGAAAATTTTTGTTATGATATTCTTTATCATAGTAATCTTTTCTGTCAATATTTTTATTTTAATATTATAATGTTTATAATATACATCAAATTTTTGAAAACACAGAAGCTCATTTCGTTTGATTTGAATTGATAGGATATTCAAATGAAAGCAACAGACACAGCGTGTTTTTATGGACTTACTTGTGCACACATTCAAAAAAATTTCGCCTTTTCTCTTAAAACTTTGCAAGAAAAACTTTGTCTTAACAGTTTTCTTAGGCAATGACTACCTTCAATTTTTGCTGCTAGTAAACGAGTACTAGCTTAAAGTTTAGGATAGAAATGATTAGACAATAAATCAAAATAAAACAATTGTTGTGAACGATCTATCTGAAAACAATGTTCAAGAGCATTTAATGAAGTCTATATGACTTTTTCATTTGAAATGTGTAAGGGATTAAAACAAACATTCCTTGATGAAACAAAACTAAATGTTTGTGCATGTGCCAATGATTTTGATTAAATTTATAAGTCAACTCTAGTGTTGTGAATAATATTTCAAAAATCGACGCTCAATGACATATAAAGAAGTCTATAAGACTCCCTTCTTATGAAATGTATAGATATAAAAAGAAGCCTTCATTACTCATCAATCAAAAGTAACTGTTGTGTGCATTTTTTAAGCAAAATGCTCCTGAGTTTAAGGTATACAAGGATTAGCAAACAATAAGACGAATCTAGTGTTGTGAATGATCTGTATATAAGAAAGTGACGTTCAATGGCGTATAAAGAAGTCTATAAGACTTCCTTCCAATGAAATGTATAAATGTAAAAAGACATATTCACTGGATGAAATTTACTCATGAATCAAAAGTAAATGTTGTCAACATTTGTAAACAAAGTTTTATTGAGTTTAGGGTAAGGATTATCAGACAAAAATTAAGTCAAAACTGCCAATGTGAACGATCGATATGAAATCGACGTTTAAGAGAAAATGAAGAGTCTATACGACTTCATTCTTTTCAGAAATTTATAACATATGAAAAGAAACAATAATTAGAAGAAATTTATTCATAAAACAAAAGTAAAATATCATACTTAATCATACATCAGCAACTTGAAGTCTTCATTTGTCCACTATTTGTTTAATTATTAATTAGAAAAGTAAGTAAAAGTATTGTTGTAAAAAGTACTCTTTCAACAAAACGTTTATGAGCCTATGATGGCAGAACAGCATCTACTTTTCACATCTTGAGAGCACAATGTCTTAGGTTGCTGAGGCACTTCATCAATTCTTGAGGACTCGGCGTCTTCCGTTGTTGAGGCACTTCATCGATTCTTGCGGAATCGGCGTATTCCGTTGTTGAGGCACTTCATCGATTCTTGCGGAATCGGCGTATTCCGTTGTTGAGGCACTTCATCGATTCTTGCGGAATCGGCGTATTCCGTTGTTGAGGCACTTCGTCGATTCTTGCGGACTCGGCGTCTTCCGTTGTTGAGGCACTTCATCGATTCTTGCGGAATCGGCGTATTCCGTTGTTGAGGCACTTCATCGATTCTTGCGGAATTGGCGTATTCCGTTGTTGAGGCACTTCATCGATTCTTGCGGAATCGGCGTATTCCGTTGTTGAGGCACTTCATCGATTCTTGCGGAATCGGCGTATTCCGTTGTTGAGGCACTTCATCGATTCTTGCGGACTCGGCGTCTTCCGTTGTTGAGGCACTTCATCGATTCTTGACAGGTCAGAAATTTCTATTTCTTCTTTCTTCAGAGACTCTTCAAGTGGAGTGGGTTTTTCTATCTGATCTAGTTTGATCTGAGGCGCCAGATAGGTCAAACTAGATCAGATAGAAAACTCAACAAAGACAGAAAAGCGAGAAATTCAAAGGCAAACTTCACTGCTATGTTATAAAAAAAGATTATAGTGAATCGGTGCAAGAAAAAAAATGACAAAGCAATCTTGTGACGAAAAAGAAGATGAGATAATAAAAGAAAAAATTGACAACAAGATGAAATAATCCAAGATAAAGATTTTACGACTCTATAACTATACTTGTAAATACATTGCCTGACACTTTAACCCATGCATGACTTTTGAAGACTTCTTGTTGCAGATATAATCTTTTTTACATGTTTCTTTCGGTTTGTGGGTTTCATCGTCCAACGTGAAGGACACGACTTGATTGTCTCGTATAACTTACCTTAACTCAATAAGCTCTTAAACAACTTAATTCAGACTAAGATGTAAATAACCTAGCCATCGTCGAAAGTTTATGTTCTGTTGTTTTTGACTTGCACGTAATTTTCGACCAAGTGTGCACAAGTAAATCTCTAGAGATGCTGCAGTTTGCACAAGATATAGGATGGACGTCAGGTAAGATGAACATTAGATTATGCACAGACGTTTACATTGACATTAAAACTTAATTGAATATTTTTCACCTGAATTTTAGCAAAAAGCGTGCATTTAACGCCATGATGAGTTATGGTGTTTTGTCCATCTATTGTTTGTTATGCTGCATAACAGAAATGTGAATAATCATGATGATAACATTGTGTGGAAGTTTTAAAACTGCTATGGTGAACTATAAACTCAATATCAGGAAACAAATTATCCATCCTAATACCACAAAGCTTAAAATATATTTTGGTAAGTAGTTGTTGATGTGTTTTTATCTGTTCGATACCAAACAAGCGATCTTTTCATAATAGTATAATGATTTTTGATTTCAGAAATTTTTCTTCAAAAACTGAACTACCCTTAGGAGGGGCAGTTGGTTGCTTATGACGAAGAATCTACAGGTATTAAATTTTCTTGTTAATACCTTTCGTACTTGTTTTATCATTACTTACAGTTTCTGAAAAGCTGGTTACATTATGAGTAGACTAGACAGTATGACGTTATAATAAAAAATTATTCCACTTTTAACTTTTAATAAATTTTCAAAATTGGATTATTGGTTTTTGGTGATGTTTTATTACTAAATCTAGAAAGTCTTCCAACTAATTCATATAAAATTATTACGAGTTTTGAGCAAGAACAGTCGACAATGTAATGGGAGTTGCCAAAAAGCTTTTGATTCATTATATACGTTATTTTTTTGTCAAATTGAAATACATTCGTTTATATTTTTGAACTTCATTGTTTTGTAGATAAGGAATGATAGAATGGTGGTGTATTATATCGATTAATTGCAACATGGTTATTGTGGATTACATTCTGGTTGTCGTGGATTACATCGTGGTTGTCGTGGATTACATCGTGGCTGTCGTGGATTACATCGTGGTTGTCGTGGATTACATCGTGGTTGTCGTGGATTACATCGTGGTTGTCGTGGATTACATCGTGGCTGTCGTGGATTACATCGTGGTTGTCGTGGATTACATCGTGGTTGTCGGATTACATCGTGGCATCGTGGCTGTCGTGGATTTCATCGTGGTTGTCGTGGATTACATCGTGGTTGTCGTGGATTACATCGTGGTTGTCGTGGATTACATCGTGGCTGTCGTGGATTTCATCGTGGTTGTCGTGGATTTGTCAAAGTAAATTTGGGCTAAGGATTACGTTAATCTACGAATAAAGAACGACGACGAGCAATGGTGTAATAGTCAAACAATCAAAAATTGACTTACCGTTCATAAACTTTGTATTTTGTCTTTATAATCAATTTGACATTGTGTTACACATGAGTTTAAAAAACACACGATAGTTTCATGGTGGTTTGTCCAATTATGATATTTATCAAGATTTGAGTAAAGCTGTATGAGGGAAACACAAAAATAATCAATGGAATAAATCCTGACACTACGTAGAAAAATAAATATAGGTGAGTAATATTTGAATCTCGTTCAATTTGCTAACTGAGTTGCTGAAATTTGTTGTAGTGAAAAACGTAATAATATTTTAATGTTTTAAATTTCAGTAATTTCCACTTCATCAAAAAACATTACGCTTCATTTGTTGATCGTCAGAGTATGTTTCATCCTATGAACAAAACCACCTTACACAACACTGCTGGAAGTTTTGAAGAGGCAGTTGGTTGCTCATGACGACCAACCTATAGGTAATTTATGTGTATTTTTTTATTGACCTATCTTTATAGTTGCTTTTTGGCTACATTACAAGCAGAAGATAACGTTGTAAATGGGAATTTGCTTTGCAAAAAAGCAATGTTATTTGTTGGGAACGTTTTGTCTTGAAAAAACTTCTTTTCACTAATTGTTATAACATTACACAGAATATATAAGTTTTCACAGTAAAATTTATAATATTATTGAAGTTTTATTAACGGTTTTTGTGTCACGCTATTGTCAATAACTGTGCAGTTTTCGTGAATTTTGAAGAATTTCGTGTTATCTTGAACCTTTCATTTGTTTTGTAGTGAAAAAAGAATGCAATGGTGGCACATTATGATTCATATATGGCATCATTGTATCATGTATGTCGTGGGTCAAAGCATAATTGTTGTCAATCACAGTCATATAGTCATCGTAGATTAACTCACAGCTGTCGTGGATTACGTGTACTTTATTGTTGTCATGTATTTACATCGTCGTTATCGTGGATTTACATTATCGCTATACCTTAATCTACGAATAAAGACCAAAGACGACGTTTAAGGTAGCAGGTTTATAGTGTTTTAGTTAAAATCCTGGTGATCTGCACTAACAGGAAGATGATTGATCATTGGCTGAGTGTATAACAAAGTTAGTTGTTCTTTTGATTCTTGTTAGTGTTGTTGTGTTGTTTTTTTAGTTTTGTGCATGTGATGTAGTGCTTTTGCCGTTGAAACATTTGCCTGAAAACGATGATACATCTTATATTGCCGGAAACTTTGATCAAAGTGTCGTATAATGTAAGATTATCATTGTGCAAGGTAAAATATATATGTCTGATGTCGATTTTTATAAGTTTTTCGTTGTTTTGATCACCAGGATACACAAACCTAAGTTCAAGGAAATAAGCATGGGTTTCTTTGAGTTATGGTCGTGTTTATTATCTTGTTTATTATACTTCTTAAAACTGAATCATATGCATATTTAGTTATCAAACTTACGGTCCAAAAAATGGCGAAATCCGAATCACAGATTGCACGTTAAATTAACAAAAGAAATTTCGGACCGAAACATGGCGCAATCCGACATGCAAGCTGCATAGCGCAAATTAAATTAATCTAAAGTTATAAACGTCTGAAATATTCTTGCTTGATGATGCTTTATAAATCATTTTTACGTTTAGTTCGAATTGTTTGAATTTTGAACCATGCAAAATTTGAAATGTTCACCAGACGCTTGAAAATGAATATAAACAAGTCAAAGTGCTTAAAAATATTTTTAGAGAAAAATGAGTGATTTGCATCATCAAGACGAATATGCAACGTTGGTCTAATAAACAACGAAACAGAATAATAGGTGCATGAAACCCGGCATTGCTTTTGCTAAATAGATGTCAAAATCAATGTTATAACAGTGGCATGTCGAAGTTAATTAACTCACTGTTATTTAACTTGAAGAAAATAGTTCAGAGAAGGAATATAGTTTAATTATTCATGATGTATTGGGTTAGATCGTCTCGAAATCAAATCGAACATCTTCATCTATTTTATGCATGGAAGATTATTTGATAGACAGTGAGACAAACTTATCCGATACATTTAATGTAGTTCCAGGTAGGAATAATCGTAAACGGTGCCAAATTGGTACCTAGGTGATCGAGTGTTGGACACAAGAAGGATTGGCTGGCACGCCGTTTGGTAAAGTATAAGGGCCCAGGGAGGCGGTTCCCTATTCGTTAGGTTCCCTTTCGGTTCGGGTACTAACGTTGCTTTACAGGTGTCTCATCGTTCAAAGGTATGGTTTACTTATTTTGTGCAGAGTAGTTCGTAGGTAGATGTTCAAATCGGTTATTACATGCCACTGATCAACAGGGTTAGCTAAGAATGCGCTTAGGCAAAAATGGCGCAGCTAAAAGCGGCCTAAAATGGCGTACATCGGAGGTTACGGTTTTTTAAAGGATGTATATTGCCTAAGTCACCTTTTTCAACAACTTTGTAAAGATAAAGGCAGTCTAATGAAATTTGTACATATAATCAAGGCCTTAAAAATGTAAACAATCTTTTTGTAAAGATAACTAGTAAAAATAGATGAGGTGATCCCAAGCAATGTGCATCCACCGACTGGCTTTCGTAGCTTGTTGGATCTCTGAGGGTTTTCCTCCGGCGATACGCCGGTTTCCCTCATCTTTAGAGAAGCACTCTGAAGAATAACAAAAAAGGGTGGCCATGCCTGGGACCTGCAGTAGGGATTGTATGGTTATTGGGTTGGATTCCCGATCCACTTGAAGAAACAAGAGTAGATCGACACTCTTGGACCTTCATTGTTTCTGGTAATCACGCACTTCAAATAAGAATTTTTGAAGTATGATTAAATTGGACGAGAACAGAAGCTTTGTCCATTTCACATATGTCTAGTTACATACAGAATTATTAGTTTAGCTTTCCTTTCCGAGAAAGAAAGCTTTGTAGCATGTTTTATTAGCAAGACGACCAGTACACATTCATTTACAAATGATTGATGATTATCTTAAGTATTTTTATCGTAATCGTGCCATTTAAATTTTGTATAGTATATGACAGGGATAGCTAGTGATAAGGTTTGCTACTTATTGATACAACGTGTAGTAGTTGTCATTGGTTGATAAAAACAGTTAGAGAGTATTTTATCCACTCGCGACACTCGTGTCCATCGTGTCGTGTTATTTCTGCTCAATGTTTCTGCTGACATGATACAATCGAAGTGCACAATGTTGATCAATATTTAAAATCAATATTAAAATAATAATATAAATTCACAAGTTAATGAAAACTGGAAAAGACACTAAATTTATTATTGTTATGCATCCATCATGTCAAAGATTCGGAGTTGAAGTGTTCATATCTGACGAAGATGACTACCAAACTCCATGGTGTCCACATGGTAAATTATAATGAATATATTTGTTATATTTTAACATTCCTAGGCTTCTTCATCTCCTCTTTTCATGTCTCTACTTTAGGTTTCTAAAATACTTTATAGATCTTCATGTGTTTTGATTAGTATTCTAGTCAGCGAATCTAACTGTTGTTTTTGTTGAAGGACCAATGTTAATGTTTAAAAGATGTTTTGAGTGTAAACCACCAAGAGGATTTTTTGCATGCTCCGCCTGTCGTGATCGAAAAGAATGTAGTTTTTTCAATGGGCAGATGAGTCTCTAAGCAATTCGGCAAAGTCTAAAGATAGTCAAAGTTTAAATGACTATGAACGGACTTGCTGTCATACCTGTGATCTATTGTTACTACCTAAAGAAATGGAGAAACACGCAAAACATGAAATTTTATGTAATGTAACGAATGAAATGATCAGAAATGCAAGTCGTTTCTTGAAGCTAAAAGAAAACAAGAAATCAGATGCTGTATGTTTTCATGTTTAATTAAAAACATAGCATATCGTGACTGTGATGATGTTGTATTTTCTATTTTAGCAATAACTCTTTAATAATGATGCAATCAAATTCTTTTTGAACACTTTTGAAACTCTTGGTTACCAGAAGATAATTTGTGTAGGTACTCCTAGGTATGTTCAAATTTCATCCAAACCATGTACCATGTTGTTCTAATGAATATTTAGATGTTGAGGTTTCTTTTTACTTTTAATTAAATACCTTTTGTTTTAATTTTTTATATGATGGTTCTTGTGTAGAATACATGAAGCAATTCAAACTAGAAAAGCTGCTGTTTGACAGTATTTTATTGGATATAGACCATAGACATGTAAGTTAAAGAATACTTGTCTTGAGGACACTGAGGAAATCATAGTTTCAAATTGTTGTTTCAAAACAACTCTTTTAGTTATGGACAGCATAAGTCAGGGGGTTAAGCAAAGATTGATTTTGTTTCAGCTCCCACCAGTAGGAGAGTATAATGTTTGAAATATATATTTGCCCTAATCTATAAATTCATTACAAACATTGCATGATACTATTGACAATAATTTTTTCAATTCACAGGTCCAGTTTCATAAAGACGGCCATTTTATTCACTATAACATGTTCAACCATCATTTTTTTTGAAAAAGACCCTGCAATGGTTTGTTTTAAGAAGTTCTTATACAATTCTATACCCAATTCTCTGATGGTTATTTTGGATCCACCTTTTGGTGGGTTGGTTCAAGTACTGCCAGTATCCCTAAAAAACTTTGGAAGCTTGTTTTTGAATTATGTGAAAGAAGGAGGTATGGTAAAGTATTTTAAAGAATAGTTCTTCTGTTTGATATTACTGTCCCACTGCATATCAAAGATTTTCTGAAATATTAATTTTATTTTATTTACTTATTATAGATGATTACCATTTATCTTGCTTGTCAACTTTCTGGATTTTCCCGTACTTTATGGAATCACACATTACCAAAGAATCACCATTCTTTAAGATGTGCGATTTTAAGGTTTGATAAGTTTTAAAGTAAATGGTTTGAACCCGGGATATCGTTATGTTTGTAATGATGATCGTCCAGGTTAATAAAGTCCTGAGAAGGACTGTTTTTGATGTTGTTGACTGACGTTCGACAACCTTAGCGGTAGTCATCTTCAGAGTCAAATGAGGAGTAAACGTCAGGTTAGCCGTATTTGTTGTCTGGTTCTTACGTCATTGTATTGTGCAGGAGCAGAAATGCATTGTCATTGTGATTAGTGTGAAGTGAAATATTTTATTTTTAGTTGTGATGTGTGATTTAGGTGTGACGTTTTTAGTTGTAGTGTGGGGTCAATTGTATATTGTCAGGTGAATTAGTTTTAGTGATCGTTTGTTTGTATTGTGAATAAGTCGGTAACCGGTAATTGCTGTGATCTGTTCAGGGGTTTGTTCCGTTGGTATACCAACTTTCTAATGTAAGCCGTTCTATAGTCAGTACTGTAAGTGATGCATTTTGCCGAGTCCCAGTCAATGTTGTGCTTTGTGATTCGGTGATGTTCGGCAATGTGATTAGTTTTGTCTTGTTTCTTAGTAGCCTTTGTGCTCAGTAAGTCTTATGTTTAAGTTCCTGCCAGTTTCCCCAATATAGGAGGCGTGACAGTCAGCAGTTATTTTGTAAACTGCACCTTGTCGTTCGTTGGGTTGTTCTTGTCCTTTATGTTCGTACTTGTCGTAATGTTGTGATTGGTTTATGTGCGACACGTTGTATGGTCGTAAGATACGCGAGATAGTCGAGACGTACCTTTGATGTAAGGTATCGTTGCTGTTGTCACTGAGTTGTTCGTTTCGTTGGGTTCGTTGGGTTTGTAAGTGTTGCGTTTGATAAAGTCAGAGTTATAGTTGTTTTGTCAAAACACGTTTGAGATAGTTGTTTTCGTTTTGTAGAGCGTCCGGTGAATCACATATGATTTGTGTACGTCTTGTTAATGTTCGATTGTGGTGGCTTTGTGTGATGTAGGGTTGTAAGATGATTGGTCTAGTAGTCGGTCAGTATGTGTTGGCTTGCGATAAACTGTTGTTCTAGTTTTGATTGTCATGCAACAGTCGAGAAAGGAAGAGTTCCGTTTTCTCGACATCTTTGGTAAAGTGTGGCTGTTCTGTTTGTTGATGGAAGTCATCACCTCGTCTGCATGTAGTGCTGTGATTGTGTCATCACGTAGCGAAACCAAAAGGTAGCGCATGTTTGGGGTCGTTCCTCTATAGATTGCATTAACCATTCAGCAACAGAAACGGGCGAGTATTGCGCCCCATGTAATTGCTTCAGTGTGTTCCTTTGTAGAGGCAGAGTTTCAGTAACTCCAATAATGTCTTCTGTCGGTAATGGCATGTGTGGTGTTTAATGAGGTTTTGTACAAGTGCCAGATTGTGGAATACTGGTGAACAGTGATTTCACATCAAAGACACTAGTATATAGTTGTCTGGTATTTGTATAGTGCACAGTTTAATGAAAGCTGTGGATTGTAGCTTGTGTTTTGATTTGTTTGTAGTGGTTGCAGTATGTTAGTCAAGTACTTTGAAAGGCTGTCCTAGCGTATCAAAGAGACTTGTCAGAGACAACAAAAGACGAGATCAGAAGCAGGATAGCCTCCACTTTACAATCGTCCTCTATACGTGACAACAACTTGACAAAAGACGAACAACAAGCACTCAAACGACTAAAACACGACAACAACATCGTCATTTTACCAGCAGACAAAGGACGCGTGACTGTGGTCATGGACAGGAATGATTACTTTAACAAAATGGACGCACTTGTTAACGACAGACAAACGTACGAACAACTCAAACGAGACCCAACACCATCACTAGTACGTAAACTTAACAGCAAGATCTTCTATGAGAAAATCTAACATTATATCTGAACGTATTTACTATCGACTCAGATGTTCAGTACCACGACCACCCAGACTATACGGACTACCAAAACCACAAACCACAAATACCCATGCGACCAATTGTATCATTCTGTGGTTCGCCTACTTACGAACTTTCAAAGTACTTGACTAACATACTGCAACCACTTACAAACAAATCAAAACACAAGCTACAATCCACTGAAACTTTCATTAAAAACTGTGCACTATACAAATACCAGACAACTATATACTAGTGTCTTTGATGTGAAATCACTGTTCACCAGTATTCCACTTAATCTGGCACTTACTTGTACAAAACCCTCATTACAAACACCACGGACGTACTGCCATTACCGACAGAAGACATTATGGAGTTACTAGAGCTCTGCCTCACCTCGACTTACTTCAATACAAAGGAACACACTACAAACAATTACATGGGACGGCAATGGCTCGCCCGTTTCTGTTGTAGTTGCTGAAATTGTAATGCAATCTATAGAGGAACGGGCACTCATGACTTACAAACATGCACTACCTTTTGGTTTCGCTACGTAGATGACACAATCACAGCACTACATGCAGACGAGATTGATGACTTCCATACTCACATCAACAAACAGAACAGCCACATACAATTTACCAAAGATGTCGAAGAAAACGGAACTCTTCCTTTTCGACTGTTTGCTAAAACATGACAATCAAAAACTAGGAACAACAGTTTATCGCAAGCCAACACATACTGACCGACTACTAGACCAATCATCTTACAACCCTACATCACACAAAGCCACCACAATAAGAACATTAACAAGACGTACACAAATCATATGTGATTCACCGGACGCTCTACAAAACGAAAACAACTATCTCAAACGTGTTTTTGACAAAAACAACTATAACTCTGACTTTATCAAACGCAACACTTACAAACCCAACGAACCCAACGAAACGAACAACTCAGTGACAACAGCAACGATACCTTACATCAAAGGTACGTCTGAGACTATCTCGCGTATCTTACGACCATACAACATACGTGTCGCACATAAACCAATCACAACATTACGACAAGTACTAACGAACATAAAGGACAAAGAACAACCCAACGAACGACAAGGTGCAGTTTACAAAATAAACTGCTCCGACTGTCACGCCTCCTATATTGGGGAAACTGGCAGGAACTTAAACATAAGACTTACTGAGCACAAACGAGCTACTAAGAAACAAGACAAAACTAATCACATTGCCGAACATCACCGAATCACAAAGCACAACATTGACTGGGACTCGGCAAAATGCATCACTTACAGTACTGACTATAGACAACGGCTTACATTAGAAAGTTGGTATACCAACTTGGAACAAACCCCCCTGAACAGATCACAGCAATTACCGGCACCTTACAAACGACTTATTCACAATACAAACAAACGATCAACTAAAACATTACACTTCAAACTAATTCACAATGACAATACACAATTGACACCCACACACTACAACTAAAACGTCACACCTAAATCACACATCACAACTAAAAATAAAATATTTCACTTCACACTAATCCACAATGACAATACACATTTCCTGCACATTTCCTGTACACACAATACAATGACGTAAGAACCAGACAACAAATACGGCTAACCTGACGTTTACTCCTCATTTGACTCTGAAGATGACTACCGCTAAGGTTGTCGAAACGTCAGTCAACAACATCAAAAACAGTCCTTCTCAGGACTTTATTAACCTGGACGATCATCGTTTGATAAGTTTATTACACTTTGTGAAGCTCTTGTCAAAGTCATTGTTCTTTCCCCCATTGAATTTGGTTGATTATTATGACAATCATCCACTCTACAAGAAGCATTTCAAAACAAAAAAACTATCTCCTGTCAGAGTGTTCACTAATGTCTTGTTAAAGACCATCATTCTACCACCAAATGATAAGTAAATAACATTTCTTTATCCATGTATCGTGTTTCTGATATTTTTGTAGTTTTGTGACAAATGTCAACAATATTTCAGCAAAGAGAATTTACATTGTGATCTATGTAACGATTGTCCTACTAAGGTAGTGTGTAGTAGCAAACATAGGTACTGGTAGGGGGTACAGGCTTAGCTAAAAAGGGGGGCCCCAAGGAACAACTGAAATTAGTCAATTTCAAAGACACATGAAAGCAATGTTACATTACTGTGTATGCTGCAAAAATAGTGTTTTTTTGAAATCACCCTTTCAAAATACTCACTGGCTAGCTAGTTGCTATCAGTAAGGGCTCAGATGAAGTGCGAAACTCCGTGAACATATTACACTAACACCCGCCATACCTCCCCAGTAGGGCCTCATTACAACATACAGTCATTGTCTATAAACAGGGAAAATGAAGTGGGCAGATGTTGAAATCCATATTGGGGTCAGAAATGCCCCTGGTAGCAAATCATGTTTTCCATCGAACATTTTGCAATATTTGTGTTATTTTGTTATTACAGCATAACAATGTTTGGCAGCATTGTCTTATTTGTGGGAAATGTGTAAAGAAAGGTATGTTGATTGGCCAAAATTGCATTGAAAATTCTTTGCAAACATTGTATTTTAATTATCAGGTTATGTTCACTGTGAGATATGTAAATCCTGCAAACCTCCTGGACATGATTGTCAAAGAGGTGACTTTACTCTCACTTCATTTGCAATGTTGTGGATCAATAAATCAGTAATTAAAAAAGTTTCATCGGCCAACTTTTCTTTACACGATGTTATATTTGAGGTTTTGTTCCTAGTTTAACAAGAGGATGTCATATTTGTGGAGATTTTGGTCACAAAAGGAAAGCTTGCCCACGAAGACACACTAAAATGAATTCAAATCAGAAAAAAAGGTAGAAATGTTTATCTTTAAAAGTATAATTCATATCATTACTGGGTAGTGCAGTGAACTCAAATAATTCTTGGTTTGGACCTGTTCATTTCAGCAAGAAGAAATTTAAGCTTCATCCTTCGCCATTTATACTTTTATTGTAATACTTGCATTGTGTTACTTGATGAACTGTTTTCTCACACCTTAGCTAGATTTTTCTCTTGTTCACAAATGAAGTGTTTTTCAACCCAAATACTAAACATCAATCATTTCACACTTGTAAACCCAGTGTTTTTGGTAAGGGTAAAATTGACCAATTTCTTTTGAAATCTGTGTAGATTCCATGATGGCAAACAAATCACTGAATGTAATAAAATCAGGAAAAGAGAACATTGATGGACAAGAACTATTACTTGATGTTTCATACATCTTAAAGAAACATGACAGTGAATCCTGTCTGTCTCCTTAATTTAAAATTTAAGGCTTGATCAAGTCTTCTAATGTCAACGTACAAGATAGAAAAGGATCTGAAAGATGGAGATAAGTGATGTATGGAAGTGAAATATATTTATCTTTTCATCCAAATTCATTAATTAAAAGTTTGGCAAATCTTATACATCTGCCCTTATACTTATAAAAGCAATTATTTGCACACAAGAATACCCAGAGGTTATGTAGGTGTTGACAGTTTGTTGAGTTCATTGGGTTTTGAAAAGTCTTATGGCTATACTGTGACTGTACAATGCATGACAGACTGGTAAACATGATCTGGGTTTGCATAATTGTTGAAGATAAGTGGTGGTGGGGAAAATTTATTGGAGAGAGGATAGAAAGTCAAGGTTGTGAGCATTATCTGTAACATTGTATGTAAATATGCTTTCTAAAAACATTCTTGGTTTACTTTATGTCAAACCTTCACTTATATCATTCACCCTCCACTTCTTAGCTTCTTAGCTCAAACTTAACACGTGACTTATTTTGACCAATTACATTTGGTAGTTGGCACTAAATTTGCCGATCCTTCACGCGCCATGTTTAAAATAATTTCTTCCTGACACACTCTTTATCGTAAGTATTATGTACAATATTGCAATATTTGTCGAATAAATAAGATTTATAGCATCAAAGTGAACTTAACTTGTCAAAAACACTACTATTTGTCTTGAAAGTATTGAAAAAGTCTTCCACGAACTCAGCAAACCTGTTGTCGATTTGTCAAAGCAAAGAGTCTCACGGCTTGCCTTCTTTGGTACAAGGTACGATGGTTTTGATGATCATAAGAAATAAATATTAACGGTTTGTTTACCATTTCCTGAAAATATTGCCGAATAGTTGTATTTCAGTAGAAGAAATCTTAGACATATGATGTCATACTAGTTCGTTTCATGTGGTTTCATGTATATTTATTTTCCTACACACGTCAATTAAAACATCTACAAAAACTGTAGACGTTTTGGCTAAAATGCAGCATGTAATGCAACGTTGTAGTTATTTTAAAATTGGTGTAATAGTAATATCCAAGTGAGTGATAAATTCAACTGTTGTCAAATTGCAGATTGTTTATAACTTTGTCGATGATATACACTTTATCTCCTTATGTCAACTGAAATAGTGGATTCAAAGATATTTCAAGCTTTTTTATTCACTTAATTTCTATCAAATGATTTCTTAAGGATATTCACTTCATCAATCAAGAAGAATGTTGAAGCTTGAAGTCAGAAAGAGTGGATACACAGGTTAGCAAATGAGTGGTTGTATTTAGAAGTAAGATTTTGCACGCAGACAATAAGGTTTGGAAGGTAAGAGTTGAGTTAAATAAGGAATGGGGTTGTTGGGATTAGGAAGAATGAGTCTCAGGAGTTTTGATAGCATGGTGGGATATAGGTTTCTTTGTAATTATTAAACACTTATTAGCCAAGATTGAGAGTAAAATCAAGTTGGTTAGTGGTAAGTTTATTGGGTGCATTGGAATATGGTGTAGTGGTGTTAGTGATATTGTCAGTCTTGGTACTGATGTTAGGTAGTCTTAGGGCTGGTGATAGACTTATGTAGTGATAGTGTTGGTGTTACTTTTACTTTTGCCTTGGTTTTATTCTTAGTCTTGCTGTTCATGATAGTGTTAGTCTTAAGTTAGAAAAAGTGTAATTTTTTGTGTATTTCTCTTTATAATTAGGTGTTTGTGGTGGTGATAGTCGTACATCGAGTCTCAAGAAAGAATCGTTGTAAAGAAAGAACTCTTTGGAATCACCTGTGTACGATACATACATAATAAAGCATGTTACATCTAAACAGCCCAACCAAAAGGTGAACAGAAAACAACGACAGCAAGTGCAATGGCAGAACAACGATGAAATTGAATTTGACAAAGAAAAGAATTTGGGTATACAAACCGATCAACAGCTAGAAGTTTAGATAAACGTCAACGTTGGGGAAGAATTTACTGATAACTGACAGATATTCTCAGTGGACTGCACGCAAATTATTAACTATCAAAGCAGAGGCTCTGATATTTATATTAAGAATTCGCTTTCCGCCCGGTATATCCCTGGTCACAATTCTGAAGAAACTATCAAAGCGGAATTATTACGAGTTAAATTACTACGAGTGATCTACGACAAGTGCCATTGGATTGATAAAGCTAATATCGACAGCAGCCGCTAAAAGAAATCTGCGTGGTTTAGCCGTAAGAAAACGTGCTGCTTTTGAAAGACTTATTACTTTTCTATCTTTTCAAAAGAAGACATAAGTAACTATAGATGTTTTGCTTTTGTATTACCAAACTAACATTAATATAAATGTATTTATTTGTAATACTTTTCAGTCTTTATATCAACACTCGACTACGAATATGAATTTTTGGTTTACCTTTAGCTGGAAGTGATCTGTTATAATTTTGATTCGAGACCTTCAATGGTCTATTTTTTTTGCATTAAATCCTTCAAGGTAGGAATGGCACTTTAAAATGACCAGGTGTCTTCAACGAACTCTCTGGTCTAGTGGATAGACACAACCTTTCGAGGTTGAGAGTGGAGGTTCGAACCCTGTCTGGAATAAGATGTAACTATGCTAAGGATGAATAAGAAATCGGAAAATAAGGAAATAGTGCTGGTTAATAGAACAAAAATGGGATTTCTATTACTAAACTTTTCGAGAATGGAATGCGACACTTAGTATAAATTCAGAAAAAAACGCTCTCCGATGAGAAGGAGAGCGAAGAAAAAAAAAAATAGGATCCCATGCAAAAAACCACTCTTAAAAAAACTAAGTCTTTTGCTCAAATTTTTTTGACTCCCTGTGATCAGGGAGTTATTTTTTTAAATTTTTGAAAAGTCAGGAAACCCAAGAGCAAACAGAACGCCCTAATCATCCCTTTCTTACTTCCAGGCACTCGTTCCTCAGTTCAACTTTCTGTCTTCCACATCCGCCGCGTACACCTGCCAAGTGTGTTGGCAGAGGGGCGAACCAAGGATCTTGTGCACCGGAGGTCATTGATGTCGAACTAAACGCCCAACATCGGCCAGTTGAGCTAACCGCTCATCATCGAAAGCTCTATGTTTTTGAGTATTTGTTATATTTTTCAATGTGAAGCGAAAGAAAAGGAGAAGGTCTTGAACCTTAGATGGTCTTGAACCCGAGAAGGTGAGAGCACTGCACCTACATCTGTACCACTCGGCCAGACGGGTGAATTGGAAAACCGTTTAAAACATGTCAAGTGTTTCTGACTAAACAACATTGCCTTCATTTCTCTTGAGGCTCACATTTAATACTGTGTTTATCTTGTTCTTCGTCACCATCATTGCAAAGATGAAGAAAGGGACTTACTACGCATTATAGTTGTTCAACTCTAACATTGCAGGAGAATAAATGATATAAGCGAAAGGAGGAAGACCAATAAAGTATGCACAATGTCAGACATTGCATGTGGTGAATCAAAACAACAACGCGCATGATCGTAGTCAATTTAATGGCGCTGGGAGTTTCTAACTTGTCGGTTCAAAGTTAAATAACATATTTTTTACCATCATGCATGATAATATTGTAATGGTTTCTACAAAAGCATATGGTTCCTGCAGAACAGTATCCACTTACTAATTCAAGTCTTTTTGTCAATTTACAATCTTGCCATGTCTTGAGTGTCATCATTTCAAATATAGTCAATGTAATCAATATAGCCAATGCGGTTTTTGTCTACATTTGTGTCTACCTTCTTGTCTAACTTTGTGTCTACATTTTCATAGGACAAAGTTCTCATTTTGTTGAACACGACAATTGAAAAATTAGTCATTTCATAGTCGAAAATATTCGAAGTAATCGAAGGTAGTGAATTCACGCGATGCCATGTGGTAAATCAGGGCAGTGACGAGCATGTCTTTGGTCACTTTTTCCGATGCAATGGCGTCAAGATCATTTGACTTTATGTTTGAACTAACTGAACTATTTTTTATCATCATACGCACCAACCATTTTTTTTTCAATGTTGGTTTTGGTTGCACACAAACAAAAGTTAAATAGCAAGGACAAAGAAACCTATGAAAGTACGTCTTTTTATGATATCATGTGCATTTTCAGAAATTTTCACATTTTTTCACAAAGATTATAATTCAATCATTTTCACAAAGGTAGACATAAAGGTAGACACAATGGTAAATATACATACGTAGACTAAAAAGTAGACACAAAGATAGTCATAAAGGTAGACATAAAGGAGACACAAAGATAGTCATAAAGGTAGACACAAAGGTAGACATAAAGGTAGACATAAAGGTAGACAGAAAGGTAGACATTAAAGTAGACAGAAAGGTAGACATAACGGTAGATAAAAAGGTAGACACAAAGGTAAACACAATGGTAGACATAAAGGTATACACTAAGTTAGAGACAAAGGTAGACACAAGCAAGGTAGATAATTCATGCATTTTCACAAATTTTCACCTGTTTTTCAAAAACACACTATAATTCATGCATTTTCACAAATTTTCACATTTTTTTACAAAAAGACTATAATTCATGCATTTTCACAAATTTTCACATTTTCTCACACAAAGTCTATAATTCATGCATTTTCACATTTTTTTCACAAAAAGACTATAATTCACGCATTTTCACAAACTTTCACATTTTTCACAAAGACTATAATTCATACATTTTAACAAATTTTCACATTTTTTCACACAAAGTCTATAATTCATGCATTTTCACAAACTTTCACATTTTTTTCACACTATACTTCACCGAATTTAATGCAATGAATTCTAGTGTTTTTGTGAAAAAATGTGAAAATTTGTGAAAATGCATGAATAGAAAGAGAAAAAGATGTAATCGATGACATAAAAGAGAAAAAGCTGTCATTGCATAAAAGACGATATCATAAAAAGACGTACTTTCATAGGTTTCTTTGTCCTTGCTATTTAACTTTTGTTTGTGCGCAACCAAAACCAACATTGAAAAAAAAATGGTTGGTGCGTATGATGATAAAAAATAGTTCAGTTAGTTCAAACATAAAGTCAAATGATCTTGACGCCATTGCATCGGAAAAAGTGACCAAAGACATGCTCGTCACTGCCCTGATTTACCACATGGCATCGCGTGAATTCACTACCTTCGATTACTTCGAATATTTTCGACTATGAAACGACTAATTTTTCAATTGTCGTGTTCAACAAAATGAGAACTTTGTCCTATGAAAATGTAGACACAAAGTTAGACAAGAAGGTAGACAAAAACCGCATTGGCTATATTGATTACATTGACTATATTTGAAATGATGACACTCAAGACATGGCAAGATTGTAAATTGACAAAAAGACTTGAATCAGTAAGTGGATACTGTTCTGTAGGAACCATATGCTTTTGTAGAAACCATTACAATATTATCATGCATGATGGTAAAAAATATGTTATTTAACTTTGAACAGACAAGTTAGAAACTCCCAGCGCCATTAAATTGACTACGATCATGCGCGTTGTTGTTTTGATTCACCACATGCAATGTCTGACATTGTGCATACTTTATTGGTCTTCCTCCTTTCGCTTATATCATTTATTCTCCTGCAATGTTAGAGTTGAACAACTATAATGCGTAGCAAGTCCCTTTCTTCATCTTTGCAATGATGGTGACGAAGAGCAAGATAAACACAGTATTAAATGTGAGCCTCAAGAGAAATGAAGGCAATGTTGTTTAGTCAGAAACACTTGACATGTTTTAAACGGTTTTCCAATTCACCCGTCTGGCCGAGTGGTACAGATGTAGGTGCAGTGCTCTCACCTTCTCGGGTTCAAGACCATCTAAGGTTCAAGACCTTCTCCTTTTCTTTCGCTTCACATTGAAAAAATATAACAAATACTCCAAAAAACATAGAGCTTTCGATGATGAGCGGTTAGCTCAACTGGCCGATGTTGGGCGTTTAGTTCGACATCAATGACCTCCGGTGCACAAGATCCTTGGTTCGCCCCTCTGCCAACACACTTGGCAGGTGTACGCGGCGGATGTGGAAGACAGAAAGTTGAACTGAGGAACGAGTGCCTGGAAGTAAGAAAGGGATGATTAGGGCGTTCTGTTTGCTCTTGGGTTTCCTGACTTTTCAAAATTTAAAAAAATAACTCCCTGATCACAGGGAGTCATAAAAAAATTTGAGCAAAAGACTTAGTTTTTTTAAGAGTGGTTTTTTGCATGGGATCCTATCTTTTTTTTTTTCTTCGCTCTCCTCATCGGAGAGCGTTTTTTTTTCTGAATTTATACTAAGTGTCGCATTCCATTCTCGAAAAGTTTAGTAATAGAAATCCCATTTTTGTTCTATTAACCAGCACTATTTCCTTATTTTCCTATTTCTTATTCATCCTTAGCATAGTTACATCTTATTCCAGACAGGGTTCGAACCTCCACTCTCAACCTCGAAAGGTTGTGTCTATCCACTAGACCAGAGAGTTCGTTGAAGACACCTGGTCATTTTAAAGTGCCATTCCTACCTTGAAGGATTTAATGCAAAAAAAATAGACCATTGAAGGTCTCGAATCAAAATTATAACAGATCACTTCCAGCTAAAGGTAAACCAAAAATTCATATTCGTAGTCGAGTGTTGATATAAAGACTGAAAAGTATTACAAATAAATACATTTATATTAATGTTAGTTTGGTAATACAAAAGCAAAACATCTATAGTTACTTATGTCTTCTTTTGAAAAAGATAGAGAAAAGTAATAAGTCTTTCAAAAGCAGCACGTTTTCTTACGGCTAAACCACGCAGATTTCTTTTAGCGGCTGCTGTCGATATTAGCTTTATCAATCCAATGGCACTTGTCGTAGTTCACTCGTAGTAATTTAACTCGTAATAATTCCGCTTTGATAGTTTCTTCAGAATTGTGACCAGGGATATACCGGGCGGAAAGCGAATTCTTAATATAAATATCAGAGCCTCTGCTTTGATAGTTAATAATTTGCGTGCAGTCCACACTGAGAATATCTGTCAGTTATCAGTAAATTCTTCCCCAACGTTGACGTTTATCTAAACTTCTAGCTGTTGATCGGTTTGTATACCCAAATTCTTTTCGACAAATGCTCACTTTGTCAAATTCAATTTCATCGTTGTTCTGCCATTGCACTTGCTGTCGTTGTTTTCTGTTCACCTTTTGGTTGGGCTGTTTAGATGTAACATGCTTTATTATGTATGTATCGTACACAGGTGATTCCAAAGAGTTCTTTCTTTACAACGATTCTTTCTTGAGACTCGATGTACGACTATCACCACCACAAACACCTAATTATAAAGAGAAATACACAAAAAATTACACTTTTTCTAACTTAAGACTAACACTATCATGAACAGCAAGACTAAGAATAAAACCAAGGCAAAGAGTAAAAGTAACACCAACACTATCACTACATAAGTCTATCACCAGCCCTAAGACTACCCTAACATCAGTACCAAGACTGACAATATCACTAACACCACTACACCATATTCCAATGCACCCAATAAACTTACCACTAACCAACTTGATTTTACTCTCAATCTTGGCTAATAAGTGTTTAATAATTACAAAGAAACCTATATCCCACCATGCTATCAAAACTCCTGAGACTCATTCTTCCTAATCCCAACAACCCCATTCCTTATTTAACTCAACTCTTACCTTCCAAACCTTATTGTCTGCGTGCAAAAATCTTACTTCTAAATACAACCACTCATTTGCTAACCTGTGTATCCACTCTTCTCTTGACTTCAAGCTTCAACATTCTTCTTGATTGATGAAGTGAATATCCTTAAGAAATCATTTGATAGAAATTAAGTGAATAAAAAAGCTTGAAATATCTTTGAATCCACTATTTCAGTTGACATAAGGAGATAAAGTGTATATCATCGACAAAGTTATAAACAATCTGCAATTTGACAACAGTTGAATTTATCACTCACTTGGATATTACTATTACACCAATTTTAAAATAACTACAACGTTGCATTACATGCTGCATTTTAGCCAAAACGTCTACAGTTTTTGTAGATGTTTTAATTCACGTGTGTAGGAAAATAAATATACATGAAACCACATGAAACGAACTAGTATGACATCATATGTCTAAGATTTCTTCTACTGAAATACAAATATTCGGCAATATTTTCAGGAAATGGTAAACAAACCGTTAATATTTATTTCTTATGATCATCAAAACCATCGTACCTTGTACCAAAGAAGGCAAGCCGTGAGACTCTTTGCTTTGACAAATCGTGTTTTTGGCAAGTTAAGTTCACTTTGATGCTATAAATCTTATTTATTCGACAAATATTGCAATATTGTACATAATACTTACGATAAAGAGTGTGTCAGGAAGAAATTATTTTAAACATGGCGCGTGAAGGATCGGCAAATTTAGTGCCAATTACCAAATGTAATTGGTCAAAATAAGTCACGTGTTAAGTTTGAGCTAAGAAGCTAAGAAGTGGAGGGTGAATGATATAAGTGAAGGTTTGACATAAAGTAAACCAAGAATGTTTTTAGAAAGCATATTTACATACAATGTTACAGATAATGCTCACAACCTTGACTTTCTATCCTCTCTCCAATTTTCCCACCACCACTTATCTTCAACAATTATGCAAACCCAGATCATGTTTACCAGTCTGTCATGCATTGTACAGTCACAGTATAGCCATAAGACTTTTCAAAACCCAATGAACTCAACAAACTGTCAACACCTACATAACCTCTGGGTATTCTTGTGTGCAAATAATTGCTTTTATAAGTATAAGGGCAGATGTATAAGATTTGCCAAACTTTTAATTAATGAATTTGGATGAAAAGATAAATATATTTCACTTCCATACATCACTTATCTCCATCTTTCAGATCCTTTTCTATCTTGTACGTTGACATTAGAAGACTTGATCAAGCCTTAAATTTTAAATTAAGGAGACAGACAGGATTCACTGTCATGTTTCTTTAAGATGTATGAAACATCAAGTAATAGTTCTTGTCCATCAATGTTCTCTTTTCCTGATTTTATTACATTCAGTGATTTGTTTGCCATCATGGAATCTACACAGATTTCAAAAGAAATTGGTCAATTTTACCCTTACCAAAACACTGGGTTTACAAGTGTGAAATGATTGATGTTTAGTATTTGGGTTGAAAAACACTTCATTTGTGAACAAGAGAAAAATCTAGCTAAGGTGTGAGAAAACAGTTCATCAAGTAACACAATGCAAGTATTACAATAAAAGTATAAATGGCGAAGGATGAAGCTTAAATTTCTTCTTGCTGAAATGAACAGGTCCAAACCAAGAATTATTTGAGTTCACTGCACTACCCAGTAATGATATGAATTATACTTTTAAAGATAAACATTTCTACCTTTTTTTCTGATTTGAATTCATTTTAGTGTGTCTTCGTGGGCAAGCTTTCCTTTTGTGACCAAAATCTCCACAAATATGACATCCTCTTGTTAAACTAGGAACAAAACCTCAAATATAACATCGTGTAAAGAAAAGTTGGCCGATGAAACTTTTTTAATTACTGATTTATTGATCCACAACATTGCAAATGAAGTGAGAGTAAAGTCACCTCTTTGACAATCATGTCCAGGAGGTTTGCAGGATTTACATATCTCACAGTGAACATAACCTGATAATTAAAATACAATGTTTGCAAAGAATTTTCAATGCAATTTTGGCCAATCAACATACCTTTCTTTACACATTTCCCACAAATAAGACAATGCTGCCAAACATTGTTATGCTGTAATAACAAAATAACACAAATATTGCAAAATGTTCGATGGAAAACATGATTTGCTACCAGGGGGCATTTCTGACCCCAATATGGATTTCAACATCTGCCCACTTCATTTTCCCTGTTTATAGACAATGACTGTATGTTGTAATGAGGCCCTACTGGGGAGGTATGGCGGTTGTTAGTGTAATATGTTCACGGAGTTTCGCACTTCATCTGAGCCCTTACTGATAGCAACTAGCTAGCCAGTGAGTATTTTGAAAGGGTGATTTCAAAAAAACACTATTTTTGCAGCATACACAGTAATGTAACATGGCTTTCATGTGTCTTTGAAATTGACTAATTTCAGTTGTTCCTTGGGGCCCCCCTTTTTAGCTAAGCCTGTACCCCCTACCAGTACCTATGTTTGCTACTACACACTACCTTAGTAGGACAATCGTTACATAGATCACAATGTAAATTCTCTTTGCTGAAATATTGTTGACATTTGTCACAAAAACTACAAAAAATATCAGAAACACGATACATGGATAAAGAAATGTTATTTACTTATCATTTGGTGGTAGAATGATGGTCTTTAACAAGACATTAGTGAACACTCTGACAGGAGATAGTTTTTTTGTTTTGAAATGCTTCTTGTAGAGTGGATGATTGTCATAATAATCAACCAAATTCAATGGGGGAAAGAACAATGACTTTGACAAGAGCTTCACAAAGTGTAATAAACTTATCAAACGATGATCGTCCAGGTTAATAAAGTCCTGAGAAGGACTGTTTTTGATGTTGTTGACTGACGTTTCGACAACCTTAGCGGTAGTCATCTTCAGAGTCAAATGAGGAGTAAACGTCAGGTTAGCCGTATTTGTTGTCTGGTTCTTACGTCATTGTATTGTGTACAGGAAATGTGCAGGAAATGTGTATTGTCATTGTGGATTAGTGTGAAGTGAAATATTTTATTTTTAGTTGTGATGTGTGATTTAGGTGTGACGTTTTAGTTGTAGTGTGTGGGTGTCAATTGTGTATTGTCATTGTGAATTAGTTTGAAGTGTAATGTTTTTAGTTGATCGTTTGTTTGTATTGTGAATAAGTCGTTTGTAAGGTGCCGGTAATTGCTGTGATCTGTTCAGGGGTTTGTTCCAAGTTGGTATACCAACTTTCTAATGTAAGCCGTTGTCTATAGTCAGTACTGTAAGTGATGCATTTTGCCGAGTCCCAGTCAATGTTGTGCTTTGTGATTCGGTGATGTTCGGCAATGTGATTAGTTTTGTCTTGTTTCTTAGTAGCTCGTTTGTGCTCAGTAAGTCTTATGTTTAAGTTCCTGCCAGTTTCCCCAATATAGGAGGCGTGGCAGTCGGAGCAGTTTATTTTGTAAACTGCACCTTGTCGTTCGTTGGGTTGTTCTTTGTCCTTTATGTTCGTTAGTACTTGTCGTAATGTTGTGATTGGTTTATGTGCGACACGTATGTTGTATGGTCGTAAGATACGCGAGATAGTCTCAGACGTACCTTTGATGTAAGGTATCGTTGCTGTTGTCACTGAGTTGTTCGTTTCGTTGGGTTCGTTGGGTTTGTAAGTGTTGCGTTTGATAAAGTCAGAGTTATAGTTGTTTTTGTCAAAAACACGTTTGAGATAGTTGTTTTCGTTTTGTAGAGCGTCCGGTGAATCACATATGATTTGTGTACGTCTTGTTAATGTTCTTATTGTGGTGGCTTTGTGTGATGTAGGGTTGTAAGATGATTGGTCTAGTAGTCGGTCAGTATGTGTTGGCTTGCGATAAACTGTTGTTCCTAGTTTTTGATTGTCATGTTTTAGCAAACAGTCGAGAAAAGGAAGAGTTCCGTTTTCTTCGACATCTTTGGTAAATTGTATGTGGCTGTTCTGTTTGTTGATGTGAGTATGGAAGTCATCAATCTCGTCTGCATGTAGTGCTGTGATTGTGTCATCTACGTAGCGAAACCAAAAAGGTAGTGCATGTTTGTAAGTCATGAGTGCCCGTTCCTCTATAGATTGCATTACAATTTCAGCAACTACAACAGAAACGGGCGAGCCCATTGCCGTCCCATGTAATTGTTTGTAGTGTGTTCCTTTGTATTGGAAGTAAGTCGAGGTGAGGCAGAGCTCTAGTAACTCCATAATGTCTTCTGTCGGTAATGGCAGTACGTCCGTGGTGTTTGTAATGAGGGTTTTTGTACAAGTAAGTGCCAGATTAAGTGGAATACTGGTGAACAGTGATTTCACATCAAAAGACACTAGTATATAGTTGTCTGGTATTTGTATAGTGCACAGTTTTTTAATGAAAGTTTCAGTGGATTGTAGCTTGTGTTTTGATTTGTTTGTAAGTGGTTGCAGTATGTTAGTCAAGTACTTTGAAAGTTCGTAAGTAGGCGAACCACAGAATGATACAATTGGTCGCATGGGTATTTGTGGTTTGTGAAGTTTTGGTAGTCCGTATAGTCTGGGTGGTCGTGGTACTGAACATCTGAGTCGATAGTAAATACGTTCAGATATAATGTTAGATTTTCTCATAGAGAAGATCTTGCTGTTAAGTTTACGTACTAGTGATGGTGTTGGGTCTCGTTTGAGTTGTTCGTACGTTTGTCTGTCGTTAACAAGTGCGTCCATTTTGTTAAAGTAATCATTCCTGTCCATGACCACAGTCACGCGTCCTTTGTCTGCTGGTAAAATGACGATGTTGTTGTCGTGTTTTAGTCGTTTGAGTGCTTGTTGTTCGTCTTTTGTCAAGTTGTTGTCACGTATAGAGGACGATTGTAAAGTGGAGGCTATCCTGCTTCTGATCTCGTCTTTTGTTGTCTCTGACAAGTCTCTTTGATACGCTAGGACAGCCTTTCAAAGTACTTGACTAACATACTGCAACCACTTACAAACAAATCAAAACACAAGCTACAATCCACTGAAACTTTCATTAAAAAACTGTGCACTATACAAATACCAGACAACTATATACTAGTGTCTTTTGATGTGAAATCACTGTTCACCAGTATTCCACTTAATCTGGCACTTACTTGTACAAAAACCCTCATTACAAACACCACGGACGTACTGCCATTACCGACAGAAGACATTATGGAGTTACTAGAGCTCTGCCTCACCTCGACTTACTTCCAATACAAACAGAACAGCCACATACAATTTACCAAAGATGTCGAAGAAAACGGAACTCTTCCTTTTCTCGACTGTTTGCTAAAACATGACAATCAAAAACTAGGAACAACAGTTTATCGCAAGCCAACACATACTGACCGACTACTAGACCAATCATCTTACAACCCTACATCACACAAAGCCACCACAATAAGAACATTAACAAGACGTACACAAATCATATGTGATTCACCGGACGCTCTACAAAACGAAAACAACTATCTCAAACGTGTTTTGACAAAACAACTATAACTCTGACTTTATCAAACGCAACACTTACAAACCCAACGAACCCAACGAAACGAACAACTCAGTGACAACAGCAACGATACCTTACATCAAAGGTACGTCTGAGACTATCTCGCGTATCTTACGACCATACAACATACGTGTCGCACATAAACCAATCACAACATTACGACAAGTACTAACGAACATAAAGGACAAAGAACAACCCAACGAACGACAAGGTGCAGTTTACAAAATAAACTGCTCCGACTGTCACGCCTCCTATATTGGGGAAACTGGCAGGAACTTAAACATAAGACTTACTGAGCACAAACGAGCTACTAAGAAACAAGACAAAACTAATCACATTGCCGAACATCACCGAATCACAAAGCACAACATTGACTGGGACTCGGCAAAATGCATCACTTACAGTACTGACTATAGACAACGGCTTACATTAGAAAGTTGGTATACCAACTTGGAACAAACCCCCCTGAACAGATCACAGCAATTACCGGCACCTTACAAACGACTTATTCACAATACAAACAAACGATCAACTAAAAACATTACACTTCAAACTAATTCACAATGACAATACACAATTGACACCCACACTACAACTAAAAACGTCACACCTAAATCACACATCACAACTAAAAATAAAATATTTCACTTCACACTAATCCACAATGACAATACACATTTCCTGCACATTTCCTGTACACACAATACAATGACGTAAGAACCAGACAACAAATACGGCTAACCTGACGTTTACTCCTCATTTGACTCTGAAGATGACTACCGCTAAGGTTGTCGAAACGTCAGTCAACAACATCAAAAACAGTCCTTCTCAGGACTTTATTAACCTGGACGATCATCATTTACAAACATATAACGATACTCCCGGGTTCAAACCATTTACTTTAAAACTTATCAAACCTTAAAATCGCACATCTTAAAGAATGGTGATTCTTTGGTAATGTGTGATTCCATAAAGTACGGGAAAATCCAGAAAGTTGACAAGCAAGATAAATGGTAATCATCTATAATAAGTAAATATTTCAGAAAATCTTTGATATGCAGTGGGACAGTAATATCAAACAGAAGAACTATTCTTTAAAATACTTTACCATACCTCCTTCTTTCACATAATTCAAAAAACAAGCTTCCAAAGTTTTTTAGGGATACTGGCAGTACTTGAACCAACCCACCAAAAGGTGGATCCAAAATAACCATCAGAGAATTGGGTATAGAATTGTATAAGAACTTCTTAAAACAAACCATTGCAGGGTCTTTTTCAAAAAAAATGATGGTTGAACATGTTATAGTGAATAAAATGGCCGTCTTTATGAAACTGGACCTGTGAATTGAAAAAATTATTGTCAATAGTATCATGCAATGTTTGTAATGAATTTATAGATTAGGGCAAATATATATTTCAAACATTATACTCTCCTACTGGTGGGAGCTGAAACAAAATCAATCTTTTGCTTAACCCCCCCCCCTGATCACTTATGCTGTCCATAACTAAAAGAGTTGTTTTGAAACAACAATAAATTGAAACTATGATTTCCTCAGTGTCCTCAAGACAAGTATTCTTTAACTTACATGTCTATGGTCTATATCCAATAAAATACTGTCAATCACAGCAGCTTTTCTAGTTTGAATTGCTTCATGTATTCTACACAAGAACCATCATATAAAAAAAATTAAAACAAAAGGTATTTAATTAAAAGTAAAAGAAAACCTCAACATCTAAATATTCATTAGAACAACATGGTACATGGTTTGGATGAAATTTGAACATACCTAGGAGTACCTACACAAATTATCTTCTGGTAACCAAGAGTTTCAAAAGTGTTCAAAAAGAATTTGATTGCATCATTATTAAAGAGTTATTGCTAAAATAGAAAATACAACATCATCACAGTCACGATATGCTATGTTTTTAATTAAACATGAAAACATACAGCATGCGATTTCTTGTTTTCTTTTAGCTTCAAGAAACGACTTGCATTTCTGATCATTTCATTCGTTACATTACATAAAATTTCATGTTTTGCGTGTTTCTCCATTTCTTTAGGTAGTAACAATAGATCACAGGTATGACAGCAAGTCCGTTCATAGTCATTTAAACTTTTGACTATCTTTAGACTTTTGCCGAATTGCTTAGAGACTCATCTGCCCATTGAAAAAACTACATTCTTTTCGATCACGACAGGCGGAGCATGCAAAAAATCCTCTTGGTGGTTTACACTCAAAACATCTTTTAAACATTAACATTGGTCCTTCAACAAAAACAACAGTTAGATTCGCTGACTAGAATACTAATCAAAACACATGAAGATCTATAAAGTATTTTAGAAACCTAAAGTAGAGACATGAAAAGAGGAGATGAAGAAGCCTAGGAATGTTAAAATATAACAAATATATTCATTATAATTTACCATGTGGACACCATGGAGTTTGGTAGTCATCTTCGTCAGATATGAACACTTCAACTCCGAATCTTTGACATGATGGATGCATAACAATAATAAATTTAGTGTCTTTTTCCAGTTTTCATTAACTTGTGAATTTATATTATTATTTTAATATTGATTTTTAAATATTGATCAACATTGTGCACTTCGATTGTATCATGTCAGCAGAAACATTGAGCAGAAATAACACGACACGATGGACACGAGTGTCGCGAGTGGATAAAATACTCTCTAACTGTTTTTATCAACCAATGACAACTACTACACGTTGTATCAATAAGTAGCAAACCTTATCACTAGCTATCCCTGTCATATACTATACAAAATTTAAATGGCACGATTACGATAAAAATACTTAAGATAATCATCAATCATTTGTAAATGAATGTGCACTGGTCGTCTTGCTCATAAAACATGCTACAAAGCTTTCTTTCTCGGAAAGGAAAGCTAAACTAATAATTCTGTATGTAACTAGACATATGTGAAATGGACAAAGCTTCTGTTCTCGTCCAATTTAATCATACTTCAAAAATTCTTATTTGAAGTGCGTGATTACCAGAAACAATGAAGGTCCAAGAGTGTCGATCTACTCTTGTTTCTTCAAGTGGATCGGGAATCCAACCCAATAACCATACAATCCCTACTGCAGGTCCCAGGCACCCTTTTTGTTATTCTTTAGAGTGCTTCTCTAAAGATGAGGGAAACCGGCGTATCGCCGGAGGAAAACCCTCAGAGATCCAACAAGCTACGAAAGCCAGTCGGTGGATGCACATTGCTTGGGATCACCTCATCTATTTTTACTAGTTATCTTTACAAAAAGATTGTTTACATTTTTAAGGCCTTGATTATATGTACAAATTTCATTAGACTGCCTTTATCTTTACAAAGTTGTTGAAAAAGGTGACTTAGGCAATATACATCCTTTTAAAAAAAACCGTAACCTCCGATGTACGCCATTTTTAGGCCGCTTTTAGCTGCGCCATTTTTGCCTAAGCGCATTCTTAGCTAACCCTGTTGATCAGTGGCATGTAATAACCGATTTGAACATCTACCTACGAACTACTCTGCACAAAAATAAGTAAACCATACCTTTGAACGATGAGACACCTGTAAAGCAACGTTAGTACCCGAACCGAAAGGGAACCTAACGAATAGGGAACCGCCTCCCTGGGCCCTTATACTTTACCAAACGGCGTGCCAACCAATCCTTCTTGTGTCCAACACTCGATCACCTAGGTACCAATTTGGCACCGTTTACGATTATTCCTACCTGGAACTACATTAAATGTATCGGATAAGTTTGTCTCACTGTCTATCAAATCATCTTCCATGCATAAAATATATGAAGATGTTCGATTTGATTTCGAGACGATCTAACCCAATACATCATGAATAATTAAACTATATTTCTTCTCTGAACTATTTTCTTCAAGTTAAATAACAGTGAGTTAATTAACTTCGACATGCCACTGTCATAACATTGATTTTGACATCTATTTAGCAAAAGCAATGCCGGGTTTCATGCACCTATTATTCTGTTTCGTTGTTTATTAGACCAACGTTGCATATTCGTCTTGATGATGCAAATCACTCATTTTTCTCTAAAAATATTTTTAAGCACTTTGACTTGTTTATATTCATTTTCAAGCGTCTGGTGAACATTTCAAATTTTGCATGGTTCAAAATTCAAACAATTCGAACTAAACGTAAAATGATTTATAAAGCATCATCAAGCAAGAATATTTCAGACGTTTATAACTTTAGATTAATTTAATTTGCGCTATGCAGCTTGCATGTCGGATTGCGCCATGTTTCGGTCCGAAATTTCTTTTGTTAATTTAACGTGCAATCTGTGATTCGGATTTCGCCATTTTTTGGACCGTAAGTTTGATAACTAAATATGCATATGATTCAGTTTTAAGAAGTATAATAAACAAGATAATAAACACGACCATAACTCAAAGAAACCCATGCTTATTTCCTTGAACTTAGGTTTGTGTATCCTGGTGATCAAAACAACGAAAAACTTATAAAAATCGACATCAGACATATATATTTTACCTTGCACAATGATAATCTTACATTATACGACACTTTGATCAAAGTTTCCGGCAATATAAGATGTATCATCGTTTTCAGGCAAATGTTTCAACGGCAAAAAGCACTACATCACATGCACAAAACTAAAAACAACACAACAACTAACAAGAATCAAAAGAACAACTAACTTTGTTATACACTCAGCCAATGATCAATCATCTTCCTGTTAGTGCAGATCACCAGGATTTTAACTAAAACACTATAAACCTGCTACCTTAAACGTCGTCTTTGGTCTTCATTCGTAGATTAAGGTATAGCGATAATGTAAATCCACGATAACGACGATGTAAATCCATGACAACAATAAAGTACACGTAATCCACGACAGCTGTGAGTTAATCTACGATGACTATATGACTGTGATTGACAACAATTATGCTTTGACCCACGACATACATGATACAATGATGCCATATATGAATCATAATGTGCCAACATTGCATTCTTTTTTCACTACAAAACAAATGAAAGGGTCAAGATAACACGAAATTCTTCAAAATTCACGAAAACTGCACAGTTATTGACAATAACGTGACACAAAAACCGTTAATAAAACTTCAATAATATTATAAATTTTACTGTGAAAACTTATATATTCTGTGTAATGTTATAACAATTAGTGAAAAGAAGTTTTTTCAAGACAAAACGTTCCCAACAAATAACATTGCTTTTTTGCAAAGCAAATTCCCATTTACAACATTATCTTCTGCTTGTAATGTAGCCAAAAAGCAACTATAAAGATAGGTCAATAAAAAAATACACATAAATTACCTATAGGTTGGTCGTCATGAGCAACCAACTGCCTCTTCAAAACTTCCAGCAGTGTTGTGTAAGGTGGTTTTGTTCATAGGATGAAACATACTCTGACAATCAACAAATGAAGCGTAATGTTTTTTGATGAAGTGGAAATTACTGAAATTTAAAACATTAAAATATTATTACGTTTTTCACTACAACAAATTTCAGCAACTTAGTTAGCAAATTGAACGAGATTCAAATATCAAATATTACTCACCTATAATTGTTTTTCCACGTAGTGTCAGGATTTATTCCATTGATTATTTTTATGTTTTCCTCATACATCTTTACTCAAATCTTGATGCATATCATAATTGGACAAACCACCATGAAACTATCGTGTGTGTTTTTTAACTCATGTTCTTGTAGCACAATGTCAAATTGATTTTAAAGTGAAACAACAAAGTTTATGAACGGTAAGTCAATTTTCGATTGTTTGACTATTACACCATTGCTCGTCGTCGTTCTTTATTCGTAGATTAACGTAATCCTTAGCCCAAATTTACTTTGACAAATCCACGACAACCACGATGAAATCCACGACAGCCACGATGTAATCCACGACAACCACGATGTAATCCACGACAACCACGATGTAATCCACGACAACCATGAAATCCACGACAGCCACGATGTAATCCACGACAGCCACGATGTAATCCACGACAACCACGATGTAATCCACGACAACCACGATGTCCACGATGTAATCCACGACAACCACGATGTAATCCACGACAACCACGATGTAATCCACGACAACCACGATGTAATCCACGACAGCCACGATGTAATCCACGACAACCACGATGTAATCCACAATAACCATGTTGCAATTAATCGATATAATACACCACCATTCTATCATTCCTTATCTACAAAACAATGAAGTTCAAAAATATAAACGAATGTATTTCAATTTGACAAAAAAATAACGTATATAATGAATCAAAAGCTTTTTGGCAACTCCCATTACATTGTCGACTGTTCTTGCTCAAAACTCGTAATAATTTTATATGAATTAGTTGGAAGACTTTCTAGATTTAGTAATAAAACATCACCAAAAACCAATAATCCAATTTTGAAAATTTATTAAAAGTTAAATGTGGAATCAGTTTTCATTATAACGTCATACTGTCTAGTCTACTCATAATGTAACCAGCTTTGCAGAAACTGTAAGTAATGATAAAACAAGTACAAAAGGTATTTACAAGAAAATTTTAATACCTGTAGATTCTTCGTCATAAGCAACCAACTGCCCCTCCTAAGGGTAGTTCAGTTTTTGAAGAAAAATTTCTGAAATCAAAAATCATTATACTATTATGAAAAGATCGCTTGTTTGGTATTGAACAGATAAAAACACATCAACAACTACTTACCAAAATATATTTTAAGCTTTGTGGTATTAGGATGGATAATTTGTTTCCTGATATTGAGTTTATAGTTCACCATAGCAGTTTTAAAACTTCCACACAATGTTATCATCATGATTATTCACATTTCTGTTATGCAGCATAACAAACAATAGATGGACAAAACACCATAACTCATCATGGCATTAAATGCTAAAATTCAGGTGAAAAATATTCAATTAAGTTTTAATGTCAATGTAAACGTCTGTGCATAATCTAATGTTCATCTTACCTGACGTCCATCCTATATCTTGTGCAAACTGCAGCATCTCTAGAGACTTACTTGTGCACACTTGGTCGAAAATTACGTGCAAGTCAAAAACAACAGAACATAAAACTTTCGACGATGGCTAGGTTATTTACATCTTAGTCTGAATTAAGTTGTTTAAGAGCTTATTGAGTTAAGGTAAGTTATACGAGACAATCAAGTCGTGTCCTTCACGTTAGACGATGAAACCCACAAACAGAAAGAAACATGTAAAAAGATTATATCTGCAACAAGAAGTCTTCAAAAGTCATGCATGGGTTAAAGTGTCAGGCAATGTATTTACAAGTATAGTTATAGAGTCGTAAAATCTTTATCTTGGATTATTTCATCTTGTTGTCAATTTTTTCTTTTATTATCTCATCTTCTTTTTCGTCACAAGATTGCTTTGTCATTTTTTTTCTTGCACCGATTCACTATAATCTTTTTATAACATAGCAGTGAAGTTTGCCTTTGAATTTCTCGCTTTTCTGTCTTTGTTGAGTTTTCTATCTGATCTAGTTTGACCTATCTGGCGCCTCAGATCAAACTAGATCAGATAGAAAAACCCACTCCACTTGAAGAGTCTCTGAAGAAAGAAGAAATAGAAATTTCTGACCTGTCAAGAATCGATGAAGTGCCTCAACAACGGAATACGCCGATTCCGCAAGAATCGATGAAGTGCCTCAACAACGGAAGACGCCGATTCCGCAAGAATCGATGAAGTGCCTCAACAACGGAAGACGCCGATTCCGCAAGAATCGATGAAGTGCCTCAACAACGGAATACGCCGATTCCGCAAGAATCGATGAAGTGCCTCAACAACGGAATACGCCGATTCCGCAAGAATCGATGAAGTGCCTCAACAACGGAAGACGCCGAGTCCTCAAGAATTGATGAAGTGCCTCAGCAACCTAAGACATTGTGCTCTCAAGATGTGAAAAAGTAGATGCTGTTCTGCCATCATAGGCTCATAAACGTTTTGTTGAAAGAGTACTTTTTACAACAATACTTTTACTTACTTTTCTAATTAATAATTAAACAAATAGTGGACAAATGAAGACTTCAAGTTGCTGATGTATGATTAAGTATGATATTTTACTTTTGTTTTATGAATAAATTTCTTCTAATTAATGTTTCTTTTCATATGTTATAAATTTCTGAAAAGAACGAAGTCGTATAGACTCTTCATTTTCTCTTAAACGTCGATTTCATATCGATCGTTCACATTGGCAGTTTTGACTTAATTTTTGTCTGATAATCCTTACCCTAAACTCAATAAAATTTTGTTTACAAATGTTGACAACATTTACTTTTGATTCATGAGTAAATTTCATCCAGTGAATATGTCTTTTTACATTTATACATTTCATTGGAAGGAAGTCTTATAGACTTCTTTATACGCCATTGAACGTCACTTTCTTATATACAGATCATTCACAACACTAGATTCGTCTTATTGTTTGCTAATCCTTGTATACCTTAAACTCAGGAGCATTTTGCTTAAAAAATGCACACAACAGTTACTTTTGATTGATGAGTAATGAAGGCTTCTTTTTATATCTATACATTTCATAAGAAGGAAGTCTTATAGACTTCTTTATATGTCATTGAGCGTCGATTTTTGAAATATTATTCACAACACTAGAGTTGACTTATAAATTTAATCAAAATCATTGGCACATGCACAAACATTTAGTTTTGTTTCATCAAGGAATGTTTGTTTTAATCCCTTACACATTTCAAATGAAAGAAGTCATATAGACTTCATTAAATGCTTTTGAACATTGTTTTCAGATAGATCGTTCACAACAATTTGTTTTATTTTGATTTATTGTCTAATCATTTCTATCCTAAACTTTAAGCTAGTACTCGTTTACTAGCAGCAAAAATTGAAGGTAGTCATTGCCTAAGAAAACTGTTAAGACAAAGTTTTTCTTGCAAAGTTTTAAGAGAAAAGGCGAAATTTTTTTGAATGTGTGCACAAGTAAGTCCATAAAAACACGCTGTGTCTGTTGCTTTCATTTGAATATCCTATCAATTCAAATCAAACGAAATGAGCTTCTGTGTTTTCAAAAATTTGATACATATTATAAACATTATAATATTAAGATAAAAATATTGACAGAAAAGATTACTATGATAAAGAATATCATAACAAAAATTTTCAAAAGCGTTTTCGTATAAAAAGAACCAAGCAGTCAATGAAAGTTTTAACGAAATATAATTTTGCGTTTCTTACCTTACTCCTCTTTCGTTCTCTTCCAGCTGTTTTCATAGCGATCCGTTTTATCTTTGCTTCAAATTTTAACTAGGATTATATTCTTTATGACTGTTCATCGTCAATTCTCAAGAGAAAATTAGCTTCTTTTCCTATAGAATATAAACACATTTATTGGTAAAATGCTCTTAAAATAGTTTTCAATAACAACTTTTCTAAATTGTTCTCAAGTAGCGTACATCGTATTTCATTAAAAATCTTTCTCGCCGATTGAAATTGCTATCATTCGAATTTATTGAATTGAAGAACCTGTAGCCGTCTACACTCTTCAAACTTTTTCCTGTATCCCACTCCATTAAAGATTTTGTGGGTATTTTCGTAGTCAAGCTTGTCAATTTTGCATAATTCGTGCCCAGTGTTCTTCATTTTCACGCGGAACAAAATTCGCGCCAATTTTATCGAGAGTCCAATGTCCACCATGAACCAACATTTCATATTTTTTCACATATCTCAAAATTTTCGCTCACAAGAGTCAAAAGAACATTTTTTACTAAAACAAATCAACCTATGGGATAAGAAATACAGTAAAAACGCAAAATACTTACCATAATTTATATATACCAAGTTATGAAAATTATTTTATAAACGAACTCATTTATACATTCATAAAACGACATTTTCTTCGAACAAACGACATTTTACCGCTTTTGCAGCCATAAAGAGCGATCCACTACAAAATTTTGAGGAAAGGAACTTACATTTTGTTGCAGTAATCGCTCTGAAAGTGATTGGAAAGAACTTTGAAGGAGATAACGATGCTAACGCTAGCAATCGATACGCACTCTGTGCCCTTCTGCAAATGGTCGTTCATCCACAACCATCGACTACAGCAGCTAATACTTCAATGCACGTCTCCAAAAACAAAACGCCGTTTTTCTTTGATGTCAGTAAAAATGTCGTTTGTTCGAAGAAAATGTCGCTTTATGAATGTCAATTATAAGTTTCGTTTACATAACTTGAAAACAATTTTGTTTCTTTTATATTTTGCGTTTCGTTTTACAAATATTGAAGTTGCACGACATACGATAATGAAATATTTCGATTTTGGTAATATTGTCCATCTTGATAATCCTTATCGCTCGTTTTGCAATGCTATTACTTTCAACTAGAATTTTACATATTTTGTGTTGAAACGAGGAAGATGTCGGTCGGACAACTTTGTCGCTGAAAAATATCGATTCAAAATACAAAAAGCAAAATATTCAACAAAGTTTCACTTCTTTGCAGTCACCAACACACTAAAGCAAAATGAAAAGAAATACTTTGAAACACACAAACTTTCCGTTTTTATACTGTTAAGTTGCTGTGGCCAAGCAAATACATCGTCGAAGGCGGGTAGTTAAACGGCGAATTGCACAAAAACAACCGACGAAAAGATTTACAAGGAAAACAATGCGTAACTATACATCAAACAAGGCTTTTGTCATTGAATTTATCAACATTTGAAGTGCGTTTTAAAACAATAAATCAAAATTTCACTAACCTTCCTTTCACTTTCGAGTCTTGGGGGCATCTACCGTTGTGTAAAGTGATTGACGTGTATTAAGATCATTTGGAGGCCCGATTTCATTGGTTGATTTCGATGAGCTCTACAATTGTTATTGGATAAATTTTGAGCTCTTAGATCTCTGATTGGCTAAATTTCTACAATATGTTGAATATTAAAAGTTATCCCAGATAAGTGAAAGGTAAATTAGGCAATGCACTTTTGATAACGTCTCTCTTTGAAATAAAATAACATTCAAGAAGTGTTTCTGCTTTCAAATATAATCATCCCAAGTTGAGAGCATACAATTTTTTAATAGCTGAAAAAAATTTATAATGTTCAGGTTAATGATGCAACTCCGAGAGACGATGTACTGAGTGCATCCAGAAGTTTTCATTGATATAGTGCAAATCCCTCATGAGATACCATGTTTGGTGCGTAGTGTAAGCCACAAAATATGATGAAAACGCCAATTTTCAAGATATTCATGGCTGACATTTAAACAAGCGCCGCTTCATAGACGGAGTTAAATTTCTTCAGTTCGCCTGTGTTGAGTTCATTGGTTCATTGGTTCATAAGAGTTCATTGGTTGAGTCTACTATAATATTTAGCACTACACGAAGTTTATGATTAACTGTTTTAAAATCAGTATGGCGTTTCTTCCTGATGAGTGGCAAGATGACAATCGCATGAACTTCATGTTCTCCGCTTTTCCAGAGAATAGAAATGTCAATCCGAAGCACTGGGAAAGTAAATTGCAATTCTGGAAAAGTGCAATCACTCGAAGTTGTGACTATTTTGACAAATTTGATTTTGATATTGACGTTTTAAAAGCAAGATTTAATAGAGATGGTTTGACACCACTTGGTATTTGTACAGTTCTAAATGAAATGTTGAACAGTGGGGAAATTGTGAGAAAAAATGACTTCTTAGAGTCTGTTTATGATACATGGAGTGCATGGTCTTTGGGAATAGCAAAAAAGTCGCTCTGGTGGACATTTGGAAAAGTTTGGCAAACAAATGAAATAGACATAGGGTCGTTCCTACTGCTACACCAAGTCGAAGTAAGAATGCAAGCCGACACATCTTTTAGTTGTTTTTTCATAGTCTCTAATTTCCAGTAGTTTTAATTTTCAAACTGCATTTTAGAAAAAGGCTGAGAGAATTCTTTCATATCATTATCAATATGTCAAACACTCGACGACAGACAATATAATACCAGAGAATGTGCTAAAATCACGATTAAAAGCAGGCAATTTAGAGTTATCCGAACACGAGTTTGAGGTTGTTATTTGTCAGTTAAGAAAGGAAAAAAAACTTTCTGTACATGTTTTAGAAAATGGAGAAAAGGTAAAAGAACTAATGTTGTGAATTTATCTACTTGCATGTAATTTTGGAAAATTTCGAGTTCATTTTAGATTTTTAAGTTTTCTGACAAAAATCAAGGCAGGGCAAGCACAGTCACCGAAAATGATCTCAATATCTTAAAGTAAAACTTCTTCGGTTATATGATATTACAAAACATTCCCTTTGATAATTTTTTACCCTTCCCAATTTTTTCTTCAGACTTAGGAAGGCCGAAGCAACTACTAAATTACAAATAACAAAACTTAACAAAGAAACTGATGAGTATGAAAAATAAAATTGGTTTTTCAAAGTTTAATTATAAATTTCTCTAACTGAAAAGCATTCTTGAATCGTAGGTTACAAAGCCTCATTGTTTCAGCAAACAATGATAGACTTAAAAGCAAGGTAGAATTTATCTGAAAACTTTCATTTATGTCATCATGTACATGTTTTTTCTATAGTATTCATGGGACGTTGAATTTGCAATGCATTTTTGTAGGTGAAAAAGTTGTTAATTCGTAAACATGCGATGATAAAAATTTTGGATAAAAAGGAGTCACTGCTAATGAACATACAAGACATACTTCGACATATACAAGAAGCACATTCAGATGTCAGTGTAAGTTTAACTAAATCTTAAGCTGTGAACATACGTCAGGTGATCATGTTTTTGTACAATGTTATTCGTGGCAGAAATATTATTTATTGTCAAATTATATTATATTTTATTTCTTTTCAGGTAATAGATGCATTAAAAGCTGGCGCACAAGTGTTCAAAACATTATCTCAAGAATATGGTTTAACTATTGACAATGTGGAAAAAATTATGGGTGATGTGGAAGATGTACGACCGTACCATTGAAATAAAAAATGAATCTTAAACCAGTGCATTGTATGAAACTGTTTTATCTATTTAGGTCATGGATGAAACTGCTGAAATAAACAAGACAATCAGTGAAGGTACATATACTACACAGTTCAAATGCATTTTTTATTCAGAGTAATAATTACGATGCGCTTCTTGCATGCAGGTTCAAAAACAATTGCAGCTTCATCAGGTGTGGATGTTGAAGATCTTGAACTAGAGGAGGAACTGAAGAATTTGATATTACATGATAAAGGTTTGTTCTATAAGTTATGCAGGCAAATACTTAAAAACATTTAATGAAGTTTGTCATCTTTAACAAGCAGCATTTTATTTTTTAGAATCTTCTAAAGATAACATCAGTGGCAAAGAAAAGCTTATTTCACAACTTCCAGATGTACCAAATTTTAGTCCACAAAAACAACCGGAAACAAAAGAAAGAATTTTACTAACCAGTTGAAACTCCCCAACAACTGGATTCAGCAAAAAATAAAAATATATAAAGTGCATGATTGCACAAAATGTGGAATAGACTTTGATACTACCAATCAAAAACTATATTGAATTACAATAATGATAATATCCAATGTACAAACACACATTCACTCACTCTACATTTTCTCTTTGTATAAGCAGAGTAAGTCCACTTAAAAAACTAATACTAATTTTCAATGATCATGGTGCAATTTACCTGAAATTAAAAAGCTATTTCATTCAAGGCAAAACAATGTCCCAGATCTTAACAGAGCAGTCATGGGCTGTAGTCACCAGTTGGTTATCATTTAACCATTGAATACCAACAATGTTACTGAGACGATGTGCAGCTAAACAAAAAAACAACTGTAGATTTAACTCATGTCGAAGATTTTATAAGTGAAGAAAATTTTGCAGTAAAGGGACCAAAGAGAAGTATTCCACATCCAAATGACAAATAATAATGAGAGAGTGATGTTCTATGAATGAGCTGTGTAGATTTACGAATTACCTTTAATGTTTAGTTTTTCTAGTTTCTCCAAACTCCAGATAAAAACATTTGAGTCTAAAGAACCTGAAGCCAGATATCGTGAGTCAGAAGTCCATGAGAGTGAAGTAACACGACCTGAATGACCACTCCATCCTCGCGATTTTTCCTGTAAAATAAAGTCAAAACCAAATGATCATTCAGTTATTCACATTAAACATATCTTATTAATGAAGAACCATGTAATATGGATATAACATAAGAAATCTATATTATTATTAATATTGCCATTAAAGACATGACTTTGATGGAAGTCTTTCAAATAACATGTATCTAATAATTTATAAATTCAATCAATGACAAGACAAAGAGACTCAATTTTATAGGTAGGCCATGTTCACCTTATAATCTGTGGTATTGTAAACACAGACATCTCTTCCAGATGTACCAATGCCAATATATGCACCTTCCGGAGAATATTTGAGCACTGCAGGCTCACGAGTTATTCCACTGATTGTTTGCTTCAGTTCACCAACTGTATCAGAATCAAAACTATAGATGTACACATCTGTTGCCTAGACAGGACAGAGAGTTCATGATGACAAATTTTGCAATGTACTACAAAGCGAAAGAAGGCATTGAATGTAAAAAATACCTCCTGATTGCCAACCGCAACTTCAGTAAGATTTGGATGAATATCTATTGATGAAGGCTGGAAATCAAATGTCTTACTTGATACTTTCTTTCCATTTTGTATAACAAGAGCCTGCATCAATAAATTTACAGTAAGCTGTACATCATTCTTAATGCTGCTCTTTTATCCCTCAAATGAATAAAAACCTTTTTTTCCAAGCAAATAATCACTGCTAAACCATCCTTGCCCACAGCTAAATCCAATGGTTGACTGTCTAAAGATACACTTTCTCCACTAAAAACAAAATAAGCATGATATCACATTCACTTTTTAAAGTGCCTGTACAAGGAAACAAAGATAAAGCAATAGCATACCTGTATTCATTTGTTTCAGTTGATGTAGCTCTGAACGTGTCATCCATACTGATAGAGTAGAGAAGAGAATCAGAAATACAAATTTTGGAAACTTGATTGGAGTGATGCTTGCCAGACAAAGGTTCACACAAACCAGTGCTTACATCCCAGAAGTCTGTGTCAAAAGTTAAGACAAAAATAATGCGTAAGGGAAAGAGAAATGTTTTATAATGCTTATATGATGGTGATTTGAAAGTCCTACTTTGTAACTACTTTTTTGTATTTTTCATAAGTTCTAATAAAAGATATTGGAGGACATTAAAGGATAATCATAAAAGGATACAAATCTGTCCATCATAACTTGATGTGTAAATATGCTTTTTATCTTCAGAAATGGCAAGAGCAGTGATGTTTTTATTGTGACCCTTGTTTATAAAAACATATTCAATGTTAGTAGATATCTTGATGAAAACAAACTTTCTGTGTAATTGAAGTCATTTGAGTTTACCTTTAAAATCTTCTTGGGTTGACTAGGATTCTCTTTGTCTAAGTAGTTTATGTAACCAGACAATTCAATAGTTAATAAGTGATCACCGGTCCATAGACAAGCTAATTGTTGATGAAGAACATCTGTTCCAAATGTGAACTCTCTATAGAAATATCATTTATGATAAGATAATGATGTAAAAGATTTGCACAATGTAACAACTTATAACAAACTTACTGGACACAAGTATTTTCATGTACATCAAATATCTTAGCTGTTTTATCTCCTGATGCAGTGAGAATATGCTTGTTATCTGCACTCCAGCACAACTTTAAAAAACAGGAAAATTTTTGTGAGAATAGCTTCATGCTAAAGAAATGTCTTCATAACAAAGTCAAAAAACATTTGTGTAAATAAGGAGATTGTATTGGTATCATATTATTTGTTAACACTTACATCATAAACTCCTCCTTGGTGAGCTGGATTTCCAATCTCCTTGATAAGCTCACCATTTTTCCCATTGTACATGATAAGCTACAAGGCAAACCAACACTCAGCTTCTCGAAATAACATTTTAATCTTCATGCAATAACTACATTGGTGAGACTAGTTGAAATAAAATTTACCTTTCCATTACTTGATCCTGTTATGTAATTCTCGCCATTTGGAGAAAATCGTGCAACATTAACAAAGTTTGCATGATCCTTGAAACGAGAAAAACATAAACAGTTCAACAACAAAAAATAAAACATGCTTATTTCTTTGGCTGCCAAACCTTATTTGTAACTTTGAGTTTAAAAGGAGGTCCTTCATAAAAGTTAGAGCTGAAATCCTCACTTGAAGTAACAACACGGAACGGTCGTGTGATCTTGTAGTCAACAGTATTAACCAGTTTACCATGACCAGACATATCACCAACACTTGATCCAGTATCAACAAGAAATGCATGAGCATATCTAAAAATACACTATTTAGCAACATACATCTTGATAACTATACTCTGTAAGTAAGCAAATCAATTTATTCAACTTACTTTCCTCTACCATCGCCACCAACAACTAGTCTTTTACTATCTGGCGACCAGGCAATGTCTTTATTGCACCACCAATGGGTTGGTACTCAGATTTCAAAGGATGTTCCTTTTGTGTTGTATCCCAAATCCTTATTTTTCCAGATGCATCTGTAAAAAGAACAAATTTTTAAATTATCAAGTGTCTACATACCTAGTGTGAGTTTCTGGTGATTGGTTGTACCACCAAAAACACTATTTCATTCCATTATTAAAATTGACAATATCTACAAGGTATATTTACCTCCAGAACAAATGTAGAAACCACTTGGTGCATAGCATGCTGAAAACACCTCATAAGCATGCTCTGTGTAAACATCAGCTATCATTGGATTCTAAGATAATACAAACCAGCATTAAAATGATAAATGGCACCTGTCATAAGTAAGAGAAGCAGACATTGGTTTGGTTATCTTTATGATAATCACGAATAATCATATCTAATCTACCACTTAATCCTACAGGTCATTTCATAAGAATATCTCCATATATCCATTGTCTAAAGTATTTAGCTTCCCTGGATCTTACAAATTTTTAAAAAACAAAGATGTTAAGTTCTTCAAAAGACCAATGAAAAATATACGAAAACAAACGTGTTAAATACCTCAATATCCCTAATTATGACTCCTTTATTATGAGAATACAACATGTATTTTCCCTTTGGATCCCCTTTAAGGCAGAGTCTTCTGCCTCTTGTAGTACGAGGCAATGCAGCAAATGTGTACTCTAAAAAAGAATGTGGAACTTTTCAACATCGAACATTGTTTAAATCTATGACCTTCCTCGAGACTACCATAAACAACAGACAGAAATTGTCAAATTCATTGGTATTGTATGTTTGACATCTGGAGCTTCTGATTTCTACTGGAGCGTAATGTACACAAAAATGACGCGACATGATGGGAAAGCAAGTCTTCCAAACCATAATTACTTACTCAAAGAATACTCCATTCCTTTATAAAAATTTATCTTGTAAAAGTAAAGTAAATATACGTGGACCTCTTTATGTCGAAGCGAGGCGTGTAAACCTACGGAAAATGGTAACTTCACTTCCGTTGAATGATGTCATTAAATGAAACTTATCTGCATTGCATCGCCATATTTGGAATTTTCTAAAAGAAAATTTGTTTGACTTTTCTTTTTTTCTTGCACTAGTATCACGCACGAGTCTCCACAAATTTATGTATATTACTTAAGGGTTTGTTTTTTTTTATTTTAGGACGAAAGTATTCGTGAACGTTTTCTAAAAATGGTAAAAAATCAATATTGAAGGCGAGAAAAAATGTTTGCGTGATCAAAGAATTCTTTATTTACTATTTTAGTTGTAAATCTACAAATTATGAATTTTAATTACCTATTTAGCAATATTTGTTTATCATCAAACGGACACGCTACGAACATGTATTGTGAATTTCAAATTCAGAATTTGTGATACAATATATGTTCAGGTCCGGAATACCAAAATTTGATTACATACATAATTTTCTCATACTAACAAATATACAAAACAAGCCAATAATTATATCAAATATTACAATTCAAAATTGTTCAAAAAATTATATCATGAATGCATTCTGCAGATAGTGACGTCACATCAAGAGAAATGCTCTTCGAGTCGATTTTAAGGCCCTTTATAAAGGATATCGGTTTCAAGTGTCACAAAGCCCTAAAAGATCAGATGTTATTTAACGATGAGACAAGAGAAAACTTGACAATAATGGGGAAAAAACTTCTCGTTAGAAATAGAACCACTTATGAGGAGGTTTAGTTTAAGGTATTTATTTTTTAAATTGAACCGTTGCTGGAATTAGAGAATTTATAGAAATCTTACAAAAAGGCATTAATAAATTTTCAAAGTTTTGGATGTTCAATGGTACCACAAAAGCGTACATGAATATACAGAAACACAATAACACTAACCTTTCCATAAGTGATCTTTGGTTTTATCAATTGAAATGTTTCGGAGAGTGGTAAAGGCAATTCAATTTCTGCAAAGGCAAGGGAAATAAAACTTTAAAAATTTGGATAAAGACATCTAGGAATTGCTTTGGAATTATTTTTTATACCTGAAGTAGCGTCGGCAATTAAAGTTTCAATTTCATTTTTCACGATATTTTTTATTTTATTTTCTTTTCCCTAAATAATAAACAAGATTTAAAAAAGAGACAGAGCAGTAAGCGAAGATTTTATAAAAACTAAAACAGCTCGTACCAGAAATGTGGACAAACTTGAAATTTTCATTACTCGAGAAACAATTCTACATAAATGCAAAGAAACGACATGCTTTCTCAGTTCACTTTGTTTAAACTCGTGCACCTAGGAAATTCATTTAAAGGTCGTACTTTAAATCTGAAATTTTCGTATTCAATTTCGCTCCACTAAGTCTTAGGACAGCCGTTGCAGATACGTTCTTAAAAAAGGTCAAGTATACTGTGATAAAACCTCATTGCACAACTGTTTGCAAACATAGCATCCTTACCGTTAAAACATAGATATGTTTAATCACATTTAACGGTAACACAGCAGTGATTTTTGACTTTAATCTAAGGTTAAAATGAAGACCGGAAGAACTGATGATGATATGGGGAGGTGATCTTGCTGAGAACTGGATTGTTAAGTTCTACAAGGAATGAAACTTTTTGTTCAACTATAGAAAAATAACATGATTTATTTGCTTGACTTTGGATAAGAGTGATAATCTGCGTAACGCATATACTAATTTGAAAGGATTATAAGAATTTGACTGATATATCCGCTGGTAAAGGTTTTTCAAGAGAATTATTATTTGTATTAAACCAATCAAAATAATTCAATTTCACGGAGAGTGAAACAAATAAGCATGAGTTAAATGACGTGACCTCAGCCGTAACTTACCGTTCCTACACTGATGGCTGCCCTAGATTTGAGATGTGACTTTGATGTCTGAAAGAAACAGTGAAATGAGTTAACATTAAAATTCCTTTTCGACAGTTTCAAGATGAAACACTTGACCCATTTGATCCTGCATTGCTTATCTCGTTAATTCTTACTTGAAAGCTCATCATCCCTTGATTAAAATATGCGTGACTGGCGCTGTTGATCATGTCATCCATGATGGTGACGTATACCATCCTGTCACGTGACCCATCGAAAGGCAAAGATGCCGGCTGATGTAGCCAAGAATTGCTTCCGTTGGAAGTAGAGAACTCACCCTACAAATTAAGTGACGTATTGTTTTCTTATTCCAATAAACTCATTACAAACAAGGAAATACTCTTAGAGAGACAGTTGTTGAAAGGTAGATAAGTACAATAACTCAAGATTAACATTTTTTTGTTAATATTTCTAGATTCGTCTAGAATGGACCTCTACTATGTTTCAATCAATAGCTTAGGATAATCCACAATTAAACAGCGAAAACATTAGTAATGGTAAATACAATACATTTGATGGCGTGGGAAATACCTTAAGAAAAATATCAACACTGTCCACATTATAATCAAGTGCTTTGACAACAGAATAATCCAACGTCACTAAGTTCTTGGGATCAGTTGTTTTTACTAGAAGTGACAATTCAATTATATAACTGAAAATTCAAGACACGACCATTTGTATTGTACAACATCACAGCTACACATTACATACTTGGAAATTTTAACAACAGATCATTCAGCTCTTGTGTTATTGACTTCTTCCCTTCACTACACGTCTGAAAATGGTGATAAATAGCTACATGTAGTCGAAGTGAGAAATTTGTATTTGTAACAAGACTAAACAAGCAATTCTCCCATATTTCCCACAATGCTGGGCGGCATTACAAGGATTACAACGCAACATTTAATCAGTTTTACTTACAATTTCGGGAATTTTTTTTCGAATGAACTTGTTTATCGTGGATTGAAACATCGAGGGGAAACTTTATAAGAAACAATAAAAGAATGGTTTTCCAAATCTTCGTAAAACATACAAAATTCTGAGAATTTGAAAAGTGAAACATTTGAATGTTATCAATTCGAGGAAAAAATTCTTTATACTTTGTATTGAAATACCTAACTACCTGTTTTTTTGGCCAAATTTGGTATCGACTCCATCGAGTGTTGAAACGCAAGTTATGTTTCCTACAGTTAGGCGACCACTGTTTACTTCTATAAAAAAAAACACGAAAGAAATACGTGTTGTTTAGGAAAACATTTTAAAACCTTTCCAATCAATAGTCTTCAATTACCGATATCAGTTAGTAAGGTGATGCTAAGATCTTTAACAGCAACATCAAACGTTCCAGAATCAATTTCTCTTCGGAAAATAAAGCAGTAAATAGATTTAAAACAAAGCAACGTTCATATTGTCACAACTCTATACATGCATGAAATGTCAACTACAATTATATGTGACATAATTAGTTAAGAAAAATCTCGAATTTGACATACATTTTCCCTAAAGCCATGTTCCACATTCCTTTGACATTGAAGCGAATTTTGTTAAGTCGCGCGTGCATCCCACCGTCGGGGAACGGAAGAAGAGAGCTTGACGAGATATTAACACCGTATATTTTCATGCTAAAGAAATTCCCAAGAAAGATCAATATTTATTCGCTAAGAAATTCACAGAGCATAGTTGTTGCACACAACATGCTTTTATTTTTTTAATTTGACTTAGAGCTTACTTTTTAAATGCAACGCTCAAAAACAGGAACGCGACGTTCTTGCTCACATTCGGCAAAGATTGATTTTCCAATTTCTTTACTGCGATATCCATCGCATTCTTCATTGCTATAAAGAGAATGTTAAACGTTGAGCAAGTACAATATAGCCACAATTTCATACAACCTTCCTAAACAACAAGTTATCACGCAACAATCAAATATAAAAAATCGCTAAAAGAGTTTTGTTATTCAAGAGAAAATTCTATGATAAGCTAAACTATGTCCAATTAATTCACTAATCTCAAATTTTGAATAGCGTGCGTCTTAATTAGCTTTCTTTGGCTGGTATAACTACCAACACACAAAAGGTATTTACACTGAAAATGAAGCAAACAGTATCTTTTAACGATGGGACATGATTTAAAAACGCAAATGCTGAACAAAATAGAAATTTGTACAGTTGTAGCACATTGGGAAACGCGTGCACAGACTAGATGAAGCATAAAGATAGCTATAGGTGAGTACAACAGGCACTTGCTGTTTAAGCAGTTAGATAGGTCATTACTAAAAGCCAGAAATGTTAACAATGATATTTAAGAGAAAGGTAAATCTATTGCGACGTGAGAAGACTGAAAAATAAGAGTCGCTTTTCATCACAGGCCATGCATTTTTTATCAAAATTCTAGTGCAAACGTTTACGACGTCTTCTATATTAAAAATAATTGTTCCGCGAGCATTGAACACACCATGCAGTACATAGAGGTAATAGATAGCGACTGCGTTAAACGCTCAATAACGCGTTGCATTTAAATTAAGACATCGGGAGCGTTGAAAGTGCGTAAACGTATCCTTTTGCAATTCACAAACAAATCGATACGAAAATTGCCAATATTATCTGTGTTTGCTTAGATCACTGTTCATCACAAACTGTTAATTGTTGTCAGATACGTCAATTATAAGCCACACACGAAGCAAGCGCCGTATATAATTACAGATAAAGTGCACGCTCTACCTTGAAATTTTTCAAGATTTCGTATAAAACTTTTAACACTCAAACGTTAAGGGGGAAAATACGAGAGATCATTCAGTAACTCTTGCGTTTGTATCAATTTATGAGTTTTAACTCGTTAGAGGTTTATTGAATTCTCAATGAACTTGACGGATAAAAAATTGGAAAAAATTAGAAAAAATTAGAAAAAATATCGAAGAGTGTATAAGAACATATACGTAAAATCGAAGAAGATTAAATGTATATCTACGTCGACTACATGACCATAGTAATTGAATACATTTAACAAAGAACGTTGTACCAATCTTTATTTGCCACAACATACCGTAATCAAGCCCTTTTTGAGTGATCCTCAAGCGAACTGCTGGTTCATGGTTCGCCATTGACAATGAAGCAAGATACAAGACAAGGAACACGTATAGAATAGTCATTTTTTCGAAGGAGGTAGCCACGTTTAAGATTCTTCGCTCATAAATGTAGTTTTTGAACCTGACTGGAGATAACTACGTCTTTTATGCTGTTGGGAAGTTGCAACATGATACCATCGCACCCCCCTGCTGAAACAACTCAAAGGAACCATGGCAGGAAACACGACAAGTTAGCACGTATCGTTGACAGAATACTTAAAGTATTTAATGACTTGTTTTCCTATCTTTTGTTGATAAAAATGCGATTTGCTGCACATTTTTGAGATCGCGCGTTTGCAAAAACCGTTTAGTCGAAAAACATGTAGAGAAACGCAAATATCAAAGAAACAATTGTTTCATGGATATTTTTTTGTGAAATTTCTTTCTCAGCATCATAAACATAGTAAGCAATGATCCCCATCCTGATGGTGGAATTTCAAAAACGTACAACATCCCGGCTTGCGTTCTCATTGTACGGAGAAAGAAAGATTGAATGTAATGCAATATAATGAAGCTACTTCAAGTGAAAAGTAAAAATAAAATAATATGTATTGTCTAAACTATACAATTGTTTCAGCTAATGTATTGCACGCGCGGCGTTATTGACACGTGGTAAAAAACCACGTGATACGTCGTTTTGACTACATCGACTTGAATGTAAAAGTAACTTTTTTTCTAGAATGCAACAATAAGCGCTAAATGTTTTCTCAGTTTCATGACTTTTAAACAGTTTTTGCTGCATTGTTGTTTGATAAACTAAGTAGTATCTAGGAAGTAAAATAACGAATACACTAGAATATAGCGTTTGACCTGACTGACAAAGGAGACCCAATTGGATAAGAGACTCCCGGAGTGAAAAGTGGATTACAGGGGATAATAAGCGTGTAAAACTTCGGCGTGACAAGTGAATTGCTAGGAAAAATAGCCGGAAGAAAATTTATCCCTCCTTAAAGAACAGTGCAGATGCCATATAAAACGTATTGTTTTGGGGGTGAAGTTTAGTGAAAATAAATTTTAGAGTGATGATTCACCAAATGACTTTGTTGTTTTGTTTGGGTATTGGGGCCCCCAAGGACTGTTTTAAGCAAATCTAAGTAGCTTTGATAACATTGATTTAAGTCTGATGCATCGAAAGTTAATTATGATTTACGATAATTAGCTATGAACGTTTGACAGTAACTTCTTCTCACCGGCCTTGTCTTGCCACTGTTATCCATTAATTAATGAAATATTTCTAAGGTTGACCAGCGACGATGTTCACAATGAAGCTCATATTGATAAAAACTACAACGAGCTGTATTTCCATCGCAGACATTAAACACTAGAGAAACAACTGTGTTTGTTTGACACAATGCAAAAGGCATAATGACTTTAGTTTCAAAACACCACAGAAACCGTGTGTTTATACAAGATGTGAATGCATTAGCAGGGAGAAACTTGGACAAAAAGCAAAATCAATAAATCAATTGGTGGTCAAGTTGCCCGTCAGCCTGACGACTTTAGAACAATTCATCGCGCTATGTAATTGTTCAACACTAGGGTGGCTGTTGCTTTCAAAACATACTTGTAAAGTAATGACAAATTGAATGGGAGGCGTGCGTGCATCACCTCAACGTAGGCTTTGATCAATCTCAACATTCTGAAAGACTTAATTCATCGCCATCTCTACAACCACTTCTATACAAAGAAATTTTTTTTCGTGCATCAGTCAAAACAAATGAGTAAAACGCTCATAACGTCATGCTTGCTTATTGACTTCTTATGTTGAAGATGGGCAGAAGTGTGAGAGTTTGATGTTGATTTAGGAGTTAAGAGAATCTGATGGACAATATAGGACGGACACAAATCACAGAAGGTCTCACTAAAAGAGTCAGCTGTGTTCACGCACATGAATCATACTTGATCAAATATTTTCTCTCGACTCTTAAGTGTAAACAAGTTTCTAGACTGTTGTAAAGCAAACAATACTGATTAATCTAAATTAAAGAGGCTACATACAAAGGAAATGAAAGTCTAGATACACGAAGAAGAATAACTTACGTTTTAACTCCGGAAAAAATGTCAATTGATTAAGCAGCAGTGTATATCCGATTCGCATTTCGCACACGCTGAAAGTTGATACAAGAAAACAATTATTAAAATGGCAATGATACTTTTCCAACAATCCGATCCGATAAACATTAAAACCTTGTTAACCCCCCGATAATAAGGATTTTGCTGATCCCAAAGGATAGAATTTCGTTCACTTCGAAGAATAGAATCCTATTTATCGAAGGAGTGGAATCCTGTTAGCTAAGAGAAATGTAATCTTGTGACACAATGGGTATGAAATCTTATTAACTCCCAGGGATGGAATCTTATTAGCTCCCAGGGGTGTAGTATTGTTAACTCCCAGAGATGGAGAATTGTTAACTCTTAGGGATGGAATCGTGTTTACTACAAGGGGAATCTTGTTAAACGTAATTCGAAAAAATCTGGGATATTTTGAGAATACGAAGAATCCATAAAGAAAAACAGAGTAGGTCATACTTAAAAAGGGACAACACTGGTGAAAAATAAACAAATCTCTCCAACCTTGCCATAGAGCTTCGCCTTCAACCGATTAGTTTGTAAAAATGCAGCCTTTCGTTCCTCATCTCGTTTTTTCTTCACTTCAGGAAGATTTCGGTAAAACCTGCAACAAAAAATGACGCGAATAAATATGTGTCCATAATACACAAAGATCATGTTCATTTTTAGCTGTATTACAACCATAATCAGGGGGCATATTACATTCCTCTATTTAACATCATTGTATTAATGTTTAACAATATAACACACAATCAGGAACATAATAAGTTCCTCTATGTGATGAAACGACAATGACAAAAACTACTAGACGCAATCAATCATATAGTTCACACCAAACCTGTTATTTACAATGCGAATTTCTTTGCTCGTCATTGGTCTTGGTTTCTTCATTTGAAGTTGATCTGAAACAAAAAAAAGATGTATCAATATGTAAATCCTAAAATCATCACAACCAGGCAGATGTTGTGATATAAACATGGAGCCAAAATACAAACATTTCCTGACACTTCAATATCACAGTTCGCTAACTTACTCGGCGGACTAGTATCCCGAAGGTGCTTACGAAGGTGCTTACTTACAGGTAGAGCGGCGGACTAGTATCCCGAAGGTGCTTACGAAGGTGCTTACTTATAGGTAGAGCGGCGGACTAGTATCCCGAAGGTGCGAGTTCAAATCTCGTCCAAGTCACATGTTTTTCATGTGCATAATAAAAACCGTGTTAAGATTAATATATTATAACTTACTTGAGTTTTCTTGTTTGGCATTGGGCATTTCTTTCCTATTGCTCTCTTTGTTCTTTTTCACCGAGTGTCCTTTTGGTGAAACGACAACAACTCGAAGAGCATTGTCCGACTTCTGTTTCTCTAATTTTCTTTGTTCTTGTTTTTCTTTCATCTTCTTCAGGCGTTCTTGAGACCTGTCAATGAACTCTTGTTTTCTGTACATGAATGCATCCTGTAATGATAAACTGACCAAAGACAACGGTGCAACGATGTTTGTATCTGGTGTAGGTTCAGCTTTAAGTAGAAAAATATCGCTGGATATTGGTTGCCATGACACTTGCTCATCAACTAAAGGTGGTGTAGGACAGTTCACACCAATATGACGTATACGGGACGCTTTCTCCTTCTTCTTAGATGATTTGGCGCCACAACTGCACTAAATAATCAGAAAATAAGTTCAAAAATGAGTATGCAAAAATACCGATGCAATGACAGACATCAAAAGTACAACATCAAGAATACGAAAATGTTTGTCATTCGGTAAATGCAATAAAAGTCATGGCAATTTGATAAAGAGGCAAATGGCTTGATGAAGCTCATATTATTTGACACAGAGGTGGTAATTAGAGCAGTAGGTTAGGGACACAGTGGTGGTAATTTGAGCAGTAAGTTAGGGACACAGGGGTGGTAGTTAGGGTAGTAAGTTTGGTTGACTTACAGAGGAAGCAGTCTTGTTATTCATTATCTCTTTATTTCTGACATTCAGCCGCATTGGAAGAGAAATTGGAATGTCATGTTTTTTTACAGCCTCTGAACCCAATACAGCAGCTGGATTACGTGGAAGGTGACGCTTTCTATTACCGAGCGTGCCTCTCATGGGTTTTTCTGCCAGTGACGTCATGCTGGTTGAACTATCTGAAATACGTGGGCGATTTTCGCGAAGGGGAGGTTGGGACGAGATGGCATGCGAAGAAGATTGATTAGGGCACAAACTTTGTTCACTAGACGAGGTTCGTGAAATCAAACTATTGTTTTCATCATAATCACCTAAATGAAGTATAAGAATATTTGTAAGCACACTGTATAAATACAACAAATATAAACATACAAAGCTCAATATCTGAATCACGAAGGTGAAATAAAGAACACACAAATACTAACTTGAGTCTGTAGTTTGAAATTCCCGCACACGAAGTAGAAATCGCTGTAATTCAACATCACTATCTGCGCTGAAAATCGTTGCATCACTTTGATGACGACTTGAAATCTTAGATGAAGAAGATAATACTGACGATGGAGCACTTGGCGTAGACATACGTGAGTCAAGTTGCCCATCTAAAGGTTGTGTGTGACTTCGTCGTAACTTCTTGGAAGATTTACGGCCAAACACGTGTTGAAAACGTTCCCATAATTGATTCAAGTCACGATTCGTTTGCTTTTGTTTCGTCTCAAGTTTTTCATAGCGTTGCTTTTGTTCTCGTTCGTCCTCCATCATATTTTCTAAAATCATATCAGCAACCGATTTCTTTCGTTCACGATCAATTGTCCTTGAGCTCAACTGCTTTGATGTGGTTTGTGACGCCCGGTCTTTCGTGTGTTTTGAACGCTTTAATCGTTGCTCCGCCTGGTTTGTAACCATCTTTGGTTCAGCAAAAGGTACAGAAATCTTATTCCTTGGCAATAAATTATTTTCTACAGTTTCATGTTCATTTCCATTGGAATAAAAATATCTCTCGGACTGAGCAGATTTCACTGGCAGTTGAGACATAACAGGTTTGAATGTACTCCACGTCTGTGTTACTTTGGTGGCCAAACTCTTAGTTGTTATGTTCACATTTGAAAAAACATTTGAAGTATTTGTTACATTAATGGTGAAATCACCTGTCGTCACTGTTAGAGGCTTATCACTATACAATGAACATGAATCCGGTTTGTCCGTTATCTTTTTTTCAAGGTCAACAAACGCACGGGAGACTTGTTGATAAGGCTTCTCAACATCATACGTAGTACAGCTATCAAGGTACGCATCTGGTTTATTGTTATCATTCTTGGCAAATGAAAACTGCCCCATACTGTAATCGTCGGACTTAGGAGTAGACTGTCCATCAGGACCGCTCTCAATCCAATTATTACCATTGTCAATCCCACTAATTGAACTACCAGAACTATACATACCTCTAGAATAGTTTTTGTTTATATGACGTTCGTTTTCTATCTCGCTAGTGCCAGTTGTCCCATCAGATACATATATAGTACCCATGTTCACGAGCCTCGCAACTTCCTTCGGCTTCTTACCGAGTGCAAGTCGTTTACGATTTGTACTTCCAGGACCGGAGGATTGACGTACGTCATAGATCCCGATTGGTTCATTACTTTCTGACGTCAAACGTGTCAGTTTCTTTGGTCTGTATACATCATCATTAGTTGATGATGTACTCAAACCTGAATCAAAGTTGGGAGTCTGAGTACGTTGCATCAAAGATGATTTGACAAATTCGGGAATAATCAAGCTGTGTTTAACATCATAATCGGCTGATCGCATTTCTTCGTGAAATTGTTTAACGACAGCGTTTGACCAAGTAAGACTTTCCGAAGCAACGCGGTCAAATTCACTCATCTCACTAGCTTTACTACCAAGTTCAGAGGTTTTTATCGATTCACGGAGACTATGATTTATGTCAGCGTTAACTTTGGATGCTTCAGGTAAATGACTAGATAAACGAACACTGTTCTCCAAAGTACTATCAGTCATTACACTGGTAAATTGGTTCCCTTCAAGCAAACGATCAGTTTGAGTATTTTGCAGCCTCACTCTTGGTACTGTAAAGTGTGTCGTTGTTGTCTTGGTTGTACTGGCATCCTCTTCAACTTTTCTTAATCTTTCATCGCCTTTAGAGTAAAACGGGCTCATTTTTCTTTCAATGACATCTCTAGAGAGGACTTCCTGCGCATAGTCAACAGGAGTGCTATGTGCTGTGGAGCTCGAGACTAGAATTGGGACATTTTGCTTATGAAAATGAGTGTCAGAAAAGGAGGCGTTAACATTTCGCATCGAAGATCGACTCTGAACGTCTCTTTCTACATTATGAATTGACGGGACTATGGCAGAATCCAAATTCTCAACTCCCGCGACCTCTAACGGTGATTCACTGTTTTCGACGTTTGCTGGACTGAATTCATGGTATATTTTTTTTCTATCTGCAGATTCAGACTTGAGTGCAGACGACTGGCCATCATTCGTAAACGTAATATCCTGAAATAATTTTTCCTGTGTAAAATTATTGCTAACGTCTGTAACTCTTGGTATCGAGGTAACACTAACGTGATTTATTTTTGAAACATTACTTTCTGTCACAGTGGTAAACAGGTTTGACGTTTTCTCTTGAATTATACGTTCACCTGATGATTTATCTACCAATGTACCAACAGGTTTTTGTTGCAGTTCCATTTGAATTATATGTTCACCTGATCTATCCATCAATGCACCAATGGGTCTTTGTTGCACTTCCTCATGAGCAATATGTTCACCTGATCTATCCATCAATGCACCAATGGATCTTTGTTGCACTTCCTCATGAGCAATATGTTCATCTGATCTATCCATCAATGCACCAATGGATCTTTGTTGCACTTCCTCATGAGCAATATGTTCATCTGATCTATCCATCAATGCACCAATGGGTCTCTGTTGCAGTTCTTCCAATATCTTTTGAGTTGCTTTGAAGGCAGAACCGAGAATTTTTGACACTGGACTGTCAAAATTCATGTGCTGTTGATCATGAAACTTTCCCAATGGTGTTCTCGTATTTTCTGTTTCGCATATTAGCTGTGCGGCCATCGGTTCTTTCGGTTCGATTGATTTCAACGAAGCTTTAGGAGTAAGATCTGTGCCGATCATTATTGAGGATGTACTACTCAACTTGTTCTTTTCTTCCTGATTTGACGGTAGTGGTTGTAACGGCATAAATAGACTGGCACTAGTACTGTCATTTGACGATAATGATGAATCACGTGAGCTAGGTTGAAACATTGGCATCATTATACCCCAAGGAGGACCATTTCTTACTTCCAAACCATCACGACCTAACGGTTGTAATCTCTCTCGATGACTGATGTCCTCTGCTTCCTTAACATCGTGATCCTTACTGACATCATTATCAATAGTTACCACCCCCGATAGTGCAACTGAGGAATAGTGAGATGTCGAGGAATGATAGGGAGTAAGGGAAGTCGATAGAACTACTGACGTAGCAACACTACAATGATGGAAATTCGGTTGAAAAGGACTGACAGGACGGTACGTTGACGCTACATTCAAGCTGTTCCCAATGGTCAGCGGCCGTACAGGAAGGTTTTTAGCAGCTTGCCTTGAAGTATAAACGCTTAAAATTTCTCGATCGTTGTCAAAATCATTACCATTCTCTGATTGCTTATTGGTAACTTGTTCAGAATTTGCAACTTGAATGGAGGTTGATGGAGCAGATAAATAACTAGGACCTGAATCTGATGATGTGGAGTAAAATGGCTTATTCGTCGCGTTAGGAGGTGTATGTGGTTTATTCATTCCCTTTATACGATGTGATGAAAACGAGTTTATTACATTTTGTGGTGGAACTGAGCTGGGCCTGGCCATGAATTTATCTATAAAGATGTAATACACAGACATGTTTTTTGTGAGATATTGACTAGACTATTCTAAACATTTGATACAAAGAGAAAGCATCATCATTTACCTGCTTTACTCTTTACTTGGTCATCTAGTGCAAGAGGAACTGAAGTTGGTCTTTTACTGGCTTTCATATGGTTATCACTTTGGTCATTATCATTGTGTATGACATATTCTGATGATAAAAATTTGGTTTCCACGAATGGTCGATATGTAGTATTTGTTTGAGAAGGAGTTTCACTTGGCTGGGTGTTTGCCTGGTGGTTCCCAAGGATAATCTCTGAAAAAAAATGTTGCTAAGTTGTTTTTAAATGATAATTTATCCCTGTAAAAATTCTAAAAGTATCACCTTGAGTATCGTCATCATCTTCATGGATTTTCAAAGGCTTGAATTCACCTGTGTCCTCATCATTTAAGGAAAATATATGTAAGCGCTCCTCCAAATTCTGCTGACCTATGTTAACTTGGTCAAGGGTATCTTCTCTTTTCCTGTTTTCATTTGTAGTTTCTACCTCATGGAAGCAACTACGAGGACTGACAAAATCCTTCCAATTGTGTATCTGGGACTCGTCTTGGACCCTCAGGCTTATAATCTCAGTATCATCCAATGGTCCTTCCTCAATACCATCAAATGAAGCAGCATTTAATGCCATCGGCCAAACTTCAGAAGATGTACTCATTTATCTCTGTAATAATAAAAACGACTATATCAAAGGCAAAATTTACGAACTATAAAATATCTCCAGCCTCCCCATGGTCAATAGCAGGCCATTTATTTCTCGGAGATGAAAGGCAAAATTCTGAAGATTTGCTTTTATTATTTGCTTGCAAAAACTCCAAGTAACGTGTTCAAAATTTTGGCAGTTGTAAGTTTAAAAATAAAATTGTCAGGCAAATGTTCACCTGACCTGCCATACAAAAATTAAAATGTCAGGCATATTTTAATAATTTTTTTCTTCTATTTCGAGCCTTGATTGCCATTAAGCGAAAAATATATTTAAGCATTACATACCTTAAAACGTAGAGCTACAACACGAAATTGCAAAATACCTTTAATTTTTAAATTTCAACCGCGAATTCGCCATATTTAATTTTCGGGCGAGTGAACGCTGACACAGTCTAACGATGTACTTTGGCTCAGACCAAAGTCTGGCACGTGTCCAGACGGCCAGACCACTGGTCCTGACAGAAGACTCTTCTTGATCTTCTTCTTCAGTTCTTGACTAAATCATAATTACTTTTTACTGACTGATAGTTGACGGTGATATGCCTTCATGTGTCGTATGTTACGAAGAAAACTTTCACATCGTAGATGGATTATACTATTGTACAAATTGTGGAACACAGTCAGAAGTATTACTTCATAAATTCTGATATTTCATCTTGACCATAGATGACTTTCCTTTCATTTTATTGTGTATTTTGCAAAGGTATAGAAGAATGTTTGCCAACATTTCAAACTTATTTCTCAGGATGTTCGAGAGGAGATACATGACATGGACCAGGAAATGATAGATGGCAGACTGGAAATCAAAAAGAAGTCAGTCAAAGTTTCTGACAGAAGTAAGTCAAATGCCATGATCGTATGTATAATGTGGAAATTATTTAAATTTGAGTTTATTATATTTTAAAGTACAAAAGGATTTGGGAAAGCCATGGTTTTCGCTTGAAGGTTATCAAGTGCTATTAAAAGCACAAATAAATTTTTTGATGAATCTTGGCGTAGATTCCAATTTGAAGGTAATGATGAAAACACATTCAACATAGTAAAAAATAAAAGAATTATATTATTTACCTCAATTGCCATTATTTTGCACTCAGGATATAGTTGGACAAATGTGGTTTTCTTTTGTGGAAAAGTCAACCAATGCTTTTGGCACACATAATAAAGGAGACTCTTCTCACCACATTAGAGCACGAGATAACATAAAGGATTTTGTTCCAATAAACTCAATTCCACGTAAGCTACGCTTTGGAAAACAGTGTGATGAGGAAGCATTAGAGCTAAGTTCAGAGATAGCTCGTGAAGAATTGTATGAAGGTATTGAAAGAAACATAAAGATGTTTTAGTGATTAAAAATATTTCGAACAATAGTGTACTTGTATTAATTTCTTCATGTGAATGGTCATTCAACAGCAAGAATTTTTGAGGACAAAGAAAATGATGTTGATAATGAGAGTCACATTGGATCAGTTGATCAAAGTCGCTATTATCCCTCTACTCATGACTATAGAGTGATGACAGTACAGCATACAATGGTATTTTGTTTCCTTGGATTGCAATGGTTACAGGAACCTATATGTTTGTCAGATTTAATAAGGTAAAATTATTTGTTAATCCCTTTATAAAAGTTTCAGTACCAATACAATTTGTTTCATACCTGGATTGATTGTAAAACAATGACCTTCATAACACCATGAGCTCATTTAATACATCTTCAAATGTAATTGAACCATCTAAAGCCTGAGAAGCCATGACAAGAAGTCAACCAATTGATGAAAAAATCCCAACAATAACATTTTCATGTTTTTCTACTCCACATTTAGATGGGCAATTGAGAATGAGTTTCCATATTTCAATGCAACTGCCTATTTCCCGGACTACATGAAGTTGTCTCATTGGGATTCCATCATGTTTACAAGATCAACAATGCCAAACAAGTCACATCTTGAAAATCTTGCAGAAAAATTAAGGGTGTATATCAATTTACCAAAAATACCTAAGCATCCATTCAACATCTATGTTGCACGCTATGCATTAGATCTGCAACTTACACGTAAGATGAACCATTACTATCCATGGTAGAGCATCTCTACATAAATATTACTTTAGGTCATATATAATTCTTCTATATTTAGCATTGATTCATCGCCATGTGTGTAAAGTTGTACAAATGATTGATAAGTATTTGGAAACCATAGATGAAATCATTCATTATGATAACAGTGCAATGGCATGCCTCATTATATCCCTGAGATTAATCTATGGCTTGGATGATGACACTGAATGGTAGGTGGATATTGTAGGGACTCAACTTTGTGTTATTGTATGTGCCCAAATGTACTCAACTTTGTCATAATGTATGTGCCCAAATGTACTCAACTTTGTCATAATGTATGTACCCAAATGTACTCAACTTTGTCATAATGTATGTACCCAACTTTGTCATAATGTATGTACCCAAATGTACTCAACTTTGTCATAATGTATGTACCCAAATGTACTCAACTTTGTGTTATTGTATGTACCCAAATGTGTACTCAACTTTGTGTTCTTGTACATATCCAAATGTACTCATATGAATTCTCTCAACTATAACAATGAAGAGCATTTAGTTCTTTTCACTACTCTACCTAGTGAAGGAAAAGATCTTTTCATTTTTTTTTATGTAAGTCTGGATGCCATACAGGATTAAAAACAATCAGTGAAATTAAACCAGCTTGCAATCTGCTGTATTTTAGTGAACTGTCAAAAGAAGCAACTGAAATTGAGAACGGTGAATTGTACTTTCCTTTATGGAATGATGTCATTGGAAAGATCTGCTTCAGTCATCGTCAGTTAGTTGAACGAGGATTTCCCAGGAACAAGGACGATCTACGCATGCTTAAAGACGCTCGTAACTATGGCGAATTTTGCCGTGAAAAATTGTTTGGATCATGGAAAGCAGGTACAACAGTGCATCCATGCAAACGACATCTTAAAGGAGGAAGGGGTTTAAACCTGCAAAAACAGGAGGATTATGGAAAACTGTTCGACAAACTCTTACATGAAAAAGAAAATACAGAGAAGAGTCCTACTAGCTTTCCACTTTTGTCCTGCATCACCACAACTACACCCACACCCAAGAAAGGATTGCGTCTTATCGACATGCAACGATTTTACCAAAGACAAAAGGAAAATAAAGGAACAGTGGGCCCTTTGAGGAATAAATATTCGTTGTACAAAATTTCTTTGAGAGATACATATTGTTTAAACTATTGGCAGGACTTGCAACTACCCAAATCACTAAAACAACTTGTGGAAGTGTGTTCAAAACTGATATTTCTTGAGCCCGCGTTGCTCGCGTTTCAAATGAGGAAATTTGAAAATGAGTTTTTTAATATTTGGGCATAACTATAACACATCGTTCGCATCATGTTGTCATAGATTGAGACTTGCCTTTCTTTTTTGGCGGTTCTTCATTTTCTTTTCCCGTATCCTAAAGTAAGCAAGACAACTTGTCAGTGGGGTAGCCATCCCGTAAGATTGTTCATCTTATGAAATTATTTTGGTGTTCACTTACTGACAAAACAATAGATTTCTAAAGAAATTTCTTGATGTTAACGACGAAAAATTTGCATAGCATGATCAAATTTGCGGGCTCGCTACACCACCGCAACTTGTGTGTAAATATTAAGAATAATCAAACGTGTGAAATAAGAGAAATTGTGTGTAAATACAAACGATACGAAAACGTGCGTGTGTAAATATCAAGAATAATCAAACGTGTGAAATAAGAGAAATTGAGTATGAATATTTAAAACAAGAATAAAACTTGTGCAACAAAAAAGTTTGTAAGTACTTTTATAAAAAATAACAATTAAATTATATTAGCAATAACTATAGCGACTCAACTGTGGTTGTAGCTATTATTTAATAGTGTTGGTCACGTGAGTACCTCTTCTTCCTCGTCAGTTGATTCCTCCCTTAATGCAGCGTCAAGTGTCGCTCCATTAATTCTAAAATCTCTTGCAGTGCTTCTCTTGAAATGATCCATTAAATTTACCTGTATTCATTATAAAAAAAACAACAACAACAGACTCTATTCAAAGAAAGAATTTTCACGGGTGTGGGTAAAAATGTTTGGACATTGGATGGTCGTTACCATGCCTAAAAATAATTTTTTCTTCCAGACAGCAGGCAATCTTACGAAAGCAACTTCCAGTGAAATTCAATTCATTTGTTTCTAATTTCAAAAAATTGCCTGCAATGTCAAAAAAATTCCCGTTTCCATCTTGGCGACTTACTCAAGCTTTGGTCCTTAACGTCGTCACTTGCTTCAATTGCTTAAAATGTTCAAAAAATTCACGAGAATAATTACTAACGATGTGCATTTTTTTACCTTAGATTTTTTTGACAGTTGAATAAGATAACGTTCGTATTGTTCCAGGGAGTAGATAAGATTTGGCACTGACCGCATTTCTTTTAACACTCTACCCTAAATAATGTATTTATATTTTAACTTATATATACATCATCTTATAGAATTTATTACAAAAAAAACAGAAAAATGAGCTGCAGCTAAAATCGGACCTGGATATTCTTTGGTAGGAGGGTTTCTTACAACGAAATGCATACTACATGAATTTACGTAATAAATTGGACGGCTGTCTCTATGCGATCAAAAGAAGCCCATTGAATCAGAAAAGTGTACTGTTTAATCGCAAAATTACTCGAGAAATGAAGTTACTTTCTAGATTGAATCATGAAAATACTATCCAGTTAGTCGTTGCCATGAGTCATGACCATGAACTTGGAGAGTTAGTGGAGTTAGTGTCACAGAGCGAGCTCTGAAGTTGGTGCTTGTAGATGCGATGAGCAAATTTTAAATCGTTTATTTTTGGCATTCTCTTTGTCTTTTTTAACTCGTCAACACTCTGCTACAACACTCGTAATATCCGCGACAACGTTAGAAATGTTTTTGTTTTCTTCTATAACTTTGTATCTGCATATACATTGCATATATATTGTCGGAAAATGGATTTATTCACTTTTACAACGAATTTTGTAATTTTATCTAGTATTTTTGACAAGTGTGCTTATCGTCGGAAAAAAGAATTGTTTCGTGTTTTACATTTATGTTTGACGATAAAAAGCGTCAAGACAAAATCATACCTTTGTTATGCTTCCTGTTCTATTTTTATCTTTTCCGTTCCTTTCCTGTTCAGTTGCTTGAACGTACGTCAAAAATGCGTACACATGAGACGACAGCTGAAGACCAGAACACTTGACCTAAATAAAAGAATGCACGATTACAGACAGTTAAATATCAGATTGACAAAGTTATATGAGTGCCAGTACCAATTTCTCAAAAGATGGAGTAACGCGACCGGCTTTTTGATTGTATATGTATAAATACTATAAAAAAAACATGAATAAGAACTAAGACATTAGAATGCATTAATATAGTTCCAAACATTCGACTTTAAACTTACGTATTTTGTTAGATTACCAAGAACAGTATAAAACTTAGTTAGGGTCTAAAATTAAGAAACAGAAAGTGTAAGTACAAACTTTCAAAATCCACGTACGTACGTTTTGAGCTTTTTCTGTTCCTTTGCTGCCAACTACTGATTTGCTTATCGTGAATTCTTCTTAAAACTATACTTGAAATATTACATCAAATAACGCATATAAATCGATACTTGCCTTTAGTAAGAGTTCTGATAAAGGTCCTGTTGCTATAGCAGACTGAACAAGCTCGCGAAACACGTGTATCATACTTATCAATCGATCACAAATGGATCTTTCATCATTATCAGTGGGCATTGAGGGACTTATATCATCGTCCAGAACTAAAGAATGTAATATACATATTTATACATGTATAACACAAATAGATCAATTTGCTTTTCATTTAAAGATATCGTAATTAATTTTGTGTTTTGTTTAATAGGTGCATGCAATATCTTTATGCAGACCTTCTTCATTTTCTACTATATCTTTCGTTTTCTCAGCTTTCATTTTTGTAACGAACCAATCAATTTCTTCGAGTTGAAGATCTACCTCACCGAGCAATATTGTCTTTGGCAAAGTAAATAATTTCATTTTGAGCATGACTTTCAAAATGTGAGTTTAACAATACAGAGCAAGAAATACATACCAAGATGGCAGGAGCAGTTTTTAGATTGACTATGGTAAAATACGAATTAGCATTCAATTCAATATCCTATATAAAAAAAATTTCCTGGATAAGTGTACGTCACGGATTGCTAACAAGGTTAAATATGGAGCGAAAAGAATGAAAATGACATAGTTTCTCAAAATGACAAACTGTTTATCCAAATATATTCCATTTACACATATACTTCGTCAATGTCGCCAAGTTGTTTATGGATGTCAACAGAAATTTCTTTTACCTATGAAAAGATTGTTACATGTGTATAATCATTAATACAAAATGCGTAATTTTTCATCAATGATATGAAGGATAACACAAGAATCAATAACATTAGAACAGGTTTAATGTTAATTTCAAACGAGCTGTTTTTCAGAGTCCACTCAGAATTTTCTTTTCTAAATTGTGTGCGTTAACATTATATTCACACTTCAATTTTTGCAGTCAAATCTACTACATTGAATGCGACTGGGTGACAAAAATGAAAGTTCAAAAATAGCCTCCTTTAATTAACATACAGTACTTACGCATGTCAGCTTGCTCTTGCATTTGGAAGTCAAAGTGAGTAAAAACGACACAAAACTTTTGCAAACGGTGATGTCATCTGTGGATATGAAAGGATAAAAAGGTAACAACAACGTTTCATGTCATGATGCAAACGGTGATGTCATCTGTGGATGGCAAAGGATAAAAAGGTAACAACAAAGTTTCATGTGATGACGGATGATAACAATGACGAAAACAACAACACAAACATCCTTACCAGTATTATGTTCTAAGCAGATTCTCTTTATCCATGACTGAACAAGGTAAATCTTCAGAAAAAACCCAAACTTCAGACAAGGACAAGTAACAGGATACATAGATTCAAAATATTAACATCATAAGACCTGATCAGCGTCTTCTTTTAAGCATCTCGTTAACAAAGCAATAATGTTCATCATATGTGGAATATCTTTGAAGGTCATCATATCATTAGGAGATGCCAATGTTGTCACAACAAATCTCTATAATATATAGACAAACATATGTATGCAATACATTCACGCATCTATCCATGACACCACACATATATATATAAATATATGTAAAAAAGTAAAAGATCCTCCGGACTGTATAAATAGATAGCTTCCTCATTCTGATGAAGGCTCGAAGCAACAAGTCGAAAGCTCAATAAAATCATTTTATACAATCCGAAGAATTTTTTATTTTTATACATTAAATATGCCTGGATTACCAATCTTTAAACTTATATAAATATATGTATACACAAACAAAGTTTTGATAACGATAAAGCTTTGCTAACATTTATGTATTTTAGCCATACTTAAGGTAAAGTAAGACGCAGTAAATTTAGTAAATATAAGTTGTAGACCCCTAAAGTTTCAATTTCGTGGCACCGTCCCTGATGCACATATTTATACATACACAAACATATGCATACAATGCATTCACCCATCTATCCATTACACTGTGCATACTTAATCACTTACATAGATAAAGGAGCATAAGATTTGAATTAGGAAACAACTGAGAATTGTAAACGATTGCAAAAAGTAACCTGAAATTTCTTAATATATTTGTAGATAAGTTGATTTTCATCGCAGACGTCTTCTGTCTCGTTGTTACCTCGATCTGAAGGTAGAGAATTATTTTTCTAGATATTTGTCCGGCTAACGTGCTTTATAATGAAGAAACGAAAAAATAAATATATGAAATGCGATCACCTAAAGCCAAAAGAAATTTTTGTATCTTCGCTGGATATTTATTCCCGAATATGTTCATCACAAGAAAGACACCATTTAAACATTGGTTGATAATCTAGTCGTAAAGACAATAACTTAGTTAAGTGTACCACATCCCTCAACAGGAATATAGCTATGTAGCACTTTTATATTTATGTCATTGTACAAACACTAACTTTACTGTCTTTCTTTATTATTGAGCTCTCTCCATCAACCATTTTAAAAAGAACTCTAAATATTAATAAAATTATCCAAAATTTGTTTTAAATGCCTTCTTTCCCAGTAGTTTGGAAGTTACCTACCTAGCAATTCTTGTACTTTGACGACAGATGTGATTATCGTTTGTCCCTTTAACTCCATCACAGCTTCCTTTATCGTTGATCTTTGTTTAATGAACACAAATAGACAAATGTATTCCTAATCTGTTGTACATACACTTTGAATACACCTTACCTGTGTTAGTTTTTGTTGTGTAACACTTAGCACGTACTGAACAAACTCGCCAGAATTACGAAGTACATCCAAACTGGTTTGATGACTGGGAAGACCATCACTGCAAAATGTTTTAGTTACATCACATTTCTAAGATGTGTACCTCCTAACTATTACTTATCTCAATTTGTATAACAGAACACCACAGAAATGACTGCAGTAACCACACAACACATGCTATTGTTCATCTCACTTATATAACAGAACACCACATGGCTGAATACAGTGACCCCCACCCCCAGGTTAATTGTTCACCTCACTTTATATAACAGAACACCACATGGCTGAATACAGTGACCACCACTCCCCAGGTTAATTGCTCACCTCACTTTATATAACAGAACACCACATGGCTGAATACAGTGACCACCACCCCAGGTTAATTGCTCACCTCCCTTTATATAACAGAACACCACATGGCTGAATACAGTGACCACCCCCAGGTTAATTGCTCACCTACCTTTATATAACAGAACACCACATGGCTGAATACAGTGACCACCCCCCAGGTTAGTTGTTCACCTCACTTTATATAACAGAACACCACATGGCTGAATACAGTGACCACCACCCCAGGTTAATTGCTCACCTCCCTTTATATAACAGAACACCACATGGCTGAATACAGTGACCACCACCCCCAGGTTAATTGCTCACCTACCTTTATATAACAGAACACCACATGGCTGAATACAGTGACCACCCCCAGGTTAGTTGTTCACCTCACTTTATATAACAGAACACCACATGGCTGAATACAGTGACCCCCACCCCAGGTTAATTGTTCACCTCACTTTATATAACAGAACACCACATTTGAAAGAATGTTATATGCAGTGCGGTGTTTGAAATTAAATGAAGATATGATCTTCGCACTTTGCTGGACAATTTAAGCAATTGTCTCATGAACCTGAAAAATACAGGTGACTCAACGCATCACGTTGCTGAATACAGTGACCCCCACCCCCAGGTTAATTGTTCACCTCCCTTTATATAACACAACACCACATCATCGAATACAGTAAACACCCCCCTGGCTATTGCATACTACAGTAATACACTTTATACAACAGAACATCAAAGAACTGACTACAGTAACCGCATGAATTGTCATTACCTAAACAATGCCTCAAGGATGATGGTGATTGCACCAAGCGATAGCATACTTCTAGCAATCTGTTTGGATGATGACTGCCTGGACTTTTTAACTGAAAAATTAAATTTCAAAAATTGTAACTTAATTGTGGGAGCTGTATAAATGTTTAACGACACTTTAATGACACTTTATATACATACCCGACTGACTTGATGTTATCCCTTTCAAAACGTTAGACAGTTTACAATATTTATTGAATAATTCCAAAACCAATTCACAAGCCTCCATACTGAAAAACATGAGCCTTCATTACAAAAGATTTGTAGGAAAAATTGTGGATTCTGTGCCACATAATACGACACGATTGCATTAAAAACGATGTACGAACCTACATTCCCCCAAGATGAAAGAATGTTCCATTAAAACCTATAATAAAAAAGACAAGAATTTCAAAAGCACAATGATATTGATTCAATAATGATATTGATTCAACAATGATATTGATTCAACAATGATATTGATTCAAGAATGATATTGATTCAATAATGATATTGATTCAACAATGATATTGATTCAACAATGATATTGATTCAACAATGATATTGATTCAACAATGATATTGATTCAATAATGATATTGATTCAACAATGATATTGATTCAACAATGATATTGATTCAACAATGATATTGATTCAACAATGATATTGATTCAGCAATGATATTGATTCAACAGTGATATTGATTCAACAGTGATATTGATTCAACAGTGATATTGATTCAACAGTGATATTGATTCAACAATGATATTGATTCAATAATGATATTGATTCAACAGTGATATTGATTCAACAGTGATATTGATTCAACAATGATATTGATTCAACAGTGATATTGATTCAGCAATGATATTGATTCAACAATGATATTGATTCAACAATGATATTGATTCAACAGTGATATTGATTCAGCAATGATATTGATTCAACAGTGATATTGATTCAGCAATGATATTGATTCAGCAATGATATTGATTCAACAGTGATATTGATTCAACAATGATATTGATTCAACAATGATATTGATTCAGCAATGATATTGATTCAACAATGATATTGATTCAATAATGATATTGATTCAACAATGATATTGATTCAACAATGATATTGATTCAACAATGATATTGATTCAACAATGATATTGATTCAACAATGATATTGATTCAACAATGATATTGATTCAATAATGATATTGATTCAACAATGATATTGATTCACAAAACTTGGGCTTACCTCAAGGACTCCAAGAACAATACAGGCAAAAATATTGTTTTTTACGCCAACACCATTCGTCATGGAGTAATCTGCTAATTTATCCTGGAAGAAATATCATATGAATGCATCACATCAAGAATATATATCGAAATACGTAAAGATAAAAAACATCTACGTATCCAAGGATTGTGCAAATATTCAAACAAGCACTGCCAAATTGTAATTTGAATTCAACATAATATATTTCTCTATTAACTCGCATTTAATTTTGATTCATGTATCATAAGGAGAGAAGAATCCATTGACTTCATGCGAAATAAAAAAATCATGTTCATTGCGTTAATTTTTCGCTACTTATCATTACATTGAAGCTTTAGATTAAAAACCAAGATACCAGCTGGAAATCCTCCAAGTCACTTCTCTTCATACGTTGTGTTAGTGAGTTTAAGATATCCCGTATTTTTTTCATTAAGTTATTCAGGTTTTCAATACCTTCAAAACAACATAGTTTTAATGATCATACTTTTTCAATTGAATAAAAGATACAAAAATTAGTCGGATAATGAATGGCAAGAAAAAAAACTCCGCAATATTTGGTAAATACAAAGATTTATACATACATACCATCATCTGCGACTTCCTCTTTTTCTTCTTCTTCTTCATTAAAACTTACAATTACAGTCTGACTCAGCAAGCACAGTAAATGGGCCTAAAAAAGCATCAAAAAGAACTGATCAGATCGGATGATGAATTCGTTAATTTTATTGCCACCCCATATTTCCTTATAATCATGTTTATCCAGTTTAATTATTGTGGTTATGATTTTACGAACTATTATTAATCGTGAATTTAATACTACTTAGTAAAGATGAAGGATGTATTGTATTTAATAGTAGGCCACACCATCGTCTATATTCACGAAAACGAAAATTCGTGCACTGAATACATGCTTGGTACGACGAAAAATTGCAAGCATGTTTCTTACTTGTAATCATGAAGTTTATATTTTGAAAGGATTTTCAGCGTAAAAAAGCTTTCATAGGGGCTGGAGCATCTTTAAACTTAAGCATTTGAAAAGGCAGTATTGTAAGCATTTTGCTTATAAAAAAACTTCATACCAGAGGTTCGGCAAGAAAGACCTGATCGCCAGATGCTGTGAGACAAGGCTCAAGTTTCAACGGAGGAAGAATATCCTCTTCCTCCTCGTAATATTTTAAAAACTACAACAAAAACAATCATTAAGCGAGGTTTTGTCAAATTTCAACTTTTCAAAATGCAAGAGAAACGTCCAAACGTTTATTACATGAGCACAGATAATTTCCAAAGCAGATTGCCGTAAGTGAGAATTTAGGTCCAGTACATCACAAAGCCCCTGTAACGTACATTTATCAATAAAGTAAAAATGTTTTAGGTCATCATTTCAATGTAGTAATTTCACAATATGTTTAACCATGGAAATTAACCTCATAGAGAAGAACGCGTACATCGGCTTGCTGATTGAAGCAACGTCTTAAACCACCTTGATAATGAAACGATGAAAAATTTATTAAGTGAAACCTTTCTTATAGCTACATAACTTGTCGGAATGGATCATTTTCTTATGAATTGTTGGAAAAGAGTTTTCAAAACAAATTTTAAGTGCATACATAACAAAAACGTACAAACCTATTATTTCCAAGCATAAAGCCTCATTACCCGAGTTGAGACCATTGTTTGTACTATGAACATCAACTTGTATTTGACTGAGCGAATGACTTGAACATTGACTGCTATGGCTTATACTCTGACTTGATGTAATGTTCCCTCCAGACACCTTTAATATAAACACGATAAATGTTCAACTTTCTATGTTTTTTTTGGGGGGGTGCGGGGGGGGAGGGAAAATTTGGGGAAAACAATTGCACAAACCTTAAAATGTTTCAAAACAATAAGAAAACCATATACGGCAATCTTACGCGCTTCCAAACTCCTGTTTAATGCAATATGATCAATTTTCAAAAGATAAATTCAACATTCAAACATCAAGCAAATCGATGTTCATCTTCCATCGTACCTCGAAAACATCGACTTTCTCAAAACAAGCATGAGGGAATCCCTCAAAGTAATACTAATCTTCATTAATGGCTGAAACGGAGGCCACAAATGATTATTAACAAGAGAACATACTGGCTAAAATCATTATTTTATAAAAACTAAATAGTTAAAAATAATATTGCGCATGCGTTTTATTGATAGATGTTTTCTTACCAAAATTGCTTGGAGAAGTCCTTGAGAAGTTTTAAATGCCAGACATGATAAATACTCTAGTATCTCTTTCACCTATAAAACAATCATCATGATGAGCATATATACATATTCAAGGTGTTTATTATTTGTCACTTGTATGAAGCTCTATATCACTCTACTTTGTTATGTAACACCATCCATAGTATGTAACACCACCTATAGTTACTTTAACACAAATATATATATATTTAATGCTATAAGATCACTAAAGAACCTTAGGTAAGGAGTCCAGAAGAGCCTGAGGATTTAATGAAACCGCATTTTTTAGGAGATCTGAAATAGAAATAAAGTATTTTTATTAAACTTTTGTTCCTCCCCTTACAAATGCATACCAGTGTATGAGATCAGTTATTGTTGATATCTTTACGTCTATATACTACATGACGTTTGCATGTCAACTTCATACATGCCTTTCTTGCATTGTTATGTCGTGAACATAAACATGAACAAACATGAACAGAAACTCTTGCTACCAACCTATATAATGATACGAAGCTGCACCAGATTTTGTCAACAACCTGTTGAAAATCTGTTCTAGTATTTCTGTTCTTATCACATCATGAGTCTGTAGAAGAGTTGATACAAGAGTTAACCAGATAGGCAACACGTCTTCAATATCGCTTTTAAAAATCGAATGTTTTGAGTAACCTGGAATGTCTTCAACAAAATTTCACTTCCAAGACGACAAGACTCCTGTTGTGGAGTAATTTGCTTCACCAAACCTGAATCCGAGACTACAAAAAAAAAACACTACAGAGATTACTAACTTATGTATATGGATAAATGGGCAGCATTTGGTCGACATGTACCATAGTGTTTTGAACCAAATGTATCCATTAAATAAAAGCCGAGGTGTACGATTCCTTGAACAACATAATCCCAGCCAAACACGCTGACAAAAATATAGAAAAAATATCAGAATAGTAAGCGAAGAATAGAAGGGGGAATAAAATGATGTGAAACGGCGTACCTATTCTTCACTGTTTGTAAAACTTCAACTGATACATTTGGCATTTTTTCAACATTATCTAAGACATAAAACCATACATGACTAACGCATTCGAACAACAAAATATGCGAGTACCCGGTTGAAGGCAACAGGTTTTGAAAGAAAACAACGTTGAACAGAAGCACCTTGTATCCACTTTGAAGCCTTTTGCAGTTGAATATTTTTAAAGCTCTTCAAAACAGCTGCTTTTAGCACATCAAGTATCTAATATGACATTGAATGAATAGTAAATTTTAGAATAATAAAAAAATATATTTATTACATGTATCTATATAGTGTCATGACTCCTTGGTAGAGTAAATACAATTGTTATATATATACTTTAATTCGTGTGTAAACAAAAAGAAGAAACATAAAAAAACTAAAGCACAAAAATAGACTTAGAAAGATATAAAACAAAGTACATTAAAGCAACTTGTTGGTACGTGATCAAAAACTCGTTGTCTTGGTAAATGACATACAATAGTATAAATATTTCATCGAAGAATCAACAAAAATAAAAAACATAAAAGAAATAAAAATGGACAAAAACTAATCATAAAAATGAAAAGCTTGATAAATATAATGACATCAACTTACAGGTTCTTCAAATCTGTGGCTCTGCGCAATTGATAAAGCTATTGCAAGGTTGAATGACGCCAGAATTTTTTGAGGTTGATGCTGTTGAGACTAAACAGAATAGTTTCGCTAACACAAAGAAGATGTTACTGCAAACAAGAAATTTATAACACGTGTGTAAAAGTGGAAGCTACAGTAAGACAAGATGCGACGCAACACGTGTGTAAAAGTGAAAGCTACAGTAAGACAAGATGCGACGCAACACGTGTGTAAAGTGAAAGCTACAGTAAGACAAGATGCGAAAATGGAAAGACAAGATGCGACGTAAAGTGGAAGGACAAGATGCGACGCAACACGTGTGAAAGAAGGAAAAAAGAAAGATGGATGGATGGACGTGGAAAAGTGGAAGTGGAAAGTGGAAACACGTGTGAAAAGTGGAAACTACAGTAAGAAAAGATGCGACGCAACACGTGTGTAAAAGTGAAAGCTACAGTAAGACAAGATGCGACGCAACACGTGTGTAAAAGTGAAAACTACAGTAAGACAAGATGCGACGCAGGCAAAGCACATACAGAGTAGCTACCAAACGTTCAACTACAGTCCTAGATCATACCTTAAGATATTTGATGAATTCTTTTCCTAACTTTTGATCTCTCTTTATGGCAAATGTAATATGAAGAATAACGTTTCCCTGAGTATGACGGAGTTGATCACTGGATACTTGATGTAATTCATTTTCTTCTAGTAGTTCATTTGGACTACCATTGTCACAATTTAGTTGGGTAAAGTAAGCAACGATTCCTTCAAGAACAACAAGCCAATGTCCCCGGGAGCATAAGATTAATAACTGATACACAACAGGAGGAATTTCCTCAATATCAAGCTCTTTAAACATCCTAAATAGAAATAAAATTCTCATGAAATCAGTAAGAGCTACTTCATTCTTCACGTCATCGCTTTTGTTCTATTCCTATAAGTACGTTACTTTATCATTTGTCGTGTTTCCAATAACGTAAATCAACTCTCAAATATGTAAATCACCTCATATCACAAATAACTCACATTTAGCAACATATAACTAACAGAAACCTATACAGTGAATGGTTTGAACCCGGGAGTGTCGTTACATTGTAGATGTAGATCGTCCAGGTTAGTAAAGTGACTAAAGTCCTGAGAAGGACGGTGGTGTTGATGTTGACTACCGCATAGTGAAACTTTAGTCAACACCAACAATAACAGTCCTTATCAGGACTTTAAAAAACTGGACTATCTACATCTACAAAGTCCTGAGAAGGAATGTTATTGTTGATGTTGACTGATGTCTAGAAAACCTTAACGGTAGTCATCTTCAGAGTCAACGTGAGAAGGACTGTTGACGTTGATGCTGACTGACGTTTAGAAAACCTTAGCAGTAGTCACCTTCAGAGTCAACACCAACAATAACAGTCCTTCTCAGGACTTTACTAAACTGGACGATCTACATTTACAAGTCCTGAGAAGGACTGTTATTGTTGGTGTTGACTGACGTTTCCACAACGTTAGCGGTAGTCATCTTCAGAGTCAATATCAACAACAACAATCTTTCTCAGGACTTTACTAACCTGGACGATTTACTTACACAAACATGTAACATTCAAACTTTTTACTTTACTACATCTACATGAACATGGAAATCTTTACCTGATGACCTTTTCGATAACAAACTTCAATTCACTATCACTTAATGAAACTTCCCTAGTAATGTATGTAATGTACATGATACAGTAATGCATTAATGATTTATGATTAACATATGCATATAATATGATTGTTTACCTGAACATGTTGGCAAGATGAATAACACAATTTGGATGCCATCTAGAAGTTATAATATATGATTGATGACTTGCATGTAGATAAAACTTTGGACATTCTCCTAAGTACATTACTCCTCTTATGTACAGAACAAATGGTAATGTAGTGGTACACAAATGTTCATAGTTATCCTTACTTGAGTTGATGGATCAGAGAGGATAAAGTAGAATAAATTTGCTATAGAAATAATATGCTATATCATGTAATCCTTACTTTATTGAGCAGAGAGTATTGATCATCTGACTTTTATATTCGTTGCCAGACAGTGTGCCATCTATGTTGTGTAGAAGTATTTTACTGTATACAAATAAATAACTAGTTTATAAACTAATTAATGACTAGGAAACATAAATACCATTAAGTGAAAGAGAATCTCTCGAAGCAATGGAAGACAAAATTGTTGGGAACAGCTGTAGCACTCTAGTGACCCAAAGATAAAATTTTGCAAAAATTCATAAAACAATAGTTTCTTGATGGTTTGATTAAAACAAGCTATAAGATAAGATGACACAGGATTGACATGCCTTCCATTTTTCATCAATCCTTTTCGGAGTTTATCCAAGATTTTATCGCACAAATCACATAATATATCACTGGATGTTTTATCAATCTGAGAAATAATATCAATTGATTTAATGGCTGTTGCAGAAATGTGATGAAACATTTTATTCAACAAGGTAAATGTGTGAAGTTACCTCAAATAATAGAATTCCTAAATACTCTGTTGCTACCTACAACGAAAGGAGATGAAATGATTTTAGAAAAGACCAATAGATTAAAAAAGGAGGATGTCATTTGAGATAGTGTGGTGATAATTCAATGTCTACATAGTTTTATGGTATGGCAAATAAACATTCAGGGTGAATTTTCTGGGGGTGCAGGGAAGTCTAACCATCCTAGTCCTAACCTTGGCTATAGGAGGTGCAGGTGTGGGGTCTAAATATCTCCCAATCATGGCATAAGTATGACAGACATAGAAACTTTAAGGTTTTTAATTCTAAATACAAAAATGTACATAGAGAAAAAAATTGGAAGCCAATTTTTACCTTGGTTGATAGGTCAACATCATTTAAAATTTCAATACAATGTGGGAAAACAAATGAGCGTCTTTTAAGGCCTTCCGAGCTGTTGCAAGGTGATCCTGTATGGGAAATGTTTGAAGATCATAAATGCTGTTACATACAATAGAAATTTTCTTAATTTGCATTACACATCTGATTTGCCATATTTTTTGCATTTACAAGTAGTGACTGAGCACAGCCCAGTGACTAGATACACAAATCTCACAAAAATTTGCCCTTAAGTGCCTTTACTTCAAAATAAAGCGATGGACACTTTTTCTTTTTTAGTGGTAAACACTGTCCTGCAATTTTTTTGAAAGAGATTTTCTAGTAAACTTGAGATATATGGCAAATCAGTTATACATAGTATAAAATACCATGAAAAATTCCTTGGAGAAATTTGGGAACATTAAGGTCATCTTCATTGGAAAGTGTAGTAAGGATGCTACCAATCTTAAAAAAAGAACATGTCAGTCAGAACTTGTAATATGCCTACTTTTATGCACTTGGGAATAAATTATTTATACATATGTGTGGCGGGACGTGGGTTAATCAACACTCTCCAATAATACATGGAGGACACCCCATTCATTTTCATTTCCTGAATCTTTTCAATACATATTGGAAAATTGTTATAAATACCAACAATTTATGTTTCAAAGGTTGCCGTAGTTACTGAATTGATAATTTTGAGTAACTTATATACGTATGCTACCTTTTCCAAGGTAATTCCATTCAAGATTCGCTGCAATTCGTCATTTTTCTCCACCTGGGCAAGGCGTATAATCGCCTGTGCTGTCTTGGATACCATGGTAGACGAGAAAACGGTAATATATCGCTATTTGTACAAATTCGTCATTATTTTAATGCTTTCTCAGTTGCGTTTTGTGATATATGTATCGCATCCATTTTTTGGACAAAAAAACCGCCTAAATGAGAGGGATGAGGGTGTCCGCTGACCAAGAACGTGCCTAACTTGGGCATTGTCAGTGGGCATTATTGCGCGTTGGTGACACATACAAAACCTGGAATTTTGTATATATTCTATAATCCTGCATTATTCTAATGAACTATACAATACAATGAACATTTACATTCCAGCTTAAGCATCGTATTCACAGAGTAAGTCTGACATTCATACGACCAAAAATGCATCTGCCAAAAACCTGAGTCGGGAATAGTAAAACTACTACGCCATTTTTCACAATATATAACCATGGTTGTAAGAACGTTTAATTAGAGAGACACTGTAAATTCAGGTTTAAAAGAATGAAGGGAATGCTCAAGGTGTTGTAGTGTTTAGAAGAAAATAGAAATATAGCATATGCCAGTTTCTGCATATACAACATGGTTGTAAGAATGTTTAATTAGAGAGACACTGTAAGTTTTAAATAAAAATAGCAATGTGAGTGCTCACTGTGTTGTAATATTTAAAAGAATAACGTAAAAATATAAAATATGGCAGTTTTCGGCATACATAAACATGGTTGTAAAAAAGTCTAAATAGAGACACACAGTAAGTTTAAGTTTAAAACAGTGAAAGCAATGCTCAAGGTGTTTTCGTGTTTAAGAGAATATCACAGAAATATAAAATATGCCATATGTTTGTTGAGTTCGCTCGAGTTTCTTAGTTTTTCACAGCGGAAAGAAGCAGTGTGGTTCTGTGTCTAGTCTTAAATTCGTTTTCTTTTTGTCCGATGTACGTCTCCATAACAAAAGAACTAATTTCTCCCTTATTTAAACTTACGTAACTTATAATTGACAATTGACCATTGTTTTATGGTATTGCAAAAATCATTAAACAATAAAATTTATTCAGCGCATCAAATCTGAAAGCCATGTCCTCAACCAATCGCTAGATATCCAATCATAATTCTTTTATCCTATTGACGAAAATAAAATTAAAAAACTCCACTTAAAAAACTGTCTGAGTTCATAGCTGTGCTAACCACAAACAGAATTACTTCCTTTGAGGAACGAGCTCAGTCAACTCAAAAAATTTTTCCGAGTTAATAGTCATGACAAGGTCCAACTAATTCTACTTGGACTATGTTAACACTACTCCGGATCGGTCTGAAAACGGCGCAAAATCAATACAAACAAATTTTCTTTGTTTATACTGATTTTGCACGACTGAAATTTTGTAATGGTAACATTTCATTGCAATTGAGCATAGTTTCTTTTGAAGTCCGTAGCACTACAGAAAGATAAGCAAAAAAGTGTAAAATAGCTTATCTTTTCTGATTACATCACAGAAGTAAAGCCTTGCAAAGTTTGCCTCCACAAAAGGAAGTGGACATACACTATTTATTATGTACAAAAATGCTAAATTTCCTAGTTTGATATTATGATGGTCAGTCTATATAATTATATATCATCATCATCTGAATCATCAAGTCTTCTACGATTGAACTAGAAAATAAAGGTATCGCAGATCAAGAAATTGAGCAACAAGCACTCATCAGAAGATAACATAAATGCCCATATGAATCAACCTTGACGGTAGATTTCTTTTGATTTGGCTCTTGAAATCTTTCAAGTAAACTAACAAGTTGAGCATCACCAATCTAAGAAAAAAATATTACAATATGTAAATACTTGAACAATTGTAAGTATTTGAACATCATTGTTTGAAATTTGAAAATTCATTTGACAAACCTTTCCTCCAATTTGTCCTGAAGAAGCCATTTGAATCAATAAGCTTTCAATTTTCATTGCCCTTTCAGGTTTGACCAATGCAATACTGTTTACTACAAAGTCAAAACATGTTTTTATAAATTAAAGCTGTTGGGTTGACTGAAATCCAAAGCCTTTAATGAGAACACTACAGATTTGAATAGCCATATGAAAGTCTTACAATGTATATACAATATTAGGAATCAAAACTAATCCTCTTGTTTTAAAAAATTTTGGGTGCTTGCCCACTTAAGACAATCCAGACTACAATATTTACAAATAGTGCACTCTATCTAGTCCATGATATAATTTTTATGGAAATTTTGCAAGGCTGATTTTGCTACTCAAGGAAAATGTTGATTATATCTTGCAAGGTCCTATGAGATCTTATAGAATTATATTTATGATCCAGAACTTCAGTAGAATGTGTTAACATCGTATTTCTATAAACTCTGGACATATATAAAAAATATATCACACTCAAAATATTTATTAATTAGGAAAAAACATTCATCAAATTGGTGCACATCCAAGACCTTGGCTGGTTGTAAAATGTCAATGATTTATAAAGGCAACAGTTTTAATGAAAATTAAAACTTGCGCTTATAAACACTTCCAAATTTAACACTTACACCTGGCTCTGGCTTGTTGATCTAAAATCTGTGAAAGCATTTGGTTCTTCATTTCTGCTTCTTGTCTATAAATACACGCCATAAATTTCACAGTGTTATTGTAAATATAGACGCTCACAAAGTAAGGCTAGTCAACTGTCAACAAGTAACAAGTAACAACTTCTTTCCCACTTTTTTATTTCCTCTTGTCTTTGATTCTGTTCTCTCTGACCACTCGACTACAAATATAGCATGATTTAATAGAGACGAGCCATACTATCTTGTTTAAAATACAAAATTTCTCACCATTTGCTGTTGTATTTCAGCCATTCTTTTCGCTCTTATCTTTTCGAGCTCTTCGTCAGCCATCTTGTTAGCATGCCCCGTTAGGCAGGGGAAGCAACAAAACACGTCCACTTTGTAAATAGGTACGCAGTGCGTACATACCTAAAAGCGCATAAAATGTACGAGACGTTTATGAAAATTTTATAAACGTCTTTAGAACGTTCCAAAGTCATTTTCTTTGGTATTAACGAAATATTTTTAATGCATGTCATTTGCAGGATATAGGTTAGGGTCAAGGTTAGGATTCAGACATAGGATTAGATTGCACAACATATCTCTAAGTTACCATAGTTACAGCAGCTTCAACAACAAATATGGCGGAAATTGGTGGGAAATTGACACGATCAAAAGAACGATTACAAACAAAACAATCAACTGTTCAACCATCTATCCAAGTGAAAAATGAAAATGTGGTATGTTGCTACATATTTCATTCTTTGCTATGAATCATTTGTAAGACTCTGCAAACGTCAATCTCCCAATTTAACTTATTCTTTCTTCGGTAATTTAGGACAGTTCCATGAACAATCTCGTTTGGAAAGATCTGAATGAAGATCAAGTTGTCTTGTTTATGTCACTCACGCCACAAGATCTTGAAATGTAAACATGTCAGACTAAATACTCAAAATTATCGCGTAAATAAAGCAATATGACGAAGTACATTTTTCTGTTTCATGTTCAACAGAAAGCTTGCCGAATTTCTATCCCTACAGAGCTGTCACATAAATCTGGAAGAAGCCTGCCTCGTAGATTATTACGTATCTGCTTTGTGGTAAATTCAATAATAAATACAGTAACATAACGCTCCAGTTCAACCCAGTCACATGGATCTTATCTTCATGTAGGTTTGCAAAGCAGGTTCAGTTCACGACAGAACAAACTGCAGCATTTTTCTCTCTAATGAAGGTTCTTCTAGAAAATATAAAAGGTTCTAAAAATGTGCTGTTAGTTCAATCTTACTGTGTTTATCATAATGAATAGTTTATATCTTGTTATACTTCACTACGCAACATCAAAATATATTGTTTTATCTATAGACAAAAGAAAGTCGCTTTCAGACAATATATGTTTTATGAAGAAATATCTGATACAAAAATTACTACCATCATCTTTGTATAGTACCAGGGAGACAAAATTAATCAGTAATTACATTGTAGAGAGGTATACACTATTCTACCAAACTCAGTATGTACACCTGTTGATTTAACTGACTTCAATCATTTTATAAAGTCTTTTACAGCACTATAAACTCTATCAGTTCTTTTTCATCACAACAATCCACAGAGTATCATGATGAATGCATCATCAAAGAAAATGTAAGAGCTAAAATAGGGCACAGAAGTGTTAGTAATCTGCTCATCATTACTTATCAAGGACTTAATGTAACCAGGACAAGAAGACAACTTTAAGTAAAACAAAATAAAACAAATTCCGAAAACAGACATCTCATCTAATCTCGGACTAATCATTAGTCTGATGATGTCTTTGGAATAAAGACAAAATATTACACAATCTGTTGTCTAAAACTCTTGTATCATCTTGAATATCAAGAAAACAAGATGTCTGTTTTCAGAATTTGTTTTATTTTGTTATGACTTAATGTGAGAAAATGAATAACATATGCTTTGTTTATTTAGTTGTTAGTCGAAGCACCACCATTGGCTAGTCTTCCATTTCCTCCACCACTGGAGGAAGGCTTACCTGAAGAAATACACAGCAAACATGTCTTAGGAATAGAACAGATGAATACTTTCAATGAAACAGATATGAATGTAATTTTTTCCCTAGATATCACTTGCCCTTCATCAGTTTAGTATTTACACAACAAAATCAAAACTTTAAAACCTCATACACAAACATAGATTCAAGCTGTCTTTTCCTCCTTGACACTATTGCTGGTCAATGGAAAAATTAATGAAATATTTTTACTTTTTGTCTAGGGAACACCTGAAGTTAGTGAAGGTAATTAAGTCGTTATTGTAGTTGTCTTTGATATGACGAAATCTAAAGGACAATTTTAATCATAATCATAAAACACTTGTAGGTAACAAAAATGCCGAGAAGGAAGAAACAGTTATAAGTAATGAGCAATCGCAACAAGCTCTGCTCACGTCAATTCCACCAGACAAAATGAAAAAAGTTTTGAAAGATGTTTCAGAGTCCATTCTTAATGACATGAAGGTAAATGAATTTGACAACTCTATGTGTAACATGTGAAACATGACACTAGCTCACGCATTCACGATACATGCCCACGTGATATAACATGTGAATCTAGACAACTGCTCACAAATTCACGATACATACCCACGTGATATAACATGTGAATCTAGACAACTGCTCACGTATTCGTGACACATGCACACGTGATACAACATGTGAAACTAGACAACTGTTCACGTATTCGTGACACATGCACACGTGATATAACATGTGAAACTAGACAACTGCTCACGTATTCGTGACACATGTACACGTGATACAACATGTGAAACTAGACAACTGCTCACGTATTCGTGACACATGCATACGTGATACAACATGTGAAACTAGACAACTGCTCACGTATTCGTGACACATGCACACGTGATACAACATGTGAAACTAGACAACTGTTCACGTATTCGTGGCACATGCACACGTGATATAACATGTGAAACTAGACAACTGTTCACGTATTCGTGACACATGCACACGTGGTACAACATGTGAAACTAGACAACTGCTCACGTATTCGTGACACATGCACACGTGTACAACATGTGAAACTAGACAACTGCTCACGTATTCGTGACACATGCACACGTGGTACAACATGTGAAACTAGACAACTGTTCACGTATTCGTGACACATGCACACGTGGTACAACATGTGAAACTAGACAACTGCTCACGTATTCGTGACACATGCACACGTGGTACAAGGTCCCGCAAAAGTCGAGAGTTACAAGCAACAAAAGTTACAGAAATACAATGAAATACGCGCAATTTTCAAGTTGCTAACTTGCTACTCATTTTAATCTCCGCGTTTTTATTGTGTTGCTGGGTGCTTCATTTAAAAAATGTTTTATTTCAGTGACGAGCATTTGAGTTTCACTCCAGTACTGGTTTTTGATAAAAAGCTCGCACACAAAGAGTACGATTGTTATACAAAGGCATTATAAGATTTTTCTTGGTTAACTCGTAGCCTTTCCAATTTCTGACACCTAAAAACATGATTACCATAACACGCGTACCTCTATTGATGGACCATGTGCTCCTTATTCTTGCAGGTCGGCGTACAGAAGAAGCTAAAAGAACGCGAATCAACTTTATTAACAAAAATATCAAAGAAATAAGTTTGAATTGTATAAATTGTATATATATAATTGAAGAATGTGTACATATGATGTAATTAAATTAGATTTTTGTCAAATAATCTACTAATACTATAAGCAAAAAAAATTGTATAAATGCAAGGAAATATTTGTCAAGAAAAACGGAATTATCTTTTGTACTTATAAATAATTTTTATAGAGGGCAACATCACAACTCAACTGAATAATAAATATACATGACTGAAATTTGACTCCAACCACACTCAAGTTGAAACTTTGGGCTACTCGCAACGCTCACAATCTTGATGAGTGTCAATAACAGTTAGAAGGAATACAAGCAAAGAACCATTCTTAAAGACCACCCTAATTTTTTAAGCCGTTTTTTACTGCTTGAAATAGGATCCAAAGCAAAACCAAATTTGAATTCAAGGATTACTTTTTACGGTGTGAAAATGACGATCTCTATCATTAAAGGACAAGTTACTCTTCTGTCGATGAAAATGATATTTTTCACAGAAAGGAAATAAGTTTTCGTGTGATTTATCAAGGTCTAATGAGAAGTGTAGAACAAAAACCTTTCCTAATGTCCATACACGTCATCATACTTACTTCCGGTCATCAAACTTTTCACAAGATTAAATTCATTAATAACTCCCATAAGAACCAGTGGAATGACAGCTATTATGGTGGATTTTCCTAAAGAGAAGAGAAGAAAACCATTTTAACTAGAAATGTCTTAACCAGGAATAAATAATTGTATAATTTGATGGAACAGCGGCTTATTTCTGCTATTATATTTTTATAAAAGTTTCAACGTGACTGAATGAATTTAACTATGACGTACTGCTCTTTTGATGACTGTTGAGGCTTTCTAAACAAGAAAAGTTATCATTTTTATGCGCGTTTCAGCACAACAGTGTATGCGATTTCAGGTAACTTATTCAGGCTGTTTGCAGGATATTTTAGACTCACAACAAAACTGACTTGAGCTGAATGCTGTGAAATTTATCGATCTTCGTAGAGGTTTGACTAAATAAAAGATGCCATTTGTTAAATTACACATTGATGACCGTTGCAACACTAGGAACTGTAGACTCAACTCGTAAATGCATTTCTTCATAGTTTGTAGAGAGGAATAATCCAAGTTTGCCATTAAAACTGGTTAAGACTTGAGCATACTATCAAAATATCAACATGACTATTTTCTATAGCCACCATATTCAATGTTTCTACTTACACAGTAACTTCGGCAAAACTCGTTCACACGCTGATATTCAACATTGAAGCAGTTTACGTGATTCGTGTTCAGTCCACTGCAGTCGTTTGTGCGGTGATGTTAAAATTCTCCATTGGATGAAACTTAGCCTTGATATTCATTAATTTTACTTTGCAACCCTCTGCCATTGCAACACGGGGCACAATTTTCACGAGAAAGTTCTGATGAGGTAATTGATACTTTATCTTTGTAGCTATTCAACTGTACTTCCAGTTTTCGTTATCAAATTGATGAAACAGACATAGGTTACTGAGAGTATAAAAACTCCATAAGCAACATATATGGAATGAACAATTTAAGTTTTTCTTTTTTCTAATTAACTAAATTTTACTAGAACTAACAAAAATTTCCTTAAAATTTATAATCAGTTTCTTATTTTTAATGTTTGTTTAAAATTACCACGCAAACCTCACCTGGATGTTTGTCCCATTGTTGTCTTATACAGCTTTTTCAGCTCTACAGCAGTAAGCAAATATGTTCAAAAAATTTTCGTGATATCTTATCACGTGATGTCATTTCAACAAGATTCCGCAACACTTTGGTAGTAGTACATGATGATGTTGTAGCACATGATGATGTTGTAGCGCATGCTTGTCGTGGCTTTATTGATGCAGTAGCTTTAAATGGTGAACATGAAACCATAATCACCACAGTAAATTGTAGCCATGTGATCAATAACGATCATGATTTACACAAGTAAAAATGAAAAATGACCGTGTATGACGGTAAATCTCAATCTTAAACTTGTGCCAATCAAAGCCAAAACAAAAGCTGTTCCAGCAAGATCGTACCCATACCCTTGCTGCTCCGTCTGAGTGGAACTCGTTCCAGGACCTTACTGTATTCACCTCTTTCTAGCAAGATCGTACCCATACCCTTGCTGCTCCGACTGAGTGGAACTCGTTCCAGGACCTTACTGTATTCACCTCTTTCTATTCCATAGTGGTTTCTTTCTTAAACGTCCTTCACCATAAAATGAAAGTTGTTGACGATACAACGACCCTGCTTGCGGTGATTTGTAAGTTCTCTCGGATGAATGACTTTCTTCGTTAGAAAATGTTGTGTCTTCGGCAAAATCGGGCAGCGGTCGTCTAAAAAACCGTAATTGTATGAATGAACGGTGATCACAAAATGAAAATGGGACAATAGAATTTTGTTCAAGATAATATAATAATAAAATATAAAAGCTATACCGGTGACCTAGTTAAATAGTATGTGCTGCACTATAAATAAGACAAGTGTACTACGACTAACATTAAATTTATGAAAATTTTATATAAATTACCAAAAGAAATTTAGACATTATCAAAAAAGAATGCGAAATGTTCTGATACAATCATATGGACGCGAGGAATTAAGAAATGTTTCTTAATCGGTTAATCCTCGGCAAGGCGTTACCAAAGAACGTACTGTAAAAAAACTCAAAACAAAACCTTGTCGTTGAAATTAAACATTAATGTTCACCTCGAGTCTAAAGATGATTTTTCATCACTTGACAATAGGTCATGAAGATTATCTTGATTTTCTTGCACCGCAGATGGGCTCATTGGAAGTTGTATATCTAAATATGTACCAATAAAATTAGAAAATCACTTATTGACAATATCTGGTACTTATAGCAAATTGCGTAAAGGAGATCCTACCGTCCGTCTCCTGTCTCTTTCTTGCAAGTTCTTCATCAACATGTAGGTCGAATAATGACCGAGGTATATCTTCTCCACACATATAACAATGTTCGGTATCCACATCTCCATTCATTTTACCTTTCTTTATTTTCCTCTTGTCAACTACTCCATTACTTTTTCGTTTACGATCGAAATCATCCGTTCTCTTCGTGGTTAAAATTTCTACTGGATCGTCAATGAGCACATCCTGACAATGAGAATTATAAATTCATGTTTATTGTGTTTATCAACGAAGAAAAATATTCTCACATGTTAAAAGAAAGCGGACATATCACGTGGTAAAATGTTTTGAAAATGAGGGGTTGCATGGGGATAGAAGTGGTACATGTAGGGTGTAAAGGTCTAGAGCTGTGTTTGCATTTGCCAGTGCAAACCGATCTGAGCTCAACCAATTAAATCAATTAAAACAATCAAAAGAGAATTTGCAAATTTTTTCTAAATTCATCTGTTTCATACTATCGTTATTTTAGAAAGAAAATAAAACATTTTTTTGTGTTTGCTCTTGTTTATGCTAAGTGTGATTTTTCTCTCATGAAGAAAACGCCCAAAAATATTTCTCAATCAAAGTAACAAAATGAATGAATTCAATACACGATGCAGCGACATACACAAATTGGCAACCACCATATATGGTAAATAATTAAAAAATTAATCTATTGTAACTTCTTCCATATGATTTTTTTTTTTATGAAAGTATTAATGAAGGAAGATTCCGACAAAAAATTTTTATAAAGATATGAAGAGTAAAACAACCTGTTTCTTTTGCTCTACAGCTTTGAGCGGAACTAATTCATTATTCGGACTTATATCGTCACACAAAGACGTCGTTCCAAGATTCTTAGCTAAAATAATAGAATATTCCTGTAGGAAACATACTGCAAATTTACGAGAATGAAAAATAAACTTACATATACGTGATAAAGTTGGTCGTTTCCACGACGATCTGCATAAAATTAATCAAAAGTTGTTATACATATATGGCATACACTTTCGCAAGAAATTTCAAATGCTTTAAAAACTGGTCTTTTTATTTGAAATATTCTCACATGCTGTCGACGTGGTTTTGTTCCATCGTTTTGCTTTCTTCACGACTATTTGCTCTTGAAAATGACTGGATACTTTTGGTAACTCCCAAAGTCCCAAGCTTACTTTTTGTAACTCCCAAAGACCCTGGGTTACTTTTTGTGACTCCCGAAGTCCCTGGGTTACCTTTTGTCATCCCCGATGTCTCTGGGTTACCTCTGCTTAACCAATTTCCAGTTTTTCCACTATGAGGAGAAAGATCTTCGAGCGCAATAAAAGGCTCTAATGATATTCCGTGTTTTCGTTTCTTCCCTTTTTTCCCCTTCTCTTCTTTGTTTGAAGATTTTACATCGTCCTTACTGCTTATAAATTCTTGTTTCGTCGCACTCCTCTGTACAGTGGTCAATAATTGTAATTCCTTCACTCTGGTTGGAATCCTAGTTTTAATTACAGGCGACATTCCACCTTCTTCGCTCGTACTAAAGCGAAAACAATTAGTAATTAAAATTGCCCACCTTATCAAAGCATTACATGAACTCTCGTTGAAAAACAGGAAAAACAATTTGTTTCCCTAAAACTGTGCGAGGATCGTGTTTTCTTAAAGTGAAAAGTAGTTAAATTAGTTGATGAGCGATCACGCTTATAGCTAGTCAATATCAAACATAAGTGCACCTAGGTTTTCATAATTCCCGAGCGCAAATTTACTGAAACCGTTCTAAAGTAAAAATGAGTCGTTACCGTAAGGCAGGAAATTACCTTTCTAAGTTCGTTGGTTGTTCTTCTGGACCGTTACAGTGATAGGCATGTTGCTCTACTTCTTCAATGGAAAATTGTCGGTAGCACATTGGACATTCCACTTCGTCAGGTTGTGATGGTGTTGACGATGTATCATTGACAACAGGCGATGTAGAAACTTCTAAACAGTCTATTTCAATGGATTTAGTATCAACTGTTGGAGCATTTACAGCGGATTCCCCATCGCAAGTGGAATCTTTTAAAACACTTTCACGAGAGGACGTTCTAACGATAGGTTTTACTGTGACAATATGAGGCTCTTTTACTTTTTCCTTGCTTTCAATTTCATCCAAGTTTTCTATGGGAACATTACTTTTCTTCGCGCCTTTGCTCTCCAGTTCATCATGGACACCAGCAATTGTTAACGACGCATCTCTTGATGTTTCTACGATGACAGGTGTTTGAGTACTTGAAAAATTGCTCACAGATTGTTTCGAATCTTTGGTTGGAGTTGCAGGTGATTGTCGAGATTTGGGGCTCGAAAGAACAGTTTTCTTCGAAATGGAGAAGTTGTCACAGTTAAAGTTTTTTGTATGGTTGACTTCATCCAAAACATGTACCACCTTCGTGACTTCAGAGCAAAAAAAAACAAAGTCAGTTGAGTATCTAAAGTAAAATCTAATTGCGACTCAAACTTTCAGGAAATTTTTACCTTCTGGTTGTTCAGGCAATAACAGCCTTTGCAAAATCTGGGAAAAGGCATCTTTTTCTTTCGTGCCTTTTTCAGACTTATTACACTTCACCGTGTTTGTTCTTCTTAAAACATGACGGCCAATTCGACTTCGCGTTTTGCTCGTAATAGGTGAAAAACCTTTCAAATCCATTTCACGAACAGGTGGAAGGCAAGATTGCGCTTTGCGTAATCTTAATCTATATTCTTCAAGCTTTCTAATTATCACAGCTGTATAGAGACCAGAATTGACCTTTTTTGGTGCATAAAGAAGGTCGCACTTATCTGCTTCTTCCAAAGTTTCAATTTGTGGCTTTTTGTATGCTCTATGGAGACACAGGTCCTGAAATAAGAAAACGTGAGGATATATCAGGGTTTGAACTAAAGATGAAATTTAACATGTAAAATAATAACAAGGACCATACAGTTAAAAAATGCTGCTTTTTCAAAAGTGTAAATTGTATAAAGTATAAATACTGAGATTCTAATTTAACAAGTTGACATTCATCCTTTAATACGTAATTTTACAAACCTTAGGATTATCTGTAGTAATTTTTGAGCCAGTACGTAGAGCAATCCCACTTTCTTGCACTTTGCTTTCCTCTGTTTCGCATCTCTTTCTCTTTCGTTGTAAATGATCAAAGTTGAATGCCTGTCTACTGTAGTTTCAATAAAGAAAACTGTTGATGAAACATAACATGAAGTAATGTGGAAGAAATCCTTAATCAATTTCAACATCTTGTAAAATGCTTAAAAAGCTTACCCAGAATCTTGGCTTAGCTTCCGCTCACAATCTACTCAAAAGTACATGTGCATGCATAAATTATATGAACATTAATGAGATCTAAAAATCCTAGGCAACAAAGATACGTAACTAGGCATCTTACTTTTATTATCAACTTCATAACAATCTTCTCCATCATCTGTATTTTTTTCTTCCTAAAAATAAATTTTACACTTTCTCTATTACCAGATTGACAACACACAACTGATGAAAATAACCTACCAAAAATTTACTCCTATACCACTCCACCACCCCCAAATACCAAAAATTTACTCCTACACCACTGCACTCCCAAAAACTTACTCCTATACCACCCCACTCTCAACAACCAAAAACCTACTCCTATACTGCCCACTACCCCTCACCGCCAAAAATCCACTCCTATACTACCCCACCATACCCCAACTCTCAAAACACATACATCACCCCACAACCAAAACTCTCATTTTCTCAAAGAACTGTTTAAGTGGCTAAGATTTAAAAGTCGTATGTATAATGTGTATTCTTTTTTCAAGATTTATGCAAAGCTATCTACACAGACCTGATTATCTGATTCATTTGATAGGAACAATATAGGAGAATCTGGGAAGTCTGTAATTTTTAACAGCAAAATTCAGTCAAAAATACGACAAGTTCTTCATCAAATACATTAGGATTATATTACCTTTCAAGCCTTTCTTTTTTTCTTGGAACTCTTCATCAACTGGTTTTTTGATTACAGCCTGTCAAAAACTTAACATCATTTACAATATACCACATAATTTTATTTATAAAATAACATAAGTTCATTGAGAACTTTGAACAATCAACTATATATTATTTTATCATTGTGACATTAAATGTTGTATAAAAAAAGGAATATCAACATACCTCTTGTTTATTTAGTTCAAAATTCTTTTCAGGAACGTCGTTATTTCTACATAAAGTCGGTAAATTTTCATAATCTTTAGTGAGAGTATGAACATTAGACATGAAAACGGAAAAAAACATCACAAATTTGCATAGTTTATTACCCATCTTGTGCATCTTGAATCGTGATGAAGCTCATAGTTCCTTGAACTTCGTGGGAAATATTTATGAAACATAAATTTGTTTGATTAAAACATTTTAGAAATACAATTCAAAATAATGGTATTTTATTATTCTTTTCACCATTTCGTCCCCGTGGGTACTACCAATGTGGACAACGTCATGTAATCTTGATATGGTGTCTCGTAAGGAAGGAGGAAGAAACGCCATGGAAACGGGACGTCATTTGAGAGAAAAAGTGATGTTCTTGTAGTATACTTAACTTGCCCTCACGTGAAATTCGTTTCATTCTACAACTTACCACACAAACATTTGTTATTTTCAAATATTCAATATTCATTGCATAATTATGTCTTAGTGTTGTAATAAATGAACATTAATTTCATCTTTTATAACTCTTTTCTTGTTTGACATAAATAGATAACGTAATGACAAAATAGGCATGAAGAAATAAAATTAAAACATACTAAAGTTTTTTTAACATAGTTAATATAAATAATGAACATTAACAACTTTGTATTCTATGGATCAATGATGAACAAGTTTGTATTATTAGAGGGACATTTTTATTAACGTTTCGACGACTTTAAAATTCCTTTAGGTTTTTTATCAATATTTCTTCCAGGATCATTGATTTTTCTATCACCTCGATTCTCACTGTTCAGATCATCAATAATACAAGGTTCTGACGATAATGTCAAATGGCGGCTGTTTTGTGATTTGCAATTATCCATTCTTTCACTTGGGATCCCAGGGTGTCCTTCGTGGTATCCGCTGTCTGATCTTTCATTAGGGATCCCACGGCGTACTTCGTGGTATGCACCGTCTGATCTTTCACTAGGGATCCCACGGTGTCCTTCATGGTATCCACTGTCGCAGCTACCGGCTTCTCTATCCGGACTGTGACAAACACCTTCGTCTGAGGGACTGAAAGATATAAAAAGATTTTAATAGAAGCCATCATTAACAAAATTGTTGGATGAAAGTGATCAATGATATTATGCATACATACGCTGATTATACTCACCAACTGAGCAAGTCTTCATTATCGCCATCAGACACAACTTTCAAGACATCATGTGGCTGAAACACGTGATTCTTGACATGATAGAAATACGTAGGTATTTCTTCAGTATTGCTGTAATCGGCACAAGGCGCGATCTTGTCACTATTGAGCGAAAGTAGTGTTTCTTTTTCGTTCTTCAAGTTGATAAGGCCTTCTTTTAAACGTTCCAACTCACGTTCAAGAGTAAATTTCTGATTTAGATAATCCAGGATTTGGCTTTCAAGTTTTGTATTACGTTCAATGGAATTTAAGATCTGTTTACGTAAATAAGGAGTTTTGTATTTCTCATTCTCTACATGAACAGTCTCCGTTGATCGAGGTTCATCATCAACGAAATTTTCAGATATCGTCTTCAAAATGGAAACTTCCCTTCGCAATACCTCTTTCTCATTTCGCAACATTAAAATTTCTTCATGCAGTTGTTCTTTCAAATCCTTTACTTTCACACTCAAAGAGTTATTTGGGTTCCGTGTAACATCAACATTCTCTGAAATATCATGTAAACGTCTCCACGTTGACTTCAAATGATCCACGATCTCACTCATTATTGGTGCCATCCCGTTCTCTTGACACAAACTCGTATCTAAATCCCATGTGTTCTGCTCAAGCCATAAAAGAGCAGGAAGATTTCTGTTTCTATCTTCAGTCAAAACAGTAGAACAGGTTAAAGTACGTCCGTTCTCAATTGAACGACCATCAAAACTTCCAGGAAATTCACCATACACTATAGTGAGGATCTCATTTTCTAAACATCGAACATCGTCAAGAAATTCAAAGATTTCACTTTGTAGAACTCTGCTTTGTGTCGATTGCTTTTTAACTTTACATTTCAAACGAGCCACCTCATCTTTCAGGTCATTTCTCTTTGACTCAAAACTATCACAAGGTGGCTCAAAAAAAATGAACTTTGAGTAGGGAGAACGGTTAACCACGTCAAGATTGTTTGACTCTCGTTGTAATTTATCTATTCGCGTTCTCAGTGTTTCCTTCTCAATTTTAAGGAATTTCATCTGACCTTCAAATATTTTCAGTCGATCCAACAAACTTTGTTTTTCCATTTCATCTAAGCTCTTGTTGTCGTCGATGGATTGAAGACGGTCCTTCAACTCTGAAATTTTTATGAGTAGAATTTTGTTCGTTTTTCGCATTCCTCTAAATACTGTCGTAAATTACAGTTCTCCCGACGCAAATCGTCCTGAGCTTTAAATAAATCTTCGTTTTCATACTGTGTGGTTTTAATCCAACTTGTATTACTTCTAACCTGTTTCTCCAAATTCTTACAACGTTCTTTCGCAGTTTGAATCAATGACTCCAGTTTTTCATCTTTCTTTCCGTCACGTCCGTCACGTTCGTCACGAAAAGTCACTCTTTGTTCAAGATTACCACGAATGTCTGCTTTTCTACCGGTCTTCATAGATATGAGGTCATCTTCTAATTCCTCCACACTCTGATTAAGATCACTCACTTGAATCTGGAGCAAAAGATTCTCCGTTTCCAAAGCTTCTGTAGTTATCCTCAACCGTTTATTTTCGTCAAAAAGTGAACGATTTTCGTTTGTCTTTCGATCCCGTTCATCGATCATCGAAGAAACACCTGAAATCATACGGGGTTTAAACATGCGTTTCAAAAATGCAACATATATTTATCTCGTCGACATGTAACGATACATGAAGGTGTAATTGAAATGAACATTTGCATTAATTTTTCGTCTTTTAAACACTGTGTTGTAACGGTATATTCAATATTTAATTTTCGTTGAAATTGTTTCAAATATTCGCAATTGCACAAGCAGAGACCTGACTAAAAAATTTTCAACGAAATTGAAAAGCAGTTAAAGAAAATAGAAATGGTTTCTGCAGGGACTATATGGAGTAAGAGGGGCTACAAACATAGCTGAGGCACAAGTTACGAAGGTTGAAAAAGGGGAGGAGAAAACTAAGGATTATACACCACCAACCACCCCCCCACCCCCCCGACATCAAAAATAAAGTGCTCCGCGGTTCCTGTTCTACTGTGTTCAGGCACTTGCAGATTCCATTGATGATGTCCAATTTGTCTGCTGTGGAAATTGAGTTTATAGTTTACTTAAATAACACTATCTTGTCGTCTTTTACTAAAGAGATATTTGATTGATTATACGAAGAATAAATTCTAAATTGTTTTATAATGTTGAGGTGATTTTCAACCAATCAAAAAGCTTGTTGAAACGGAAGATAAAAATCTTAAATTACGTCTCGAATCATCGAGTTTATGGCATGTCATGGAGAATTTTGGCTGCATGCACTAACCTTTCTCTATGAGAGATGATTGTGAGCGAATAAGAGCGTCCACAGCCACTGTATAGCCATCAGGTACGTCAAAATCATTTTTGATAACAACCACTGCCCCAGCCATTTCTAACTTGTCGACAAGAATCGTTTTACGCTTGGACAGCTCCTGAAGAAAAGCTTTGTTTGCTTGTAGACTTGCTTCTGTTTCTTCAACACGATTCGTCAACTCTTGTATTTTTTCTGTTTCTTTGTCGGCAAGTACGCGCAAACCAGAGTCTTCCAGAGCCCTATCCAATAACTCTTTTTTATCTGTCGCACTGCACCCACGTTGCTGCAGTTGGAAATTTTTCGATTTTAGCAACAGAACATCGGTTAAACTCGTCTCTAAATCTTCCGTAATCCTCTGGTTTTTCTCAAGCAGCATCTGAATTTCATCATCTTTCTTCTGAAGTGTTTTTGCATGATGATCTGCAAGATCCGTCAGTCTCTCCTTACTTTCATAATCGTCAGTTTCAATTTCTTCAATCTTATACTTCAACAACTGATTTTCCTTCATCAACGCGTTCATCTTTGAAGTCAATTTATCGCCTGAAAGATTACTTTCAACAAATGATGACATTTCTCCCGAATCAAGTTCATCATTCACGAAATTGTTATCGTGCTTCAGTTTATCTTGCGCCTGAAGTTGACGTCTTAAATGTTCCGTAGAAGATTGTAAACCTTTCATACTTTCTTCCAAGAATAAAACTTTTTCTTTCAGTCGTTGTCTTTCGCTTTCAATGATGGAATTTCTGGATTTTTCATCTTCGCTCTTGCGTTTCCATAAACGAATTTTCTCCTTAAGACCTTTGTTTTCGTTTTCGAGCATTGATTTTTCGCTCGAAAGCTGCCGAATCTGTGTTCTCATTCTATCTACAAGAAGTTCGTTTCTTTTCAGCTCGTTGAGCTTTTCGAGAAATTGTCTATTCTCGTTGATTGCTCGAGCAAATTCCGCAACAAGCTTCTCACCTGGCAAAGTTTTATGGGTTTGAATTTTCCCCCTATCACTCAGTTTATCCTCCATTATTGCTTTATCAAGAATCAATAAACAGTTTAACAATGCTTTGTCCACAAGTATATAGCACAGTGATCTTTCTAATGAAGATGATGGTTTCTCGCCGTCGTCAACGGAAGAGCAAGAGAGTTTGTTGAATTTTTCTTCGTCGTCATGTGTGTTGCAAAGTAGATTTGATATTAGCTCTAGCAACGTCTGATCGTTCCTGCTATCAGCTAGGAACAAAGAAAAAAGTTATTTATAAGTAAATGTCGAAACGTAGCACGGAAAGCGCAAACTTAATTAAAACATTTCGCCCACTCTAAATGTTTTTAAGACCACAAAAGAAAGACAACTATAAATGGAATTTTCTGTTTATATGGTTTTCGTGACAACTAGAGAGACGCAATTGTATGCAATAAATATTTATGAGAGGCAATTAGTCGGGAGCAGCTGCTTCAATAAAGCTTTCCTTAGCCTTCTTTACTTTGAAATAAAATAATTTGATATCGTTCATTAAATATGCCTAGTTTGAAGATCCACATAGACAAGAGGTCGGAATAATAAGGAAAATTCTTAGCATGCTTGTTTTTCAATTATTTTGAAAGAACTTTGTCCACAACAAACAGTTCTTAAGAGGCCGGTAGAACAAAGCTCTGCATGATGTAGTTCTACGTATAGCAAGTATCATGGATCGTTTGAAAATTCTCTTGAAATTCATAAAGCTACAATGCAAATGACAGGCCAATTCACAAATACTAAAGATTCACTTTAGTAAAATTAATTTCATTTTCCTTTTTACATAAACTAGGAGGGTTCAGGTGGCTATCCGTACCTTATCCAAGTATTTTGCATGCATAACTTGTTGACACATAAATGAAAACAGCTGTTTTTCATCTGATTACAGAAATGTTCGAACCATTTACACAGTGTGTACTTGACCTGGAAGAAAATAAACTCAAAACAAACTTACGCTCTGTACTCAGCTCTTTTGTAAAGCTTGCTGTGACTGAAGTAGAAAATGCTGGACATATTTGTCGGTAATTTCCTTAATATGACGTATGGCATCGCGTAGTGCATTAATTTTCTCAACAGTTCCGCAGTCATTTTGATCAGCGGATAAGCCATTCATAACGAGGACGTTGTTCTCTGTTACATCAATACCACTGTCTGAAAGGTTATGGTAATGATTTTTAAAGTAAAATTTAAACATAGTTGATATAAATACTTCATGGGCTTTGATGATAAAAATGTTTGTCAAATTTTTTTAGGGGGGGCAGGAGCTAAAATAAACAGGAGAAAAAAACGTTAATAGACCGAAAAAGAAATCACGGTCAAAAACGTAGATAAATTTGAATGCGAAAGTAAAGTATTTCATAGCTCATACTCTATAACGATGAATGGTCTTGCAAAATTGCATTGAATATCATGGAATATCACAGACCCAAAGATCGACTTATTTTTTTAAAATCGACAATATATGTCAGTCTCAGTCATACCGTCTATAACTGCATGATTTTAGCTCAGCAAGACAAAAGAAACATCTTTTAATGATAGAAAGCAAAGAACGATGTCAATATACACATCGTGTTGAGTGAAAAACACAGCATGACTGCAGCGTTGCTTTAGTAAAGTTTATCTAAGACTTCTTCAGTTTAAAGAGGCGTGTGTACCCCGAGGGTCGTGTGAACGATGTCACATGCAAGTCACACACGTCATGCTAAATCTTAAGTCTTTTTAATGTTATATACAACACGTGTTGTGTTGTATGCAATACATAAAATTTTTTCATAAGAAAGGTCAATGTCAACTTATTGTTCTCAAAGAACAGCATGTAGCTAGAAGTATTTAAAACAAAGCGACGCCGAAGCTTCTGGTTGAATCAATGAACATACTACAACTGATGAAGTGGTTTTGGTGCTTTCAAGATTCCTGAACGCAAAAAAAAAGGATCCCAACAAAAACTGACATGAATATGTGGCTACAAGATTCTAGTCAGAATCACAGATAATAAATTCACCGTACAATCATGAGTTGCCTCCTGCAAATGCATGTGAAATACGTAAAGTTAAAAAAAACTTCGCGTGGAAAAATTTGCTATTTTCTCACCCCCAATTTGCTTTCTAGTCATTGTTGCATTGTATTAAAAGACCGTTTAAATGGTGAGCCGGATATTACATTTTTATGAGCACTTGATTGCTGAAATGTTTTGATCAGTCATTTATACATGGGGAAAGGTCACAAAGACCTAGGAAACCGGATGGTACATTCTAAAGACAAACAAATAGATTTACGAAAAATAACGGCACAATAACACAAATTTCCGTCACTTTATAAAAAGTCATGCCATGTTTGAACGATAGCCTAGGTACACCGTCCTCACAACTGCTAAAGAAAGCAGTTTGTTGTCGTTGGCTTTTGTAGTTGGAACATTGCCCGCTTTAATGAGGATGTACAAATAGAGCAAGTTCTAAGTGTGTTGAAATACACTTAAGATTGATTGTTAGAAATAAAACATCATAGTTATTATAGATTAAAATATTTTAGCATAAATGTTTGCACGTAAAGATGGACTAGTTTACTTTGCGATGGAAAATCGCTTTGAATTTACGAGCTACACGAATGCTTCTCGCCATAAAACCGTCAATTAGAACTATTTGACAAAATCAACTTTCTTAGATGAAATCTTCCTTTCAAAGACATGAACACCCATACTAAAGGATTGCGCATGTATTCGTTTCTATCTTACTATTGGTCAAATACGAACAGACTTATTACTAGATTTTACATAGTTGGTACAGGAAACTTCAAAACATTGAAGACGTGATCAAGTGGGAGGTTACATACCCGAGAACACATTTGGAGAAGGTAGAGATAATGAATCAACGTTAACACTTCCTTTGTCATCGAAAGTTGACGAGATTGTTGGACATGATGCGATTATCTCTTCTTTTCCTATATAATAAAAAGCTACATTTTATTTACTTGTAAACAAGAAATGTTTCAGCAAACTTGTTCGAGAAATGGACTAGAATGAAACATGTCGTTCTCTATCCCAGAAATGCGCAGATTATTATGGAGAAGGCGTCTCCTATCAAATGCTTTTTGTTAAAAATTTGTCTTTCGAACAATGACTTTAATTATGCATTAGGCGTATCATAACTATTCCAATATCGCTATAAATTTACTGCGCAACTAGATAAAGAACGTTACCTTTATAAATACCCGACCATACACATATACGACACATATCACATTTCTTGTTGAGTTATTTAAGTTATGAAGCATAACACAAACTTAAAAATTTCCAGATTATGTACATTTATATAAGGCAAAATGCACATGATACAAATTTACGATTTTACTACAGATCGATATAATTCACTGAGGGTAAAGTCAAATTAATACATTAAAGAAACAAAATGTATAAATGTACAATGGGAGACAACTATGATGTAATTTGTGACAAAGAATTCTTTTGGCTAAACTATTACTACCTGCGCAAAAGGAAGCCACGCAACGTTGCATCTTTTACATGTGCACTTATTGTTCACATCATATGTTATGAAAATTATCCATTTATCTCTATGAGTAAAACGTTTTGCCTTTTTGTAATTATTCACTTCATTGTAGCGACATTCGTTCTATCCGTCAAATCTCTCGATACGCGCGCGAGAACAGCGCACATGTTAGTCGTGATGTTCTTCAATGTTTTGCGGTCGCTTCTTAATTAACACCATCCGTTCCAATCTCTATTAATGTACGGCTACAGGCTTCGCGGCGGGAGGTTTGAACAGTAAAGGCCTTAATTTTCAATAAAGAAAACATGTTCGACGAATGTACGTCAAGAGGGATTAGGGTACTTTCATTAAACGCTAGAAATAACCTTCTAAAAATGTTGAAATATAATATCGAGCAATATGAGGGACTCAAAACGAGAATTAAAAAAACAATGTGCTGCCACTTTGACTCAGTGTAGACTCTATAAGTTTTCCTAAATGGTTAATGCAATACAACCGCTCAGTAATTAGCAGGAGCGTCGGTAAAATCACAAAGCATACGGATAAATCATTTCATTTACATGGTAATCAAAGAGCACGATATCGCATGAAAATCTCGCGGCCTTATATAATATGAAAGCGATGGTTTTGTTTGTCCTGTAAACATTTGCTCGAGTTGGTCAACTCAATAAAATTTTCCAAAATAGTTTTGATCGATGTTTTTAATTAAAATTATCTCCGCGCATGTATTTGAAGTTAAAAAAAACACAAATGCAATTTTTTAAAGTTTGTTGATAAAAAAAAAGAGAGAGAAAATCGTCAACTATCAATTATATAGGTGAGTTTATGACATCGGTTCTTTAAGATCCATATTTAAAACATTAATGTGATGTTCCAGACTTTTTGACGAGTCAACAAATACTAACGAAACAAATTCGTTAAAACCACCAACAACAAGATATCACAAATTAAAAGCAACTCTTTTACACTCTAACAAAAACATGAATCAAAAACATGTTGAAAATACTTCATTATGACTTGTGTAAATTTACAAAGGGTATACACGTTTCTTTAAATATCTTTGTACAATCAGCTTATATTGTATTGCTACATCATATTTTGTGATAGACTATAGAGGAAGGCAAGCAAATGAATACACCTGTATGATTTGAGACTCGTAATTTATGGACATAGTGTCTGTTAAACATACATGAACAACAAGTCAACAACAACAAGTCAACAACATCAACAACAAGTCAACAACAACAGCAACAAGACAATAACAACAACAACAAGTCAACAACAACAACAGCAAGTCAACAACAGCAAGTCAACAACAGTAACAACAAGTCAATAACAACAAATCAAGAACAAAACCATATCAACAACGATAGCAAGTCAACAACATAAAAAATCTGAGTTTTGCAATTCAAGTATACCACGAATATCAAGCATTACTGTTATGATTAAATGCTTTACAACGTCACAAACTATTCGTGCCCAGGGTTTTTGTGACTCACAAACAACTACGTAGGAAATCGAATTAATGCAGTCATGTCAGCAACTGCGTGTGATATTATTGTCATGAAGACATTTGATTGAAAAATTCCTGAAATCACTTTTGTAATTAGCTTTTACCATTTCGAAACAAAACAAATGATCGTCGTATGAAATGAAAAGACCAATTCATTCTTCTCAGATAAAATGGTGAATAAAATAATATCGATGATGTATAAATGTATCACTAACACTACTTAACCCCGCACTTCATTGCTTGATGGTGTGAACTGTCGGTTAAGCATTTAGTACATATTTAACACTACCATATCTTTGTGTCACGGTAGTATTGTCAAACTTATAATTATTTTATTTGCCAAACTGTCTAGGCCTTGCAATAAAAGGATGTTCCCAGTATTCACAAATTGATGAATGAATAGTTTGGCATTCGGGATTAAAGCGGGCTAATGTTGAATAAACAAAGCTAACTATGTTTTTGTAGCACAGCTAGACGTCGCATTAAACTTACCCGAGCATTCAGAACGATTTTCAGAAGACGACTCCAGTGGGCCTTTATTTTCTTTCTTCGCAAACGGAATCTCTCCAACGAACTATGTAAAAAAACAAACACATTTAATATTGTGTCGAATTGCCAGTCTATAAATCATGAACGAAGCAAAGACTGAACGTTGTCTGTGGTCAATATACTTTGAAATTCTAACCTCTGCCTATGAATAGTGCCTACAAATAAGCGCATGAATTCAAAATGATCTCATCTACGACAAATGAAGACGCTTTGCTTGTTTTCGTGGCCAGCAAATGACAAATATAAAAACACGAAACTAACGTTGATTCGTCTTTCAGTGGGATGGTTTGGTAAAGCCGGGCTAATTTCAATAATCTCTGTGGTATTAATATTGTATGGGAAAGAGATGAACACGAAGGATAAAACGATAATTGAAATATTATACTGGCGCTGAGTTCAAGTGCAGCAAAGTTGAAAAAGATAAAAAAACGAGCCAATAAGCGTAGAGAAATTATGGGAGGGAATGACAAAAATAGGAATCGTAAATTGGAGATAATCTTTGACGAAAGAAAACTCGAAAACTATATCGGGTGTAGGAAATGTAAGAAAAGAAATTAAGAGGCAAAAGAAAAATAATGTATGTATATTTTAACAAAAATCATAAGACAAAGTCACAAAAAAGATGCTCGATTTTTTAAATCAAATTCTTGTCCAATGTCTCCGGATCATTTGAATGTATTGACGTTTGGTTGGTTAGTTGGTTGGTTGTTTTGCTGTTTTGTTGGTTGGTTGGCTGGTTAGTTGGTTGGTTGGTTGGTTGGTTGTTTGTTTGTTTTGTTGGTTTGTTGGTTGGTTGGTTGTTTTGTTGGTTGGTTGGCTGGTTAGTTGGTTGGTTGGTAGGTAGTTTGGTTGGCTGGTTAGTTGGTTGGTTGGTAGGTAGGTTGGTTGGTTGCTTGGTTGGTTGTTTAGTAGGTTGGTTGGTTGTTTATAACACAAATTTGAACCTTTTGACGCTAAGCTCCTTCCTCTGACATGACAATAGATGTGTTCGCGAGGGCATTCCTGCATAATATCATTGACCAACAACGTTAGGGAATGTAAAATTATTGGCTCTTTTCATCAAAGAATTGCCTTTTATTATCATTATTCTGGCGAAGCTGGGATTATCCAAGATTTTTAAAATATGCCCGATTAACGAATTATAAAGAATTATTAACAGTAGGGAAAAAAACCGTAACAGCTGGATTACAAGACTGAGAGTGAATGAATGACGACTATTTCCAGGTTACTCGACTCAACCTTGACGAAAACACACACGAAGCAAAGCCTGAGAGTGTGTGAGAGCTCGTACAATCAATTTCAGCCATATGCTGTCTTCATAAGATAACACACCAGCCCCCCCATTGCCACCTGTGATCTCTATCAATCCTTCGTCGACATTACACGAACGGAAACAAAAAATTTACGCTTCTCTAAATACGACAGTACAGCGTTCACTGATAAAAATTTCAAAAAAACATCACAAACATCATGGCCATTTTAAATTTTATGTTAGGAAATCGTATTGAATTTGTAATCCTTTAGCAAACTTTAGCAAACATAATGTGTTAATATAAACTACGGGCGCTAATACCTTTATTAGTCGGAACACATTATCCACGAGTTTCCGCAACTTCATTTGCAATTGATACAAATCCTGAGCATCTCGAGTTCGTAAATCATTGAGCAAAGTCTCCGTTCTTTGATACAAATCCAAAGACATAACGACAACGTGAATGGTGAACTTACACAACATGACTAAATTACAAGTTGAACAAGTGATGTCTTTGTTTTGAAGCTTCGCACTTTCATATCTTGTAGCACATTTCAAATTCTGCTTCACACCACATGAGATGTGAGGACTGAGGATCTACATGAGCATACGACAACATAGATATAGAAACAAAAATGTGCTTATCATGTAATCTGAAACACGGTCTTTCTAATGGCTCAATGATATTAATCAAATTGATGTCTACATTAGAAAATATTCAGTTTCTTCTTGTCAATAAGTGCGTTGATAAAACACACAACTCTTCCGGTGTTCGATCAAAATTGTCGCTACAACACAAAGTCCGGTAAAGACTTCTAATTAATTACAATATCTTTGAACGCCTTTTTGGTATTTGGAAAAATCACACTTGGTAAAAATGTCGAACACGAGTTGTGGAAAAGATTTTGATTGATTTGAAACATTAAAGGATTTCATCAATTTTGAGTGAAATATACAAATACTTTTCACAAAAAATTTTCGCTGAGACAAAAATTGACCTTACTTTGTTTATGAAAACTACACAGCAAGTCATTTAATTATGAAAACTTGACATTAAATGCTTTCAGGTTTCACCTAACCATATGATCATGTCTACATCAGTATGTAAGAATCAGCCAATAACTTTACGTTGAATTTCAATAACTCCACCTTTGAAATTTCAACTTCGGCATTGTTCGAATTCCAAGCCAATGTTTTTTCATTTCATTCAACTTTTTCACGGAGACTGTTTCATAAAATATTTCCATCAGAGTATCGTGGAAGCCTACATAAGAAAACCGCTCACCTGCTATAAGCACATCAGTTGGTCTTTATACGTAGACGCTCGGCGGTACTCAATGCCACACAGAAAGTTAGAGGGTCAAACTACAATGCATGAATAAGCTAAAAACCAAAAAAATTGGACATTTCAGCTTTAAAAATACGACCAAAACACGTTGATAGCTATAAAGTGCTGCGTTAGGTGTTATTGAAGTGCGTTGTTGGAACAATCTTCCATAGCAAAGCAAAAATATTTACGTAACAATATCATTTTAGCTGAACTAAAACATAAAAGTCATTGCCATTTATGAGTTTCTCACGTTCTTACACTTTGTACAATTTGTTCACAAAACGAATCACCACGCAATTACTCTTTCTGCTTGAACATCACGCGAGAAAGAAAGAGGAGTTTCTTATATGAAGGTTTGATTTTCTAGTGCGTCAATACTTTGACGAGAGGTGGTTTTTAAAAATAACATTATGGAAGTGTGTCGACATCTCATTGGGACCGACAAAGTTGTTTTTCTACATTCTTCGTCTTAATGATAAAATCAGGTTTTTATCTTCTTCTCCTTTTTCATAATGACACAACTTTCGCAGTTTCGTATTACATCTAGCTAAAAAGTATCTTTCGCTATGGCGAAACATTGGTAAACACATACTTCGAAAAGAACTTCTCTGTTTACGTTATCGTTTCAATATTTTAAACATGTGATTTATGACTACGCTAGGGACTGAAAATCAAAAACCAAGCTTTCTGTTTAGTCGTAATACATTTTTAATTTGATCGACAATCTCTCTCCAGGGAGACTAATGATTAATGATGTGAGATCTTATAAACACCACTTCATAAACAGCACACCTTATCTTGTTGAAGATGTTATGTATAATAGCATTAATACATACCCGTCATATTTGGGCTTCCATCGTGATGTAAGGCTGAACAACACTCCTTTCACGTTCTCAGCACATTCCAAACAAGGTAGCATAAAATGTAGATCGGTATTTAGGAGTTGACTACATTCATCTCTGTAAGTAAGCGTAAAAAAATAAGAGAAGTTATCAAAGTTTGTGGCTTGATTTTAGACATTAAGTCAAAATCACCAAATTTCACATTCTATGTACTCTTGACTCACTTCAAATAGCCACAGCAAGGATTTCTCATATCTTTAATTTTTTCTTATCTTCAACAACAACTTGATGCTTGAAATAATGGCAAAGAGTCTAAAGACCTGCCTCTCAACGATACGAGTTTACAAAAAAATGAAAACGTTTTAAAACCATCTGGAAGTAACAGTTATTTTGAGTTGACATGATGTATACCTTTTTTCCCAGGATTTTACAACAGCCCTAAAACATGTTGACATTGGATAACCTTCAGTGTATTCATTGCCACATACAGACAGACAGTCTTTCATTGATGAATCGACTAAAGGTAAATAGTTTTGTCTCGTGCAGTGCAATAAACCTCAAACGAAGACAATTGAATTAACAAACGAAATAATAGAATTTACACTAAAAGTTTTCACAACAAACTTACGATACCAGCAATTTTTGTATCTACTTTGGTTTTTATCATCCTATATAAAATGTGGCAATCAGAACTTTGACTAGAACATGGCCACAACCTCTCAGTCAAAGTTCTTAATCATCATCATTCAAAGAATCAACAAAGACTTTTAGTTCGGTAAGAAAAAAACAAAAACAAACTAAACTCAGACCTACATTCTGAATAAATAAAGTTCATCGCTACTTTTTTTAGTTTCTTCGTTGGAGTATGTTTAAGGAAGATAAGGATACTGCTCTTTCCCACGGTTCATTAACTACGAAATAAGATCCACCTTATAAACGTTAACACACGTTGACAATTATCACATGTTAAAAACAATGGATGCGTTTTGACTAATAATTTCACAAAAAAATCCGGCATATTTGAGTTCTTTTCACGTCACTTCAAAGGCTGATTTTCACTTGAGTAATGGTCATATGCCCAGTTTTCAAAGTCTCCTCTCTGACGAATAAGGAAATAAATTGTCTTAAAAAAATCTGAAACTTGGGTATGGTTTTCTTAAATGCCTCATACACAAATTCCAATTGAAAAAAGTTTCGGAAACACACACGACTAGTATATTGGATGGCAAGGAAAGGAATGGAAAATAAAATCGTTTACAATATTATTGGAATAATTAAAAATGAAACGAATAAATAACGATGTTTTCATTCGACTGAATTTTATATTAAATAGTTGTAGAAATAATATTTATTACAAAGCTTAAAGGGAAAATTCTACTTGTCATTTATTTATGTGATTCCGTATTTTATGAAATGTTTTTAGTCCAAAACAAACATTCAAAGTTTGTGGACTCTTTCTCATTGTTTCTTGTAATACGAAAAACCGACTATATGGAAGTCAAGTTTTGTAAAATTTACACGTTACCCGTCAACGTTCTCATAAAATCATCTCGTTGCAAATGGCTTCGTCAAACATTGGCCAGTCTTCGGTAATGGATGCTCATAGTAGTATTTTACTAGATCTCGTAGCTCTTTAAAATGCTCATCATCGTGAAGAGATGGATCAAGGGTGTATTTATCCTAAGGTGGAAGAACAAGATTACGATCATAAGGAGATGGTGCGAAGCAGTGTCTTTTTATCTAGGCAAAATTTCATTTTAGACTTTGTATTCCATCAAGTAGGGCACACCTTACCTATTCTTCATGGAAAACTATATTTATCTGTAAGGATACCTATCTATCCATCTATATACCTGGTACACCTTACAATTCCATGGCTTATGACCGTTTTGTAATTTTCAAGCTTCAAAGCACAGAGATTGCAGAGCCGCTCTGCAATACCCACTGTTGAGTGTATCATAACTGCTGATTACGTCAAAAAATTTCATACTTAAACTGGTATGTAAATACCTGTCTCTTGAAAATGAGATAATGCTTTACACCGTTGGATAACCAAACCGATAAGGACTGAAAACAAGAAAAATTTAAAGTTTTGTTTTCAATTTCACATGTTTGTTGATATTTACCGTTCTGGGACCGGTTGCACGAAGCCTGGATAGCATAATCCATTGGATAGCAGAAATTTTCAAACTTGTAAAAAAATTATTTATATTTTTCTTACGACAAGAAATTTCGTAACCTTCGAAACAATATTTTAATCCATTAATTGCTCATTTGGAATCTTATATATTTTTTGTTTTTTAAAGGTTTTATAAAAGTTTAAAAAAAGGTGCTATCCAATGGATAACGCTATCCAGGCTTCGTGCAATCGGCCCCTGGTTTATGCAATTGTGAAGATGAATGTTGATGTTGACCGATGTTTTGACGTCCTCAGCGGCAGTTATCTTAACTGAGTCACAGTCGATATTTACTCGTCACGTGAGTATAAAGATGACTACAGCTAAGGATGTCGAAACATCAATCCACACAATCAATAATAGTTCTTCTTAGAACAACATTAACCTGCACGAACTACACAAAGAGGACTACAGCTAAGGATGTCGAAACATCAAACCACACTATCACTAACAGTTCTTCTTAGAACACCATTAACCTGGATAAGCAGCATCAACTAACATGTAACAATACTCCAAGATTCAAACCATTCACTTTTTACAAGTTTATCGATGAAGATGGTGCCATAATATTTAAACTTCGACATCATAAATCCATCTTACCATCTTTGTATCCGATGTTTGACTCGCATTAATTATATACTCCCCCAGCGTTCGACCAAGTTCCAGAAACCTAAACATGTCGCCAAGCAGGTCCAAATGTAAATGTGAAAATAATAAAATAAAGACTTTAACTTACACTTTGGCTTGATTTTTTAACATGTCGGGCTTGAAGCAATCAGCGGGCAAATAGTCAAATTGTTTCTTTTCTAAAGATGTTGTAATAAAATTACTTTGTATAGTACATATATACAACAAAAATAATAATGTAAAGATTTTTTTTATATAAGGCTCGCCATTTGTCGGATATGACTGACCAAGCGACATGAAAAAATCTTTTCAAAGCAACTTAGAGATTTAAAGTACTGAACTGAGCTACAAAAATTCATCAAAGCCAATCAACAGACGCTATCTTGAGAGAATGGAAGCTTACTGCGTTACACAAATGATTTGAATACCTTCGCTAGTTCGTGAATGCCTCGGTGGAGGTCTGGGAGAAGGTCTTGGTGGAGGAATGGGATGACTTTTGTCTTCTTTTGCCTGTCTGGTAAAACGGAAATGCTCTTCAATTTAACGAGAAAATGTTTTAAAACTTAAAAAATATATTTTTTGTGAATTTTACTCTTCTTTTACCTAATACCATCAAATTCATCGTTCCCAATGACTGCACAATAGGTGACAACAATGTCATCACTTGCACCATCTACTACATCATCCGTTGGAGGCGTCGGTATTGGTCGAGATTTCCCGGCGTGTATCGTAGCCGAGCTGTCATTGGCTTTATTTTCACGCAGAGGGAACGTAGGTAAACTGAAATTTTTTCCCAATAAATCATTGAGAGGTTGCCGACAGTGGTCAACAAAAATACCAAAGACAATCTGTCTCATTTTCAAATAATGAGAAAACAAATAGAACATCAAGTTTTGGGATGAAAAAAGCTCTAAACTATCACCTCTTATGTCGACCATGCGGATTCACATAATGCTGTTCTTCTTCTGAATCAGATCCATCTAAGGACACAACAAAACAGCTAATGAAAGCATTTGAACATAACTAGTACACACATAACTACCTCTTTTGACCAACCTGATTCAGAATCATAAAAATCCGGACGAGGAGGAAGTTTGGGACGGAGGGTGGGAGGTCTATCCTTATTATTTACCATTGGAGGGCCAAAACTGAATAAAATATGTGTCACAGCTTATCAACAATGTATCTCACATAGTTTGTAGTAAGCATTCTATTATTCTGACGTCACGTTAGACCTATATGACGTCATATTATATAATTATTTTAAATGTGACAAACCTTCGCTGCTGTCCATCTGTCTCATCATGACTGATCACTTGAGTATAGTTTTCCTCACCATCAGGTACTACAAGGTATAACATAGTACAATAAGGAATTTTTCCTATTGTGTACAAATGAAGAGTACAGCACAGCAGTAATGTTCAATAAGTACCACTTACTATCAATAAGTACCACTTACTAGTGTCATAAACCTGATCAACTTCATCACTGCCATTATTAGATGGTGAGGTTGGAAAATCAGTGGGAGGGTCTAACGGCTTTGGTGTCATCACTCCGATACTATAAACAACAAATAAAAGATTTAGTTCTTTTTTAAGACAAGTAAAAGCAGGTTTTTTTGTCTCACATTTGTACACAAACTTAATGTTTGCAGAAATCTCACACAGAAAATTTTTCTCTTTGCGACACTTACTTTTTTGGAAATGTTTTAGAAGAAGATGAATCTGGTTTACCAGCAATTTTTGATCTAAAAGAAGTTCAGCAGTGAAACAAATTGCTTCTCCAATTTACTGTTTGTACACACAAATTAATTAATAGAAAATGAATTTTAAAGTACACAAGATAAAAGAGTGCTCAACATCAATTTGAATACAGCACATGTCACAATTAATGGAGTTACTATAGTTTTATTGTTTTCATTCACCTGATGATTGTAATCCATGAAATACAGTGTAGTGAATAGTTTCATAAAACTATTTTCTTAGGTATATAAATGTATATTAATTTATATTAATTTATATATATTTTAGATTTCTTGCAGCAAATTGCAGTCATCAATGAGTGGCATAGCAAGCACAGAATAAGGAATCTACAGAAGGGTGACTTGCGTCAAAACCTTTGATGTTTTTGTTCTTGGCACCATTATTGTAGCTAGTTTATTAATGCTTTTTACTTGTTCTTAACCACAAAAATGATCTGAATTATTCCAGTAAGTTGATTAACAACTAAAATGACCCAAAGTAATTTCTTAAGACAAGATATTCTTTATTTACTCAGAAATGACATAATGTTATTTTAGAAGTTGGAAATGAGTGAAAAACCATAAACAACTAGTTGGATAATAGCAGACATGAGGGGGTCTTGCACAGTTGAGAAACCCTTCTATATAAGCATTATCCTGTTGTAGGCTTGTAGCCAAGCTGATAATTAGGGGGAAGGCAAATATTCATATATATGATTATCATGCGCATCATAATCCAGAAAAAAACAATTGATGTCAAAGGAAGTAATACTGCATAAATGCAAATAGGAAATTTTTGAAATTCATATTGGCATGTTATGAAACACCCAAATATGGAATCAAGCCTCAAGGCAATATCAAAAAATACAAAAGAGAGGCTATTGCCTTCAAACCAACTAATTTTTTCATACCTTCCTTTTACATTGGGCAGATCTTCTTGAACAGTTGGACAAGAAACTTTTCTTGAATCTCCAAGTGGATCAACATAATCATAATCACTAAAACACAATATCACAATTAATGAGATGGAAGAAATGTTTCGCCAACTCAGACATGGCAAGCCATATTTTGTCTTACCTTGGACAGTATCGATGAATATCTTGTTCAATGCTGGTTATCCAGCCCTGAAATTATCCAAATTTAAAATGTAAAAATTCAAAGTGATCAACAAGGAAGTAATGCTATTCATATACCATCATTTCTATCTTAGATGGTGATGAAACATAGTATGTTCGAAGCTCGCCATCATCGGGAACCATTTTGAAGACATATGGAAAACGATCTGCACCTTCTCGATCAGGAGCTTCAAGGCATCTAAATGTAATGGTGAAAAACTGTTAGGATTTTAGAGATAAAAGAACAGTTAACTTATGCTACGAAAATTTACAGGTAGCAACAGAATATAAAAATTTATTTTTTCGTTTGTTGACAAATAACATATAGAGTGTTTGCATGTGATGTCAAAACAGCCATGTTGGGGAGTTCATCAAAGTGCCAATTCTAAACTGTGCATGAAATTAACATAAATTCTTTTCACTATATGGGACAATTCATGGGATTTTCCCCCAACATGGCAGTTGTTGACACATTCCATAACTCTATGAAGTGAAATAAGAAATCAGACGAAATTAACCTTAAATAAATTCACTCCTAAGGTACCCAGTACATGTACATATAACTAATATTATATTGGATTTTAATCTCTGTTTATTAACTATAATACCAACCGATATCCATTTAGTGCAAATTTTCCTTTAGGTGTATGGGAATCAGTGTCTTTAAAGTAGTATATACAGCCATGATGCAGAACCATAAATCTACTCCTCCCTTCAAATGTAAATATGTTTGCATATTGATGTTACAATAAAGCGAAATTTATTTCCAACACAATGCAAAACATTAACCAAAAATACAAAAAAATACAACATACAAGTTCGTATTCCAAAGCCTTCTTTCCTCACCCAACCACTATGGCTCACTTCAAGACTTAGCAATTGTGCTGCACTGATAGATGGAAATGGCTCGGCCTTGCGCAAGTGAGGTGCGATTCTGTTAGGAAGGGTTACTGAAAATTTTTGGCAGCTTTCAAGTGTGTCATTTTCCTGATGTGTGGGGGGATCACTTGATGCTCTGGCCTTCATTATCTATCAAGACTATCACTACATGAATTGGTTATAAAATTCAATAATTACACTAATTATTAAACAGTAATAAAGAGTTCAGAAAATATTACCAGCAAATCATACTGAGTGCGACACCTCTATAACACCCAACCATAAATTAAGAAAATATATTTAACGCCTTAAAGGTACATTGTACTTAACGTAAACAATCGATACGTTTCTCAGACACGTTTTCAACGATTACATTACATAATTTAGTAGTCGAAGTGTAGCACAATAAGTCGTCAAATTACGCCCATTGATAGAGAACTTTTTTATGAACATTACTACACCTGAAAAAAAGTCAAGTTACAATGACACCAAATCCATGCCAAGGAAAGTAGAAATTTGACGACAGTGAGAAATTACAAACTTCCGTCAATTGTAAAGATCTAAAAATCCAAAACGAGTTCCAATGACTTTGAAATTAGATTTTTAATCAGCATTAACTCTGCCTTTACAAAGACCGACCTCACCTTCAACATAAAGTCTTTTCCTTTCTTTAAGAATACTTTACGTAAAACAAAGAATTTTTATAAAACGTTTCATACAAAAGTAAAATACATTTCGTACTTCGGGCGCAATTGTCAATAAGGCGACGTTTTAGTTACAACTTCCGCCTGGGTATAATTTAGTATAATAAATTCATTCTCAGAAAGGAAAGTAGACAGTGCCAGCGCAAGTTAGCACAAGCACGGACACAACAATATTTAAGGTGAATATTGCTCTAAGCATGCTTATCTACAAAACAAAACGTATGTATATTATCGATAATCAAACAAAGCGAAAATTCATTGAGATTTTGAAGAATTCTTGAGTCGTGTCATCTTGTTTCTTGTAACACCTTCCGAAGTGCTGTTATTCACTCCTGACAAAGACAAGCTGCGTTGATTTTTATTTCCGTCGTCAAATTTTTTACGCATCTTTCCTTCTTCAACATCCTAAACATGAAGAATATAATGTGAATGTTGCAGAAATTATGCAAATCATCTACAAATTGCCACCTGGGAAATGTTCTCCTTTTCTTCATAATCTACATCATCATCACATCGTTGGCTATGAATTTCTAAGTTCACAGCATTCTCAGTTGCACGTATGTCAACGTCACTACCCTCGTTGTCCATAAAAATGTCCTCCGCTTCAAAATCAATTCCTTCAGCAGTATCTTCCAACTTAAAAAAGGTCTTAATGTACTTGAATCGTTCGTTAAAATACCCAAACAAAACGTGAAAACAATTGACACAAAATACAAAACCAACACACCTTCCTTGCTCGCACGTTTAGCTGTGGTGTCGTAGGAACATCATAGTTTTCTTTAAACATCTGCCAAAGCGTCCTTCTATCTTCAGTACGAGGTAGATGTGTGGGATATTTGTACTGCTGTCTTATAGGTGTCATACCTGTTTTGATAATGTATGTTATCGAGTATGCACAAATAATGTAATCTTTAATAGTTAAAAAATTAAATGCATCACCTGTTGAAACATCCTCTACCAAATCAACGCTAATGAACGTGGACATTTTCTCATCAATATGATCTGTTTGTGCAGAATGTTTTGACTTGAGTGAATCCAATGACTCAACCAAGATGTGCGTCAACTCTTCACTCGTCTGTATCATGTTATCAAATTGCTGTTCGTCATACGTTATATTTTCTCCGAGCGTTGCATAATCAGACAGCGACGTTTTGGCGTATTCCTGCAGAACAATGATTTCAAAAAAGTTAAAATCAACGATGGCATCCATATCAACTTTGAATCAACCACTAACTTCAACTTGTTTTTGTTGAATGTTGAAATGGCGTGAACTGCATGCCATTCTGTCTGTCAATGATTCGTCTATGCATTTCTGCCAATCTTCTGCGATCTAAATTGTTCGACTAAAATTACTTTACTCAATCCATTTTCACTATCACTTTCCAGATTCTGTGTACTCACACAAACTCCGTTGTTTTTAACATATAAACCAGTTTTTTCAACGTGTTTATGTAATTCGGCACTTTCTTCTATATCTTGGAACACCTTAAATGCAAAAGTTAAAGATGAATTTTACGATGGAATAAGTAGAAATCAGAAATCGGGTATTTTTATCATGGACTAATGAATCAGTTATTACTTCGTGCAAGGTGTCGTCTATTTTCTTTTGTGTTGTATCGAAATGCGAAGATATGACTGAAGCAAACGCAGCATCTTGCTTCGGAAAATCAGTCAATGTCCTAGAAATACATTACGCAACATTATGTAAAGATATTGCAGCAGCTCAAACATGAAAATACACTACCTTTTACTTTCTTCTACGAAATTCACATTCGCCAATTGAAGTTGACAGTGTTCTTCCTCTTCCTTAAAAAATAAATAACGTTAGTGCTTATAAAGTAAATGGTTTGAACCCGGGAATATCGTTACATGTTTGTAAATGTAGATCGTCCAGGTTGGTATAGTCCTGAGAAGGACGGTTTTTGTTGTTGTTGACTGACGTTTCGACAACCTTAGCGGTAGTCATCTTCAGAGTCAAAAAAAAGTCAAAAAACAAAAAATCAAAAGTCAAAAACAGTTCTTCTCAGGACTATACCAACCTGGACGATCTACATTTACAAACATGTTAGTGCTTACATAAGTCCAATCTAATGTTAGGACGTCGGTTGTTTGCATAACCATAAGAGTGGTTAGTAAAATTAGACTGTTATCGAACCTGCGTCCACTTTGACTCCAAAAGTCCACTTTGCATATCTACCGTCGATGTTAACTGCTCGATCAACTTCCGCATATTCTATAATGTACATATCAAAGATTTCTTTTACAAATCTTTCAGAAAGAGCTTCACCTAAAGTGTGAAATACCTACCGAAGTACATTGAAGGATCTCATCCTTTTTTTTTCGATGAGTACAGGAAATCTCTTTAATCTGTTTGGCCTATACTCATGCAGAGCGCAATACAACATTTTAAGCTTTATACATGTATGCAAACATTTAAAAAAGCTGGGTTTTTTATTTCTTTATGTAAAATGTTGAGTTTCCTGATTTTTTTCGCAGTTTACTATCAGATCAAGCGAAGTGAAGACCATTTGATGACCAATCGGAAACGAATGAACAGCAGATACGCTTTATAAGAATATATAACGTAGCAAGCAACCATTTATCTCTACCTGTTCGTTCATAAATTTATCTAGTCTTCCTTGAATCATTTCAACTGCAATTCGCTTTTGTTCCAGATATTCCGAGACGAGTTCCTCACGTTTTGCACTCTATTATAAATAGATGTTTTTGTTCATATTTCAGTTCCTTCTCAGTGTTAAAAAATTAAAGACAATATTTTAAGATCGGATACGATGGTTGTACCTGTTCGGCCATGAATTTCTGAATGTCACTTAAATTGCTTTGTGTATCTTCAAATGAGCGTTTCACACAGTCAATAGCATCATTCCATTGATTAGAACACACAAGTTGTAACAACTCGATCACTTTGTCCTGAAAGTATGAAACAATACAAGCGCTCGTTTTCTTCAAATACAATTAAACTACATAATAGGGCATTGTCATCGTTTTCCAACTAAACAAAAGGTCTCCACCCCTTTCCTCATAATGCCATTCTCATAGCAGCTGGTTGGTCGATGTTTCAGACACCCGGCACTAGTTAAATATTGCACAAGAAGCAACATCAAGTTCCATAATTATTGTGTATTGTCATAAATATTCTTAAGATATGAAAAATCAAGATGAAGTATCAAAGTGAATGTCTTGAACCAGGGAGTATCGCTACATGCAGATTTAGAACAGCATTCACTTCGCTCTGAAGATGACTGAGAGTTGCTATTGATGTCAAAACCCCCCATACCAACAATCTTTCTCAGGACTTGCATTAACCTGGATAGTCAACATCCATAGACATGCAATATGCGTACAAAGCCTGTTTAACCTCTAAACTGACGTTCTCTTCTCTCAAATAGAACTACAATAATCTCCATTCACCTTCTTTGCAGTGACAGCTTCAGTAACCGCTTCTTTCCAGTCCTCTTCACTGCTCAAATGCCTCTACGCAAGAGATGAATAAGAAAATCACAAACTGTATGAAGGGTTACAAACTTGAATTTGCCAGTTTCAAAACCTTTTCCGTGTCAAGAATATCTAATACGAACTGCTGCCTTCGAGCAAACAGGTCGTCGACAAAATCCTTTTGTCGTGACAGTAATTTATTCTTCTCTGTCACTTGATTGCGAAGCCATGTCAGGCGCTCTTGAGTCCTCGACTTTTCTTCTTTGCAATAATCAAAAACTGTCTGTTGTAGATCATCGATGCATTTAGAGAACTGGCTGTGATAAGCTTTCTTGTGCTTTGAATTTGTTTTCTCCACATGAGTTTTCCTTTCCAATGTGTTATGTAATCTAAAAGCAAGTTATGAAAACATTTAATACTGCGAAAAACATGTGTACTTCGTGCGTACCAGCTTTTACATTGCTTCAACATGATTTTCAACTACATACGTACGTAGCTAAACATTGCGATAAATGTACGTACTTATGAATATCCCCAGAAATATTATTCACCATTTCGAGCAATTCTGAAGATCGGGCGAACAGACGTGCCTCGGTTTGATCATACTCCTTCAAGACGAAGTCGAGACCATCGCGATCTTCAATTGTCTTTTTCAGATTACATCGCGTTTGATGAAGCACTCCTCGCGTGTCTTGAAGTTCATTTTTTGTACCCGAAAGTTCTTCACTTGTATCGCGAAATAATTGGGAGACAGTCGCGAACTCAGATTCCAGATGTGAGAGTTTCTCGTGTGTGCTTCTCAACGACTCTTCGCGAGATTTCAACTTGCTTTGCATGTCACTATGTAAGAAATTGAAGATCGAAAGGTTTTCAGGACCCTACATTTTTTCATTTGTGATGTCCAGGAAATGCAAATTCATTTCTATGGTTTTTTTCACTTACTTATAATTTTCAATAGCGAGATAAATTCCGTTCTTCTCTCTGGCTGCTAGAAGATCTTTCTTAAGTTTGTCAATCTCTTCTGTGTATTCCTGCATAGATAAAATATAAGTAACTGCATCCAAATGTAAGAGTTGTTTTAGTCAAAATACAGAACTGAATAGTTTTACCTTGATTAGTGTTTTTTTGGTTAATTTCTGGTTAATTTCCGGTCGATTTAGAATGTTCTTTGCACGATGAGCATAATCCAAGGTACTAAGTGTTTCCTGAAAAAAAACATACAACAACAAAATGCATTCGAGAGACTTTGAATGCATACCATTGGAGATAAGAAAAAAATTACCTCAACGTTACAAGAAGCAGGTGAAATAGTAGCAATTATGGTTGTCTTTGTACGCCCCCCAAGTGAATCTTGCAGCAATCTTGTCAGTTTACTTTCCCTAGAGTGCCAAATACAGGAATTATCATCAATTAACCAAAGCAAGAACACAATTTAATTGACAATCTGAACACTTGACATCATAATACCTGTATGGAATATGAGGTGCCCTTTCAACTAAAGCTGTAATTACTCTTCCCAAAGTCAGTAAACTTTGATTGATAGTTCCTTGATGAATATATTAAGATCCATATCACTATAATAAGTTCTGAAATGAAGTAGAGTCAAGACATTTGGCAGTACCTGCTTCACGAAGCCGTTTGTCAACAGCACCTGATCGACCAACGTTTTCACTTCCAGCTAAATCAACCAAGTTCAATTTACCCGTCTTCAACATCTCTTCTCCTGAAACTGAACTCTCCTTAATGTGAACAGTTACCGAGAAGAGGGAATGAGATCGACTAGAACATGAATATATTTCAATTAATGTAAATCTTTTCATGTTAAGAGGATATAATTTATACCAAATTTGGTTATCTGATGCTATGCTATGCTTTTCTTGACAAAGCAAATAAAGTAAAAGGTTTGAACCCGGGAGTATCGTTACATGTTTGTAAATGTAGATCGTCCAGGTTGGTATAGTCCTGAGAAGGACTGTTTTTGTTGTTGTTGACTGACGTTTCGACAACCTTAGCGGTAGTCATCTTCAGAGTCAAGGATGACTACCATGTTTGTTATCTGGTTCTTACGTCACGTTCTTGACAAAGTCAGTAAAATTTTGCATAACCAATGTTTCAATCACATATTCAATTCATTAGTTATAATAAAAACACCTGGATTGTGCATTCATGAGGGTAGCAGCTGTTTGCCTTTTAGCTCTTCCTCGCTCAAGAATTTCATACACTTCATTTTTATCTCTTACAATTGTCTCTTCAATACCTTGAACAAAAACTGAACCCTAGTGGAAAATGATGAGAACAAATGTTTGTAAAATCAAAGTGTTGGTTGTACTTCTTCTCGACAGCTGTACCTTTTTTGCAGAATCTTCAAATATTCTCAGTTTCTGGCTGTCTAATGAAGATCCCAAAAGATCAAACAGATCCTCATTATATATTTCCATGAAAGAGACTCTTACAGAAAATTCACAGTCCTAAGAGAAAAGAGTAACTTGATGATGTACACAATGCAATTTATGTATATTGGTGTAAGTTGTATATCAGCATATTGCTTACTGGCATTGCCTCCAACTGCTCAAACAGCTGCTGCATTGCTCTGGGGACAATTCCTGCTTTTGGTTCCTAAAAACATAGTTAAATGTGAGAACGTATGTATTCTATATAGCTGCCATTTCTTAGTACTCCTTACCTTGTCCCATGAGCCACCATCCAAGCTTTTTTCACCTTCCATGGTAAAGGTCTTTCCTGTCCCAGTCTGACCATAGCTATAAATTAAATTTTGATCTTATCATGAGGAATCGAGATGACACCGTGTACATCATTGCACATTATTGCTGCAATTTACTCACGCAAAGACAGTGCAATTATATCCCAACAACACTTCTTCAAGTAATGGGCAGACAACATATCGATAGACTTCAAGCTGAGAAGAACTGGGATTGAAAACTCGATCAAAACCAAAGGTTTTAGTAACTGATGATTTGTCAGCAATATCATGTCTAACTGAAACTTCCTTCTTGTTTGGTAAACACTCTATGACTGAAGGCGAATAGTCCTTTATTTCTTGACTGCTTCTTGGTCTAAGATGTTAACGACACAACGTATGAATGTAGACATAATTGCAAAAGATAGTAGACTATTACAAAAAATATGGAACATAAAGGAAGCAAGCAAAAATAGGTACATCTATCAGATTCTATGTATTCCAACCATTTGTGCACTGTATTATCTTACCGACAACGAACAACGACTTGTATGTTCTTTTCCTGTGAATCTTTTTTACGCATTGTGAATCCCGTAATAATTAAACACTAAACTGAGGACAACAATAGTAGCAACAACTTTAAAATGCACAAATTTGTGTCGATATACTTCTAATATAATACAACAATTTTCAAAATTCCAAATCTCTAACGTCCCGTCAAAACACTTTTGGCGTTTGAACTTACGCGTTGCTAAATTTTAACCAATGATGTGTCAGCTTTTGGAGACCGTCCATGTGATTGGCTGTTGTTGAACAAATCGCGACTGTAGAAAGAATAGATAGGTAAAATATGCAAATATCATACGTCATTATCATACGAAGAGTATCATAGTTGATTATTATACAACTGTCAGTACTTCGTTACCATCGGTTACAACTGTTTATTTCTGTGGTGAATAATATTAAAGAAATTTAGTAATTGGACATTCTACCTCTGATTTATTACACTTACAACCATTGGTTGCAACGAATTTGAAAAATGATATTTCTCATATGATTCAGGATTTGATTTTTGGACATCAATGGCATGAAAAACCAGGAATAAAATAAGAACTGATAAAATCAATATGAAATTTTTCTGAATGATATTTTGATTCATAAATCACCTTAATTAACAGAAATCAAAATTCATTTTTCGACTTTAAACTAATTACAGTTTTTATCTGACAATGTCTATTGTTTTTTAGCAGAGCAAAGTTGACCATGAATTGGAATTTGATATTTGTCACATAATACTGAACAAAATCTATAAAAAAGAATGGAAATATTGAAAGCAAGGACATGTAAAGCTCTGAAGTTTGTTTCAACAAAACCACAAAACATGTTTTTTGGCAATTTCAAGCCTTGGCGTATGGAAAGTAAAGGGGGGTCATAAAGAATGAGAAGGGGAACAGTTGAATGACTGAATATTCTCCACCTAATTGTCAATTCTGAAGTCTGGAATCATTGAACGAAATGTATGTGAATTCTTATGTAATCACTATAAGATTTAAAATATACATAATATAAAGAGCATAACTGCTGAACTTTTTTTTGCAAAAAAAAAGACTGTTGTTGTTCACAAATCACAACACCGCTTGCTATTTATTAATCACAATGAATGTTCTGGAGAACCTCATTCAAATTAAATTGCCTCATGGGTACTAGCAATACCGCAACAACAAAAACAAATTTTCCTGCCCAAATGAGAATGAGTAGAGATTTTTTGAAATTTTCATAATCAGGAAGTCGGGGCAATGGTACAGACACAAAACCTGCCTTGGTGCTGACTACATTCACTCTGAATACTTATTCATGTACACATATTGAACCATGAAATCTATTTACATCATCACATGACTCATAGTACAAACGCAATCACATAATATACATACGTGCAGTTAATTAATATAAGTAAGCACTAACTACAGGAGCGAGTTCTTGCCTCTAAATTTATGTCTATCATATTAGGATGCACTTTTGTGTCTATTTTTTTGATAAAATGTTGTTCAATGTTAACACGGTGCTTTGTCATCTAGTAAACAATTGGATAATACGTGTATACAGATGGATTTCCTGCTCCAAATGGTTTGTTCTTTTGAGCGCCTTTGTCGTTATTCTTCGATATTTTCAATGTCGCAATTAAGCTTGCTACGGCAGCTCCGATTACTCCAACCGCTAAAACACAGCTCACAGCTACTACAGCGACTGCAACCATTTTAAACCTGCTTTCCTTGCTTGTAAATCACGTTTCCTCGACAAGTTTTTCTTGGTTTCAAGGCTTGTTGCATCGAATGACATCAATGATCAATGGCTTATAAAATATCACGCTCAATGGTCAACACGTCACTAGCATAAATTATGCAACTATATGTCAGATTTATGTTAAAATAATAAAGGCTTATTGTGACATTGAAATATAAAAATCAATCAACTTTTTTCGGTATTGCCGCAGTATTGCTTCTCAAATTAGTATACTGAGTATAACAGAGCATCGCATTGCATTCTTACTAAAAATAATATTCTTCGCAATGTTCAATGTCAAGCGACTGAAAGGCAGCACGTCACAGGCACGTCTTTGAAAACAAATTTTGGCAGTTATCAATAAAATTGTTAAGTGCCAAAATAAACTTTCATTAAAGCGAAGTACATTCTGAATAATTAATATCTGGAAGAGGGAAAATACGGGAAAACAGCAGATTAGTACTCGGCGTGAAAGAGAGTAACGATGTACATACATGATCCATATATATTAGAAACAGCAATAAGGCTGTTTACTGAAGATCCAACTAGCTTTTGAAAATTGTCTGGAATTTCAAATAAACGTTTAACAACACAGTGCCATAGCAATTCAACATATAATCAAAATTCGACAAAAGGGCCTTTAACCTTGCTTCTGATTGGTTGCATAATTAAAGTATTCGTAGAACAAAGAATCCGTAACATAGCAATTTAACAAACATAGACTCTCATCACTAAGATATAAATTTGTTTATCATACTGATGTTATTATGCACAATAACTCTTCATTAATAACCAAAATACTAGAAGAGCTGAAAATGTTAAAATGTTTACAAGAAAATACAAGAATTTAAAGATCTAAGTGTGTATATGCTTCAGTTAAAATATATCTTACAAGCAGGTTTATGTAAATTTGTTGCAACACATTCCATTGTCATAAAATAGCAGTCAGCTAGTCACAAACATCCCATTTTGAGAGAATTGCTTTCCTAGAAAATAACAATTATTATTGACTGAATTAGTACACTCACTTCAAAAGATTTCTTTGCAAAACCATAAATTGACTTACCACAGTTGACTTCCCTTTGATGGAACGTATCACTGTTTTAAAAGCTTTGATCCATTCTGACATTTCAACTTTAGACTCTGCCTGGATATAGTATGTTCTGTTAGGAGTAATCACGTCAAATACGTTTTCTTTATTGCTAAATACCCTGGAAAATAAAAAATAGAACATGAAAAAACATATACTGTGCCATGCATGAAGTATACATCTATGTACCCTTCATGTTCCTTAGCTGCTCTTAACTCGGTGGCTGACACATACCCTCGAGGTTCCTTATCCTGCAAATGATAATTTTTTGAATTAGGGAATTAATAATGTTTGATGACTGGTTCCTTGGTCTAAATACAATTTGAAACCAAATTAACATTTCACCTTATCACAAGGTGTTTCATTCAATGTACTTATAAGTATAACAAGAGTGTTATTTTTAATGCTTCATGGCTCATTTCCTAAATTGGAACCCAAAGAAGAAAACTAGACATTGATGACTCACTGTTTCTTTTTCATAATAACAAAATTTGCAACTGTCCAGTCTTAAGTATCTTCTTTTCCAACTTTTCACCTAAATGAAAGTATAACTTTGACTTTTTCAGTCCCATGGTTCTATCTGCTAAATTTCTTGAGTTTGAGCTCACCACGGCACCTTGCTTGACACAATACCCTTCTTTGATTGGCTTAAGTGCCACGTTGGATTCAAGACTATTCTGACCACTGGGTTGCAAGGATGTTTCACCAGCATTCTTCATTATAATATATGTAAAAATAGTATCAAAAAAGTTTGTTTTAAATGAACAAAATGATAAAATCCTGCATATCATTCAACCTTTTTAGTTTTAACTGCTAATCCACCAACAATATTTGTTTCATAGACAGTTGCACTTTGTGGATCATTGGGATCTATTGAGTCATTGCTGTCAGTTGAGCGGATGCTTGCACCCCTCAAGACGTCACTGTTGTTACCAGATGGATTCACCTGAAATACACAAAGGGAGCACATGGTTTTTTTAAGGTTTGATGAATTTCTAACAGCACTCATAGTAGTGTCTGTCTTATAGCTACAGATACATCACACATTTGTTAGTTCATAACATTATCGTAACTTACAACAGCCTTGTGTAGAGCTTTAAACCATTCTTCAATCTCTTGCTCTTCATCAGATCTTAAGTACCACTTTTGTGAAGCTTTATGAATTTCTGAAAAGTCAAATGTACATACTTGCAAATGATAACATAAAATCATGACACAAGCCAAGCACAACTACTCTTACCAAAGCAAAATTGAGCATTTGGTTTACTTGTCGTTATAGCAACCTAGACAAATTACAGACCATCAAACTTTTACCACTTTCTCAATAACTAGGCATTAGAAAAGTGAACATTCTTTTGTACCTTTGTAATATATGTCAAATTGATTGTTTCACAGGGAGCAGCTGTTTTCAAATCCTGTTGAATAATTGAAAAACCCATCAGAATCAGAAAGAATTAAAATATGTTCACTAAAATGTACAAAGCTTGATGACAGTCAAGATAATTCACATTAACTCGCAATAAAAGTGTTCTTTGAACGTTATCTACAGATTCATATATCATTTCCATTCTGTGGGTTCTAAAATGTTGTGAGAGTTGGTAAATTCATGGATCGATAAATGAAGTATCCCTTTTGTATTACAAAGATTAATATGCGTTTTTTCCTAGGAGTCGCAAGCAATATTGAGGAAAATGCAACGTCTGCATTCTAAAAGATTTGTTAGCAAGATTAATTGAACCTGGCTACATGTAGCAATGTTAAATTATACAATATTATATACAAAACCTGAAAACCTTTCGTATCGTAGTAAAATTTCAAAGAAGTTTCATCAAGAAGTACGTATCGTTTTCGCCAGGCATTTACGAACTCTTGATTTTCAACATCCAAATAGCCAACAAGTCGGCCATAACTATCTCTTTTTGGCATATTCTAGACAGGCTTTTATTTCATATAGAGAGAAATACGTACTGTTAAACGGTCATCGATTAAAGAAATCGAAAAGAAATTTAGCTTCATAAAAACACAGAGTATTACCAATTTGCCACCGCCACTAAGCTCAAATTACGCAAACAAGAATTTCTATAACATCACTCCTCTAAACAACACCTTCTGCTTGACTCGCTTCTTTTAGGATAATTTGAACATGTATTCAAAAAATATATATCAGCCCTTTGCAAAACTTCAACACCAACTGAGACGCCACCAAGACGATAAAACACTTGATAAAATGCAGGCTTATCATTAGACTGGAACGCTCCTCTCGAAACTTTACTTCCGCATTTCGTATTATCAATCATTAGCTTAATATGACATAAAACTTCAGCACAAAATTTGGACTTACTACCTTGGTCACAACGATCATGTGGTGTGGTTAGTTTGCTTTTTAAGGACTTTATTTTTATAGTACGTGACATTTTGAGTAAACAAGGAAAAAGTGTGATTAAACACGGAATTCAGCGTTTGTGTACTTGGGTGGTTTGTTTTGAAAACGTTTAAGTCGATCGTCTTGGTGTGGCTGGTAAAAAGATTTACTGACTATAGATTTGAAGGGTAGAGCTTCCTCGGAATAGCATCGACAGGCAAATAAGCATTTACTGTTGGACATAAAATATTTCAGGTATTTTTTTATTAATAGTTGAACTATTTTCTAATTTCTAAAGAATGACGTGGGAAATAATTGAAATGTTTCAAAACAACAATTGCAACTATTTATTGTATAAATATAGTTCGATATAAACTATGTTGCAATTACGACAGTCATGTGAATATTTTTATTCGAGTTTTTATTTGTGTTTGAAAACCGACAACGCAAAGTGTTTGAGAAACATATTTCCCTATTTACAATGTGAGGAGCCTATGAATATGACCCCGCTAAGTATAAAATGATCAAGCAAATCGCACTTCAACTTATGAATTTTTAACGTTGTCGTTGGATTGTTTTGCTTATAAAGTAATTAAAGAAAAAAATGTGGCGATTAATTTGGAAAAGCAAACATTTTTTAAAAATTCCGGTTAAAGCTCCGTATTGTTCTAGTCGACTCTCATTGTTTTACATATGTTTTACTAACTAAAAGAACGGAGGTTCAATTCTTCTAAAGAATGAATAACTCTTAAATTACAGTTTTTTGTTCATTCACTTTAAAAACCCTAAAAGGGGTGATTTTTAAAGAAACGAATAATAAATTTGCTAAGTAATTTCCGTTGTTGGAGCGCTGGCCTAGTTTACCACTTGAGCAAACGACAAAGAACGTACACTCAAGCAGATAATCTAATGTATTCAGTCTATGACTGTCAGACTAAACCACATGGATTTTGCACGTCTTGACGTATGTGGGATGGTTTTTTGCCTGTTCAAACATTAATTCATACATCTGTATTAAATTATCTTAAATACAATCAACAAATGAAAGACGACTTATATTGTTCGTCTTTTTGTTTAAGTCTCGTATAGAATAGGATGTTGTACGAAACTCTGTGTACTACTTCCTTTAATGCCTGTTTTGATAAAATCGAAATCATTGGTCCAAATCTATCGTACAACAGCTGCGTGGAGAATGTGGAAATTAAATTAAGGTTCTAAGCATTAAATATTAAATATTTACACAACGTCGTATTTTAAAAAAGAAGCATTGTTTGATATAAAGTAGGTAGGTGTTTTTTATTGTTGTAAGGATGATTTTTATTCACATCTGATAAGTTTTCACAGAAATATTTTGTACTTCGTTGCCCTATTCAAAAGTTTCTTATGAATAAAAAAATAAATAATTATCACACAACAGGTTTCCGTTGCTTAGTTTGAAAATTCTGTTTCTGAAAACAGCATGAATCTCTGATAGTTATGAAATTATGTATGAAGTTTGGAAAATTTTGAGCGAAAAGTTATGCGTTATGAACCAAAATGCTTGTATATATAAAGCACAAACATTATTTTTAACAATTACAGCTGTCCGTATTTGTTGATGAAAATATAGATGACGCTAGTGTACTTTTGGTTTTTTGCATTGAATTTTCTCTTGTACGACGTTTTGGGTGAGAAAGGTAAGAACGATTAAAAATCTTTTTTATTGCTACGCTCACTCATAGCATTCATCTATAGCAAATGATATTGTTGTTATTGCATTGGTCGACTAGATTTTCCTAGATACACGTATACGCTACGAAAAAATCAAGGCAAACATTTAGAATTACGTAGAAGTAAAAACTGTTTAAAGGAAATTTCGTTTGAAATTAACAAAGAAATATTTCTTTTAAAAAAATCAAATCACTCACTCAAACACAGCAAATAGCATGACTTTGATGGCAAATGAAGCCATCTAATAAAAAATAGCATCCACATCAACAGATATGTAGATATGAAAATAAATATGATCCATTGCTTTTCAAAGATAAATCTCTTCAACACTGTTTCTGACACTTTAAAAAAGGTGCGCACGCATTTTGACGTAACACATTCATTAATTCCATGAAGATTTAGAAGATCGATGCATCCCAACGAAAGCCATATATTTAAGGCACTTTTTAAAGGGCAAAATAATGTGAAAGTTTCATATTGAAAATCACAAGGATCTTTTAATTTTACACCAAAATACTATCTTTGCGAGATATAATGAGCATGGTTATTCTTCGGAAGAAACCGACCTTCTTTTTACCCAGACATGACCATTTAACTTTAAAGAAGAGAGCGTTTTCAACAGCATACTGATATCAACGTTTCGAATTTAATACACAAATCTTTCTCTTTCTTTCCAGGCAAACTGACAACAGATGGAGACATCATAATTGGTGCATTGTTTCCAGTCCATATGATCGGCAAAAACGAGCTAGAATGTGGTGCATTCAACGAGTTGGTGGGATACCAATACATGGAAGCGATGTTATATACTCTGGATAAAATCAACAGGCGAAAAGATATATTGCCTGGCATCAAACTCGGTTCGATTATCTATGACACTTGTCGAAGTCCAACAATCACTGCGGATAAAACAAAAGAATTCATTAAAGTGACACTGAAACCATCCAAGATTAACAGTTCGGAATTTGCTGGTGTAATGGGCGCATTTGTTAGTGATAACTCAGTAATAGTGGCTAACTTTCTGAGAGTGTTCCGTATACCTCAAATCAGTTACGGATCTTTGACCGTTAAACTCAGTAATAAGATCGTGTATAAGTATTTCCTTCGCACTGTTCCTCCCGATAGCTTCTTTGCTGCTGCACTCACCAAGCTGCTCTTGAAATTGGATTGGACTTTCGTCTCCCTAGTCTACTCTACAGGAACGTGGGCGGAGACTGGTGCACAGGAATTGCGGAGCGCTTTGAAGCGCAGCAAGGTATATAGTTATTTGGGTTGATAACGCTAACGATGAAAGGCAGTTAAGGGTTTTAGTAATGAACACTTACTAACAAACAGAATGTTACTCTTCAGTGATTTTTGTGTGTAAGGGTTATACGACTTTGTTCGTCAGTGCAGGATGTTTGTCCAAAACCAATGGAGATAACTTTCTCAACGTTCATTCTCAGTTCTTTTACGACAAATACCCATACTTCCATATTTTCCTTAAACAGATTTGTGTTGAGAAGGATATCAAGCTTGCACGATTTCCAAAAAAAGAAGAAATAGACAAGGTCGTCGAAGATTTGACAGATGATGATGACCGACCGCGGGTCGTTATTCTCTACACGATTCAAAGAGATTCCCATGAAATATTGAAAGCGAAGAAACGACACCCACGCGGCTCGAGATTGACGTTTGTTGGCAGTCTAGAATGGAGTAATCGTAGGGACATCACACAAGGCGTAGAGGATATTGCTGATGGAACTATAGCGTTCGGTCATCGAGAGGGAAAGATTCCTGAATTCGAGACGTATTTTCGTAATCTAAGGTTTAATAACTACAGCAGAAATTACAACGAATGGATTGGAGAATATTGGCAACTCACTTATAAATGTAAATTGAAGAATTTTACAATTCCCACTAGTTACAGCAAAGAATGTAGCGGCGACGAACCAAACACGGGGTAATATGTTTTATGTGCTTTGCGCATGCCTAAAGGGCTTGGGAGCCCATGGGTTTAAGGACACTAAAATAGTGTCAGGCCAACAGCAAATATAGTTTGTTGTTTGAGCGTTTAGGATGTACTGAATGCCAGGTTTTAAGTGTGCCAAGTTTTCAATTTAATCAGCAGACTCTTCATCTTTACATGATGCAGTTAAACTCAATTGAAAGCAACAAAAAGCAAGCCGTTTCATTACTAGTTTTAACTTTCTTGTGTTAACACAAAATGAGCATGGAACACCAACAAATTTCGAAAAGTTTCCAAACGCCATGAGTCATGCTACAGGTGTGACAATCTTAAGATCTGCTACTATTTCTCAGCTTTTAAACACAAAATATTTTATCTTTTCCCATGATTTCATCACAAATTATTTTTGAACATACTAATTTGATTTTCCAACAGTTATAAGGAAATGGCGCCCGTCCAAGTCGTTATAAATGCTGTCCAAGCCATGGCAAATGGTCTTGATGCGTTGCATAAATACAAATGTCAGGGAAAACCGGGAGTTTGCAATGAGATGCGTCCCATAGATCGAACATTGCTTTTAAACTATCTCCACAACGTCACATACGTTGATGCAGCATTCCGCTTTCCGGTGTCGTTTAATTCAAAACAGGAAGTCGATGGTAACTACACGATATTCAACTTCCGCAAGACCAAAGGTACTTCATATGATTATGTGAAAGTGGGATCCTGGGTAAGTAAGCTAATATCTGGTGATATCGTGGGAGATTTGCTTTTCAATGAATCAAATGTTCGCTGGATGAACGGTAGCACGATTCGACCTCTGTCGACTTGTAGACCGCACTGCAAGCGCAACCAAATTAGCATATTGCGTGAGGACGCGTGTTGCCATGAATGTCAGACGTGTGAAACGATGGATATTGTTGTAAACAACACGTGCAAGACATGTGCCGAAGGTTATGTACCAAATGCAAACATTTCAAGTTGCCAGAAACTTCCGCTGCACTTCGTGAACATGAACACAGCTCTTGCTGGTATAATAACATTCTTTGCTTGCCTGGGAATTGCTGTCGATGCAATCGTGTTTGTGATTTTCATAAAGAATTCGGAAAATAAACTGATTAAGGCATCAGGTCGCGAGATGTGTTACTTGATGTTTGGGGGGATAGCAACCATATTTGCAGTACCGCTGACCTCTTTATCGAAGCCAACAAGTGTTCGCTGTTACATTGAACGTTTCGTCATGGGCATGTCGTTTACTGTTTGCTATGCACCACTTCTCATGAAAATGTTTCGTATTCATCGTATCTTTAAACATGCCAATCAGCTGCGCCGTCTGTCTCAAAGAAATATGATCAGCAGACAATCTTTGCTCTTGATCACGACAGGCCTGGTCGCAATTCAAGGATTATTCTGTGCACTCGTCTTCAGCTCGGACCCTCCTCGATTGATAGAGAAGTATGATGCAAAGACGAAAGAACTGCTTCTCGAGTGTGACTTCAAGAATTCCACGTTCGTCATCTACTTTATGTACAACGGTGTGTTGATCGCGTGGTGTACGTTCTACGCTTTCCGCACTCGTCAATTCCCGAAGAATTTCAACGAAGCTCTATACATAGGAATTACGATGTATCTGACATGCGTGGTATGGGCCATATTCTTTGCAACATTTCTCAACGCAAACAACAGCATTTCCCGCGTTTACTGGCAATCGTCGACTAGCCTTGTGATTGGCTGGGTCACTCTTTTGGGTTTATTTGTGCCGAAGATCTACCACTTATACACCAAAACTGAGATTCCCAATGATAGATTGCTCGCCTGGGGTACAGGCACCTATCCTGCAATGGAGGGTTCCATGGATAACAAAGGCTCGTGTCGACGTTGTCTTGAGATGGACGAAAACGTTAAAAAGAATGATTCGCCAATTCCTAAAGTTCTTGGTGCTATTTCGTCCAGTTAGTATAGAATTAGGACTCAAGAAAAAATACTTATCGTAGTTATCGCGATTTTAAAAGATTCTTCCAACCAAGGTTGCTGGCGTTTTATCATCCATTTATGATTGGACTAGGACTTGCAAAGAACTACTTGACTAGCAGTTAGTGTAGTTTTAGAGGATTGTATTTTTTATATTGCTATTGATTGGTGACATTAGTTGCCTTGTCGAATTTATAAACACGTAGTTTATTGTACATGAAATAAGTTCATCTTTATAATTAAATTATTTGATGAACATATGCAAAGTATCAATACAAGCCACGGTACATACCATGAGTCAGTCTTTACAAAAACATGTCTTCAAAGTAATCATCGAATTCTTCTTCTCTACAATTTCAAAATTTAGAAAAACTAAATTTGAACAATGAACTTCTTCAAGTTAGCTACATAGAAAGTAAATATGCTAGTTAAATTGAAAATGAGATCACCTTGTTTTATCAACTGTAACAATGGCCGGTTTCTTCCATATATCCCCACTTGATTGCGTTTTTAAATCGGTCAAAGACTCGTCTTTCTTTTCCATTCCTTCTATAAGATATTTGAACTTCATAAGAAACTACGATATCGACATTTGAATGTGAGTAACTATGTGTTTTCAAGCCGGAAATTTAGCGATTCAAATAAAAAGAAACCACTCTTCCGGGGATTAAAAATGAAGCTTACCATAAATAATATAGAGAAAGAATTAAACGTCCTACTCAAAATCATTGATTTTTTCCTCACCCGATTCCGATGGTTGATGATCGTTTGCATCGTCTGATCTTCGTGATCGTTTTGATTTCTTCAATTCTCGTTCTTCATTTGACTTTCGCTCCCCGCTTGACCTTTTTTCTTTACGTGATTTTCTTTCCTCGCGTGACTTTCGCTTAACGGCTTTCCTTCTATAGTTGACACATGACAAAGTAAAACTTAGTACAACTAAGTACAACTTAGTACAACTAAGTACAACTAAGTACAACTAAGTACAACTAAGTACAACTAGGTAAAACTTAGTACAACTTAGTACAACTAAGTACAACTAAGTACAACTAAGTACAGCTTAGCTATGTTTCCTCTAAGTCTGTCAATCAAACATTTAAAAAAACTGGCTATTTTTCCCGTTTGTCTCCAATGAATTGTTGTCTACAAACTAAGTCAACATGACAATAAAACTTGTTGCCTTACATTTCTGTCAGTAACATGTTAATCGCAGTTTTAATGGACGTCTCTGTATATTATGTAGGCGTGATATGAATCCAAGTAGAAAACTTACTTGTGATGATAATTGAGTTTTACTGAGCATTCTGGACACAACCCTGCACGAAGAAAGTACAAAAAAAAATATAATCAATCTTTGTGCTGCATTAAAATTTGTCGCAGGAAGATCTGTATGAAAATTTTGAAAAATACTGTACTTAGTTTAACTAATGCGTTCTTCTTTTCTCCGTGTTCACGATACGAGAAGTTTACCTGAAAATTCAACAAGATTTTTATCATTTAAAATCCCATTGAAAAGTTAAACATGCGACGCTCTAGTGTTCAACCATCGCGGTTTCAAAATCTTCGTTTAATCTACAAGAGTTCTTCTCAAACTATATCATCCAGGCAAAGTTCCAAAAAGCTTCTGTCATTTTTACTTATCATTTAAGGCAACCTTAAAGATGTTTTATACATTTTTCATTGGTTCATAACATGCACTCTCTCCTTAACTGTTTCTTTTATCATGAATCAAAGAATTCTTGGATTTCACAACAAATAAGAATTATGTGCTTTCGTAGTCTCATTTAATATTGAAATAAATAGCATGCAAAGTTGTTACAATGATAACACTTAGTAAACCAACATAATGTATGGTGTAATTGAGCCCCACTTAAAAAAACCAATTATTTTTATCAACAAAGGAGGTGAGGCAAACACATCTTTGCAAAATAACATGATGAACATGTCCGAAGTAAACAAAAGCAATATAATACAGCAAGATTACATATAACAATCATAATAGAACACTCCATAGGCAGAGGACTGAACACTGAATGCTAATGGAAAACATAAATTTAAGATATAGTGAAAGTGTCAAACACCAAACCCATAAAAAGTTAACAAATTCAGACATGCAACCTTGTCATTTTCATTGCTCTACACATAAAAAGAGACAAAACCATCGGCAATTACCTCCCAGCTTTGAAGATTTGAGGTGACATTACAAGTTTTATTACCACATATAAACTGTCCTGAAAAATACGCCATATCTATAAGTTTAATGTGGGATGAAGAAATGATGCAACTACGTACATAACATTGATATAGACTAAAAACCTTTTCCAGACACAACTTCCTTTTCAACTCTCCATCTTAGAGCAACCTTGAATGATAAAAGAACCACAAAATAATCTTGAATTGATTTCATAGTACTGCCACATTACACAATTGTGTCTACCAACCTTGTTCTCCTTGTATAATCTTAAATCAGATATACAATATTCTTTGAATAGTTTGTCGTAGTATTTTCTTGCAAGTCTTTTTCTCCTATAAAATACCAGGAATTATAACCTTCTATTTAACAATGAAAAGAAAAAGGTTTTCTAACCATGAACTGTCATCATCATCTTCATCAGACCAAACAAATCTTTATAATGACAAAAAGGATATAACTTTAAAATCAAGGACAAACATCTACATTAAGTTTCACCATACAATAACAACGCAATACGAACCTATGTTCCTCCTTTAAAATATCATGATCAGTTTTATCATACGAGCTATAGAAAATTTAAGTAAAAAGCCAAAAAAATTCCATAGTTGAGCATTGAAGTGAGTCGTAAAATAATGAATCAGTATTCTCACCCATCTCGTTTGAAATCTTTCATTGAACCACCATAGTATTTCAGATAGTTATTGATGTATAATTTATGTCGAGAGTACTTGACATATGTTAAGAATCTTTAACATTGTTCTATTAAGTTATATATGAATAAAGAAATGCTGAAACATAATGGTGCATTAACTGTGAATAAATACTGTGAAAGATACAGCATCAAGACGAAGCAAATGGAAACGATGAATTTTAGCTTCTTCACTATAAAAGCCAACTTATTGATGAAATGAATATTTATTAACATCCAAGAACAACATAATCGACAAACAAACCTATCGTATTCTGAGGTCACTGTCCCCTTTGAAGGAAGACCAAACGTATGATTTGGAGCTCTATTGACACCAGATAATTGATCATCTCTCCAGTTTCTGCCAAAGTTTTCAACAAATTCTCACATTTCTAGCATCCATAGTTTTCATTTAAGGCATCAATATCCTAATATGAGTGTAGCTACTTGCAAGAGAATGCATACAAAAAGACTGACACCGTGAGCAACAGGCAATAATTACAACAAGATTATAATGGACCTTTTTCTCTCGTCTTCATCAACTTCACTGAATTCCGATGTATAGCCTCCTGAGCCACCATACCTAAACTAAAAAGCAAAACGCTGATAGAAATTGAAAATGAAGTTTTTCTTTTCTATCAAAAATTCATAATAATTAAATGTAAAAACTTTTAATTCACCTGGTTTTCAAAACCTCGATTATTGACAGCCATTTTGAATACGTCACAGTGAGAAAGTTAAGAATTGGTACGCCGTGCGGCACACACCAAACAAATTATATATTTACTATCACAATTAAAAAATATACAATTTCACACTGTAGAAAAGCACAGTTTTCCATATTCACAACAGCAGTTGTTATGATAGCCGTTGATTTATATAAAGCAAGAGTTTTTCTCGTGTCTGGTGTATTTTTCACGAGAATTCACGGTTCAGCTTTCTATGACTTTCCTGACAAACTGTGGTAAAGCAAAACACTGTCGACGTACGTCTGGGTTATAGAAGTGCATTTGAGTAATTTGTTCGTACGGTAATTGTTGAACTGGATTTTCAAAGCTTGTGTTCTAAAAACAAGAAACGTGTAGAAGAAAGTAGAATCTGGTAGAAGAAAGTAGAATCTCATATATACATACAGGATTCATGCTTCGCAGAAGAAACGTGGCTTGTCCAAACGGTTTCGTGGGAATACAAGTATAAGCAAGTCTTACACAGGAAAATTTTGTTTTGCTATGCTTGAATAAGGTGTTAATAGCGTCGAGATCTGTCCAAAAACTGGGAACTAAACAATGTATACGTTGAAATAAAACCAATTATTTATCTTTAGAAGAATTTGTAATTTTCCTTCCTAAAGCCCGGTGTCCCGGAAAATTTTCTCCCTCCACAAAAATGGACATTTTTCCAAGTAAATATGGCACCCTCTTTCGGAATCCATCCCCACTTAGAAACTTAAACTTTTAACACGAAAATGGTGCAATTTATTCCAAAACTAAGATCACAGACAATTTAAGATATTACAATTTATGTAGATCTATACATTTTGCAACATAATATCAAATCGCACTTTAGCAATGACATCATTCGTTGGCGAGCATGTTAATATTCCCGCAACAAACAAAGAATGAGTAAAAAGAACATCAAAGCCTTGACTGACTCACATTTCATACAAACATTCTGCAAACGGATTTCCGCACAATAAAACGTTCAGTTAACACAACAATCGTTCAATGCTGCTAAAAGCTTTATCAAAAAAAATATTTTTTTTGGGGGGGGGGGGGGGCAAATTCCCTGTGACACCGGTTCACACAAGTTATATAGCTAATGTAACAACGATAAAGGAAAACCTTCATGTAATGCAATTGTGTTGTAGGAAATGAATGTGCTTTCATAACTGAAGTGACACTAGATCGTTAAATCGTATACGTCCAACCTTAGGACATACTTACGCTGACATATAGAAATTCCATTAGATTTTAAGGCTAACTTTATGACATCACCAGTTGACGTCGGCAAAAACGTTTCCACAGGAGCTGAAACGGATATAAAGTACGTGTCATCAGCAACAAACTCGATATTCAAAGCTGGACCATCATTATGATTAAGGTTACATATAATAATGATGTCATAAGCTTACATGTAATAATGATGTCATAAGCTTACATGTAATAATGATGTCATATTTCATGGGATGCGATCTGAGAAATTCGACATAGTTGCCAATGTGGATTTCACGTAATTTTGGATGATCATAACCACCAAAATATTTCTTACATACGTCAAGAAGTGCCTACGATACAAATATGAAATGAAGCTAGTTATCCTTTAAGGAAATCAGGCACGTAGCCAATTGGGGGGGGGGGCAAAGATTCATAATTATATTAATTTTATAGTCCTTGAAAAAACACTGCATTTCAAAGAAAACTAATACGGTATATCATGCAAATATGAATATTGGTGCTGCAAACGAAGCGACAGAACTATACCCTAACCTGACTTTCCTCGCACATATAAATCTCTTCAACAGAAGCATATCGCGATACTTCATGTAAAATAGCACCACTCAAACCACCTATGATCGCCACCTACATTTTAGAGCGGGTAAAAAGGAAAATGTCTGCATAGAAAAATCTGAAACAAGGAAAACCTTTTTCGGATTCTCGTGACAGCTCAAAGCAAGATGAACTAAGGATTCATCCAAGAAAAACTGATCGCGTTCTGTACGAATAATGACGTCGTTAACTGCCATTACCTTTCCATAAATGAAACTAAATTAATAAATGCAACAAAAATTTTGAATTGATGCATGAAAGCAAAACGAACAATGAATACGAGTAATTAAAATACTTTTCGAAAACAAGCACTTTCTGATCATCAATTATTTCCGAGATGTGAACTTCTTCTTTAATCAAACATAGTGATTGGTCAGGAGAGTTTTGTCGCTTTTCCCAAAACCAGTCCTTTTCATCCCTTGCACCAGTTTTTCTAAAGTCTTTCTCACGCTACAAAACAATCACAAACGAGATGAATGAATTTGGTCATTCTTCCTACAGACAATCATTATACCTTCTTGAAATACTGTGGAAAGACACAAGCCGTGCTATGAACATCCAGTTATAAAGTTTGAAACCAAATGAGGACAAATTTTCATTGAAGCCAATGGCTGATCAAACCTGGTTTCCTATTGATAAAAGTTTCAAGGATGAAACATTTTATTACAATGTTTGTACTAATCTTAGCAGATATATGACAATCATCAATGTGCACTGACTGGATTGGAACTGCACATTAGAAATCCAATCTGTCCACATGGATAAGTGGGAACATTAGTGTATGCATATTGAACAACGGGGAACAGTTGGTTGCAGAACTTCATCATATTGTTGATAAAAGCAGCATCTAGCCAAGGGCATTCACCTGGTACAAAGAGCAATAACTAAGTCATACAAAAACCAAAATAATAAGCATCATTCAATGATGCTGAAGGCAAACCTTGACTGCACAAAAGTCCATCTGGCTTTAAAGCAAATTTCATAAGTTGATAATATTCTTTTTCAAACAAAGAAGCAGCAGGTCCTGTCATAAAATTATGAAACCATCAAGAAATCTTTTTTACCTAATTTCATATAAGAATGACGGTATTTTATAAACTACATGGTTTGAGAGATCTTATACTGTATACCTATAGGATCAGATGAATCAGTTATAATGACATCAAATTCCCCCTGATGCTTCTTCATAAACTCTTTACCACAGCCAATATGTAGAGTATGTTTGGGACTTGAATAACCACATGATAATATAGGTAAGAATTTCTTTGAAACATTTACAACTTCCTGTTGATGAAAGTCACATGGGGCAACAAGTAAATATAATATGTTTGTATCCTTGTGAACAAACAATAATTGGGACTAGTTCTACCTCATCTATTTCACATTGTACAATAGATTCGACAGAAGGATGCTTTGCAATCTCTCGTATAACACCCCCATCACCTGCGCCAATAACCAAGACCTATTACAGTTATGCAATCAAAATTTAGAATGGCAAAGAAGTTAGTGATCTAATATGTATATCAACTTAGCAAAAACTTAATTCTTCTAAAAATACCTTCTTTGGACAGGGATGAGAGCTCAGAGGAAGATAAGTTATCATTTCCTGATAAGTAAATTCATCTCGATCAGTACATTGTATACAACCATCTAGTACCAACACATTACCATGTGACTTGCTGCAAGATAAAATCACACTTTATTTCATCATAAAAAGAAGGAAAATCCCAGAGCTTATGGGACAAAATAGGATGTCCTAAGGGATCATATTTTAACCAACTGGTGGAAAATATTCGTTGACTTTAAGAACTTCTTTTCACAACACAGCTCAACACACTAACCTCTTAAACACAAGAATATCTTGAAATTGGGATCTTTTATGATATAAAATCTCTTTAATCTCAAACGACATGGCTTGACCATACCAAAGATCATTGATCTCGGAAAACCATCCATCTTTTATGAACGCCATATGTTATTTCAAAGCAACGATTGTATACAATTCAACAAGCACATGGTAAACCGTGAACCGGAATTCCAACAAGATTGCCTAATCCAAATTCTTGTACATAATGCCATGGATAAATCATCACATACGTATAATGGCCCTTATTTTATTCGCAAACTCGAAGGGTCAAAGTTCGCTTCTTTCCTCAGACAACACATGACACTTGTGCAACAAAGATGAGCTCATTCGTTCTCTGAGCATTATGCAATACCTATTTTCACAATTCATACCGCGTAGAGATGGGTTTATATTCTTGGTTTCGAAATTTAGGATTGTTTGGGAAGACGTCCGTGGTCCTTGGCGGGGGTGTTGTTAGCTTTGGTTTGGGTTATTGTGCCTACAAACTATTTTCACGACGAAAAAAATTGGAACTGTTTGACGAGAGTCCTAATAATGGAAACGAACATAAACCTGCTGTTCAGAAACGTGTTTTGGTACTGGGTTTAGAAGGTTGTGGGAAGACTACTTTTCTTGCTGCTATTGCTAACCTTGGTTCTGGTACAGTAGGCAGTGAAAGTAAGCCAACTGAAGGATTTAATGTTATGTGTGTCACAACTAATGGCGTCCATCTGAACATTTGGGAAAGTTAGTATTTTGTTTATCATTTTTGTGTTGTAATTTTAGAATGGTTAATGTATAAGTAAAAAGTACATATACTTGTACATATGCAATACTAAAGTACATGTACAATGCTACTTGCTGTCTTATTGCTTCAAAAGTTTCTTTTGTTGTTGTTTTCTATTTTACAGTTGGTGGAAGTGAAAAAGTGCAAAATTACTGGTCTAAGTTTACAGATGAGACTGATCTCCTTATTTATATGGTTGACTCGAGTGATGAAGAACATTTTACAGAAGCCAAAGATAAACTATATGAACTTTTACAAGATTCTTGCCTACAAAATACACCTTTAATAATTCTTGCTAGCAAGCAGGATAAAACTGGAGCTCATTCAGTTAACTTTCTTCGAACCATGTTTGATGTTGACAATCTTCTTTATTCTCGATCTGTGGAATGCTTTGGAATACAAATATCTCCACTTGGACCAGAGCTTCAAGGATTGGAAATTGTACAAAACTCTATTTTAAAATTTTGTATGGAATCATAAAAGGATTAAGTTTGAAGATGTGTTATATTTTGAATTTATTTTTAGGCTTTGACTGTATTTTGAAAGTACAACTGTAAATATGAACTTCTGTTGTATTTTTGTTAATTATTTTAAAGCTTATTATGTCATTTATTGCTTTCGTTTCACTCGAAATGACAAAATCATGAAGTGATATTTACAAATCTTTTTAATCTAATCCCTAATTGATAATACTCGTTCTCCTAATCTTAACACGATGTTTATAAGCCATAATATTCAATCGACATCTCATTTTAATTTATGTCAAAATCATGTATTGATACTACTAATCTTGTTAATCTAATCCCTAAGTGATCCTCCAAATCCTAGCGAGATCTTTATCAGCCGGATTACTCAATCTAAAATAAGAAGTGTCTAGAGTAAATAAGTATCCTCAGCAAGATTCAAAATGGCTGGCGTACGAAGAAAGCGTTCACAAAAGATGAAACGTGTTAACTCAACTTGTCCAGGTCGTAAACTAAAGAAGAAAGGCAAAATCAAAGTTAATATTGAGAGGTTTTTAAAATACGTTGAAATGGCAATAATTTGCTGGCATTTCAACGTCACGTGTTTCGTTATCTTCACAGTAAAACCATTCGCAAAGCATGGGACAAATCCAAGACGCTTAAACAGAATTTTATGAGCCTTGGTCTCGCCTACAACATTAACAAATTAACTTCAGAGGAAAATAAAGTCAGTACCACATGACCATGATGAGAAAAATGGAGGAAAAATTTATGTGTTGTGTTAATATGTTTAAATTTCAGGATGATGATTCAATGGAAATCGATAAGAAGCCAATCAGTTCAACCATTAAAGGTGATATGTAGAACAAGCACCTAGGGATTTTTGTTATTGTAATTTCACCCCACCACCCCACCCCCACCCCTGCCTTAAAGCAGTACACACTGTGAGCTAGACTCAATTTGTGTTTAAAAAATAGAGCTTTATTTCTCTAGGGCTTGAAGAAGAGGCTTCTCATTGCATGAAAAAAGAAAGGCATTTTTCGCCTGGTGAAGCTAAATTTATTTGGGAACTAATTCAAGATCATGGCGATAATTACGAGGTGATATTCCTAGATAAAATGTGATATTCCTAGATTAAATGTAATATTCCTAAATCAAATGTGGTATTCCTAAATCTAATAAATGTAATATTCCTAGATAAGATGTGATATTCCTATATTAAATGTAACATTCCTAGATAAAATGTGATATTCCTAGATTAAATGTAATATTCCTAAATCAAATGTGGTATTCCTAGATCTAATAAATGTAATATTCCTAGATAAAATGTGATATTCCTAGGTTAAATATGATATTCCTAGATCAAATGTAATATTCCTAGATCGAATGTGGTATTCATATATCAAATGAGTTCAAATAAGAAAAGTGCCTAATTTGTGATTTTGTATTGTGCTTTTAGGCTATGAAGAAGGACAAACGTAACTTTATGCAACATACCGCCAAACAACTAAGACGAAAGTGCTTGAAATTTTTAAGCTCCAGTCAGAATTTTGCAAATGACATGGAAAGTTAGCCAAAAGAATTGTATATATCTTAATGCATTCTCCTACATAAATAGATGAAATGTATAATAACTATTGAGAGTGAAAGACTATCTTTTCTTTGGTCGTGTAGTGATCACTTTGTTTCTATCGTGTTTTTCAATTTCAAATTTTCAAAGAATGATTCTTAATCATTTGTGTAGAAGTCCAGTGTTTTTGAGATGTTTCTTGCAGCAAACAACACGTCTTTTCACAAAAGCTTCTCAATGCTACAAATATTTGATTGCGTTCGTCATTTATACAACAGTCGCCCTTCTTGCTAATGGTTGTGCCAACTCTCTGATACGCTCTGTTGGAGATCTCTGAATTGCGGACCTGGAAACAGGTCTGTTAGGTTCTAAAGGTTTTCTATATCCACTTGCAAGTCTTTTGGCTTGTGCAAGTTCAAGCGTTCTCTGCGATGGTACAGCTTTCAAAGCTGATTTGGAAACGGCCCATTGTGGATCTTTCGTTTCCATGTCTTTCCTGCACTTGGGTTGAGCAAGTTGCTCAGTCCTTGGAGACGCCCGAGCCCTTTTTGCACCCGCACTCACAGTTGTGGGAAGAGGCTTTGGAGGCTCGTATTGGTTGTGCACAGTCTTCGATCGCGCCAATCCGTTTGTTCTTGATCGTTCTTCGGCGTTTTTAGCTGCTTCACTGACTTCCCATATTGGCGATGATCTACCTGTCCCGTCCATACGCCTGGTCGGGGTAAAAATTTGACAACTTCAATAATAACATACGCTCAACAAAAGCGTGAAATAAGTTTAATATCTACACGGCTCACATAAATTGCTTCAACCATTCGTGTTATTCAACCAAACTTTAACTTCCAGCTGCCCTTCCTTTCATCTCTCCTTATTTTTCAAGCTAACTCAATGAAAGAATCATTTCCACTTACTTTTGTTCAATAAAACCTTCGGGTTGCGGTTTTGGTTTAGCAAGTTGTAGAACTCTATATGAAGCAATGGCATTCATTGCTGCTGGACTGACTTCCCAGATTCCAGATTCAACATCCATAATATAAAATGATCTGAAATTGACAAGAAAAAGTTGTTTCCACTATTTGCACTTTTTGGCAACTGCTGACTATCAAACTGAACACCACTAAACTTCACCCTGATGCGTACTTTGAGGCCTGAGGATATTTCTTAGGTTGGGCTAGCTCCTTGGTCCTAACTGATGCTCCAGCGGTCAACGCGGCTGGACTAATGGGCGACAAGGACTTTTGGTTTCCCCACTTTACGTACCTGAAGGAAAATTTTCAAATTAAAAAAGCCAAAGGATGAGATGATGACCAATTTATTTATAATGTTCAAAATGAAGATCCGAATAAAGACGCTTTTCACATCTCTGTTTTTAGAACATTGATAAAATCAACAACACAGCAACGTAACAAAGAAGAGAAGAATCTTTTAGCTTAACACATAGTAATAGCGAATATATTTTCAGCATAAAATAAATTTTGAAAAAACAAAACAACCTGAAATATCATAAGTAAGTGACATAAAAAAAGGCAAGAAAAAAGCGCTTGTTTCCTTGCTTTCAAGCGGTATGTCATGCAGGCAAGCTTTGACAATGAACAGAAAAATCATAAAAAAGTTCTTGCATCTGGTATCATTACACTTAAGCCCGTTGGATGAAAAAGAAAAATATCATCATCATACGATTTCGAAAAAAATATTTTTTAGCTGTATTTGTCGATTTCACCGAAGAAAATTTTAAATTTTACGTTGGGATGATTATATTAATCCAATTTATCCAAGTCAAGATAAATGAACATTTATAACATTGATCATGACCTGCTGCACGCAGTGACCTCACAACAAACTCAAAACGTCATGAGACTCTGGTTTGTATGAATTGAGAAATAAAATAAGATCATTTGAGTATTAAATTCACGTTTCCCTTATGTCTGTTTAATAAACAATTGCCATCGATTGGATGATTCTTGATTTCTTGTATAGTGTTAGATAATATTCTACATACATTGTTCGTGTTCCATGAAGGACATAAGCGATTTATTTTATTAAATACATTAATTATAACTGCCTTTGTCAACATATTTATCTAAAACAGCATACTGTTCAATACATACATCCAAGAATTCAGTTCCGATTCGGTACATACACACACCCCAACAAAATCTTAGATAGAACATTAATCTGATACGAAACATATCTGATATGATCATTCTTATATTCATCATAAGCTTTTCAGTGACACAAAAGTAGGATGAAGATAATGTTTCTCATTCCGGGTTAAGGTAATTATTTTAGCCGATTAACAAAGACTAAGGCATTATAGCAAGATAATCTTCCTACCTGAAAGCAGTCGCTTCGGTCGTCTTTGATTGTTTAGGCAGAGCTAGTCTGCTCAGTCGAGATCTACAAGAAAAATGGGAATTTTTCGAACGTCAGTCAACAGATGTTGTCTCTCTATTTTGTCTGAGTGTTTCAGTAAACCACTTCAAAATCGTTTTCGCTCTCAAATCCTGTATCCGCTATTCAAAATTAAATAAACATTTCAATGAAAGAAGATCAAGCACTTCGCTCCAGGGCAAAAGTAAATATTTCTCCTTGTTTTAAGAAACATGATACATCTTTGACATTTCGTTTTTCGTCAGGTTACCTTTTTGCTAACGATAGCTACAACGCGGATTAAAATCGAAGCGAATTGCAAGAATTCTCGAAATAATCAAAATTTTTCCAAAAGTACGAAGTTCTTGAATCAAACAAACATTAAACAAACTCACAATCCTCTCTCTCGAGTGGCTTTGTCCAACTTTGGTAAGGAATGATTGATCTTATGAACACGGACAGTTGCTATAAAATCATAAACAAAACCACTTGTTATCCTTAAGGCAACACATACTACCCTCTGACAACCATATCTAAACAACACGTCTCTATGAAGTAACAGTTGATGGCATTACATGATTTGTTCATGTGAATTCTATGTTTGATGGCAGTTGAAAAAACATCAGTACTATTGGAGATATCGCGTACGTATAGATGGACGTTGATATTATATAGAGTGAGCTATTGTTCATCCCAACACATGCAGGTAATTGGCCATCACTGAAAAACTTCTTTTGATTGGTTGGAGAGCACAACGTTACCACGGATACCAGACATAAGTGTATTAGAAACGTCTGTGTTAGAGGAAAAGTTTAATTTACTACTGTCAGCTTCTATGACTTTGAAATGTCTTAGTTCCTTCTGAAGATTTCATATGTTTCAGTAAGTTCTTTGTGACCTGGTCATCACAAGATGTTCAATCGTTTCATGTACTAGACAACGTTATCATTGGTTATTCTAATGTTGAAAGCGAGTGATAATTGTAAAGAGTGAACTATTGACCCTGTTAAAGCTTTAATTAAACATTAGCACGAGATTAGTACATCATCAGTCATCTAAATTACGCATATACAATGAAAAGAGCGAGAATACATTCAATGCCCAAACGAAGACTCAGAAGTGAGAAATAAGCTTCACACAGTAACACTTACATACCATAAGTGTTACATACACTGTATTTGATAACAAATGGAAAACAGAGAAAATGTTTTGTTATTCGAAACTGATAGTACAACATGCGAACAAAACGTCATTATGAGTTATGAAATCAGCTTGTGTTAAAAAGTAGAGTAGTTTGTTGTAGTAAGAGCTGTAAGAATTGGAAGAAGAAGGAATGCGTGAAATCTTATAAATGAACGTCCCATAAATAACCTTTTTCCATACGACGTTTTTGGAAGTTTTGAGAAAAAGAGAAAAGAATTAATATAATTTTGAAAACAGTCGAAGTTTTTATTGAGCATCATGTTTTACTGAACATATATTGAGTCGTTTTTTTTATTGGTAAATTGACCTTGACAGTAAATACAGCACACATTAGTGAGCAAAATAGTACTTTTAGGAAAAAGTCCCATAATTTTAGACAAAAAATTAGTAACTTGGCGATAAGGGATTTGAACTATATCAATGAAATCTTTAGGACAGACTCAGCACATTGTACTCCAAAAGTTGAGTGAAAAGAATTTAGCTGGATCAAGTAGATATGAAGGAGTGCTTGTTTTAATGTCAATAATGAATGCCTTGAGAACTGGATTTTTTATCAAATTTTGGCATTCACACTACACCCAAAATATGATATCTCAAAAAGGATTTGCGGCACGATATCAACGAGATCTTCAGGATAAACTCAACACATAATCTTCTTGGGGTCTCTGAGATTTAATGATAGATTTTGTGACATAATTATAAAACTAATGCAGTCGAACGTTCACTGATAAAATATTTTATTAAATAAGCTTTCGGTTGTCTGTCTATTTCTTTTATAACCCGTCGAAGGTTCTAAACAGACAGCCGAAAGCTTGTTTGATAAAATATTAGATCAGTGAACGCTTGACTGCGTTATGTATAATCCTGATATCGGATCACGCATTTTTTTCTATAAAACTAGTCTTACCTTCTGTAGAACTCATATATGCGTCATCAGCATGACCGCTTGATTTCGATAATTTTCGTGTAGCTGAAGAAATCGGGGAATTTTCGTCTTTTGAAGTGCACCACCTGATGCTTGCAGGTTTAGACCATGACATATCGTCTCTGCGAATCTGAGAACTTTCTTTTCCGTCAAGTGAAGTGTAAATATTGTGTAGTGGGACATCATCTTTTACAGTCGTTGTTTGTTTGTGAGTTCGTTCACTGGCACTAGCACAAGATGAGACGCTTGTACTTCGTGTTGAAGAACGCCGAGCTTTAGGTTGATGTTTTTTCTTATCTTTTCGCTTTCTATTTACTTGTGAATTTCGACTGGATTTAGATTTTTCATCCATTGATTCGCTTTCAAACCAAGAACCGACTTTATTTTTCCAACTGCTAGAGTCGTTGCGATAAGAGTTTGGACTACTTTGCGGAGTTTTTTCTACATCTTGACGCGACAGATTTGTCTGTCGACTGGTAAAACCTGACTCCTCATCTTTACCATTTGCCTTTCTATTCGTGTCACGTGACATGCTGTCATCGCCCATGCTGTGTTCACTGTAGCGCGAATTATTACGATTTGAAACAATTGAACCATCACGACGAGAGAGTCGGGAACGATTTCGAGTATTGCGACCGCAACTGATCGGGTCTGCGAATAAAACATTACGACTCACAACAAATGATCTCTCGGAATTTGAAGGATTGGATATTTTACGCCGACATTTAGTTTGGCGACTACTCAGCGTACTATGTGGTGTGGCTATGCTGCTGATAAGGCTGTTGACACTACTGGAGTAATGTGTTTTTAATGTTGATATTGTAGACTTTCCAGGTTGTTTGACTGAGCTCCACTCTGTTTCGATTGTTGAGCTCTCACTACCAAATATGGTTTCATTGTCGTCATCAACGGAACTAGTCGGTTCATCTTCGCTTGCACTTCGGCTACTCCCTGTCTGGCTACTATTAATATCCTCAAGATGATTTTGACTCTCGTCCACGGAGGCACAAGAGCTTTTACCTGAACTGCGTGACCTTGGTCTGCAAGGAATCGATTAAGAAAAACTAAAATAAGGAATATAAAAAAACAAATACCCAGTCTATTTGTCTATTTCCCTAAAACAATTATACCTGTTATCGTCAATACTTTTTTGTATCCCAGGAATATCTCTAATTTGCGGCTGTTTCAGAGATCTTATGCCCACTTTATCATTTTCAACGAGCAAAAGATTTGGATTCATGTGCTCTTTACCCTTAGATATCTTTTCATCCATATTATCAACTTTATTTGGTAATTTTGTCTGAATATTTCCCGTTTTGACGTGATTATTTTCGTTTTCCTCCTTAAAAACGTTCTTTTTAGCAGCAGTTTCATCCTCTTCTTTTCTTTTGTCCGGCTGTTGATGAATTGTTTGTTTCCAGTGGTCACTCTTTTGGTGTCTGGGTTGTAAACATTTTGTCTCATTTATTGACTTCGTGCTGGCTTCGAGTGTTTTTTCTAGGTTGGCCAAATTGGCGATAGTCAGTGGGGCTACATTGCTCTTGGACATGATCATATGAAATTGAACTAAAAATAAAGATTTCGTTTAAATGACTTGCATCTTGCAGCTCTTGCAGTGAAGAATTATAATCAGCGGTTGTAGGGGCTCTGGAAGCTTTTGAAAACTGAGGGTGGGTGTCCAAATTTTTTCATCATTTTCTCTCTAAAAAACTTTTTCCGATTTTAACAACAATTTTTCACCAATATGTTTAATCAAAATAACCTTGTTTTTTATACTACACGCGAAATCTATTTAAATGCTACAACGGATAGGAATACCATGGATTAACTCGCAAAGCCTTTTTTTTACATTCTATAAATGAACACAAATATTTTCTAAAATGTTTCTGTCGCTACTCATTACGAACAAATGCCTTGAAAATTGCATCGATGTCTATAGTAAAATAAGCATAATGAAACGCGTGCGCTGATTGGTCTAGAGCTGTGTTTGCATTAGCCTGTGCAAAACACATCTGAGCTCAATCAATCAAATCAATTAAAACAATCAATCAGTCAAAGAGAATCTGCAAATCGATCATGAATACATTTTAGAGAAAAAATTGAAATGTTTGTCTTTTTGCATTATTTTTATTTTTAAAAGAAAGAAAAGATGTTTACTGTGTTTACACTGACTTATGCAAACCTCGGAGACGTTTGTGAGAACTCTCGAGCATGTGCAACCCTCGACCTTCGGTCTCGGGCTTTCACTGATCTGCTCTCGAGTTCTCCTCTCCCAAAGGTCTCCTCAGTTTGAATAAGCCCGTGCAAACACAGTAAACATCTTTTCTTTCTTTAATGCATAAAGCATATCTTTCTAAGCATGGCAATGAAATTTACCATGGAGAACTAGTTTACCGAAGGATCAATTATTACTTTGAAAAATTTGCAACATTTGCGGGTGTACTCCTTATATAGGACACCCGCTGTCTGAAAACTGCGCGTGTTCTGACACCCGGACACCTGCTGCTTCCAGAGCCCCTGAGCTGCGGTTGTAAAAATTATAGAAAGGAAGTTAAAAGTTATTTTAGAACGATAGAAGTTTACCTGATTTTAGTGATGGTATGTTTGATGTTTCGATTCTAAAATGAAGGAAAAAAATTTGCCAAGTTGCTGTGATGACGTTATCTCTAAAATAATCAATGTTTTGCATGATAAAGCAAAAGCAATAATGAAGAACAAATTTCTAACACGCTTATGAACAAGAAATATTTCAGGACGCAAACGCGAGAAAAAAATTTGACATTCAGACAAACCTTTTGACGAAGAAATATCATAAATGTTATTATATTTAATTTTCCATTTGAACTATTTTTTAATCGAAGAAAATATGCCTCAACACCACGCTGCAAATAAACAGAAACAGCAAAATACAACGGGTAGTTACTAAGGTAATATATATACTTCAAGGTATCCTTTATTCTGATTGGCTGTTTTAAGTGCTGTTCAACGGCAACAAAAAGGCTGTTGTAAAATCGTAAAATTTCAAAATGCAGTCTTTCTCGTTAAGGTGACAAAATAGTAATGAAACTGAACTGACTATTTCACTAACTTCATCAAATAACTTCACCAAAATGTGAAAATATGTTGTCAAGGGTATTTGTCGGTAAAAAAAAAACTAATTTACTTGAAAATTGAAAAAATTGAATAGAAATCCATAAAAGCAACAACGTTCGGACTTTTAAGTGTATATCAAATTTGAGGAGCCTGACTTGAGTTTAATTTGTACTGTGTGTCAAAGGCATGTTATATAAAAAATGTTTAAACAGAAATAAAACTCTTGAGATAAAAACCAAGATGTTCTATAATTATATTCAATACGTGACAAAAGACGACAAGAAATGGACACACATTTTCGTGAATGACAATGATCATTATGGGGTCCCAATAATAAAGAAAAAACCAACGATGTGTAAATTATTAAGTATTCCTTAATTGATACAATATCATTGAGTATAGTATACTTTGCTATAAGCGATATTGGACGGCACATATATAAATTTTAAAACACGCTACACATGTTGATCACATGCTGATACGTTCATCGCCCTCCTCCTCCCCCTCCCCCCCCCCTCCTCGCAAGAAAGAAAATAAAAATAACTTTCTGAATAAGGAGAAGCCAAAAAAAAACAATTCTCTCTATCATAAAAAAATGATCGAATACTATTTCTAGAGAACTCGCGTTTGCAACAGCTGCTCTATGTATATCATGGGCGAAACTAATGACTTTCACCTGCCTAGTGGCAACACATTTTCTATCATTAATTCATTATTATTTAATCTAAAACGTGATCATTTATCAAAGGTAGAATCTCACAATCTAATTGTTATAATTAAAATGTTTATTTAGCTTCATCCAATAATCTATAACCATACATAGTGTTGCAATATGCATAAATACATGTTATTGATGAACTGTTTGTATAATAAACAGAATAATTTTAAATAAATATATACATATATTTAGCACGAACATGCCAGAAAGGAATTGTTAAAGCTGGCTATCGACCAAAAAATTATAACCAGAATTTTGACATAGGCTCTCTTACATATATTACTACTGTTGAACCACAGGAACTATACATGTAATTTCAACTAGAGGGTGACCCCAAACGTGTCTCCTTCTTCATTTCTCTATTCAATCGTGTGCCTAAATCGTGCAAAAAAAGACAATTTATTATATATATCTGCTAGCTGTGCAAAACGGCAAGTATTGTTGTGTTTTGACGTTAACTCATTTTATCAAATAATGCACCGACAAATGCAAGCAAATGAATAAGTAAAAATCAGATAAATCTGACGAAATCAATTTATATTATCGTAACGTAGTTAAGCGCGGCTCATTCGTTCGCAGTTGTTACTTTATTATGCAGATGCATCCAATCAAAAACAATGAACGAGAATAAAAAAATTGACAAAGCTGTCTAAGTTTGACACAAAGTTCCTTCGTACATACAAAGCAAAACTTCACGTGATAAGCTTAGGAAAAGAACGATATTGGAAGTAAAAGACAATTTATATAAATATCGAAACGCGCAACTTCCGATGTGGAAGAAATAAGCATTGATGTCAAAGATAAAAGAGTGTTTTGTGTCACAAGACATTTAAAGTAATCTTTAACTCTTTATGGCTATGGCAAGGTAGCAAGCTGAGACTGAAAAATAAATCTACGAATTTTCTCGACGAGTACATAGCAGTTCTCATGATGACCGTCTACGGGAACAACTCTCAAGATGGAGATGAATGCAGTGTACCCGGAATTATCGGCTATCCGGTGATTGTAGTAAACATTCTTTCTATTGTATTTGGTACATTTTCAAATATTCTACTATGGTTGGCAGTGTTGAAGAATAAACAATTACATACACTATCCAACTATTTTCTTCTCAACCTGAATACGGCAGACCTCATCGTTACTGCTATCACACAGCCCATGTTTACTCTTCATATAGCATCTTGTATACATGGCAAATGTTGGGAACTTTTAGAGCAAGCGTACGGAATAACAGCTTATTTTGGTTGTATAGCGTCAATCTTGAGCATCGCCACAATTTCCGTGGACAGATTGATCGTGCTCAAATACCCACTACAAAAAAGGACAATACTAACTAAAAGACGCGGTTTAGCCTTAATGTCAGTAACTTGGATTCTCGCTACCACATATACGCTGCTAAGCTGTGTTTATAAACATACGAAGACCTGGGTCTATATTACCTTCGCATTCTTCACAGTGTCGTACGTTGTCATGATATCCGCTCATTCGAACACGTACATGGTAAGTCATCGTTTTGTCCGCAGACGCAAAGAACAAGCAAGAAGGCAAAGCTCTTTACTTGTTTACCACAGAGAAAGGCAGGCAGCAAAAACTATCGCGATGATTATGGCCGTCATCACACTTGCCTGGCTACCTTACGGTTCCACGCTTGTTGTTTACTTAATAAAAGGTGTGAAGACAAAGGACAGCTATACTGTTCCCTTGCTTACGATAGGTTTTCTAAATAGTTCATTTAACACACTCCTGTACAGTTGGCGAAATAAAGAGCTCCGTGTAACGTCGATACAGTTGCTAAAATGTCAAGATCCTAATGTAAAACGAAGAGAGAGCGCGTCGTCGTTATATATACGAAGATCAAGAATAAGCACCGCATCGATCATTTTCAATGATTGCAATGTACAAGTACAGGATGCAAATAGCGACGTGAAATGCGCTTCAAACTAATTCCTGGTACTTTTCAGAAGCACGCGCAATGTATCATCTTGATTTTTGATGAAAAAACATCGCGTATTTATGTTTTGTTTACACAACATTTGTTATTGTTGAAAAACAAGGCGACAAAAAATGTTTTTAAAAAATGTAATTTGCAGAAGTAGTGAGAACGGACATTAATTATTAAGTGTTATAATTGATAAGAAAATCGTTCTGAATTATTCAAATTGATAATAAATCGAACAATTCACAATCAAATGCAAAATATAGTTAATCTTTTTCTGTATTTAATCCAGCTCTACTCTTTAACATAATCTATGACTATTTATTTTACTCAAAAAATTTTTACATTCATCATACGTCCACACATTTCATTCTTCATGGCACACCGCCGCCAAACGTACGTTTGTTAGTAAACTTATTATTGTAATAAGTTACCAGAATGCACCTCGGTCGTTGTTTGATTATCTTTAGTGACAAGCTTCACCAAGCTTCCACTTTCAGGTCTGTTGTTTCCTTCTGACCATTTAAAGAGTAAACTATTATTGAACAAAAAAATCATGTGAAAATCAATCTTCTTAGATGAAACACTACGACTAAATTAATCTCACTCTGCAACATATTCCAAGGATGTCCAAGAGGTAAAATCAGCACTAGGCATATTTTTTCGATTCATTGGAGTGTCCAATGTCATTCTACAAAAACAACAGTCTTGTTTCATATGAAATACTGATTAACACTATATCATATGAAACCTACGGCAAAATTGCAACTGCTACTGAGCCTGCAGGTAGACCACTTTCTTTGGCAGCCAAACTCTTTGTTAGTTGATGAACTGCAGCTTTTGACATGCCATAACCAAGCATTCCTAAGCCAACAACATACAAATGAAGACATCTACAAGTACAAACTAACTTGTTTTCCTAAACATACCTGATGTTCCACCCAAGGATGGTTGAGCACCAGTTAAGGTAAGCAGGCCATTTCTATGAAAAAATCTTGGCTTTCATAAAAAATTTTTTGATCGTTAAAAGACAATAACTACATACTCTTTTAAGTATTTTGATGCCATCCTAGCCGAAATAAGTGAAGTCCAAACACTTTGCTTGAACATTAAGTCTGCATTCTTGACCACATCTATGATTATAAAAATTAAGCTTCATTAGTAAACCATTCTTTTTCTTTCATCAAAAATGAAAACATGCCAATAGTACATAACTATGTTTTTTGTCACGCTTTTCTTCATTTCAAGCTTACTTTTGCTTTTGGCCGAGCCACCAGCCCATCCCCCAGCAACACAAACTATTGCATCCAATTTTTCCTCTCCCAAAATCTCATCAACTTTTGATAGAACCTAAACATTGTAAGAAACAATCTGGTGAACTATCTTTCATTCTTAGAATGCAATTCATAATTATTTATCTTGCCTCTTGATTTTGCTCAACCCAAGAATCTAGTTTGGTCACAACTATATTTACATGTGCTTCTTCGTTTGGATTTAAATCGACAGATGCAACCCACTAAATGTCATAAATAGAATTATATTCAGAGTATCAAAAGCATATTTTTATACTTGCTTTACACGTGCCGCAGCTCGTGCAGTGGGTCGGGCTTGGGTATAATGACACCAGAACCCGCCCACAAACCTTGTCATAGTGAAAATTTGTGTACTATGTTGCACTATGTATTGAAATAAATTAATATCTTGATACTTGCCCAATTTTTTGTCTTAAAATGAGAAATACAAGAAGAGCCAAGAGCTCCTTTTCCACCGTAAATTAAAACTCGTGGAAGAGCGGCCATTTTAAAATCGATGAAATCCAAATACTTTGTGTAAGACAAATGATGATGAACAAAATGGCGGTAACTCAGAGCGGTAAAATTCAAATTTTGTTGTCCTTATAAACAGAGAGTTTGTGCTTTAACGAAACTAAAAATGAACATCAGAAAGGAAGACGTTGAGCTGTTGAACATCTGGCAAACTTTTCAGTTTGGATTTGAGGACACTGAAAATTCGCACTGGAACAGAGCAGATGCTTCACGTAGTTTGATATTTCAGGTTGAAAAACTATTTCAAAGGTATCTAGGACTTTGCTGATATTACCATAAACTTTCTTAGTACCACTCATATTTATTTTATTTGCACGGTTTTTATAGTGGTGTTATTGGACCAACAGAATACCTTCACTTTCTTAACAAGTATCAGGATGTGTATTTTGATGTTGTGGACGAACAAGATGAAAGTAAAGGTATATGATGACAAGAAAGCGCTAATATTCATTTTTATTTTAACCTTCAAAATGTATCCTTCTTTTCTTTCAAAGGATTGAACAACTATGCTGAACAAACTCTTGCTTTAACGTCTGCAACATTCAGAAATGGTTTGTGAATTGTAATTGTCTGATGTTACCTAAATATTGGCTTGTTTAAAGTTGTTTTGTCCAGTTATGATGGAATGACAGTCTTTTCTTTCTACTCTCCAGATAGCGAAAGATGGAAGTCAAGTCTAACATTTGATTCGTTAGATGATTTTAACATCTCAAACATATCGTCTCAAGATTATAAGAAATTCGAAAAATCTCCCTTTAACATCAAAGCCAATCATCCATCAGTTGCCAGATCGTATGTTCAAGAAACCAACCAATCAGTCCAAACAACCACCACGAACTTGAATCCTAACGAAATATCTTTAGAAAACGCCAACAATAAGGACTTTGACCTCTTCAATAAATACAACTCTCAAAAGTGTCATACTCGTACTGCCAATGCGTTCACCAGCAACAAGGCAGTTGATACCTCTGTACGTCAAATGGAAGTGTTTATGTTTTATTGGAAATATCATGCTTGTGATACATATCGTAATTCTCTTTTTCAAAGTTTGATCAAAATGCTTCGAGAAACAAAGATCGAAATGAATTCGTGACAGCGAGACAACAACATGTTTGTATCTATTCATTGCTTTCCTTCCCCCCCCAAATGTTTCTTTCTGTTCTTGTGACTTTTCATTATCTAAAACTTAAGGTGATGAACGAGAGAAATAAGAAAGGTAAACAAAGCGGCAGCTGCCTGAATTCAGCAAATTATGTGACAAATATGAAAAAGTCACTTGGTTACCGGTGCGTATTACACATTTAACACAAATGATTTAGCAGTCATTTTAACACGCATAATTTAGCACACTCGTTTTAACATACATAATTTAGCACACTCATTTTAACACACATAATTTAGCACACTCATTTTTAACACACATAATTTAACAAATTGATTTTAACAACATCATCACATGTCAATCTTTCTAGTCACGAATGACTTTGTTCCCACATTTTACTCTGTTTCTTCATCATCACGTTTACACTAATGTCATTTTGCATAACAAGAAAATCTGGTAACTTTTGCAAGCCAGCAAAAAGTTATTCGTAAAGTTATTTTTCTTACTACAGAAGAGGACCATCCAGCAGATTTATTCCTCCTGTGAAGAATAACGACGATGAAAACGACTATAAAAGGTGCTCCGAATCGCTGCTTTTGATTTAATATGTACTCGAGAAAAAATCTGATTGTAATTTTTTATATAGCTACAAGGCGGTCCTTACAACAGAGAAAGGGAAAAAGCCATTTCAAAAAGAGCAAGGATGTTCTTTAAGTGAAGTAGATGATCCTATCGATGATAGATTGAAAGGAATTGATCCTAAAATGATAGAACTGATAAATAACGAAGTAATGAAAAACTTATATTCATACGGATGAATTCATTTCTGTTGATTGCACATTTAACATAGTATCGACAAGAAGACCGAGAAACTGTTGATGATACTTTATCTTGTAACAGATTATGGATCACGGACCGCCAGTGGACTGGGACGATATCGCAGGATTAGAGTTTGCTAAGACGGTTATTAAAGAAATTGTTGTTTGGCCAATGTTACGACCGTACGTATTTAACCATAGCTTGCGTCTATTCACTATAATAAGTTTGAAAATTGGTAATCCAGACATTTAATACATAAAAAAATGAAAGTTTCAAACTTATAAAATCGACAATTTTCAAACAATTTTCAAACTTATAAAATCGACATATAGGATAGATATTCTCAGAAGAACAAGAAAGTGGGAATTATTCGCACGCAGAGTCATCAACATTGGAGCAGCTTAACTTCCTACACAAATGCAAGCAACGCATTTCACCCCATCCAATCACATTAATCCACACGCTAATCCAATTAGACGCTCTAAGCGTCTACAAGCTAAAAGCATATAGTTAATTTCCTCATTCTGATGAAGGCTCGAGGCAACGAGTCGAAAGCTCAATGAAATAATTTTTATAACAATCCAGAGAAACTTTCATTTTTTATGTATTCACTATAACAGACAATATCCATACCTTTCTCTGTTTCTTTTATCTAGTGACATATTTAAAGGTCTACGTGGACCTCCCAAAGGATTGCTTTTGTTTGGTCCTCCTGGTACAGGAAAAACGCTGATTGGTAGATATGATAATATTTTTCTGGGCAATCTTTTTTTTAAGTATTTGGTATACATAAGTCTTTTGAACATTTTCCTTTTAGGGAAATGTATTGCAAGCCAATCTAAGGCTACTTTCTTTAGCATAAGTGCGTCATCTTTGACGTCAAAATGGGTGAGTTTATGGTAGTATGAGAAAATGCAGAGAGACAGTGTTAGTATGTTTGAGTAACTGTACGTATCTACACATGTTTAGGTTGGAGAAGGAGAGAAAATGGTTCGTGCTTTGTTTGCCGTAGCAAGATGTCATCAAACTGCCGTAATATTCATCGACGAAATAGATTCCTTGCTATCCCAAAGATCTGATAATGAACACGAATCATCCAGAAGAATAAAAACAGAGTTTCTCGTACAGTTGGTAAGTTATTTCTACTATGAAAACTATCTACTGCAAGACTTTCCTTCTCTGTACACGCCACTCTGTTGTATGTTCACGTGATCTTTCTTCAGGATGGGGCAACAACATATTCAGAAGACAGGCTTCTCGTTGTTGGGGCAACAAACAGGTTTCAACGATATTATGTTTGCTTTTCTTTATTTTGCATAATATACTCACACACATACATTCGCGTTTGGGACACAGGCCGCAGGAAATTGACGAAGCTGCAAGGCGTCGTTTAGTAAAACGTCTTTACATTCCACTTCCTGAAGGAGAAGCGAGAAAACAAATAATTTGTAATCTACTTGAAGATCAACATTACTCCTTATCTGATGAAGACTTTCAACAGATCGTTACTCGTTCGGAAGGTTGGCTTTGAATAGATTTGGGGTTAAATAAAGCTCTCTTAGTTAGATTTGGGGTTAAATAAAGCGCTCTTAGTTAGATTTGGGGTTAAATAAAGCTCTCTTAGTTAGATTTGGGGTTAAATAAAGCTCTCTTAGTTCGATTTGGGGTTAAATGAAGTTCTCTTAGTTACATTTGGGGTTAAATAAAGATCTCTTAGTTAGATTTGGGGTTAAATAAAGCTCTCTTAGTTAGATTTCTGGTTAAATAAGCTCTCTTTAAATAAAAATAAATCTGAAAGTTGATCAAATTATCGATACATCTTTCAATGCTGTTGCGCTTCATGTCTCTGTTTTAGGATACTCTGGCTCTGATATGAGTAATCTATGTCGTGAAGCAGCACTTGGACCAATAAGATCTATATCAGGCAATATCCAAGCCATTACATCCGATCAGGTAATAATAATTTGTTGATTACAACACTTTCAATTATCAACAAATTGATACATTAATGTGTTAAAGAATGAATGCAATCATTTTCAATAGGTCAGACCAATTGTATTTGCGGATTTCGAGAAAGCATTTCGTCAAGTACGGGCAAGTGTTTCCACTAAAGATTTAGATCTTTATCATTCATGGAACAAGCAATTTGGAAGTGGACATTGAGAAGTTGTATTTAAAGTTCATTTAACCAAGTAGAATTTTAATTTTATGTTGTCAATTTAGAATCTTGTCCAATTGTACTTGTACATAAACAAATGATGAATAGATTGTGTTGTGTTTATGCTATCCAATTAAAAAAGATAAATGATAAAATGAAATTATGAACACGACCACATTGGAGATGATTTCAACAACAAATAGATAAATTTGATAGAGTTACAATAGTTCGTATTCCAGAAGATTTGCCATTTAACAAAATCAACTATACAAGTTTCTTGGCTTCAAAAAAACCTTTAAGATGTCTCATCTGCCAAAAACCAGTTAAGAGTAAAATGAGAGTTTGGCCCAATGACCACCAAAGGACACGTTGGTTTGTACTTTCACTGGTTGTACGAAATCGTTCTTCACGATACTAAAGAGAAAATGAAAAACAAATGTTTGTTTATTATATAATCACATTTCAAAAACATTCATACATTTTGGCACCATGTTTAGACATGGGTTACATTGTTGAAGAAAACAATCCTGTTGATATTTACTCTTCTTTAAGACTTACAAATTTAACTTACTCTTTGATAAGCTTGTTCCTTTCCAATTTGCTCAACTTGATCTAATAACTGTCTAATTCTCAACTGCAGTTCAGTTAGCTTATCTTTAGAAGCAATCTCTGAATAATCATTTGTATGCTCACCAACTTGTATGTCCAGATGTACCCGCTGTATTGACAAAAAAATCATTTTCATGGCAAACTGAACACATTCAGAAAAGTACAAAAATACACACAGAATTCCACACTTACAAGCTTTCCACCAGCAAATAATGACCATTTGGTTGAATTAGAATGAAGACAAATACTATGCTCTCCTGGTGAATGAGATGTAAAGGTAAAACGACCCTCGGCAGAAAAATAACGTGACATCATTACTTTCTCATTTGGATCCTTCACTTCTACATGCATTCCAATGCCCGGACTTGATGGCATAAAGTCGTTGGCATTTTCATCATAAAGCTGAGTTTTGTATTTGCCTAAATTTAAGAATTTTTTGAATAATTTTTCTTTCTTCAATGCACTGTACTAAAATATAAATGGCAGTTTGCTGAATTTCACGATTATTTCACACTGTAAGCTTGTTGAAAATAAAAGTAAAAAATCTTAACTTGATAAGAACGGTTAACTGTAAGAAGATTGCTCACATTGAACTGTTTTGCTCTATATTCATTTGGGCTCCAAGTGATATTTAGGTAATCATTAAAAAACAGATCCACACACGCACCTGTAACCATGGTTTCATCTGGAATTTCTTCTATAAAGCATTTTTTCTCCGTTTCCCCCATATGGAAATAAAGGCATAATGCAGATCTTGCAAAAAGAACACATAAAAAACAAGTAAAACTTATCCAAGACATCGCCATGTTGTCAGAAAATTGAACAATGGTTACGATGTCTACGCATGCGTATAACATCTCAAACTGAAATGCCACGTTGTTCTTCTTTCGGGCGACTGTCGTGCATCATCGGAAAGATTTAATTTTGAATTTTTTTGTTTTGAATTGATACTGAGATTTGCGAATGGTAAATTGATCTCACTCTTGCCAAGGCCCAAGTATAAAAAATAAAAACTATAAAATATCACCATCGTCCATCACCTGGAAATCCTGGAATATAGCATTGTTTGGATGTTGCTTTCATTCCCCACGTGACAAAAACATCGAGTCAAATTATTGCGCAATAATCTTGTAATCAATATGGCGGATAAACTTCGTGGTTCGTTATTGCATGACGTGCAGAAAACGTTTGAAGCTTTTTTCCTTTGCTTAATTTCTAAATGAAACGTGTTCGCCTAGATGAGCTCTTGAACATCGTTTAAAATCCGATTATGAAAAATGGCGAACCCGGTTTTGTTAGCACGTGTTTGTGGAAACATGTGCACGAAACATAGACTTATTGGTTTGCTAAAAAATATAAGGCTGCAAGACCTTGGTTATGTCGACGAACAGTGTCAATTTAGGAAAACATGTACACAAAAAATGACATCATTACGAGCTTATTGCTCTCAAAATGATTCAAATAATGAGCATTTAAATGCGACAGAAAAGCAAGCTCGTGAGATTCAGGTTGGTAAAACTGATGATGTACACCATGTACAATGTTAAAATACAATGAAGAGGAACAAGAAGATACATCTGATCCTTGCGCTGATCTTGATTTCAATGGCGATGGATATGAAAATATATCACAAAAGGAAGAGTTTACGTTGGAAAATGGTTCAGAAGAACGTCTGCCGTTACCTTCGGAACCCCTAGATAAAGGTTGAATGAATTCAAAAGTTATCGAGGATTAGTGATTTTAAACTTGGATACTACCGCTTCCTTCTTTCTTTTCGTAGCCAAAATCCTAGATTGTCTAAAGGCATTTTCCAGCCGCCGTCAGGTCGAGGACGAAGCAAGAGATCATGGATTAGACAGTGAGAATTAAGTATTGATTAGATTTAGATAAGAATGAGATTGAAATGTCATTCATTCTCCTTTCTCTAGGTAAATTATTTGCAGAAACTTTTAAGAGTTTTAAACGAAATATTTTCAAAGAGGCAAAAGTCGACACAGATCTATATAATATTCTTTATGAAATTCAAAGCGGAATAGGTAAACGATTTGATAGAAAACTCATTTTTCAATACTTTCAACTCTAAATTATATCTGTTTTAATATTTTTAGGTCACATTGACGACATTCTTCCATTTTTTCTAAGCTATGCCAAGCGATTATACCCGGTTTTAGATTGCCTGGAAGATCTTAAAGAGATTAGCGATTTCAGAGGACCTCAAGATTTGTATGTCAGTTATTGAAAAAAAATAGCCAGCCATTTAAGAAAGCTTATGGTAGACTTCTCATTTAGATTCCCAGAAGCTCGAGCGATGAAAAGAAAGTTCGTTTTTCATGCCGGTCCTACTAACAGCGGTAAAACACATAAAGCGTTAGAACGATTTCAAAAAGTCAAGTCCGGTATATACTGTGGTCCTTTAAGGCTTTTAGCCTCTGAAGTGTATCAGAAAACGAATGATAATGTAAGATAATGACAACTAAACGAACATAAGATGTGTTTGTGCACTTTTTCAAAATCTATCAAATGTTTCTTTTTGTTTCAGGGTATTTTCTGTGATCTCATCACAGGTGAAGAAAGACGCTGGGCAGTTTCGGAAAACGAACCATCAAATCATCTTGCTTGCACCGTAGAAGTCTGTTCTACAACACGGGAATGTAGGGAAAAAATTGAGCGTAGAATTCTGTTTGTACCGAGGATGCTATCAAAGTTTATTTTCTTTAGATGACTGTGCTGTGATTGACGAGATTCAAATGATAGCGGAGCCAGAAAGAGGTTTTGCATGGACCAAAGCTTTATTAGGTAAAGAAAAACTAGGATAATTTTAAAACAACTTTCATGAAGCATTACTAGAACGATAACTGATTTCAATAATACTGTCGTGGCATAAAGAAACAAGCAAAAACCAAACCTTTATATCGCCCTTTTTCACGTACTCAAATGTGTTTTTTTTCTCAAGGCTTTCCTGTTTAGTGTATATAGTAACAACACTCCATTTCGCTCTCAGTAAACATCTGCTTCAATTTCTCTATAGGCTTACTTTCACCTGAAATTCACGTTTGTGGAGAGCCGACGGCGATTAATCTTGTTCGTAGACTAGTTGATTCTTGTGAAGACGACTTCGAGGTATTGATTTCGATCGTCGTTTATGACAACGACATAGACAACTATAGACAATAGACAACGGCTTACATTAGAAAGTTGGTGTACCAACTTGGAACAAACCCCCCTGAACAGATCACAGCAATTACTGGCACCTTACAAACGACTTATTTACAATACAAACAAACGATCAACTAAAAACATTACACTTCACACTAATTCACAATGGCAATACACAATTGACACCCACACATTTCCTGTACACACAATGCATTGACGTAAGAACCAGATAACAAATACGGCTAACCTGACGTTTACTCCTCATTTGACTCTGAAGATGACTACCGCTAAGGTTGTCGAAACGTCAGTCAACAACAACAAAAACAGTCCTTCTCAGGACTATACCAACCTGGACGATCTACATTTACAAACCTGTAACGATACTCCCGGGTTCAAGCCATCTACTTTAATGATTTAATGCATTACATTTTTCAATTTTTTTTTACATTTACAGGTTGTCTACCATGAACGTCTTACGCCTCTGGAAATAGAAAATACAAGTTTAGGTTTGTTTTTGCGAGAAATTATATTTTTTTAAAAAATGTCAACGACTTGATCTACCTCGTCTTATGATCGCAACTAAACCGCTCTTTGTATTTTGTATCAAACACTTTTGACGAAGATCTTTATGAAAGAGTAGATGAAGATCTAAAAGAAGTTTAATAGTTTGATGACTTTTAGTCAACCCTCTGAGTTTTTAAAATTTTATCGTTTAAAAATCTGCCATGCTTTTAGCGAAAGTTCTAGACTTTCCTTGTTTATTGCCATGTCTATCACCTGATAAAGGATGAAAATCTTTGGAGAAAATGAATTAATTCCAATTCTCCGCTACATATTCCCATTCTCTAGATAGCGATTTTTCAAAGATTGAACGTGGTGACTGTATCATAGCATTTTCTCAAAGAGAACTTTACAGGATACGAAGGATTGTGGAATCTGCTTCAAAATGGAAATGTGCGATAATCTACGGTGGATTACCTCCAGGTACTATTAATGAAAGATGAGTTTCAAGGTTTACCACGATAATTTATAGTGGATTACCTCCAGGTAGTATTTATGAAAGATGAGTTTCAAGGTTTACCACGATAATCTATAGTGGATTACCCCAGGTAGTATTTATGAAAGATGAGTTTCAAGGTTTACCACTTGTTTTACTTTTAACACTTGAATAATTATAGTAGTATTTTTTCAGTCTTTCGTGTACTTGGCTCAGTCAGTTTAGCACGTAATTTCAGCAGAGGCTTTGGAAGCTTTCAAGAGTTGTTGGTGTTCCACATTCGTCATGTTATAACGCAAGAATAGTAATGAAATTGTTTCATATTAGCCATTCCCATTTTCGAGCAATCATTGCAAAAATTCTTCAAAATTCCTTTCTTGTGTTTCGTTACATAAAAATAACTTGCACATTTCGTCAATGTTTAAACCATATAAAATTTCCTTGTTGGGGGTGCCCGTTCAATAATTTGAAAATTGGCACGCCTATCATTAGCGCTCAAGCTAAATTTGTGGGTCTCCTTCCTATAAGGTACACCTATCATAAAGGTTCAAGTAAGAAGCGACTTTTTGGGATGTCTTTCCTGTAAGGTACACCCACACTACAAAAATATGGGGTGTTCGTACACCCAGACACCCACGGCTTCTCAAGCCTCTAAGTTTCAGAGCTCTGGTGACCAGAACACTTTACTAACTTTGAATTTTATTTTCAGCGACAAAAGTTGACCAAGCCAGACGTTTCAATGATCCTAATGATAGCTGCAAGATTCTTATTGCTTCTGATGCTGTAGGCATGGGACTCAATCTGTAAGTTTGAGACTACATACGGGGGGGGGGAGAAAGAATACTGCAGATTTTTAATTTTGATAATTTTGACAATTTCTTTTGCTAATCGTAATCAACTTCGTTCAGGAACATTCGCCGAATTGTGTTCAGTTCTCTGGAGAAATTTGACGGAAAAAGTATGTCGACATTGTCGGCTTCACAGGTAAAGCAAATTGCTGGACGTGCAGGGAGGTTTGGTACAGAATATCCATCTGGTTTCGTTACAACGTAAGTAGTCATTGTTTTATAAAGGTTATGGCCTTCAGCAATTGCGTAAAGTGTGTTCATTTTGCAGCCTTCACGAAGAGGATTTGGTTTCTTTACAAGAATTGATGTGTCAGGGAAGTGAAGATCTGCAAGTACGTTATTTTTGATCGATATGAGAGTGATTTATACCTATAATGAGACGTTGCATACGTAGATGCATTGAATTGTGCATGCGCGTTTTAAGATAACTTTCATGTTTTTTACAGGAAGCAGGAATCGCGCCAACGTCTGAACAAGTCGAGATGTTCTCATATCAACTACCAAAAGCTTCCTTGAAGAAGATATTTGTACGTTGTAACACAACGTAAAAGATAATTTTCAAATCATTTAAGTTTAATTGTTGAACGACCTTGCGACTAACTTGTGACTGCGGAGTATACGGGGGTCGTAAAAACATTTTCAATACTAAGGATGCCCTAATTTTGCCTAATAAACCGCTTGTTCATGGAAAAAGTTGGACATCCATGCCCCCCCAGCTTTGGAGTCCCTGCAAATACGCATTAATCTTTATTTAATTTCAGGAGACTTTTTGTGGTCTGTCTCAACTAAGCGGCAACTATTTTATGTGCAATCTGGAGAAGAGACAAGTTAGTATTATAGCGCACATTCTTAGCACTCATACGAATAGCGCTCAGTTGAGCACAAACGAATAACTAGACCACTTCACCTGCAGATGACAGCTGAGTTGATCGAGAACATACCTTTATCAATTCGAGATCGCTACACATTTTGTATGTCGCCAGCTGATTGTAGAGTGCCGTTTACTAGAGTTATGCTTGTGAGGGTGAGTTTAACGCATTCCGATTACTTGTGATTTTCATCGTTGTATTTGACAAATGATTAGAACTTTTTTCCGCCGTCATGCATCTTAACGAATTTCGGCTTTCTGTTGTCAAACACTCGTTGTCAATAATTGAAAACTATACTTTGTTCATAAGATGTGCGATATCCATTTGTGTCCAATGCGTTATAAATTATTGCTCCATATTGCTTTCAGTTTGCTAGGGCTATCAGTTCGGGCAAGATCATATCAGCTGAAGGATTACGCAGATTAATTGGTTGGCCACCATCGCGTCCTAACTCTCTTCGCGCCATGCAAGAACTCGAAGTTCTACACGAGTCCTTTGACCTCTATCTTTGGCTCAGGTCATTCATTTTGTCCGTTTTATAATCCTTTAGAGTTCGAAGTATATCCACTATATCCATAAATCGTTTTGTTCTGCTATCGATTTTAGTGTTTTCTTTTTTTCCAGTTATCGATATCCAGAGGTTTTCATTGACAGAGAAAAAATTCGTGCCATGCAAAGTCAACTGCAGACTGTCATAAACAACTCCATTTCATCGGGCATTGCACTCATTGCAACGACCTCAACAATTCAAAGCGGAAATTTAACTAGAAAAGGAACTGATAGTGTTATTGTAGAGAATTCCGCAGACAGATAAATGAAAATAAAAATAGCGTTATTAAAAACCGAATAAGCAACGTCGAGAGAAAGGTTGGTCAAGTTTGCTATTCTTTTCATTTTCACGATTTCTATGATGAATTTTGATAGGAATTTCCAAGCAGATTATCCCTAATAAAAATGTGAGATGTTTACCTTCCTATGATAAATTTAATTTATTTGAATACATAATTGAAAATTTATGTATTTGACTTTTATTGTTACTTTATCAGTCCCCCCCCAACTTCTTAACACTGGCGATCCATGGGAGGTTATTGGGAAAATGTTTGCGTAACAAGGGACAGTTTGCTTAAAATATTTCCACGCAATCCGTTTTATCAGGAAATTGTCCATTTTTTATTGACTTAATCTTCTTTTTCAACAGCAGACTTGAGAAAATGGTGGGACCTTGATGAAAGACGAAACCAAAAGTTGCCTTCGTTTGCAGCAAAATTGCTGAAGGAAAAAGTTTTAACTCGCCGTCAACTGCACAGACTTGAACAAGAGTGGAAAAGAAACTTGACGAACACCAAAATACGTAAGAGAAAATGACTTTCTGAACCAACAAACCACATTTTGATAATTGTCGGGCTTCCATTTTTACAATTGTTTAAAATCAAATCGTCTTATAACAGAAAACAAGCAAAATCAAAGAGCGCGCACTTTACAGTTGCATCATAAACTTTGTGTCATTTTGAGGCTGTTGTCCATGGGAAAAGGATACACTTCCCATTTATGGTTGAAATAACATGAAGTTTAATTAATATAACAGTGAAGTAACAAGTAAAATAACAATGCATGTTAATTTCTTCAATTCTGCTATGCTGAGACTTATCCACTATGGTCGACAACTGACTCATTTAAAAAAATCACCGGATTTGTCAACTATGGTTGGCATCTGACTCATCTTACCATTGCGATATTGGTGAACTTGTTAAAATCAACTTTTTACTCTCCACTCATTAAAATGGAAGTTTATTGTAACTACATCAGGTTATCATCTTGAGGTGCAGACCAGTAACTTATATAAGATATTGAACTTCTACAAGAGAAACGACTATGTGAATTTGTGTTTCAAATGAAAAATAGAAGGTTTTCGGCTTACACTATGAAAATGATGTAAACTCACTTGATGTTTTGTAGCGCTCACACAAGAAGAAGGCGGAATGGAATTGCAATTTGTGATACTTTCAAACCGTTTCTAAAAAAAAATTAATTGTATTTTTTTTTAATTCCTTTCATCTAGTTAATTATTTTGCGCAAATTGACTGCACTAAATGATTTTGAAAAGGAGTCGCTAGAAAAGTCGTTTGATACGTTCACTGATATACTGCGTTGTATACTGTTCAAAGATTCTTTGTTCTTAATTTTGAGTATCAAATTGTCAGTCTTTGTAGGTCTTAAAATCGTGGACATGCCTGTGGCAATGCTCAGAAAATAGAACAGATGTCTGTCTGTTTGTATAGCAAGTATATTTGCCACTATATGATAACACGTGCTCATGCTCTTCAAATGTCATGAAATCATATAATGAAACTATAAAGATTGTATATTAAATGCATCACGTCACACGATAAATTATTAAAACGAAGTAAATGTACGGTAAACAATTTTTTATTATGTTTAAATAACAATTTAAATTAAAAACAACATACACGGGTTCTTCAGTTGACGGTAAAAAAATGTCTTCAAGTTTACGTAAAGTAATTCAATGCTTGCATAAACATTGTCGACAAGTCTTAGAAAAAATACACATGAAGGCATAAAACGTGTTGTACTAGGTCTACAGTATGTCTGTCAACCGCTAGATAAATCTTGAATAAGTTTGTAGTCATTAAATTTTAAGTTAACTTTGCCAGAATGTTGGCTGATGTCTTAGAACAGAATGATATGCTCGTAATTTTGAATTCATTTAAAGAAATATGTTGGTGTGCCTCAAAAAAGAACATAATTCAAAAATACTATGATATGATGCTATTCATATTGTTGGTTAGAAATTTTTAGATAATGTAAACTAAGATTTCTCGCACCCATTCACGAGAGAAACCAAAATGGCTTTGATGATCGAGATGAGTATCCTTATTTGATGCCTATTCCTTTCAACTACGCTGTCAAAAATTCAAGAGTTCGTAATGAGTTTGAGGTGTTGCAAATGCTTGGAAAAAGGAGGGTTTGCTTCAGTTGTCAAGGTAACTGTTTATTACATACATCATTTAAATAGAAGGTAATTTGGTCATGTGAAGGAAATTTTGTACGTGATTTGAAAATGCTATATATACGCTTAGGTTCGTAATAAATTGGACGGCTGTCTCTAAGCAATCAAAAGAATTCCTTTGAATCAGAAAAGTGTGCTGTTTAACTCCAAAACAACTCGAGAAGAGAAGTTACTTTCTAGATTGGATCATGAAAATATTGTAAGGTAAAAAGAAATTTACTATTCAAACTGAATCAACATTTTATAACATAAGGGTTGAAAGCGAGGTTCATTTTGGACGATACAAATTGCTATCTTTGTTATCTTTGTAGAAAGTGTTATAGAAAAGTAGATAATCCCTTTTTCTATGAATCCCATTGATGCTTTCGTTCATGATGAGCGAGTTATTTCGTTCATAATAAGGCTCTCGTTCATCAAGAGAGAGTTATGAGAAAGTTACATTGTAAAAGATAACAAGTAAAAAACGTATAAACATGCTTAAAGTTGGTTTAAATTATAAGACAAAAAGGCAGAAATTGCTTGAACCTTTGCAATATCCATTGATGTTGTAGTTTCTTTTATGAGAAGAATTCTTGTAGAGAAAAAAGACAAATTTTGAAAACAAAAAATCCCGTTTTCGGTCCATGCCTCCCGATACCCCGAGATAGTTTAGCACTAGAACGTCGCATGTTAGTTAAAGGAAGCAGATAATCTTGTTGCCATGAAGTCCATGGATGGTTTGCTCGTGATACATGAGAAGCAGTAAATGAGAGAGTTAAATCAGAAAAAGATACAAACCAATAAAAATTGTATAAGGTTGTCTTAAATTATACGTGTCAGAAAAAGGCACATGGTCAAAAGAATTTCATTGAAACATTGCTTGGTTTATTTTATGAGAACAAAAAGATAAAATTCGAAAGCAAAAAACCCCGTTTTCGGTCCATGCTTCCCGATACCTTCTTAAGCGCAAGGCACTAGAACGCCGCATGTTAACGTTTCGGTAGGAGATTTCGGCCCCTCCACGCAATCCTACTTGGGAGATGCAATAGCAAGCTTCCGCCCATCTGACCCTGAGATCACCTGCGATAGGCTTTGCTCAGGGTACGCAGGGAGAGTGCGGTCGCCACCGAAGTGTGGGCCCCAAAGCCACTGCATACCTAATCGCACCCAGCTTCCACTGCTAGTCGACATCTACAATATGAAGTCTTAGCCATGACGATGAACTTGGTGAGTTGACTACGCATGCTCAGATTTATTCTCAATTAATTTGTGACGGAGCAAGCTCTAAAATTGGTGCTTGTATATGCGCTTAGCAAATTTTCAATCATATATTTTTGGCATGCTGTTTGTACTCTTAAGCTTGTTTTGACAAATGCATATCAAACTCATTGACATTAAATGGAGATATGATCTTCGCACTTTGCTGGACAATTTAAGCGATTGTCTCATGAACCTGAAAAATTCAGGTGACTCAACGGGATCCCGTATACGACACCGTACTGCATATAACATTCTTTCAAACTCATTGACACTTGTTAAGCCACTCGTAATATTCGTGACAATGTTAGAGATATTTTTATTTTTCTCTATAACTTTGTATCTGCATATTTATGCATAAACAATGCTCTAATATTTATGACATATATTATAATTCGTAGATTGAGGTAGAAGAAATACTTGAAAATGAAACTTCCAACAGTGAAACAAAATCAAGTATGACAGAGGAGAAACAACGACGCTTGTTTCTCTGCCTACACTCAATAAATTTCGCTCAATGCTGAATGTGACAGGACCTTCTGCCTTTGCGGATGCAATATTAAGAGTTCGTATAATCTAACTATGTGTATGTAAATCACCAGTGTATTCCATGTAACGATTACTGTTTTTCAAACATGTTTAGGAGTTGTTGAATCAAACACGTAAAGAAGACGTAAAGAAAGCTGGTTTGTTTCCTTGTTTTGTCATATCTTCAATTATTGAATCATCTCAATATAAAATCAACTTTTTATACAGCGGACATAGGTTCAATGCTTGTTTTGCTCGATCCATTTTCACTGTCGTTGGCGTATTTATCTTCTGTCAAAGCTCTTATAAAGCAACCCAAGTCGGAAAAAACTCTTGTTGATCCAAAGGTATCTATAGTGCAACGCAACATTACATCATACTCTACTACATATAACATGAGGTCATACTCTTCTACGTATAACATTACATCACTGAAGTGGATCTTTCGAATTGAAAGTAAATAATTTTTGAACATACTTCGAGGGCTGGGGTGTAGCTCGTCTTCTCTCACATTCAACTGCAATTGGTTTACTTCGTGATCAATCACAAAAGAAATCGGACGACGAGGATGTTGAACGGTAATTGCAGTCTTCTTAATGACTATTTGTAGTCTTGTTTTTGGTTCATTGCAACATCTCTCGTAATTTTAGACCAATCAAACTTCAGCGTTTTGATGACGACGATAAATTATGGACTTCCAAATCAATTATACAACAAGGAATTGGTAAAAATTGCAAAATTGCGAACAAAGAATTAATTTCTTGTTATGTTGGGTCTCAAAAATGCTGTTTACTATAAACAAACAGCATAATGATATGCTTTGTGGGTCAGCTCTCATCTTTATACAAAAAGAAGATTATTTTAAAATTTCTTACACGTATTCATTAATCCATTCTCTACTTCTCTTTTTGATATTCAATTCTATTGAAGTTCTGAGTCTTCTGGGCTATGAGATTTCGTTAACTTTGCATTTGTAAATGCATTTACTTTAGTTACGTTGTTTGAAGAATTGTGCCATGAATTGAACCATAATGAGATTGGGGCTAGGGCCTCGTTTGCTGTGTCTTTTATGAAGCAAGCGATATCTTGTAGCGGCGTTTTCTCTTCGCCAACTTAAGCTGTCTTCAACCACATCTTGTAGGTTTTTGTGAATTTTTTTAGTTATAACTATCTCAAAGAAATAATTATTTATTTCTTTAAAATTTTATTGTCTGTTGTTTCCACGCTTAGATAGCCGAAGTGGTATCGTTCGTACCAGGCTCTGCTCTACCTTCCGATTATTTACTTGGTTTGTATGACTTAGAGTCGAGGGAAGGTCGTGAACTGTGTGCGAAAGCAGTTTGTAGAAAACATGAATTTTTACATGTGTAGAATATGAATTTGAAATTTCGAAAACCTCTAACGATAAAGCTGCCAAGTTGATCATTATATTAATTCCTTTTGATCTCTGTAACTGTAACTTGGAATTGTCAAAAACCATGATCATCATTGTAGGCAGAAGTCTGGTTGATCCTTAGCTTTATCATCGCTGAACATTTCTTACTTTTTAGTGGTTGTTAATATCGTAAACATGGAGCAGTAATGGTTTGTCTGGTCGTTATGATACAGAATTTAACAAACAAAATGACTGACTTTGATTGGTGCTAGATTACGTTGTCATGCTTAGTTATGGATATAGATTAGAAACTTTTTCTGACATACCTTTATTTCAACCGTCTTCTTAGAAGTATCTATCTGCTCCAAAATTATATTCTGATTCAGCGACGGAACGAGCATTCCACGATTATCTTATGAAATCTTATGTAAAATATCCTTAAAGTATAGAATTACAACAATGTAAATTTCAAATTTTATATACATATGACATGTATAGCTTGTGATAAGATTTGCAACTCATTGTTACAGTGTGATAGCAGTTGCTATTGGTTGATAAAATGGATTTATTCTGTAAGTATCCATTTGTGTACAACATGATATTCAATAAAAATCATTAAACAATCACTAAATAAGAGATCTTCTAAATCACTGAAAAGTATGTTGTTTAAGTTACATTATAATTCTTCATTTCTTTTAAGTGACTATATAGAAATAACAGGGCAGAATACTCCCCTTCTGATTATAGTCAGAAGATCCATTCGTTTGTGATAAATCCACTTACATCACTTGCACAATGGGAGCTATTGGTTCATCGTCATGTTCAATGCAAATATACGGAATTTCTTTTAAGCCCAATAGAGAACAATCGTCTGTACTTAATCTGTTACAAGTATGTTTGCTTGTGATGAAAACAGAAAACATTTTTTTCTTTTCAACTATCTTCAATTCAAAGAAAGATGAGAGAAAAAAAGCACACAATACCAGATCGGATCAAAATCTTGAATAAATTATTTCATATTTCAGCCAATCAGAGCTCGAAAAAAGATAGCCAAGCCCATCGAAATCAGCCAATGAAATCAGGCCACCACATAATGTTAAACATGCCAATCACTTCGCACGACAGTAGATGCCCTCAAGAGACGAAAGTGAAAGGTACGTTTATTAAATTTTAATTTAGTGTTTAAAAAAGTACTTCAAATGTCGATAAATTCGATGACAAATACCTTGTTTGATGTATGGTTACGTATTGTTTTACTTGTAAGTCTTTTCGTCGGTTGTTTTTGTACCATTCGCCGTTTTTAACTGCGTGCCTTCGACGGTGTATTTGCTTTGTCAGAGAAACTTGTCAGTATAAAAACGTCAAGTTTGTATGTTTCAAAGTCTTTCTTTTCATTTTGCTTTAGTGTGTTGGTGACTGCTAGTGTTTTAAATCCTTCGAAGTGAAACTTTGTTGAATATTTTTGCTTTTAGCGTGTATTTTTGAATCGATATTTTTTCAGCGACAAAGTTGTGCGACCGACATCTTCCTCGTTTCAACACAAAAATATGTGCAAATTCTAGTTGAAAAGTAATAGCATTGCAAAATGAGCGATAAGGAGGGTATTTCTTATCCCATGGGTTGATCTTTTGTTGGTAAAAAATGTTCTTTTGACTTTTTTGAGCAAAAATTTTGAGATATATGAAAAAATATGAAATGTTGGTTCATGGTGGACATTGGACTCTCGATAAAATTGGCGCGAATTTTGTTCCGCGTGAAAATGAAGAACACTGGGCACGAATTATGCAAAACTGACCAGCTTGACTACGAAAATACCCACAAAATCTTTGAATGGAGTGGGATACAGGGAAAAATTTGAAGAGTGTAGACGGCTACAGGTTCTTCAATTCAATAAATTCGAATGATAGCAATTGCAATCGGCGAGAAAGATTTTTAATGAAATACGATGTACGCTACTTGAGAACAATTTAGAAAAGTTGTTATTGAAAACTACTTTAAGAGCATTTTACCAATAGACGTGTTTATATTCTATAGGAAAAGAAGCTAATTTTCTCTTGAGAATTGACGATGGACAGTCATAAAGAATATAATCCTAGTTCAAATTTGAAGCAAAGATAAAACGGATCGCTATGAAAACAGCTGGAAGAGAACGAAAGAGGAGTAAGGTAAGAAACGCAAAATTATATTTCGTTAAAACTTTCATTGACTGCTTGGTTCTTTTTATACGAAAACGCTTTTGAAAATTTTTGTTATGATATTCTTTATCATAGTAATCTTTTCTGTCAATATTTTTATTTTAATATTATAATGTTTATAATATATATCAAATTTTTGAAAACACAGAAGCTCATTTCGTTTGATTTGAATTGATAGGATATTCAAATGAAAGCAACAGACACAGCGTGTTTTTATGGACTTACTTGTGCACACATTCAAAAAATTTTCGCCTTTTCTCTTAAAACTTTGCACGAAAAACTTTGTCTTAACATTTTTGTTAGGCAATGACTACCTTCAATTTTTGCTGCTAGTAAACGAGTACTAGCTAAAAGTTTAGGATAGAAATGATTAGACAATAAATAAAAAAAAAACAATTGTTGTGAACGATCTATCTAAAAACAATGTTCAAAAGCATTTAATGAAGTCTATATGACTTCTTCCAATTGAAATGTGTAAGAGATTAAAACAAACATTACTTGATGAAACAAAACTAAATGTTTGTGCATGTGCCAATGATTTTGATTAAATTTGTAAGTCAACTCTAGTGTAGTGAATAATATTTCAAAAATCGACGCTCAATGACATATAAAGGAGTCTATAAGACTTCCTTCTTATGAAATGTATAAATATAAAAAGAAGCCTTCATTACTCATGAATCAAAAGTAAATGTTGTGTGCATTTTTTAAGCAAAATGCTCCTGAGTTTAAGGTATACAAGGATTAGCAAACAATAAGACGAATCTAGTGTTGTGAATCTATATATAAGAAAGTGACGTTCAATGGCGTATAAAGAAGTCTATAAGACTTCCTTCCAATGAAATGTATAAGTATAAAAAGACATATTCACTGAATGAAATTTACTCATGAATCAAAAGTAAATGTTGTCAACATTTTTAAACAAAATTTTATTGAGTTTTGGATAAGCATTATCAGACAAAAATTAAGTCAAAACTGCCAATGTGAACGATCGATATGAAATCGGCGTTTAAAAGAAAATGAAGAGTCTATACGACTTCATTCTTTTCAGAAATTTATAAGATATGAAAAGAAACATTAATTAGAAGAAATTTATTCATAAAACAAAAGTAAATATCGTACTTAATCATACATCAGCAACTTGAAGTCTTCATTTGTCCACTATTTGTTTAATTATTAATTAGAAAAATAAGTAAAAGTATTGTTGTAAAAAGTACTCTTTGAACAAAGCGTTCAACAAATTATGTAAAATATGTACAAGACGTCAAAAATAGGAAAAATTAATAAAAGCTTCACAAGTAAGCACTAATTGGAAGAGGTCATTTCAAGAACCACAATTTCACTATTGGACAAGAACAAGGAAACTCAAGAACGCAGTATACTTATTCAGTAAACGTTTATGAGCCTATGATGGCAGAACAGCATCTACTTTTTCACATCTTGAGAGCACAATGTCTTAGGATGTTGAGGCACTTCATCAATTCTTGCGGACTCGGCGTCTTCCGTTGTTGAGGCACTTCATCGATTTTTATGGACTCGGCGTTTTCCGTTGTTGAGGCACTTCATCGATTTTTATGGACTCGGCGTTTTCCGTTGTTGAGGCACTTCATCGATTTTTATGGACTCGGCGTTTTCCGTTGTTGAGGCACTTCATCGATTTTTGGACTCGGCGTTTTCCGTTGTTGAGGCACTTCATCGATTTTTATGGACTCGGCGTTTTCCGTTGTTGAGGCACTTCATCGATTCTTGCGGACTCGGCGTTTTCCGTTGTTGAGGCACTTCATCGATTCTATCGGACTCGGCGTCTTTCGTTGTTGAGGCACTTCATCGATTCTAGCGGACTCGGCGTTTTCCGTTGTTGAGGCACTTCATCGATTTTGCGGACTCGGCGTTTTCTGTTGTTGAGGCACTTCATCGATTCTAGCGGACTCGGCGTTTTCTGTTGTTGAGGCACTTCATCGATTCTATCGGACTCGGCGTCTTCCGTTGTTGAGGTACTTCATCGATTCTTCCGGACTCGGCGTCTTCCGTTGTTGAGGTACTTCATCGATTCTCGACAGGTCAGAAATTTCCATTTCTTTATTTCTTCAGAGACTCTGCAAGTGGAGTGGGTTTTTCTATCTGATCTAGTTTGATCTGAGGCGCCAGATAGATCAAACTAGATCAGATGGAAAAATCAACAAAGAAAGAAAGCGAGAAATTCAAAGGCAAACTTCACTGCTATGTTTTGAAAAAATTTACAGTGAAACGGTGCAAGAAAAAAAAATGACAAAGCAATCTTGTGACGAAAAAGAAGATGAAATAATGAAAGAAAAAATTGACAACAAGATGAAATAATCCAAGACAAAGATTTCACAACTCTACAACTATATTTGTAAATACATTGCCTGACACTTTAGCTCATGCATGACGTTTGAAGACTTCTTGTTGCAGATATAATCTTTTTTTACATGCTGCTTTCTGTTAGTGGGTTTCATCGTCTAACGTGAAGGAGACGACTTGATTGTCTCGTATAACTTACCTTAACTCAATAAGCTCTTGAACAACTTAATTCAGACTAAGATGTAAATAACCTAGCCATCGTCGAAAGTTTTATGTTCTGTTGTTTTTGACTTGCACGTAATTTTCGACCAAGTGTGCACAAGTAAATCTCTAGAGATGCTGCAGTTTGCACAAGATATAGGATGGACGTCAGGTAAGATGAACATTAGATGATGCACAGACGTTTACATTGACATTAAAACTTAATTGAACATTTTCCACCTGAATTTTAGCAAAAAGCGTGCATTTAATGCCATGATGAGTTATGGTGGTTTGTCCATCTATTGTTTGTTATGCTGCATAACAGAAATGTGAATAATCATGATGATAACATTGTGTGGAAGTTTAAAAACTGCTATGGTGAACTATAAACTCGATATCAGGAAACAAATTATCCATCCTAATACCACAAAGCTTAAAATATATTTTGGTAAGTAGTTGTTGATGTGTTTTTATCTGTTCGATACCAAACAAGCGATCGTTTCAGGTGGATGGATGTAATACCTAATATTATATAATGATTTTTGATTTCATAAAAATGTTCCACGTTTAACTTTAATAAATTTTCAAAATTTGGATTGTTGGTTTTGGTGATGTTTTATTACTAAATCTAGAAAGTCTTCCACTAATTCATATAAAATTACCACGAGTTTTGAGCAAGAGCAGTCAGTAATGTAATGGGAGTTGCTAAAAGCTTTTGATTTATTATATACGTTATTTTTGTCAAATTGAAATACATTCGTGTTTTAAACGGTTTTGAATTCATTGTTTGGTAGATGGTATAGATGTGGTGCAGTGCTCTCACCTTCTCGGGTTCAAGACCATCTAAGGTTCAAGACCTCTCCTTTCTTTCGCTTCACGTTGAAAAATTATAACAAATACTCCAAAAACATCGTGCTTGTCGATGATGCGTGGTTGCTCAACTGGTGGATGTTGGGCGTTTAGTTCGACATCAATGACCTCCGGTGCACAAGATCCTTGGTTCGTCCTCTGCCAACACACTTGGCAGGTGTACGCGGCGGATGTGGAAGACAGAAAGTCGAACTGAGGAACGAGTGCCTGGAAGTAAGAAAGGGATGATTAGGGCGTTCTGTTTGCTCTGGGTTTCCTGACTTTTCAAAATTTAAAAATAACTCCCTGATCACAGGGAGTCATAAAAATTTGAGCAAAAGACTTAGTTTTTAAGAGTGGTTTTTGCATGGATCCTATCTTTTTTTTTCGCTCTCCTTCTCATCGGAGAGCGTTTTTTCTGAATTTATACTAAGTGTCGCATTCCATTCTCGAAAAGTTTAGTAATAGAAATCCCATTTTGTTCTATTAACCAGCACTATTTTTATTTTCCTATTTCTTATTCATCCTTAGCATAGTTACATCTTATTCCAGACAGGGTTCGAACCTCCACTCAACCTCGAAAGGTTGTGTCTATCCACTAGACCAGAGAGTTCGTTGAAGACACCTGGTCATTTTAAAGTGCCATTCCTACCTTGAAGGATTTAATGCAAAAAATAGACCATTGAAGGTCTCGAATCAAAATTATAACAGATCACTTCCAGCTAAAGATAAAGCAACAAACCAAAAATCATATTCGTAGTCGAGTGTTGATATAAAGACTGAAAAAGTATTACAAATAAATACATTTATATTAATGTTAGTTTGGTAATACAATAGCAAAACATCTTTAGTTACTTATGTCTTCTTTTGAAAAAGATAGAGAAAAGTAATAAGTCTTCCAAAAGCAGCACGTTTTCTTACGGCTAAACCATGCAGATTTCTTTTAGCGGCTGCTGTCGATGTTAGCTTTATCAATCCAATGGCACTTGTCGTAGTTCACTCGTAGTAATTTAACTCGTAATAATTCCGCTTTGATAGTTTCTTCAGAATTGTGACCAGGGATATACCGGGCGGAAAGCGAATTCTTAATATAAACATCAGAGCCTCTGCTTTGATAGTTAATAATTTGCGTGCAATCCACGCTGAGAATATCTGTCAGTTATCAGCAAACTCTTCTCCAACATCAACGTTGACGTTTATCTAAACTTCTAGCTGTTGATCGGTTTATATACCCAAATTCTTTTCGACAAATGCTCACTTTGTCAAATTCAATTTCATCGTTGTTCTGCCATTGCACTTGCTGTCGTTGTTTTCTGTTCATCTTTTGGTTGGGCCGTTTAGATGTAACATGCTTTATTATGTATGTATCGTACACAGGTGATTCCAAAGAGTTCTTTCTTTACAACGATTCTTTCTTGAGACTCGATGTACGACTATCACCACCACAAACACCTAATTATAAAGAGAAATACACAAAAAATTACATTTTTTCTAACTTAAGACTAACACTATCACGAACAGCAAGACTAAGAATAAAACCAAGAGTAAAAGTAACACCAACACTATCACTACATAAGTCTATCACCAGCCCTAAGACTACCCTAACATCAGTACCAAGACTGACAATATCACTAACACCACACTACACCATATTCCAATGCACCCAATAAATTTACCACTAACCAACTTGATTTTACTCTCAACCTTGGCTAATAAGTGTTTAATAATTACAAAGAAACCTATATCCCACCATACTATCAAAACTCCTGAGACTCATTCTTCCTAATCCCAACAACCCCATTCCTTATTTAACTCAACTCTTACCTTCCAAACCTTATTGTCTGCGTGCAAAAATCTTACTTCTAAATACAACTACTCATTTGCTAACCTGTGTATCCACTCTTCTCTTGATTTCAAGCTTCAACATTCTTCTTGATTGATGGAGTGAATATCCTGAAGAAATCATTTGATAGAAATTATGTAAATAAAAAAGCTTGAAATATCTTTGAATCCACTATTTCAGTTGACATAAGGAGATAAATTGTATATCATTGACAAAGTTATAAACAATCTGCAATTTGACAACAGTTGAATTTATCACTCACTTGGATATTACTATTACACCAATTTTAAAATAACTACAACGTTACATTACATGCTGCATTTCAGCCAAAACGTCTAGAGTTTTTGTAGATGTTTTAATTCACGTGTGTAGGAAAACAAATATACATGAAACCACATGAAACGAACTAGTATGACATCATATGTACTGAAATACAAATATTCGGCAATATTTTCAGGAAATGGTAAACAAACCGTTAATATTTATTTCTTATGATCATCAAAACCATCGTACCTTGTACCAAAGAAAGCAAGCCGTGAGACTCTCTTTGCTTTGACAAATCGACAACAGGTTTCTGAGTTCGTGGAAGACTTTTTCAATACCTTCAAGACAAATAGTCGTGTATTTGAAAACTTAAGCTCACTATGATGCTATAAATCTCATTTATTCGACAAATATTGCAATATTGTACATAATACTTACGATAAAGAGTGTGTCAGGAAGAAATCCTTTTAAACATGGCGCGTGAAGGATCGGCAAATTTAGTGCCAACTACCAAATGTAATTGGTCAAAATAAGTCACGTGTTAAGTTTGAGCTAAGAAGCTAAGAAGTGGAGGGTGAATGAGATAAGTGAAGGTTTGACATAAAGTAAACCAAGAATGTTTTTAAGAAAGCATATTTACATACAATGTTACAGGTAATGCTCACAACCTTGACTTTCTATCCTCACTCCGATAAATTTTCCCCACCATCACATATCTTCAACAATTATGCAAACCCAGATCATGTTTACCAGTCTGTCATGCATCGTACAGTCACAGTATAGCCATAAGACTTTTCAAAACCCAATGAACTCAACAAACTGTCAACACCTTCATAACCTCTGGGTATCCTTGTGTGCAAATAATTGCTTTTAAAAGTATTAGTGCAGATGGTATAAGATTTGCTAAACTTTTAATTAATGAATTTGGATGAAAAGATAAATATATTTCACTTCCATACATCCCTTACCTCCATCTTTCAGATCCTTTTCTATCTTGCACGTTGACATTAGAAGACTTGATCAAGCCTTAAATTTTAAATTAAGGAGACAGACAGGATTCACTGTCACATGGTCTTAAAGATGTATGAAACATCAAGCAATAGTTCTTGTCCATCAATGTTCTCTTTTCCTAATTTTATTACATTCAGTGATTTGTTTGCCACCATGGAATCTACACAGATTTCAAAAGAAATTGGTCAATTTTACCCTTACCAAAAACACTGGGTTCACAAGTGTGAAATGATTAATGTTTAGTATTTTGGATGAAAAAAACTTCATTTGTGAACAAGAGAAAAATGTATCTAAGGTGTGAGAAAACAGTTCATCAAGTAACACAATGTAAGTATTACAATAAAAGTATAAATGGCCAAGGATGAAGCTTAAATTTCTTCTTGCTGAAATGAACAGGTCCAAACCAAGAATTATTTGAGTTTACTGCACTACCCAGTAATAATATGAATTATAATTTTAAAGATAAACATTTCTACCTTTTTTCTGATTTGAATTCATTTTAGTGTGTCTTCGTGGGCAAGCTTTCCTTTGTGACCAAAATCTCCACAAATATGACATCCTCTTGTTAAACTAGGAACAAAACCTCGAATATAAGATTGTGTAAAGAAAAGTTGGCCAATGAAACTTTTTTAATTACTGATTTATTGATCCACAACATTGCAAATGAAGTGAGAGTAAAGTCACCTCTTTGACAATCATGTCCAGGAGGTTTGCACGATTTACATATCTCGCAGTGAACATAACCTGGTAATTAAAATACAATGTTTGCAAAGAATTTTCAATGCAATTCTGGCCAATCAACATACCTTTCTTTACACATTTCCCACAAATAAGACAATGCTGCCAAACATTGTTATGCTGTAATAACAAAATAACACAAATATTGCAGAATGTTCGATGGAAAACATGATTTGCTACCAGGGGCATTTCTGACCCCAATATGGATTTCAACATCTACCCACTTGATTTTCCCTGTTTGTAGACAATGACTGTATGTTGTAATGAGGCCCTACTGGGGAGGTATGGCAGGTGTTAGTGTAATATGTTCACGGAGTTTTGCACTTTGTCTGAGCCCTTACTGATAGCAACTAGCTAGCCAGTGAGTATTTTGAAAGGGTGATTTCAAAAAAAACACTATTCTTGCAGCATACACAGTAATGTAACATGGCTTTCATGTGTCTTTGAAATTGACTAATTTCAGTTGTTCCTTGGGGCCCCCCTTTTTAGCTAAGCCTGTACCCCCTACCAGTACCTATGTTTGCTACTACACACTACCTTAGTAGGACAATCGTTACATAGATCACAATGTAAATTCTCTTTGCTGAAATATTGTTGACATTTGTCACAAAAACTACAAAAAATATCAGAAACACGATACATGGATAAAGAAATGTTATTTACTTATCATTTGGTGGTAGAATGATGGTCTTTAACAAGACATTAGTGAACACTCTGACAGGAGATAGTTTTTTTGTTTTGAAATGCTTCTTGTAGAGTGGATGATTGTCATAATAATCAATCAAATTCAATGGGGGAAAGAACAATGACTTTGACAAGAGCTTCACAAAGTGTAATAAACTTATCAAACCTTAAAATCGCACATCTTAAAGAATGGTGATTCTTTGGTAATGTGTGATTCCATAAAGTACGGGAAAATCCAGAAAGTTGACAAGCAAGATAAATGGTAATCATCTATAATAAGTAAATAAAATACAATAAAATAAAATTAATATTTCAGAAAATCTTTGATATGCAGTGGGCCAGTAATATCAAACAGAAGAACTATTCTTTAAAATACTTTACCATACCTCCTTCTTTCACATAATTCAAAAACAAGCTTCCAAAGTTTTTTTAGGGATACTGACAGCACTTGAACCAACCCACCAAAAGGTGGATCCAAAATAACCATTAGAGAATTGGGTATAGAATTGTATAAGAACTTCTTAAATCAAACCATTGCATGGTCTTTTTCAAAAAAATGATGGTTGAACATGTTATAGTGAATAAAATGGCATCTTTATGAAACTGGACCTGTGAATTGAAAAAATTATTTTCAATAGTACCATGCAATGTTTGTAATGAATTTATAGATTAGGGCAAATATATATTTCAAACATTATACTCTCCTACTGGTAGGAGCTGAAACAAAATCAATCTTTTGCTTAACCCCGATCACTTATGCTGTCCATAACTAAAAGAGTTGTTTTGAAACAACAATAAATTGAAACTATGATTTCCTCAGTGTCCTCAAAAGTCAAAACAAGTATTCTTTAACTTACATGTCTATGGTCTATATCCAATAAAATACTGTCAATCACACCAGCTTTTCTAGTTTGAATTGCTTCGTGTATTCTACACAAGAACCATCATATAAAAAAAATTAAAACAAAAGGTATTTAATTAAAAGTAAAAGAAAACCTCAACATCTAAATATTCATTAGAACAACATGGTACATGGTTTGGATGAAATTTGAACATACCTAGGAGTACCTACACAAATTATCTTCTGATAACCAAGAGTTTGAAAAGTGTTCAAAAAGAATTCGATTGCATCATTATTAAAGAGATATTGCTAAAATAGAAAATACAACATCATCACAGTCCTTCAACAAAAACAACAGTAGATTCGCTGACTAGAATACTAATCAAAACACATGAAGATCTATAAAGTATTTTAGACACCTAAAGTAGAGACATGAAAAGAGGAGATGAAGAAGCCTAGGAATGTTAAAATATAACAAATATATTCATTATAATTTACCATGTGGACACCATGGAGTTTGGTAGTCATCTTCGTCAGATATGAACACTTCAACTCCGAATCTTTGACATGATGGATGCATAACAATAATAAATTTAGTGTCTTTTTCCAGTTTTCATTAACTTGTGAATTTATATTATTATTTTAATATTGATTTTTAAATATTGATCAACATTGTGCACTTCGATTGTATCATGTCAGCAGAAACATTGAGCAGAAATAACATGACACGATGGACACGAGTGTCGCGAGTGGATAAAATACTCTCTAACTGTTTTTATCAACCAATGACAACTACTACACGTTGTATCAATAAGTAGCAAACCTTATCACTAGCTATCCCTGTCATATACTATACAAAATTTAAATGGAACGATTACGATAAAAATACTTAAGATAATCATCAATCATTGGTAAATGAATGTGCACTGGTCGTCTTGCTCATAAAACATGCTACAAAGCTTTCTTTCTCTGAAAGGAAAGCTAAACTAATAAATCTGTATGTAACTAGACATATGTGAAATGGACAAAGCTTCTGTTCTCGTCCAATTTAATCATACTTCAAAAATTCTTATTTGAAGTGCGTGATCACCAGAAACAATGAAGGTCCAAGAGTGTCGATCTACTCTTGTTTCTTCAAGTGGATCGGGAATCCAACCCAATAACCATACAATCCCTACTGCAGGTCCCAGGCATGGCCACCCTTTTTTGTTATTCTTTAGAGTGCTTCTCTAAAGATGAGGGAAACCGGCGTATCGCCGGAGGAAAACCCTCAGAGATCCAACAAGCTACGAAAGCCAGTCGGTGGATGCACATTGCTTGGGATCACCTCATCTATTTTTACTAGTTATCTTTACAAAAAGATTGTTTACATTTTTAAGGCCTTGATTATATGTACAAATTTCATTAGACTGCCTTTATCTTTACAAAGTTGTTCAAAAAGGTGACTTAGGCAATATACATCCTTTTAAAAAAAACCGTAACCTCCGATGTACGCCATTTTTAGGCCGCTTTTAGCTGCGCCATTTTTGCCTAAGCGCATTCTTAGCTAACCCTGTTGATCAGTGGCATGTAATAACCGATTTGAACATCTACCTACGAACTACTCTGCACAAAAATAAGTAAACCATACCTTTGAACGATGAGACACCTGTAAAGCAACGTTAGTACCCGAACCGAAAGGGAACCTAACGAATAGGGAACCGCCTCCCTGGGCCCTTATACTTTACCAAACGGCGTGCCAACCAATCCTTCTTGTGTCCAACACTCGATCACCTAGGTACCAATTTGGCACCGTTTACGATTATTCCTACCTGGAACTACATTAAATGTATCGGATAAGTTTGTCTCACTGTCTATCAAATCATCTTCCATGCATAAAATAGATGAAGATGTTCGATTTGATTTCGAGACGATCTAACCCAATACATCATGAATAATTGAACTATATTTCTTCTCTGAACTATTTTCTTCAAGTTAAATAACAGTGAGTTAATTAACTTCGACATGCCACTGTCATAACATTGATTTTGACAGCTATTTAGCAAAAGCAATGCCGGGTTTCATGCACCTATTATTCTGTTTCGTTGTTTATTAGACCAACGTTGCATATTCGTCTTGATGATGCAAATCACTCATTTTTCTCTAAAAATATTTTTAAGCACTTTGACTTGTTTTTATTCATTTTGAAGCGTCTGGTGAACATTTCAAATTTTGCATGGTTCAAAATTCAAACAATTTGAATTAAACGTAAAAATGATTTATAAAGCATCATCAAGCAAGAATATTTCAGACGTTTATAACTTTAGATTAATTTAATTTGCGCTATGCAGCTTGTATGCCGGATTGCGCCATGTTTCGGTCCGGATTTTTTTTTGTTATTTTAACGTGCAATCTGTGATTCAGATTTCGCCATTTTTTGGAACGTAATTTTCATTTTCTAGTTTGATAACTAAATATACATTTGATTCAGTTTTAAGAAGAATAATATACACGATCAAAACTCAAAGAAACCCATGCTTATTTCCTTGAACTTAGGATCGTGTACCCTGGTGATCAAAACAACGAAAAACCTATAAAAACCGACATCAGACATATATATTTTACCTTGTACAATGATAATCTCACATTATACGACAGCTTGATCAAAGTTTTCGACAATATGAGATATATCATCGTTTTCAGGCAAATGTTTCAACGGCAAAAAGCACTGCATCACATGCACAAAACTAAAAAAAACAACACTAACAAGAATCAAAAGAACAACTAACTTTGTTATACACTCAGTCATGATCAATCATCTTCCTGTTAGTGTAGATCACCAGGATTTTAACTAAAACACTATAAACCTGCTACCTTAAACGTCGTCTTCGGTCTTCATTCGTAGATTAAGGTACAACGATGATGTAAATCCACGATAACGACGATGTAAATCCACGACAATCATAAAGTACACGTAATCCACGACAGCTGTGAGTTAATCTACGATGACTATATGACTGTGATCGACGACAATTATGCTTTGACCCACGACATACATGATACAATGATGCCATGTATGAATCATAATGTGCCAACATTGCATTCTTCTTTCACTACAAAACAAATGAAAGGTTCAAGATAACACGAAATTCTTCAAAATTCACGAAAACTGCACAGTTATTGACAATAACGTGACACAAAAACCGTTAATAAAACTTAAATAATATTATAAATTTTACTGTGAAAACTTATATATTCTGTGTAATGTTATAACAATTAGTGAAAAGAAGTTTTTTTCTAGACAAAACATTCCCAACAAATAACATTGTTTTTGCCAGGCGAATTCGCATTCACAACATTATCTTCTGCTCGTAATGTAGCCAAAAAGCAACTATAAAGATTGGTCAATAAAAAAATACACATGAATTACCTATAGGTTGGTCGTCATAAGCAACCAACTGCCTCTTCAAAACTTCCAGCAGTGTTGTGTAAGGTGGTTTTGTTCATAGGATGAAACATAAACTGAAATTTAAAACATTAAAATATTATTACGTTTTCCACTACAGCAAATTTCAGCAACTCTGTTAGCAAATTGAACGAGATTCAAATATCAAATATTACTCACCTATATTTATTTTTCCACGTAGTGTCAGGATTTAATCCATTGATTATTGTTGTGTTTCCCTCATACAGCTTTACTCAAATCTTGATGCATATCATAATTGGACAAACCACCATGAAACTATCGTGTGTTTTTTTTTAACTCATATTCGTATAGCACAATGTCAAATTGATTTTGAACGCTAAGTCAATTTTTGATTGTTTGACTATTACACCATTGCTCGTCGTCGTTCTTTATTCGTAGATTAACGTAATCCTTAGCCCAAATTTCACGACAGAAAATCCAGAAAATCCACGACAACCACGATATACTCCACGACAACCACGATATACTCCACGACAACCACGATGTAGTCCACGACAACCACGATGTAGTCCACGACAACCACGATGTAATCCACGACAACCACGATGTAATCCACGACAACCACGATGTAATCCCCGACACCACGATGTAATCGACGACAACAACGAAGTAATCCACGACAGGCAGAATGTAATCCACAATAACCATGTTGCAATTAATCGATATAATACACCACCATTCTATCATTCCTTATCTACAAAACAATGAAGTTCAAAAAATAAAACACGAATGTATTTCAATTTGACAAAAAAATAACGTATATAATAAATCAAAAGCTTTTTAGCAACTCCCATTACATTACCGACTGCTCTTGCTCAAAACTCGTGGTAATTTTATATGAATTAGTCGGAAGACTTTCTAGATTTAGTAATAAAACATCACCAAAAACCAACAATCCAAATTTTGAAAATTTATTAAAAGTTAAACGTGGAATCATTTTTTATGAAATCAAAAATCATTATACTATTATTAGTTATTACATCCATCCACCTGAAACGATCGCTTGTTTGGTATCGAACAGATAAAAACACATCAACAACTACTTACCAAAATATATTTTAAGCTTTGTGGTATTAGGATGGATAATTTGTTTCCTGATATTGAGTTTATAGTTCACCATAGCAGTTTAAAACTTCCACAGAATGTCATCATCATGATTATTCACATTTCTGTTATGCAGCATAACAAACAATACATGGACAAAGCACCATAACTCATCATGGCATTAAATGCTAAAATTCAGGTGGAAAATGTTCAATTAAGTTTTAATGTCAATGTAAACGTCTGTGCATCATCTAATGCTCATCTTACCTGACGTCCATCCTATATCTTGTGCAAACTGCAGCATCTCTAGAGATTTACTTGTGCACATTTGGTCGAAAATTACGTGCAAGTCAAAAAACAACAAAACATAAACTTTCGACGATGGCTAGGTTATTTACATCTTAGTCTGAATTAAGTTGTTCAAGAGCTTATTGAGTTAAGATAAGTTATACGAGACAATCAAGTCGTCTCCTTCACGTTAGATGATGAAACCCACTAACAGAAAGCAACATGTAAAAAAAGATTATATCTGCAACAAGAAGTCTTCAAACATCATGCATGAGCTAAAGTGTCAGGCAATGTATTTACAAATATAGTTGTAGAGTTGTGAAATCTTTGTCTTGGATTATTTCATCTTGTTGTCAATTTTTTCTTTCATTATTTCATCTTCTTTTTCGTCACAAGATTGCTTTGTCATTTTTTTTTCTTGCACCGTTTCACTGTAATTTTTTTCAAAACATAGCAGTGAAGTTTGCCTTTGAATTTCTCGCTTTCTTTGTTTGTTGATTTTTCCATCTGATCTAGTTTGATCTATCTGGCGCCTCAGATCAAACTAGATCAGATAGAAAAACCCACTCCACTTGCAGAGTCTCTGAAGAAATAAAGAAATGGAAATTTCTGACCTGTCGAGAATCGATGAAGTGCCTCAACAACGGAAGACGCCGAGTCCGCAAAATTGATGAAGTGCCTCAACAACGGAAGACGCCGAGTCCGCAAGAATCGATGAAGTGCCTCAACAACGGAAGACGCCGAGTCCGCAAAAATCGATGAAGTGCCTCAACAACGGAAGACGCCGAGTCCGCAAGAATCGATGAAGTGCCTCAACAACGGAAGACGCCGAGTCCGGAAGAATCGATGAAGTGCCTCAACAACGGAAGACGCCGAGTCCGCTAGAATCGATGAAGTGCCTCAACAACGGAAAACGCCGAGTCCGCAAGAATCGATGAAGTGCCTCAACAACGGAAAACGCCGAGTCCGCAAAAATCGATGAAGTGCCTCAACAACGGAAGACGCCGAGTCCGATAGAATCGATGAAGTGCCTCAACAACGGAAGACGCCGAGTCCGCAAGAATTGATGAAGTGCCTCAACATCCTAAGACATTGTGCTCTCAAGATGTGAAAAAGTAGATGCTGTTCTGCCATCATAGGCTCATAAACGTTTACTGAATAAGTATACTGCCTTCTTGAGTTTCCTTGTTCTTGTCCAACAGTGAAATTGTGGTTCTTGAAGTGACCTCTTCCAATTAGTGCTTACTTGTGAGGCTTTTATTAATTTTTCCTATTTTTGACGTCTTGTACATATTTTACATAATTTGTTGAACGCTTTGTTCAAAGAGTACTTTTTACAACAATACTTTTACTTACTTTTCTAATTAATAATTAAATCAATAGTGGACAAATGAAGACTTCAAGTTGCTGATGTATGATTGAGTATGATATTTTACTTTTGTTTTATGAATAAATTTCTTCTAATTAATGTTTCTTTTCATATCTTATAAATTTCTGAAAAGAATGAAGTCGTATAGACTCTTTATTTTCTCTTAAACGTCGATTTCATATCGATCGTTCACATTGGCAGTTTTGATTTAATTTTTGTCTGATAATGCTTACCCAAAACTCAATAAAATTTTGTTTAAAAATGTTGACAACATTTACTTTTGATTCATGAGTAAATTTCATCCAGTGAATATGTCTTTTTATATTTATACATTTTATTGGAAGGAAGTCTTATAGACTTCTTTATACGCCATTGAACGTCACTTTCTTATATACAGATCATTCACAACACTAGATTCGTCTTATTGTTTGCTAATCCTTGTATACCTTAAACTCAGGAGCATTTTGCTTAAAAAAGGCACACAACATTTACTTTTGATTCATGAGTAATGAAGGCTTCTTTTTATATCTATACATTTCATAAGAAGGAAGTCTTATAGACTCCTTTATATGTCATTGAGCGTCGATTTTTGAAATATTATTCACAACACTAGAGTTGACTTACAAATTTAATTAAAATCATTGGCACATGCACAAACATTTAGTTTTGTTTCATCAAGGAATGTTTGTTTTAATCTCTTAAACATTTCAATTGGAAGAAGTCATATAGACTTCATTAAATGCTTTTGAACATTGTTTTCAGATAGATCGTTCACAACAATTGTTTTTTTTTTGATTTATTGTCTAATCATTTCTATCCTAAACTTTTAGCTAGTACTCGTTTACTAGCAGCAAAAATTGAAGGTAGTCATTGCCTAACAAAAATGTTAAGACAAAGTTTTTCGTGCAAAGTTTTAAGAGAAAAGGCAAAAAATTTTTGAATGTGTGCACAAGTAAGTCCATAAAAACACGCTGTGTCTGTTGCTTTCATTTGAATATCCTATCAATTCAAATCAAACGAAATGAGCTTCTGTGTTTTCAAAAATTTGATACATATTATAAACATTATAATATTAAGATAAAAATATTGACAGAAAAGATTACTATGATAAAGAATATCATAACAAAAATTTTCAAAAGCGTTTTCGTATAAAAAGAACCAAGCAGTCAATGAAAGTTTTAACGAAATATAATTTTGCGTTTCTTACCTTACTCCTCTTTCGTTCTCTTCCAGCTGTTTTCATAGCGATCCGTTTTATCTTTGCTTCAAATTTTAACTAGGATTATATTCTTTATGACTGTTCATCGTCAATTCTCAAGAGAAAATTAGCTTCTTTTCCTATAGAATATAAACACATTTATTGGGAAAATGCTCTTAAAATAGTTTTCAATAACAACTTTTCTAAATTGTTCTCAAGTAGCGTACATCGTATTTCATTAAAAATCTTTCTCGCCGATTGAAATTGCTATCATTCGAATTTATTGAATTGAAGAACCTGTAGCCGTCTACACTCTTCAAACTTTTTCCCGTATCCCACTCCATTCAAGATTTTGTGGGTATTTTCGTAGTCAAGCTTGTCAGTTTTGCATAATTCGTGCCCAGTGTTCTTCATTTTCACGCGGAACAAAATTCGCGCCAATTTTATCGAGAGTCCAATGTCCACCATGAACCAACATTTCATGTTTTTTCATATATCTCAAAATTTTTGCTCAAAAAAGTCAAAAGAACATTTTTTACCAACAAAAAATCAACCCATGGGATAAGAAATACCCTCCTTATCACTCATTTTGCAATGCTATTACTTTTCAACTAGAATTTGCACATATTTTTGTGTTGAAACGAGGAAGATGTCGGTCGCACAACTTTATCGTTAAAAAAAATATCGATTCAAAAATACACGCTAAAAGCAAAAATATTCAACAAAGTTTCACTTCGAAGTATTTAAAACACTAGCAGTCACCAACACACTAAAGCAAAATGAAAAGAAAGACTTTGAAACATACAAACTTGACGTTTTTATACTGACAAGTTTCTCTGACAAAGCAAATACACCGTCGAAGGCACGGAGTTAAAAACGGCGAATGGTACAAAAACAACCGACGAAAAGACTTACAAGTATAACAATACGTAACCATACATCAAACAAGGTATTTGTCATCGAATTTATCGACATTTGAAGTACTTTTTTAAACACTAAATTAAAATTTAATAAACGTACCTTTCACTTTCGTCTCTTGAGGGCATCTACTGTCGTGCGAAGTGATTGGCATGTTTAACATTATGTGGTGGCCTGATTTAATTGGCTGATTTCGATGGGCTTGGCTATCTTTTTTCGAGCTCTGATTGGCTGAAACATGAAATAATTTATTCAAGATTTTGATCCGATCTGGTATTCTGTGCTTTTTTTCTCACATCTTTCTTTGAATTGAAGATAGTTGAAAAGAAAAAAATGTTTTATGTTTTCATCACAAGCAAACATACTTGTAACAGATTAAGTACAGACGATTGTTCTCTATTGGGCTTAAAAGAATTTCCGTATATTTGCATTGAACGATGAACCAATAGCTCCCATTGTGCAAGTGATGTAAGTGGATTTATCACAAACGAATGGATCTTCTGACTATAATCAGAAGGGGAGTATTCTGCCCTGTTATTTCTATATAGTCACTTAAAAGAAATGAAAAATTATAATGTAACTTAAACAACATACTTTTCAGTGATTTAGAAGATCTCTTATTTAGTGATTATTTAATGATTTTTATTGAATATCATGTTGTACACAATTTTGTCTGAGGACGACTTTGAAATAAAGTCGAAAATTTACATTTCACTTCTCGTCTTGTTTTGATTCATATTTTGCAATCTCAAGATGTCTTGCTTCTTTGGAATTTGTTTTATATTATAGAAAAACAGGTTATCTCATTTAAGTGGAAAAGTACTTATCTAATTTTCTTCAATAATTTTTCTTATCTTTATCCGCGTCTTCTTGTTTTTCTTCTTCACAAAGTGTTTAAAAACATTTTCGTAAGTGAAATGGAAGATTCAACATTTTCACTTCGTGAGCCACACAAGTGATGACCATGTGACAGTGTGACGATGAATATTTGCAAGAGATAATTTTGTAAGCAAAACATCCCCACATGCGTTTGTTGGACTCCAAAGGTACGAAGGACATGTTATGGAAATGTTTTTAAACTTATCGCTTATATTTGTTGCATGTTTTGTTCACACTGTATATACGTTTAACAAGAAGTGAAATTGAATGCGCTCACTTTCAGTTGAGGGCAACCATCAACTCTTTAGGAGAGAGTCCATTTATTAATAACTGTAAAAAACATATTTAGATATTGCACAAGACCATCAACATTTAGTACCCACAATACGAATGTTAGTTGGTTTCGTCAAATGTCGAGGAGATACACTAGGATTTATTTACACCAACTTACATTTGAAATATGAACTCACAATAGATGCAGGAACATATACGAAATATTTTCAAAAATACACGCGGTTAGTTCCAAGTACCAGAGGTGAAAATAGTGATGAAAATTACTTTATTTTGGGCAATTGTTGTCATAATCGTTGAGTTGCTAATTAAGTATTACTGTAGCCAATCATTTGAGCTGTATTGTTGACTACTTAGTTTGTGCATTCAGATGGTAATTTAAATTCAAAAACATCAAACAAATTTTGTACAATGGTATAAACATTCACAATTTTATCAGCAGTGAAATCTTTCTTTCCATTGAAAAATTATTGTGCTCCAACACATATTACATAAACTTCAACCTGCTTAAAACTCTATATGTTATTCCTGTAGGTTAGTTAATTTTATGGTTAGGCCCCTGAAAATTATACTGCATGCAAGACTTTGCATGATTTATAAACAAGCAAGAAGTAATTGATGACAAAAACGTAAATTTAAGTTTTTATTATATTCCATTGATTTGAAACACTGTGCATATAATAGCACATACACTGTTATGAATAAGTAAATATAAGCCTATCAGATTATACATTTATATTTATAATATTGTATCACAGATGATGCTAGAAATCATTCTTATCACATCTTATACGAATGAATTTCCTAACTTCTTAAGTAAATGTCAATTCTTCTCAACAAATTTTAATCCAAACTGAGGATTAAGGTAGTTTGCCTGGCACACCTTCTTATCTTTACCCCATTATTCATTGCGATAATGAAAAACAAGAAGACACCTGAACAGTCGTCAGTTTATATTTCCGTAAATAATTTTATTCATCATTTCAATTTGACTTCTTTTCTACATATTGGACACGATCTGTTATTCTATAAAGGGAAAATGTTACTTAATGATAACAATCAATAAAATTAGATGCTTGTACAACTGACATAATTGAAACTAATAAGTCCACACCTATTTTATTATAAAACCTTGAAAAGTGTATGGTCCATATGGTGAATACACAACTTGAATTGTGATTAAACATTTAAACCAATGTATAAGATATTTATTATAGGAGAACAAATAAAAATTTGAAACACGTCATTTACCTTTAACCATTTATCAATACACTTGCTGTGAAATTCATGGAGGCAAGGCAATATTCGAAGCTGTTGCTTTAGCTCAAAGTCCATCAAGCAAACAACACATCGAGATTCTCTTAAATCTTTATCTTTGGAAGTTATTTTGTAAGTGGGTAGACTTTCAAGAACAGACTTTGAAATCCCTTTTGGTTTTTCACTGACCGCCAGCTGTCCCAAATTCTACATGGGACAAACCATGAAAAAGCTCACATCCAGTTAATAGCATTTATGCTGATGCAAGTATGATGAAGCAATACCTCTGTATTTAAATGGCCACCCCAAGTCATTCCAGCTTCTGATGTAATGACTGCTGGTATGAAATTAGCATTCTCCATATTTCCTTCACTTGGCCTTGGAGAGCGACGCCTCCGAAACTAAAGCATTTCCATTCAATTAATATCTAATATATTTTGCAGTCACTAAGGAGAAAAAGGCAAGCCTAGCTACAGTGTCACAAAAACTACACACTTACCCTGGGATGAAGCATGGGAACTGCATAAGGATGTAGATTATTTCTTGACTGTGTATGATAGTGATAATGGTGAAAATGATGGTGATGGTTATATGATATTCCTGAAGCACCATCAACATGTAATGGTAAAGATTCAGTCTGAAACATAATAATAGTCTACATTATAAAAAGAAAATAACATACCATCAAAACAAAATTGAAGAAGACTAACATACCCGAGTTACAGGTGACATTCCCACATGCCTTGGGGGTATACAAGGTCGACTTGGTAATGGGTTAGGTACGAAGTTTGAATTTAGATTTGTGTTGTGCATGTCCATTGGATTCATCCAACATGCACTGAGGGGTATTTGTGGTGACGTCATAGGAAAATGTCTGTCCATATCTGTCTGTCTACATCTTGAGCAATTACACACACTAAAGTTTTGTAAAGTTGAAAATACATTTAATATTAATAGGGCTGTTATACTCCTTGTAAATCCTTGAAATGATATATTACCTGTGTAATCTAAGTGGAATAGAGGGATAAAGTGTTTGATGTGGAGTTGGGCAACATTGATTGTTGGGATGAGACAAAGTTTGTGGATGCATGTTATGTAAGCCAAGGGATCCATAATGATGATGATGATGAGCTCTTCCAACCAAAGCAGGACAGTGATAAAGTTTTAAATCCATCTATTTTATAAAGTTGATGCAGCCAATAAAGTTAAAGGTGGTATTTACAAGATACATAAATTTTCTTTGGTTTGATTGCAAAATACCAGTTATACATATAATATAAACTTGACCTTAACATTAAAACTGAGTAGAAGTATTCTGCAATTTAACCTTTTCTTTTAACAAGCAATTTTTTTTTTGAAGAAAGAAAGTGCTAAAATAATGAAAGTTGTTGTATGCAATATTACCCATACCTTGGCACATTCAGGACAAGTTGGAAAGTATCCTGCCCCTGACGAAGAATTAGCCATGACTGGATTAAGTGTGTAGGTAAAAGTGATGAAGTTCAACTTTCTTCGCTTAACCAATAATCATCAATAAGATTGTCTACAATTGAAATATTCAGTATGGTTAAACGACAAGATATTTGAGAGAGCGCTGAGTGTCAGCTTGCCTATTAAGATATTAGATTTGGAGTTGATCCAGCTTGACACACAGAAACCACGCGATTCGATATAAAGAATGCTTTATATAATCTCTCTCAAGTAACTTGATCCGCGGAAGATACGACATTACTACAAACATCTCCCCAGACATGCATGCTTGCTCCTAAAAATTTCCTAAGTCCCCAAACACACTAATAGTCTGAATTTTTTCACAAAAGAACGGAACAATATCTTCACGTATCAATATTGAAAAGTTCACCGAAGAAACATATAATTTCGGAAGCTTTAAAAAATTACGTCGGTGATATCAAAGAATAGGTCGTACTTGAGAAAGATCATGCACGCAAAGGAAATTCAAAATATGTATAACGCAATAAACCAAAGTTCTTTTAACAGTATTATCTTAAATATAATAGATCCAAGATGTTCCATCGTTTGCGGCAAGCGGGATGAAAAGAAGCTGAAAGTCTTTGATAAATTCCGCAAAGAAAAACACATTATAAGGTCTGAATACCCGAAGGCGTCGGATGGAACACCAGCAGTTATAGCATTTATTATAACGCAATCCACCGATCCCACAGCACAACTTTGACAGAATTCTGAAGAAAAAACCCCACAAGAATACTATTACAATATTCTGTTCTACATCAAAACTTAAAAGCAAAGTTTAGATTTTTACACAACCAAAAATGAAATACTTCAGTTAAAAGATAAAATTTCGCGAGAGAAACAAAATAAAAAATATAACAATGAGCCATAACTGGTGACTAAAATATCTTACATGGAAAAATTCAATATGTCTCATAAATAGAAAATATTATAAAGTGCTGTGAAGCAAAGGCGAAGGATCGAAATGAGTGAAATGACTCTTTCGTCAATTGTCGCAAAAACCAATTAATAAATTCGTGATTTGAGTCTAGGGAAAAGTACAAGTTGTTCACAATGTGTGTCAAAAGTAATAGAAATAATCGACTTCAAACCCAACCAAAGTATTCGCGCCTAGGGTTGGCTTTTCTCGAAGAGGTAAAGTTTAGTTCGCATTTTAAATTAGAACAATTTTGTTACAAAATATTACTCGTAATGAAAGTAAGAATCGTCATAAATCAAAGAACATTGCGACAACAAGAATCTACCAAATTTTCTTCCACAAATTCCAGTCAACAATAAAAGATATCTGGTACAGAAGTTAAAGGGAGATTATAAACAAGTTGTGTGTAACTATCTAATACCCAAAGCAACAGCAACGAATTCAACGATCACGGTAGTACACAGACACTAAATATTTTTTCTTCGTGAGACAGAACATCCCCGAGATAATCGTGCGTTTTAGCATAGAAAATATATCCATTCGAGCTTTCGAGATACATACATAAGCCTCGATTAGAAATGCTTGAATGTTCAGATTAGAAATTCGCGAATACAGCAATACTACTAACCTGAAGTGAAGCAACGTAGTGAAGAAATAGAAGATTGCCTACACACACTGACTGAAAAATTTCACCTTTGAAAATATTGGCACCAAATCTCAATGCTTGGCAGGCAATAATTCGCCACCTCCTGAAGATATCTACAATTGTAGCCTTTGACATGTGATATCCTTCTTCAACCCAATCCTTCTAGACGTCATACGACGTCATTTCCTATTTCATACAAACCTCACAACAATTGACAACAAAGAAAAATCAAACTAATATTGGCTGTTTTGAGGTCTATTTTTATGAATTGACATTCCAAACTCCAAACTAATGACATTCATTGAAATATACAAATATCCCAACAAAACACAAATACACTAAATAGTAAATAACAAATTACTGATACCATGTCACAAAATTAGAGAACAAATACACAATTTTTAAAAAGAGCATATTATCATAAGCAAATTAAGATATTTAATGCTAAAGTATGCCAAAGAATTACAACTATTTCGCAAGAGCCAGTGAAGCAAGTAGAACATAGTTAATAAAGCCAACATAGGTAGTTTCATTCAGGAGATTTTCTAGGACTACCACCTTGTTCATCATGTTGACCTCTATCTGGTGATCTTGATGGACTTCTACTTTGACTTCTTGACCTATGATTTTCAGGACTACGCCTTTCTGACGATCTCCTTTTTTGTCTTTTTTCTACACTGCGAGATCTTGAGTGGGAATATGATCTTCTTCTTCTGCTTCGTCTACATACAACAAAATATCTCTTTAAGCATTTGAATGCCAAGCATATTTCTTTTAATGATGTGAAAGATCCAACATACCTTGGGCTTCGACTTCGCGATCTTCGTCTAAAAAATGACACATTCTCAGAAATCAGAAACTCTTATTCAAATTAAAAGAATTCTCTTCATCTTACCTTGGACTTCGACTTCTTGACCTCCTGATAAAAAAAACCAAAACAAGAGCAAGTCAAATGTTTGAATTTGAATCCAATTGAAGAATATGAAGCAATACACACAGTTTTGTCAATTCAAAATTAATGAGCAAAGTTGGTGGGAACAACAAATCTACATTATCAAGAAAAAGATCAAATCACAAGATCAGCAATCTTATTTATAGAAATTTACCTGTCATAACCAAAACCTGATTCTCTAGATCTCATTTGGTTGGGAGCTTAAGGTGAAAAAGCAAAAAGAAAAAACACTAAAATCAGAAGTGTTTCAAAAAGATCATTCAACTGTTCAATACTTACTTTTTCGGTCTCCTTCCGCAAATTGCACTTCTAATTCACGACCAAGCACAAGAACTCTATCCAGGTAATACAAGGCATCCTCTGCATCACGGATATCTTCAAATCTGTGTGGGTTAAGAACGTTATCGCTAAAAACTCACCTAAAACACCTTTGTCTTTTTACTTTGCTTAAGCTTGACTTTCTTTGAGTTAGACTTTGTCATTTGCAACTTCAAAACTTTTTTTTTATAGCTCTGTTAACTTTACACTTGAAACTTGCTTGTCTTTAGAAGGATGAAAAACTTTGTTCTTTACACTTGGCTAGCTTTAAACTTGTAAGTATATCTTTTTAAACCACAAATGGAGAAGCATCGCTAGCTGATAAAACCCTGAAAATAGGGACCAGCCAAAGTTATTGCATTGCAACAATAGGCTTTGGATTTTTTTTAATTATGTTATCTTGACTTACACACTAACTTGAATCTTTAATACTTTGCCTTTAGTCACACTTTTATATACAAACACTTTCAAAATTCTTTGTCTTTAGAAGTTACATGAGAAAACAGGGTTTTACATATCAATTAAGAAGATCCTTGTGATGAATATTTAAGGATCTCCTGAAAGATCTTTTGGTTAAGATTCCAACACACAGAACTCAGAACATGGATGTTTAAAACCTCAATCTAAAGAGAACTGAAAGTCCCTCAATCTCTCCCCAGTAGTTGGACAATTCACATCATTTATAAGAGAAAAGGATACTGCACATAGGCAAATCCGCGCACTTTTTTAGTGTAGTAATCACAAGGTATGTAAACATCTTGAATTCGGCCATATTTCCCAAAAATTCTTCGTAGATCTTCAGGTCTGAAGGCATACATAAATTTTGCACAACAAATGATTGAAATATACAATCCTTATATTAAGGCAGGACTTGCAAAAGCTTACCTGGTATCTGGATGTACGTTTCTTATAAAAAGAGAACTGTTAGGAGGGCGAGCGTAGCGTCCAGACATAGTGTAAAGACTTATAAATCCACTTTCGTTTTGAAATAAAAAATACACTTAAAAGGGCGCTCGCGTGGTTTTCTTTTGGCCGGGCAATTTCGATCGCAATGACTCTTGGGACTGTCTTCTATTTACTACTCCAGTTGAGGGAATGTTGAAAGTTATAGGATCAGTGTCTAAAAAAGTATGACGTTTTGCGCGTTTGCGCGCCAATTTGAAATTAAATTTTATTCATTATCTATGAGCAAGACGTGAAAATACACGGCACATACGTTTTACAATTTACTTTGTTGTATTTTTGTCTTTAAATGTAAAAACATGTCTAACGATAGACGATATAGAAAAGTAAGTGAACGGGATACATTCGACAAAGAGCAGCAACGAAAACGGTGCAAAATTGACAGGTAATAATGCAGATATTGTTGAGTGTTAATAATGCCATCATTCTTCCTGACAACACTCTTTTCGAGACCCTCATCTGTGAATTTTTAAAAACTTCAATATATGAGTGACAAGTACCTGTGGTTTTAACAAAAACTACTCAAGTAATCAAAATAATGCAAACAGAGATTAATGCCTCAATATTTAGTTGCCTAGATCAAAGTTTCATAACTGCTTATCATCATTTACAGTTTGCATGAAACTAAAGGGTTAAAAGTCTTATCACCACCAGCATGTACATCAAATGTTGAGAAAACCTTGGCTGAACAAAGTCCTTGGAAATCTATTTCAAATTGTGCAGATCAACAAATCGAAAAGGAAAACTACAATGAATTTCCACCTTTGACTGATGGAAATAAATTTGATTCATGGTTTGTGAATAAGTCAAACGATCCATGTTCTTAGCAAAAGCAACATACTGACAGCAAATATCTTTCTAGGTATACACCACAACAACCAATAGCATGTTGGGCAGATTTCATAGAGGAAGAAGAGAGTGAGATAGCTAGAAAAAAGAATTTCAAGAAAAAGCAAAGGTGCATACATTTAGTGATTTTTTTTGTCACTTATCAATAACAAAATTGTTTGGAGTCAAAAAATTTTTTCCATACTAAGGTTCCAAAGAAAACTTAACCTGTGTGATGATGACGACACTAAAAGACAAAGCAAAAAGATGAAGGAAAGAAAACCCATTTTGACTGATGAACATCGCCTAGCTCAAAGACAAAAGCAAATTGACTATGGCAAAAACACAGTTGCATATGGAAGATATGTCATGCAAAAGCCACGGTACAAACATCATTATCTACCATTTTCTATATAAAATAAATATTAAATTAAAAATATTGCAATTATGCAGTCATTGTCGGAGTGTCGAAGATCCTAAAACACCAGATAAGTTCCAGGTATGTAGCACAAGGTCCTGGACTGGACAGGTCCGATGTTGGAGAATAAAGCTCCACGAGTGGGATCCTCCAAATCCCATGCATGGTCATGGTTCAAGTATATTTGATCTTGTATCACAAAGGTTAGCAAGACTTCAAAAAGCCAGAAAAGTTACCATTGTTGTTTTTTGTATCGTTGTTGAACGAAAAATTTTCCTTTTAGCAACAATCATGATGATGTTAACTCTGACATGAGAAGCTCTACTTCATCATCTCAGAGTGAAGATTTTTCAGAGACTTGAATATTGATGCATGCTTACTACCAAAAAGCTAAAGGCTCATGAAAGACCATAGCAAGACCAAGTTTGTAATGTTGATTAAGGTGATAAACATCTTTGATGATATGTACATAGTTTTTATTTTTAGTTTCAATATGTTATTACAATATTGAAAGTTGTTTTTTGTATTTTCACAAAAAATGTTTCAATTCCATTTTGGTTTTATTTGTAATGCAAAGCCCAAGAATATTAAACTGTTCATAGTTAATTGCAAAAAAGGTTTGGTCTACCACACAATTCCAGTTATAACTTACTGCTCTTCAGCTCCTTAAAGTGAAATTGTTTTCCTAACCTTAAACTTTTCTCTCTTGTCCACCATTTTAGAGGGAAAAATGGAAAACTAGATAAAGCAAAATAGATGAGCATAACAAACTCAGTTTCTCAACATTATATAATTTTGTATTAAACATTGAATTCATGATGTAGAGCATTTCACAAAAAATTCCCAAGTGATAATAGCCCTATTTATAAAAATTCAAATCTAAAGCATCTCAAAAAGATGAAAACATGACTACTTAACATTGCAAAATTTCTAAATACATATCAATGTTAGTATTTGAGGTAGTTGGTGAATATTTTCATGAAAACATATAAATTTTGTGTAAAATAACTACCATCACTTTTGTGGCCTCGTAACATCTTTGATTCCCTGTCTGAATGAACCATCAACTGAGTAGCAATGTATGACTATTAGAAAGAAAAATGTAATGCAACAAATTAAACTAGCACAAAAACAAATAAAAACATGACTAAACAAACAATAAATACCTGTATTTGCTCCATGACATCTTCTCTCATTTCTTCAGCCATACGATACCTATAATGAAAAATTTAACAAGTTTGAAAAAGTACTCTTCTAGGGGCATGACCAGGAGGGGAGTGCACTAATGCAAGGGCATGACCAGGAGGGGAGGGCAATTGCACCACCTTTTTCATGACAATTTCAAATTGACTATTATATATATAAGTTGCTTTTTTCAACATGCCAAAGTGACTCCCCCTTCTTTTCATAAATCATGCTGGGGGGAGGGGTGAATAGCAAATTTCAATCTTACACATCATGGTCAGCACTGTTATACATTAATGCATTTTGAAACATAAGCATCATGTCGCGTTGAAAACTACTTGTTGTTCGTATAATCTGCCAATAAATATAAGTTGGTCATTTCATGATAACAAAAGTGAAACTGTCTGAAACTGAAAACATATATCACATTGATAACAGACCCCACTTTCAATGTTCTTCTTGATTGTCAACAAATCCATAGGTCTTAAAAAGTAAGCATTAACATTTGGAACACAGCGTACTTCAACATTCCCATATAAAATGAAACATGAAATGAAGGTGATCCATAAAAAATTTTTGTAATCTTTACATAAGTAGAATTGAAAAGGTGACAAGTTTAGTAAAGTCAAACATAATCATATTTCTAATTATAAACAATATAGAAAGTAGATTTGGAAATGGTTACAATAACAACATGATAACTTTTCCCTATAAAACAAAAGTTTTCACAAGATCTACAAACAATGAAATGTAACAAAGCTTTAATTGCAACAGAGCTTTAATTGCAACAAAGCTTTAATTGCAACAGAGCTTTAATTGCAACAAAGCTTTAATTGCAACAGAGCTTTAATTGCAACAAAGCTTTAATTGCAACAAAGCTTTCACTAATCTTACGATGCAGTTTTCAAACGTAATGATGAAGAGAATTTAAAGAAGGAATGATGTGCTTTTAAAGTACCTGTAGACAACATTATGATAACCAGGAGCTTCATCGTCAGTTACTGGATGCAAAAACACGTTGGCGTACCTAAAAAATTGACATTTTCACTCTGTTCAATCTCTATTATACCACAAAAGTTTCAATCTAGCGTGAATGCCGGAAAAGTCATATTGATGAACAATGATGCTACCAAAACATTTCCTACATTACTTACATTGTTCATGGCTGCTTAACTACGGAAATGACTATATGATTCGCTCGCTTCATGTGATGATTACGTTGAACTGATTGTAGTTAGCGTTTATTTACAACCGTTCTCTTACTTGTGGTTAGCAGCCGCCCTCCATACAAGCATTATAGATTTCCTCCAGTTTTTTTGAGCTTGCAAAGACTCAGGGTCATCACTGCTACTAAAAAAGCATCGATTAAATTTCACCTATAGACAATAACGCATTTCTCTTGAATGAAGAGTTGTGTGAAAAAAACCCATTTAGTTTAGTGAAAACCCACTTAATTCATTTAATTTAGAGGTAGGCGATATCGATACTGGAGTATCGACACTATCGATGTTCGGAAATATCGACCTGGTACCTGGTATCTATCATCGATGTATCATCGTGAAAGTACCGATGTTTTCGATACCATTTTGTGCACTGATTTGTTTATAACATTTAAAGTTTCATGAAGTTTTTATTGTATTTATTTGATAAAGAAGCATGCAGAAATGCGGAACTTTCTGTTTTTTTGGTATTTTTCAGCAAGCAAGTATTTTTATCCAAGAAAATACACAAAATGACGTAATTACCTTTTGCATTCTTGTTGTTCAGATTTACTAAATTATTCGTGAAGAACTTAATATAAAATCTGTATCGGCGACGAAAAAAGTATCAACACCAATGGTATTGGAGAAAAAGTACTTGATATATTATCGAAGTCGATACTCGTGGTATCGCCACCACTAGTGATTAGTGATATTTATAAAGTAAAGGAAGTGTACTGACCTTTGTGATATCTGCGAAGCTGGACTGTCAGGAACGGAGTCCGAAGTAAGACTACTTTGAACATTGATTTCAGCTTTTTCTTCCTTCTTCATCTCATCTTCACTTTTTTTCAATCGTTCATTGCCATCTTCTTGCTCAATTTTTATGTCAGGCGGCTTTGCACTCTGTTCAAAAGAAAAAGAGAAGGTGAAGAAAAGATTGAAAGAAAAAATAAAATACAACGAAAAGCAAGGAGAATGTCATTTGGCGGTGACCTCTTTGGAGCTTTCCTCGTTTCCTTCTTCTTCATTTTCCTAAGATTAATTCAATTTTATTTTCATCCAAAGTCATTTCATGTTATCGTTTACAAGGCAATAACACAGAAATAGAAAACCCAACCTTTGGTGGTTTTTTTGTTCTTGGGCGACCTTTAAAAGAAGACAAACGAATGACCACATTCTAAACATTACCTTGCGTCGTGCGTATACGTAACAAATTATCAATAGTACAAACCAATGAACTTGCTCACGAATCAAGGTATTTAAAAAATATCAATTTACCTGGACGTCTTTTTTCAGGCTTTGGTTTCATTTCTTCATTAGAGGGTAAAATTTTGGCGGCGGTAACAGGTGTCTGTCCTTGCGAGCTTTTGTCAACTTGTTCTTTTGATATTGGCTCCTAAACGTATTGTGCACGATTCTCAACACAATTTATTACAAAACTGTCGGAAAAATATGATCCCTTACGACAAAACAACCAACCTTTATTGAAACGACATCAGTTAATGATTCTGTCTAAAATAAATACAAAAGAAAATTTTCAATTTTCTTGTTCATGAACGTTCTTTCTAGCATTATGAAACTGTACAAATAACTTATATGTACACAGTCAAATGTTTTTCCAACGAAGATAGGAATGTATAACATAGTCTTTACTAAAACATAAATGGGAACAAATGAAAACATTAAAATCGTATGTTTAAGAATCCGAAACAATTGAACAGATCGAGGTTCAATAGAAAGAAAATACACTCCGAAAATAGTTCCATCTTGAGACAAATGATGATTTTATCATAAATTTTAAATATTAGTGTCTGTTAGTCCTTCTCAAATTTCCACTCCAACATGGAACTAATTTTCGCGGTATATTTTCTCCTTCACACGAGAGTCTTCACTGTTGTGATGGGCAATACCTCGGACAGTTTCCTGTTTTTTATCGCTACATCTATAAAATACATGTAAAGTAGTATAAAAAAAGAAAGCCATAAGCTTAAGACAAAGTAAATCTCCAAATGATTTTAATTTAACCTTGAGGTGGATTGCTTTGTGTAGGCCACGATTCTGCATTTTTCGTCGTAGGGGCATTTTTCTTGTTCTTACATTGAGACGGCGATAAAAGAAATGACTGCAGTCATTAAACTATATCGACTGATTTTATTTAACCGTGTTAAAACTTACCTGTAATGTTGATGTAGCTGTATTATTTTGCGGACTTTCATTTATAGGAGTCGTATTTGAGGTTGTTAACAACTTTGATAAAGTTGGTGCAACCTGACAAGCTGTAGAACCAGCGATTCGTGAGACTGGTAATTCACTTGCTGTGTTATTTCCATCTAGATAAAAAAAGATCCATGCAAGAACAAGAGATGAAACCGAGAACATATGTTGATCGTAAAATGCAAGCCAAAAGATATCAATGACATAACCTAAAAAAGGAAGTGGACTTTCGGCCATTGGTAAACTTGGTGGTTCACTGCGCTCTGGTTCAGGAAACGCTTTCTAAAACATGGAAATAAACTAAAATGAAATAAAAACAGCAAAACTCAACAGCCCAAAGCAAAAAACACCAGATTTAAGGTGAAATACCTGATTCATCGTGTCAGCAGTTTGCTTCATCTTATTAATAGGCGTGGTGAGTAATGTAGATAGCAAACCTGCAGACGTTGCGTTACTGATATGCGTTGGCGCTAAAAAACTCTTGTCAACAACTTTTTCCTGTACTGGGACCTCGTCTTTAACAACTGGATAAGTTGGACTGACAATGGATTTTGTCTGGGCAATCTAAAAAGTACATTTGTTAATACACAACTAAGATACGCGCAGTTTATGGTAACTTTTTTGTTTTCTAAAAGCACATGGGATGTTTGGACCATGAACATAAAATATTGCTACAAAATTGAACAACTGTTTTCAAACAAAATACAATTGACAGTTTTTTATATAATTATAAATGACATGAATGCAATAGCACAACACTAACTTGTTCATCTTTCTGAACATCCATCTCCATGGCAACCATCTTCACAGTAGCCGCCAACTGTGGGATGGCAGCAGACTCAGAAGCACTAGGAACGCTCTGCGGAACAGTAGGTGCTGACACTGGTTGCTAGATCATACAATAAATAAAATTTTATGTTCTTCAATTTACTAAAATTGGCATCAAGTTAGATAGTTTTAAGAAATATAGTTTTAGATTGCACAAAATTATTGCTTGACAAAAGGATGCAACGTTTCAATCATGACCAAATTGATGACTTTTAAAACCCTCGGCACTTAAGACTACAAGTTAGTATAACAACATAATTTATGTAAATGTGCTTTGTAGCTTTTGAATTTTATAATACAAGTTATGTTTGCACACTATGTTATACCTGCTGTTGTGCTAAGACTACATCTTGTTGACTGTTTGATCGAAAAAACTGTTGTGAAGTTTGCTCCTGGATTTGCATTGCTTCATTGGCAAGGGGAGTAGTGTTTTGTCCAACTAGTTGAGGTTGCGGAAATTGTTGTTGTTGTTGCAATTGTTGCTTATGTTGTAGCAGTTGTTGCAACTGATGCTGATGTTGCTTCTTTAGAAGTTCTATTGTATTCAGTTGTTGATATTGCTGTTGTTGTTGCTGCTGTTGCTGTTGTTGTTGTTGTTGTTGTTGCTGTTGTTGTTGCTGCTGTTGTTGTTTTTGTTGTTGTTGCTGCTGACTTTGAGATGATCCATGTTGACGCGCTTGTTGCTGCTGTTGATATTTCTGAAACCTAAAAGTGAAGTATTGTTTATGACAATTGCTCAAGTGTTATTATTCATCACAATCTCACATGTTGATCAAAGTAAAGTAATTGAAATGCAGATATGTTCACAAATAACTTGCAAAACAAACCTCTCTGTGGGTTTTGGTACTCGCAAATTTTTCATCTTTTGTGATGGTGGACTTTTTAACGGTTGTTGAACACCACAAACTAAAACCGATTAACTCAAATTGTTATATGGATTAAAGACAATGAAGGTTTGACAAAGTAAATTAAAGATATGGCCCATGTCTCATGCTTAAGAGACAAAGCAAGAGGCTAAGATTGTTTGGACATGTATAGCAAAAGAACAATGAACATATTGGTGGAAAGATAGTGAATTTACAACTCTCTCAGGAATCTTCTGTTAAAAATGCTAACCTGGTGGTGATGATGAAGTTTGCAAAGCTTGAGGATACTGAGGAGGTTTCAAAGATTCTCGTTGCTGCACATGACTATAACTTGGCGTGGAGTCCAACTGAGGTTTTGATCGACTAGAAAATATAAACATTGTAATGATTAAGAGGAAGTAAACAAGAAATATCTTAATCTTGTGCAAGAAAAGTGAAGAAGAGTCAAATTATTAAAATCACACAAGTTTACAATATATAAAATATGTACTTCTGTAAGCTTTCTAATATCATTGGCAGTCTTTCATCCCATTTTCCACTCATTATTATTTCAATGTCAGACTTCAGTTTCCTGCAATAAAATTCAATTTATCTAATATGTGTCTCAATCTTTTGATGAACACTAACAACACATGCCTATATTTCATCTGGTCTGCTTTAATCACTTTCTTTAACTCATCAACTCTTTCAAATGTTAACATTCTAACAATCTGTTCTCCAGGAGTTTCTAGATAAAGATGAATGGGAGATGATGCGCATTGATAAGCCATAATGAAAGAGTATTTAGGACTTTTCACAAACCTGTACCGGCAGTTTCATTTGTTCTTTTTCGTCTGAAATGATACAAAAACGATGCAAGGTATGTTAGAATAATAGAGAAGTTTGAAATTTCTACAATTACAAAGAAAACGCCGAAATATATATATATAAGATAATGACATACTTTGGTGTTGCAACCTTTTCCAACATATCTGAATACTGGGATGCACAACACTGAAGAAGAAAACACGACCGTCAAAGAAAAGTAAATATAAAAAGATTTAGCAGAATTTACCTTTTGTGAGAAGAACTCGTGTGGTCGAGGCTTAATACCTGACGCTGCCTCTGCGATTGGTTTGACAGTTCTACTAACTGACACCCTAAAGCACAAAAATTTTAAAAGCACGATGTATTTACTAATAACTACTTCATACAAATGTAAAAGAAAGCAAATTATACCAATTTTGATCCCCGCTGCGCAGAACTGAAGAAGCCAAAATCAACTTTTCCCGCACGGTCCATTCATCTTGAGCGACGGGCGACTTCAATTCTAAAACATGGAGTGTAGCTTAATATATAAATAAGTGTTTTGCTGAAGAATAAGTGAATAAACCGATTCAAAATAATGATTACTTACTTCTACCAATATTTGTGGCCGCCATGATAGTTCCTTCTGAACAGGGGGGGAGACAAAAGTAATGTTTATAGCCTAGGCCGTTTGCGGGGGATGGAGTGGTGGCAAAAGTGATAATTTCAACCTAGCCTCAGACATAAAGGAGGTGGGGTGAAACAATGGAAACAAAAAAGAGAAAATTTGCAAAGTGCGTCAATGGGTCATGAAGAACCTTTATGTCTACCTTTATGTCTACCTTTATGTCTACCTTTATGTCTACCTTTATGTCTACCTTTATGTCTACCTTTATGTCTAACTTTACGTCTACCTTTTTGTCTACCTTTATGTCTACCTTGTGTCTATCTTTTACATAGGAGACATTTGAAGAGTCGTTTTTTCATAGGAAACGACATTTGAAAAAGTTATCATTTCATAAGAGTGGTCTTTTCTCATTGGTCGTGTTTAGTGTTTACATTGGCGTAGATTACAAGATTACACATGCAATCGATTACACGATTACACTATCACACATGTAATATTTTATGTAACAATCCATGTTTTTGACAACATGTCGCGCTTAAGGTACTCATTCCCCTTACAAAGACAAATTTTTAAGATTTTTTCAAAAAAATTTTTTTTGATGTTCTAGGTAGTTGGGATACTGTATTTTAAGATTACATAGTTTGTTTTTATCTAGGAGGTATATTTTTATGTGGAAAAGACTTTTGAAATCATCCTTCCATAATTTTTCCCTTGACAACGCCTTAGCAACCACTTTCTAGCAACTTTTCTTATGATAAAAGCCTCCGTAAATAATTTTTGAATTCTTCTTTGGTGGATGTATTTTCAAAGCCTTTTCTCCTAGCTGCTTTGATTGGTCCAATTTGGACACCATAGTAACGGACAATCTTTGTCCATGATTGTCCTCTGATTCGAAGTCTGGTTTAAACGGTTGAAATTTTGTATTTTACTGCGAAAACTTGGTTTCTTAGTGTTCTATAACTAACCCTGTTGTATTTGGATTATATTTTGTTTAAAAATGGAAATTTGCGAAATAGAAAGAGAAAAGCGGTTCGAACTCCCCATCAAAAATGCCAAGATGCCCAAACATGGCTGCGCCGGCGGTGAAGATGATGTTAGTGAGGGGCCTTCTGAGTTAAAATCGGCACGCCTAGTGCAAATTATGGATCATTTTCTTCGCCTATTGGTATATTGAGAGAAGGTACAATATTTATGGACTTGTCCTTGCTGTTTGGGGTATTTGACGAGTTGCTAAAATGCCCAGAATGTGATGGCAATGTAAGTTCTCATGTCGACATCAAGAAAAGAATGGCTTTCACATTACATTGTTTTGCAATGTAATGCAGAAAATGTGGCTGGAAATACTGTTTCACTACATCGAAGAAGCAAGGTTATTCCCACGAAATGAATGTTAGAACTGTGTTGGCATTCAGAGAAATTGACGAGGACATGCAGCAATGGTCACCTTCTGCAAAATAATGAATATGCCAGCTCCACCTACTCGTCGTGTGTTTACAAAGATTCAAAATAAGAAGCTATTGCCTGCTGTCAAACAGTTGGCAAATGATAGTATGCTAACCAGTGCTTTGAAGGTGAGAGAAGTCAACAGCAATGGAGAATGTGGTATTTCAATGGATGGTACTTGGCAGAAAAGGGCATGCACAATGGAATCGTAACAGCTATTTCCTTGGACACCAAGAAGTGCATAGATGTTGAGGTGCTGTCAGACAAGTGTCAACAATGTTTGAAGTGGGGAAAAGCAAAGTGATCCCAGGTACCATTCATGGAAAGCATCACATAATTGTAAGATCAACCATAAAGGGAGTGCAAATAACATGGAATCATCGGAGCAGTGAAGATTTTGAAAGATCGGTTAACACCAGAGGCTTAAAGTACACCAGTATGCTTGGTGATGGAGATTCTGCTACGCAATAGTATTGTTGAAAGAAAACCATATGGAGAAGAGTGCACTCCTAAAAAGTTAGAATGTATCGGGCATGTTCAAAAGTAAATTAAAGAATATAAGAAAGGTGAAATTGAGTGATGGGAAAGGAATAAGTGGAAAAGGGAGACTTACTGATGGAAAATTGATATGCTTCAGAATTATTATGGTTTAGCTGTGAGAAACAATCTGAATGATGTAAATGAAATGGCTAAGCAGATTAAGGCAGCTCTCTTTCATGTAGCCTCAACAAATGAAAACATCAGCTTTGCCCTATTGGAAGTGACAGTTGGTGTGGTTACCAGAGAGATAAAGAGACATATGTACATAAGAATGGTATTCCTGATTGCATTGTAGAGCTAATAGAGCCCATATTAGATAATCTCAGCAACCCTAGCTTGTTGTCGAAATGCACACACGGTTGACCCAGAATGTAAACGAGTGTCTGAATGGTCTTATCTGGGATCGGTGCCCTAAGACAATTTATGTGGAACAAGAAACTGTTGCTCTAGCCACTTACTTGGCTATACTCAAGTTCAATGATGGGGACATTTCCTTGTTAAAGATGCTAACTGAATTGGACATAGTACCCGTTTGTTTGCCAGTAAGGGAGCTCATGATTGATCGGATCGCATCAACCTCTCAGTCAAAATGAGCTCTGAAAAGGTGAAAAAGAAGAAAAGTGCGCAGGCATTTAAGAAAAAAACATATAGATGATGCTAAAGACAAAGAAGGTGTAACTTATGAACCTGGTCATTTCTGAGGCAGTTTTAAGGTCATTAAAACACAACTATAACTTTAAATAACAATTTCTTACTTTCATGATTTCGGCAAAGAGGACTATCTTTGTGACACCATAACTTCTTTATTATTAATAGTATTAGGCTAAAATTTTGTGTGTGAAAAGCAAATGAACTATTTTAGTGCCTGACACTCTTTAAATTTTTGTATTTATCTTTAATGATGACTAATTGAATGTTGATCTCTTAATTAGAGTCAAAATTTCTAATATTTTCAGTTTTTCTCAAATTTTTCTAAAAATAGTTTCCAAAAATCCAAGAGTGTCATGCACTAGCCCAGGTTATAAGCTTCCCAAATATATATTGTATGTCTCATAGTTACGAATAGAACTTGAGTTATCATGTTTGCCGTGAGACTAATTTAATGGTAATTAATTAGCCGCCATGTTGGTTAATTAGCATAATTAATGAGTTATGACAAAAAAATTAGAGTGATGCGATTTGTACGAGTATGAACTTTCTAATACTGTTGTTTTTGGCTGCCAATCATCAGAATTAAAAAAATTTACTTCTAAGGGGAATGAGTACCTTAATAAAATATAATTTGAAGACTGTTCGTCCAGATAATTAGTATACATGTCAGTGTTACATCAAGTATCTGTCTAGCTTCAGTATATTTGTCCTGATGACGTCATGGAATGTTTTTCCTTTGCGGTGAAGAGGAGTAGTGTTTAAACTAAATCGAGAATTTCAAGACATTGTCTAAAATAATGAAGTTAAAGAATTAGAATCGTAATGGGAGGATGTATGGGCACTTCCAGAGAGCCCAGCATTGATGCTGGCCATATTGATCCTCTCAGTACATCTACGGGAGGTAAAAAATATTCCTGTATTCCTGCTATAGTTGAACGGTTTTATTAAATATTGTATCGTTGACGATTATGGATGTCGCTCTTCTGGTATCAATAATTGCTCCGGTGTGTTTAGTTGTATGGTTTTTAAGCGGACTTTTGTTTTATTTCTAGTTGCAATAGGCCGTAATCGGCCACTTAACGTTGATAAACAAGAATGGATTACTGAAGTGCCCATGACAATGACACAGCTTCGTACTAAAAGAGAGGAGTTTTGGGAAACCGCTCCGGCATTTGAAGGAAGGAAAGAAATATGGGACGCGTTAAAAGCTGCAAGCGAACAAGACGATATCAGTATGGCACAAGTTATAGTGGACAGTGCTAATATCACTCTACCTACAGGTACCTTATTGTAACGACGTGTTTATTGTTTTATATATGAATAAAGTTAATTTGGGAATGATGTTAGACTTGTGACGTTGTATAAAAATGTTGAAATGATTTTCAAGGTTCACTGACTGAGGCATATGATGAATTAGGGAATAACTATAAAGTACCTCTCTTCTGTATTACGGAGCCTTCAAATCTTCTTAAAAATGAAGACATTCCCGAGAAAACCAAAAGTAAAAATTATGAAGAGGAAAAAGATGTTCCTACAGGTGATGCTTATCCTGTTAAGTTTCGACTCTCCACTGGAAAAGAAATAAAACTTCAAGTATATCCTTCTGATAGTGTCTACAAACTGAAAAATTAATAGAAAATCGTGAAAATGTTGCATTGAACAGACAGAGGTGGTTTTACAGTGGGCAATTGCTTACTGATAATATGACTGTTAAAAATGCTGACATCAAGAAAAGCTATGTTGTTCAAATTATTGTTTCTGAAGACAGAAAATGATATCATACTTTGCCAAAGTACCACTCTGAATATTATGTAAATATAGTATTTGACCATCAGAACATAGTGTTTTGCAAAGAGAACTTCATGATTACTAGACTTGGTGATCTTCAGTTAATGAACAAGAAACAAGGAAGTTCATTTGAAGTCAAACAACAATTTATTTCCCATTGTTTGCCACACCAAGTCATCAATTTGGTTCATTACCTACTGTATGAAATAATGTATGAATGTAAAGATCAAATACCTCTAAAGCACTGGAGGTATTTGATCTTTACGTTCAATTGAAATGAAATATTTCCCAACACTGCAATGTCTTAAATAAATTTCAATTAATTTCTGATTCAATGCTAACCATAAACATGTATAAATGAACATACACCTGACAAGTTGACGAATCAAACTTTACTCTATTAAACATCATTAAATTAGTATTGCATCAAAAATAATTTTCATTGACACATGGGTACAACACAGCACACCAATGCATTGCCAGCCCTTCATGGGTACAATGGAGTACACCAAAGTATTGCCTGCCCTAAATGGGTGCAATGGAGTACACCAAAGTAGGGCCTGCCCTACATGGGTACAATGGAGTTACACCAATGCATTGCCTAAATGTATACATATAGATATAGCATAACGAAAAATAACTAGATGATGTTGATCAACTGTTTTTACAAACTGAGCAAATATTAACATAGCTTATAAGAGAAGACACCTCTGAACACAAGTTGCACATTCAACACAACTGGGTGGCATTCGAGGATCTAAAAAAAATCCTTCAGTACGAATGAACCATTGTGCCACCATTTTTCTCTTTTTCAGCAGATTCGACATTTTGTTGAAGGGTAACAGGCTGCTCCATGCTTGAATTTCTTGAATAAAACACTTGTTGTTCTCGTTTCTCGCGAGCAAATTTTTCCTCCAATGCCTGGAAACGAGATGCAGTTTACACTGTCAATGTTTTATTCATTAAAATGAGAAAGGTTTGTATCACTATTATAAATAACAGATCACAACAGAGAAATCAAGAGATACAATTCTACAAACAAAATTAACAGCACGATCTTTGACAGTGATCCAAAGCAACGTATTCATCTAAATCCCTTAAAAAATTTGTCAACTCCTCACTTCACACAAACATCACACAAATTGGATATTCGACTCAATATAAGAGACAAAACCTCAGCGTTAACTCTCTCTTCTTTGCAATTGACAATACGAAATTCACCTTTTTGCGTGGTCCAAGATTGTTTCTCCACACGAGTTCATCTTCCTGGTATTTTTCATCGCGTTCTTTAAGTTTTGCTGTTTCACTTTCAATAAGCATGTGTTGTTTTTCGTTCTAAGAAACAGTCATACATTTGTCTTGCGTAAGACGAAAAACGTGTTTGCAATGTGTAATAAAATATTAAAGACAAAACATGCATAAACCTGCAACTGTTGCAACTCTTTCAATGCCGCTTCTTGTGATGCGCGTAGTTCTTCAGTTTCTACATGTTGTCTCGATATCATTCTGTCATATTCAGATCTTGCTCTTCTTGATTCCGATTCGTGGAACTGAAATGAATAAAACAGATGTGCAAAGTTGTAAATCATGTTTATCTAGAAGAACTATGAAGATAAACCATGACTATCAAGAATAACCATGAAGATAAACCATGACTATCAAGAAGAACCATGAAGATAAACCATGACTATCAATAAGAACTTTGAAGATAAACCATGACTATCAAGAAGAACTATGAAGATAAACCATGACTATCAATAAGAACTTTGAAGATAAACCATGACTATCAAGAAGAACCATGAAGATAAACCATGACTATCAAGAAGAACTATGAAGATAAACCATGACTATCAATAAAACTTTGAAGATAAACCATGACTATCAATAAGAACTATGAAGATAAACCATGACTATCAATAAGAACTTTGAAGATAAACCATGACTATCAATAAGAACTATGAAGATAAACCATGACTATCAATAAGAACTATGAAGATAAACCATGACTATCAATAAGAACTTTGAAGATAAACCATGACTATCAAGAAGAACAATGAAGATAAACCATGACTATCTAGAAGAAGTATGAAGATAAACAATGACTATCAAGAATAACCATGAAGATAAATCATGACTATGAAGAATAACCATGAAGATAAATCATGACTATGAAGAATAACCATAAAGATAAATAAATACCTCCTTCATTTTTTCACGTTCAAAGTCCATCGAAACTTTTTTATCGGAATTCCTTAACGTTTTCCTGAAACTTTGCGCCTTGAACTTAAGATCGTTTTTCTGCATTTTAGGCAGGCGTTTTTTCTCCAATTCAATACGCCGTTTTAGTTCTTCTTCCTTCATTTTTGCCAAATTCAGGTGTTGTTCCATTTCCTATATCAGAGAAAAATGAAAACATATCGAAATCCACGTGTCCCCATTACATAAACTCAAAACAGCATTTATACTTTCACATGACGATTCGACATCTGGGATCGTTGAAGGAAAAACATCTCTTTTAGTTGACTTGTTGACATCATGTGACGTTCACGTAGCTGCTTTTGCTCCACTTCCCATTTCATGGATTCATGTTCTAAAAAGCATACATTCATGCGTCAGAATTAACCGTTAAAAATTATTGTACACAATAAACAACATTCCCGCCAAAAACTCATCTCTGTCTCCAAGTAAATGTTATCGTTCTTACTTCTGATACGATCATGTTTGAGGTTCAAAAACTCAATTTCTTTCTTTGCCATTTCTTTTCGTTGATCTTCAACCGAATCCTTGTGATATTTCTGATACGTATAGTGTTGTTTTTGGCGAAATTCGTACTCCTAGAAATATTACCAAAACACAAACTTCACGACACGTACCAACTACAAGAAGATTGTAAATACCATCCATCTGTGAACAACATTTCACTAACAGCGCAGTTTTCTTAAACAGAGCTTGCGTGGCAACCTTTCAAAACTACTTTTATGATGGGTTATAATGTATTAAGACGTCATATTCAACGAGTGGAACTTGTCAAAAGGGACTTAGAACACATCAATTTTTGTGGATTGCACAAGTGACGTAGCGCATTTACGTTCGTATTTCTAAGAAGGATAGTGAAAATCTACAACAGCATGTGGTTTCTTAAAACAGCTACCCTAGGACACAATAAATCTCTTATATTTGTAAGTCTTTTTAATAGTCTTCGCTTGGAGCCAGGAACAACAACAAAGCAACAGAGTAAATGCCTCACATCTGGCGGGAGAATTACCTAACAAGATTTTATTCCCTTACAAAAACTAAAAAATATGACCTAAATTGGAACTGTGCAGAAATCGAAAACGTTATAGGTCGAAGAACTGACAGTTTCTGTTTTATTTTTTCGCTGAACATCCTCAAAAACGGCCACCTTTTTGCAGGCGTAAAAGTTTTAAAAGGTCCTTGTTAGAAATATTTCAAGAAAGAAAAAAAGAAACAAGTTTGCAGTGCTCACAGTCTGTGTCAGAATACAAGGTATGGTACCTTGGCTTGATTGGTCGCTGCTAACTCATCCTTTTTCTTTCTTTGACATTCTTTTCTTTCAGAGCGTGGTAAACTATCAATCTAAAATGTGCCGTCCATATTTGATTCATGAAAGTATTTGAAACACGGAACCACCATTGATAAATATACAGACCTTTTTCATTTCCGTTTTTGCTTCTTCTTTTAGATAATTTTGGAATTTCTTGAATTCTTTTTCCTGAAAAACAATAAAAGAAAGGGAAACATGAGAAACGAGTGACAAGCTCACAAATAAAGTGGTGATTTTTTAGGAACACTTACATACAAACTAAACAACCAAACTGGTGATTCTTTAGGAACACTTACATACAAACTGAACAACCAAACTGGTGATTCTTTAGGAACACTTACATACAAACTGAACAACCAAACTGGTGATTCTTTAGGAACACTTACATACAAACTGAACAACCAAACTGGTGATTCTTTAGGAACACTTACATACAAACTGAACAACCAAACTGGTGATTCTTTAGGAACACTTACATACAAACTGAACAACCAAACTGGTGATTCTTTAGGAACACTTACATACAAACTGAACAACCAAACTGGTGATTTTTTAGGAACACTTACATACAAACTAAACAACCAAACTGGTGATTCTTTAGGAACACTTACATACAAACTGAACAACCAAACTGGTGATTCTTTAGGAACACTTACATACAAACTGAACAACCAAACTGGTGATTCTTTAGGAACACTTACATACAAACTGAACAACCAAACTGGTGATTCTTTAGGAACACTTACATACAAACTGAACAACCAAACTGGTGATTCTTTAGGAACACTTACATACAAACTGAACAACCAAACTGGTGATTCTTTAGGAACACTTACATACAAACTGAACAACCAAACTGGTGATTCTTTAGGAACACTTACATACAAACTGAACAACCAAACTGGTGAGTCTTTAGGAACACTTACATACAAACTAAACAACCAAACTGGTGATTCTTTAGGAACACTTACATACAAACTGAACAACCAAACTGGTGATTTTTTAGGAACACTTACACACAAACTGAACAACCAAACTGGTGATTCTTTAGGAACACTTACATACAAACTGAACAACCAAACTGGTGATTCTTTAGGAGCACTTACATACAAACTGAACAACCAAACTGGTGATTCTTTAGGAACACTTACATACAAACTGAACAACCAAACTTGTGATTTTTTAGGAACACTTACATACAAACCGAGCAACCAAACTGGTGATTCTTTAAGAACACTTACATACAAACTGAACAACCAAACTGGTGATTTTTAAGAACACTTACATACAAACTGAACAACCAAACTGGTGATTCTTTAGGAACACTTACATACAAACTGAACAACCAAACTGGTGATTCTTTAGGAACACTTACATACAAACTGAACAACCAAACTGGTGATTCTTTAGGAACACTTACATACAAACTGAACAACCAAACTGGTGATTCTTTAGGAACACTTACATACAAACTGAACAACCAAACTGGTGATTCTTTAGGAACACTTACATACAAACTGAACAACCAAACTGGCAATTCTTTAAGAACACTTACAAACAAACCGAGCAACCAACCTGGTTATTCTTTAGGAACACTTACATACAAACTGAACAACCAAATTGGTGATTCTTTAAGAACACTTACAAACAAACCGAGCAACCAACCTGGTTATTCTTTAGGAACACTTACATACAAACTGAACAACCAAACTGGTGATTCTTTAGGAACACTTACATACAAACCGAGCAACCAACCTGGTTAATCTTTAATTTCTTTACAGCAAGTTCTAAATCTTTCTGTTGAGCAGCTTCTAACTTTTCAATTTCACGCTTTTGCTGTCTTGCCATATGCTCTAAATCCACATTAAACTTTCTTTCCATGTCCTTTGAAATGAGAAAAGTTAATGTGATCGTTCATTAAAAGATTAAATAATCTCAACCGAGGCATCAAAGAAACGTTTAAATTCAAAAGCAAGCAAGGTAATGGAAGATGATATGTATGCTAGTGCGTTTTAATTCCCCCCAAATCATTCATCGATTCATTTAGTTCGAGCTAACTGAGAGAAGTAGCACAATCATCAACAGGAACATCAGCAGACACTTTCAACATCATTGCCTTTAACCCCCCTAGTGTCCACCAATGACAAGGAACTTAGTAGCCCCTCCGAGTGTCCACCACTGACAATAAACTTAGTAGCCCCTCCTAGTGTCCAGCACTGACAAAGAACTTAGTAACCCCTCCTAGTGTCCAGCACTGACAAAGAACTTAGTAACCCCTCCTAGTGTCCAGCACTGACAAAGAACTTAGTAGCCCCTCCTAGTGTCTACCACTGACAAAGAACTTAGTAACTACTCTTTTAAAACTTACAGCATTCTCAACTTCGAACTTTTGTTCTTGTGTTTCCCAATGTTTTCTTATTCTTGCAACCAACTCATTTCCTTGTTTCTGTTCTTCGCGCTGCAACAGTTTCACCTCGCGAAAATGTTGTTTCCTAAAAAACAATCCATGATTCCATCGTCAACAAAGCCACGTACGCAGTTTCGAGCTGCTCGAGAGTTGATGAAAAATAGTTAATGTAAAATATTCTACCTTAGTTGTTGTTCACGTCTTTTTTCATCTCTGCGATCCTGTTGACTTATATCAACAACACGTGAAGTTACTTCTGTGACAACTTGACCGTCCTTAACGAATTTTCTCGTTCGTGTTAAAGTCTTATATTGTTGTGTATCCTAGTTTAAATAAAAAAATATCGTTGATGTTTGATTTACATATTGATTAGAAAAATTTTGTTTCTATGAAAGAGTATAAATAACGTATGAACTGTTGGTATTTAGTACCTGTTTGTCGGGAGATGTTTTTCCTGAAAGACCATTAGATAATTGATTGTCTATAACAAATGAATCAGTTCACGTTCAATTTTAAGCAAGTACCTCATGCAGTAAAGCTAGTGGCAGTTGTATAAGACGCTTACTTGAAGGAACGTGTTTTGAAAGTTCTTGAGAAAGAATCTGTGATTGAGATTTTACGTCTTCTTCGCTCTTTCTCTCGTCATTATTAGCATTCCTTTGGATGTTATTTCCTATTCCATTGTCCCTAATAACATCACCATTTGCACTTATTCTATTTTCTGTTATTTTATCCTTCTCGAGTTCCCTATTATCCACAGTGTTTTTGTTCACAATATCATTGGCATCTTCGGACTCTTGCAGTTTGTCAAAAATATCGTCCACCTTTGATGAGTATTTGTCAGTTTCCGTTCCCTGACCATATTGAGTCACAGTACTTTCGTTGTTCTCAGAGTTATTGATGGCATTAGGGCTTGATATGACGTCACTATTAGATGACACGTCATCAGTCGACACCACACTGTTTGATGACAATCTCTTTTGACCTGCCTGATCCTTTACTATCCCATGTGAATCATCATGTTTCTCACTTAGTGTTTTTTCCCTTTCATTTGTTAATAAGATCAATTTATCAGATTTTTTTGACATGTTGCTATCACTTCTAGGTATGACATCAATCTTGTTTTCCACAAAACCATCGTTTGACGTCACGTCCTTGATGCTGTCGCATTTTTCGCTCATAGACGATTGGTCACTAAGTTTGTTTTGGTTAGAATATTCATCTGAGCGTACCATGTCACGTGAATGATCTGAAATACTACTTGATTCGCTACCAGGTATAGATTCAAGTGATCCACCAGAACTTTTTCTTGTCTTATCCATCTGAAACACAACGTTCAGATCAAATAATTTTGAAGATATATGACATGTTTAAGACAGCGCGCAATATCGTGGTAAAAAATTTAAATAACGCCACAAAAAGAGGCGAAATTGGCAATATTTAAATTTGGCATGCAATGTGTGAATATTTAACATGCAATGTGTGAATATTTAACATGCAATGGGTGAATATTTAAGATGCAATGTGTGAACAGAAAACATGCAATGTGTGAATATTTAACATGCAATGTGTGAATATTTAACATGCAATGTGTGAATATTTAACATGCAATACGTGAATATTTAACATGCAATGTGTGAATATTTAACATGCAATGTGTGAATATTTAACATGCAATAAGTGAATATTTAACATGCAATATGTGAATATTTAACATGCAATATGTGAATATTTTGCTTTCATACAGGTACATCCTCAGGTAAATCTTCTAAAGTTTCAACGACTTCTGCTTTCATCAAATTATAGAGTTCTTTTAACGGCTTCGTCGACGTTACATTTGAAATAAACGGATGCTGAAATAAAAAAAAACCATATCACAGATTCTCGCCTCACAAACAAATGTTTCACGAGTGGAATGAGCAAGATATATAAAAAATGCGTAACTACCTGAAGAAGCTCTGCTGCAGTTGGTCTGTTGCAAGGAGCTTTCGTTAAACATTTCGCGAGAAATGATTTGAAATCCACAGACCTACGTATGTGTAAAATTCATAGCTTAATTACTATGTTAGCGTAGTAAAAACATAAACTTTATGAAAAACTATATTGTACTAAATCAATTAAATTATACATCGTATGTAAAACTTAGTAAAAAATAGGTACGAAGCGTGTACATGTAAGCAGCCTTGCATGCACGCTGCTTAAATGGTGTATATATTTAGCGTATATAAAAAATACGACAAATTAACGGGTGAATAAAAATCTTCACTATCACATAAAGTTTTGAAATAAGATGCGCGTGAAATAATGAAAAACTTTTACTGATTACAAGCACTTGGTGATTCTAAGCATGATCAGTTGGCAGTGAAACTTTTGAAAATGTAAGATATTTAATAAATGTAAGAAAACAGCCTGTGCACAAAAGGCTACGTGCCCCAAAGTGTATTTATTGATATACAATTATTGTACTACATAGTCCTGAGATGCAGATCAATGTAATGTGGTCGGATGGAACGACGGATTGGTAGTTAGCCTGCATACAGGCTACTTACCCACAAAAAATGTTGTTCCAGGTGTACAAAATGAACAATCGACATATGACATATTTCTTCATTAAACTAGCTACATATTAAGATGCTTAACCATTACCATATTCTTGGCTGTTTCAGTGATGGTGGTTCAGCCTTGGGTATTTTAAATAGAACTCTCATTGGACTCATTTCATGGTAAGGAGGTTGTGTTTCAGCCAGTTCTATTAAAGTAATACCAGCAGACCATACATCACACTAGAAACATCAAAGAATAACATTAGTATGAAGATATTTTAACATTATGAGATTTACACACTTGCAAAATGAACCGCTGAATAAATGTATTGGCTGACGTTTAAAATATAGTTGTTTGCAACTGCATGAACATAAGTTTATTGAAAGGGAGAATCAAATATATATGTTTGTTCTGAATTCTAAAAATTCCATTACAATACCCTACAATATCCCCTACTGGACCCTTGGACATAGCTAGCCCACAAGTTTTGGTCTTACTATGTATGTAAAGAGTGTTGTCATTATTCACTTCTATAGACATCAATTGTTTTTGTAAACACAGACAAATTTGCACAGTGGGACCACATTTTCTAACAATAGCTATGCCAGTGTCTGTACTAAATAAATCTGGGCAAGGGTGATTTGACATCAAATCTGTATAAACTTGTATCTGTGTTCTATGATACATTCATTTGACTCATTGTAAAGATTAAATATAGTCTTTCCTATCACCTTGTAGTCGTATGGATCATCCTTGCATGTTTCTGTAATTGCAACCTCAGGAGCCATCCTGTAGCATAGAAGATTGGTGGGTATTATCAATTTTTACTGCATATTGTGTAGTTGTGTAACAAACAATAGATTCATTATTATTCTAACTACATAAGAGTGGTTGGCATTATCAATTTGGTATATTGTAGAATGTGTATCTGCCTTACAAACACATGGAAAAATAATTTTCTAAACACAACTAAGGTTGAAGTGAAATGAAAATTCAATCAAAACAAGACAACACAGATAGTGACTTACCAATATGGGGTGCCGATAAAGGTATCTCTTCGTTGCAAAGTTTTCTTATTTTTTGCAGAAACACCAAAATCCGCTAAACATCAAGAATATATCATTACTGTTTAAAAATGTTTGAAGATTGCCATGAGTATCAATGCAACATATTACCTAACTTTATTTCACCAGTATTTGATAACAATAAATTGCCAGCTTTTAGGTCTCTGTGGATGACTTTACCAATGGAGTGCAAGTATGTCAAAGCCTAGTGAAAAAATCACATTAGATGAACATCAAGATTTCTGATATGAAACAACTCATGAATTATAAAAGCTACCTCAAACATTTGCCGGCAGACAACTTTGATCATTGCTTCGTCAAGACCTCTCTCTAAGTCTACATTCAAGAAATACATAGATTAAGTTAATACATCATTCTGCACACAATTTACAAAATTTCCACAACAACAACAACAAAACCTAGTATAATATCATCTAAGGCTCCTCCAGCACAAAACTCAATTAAAATCTATAATGAAAAATATGAAAATAAGCACATAATAGAAGATGAAACTTTCTGTCAAATTTGTCTGAAAGCCTGACCATAACCTAGAGCATAATGGGATAATCATTAACTAATAAGGGCCTGTATCCAACTGTTATTGTTGTTTATCATTCGTAAACGAATAGCTTCTACATTTTCTTCCGTAATATATGTTTTACAAAGATCCTTATGTCGTGAAATAAACTAAGTCTTATCTATGATAAACAACAATAACAGTTGGATCCAGGCCCCTTATTAATTAATGATTATCCCATTATGCTTTGTAAGTTAAAAATCAATCGTAGAAATGAACATACCCAGAGTTTATTATCAAAATAATATGCTTCATAAAGATTGATAATATTCTTGTGTTTACATTCTGCAAGAATGTCAATTTCAACCATGAAATCATCAAGTTCTGTGTCATTATGAATCTCAACAATCTTTGCCGCAGCTTCATCTCCTGTCTCACAATGTTTTGCCTTTAAATGTGAAACAAGGTGTTAGCAAAATACACACAACTATTTCTTTCAACAATTTTCTCAAACGAGGCAAGACCCCTCCAAAAAGTTGGGCTGGCAATGCATGTCTTTTTAGTGTCTATATTTCATAGAAAAGGTCCACATTTTTAATGAACCAATTATTAGGACATACTTTGCTAAAGACAGGGGGGTAAATGATGGTCTGCCACTCCCCCATGATTGCCCCTGATTTCTTGCTACCTTTAAGATGATTGATGGATATAAGGTATAGGGGGACATCCATTTAGAACATATCAAAAGTAATGTTGGGGGGGGGGAGGAAGGGTGTATGATCAATGTGTAGATTTGTGTGCCAGGGAGGAGGATGTTTATAATCCAGATATTTTGAGAAAGTATGAAATCGACAATTGAGTAGTTTTCATTGTATTTACTTAATATGTAATGAAAAATAAACTTTACTTAAACAAGGAGTTCAGGTTTCTTTATTCAGGCAGAACTAAAAATTGTTTTTTCTCTCTAGAAACACATATTCATACTCTCTGTATTGTTCTTGGAAGCAAGACAATGTCATTTGTAGGAAAAAGGAAAATTGTTAGACAAAATTGAACTGTTGTAGTTTTTTGTAAAATACTTAAATTGCACATTGTTTAAGGGTGATTTCTTAACCATAACAAATAGTTTTTTCATGAAATTTTGTAGCCACACAAACAAGAAATAAATGTCTCTATTATCTAATTTGCATATGAGGTATGCAAAAATACAAAGATTCTCTGTTCTTAGTTGCTAAGGAAGGTCAATAGAACTCCCACTTAACATACAACATTAATTTTTCACCTTTTATAAAGTGATGGGACTTTAAAAGTTCTTTGTTTTAAGACATTCCAACTTTCTTGGTGGTAAGCATATGTTAATATTTAAATAGTATCTTAATGAAAACATACGCTATATATCTAGGGAAGGATAACCTTATATTACCAAAAAATAATAATTTAAAAATACTTAGAATCAAGTATTGGTATCTATAGAGTATCTGATAATGTAAATCCATAACTTATCAAATAATAAAATTCATTTACACCACATAGGAACGTAGAACTTTCTATATTATGTTCAAAGAGAAACATAAACATTCACTTCTCTTTGATTATAAAAATGCGATAAAATCAAGAGAAATTTTGATTGGGAACGAGCTAATATTCAATGGGGTTAGCCATTAAAGGCATTTTAATCTGATACAAATATTTACTCAATGGTCAAATAATCTTCATATCAATGAAATGGCCATCTTTTATACTAGTAAACGAAGACATTAAAACATGTAAATATTATTTGTTTATTGAAATTTGACTATAAAATAACCGTAGTTATTCAAGATGGTACATGCTCGACTACACTTGAAATTATTTAATGATCAGAAAACTTACCTTGTACACTTTACCAAAACTACCGTCGCCTAGCTCGCCCGTCGTCTCCCATATCGTATTGGGATCAACATTCAATATTAAATTCAAATACTCTTTCTTCTTCTTGGGTTTTGCAGCAAATATATTTTTCCAAAAGGCCATTTCTCCATATAGTGTGAAAAGGCCAGTTGCCGATCAATGTCTGTGTTGACGTCGAAACCACTTCAAATTTTCTCGCTCAGTTTTGCAGCAATCTTTAAGGCAATGTTTTCCTTTTTATAAACTCTTGCATCACATTTATCACTACTAATCTCAATTCATTGCAGCATTGCTGAATAAGAAAATGTAGAAGTGTTTTTGCTGGAAGACACCGCAAAACTATTAAATCTATATTCTTCCTGTGATCAGATTACGATCAGCCTGCGATAGGGTTGAATGATCTACACTGAACCATAGTGATATTGGTCGGGTGTCTGGAGCATGATATAAACATCTAGCGAACAGTATTTCAATAGAGAAACTTTATTTAAGGCTTTAAGCTAAAGATATTAATTTCGGGAGTTAATAATCGATATGAACTCAGGTTTCAAGGATGCTCCACCAACCAAAAATCCATCAACATCGGGTTTTGCAGCCAATTCACAGCAGTTCTTTGCATTCACCGAGCCTATCAATAAACAAAGCAATCAGCCAATCACTGCGCAACAAATTTTTTACATAGAAACAAACATTGACATTACCTCCATAAATAATTCTAACAGACAATGCAACCTCAGATGACACATTCTCTTTAAAGAATCCTCTGATCATTTGATGAACTTCTTGAGCTTGTTCTGGCGTGGCAGTTTTACCAGTGCCAATAGCCCATACAGGCTCATAAGCTATAACAACTTTTGACCAATCTGCTACATTTTCTGATTGGAAAATGCATTGAATTATGAAATTTTGCATTCTCATCCAAAATTATAAAAAAAGCACGACAACATATTCTTTTATATACCAGAAATGACTTTGATTTGTCTACAGACAACATCATTTGTAGTTCCATTTTCCCTCTCACTTAACAGTTCGCCCACGCACGCAATCACTCCAATCCCAGCCGACAAAGAATGACCAACTTTTTCACCAATAAGCTATTAAATAAGATCTTCAAATTTTACCTCATAAAATATAAAATACATAAAAGATCACTCCATCTCAAAGCAAATAACCTCATCTTTTTCTCCAAACACATGTCTCCTTTCTGAATGTCCGAGAATAACCCATTTAGCACCAACATCCTTGATCATTTCTGCACTATGTTCACAAATCAAATTCACCGTTAATCAAAGCAAAAAGAGGTTTACAAGAATTCGCATAAATACCTTATTTCGCCAGTAAATGCACCTTTGCTAACTTTGTAACAATTTTGTGCTGACACTGCAACTTTTCCATTAAGATCTTGCACAACCTGTTTAAGATAAATGGCTGGTGGAGCAACTACCACTTCTAGATGGAAAAGAAATCATCTCAAATCTCAAAACATTCTTCATTTCAGTAACATGCAACTTAGATAAACAGTCAAGTAACTGTACTTTGTACAATCAATTCAATGTACGGATGTACCTGTTCGCGTAAAGTCTTTTTCTGCTTTGTTCAAATTTTTAACGATTTCAGCAATGCTTTCACTGTTTCCATTCATTTTCCAGTTTCCACCTACGAAAAATTTCCTCGAAGAAGCCATAATGTCTTTTAAAAGCTGTCTTTAACTTAATAAACACAAATTGTTTGAACATGAATAGTCTCACGTTCTTTTTAATTAGTTTCCATCTACCAAAATCAGTCTTGTGCTAATTATTATCATTATGGCGACTAAGAAGCCAATGAGCAGGACTAATTAATGAAAATTTTGATATAAATATCAAAATCGCTACGGTTACTTAAATCTGTGCCAAATTCAAGTTATTTTATTTCTCCACGAGAAGACCAACCAGCATACGAGTAATCCATACTAACTTATTGTCTGTATGTATATAGCACGTTCTGAGTCATTATCTTGTTTGATTTCAAGGAATCTTAGGTGCAAACAAAATGGCCAAAATGCTGAAGAGCTTTGCTTTTTCATCTCAACTGCATTCACCTATATTGACTTCAAAATCACCACTCGCTGAATTCCATCGAAATTTGACTTTGAGTTCTATTGGAAAGTGAATGAATTGTAAATTGTTCATCAAAACTGCAAAAATAATTTTCTTTGTATCATAAACATTTAGTTTGTGGTAAATATCATTACGTCAAAAAGAAGAGGAAATTAAGAGAGGAGAAAAGAGCAAAACTCCAAGCTCGCCTTGAGGTATAAAATAAAAATTATTTTTCAATCTATACCTTACCACTCCAAAAAGTTTACCATATTTAAACTGTTTATGGTCAATTTTTGGTATATTTAAGAAACTCGATCCTGAAGAACGGCCAACTGGATGTTTGTTATGTGATACTGAAATAAACTATAAGGTTTGACATCAGATGTGTGTGTGTGATGATTTTAACTTGTTTCTCTTGATCCTCAAATGATAACATTTTCAGAATGTAAGGTTGTTATCCCAGTTTGTATCATCACATACTGGACGAATATATAGCAAGGAAGCAACAGGTATTATTTTTCATCATTTACAATATCCATAGAAGTACTATTGCTGAATTTAATTAACTCAAAACAATTTCTTACGTAGGTTTATGTCAGCTTAAACAAAATGAAATAAAGAAAGCCATTCGAAGAGCAAGATGTTTAGGTATGTTTTGGAGATGTTGTCATCATTTAATGAAAATAACATTCCATACCTGATATGAAGACAAAATATTTTCTTTTAGGTTACATGCCTTACACGATGAAGTTCCTAGCATTTCATGAAGATCCTAAATTATTTTGAAATACATAGATTACATCAAATACTAAGAAAAGGAACACAAATACAAGAATATTATAGTTTACAAATTTTCTAACACAGCCCATCAGAAACAATTTCTTTGGTCAAGAATGCTTCTTGATCAACTTTAAAGAAAGTTGCAAAAGGTTGACTTTTTACAACTGCACTAAATAACACAACAATTCGATTTTAATATTGTGTTGATTTTGGTCTATGAGGATAAGACCTTGAAGAACCTGGACTCTGTGTTCTCAAATTGGAGTCTGTTTGTGAAGTCGGAAATGAACCAACATGCTTTGCTACAACAACATGCTCGTGTTTATTTGGTTTGTTTGACTGTTTTTGGTCGAGATCGTCAAAGGATATCAAGTCTTCCTCGCCATTCTTATCCAATTCAATTAGGTTAACTGAACAGAAAATATTTCAAAAAATGAAAACATTGTTGATATAGTCACATGCCAGCAAATAAAACAACAAAATACCCTCAGGAACTTCAGGCTTTAATCTCTTTTCCCTCATTGCCATTTCTAGTTCATGTCTCAACATGTTTACACTTTCTGAAAGATCAGTTAACTTTGTTTCGCTTTTATGTACAGCTTCTTTTAAACCCTAAACAAAAATATACGTACAATTTCAATTGCATGAATTCATTGATTGTAGTACACAAAGTAATACCTTTAATTTCATCAACATGTTCTTATACATTGATCGAGCATGCTTCACTTGCTGTAGCTGGCCAACATTATCAAGAAATTCATCACTAATAATAGACAGCAATCAGTAAAATAATCACGACTAGTGTAGCATGCTTTGCATTACTATGTCAATTTCATAACATCATTCATTTCCTTATATTGTTTCTGTTGTAAAAAAGTACAGAAACATTTGCTTAGCATAACTAAATAAATAACAATGTTAAAGAATAGCAATTTGATTTGTAGATGGATTTCAAAATAGCAAATACCATGGTGAATGGTGATAATAACAAAGTAATAGTTCTTAAAAGAACTGTTTTAACCAGAACACTAACCCAACAATTCAAAGGAACCGTTATTTACAGCTAGAAAGAGACACTATGCATTTCGGCAGACTACTTGTCAGATTGAAATGCATAGTGTCTCTTTCTAGCTGTAAATAATGGTTCCTTTGAATTGTTGGGTTAGTGTTCTGGTTAAAACAGTTCTGTTAAGAACTATTACATTGTTATTATCACCATTCACCATGGTATTTGCTATTTTGAAATCCATCTTTAAGTTTGTCACCACGACAAAGTCTCTGTTTAATAATTTGACTTGTGTAATGTAAAAGCCAATAACAATAAGAACAGATACCTGTAAGAGCCAACAACATTCCTATATTGTTTTGATGTAGAAGTTGTTGCAGCAACATCAAATTTATATTCTGTTTGTGCTGTGTTTCCAAGATTTATAATTTTGATAGGAAATCGATGAAACATTCTAAAAAATCAAGAGTTTTGCATTTACCATCAAATAAACAAACATTGACTGTAAATGAGTACTGTGAATCTTCACCTAGTTTTGTGTTTTGCTAAAAAATGTGCCGAATATCGAAACGGATGAGTTGCCCTGTTGCCAAAAACATGGGATGTGAACACAGAAAACATAAATCCTAAAAATATATAAATTTTGTCAAAATGCTGGTGTCATCAAACATTTTCATAAATAATATTAGAAAGGTAAGTACAGGATAATTATATCATATATAAGAATACGTACAGGGTAAAATAAGGTGATATAAGGATATAGGGCAAAAATAAAGTGATATGAGGATAATTATAGGGTAAGATACGACAGTAGAAGATTAAATATAGTGTGAGGATATATAGTGTGACATAGGATCTGATTATGTAATATAAAGATAAAGAACAAGATATAATAGGTGAAGATAAGGAATAATAATGATATACTTCTTGAATCTGTAATGCTTAATTGCTCCAGGAGACTATTGTGGATCGCCCGTTCTCTCATGGAAACCCCAAGTCTTGTACTTCTTCGAAACTTAAACCAACCTAGTACTTCCTACAAAAATGTTAAAATAAATAAGTATGGGTGTGATAAAATAGACAGATACATGCAATGGTGTATTTTTATGACCCTGGATAGACATTGAGATTACCATCCATAAGATTTGCTCACCTGCTTGTTTGAGCCAAGTATACGATCAAGCTTCTCCATGTGAATATGGCCGACGCCATCATAAAAACTATGTTATCAAAAAACAGAAAAAAAAGTAAAGTAATCAAATTACTAAGCAAGCTAAAGGGTAAGTATCAATGTAATGAGATTTAACCTAAAAAGTCCAGGACATACAATTGTTTCTTGCACAGCTAAAGAAAATAAGAGCCATCAATATGTCACAGAAGATTTAATGATTGTTGACAGTTAGAAATTTATTATCAAAAAAAGATACATAGGAAAAATTATATTATTTGAACAAAGCTAAACTTTCCGCAAGTTTTTAGAGATGTTGAACACTCGTAAAATGATTGAGAGGTAATTCTAGTAGGTTTCATGCAAGCTGAAACAATGACGTCATTTTTAGCATCTGCTACAATCTTCATTTATCTGTTATAAATTACATTAACTTCGATTTTCCTGAGTATGAAAATGAACACCAAATACAAATATATCATAAGATTATTAATCACCTACCGAGGATTCGGGTATGCACTACATTAACGTCTTGTGAGTCACTGACAGTTCTTGTTGTACGATCGTCGATTTTGCCCAATAAAAATCCTTCCTAAGACGTTCGACAAAAGTTCAACAACATTCTCAGACTCAATTAATAAAAGCACCAACTTACTACGTCTCCTTGGCTATTTGCAAGCTCTAGAAATAACGATGAAAACACACAACCAGATACCTGAACTTCCATTTTGTTAAACATCACCATACATGAAGTATTTTATTCCCAAAGCTTCCAAGGGCTACCCACTCCCCCCGGCTACTTGAATAGTCTCCCAATCTATCAAAACCATCACCAAAACGCACCAAGGTCAAGTCTTTTCGAAAAATACGAGAATTCATTTTCCTCGAAATAACTTGATTTAAGAAATGTATCTATTGCTACTGAACAGCAAAAAAACACAGCCCCATTTCCTCCATTAGTCCATCGAATGAAAAACTTTGGTTTGCAATAATATATGCATTTATGTTACAATTTAAAAGTCATAATAAAACAAAAATATATATTACTTTCTCAATGAGACAATCTCCATCAAAATTTTACATGAAACTACTTTTGTATCTTATTCTATACGGTTAAATAAAGATATGAAACATCACAGCACAAATTGCCTTATTTATGTCTTAATGATTCACATAGCAAACTGATCTTTCTTTCGGAAATATAAGCTGTTAACGCAGTAGCCAAAATATGATAGGCGCCAAAAACAACATCCATTCCAAACTGAAACTGTTCAAAATTCGACCAAGGTTGAAGAAGTTTACGAAAAATTTTGAAAACAAAATGTAAGAAAATGTTCATTAATACTGCGAGAGAAGCGACTATTAGTGTTGAGATAAAGCGGTAGGCGTAATACAAAAATGGATTTTCTTCGTAAAACAATCTTTCCCTGTATTGCAAATACGCGTCTTCGCCAAACCAGCTTGTGACAGCCATCTTAGGAGCGGGTATCGGGAATAAGGTTGATGCTAGGAGATATTTCTACCAATGAGTCATTTGTACCCAATTTGTACCCGAATGTACATATGCAAATACAACAATCTTTGTAGAAACCGGATTTTATGCAAATCTATCGACAGTATTTGATAAATTTGTTTCAATCGAAAAACTTAATTGCCATCTTGTTTTAGCTCTAAAATGAAATAATCAGGAAATTAAGAAACAATGAATTGCATAAATTAACTGAACATACAATCCTAATTGACAGAATATAATAAATTAAATCACTAACACAACAAAACTTCACATGAAAATACAATAAACTATTTTCTATATTAAATACAAAACGCAAATTACATGCAGCAATAGTATTGTTCAACTGCGAAGAATGCCCACGCCAGCGTCCACGGCAAAAGGGTATTCATGTGGATATACAGGTAACGGGCAAAGACCGTTAGGATCAGTTGGAAGAATGTGCTGGTTGTAAGGTAGATACACAGAATGACCAGGGTATAATGATGGATGAGGAGGTATAAATATGCGTGACGAAGCACGTACAGGAAATGCTGGCAAATCATAAAAATCAAATCCACTGTAAGGATAGTGAGCACCAGAGTCAATCATCGGCATTGAATACATGACGGAATCATTAGAAGTTTGTGTACGCTTGCCCGAGAAAGAATTGTTCAAGAATGGATCCTCCATAGTTTTCTTTAGATGTTTGCGTACATCACGTGATTCATTGTAAGAATCACGTGATATAGAGGAGTCACTTACATGATGCAAATATGATGACAAACCCGTTTCTTTTCGTTCAGATGGTAACAAATCACTTTCATGTCGAATCAAACGTAGATCTGCTTGATTAGCGGTGTCGAGTACAGTTTCCTTACTATAGAAACACCTCCCTCCGACAACAGTGCCTCGTGACGAATCTGATGATGATGTCACACGATGCAAATTTTGAGTACCAGTTTCCAAAATATTGCCGCGAGCAGTATCATGATCAAGTAACACAGAACTGCGAGTGTATTTCTCCTCAGCTGAAGGTTTATAAAACGTCAACGGACTTTCTCTATTGACTACAGTCACAGGGGAACGCTCTCGTTCGTCTAAATCGTGACGTGGTATTTTCGAGTAAGATACCACTGACGGCCTGTCGTGCAGGCTCTGATAATTTACGTAACCTGTTCTCGTGCAATATTCAGGATCGACAGCATAAATTAAAGGACTTGGTGAACGAACTTCAATTGGTCTTTCGGTAGACATGACTTCATGCCGGTTAGCGTAAGGCATTCGACGAGAAGTACTTGAAAGACTTTGTCTATGCAACAGCTCATCCTGTTCATTCATTCTGCAAGTTATGTAAAATGATTGTGCGTTTGGAGCTGCTGTTGAATTCACTTTTGAACAATGCGAAGTCCTATTGATCACATTCGACGCAAGTGAACTGACCAGTATATCTTGCTGGCTCGTTTGAGTGATTGGAGAACGTTTATTTACAACTTTGAGTTGAGAAACAGAAGTGTTTCCAGATGCTATATAGGGTGCAACGTTATCCACTTCAAGTAGAACATTACCATTAACATCTCGTGAAGACGAGAGTTGTTTTATTGCTCTGGGAGGTGTGTAGCTACGTGTACCAGTTATTACTTCTTCGCCACGGAGATATCTTTCATAGGGTAACAAGAATCTGTAATAGATAAAAAAAACTTGTTCTTGCAATAGTATATACGTATGTAGTATAAGTAGGTATACATAAATATACATACAGGTATATCTATATTTGGTATTACTATATACTAGGTGCATAATATCAGTAAGTATCAAATCTAACGTTTGTATTCTAATAATTCACTCACACTCCCTGAGAGTGGTACTTCAAAATCACCTCATAACTATTGGAAAACGCCATTTTCACTCAACTGATCGCTTGGTTTGAAATATTTTAGCAAAACACTTGCCATCGACTTTGCCACTGATTAAAGAGATCGTGATTTTTAAGTTGCACCCAGTGAGTGTGAGCGAACTTTTAGAATACATGTATATGTATTTAAGTAAGAAGTATTTATGACTTTTACTTTTCGTAAGTTCTTTTCGAGTTGATGGCTACACTTGTAATATTTGGTGAACCGCAAACTTTGCTGTAAACATGGCACCATAACTTCTTTCTAATCACCTACCAAGAAAGAATAACCAGTCAACGCAAGACGCTACAATAACGCTCATCGAGCGCTTAGAGAGTAGTAAAGCCAACTAACATACCTGGTCATAACCACCAAGGCTTTGAATGATGTTAAACATCTCGAACAGATTAACTAAATACGAGAAATGTTAGAACTCGTTAACTCGATAAATTTATTGAAATTCATTTGCGACAACACATTCTTCGGAATCAATTAAGAAACAAACGATGTGTAATGTGTTTGCACAGGCTATGCAAACCGAGGAGACCTTTGGAGAACTCGAGAGCAGATCAATGCAAAACCGATTTCGAAAGTCGAGGGTTGCACACGCTCGAGAGTTCTTACAAACGTCTCCGAGGTTTGCACAAGCCAATGCAAACACGAAATATATCTTTTATTTCTTTTATATAATAACAATAATGCGAAACAGATGAATTAAAAACAAATGTTTTGATTTTCCTTCAAAAATATATTCATAATTGATTTGCAAATTCTCTTCAATTGATTTGATTGATTGAGATCAGATCAGTTTTGCACAGGCTAATGCAAACACAGCTATAATCAAATCAGCGCACGCGTTTCATTGTGTTTATTTTATAAATATGTTTGCTAACCTTTTTCCAAACCCAAATGCGGTATCTTGTCAATCGGCATTCCCCGTTTTCTCATGAAGATCTTCAGATTCTTCATAAATGCACGTTCTTCCAAACTCTGTAAGTAAATGTATTTATTTCAAACAGAAAAACAAACAAACAAACAAGCAAACACAATGTCAATCAGTTAATTGATTTACAAACGACAAATCAATTTAAAAAATCTAATTACCTCAGCATCATTGTCACTTTCCATTTTTGATTCCACATAACTGTCCTCTTTTATCAAAATTTGTTCAGATTTCTCATCAAGTTTATCCATGGCTATTTCATCAACGACAAATGATTTAAAGCATTTGCTGGGCATTCGACCAGGCGGTCGGCCACGCTTTCTCTTTAACGGTACTTCTTTGCCACTCTCCTCTTTTTCATTTGCCATTAATTTATTGGCTACTATAGTCGGGACACGTGACTGCATATGAAGATGATCATTGGAGGACACATGAGCCGCGTTATTAGATTCAATTACAACGTCCCAGGAGATTTAACTGAATGAACATTAGGATTATCTTCATTATCTGATTCATTAACGTAATCAAATGGATACTGAGATTTAACAGAAAGAGGATTAGGATTATCTTCATAACAAGATTCACTAATACGATCAACCCGATACTGAGGCGCAAGGTTTTTGTCGTCATTGAAATGCTTTGACCGATCATCGTCCGTTTTTAACACTTTCGCAAAATCAAAGTCTTCGTACTCGGCGCTATTCTTCGTTTCAATTTTAATCAACTTTGGAACAGGAGGAATAGGCTTTCTCTCTTGCTTCATATGCGTTATTACACTGTGGTATTTACTGTCATTTTTAACGCCAGCGACAAGCCTTGGCAAACAAGGACGTTTGACATTGACAGAGCCAGTATCTGACGCAGTATCTGTAAGGTTATCATCCGAACTATCAGCTTCGTTCACTAGTGATTGCTCAACACAAGCGTCAGTCGCTTCTACTTCCTCTCTTGAGAATATTCGCTTACTAATTTTCCTTTTTCGTGGTCTACCTTTGAAAACCGGAGCTAGATAAAGAGAAATTTTGTTCATAGAATTGTGGGTCTTTTCAAATAAAAACAAACAAACAACAAAACAAGCAAAATAGCTAAGTTGTATTAAACAACAAGGTTACGATGCCTCACAATGCATTGGAAAACGAAAATAGCTATCTGTCATTTAAATACGGAAGATAGCAGACTGTTGGAAATAGGGCCAAAATGTCGAGGTCAATTATGATATCCAACTATCATTACAAAGTTTATCAGCTGGAAAATTTAATCAGTCTAAGAAAAAACGTGCAATTTTTTGCTGGAATCTTTCAAAATGAGAGGAGGGAAGATTTTTATCATAAGAAGGATATTTTTTACTTCGTAGCACATGAAGAACAAGGTGATTAGTTAAAAAACACATTACAATCATTCTTGTTAAAAAGATTTTCTCAGATGATTTTGAAATTTTCATCTTCATCAAGGAAGATGGTTGTGCTCTTTTTATCTTTAATCATCTTTTAGATAATGCTAAGCGACCGCATCCTTTAGATTATCGTTGTTACATGAAGTAGCTATTTACCTTTATGTTGCATAAACATATCGAGGTTAGATAGTCCGGGATAGTGAAAACTGTATCTTGAAAACGAGACCCAGGTTGTATCATTGCAGTGTATAACTCCACCAAAAGCTTTCATAGCGATTTTCGTCAACACTAAACCATTCAACAACTTCCTCAACAGTGACTTAAAACGACAGTACGCTGGAAAGGTGAGTATGACGATTCTTGATCGATCTTTCGGCACCGTTCGGTTTGATTTAGGTTTGCGCTTGAGGAGTCGAAACTTCTTTCCATCCTCTGATTCGTTGTCGTTTCCGGGAGTTGAAACTTCCTGGAGACATAGTTCCGATATGGCTTTAATACCGTATGACCAACAGGTACCGTCGTATTCTAAATTCATCATGTCTTTGCATCTTATGACGACTTTTTCATCCGTGCATAACAACTCATCCTGAAATAATTTGACAATATGTAGTAACGTATACAACCAATTCTCAGTACATTTTCTCTTTAAAATTTAAAATGTCCGTTGCATTGTTTAGATTTAATCGGTTTAAGATGCAAATCTGTGATTACAATCGTTCCTACATGTAGCCCTAAAATATCACGAATATAAAAATTTCTTGCATTTTTCTTCAAATTTTCCGACAGTTACACAACACGAATCGAAATGATTTTAATTTGAACAAATTATCTGTTAGCAAAATAAGCATGCGCAAATCAAACACAGCGAAATAAGAAAATAAAATATAGATGATTTGAATAATGAAACTGAATTAAGTCTACATAAACAAAAGAGGGAAGAATTTATGAGATACACAATATTTGTTGAAATTCACGGTTTTCGTAGTTCGTGAGACATTTGCCTCTTTCCAAAATAACGAAACTGTGATAACAAACGACAACACATTTTTTTATTTGTTCAAATGTTATCTGTTATGACGAAAAGCAGATGTTAAATAAACGCCCTGCGCCCTAAACGTCGTCACTGCGTGATAGGTTGTAAACTTGTAATGTTGTTGTTTTGACATAACATAAATTCCAGTCCACAAGAAATACCTCTCACCAAGAAATACCTCAACGCTAAATTCTTATATTGGCAGAGCGAAGTCATTGTGTTTCAAACGAGGAACGAAACAGAAAAAAAAGCCGATTTCCTTATTGATTTGGTTTAAAATATCAACAAAAAATATCGCTTAATGTGAAAACAATAATTTCGTAATTATTCTAATTTGCTTGAAATAAAACTACACAGAATTGTATTTCAAAAATTCGCATTACAAAGCACATTTTTTATTACGAATATTTTAGTTGAATGTTATTTTCCACAAATATGTTGGTGAGCAGTACATCTTTGCGAAAATTGAGTCAGATTTTGATAAAACAATAATAGTTCCAACTTTAATCATTTTACATTTATCATAAAGGCAAAATAAAAGTGTTCTTCGCCTAATTGACATTTGGTCTCACACTGTAATATAATCTACAAAACAACACTATGTATGGCTTTTTTCCAAGTAATTCCATAATGTTGTACCTATAAATTATGCAAAAGCGGTTTTATTTAATTTTTTTTCCGTAAAATTCGAACCAAATAAACTTTTGATGTTTTCGGGAGAAAAGAGCATTTAATATCATTTTATGAAGGTATACAAAAATTCCACTGTTTCGATATTACTAATTTTAGAAAGGAAGTTGTAGGGGTCTTATCATGTATTGTATCCGGATTTAATTGCGATTTCTGCTCAGCCCTGCTTGCGATGCAACAAGAAAACGTGGTCTTTTTGTTTTTTAAAACGTTTACAGAAATATATATGAAAGAAAATGTGTCCTTTCGCTTAATCCATTACAACGCAGTAAGTGTGAAAAGTCCCACATTAATTTAGTTGTTCAGTCATATAAATACCAAATATGGATCAAGGAGATTGGCGTAATTAACATCACAGCAAAATTTCAATAAAAAGATATTTTTTATTAATTTACGTCCGAACTTGAGAACAAAAATACTAATATATTCGGCAAAGACAAAACAAGTTACTCAATAATTATCACACGTTTTAAACTGTTTTGGCGAAATAAAAACTCAGCTTATTGTTAAATACACACAAAATGCAAATTGATACGCCACAATTTGTATTGTTTACAGAGCGAAAGTTAAATCTGTATCTTGTAAACTCTTCGTTGAAATAAACACAAACTGGAAATATTTATAGGATATGTTAAAAATGAACGAACGGGAAAATTTTTTGACAAAAAATAATTTTTGAAATAAAATAAAAAATCTATCAAGGAAATGGCTCACGAGGTGAATTGAGTGAATCGATGACGCGTAGCCAAATTTAACATTGCAATATAAAAATTTAGCAAACGCAACGAAAAATTTTAAACGGCTTCAAAAAAATTCCGATCGTTGATGGAAACTCTCCTTACATATCACTAACGGTTTAAAATGCTTTCGTCTACAAAAACATCGCCAGATGAAGTATGTGAAAGAATATTTATAGACACAAACAATACAGTCATGTCCATATTGGCAGATAACAAATGGATGGAATTTTCCATTACAAAAATGAAAATATCTAGAATTTCAACTTATTTTTTGATATTTGGCACCATACGAATTTTTTAATAATTTACCATTTGTCTTCTTACGCTAAACAGATATTTTTGCCAAAATCGTACAGACAAAGGATTTGTAAATTGCTTTTATGCAAAATTTGAAAATAATTTGATTACAAATAAACTGAAGATAACAAAACCGCATTTAAAACATCGACAAATATAAAGAAAGCAGTTTGAGGGAAAATTTTCAGAATTATTTATTTTATAGTGGAATGCCTTTATTCTCTTGTGACTGAAATGTTTCGGCAGTTTTTAAATAAGAAATTTGAGTAAAAATTTGCACTTGTAACAAGATGCGATGAAGCGTAATAAACAGATTATGAAAACGTGCGGGATGTTATAAAAATAAAATGCTATCTAAAAACTAAAGAAAAAATTATATGAAGGCAAATATATATATATACCTTTCCATGTGTAGTTTGTCGACCACCAGGAATACTTTCGGGACGGAAATATAATCTAGCAGATGCGAGTTTGTCATCAGAATTAGCATCATGCCATATAAGTTGAAATTCAGCAATGCAAATAGGTCTGTCTTTTGAATTTCTAATAAAATAAAATTCTCCCAAAGTATATTTTCTTGTTTCACCATTAGCCTTCAACGTGAAACCTTTATAAAAGGTGTATGTTCCATGCCTGCCACAACTTGATCCAACCCACTAAAAATTAAAAATTTAAACAAAATGACTTTACTTTGTCCTCGTGGAATGACACATATACAAAAACAAGAATTACAACAAATTCGGTTTTCGACCCCACAGGAGACTTTGCAAACACGAAAAATAACACTTCGAGTTACTCTAAATTTTTATTTTAATTTAAGAGTTATTTGGAAGATAAATTTTAACAAAGAAAATTAAATACCTCAACTATGGGTTCCGACATTCTGAGGAATAATCAACATCAATAATAATAAATCTCGACATGATAAAAGATGACCACAGTTGTTTAAGATCACGTGATCTGTTGTGACGTCATATAAGTATAGGAATTCAAGTGTGTGTAAAGCACAAAGGCAAGCACGTGTTGAAAACGTTGTCCAGCGTCCAAAATCGTCAATTGCTAACACGGAAAACAATGATTTTTTTTATTTTCACGTTGAACTGGGTGTGCACCTTGAGGGAAATAGCATGGCAAACATTTCAATTAATTATTTGCCATTAATTTCCCTTCCGTCATTGCACTTATGTACACCACTTACGATAGGCGAGTATGTGCGCGCTGATTCTGCGCATCGAATTGTTCTTAAAATGAGCTTTTCTCTCGACAAGTACTTAGTTTACAGCCACTATAAATCACTGTTTACTTTGTCAGGTTAAATTTTTTATCAAATTAGTTTATTGCGCTGTCAGCATGTGCCATAAGGATTTTCTGCGAGTTTCATGTCAAACAGACACTAACCCGCAAACTACTTAAGCATTCAGAAGAAACCAGAGACCGACGACATATAAAGTATTTCACGAATTGATCGAGGTGTTTTAAAGAAATGTATATTTTATGGGTATCGTTAAAAGTCATAAAACACGCTTCAACTCGTAGTTCGTGTTTCGTCGCATCATAAAAGAACTCGTCTTTGACTTGTGTTAATGTAAACAAACAAAAACACGTAGAGAAATTAACAAACTTAACTTTGCATCACACGCATGCGCATAAAAACATTTAAAATATTCAATATGGAGTCAAAGTTGTACAAGATCGTGCTTGGTATTGCAGTACATGCTATTTATCTTTACTCGATATTTGACATTTATTTTACTTCACCGCTTGTGCACGGCATGACTCCACATCGTTCCTCGCTGAAACCTCCAGCTAAACGTCTAGTACTGTTTGTGGCCGACGGTCTTCGCGCAGACAAACTATTTGAGAATCAGATTAGTCGAGCTCCATTCATTCGCGACGTAATATTTAACTATGGAAGGTGGGGTGTGTCACACACACGGGTGCCAACAGAATCCAGGCCTGGACATGTTGCAATAATCGCGGGCTTTTATGAAGACGTTAGTGCTGTGGCCAAAGGTCTCGTTGCAATAGACTATTTAATTACAATGATAGTTATGGATTTTGGAATGATGGTATCGTGTAGCAGTTGAAGGCTGACGTGTTTTTTTTTTGCATTTGAGCTATTAGTAGTTGACATTACCACTTCTCCATGGTAAAATCACATTTTCTCTTAAGGATGGAAGGAAAATCCAGTTGAATTTGATTCTGTATTCAATGAAAGTCGTTACACATGGTCGTGGGGTAGTCCTGACATATTGCCAATGTTTTCCAAAGGAGCAAGTGGTACTCATGTCATAATGGATATGTATGATGCTACACTTGAAGATTTTGCAGCTCAAGATCATTACCTTCTTGATAGATGGGTTTTTGAAAAAGTTGCAGTGTTCTTTAAGAATGCTAACGAAAGCTTACAATACAAACTGCAAGCTGATCAAAATGTATTTTTCCTACATTTACTTGGTATGTATAAAGTGTTTTCACTGCATCATGTTTAGACACACAAAAAAATTCTCAAAATACTTTCATAATATATTTGTGAACAGGTATTGACACCAATGGCCATGCCCACAGACCCATGTCTGCCGAATATCTTGGAAATATTGAATATGTTGATGAAGGTATTAAACAAGCATATGAAATGTTTGAAGACTATTTCAACCATGACAAATTGACAGCATATATATTGACATCTGATCATGGCATGACCAATTGGGGTTCCCATGGAGCAGGTCACGCTCATGAGACTTTGACACCTCTTGTTGCTTGGGGTGCTGGGATACATCATCCTGAAAGGAGTACATCACCAGAGTACAATGATGGATTGGCTGAGAATTGGGGGTTATCTATGATAAAAAGAAGTGATGTTCTTCAAGCTGACATTGCCCCACTAATGGCTTCATTGATAGGTGAGTATGGGCACATAAACTGACACAATTGAAAATTTTCTTCACAAAGTGATTTTTTAAATTTTAGGCATACCATTTCCAATGAATTCTGTGGGAGTTCTACCCTTGGATTACCTTAACAATACTGATTTATACAAGACTGAAAATATATTTGTCAATGCTAAGCAAATATTGGCACAATTTCAGATCAAGGAAAGATCAAAGAAGGAATCAGCATTCATTTTCAAACCATTTTCTGAACTAATAGGTAAGATATTTCATCTAATACAGTTAAAATAAAATACAGCAAGATTTATCTTTCACATTATTTCAAGGTTCTAAACAGATGGCATTCATTCGTGATATTACAACATTGACTAAGTCTGGCAAATATCATTTGGCAAGAAACTTGTCCCAAGATTTAATTGAGCTCTCACTCAAAGGGCTGAATTATTATCAAAAATATGACAGAATTCCTTTAAGTGTTATGGTAACATCTGGTTTTCTTGGTTGGATTGCTTGTGTCATCTTGCAAATTTTCACAACAAATACTGAAAAGTCTATAAAATCTAACAGAGGTTTTATTGTCAGTACATTATTTACGGGTACTGGCTGTATGGCAGGAGTGGGCTTGCTGATAGTGAAGGCTCCTCTCACACACTATGTGTACCTCGTGATACCTCTGTTTTGTTGGCACTATATTGTACAACAATGGGTTGTAATAAAGAGATTTTGTACAACATCGACAAACAGCTTTCTAAAACTAAGTCTTGGTCTTCTTTTGGTTGTGTTTGGATTGGAAGTGTTGGTCTTTAGCTTCTTTAATCGGTTTGCTCTATCAATTGGTTTAATTGTCTTGGCCATGTGGCCTTTATCAACATCACTGGTCCGAACACATAGACGAACAGTTGCATTGTGTGTAGCATCATGTGTTGCACTTGCTATTTTCCCTATGCTTCCAGTTGTTGGTCGTGATTCCAATTATCTTATAGTAACAATAGCTGGCATTCTTTCAGCAATAGAAGCAATTTTAATTATATTAGCTTACAAGAAGAACAAAGGAACTCTAACAACAAGGACAAAGAAAGTCTTTAGTATACAGTTTTTGATTTTGATTTTAGCCATACTTATTCTCAATCACAGCAGGTACAATATATCATTAAAGCTTGGCCTACCAATACTCAATTCCATATTCAGTTGGTCAACACTCTTTTGTTGTATTGTTCTACCACCAATGGTAATAGACTCTCTAGTTTTGCGACTATTAAGTACCAACATATCCTTGATGTCCGTGTATGTACTACTGTGCACATCGTACGAAGCATTATTTTTCGTTGTCCTATCATCAGCTATGGCACTGTGGTTAACGTTGGAATATCAACTATCAACTGGCAACAATTTCATTTCATTGGTTAATGTTACAGTAAATGAACCATTTGAAGGCCATGCAAGGGAAGTGAGTATGGATGACCTACGTTCTTCTTTCTTCTTCGTCTACTTCATAATAACAGCATTCTTTGGCACAGGAAATATCGCAAGCATTAATACTTTTGATCCAGCGACTGTCTATTGTTTTCTCACAGTTTTTTCACCATTCATTATGGGTGCGTTGTTGATCCTGAAAATCCTCATTCCGTTCGTTACTGTCACGTGCGTCTTCGATGCTGTTCACGTGGTTTGTAGGGTGCCAGTCAATCGTTTGTTCCTGTTCGTGTTGATAATGACGGACTTGATGGCGTTGCAGTTCTTCTATTTCGTGCGTGATTATGGAAGTTGGTTGGAGATTGGCACTAGCATAAGTCATTATGTCATCATGTTGTGTTTTATTATTTTCTTATTTTTTATATTTACTGTTGCGAACTTCTTTACGCGAAATACGTCGTGGAGCTCGGGGAAAATACACATACAATAGGGTAACAAAGGGTACATGACATGATACGATTCCAGTCTGTGGTATTTAAAGAATGCACGTGAAACATTTCTAATTTGTTCTAATTTATGGTATAATTGAATTTTGTTCCATTCTAATTCTACTAAAGCGATAAAGAAACTGTTTTCCTGTTAAATTGATTTAAACGTGTTGCAACAATAAGTGTTAAATATTGCACGGATATTTCATCTCCTCTCTCTAAACAATAGGAACAGGATGCGAAAACTTGATGTCATATCCTATCCTTTAATTCAATGAATAAAACTATGGAAACTATAAAGATATTGTTTCTACTATAGAGATTCACGGCATCGAAAAACTTAGAAAATTTGGATAAAATAAAGATTTCATGAAATGCACCGAGAAATTTTAAGTTCAGCGTTTAAATTCACAAATAAAAAAAAAACAGCGATTCATTGCATTAAAAATAGTTAAGGTGCACTTTACCAGTTCAAGCCCAATATTACGTACTTTCCGTCACAATTTGAAATTCTTTCATTGTATCTAAAAGAAAAGATCAGAGCGACAATATAAATGCTTTTTAAAACGACGAACGATTAAAAATCAACAGATGAAACAGTCACGCTTGAGCTTCACGGAACATAGCAATAATTTAACTATGAACAGAGTTTTACAGAAATTTTTTATTCTCTTTTTGGGTTTCAACATCGCGTTTTCACAGGTAAGAAGAGAGAAACACTGGCAAACAGTAGTATGACCACACAACATGGGAACTATCTTCCTCGTTTTTTTTATCAAGTATACAAATTATTAATTTTTACAATTCGTGAATAATTTGTTGATGTCAAGATAAGTTTCACACAAAATAATGAATTGGTTGTACGTTACATTTTTTTAAAATCAAATTCCATCTTTCGCCTCAGTAACTCTAGTTCGTGTAAGTAAATTTTATAAATCATCAGAGTATCACACGAAGAGATGTAGGTAGACAAAAACACCATATTTTTGGTAAAAAAGGATTTTCAATTTCGCATGCATCTACGTGGGGGATATTTTCCAATCTAGATGAAAAGACGTTGCGAGTTACAGGTGTACAGCGAGGGACTCGAGTGTAAATGCTGTGACATCAACAGTTATCTATGTTCACATCATTGTTGTCCTCTAACTCACACATGCAGTAAGTGTTTGTTTTGTAGTACAGACATACTTTCGCTGACTTGAAAATTATCATTACGTAGTGATAATATATATCACATATAGTCGTCACGACTGAAGTATAGTTCATAAACTTCACATATGTACATTAAATTCAACACATGAAATAAGTCATTGAACTCACGAATGCAAGAAATAATCTTCCGCCACACGTCAACTGATATTGAGCACGATATTAATCCCATTACGTCGAACCCAGAGCTTGATTCGGATTTGGTGATCTAAAAATACAACGATAGACACATGTAAATTTTTTGGAAGACATGTTTATCTGTATGTGGATTAATGAAAACAGCGAGTATCGTTGTTAGAAATAAACGATCAAACGGCTTAAACTTAATTGTTGAACTCCAATTATTTTTTTTTAGGAGAAGGAATTCGTGCAAAGTGCGAAGGTCCAGGCTATTCAAAAGAAAATCGCGGAGATTGGATACGAGCAACGGATAAACAACGAGCAGATCCAGATGAATGCAATAACGATAACGTTAAAGCGTAAGTAAATATTTTATAAAATAACATATGCAAAATGCGTGCTCTGATTGGTCGTTGTTCGTGTTAGATCAGGCCAATCCAAACACAGAAATCATTTTACTTTGCACATTGGAAACATTGCCCCGTAACTAAAATTTTTTTCATGGATAATTCTTTGTTTAGTTACGAATATCTGAAAAATCGAAGACTGAGCGGATATTACCTCATGGGAGTTGACGCCAACAACGGTCGGAGTGATTGAAAAACCTTAGTGAATGAAAAAAAGTGCATTACGAAGCAACACATGTGTTTATCAAAAATGTGCGAAAGTTGATCATCCAGATAAGTGAAGCTTTTAGAAGAAATGTTTGTAAAGAATACGGTTAAGGACGTTTGAATTTCCATAGTAGTCATCATACAAAGAGTAGAAATATAACCTGACCTCATCAACCAACCTGGACGATCAACTTCCATTAACTTGAGACGTAATTGCTCGCAGATTCAAACCATTTACATGTGTATATGTTAGTCGTATGTGATGAGTCGATGAGCCGTTTGTCAAATGTAAAATCTCATTATGTAAATGAATAGATACATACTCTGCCATGGTATCAAGAAATATTTCTATTATTTTAAACAATTTCATTTTATGATTTAAAATTAGATATCGAACGATAGTGAACTGCAACTATATATATATGGCTATCTATGATCAAGTGATTTCATAAAAAAGTCACGTTATCTTATATCTTATTTTCATAACCCGTCCGTTTTGTCTTTCACACAAGTCTTGTCTATACACACATGCACACACAGGTGCGCGCTGACATTTTCCTTTTGAAAACACAAGGTTATGAGAGATAAGATGTTTCTGATAAAAGATTGGCAAGAAAAGATGAAGTCCTGTTTACATCATTTTAATCGGAAGCGAATAAATTTTCCCAGCTTTTACAAAGATCTGTAAAGATTTTAATGGCCACGACACCAAAGATGTTTTAAAATCTGTCAGACCAGAGAATAAGTTTCTGAGAATAATCCCCCTCCTGAACAGCGCACGGAGATGTGGTGAACAGATGTTGAGCAATGCAATGAGCGGGGGAGGAATACTATGCTCTTGGTTGTTTTTAATTGAAGATAAAGAAAATTGCATTCTATTGCGCTTATATGAAGGTAACCATCGACGCGATGAAAGAGTTTTCACCAATGATTCACACCCATAATTCTATTCAACATACATAGTTCTAGAAATATCTTGTAAATACTTCAGTCTATAAACATACATCACTTCAATGATGGACACCAGTAAAAACTCACAAAACGAACAAATAATTACGATACTCGATGGAACTCTTTCGTGATTCAATTCTATTTTTGGGATCCATAAAAATAGATAAGAACAGCACGATATCATCACCAGGGGAGCATCAAAGCTACCGTTTAAAGTGGATAGATAACTCATGAAACAACATGTTATCATTTCTCTATTGAATGCTTAAAAAACTGCTATTTGAGACATGCACTATCTATTCAACCATGAACTGGAGTACACCAACTGCATTTACTTATACAACCGATTTTGGATTAACTAACTTGTGCAATCACAAATAATGAGAGAAATCATCTGAGCATGAACAGTCACTTGACAAATTGTTCAACTACATGGTCATGGCAACGACCAGCTGTTTGTACAACAACCGATTATGGAGCAATAAGCTCGTTCAGTCAAATTTTCAGATATTCATCTGCGCATGCGCTGTATACTCGAGCATGCGCAGTCGACTTGACCAGCTGTCTAAGTTCATGGTCATGGCAACGACCAACTGCATCTACTGGCACCGATTTTAAAGTAAATAGCATGGTTAATAACAATTTAATAGAGAAATCATCTGCGCATGCGCTCGAGCATGCGCAGTCCACTTGAATAATTGTTCACAGTCATGGCAACGACTAACTAGATGCACTTGCACTACATTTGTAGCAATTAGGTCACTTAGTCGCAAATTATCAAAGAAATCATCTGAGCATGCGCAGTAGTGACTATAATACCACAACTTTCGTAAGCCTTTGAATTTTTGTATATATATATAAAGCTAAAACTTCGTATAGTAGATGTCAACTAGCAGTGGAAGCTGGGTGCGATTAGGTATGCAGTGGCTTTGGGGCCCACACTTCGGTGGCGACCGCACTCTCCCTGCGTACCCCGAGCAAAGCCTATCGCAGGTGATCTCGGTCTGATGGGCGGAAGCTTGCTATTGCATCTTAGCGTGGAGGGCCGAAATCTCCTACCGAAACGTTAACATGCGGCGTTCTAGTGCCTTGCGCTTAAGAAGGTATCGGGAAGCATGGACCGAAAACGGGTTTTGCTTTCGAATTTTATCTTTTTGTTCTCGTAAAATAAACCAAGCAATGTTTCAATGAAATTCTTTTGACAATGTGCCTTTTTCTGACCCTTATAATTTAAGCCAAACTTAAAATGTTTCATACAATTTTTATTGGTTTGTATCTTTCTGATTTAACTCTCTCATTTACTGTTTCTCATGTATCACGAGCAAACCATCCATGGGCTTCATGGCAAACAAGAATTATCTGGTTCCCTTAATTAACATGCGACACTCTAGTGCTTCTATCTCCGGGTATCGGAAGGCATGGACCGAAAACGGGATTTTATATTTTCAAAATTTGTCTTTTTTCTTTACAAGAATTCTTCTCATAAAAGAACTGGAACATCCAAGGATATTGCAAAGGTTCAAACAACTTCTGCCTTTTTGACTTATAATTTAAACCAACTTTAAGCTTGTTTATACGTTTTTTACTTGTTACCTTTTACAATGTAACTTTCTTCATAACTCTCTTATAATGAGCAAAGCATATCGCAAGCGATCTCGGGGTCTGATGGGGAAAGCTTGCTATTGACATCCCCAAAGTAGGAGGGGCCGAAATCTCCTACCGAAACGTTAACATGCGGCGTTCTAGTGCCTTCGATTAAGAGGGTATCGGGAAGCATGGACCGAAAACCCAATTTTTGTTTTCGAAATTTGTGTTTATGCTCACAAGAGTTTCTCTCGTTTTATCATGCATCATGCACTCTCTTTGTTGCAAACTATGTCAAAATGAATAATCATGAGCCTAAGACTAAAAGTTTTTGCAATGATAACCTTTGACAGGCTAAGCCATTGTTATAGCCTAATATGAAGCCATGACTTTCAAACGTCCAGATAGGAAATGTTAATTTGATCTGAACAAGATTCATCAGACTATAAGCTTATCAAATAGCCACTTGCAACGTAATTCGTGCAAGAGTAAAAAAATTGAACATTCATGCCAGATGCCATACCCGGACATTCCCGACATGCGACCGGCCATTTGTTACAAAATCCTGCATTTTCCGAAGAAAGAAAGCGTTAACATGTAATCTCTCGCAATGATTAGCAATTTAAAAGGTTTTCTTTCTCATTGTGTTTTATACCTTGTTTGAAGAAGAGATTTGCTCTCCGATGTTTTTGACGTGTTTTATGAGGAGTCAGCCGTTAATGAATCCAAAACTTCAACACAGATCAGATATGGAGTCTAAACAATATATGAACATTGCAAATCAGTCAATTAACATATACAACATAATCGATAGTCATTTTCCAATGACCATTTAAAAACATTTCAATGGTCATTTTGAAATATCACACGTGGTTCTGTACCAATGAAAAAGTGTTATCTTGTTGGATAAGCTGCATGAAGTCAACGCTAAACGAAGATAAACACAGTATTTTCACAATCGCTTATCGCAGACACCTGATAAGGTAATTCCTGAAGACTTTCAGCATAGATTAGATAAAATTCTTCTCATAAAACTACGTGCTGGAAACAAGGAAGAAGAAAAAACAGATGCCCCTATGCAAAATGCTGTATAATCTATAAGTACAAATCTTTTTTCCTTTTTTTGATGTTTGTAACATGGAAAATGAACAAACAAAGGTAATCATCACACAAGAATGTTGATAATCGCTGTATAGCTAGCTAATACATATATAAATGGGATGGCGATTAGATACAGTCGAGTATTTGCTATATGAGTGAAAAAGTTGAGAGAATTACAAATAGGATTGTATTTATACACAAACATCTCGTGCAGCATTCTCGTCATAAAGGAACTTCCAAAACTGACCTAAAATCTTCCTCAAATTAAAAATCCCGAACACTTTTCCCGAGTAAAATGCCCCTCTTTGATTGCAAACAAAGGTTGCAATTTTAATTCATAAATTCCTCAGCATTTTGGTTTGAGTAAAACAACAATCACAAAAAAATACCTATAACTTGATTTTATGTTACATCGATTTTATGATTGAATAGCTACAAAAGTCTGTCGAAAAAGTGAAAAACAAAAGTGGGGAAGAATTATGTATCGATCAATAAGCACAACTCATCTATTTCTAATTAATGCTCTGGTTACAACTCACGTAGTTAGAAAAACTACTTTTCATCACTTTGAACGATGCACAATGACCTTAGACACAGTGACGTCATATAAAAGCTACGAATAACGTCATATATATATTCTACAAAACTGCCTCCATTGTATTTAAATGTTACTTTGCAATCACAAGGCAGATAAAGGATTAGCATTGACAAACACCTCAAATCAAACATAATGGAATACACTGAAACGTGATACAATTATAGGAGAATTGCAACAGACAAATGGTTCATTCTTGACAAAAAGACACCAAAGCTGAAGAAATGATGATAGTAAAACTATGTATCAAGGTTTGCCTCCAGGTAAGGTGTGGTTTATCGTGAAATTTATAAACTCGAGTACTTTTTAAATCAACTATTGTTTGGCGCTGGCTGTTGTAAACGACGCGTCTTTAGACTTGTCAGTGTATAATGTTGAAGAGAATAACAAATTTGTCGTGAACGCTTTAATACTTTACATAAGGTGGCTTTATTCGAGCTATGTTTCCTTAGAAAAATCCAATATTCAAGTCTCATTTCGCATAGCTTACCACAAACACAATAATGCCCTTAAACGTATAAAATTATTGCTGACAGTCTTTAAGTAAAAGAAAGAAGATGGAGGTACGATATGATAGGATCGATAACAACTTTCAATAGATTTTACGTTACATGTCGAGGTTTTACGGCTATCTTAAATAAAATCTTCTTTCTAACGACACAAAAGACCTCTACTGTTTCTCATCAGGCGACATATTTGCCAATATTCCCTCAACCTCCACCGTGATTTAAGAAAAATAAGTATCAAATACAGTGGGTGGATTTTTTAAGCATCAAAGATTGGAATCATATTAAAATTGAAGAGAACGTGTACACATGCTGATATTTAATCAATGTTAAAATTTCTGCTTCAAGACTCCACACGTACGACTGTAACTAATTGATCTTATCCTGTATATTACAAGCGTTTAAAAATGATCACTGTAATTAAGTCGAGAAAAGTACATCGGATGACGCAGAAATGTGGACGCACGACATTAATGTACAATGAATCATCTACCTCCGTTGCAGAACACTAGAAAGGTGTTTAACAGTAAAATCTATGACATAGACAGTTGCCGCGTGAGGGCAAACATGGTTCTTAATAAAACAATTACCACCTTCTTCGTGACTGAGCTTACATTATGAAACGCTCTTATCGCTACTCAACAGCAAAGGAAATTATGCAAGAATTTTGCATGACATGTCTATGGTAAAGATAAATCAACTAAAATTGTTTTTAACGGACGCGCGTTTGTCACAAGACTACGGAACTCGTGGTAGGGGGTCCGACAATACGAAACACAAACACAATATGAAAACACAAACATTTCGTGCTTACCGTAATCGCAAGTTTAGTGCATCAAGCGCAGACGATTAATGCACTAGCGCTATTGGTTTGAATGTATAGCAGAAAAGGAAGAGTTCCCATACTTGTTTTAGATGAATGTGTAAGTGACAAAATATTAACGATGGTATTCCGAAATTTGAATGACAAGAATTATAGGTTCGGCGCTGAAAGAAAAACGGACGTGTTTATCAGTATTTAGTCGGGTCATTCAATCCTTAATCAACCTTGGACAATTCCAAAAACTATAAAAGCATTTGAAGTGAGCAAGGCTGCGCAATGAGTACAACGAAATCAATGTTTTCTATACTAAATAAAACATATATACACAAATATTTAGTAGAACCAGTAACAACCATTGCTGGTTCGCATGTAAGTTTGTACCTTCGGTACGAAATGAACACAAGTGTACAAACATCAATACATGAATTTTGGAAAGGGTAGGAGAACTCTAGAAACTACATCCTCTGGGATCTGAATCTTTTTAATAAGCGCGCTTTAACGATCTGCAGTTCCTCTCATAAGAAATTTCTCATCAGGTCGACGTCAAGCATGAAATGCAACACGATTTGAACATTTCCCCTAAGCTAATATGGCATGCATCTTTGAAAATGGCGTGAAAATAAATGTTAAGTATACATCTAAACAATGCGATGACAAATGTCGCTTAGCAAAAAACTGCATGCTGTCGATGATGGTTGTGGTCACCTTGAGTGGAGGAAAAATAAAGCAGGTGTTAGATTCCATATGAAAACAAACCAAGAACATGCGGCGATAAATGGATTTCGCATTAGGAGAATGGGCTACGGTAGGCAGAATTTAGTGGGTGAAAATCCCAAAAGATTTTAATATAATACAGGCATGATGGTTTAATTAAAAAATATCCCGCAATGTGAGTTCATGGTAAACAGACTACTTCAATGTCAGTCAAGAGATTGTATCAGTTTATAACCCTGAATTGTTAATGCAGTTGAAATACCTAAATTATTATGAAACATTTATTTTTACACGGTTTTTAACATCCGAGTGCGCGAATCGAATAGAGAAAGAACGTCTAGCTGAGGGAAATCCGTGAATCTATACGAGAATGAAAGTCATGATGTAATTAGATGATATGACAGTATTGTTGAAAGAGTCCTCGCGTAGAACCACGAAATTAATCTAGCGCTTTAGCATGGCTCTTATTTCATCACAGCAGTTGATTATGATTCGGTATACTTTATCACAATTCACGAAACTCACGACAAGTAAAGGCTCGAGCACGGAGGTAATATATGTTTCATATCAGATAAATTTCTTCTCACGTTACCTGTTTAATTTGACTTTTTGCTATAAAAACGCGAACAATAGAAATATAGTTGTATGACATCTCTGTCTATCCGATGACATCTCTGTCTATCTAAATACATATACATATATATATGTATGTATACGTCAAGCAGTTTTCTCAAAGTTCTTCTTTTAAAGTCTTATGCAAATTGTCACCTTCTTAAGTATCTTTCACATAATCTCTCAAGCGTTCTTACTGGGCGAAGCAGTTAGTCGTATGAAAAAAACTACGCAAAGGGTTAAGAACACCATATGAGGCTAATTTGTGAAGAAAATAGCAAAGATTTAGGTGTGTTACTTTTAGCAGGAAAGATTTATAAGCCATGCGCGTTGTTTGCGAAAAATTAGAAATCCTTACAGCAGCTGTATTACATTCAAGGTTTTAAGTTCTCTTCTAAGGAATCTGCTGGGAGTGTGTTTCTTGACCTCGATGGATCGATGGAATGGGGAAGTAAACTGTGTATGTTCGAAGCAACTATGATTAGTGATTACAGAGGGTCTTCTACATCTGGCCTGTTGTATAACATCAAACTTATAATTAGAAGTGTAAGACAAAAGGCATTTCAACATGATTATCATCATGCAACGAAGCGCAATTTGACATTCTCTTTCGACAAGAACAACACAATCGAGCACATGTGGCAATGTAGGCGAATATTCTTTGTAACGCCTAAATACAAAACGCGCATAAAGTTGAATAATATCCCAGAACATTGAAAGGAAGATTTAAAGTACTACAATACTCAGTGCATGAATCTGAAAGGCATTATCTTATTCAAGAATTTATTCCATGTCGAAAACATTGCCACTTTCTTTTCTCGCAATGTGATAAGAGCTACGACAACAACCGGAGAAAGTCTACAGTTTTGTATACTCTAGCAGTCAGTGAATAAAAGATTAAGTTCATGGATGGTGAATACACTTCCACCTCCGGTAGCTACGTAATACAAAAGGCTGAAATATAGCACAAGAAAGAAATTCTACGATTAAAGACACTGAATTTTATGCGAGCAGAGAGGATCTCCCACACGATCTAAGATAACTTTGATCAAGTGGAACTTGTGTATGAATAAGATGTTTGTGATTCGTTATCCTTAAAATTTTTTTGTATAACCAAACCCTCACAACATCTATTTCTTTCGACATCATGCGCATGGAATGTCAATACATGAAGTTATAAAAGCAAAATGCTTATCTGGACAAATATATGCAAACATGCAGCAATCAAACGCGCCCCAGCGACAAAAGCCAATCACCTTTCAGACGCTAGCAGCAAGAATGAAAATAGAAGAGAGGCCTCTGCCGTGCCCAACACTTGCCTGCATTTCACTAATAAAAACTCTTTCTTTCCTTTAGTTTTAATTCATCTCAATAAGGAACAAAGAGTTTCTGAAGAGTGTTCTCGTTCTAACAAGGTAATTGAAGGTACAAGATATATATTTGTATGCATGGCGACACGTTTTCTAAAGCTAAAATCACAAGACATAAACTAATTGGGTTCAAGAAATGTACGTTGAATGAAATCCAGGTCAAACCTGGTTGGTTTAGTGGTGTTTGTACGCAAAAACCTGGGTTGACCCATGTTTAGTTTATGTCGTGTGATTTGGGTTTAAATCGTATGATTGGTGTAGATATTGTAAAACGAAATTATCGATATTATCGTTATATTTATTTTTCCGATGCTCTTAAACTCGTGACACGTTATGAACTTCCCATACATATGTAGAGTAATATATTTTCATATAAGATTTTATGTTTTAACGTCGTGTTTGGTGTGGAGTATATAGTATAAATGTAAAAACGCAAGCTAAAGATAACAATTGAACTGTTCTATATATATATACATATAGCAACTCTATTTCCATAAAATGGTAATTTAAATGTTTAAAAACAAACACAAAAGAAAATTTTTGACAAGACCTCGCGATATCAGCATTGTAAAGAGGTAAGGATATCATTAATATAAAACGTCAAAACTCTTGTTGATCGACATTCAAATAATGGTACTAATTTGATATAGAAAACAGTTGAGATATATATTATTTTTAAACAATATATTTATATATTTATATATATATACATCATAAATGTTAATTTTAAAGCGGGAAATCATTATTTCGTTCAAACGGAGGGCAATGGATAAAACCCAGGCCATTTTCAGTTTTGTTCAATCACGTTTGTTCTTCGCCAATCTATGTATTTGTTGTGCGTATAACAGGTAGTAAAGATTTAATATTGCTAAGCACAGCATTTCAAATGCAGGATATTAACATGCTGTGCTAGAGAAATGACACAATACACTTCATTGCAGGCATGGTGAGTATTTCTCAGCAATGTTTTGCATTTTTATAAAAAGCTAACACGTACGAAAGGCACAAAAAAACCATAACACTGGCAAACATGTGCGTGCACATCAGTTATAGAGAACATATGCATATAATTTATAGTCAGCAGTATTGAGTGTGAGTATGCTAAGATATAAATAACAACTACACGAAGAAAACAGTCATTAACATGTAACAATTAATTCTAGAATGATTTAATTAATGAATAAAAAATGTTTCACCGGATCTTTGACGCTAGTCTCATGACACCTTCACATGAATGCAGTGATCATGAAAAAGGGCGTAGAAAAGTACTTAAAACAAAAACAATTTCCTTTTACAAGCTTGAGACGTATAAATATACATATGCGTACTTATAAACTCTAGGAAATATGACGTAATTCAGTTCTAAGAAGTTGTGACATGCAGACATATATCGTTTCAGTTACTTTTCGAGCATGTCTTAAAAATATTTTTATGGTAGCCGAACGTCTCTCAATGTCAATTACCGAGTTTCATCAAGAAGCAACCAAGGGCAAATTTTACAAATACCTAATGATAAAGAGCTTGGTGGCTTGGCAGTCTCTTCAACAATAGCCTGCATGACTAGGCATTTATAATGCATATATAAAGCTGCTATATATATGTATACATGAAGCATGATTTGAAGTAAATTAATCGAAAGCCGGACACGGCAGACATACCCCCGGGCAATGGGTATTTATTATAAAACAAGTTATCGTGGCATGATCAATCACATTTAACTCAGCTCTACATTCAGTAAAATACACAGCGTAGCTGTCTCGGTGCGATCTACGTTGTCTTGGTGTTCATTTTTACAAGGTATACATCATACAATATGTACTTATATATTAAATGGTCATTGTTATCTTATATATCCATATGACACTCCTATATTAAGCATGATCAATCTTCTTTTGTCTACAACTATTGATTATAGGTGATTAAATTGATAATTTGAACTACAGCATGAGCATTAAAGTATATTATATTTATCGTGAAAATTTGAAGTCTGCAGTAACCATGGGGCGCCTATTTTGCTATATGCTTTAAGATTTTCCGAAAAATTTCTGGGCATTTCATTTACTAAATTAGAACCATAAATTGTTCCTTTATTTGGGTATTTCAAATTAAGGGAATGAAATTTGTTCTAATTGGTGACATTTACTGGCAATGATGTAATATATTTAGTATTTTAGGCTGCTTTTTCAGAATTCCATAATTATCTTAACTTTAGTTTTATGAGCACACGATAAGACAGACGATGATGAGACAAATTAAGATCGCTCCAAGCAATGAAGATTTTGTTATAGATTTGAAAGCGGACATTGAAACGTCGTTATGTTGATGAGGTGTATAATTATCTTATCAGTCGATAGCATGAGCACGAATTCTGAAGCTATCTTTCTCATGGAGTCATAGCTAGTCCAAAAGCCTAACTATGTTTCTTTGCTGTGTCCCCTCATCGCGCGATGATGAATTAATCGTCGGCAATCTTTATCATTTTTGCTTAGCATAAGATACTAACAATTTACATTGGCAGTTGAATGTAAAAGCATATGAATTATTTTGGGTAATAATTTGAATACAATGTCGAATTTCGAACACGTAACAAAGGGGAAACGTCACCTCTCATTTGGCTTTCAGAATAAATTATCTAGCAAATTCTTTAGGGTTTTCAGGGTTAGCATTTGGACTAAGTAGAACACTAATCATGCATGCTTAAGCAAGCATTTTTAATCTTTCATCGTACCTTTATGGTGTCCATCGATGGAATTTCTTCAACAAAATAATCTCTTTCCATTCAAATTTCTATAAAAAAAAGAACAGCTCAGTAAATGGAGTAATGAGTAAAAACTGTGCTGTAGGAAAAGGAAAAATATCTGAAATAAATCCATATAAGCAAAGCAACCTACAGCTATTCATTAAGTTTTTTTTTGTGGTCAAATAACACAGACCACTTGATCCAATCACAGTTAACACTCATACACCCACGTAAAATATATGTTTTTGCGGTCGATATTGATGTGAAAAACGTCTTTGTTTAATGTGTTCCATCAGATCTATAAATGATGGCAATTGTAACAAAGAAAGGTGATGCTATTTTAGGCAACGTGGTGGATGCATTCAAGGCAATTAAACATTATCGAAAGAAAACGACTATATTGTACAATAGGAATTACTCACGCTTCATCGTGTCTATTGTAGGAATTTTACTGATGGACACTTCAGTCACGTGATTACCATCAATAAATATAATACTAAATTAATGACCCGAGTAATGGGAGACCAGGGTGGTAGGATGTCATATAGTTGTACGATCAAACTCAGATTCTATGAACGTTCAATTTGCAGAGATAATTTTCAAAAGTCGCTGACGAATTGGAAACTGGAGTGAAAGGTTTCAAAGAAGTGCAATGAACCACGAGATGTGATTGGTCGAGAGAAGACACCAGCTGATCTGAACATCAGGTCAAAGTTTTCATAAAAAAAACCGTGACGACGCGAAAATCATACCGGATATGTACACTCTTTACTTTGTTGTGATTTCTCTCTGTTTTGCTTCGAGTTTACAAAAAAATTGGCACCCGGAAGATTGTCCCGCGCAATGCAGTTGTGCCATGGAATGGATGTACAAGAAGGTTTATTGTGATTTAGTTAGCAGACGACGGCTTACAGTAATGCCGAGAAAGTTTCCTGCTGATGCCGAATCCATTTCGTTACAAGGCAACAGAATCGCAACTATTCCCGCGGAGGCTTTTGCGAATTTAACCAATCTACGTCATTTGAATTTGGGATCAAATGACTTGCAAACGTTGCAAAGTAACGTTTTTAACAACTTGACGGCGCTGGAGTCTCTAAACTTATCGAATAACAGATTGAAAACGTTGCCTTCGGGGCTGCTACGGGGATTGAATTCATTAAAACATCTATATCTGGATGGAAATGTGTTGGAAAACTTGCCTAAAGATTTTTTCAAAGGTCTCGTCGCACTACAAAGGTTGCTTTTGGACAGAAATAAATTCTACACGTTTCTTTCTGGCGAACAGCAGACTCCAACGAATCTATCGCCATTAACGATAAGCAATCATTCGTCTTTAGTGGAGCTATTGCTACACTACAACGGGATAGAGCAAGTGGCACATGACTCATTTAACAAAATGTCGCAATTAAAGAGGTTAACATTGAATAATAACAATATCTCCAAGTTGCCAAGGGGAATATTTCGCGATATGAAATCCTTGCGTATGTTGTCGTTGTACAAGAATCCTTTTCAATGCACGTGTTCGCTTAAGTGGTTGAAACACTGGATCAAGCACAATAGAAAATCTGTTACGGTCTTTTACCCACAGTTAATACAATGCAAGGAGCCCGCGCGTTTGCGTGGAAGGGAATTATTGAATGTGAAAGATGATGAATTTGGTTGTGATAAGGAATGGAATTTATGGTCTAAATGGAGTAATTGTTCAAAAAAGTGTGATGGTGGAATACAAACAAGGACACGGCAGTGTAAGACAAGGACATGTGAGGGTAGAAATTTGGATGCAAGGTGGTGTAACAGACATCGATGTTCGTTATATACACAATGGTCATCTTGGTCTACCTGTAATGCAGAGTGTGGGGTAGGTTTGAAAATACGTAAAAGACAATGTTTATCTGCTCACAAGGGTATTTCCTGTGTGGGACATCTCAATGAAACACAAGTGTGTAAAATAAAAGAATGTTCTCAGTGGTCAGAATGGGGATCATGGTCAACTTGTAGTAAGACTTGCTCTCAAGGTGTGAAAATAAGGAAGCGCACTTGTGAAAGTGAAATACTCAATGGTTCAATACAATCCTATTGTCCTGGAAACAACACTTCCTGGGCCATATGTAAAACGAAACCTTGCCCTGTAGATGGCCAATGGTCTCCATGGCAACAATGGAGTAGTTGCAGTAAGTCTTGTGGTTTTGGCTACAAGACCAGACACAGAAGCTGTTCAAATCCACATCCAAAGTTTGGTGGATCGTTATGTGAAGGCCAGCCACTTGAGATAAAATGGTGTATGCCCAGGTTATGCAACAATACATCTGAGTTTACACCATGGTCAGAGTGGAGTCAATGCTCTGCACAATGTGGAATTGGATTTAAGTACCGAAATAGGTCCTGCAGACAAAAGGATTCCGACAAAGGACCAGAGATATGTTTGGGAAGCAAAAAAGAGTACAAAGAATGCATGGGAACTAACTGTACCACAACATGGGGAGTGTGGTCAACATGGAGTAAATGCCTTGGAAATTGTCTTAATGGACAAGCATTTCGCATGCGTTATTGTGTAGACACTGGTGGTAAAACTGGTGTGGCTTGTGAAAAAAATAAAACTTTTGATATTGAAACGAAAAGTTGTAAACCATCCAGCTGCGATGTAGAAGCAGTATGGACATCATGGACTAAATGGTCAGCATGTTCACGTAGTTGTGCCAGAGGCACCAAACGTCGTCAACGTTATTGCATCACAGCAAATATTCTTGGCAAGCCTTGCCGTGGTAACCATGAAAGTAAGATGCCTTGCAATTTGCAGCCTTGTCCAATCAATGGAGGTTGGAGCGCTTGGAGTGAATGGGGAAAATGTAATAAAACATGCGGTGGAGGAATCAAGGAAAGATTTCGTTCATGTTCAGAGCCAAAACCTGCATTTGGTGGACAAATATGTGAAGGTGCCATTAGGGAAATAACAATATGCAATACACACCAATGCAAAAGTCTTATTTTGAATGATGGTAAACCAAAACAATCATTTACTTTGCTTATACCTAAAAAATGTCCCACACTTCCTTCTCCAAAGAATGGTAGAATAAGGATAAAAGAACAAAAGGATTCTGAAAGTTTCGTAGAGTATAAATGTGACAAGTACTTTCGTAATCAAGAATTAAGTTTAATTCGTTATTGTAAAGAAGATGGAAGCTGGACAGGTTTCCCGGCCAAGTGTGTGCCAGAATGTGGGATTAGAAAAGAAAGTGCTGAAAACAAGCAACAAAGACAGAATTTGACAGAGAAAAGTATCAGAACAATGAGAGAGTTTTGGCCTTGGCAAGTAGCCATTAAAGTTCCAATCTCCACTAGTGTATACTGTGGAGGCACACTTATTAAAGACCAATGGGTGCTTACTGCAGCTCATTGTGTTTACATAGACAATCCAAAAGAAAGTTTGAAGAAATCACAGTGATTCTAGGTACCAATAATTATTCGGATGACAAGTCCAAATATCGTCAGGTTGTACCTGTTAAGCTGACATGTACACATGAGGACTTCAAGTGGGGTGAATTGAGCTCTGACATAGCCATTTTAAAGTTGCAAAGAAAAGTAAATATCACAAAGTACGTCCGTCCGGCTTGTCTTCCCAGAGAAAATTCAAGACAAAAATTAGTAGCCGGTAAAGAAGGCTACATGGTTGGTTGGGGTGGACAGGATCCAAACTTGCTACGGCAATTAAGACTACCAGTTGTGCACCATCGTGAGTGCAAAGAGTCGTACAAAGTCAACGGTTATATCATAACTAGGAAAATGTTATGTGCAGGATATAAAGACCGTGAAAATAAAAACTATGGTTTACGAAAGAAAGATAGTGGAAGTGGGTTTTTCTTCCTTAAAAGGAAGAAAGGAAGGAAAAGTCGTTGGATATTACGTGGAATTGCAAGTTGGCGTCATCCAAATCCCACACAGAAACACCTCCCTGAAAAATATAGTGTGTTTACAGATGTTAAAAAACATATATGGTGGATACAAGACAAGATCGAAGACCTTTCATGACTGCTATTCGCGTTACAAATATATTAATTTTAACTTATCTTTATTTTAACGTGTTTCGAAGCGATTGGTTGTACAATTGCCCCAAAGTTAATAAACGAAGTTTGATATTTATTATTTTATCATTACCCTCTTGCGACTCCAGTTTATGCTATAGTTCAGTTGACCAAACATTTAAACGTATAATATTGATATGTAAATAACTTAAAAAGATATATTGAGAGCCAACCAGTTTTATTTAACACTCCCAAACACAAACAAGTCTACGGTTCAAAATAAAAATAAACACCCCGTACGGTTAGCAAACTTCAAATAATTAATAGCGGCATACCTGTTAGTGTTTTAAGTTACTGACAAAAACCCAGAAATATAACATTAAATTCGTCTTTATCATCGTATATTTGGTTAGTGTAGGGCAACATACAGGAACAATGCCTTTCAAACAACAAGTCCTTTCACTAACAAACTTCCATGATGATTTGCCAAGAAAGAAAAACAAACTATAGAGATAAGCGAACATATTTCGAGGAATAAACCAAATCGTAAAACATCTTTGGAAATCTTTATGGCGTCTTCTTTTTTCGCGCCACCAAGAAGCACAGTGACTGGTCTCTATATCAACACGAATCGTGGAGTGGGAAATCATAAAATGATGTGCGCAGTCTCGGAAACTGGGGAGGACAATCTTGATGATTTTTATTTTTACATTTCTTGATGTAGAAATCCAAATGTAGAAATTTCTTTGATCTTTTTCCCTGATAAATATGAATTCGCCGTTAAATAGTGTAAGTAAAACAAAATAGTCTTTTCTTAAAAAAATCGATGGATTTTAAGACATTATGTTAAGAAATGAAATATTTCCTACCCCAAACAGTAATCAACTCTTCTCGTGACAATTAGGCACATCAACAAGAACGGAAAGCTGAAAAGTTTATCAATTATGAAAGATATGAGGAAGCCATATCTTGCTACGAAAATGCCTCAGGTTGATATCTTACATTTCTTTTGATGTCCTAAAATATTACTACAATTATCTATGGACTTAGTTGTTATCATCAAGCTTTTTGCCAGTCAGTCAGCCCACTCATCTCATCTGATGATAATTTTCCTATTTGTTAAGTTTATATCATTGAAGCCATGAAGTCAACGACTTGTTTTCAGGTACAAACATTCAATGCACAATAAAATATTCTCATTTTCAATTACAAGCCTCCATTTGACTTAAATTTGGAAAAATTTTAGGCCTTACTCTCCATGCAACTGCAAATTGAAGATCATTCAAGAAAAAAGAAATTGCTTCAGATTAAAATTCGAAACATAGCTCTTACAGTTACTGAGAATTTAAATGATTCTCTTAGCGACAAGCCTGTGGATAAGAGTAGACTACCTGATTTGAATACTGAAAATGAAAGATTGGATACAGATTCAAATTCGGAGCCATCTCTTCATTCTAGTCAGGATATTTTTTATGAAAAAAAGACAATACATGATCAGTCAAATGTTGATGACCTACAAATGCAAGTGCTAACATTAACACAAGCTCTCGAAGATTCAAATCGAGAGAACAATCATTTAAGGAGGATAGTGATTTGCTTCAAAGAAGTACTGCAAGAGAGATTTGGACTTTCTCAAGAAGAAGTTGAGCAAATACTGATAGATAATAAATCTGAACTATCACCAAATATTCCAGAAAATGCTGAACACACAAATAAGAATATTGAAGAATCTAATGAATGATGAATATTTCTTAGTATGCCAAGTTGTTTTGAGTCTGTGACATATATTTTTACCAATATAAAAACATACTGAATTGGACAACTTTATTATTATATATAGAATACTTTTAGAAGCACTTTCTTTAGAATTTATATCTTGAACTCTGCTAATAAAACATAAATATACTTACCATTTAATGATTTTCTAACTTTTCAACTGACTGGCCTGGTGGTTGTCCTGTTTACCATCACAAATAACCATAAGACCCCCTCTACTCGATCGATACGGAGGGACCTGGGACGAGTAAGAATGGCGACGAAAAGAGAAATTAATACTTTGTTATTAGGAATACTCTTTATTTTGATAATCAAATGATTTGATACAGGGACAAAATGTTTCATAAATTACAGACAGTTATAAAGAATGCTGTAGATGCGGTAAGACTGCGTTAAAATTTTCTGTTTTAGTTTAACTTCATACGATAGTCATATCCATCTTGCCCATTCATCTTTCTCTTATGAAGATGTGCGACTATCAAAATCGCCGTATTAGTCGTTTGCACTCTTGTCTTTTGTGTTGCAGTTATTTTTTCATGATACATGCATTTTGAAACAAAGAACAACATTGCCTGTCATCCTTAGATTATTTTTAATTAACTGATTATACTTGATTTCTGGTACAGCAGTGGACACAATGATTTATTATGAACTACTATTTTCTAAAAGCAAATTTGTTTGCTTATACTTTTCCACATCTGACAATGATTAACTATTTTGAAGTTGGCCCCAGAGCTTCCATCTCATGAAAACTTTGTTGCCGATTGGAAAAGTGTCACAAATTATTTCATCGACACTACAGGTATTGCTTTAAACAGCAGTTGATGAAATGTTAACAGTTCAGGTTGTAGATTACATCAAACTTTCAGCTTATCCTACTTTTTAGATGATAAAATGCCAGTAGAATCAACAAACATCCCATATAGTTTGGAGCATATGCTGGAAACATTAAGATCTGAAGATGAAGAAAACGGTGGAAGTACTGCAGTATGTTCTTTGTGGCCACATAAATAGATTCTAGGTTTTCTTTGTATCCAGGTTAACCTGTATGCATTCATCCAATATCTTTAAAATATATTTAGGGCCCATGTTTGGAGTATTTACTTCAACATAAAATATTGGAAACACTTCATACTTTGGGAAAAGCTGATGTAAGCCACGCATATCTTTGATTATGGCAGTGTTCATTACTTATATTAAATTATTTGGTTGTCTGGTTTCTTTTTCAGTGTCCTCCGGGAATGAAACAGCAAGTCTTGCAATTTTTTACCAATCTTTTAGGAAAAATAAAAACGCCACTTTTACCACATGTGAATGTACACAAACCAGTTCATGTAAGTCAAACTAATCACAGTGAAATCCAACAAAGTCGTGATTAAATAAGATCATATATTTGATGATGGTGTTTTTCAGAGGTTAATTCATGTTTGTGGTTCAATACAAGCAGCTCCATCTGAGAATGAGGAGGTCCAATTTCTATGTACAGTCGCAGCAAAGTTAAGAATGTATCCCAACCTAGTGAATTTCTTTTTAGAGGTGATAGAATATGTTTTTTTGGATCTATTTCACATTGCTTTGTTTTGTACTACTTCATTTTGTAAAATGTAGATGCGTCATAATTCAATTTCCAAGTCCAATGTTTCACCCGACAAGTCAGGACAGCGTGAAAAACCACAATACAGCCTTGTCAAGTCACTTCTTGAGCTAAGCAAGAGTGAGGTTAGAGATGCTTAAATTTTTCATGCTTACCAATTATTTTCATGTAAAACATGACTGTTATGATGCGAGATTTGATGTTGTGTTGTATGCCATAGGACAGGAGGATTGCAGTAAAAGCATGCGAGGGTTTGATGTTATGTTCGTCAATACCTGATATCAACGCTGCAAGTGTGATTGTTCTCTATACGCCTTTCTGTGAGGTTATGGTAAGCATTGTCAACTTCTTGACCTAAAAACAATGTTGCCTGAAGAACAACTTCATAAAACCATTTACATTCTTTAGGTTGATAGATTGACTGCATTATTCCAAAGTTTGCCGGAAGAAATGGAACCATCAGACTTGGCATGTGTTGTTGCTAAATGGGGGTCAGTGCAATTTGTCTAACAAACTGTTGTTTTTAACGACAGCATCAAATTCTGTCATATCATACACACTTATGTAAGTAATGTGGCATGTTAACTATATAATCACGTGATGTTGCATATTGACTCCACAATCACGTAATGTGGCATGTTAACTTTATAATCACGTGATGTTGCATATTGACTCCACAATCACGTAATGTGGCATGTTAACACGTGATGTTGCATACTCCACAATCACGTAATGTGGCATGTTAACTTTATAATCACGTGATGTTGCATATTGACTCCACAATCACGTAATGTGGCATGTTAACTTTATAATCACGTGATGTTGCATATTGACTCCACAATCACGTAATGTGGCATGTTAACTTTATAATCACGTGATTTGCATATTGACTCCACAATCACGTAATGTGGCATGTTAACTATATAATCACGTGATGTTGCATATTGACTCCACAATCACGTAATGTGGCATGTTAACTTTATAATCACGGACTCACAATCACGTAATGCGGCATGTTAACTATATAATCACGTGATGTTGCATATTGACTCCACAATCACGTAATGTGGCATGTTAACTATATAATCACGTGATGTTGCATCTTGACTCCACAGTCACGTGACATATCGCGATCCAGTTGACTCACCGATACTCCCTAGGAGTATTTGTGAGTCACATGTATTTTTCTTTGTGGTACAGTTTAGACAGGAATGAAGGTGGTAATCGTAAATTTTCTGGAAAACGTCACCTTTTGTCGTTTCTATCGTGGCTAGATTACATCGATCAGCTGATTCGTGAATCACACGAGGTTAGGGGTTATCAAATGATCTTGGATAAAAATTTGAGTATTTTTCAAATGTTCTGAGTTTTTCTCGGATAACATTGGTTTGTTCAGGTAGTTGGCAAGGCGTTATCTTCAGCGTTACGGGAGCGATGTCTTGAAGTTACCTTTAGACCAAGTCTACTGGAAGTGTTAGTCACCGTTTTTGTTTATTAAAATGTTAGATCTGTGGAAATCAAACTTAATGAAAACTTATAACTTGATATTTATAGATCTGAATCTCGCGTTATTACGGTCACGTCACTGTTAACAAAATGTCTGCGCATGATCAATGGCCCTAAAACTATTGAGGGTAAAGTCTATTGTTAGTTACTAGTTGTTTGAGGTTTCATGATAACATAGCTCAAAATCCTTATAGTTTTTCATCCATTTTAGAATTTGTTTCATTCTTCATGGAGGGTTCAAGCGAGAGATTAAAGGAAAATGGCGAAGAGAAACCATCGTTATTGCACATACTTATAAAGAGATGTAATCACTTATCAGAAAGTGTATGTAATTATCATGTTATCGAATTAATCATCAGATTTAATTTTGCCCTTGGATCGAAATATTTTCTGTTTTTGATTGACTTGTACCAAGGATGAAGAACAGTCTCTAAGTACTTCTCTCGTAGAATATATAAATTCAAAGTCTGCCAGAGTGCATTCTTCAAACAAACTCGTCAAATCCAATACCTCTATTTAAATAAGTGATTATACTTACTGACCGTTAATCTCCTTGTTTATCCCATTCCTGTTTTCAAAAATGCTTTTCTCTGTTGTACTTGATGTTTAGGTTACCGTTGAAACTCTACGACTGTTGGAATGTTTGTTAGAGAAACCGGTCGTCGATGTTCTAGACAGCCTCGTTCTTGAACATCTCGCGAAACGCAGCTATTTCAAATACGACGTAATATCAAATGGGAACGCAGACGCTGACGTCACTGCTAACGATGTTACGTCACGTGACAAGGATAAGTGTTACGTCGAATTGGATCGCGTCGAACTGGAAAAGATTGTGAACAGGTGAGGATTGATGAGATTGAAAGTTGTGTTATATCGAGTTGATTTTTGTGAAATGATTTTTGTTGTATGTTCATTTAAAGTTTTTTGTTCCTGTTACCCACAAATATGAAGACTTCAGCAGAGTTAGGAGATAACGGCTATGACACTTACCTACGGGATGCACAAAAACAGGTATCCACATACATCCATACACGCACATCCACATCCTTTGCCCACACACGTTTGCCAATCCTTTATCCATACTCACATACATATCTTCATCCTATAAACATGTTTCTATCCTATGTCCATACACAGGTAACCATCATTCATCCATACACTCGTATATATCCTGTATCCATACAAATTTATCCATCCTCTATCCATAGATATTTGTAGATAGCAAATCAAGTTTTATTTCGTAGTGCGCTGAACGTAGAAATCAATGTAAAAATTTCAACTGGCCCAAGACAGTAGAGCAAGGTACAGCCACGATACAGCATCAGATATTTCATTATTACATGTAAATTACATTTTTAATATATTTATTATAGTAAAAAGATCAGAGGATCAATTTTACGAAGGAAATTTCCTCAACATTCTATTTAAAAAGTTGAGGAATTTTCTTGATCAGGTATTGATTTACTCATCAAGTTGAAATGGATTCTATGATGAAAATTTCAACATTCCTATCTTATTATTTTAGTCGTATGATATGAATCTACAAGTCACGTCAGTTCTAGCTCTGTTATCGCAATTTCCTCACCCGCATCTCCATGAATATCTTCTCAATCCTACTTATCCCTCGCAAACAATGCAAATGCATTAAGCTCTGTTCTAAAAGAGGTATTAGTAATATTGTTTGAATTTTCACATTCCTCAATGTAAATATGTATTTTCTTTCCCGAAGCTTGTAGAGGATCTCAAAGACAGGGCTAAAAAATTACCAAACTTCAAACAGAGATTAATTCACACACGAAAAAGATTAATGAAACTGCAGTCGATTGAAAATGAAAGGCAAGCTAAACTTGTAAATTTTTTCAGCCGCTTTGAAAACAATTTACCACTACATACATGCATAAAATAATAAATCAACGAACTATCTAAAATTGAAATTTTTTCAGTGAACCACAACTAAAACTTTTTCAAGCAGTTGTAGTCCTCGAGGAATTCTGCAAGGTGAATTCTGAAAAGCATTTGAAATTTACATTCGCAAATAATCGCCAAATTTCATTGTTGCTTTTGTGCTTTCTTCCTATGTAGGAATTGGCAGCCATAGTTTTTGTTAAAGCTACAAACAAGTTGAAACAAAGATGACACAACAAACATTGAAATGAAATAAATGAAGCAAGTTATAGGTAGAAAGGGAGTATATTTTGTTAAAAAAGTTTAAGTCAGAGAAACGAAATCTCTGTAAAGAGCAAAGAGTTATAAAATATATGTTTGTGGATATAAGAATGAATGAAAATAAATAATGTAAATTCTTCAACTATAATATATGATGAATAATACCTCATACAAACACATATTCTTTATATACATAAATGAAAATGCAAATTCACTAAATACATTACAAGCTCAATGATACATCAAACATTTTGCTGTAGTAATTTTTCCCAGTAGGCAAGTGATATAGTTTATTCGCGCTGTAACGCGTATTTTGTGGTTATTATGGGCTTTTCATCAATACTATTTACAATTGTCAAAGCTTGGTCTACGAAGCTTTGTCACTTAAGCAATTGTCAATAAAACTTTGCTGAGTATTATTCTTACTGGCCAAATCCTACATTATGAAGAATATAGATAGCAAAACGCTCAGACAACAGGTTGTATTGACTATTCTTCATACCTTCGGTTCAAACGATCATGATGACGACAGCCAAGAATCACTGTCTCTGTTTTCTGGCTTTACTATTTTATATTCAATGATGTATTCGGGATAAGCCTGAAACGAAATAATATTCAAATTTCAAAAAATATTTTCAAAGTTTCTTCATTCGAAGTTTCATAGGAAGAATACGAAGTGTATAGTTTCGTGTTGCTGGTGTTGAATTTACACAAGAAAATAATGAAATGGTTCATTGGTTTACTTTGCTTTCTCTCAATGGAAATGCCTTGTTAAGTTATGTTGTTAGAGATACAGTACTTCGCTTTCTACCATAAAATAATTAAAATTCATCCTCACCTGTTCCCCACGATACACAACATATTCTGCAAAAGACAGACCCCCTGCGCTAGGTCTTCCAATGACCGAGTGGTGGCCTGGTGGTGAATGTGCAACTTTAATTGCAGAAAACTGATAAAATGGTTTCCCAAGTGCTGTCCGACATAACAGCATTTGTCTGAAAAGCGAAATTTATGTCGAATACAAGGATGTTAAACAGTTCTTTAATGTAACCTTTATACTCTCTAGTTTTAATGTATCCTAATCTATCTTCATACTCCTTAGTTTTAATGTATCCTAGTCTACTCTCACACTCCCTAGTTTTAATGTATCCTAGTCTACCCTCACAATCCCTAGTTTTAATGTATCCTGGTCTACCATCACACTCCCTAGTTTTAATGTATCCTGGTCTACCATCACACTCCCTAGTTTTAATGTATCCTAGTCTACCCTCACAATCCCTAGTTTTAATGTAACCTAGTCTACCTTCACACTCCCTAATCTTAATGTATCCTAGTCTACCCTCACACTCCCTAATCTTAATGTATCCTAGTCTACCCTCACACTCCCTACTACTCTTGATGCACTAAATAAAAACAAGGTGTTTACGTTGTTAAAACTCATTTACCTGGTGCACTCGTAACAGGAACGATCTTTATGAGCGGGACAACCGCTACCACCATTGATACCATAAACATATTGATTACTCTTAGAAGAATTTTCGGCAAAATATATTCCTATGGCAGAACTACTTGTTCAATACACATGAAATGTTTGTCTGATTTCAAGAAAAAATTGGACAACAGATAATGTGATTTGATAGAAATATAACTTGAAGGGTGGGAAACCACGACTTATCTATATTTTCGAGGGCAGCGATGACTAAATTTTGGTAAAAGATAAGAATATTTATCAACTTACCAGCACCAAACATTCCACCAATGTAAGCGTGACGTTCATCAAATCCCTTTTGAACGATTGAATTGACAAATGGTGAACCTGAAATGAAATAAAACATCTTATTATTACTAAGTTTTATAAAACCGCACCAAATGAAAATAACTAATAATTTCCCAAGGAAAAACGAACCGTGAAATAACATTCTCTCGTTTGCGTGGTTATGATTTGACTCCGCTACCTTGATAACGATAAATAAAAACAAAGTGTGAATATGAAAATATCTAATTGATAAAATGGGATACAGACAGGATAGACAATAATCGAAATACTTATCAAAGACTTACACACCTCTTGCCTTCGGTAACAGTATCTCTCCCACATCTTTCTATTGATTACTCTTTCAATCTACACAGATATGTAAAAGGTAAAGATAAATGAAGATCTACACAGATATGTAAAAGGTAAAGATAAATGAAGATCTACACAGATATGTAAAAGCGAATACACTTATGTAAAAATGAATATTCCCAGAAACAATGGGTGTGAAAATTAGGACGTATTCCAAAAGTTTCTACATACAGACAGACAACATAAGTGATACTGACTGAAATTATTTCTATAAAAAAGATAATCAAATTAATGGAATACATCAAACCTTTATGATATTGTAAGAGGAGAAAATACCGCCAGCTTGACCATGATCACGATGTTCTCGTATGGTACTTTGCATCTAAACGAAAAGAAAAATTTAATAAAACTTCTATAACCCTAAATCAACTTTTAAGATTGACGGATGTCCTAAAAAGTTCTCATTTAACCACAGTGAGTTTGATCAAAAGACTTCAGCAGTAAATACCTCTTCAGATACAGAAATAAAGTCTTTATCAGTTCGAGATAACTTTTGAAGTATAGTGCCATGATTTGTAGATGATACTGCGGTAAATGGTCCATTACCTGAGAAAAAGTTAGCAAAGAAAGTAAGTACATGAAGTATAACGTAAACAGATGATATCGTTTGTGAAGTAGTTGCTTGAAGTAGTTACCTAAGAAAAAGTTAGCAAAGAAAGTAAGTACATGAAGTATAACGTAAACAGATGATATCGTTTGTGAAGTAGTTGCTTGAAGTAGTTACCTGAGAAAAAGTTAGCAAAGAAAGTAAGTACATGAAGTATAACGTAAACAGATGATATCGTTTGTGAAGTAGTTGCTTAGCTACGCCATACTCACTTAACCACGTGACAATAAATTCAACAACAAAACACGTTAAATATCACAAAGTTTGCAAAAGAATAAAAATAAAATAAAGTTAAAAATGTTGCCTCCCCATACGTAGAAGAGAAATTTTACTTTCATCACCTAGTCCCATGTTCACAGTTCTCTCCTTGACAGCTTTCAGGATTTTATGACGATGTCCATACGCGTTTATTCCAATCTCCTTTAGTTCCTCATGACCCATGTCCAACAGGACGTCCCAAGTGATCTACGTAGCAAGGATAAAAAATCAAGATTTAAGAGTTAATATTTAATTCCTAGTGACGTGTGTTCAACAGGACGCGTCTCATATAATCTAGCAAAGATTTAAACAGAAATGAAAAGGCACTAACAATAAGTTTTATACTTCTCATAAATTTACCTGTTCTTGTTCAAATATTTCGTTAAGATGTGCCAATTGCAAGCTGTTGAGGAACTGACTAATATCAACATCAAGACCGGGATGAACTTCAAAAATCAAAAATAAAACATCAAATTGTCTTTTTTGAACCAAGAGAAATATAAAAATATTATTTAGCAAAGGTCTGAACAGCAAGAGAAACCCAATATATCCCTACAAATCCCATTTAATATACCTGAAGGTAGTTCCATTGCCGGTCGCTCGGTTGATGCTCCGTCACCCGAGCCAGGTATATTACTGGCCAGCAGTCGCGAGTTGGCCGTCGATAAAGGTGAAGCAGTATTTTCCTGCTTGCTACCAGGTGTTGCTGACTTCGAAGCAACTGCGTTTGTTGTACAATGAAGCATTGCGTCACTTAGCAGAGCTTTCACATCCTCAGCCTTAGGTAAAGAAGACTTGTAAAATGTGGCACAGTCTTTGTGGCTACGTATAAATTCATCATATAGCTTACCGTGGACAGATCTAAAGGCGTCTCTCCTTCTAAATTTCTCACGGAAGGATCGGCACCGTGCGCCAACTATAAAATAAACGAAAAAAAGACATTTTGGATAGCTAAATTGTTTAAGTGAACTTTCACGAACAGTAAATCTTTCAATGTTGAACTGATCAAAATCGTACCAACAAAGCACAGAGTTGCGTTCTTCCTTTCTGAGCTGCTTCGTGTAAAGGCGTGAAATGCCAGCGGTCGGTTGCATTTACGTCTGCTTTATGTTTAATTAACAAGGCAGCAATATCTAAATGCTAAGGATAAAGATACAGTTGTTAAACAATATATTTTCATTACGATTAGCATAATGCAATAAGAGTTTTCAAGACATTAGGATGAGATACATTCTCCTTGGGATTTTCAGTAAAGAACGGAGTAACAGGGCGTAATTTTGCTTTTGTTATATCAAACATACTCACTCCATAAGATGAGGCATTGTGTAGAGGAATTAAGCCTCCTTTATCCTGAGCATTTACATCTGCCCCAGTCTCCAATAAATACTCAGCTACTTCAAGATGATTATATCCAGCTATGGAGATGAAAAAAAAACATGCATCCAGTGAACAACTTTAGGATAACCTAATGAGCAAAGTGGAAACATGCATCCAGTGAACAACTTTAGGATAACTTAATGAGGAAAGTGGAAACATGCATCCAGTGAACAACTTTAGGATAACGTAATGAGCAAAATGGAAACAAGCATCCAGTGAACAACTTTAGGATAACTTAATGAGCAAAGTGGAAACATGCATCCAGTGAACAACTTTAGGATAACCTAATGAGCAAAGTGGAAACATGCATCCACTGAACAACTTTAGGATAACTTAATGAGGAAAGTGGAAACATGCATCCAGTGAACAACTTTAGGATAACTTAATGAGGAAAGTGGAAAACAGTTTTTTACACACCAGCTAAATGAAGTGGCGTCGAGTTTCTTCCTTGACTGTCACAGCAATTTATGTTCGATGGATTTGCTAACTTCATTACCTTAAAGGATTTTGTCTTGCATTTAGAAGATTAGAGTTATATTTTCATACGATGACTATAGGGGCAAAATGAACGGCTATTTCTTGGAATAATTGAAAAGATTTCAACAAAACAACAATCTTGAATTCATGCAACATTCAAGACAACATTCTTGAGTTCTTCCTAGTTTATACAGCGCATAATTTTAAAATCATTGAACTATGTAATCTCACACTAAAATGTGACTTTCATAGTAATTTAACATTTTTTCATATGACGTACATTTCACATAATGATAAACGAAATACCTTTGCCAAAACACCTTTCTTCGCAGCATCTAACAGTGCAGCATCACCTGAAAGACAACGAGCATTACAGCATGAGTATTTAATTATTTGTTTATATTCAAGTGTCGAAGGACCATCACCTCGAAGTAAATCAGAGACATCGCTTTCTTCGTCTTTAACTAAATCTAACGGTGTTTGACCATCACGGTTTCTTTTACTGGCATCTGCACCATGCTATATGAATATAGAAGGCAGACTAAATGTTACCAATTCTACATACTTCAATATTTGAAAATTGGTCTTATGTACGTGAGGTATCGATTTTATCAATGTAAAAAATCTAGTTTATCTAACAAACCTTATGCCAATCCAACTGATCTGACTTATCTTATGGATCTACTTAGCCAATCTTACCATTTTGTCAATATTACTAATCCTTAATGATCTACTTATCCAATCCTATCATTTTGTCAATATTGATAATCCTAATATATATATTTAATTCTTACTCGCAATAGAAGTTTACAGATTTCCAGTTTTCCCTTGGTCGCAGCTTCATGTAAAGGCGTGTATTTCCATAAGTCAGCAACATTTACATTGGCACCATACTAAATAAATACGGTTATACATATTAAGGCAAAGAAAGTTTACTGCTGCAGTTGCATAACAATCTTCAATAATAAACAATACACAATACACGCGCCTTTGATAAAGCTACAAGGAAAGCAAACAAGGGATTCAAAAAGTGTAAAGTTTCAAAAAACACCGCCTTTTGACCCGTACTTTGAATCAAACATACAGTTGTTTCATACATTTATTTTATTTCTCTACAAAAGTAGACATAAATTAAACATAAAGTAAATTTAAAAGCTAGTGTAAAAATAGACTTTAAAAAAGAGGTAAAAGTGGGTAGATTACAGTAACGCGTTCGTAACTCGTCAATAACTTGTTTGTATAGTAAATAAATATAATGGAAAATAATACAACAGTAGATAATTCATAACATACATAACTTAATTAATGAAAAAAAAAACCAAAACAAAAAGCAAAAGACGTAAAAAGACGTAGGATATAGTAACTTATTGGTAATTCGCCAATATCTTGCAAACAAAAAGGAGAAACGCAAAAAGAAAGAAAAATAGACAGGAATTGGATGTTAAGTTTCTACAGAATAAATCCCAAGAGCATTATTGTTTACCTTGACAAGTAAGTTAGCCACTTCGTAATGTCCATATGAACATGCATTATGCAAAGGTACTAAGCCACTACAGAGAAAAAAACTTTACACTGATATGCAACAATATACAGATATTCAACAAAATTACATTGATATGCAAGGTCTACAAGATCTTTGAGCCACTAAAGAAAAAGACAGCTAATAAAACAAATGCTTTACTGGCAACACTGCCTCCATAATATGTTTCCCACATAAGAGCAACAGTACCAGTGCTGTAGAACTAAATTTATCAGATGGGGTGGGGGCTCTCTTGAGTAAGCTGAAGTCATGAAATTATGAAAAATTACCCATCTCAAAGGTAGAAGGGGGCTCCTCCCCCAAGCGCCCCCCACTTCTACAGCATTGAACAGTACTTCAAAAAGAAAGTCACGCGTATGTAAACAAACCTACCCTTTATCTTTAGCGTGTACATCAGCACCATTTTCCAATAGAAACTGCACAACACTCACACGATTATAACCTGCAGCAAAATGCAACGGTGTCGAATGTCGACCATCGAGATCTCGACAATTTACAGTCTTCGTATAACAACATTGTTTAACGGTTTCTAGATCACCAATCTTGGCGGCCTCTAGTAATTTTCTAGTGTCGTCGTTTTCATTACATCCTTGGGACGAGTCAACTGAATTAAAAAGTTAAAATTATTTTTAAAATATATTTCATTTTAAACCTGAGAACATTCTAATCAAAACTGATTGATTGTTTTGATTGGTTGAGCTCAGATGTGTTTTGAACAGGCTAATGCAAACACAGCTCTAGACCAATCAGCGCACGCGTTTTATCGTGTTTATTTTATAAAAAACATGTTATATACTGCATGAATTAATTTAGTTACATCAAGTCTGATTTTGTGAAATTATTGAAACGAAAATCAAGCGAACAAAAAAAGGGGTTATATTTATGTGACGAAACAAGTTTAGCCTCGTCATCAGTTCAACTTTCTAAATCCTCAACAAAAGAAAGCAACATGACGATGAAACTCAGGTAAAAAACAACTTCATAAAATGTAAACCATTCTAACAATCACTTACTGTCTGTATTACTTTGCAGGAACTTCTGTAACATCTCAGGAGCAAGTTGTGCAGGAGTAACACCCTGCAACGATCTAGCATTGATATCAGCTCCTGCATACAGCAACATCCTACAACTTTGGATATGACCAGCATTTGCAGCACTATGAAGAGGAGTTTGACCAAGGTTATCCGTCGCATTCACCTAAATCAATTAAAGTCCCATGTTGTTCTATCATGTACTTCGTGATCTACTAAATGAATACACCAACGAAACCAGCGTACCGAAGCGTCGTTTTTAAGTAAAACTTCCAAAACATCAAGATGTGATTTTTCCGCTGCAATGTGTAAGGCCGTAACGCCATCTCTGTTAACTAAGTTGATATCACCTCCCTTCTTCATCAACATATCTATCATTACTTTACGTTTTGCTGACGGTGCTGCAACAGCGTAATGCTAAGGAAGGAAGGAAGTAGAGAAATACTTTAACAATGGATCATTTCATATCCTTAAATCAACTCATATTTTATCGAATTCAATTTTTATGAAGCAACAGTGATCGATTTAAGGACTAAACGCAGTGTTACAATTACGCCCGTATTCTAAAAGATCGCTCACACTCAAAATCATTGAGCGGTGCTTTAAAATCACCTCATAACTATTTGAAAACGGTACTTTCACTCCACTGATTACTTGACTTGAAGAGTTTTGGCGAAATTCTTGTCATCAACAGAGAAATGAGTTTGTCGTTGATTAATGGAAGCACAATTTCTCTGTCACACTCTTTTTGTGAAAGAGAGTGAGCTTTCGGAATACAGGCGTTACATATGAATAACATCAAAAATCGTCGCATACATGATGGTAGCAAATTTCAGATCTAACGAAACTTGTTTGTACTGGTTACAAAGTCTGGTTAAGCTACGCAACCAGCTAAGTGCCTGATCCGGAACACGACACGTTGTCCTGGCCTATCACTGCTATCGTGTAAAGTCAATCATTAGCAATACGTACCAACGATGAATCAAGTGAAAATGGATGTTGGAAATTAGCAATATCTGCTGCCAAGATTTTCTTCATTTTTAAAACATCGCAGTTAGCACAAGTCACCAGCAAAGTATGACCACGATACTCATCTAAAACAACAAGAAAACTTGTGTTTAAATGATTAGACGTGATCAAATAGCCCATGTTTTTTGAACTAAACACAAAAATGGAAGACGAATTTATCACTGCGTGTATCTCTCTATCCTATTTAGGAAGGTTTAAAAGATGAAACACTGAAAAATATCGAAAAGTACCTCATCAAAGATGTAAGCAAATGCTCAACCATTTCCTTAGTGGTATTTGTAGCAATCGTTGATCTAAATATATATAACTGGAAGGCTATCTCTAAATAATCATGCCTGTACTTGTATGAAGCCAAACTTTCCTCCAATTAACAGTCATACTGAAATGAACTTTCCTCGGACAGTACATGCAAGGACTAGGACTAATTAAAGTGCAAGATATAAATTTTTTCGGAAGTTAGCTTTCCAGTTATATTCAGTTGAATGAGCTTGAAAATCAGTATACATACATTGCAGTTTTTCCTGCAGATCATCAGAAGGGCAAACATCTATAGCACTTTTTGAATGGCAATTTAAGACACTTGGATCTGCACCGTGACTGAGAAGTAATGAACAAACATCAACCCTAAAATAAGAAAAATGAAAAAAATCACAATTGCAATTTTTTACTGGTACACAATGTTATTAATGCAAAACTGTAACTGATCATAAAGAAACCTAGATTTTGATGCTGCTTCATGTATCGGTGTGAACTGCCATAGATCCATAGCATTCACATTTGCTCCATGCTAGAAGAGGACAAAATATAAGGTAACATAATCATTTCTAACTAAGGATCCAAAGATAATGTAAAGTGTCAAAAATAAACGATGCCTTTTGACTCTCAATTTGTATCAACCATAAAATGTTTCATAGGGTACATATAATGGTATTTCTCCATTAACTCCCATTTAATTTTAAATTCATGAATATATCACAAGGTGAGCATCCAATCACTTCATGGCATTTGACAAATAAAAAATTTAGTCAGTCTGCTTGACAGATTGATTGAACATGTAGTCATGGAAACAACCAACTGGATAAACTTGCACTGTAATCAAAGTAACAGGCTCACTTGGTCACATTTTATTAGAGATATTATCTGAGCATGCACAGTCCATTTGACGAACTCTCTGAGAAGTCTATGGTCATGGTAATGACCAACATCTCTACATATAGCTTGCTTAGTCACAATTTAATTAAAAAATTATCAGCTTTTCACAAGTAAAAATGTCATTTATCATTGATAGAGAAAACAAACCTTTATGAGAAGTTCGGTAACTTCAAAATGACCATATGAACAGGCGTTATGTAAAGGCACCAGACCGCTAAAACCGAATAACTTTAATGAAAAAATGCCTGAAGTATAATTGACAAGAATTGTACAATCACAGTCACTTACCCTTTGTCTTTAGCATGAACATCAGCACCATGTTGAAGAAGTAGCTGGACAACTCTAACTCGATTATAACCAGCTGCAAGGTGCAGAGGTGTTGACTATAAATGAAAATAAAAGAGCCTTGAGTTTTATTCAAATATATTTTAAATCGGCTCTATAAAGATATTTACACTAGAATATTATAACAACTTTTCAACCATGCACAGAGTAATGTTTTCAAGAAATTCACACAAGGTTAACTAACACATCATACCTTGCGTCCATCACTTGCATGACAATTGACATTAAGAGGCGTGAGCAAGGACATTAGTTTGTCTTCATTACCATTTCTTAAAGTGCCAAAAATAATACATCAACCAGACATTATAATCTACAAAACAACCATACAATATAACAATTTACAAATTTTCTTGCTAACCTTGATGCCTCTAACAGTTCATCCTTCTTGTAATCACCTAGAAAATTTCCAATAAAGTAAACTTTGGTGGAAGTCACATTTGTATTTAGCTATGAGCAGTGCTTGCCCTATTTCATTTAGATACAAGCTGGAGGTGGATGATTTAATTTAATTAGTTTTTACCACAGGAACTATAAATTGCCTATTGGTATAACTGATGTCTGCAACTGACCATTCAAGACTGATTTACAAGATGATTCAGCAACATCCAAAGCAGTTTTCCCATCTGTGTTCCTGATGCAAGGATCAGCACCATGTTGGAGCAAAACTACAAAAAACAAATTTACAATCTGCACTGACTAAAACATGATACATTGTACCATCAATTACTAAAACACCATACATCATACCACCAATTACTAAAACACCATACATCATACCACCAATTACTAAAACACCATACATCATACCACCAATTACTAAAACACCATACATCATACCACCAATTACTAAAACGTCATATATCCAACCACAAATTACTAAAACACCATACATCATACCACCAATTACTAAAACATCATATATCCAACCACCAATAACTAAAACACCATACATCATACCACCAATTACTAAAACATCATATATCCAACCACCAATTACTAAAACACCATACATCATACCACCAATTACTAAAACATCATATATCCAACCATCAATAACAAAAACACCATAAATTGTACTACCTATGCTAACTTACCAATACAAACATCAACTTTTCCTTTGACTGCTGCTTCATGTAATGGTGTAAAATTCCAGTTATCTCTAGCATTCCCATCAGCTCCATGCTTTAGCAATAACCTTACAACTTCTGCATGGCCAAATGAGCATGCATTGTGCAGAGGAATTAGACCACCTGTGTACAAAATACTTCAATAAAAACAAAGACAAAAGATAACCAAGTCAAATGCAACTATAACTGAGTGTTTACGACTGTACCATCATCTGTCGCATGCACATCAGCCCCACTATGTAATAAAACTTCCACTATTTCTTTCCTTCCAAAGCCTGTAAACACCATAAAGAAACAGTTTTGAACGACAAGACTTGAAAAAGCGCATTGTCAAACCAGCTTGGATTCAATAAAGTTTTGACGGTAAATAGTTTAGTTTTGAGGACATAATTTGGGCAATACTCTATTAAAAAAGTTCTGAGTTAAAGTACTTTTGACATTAGTTTAAAAGCAAAAGTATAGAACATTACTAAAGTGACGATAAAAAAAAACAGAGTATCATAATACACTGACATACTTCAAACAATGACTCACCAGCGGCAAAATGAAGGGGCGATGATTTCCGTCCCGCTGTGTCACGTATGTTCAAGTCTAAACCATTCATAATATACCTCCGTACTCTTGAAACATCGCCATTCTTACACATCTCGAATATCTCCCGGATTTCATCGCTAACCTTTTCTCCAAAAGGTGAATCCAAAACACTTCTACTACAAGCCATTTTCGGTCGCTCTCTCGTCGCAAGAAGCTATGCTGCATCCACTTTGGATGACAGAATTTCCTTACACTGATCTCTACACTCTTTCTCGAAAAATTAGTTGGCGAGTTTATGAACATACAAGAGGTATAGAAACGTTCCTCTAAATCACCGATCACAACAAACTTTGAATTCATATATAAATTCATACAGGTTAGTTTTTGCATTAAAGTTGTTTTCTTCACCGACATAATATACATTGAAGGTTAAATGTATACATTGAGGGTCAATAATATACATTGAAGGTTAAATGTATCATTTATTTTTTACAATAGGAAAGTTAAAAATATTAAATCGTTTTCAAAGCTCACGAGATTGACTCATTTACCGACAAGAAACAACAGAAAAGCTGCACACAAGTCACATCTCATGAGCTTTCTTCGCTTTCTTCGTCACTTGGTGGGTGTTTAACATCAATCTTGAAGGTGTACTCTTGATCACAACCCAGATACGCATCACACATGAAGTACAAGACGTATGAGTGGTTTCCTATTTGTTGTGGGGCGACGAAGTCAAGTTTTACCCGAGCTTTTTGCTGCAACGTCAGCCGCTTGATGGAGATCAGACTGTAAGACAAAAAAGATGATAGTAAACTAAAAATCCTCGTTATGAGAGATGGCAAAAGATTATATGATATGGGAAAAGAAATTGAACGAAACACATCATAACAAAATAACATATATATATTGAGAGAAACACAGAAAACGAACAAACCAAACCTGTTTGCCTTAGAGTCTCCAATCACGAGCCACCATCCTTCTTCTCGTTTACCAGGGAAAAATGGTGCGATGACAGCACCGCTTTGATCATCTTCTCTCTCCAAATCAACATGGACGACGACAGGCCAACCGCTAAGAATTAAAAACGAAGCGAAATGATTGAGCAACATTTCTGAAATTCTGACAATCAAAATATTCACAAAGCATTAACAGATTGATCATCCAATGTTTATTTATAACAAACCAACATCCCTAAATACTTCACATCATCCCACACTAAACAACTTACGCTTTTGCATATTATTCTTAAGGCCCGTTTCAAACGTCGAATTTTCCATGAGCCGAATGCATTTATAAAACAAAAGATAATGAGGAATTCAATCTCACTATATTTTGTCTTTAATGTATTTGGTGCATGTAAACTTGGACATTTGAAACGGCCCTATCTCCAATATCATACATGCTAGTTTGAAAAAACTTACGCTTTGATATTATCTTTATCTTCAATATCATAAGCTAGTTCGATGTTTGGATATCTGTTACAAAATCGTGCAACATCCTGAAGGACGAAAATACAACATCCATAAGAAAAATGGAAGTTAAATATGAAACAAAATGATTCCAAAAATCATACAGACCGCCAATTGACTATCCTCCATTTTCAACATTTCTTTTCTTTCTTCGTCTTCAAGTTCCATGACATCAAAAACGCTCTCCACTTCCTGTAAAATTAGCAACTCCGCATAAACTTTTAAATTTGCAAAAACATTGTGAGAAGATACGGCCATCATCAACGTTACACTTGTTAAACTGCCAACAAACCTTTTCGGTAAACCGCTTTATCAATTCGTTACTGAAATGAGGAATTTGTTTTAGATATGAATCTTTGCTCCACATTGCCTGCGTCACCTTGAAACGAAATAAAGAGTTACAACAGAGCAATCACATTTCGTTTAAGAAAAAATATCGCGAGTATGGTACAGTCAATATTGGTGATGGAACTGAGATGATTGTTGCTTCCTGTGGTAATGTTAAATAGTTTTGGTAGAGTCACATGAATTAACGAGAAACTAGAACCCAGTCTTACCATCTGAGCAAGTTCCATGGCTGCCAAAGCAGGAGACAGCCAACCGTTACTGCTGACCACATCAACACAAGCTTGAATCAAACGCATTGCCTGAACAAAAAGACAAGAATGGGGTTGAAGTAAGGGAAGCGATCTTTGTAGAGCGATTCAAAATCAACATTTCTAAGCGCAGACACGGGTAACAGTTGTAGGTCAAGTAACTCAGTCAAAGGAGGATTTTTCTCCGGTAAAATGAGATGACGAAACGATACAGGAAGTTGCGTTTCCTACATACGGAATAAGGGCGACATGTCCACATCGTTTATTACAAAAGCTTACAAAACCATACATCATGATAAAATAAACAAACAGAACATATAACAGAAGTCAACATGTTAGTAAAAAACGTCTTTTTCATTTCGCCATAACAATGCTAACTTTACCTTTCCAAGAATGTTTTCAGTATCTGACTGAAGTTCAGCCGAGAGCTGTAAACGCGATAAGTGAGCCTGCAGTAATAAATTAGCTTTGGTGTGCGGATCATTGAACTTTTGACTTGTCAGCTTGTGCGGGACACGTGTTGATAACTGTCGATAAATAGCGACATGATGAGAAAGTGATCCATACAATCCTCACAACGAAGCATATCAATGTATTAGTAAGTTAACAAGCTTACCTGTTTTAAAGTGGTGTCCTCGTGATGCCTAATGGGAAGGTTTTCGTATTCATACGCTGAAGCAATGATCTCAATTAGTCCTTTTAGTTTCGTCTTGTTGTTAAGAGAAACACTGAACAGTTCTATAAAAGTGGAAAATTGATATGTTAGAAAGGTGAAGCGATGTAATGTTGAAAAATTTACTCATACCAATCGTCGTATAATTGATATAGTAATATGCAGAGATCATTCCCAAATTCAGCGGGGAAACATCAACATCATCTTCAATAGATATACACTATACATTTAAAGAGAACGCATGATCAATCAGATATAATAAAGAGACGTTATTATTACATGAAAAGATATCGTGGTAAACGAAGGAAGAGCTTGTTCAGATTATGAAGCCTCAGTTTGGTCATGATCGTAAGGGGGAGGGCGGGGGAGGAGTTGGCATTGCCTGACCAACTGAGCTACGTAGGTCGCGGTAACTCGCTAACAACTCGTCAGTAGAACAAATATCATAGTTCATACATTTTAACAAGGGGTAAACAAAAAAAGAAAACAAAACCCAACAAATGTTGAAGAGAAACTAAACATAAATAAAAAAGACACTTAAAGTTAGACTTTAAAAAAAACTACAAAAAAGTAAATAGGTTGAGGCAACTCGTCAAAAACTTGTCGGTAAAGTAGACACAAGAGTAGATATATTTTAACCAAGGTGTGAAAAAATCATAAAGACACAAAACTAGACACAAACTAAACGTAAAAGCTGGCACAAAACTGTACATAAAAATAAGTAGGTTGAGGTAGCTCGTCAATGACAAGTCACGTATGTATAATGGAAGTGTAAACTTTACCTTGGACTGTTCCAAATCATTTAAAGTATTTTCAACCAGCTCCGACATGTGATCAGACAGATGGCGATGAGTTACACCTGGGAAAGAATCCAAGACAAATTTCAGTTTTCCAATGAGCATGGATCATGAAACAATGTTGTTAAAATATACGTACCTTGCAAGTTATAGTAATTGGGATTCTGTGTCATCCTGCGATATAGAAACGTCCACGTGAGATAATCGACTGCATCTTGTTTGTTTTCAACCGTTTTCGTCACCACCTCGGCATTAAAATGATCATGAAGACAATGGTCCAAATGCGACTACAAAAAGATAAATTAAGTTTGCAACGAAGCATGTTTGATTTGCTTTTTAAAATTCGTGAACTGGGGAAAAGGTGCCAGGTGCAACCAGATGCACATCATAAAAATGTATGACAGTTTCAACGAACTTCATCTTGAGATGTATCAAACTTCCGAACAGTGTCAATTTCCCTTTCGATAAATGCTTGCAAATGAACAACACATATCAAATAAACCAATCGTTACAGAAAAGAACGTCTTCGAACCTCAATGGGTAATGGTTCATAAAGAAATTTCTTGAAGAATTCTTTTTTCGACTGTTGACAAAGAATCACAGCTTTCCCGGCATCATCAAGCAATGGACGGTTCGCCTTGCCCACCATTTGAAGAATATCAGTCACAGGATAATCGACATAACTTTGAAGATAAAACACAAAAAAACAACAACATAAGATGATGGCATTTGTAAAACGAGAGAGCCTACCATATTGGGCATCACCAACATGAAAGGTCTCTCGACATGAATGACCCCCACCCCTCCCCCTGAGGGTATAGATATACATACGCGTGTATTTTTCCTTCGTAATACTGAGTATCCATAATGACCACTAAGTGAGCGTTTACGTTGATGGCCCAGCAGAGATTTCGTGAAACCACAACAACCTTGAAGAAAAAATTAAATTTCCTTTCAACTTGAGTAATATCGCATCTCCATGCAAGCAATACCAACCTGCACTGCACCAGACACAAAAAGTTGTTCAACAATTTTCACTTCAGTTTCAGAAAGCCCTTCGTGGAGGAACGCCACACCATAAGTCAATGTTTCCTTTAAGGTCTAAAAACGTTAGTGAAAAACCGATTTTTATAACATACACTTTCTACATTTCTATTCGTACGTACACCTCAAATTTACAGCTATTTTTCAATTAAATTCGCGCAAATTTAATGATTGAACAATAGCTTGTCCAATTGATGATAACATTATAGCAAAAAAGGTCGACAATGTAGACCATGATATGGGATACCTTATCATTTAATCGAGCGGTGAATGGTTTTAGGTCATCTTCTGTGCAATGCAAAAACCTAAAACAAAAATGACAGCTCGATATTAATTATAAGAAAAGCAAAGTGTTTTTATCACAAACAACACACACAGTAGGTCTGATGGCTCCAATTACAAACATCAAACGGCAAGAACTGATTTTAAATGAAAAGGAATACATATTCCTTAATATAAAGTCGTTTCAGTAATACTAGAAATATATAATCTTCACCTTTGTGCGTCGTTATCTGCTCCTGAGAACGTAAGCAAATCAAGTGCAGTGAGTTTCGTATTTCGTCTCGAAGGCACAAAAACAATAACAGGTTTTTTAGGTGAATGACGCATGATAGCTTGATATATCGGCTTCGCCATTGCAATAAGTCGAGAACCCGTATGAGTGATAGTGAAACCCTGGAAAATAGAAAATCATTTCATAGGAAACAAGCCAAGATTGCCGAATGATTAAATATATGAAGAGTATTCAATTTGAAATTCAAATGTTCAACTTTAATTCTTATTCTTTACACATTAAACTTACTTGAATATGTAACTCCAATGGAACAGGACGAACATTTGGATGGAAATTAAATAAACCAGTAGCTTGAGCTCCAAGCCATTGCGCAACATCCTATATAATACATAGACGTATCTTCTAATCATCGGTAATCCTATGATATCCTACATATGTTCATGAATATTTGTAAACAGCACACGTCATTTTGCGAGTTTTCATTACCTTGGAGTTGGCAAGTGAAGAACTGAGAGCAATAATACGGATGTTCTTTTCAATTTGTGAAGAGATGTAGCGCATGCGTGAACATATCACCTCCATTACAGGCTAAAAATAGTTCAATATATGATAATATAGAACCCAGTCCTCTAGATGGCTTACACGATTTACTCTCTCATTCACTGTTTCATGTATAATGAACAAAAGCATCCACGGGCTTCATGGCAAAAAGTGGAAAACACTGGTTTGTCGAAAGGAGATCCAAGATATTTTGCCTCTCAGTTTATAAAACATACCCACCCCATTATCGCCTGATATCAGATGAGCTTCATCCAAAATAAACAAATTCACATTTTGCACATTTTTTCTCTGTTTCCAACGACGAGAAAGAACGTCCCATTTCTCCGGTGTGCTAATGATGACATTTCCCTAAAAATGACTCGAATGTGAAACGTATATTCCCATGAAACACACATTGAAGAATAATCAACAAAATAAAAACCTTGGCCAATAACTTTAGATCTGCGCTTGTTTCACCGGTCAACAAAACTACATTCTTCTGCAACTGAACACCGAACTTACTCTGCCAGTCAGCGAACACCTGAAAAAATAATACTGGCTTTGAACTCGAATTTCCAAACAATAATACGTTTTAGACTTGATCACGACAAAGCTTTTGATAAGAAGTGTAATAACCTACTTGATCGGCAAGAGACTGGAGAGGAGTGACGTATACACAACGACTGTTCGAGTTGAGGGAAAACATGTGAAGAACTGCGAATTCAGCACAAACTGTCTTTCCACTTCCGCTTGGAGCTCCAATGAAAACGTTCTCCAAGGAATTATACAACGTGTTGAATACTAAACGAGAACCCGTTGCGAGCGTCAAATATATTCCTCCAAAAATCTGCATCCTTAATTTGAAGTACGAAACTTCATACCTTGCGTTTGAATGGGGTTGAAGTAAGGGAAGCGATCTTTGTAGAGCGATTCAAAATCAACATTTCTAAGCGCAGACACGGGTAACGGTTGTAGATCAAGTAACTCAGTCAATGGAGGATTTTTCTCCGGTAATATGAGATGACGAAACGATACAGGAAGCTGTGTTTCCGAGCCTACATACGGAATAAGGGCGACATGTCTATAGGGAAACTACAAAAAAGTCAACTATTCATTATTTTATTGATACCATACCTAGCCAACGGTTTGAAACAACGCGAATAAAGTACTGAGGAGGTAATGGCTCGAAGACTGGGACGAATAATTTAATCACGTGTTCATCATTAGCATACTTGCTCTTGAGAAGAAAATACTCATGATGCATTATGATTTCACTGTCAACATCTTCAACCAAAATCCAAAATGCTTCAGAGGTTCCATGAATCTTCTCGTCCCATTGAAAGTCAGGTGTTATAGTTAGTTCCACACTCAACGTTGACCTACATTTAGGAGGATTAACTGGATAAACAGGAGTACTTAGTTTTCGCCTTAAACCCTAAGATTTTCTCACACTGACCTCGTGATTGGCTGAATGTGAGTAGCCAGTTCAAGCTTTGGAAGTTGATGTATAAACTTGTGTAAAGTTTTCCCCATCTTTGGCATGTGAATCAGTTCTCCGATTTCCTTAGTTCCGAGATCATAGAATCTCTCCCAAGGGAAATCCTTTTTCTCAATCTTCCTTATTACTTCCATTGGAATTTTGGTGAACTGACGCAACGGTGTCATGGACAGCCACCTGGATGAACAGAAAAACCATACAGCTAAGATATTCAACACGATAACATTACTATGGGAACAGAAAAACGATACAGCTAAGATGTTCAACACGATAACATTACTATGGCCATTCGTCGACTCCTCACAATTATGTTGCAATTTATGTAAATATGTATCAATTTCGCGATCAGACATAACTATATTGAAGAGATATGCCTGTGACATGAGTGATGTTTCAATTTTCCTCTTCTTTATTCAACATACAATCAACGATGTGCTCATCATGTATGTAGATGGAAAAGTAAGAGACAGTTTTAACATAATACATGTTGGAAAGCGTCTTTCTAAGTGAAAGCTACACCACTCCCTACAGGTCACCTGTATGACAGCACAACACGAGTGTTGTGAGAACACAACAGGAGCGTTGTGAGAACGAGGCAACTTCACAAGAAATCATGCGTGGTGCGACTTACAACACTGAAGATAATAAAGAACCGAATCGTTGCCATCAAAACTATCAAATACATACATTCGTTTATTGATCATTTTGCACAAATTCAAAGTCTTGTCAGCCAGTTGCGCCCAGCCTCTGTTAACGACAATCTCGAAGATCGCAGACACAAGTCGACCAGCGGACTAAGAGATAAACAGAGCTCATTTCACGACTCTTTTACCACTACTCAAGAAAATAAAATGAATCTAATTTGAAATTTTGTAATCCGCTTACCTGGGTTACGTAAACCATATCGGAAGTAAGAGCAAATCCCTCCAGCTTTAATTGTGATATGTAAGCTTGCAACAGAACATTAACCTAAACAGAACATTGATAAGTCATTAATAAATCAATGCCAGTATAGAAGACTTTTATTGAGATATCATTCATAAGAAGTCATCAACCCAAGAATTGTAGCTTTGCTTAGTAACAGACCAACCCGATGACGTGGGTCTATTTGTTTATCAAAGCACATTTCTTTCCCTCTTTTATTATACAGACTCAAGGACAACAAGTTGAGCCTGCGGTAAGCGGTTCAGAGGTTAAATGCACAAAAAAATACAGCAGTCGTAGTCGCTTTCTTGACTTTACCACCAGCAGTAAAACGTAAATTTTGTAACTAGAGTGAACAGCGCTAATTAGCGCAGATGAAAACTTTGCAATTCTTCTTGCAAATGTACACACAGTAAATAAACAATGATGAGAATGGCGAGGAAGAGAATGCTATTTATGTTTTAATTGAAATTGTGCATATTACGGTTTATAAATGGATAACACGGCACATTAACAGTACAACATGGATAGCACGGTACATTAACAGTACAACATGGATAGCACGGTACACAAACATTGCTTACTTTGGCACTTGGTTCTTCAATGCTTTCCTTGACAGGGATTGGGACCCTTTCTAAGAGTTTATTCAACTCAAGTTTCTCTTCCTGAAATAAAACACCACATTGCCCCTCAATCAATTCACAAAACTTAGGCATTATAATACCACATTTAAATAAACAGACGGGTGATTGTGTTTATAAAAGTAAATAGAAACGTCGGTTGCAAAAATACCTCTCTGACGGTGATATACTTGAACTCTGACGAAAGAGAAAAAACTCTGAATAATTCAATCTCGCTCAATGTTGGCTTCAATAAGCTGTTAAACACGGATATCGTGTGTTGTGTACAATAATAATGACTGGCGATTCTTCCCAGTTCAGTTATCTGAAAAGAAAAGCAATTTTACAATGAGAAAAGTTTTCAAAAATATGGATGATTTTTGAATGAAGCACAAACCTGAAAGTTACCAGTCTTCCTGTCATATCTCACCAAATTATTTTTATCCAACACACTTGCTGCGGAGTGGATGAGATCAGCACGTCTCTATAATAAAGATAATACATTAGCTCAAGGGGATAGAAAGTAATAAGTTAGGATAAGGTTGCTACCAGACTGTAGTGAAGACCAACAATTTGATGGCAGGGAAAACAAACCTGTTCTAGTAAATTGTCCTTTTCAAGATCATCGTAAGAAATTCCGTAAAGCGTCGGATTACGAAGCATTCTGATATATAGGTACGTATAACCTTGACAAGAAGATAATAATTCAATTTAAATTTGTCACCTTAAAAGCATGCTTTAAATGTGAAGAAAAAGCACACCAAGCCAATTTACTGCTTCTTTGGCATTTTGAACAGTGCCAAGAACAATTTCTGCATTAAGACTATCAGCCAACTTATCAATGAAATGACTTTCCACTGGTAACTAAACAAAACAAATCGTGATAACGTTTGCTTCAAGTCTAAAAAGACCCCCCCCCCTAATTGTAAAAGAAAACTATGCAATTTTAATTGTAAAAGAATACTTCATATAACGCAAAGTGAATGTTACTCACTTGCTGATTCATTAAAGACAGATAATATTGAAGTTCAGAATGGCTGGTGATCAATATTCCTTCGCCTTTCGAGTCATATTGAGGTCGACCTGCACGCCCTAACATTTGAAGGACATCTAAAGCACCCAGCTCGACCCAACGACCTTTCTCTGGATTGTAAATCTATTTGTAAAAATTTCGAACGATATATATATCAACAGGCAGAATTATATAAAACATTCCTGAAATCTAATCGCATCTTTCCATTTGTATAAGCAGAATGACTATTACCTACTTGGGTATTGGAGATGGTGTTAACATGCATCCCTACAGGACACCCGAGTCCCTTACGTATAAGTAGAACGATTAAAACACACGCGAGTGTTGGAGTTAGTGTACACATACATCCCCAGTACACACCTGAGTTCCTTTAATTATAACAGTATGAGCAGGAAGATTGACGCCCCAAGCGAGTGTAGCAGTTGAAACAAGGACTTGAATGTGTTTATCTGCAAACAAATCTTCGACCAAAGTTCTGTCCACTCTAGTCATTCCTGCATGATGAATAGCAAAGCCATAAGGAAGAAGGTCTTTCAATTCGCCATTCTTCACTTGATCAGCTTCCGTCCTAAAATCAATTATTTTAACTATGGAGGGTGATTTATTATTTGTATGATTTACCAAGGATAATGGTGGATACTGTAGTACGTCCATAAGAGGTCTGTGTACTTGTACATACCTCAACACTTCCGTGCTAGCTGAATCTTCTCTCAAAAACAAACCAAGTGTATCTTTGTCTAAGCACATATCACGAACAGCACGAGCTGTTTTACCAGTTTCCTTTCTTGAGTGCACGAATATTAGTATTTGATTTCTTCCAGCGTTCTCCATAACTTTATCGTACACAATATCGTTCATCATCTATACAATATACCACCATTTATCATATAGTATCATTCATCACTCATCACCTATACAATATACCACCATTTATCAAACAATATCATTCATCATCTATACAATACACCCCCATTTATCAAACAATATCATTCATCATCTATACAATATACCACCATTTATCAAACAATATCATTCATCATCTATACAATATACCACCATTTATCATACAATATCATTCATCATCTATACAATATACCCCCATTTATCAAACAATATCATTCATCATTCAGAAACGATACATTACAGTCAACTAAATTAATCGTTATTTATTACAAAATAGAAAATACTTTCCAGATTTCAAACAAAACCATTGCACTATGGTGATAGCCGGGAGGGTACATTGTTATACACGTTGTGTGTACATATATATACATAACGCTCTCTTATGTGTTGTGTGTACATATATATACACAACGCTCACTCAGAGCGCTCTCGGATTGTGTAGAGAAACACATAATGAGACGTTCACCGCTTTGGCGCTATGCAAGCTCACATTTATAGGTTTGAGCACTCTGCTGACTCTACAAAACAATCCATAGAATGTATAACGGTACATCCTGTGTCCCAAGTGCACGAGTCACAATTGCACTATGGTGATAGCCGAGAGGGCAGATTGTTACACACGTTGTATACATATGTACATATATATACCTCAGTGATCTCAATATTTAAGCTCCCAAAAACTTACCTGCAATCTTTTCATCGGTTTCTTTTCAGTCACACCAATATATTGTTGTTCCAACGGCACAGGACGAAAACTGTTATCAAAATAATATAAACCCTTGTTCGGATTTACCCGCATGAATGTCGCCACATCTTCGTAGTTAGGAAGAGTAGCACTCAGTCCAACCAGACGCACCAACTCTTGCGTTGCTTCTATTTGACGGATAGTTCTTGCCACCTTAATTTATAAAGATGAACCAAGTAAGGATCAAGCGATAACACGTGACATAACTTGATTCCCATTATCTACGTAAGTATTTTGATGGCTCTGAGCAATAACAGTCTTTTTAAGCAAAAAGATATGTAAAAAATAAACAAAAAGTTAGAAGTAACATCGTAGTTTGTTTCTTTTACCATTTCTTTAGATCAACAAACACTACCTCGAGTCAATTAAAACTTTCTAGCTGTATAGCTACGTGTGCAATGATCTATCTACATAATCTGCCATACTTACCAAAGATTCAAGAACCGGACCTCGTTCGTCATGAAGTAAATGAATTTCGTCGATAATAAGCAGCCTTACGAGTTGTGTGTACGTTCGATCACCGGCCTTTCTCGTTATAATGTCCCATTTTTCAGGCGTACAAACGATAATCTGTGTCGCGTTGATTTGCTCTCTGTTCAGCTGATGATCTCCCGTCAGCTCAGCTACCTTAATACCATATGTACTCAATCTCTAATGAAGAATGAACACAAAGAAATAAATCACAAGACGTCGTAATTTGTCAAGGCGTGCATAGAATCTCAAGTTTATCTATCTATAATGCTTCATCTTGAGATAGACCCTACGTATTTCTTTTTTACTCTTAATTCATAAATCAATAAAGCTGTAACCAAAATCTGTAACTGTACTCAGAAACAGACGAGCCCAATTTCAAAGGCATATCTATATCATCGAAGTCAATTTCTTTTCCTCTCTTAATATACAGACTCAAAACCAACGATTTGACTCTGCGGTAAGCGGTCAAGAGGGTGATAGCTACACTGACATGTTGGCAAAACTCTTTACATTAAAATATAGGAATTTATCTCGGTTTGAGAAAATTATACAAGAGAAGCGTTCGTACGAATTAAAGTTACACTCACTTTGCTGAAATTGGCAACCATTTCCTGCACAAGGGATTTCATTGGCGCAATATAAATGACTTTAAATTCATCGGCATTGATTGTTCCATCCAGATTAATGTGCTTGCTGATCTCCCGAAGTATACAAAGTAAAGCAACGTTGGTTTTTCCTGCTCCTGTCGGCGCACACAGCAAAAGATTCTCGTCTTGTTGAAGCGCAGTGTTGTGTAGACGACTTTGAATACGGTTTAACGTTTTGTATCCTTCGAATGCCGGTTGCGCATAATGAGGCAGAGTGGTAATAGGAACGAGAGCCTAAGATAATGAATACCTTCATCATTCATCACAACATAAACTATAGATGAGTGAGCATAAACATAAACTATAGATGAGTGAACATAAACATAAACTATAGATGAGTGAACATAAACATAAACTATAGATGAGTGAACATAAACATAAACTATAGATGAGCGAACATAAACATAAACTATAGATGAGTGAACATAAACATAAACTATAGATAAGTGAACATAAACATAAACTATAGATGAGTGAACATAAACATAAACTATAGATGAGTGAACATAAACATAAACTATAGATGAGTGAACATAAACATAAACTATAGATGAGTGAACATAAATATAAACTATAGATGAGTGAACATAAACATAAACTATAGATGAGTGAACATAAACTTAAACTATAGATGAGTGAACATAAACATAAACTATAGATGAGTGAACATAAACATAAACTATAGATGAGTGAACATAAACATAAACTATAGATGAGCGAACATAAACATAAACTATAGATGAGTGAACATAAACATAAACTATAGATAAGAACATAAACATAAACTATAGATGAGTGAACATAAACATAAACTATAGATGAGTGAACATAAACATAAACTATAGATGAGTGAACATAAACATAAACTATAGATGAGTGAACATAAACATAAACTATAGATGAGTGAACATAAACATAAACTATAGATGAGTGAACATAAACTTAAACTATAGATGAGTGAACATAAACATAAACTATAGATGAGTGAACATAAACATAAACTATAGATGAGTGAACACGACGTGGGTGTAATTCAAGAGATAGGAAAATATTTGTCGACGATTGCTTTCTTTTCAACCTTATGAACAAAAATCACTAACCTCTCCTTCGTTAAAAGACTTTGGTTTTAAAGCTGGCACGTGCACTTCTTCGTAGCCTTTTCTCTGTTTTCTAAACGAGCCATCGGGTAACTGACATTTCTTGTTTGCCATGACATGACTGCCATCTTTGAAAGCCAATTCATCCAGGTCCAGAACGTTTCTCACACCAATACGGGCCTTCGAGTATACAAATAAGTTTCAAACATGTTCAGCAACACAAACGTATGTACGTATGGCAAACAGTAAAACTCACGGATTCGATTTCAGCAAGATTTGCAGCAACACGAGCGTTTCTCGCAGCCTTTTTGCGACTTCTTTCTTCCTATCAACACAATGAAAGTTAAAACTTGTTTACACGTGTTCCACGATAGAGATGAGGAGAATCACCATATCAACACAATTATGAAATATATTATTTTCCGCCGACTGAGAAACGACTTGCCTAAAGTACCAGTCCCCGCCCACCCGGATAGAGCAGTATAGATATAGGTATATTAGTTATGAAGAGTGTTGAGTTTAGGCTACTCGAAGGAGCAGGGCCGTTATTTGTTGTTTTGATGTGTAATAAATGTAAAGAATGCGGCGGATTGGCTGCAGCAGCTCCCAGTTGTGTGTGAGAAGTATTCTTTGTGTGTATGGAAAGAATCACTACGTATGTCAATCTGAATGATTCATGGGGGTATGGCGTATAGTACTGGTATTAAGAGTAGTAAATGCTGACGTATTGAAACAAGGATTGCCCCTCAAATGTTATGATGTACCTGAATTAAATCCTCTTCAACACTCTCAGTCAAAGCATGGAGAATCTGTGCCAATTCTGGATCATTCTCCATCTTCACTTCAATATCTTTCTTTTCCTTTGCGCTCTGTGCACTGGCGAGCAATGTACAATACAATACAGTCATACGATTCTTACGTAGAAGTTTGATCAACGCAAACTTGTCGTGACCCAACAACAACATCAGTTTGTTCTCGAGTTCAATTTCATCGCTGGCATTTTTTAATATTTCCAAAACCTCCTCTGATTTCTTTCTGGACGCCTCTGCTTCGTTGTAGTACTTTCCAAGCTCTCGTTGAAGCCAGAAGGCGTCAATGCTTCGTGGATGTAGAACATCTTGTGAAGCTGAATCGTTGCCAGATCTTTGCTAAAAACACGCAAACATAAAAACCCATAAATGGGCACGCAACGCGTACACGTGGATAGCGAAGTAAATTATCTAACACAACAATTGGAAACAAAAGAGCATATACAATTTAAGATGAAGGAACAAAATGGGGAATGGCTCTATGGTACCAAGGTAACGCATACAAGAATGTTTATAACTGTGGAGACCTCGGAAGCAATGGCATCTCCAGCTCAATATAAGGTGTGGGGGGGGGGGAGGGGAGGGATAATATTCATACATATATACTAAATTGCCTTAACATGCATATATGAGTAATATCCTTTGTCAATTATTGAGCTGTTGATGCCACTGCTCACAAGACTATATCTTTATGCATATTTACTACATGACTACTCTGACCCAGTCCTTACCATAAAACCTTTATGCGTATTTACTACATGACTACCCAGACCCAGTCCTTTCCATAAAATATTTATGCATATTTACTACATGACTACCCAGACCCAGTCCTTCCCATAAAATCCTTTAGGAATGAAGTATATACGTACCCAACCATGTAACGTCATGTTGGTTTCAGCTTCAACACCTCCTTCGTCTCCAGACATGTCATCATCTTGAATCACATCAAAATCTTTCTCCTCCTAAACATTATTGACACAAGAAATCAATGAAAAGAAAAAAATCTTCTCTATATAGTTAAACTTAATTGATTTGAAATCAGGAATTGTCAGCAAAACAGTTCTATGTACGTAACATGAAGGCAAAAATCTTGATTAATAACAAAATAAATTGTTAAGTATCTCAAGCATCAAAGTATTACTACGAACACTAAAGCCTAGGCAAGCAATATTTGCCTTTAAATGCTTTCATTAGTACCCAATCCCCTTTCCTTGCAATACAATTTTCTTATAGTCGTGAAGCATATGCACAATAGTCTTCCAAAACTCACTTCTTCATCTTCATCAAACTGTACAGCAACACCATATGTCTCATCCATCACCTCGTCTAAATAAGAAAATTGTCATTTAAACAGAAGTCATTGCACAGGCCATTGTTCTTTCTTAGTGCAAACTGAACAAATTCATGTCATTTCTTAGGGGCCAGTGTGACCAGATTTTGTAATTTTTATCACCCAATCTGCTCTAGCAAGCTTAGACAGCCCCACCTGATTAAATAATTGTCACATTTGGTACAGGGGGGAGCATGCATTGCACTCGGATCACCACATTTTTGACAATAAATTATTCATGTATGGTAACACTGACAACAGCCTAATTTATCACATCAACATAGTATGTACATTTTGATCAACCAACTTAGAAATATCTTTTGCTAAATTCATTATCACCATGTATACACTTTCTTAATTCTGCTCAATATTCAGTGTGCGAATTAGTTCAGAAAAAATGATGTGCAATTTTTTTGAAAAAAGTGTTTCTTTAGAGGCATAATCAAATCGATATTACATTAATTATTATATAGCACTCATTGCTAAATTAATATTTTTAAGGTGAACAAATTCATATCATTTACGTCAATGTTTTTTGTTAAAACCGCTGATTTTTGCACATCGTTTAAAAAAGTGATGTGCAATTGTTTTCATTTTAGCTAAAACGGTGTGCAAATTGCACATTGCACACTGTTAATTCGCACACTGAATATTACAGCAAAACTGATCTATGAGCTATGTCTAAGGCATCACATGACCAGAAGTATGGTGTTTGCATAATTTAATTGCACACTGTTCAGTGATGACAATATTGTGAAGCATTAATTTGAATATTGCTGTGGTATCAGGTAAAAAAAATTATGTTGTTAGTATCTTTAGTACAATGGAAACCATAATACGATAATAAAATGATAATATAACCATATTTGTAGATGTAGATCGTCCAGGTTAGTAGAGTCCTGAGAAGGACTGTTCTTGTTGTTTACTGACGATTTTAAAACCTTAGCAACAGTCATCTTCAGAGTAAAAAAAAACCTTTTATTACATGAAATGTCAGTCAACACCAACAGTACTTCTCAGGACTCTACTAACCTGGACAATCTACATTTACAAACATGTAACTATACTCCCAGGTTCAAACCATTTACTTTATTATAACCATACAACATCGTATGCCAAATCATTATAAATGAAAAGTAAAGTGTTCAGTTTTACATGCAGCTGACTTTATGAGACATTTTTTTGTTACCTTCCTCCATTTTATCATGATCTATATGATAATCTGTAATCTTCTTGCCAAGATTGACCAGCAATGCATATCGCTCGTCAGCCATGTTTCCAAGCAAACCAAGAATATCTTTATGTCTTTCTTTGTCCTATAAATACAGTGGCGATCAACAATTCAGGTTCACATAGACTGCCATCATTAGCTAAATGACAAGGTAAAAAGACATGTTCAGGCATACTCTAATTTTATCATTCTTTAGTGTGTGCAAAACTTCGTCGGCAGCTCCAGCTAATATGTCACGAGGTTGATCACCTATGGCAGCTTGAATAAAGCTGAGGAGAACTTCATATGTGGATTTCGTCTCTCGAGTTTTAGGATGGTAAAATATTCCAGCAAGATCATCAGCATCTTCAGACAACAATGTGGATCCTTTGCTTTTACTAAATTCTTCCTTTTCTTGGACTTTTCTTCTCCTAAGTTGGTAGAATGGCAGTTTGAGATTCTAGCATCTGTGAAACGTGTTTAATATATTTCTACACCTAATTTCTAAAGATAACAATGAACAACGTACTTGGACTTCCTTTCTTCTGATACTTCTGGTTTATTTCGCTGATAACGATCACCCATCTTGGTGCCAGAAAGTTTGCCAACCAAGCTCATAACCTCACCTGTCGCTTCATCCCTACCACGTCGCTCAATAAGTGAGCGATCCGCTTGCAATACAAGGTTGGAGTTCTACAACATCAACACACATTTGACACAAATAAGCTCAAACACTTATGCATTTCCATTTTTCATCAAGTTTTGGAACTCTTTTGTCATAAATGAGAAAATGACCCTGTTCGTAATACATATGTAATAGGAAACAGTTAAAAACCCCAAAGTACCACGACGTTGATGCTACACAACACAAGCACAGATCGTTACTTGTGAATTAGTTATTCTTAATCCTAATTTAGAGTTAAAACTTACCGCTTTATACTCGTATTGCAGTGACCTCGCTGTAGCATCAGCCATGGTGAGTCGCTAAACGAAATACTTTCTAAGTAAACGGATACCACACTTGATTCTCTGCTTTAGTAAAATCGTTTCGTGCACGTTTCAAAATTGCTTTACGGTAGCCATGATTGACGACGCGTTGTAACTATCGAGGACTGGATACCACACAGCATCCTCAAGCATTATGGTATACTATCGCGCGGGCGCATCACATGCAAATAGGAAGTGACGTACCCGTCAACACGGTCAAGCATTCGCGTACTTTCTGGACAAAAATAGAAAACATACCACCAAGACTTTTACAAACACCATTTATTTAAACCACGTTGTATTCACGTCAACTGTTTTATACACGACTGGATACCCAGCAAGTATACTTCTTACATTTCTAAAGAAAGTTACATAAATTTCTTCCCGAAACTATGACAAAATATTACTTTATTTACAAATTAAGATATAATCTTAGTTTTTGTAATATGAAAAAGCACATATACACCAAAAACACCTTTATGATGGAGGCTGCAGACTCAGATTGCATCATAAAGATAGCTTTTTTTATGCCCTATCAAACTATGCTCCTTATGAAGACCAAAATATATATGATGTGCATAAAAAATTATTTTGTTTATGTCAAAGAAACATTTATGGGTAAATGCCCTTTCTCTTTTAGGTATAGAAAAACTTAAAACCTAAGATACTTATACTAATGCATTGGCATTTTACATTATGAATTACCTATATGTTAAACCTTACTACAAGTCTAAAAACCGCTAACGCAGCCCACACCGGCCTATAATCTTTATTAAAACCTATATTTTTGGAATCGAGGAGGCACGTCAGTTTTTGCTCGATGGCTCCTCACCATCCTTGGGGTCTGAGGTTCAGCTGGAATCTGAGCAAGGAATAAGGGTATCGAATTTGAGTCTTAAAATATTCGCAAAGTGAAAAAATAAGTAACAATCATATTCTTACATTGCTGGCATTTGGAAATGGCTGATTGGCGTAACAATTCCAATAAACAGGGTCTAAAAAAAGTTACAAACGATTGGAAAATCTGCCTTAACAAAAGCAAAATACTAATAAGCAAAACATCAATCACATACCCATCACTGGTGAATAACCCATGTAACATTGGGTCTATAAAACAGATCGCGATAAAACATGAAAACAATGACTTAATACATTCAAAAACGAAGCAAATACGCCTACCTGTTGGGGAATGTATGTGTTTTGAGGCCAGTAGACTAACTCCGGCTGTACAAAGGAGGCCTCCTTTCTAACTGCCGGCCCGATGTTTATTTTTTTGTTTTTGAAATATATCACACCGATATTTTCAATAATTTTGACGGTCGATTTCGTCTCAAATGTGACGAAACCGTAACTGAAACAAAAAATAGATGCAAAAATAAGGTTTCGCAACAATGACTCATTACATAAAACGTGGAGGTGTGAGTATTTTCGCAGCGCACTTGTCACGTTAATTTGCAACTGTTTCCTGACATGGCTTCAAAACAATCGTCAATGATGCCAAAAAAGGAAGCAGGCATAATAGGCTTCTCCTTCAAATATTGTATCGGAATTTATGAAGAACATTTTGCTGCGTGCTGGTCATGGTGAGAAAATAACTCATACTACAAGTGAATCCACGAGAAGATCACAAACCCTTTAGATAGACCTGAATGGTCCAAAATTATTTTTGTTTCGGTGACGTGCCCGAACACACCAAAGAACTCTGCCAGTTCAACTGCGCTGGTCTAAAAAAAAAAGAGAAAAATATGAAATCAAATGAGAGAGAGATACTCATAGTAACTCAACACACGATTGCTCAAAAATTCGATTAATTTTTAATATTAACAAGACAATGATGACATGACTTGTGTACAACACATCTAAATGAATCATGAAAACAAATTTAAGTCTTTTTGAAATGAACCTTTTCAAAACAAAATCGCTCAACATTTGATAGAAAACTGCACGTGTAACTGCCTAACTGGAAAGCATTAATAAATACTCACATTTAGAGGAAGACCTCCAACAAAAATTCTGTTCGGAAACTTCTTTCCATACAGGTATGTCTGTATTTCAGCCTATAATCAAGAAACTTTCATTGAATGAAACACAAAACACCTGCAAAGCTTTACAGCACATTCGGATATTCACACTTTAGTAGCCACATGGGGTGGTAATTTGCGAAAACAAAACGCAATCAAACATCTACAATGCAAAATTACATACAAACAAAATGTAACTATACCACTTTATGAGTAATGGTATAATGCAAAATCACAGCAAGAAAAAACATTTCACAGCGAACAGCCTTTCAGAAAAATGCTGTCTTTTGTTATGCAAATTGCATCTGGTCTACTTACCATTTTCGGGAGGTTAACCTTTAGTAACTACCTTTTAAACGCTAGAAACAAACAAATACTTTGTTTATTACGATACAATAATTGTTGAGCCGATTTGTAACAACAGTTTTGCTTTACATTGCTTTTCTTAAGCAAACTAATCACTTGAAATATTCTCTTTGCATTATTAAAACGGAACATTCAATGACTAATTGTAGCAACAACTCAATGAAAAATTGTAAATTTGTCAATAGTCACTCCTTTGGGAATAGAATTGAACAATCCCACGCTATGCATTGACCCATAGAACTTTTTCTAGCCTTAAAAGATAAATCAAAACTCACCCAAATCTACTACTCGCTTCCGAAGGAGCTCGTCTCTTACACAAGATCTTCTATCTATAAACTACGACGGTTGACTTGACAAATGTCCGTCAAAAGACTCGAAACTAACCACTCTACGCACGTTGCACCTGAATAGTAATGATGCATAACTTGCACAGGATTGGTTTATTTGCAGAGAACATTTTACATTCGAAAACAGCCAATGAAAAAGCAAGAAGTTCGTTTTGCCTCCAGTCTCATGGTAAGAGCCATCAAGACCACACCAACGACTTGTTGAAAGTTTAAAAATATGATACGTCCAGCATTTTGATAATGCATTTTGAGAAAAGTTTGCATGTGGCCTTTTGTAATATCATTTTGCTCAAACTCATACTTGCGAAAAGTTTGATAGTCAATATCTGGTTTTTGTACAAGACAGTTTGGCGGATGTAATATTTGGTGTCTATTGAGCTAGTGTATTCAAAATTACCAATGATATTATAAAATCTACCATGATACAAACATAGCACTGATAGAGGTAATACTGCAAGTGTGAAATAAATTTATGTAAATTTTCTTATCACAACATATTCGAGAGTATAAATTTCACATTGAGGTGTGATTAGTGATGTCTGTGTCACCGAGTTTAATGACACGTACTTGAAAATTAATCTTTGCAAAGGAAAATACTTCAATTGAACATGTGGTCGTTTCATTTTTTCGCATCTCATCATTGATTTTTTTTTCATTCATCAAAAAGTTAAAAGCAATAGGAAAAAAGAAAAAAGCACCTTTCATGAGTATATCGATGTTCACAGGTCATAAAAATTTGGTAAAGGAAGACTTAAGATTAGATTATAAAAGGATTTCCTGTTTTGTTCGAACGATGATTACCACAAAATATGATTGCAAATTTGAAATTTACTTTTTCTTTTCAATACAACAATATTTGTTGTTGGAATTCTATATCATAACAAGGACATCAAATAGTATGAAATGGTAAATTACGCCTGTTCAACGTCGATAAGCAACTTTCAAAAAATTAGTGATAAAACACGATGGGCACCTGCAAGGTCAATAGAATTTGAAACCATAGACTCTTGAGTAAGCTTATCAGTTATATTTATATTATCACCAAGCGCTTAGGTAGCACTTTACAGCCGCTCTTCACGAAGGGAAACTTGACGCCATTTTCTTCAAATGGGAAATCCGCAAATGGTTCCTTTAAAAATACTACGTACTTAAGTTGAAGAGGAAACATTACACGAATGTAATATAACTAATGTTTTATATTGCTCAATGGTTTATTCTTTCTTTCAAAAATCACGTGAAATATTAACACCAATTTTAGGGAAAGGGTTTTTAACTAGAATCACACAAGATGCAAATTTACTTTGACTTGTTTCAGAAATTGATACAATTAGTTGGAGCATCCTAAATGTTTCATAAATTAGCTAATTGCAATAAAAGAAAATGAACTTTATCTAATTTGTATGAAGTGCACATCAGAAACTTAAGCGGATTAGTCTGAGCTGCTCAATCGAAGTACAAAATACTAGTTTTCCCAAAAATGAGTTCGTTAAGACCGCATCACTCTACGTCGAAGGTCAAAATAGATCAAAAAACGTATTGAGAACAAAAAGATAAAATTTGTCCTCAGTATTGAGGTGGCATTAGTCAATAATATAAATATACATAAATATGTAGGTTGGTCGGTGACGAATGTTTGGAGAATGTGGTCAAGCGGCTTAGTCCACGTCACGCATTATTACAAATACGTACCCACTTTTATACATCTTAAACTTCAGTCATTGATACAGTTAAGATCTAAAGATCATTGACAAGTGATCAAGATTTAAAAATTTGCATTTGCTACGGGGTGCAATGCAAGCACACTACTACCATCTCATGAGAATTGATGAGTACATGCTTGGTAACAAGACATGAAATAGCTATCAACAGTATGAAATCAATCCTATGGCATGCTAAAATATCAAACGCTCCTCTCCCGAAATTTTTTTCAAATGATATAAACAAAGTAACGAGGCTACATACCCAAAATCTCCACACTGTGATGGGAAACGAAGAGTCTATGGATCAAAGGAACGCCAATTACTGGAATGAGGAAAAGTGTAGCAGACTCGCGCCGTGTCGGAATATAGGCTTGTCGAGAACCTATAGCTGACAGACATGCTTTCATAAAACCATTTCCTATCACACTTATTTAGTATCATATCTCAGCGTAGACACACGATAAAAAAGATATGCATAATCGCTCGTAAAAGTGATTTATTTCATTATCTAAATGTTCCATCTTGTATCTTTGTTGACCGAAAGGCAAACGCCCCCCATATGTGCTGGCATTGCTGCTAGGGATATTTGGCATAATGAAAACCGTCATCTCAAGTTTCCTATACAGACGAAGATAAATTGTTGATTTCTTCTTACTACAGGAGTTAATTAGCTTCGAAAGATATGTTGAATGTAAGTCTATTTATCAATATTCCAAAGTTTGTTTTGTAATAAAAACTTGTTGTTTGATTGGACGATAGAATCACTGATAGAATCAAGAGCAATTTGAAGTGGCGAGTATTGTGTTAAAATTACACAGTCGAAGAAAATATTTATGATCTCACGTATCTGTCTCAGTATAATACAATACATTACACTAACAATTTACCTTTTGAAAGAAAAATGTCTGGCAAATGTAGTTCCCAAAGAAAAGTAAATTACTTGTGAAAAACGAGAATTAAACTATGCTTCCTTTGAAGAAACTTGCAGTTAGTCAATGTTCCTAAAATATGGCAAAGCATGCTAAGTATAGCTGTTAAAAGACCATGTTTACGGTAAGACATGGACTGTAGGTTTAAACTCCCGATAAAATTTTCTTGATTTAGATAAAAATCACCCATTTTACTTGTCACACAACACGCTTCCTTGAATACATTTTAAACGGGTTCATCATTTACAGACGAAATAGTAGTGGTTGGGTATGTAGGTTCACTTATAGGATCCAAGTTGACTGCAGTTGATAAAATGGTATTCAGTTTATCACAACTAGGAATGGCGTTCATTGTGGCATTTGCTTCAGGGAAGCCATCTAAAATGTCATTTATCGACTTACAGACGTTATTAGATTCAATAGCAGTAGTAGAGGGGATGACAAGACCTATAGTGGGAATGAAAGGATCTTTAGTGGGTAGGAAAGGATCTTTAGTGGGTATGACAGAACCTTTAGTGGGGATGACGGAATCAATGGTGGGGATAACGGGATCAATGGCGGGGATGACGGGATCAATGGTGGGGATGACGTGATCAATGGTGGGAACGACGGGATCAATGGTCGGGACGTCAGGATCTATAGTGGGGACGACAGGATCAACAAGAGGATCTATAGTTTTGCTGATGGGGTTCGCACGGGCTGAAATTTGGGATGAATGAAAGTTTTCACCAAAACTAGTGTTGGGATGCGAAGATGCGTCTGCATTTTTTGAGAGAACCGAACCACTGGTCTCCGGTTCGTCTTTGGTTAACCTAAAATCAGCCGAAGGTAACAATTTATCTTCTAATACTTCATTGACAGCAGTTTTGCTCTCCATAAAATGCTGATTGCAAAGATAATGTCCGTCCGGTAACTTGTGGATCTGTCCAAGAGCGTGGACATGACAGAAAGAGTTGGAGCATTCATGACAGCGTATAGTTGCCGCCTTACCACAGTCATCACAAAAATGCCAGGGACAAATCCAATCACCGTGTGGTATTTTATCGATGGTAAGACAAGACAGATGGTAACATTTCGAGCATCCTGTCTTTGAGCACATTATCAATTCTCCGCCGTCACCGCAGTCAAAACATTCATCTTCATGTTCTGTAAGGCATCGTCGTAAAAGTCAGTTGTTTCATCAAATAACATTCTCCTTGCAATGAAATGGAGCACCTACCATCAATGTTCTTTTTACTAGCTGTTTTTTTCTTTTTCTTCTTCGAATCTTGACTCTTCTTTGAATCCTGATTCTTCTTCTTTTCTTCCAAAAGTTTCAAAGCGTGCTGGGTCTTTGGACGAACTCCGAGAAAACCACTACAATTATCCGATCCACAGCAACACCTTTTCTTCTCGTTGCCTTCAAAAAAAAAACAAGTAATATCGATTAACTTTCACAATATCTTTTCGACAAACTTCTCAATGCAATCAAATAGAGAGAGAGAGAGAGTCGTATAAAATACAAACTGCAACGATGTGAAATAATCCAGAAGTTGAAAAAAATATCAGAATGCAAGAAGCCATTTTGGCAAATATAAACAGGAAAACAGCAACTGCATTCAGGGAAAACGATACAATTTATGTTCGGTAATCCATATCTTCATTAATACTAACACTGTCTACTAATCTTTCTACATTTTTACGGTCTACATCTTAAAGCTTTCTGGCGACACTCGCATGGAGCCACTCAAAATTATCCTTTAGGAAGTTTCCCTCGGTCTTAAAATGAGTCGCAAAGCCCTCACCCAAACAATCCAGTTGATAATCAAACACAAGTTCCTCTCCAGCTTTGATATCTCGCTTTGCAAACAAACCCACACGAACTTCGCCATTCACTGTCCACTTTTGAGTTTCACAGTTTGGATCACAACTGTGGTTCATGAAGCGAGAAAAGTTCCCCATCGGTCCAGCATCAATTATGCAATCTTTATCGATAGTCAGCATGTAATAGTTCATTACACCATCTGAGATGCCTTTTCTCACTCGTTCACGACATGTTTCTTCGTTGATAAGTTCGCCCACGTATTCTATTACAAACTGTCCTTTCGTCGCATCTGTCAATGAATAAAATAGAGCTCAGAGAATCGACGTCAGTATATAAATTATATATTCGATAGCCATGTCTTATGATGCGATGATTGTGCAAATTTAATGTTTGTAGATGTTGATCGTCCAGGTTAGCGCAGTCTAAAAAGTGGCTGTTCGTGGTAGTGTTGACGACATTTTTATAGTCATTCATCTTAAGAGTCAAACTGAAAATCCCTGTAGACGATCTACATCTACAAACATGAAATAAATACTTCAGGGTTCGAACCATGCAAGTTAGAATTCATTCTATTTTCATACCATAACAAGCTGGATGTTGTGTAAGTAAAACCCCAAAATGATGAATGATATAGAAATGGATAAAATAATGATAAAAAATAGATAACTTTTACTGTTTTTAAAGGGAATAACGCTACCCTCCTAACCACAAATAAAAATTAAACACAGTATAATGATAAAAGCAATACCTTCTTTTGCTTTCAAACCCCAGCCTCGTTTTGGAGCACGAAAGGGTTCACAATCTAAGTACTGTCTTTTTACAAAGCATTGATTTTGACATTTCTCCTTAGCTGGACATTTCAATGGCGAGCATTCAACATATAGAATGCGGTTAAGACAATGACTGTTAGGTCCACATGGATCCTCATCATTAATGTTACAGTCGCAAGATGTCCACTCGGATTCCTCAATATCATATCGTGATGCTGTAGTGTATCGATTCACCTAAAACACAAGAACTATGATCACATGATGTATGAATAACTGCGATCACATGATGTATGAATAACTGCGATCACATGATGTATGAATAACTGTGATCACATGATGTATGAATAACTGCGATCACATGATGTATGAATAACTGCGATCACATGATGTATGAATAACTGTGATCACATGATGTATAAATAACTGTGATCACATGATGTATGAATAACTGTGATCACATGATGTATGAATAACTGTGATCACATGATGTATGAATAACTGTGATCACATGATGTATGAATAACTGTGATCACATGATGTATGAATAACTGTGATCACATGATGTATGAATAACAATTGAACAAACTTAATGGCACTTCTTAAAACAAAGAAATACCATTTCTGATCTGAAAATTATACATCCACAATTTTGATTAAGTATTTTTACAAAATGTAATAAAAACTTTTCTCATTATTTACTAAAAAGTTTTCAATACTTTCACCTTAATGTGTTTATAAGCAGCGGGTTTCTTTGATAACTTCTCCAAGTCTCTTTCAGCTTTTTCCTCCTGGATCTTTTCCCATTCTACGTATCTTTCATGGGCCTCAACTAGAGCTGACAGCACATATGTTAAAATAGAAACATTAGCACACACAACAAACCATAAAATATCTTTGAAATATTGCTGAATTATAAATTTCAATTCAATACTAAAAACACCCCGGAAACACTAGTACAAACACAACCCCCCCCAAAAAAAACAATAAAAAAAAGCTATTAAAAAGAAAAAAGGCTAATGTAAGAGCATATCACCCCCCTGGAAATCCCACAGCAATTATCAACCAACCTCTTTTGAATATTTCTCCCAAATATTTTCCTCCTGTGCCAACTGACCCTTTGTCTCCCTCTTGGTAAGAGAAAACACGACCACGATGTATCCAATGATAGTCATGAGAACCAAGAAACTCGACAGGAAACTCCCCTGGTTGATGCTTCATTCGTTGAATATTGTTTGGAATAAAGTTAGGATGGCAGATTTGTGCGGGCCACCACCTTAAATCAATGCAAAAAAAAAATTACATAAAATAATGTGATAGGATGCAATATAATAAATGAATGAATGAATGAATAATTTTGTTTCAACCCGCAAACTATATGAGTTGACTTCCACATGAGTCATTGGAATTTGATGCATGTTTTTCAAATGGCAAACTGGGTACCTTTACATAGTGTCAGTTTTGATGGGGGTGGGGGTATTCTATGTTTATAACACTAATCAACCATATCCCAAGCCATAAAAAATGTACTATATTGTACATACATATCCAAACTTGACCCAGACAACAGTAATTTCACAAGACTAATCCACCCTACACTAAGGTAGAAAAACATGTACTATAGTGTACCTATACAATCCAAACTTGACCCAGATAACAGTCATTATACAAGACTAATCCACCCTACACTAAGGCAGAAAAACATGTACTATAGTGTACCTATACAATCCAAACTTGACCCAGACAACAGTAATTACACAAGACTAATCCACCCTACACTAAGGCAGAAAAACATGTACTATAGTGTACCTATACAATCCAAACTTGACCCAGACAACTTCCCCGTATAACAGCTCTTTGCCAGTCCTGCAATCACGGCAATAGAAATCTCCTTCAGGAATTCCCTTTTCTTGAATGCACTCGGGATGAAATGCTGCCGGACATCTTTCACAGCAAATCAGTTCTCCTCCGATGGAGCAAACAAAACACCAATTGACATTCACATGCGTGTGATGTGCCTTTTTAGGATCGGCTGTGAAATGTCTATGACAAACTATATACTGTGATGTGATTGGAAGTGATCCTGCCACAATGCATGTCGCACTGTGATAAGCCACTGGACATCGAGTACATTGTGTTAGACGTCTTTTGTTTTTCGTCTTGTTAATCCCACATACATTACAATGATGAAGAGGGCATTCAAATACGTTATTATCGTCAATTTTAACATCATACTTCTGCAGGCATTCCACATGATAGAACTTATTACAGTGTAAAAATGAACACTTCACTAGATCATTAGTCTTTCCACAAACAAAGCATACGTGGGTACCAGTGGTGCACTTTTCACAAATAAGTTTCTCCGGGATATAATCAGTACTCCAAAGACAAGCTTTGTGATATGTCTCTTTACAAACACCTTCACAAATGATTAGATCATCTGGTTTCTCACACACGGCACAAACACCTTCTTTAAGTTTCCATGCTTTCAACGATAGCCTCTTTGGCTCTTCAAAACTTGTCATGTCCATAGTCAAAAAGCTATTGCAATCACTTCCAGTTTCAGACCTCTCGCTATCTGCAAACGAAGAGTTCAATTTCGGCAAAAAGCCATTCCGTTTTGGTGAAGTTATCTTTGGTTTCTTTGGCAATGAATTGATGCAATTTGCAGCATGGCTAGGGTCTTTAGGAGGGCGACCACGTTTTCTTCGTGTAGGAGTTGTCTTATTTGAATTATCATTATTGACAGTACACTTATGGTCCTTGTCCTTTGAATCATTGTCAAATATTTGTGTGAAATTCTTTTGAACTCCCTTTACTACTTTCTTATGATTCCTGTTTTCACAACTCTTTATCTTTTTGCGACTCTTCTCAATGGACTTTGTTGTCTTCAATTTTTTGCTTGGCATAGTTGTAGTTGCTGCTTGAACAGTTTTATCACAAATTTTATCATCTTTTATTGAAGTTTGAAATGTGTCACCATTTAATTGCTGATCAATTGATAAAGAAGGCTTGTCTTTATTTTCTGGTTTGGCAGCACAATTTACATTTAGTTTTAATGTGTTAAAAGAGTCCAATCTTTCTTGTGAGGTTAAAGAACAAACTTCGTCTGCTTTTTTAATTGCATTTTCCCATAAAGGCAGTTGCTTATTGGCAATTTTGAACAACTTTATGCCATGAATGGAGAGATTTAGAGAAAGAAAATGTGATTTTCCTTAAAGTAAAAAAGTTCAGTGTTAGTTCCTACACTTAATTTTTTACACATGATAGTCAAAAGCAATCTTTCAGGATAACAATGATCAAACCATTGCAGTTTAACAAAAGGACGTGGCTTCTGTCGCCATGTTGGATATCATATCTCTCCATAGCATTCATTCGAAATTTGAATGTGATGTGCAGCTATCCTTTTGAGCTAAATCAGACGTATTCAAGTCTAAATACTCTTAAATTTCCAATTTCAAACACTTAAAATGTATTGACTTATACAAAATAAACACAAAATCAAATATAGTTGGTAAAAACAATTCTATAAATATATATTTGAAGCCATCTCTGTGAACGTTCAATGATGGAAAACTACATGCTATGGTCACTACCTTCATACTTGATGACATTTCTTTCCGTCACCCAGCCTCTCAACATATCGGTACCATAAAACTGAACATGATAATACCTAGCTCTACCCTTCATCTTGTAATAAATTGTAGTGTTAGGTTCAAACGTGATCAAAGAAGGCCACCATGGGTGACCAGGTATCTTTGCCCAAACTACATCGCCCGTATTCCACGGTAGCAAATCCTTTTCCGAAGTTTTCTTGACTTCAACATCTTTCTCCGCAAGTTCCACATGTGTCTGCGTTTCTGGAGACAGCTTTTCAACGCTTTGCTCGGCATCTATTGCCTCCAAAGACGACATCTATAGGAACGTTTGTAAATAGTGCCTATATAGGATAGTCTACCATTTTGCTAAGTGTGTTTGCTAGATATGCTAATTTCTCATGCAAGAAATACTGCAATTTCATTGGTCAACTTCAAATGTGAAGAAAACATTTTGGCGGCTTTTCACAACATGTGCATCCCTGTAAAATAACAATAATCGGTGTTTTTTCATTGAAGTGTGTGGCAAATCATTATCGTTGATTTGTCAAAAAGTACGTCTGCAGATGAAACCTTCAGAAACGTTGGTAAGTGGAGGGGGGGTGGGTGGGTGCTGGTTTCTGGCAAATCCCAAAAATCAGTAGGCATTGGGAAAGTAGTACCAAGCCCACCCCCCGCCAGTGGTTGAAGGTTCTACAAAGACTACGTTGTTTCTTGTAATAGTTTATATTACAGTATACATCATGAGCAAGCGCTTTCCTTATGTATTTACGGGTATTGTTGGCTGACAATTACGCAATTTTGGATTGATAAAAGTCCACAAAGAAAAAAAAATCGCGAATAAAAAAAGTTAACAAAACTTTTAAAATATACACTTAATACAAGGTGAAAACATATAAATAAATAATAAACTTTTGAATGACCAATCATGACTACGACTTGACTGGATTGAGCAAGAAATAAGGCAAACCATACAGGACAGTGTTATCTTTAGCAATTCGACTAACTTCACGAACTCCTTCCAAACTGTTGTCTTCTGGTGAATCATCTTGGTCGGAACGTTTATCTACCTTCTCTATCCTAGTGGTGTGCAATGCATGGCCAATGGTCTTGTTCTCCTCTATGGCAGCTATAGACGATGAAAAGTATTCAATAATATTCATATTTTCGTCATTCGAGTTCACAGCAACATAAAATTACCTTGGAGAATCTTTATCAGTACTCTTCTATTGTCTCGCAGTTTGCAATTCCATTGGTTTGCGACGAGACAATTAACACCGGCAAGAGTTAATAAAGCAGCTGATTCAAATGGGAAGAGAAGAGTTAGTTCACTGCATCTGAAAGAAACAACAACAATAAAATATAATTTCTCGTCATTAACTTAACTGCCTAAACATGGAAAGGAAAACGTCCCAGTCGGAAAAGCAAGATAATTGTCCAAAGAGAGGAGCTAAATGTTCCGCCTGATCCCCCATTATCTAGCACTCACACCCCACCGCACAACATCATTTGAGGATAGCAAAATGCATTACACACGTTTTTGTCGCATCCAGAGTAGACTGACGTAAGTAACTTTCGCTTGTTGAAGCAAGATCAAATGTCATCACGACATCACAGTCTAGGATAGAAATAAGAATTAACGAATAATGAACACAAGTTGTACTAAGATTTTTTCCCATACGGGTTATTTACCTTGTAAGCAAGACGACACAAGCAGCGCGGGAGGGAGATTGTACAAGCATTTCTGGGTGCCATAAAATACAAAAATCGAGCTTTCCTTCATCAATTTTTGCCACTCTCCGAGGCTGAAACATAGCAAAACATTGTCACAATTTCATGATAACAATTGATGAATATTTGTGAACAAGGACATCGTGAGATGACAGTTTCGTGTTAACGAGCGATGCAACTCTACAATGACAAAATAAAAATGAGATCTGATAAACCTTGGGACGTAGTTTGTACCGCACAGTCCCTTCCACTTTGCCGAATACTGACGATAGTTGACGATGAGATTATTTAAAACTTTTTCGGAACTTTCGCCTTCAACTTCCGTACAATCGTTGTAAGGATCGAAAATGTCTTTGTTTGTATTAGGGAAAATAGAAGCGTGATGAAAGAATAGGGTGAGAAAAAATAATTCATTAATAATTGTACACACGAATCTAAATTTAGTAAGATACATCGGAAATTTGAAATATCAACATGAATGCTTTCCTTTGTCGTTCCTTGTTCCTTGGGTAGCTGGGAGAAAAAATAAAAAATGGGCAGATTTCGATAGATTGAAAGGTTTTGATATTGAAAAAAGAGGACATACCTTTTTTTCACCTTTTTTATCCTGAGATTTATCATTGGACGGAAGATCACTTTTACCTCCAGCCTTTTTACCTCCACTCTTTTTTATATCATTTACTGGTTCAGCAGCTATACAGAAATCAGAGAGGAGTCCTTTTGCTATTGTAGGTAAACGCTTAGCTCGTCGTAGCTAATTATGTGAGGAAGGTGGCAATGTCTAATGCTCAAATTTAAGACAAAAAGTCAGTTCTGTGTGATGGTCCTTACCTGTGCTTTCTAAACTACATAAGCGATGATAATGCATTTGTAATGACAAGTCTCTGTTGTGTGATGATCCTTACCTGTGCTTTCTAAACTACATAAGTGATGATAATGCATTTGTAATGACAAGTCTCTGTTGTGTGATGGTCCTTACCTGTGCTTTCTAAACTACATAAGCGATGATAATGCATTTGTAATGACAAGTCTCTGTTGTGTGATGGTCCTTACCTGTGCTTTCTAAACTACATAAGCGATGATAATGCATTTGTAATGACAAGTCTCTGTTGTGTGATGGTCCTTACCTGTGCTTTCTAAACTACATAAGCGATGATAATGCATTTCTAAGGACATGTCTCTGTTGTGTGATGGTCCTTACCTGTGCTTTCTAAACTACATAAGCGATGATAATGCATTTGTAATGACAAGTCTCTCGCAATACATAGTATTTGGGGTGATTTGAACAACGAAAGCGATTCCAATGGGAAACGTAACAGATCTTGGTCGGCAAATATCACTACCATCTCGGGAAAACCGAATTTACGTAAGTGAGTTGCGATTTGCTCCAACACAGGGGAAAGATATGATTCCATTTCATTGACAAGCGTGAGGTAGTCTTGCTAAAAATTTAAAATACCGTTCACAGATCTCTCTCGGACACACGTTACCGAATGCGTTTTTCATATTGAACAGTACCTGAAGATTGTTTTCGTTTTCTTTGACCGTCAAATCATCGTGCAGAACATCCTGGTATAGACATAAGTTGTGGTACATTTAAGACAATGCAGAAGACTGCAGTGTGACATTATCCTAACTGCAAAAGCCACATCACACTGTTCTTAAACGACGCCGCTTATCTCTCAAATCCATACCTCACTGTTCACAAGAAATACTTACTTTCCCTACAAACCATACCTTATTGTTCTCAATCGACACCCACTTATCCCTCAAATCTACATCATACCGTTCTTAAACAACGCCACTTATCTCTCAAATCCATACCTCACTGTTCACAAGAAATACTTACTTTCCCTACAAACCATACCTTATTGTTCTCAATTAACACCCACTTATCCTTCAAATCTACATCACACTGTTCTTAAACAACACCCACATAGCCTTCAAATCTACATCACAATGTTCTTAAACAACGCCACTTATCTCTCAAATCCACATCTTATTCTACACAATAAATACTTCCTTTTCCATGAAAATCATACCTCGTTATTCTCAAAGCATTCATCATCCAAGTTTTCAAAAATGTTTCGAGTGTCGACAGCTTGACGTCGCAAATAGCTTTGACGAATCAATTCGCTTGTTTGATGACTACAAAACGTCTCGAATTTCTTAGACAATGCCTTTAGCTCGCCCTTCATAACCTTGCCGCGGCATAAGAACGCTTTAGGTCTGGAAGCTTTTCATAGAAATGAAATAAAAGAGATATTTTTTCTAACTGGAAGATGGGACAGTAAGAAAAATGGCTGATCTAAAATAGTCAAAGGGCTTCAGGCGCGTACGCAACATTTATGAAAAGAGGGGGAGGGGGGAAATAATTTTGGACGTGACAAAAAAAAGCAGCATATGCAGCAGTCAACTCCCCCTGCGAAGATGGGACAGTAAGAAAAATGGCCGATCTAAAATAGTCAAAGGGCTTCAGGTGCGTAAGAAACATTTATGAAAAGAGTGGGGAGGGAGGGGGTCAAATCATTTTGGACGTGACGAAAAAAAGCAACATATGCAGCGGTCAGCTCCCCCTGGGTTTTCCAACACCTTGTCTTCTTAATAACTTTGAAATTTGCAACATCTATCTATGTTGTTCATCAGGAACAGTATTGTTTATTACAAGTGTATAGAATGTCGAAAGTTTCACTGTTAACGACAGTGTATACAAGTGCATATTTACCAGCGCTGTGTCGTGTGTTCTTTCCAGTTTTTGCACTAGACATTACCGTACGTGATTTATCCATAATACCCGCATACAAATGTGACCTAAAGGATAAAGAAAAAGGACAGAGAAACGTAGATTACTATGGCAAAAAATACCACAGCGATTTATCATTGATTATGCAATGCAAATATTTTACAGTGTTTGACAAACTGGGATTCAATCATTTAGAAATTCTAACAATGCAGTTCGGGGAGGGGGACTTTCTTTTTGTGTAGTGTTTATATAATTATTGTTAAGCTAGGAATAAGTTCGGATATTCACTCCCCCCAACCTGTCGTAAGAATGCTGTAGAACCAAGTACAGAGCACCAGGACAAGACATTTCTCTTAAAATTTCCATATGATTGTTTGAGATATTCAAACGACGCCAAGCCTACAATGAAAGCACGTTAAATTCCTCGAGATGCGGAAAAAGTAAGATCGCTATCGCACGATGACATTTAAACAACCTCAAATTCTCCCAAAGTCTTAGATGTCGATGCTAGCACGGATGAAAATGTTTCTTGATGAAGAAATTTCCTCGCCAAAATTTCTCTCTGTCTCATAAGGGCAGCTAGACGAGACAACGAGCTGTCGGTATGGACCTTTCTCAGCAAAACATCTAACGTAAGGCTCATGGAAGAACTCTGTTAAAGAAAAAAAAAACCAATTAAAGTCGCGGAAAAAATGATTGTGTGCTATAGGGATCATTAAGGCATTTCAAGTGTACGACAATTTTTTCGGCCTGCTTATGTCATCTTCGGTATGCTTATGTCATCTTCGGTATAATGCCGAAACACGTTTACTATAAAGAAGATTGTCGTACACTTGAAATGCCTAATATATATAGTACTTTTAAGAAATTATGGAAAGATTATTAAGCAATGTTAAAGGATCACTATAGAATGACTAGATGTAACATCATTAGGGAGTACAACAGACTCATTTTACAAACCTGATATAAAGCCAAATAGGAACTAGATGTATTCATATCATATTGGGCTGTGATATCCATGAGCGAAAAACTGCCTTCCGAAATTATTTCCTGTTAAAATGTACAAAATGTTTCAGCTCATCTAAAGAATGGCAGTAGGAATGACAACTGATGAAACAAAGTACCATTATTTATGGAATACTTCAGTAAAAGTCTAGTTGTTGGCAAAGACATTGTCAAAAAGACTTTTAATTTCACTTACAATAAAGCCATGCTTGAGGGATAGCTGCACGCATTGTGTTAGACATTCAACGGCTTGTGTAAGCATTTGTTGAGAGTCATTGTATGCAATCTATATGAAAAAATATCTTTCAAGTTCGCATCTATGTTTGTAAATAATGCCAAGGAGAAATTTTCATACGGTGAGATGTTTAGCAATATCAGTTTTTCTTGTTGCAATTTTATTGCCTTTAGAATCTTGGTGGTCGACAGCATCTTGCTCGTTTTCTTCGTCCTCTTCGTCAACCGTCGTAGGTCTTGCAACAGAATCAGCTGTGGCACGAGATGACACGGTCTACGAAATAGAACGGAAAAAAACGGATGGTAATCAAATGAAGAATTTGACTGTGCGATTTTGTCATAATGTAAGCAAGATTAGAAAATGAATGCATTTTGGTGAGAAAGAATGAAAGAAAGAGTACGTGATTCAATTGAGAATTGTCGTGCATCTTTATAACATAATGTAAGCAAGAAAATGAATTCCTTTTTGATGAGAAAGAATAGACGAAATAGAACACGATTCAATTGAGAATTGTCGTGCGTCTTTGTAATAATGTAAGAAAGAAAATGAATGCCTTTTGATAAGAAAGAATGGACAAAAGGGACCATAATTCAATTGACAGTCTTCATGCAATCATTTCATATAAGTAAGAGGAAAGACAATATATGCATACCTTTTCCATGTTCCATTGTGGTTCATCATCAGGGTTATGATAACTTGCAAGTGTTTTCAAACATTTGCCCAACAAAAGATAGCACTGAAAAAAAATCGCGCTGAAAATAGATCGCATCATTATCTTTTGGAGTAAAGATAACCACAAATGAATTTGTACCTTTGCTTTTAGAAAAGGTATAGTTGAACACAGACCGAATGCTGCGGTTACATACGCTAAAACTTCATCCACAATGGTCCTAAAACATTACAAAATCGTCATTATTTTGTTGCATTCCGACCAAAAAGAAACAAGGCCTTCCGGTACTTTGTCATTTGGAACCATTCTTTTTCTTCTTGGGTCATCACTGGCTCTTCTTGAACGAAGGCATCGATTAACTGAAAATACGAAAAAACACTGCTTCACTACAGGTTCAAAAATGACACAGTCTTCATCTTAAATCCCTCACCTTTTCAACACTATCTTTTCTCGCTTCTTTACTACGTCTAAGTCGTTCATCAACTGCATGTTCTTCCATAACAACGAGAGCAAGTTCAACAAAACTTAATTTCGTTTCAACACTGGTTCGCTCGATCGGTAAACTCGCGCTGCTCAACTACAAACATACTTCTTATATAGGTAACTACGTGTAAGATCTAAAGTCTTTGATAAAATAACTAACCTCTTCAGTTGAGCAGAGAGATGCTACTTCCACATCAAGACTATCACACAGCTGAACGGCTGACCTTAGTACACTCAAAGCCTCAAGATACAGAGTCCTTCGGTTTGTTTTGACGTCTTTCCACCAGCAAGACGTCGTATTAGGGAAGCAATATCACATTTTGCAGCGATCGCTTCCAGTTTATAGTCACAGGCAAGAAAAATGACTTCACTTTGCTTCAAAAGCTAAAAGCAACATGGATCATGAAAACGAATCAATCTCAAATATACTTTACAAAATACGTCATTGCATTAGGTTTTGTTGTAATGCTTTAAACATATCATGTCAGAACCTCACAAGCTTCGACTATATGAGACATTTCATCTTTTTCCTTCGTCACGTAAAGAGCGGTTACACTACCCAATCTATGACAATTAACAATAAGTGATTGGCAAAGACCAAGCATAGAAATCATCACAATTCTTACTTTGCTAGGAGTTTAGCTTGTATAATCTCAGCCGAACAAGCTTTGTTGGGACTATCTTGCTTCAAAGTTTTAAAAATCGTCAGCGATTGCTTCAGAATGACTATGGCCTGCAGATATTATGAAATACTTCAGTATATAAACCGAACAAAAGGAAGCTTATGGGTCTTAAGTACCTTGCTTATGTCTTTAACATCCACTCGTGTTCCTCGAGGATCATGTCTGTCCTTCTGCTCACAGACGGCATCGACAAGAAGTATGATGGCCTTCAGCCAAGAATCTTGTTCCAGTTTGTAATTCTACAGTGTAAAGTTTTTTGGAAAACATCAGAGCTAACGTAAATGATCATAACCATGATAATGTGGTCCTCTTGCCTGTAACTCTTGAAGCAATAAAACACATTGTTGCCAGTTTGATTCGTGGTAAGCAAGTAACGCCAGGTAATACAAGATATCCGCTCGAGCCTTCTCATCGTTAAATGCCTGCACAGGTTCAATGATATCTCCATCAAAATAATACATGTATGTTCAAAAACGAAGTGTTAATTGGGAGATTAATATAGTTCAGAAGATTTCTAACAGATTTGCTATGTATTTGATGTTTTGAAAGTGTGATTTTCTTGGATTTTTCGGAGCACAAAAAGGGAAATTTTGACCATTTTTAATATTTAACATCACACATAAAAAAGTTGGTGACTAATGTCACGGCACTTTAACTGTCAGTAAATGATTCATCACATACACTAACCTCTGCAGATTTGTTAGCTTCACTTAATAACTCTCTTGCAGCTTGATAATAACCCTAAAAGAGTATACATGAGTATGCATGGGTATAAATAATGCACGAAAACAATTTTAGCGAGGAACAGTTTGGGATACATGTATCCTTCATTAAAATACCTGATTGATAAAGATGGCAGCTTGTTCGGTCCATACATGTCTTGTTTCAATTCTACGCAACTCTGGTTTTAATGACATCCAGTTATTATTTAGAGCAGTATTTTTCTGTTGCGTGTCGCCTATATTCTCATTCCCAGACTCCATGGTCACTCGGACATTCTCCTCTCCCTTCTTGACCCGACGTTGTTTTTCCCGCCACATTTCAATTTCTTCTCTTGATCTGAAAAATCATACACCCATCAAAATACTTGCTGATCAAGCGCTATGAATCTTCACGGTACATGCAACAAGCAAACTAACTTGACTACTTCATCATCATTGTTTCCGAAATCTTTTTCCAGTATTCCTTGATGATATAAAACTTCTTCCTCGAAACGCAACTCTTGGCATAACTCCAAGCTCCTATTGTGAAACATGAGCCGACGGTTCGAGTGGATAGTGATGAATCAACAATATACTTCAAGTGATACATTTCAAATGCACTCCTTACCTCCAATGAAACAGCTTTAGTAGCAGGTTGTTCTCGATGACGTGTTTTGCAAGGAATCGTAAGAGGCTCATGATTGGCAGACAGAGTTGATGATAGCCAATAATGTAGAGCTTTTCGATGAGCGTTTTCAAATAATGAACAGATAACACCTGTAATGGAAAAGGTCTTGTGTCTTTTTTGGTTTCATGCAACTAACACAGCATGCTCATGAGAAAATAGCCATCCAGTTTCATATTAATGCAGTATATATGAAAACACACAACATACGTACGGGTGATCCAAATGAAGTCTTCTTTATAAAATCCCCTTGATCGTCGTTCAAAAACACTCAGCAACCTGAATAAGTTCAACCATGAAAAGAATTCAAATAAGACAAGCTAATGGAAAACTCACACTCACATGAATACAATTCTTTACTAATAAAGTGAATGATTTGAACCCGAGAGTATCGTTACATGTTTGAGGATGTAGATCGTTCAGGTTAGTAGAGTCCTGAGAAGGACTGTTGACGTCGATGTTGACTGACGTTTCTACAACCTTAGCGGTTGTCATCTTCAGAGTCAACCTGAGATGGACTGTTGTTGTTGATGTTGACTGACGTTTAGAAAATCTTAGAGGTAGTCATCTTCAGAATCAAGTTTATCGAAACGTCAGTCGACATCAATAGTCCTTCTCAGGACTCTACTAACCTGGACGATCAACATCTACAAACAACATGTACTCTTTACTACTATACATACCTTATCTGTGACATCCAAGGTTGCCCAATTCCTAAGGGTCGTGGGATATGATAATTTAACCGTTGATTTGTCCCCTTTGGACTGTTGTATAAAAAGCAAATAAAATTGACATAATTTTTAAGAGAAATCGAGGAGAAGGCAGCTTGAGCATACGACAACATACCTCTTTTGTTCTTTGTTTTTGTTTGTCTTTTTAGTTGGCGTATCCGCGCGTTTTGAAACAGTTTCGCGGTGCTCGAGACCATCTATCGATACCTTTTTTAAAAATACAAACTATTCAAGTGACGTAATCATACCTAATGACGTAATGATACCAAATGACATAATGATACCTAATGACGTAACGATACCTAACCTACATTTAAACTACACACAGAAGTTCTCATTGAAATCTCTTTGCTACAAAATATCTTACTTTCCACATTCGCTCGACACATGCGACTGCACACAAGCAATAGTTGATGAAAAATGGTGAATTTCTTCCGACCAACTGCGACAACATAATATGAGCACGGGTTAAATAATCCAAGGTCTTTATATCCGATATTTCCAATACGACACTTTCTCTTTGTGTTTCTTGAGTTGAGAAAGATGACATGCTTTGAGGTTCTTCTGATGATAAAGAAATGAGGACTATAAATGAATGAAAACTTATATTGAAATCTATGATTTAACAAAAAAAACGGTTCACGTTTTAATGAAAACTTATATTGAAATCTATGATACAGACAGACAACAGGACTATAGATGAATGAAAACTTATATTGAAATCTATGATACAGACAGACAACAGGACTATAGATGAATGAAAACTTATATTGAAATCTATGATTTAACAAAAAAAAAACGGTTCACGTTTTAATGAAAACTTATATTGAAATCTATGATACAGACGGACAACAGGACTACAGATGAGAAGTGGGTGCTAAAAATTTCACCTTACAAATAAACTTTTGTTTTATGTTGATGGTAATGTGAAAAAGAAAGTAACAAACACGAACAAAATCTGGATTCAGATGTTGCTGCAGTTCCTTGCGTTTCGTCGTAATCTCATCGAAGATTTTGCAGTTGAATTGATTTAGCTGTTTAGTAATTTTACACGGAGTAAGAGTTATCAGCACATTACATTGCTAATAGTATACATGCTAAAGATATGTACAAATAAAACGGGAAAAATATATAAAAGATATAAGATATAAAACCTTGTTAATTATTTCCAAATCAACAAAGCAATAGAAGTTAGAACAAATCCATGTAACATAGCCATGAAGAATAGAAGTGACTTATAGAGGAATGGCGAAACAACAATGCATCATAGCCATTGAAAGTCATACTATAGTCATATAGCATGGTTAATCATAGTTAATAATGGCTAATTGTCAATTTAAAGTACTTTCACATTTACTACAAACAACTAAGCAAATTTTTTTCCTACCCTCTTTGTTTTTAGGCAAATCCGATTTGTTCATGAGAATGTCTACAGCTTCATTAAACTAAAAAAAACGCAAGCAATGAAGAAATTAATGCACCCTTCGAGTAGCAAAGTATGTATACATGAAAGGAGCAGAGTTTTACTAAAGCCGTAATGTCAGATGTCACACCAGTTCACCACCAAGTTGTTTGAACTCTCTTGAACTTTGCTTGTCCAAGTTCACTTTTTATTTAAAGGCAACAAACCACTGTCCAAACAACAAACCTGATCGACAGCGTCTTGAACGGGGAATTCGTTAACAAATAACCATTCACCAAGTTCAAAGAGAAGATCTACCTTCAGCCAAAGACTTTTTTCATTCTTAAAACAAACATCAGCAAATGAACGTAAGGACGACATCGATGGGACAAAGTCATGTACTTTACTGCACCTGTAACACATCAATAGCACTCTGGTACGCCTTCAGTTGTTCCTTTTGGTGGATGGAATTTAATGCGGCATGATGCCAAATGTCAGAAATCACCATTTCATTTTCATCCTGCCATCATAAAAACAAACGAAATATCAAAGTTACATATCGTCTGATTATTAAAAACGCAAAATGAAAAACGAAACCATCAACCTTGAACTTTCCCATATCGAAAAGGACATCTTTACCAAGTTTGGCCTTTACAATCACCCGACGTTTGAAAATACGCCTACAGATAATGGAAAAACATTCGCTCAAAATATGAGATGTATACATAATTCCATTCTTCAAAAGTTCCAACTTTTTCTCAAAGTAGATGCATAAACAAACAAACAACATACAATCTATGTGATGTTCGAGGCATATCGCGAACAGCTTGATCCATAGCACTCAAACCTAGTTCCCATTTTCCCTAAACACAGAAGAAGAGAAGAGCTATGATTTCATAATCAGTAAACCATTACGTACTTTTTCTATCTGCCAATAAGTGATGTACCTGGTCAATGAAAGCTTGAAAAAGAACATCATACATTGCCGATCTCATTTTTAAATCATCTTCATAAGGATTGATGGAATTGTCGAGTGACATCTTCGATGTATCACTAACCACTATAGACTTTTTGGATCTCGTCCTAAAGAGTCCGGTTCAAATTTCATCAAATGCTTTTCGTGTGATTGTTTTGCACAAAACAATGCAATACTGCTCTGACGTTTTGAAGACTGCGTGCCGGTTGCTGCAATTTTTTTCATTTTTCTTTGTGGTCAGTATCTTTCTTTTCTTTCGTGCTTTTCTTGATAGAAGACCGAGTCCGTTCCTCGTTTTCTTCGTCTTCATCCTGGCAACAAAGAATGTATTTGAAAAATGTTGAAATAAATACTAAACATAAATGGAGTCAAACATGTTTGAATACAAACTTCTTCGTTTTTGTCGATGTTCTTTTCACTGACTATTGCCAGACTTTGCAGAACAGTTTGCAGAGACTCCTTCAACAACTGTCTCTCCAACGGTTCGTTAACGAGCGGCTTTACTGTGTTCCAGTAATGTCGAGCAGCCGTAATGACGAAATTGTAACATTTCGTACGTTCACTATAACTATACACACACACACACATACATAAATAGTGCAGTGTTCAGTAATCGAGCAGTAATCACGAAATCGTAACATTTCGTACGTTCACTATAACTATACACACACACATACATACATAAAAATAGTGCAGTGTTCCAGTAATGTCGAGCAGCCGTAATGACGAAATCGTAACATTTCGAACGTTCACTATAACTATACACACACACATACATAAAAAATAGTGCATTTCCAAACACACTTTTCTCGTGTTTTTTCATTCAAAGGCTTCCAATTTTTGATTTGGGGTAAAACATTCTTAAGTAAAACTACCTTCATCCTCATACCTGCAAGCTTTTGCGAAAAAATCTAAGGCCTCCATCCTCACTTGTCTTTGTCCCTTCATTACCCTCACGAGAGACTGGCCAATTATGACGCAAGCGTAGTAAAACAACTGTTGCTCGTTCCTCTCGTTGTGTTCATCACTAAAACATAACAACATGCATTATGTTACAGCTTATAAGCCAGAGTCAGTATTTATGTTTACACTAACTCTCCAAAGTACTCAACAATTTGTTATAGTAAAACTGAGGCTCTAAGTCCACCATCGAGTGTGATCATATATGCAAAAAATTTCACCAGATTCGGTCGGATGACCTCTAACTCTACCTCCTGCTCTGAAGTTTGCAATTATATGAAGCAGGGGGGGAGGCTAAGATAATCAGACCGAGTCTAATAAGAAATTGCATGTATTGCCAAACAATTCCAACCTTCTTCACATCCCTTCTAACCTTGGTTTGTTCTTTCTATTCTTTTTCGTCTTTGGCTCCTGTGTATCAAATGCAAGAGCTTTCTTGCCACACTTTACAACCAAAGGATGATTATCGGCGTTGAATGCGAGTACAGCTAAACGTGTCCAAACTTCAAGAGCAACAAGATCGTCACTCCATACACAGTTACCTGCCATTCGAACAACCTATGAAACATTGGGTGTGATTAAAAATAATGTCCTTGATTGAATTTAGACAACTATCAAGTCTATGGGAATCCCACTAAATGATTATCGAGTAGTGATGAAGTACTTATAGCTTTTCAGTGTTTTATATTTGAGTCTATGATCTACGGGAAAATTATCTAGGAAATTACCTCTGCTATAGTTATCGAGGTGGTAAAGTCATTCATTCCATAAAGACTAACAGAGAGCATTTCCATAGCACAAAGACATCGACTCATAGGTCCTTGACTCTTTGGATCCTAAAGAAATCAAGTGACCTTTCACAAAACTTATACATATGACGATGAAGAGACATGTAAAGAAAGCAAGGGATTTCCCAAACAATGTTCAACCCTTTTTTTTATTGATCTGTTACCTCAGAATCGTTGCCAAGGTTTTTCGGAATTTGTTGAGAGAGAAGCTGTTTACAGTGAACCCAAGTTTTGATAAGAGAATGACGAACTGATATAGGAACCATGTTTCTTCTGTCATTACCGTTGGTAAATTGCAGCGCATAGTCAAGGCACTAGAGAGGAAATAATCCTAAAATGTCCCAGTTTTTTCAAGACGATTCTAATCAGATATACACAAGTGTCCCTCGTTAGTTAAAGTTAGTAAGTCACGCAACTTTCACGTGAGATATGCAACTAACGATGAAAATCTTCCTTCGATATACAACACTATAAGGATGTCATCATTTTATCAAATTTCTCCTGTAAAAATCACCTCCAAAGCTTGTCTGAGTTCCGAGTTGGCATCGGGATCAAGTCCTGTTGTTGTAATCTTCGGTGCAGTCTTGGGAACAGACTTATCCTTCTTTGCATCGCTTTTTTTACCGAGGAATACGGATATCTCGCTACTTGAAGCCGGATACCAAGGCTGTATTAGACCCATTGCAATCAAATTGCATATTTGACATAGCAAGGCACCCTCACTAACAAAGTATAACTTCACGTCATTGGGCATGATACAAATTACATACAAATAGTAAAATAGTACAACGTTCTGCTCGACAAATAAATGTTACAAGTCAGTTCTATCAAGACAAATCAATCAACGAAAAGTACCAACACAAGCCAATCTACCAATAAAAGTCAATTTACAAAAAGTACCAACACAAGCCAATCTATCAATAAAAGTCAATCAACGAAAAGTACCAACACAAGTCAATCTATCAAGACTAGTCAATCAACGAAAAGTACTAACACAAGCCAATCTATCAAGACTAGTCAATCAAAGAAAAGTACCAACACAAGTCAATCTATCAAGACAAATCAATCAACGAAAAGTACCAACAAAAGCCAATCTATCAATAAAAGTCAATTTATAAAAAGTACCAACACAAGCAAATCTATCACGACTAGTCAATCAAAGAAAAGTACCAACACAAGCCAATCTATCAAGACTAGTCAATCAAAGAAAAGTACCAACACAAGTCAATCTATCAAGACAAATCAATCAACGAAAAGTACCAACAAAAGCCAATCTATCAATAAAAGTCAATTTATAAAAAGTACCAACACAAGCAAATCTATCAATAAAAGTCAATTTATAACTAGTACCAACACAAGCCAATCTATCAATAAAAGTCAATTTATAACTAGTACCAACACAAGCAAATCTATCAATACAAGTCAATCTACCTAAAGTACCGACAAAAGCCAATCTACAAATCATTGTGCATGTTTCATACTACATACAAATAGTAATGTAGCACAAAGTTCTGTTTAAATAATACATTTACAATGAGCACCAATTCCTATGAGTGACGAAACATCGTGAAGAAATACAATGAAGACTAAACTCGCCTCAAAATATCCCATACTCACCCTAAATGACCAACGTTTCTTATGTTTGCGAGAATACACGTTAAGATGGGCACCAGTTCCCTGTGACGATTCTGCGTTACTAAATGGGTCGTATAATTTAATAGATAAACTGCAGCATTACATACAAGCCACATCTCTCGAAGTTCGTTGCCAATATCGGATGCACGATGAAATTCTGAAATTGCCATCTGAGAGAGCGAAGCTATCCAGTTGCTACAACGAATAAAATTATATCGGTCAGAGTCTCTAGAAAAAGTCTGACAAGTCACTCTACAAATACAAGTTATTGTACAAACACAAGTCACTCTACAAATACAAGTTATTGTACAAACACAAGTCACTCTACAAATACAAGTCATTCTACTCATGGCAAAGCAGGCCAGATCTTTTACATTCGAAAATTTTCATCAAAATCATCATTCCTTTGTTTGAAAATAATCCCATAAATTGTTTTTTCCAGTGATTGAACGCTAAACTATTTGCACTGTAAGAGTAAAAAAGTGGGCTAGCTTTGCTGCTGATTCTACCAATACAAGTCAATCTTTGAATACAAGTCAACTTACTAATAAAAGTTTTTCTATGAAAATAAGTCAATACATCAAAACAAGTCAATACATCAAAACAAGTCAATACATCAATATAAGTCAATCTATCAATATAAGTCAATCTATCAATATAAGTCAATCTATCAATAGAAGTCAATCTATCAATATAAGTCAATCTATCAATAGAAGTCAATCTATCAATAGAAGTCAATCTATCAATATAAGTCAATCTACCAAAACAAAATCCATTGAGGCGAGTCTTGATAATCCAAAGATAAATCATGAGCAACAACATCGTCGACAGTAGGTAACACGGGAGTATCACCCAGTTGGACGCCATAACTTTTGAGAAACTGAATCAGAGCCTTTAAGAATACAAAAAAATATGCGATAAAAAAGAAACTGAAATTCTGAATGATTCGAAACACTAACTTTTACTGTGTAGTTTTGCTGTGAAATGACAAACTTTTATCAAACAACCACAAAAGAAATAGTTTGCCTCTTATGTCATTCCAACGAAGCTTAAGCGTATATTTGCAAATATAATTTCTCAAGGTTTTAAGAGAGGAAAATGAGATTCAATATTCTTACTTCACCATTGATAAAATGCACTTCAGCAAACATTCGCAATAAGTCCTTCTCGACGTTGGATCTTGTTTCATCACTGCTACTCAACGATTTCTTCGATTCACCTTTCTTCGATGATGTCGTACCGGATGATGAACGTCCCCCATTGCTCCTCTCTTCATCGGCGTATCCACATTCATCCTCACTCAACTGCTTGCTCTCTCGCTTCATGGACCATCTGCCATTATCGTAAAGTAGACAAAATCTTGCAGCAACACGAGCCACATCCCAAATCAGTTGTTTTCGAGCTGTCTTTGTGAGATCCGCCCAAATACGCGCTCTAAAGTCAGGTTAAAGAAATGATTATGATTAATGATAATTAATGCGAAATCATAGCGGTTAAGCCTTTGCTTTCAAAGTCATTTTAACCGTTTGGGTCACACTTCCTGACTAGCCAGGGAGGCAAACAAGATGCAAGGAACGCTGTTGTACAACGTATTACGTTGATGATTTGGGTCTAGTCAAGCCATCAACAAACAGTCCATTCTTTTCAAGACTTATATAACGCTCAGAAATCGGCGACAGAGAATATTCTTCATAACCATTATGTATCATTAATGTCTCACTAGCTGTGCAAGCAACACGAGCTCTTAATCATTTACATATACAATATAAGCTTTGAAGTGGTGACTGCATATTGTTATATGTATTAGGTATGTGGCTATGTATGACACAGATAACTAAATACCGATGAAAAGCAATATGCTAGAGTGTTACTTACCTCTCCTGGTTGTTGTGTGAGCCCAGTCTTTTTAAATGTCCCATCGCTATGACGACAGCTTTATCAAAACACTCGACTCTTGCAGCGAGTTTATCAAGATAACTAGGAGCTTGTTTACTGTTAGACGACGAAGCAACATCTTTACTTTCACTATCCAACATGAGTACAAACGCCTCGGGAGCAAGTGCATGTCCTGCCTTCACTAAAGATGCCCGTTTCATTTTGGATGTTCCTGAGTCAACGCTGCTGCGAGCCTGAATGCATAGAAATTTGTATGAACTGCATTCCATATTAACTTATGCTATTCCAAAGGTTCCATCACAGAGGCCTGGAATTTATTACTAGGCATAATTCTCTGACAATGATCATACGAAGGAGAAACGTCAACGAGACCTGCTTTGAATTTCTTTGCATAAAAACATTGCGTCTCTTGTATTACTTAGGAAATTAAATTAGGTTCTAATTACCTGTTCTATAATCATTGCAGCAAGATCCTCTGGTCTCTCAGGTGTTGTATATATTGTGGCTCGAAGCTGAAGACGTTTAAGTAATGTACCTAAACGTTCCTGATAGACACCACCATCATCCAGCAACATTGCCTGTAAATGATAACTAAATCTTAATACACGAAATAAAATTTATACATTTTTAAAATGCAAGCATAATGTGTAAAGTTTTCAAATTAAGAAAAGTTTTGTGAAAAGTTTCAAACAAACACGATCTAGTGTTATGTATTGATTTAATTTCATCATTAACTCCCACTAAATCATGATTCATAAAGCATAAAGAAAGAATCCATTCACATTATGGCAAATAAGAACATTGTCAATAAAAATTAACGCTTTAGGGGTTCAGACGTAGGTCGCAACGGCACTCTACCTGCGCACTGCGACTGACTTAGTTGGTCTCGAGTGGTCTGATGGTCTAAAGCTTGCTGTTGGCATGCCCCAGGAACCGAAATCCTCGACTGAAACGTAACATCTGACGTTCTAGTGCCTAACTGTCTCGGGCCGCGGTATCAGAAATCATGGTTTGAACTCTGACGTTCTAGTGCCTAACTGTCTCGGGCCGCGGTATCAGAAATCATGGTTTGAACTCTGACGTTCTAGTGCCTAACTGTCTCGGGCCGCGGTATCAGAAATCATGGTTTGAACTCTGACGTTCTAGTGCCTAACTGTCTCGGGCCGCGGTATCAGAAATCATGGTTTGAGCTCTGAAGTTCTAGTGCCTAACTGTCTCGGGCCGCGGTATCAGAAATCATGGTTTGAACGGGATTTTTTGTATCTCAAAATTTATCTTTTGTCAACACGAGTTCTCAAAAAACAAAAGCAATTGCAGCTTCAAACGCTTTAAAACTTGTATTGAGAGTGCTGTTTTCTTTTCAAATAAATACTCTGCTGCACAGTGTTTACAACATTCACGATGTGACAGCACACTTCCTGCGCAACACAAGAAAACATGCTATGAAGGGGAACAGATGGTAGCTTTGCACCGTTATCTCTCCCCAGACCCCCACGACCACCTGAAAGTTTAAACTACGTAAGACTGGTAAGTTTCCGGATGTAATCTCAAACCTTTCTCAAGTGATTCATGGCCTGTTCGACTTGTTCCTCATCCTCTTCGCATTTAGCCAACTCCGTGTGCACCTGGCATCTTAATGACCAATTTAGGCTGAAAAGATTAATTTGTGCGTAGGAATGTTGGATGGAGCGGAACGCATTGAGACGGCTCGCGGGAAAAGTTAAAGCTCAACACCCTACACGGGCAGAAACTCACCTGTCGATACTTTCTAATGAATCTGCAACGGAATGCAAAGCTTTGCGCACTGATTGTCGTAGATTGAGTTGCAGTAAAGGAAGACACAGATTCCACAAACTCGTGCATCCAATCTAAATAATTTTTCAGATTACCAACTCACAAGACACGAGCATAAATTTCAAACGATATTCGATGTTAGTAAGGACGACTACACACTTGTCTACTCTAGTTTTACGTATCAGGCAAAAAGCTTTCCTTTTCTTTTTGTGTCCCCGTTGAAAACATAGCTACGTACCTCAATAACGGATGGATCACTAAGTCGTAATGCCGTCAAACATAGCTACGTACCTCAATAACGGTTGGATCACTAAGTCGTAATGCCGTCAATATCAATTGTTCAAACATCTCAATCGCCTCCAGTCGAATCTGTTGAGTTGATAAAAATAGGGGATTAAATCTTTACACCTTGAAGTGAATACACCAGACACACAAAAATAACTTTTTATTGTGATAAAAATAAAATGAACAATACCTTTATGACAGACTGTGAGTAAGTTTCCTGTCTTTCCCCTAACGATTTCACCATCAATTCACATCGCAAGAATTTAACCATAAGATTCGTAGAAGGCTTCTATTAGGTCAATTAACCAGTATGAGTCGGGCAGTTTGAGGGGGTCCTTCCCAATTATGAAGGGGGTCAATTAAGATGAAGTTTACCTTTGACTGTCTTTCAACATAGTCAAGACAATCTGATGAAAGACTTGATGCCCCATGATTCATACATATCGTGGCAAGTTCCATTGCCAGAGATAATCTAGAAGTCAAAAATAAAAGCATATTGAATGTAGAATCACCACACTCCTTACATTTCTCCAGTATCCACCATCAGCGCGTACATGCATTGGTTATAAATGCAAAAGTTGGTGGGTTACGTAGGTATCCACGGAGTACCAACCTGTCTGTCGGGTCCATGGCTACTAAAGTAGATGAAGAGACATTAGTCATAGATTTTTCTGTGGATGTCCCAGGTACTTCTGTGTCAGTTATTCCAGTCAACTGCTTGTAAAATTTCGTCAATTCCAAAGCTGCATCAGTTCTCTCTTCTGCAAGTTGTCTGAATTTGAAATTAAGAGATGCCTGATGAGCCACGTGGCCAGCTCAATAACTGCTGAAGGCAGGGGGGGGGATATTCATATATGCACAATGGGCCATATTAAATCCTTTTTAAATCCACTGTTCTTCACAGATTATAAAATGAGTATATGAACATGGCTACCTGCTTGTGTGTGATCATTTAATTATAAATGTGGTTAAAATGCATCATGGAAAATATTCCTACTCAGGGGGGTAAGAACGAGGGGAGCTTGGGGGGGGGGGATGTGCCCTCCCAACTTTCAAATTTAATATAAAGAGTGCCCATTTTTTACAAAGAAAGTGCCCTTTTTAAATGAAAAATCGCCACTAACTTTCTCTTGCTTCCTATACACGTGGAAAACTAACTCACACTTTCAAGCGATGAATTTTAAAGAACAAATGCAAATCGGGAGAACTTTTTGTTTCCTTTGAAAGCTTTCCATAATCAGCAAGTCTGTATTCAATCTGAGAAAAATAACACAAGCAAAATCGAAATTTAAGGGGAAAGTCTTAAATACCATATGAGATTTAATAAATTCAAACATAGTAGCTCAGGTCTTCTTACTTCATACATACCTGAAGAGCTAAAACATTTTTGTAAAGGTTTGGTGCATTAGATTTCGTAAACTGTGCAGCGACTGAAGCAATGTTGCTAGCATCATCCTTCTGTCCAGCATCAAGATAGCAGTTAATCAGTTCTCTATAAGAAAAAAAATTGACAGAAAATTTATGCTATATATGCACATATGCCATGCTAAAAGCTCAAGCCATAGCAAGGATTGGGGGGCAAAGGGGAGTCTGGGATATTTTAACCCTCCAAAAATTTTGCTACCAATGAGACATTTTACAAGTGTCTCAGTCAACAGCCCACTTTATAAAAAATACTCTGTGCCTGTGGTACCCATATTTCTATTTCTTACATCCATAGCCATCAATCCCATGGTTAATTGTGGAGGACAATATTTATATATTTTGCTCTGCCTGGCCAATACCTTTTGAAAACAATTTCATTTTCAAAACAGAGTCAGCCTGGCATAACAGATTATATGAATATCTCACTATCAATGCTGGAATGATCCCCCCCCTGCTTACATCATAAGTTGTCCTCTCCATTGATAATCCTCATCTTCAATATCATCTAATGCTTTGACAACTTGATTTAATGACTTTGCCAAAAATCTCTTGTAATTTCGCTTGAGAAATATTCGACATAGCTGCCAGTAAATAACCGATGCGTTGTACACAAGAAAATAGTACCTAAGACGATTTGGACCACAAATAAATAGCAAAAAAGGTGATACAAAAGGTTTTATGTTATGTATAATCAATGATAATACATTAGCTACCTTGAGTTTTGCTTGGCAAAATTTATGGCTTTCAATATAAAAACGAAAGCCTTATCAATGAGCTCCTGTAAATAATGAAAACAACAGTTATGATGATGTCACATTTAATTACTTATACATGACATTAAATATTTGAATATTTTAAAATTTATAGGTCCTGAGTAATAATTAAACAATAAATACAATGGTATTGGCAAGTGTAGAATTGTGGTACCAGAAACTCATGAGTAATTCATCTATTAACAACTTTCGGCCTGGACTTCACTTGCAAACTCTCCATTCTTCTAATGCTTATGCTTGAGTCCATAGCAGTTTATTGCAAGCAAGGACACTTAAGTTTATGTCGCAAGGGAGGACCAGGCTTATGATAGATCCTTGTCTTATGAATTAATTTCAAAACCTTTGTTAAATTTTTTGGAAAAATTACTAATTAATTAACTTGATCAGTCTTTGTTCACGTACAGGATTCTTTGTCGACGATGGAGCGTGTATTTGAGCTTGACAAATGTATGCCCTGCAAAGGTATTGATTCTTTGGTGGAGACTGCTTGAAATACATCTTAATGCAATCTTCTGCTATGGTATATTTCTTGGACTGTTAAAAAATGAAAAAAACATATTGCACGCTTATGAACTTTATATTCAATGCCTAAACCTCAGCAGTTATAAGCATATGACTCACCAAACACGCAATCTCGGCGCATAAGACGAACAAATCAGTTCCAACGCTACTTTTTCTGTTTCCATCTCCTTCGCGTTTGAGCTTTTCATATGACTCGCGAAGCGTTTCGAGGCTGTTTCGACCCACGCAACTCTGCAAAAGTATCCTGATAGTACCATCCATTTAAGAATTATGAATTAAAACCTTCAGAATGTTTACTAAAGCAATAACTACGCTTTTCTTTGCCTTGTTTGGGGCGGCCATTTTAAAGTAAATTTGAACATGTGTTATGTTGCTATGGGCAACGGGACGCCTTTCAAAAAAATATAGATTATATTATATTTTAATGCGATATTATTGAAGACTGAGAATGGTAATTCATTTTTTTGTTCCTCTTATTCTTGATGGTGCAATTCTGGCTGTTTTTGTGCTCTTGCTTGTTTGCAAATTTCGAGCTACATATTGTTCTTGTTTTAACTCAATATCTAGATTCTCAACCAACTGCTTGTGGATTTGTTTCTGTCTGGCAATCCGTGAACGAAGATCTTTGATTTTTGCATCTTGGAAACTTAATCCATTATCTTTTTCACCACACAACTCTTCCATTTCTAGAAGGCACATGTTCGCAATTATCTGCTCTGATTTGACAACCATAATATTAAAAATGTGTTATTATGGCAAAATACTTACCCAAACATTTGTTGTACAGTTCGTCATTCTTATGAGCCTCATCAATGGCTTTGGTCTTCAATTTCTTAAATCTGAAAGTTTTTGAAAATGGTAGAGAAAGTCCAACATCTACAAAAATTTACAAAACAGAGATGGGAGAAGATGGAGAATTGGTAAAGTGAGTACTTACGCTTCTTCAAAAGTCTTTTTTTCACGTTCCAGTTGACTCTTCAGCGTTTCAATCTTCCCTTCAGCAAAGTGCAACTTCTCTGTTTTTTCTGCAAGTTTTGCTTTCGTCTTCATATGTTCTAATCTTTCTTCCTGCAGTAATGAAGTTTGTTGGCATTCAATCACTCATTATAACACAGGCAAAATCGTTTTGAAAACATTTTTAGTAAAATTGTTAGTAATATTACATCAAGTTTGGTCACCAAAGCTTGGTAATCTTCATGTGGAACACTGACTTCTTTGCTCTTCAACTTAGAAACGATGACAAACGGATAACAAGTGATGATACTGGGAACAATGTTATTTCAGAATATATAACACATACCATACACTGCAGTTTCACTATTGCTGCATTTTGTGTTCTAATCAAGTCTTGTTGCTGTCTGGTTACAATTATATAGGAAGGAAGGTTCGAGTTTCGTTCATCTTTTTCCGCCATTTTTGAATTTTCCGCCGCCGCCAGGTCTTTGACAGTGAACTCCATTGAAGTAAATATATCTGGAATGCTAACTCAGGGGGGGGGGGTTGAATTGAAATTTGAAGTTATTTTTGTAGGTAGACCCAGTCCTTTGTAAAAGATTTTTACTAAAATTGTTTCTGTTTTGACTAGATAATTTTGGCACGAAAACCCCAATTATATCACCTAAAAGCAATTGCTATCAGCTTTACAAAATTTGAGGACAAGATAACATGTATACAAATGGATGAACGTCACGAATGTACACCATACTTCACGAAAGCAGAAGTACACCATACTTCACGAAAGCAGAAGTACACCATACTTCACGAAAGCAGAAGTACACCATACTTCACGAAAGCAGAAGTACACCATATTTCACGAAAGCAGAAGTACACCATACTTCACGAAAGCAGAAGTACACCATACTTCACGAAAGCAGAAGTACACCATACTTCACGAAAGCAGAAGTACACCATACTTCACGAAAGCAGTAGTACACCATACTTCACGAAAGCAGAAGTACACCATACTTCACGAAAGCAGAAGTACACCATACTTCACGAAAGCAGAAGCACACCATACTTCACGAAAGCAGAAGTACACCATACTTCACGAAAGCAGAAGTACACCATACTTCACGAAAGCAGAAGTACACCATATTTCACGAAAGCAGAAGTACACCATACTTCACGAAAGCAGAAGTACACCATACTTCACGAAAGCAGTAGTACACCATACTTCACGAAAGCAGTAGTACACCATACTTCACGAAAGCAGTAGTACACCATACTTCACGAAAGCAGTAGTACACCATACTTCACGAAAGCAGAAGTATACCATACTTTACGAAAGCAGAAGTACACCATACTTCACGAAAGCAGAAGTACACCATATTTCACGAAAGCAGAAGTACACCATACTTCACGAAAGCAGAAGTATACCATACTTTACGAAAGCAGTAGTACACCATTCTTCACGAAAGCAGAAGTACACCATATTTCACGAAAGCAGAAGTACACCATACTTCACGAAAGCAGAAGTACACCATACTTCACGAAAGGAGTAGTACACCATACTTCACGAAAGCAGTAGTACACCATACTTCACGAAAGCAGTAGTACACCATTCTTCACGAAAGCAGAAGTACACCATATTTCACGAAAGCAGAAGTACACCATACTTCACGAAAGCAGAAGTACACCATACTTCACGAAAGCAGAAGTACACCATACTTCACGAAAGCAGTAGTACACCATACTTCACGAAAGCAGTAGTACACCATACTTCACGAAAGCAGAAGTACACCATACTTCACGAAAGCAGTAGTACACCATACTTCACGAAAGCAGTAGTACACCATACTTCACGAAAGCAGTAGTACACCATTCTTCACGAAAGCAGTAGTACACCATACTTCACGAAAGCAGAAGTACACCATACTTCACGAAAGCAGAAGTACACCATACTTCACGAAAGCAGAAGTACACCATACTTCACGAAAGCAGAAGTACACCATACTTCACGAAAGCAGAAGTACACCATCCTTCACGAAAGCAGATGTACACCATACTTCACGAAAGCAGAAGTACACCATACTTCACGAAAGCAGAAGTACACCATACTTCACGAAAGCAGTAGTACACCATACTTCACGAAACCAGAAGTATACCATACTTCACGAAAGCAGAAGTACACCATACTTCACGAAAGCAGTAGTACACCATTCTTCACGAAAGCAGAAGTATACCATACTTCACGAAAGCAGAAGTACACCATACTTCACGAAAGCAGAAGTACACCATACTTCACGAAAGCAGAAGTACACCATACTTCACGAAAGCAGTAGTACACCATACTTCACGAAAGCAGTAGTACACCATACTTCACGAAAGCAGAAGTATACCATACTTCACGAAAGCAAAAGTACACCATACTTCACGAAAGCAGTAGTACACCATTCTTCACGAAAGCAGAAGTATACCATACTTCACGAAAGCAGAAGTATACCATACTTCACGAAAGCAGAAGTACACCATACTTCACGAAAGCAGAAGTACACCATACTTCACGAAAGCAGAAGTACACCATACTTCACGAAAGCAGTAGTACACCATTCTTCACGAAAGCAGAAGTATACCATACTTCACGAAAGCAGAAATCCACAATACTCACGAAAGCAGAAGTACACCATACTTCACGAAAGCAGAAGTATACCATACTTCACGAAAGCAGAAGTACACCATACTTCACGAAAGGAGAAGTACACCATACTTCACGAAAGCAGAAGTACACCATACTTCACGAAAGCAGAAGTACACCATACTTCACGAAAGCAGAAGTACACCATACTTCACGAAAGCAGAAGTACACCATACTTCACGAAAGCAGAAGTGTCACCATACTTGTGGTTCGTAATTAAATGTTTCAATTGATTGAGCAGGGTCTGTTTAATTTTTGATTTTTTAACATTAGATTTTCGCTAAGCAACCGTCTATTTAACAAGAAAGACGTTTTCAAAAGGTTTAATCGAACCTCCAACATGTTTGACATTCACAAGAAACATTCAAATCACTAAATTTTTAATTTTTAGAACATACCTAATAAACACAAGCTAAATGAAATTGAACAAATTACTTCTGCATATGACCATATGTCAAGTCATTTCAAATCAATGGCAATATATTCTACATAATAAGTTAAGCATCCATAAGATATTTCCCCCTAAGGACTTAATAAAATAGTTGTCATAAATTACTTTCCGCACGCTTGTAAGTTGTAACGTAACGCGTGAAAATAAAATCGCCGCAATAATTTACAAAGTGTTTTTTTTTGTTAAATCCTATACATATTCAAATAGTTCTGCCGAGAAGAACTATATCATCTGGTATATCTTTTAAAGATGGCACATCAGAAAACCCGAGTCGTGAATAAAAGTTCAAGGCGTCCCTATTTGTACTGGCGATCTCAACATATACCCCTCGACATCCTTCAGATTTCAAGACGGATAAAATGCAAGCCAAAAGACGTTTGCCAATACCAAGATCCTGCAAAAGTAAAGATTACTAAAGATCTAAGAAAAATAAGTTAAGTAGATTAACAAACATCTCTAGGAGTAGATTAATAAAGACCTCTAGAAGTAGATTAACAAAAATCTCTAGGAGTAGATTAACAAAGACCTCTAGAAGTAGATTAACAAACATCTCTAGGAGTAGATTAACAAACATCTCTAGGAGTAGATTAACAAACATCTCTAGGAGTAGATTAACAAACATCTCTAGGAGTAGATTAACAAACATCTCTAGGAGTAGATTAACAAACACCTCTAGAAGTAGATTAACAAAAATCTCTAGGAGTAGATTAACAAAGACTTCAAGCAGCTGATTAATAAAAATCTTATAATTTCCAATGTAGTATATGGATAAAACGGAACAATCTAGGGATACAACAGAACATTCAAAGAATGTACTTAACTTACCTGAGTGCGAGACAGAAGATCGATTCTAACATGAGCTGGATATTTATTGTAAAGTTCATCGGGAAGATATATGGATGGATTATGGAAACTATCGGCAATCTGCTCCGAGTAAAGAAAATCGTTAGGATCACCACAAGGTTTGCTGTACTTCTCACACATCTACATAGAAAACAAGGATGTCGACATTCAAAATTAATCATCAAATAAAAACAACAAAACCTGATTGGTCTATAGCTGTGTTTACGTTAGTCTGTGCAAACCGATGTGAGCTGAATCAATTGAATAAATCAAAGAAAATTTGCAAATCAATCATGAATACATGTTACAGGAAAAATTAAAACATTTGTTTAAAATCTATCTATTTCGCATTATTGTTATTTTATAAAAGAAATGAAAGATGTTATTCGTGTTTGCACTGGCTTATGCAAACCTCGGAGACACGTTTGTGAGAACTGATTTGCTCTCGACTTTCCCAAAGGTCTCCTCGATTCGCATAAGCCTGTGCAAACACAGCAAACATCTTTTATTTCTTAAATAACCGCAAAGCTCGGGGGGTTCGGAGAGAGGGGCATGGACACCTCATGTATTCCACAAACAATTTATTGGGTAAAAGCCAGCATTTCATATACAGGATATGTTGTCATGCTACTCTCCCCAGCTTTCAACAAGCTCCTCGGTCAATGAACAATAACTAAATCAACAAATTTATGCACGATACAACATACCTTAGGCAGCCAATCATTTTTATATTGTTCGTAAAAACTTCTTCCATCTGCCGCAGCGATGCCATAACCACACAAGCCAAATTTATCTTCGACAACAAACACCGTTTCCGGGCAAATGCTTAAATATGGACCGATAAATCTGCGAAGTATGAAAGCAGTTTTACAAAATGACAGCTGTGGAAGTTAGTTCGGATTCTGTTTGCTGAAATCTCACCTATCTCCAGCCATATTTGAATCGCCTGGAAACAAATCGTGTCCATCTTGACCATCGTCACACGTGGAAAGGCAAATCTTGTAAAGTTCGTCCTATGTTTTAAATTGAAATATTTTCTGTATGAATATTATATATAACGGGGCAGTTCTTCTAAAAACAGAGCAATCGACCTGCAGAATGGACTTGTACATTAATGATAATTCACATAACAGTATCAAAATATTTCACTATTGTTTGCTATAAAAAGATCATTGTCTCACAAACTGCAGACATTTAATGTTGTATATTCACCTTATCAGCAGCAGTATAAGGGCGAATGGTGTAGACACTGGCTGTCGGGACTTGCGGAGCACCCTGTGTGAACAAGTCACTACCTCCTTCAAGCATCGGCAGTAAACGCTAGAGAAAAAATATGAAATTACGACAACTTCAAGCATCGGCAGTAAACGCTAGAGAAAAAATATGAAATTACGACAACTTCAAGCATCGGCAGTAAACGCTAGAGAAAAAATATGAAATTACGACAACTTCAAGCATCGGCAGTAAACGCTAGAGAAAAAATATGAAATTACGACACGTTTCAAAGGTAACCAGCATATAGCTAGCAACATAGGATGCAGAGGAATCGTAACGAGTCAAAGGAAATCGGTTTTTTTGTGAATAGCCTGCATTGAAATATTATTTAAACCGTGTTCATACAAGGCTAAACACATTTACGCACTGCGCACCTATTTTTACTACTGTTCCAACCAACCTGCATTTCCCCGCATATTCCACCTCGTATGACCCATGGCTCAGGATCGTCGGGAATAAATGATTTGTCCTTTCGCTTTTTTGTTTTTGAATCTAAACGAGAAGTTCAGATTCCTTGTGTTTTCTTGTTTATGATTTGCAATAGCATTCGTTTACATCAACAATTCGTTGTATCTTAAAGACTTTAGTTGTTTACATAGAGAATATTCTACCAGATCATCAGCCTTCTCACAAATGAGAAAATATGAAAATATTTTTCGCTATGACAAGGTGATGGTTTGAATTAAAATTGCTCAAAGAGTGCCATAAAAACCTCAATCAAAGTTTCCCAGAAAGGGAAGTTTTTTGAGTTCCTAGATAGCCGGGCTACTTGCAAGTGCCTGAAACTCACAGCAAACATTGGTTTAAATTACTTATGCACACCTAAAGTGTTTATGACACCAAATTCAACAACACCTACAGTTTTCTTATAGCAAAGCAAAGCCGATTTAAAATGACTCATTTACTTTGTCAATAGAATCATGTTTTTTTACTTTTTTTTAGAGATATTGTACTTTGTTCATAATGCTTATTGTACTGAGGCGCCTCAACACACATTCATCTACACATTAAACTTCTGTATATGTGCATAAAATGTTTTAACGATGTGGAAAACATCTGATCTTAACCATGGTCTACACATTAAACTTCTGTATATGTGCATAAAATGTTTTAACGATGTGGAAAACTTCTGATCTTAACCATAGTCTACACATTAAACTTCTGTATATGTGCATAAAATGTTTTAACGATGTGGAAAACTTCTGATCTTAACCATGGTCTACACATTAAACTTCTGTATATGTGCATAAAATGTTTTAACGATGTGGAAAACTTCTGATCTTAACCATAGTCTACACATTAAACTTCTGTATATGTGCATAAAATGTTTTAACGATGTGGAAAACTTCTGATCTTAACCATGGTCTACACATTAAACTTCTGTATATGTGCATAAAATGTTTTAACGATGTGGAAAACTTCTGATCTTAACCATGGTCTACACATTAAACTTCTGTATATGTGCATAAAATGTTTTAACGATGTGGAAAACTTCTGATCTTAACCATGGTCTACAAATTAAACTTCTGTATATGTGCATAAAATGTTTTAACGATGTGGAAAACTTCTGATCTTAACCATGGTCTACACATTAAACTTCTGTATATGTGCATAAAATGTTTTAACGATGTGGAAAACTTCTGATCTTAACCATGGTCTACACATTAAACTTCTGTATATGTGCATAAAATGTTTTAACGATGTGGAAAACTTCTGATCTTAACCATGGTCTACACATTAAACTTCTGTATATGTGCATAAAATGTTTTAACGATGTGGAAAACTCCTGATCTTAACCATGGTCTACAAATTAAACTTCTGTATATGTGCATAAAATGTTTTAACGATGTGGAAAACTTCTGATCTTAACCATGGTCTACACATTAAACTTCTGTATATGTGCATAAAATGTTTTAACGATGTGGAAAACTTCTGATCTTAACCATGGTCTACACATTAAACTTCTGTATATGTGCATAAAATGTTTTAACGATGTGGAAAACTTCTGATCTTAACCATGGTCTACACATTAAACTTCTGTATATGTGCATAAAATGTTTTAACGATGTGGAAAACTCCTGATCTTAACCATGGTCTACAAATTAAACTTCTGTATATGTGCATAAAATGTTTTAACGATGTGGAAAACATCTGATCTTAACCATGGTCTACAAATTAAACTTCTGTATATGTGCATAAAATGTTTTAACGATGTGGAAAACTTCTGATCTTAACCAAGGTCTACACATTAAACTTCTGTATATGTGCATAAAATGTTTTAACGATGTGGAAAACATCTGATCTTAACCATGGTCTACAAATTAAACTTCTGTATATGTGCATAAAATGTTTTAACGATGTGGAAAACTTCTGATCTTAACCAAGGTCTACACATTAAACTTCTGTATATGTGCATAAAATGTTTTAACGATGTGGAAAACATCTGATCTTAACCATGGTCTACAAATTAAACTTCTGTATATGTGCATAAAATGTTTTAACGATGTGGAAAACTTCTGATCTTAACCATGGTCTACAAATTAAACTTCTGTATATGTGCATAAAATGTTTTAACGATGTGGAAAACTTCTGATCTTAACCAAGGTCTACAAATTAAACTTCTGTATATGTGCATAAAATGTTTTAACGATGTGGAAAACTTCTGATCTTAACCATGGTCTACAAATTAAACTTCTGTATATGTGCATAAAATGTTTTAACGATGTGGAAAACTTCTGATCTTAACCAAGGTCTACAAATTAAACTTCTGTATATGTGCATAAAATGTTTTAACGATGTGGAAAACTTCTGATCTTAACCAAGGTCTACAAATTAAACTTCTGTATATGTGCATAAAATGTTTTAACGATGTGGAAAACTTCTGATCTTAACCAAGGTCTACAAATTAAACTTCTGTATATGTGCATAAAATGTTTTAACGATGTGGAAAACTTCTGATCTTAACCATGGTCTACAAATTAAACTTCTGTATATGTGCATAAAATGTTTTAACGATGTGGAAAACTTCTGATCTTAACCATGGTCTACAAATTAATCTTCTGTATATGTGGATAAAATGTTTTAACGATGTGGAAAACTTCTGATCTTAACCATAGTCTACAAATTAAACTTCTGTATATGTGCATAAAATGTTTTAACGATGTGGAAAACTTCTGATCTTAACCATGGTATTTGAATAAATAAACCAAGTTAAATATCTTTAGAAAAAGTAAAATAGCAAAATTCTATGAAAGTAAAGCATTTTAAATACACTTTGCAGCAGTTTACAATACAATGAAAAAAAAAACTGCACGATAAAATTTCGCGTCATAAACACTTTCAGGGAAAAGTATAAAGTTTACATTTCTTACATAAAAGTTTGCAATCATTTACCAACCAGATTTTTTGAGGAATAGGTTTTTAAAACGCGATAGTAAAGAATTAGCGCTGCTAGTTTGCACTAAGACTTTTGACCGCGCAGGGCTAACTGCAAACTTATTTTGGTGTCTGCAAAAACAAAACACTGGCATGATGTCTCTTAAAATGAGAAATTTCCTAAACAGGGAAGTGCATCAAAAGTGAGGTTGTTCAAAAGTGAGATATCTTGAAATAGGAAATTTTTGGGATGGGAACTTTCCAAAACAGAAAGTTTCCCGATAACTTAAGTCTACATGCAATATAGTCTTACCCAGGTACATGACGAACACACAAAATCCATTTTTAGTCTTACCCAGGTACATGACGAACACACAAAATCCATTTTTAGTCTTACCCAGGTACATGACGAACACACAAAATCCATTTTTAGTCTTACCCAGCCAATTGATAAAAGAGTCAAGCAGTAGAACAACTTCCTTTACATCCCAGATGTAAGGATAAAGATCGTATAGAACAGCGCGGTTTGGTGTATCAGACAGACGAAGGAACATACTAGAGACATTTTCAACATATTCGTGAAACTTCTTTGCTCTTTCCTTCCATTCAGAGACCTGAAGAAAACATAAAAAACGTTGATACGTCATAGAACAGTCTGCACAAACATTACCCACGTTGTTAAGTATAGTGTTTCTAGCATAACTACGTAAAAGATGATAGATCAAACATGAATGGAAAAACTATGAGGGAGAAGGTGGATGGAGAAGAGAGAGAGAGAGAGAGAGAAGAGTGAGAAAGGAGTAACATTTGAAAAGTTTGGCAAACCTTTTTAGTGCTTTCTGTTTCAGATAACTCATCATTCTTTATGGAGTTTGCTTTTAACCATTTGAACTCGTTAAGAATCTGGAGTGCTCTCTTTCCGTGCTGATGGGGAAGGTAAAAGAAATCGACCAATAAGAGGACGTCCTCAACAGTTAAACGAAATGGCAGTTCATGTTTTGGTTTCGTGATATCATCTTTAAAATCGGTTTTCGTTTCAACGACTTCCATGTCTTCACCGACGACAACCTCGGCAGATGAAGAAGCTGTGAAATTTAAAAAAAATGTTAAAAGTATGAAAAAAATGAAGCTGGTTTGATCGAATTCTATGATTGAAAAAATCGTCATAATTGACTTAAAAGGAAGGCATATTCCTTGCGAACAAAAGAATAAATCACTGCGTCTCTCACAACTTATCTTTCATTCTTAAAAAAAGTTAACTTAGGAAATGGTTAAAAATCCACAAACTAGTACTAACTCACTCTATAAGTTTATTATAAAGGTAAGATTTAACTCATAACAAAGAAATAAAGGACGTACTTAGGAAATGGTTAAAAATCCACAAACTAATATTAACTCACTCTATAAGTTTGCTATAAACGTAAGATTTGACTCATAACAAAGAAATAAAGGACGTACTTTCGGCCTCTGTGCCTTTCTTGATCTTATTTCTGCTTTTTTCCTTCGCAACTTTCACAGGAGAGGGTGCCGAAGCAATTTTTACTGATTGCTTAATAACCGAAGAAGTAAAGTTTGTCTGGGTAAGTGTAGTATTGATCACGTTAGTTTGGCCTGGAAGACTTGCAGTGCTTTGAACAGTTGTGGAATTGTTAACTACGGAATATGGTCCACTCTTAGCGTACGAACTAAAAATAACATTTTTCGGATTTGTGAATTCCTTCAACCATTCCGTCGCAGCTAGTTTGAGAGCCTCTTCAGGATTATATGCTTTCAAAATAGTGATGGACTTTGGTAAAACTGTTTGTGAGACAGCCGCGGCTACTTCGAGTTCTGTGTCGGTTTCCATTGACGAGTCTGTCTTGTCCTCCTTGTCAACACTCGATTCTTTACTTTCCGATTGGCTATCTATAATGGGTTCATCTTCCATTGGTTCAATGTCTTTATTATCCCTAGTACTTTCGTCATCTTCTCCAAAGAAGGTTACACGAGCACATTTTATCCAAGTGGATAATGTATGTATAGCGATAAAATTGCTTTCAAATTCACAGTTTGGATTTGTAAGAATACCCCGAAGATGTGTATATAAATGTATGGGTCGGCCATCATAAGGACCAAGAAACAATCGCCTCTGATCGTAATCATTCGCGTGTATGTTGTCCCATATGATTGGCTTGCGTCTTAAAACATTTGTTACAACCCTAATGGAGTGTGTTGTGATAACTTTTGAAATAACTTTAGGCCCTTAATAAAACAAAAGATAACGCAATTAAGTCAATGCGAGAGCTAGGGATGCGAGAGCTAGGGAGGGGACTGGAGCCGAAGAGCCGGTTGCAATCAGCTTGGATAGCGTTATCCATTGAGTGGTAAAAATTTTCAACTTGTAAAAAAGTATTTATATTCTTGTTGCGACAAAGAAATTCTGTAATCTTAGAAGCAATATTTTATTTCAGTGGCTGGCTGGTTGCTCAGTTCGAATCGCATATTTTTTCCTTTTTGTAAAGAGTTTTTTTAAACGTTTAAGAAACTTTGCTATCCAAGCTTCGTGCAACCGCGGTCCCAGTGTGCTCAAAGGCACATTCATACTGCCTATCATTTCTTAAATGATAGTCAAGTTCACCTGAATGACAAGTCTTGGATTTCCTTAGAATATTGTCAGGAATATGGCATTTAGGGATGATGGGAATTCAATAAATTTGTGCTGGAGAACAAGGGCGTAGGAAAATTGATAATTGTGTGTGTGTGTGCTCATATTCATTTGTTCATGTCATAATACTTTGAAAACAACGGATTTCAAAAGAACTTAACTCTGTATGTCACGAATATATGAATATTACCCCTCTCAATTATCAATCTTCCTTCGCCCATGCTGGAGACCGTGGTTTTCTTTCGTTAACCATGCAAGAAATGCATATATTTTGTTTACAAATATCAGTGTTACATAACGAACCTGTCCACATAATGTCAATAGCAGGATTAAGTTTGTTCCCTAATGTAGATAGATAACAAGATTTGTCCACTGTAGGTACTGCTCTTGAAGCTGCATACTCTACAACACACGAAGAAAAAGAATTAGGCTCACTCCGATCCCAGGTGTTAAGATCATTGAATAACAGCAAGAAACCTGTAGGACACAACAGAAAGTATTTTGGTTCATTCAAAAACGTGAAGATTTCATTAGCAACTGCGACTTGAGCATGCGCAAAAGACTGGAATGTACTCTTGTCAGCTGGTCGGATTTCAGGATCAATGTCATCGAAAAGAAGCGCAAAGGCAATGCAGCCTAGGTCTGCGATCTGGAGTTGATTGAATAAAAACTTTAGAAGAAAGATCATAATGACAGTTATGGCTATAAAATCTTTGAAAGAAGAACAACTTCTGTTGGTCATTGAATTATTTTGAAATGAAAAATGATAGAAAACCTGCTTTATCTTCTTTTTGAGCATATCAACTTCTTTGGTGCTAGAAAACACCATGTCCAAGCCCGGTGACAATGCATAAATGAAGACGACATTTTTTTCTTTCGCACAAGTTATCAAAGATCTTAAGTTGTCTGAAAAACCCAGCAAAAATTTCTGATATTCATTATAGCACTTAGTCATTTCATATTTAATGAACAGCTTCATATGGGCTTATAGCATGAACAATTTATGCAAAAATACATGTGCAATACCTAACTCCTCCTGGATATAAAGCTCTCTCCACAAAGCACGATGTTTAATGTCATCTTTTGGAGCATAAAGATAAAATTTCAACCCCAATTTCTTCAGTCTGAAACAGCAACAAAAAATGCTTTATTCCTTAGAATGACTTAGCCTGATTATTGTAGAGTATTCAAAAAGTACGCCTGTTATAGTTTAATTTGATGGATATAATTGTAGGCAGATTTATTGGAAAGAATTGTGAAACTCGGAGTTGTTCAAAAAAAATTGAAATCTTTCTGTTTGCAATATGTTATTCTATCAAGGGCAATACATAAAATTTATTACATTATTACAAGTATATATCATGTGACAAATATACCACAATTCTTCTCTTCAATTACAAGAACAAAGTATTTCACACCTCTCAACAGTGATCAGTTAAATGAATACAATATGCCTGATGTACTTCACAAGGCATGAAAGTACATCTTACTGCTGTAATTTTTCATGCATTTCTAGATTTACATTATTCTTATCTAAGCTTTATAGGTACTTCCATGAATAAAAAAGTATTACATACTATGTTAATAACATATACAGTGTTTGTAATACTTAATTAAGAATGTAAATTTGATGTATATGTGCACTCTTATGATAACAGAGGCGATATAATTTAATAATTAAAAGAGAAAACAGGAATTTAACATAATTAGTCAGATGGCAACATAATAATGTGCGAAACATATAACGTTCTGAAAACGATATAAAGAAAAGTTTTCGTGTACTGAACTTGTGAAATCCACCTCTGTCTCACGGATAAAATCATTCTTTCATTTTATACACGTTTAACCTACCTAATAAACAGTTCTTTGCGCTGGTCAAATGTCCAAGGTCTTCCATAAAACCCTGAAGATAATCAAATAACATCAATTTGATTGCATGAACAAGAACAAACTTGAAGCAACTATTGAAGTAGAAAAATGATTCAAATAATATTTGCAGTAGTTTTGTACCTTCAACAACGCCAGAAATAAATTCACCGTCTTCTTCATTGCTTTCCATCGAGCGCACGCAAAACTGCAGTGGCAGGAAGAAAGACCATATAAAGACAATTTAGGAAAATTTCTGGTCACGAAGTCATTGTCAAATGGTCAACACATCCCCTTACTGTAGAAAAGTTCTGTTATAAAGAAATACACAACATTTGACAGCCAAGATAATTACAGGAATGTTATCTGGTTAGCCAATGAAAGGAAAAAATACTATAACGCCGAAATTTTTTTGCAAGCTGTTCATTTATTTGGCAATTGTGTGTAATATGGAACTGAATGGCCATAATATATTTATGCATAATGACGTCACAATTATATAAGCAATTCCAGAAGTGCATTCTTCTCAGGTAATAAGCTATCTATTACAAAGAAAATGACATCATTAACCTGCAATATATAACTAGATAAAGATGCAAGACATGCAGCTTTATCATCGAGAACTTCTTTTACCAAGACAAAAGTATTCCAATGGTTTATCAATCTATGCCACATTCCATTAGTTTTGAGGTTGATTATTTACAAGGCCACATGATTTTAACAAATGCTTTTTGGTAAAAAAAAGTCAAAAGTGCATGTGTAAATATACAAGTTGAAATAAATGCTTAGGTTGGCGGGTGGGGTGGGGTGGGGTGAGTATGGACCAGGCCGTGTAAATGTTACATAAGACTAAATTTAAAATGAAGAAACATGCAAATAAATAATATGTACATTGAATAACAATAGGAGTTCAACACAATAAAAGTGGTTTGGCAGATCATACAGTTTGGTTGCAAAATACTCCAAAATATCCGGGCAAACACACACATGTCCCTGTGTAACAACAGCCACCAATCTCACTGCAACTATCACACAGACTATTACCACTTACTTTGACATAAAATACAGAATTAATTGTTTTAGCGTAATTAAACCAGATTGATGCCCCATAGTCTGCATTGGAAGCAAAATAAGACTCCAGATTACTGATATCTGATCCTTTGATCACCTTAAATTCCTGATCATTTTCCTTATTACGTGAGAAAATTACTGATTGAGTGAACAGAACCCTTGCAGACTTGTATATATATGATCTCTTATTTTCAGCATTGCTCGCATACTCTATGTAAACATCTGCTCTGACTTTCAACGGAGTTCCTTGAAATGACGTTTGTGGAAATAACACCAAAGGATAAGTATGATTTGGATATACTTCAAAATTTAATGGACCTAAAAAGAAAGATGAAAGAGATGATGTATAATGAATGCATGGAAATACTTCTCACTAATTTCAAATCAGCTGTGAAAAAAATCTTCAAGTAGATCACAATGTGTAAGCCTACGATGTTCACATTGATCTCCCGAGTATCCCCTGTGGCACTGACACGTTCCATCAACACCACATGATCCAAAGTAACAGCTTTCATTACAAGATGTGACATTACTACAGAACAAGGGATCCTCGCATGAATCAACCTGAACCAAAAAATACAAAGTAAGACTCAAACACATAAGTTTCCATGTTATTTTCTAACTAGCTGAATACCTTGACAGAAAATTCTTGAATGAAATGAAGCCATTGAGTATAAAATATATCTTCGCCAATTCTTGCATTATCAAACATAAAATAATGCAAACTGTTTATGTGAGTAATGCCTGACACAGATGTTGTCCATTGATTCCCCGAAGCGCAACATGCTTGAAATGTAAGCTTCCAGCCTGGTAGTACTTTTAGGGATCTGTAAACAAACTCTTGGATACCTGAGGACACTGTTCGTGCCCATACGCGATATTCTCCAGGAACAGATCTGTGGTAACTTCCTAAACTACCATTGTTGTAGTTGTCTTCTTTGTAAAGGACCAATGGAAATTGAAGGGTTGGTTCAGGTGCCCCTGAGGAAACATTTTTCATTTACTATGTAAGTCAGCTTAAGTTTGCCCCCCAGATTCAGAACAAATTTTCACAAACAAGACATACTTAGTCAAAGACAAATACTTACTATTAGATGAAGCACCAAAATCTGATGTTAATGCAGACATTATACCCTAAAAAGAAGTAACTTGTCGTCTTACGGAAATGCATAAGGGAAAAGATGTATGATATTATCCAATTTAAAATCATGGCTTACCATAAAAAATAGAGCAATTGCTTTTGCCATGGGGAAAACCTAATTTAAAATATGTGAATAGGAAATTGGCAACACCAATGTCGTTTTAGTGATGTTGCAATGTGAATTTGCTAACGTTGCCATAGTGAAGCCCAGAAACTATTATTGTTTCTGAATAGCCAAAATATAGCCCAGTATGGCCTGCGCCAATGGCCTGCGCACAGGTTGAACCATGAACGACCTTCCAGGATCTTGGAACCGGGAGGAAATTGTTATGGTTTGTTATAAGCAAGCAAACCATGAGGGAAAAAAACCTTTGTCTAACAACTCTTTGAAAAAGATAAAATTTCATGGACGGCAACAAGCTTTTCGATAAATAAGTTTGTCCAATGGTAAAACACAATAGAAGCTATGTTCACCTTGAATGACATTGCAGGTGTTGACCAAAATGTTCAAGTAATTTTGGCGTGCTGACAAAGCAATAATAGTTTACAAATAGTATATTAAAGCAACAAATGAAGATGTTGACATATCTTCATGACATTTTGATGGCTTGCAATGACGTGAGCTCAAAATGTGTCGCAATTTTGCCAATGATATCTTTTCCCCAGTGGGATATTCAAGGGCAAGTTGCTTGGGGATTAAAACATCACAATTAACACCCCTAAATATGCGAAAATAGTTTGACACGAGGGTTTTAATAACAATCATCACCTTCATTCATTTGCGAACGTTAGAAAGCCGCCAACGACGACGCAAATAGTAAAATTTATGAAATAAAATTGGAGCGCTTCCTATGAAGAGTTACTGGCTAAATTTCCCATTAGTTCCATTTACTTTCAGGAAATATTTGGCATCAAATCGCTTTATATTGTGTTCATGTTGTTAAGATATTTTTGACCATAAAATGGCTACTTTGGTCATTTGAAAGAAGCTCTTTGCTTACCATTTCAGAGAGTGAAAGTTAATAAAATTACCATTTTAGAAAGCCACGTAAAAGCAAAACAGTGAAGAGGCTGGCAACTGCCATTAGGGAAATTACCTGTTTATAGAGTTGATTTAATCTTCCTGACCTTAAATGGCTATGTTTTTTTAGGCTAACATGAGCAAGCCATCTCTCTGTTTCATCATGATCACGAGCAATGCACGTGAAGAAAAGATGAGCAATAGGTTTGCAAAGCCAGGGGCGGAACTTGGTAGTTGAGAAGTTAGGAAGACACAAGACAAAAGCATAATTAGGAAAATTTGTAATGAGTCGAAGAAGTTTATAAAAAATTGTAAAAAAGAGAAGCTTACAAGTCGAAAGACAGCCATCACATTCCGAGACCACAAGCATACGTAACTGTCTCGCTACTATCATAATCTCGCAACTCGTGTAAATACTAAGCCGTGGGTGATGCTTGACTTTACCCTTTGACTTTCCCGTAGTTTTATGACGCAATATTGAATAGCTATGAAGTGCATCATTGATTCCAATTGAATGTTTCAATTATGACAACGAAAATAGCCACCATCTATTTCTTACCAATGTCGTTCAAGGTATTGCTTCGAACAATGCCGTGAAACTATACACGATGGCGCGGAACTACTTAGTTGCAACTTTCTTTGTTCCTGTATGACGCACAACACTCGTTTCTTATTATTCCTATTGAAAACAATTGACGACTCAAGGTTCAAGTGAAATGATGATGAAAGCGTCGAATTGGTCCAACTTTTGTCTGCATTAACAAAGTTTGAAAGATCATTCAAACGTATTTTGCATTCCTGAGGTAATGCACGTACATATCCCTGGTACTTAATTAGAATTTAGGAAGTTGGTAAAAATATAGATGAAAGAGCTTGTTGTACAAGACAAATTCCTTCGTGCCATGAATTCTTTTGTATACATGTTAAAATTGTCATGAAACACCAATGTCATGAAACAACAATGAAATTCTCCTGAGATTTGATTATTTTCTTTTCCCAATTGAGAAATCAATTCAGTCACGTGAAGCATACACCCAGTTTCTCGTTCTGAAGACCGTCGAACGGGTCGCGTTCATGTTTGTATGTGACAAACTTAAGAATTATAGTGTAGGTGATGTTGTGGAAAACAACGGTTTACTCTGATCAACAGGATACAAGATGCTCGGAGAAAGACTATCATTAATCAAGAGTGGAACAAAACATACCCCAGTGTTGTATACAACGAACGCAAAATCAAACCCCATAACCCCGATTTGAAGTAAGTCACTAATCTCATATAGTCACGTCTACATTTGAGATCTTGATCTAACGGTAAAACGTCACCTGCGCTATTTAAGTACATCCAATAAACTAACTTCACGTATATTTTTATATAAATCAGCACGAAGCGTACACATGGATAACGTTTGCGTATAGAAAGTACAAAGTCTAGAAGGAACATTTAAAAGTCAAATTGTTGTTAACCGACTTGATTAGCAAACAATCACAGGCGTCCTCGAGCGACCTTTGGTCAATGTATTGTCCAATGAATGATGGAAATTTCATGGCATTTCCACCAATCAGCACTTCCGCTAAAAGCGCGCATTTATACAGCATATATAAGTGTGCGATTTAGTGCTGCGAATGCATTTTACAGCCGTGCTCATTAAAACCTGACTAAAATGGGAGCCGCTTTATCAGTGAGCGTCCAACTCCATACATCAGCGAGGCATGCGTTAAGCGAAAAACAAAGAGACTGATCCCATATCAGCGACGGAATGGTTTTCAAAATGCCATCAGATTAACGTGCTTGACTCCACGATCAACTACTATGATTCCGCTCCCGAGAGTAAAACAGATAAAGTAGTGATATTACTTCATGGTAATCCAACAAGCTCGTATATTTGGAGAAACATTGTTCCCCATATTCAAGATGAATATCGTTGCATTGCGCCCGACTTGATAGGAATGGGTGCATCTGGAAGATTGTGTCAGAGTGCGTACAGATTTCAAGATCACTACGAGTACATTGAGGCCTGGATTAACAAGATGATGTTGCCAGATAGAGTGACATTTGTTTGTCAAGATTGGGGCTCTGGTATAGCCTTCCACTGGTGTCATATACATCCAGAAAGGGTGAAGGCGATTGTACACACAGAAAGCTTAGTTATGCCAGCAACCTCGTGGAAACAGTGGCCATTAATGCATAAACTGATTTTTCGAAGTCTGCGTACGAAACCGGGCGAAAAGATGGTTCTTAAAGACAACTTCTTCATCGAGAGGATCCTGCCGGCAAATACTTTGAGAAAACTTCATGAGGTAGAAATGAACGCGTACAGGCAACCGTTTGTTGTGAAAGGTGAAAGTAGAAGACCTATGCTCACCTGGCCAAGAGAAATACCTTTCATAAGTGAAGGACCTTACGATGTTCTGAAAGTCGTTCAAGACTATGCACGATTTATGGAACGCAGCGAGTCGATTCCGAAACTGTTCATCGAGGCAGATCCAGGGGTCTTCAGTAAAGCAATATCCGAAACAGCCAAAGCGTGGCCAAACACAAGAACAGTTAAAGTACGAGGTTTGCATTACGTGCAAGAAGACTCGCCAAAAGAAATAGGACATGCCATAGCAAACTTTCTGGGTAGTGTCTACACCACTTGACCATTGAACGGATACATTATAGAGTAGAAATAAAATAGTATTTAACAACTTTTTAAAAAGAAGTTTGCCTACCGTTATATACGATAAGAAATTATTAACTAGTAAGTAAACATCAGCACAACTACATAGATCACGACTAAATGCAATTCTTACAAGCTAGTGGAATGGCGTGCACACTTGAACTCACCCGGAAATCGTGTAGGGGTTATAAACTTGACAAAAACAGAATTTGGATAGATAATAGAGATTAATTAACATTATAGTTGCAATTAAATGGGGTCAAAGTACGAACATTTTCTTTCTTTACGATGAATCTTATACACCTCGTCCAAGTTGAGCGTTGGAACTATGCCATTAAAAAGTGACTTGTTATAATTCAAATGTACAGGACGATTCAGTGCATTAGACATCAAAACTCGTGAGCGTTTCTCATTTAAAATACAAAACAACGTCTTTTAAATTTTATTTATGCTAATTGTTTGTCAATGTGAAAGTAGAAGACTGAAAATGGCAACAAAAACCCATAGTAACGGTAACGGAAGCAGTTAAAACATCCTTCAAATGTAAACAACATCTTCCTTTTCACTGTAAGACGACGAATGGCCATTTTAAACGTCACCTATGCCTAAAATGTCGTTATTTTAGCGACTTAAAACAAAGATTTGCTAAATTCGAAAATTATAGGCACAGTTAAAAATAATAATGGATAGTGTCAGTGAAGGTCATAACTTTGTGCATAATGCGTGAAGTCTAGCACTCATAGTCTTTATACAAAAGGATTATTGACTTATGACTATGACGTTCGTACTTACACATTAACATTACTGAGTCATGACGTATAGTCCTCATACATCAAACATTACTGACTTATGACGTATAGTCCTCATACATCAAACATTACTGACTCAAGACTCACAAAGTCATACATTATACAATACAAAAAGGTATCATACTTTGTTCAATGTGATAAAAGATTTCTATTGATGCTCAATGATTATTTCAAACACGCTATCACAGGAATGCATGCTTGTTCTTAAGTGAGATCTTCACAGAGTTATCTCAACTAATGTATGAAATAGGACATCCTTGCTTTAAATTATCATCACAAGATAATCCAGGTCATAAAAGGACGGTTGCTTGTTTGTCAGCTTAAGCCAAACACAAATAGTTCAAGACCAACTCCACATGCAACGACATAGTACAAACCATTCCTACAAAATACAAATCTTTCTGAGTGCATGATGCATGATGCTTTAATAACATATCCTGAATTTATTACCTATCTTGAAGGACATCTAATCCTTTTAGATCAACAACATCAAGCCAGTAACATTGAAGGAGTTCAACATTGCACAATTTTCCATTCTACATTAAAAAGAGTACGATAAACACCAATTTATATTGAAATCATCTCGAGTTTCGACTACCAGACACGCAACAATCAGAGGAAAATATACAACCCTGTTTGTGTAGAACTTGGCATTAAAAATGACTTGCTTCTAACCTTGTAAATTGTCCAATCACATTACGCCAGAACAATGTAATACTCAAGCTATTGTATGCAACACATCGTTATAAGATTCCGTTTAAAAAATCAAAAAGCAGGAAGGCCGTTTTCTTTCCAGAGGGAGTCTATTCCGAACAACGAAGGAGTCTATTCCCTTTTCGTTTTAGCGATAGACAAGAGAGATCTATGCTGAGGAGCACCACACCTACTCTCAGCTCCCTGCTACTCATACGCCGATTTGGCGAGGGCGGGTACCGAACCCGGGACCTTGCGCTCACCAGGCGAACGCTCTATCGACTGAGCTATCCCTAACCCAAATAATATAATCAATAGCCGCAAAGAAAACTTTCGAATGAAAACTTGGTCTGAAACAGGTTTTTCTACAGAAAGGAGATAGGTATACTCACCTGAGGTTTTCACCAACTTTCCACATTTTCATTCTTTGATCACCAGAAACTGTTATAGCAAGATAATTGTCCAAGATCTTGAATCCTTAATGTCAAAATAAATATTTGTTAGCATCTATGGAACATTGCATGCAACACAGTAAAAAAGCACGTGTAGCCCGCGTGTTTAACACGGGATCATCACCTGTGACAGCTGAAGTGTGAGCACCAGGAAACGATATGGAACCCTACGAAGAAAACTTCAAGATTTCATTCGTTGTTTCCACCTTAAAACAAGCAAAAACAACGAAATCATCGTCACCAACACTGCACATCAAATACTCATAAAAACCTGACTAAAATGGGAGCCGCTATATCAGTGAGCGTCCAACTCCATACATCAGCGAGGCACGCGTTAAGCGAAAAACAAAGCGACCGATCCCATATCAGCGACGGAATGGTTTTCAAAATGCCATCAGATTAACGTGCTTGACTCCACAATCAACTACTATGATTCCGCTCCCGAGAGTAAAACAGATAAAGTAGTGATATTACTTCATGGTAATCCAACAAGCTCGTATATTTGGAGAAACATTGTTCCCCATATTCAAGATGAATATCGTTGCATTGCGCCCGACTTGATAGGAATGGGTGGATCTGGAAGATTGTGTCAGAGTGCGTACAGATTTCAAGATCACTACGAGTACATTGAGGCCTGGATTAACAAGATGATGTTACCAGATAGAGTGACGTTTGTTTGTCAAGATTGGGGCTCTGGTATAGCCTTCCACTGGTGTCATATACATCCAGAAAGGGTGAAGGCGATTGTACACACAGAAAGCTTAGTTATGCCAGCAACCTCGTGGAAACAGTGGCCATTAATGCATAAACTGATTTTTCGAAGTCTTCGTACAAAACCGGGCGAAAAGATGATTCTTAAAGACAATTTCTTCATCGAGAGAATCCTGCCGGCAAATACTTTGAGAAAACTTCATGAAGTAGAAATGAACGCGTACAGGCAACCGTTTGTTGAGAAAGGTGAAAGTAGAAGACCTATGCTAACCTGGCCAAGAGAAATACCTTTCATAAGTGAAGGACCTTATGATGTTCTGAAAGTCGTTCAAGACTATGCACGATTCATGGAACGCAGCGAGTCGATTCCGAAATTGTTCATCGAGGCAGATCCAGGGGTCTTCAGTAAAGCAATATCCGAAACAGCCAAAGCGTGGCCAAACACAAGAACAGTTAAAGTACGAGGTTTGCATTACGTGCAAGAAGACTCGCCAAAAGAAATAGGACATGCCATAGCAAACTTTCTGGGTAGTGTCTACACCACTTGACCATTGAACTGATACATTATAGAGTAGAAATAAAATAGTATTTAACAATACTTAATATAAATATTAAAGGCCAGCAAAGTGGTTTTAAAACAGCCATTCAATACAAAAATAACGTACAAAAAGAAATATTTGTTTAGAAGCGTAACGTTTCGTCTTGACTCTCAAGACATCATCAGACAGTATTAAATTACAAGTATAGAGGGATACATATATAATAGCTACTTACATAATATTAAGTTACATGATGGGATGAAAACGTGTTAGTAAATATTGGATAAGATGGCATGACGTGGGATAAGTAGAAATACGAAAGAAACAGAAAAACAACAAACACAACAATCATAAAGTATACAGACATGAGGATGGACAAAATTAGATTAAAGCAACTGAAGGACAATGGAGTTTCCTTGGACGTTAAGAGATGGTTTCATTTTGTTGATTAAGAGGCTTTCGTGACTAAGAAGCTCTTGCGAGTCTGAGCATGAAGAAAGTATTTTAAAATCCTCGAAGCTGGCGGTGTGTCCTGTGGATTTAAGGTGTGATAGTATGGAAGAATGACTGGGATGTTTAGAAGAAGTTTGCTTACCGTGATTGTGAAGTTATATAGGATAAGAAATTATTAACTAGTAACTAAACATCAGCACAACTACATAGATCACGACTAAATGCAATTCTTACAAGCTAGTGGAATGGCGTGCACACTTGAACTCACCCGGAAATCGTGTAGGGGTTATAAACTTGACAAAAACAGAATTTGGATAGATAATAGAGATTAATTAACATTATAGTTGCAATTAAATGGGGTCAAAGTACGAACATTTTCTTTCTTTACGATGAATCTTATACACCTCGTCCAAGTTGAGCGTTGGAACTATGCCATTAAAAAGTGACTTGTTATAATTCAAATGTACAGGACGATTCAGTGCATTAGACATCAAAACTCGTGAGCGTTTCTCATTTAAAATACAAAACAACGTCTTTTAAATTTTATTTATGCTAATTGTTTGTCAATGTGAAAGTAGAAGACTGAAAATGGCAACAAAAACCCATAGTAACGGTAACGGAAGCAGTTAAAACATCCTTCAAATGTAAACAACATCTTCCTTTTCACTGTAAGACGACGAATGGCCATTTTAAACGTCACCTATGCCTAAAATGTCGTTATTTTAGCGACTTAAAACAAAGATTTGCTAAATTCGAAAATTATAGGCACAGTTAAAAATAATAATGGATAGTGTCAGTGAAGGTCATAACTTTGTGCATAATGCGTGAAGTCTAGCACTCATAGTCTTTATACAAAAGGATTATTGACTTATGACTATGACGTTCGTACTTACACATTAACATTACTGAGTCATGACGTATAGTCCTCATACATCAAACATTACTGACTTATGACGTATAGTCCTCATACATCAAACATTACTGACTCAAGACTCACAAAGTCATACATTATACAATACAAAAAGGTATCATACTTTGTTCAATGCGATAAAAGATTTCTATTGATGCTCTATGATTATTTCAAACATGCTATCACAGGAATACATGCTTGTTCTTAAGCGAGATCGTTACAGAGTTATCTCAACTAATGTATGAAATAGGACATCCTTACTTTAAATTATCATCACAAGATAATCCAGGTCATAAAAGGACGGTTGCTTGTTTGTCAGCTTAAGCCAAACACAAATAGTTCAAGACCAACTCCACATGCAACGACATAGTACAAACCATTCCTACAAAATACAAATCTTTCTGAGTGCATGATGCATGATGCTTTAATAACATATCCTGAATTTATTACCTATCTTGAAGGACATCTAATCCTTTTAGATCAACAACATCAAGCCAGTAACATTGAAGGAGTTCAACATTGCACAATTTTCCATTCTACATTAAAAAGAGTACGATAAACACCAATTTATATTGAAATCATCTCGAGTTTCGACTACCAGACACGCAACAATCAGAGGAAAATAGACAACTCTGTTTGTGTAGAGCTGTGCCGTAAAAATGACTTGCTTTTAACCTAATAAATTGTCCAATCACATTACGCCAGAACAATGTAATACTCAAGCTATTGTATGCAACACATCGTTATAAGATTTCTTTTAAAAAATCAAAAAGCAGGAAGGCCGTTTTCTTTCCAGAGGGAGTCTATTCCGAACAACGAAGGAGTCTATTCCCTTTTCGTTTTAGCGATAGACAAGGGAGATCTATGCTGAGGAGCACCACACCTACTCTCAGCTCCCTGCTACTCATACGCCGATTTGGCGAGGGCGGGTACCGAACCCGGGACCTTGCGCTCACCAGGCGAACGCTCTATCGACTGAGCTATCCCTAACCCAAATAATATAATCAATAGCCGCAAAGAAAACTTTCGAATGAAAACTTGGTCTGAAACAGGTTTTTCTACAGAAAGGAGATAGGTATACTCACCTGAGGTTTTCACCAACTTTCCACATTTTCATTCTTTGATCACCAGAAACTGTTATAGCAAGATAATTGTCCAAGATCTTGAATCCTTAATGTCAAAATAAATATTTGTTAGCATCTATGGAACATTGCATGCAACACAGTAAAAAAGCACGTGTAGCCCGCGTGTTTAACACGGGATCATCACCTGTGACAGCTGAAGTGTGAGCACCAGGAAACGATATGGAACCCTACGAAGAAAACTTCAAGATTTCATTCGTTGTTTCCACCTTAAAACAAGCAAAAACAACGAAATCATCGTCACCAACACTGCACATCAAATACTCATAAAAACCTGACTAAAATGGGAGCCGCTATATCAGTGAGCGTCCAACTCCATACATCAGCGAGGCACGCGTTAAGCGAAAAAAACAAAGCGACCGATCCCATATCAGCGACGGAATGGTTTTCAAAATGCCATCAGATTAACGTGCTTGACTCCACAATCAACTACTATGATTCCGCTCCCGAGAGTAAAACAGATAAAGTAGTGATATTACTTCATGGTAATCCAACAAGCTCGTATATTTGGAGAAACATTGTTCCCCATATTCAAGATGAATATCGTTGCATTGCGCCCGACTTGATAGGAATGGGTGGATCTGGAAGATTGTGTCAGAGTGCGTACAGATTTCAAGATCACTACGAGTACATTGAGGCCTGGATTAACAAGATGATGTTACCAGATAGAGTGACGTTTGTTTGTCAAGATTGGGGCTCTGGTATAGCCTTCCACTGGTGTCATATACATCCAGAAAGGGTGAAGGCGATTGTACACACAGAAAGCTTAGTTATGCCAGCAACCTCGTGGAAACAGTGGCCATTAATGCATAAACTGATTTTTCGAAGTCTTCGTACAAAACCGGGCGAAAAGATGATTCTTAAAGACAACTTCTTCATCGAGAGAATCCTGCCGGCAAATACTTTGAGAAAACTTCATGAAGTAGAAATGAACGCGTACAGGCAACCGTTTGTTGAGAAAGGTGAAAGTAGAAGACCTATGCTAACCTGGCCAAGAGAAATACCTTTCATAAGTGAAGGACCTTATGATGTTCTGAAAGTCGTTCAAGACTATGCACGATTCATGGAACGCAGCGAGTCGATTCCGAAATTGTTCATCGAGGCAGATCCAGGGGTCTTCAGTAAAGCAATATCCGAAACAGCCAAAGCGTGGCCAAACACAAGAACAGTTAAAGTACGAGGTTTGCATTACGTGCAAGAAGACTCGCCAAAAGAAATAGGACATGCCATAGCAAACTTTCTGGGTAGTGTCTACACCACTTGACCATTGAACTGATACATTATAGAGTAGAAATAAAATAGTATTTAACAATACTTAATATAAATATTAAAGGCCAGCAAAGTGGTTTTAAAACAGCCATTCAATACAAAAATAACGTACAAAAAGAAATATTTGTTTAGAAGCGTAACGTTTCGTCTTGACTCTCAAGACATCATCAGACAGTATTAAATTACAAGTATAGAGGGATACATATATAATAGCTACTTACATAATATTAAATTACATGATGGGATGAAAACGTGTTAGTAAATATTGGATAAGATGGCATGACGTGGGATAAGTAGAAACACGAAAGAAACAGAAAAACAACAAACACAACAATCATAAAGTATACAGACATGAGGATGGACAAAATTAGATTAAAGCAACTGAAGGACAATGGAGTTTCCTTGGACGTTAAGAGATGGTTTCATTTTGTTGATTAAGAGGCTTTCGTGACTAAGAAGCTCTTGCGAGTCTGAGCATGAAGAAAGTATTTTAAAATCCTCGAAGCTGGCGGTGTGTCCTGTGGATTTAAGGTGTGATAGTATGGAAGAATGACTGGGATGTTTAGAAGAAGTTTGCTTACCGTGATTGTGAAGTTATATAGGATAAGAAATTATTAACTAGTAAGTAAACATCAGCACAACTACATAGATCACGACTAAATGCAATTCTTACAAGCTAGTGGAATGGCGTGCACACTTGAACTCACCCGGAAATCGTGTAGGGGTTATAAACTTGACAAAAACAGAATTTGGATAGATAATAGAGATTAATTAACATTATAGTTGCAATTAAATGGGGTCAAAGTACGAACATTTTCTTTCTTTACGAAGGATCTTATACACCTCGTCCAAGTTGAGCGTTTGAACTATGCCATTAAAAAGTGACTTGTTATATTTCAAATGTACAGGACGAGTCAGTGCATTAGACATCAAAACTCGTGAGCGCTTCCCATTTCAAATACAAAAACGTCTTTTAAATTTTATTTATGCAAATTGTTTGTCAATGTGAAAGTAAAAGACTGAAAATGGCAACAAAAAGCCATAGTAACAGTAACGGAAGCAGTTAAAACATCCTTCAAATGTAAACAACATTTTCCTTTTCAATGTAAGACGACGAATGGCCATTTTAAACATCACCTATGCCTAAAATGTCGTTATTTTAGCGACTTAAAACAAAGATTTGCTAAATTCGAAAATAACAAAGACAGTTAAAAATAACGTCAAACATTACTGACTTATGACGTATAGTCCTTAAACATCAAACATTACTGACTTATGACGTATAGTCCTCAAACATCAAACATTACTGACTTATGACGTATAATCCTCATACATCAAACATTACTGACTTATGACGTATAGTCCTCATAAATTAAACATTACTGACTTATGACGTATGTCCTCATACATTAAACATTTCTGACTTATGACGTATAGTCCTCATAAATTAAACATTACTGACTTATGACGTATAGTCCTCATACATTAAACATTACTGACTTATGACGTATAGTCCTCATACATCAAACATTACTGACTTATGACGTATAGTCCTCATACATCAAACATTACTGACTTATGACGTATAGTCCTCATACATCAAACATTACTGACTCACGATCACAAAGTCATACATTATACAATACAAAAAGGTATCATACTTTGTTCAATGTGATAAAAGATTTCTATTGATGCTCAATGATTATTTCAAACACGCTATCACAGGAATACATGCTTGTTCTTAAGTGAAATCTTCACAGAGTTATCTCAACTAATGTATGAAATAGGACATCCTTACTTTAAATTATCATCACAAGATAATCCAGGTCATAAAAAGACGGTTGCTTGTTTGTCAGCTTAAGCCAAACACAAATAGTTCGAGACCAACTCCACATGCAACGACATAGTACAAACCATTCCTACAAAATACAAATCTTTCTGAGTGCATGATGCTTCAGTAACATATCTTGAATTTATTACCTATCTTGAAGGACATCTAATCCTTTTACATCAACAACATCAAGCCAGTAACATTGAAGGAGTTCAACATTGCACAATTTTCCATTCTACATTAAAAACAGTACAATAAACACCAATTTATATTGAAATCATCTCGAGTTTCGACTACCAGACACGCAACAATCAGAGGAAAATATACAACCCTGTTTGTGTAGAACTTGCCATTAAAAATGACTTGCTTCTAACCTTGTAAATTGTCTACTCACATTACGCCAGAACAATGTAATACTCAACACATCGTTATAAGATTCCTTTTAAAATATCAAAAGGCAGGAAGGACGTTTTCTTTCCAGAGGGAGTCTATTCCCTTTTCGTTTTAGCGCTAGACAAGGGAGATCTATGCTGAGGTGAAGCGCCACACCTACTCTCAGCTACCTGCTACTTTACCGCGAACAGCAGATTGCCCGATTTGCGCTACTCATACGCCGATTTGGCGAGGGCGGGTATCGAACCCAGGACTCTGCACTCACCGTGCGAACGCTCTATCGACTGAGCTATCCCTAACCCAAATAAAATAATAAATAGCCGCAAGGAAAACTTTCGAATGAAAACTTGGTCTGAAACAGGTTTTTCTACAGAAAGTAGATAGGTACACCTACCTGAGTTTTTTCACCAACTTTCCACATTTTCATTCTTTGATCACCAGAAACTGTTATAGCAAGATTATTGTCCAAGATTTTGAATCCTTAATGTCAAAATAAGTATTTGTTAGCATCTATGGAATATTACATGCAACACAGTAAAAAAGCACGTGTAGCTTGGGTGTTTAACACGGGATCATCACCTGTAACAGCTGAGGTGTGAGCACCAGGAAACGATATGGAGCCCCACGAAGAAAACTTCAAGATTTCATTCGTTGTTTCTACCTTGAAACAAGCAAAAACGACGGCACCATCGTCACCACCACTGCACATCAAATACTCATAAATACCTACAAAACATAATAAAAATGTCGAAAACCAAGTTTGGTGAAGAGATTCAAGCAAAGTCTTCACGTCATTAATGAGTTCATTAAAATGCCGTGTCTCACATAATATATTGTTGCAACTCTCACTTGTTTCAATTTGAACACTTAATTGACTCTACACAACACAATTCAAACAAGAACAGGTATCATCTGTACGTCATGTTCACAGGGGACGTTACGAAAGTCACCATCACATACGGTGATTAAGGAGAGAACATAATGCTCTACAACATGTACATTTACCCTTTTTTGAGATCATCAATGCATTCACACCAGACTGATGTTCCTTCACTTGATGTATCACTTTAAAAGCACGTTTCTCTTCGCTAAATGATTTCATGTCACTGACCGAGTTATCTTTTTGAAAATCATCTAAAACCGATGACGAAGGACCATTCACAAAAACATCCTCGCCATCATGTTGTATGATTTCTTGCAGCTCACTTGAGGTACGGACATCATCGCTGGACGCCTTAACATAGGGGGAAAAGATCTCTGTTACATCCCAAAAAGTAACGTTTCCAGCTGTGTCTGATGCATAAACGAGAAGAAAAGATTTTTTCGATGATTTGACGCTAAAATGTCCCACACATAAGATGCATTTTCCGTTCCACGATATTTTCTCCACCATTGTGAATGATTTCGATTCAGAATCAAACACGTAGCATCTTCAATGAAAGAAAAAGAAAAAAAGAGAAGATTACCTTTGAGACCTCAATAGATGATGATAAAGATATTTTTGTGTTTGGAACTTCTGCAAGGATAACGGATGGATAGCGCTATCCAGGCTTCGTGCAACCGGCCCCAGAACTCCTGGGAACTTTATAATTTTTGGCCATTCACCATGGCAATTGCGCTTTTCACGGCAACATTCAGATTTCAAAAGATCAATGGCATGTTGTCGGAGGAAATTTGTTCAGAATTCACGAACCTCAGGTATCCATCGGAGCAGGCCGTAACAACACCGATGACGTAATATGACGAATCATCTACGTTGCTCAATAAGGAAGCACAAACATCAGAAATGAGGAATGTTGTGATCGCCATGAAGCGCATATCTGAAATAAAATCTTCATTGCTACAAGAGTTGAAACCTTTCTTCTTGTGTCGCTTATATCGAGAGCTTTTAAGTTCGCCTACAAGGCAACAGCTCCATTTTAAAGAGTTTTTTTCTTTTTCCATGTCTTTTTCTAACGCAGCATTAGAATCGCAAAGATCGTTTATGTCTAACAACCAACATTTTAATGAAGCTCGACTCCCAGCAGAAAAAATCAAAACCTTAGGAAAGTCCTTATCTTCTCGCAAACATTTGATTTTAATACAAGAACAGCAGCGGACACTGGACACATGACCTTCGCATGTCAGCACTTTGAATAATCTTTCCTTTTGATATTCTCCTGTTTTATCTTTCAGTGTTGAGGATTTTTGCATAAAAGATACATTCAAGAAAGCGATCTCATAAATACATAAAACATATCCAAACACCGCCACACACCAAAGTGGAACACATGCGCATACCATCAGTGTGGCAATACAAGCAAATTTGTTTACTGGATTTGGTCTGATGCGCTTAGACTCTCCCCCCTGCTTTATATATTTGTAACGTACAGAAAAAGGGGGTGGCATAAGCTTACATATCAGACCGAATATGGCGAAAAATTTGCAAATATGATAATAGTGTGTACTAGGAACACACCATGCAAACAAAGTTGGCTTAAAATTGGTTCTCAATTCAAAGAGAGACGGGGTGATGAAGGATGGAGCCTGGAGAGGAGCAAAGGATACATAGCATGATATTTAAAGTGGTATCTTCGCTTCCAGTAACCAGCACATGAAACTCATCTAGTGAAAAAAAACCCCAGTAAATGTCAACAAACCTTAACATGACCTACACTAAACAAATTTATTAAGTGAAATGTATCATTTACTAAACACATCGACCAAACGTGGGCACAGGTTTCTAATTCCAGTTATACGTCATAAGTAACGCGTAAAATAAATCTCTGTCGCAAGAAAAAATGTAAAAGTATAAAGTCAAGATACCATTGTAGTTATTTTGTATAGATCCAATCACATCGACAGTGTTTGTTTCACGACCATGAAAGCATTTCTGAAAAAAAATATGTGAAAGGGCAGAAATTTCTTTCGCAGGACAATAACGGATTATTTGTGAGTCAAAGCTTCCTCTGACTTCAAGCTACATGGCAATGCAATGAAAACAAACTACAGCTTGTAATTTACGCAGTACAACTTCAGCTGGCCGTACATACAAGACGAAAGTTCAGGCTTGTTCGAAATACCAGAAAGAAAGCGTACACGTACCTGAATAATAGAAGATGGCTGTTTCATTTTTCTTGACCAGCGACACACATTTACTGTGCTTTGTTTCAGGAAAGTAAACACAAACGAACCATTCATCTGAACACATCAAAATATTTCATTATCACGAATATACTAGCGAGATTTTCGGTTAAATTTACGCTATACATTAGGATTTCACGATTTACCAAATTGAACTGAATATCCCAGTTACGGTGACCGCCTCCACAAGGTAAACGAAACATCACTTCTTCACGAGTGATATTCCAGACGATAAAATCTACCTGAAAAGAGCCGAAATGGATATTAGTGGATACGTGGGGTATGTATAAAAATAAGCACGAGCGCACAGTTATAAGTCCAGTGGATAAAGTGCTTTGAATGATTACAAAATACGCATCTTCAATTTAGGACGATACGTAACATCAAAAAACGTCTGAAGAAATCAGAAGGCAATCATAAAACGTGTATGGTATCACGAAATTATACACTTACTGACTGAAACACGACGGCCAAAATGTCTCCATTGGTGAGAAAAATGATACGATCAATCCAATTCACACCTTTATAAACCTATTTGGCAAATTGAGCAAAGCTCACGATAATCCATGGACACACTTCATACATCCCTTTCAATACAATTTAATCATTACTAAATCCACGCATATCTAGCCTCGTATTTCCTATTCAATACATTATAATCATCAGTGAATCATGCACTGCATGTTTTCTTCCTTATTAAAGTAAATGGTTTGAACCCGGGAGTATCGTTACATGTTTGTAAATGTAGATCGTCCAGGTTGGTATAGTCCTGAGAAGGACTGTTTTTGTTGTTGTTGACTGACGTTTCGACAATCTTAGCGGTAGTCATCTTCAGAGTCAAAAAATGCACTGCATGTTTCCTTCCTTATTGTTGGGGAAAAAGCAAGAAAGATCCAGTTATCTTTCATGCATGAAATATATGAGAGTTTACAACGCTTTCCTTGAGAAAAAAAACTGATTCTAACCTTTCTCTTATCAATCATTTCTATCATTCCTTCGTTGCTGTGAAGTTTATATCGTCTGAGATAACCATCCCGCCCTGTTGTGTAAAGACCAGTCGAGTGATAAACAATAGAAGTTACGCCATTCGCTCCGTGAATTCCCACAAATGACTTCTGTGGTTGTAGCACCTGAAACTTGAATTCCATCATTATGAACATTCAATGCTATGAACACAGGAAAAGAAGTGTGGTGATCCGAAATTTACCTCGTCCATCGATGCAGAAACATTGTAAACATGAAGTGAGCCTCTACGATCACCGCAAAGAACTAGAGATGTTTCCAAACCCTTGCTTGGAGTATTATTGACAACAAGTACCGTATTAAGCCAACGTTGCCTGCAATATGGCAAAGAAAACGTCGCCTTTTGCTCACAAACAAACTGTTTAGAGTCATGGACTCTTGCAATTATCCACCAAATGATTAGACCATCCGGTCCACATGAAAATAAACTGAAAGCGTTTGGAGTTGAAGTATTTGTACATTGAAGACTGAGGATCTTGTTTTCGTACGGTCTTTTCTCTAAGCTATGCCAAGACTGATCTGCAAATCAATTAAAGACAACTTAATATGATCTGACGATTTCACGAAAGGATTTATTAAAGAAAATGTTTTGAACCCGGGAGTATCGCTACATGTTTGTGGATGTAGATCGTCCAGGTAGTAGAATCCTGAGAAGGACTTTTGTTGTTGGTGTTGACTGACGTTTCGACAACCTTAGCGGTAGTCATCTTATGAGTCAACTACCGCTAAGGTTGTCGAAATGTCAGTCAACATCAACACCAACAGTCCTTCTCAGGACTCTACAAACCTGGACGATCTACATGCACAAACATGTAAAGGATTTATTGTCAATGAAAAATAATAGAAAATCTACGTACTTCAGCTTGTACAGCGTGTGAGTATTGAGTAGGAAAATGTGCATTAATAGAAGAATTTCTAACATTTAAGTTTCTATTCAAGTTCATAAATAACATTTGCTACCTACTCTCACCTTCAAAACACAAGAAATCCACTGACCTGTCAAACATACAAATTTCATAAATCCTTTAATGTTACCAAGGACAGCAATAGTCTTGCAAGGAGACACCACCATCAAACTGTACGATGAATAAGTCGGTTCTTGTCGTATACAATAACACATCACTTTGTGAGCTGCATCTTCATTTTGAGTGAATTTGTAAAGATTCCTTAGAACAATTAAAATTGATTAAACACATATAAAACCAGAGAAATCAAGGAAAAGAAGTCTGCCGTTGACAAAAGTAATAGACAACCAGAAAAGTTGAGGAAAAGAAGTCTACAGTCTACAAAAGTAATAGACAACCAGAGAAGTCAAGGCAGAGAGGTCTGCCGTTTACAAAATAGAATTCCATTAATACGTAACTACAGATTGATGGTGACTTTCATGCCAATAAAATTGCACTCAATACAATCAAATACAAAGATAGAAGAATAAAATGTGAACTATTAAAGGTTTTACAACGTCATAATAAGCCTGGCAAATATATTTTCTCGATCTCTGACCTGCGATGGCTTTGTTTCACACATGTACGTACCCAGTATCTGTCAACACAAGAACACTTGTGTCCAAAAGCATTCCGATCATGCGCGGATTCTCTTTAGACGCAAGAGTGCCTGCTTCATATTCAGACGGTATAGACGAAGACCAATGCTGTTGTTCACTCTCTTGTTCAACTTCATCCTTCACAGGCCACAAGCGAATTCCACCATCACCACCGCCTGTAGCAATAATGCTTTCATCAGCATTGGAAGCCAACGACCAAACACCTTTACCTAAAGCGAAATATGCAGTTCAAGATTTATAGTTATTTGGGTAAATATATATATAAAGCATTGAGAGAGATGGCATTCATGACTCACGATTATGACTATATCTTCATTGTTCGTGTATTTTTTACATAGGAAAAACTTTGCGATTGAAATCCTATATCCAGACGTATGTGTCAAATTATAAGTCTAACGGTTTTTTTTTCAAACCACTTGAGAAGACATAATTTACCAACCAATATGTCCTTTCCAAGACCGAACAATTTCACCATTAGAATTCCAAAGTAAACACAAGGAATCTTCTCCGATACTAACGATGTGTTCTTTTAGGATGAGACAGTCCCACACACGGGCTTTGTGTCCGTAGAGAGTCAACAACGTTGGGAAAACCTAAAACGTCAGCATACTTTTGCCGATTGCTAAATGGAATATGTACTACTACGAATTTCTAAAGATGAGCCTACCTTTCTCATGTGCAAGTGGAATATGTACTACTACGAATTTCTAAGATGAGCCTACCTTTCTCATGTGCAAACAAAGTAACGGTTAGTAAGTTCTCTGCTAACTATTACAGTTTAAAAAATAAGTGTACCTGAACATCAGCGAAATCACTGGAAAAGACAACCTTTCGTACTTTGATACTTCTATCATCAGAAACAGAGCAAAGAAGACTTCTTTCGATAGAGTATCGAACAGAAAAAATCACACCATCGTGTCCTGCAATTCGTTTTTGAACAACAGCTTGTTTTTCAAACGAACAGGAGATAGATAGTTTCCAGAGTAAAAGTTCATTAAAAACTGTCCCACATGCCACCCAGACAAGATCTGTTGTCTGCAGAATAAACCGTGCACAATATCTTCAATGCACAGAATTATGGAAAACAAACACACAAAAGGTGCTTTGAAAATTGACTTTCTTCAATTGTCAAAATCAATCGTGAAATCAAGCATTTTACTACGTGAAATCAAGCACTTTACTACGTGAAATCAAGCACTTTACTACGTGAAATCAAGCACTTTACTACGTGAAATCAAGCACTTTACTTTGTGAAATCAAGCATTTTACTACGTGAAATCAAGCACTTTACGACGTGAAATCAAGCACTTTACGACGTGAAATCAAGCACTTTACTACGTGAAATCAAGCACTTTACTACGTGAAATCAAGCACTTTACTACGTGAAATCAAGCATTTACTACGTGAAATCAAGCATTTTACTACGTGAAATCAAGCACTTTACTACGTGAAATCAAGCACTACTACGTGAAATCAAGCACTTTACTACGTGAAATCAAGCACTTTACTTTGTGAAATCAAGCATTTTACTACGTGAAATCAAGCACTTTACGACGTGAAATCAAGCACTTTACGACGTGAAATCAAGCACTTCTACGTGAAATCAAGTACTTTACTACGTGAAATCAAGCACTTTACTACGTCAAGCACTTTACTACGTGAAATCAAGCACTTTACGACGTGAAATCAAGCACTTTACTACGTGAAATCAAGCACTTTACTACGTGAAATCAAGCACTTTACTACGTGAAATCAAGAACTTTACTACGTGAAATCAAGTACTTTACTACGTGAAATCAAGCACTTTACTACGTGAAATCAAGAACTTTACTACGTGATCAAGCACTTTACGACGTGAAATCAAACACTACTACGTGAAATCAAAAGCACTACTACATTGAAATCAAGCACTTTACGACGTGAAATCAAACACTACTACGTGAAATCAAGCACTTTACTACGTGAAATCAAGCACTTTACTACGTGAAATCAAGAACTTTACTACGTGAAATCAAGTACTTTACTACGTGAAATCAAGCACTTTACTACGTGAAATCAAGAACTTTACTACGTGAAATCAAGCACTTTACGACGTGAAATCAAGCACTTTACTATGTGAAATCAAGCACTTTACTACGTGAAATCAAACACTTTACTACGTGAAATCAAACACTTTACTATGTGAAATCAAGCACTTTACTACGTGAAATCAAGCACTTTACGACGTGAAATCAAGCACTTTACTACGTGAAATCAAGCACTTACTACGTGAAATCAAGCACTTTACTACGTGAAATCAAGAACTTTACTACGTGAAATCAAGTACTTTACTACGTGAAATCAAGCACTTTACTACGTGAAATCAAGAACTTTACTACGTGAAATCAAGCACTTTACGACGTGAAATCAAGCACTTTACTATGAAAATCAAGCACTTTACTACGTGAAATCAAACACTTTACTACGTGAAATCAAACACTTTACTATGTGAAATCAAGCACTTTACTACGTGAAATCAAGCACTTTACTACGTGAAATCAAGCACTTTACTACGTGAAATCAAGCACTTTACTACGTGAAATCAAGCACTTTACTACGTGAAATCAAGCACTTTACTACGTGAAATCAAGCACTTTACTACGTGAAATCAAGCACTTTACTACGTGAAATCAAGCATGACGTAAAAGGTGACAAGTAAAAAAGTTTCTTTACAAAGAACTCATCGTTTCAGATCAGGATACAAAATGCAATTTTCTTCACACTGTGCAATTTTCCTTGAAGAATTCTCTGCAATATTCCACAACCATACAGCATTGTGAGCAGTCACTACAAGGGCACTTTGACACTTATCATCATTGTTTTCACCACTAAGTAAGCATGCATCCCAAATCCAGTCATTGAATGTTACTTCATTAATTGGAAGTATCTTTTTGAAGATGCTATATAAAGGTGAAAATATACAATTCACTTACTTCACGTAACTATGGTACAGATTTTTAACAGTTGAGATAACCTGCTTCAATTAAGAATACCTTTTGGTTTCTGCAACATGCACATTGAAAGCACCAACAGTCCTGCCTCCACAAGCAATTACCAATGTTCCAATGTTACAGTCACATACTATTAAGATTTTGGTACAAATAAAAAACCTCATAGACAACATATAGATCTCAGCATAAACAGTGCTGTAGAAGAGGGGGGGGCGCTTGGTGGAGGACCCCCTTTACCTTCGGGTAATTTTTCGTTATTTCATGGCTTTAGCTTCGTCAAGTGAGCCCCCCTTCTGATAAATTTAGTTCTACAGCACTGAGCCTAAGTAATGCGTGTAAAAAAGGCCTGTGCATCAACAAGTAAAAAATACATACTCACATTTTAATGAGTGGATTCTCTGGTGCTCAAATAGTCGTTCTTTACCAATGCATCTTCCATCTGTGATCTCATATATTTTAAGATAAGGTCCTTCCCCTGGAAGAAAATGGTAAACTCAACATGTCATACCTTGAAGTCAAACATGATGGAGGAAATGTGCGATAATAGCATTTAGTTACCATAAAGTACAAAATATTTACAAAAAATATGACTGTTGTTTGAAAATTTTTTTGCAAGACATCATACTTAATAAAAGATTAAGAAAGATCACTAAGATGAAGTATATGTTTACAGTAAAAACAACAATATGTTACTCAGACTAGATCATAGAGCAGCAGAGCTTGTACGACGAAGCTTTCACAACTTAAGAGCTGTGAAACTAAGCAGAACTGATTACCACAGTTGTGTGAAATATACATGCGATTTAAATTCTATAAATATGGCTAAACATATCAAATATTTACCAACAAAAAGATGTCCTGTCGAATCTATTTCCAAAGATGTTACAGGATTCAGAACTTCTCTATCTACCAATGAAAGGTTCCTTTCTGTACAGGACATATTATTCTTGGCTCAACGAATGCAATATCATCCACTAGCATTCACCGTGTAGAAAGAAAAGAAAATTGGAGTTTGTCGTCCGCCATGTTTAATTAGACTTTGGTCGGGTAAATACCCTCGGCACGTGTCCGTATGTAAATAGCATATGTGCCTTGTCTTTGTATATTTTTCATTCATTAGATTAAATATAATTTGTTATACAGGTGGCAATATGCTATCCGGGAAGAACTGAAGGCTAAACCTTTTAATGCACTTCGTTTGCAAATCCTACTTGTAAAGGTATGGTAATCAGTTGAAAAATTTTTTCTAATGAGCTCACGTGGAGTCAACAGGTCAATAGAGGGGCAAAACACCCGTACGGCATTACGTTTTTGCATATGAAAGCATAATATTAAAACCTCTAAAAACAAAGTAACGAACTGCAGGTTTTTTAAATATTTTGCGCGTATCCTGCTCATTTTCTATGTGATATTATCCAAGCTATCATGTACCAAATGTAATGTCTGATAAAATGTACCAAATATGAAAAACACACTTCGGAAATATGCGGAATTGGGGGATCTTATCCGCTATCGGAGCACTATTATTTTACTAATAATTACCATAATATTTGAATAATTTTATGTTTGTTTAGCTTAGTCAGTGAAATACAGCACTGGATGTTTTGTAGTTTTATAATCTTTGAACTTGTTTTAGTGCTTCCTTTTTATGCAACATTTTTATGAATTGTTCAAAACTGTGTCCTGAAAAATTTTTATCTGGGACCAAGCCAGATCCTAGTTGATATCTTGTGACAAGTGACAGGCACACAGTTTATATTTACATGGAATCGAAGGACCTTTTGATCTCTTGAACTTTGCAATTACTGAATTAACCTGAATCAACAGCAATTACGGAAGATAACGCTGCACTTCTTCAAAATTCTATGAAATTATTGTATATTGAATTTTATGGCAAACAAAGTTGATGCAAAAGTTGTTTTGCTTGGGAAGGAATACAGTGGAAAGACTTGTCTGGTTGAGAGGTATCTACATGCTAGATTTAACAAGGATGTACCTTATCAAAATGTAAGTGTAGAATGCAGTGCTTGTAAAGTATTGTTTGTGAACAAAAGTGAAACAAAAGGTCTTGATAACTTTTCACAAGGAACATTCATAAATATAAAATGGGCTGAAGTTTTATTTAATCTGGTTAAGCTTTGTCTTGTGCTAGAGTTGTGTAATTTTTATTTTCCAGACAATAGAGCTGCATTTGGGGCCAAGAGAGAATTCACAGAAAAATCACTCACCCTGGGAATATGGGTATTTGACAAATTTCAACATGCATTGTTTTGTTTGTCTTTTGTTCAAAAGTAGATTGCACTTTCTTTACAGGATACTGCTGGATCAGAACGATATGAAGCAATGAGTCGGATATATTACAGAGGAGCTATGGCTGCAATAATTTGTTATGGTTATCAATTAAATATGATCTTCTGAATTGATAAGTTTCACATAATAGTTTTCCAATTATAATATGGATTGTGTCAGTAGGTTTCATTGTGTCGGTAGACATTATATTTTAACAATTTGTTTTTTCATTGAAACAGATTTGACAGACTCAACTAGTTTTGATAAAGTGAAGTTTTGGGTAAATGAGCTGAAAACTCATGAAGAGGTCAGTCTTCAAATAGAATTCAATACAGTTTTATAAATTACATTATATCATTTGAATACATGTACAAAACTAATTCAGCTACAGATTTACAATTGTATAAATACATTTTAAATGTAGTAGGAACCTTATCATTAATGCTCAGTGCAATGAGAGTGTTTTAGTGTAATACCTTTGTTCTACCTAGTACACTATAATTGTAGAAGATTTTAATCTTGTATTTTATTGTTTTGTAGAGTTGTAACATATTCCTATGTGGTACGAAAGCAGATTTAGTTCATCGAGATAAAAGCATTAGACAAGTGGATTATCATACTACCACGGATTATGCAGATGTAAAGTAATACTGTGAAACGATGTAAATATCTCTCACTGTTACATGTTTGTAAATGTAGATTGTCCAGGTTGGTATAGTCCTGAGAAGGACTGTTTTGTTGTTGTCAAAAGACTGACTCTGAAGATGACTACCGCTAAGGTTATCAAAATGTCAGTCAACAACAACAAAAACAGTCCTTCTCAGGACTTTACCAACCTGGACGATCTACATTCACAAACATGTAACGATACTCCCGGGTTCAAACCATTTACTTTATTACTATCTCTCACTGTGTTTGATTGCATAATTTTATGACTGTACAATGTGTAATGCTTGTAGAAATTGAGGCCAAAGTCTTTGAAACTTCAAGTTTAACAGGAGAGAATGTTGGTAAGCAGTTTTAGAGCTTTTAGCATTGTTTACATAAAGAAAAATAATTAATTTTTCATTTTATTTTTTGATCTTTTGGATAACTAATGGGAAATATTTCTTTTCTTTCATAGGTGAACTGTTTTACGATGTTGCCAAAACATGCCTTGAGAAACCTGCTTTAAAAGCTCCAATAGGTTTATTGAAACTCTATATTGTTTGCTTAAATGTGTTTTGATTTGATGATTTCTGACACTAAAATTTGTTAATTTGTTCTAGAAATGAATTCGTTGTCTTTAGAAGAGCCAAGGAAGAAAAGACATTGTTTTTGCAGCTAATATCTTAGACAATCAATAATATGGTAGAACAAGGCACTTTCAGCATGGGTAAATAATATTTAACTTAATCAGGCTTGTTTTAACAACCTTACATACATTTGGGATTGATGAATGAATTGACAATGGATATAAAGTTCCTTGAGAAAAATAAGGCAATATAACAATGTCAAAAGAACAATCATCAAAGAACCTACCATCACCAGTGAAAGAAAAATAGAATTTCTTTGAGTTAATGACAGTGCACTACTTAGGAAATCATATATATACAATGTAACTGGTTCGATTTGATAACATGTACAAGAAGCTTGTTTTTTCAAAATCTGGTGTAATATTTTCAATAAACATGCTCATCTAGGTCAACCTTCAAGATCTCTTATTACTTTTTCATTCAATTGTGATAATTAGATCATCATCCTCTTTCACATATCACTTCAACCACCTAAAATGAGGAAAATCCATAAATATCCACAAACAAGTATCCATAATCATCCATAGTATCCACAGGTATCCATTAAGTATATGACATGATGATTTATGCATTCTCTATACTTACACTGCTTTCCATCATTTCTGGTTCAACACATCTGTGAACTGTGCTGTTGACAACTTCATCCAACATTACATATACTAACCTGTAGAAGAAAGGTTAGGCAGGTAAATTGATTAAACTTAGGGAAGAGGGTGGGTGGGTCAGAGGGCTATTGTAATCATAACCTGTAGAAGAAAGTTTAGGCAGGTAAATTGATTAAACTTAGGGAAGGGGGTGGGTAGATCAGAGGGCTATTGTAATCATAACCTGTAGAAGAAAGGTTAGGCAGGTAAATTGATTTAACTTGGGGGTGTGGTCAGAGGGCTATTGTAATCAAAGCAAGCAACAGGGGAAAGTTTCTTGTCTTCAAAAGGCAGGTAAGGGTCCATGTAACATCCCATTAACAATTTATTTTCCAATGTATTATGTCACAGTAATACAATCCCAAACCTTAGACAAATGTATAACCTTTATAAGGTGGGGGTTAGAGTTAGCGCTAGCTTCATCTTTTCCCAATATGTTTCAACTTATTCATATATCATACTTTTCATCTGAGACAAATCTCCAAAGATACATTTGAAGGTAATGCGCATCAACTTGAACTTGTTGTAATCCAAATTTACTGAAAATGCGCAATCTTACGCATTCCAGCAGCGTCTAAAAGGAAAACAAAATAACAAAACTCTCTCAGTTCTCATCTGTTCAATGCTATCGACAATAATGCATCTCGAAATATGTACATTGCCAACTATCAACAAGAGAAGTTTTATATTTCTAATACTCGTTTGATATGTGAAACAGCAGCTAGAAATTTAAGAAAGCCAAAAGACGTATATATCAAAATTACTGCCAGATTGACTCCATCCTTTAGGAAAATAACATTCTGCATACCTTTAGCGTAATTTTTATGATTCCAGTAAGAATTGACACCTTGGAAAATTCAACGGGACTGAAAATCTCGATCTTTTCCGAAAACAGCTTTTGAATATTGCTGAGCAGACTCTGATCAAATCCAGTACTAAAAATAAGTGGGAAAAAAACGAAGACTTTACATCTTCTCAAACAAGGAACTTTTCGCGTTCAACGTTGGGTTGAACGTTTGATTCAAAGTTTGGTTCAATCTTAAATTCAATGTTTGATTGAAGTATATAATTTTTCATTTATACCTAGGTGTATAACTCCATTGACTTCGTTGATTATTTTTGTATTGATTATATGTCCATTTACTCGAGTCTAAATGGAACAATGAAAGTACATAAGATGAGAGGGAATAAACTGATTTAAATAGGGGTAGTTATGATCGTGTTTTGTCTAAAATTGCTGATTGACGTGAAAATTGATGGCCTACATGTTTGAGAAGATCTCTTCTTTAAGACAATACAAAATTTCGTTTCACGATTGCTTTAAGCAAGGGAATAGGAATAACGAATATAGTCTCCATTCTGTTGTGGCGACAACTGAAATCATTCGACAATCACCTGAGCTGTGAGCTTTCCTTGATCCTTCTTCAAACAAAGAACCGACATCCGCGTCGATCGCTGTAATGTCTTCAACGACACGTTTCATAACTGAACGTACGGTCCGTGGTTCAATCGTTCCCAACCAATCTCTAGTTTCGACGCTTTTTCGTATCATCTAAATGATTCAAACAAATGATTTATCACGTCCTAGAGAAAGTAGTCAGCTTTTATAGAGATAATGTACCCATGCCTAGTACTAACTCCTTAAAGAAAATCTTTGCGTATAATGGAGCTTCTGTTTGGAATTCAATTCCAACAGAAATCAGAAATAGCAAAAGTGTATCACTTTTTCAAAAGAAAATTGCTGCTTGCATTTTATGATTTAGTTTAGGATGTAACTAATTGAATAAACTAAACTTTGTAAATATTTAAACTTATCTTTCACTTCTATAGTTATTTTATTTCTTAGTAAATTTTGTAATTACTATTGAACAAAAGCACGCTCCTCGAGGAGATCAACCCCAGTTGACGAGGCCAGCGTGTCAAAATAAAGATTGTCATTTATTCATCCATTCACTGCATCACTTATGTAAGAGGAAAATCCAATTTGACCGCCGTAAATACTTTGTATTCTATTCAAGGCAGGGGGGACAACGGCCTTAGATGAAACTCCGAAAAACATCATTCGAATCTTGAGTTTACAAGATGATATTTTTGGAGTATGTTTCAGCTTATATTTCCAACGCATTTATGCGTAAACCTGGGATTTGCTCACCTGGGAAACTGTAAGGCCTTGAATTCGCACAAAGTGATTGATGAGCAACTACACAAAGAAGGCAATATCCATAAAATATACAGTTATATAGAAAAACAGTAATCAGAAGCTACACGGTTGCCGCACCTGGGAGGCAGTTTTGGCCTCGTCGGTAAGTTGAGCAACAGATGTTACAACACAACCCTTGCTCATTTTTTCATCCACGGGAAACTGTTGATCTGTCAACGATAGCTACACGGATACAGAAAGGATAAACCGTGTTAATATTGAGATACACTCGACATTACTATGGAGCATTCCACTAACAAGGTAATCAACGATGGAATCCTGCATGTCTAAACACAATCTCGACAACAGTAAGATGAGAGATGGCGGAGCGTGCATCGTCTTCTCACTAGTATTGTCAAAAAATGCCTAAAATAAAAAAAAAGAACAAAGAAGCGTTATACGAAAAGGCAAAACGTGAATATGTCGAAAAAGTTTTTATTGCATCGTGAACAAAGAGTTCGTGAAAGGAAAGGTCTAATTTAACAAGCGCACATAATTGAAGAGTGCACGATAGGACAGTTCTTATGAAGATTTAATGACCAATTCAAAACCGAAAAGCTCAAGAAGTCTTCAGATTAAGCAGTTTTCTAAACAAGGAAATGCAGGATAAATTAGGATAACAATGTACCATTAATGTATTGTGGACATAAATACCGGAAAGTTAGGATAATTATGTATTTTTAATGTATTGATGACATAAATACAGGTAAAATTAGGATAACTACGTACCTTTGATGTATTGATGACATAAGAAATGTAATTCACAACCATGCTTTCTCTTATATCGTCCGAACAAAATGGACCACGAAAGTAAGGTCGAACAGCAAACGTGATGTCTTCACTGATAAATGACTAAAACACAAGAGTAGGGTAGGGTATGAAACATCCTCTATACAAGATCAGGGAAAGTTGAACTTGATACATCAATCACCAGTGACGACTTGCGCTATGTTGTATAACTACACGTTCAAAATCATTTCTGCAGTTTTATATTTAGTTATCAGCAGGGATGGATACACAATATTTGTGTGCGTGTGTGAAGGGGCCTGTGCTCTAGTTTGGATTTCGGTGGCTATATCTCAACTTGTGCCGCAGCATGTCTGACTCTTTTTTTGTTCTATTGGACGCTAATCACAATTGCTTAGCTAAGTTTGGTACACTACTATTTTGTAAGAAAATTGGCACCGCATCTGCACCCCTTTAAACCAAAGCTACGAGAAGTGCACAGCGCCTCCCCAATCCCATATCCTAAATCAATTCCTGGGATATCATGAAGAGTCATTTTGCATTGAAATGTTCATGAAATTTTAGAATCTGTAAATTAATAGACAGATCGACGTACGTACAGAACCTCGCATTGCGCGCTCACATATTTGCAAAATTCCAACTGGCATTTGTAAACAAACCTTTAAATTTGTCAAAGCTGTCTTCACATGACCAACAACAGCAGAATGGATATTTGAGCAAAGATCAGACAAGGAGCGATTTTGATCATTATTCAGTACTTTTGGAGCAGCAAGCACTTGCCTCATGTCAGTCAAAGAAGCTAAAACATGGCAAATTATAATTCACTATCTATACTAAATGATAATATGTTCACAAATATTTCAATAGTACACACCGGAGAACTGTCGTTGTAAAGTCAGCGAGTAAAATTCAACTCTCTTGTGCGCAACTCGTTTGATTATGTTTCCACCGGATCTAACGCGGAAGAACACAATTCAATCATCCATCAATTCATTAACGAAAACAGCAGACAAAACTATCAGCATTTTGGAAGTTTGTTAAAGTCTTTATAATGGCTATAAGACTGCGTGTTTCGTAACGTCGATATAATTTGAGTTAAGGTGTGGGAACAAATGGTCTTGTGTTGTTACATCTTCAGACTTTGATGAAGAATACTTAACTTTCAACAGAGTTAAGAGACTGTTATTTTCAATCACCTCAATACTCCCAGTTGCGGCATTAGTTTTTCTACGGCTTGCAAACGGCGATGAAGTCTGTCAAGCGATCGAACCAACATTTCATCGTCCGCGTAATTGATCTGAAAAAAATATACCGCGATAATATTCATTCTGCAAAAGCTTTCCGTTCGACCATTGCAGGCGGTGGGGACTCGAAGTCGAATAAAATTCGTGAAACATACGAAATTACGTAAAGTGTAAGTTTGTAACTTATTATACACAGCATTTTTTTAACATGAAGCAATCGTCACCTCTAAATCAAACCGCTGCTCGATCACTTTAAAGAATTCGCCCATCAACGATGAAACAAATTTCGCGATCATTTCTTGCGCAATCGCATCTAAAACTTGGTGTTCGTCTTTGCTAAAGTTACAAATACGACACAAATTAACTGATTGAGTCACGCTCTGCAAGTTCTTATAGACGCCGCGTTTTATTATACGTACCTGCCGATATTGCGATTATAAAACAAATCACAATATGAAGCAATAACCAGAGAAATATTGCTTAAAAAGTTATTACATCCGTGATCCGTGAACTCTAAAATATCCTAGAAACGCACAATGATACTTCTAGGAGCGTCTCCATCAATAGAATAGTATATACAACCATAGGGATATATCTAAAATGGCTTTGTAGGGGAGAGGAGATTGCTCTAGTTTGGATTACATTTCGGTGGCTGCTTGTTGCCGTGTTTTAGTTTGATAAATACATTTTTGAAAGTGTGCTCTAATAAACTCGAATCACAGTTGTTTTGCCTAACTGCTTGGCATATTAGTATTTTGTGGGGAGAATTTGGTACCTCTCCTGCACCCCATATAACAAAGGCTAGTAGTGCATCCCTCCTGCACTTCATCTCACAAAGGCTAGAAGTGCACCCCTCCTGCATCCCATACAACAAAGGCTAGTAGTGCATCCCTCCTGCACTTCATCTCACAAAGGCTAGAAGTGCACCCCTCCTGCATCCCATACAACAAAGGCTAGAAGGACACCCCTCCTGCATCCCATATAACAAAGGCTAGAAAGACACCCTCCTGCATCCCATATAACAAAGGCTAGAAAGACACCCTCCTGCATCCCATATAACAAAGGCTAGAAAGACACCCCTCCTGCATCCCATAAAACAAAGGCTGGAAAGACACCCTTCCTGCATCCCATATAACAAATGTTAGAGAAACCACCCTCCTGCACCCCACACAACAAAGGCTAGGACACCCTCTTGCACTTCATCTAACAAAGACTAGAAGGATATCCCACCCCTAAATCCATCCCTGATGTACCACATATCACTGGCAACACAATCATAATTTGACTCCTGTAAAAGCTACGTGAGTCGACTGCAACATACCATGATTTCTAGTTGCTTCGCATCACCCTTTGTTTGGCCTGCAGATGAATAAAAACATAAAAAATCATCAAACGAACGTTGTTGCATACGGCTATTTCATTCGCGGTTAAATACTGCACCTTTATCGACTTCGTTTGCATTTTCCTGTAGAGTAACCTGAAATATTTTAGATACCAATGTAAGTTCGACTACACAAATCTTGCTACTCTATCCAAGAGTTTTCTCACACTTATTATTCTCACTACAAAACGGAAGTAAGCCCCCTTGCTATGTTGACAACGCTGTATCTTCAGATTCACTCCTTTTTTACCTGGTACGTCAAATCAAGCAGATTTTCGTCCAGCCTTTCTTTGGCACTAAAAATATCATGAAATTGAGATTTGCCATTTTTAAAAAGGAGGCAACTTAGTACAATAATTTTCACGATGCAACCGATTCCACCGTAAACAAAATATCTTGTGAAATGAAGACAGTTTCGAACTCATTAACGTCACCGTAGTAGAAAATTCTTTTAATTTTAGTGGGAAATTCCTTAAAACAACAACACATGATACCCACTGAGCAAGATACTCGTCACATAATTCATTCGCGGGTTCTTTCAGTTGAAGAAGAAGATCGACGCACTCTGTAAGCTGCTTTGGACTCGACTACAACACACAAGAAAGCAAACCTGTTAACACGCGAGACATGCTTTAATATGAAGTAGATTCACAATAACATCATCTACGTATGAAACTCAACATTTGACTCATAAAACAAGTTATACAATCCTGGTAATAATTCAAATTCATTTCGTCAATGATCGACTGCGAACATCACATAATGTGAAGTAAATATTTCAATATTTTAGAGTACATATGAGAGAATATATTTACGAACCTTAGGATTGCGAAAGTGATCCTTTAAGCATCCAATAAGATCGTTGACTATCTCCTCGCAGTCTTTTTGAATATCACGAAATGACGACATATCTTGATACTTGAGCAGAACATCACGGGCTCTACTGTAATACCTTCAATAGAAACAAGGTGCAACGTCATGTAGGCTATACCATGACTTTTGTGAAGCAGTTTATCCTCAATTTTGACGGTAAAAAGACACTTGGAGATTTGTTGCAATGTAACATGTAACATGTTTGTGGATGCCGACCGTCCAGGTTAGTAGAGTCCTGAGAAGGACTGTTGGTGTTGATGTAGACTGACGTTTTGACAACCTTAGCGTTGGTCATTACATGCAACATAAGATTTGTCGAAACGTCAGTCTATATCAATACCAACAGTCCTTCTCAGGACTCTACTAACCTGGACGATCTACATCTACAAATAAGTAACGATACTCCCGGGTTCAAACTATTTACTTTATCAAGCTTTGTACCTGACGGCAAGTGAATACTGCTTCATTTCAATGCATTTCTTTAATCTTGAAGGTAGTTCAAATAAGAATTGAAGCTAAACAAAAAGAAAACTTTTGCAGATATGGAGTTTTGATTTAAAAACAAATGTTGCATAAACTAACCTTACGTAGCAACGTGTGGACTCCAGATATGGAGTTTTGATTTAAAAACTTATGTTGCATATACTAACCTTACGTAGCAACGTGTGGACTCCAGATATGGAGTTTTGATTTAAAAACTTCTGTTGCATATACTAACCTTACGTAGCAACGTGTGGACTCCATATATGGAGTTTTGATTTAAAAACTTATGTTGCATAAACTAACCTTACGTAGCAACGTGTGGACTCCATATATGGAGTTTTGATTTAAAAACTTATGTAGCATAAACTAACCTTACGTAGCAACGTGTGGACTCCATGTATGGAGTTTTGATTTAAAAACTTATGTTGCATATACTAACCTTACGTAGCAACGTGTGGACTCCAGATAGTTTAGTTATTTGCAAACGTTTGTCTTGTAAAGTGACACTGATTTTGTCATTGAATGCCGTGATGGCGGACATTTTCCCGGAGAGGTTGTCCATCTCTTCCTCCATTTTCTTGAAGTCATTCTTCATCTGTGGGAAATTAAAACTGAGTATTCAGTTTTGTAACTACAACATCTTATATGGTACTCAGTACTGATAATATTACTCTGTATGAAACGCGAAAACAAGCATTCCAAACAGAGAAATTATATAAAGTACTACAGCAATTATTTAGTTGAACTTTATTGGTGAGTTATTTCAACAAGATTATCCCTCAATACTTACATTTTATATGAAATTAATGCAAGTACAACTTTATGTTTCACCAACCTTTCTGATTGTGTCTGTTGCACTGATAAACTTGTTATAATTTTCATAAACTAAGGTCTGCATGTCACTATCCAGTGATTTGATTTCTATAAAAACATTAAACACACACATGAAAATCATCTGAAAGCTGTGAATTATTCAACAAGAATGAATTAATTAATCTTGTACATCCTTAACACTAGTACGAACATCTTCTAAAACTGCGTGTTTGATGATGTTAAATTTAAGCTTCAACATTCAACATCTTCAAGTTGATTTTTAGCTTCTGCTCAGCCACAAAAAAATATTTTACATGTCAATTTTAGTGTTAACCGTAAATTTTAGGAATTTAAAGATTTTTTGCAGTGAGAAATGGGCTATCTTTTCAACTAAAGCACTAGTAACACGAAGAATTAAATGTGAATGGTTTTTAAAATGTTAAACTCTGATTAAAGTTCAACACCTTGACATATTTTTACATACAGCATTTTTGATCAGGTTGAATTGCTGTAAACAAAAGAACACAAAAATCAACAAAATGCCATACAGTTATTCATGTACTGTAGTCCTAACCGTCTGCCCATTCGCATCTTAAATGAAAGTAATCTCTCACAAAAAACTAAACTTAAACTTTTGTAACTGACATATTTTTAACATACGTTTTGTAACATCATTTTCTTTTTCCATTAGCTCAGTGAGACTTTTCTCTTTCAGTAACTTCTGCATGTAGTCATGAGGTTTAAAATGAGCACCATTTATATCATATGGATTTGAGGCTACCTCTCCACCTTCCTCACCAACACCATAGTAAAGCTTCAGCAATCCTCGTTTCTGACGATGGCGAGCTCGAGCCACGTCGTTTGGGTCTTCCTCATCTGTGAAAGTTTAATTTTACACTCACATTTATATACACTACCATAGAAAGGAAGCTCTAACATCATGTAATAAAACTAGAAATTCATTTCAACGGAGTGATAACAAGGAGACTAGGTCCTTTATCAAAGTTATTTTGACAAGATATACGAGCATTTTACACTATGCACATACACCGGCGATGCATGACTACACGTTCATCAAACGCCTCTTTGAAAAGCAACGATTGCCGAAAACATGCTTATTTTTACACACCTGCCATTATATATCCTTATTTTCTACAAAAAACTCGTAAATTAACTAAAAATTATACAACCGGTGTAGTTCCATCCTCTCCTGCCTTCCAAAAAATCTTTACGTGTCACTACTTCATTTTAATTATGCCCAAGTGGATCGTTGAGCTCAACGTGCTAATGACCTGCGGTATTCTACCCAAAACACATGTCAAGCGCCAAAATTCAAACCTTGAAAAGAAAAGAACGTAAACATTACATTTTATGTAAACACAAAATGAATTTTATCAGTATAAAAACATATGGCAGGGCAAAAAACCGCGTGATTAAAACCGACCTATGGATTTCACCTGAAGTACGAAAAGATCGCCTGTTCGCTTCCACCAGTTCAGAAAGTTCTGTTGAATCAACCTCTTCTGCTTCTGTAGTAAATGACGAGGTTAAACAAAGTTGCGATTCTTTACCCAGGTAATTGTTTCCAAAGGAAACGCTTTTAATTAGTTTTTAATCTAACTTTAATCCATGGACTTGTTCTACATTCTTTCTAATTATATTTATTGGCTGAATTTAAATCAACACTAATTCGTACGAATGTAAGACGAGCAAGTGGCTAAACTTGCGGAATACCCGTCCACTCGGTTTTAGTTTTAGTGTTAGGGTTAAAGTCAAGTTTATATTATACGTGTATGAGTGGGCTGGTATTCTGTAATCGCTCCCGACAAGTTTTTTCAACTTCCAAGTTCTACTAATGGTTTATATTCAACTAAGTAACTACGCCAGAATGCTGTTGGAAGATGGAAAGGCTGTAGTGCAGCCTCCAAATAGTTTACTTAAATTTTAGGGAAAATTCAACATGCTCCATTTTCATCATGAACCTTTTAAACTTATTCGCTTTTTCATCCCTCGATTGTAACTTGCTTGTAACACACCTATGCTAGTTGTATATTAGCAGAATGACAAATGACAAAAATGCATCACTCGAATCCTCGTTGTTTTATTATGTGTAGTGAAGACAAGTCTGTGGTCCAACATTCCACACCGTTTTCCTGTCATCCTCAAACTTCACTCAAACCTAGAAGGTTGACAATTTTAAGTTCACCTGTCACATCAGCTTCTTCATCGAAACAAAACAAAGAAAATCTTGTAGGTAGTCCATTATTTATAACTGACAACTCATGTATTGAGAGCAGTTTGCACTCGGATGATGCCAGCCGTGACATTTCGGATGTTCAAATGGAGGAAAATAACATCCCAAGCAGAGAATTTGACTGCAAAGAACACAAGATAGACAGCACTGGTAGCCCATCGCTTGGTAATGATGAAATTATCTTCATTTCAACTGATGTCAGCAATTGCGACCTGACTAATGATCATTCAGTTTGTCTTGATGATAACTCTGCTTTTAGTGGTTTGGATGTGCAGGAATTGTGCAAGAGTGTGAAAAAATTTTCTTTGGATGAAGTTATTCCAGGTAATAATTTAAGAGCAGGATGCGGTGGGTTCGTTGTTGGGGATGATTGGAAAATTGAATTGGAATCATCAAGTCCTGCATTCGACGTTAAGAATGTTCATCTGGTAAATCCTTCTAAAAAACAAACAGACAATGGACGTTGGTTTGATGCAGAAATCCGTTTGCCAAAAATAAAATTGCAGTCATCCTGCAAGGCGACGAATCAATGTCAGTCGGATTTAAGCGCTATGAAAGAAACTCGCAAAGATGAAGAATGCCCTAATGGTAACCCTAAGAATGTCGTGGATGCAACGTCTTCCTTCATCCAACCTGAGAATGTCGTGGTTGCAACGTCTTCCTTCATCCAACCTGAGAATGTCGTGGAACGTCGTCCTTCATCCAACCTGAGAATGTCGTGGATGCAACGTCTTCCTTCATCCAACCTGAGAATGTCGAGGATGCAACGTCGTCCTTCATCCAACCTGAGAATGTCGAGGATGCAACGTCGTCCTTCATCCAACCTGAGAATGTCGAGGATGCAACGTCGTCCTTCATCCAACCTGAGAATGTCGAGGATGCAACGTCTTCCTTCATCCAACCTGAGAATGTCGAGGATGCAACGTCGTCCTTCATCCAACCTGAGAATGTCGAGGATGCAACGTCGTCCTTCATCCAACCTGAGAATGTCGAGGATGCAACGTCGTCCTTCATCCAACCTGAGAATGTCGTGGATGCAACGTCGTCCTTCATCCAACCTGAGAATGTCGTGGATGCAACGTCGTCCTTCATCCAACCTGAGAATGTCGAGGATGCAACGTCTTCCTTCATCCAACCTGAGAATGTCGAGGATGCAACGTCTTCCTTCATCCAACCTGAGAATGTCGAGGATGCAACGTCGTCCTTCATCCAACCTGAGAATGTCGAGGATGCAACGTCGTCCTTCATCCAACCTGAGAATGTCGAGGATGCAACGTCTTCCTTCATCCAACCTGAGAATGTCGAGGATGCAACGTCGTCCTTCATCCAACCTGAGAATGTCGAGGATGCAACGTCGTCCTTCATCCAACCTGAGAATGTCGTGGATGCAACGTCGTCCTTCATCCAACCTGATGTTCCTCAGAATCCTTCCTTATCCAAGAAAACCTTTGAAACACCGCAACGTCGAATGTCCATTGTCGGCTGTTACAATCCCGAAGGATGTTGCAGCAGTAACGAACGTCAAAATGGCGTGTTAAAGGATATATCTAACGTTCAGTTTTCCTCGTCCATCGAATATTCTGGAAGAACTTTGACGAATCATAATTGTCCATACTTTGTGGTGCGTGGTTTGTACGTGTATTATTGGAGGGTGAAATTTCTCATTCCATTTTCTTTAGGTAAGATCTGACATTCATTTTACATGCATAGGAATCCCTGACTCCAGCAAGATTCCAAGTTTACAGGGATAGCAAGAGGCGGCAGACATCACTAGAAAAAATACTGGCACAATGTGGACAGCAAGGACCGTTGAAATTCGAGGAAATCCTTTCGGCAAGGTCGCGAAAACCATTGCATAATTATCATGTAGATTTGTATTGCAAAAAACAACATTTCTTTAAGGATCAAACAGTTAATGGTTTATGTTGAGTACGAAAAAACAATAAAGTGATGACAGACTAACTGTTGGAAAAATATTTAAGTTTAACAGCTGTCGATACGTCTGTGTATTGAAATTTAGTTTGGAGCAATTTTCATCTCGCGCGTTTGAAATAGTTTCGTTTCCTTTAAATTTAGCGTCTTAGAAAAATGTGTCAAAATAGGCGAAGGGACTTATGGAGAAGTCTTCAAGACCAACGATGGTGGTGAAGATATCGCTTTGAAGGTAATTGATAAGCCATTTATGCTGTAGAATGAAATGAAAAATCTTTATTGGAAATCCCGAAATGAAATTAGTAAAAAAGAATTGTGCGTAAAGTTGGAGAATTTCCCGCAATAACGATGATTTTCTTCGTTGGCTAGATTATTCCAGTGGAAGGAAACTTTTTTGTTAATGGAGAGCCACAAAAATCATTTGATGACATGGTTCCCGAAATAGTCATAACAAAGTAAGCCACAACCAAGTGTTATTATTCATTAACAGCCTCGCGTACTTTGAGATACTTACGTCTTGTCACGTGACCCAATGCTTTCATTGATAATTTTTTGCAATTCTTTTCCAGGGAACTTAGTTCACTCGGAGACAAAGTAAGTTCATTTTCAAATGTGAAATATGTTTTCAATAAATCAACAGCATGAATGTTATTATTGATACATATAACTGTTTATATTCAATATATATTATATTCTATAACTCTTGTCCATGTGTTTCATTCATATATAAAATTTGCACTGCATTGAGGCAAAGAAAGGTTTCTCCATTCCTTATTCACACATGCATACTTAAACTCAAGGTGTTTCTCCTGAATCCTGACTACGAATTTAGCCATGTGTTTCTTACACCTGACGACGTCCGTGGAGTCTTATTTCAAAATAACTTTACCATTGTAGGAAACGTTAAATTCTGCATTTTCTTGCTCGAACTTTATTCAAGTGAAAAGGTAACTGCCAATCACCTTATTTCTTTTGAATGCCTAAGGTGCATTGACTTTGTGAACATGTTTTTTGTTTGCTTCAAAGAATCATGCTTATAAAAGACTGTTATCCCGAGAAATTGTTAAACGAATGGGAAATTTGGAAAAATAAACATAAATGCGAAAATGACTGTCCAGGTATGTTTATAGATACTATTGTGTATTGTGTTACAGCTGGTTACAACACGGAGACAACGGTATTCGTTGGATTAAGGCCAGTTGGCACATGGATTCAAAAACGAGCATGCGCAATGTAATTTATGGATAAGATAAGGAATACTTTGTAACAGCAATAACAAAAAGAATTGCTTGAGAAACGACGTTTCCTTTTTCTTAAGATATGTTTGAAAAAGATCAATATTTTATCGTCTTCGAGTTTATGGAAGGCGGTGAAGATCTTGAACATTTTCAGTTCAAGTCTATGACGGAAGCATTAAGTGTTCTTCAGCAGGTCGCCTTGGCTCTTTCTGTCGCTGAAAACGTGCTGATGTTCGAACACAGAGATTTACATTGGGGAAATATTCTTATCAAAAGAACAACGAGGAAGAACTTACATTACAAATTTTTCGGCGGAGATATTTCCATCAGAACGTTTGGCTTGTTCGTCAGTATGATTGACTTCACATTGTCAAGACTTACGAAAGGTACTTCTATCGAGCAATGTTGTAAAATTGGTCACCTTTTGAATGAAACGAGACCAGCCGGCTTGTGTTAATTTCTTTAGATGGTTTGACTGTGTATTGTGATCTCGCAAAGGATCCTAGTATTTTCAAAGGAAAGGGGACTATCAGTTTCAAGTCTACAGGCAGATGAAAAAGCACAACAGGTAGGAATCAGAATTTATCAGTTTCCACGAGCATGGCCTCATGCGACCTATAAGATCACAAGACATAAATCGCGTAATTTATCTATAATGATAATTTCATCTTCGTTGGCTATAGTGAAAAAATCAATATGAGTTTTCAAGGGACCCAAAATGACTATTTGGGATTTAGGGACAATTTTACAACCTGTTTCTATTTGTGTGCAGTGTCGTTCGTCCAATTGCCGTTTCCCCAACTGTTGTTTTTCTTCATACTGCATTTGGTTCTTTCTAAACATCGTTGATTTTTTGCAGCAATAACTGGGAGAGGTTCAATCCATTTACAAATCTCCTTTGGCTGAAATATTTACTGGATAAAGTTCTTAATGCAAAGACATATAAACAAACAGATAATGGCATTCAAAGACAACTTCGCTCCTACTTTCGACAAGTGCTGTCATATGAATCAGCATCACTAGCAATTCTAGATGCCTTTTTGGGAGTTGAATGTTAATACATATAGCGGTCCCAATGATAACGGGATAATGGTCTTTCGGCAGTACTAGACATGCGCTGTGACAACTACGTAAAGTTCATGAGAACGCACAGTTTACTGTCAGTTTATAGTTTACGCCTGTCGAAAAATGTAAATTTTGTGCAACAACATAGAGTTTTGTAATGTGAAGAGCTTATATCTGACAACAAAATGATGTCAGATACAAGCTCTTCACATTACATACGAAATGATGTTGTGATGTATGGTAAAATCAATGTAAATAATAATACGGTATAATCTTGTATTGACGAGTTAAATTTTATTCATGTATTAAATTGTATTTACGTTTGTAATGCGAACGTTGTCTTATACCATTGACAACGTCTTTACTATTACTAAAACTAGAAGTACTTTATGTAAGTTAAAGGAGAAATCTCATGCCAGAGTTAGTTGTGTAAGTAGAAAACCAACCACACTCACTAAGCTTTATATCATCGATGTTTCGTTTTCATCTTTCTTTCAACCATGAATGGACTGCTAAGAAGCATGGACTTATCTTCACTTGGGTTCCGTTTCATCGAGATTTGGCCGAATTGTTTTGCCTTGGTTAGCGTCTGGGATGTTGATCTTTTTGAGTTTTCACTTTCCATTTGTTTCATTTCCTTTCCAACAAATTTCTCAATCTCCACATGGTTCAAATATAAAGTCTGTTTGCCGTAATGTTGCTCACCGCTCAGACTACTTATATTTTGTTGCTCGTTTTCATTGTAATCATCGTCAACAAAAAGCCTTACATCGCTACGCGACCGCTCATCGACATAGCCAAAATTATGTCTACCATTCATTGCTCCCATGAATTCTGTAGATGGAGTGTGGTAAAGACTTTCAGATGTGAAAAGACGACGGTCTGTGTAGTCGTCTTCAAAAATGCCAAAGTGCTTGTCTAGAGCAACATCCGAGTGAGGGGTGAATTCACGAGCCAAGGTAATGCTCGAACCAGGCACTTGCAACCATCTGCCGTCTGAACGGGAAACAGAACTGTTGCCATCTCGTGCATCGTGGGAAGTGGTAGCTCTAGACGAAAAGACCAAGCTTTTCATTGTTTTGCTATCGTCGAATTTCCTGCTATGTTCTTCAAGCAGGTCTTTAAAGTCGTTTTCAGTGTACGCTCGGATCACTTCCTCTAAAAGTGGAATCGAATCGCATAATTCTGACTCCGTAAGTTGATCGTCGACTTGTAAGAGCAAACGCAGCAGAAGTTTTTTCTTGTTTTCACATTTCTCGGGGTCTAACCAACTCGTAGTTCGTACTTCTTCCATACAGAGATTACGAAATGCCGTATCAACTCCCTCAGTTTTTATCGTTATTTGCGAGAAGGATTCGTCCACACCAGTAAGCGGCTCTACATACGTCGGCTTGATAAATGGCGAAACTCTGAAGCCAATGTACGACTTGATTTGATAAATCATGAAATCTACAATTTCGTGGTCATTTGATTGGTGCGATACATCTAACGTCACTCGAGCTAGCGCTTCCGTTATGATGGCGACGAGGAGATTAACGAGAATGAAATTAACACAGAATGTGAAAGAAAAGAAGAACATTGGACCAATGATTTGGTCGGCTCTTTCCAAGGCATGATAATTGAAAGCTCCCAAAGTCATGCCCAAAACATTAGCCATTGACGAATGAAAAGTGTGATAGTCTGCATTTACTCTTCCAAATACCAGGTATCCAAGCGATGTATACGCAATAAAAACCAAAAGATAGACGACGGTAAAGGAAGCAATTGGCTGAAAACATATTTTTAGAGTTCGTGTCATGAACGACATACGTCTATTGAAACGAAGCAAACGAAGAACTTTTAGAAACGATAAGAAGACAGCCAATGCTTGAGTAAACGTTGCCCATTGGTCTAATGTCGCAGCATAATGAAAACTGACGAAGGATTTCGGGTCCTTTCGCATCAGACTAATGGAAAACTTCGTAGCGACCAATCGTGCAAAGTATAAACCGATGGTGGAGTAAGAGGATGCTAGTACAACCAATTCCGTGTAATTCCAAGGATTTCGCCAGTAAAGTCGACCCTCTCTACGCCATTTTTTGAACTCGCGATACGCAAAATACACAAGGAAGGTCGCGAGGATGATTTCAAGAATCATTATTGCTAATAAATTTCGTCCGTAATACCGATATAGACGCATGGGGTAGATCTCGCTGAACTGGTAGTAACCTCCGGTGGGAATTATTTCCGTTACCAAGGTAACAAGACAGAACATATTGACGCTCGGGTTGTACGTGACAAATTCCACGAAAATCGATCGGGTGTAGCGGTCCAGCCAATTGTTGTTTTGCAAGTAAGCTGTCGTATTCATCGCTAACGATTCGTTGTGACCAAGATCAACGACAAAGCCTAAATATTCGGAAATACAATGGCAGATAAAATTAATCGCCTTTTGTTATGGTATAGATAATAGAAGCAATTCTAAAGGTTTAAGGGCCAGTAAAACGAAAATTTTGTATACATATATTATGTTTTTATTGAAAAGAACTAGTAAAATGACAGTCGACATTCTAAAACAGTTTATCTGTTTTTCTTCTTAAGATCTTAACAAAGGTAAGTTCCAGTCTTTGTGAAATGCCGATGATATAAAATCCACCATATATATTTCATCCAAAAGTTATCAGGAAACTGATGGATATTTATAAAGTTGCAGCGACTCATTATGCAATGTGACATCACTATAACTATGCAATGTGACGTCACAATCACTATGCAATGTGACGTCACTATCACTATGCAATGTGACATCATTATCACTATGCAAAGTGACGTCATTATCACTATGCAATGTGACGTCACTGGTCGTGTAAATCGGATGTTAAAAAAACATCAATATCTTGAGAATGAAGAGAGATGTGAATAAACAGTTTTTGAAAGCCCGCTGTCATTTTAACAGTTCTGTTAAAAGGAAATATAATTTGAATAGCATAATTTTCGTTTTGCTGTTCCTTTAACGTAATCTATAAAGAGCCAGAAGTGAATGAAATGTGCTCTAAGATTACAACTTTTTGTAGTTTAACTTGAAATTGACGTACCTCCTCCCCAGTAAGTTGCAAAAAATGCCCAATATGGCGTCCCTTTCAATTCCCAAGCTGTATTATACTGCCATGCGTTCTTCTGTTTTTCTGTTGCGGACGTGTAATTGGTCGACTGTGCAGGATCTTTTTCCCAACCCGGTAAATACAGACCTTCGTCCTCCTTTTCCCAACTATAGAAACTGTTGCACTCGTTAAAGAATTGTTTGAACATTGGGTGTACCTGGCATTGATCTGAGAGTGAACAAAGATATTAATAAGTGAACTAAAATATGTTTTAAGAACAAAACAAACACGATTATACGATTCTTGTATTCTGGTGGGAAGTTGCACCCTATACACTACTGTTTTCAGGAAGTTGAACTTACTCCATTGCTGGAGTTGATATCTTTATAGAGGGTCTAAAATAATAGAGACTTTTTTTACTTTCTATCTTTAACTTCGCCCAGAACGTTAGATTGAATTAACCCATAGTAAAATCAAAACAACTTTTGACATGGGATTGATATGACTCAAGAAGTTGATAGAAATTCAAAAGCTGAGGGGAAATTGAACTAAATGATTGTTCTGTGGCTTTTTCAACTCCTTAGAAATAACAGAAAACAGGTAAAAAAAAATTTGTCATCCTGCTGACGATAACAGAAACAAGCTAGGATCGCACTTTTTTGTTACTTTAATTGCATGCAACGAAGTGTTTATTAAGCACTGCTCAGTAAGGATAGTCCATCTCAACATACTTGGTTTAATTCGATGTTGTCTGAATCGGGCAACACCAACAGTATAGTCAGTACAAGTGTCGGCAACAAAATTTTCCATATAAGGATGTGTGTTGTTGAGGATAATAGTAATATCTGGGAAGTCGCCGGGACGTCCTTGGAGCCTGCGCTCCTGAACATTTTTCAACCGGTTTCTTGCTCCTCTGGACCGCGAGATTTGTGGATCAATGTTTACCCAAACAACGTTTTCCATGTTCCTATTAGGACCATACCACTGGATTGGAATGAGTGCAGGTAACAATGAATATCTCGTCCAAAACCAATAAAGTTTCGCGTCCGTAATCTGTAGAACAAGAAATTGTGAACCCTCCAAGCCTAAACATGACTTTCGTTGAAAGCTCACTTGCTTTATTTATACTAGCATGTGAAAAGAGTAATTTATTGCAAAACGTCCTGACTTTCAATATCGTACCTTCGAAGGTAAATCTTACCTGACTTGGTTCGATCCAGTTTGTGTAGGTGTTGCCTTCAAAATAGTTGGCCATGGTCAACGTTGTACCGTACGCTGCGGTATCTTTGTTGCCATAAGCAACGCTCAACAGGATGATTACAAAGATAAAGTACCACATGATATCGTAAATTATGTATTTCATTTGTATTTGTTTCAACCTTAGCTCCCGGCTCTCCAGCAGTTTTCGAGGATCTGGTGGTTTGGGATCGACGCGAACCATACTGGTTAGACCTACAAAGAATAAACGATGTTGTTTATACAAATGATTCTAAGAACAACCACAACTCATGTGTTCAAACAGTCCTTCCCAATGAAAGAAATGCAGAGAAAAAACCCTTGCATACCCCGGGCTTCCACTATGTTATTGGAAAATTCCTCATCTTTCTTTAATTCAGGTGATGGAAGTTTGTCTTCTTCATCATTTTCAATCGCTTTCTTCGGATCCTTCGTAACGATGGCAAACAGCGTTGCAGCGGCAAAAACTTTTAGCGGCTGAGATATGAGCACATCTTGCCAAAATGAGATCAACATTGATGAAATCCATGCTTCCGATTTCGCCTTGCCAAACGTTAGCCCGTAGAACACAGTGAAAGCGGCCGATACAGAACAAGAAATGAAAATCAACGCGTACGCAACATATACCATGTAATGTGGTAATGATATACTTTTCGAGGCTGAAAAAAATAAGAAAACAAATTAGATGAAGAATCATATGTCCGATTAAACGACAAAAGACAGCTTTATCCCTTTACTGATTGGAGATAGAATACTTAGCCGATGCATTTTAAGCAAATACACTTGGTCAGTGCAACTGAAGCTTATACAATTGGTGCAATTGGAGCTAATACACTTGGTCAGTGCAATTGAAACTGATACACTTGGTCAGTTCAACTAAAGTTAATACACTTGGTCAGTTAAATTGAAACTGATACACTTGGTCAGTTCAACTAAAGTTAATACACTTGGTCAGTTCAGTTGAAGTTAATACACTTGGTCAGTTCAGTTGAAGTTAATACACTTGGTGTCAGTTCAATTAAAGTTAATACTCTTGGTCAGTGCAATTGGAGCTAATAAAAGCTAATACACTTGGCTAGTGCAACTATAACACTTGGCTGATACAATTGGAGCAACTATACTTGGCTTTTGAATGGCGCGATGACTGAAGCATTTGAAGAAAGAACAACATACCCCCCTGATGATCGTCTTTTCTTGATTTGGCATTCTCCGTGTTATTATTGCCTCGTCTCTCGGCATATTGAGGCTCCTGATGTTTCTTTCTTTCTTTTACCATGTTCTTATATCTAGCATTTCGGAATATCCACACGATTAAAACATTCACAGGCAACACAACCATACTGCTCATCACAGCAATGAACAGCTGTTGCACTGAAAATCGAAAGGGGCCAACTTTGACGGTACTAGATAACGACGGACCACGCCCATAAAACATTGCACTAGCAAGCATTGTCGTGAGCAGGATGCACAGGCAACACGACAACCGCTGCACGCGAGTGAAGTTACTGCGGGCGGGCCGCTTCACAACGGAAAACCAAATATGACTGTCGGTGAGGTTTTTTCGCACTTCCGTTTGGAAGAGAAGATTAAATCTCGTGAGCTCTTCGGCATCAGCAGGACTTAAAGTTCTCTCTATTTTACCATCATCGTGTTCAACAGCAAGCCAACGATCACACAAAAACCACGTTTTTACGTTCCTCTGGATATCGTGAACCTATAAGTAATGACGATAGAATGTTGTTCACTTTCATTTGTCTGAAATATGTCTAATATAAAACTTACCATCGCACGAAGCAAATACCAAGATGGCGAATAGCCTTCGTTGTCATGCCATATTCGAAGACCTTGTAGTTTTCCCAGAGAAAAGGCGCAGTGAGTAGAAAATATTTAATACTGCCGACGGTTAAACAGTCGTCGTTCGCATCTTTTAGAATTCTCACTGGCGTCTCGTCACGTGATCCTTTGAGGATAAAGTAAATGTTAGCAGTGGTACCAGCTTCGGCACTGTATCCCGTGTACACCGTGATTTCGTAGCAGTAGTGATCACGTGGGTGGTTGTCAGGCAACGGAACTACGCCAAGCTGTTGATATAAGAAAGAATCGAGAGTATGAATACATTGGAAAATATCGTCTTGGGATCGATCATGGCTTATGGTTGGTTCTAAAACAGATACGTACGATACACTATACCTAAATCTAAAGAACAATAGTTCGTTCATCGATATATCGTCCAACCAAACCAAACGTAAATGGTTGATAAAACAAAATGAAATAAAAATGTTGGGCAAAGCCACTTTTAAAAACGATCATTCTGCTGATCCGTTGAGATATTTTCTGCAATTTTTGATGACTGTTTTATGCGACGTATATATGTTTAAATGATATATGAGTTTCAATTCAAAACACGAGCATCATGATTAAAAAACTTGTGAAAGATGAATGATGCCAACGTGTATGATAAAACATCTAAATACAGTTTGTGATTTTCAAATAACGGTATAGACCTCTTTAAAAAACTTGTAAAAGATGAATGATGGTGACGTGTATGATAAAACATCTAAATACAGTTTGTGATTTTCAAATAACGGTATAGACCTCTTTAAAAAACTTGTAAAAGATGAATGATGTCAACGTGTATGATAAAACATCTAAATACTTCTTTTGTGATCAACGAATATTCTCATCACGAGCATATTCCTTCTACCTTTCAACAGTCTTAAAATGTGTTTCATACCTTTTCCAAATCTTTCTTGTCCCAACGTCGCAATGGAATGAGCAACAGGAAATAGATGAATACAAATGACAATATGACAGAATAAACAACAGGGTTACGAGCGAGGTTATCAACGTTGATCGCACTCCAGTCAATTGCGTTAGGAACAGTGATAAGGCCGCTACCGAAAGATGTTAAATGCGTACACAAGCATTGAGTGGCATCTATTACCGTTAAAGGTCCAACCTGCAAGATGAAACGTTACAACTTCGCGAAATAAAGAAAAAATCCTCATCAGAGATATTTGACCACAGTTCTAACCACTATCAATAACTAATAACTTAAGTGAAAACCCCTTTAACTCTCCTTCTATTTTCCTAAAAAGAACGTCGTGCTTACCACACAGCCATCGTTTAACCAGGTCTCGTTATGAAGGCTCCAATAAAGACATGATGACGTAAATGTTTGCATGGTGAAGTTGACAGCGGAAGGTGTGTACTCTTGATAAATTATTTCTCTTCCCACCATTACTTCTTCATATATCGGCTCATGCGTTCCGTTATATTTCACGCCAATATAGTACTAAAAAGCGGAAACAATCAATGTCAGTCATTCGGATCGTATAGGATCCTATGTCGAGACAAGATACACAAGAAGCACTAAAAATAACAGTTTGGTGAATGTTGATATTTATGTTTCATGAATAAGTTTTTAGAAAACACAGTAAAAACTCGCATAATAGAATTTGCATCGCTTTCATTCGTGGCTAAATTGATATATTTATGTGCAGTAAAAAAGTGGACAGAAATTACTTGGGTTTTTCAAGGTCTGACTCGTTAAGACTCGACCTTACACCATGACACAGGTTTTAACATAAGTGTATTTTACACACTTTGTCAGAAATGCGTCATTGTAAACGAAAATATCGCGAGTCCTTTAGAGAGAATAATAAAAATATAATATTATTTTCTCATCACATAATGGCGCAATGTTTAAGTTTAGCAAAAATTCTTTGTATTGTTTTCTACTAAAAATGGAGTTGGGAAGAATGACTTCGAATAAGCTGCAATTAGTGCTGCAAATATGAAACAATATGGAAGACAGCAAAAACTATACTCAAAAAATTTAGGTGGTAAAAATGTGTCCCAATAAGTATTTCTTTTTTAATGCTTGTCCGACATAAGGACCTACATGTTTGTAAATGTAGATCGTCCAGGTTGGTATACACAATTGACACTCACACATTACAACTAAAAACATCACACCTAAATCACACATCACAACTAAAAATAAAAATATTTCACTTCACACTAATTCACAATGACAATACACATTTCCTGTACACACAATACAATGACGTAAGAACCAGATAACAAATACGGCTAACCTGACGTTTCTCCTCATTTGACTCTGAATATGACTACCGCTAAGGTTGTCGAAACGTCAGTCAACAACAACAAAAACAGTCCTTCTCAGGACTATACCAACCTGGACGATCTACATTTACAAACATGTAACGATACTCCCGGGTTCAAAGCATTTACGTTATAAGGACCTACACGTGCTTTATCCAATTGTCACGGAAAAAACGATAGACGTACCTTACCAGCTGCAGTTCTATTGAGATCCTCGTTAGATAGGAAAAATATGTAGGGGTTTCGCTCGCGAGTCGTATTAGAAACGGTTTTATTAGAGACGGACATGTTGCAAAAGGAGTTATCAGCATTTGACATAATTCTTCTGGGTAAAACATATTTAAAATCATACTTCGTCTCCGTGGGAAAAGTGTTACGTCTTAAATAAGCAATGAGCTGCGTGTTGTTGTCACAAGCATAAATCTCGATATGGATTGCCGTGTCGTTTTGAATGACATTAAGAGCTCGATACAACATGTCCTTGTGTTGCACTTTAAACAATGTAAAATTTGGAACTGCACCACTAGGAATCCATACGTCGATGGGTTCGGATAAGTTGGAAATCTTAATAAGTTCGCCTTTGTCATCTTTTAATTCCATCGTCATGACTTTCCCTTTCACTTGTGACGAACTAGAGTCCCATATAAATTGATTCTTTGTGTTTGAAACAACCTTTATAAAAAGAAATTCGCCATATCGTTAGTTCTTAGAAATGAAGGAGGGAATGTCGAAGAGGAAAAATAACATTCATAAACTTGTTCTATAAACATAGTCAGTCAAGTCATAGTCAGTTCTGACTGTCGATAAAACAGCACTAGGGAAAGCTCAACTGACGCGAGAGAGAACGCTAAGCCGAAAAGATATTTCATTATACTTGTCAGTATTCACCAACGGAATTCGCAGATTTTATAAACCAACCTTAATGTCGATAATAGATATGTTGCCGTCTTTTTCAAACAGGGAAACCAACGAAGACATCATAAAAGAGCCGCCAGCAAGCGTTGAAGTAAAATTATCTGCAGTTGTGGCAGAATCCTTTCTCTGTACGGCCAAAGAAAGACGTTCAGTTTTCACTTTTGTCGCAGGTTCGCCCGCGAACTTTTGATTGAGGAGAGCCTGGGTAAGGTTTTCAATATTTTCCATGGCTTTCGTCACCAAGCTTTTAGTCTGTAGAACATAAATAATAATTCAAATTCGTAAGCATAACATACGTCATTAGCTGTGTAAATAAAATATGACGTCATTAGTTGTGTAAAACAAAACCTGACGTCATTAGTTGTGTAAATACAATATGGCACCACTAGTTGTGTAAATACAATATGACTTCACTAGTTGTGTAAATACAATATGACTTCACTAGTTGTGTAAATTGGACACTAAAAAACCTCGATAACTCGAAAACAAAAAAGGAACGCATAAACTTTTCAGGAAAGAACACTATCATTTTTAAAGTTCTGTTTGATAAAAATTAAACTCGGAACTTCAGCCTTTGCATTCCCACTGAGATAAAGAAAGTAAATGGAGACTATGTCTTAGAAACACGACATGCTTACAGTGTTTTCCTTTGTGCCATATAAACTGTTTTGGTCATCGTTGGTATTATTTTCTCCGCTAATAATGGAAGCCTCGATGGTGTTTCCCAGTGCACTTATGAGCCCACCAGCAGCGTGAAAGGTGTTGTGCGGGTTTGGCGGCTCAATTGTATCTGCCGTTCTGTTAGCAAGAAACATTATCATCTTGGCTGCAGTATCCAAAACACTCTCCTGAATGATTTGATAAAAAAATTTAGCATTTTACAACAAAAATATACTCTACTGAATGTCATATAACAAACAAATGGGTTCATACACGATATACCATAAAATACTTCATATACCATAAAATACTTCATACACCATAACATGTTTCATACACCATAAAATGCTTCATACACCATAACATGTTTCATACACCATAAAATACTTCATACACCATAACATGTTTCATACACCATAACATGTTTCATACACCATAAAATACTTCATACACCATAACATGTTTCATTCACCATAACATGTTTCATACACCATAACATGTTTCATACACCATAACATGTTTAATGCATGAATGAGAAGGAACAGATACCTGCATTTCCTGCGTAAATTCCTTGGGTTTGTTACTCAGCCACGCGCTGGCCGTAGCCTTTTCACGTACAGCATCAACACTGTCTATTGGTATTTTCTCGCTTAACGTTTTTTCCATCGTTCTTCGAATCTTATTTTGAAAAGAAATGCATGAGATTTGCTAAAATATTCCAATCTATATCGTCAATGCACAAAAACCTAATGAAAAGGAGTTATGTATGCATTTGTACGTTCTCTAATATTGAAATTGCAAAGTTCACCTTTCAAAGTACGCGCGCAGGACAATATGGGAAGGCATTTATTTTGATAACGGTGAAAAAATACTGCACAAAACAAAGAAAACGCTATAAAAAAAATCATAACAGACATAACTTAGCTCATTTTTCGACCTAATCAACAAAAAAATCGCTTAAAGAGCCAGAATAACAAAAAAATTGCTATTGAAATTATAGTTCCATTGAAAAGAGCTCGTAAAATGACAGCGGTTTATTCATATCTCTTTGCCTTGTCAACATATTAAAGTTGTGGAGATTGAAAGAGAAAGTGACGCAACATTTTATAATGATAATATCAATTATATTAAAAGTATTTAATTATTTGTTACATCAATCGGAAAGAGTTCTTGTTTTTATGAAGCGTTAATGGAATAAAATCCAGCATAAAACTTGCCTGATAACTAAGGGATATTTGCAGCACATCATTACGCAATGTGACCTCACAAAACATCTTGAGAATGCAAAGAGATATGACTTAATTGCTGTAAAAGGTCCGCTGTCCTTTTTCATGAACCATAATTTTAACAGTCGATTTTTCGAGTCAATGGCCCTTTAAGACGGCAATACTTGTTGAAGAACATTTGAAATAGATATTTTCGTCGCAAATCTTAGATTCTTACCTTGATACGAGTTCGCGTTTCATTATCTCTTTTCTTAATAGCTTCTTCAAGTTCTAATATTTGATTTTCGATTTCTATTCTTTGTTCATCAAGAAGAATTTCCTGAGACAAAAGTTTTTTCTCGAGGTCGGCTTTCTCAGCTTCGTACGAGAAATTTGCATTGTTACCCAGACTGTCCAAAATAGAGCTTAATGCACCAATGAGCTGCGTAGCGCCATGTGTATCTCCAGAAGCCACCATATTTCCGAGATCTCCGTCTTCAGATATGAGATTATTCATGCGTTGTTCAAACTCGGCAAGACTTGTGATGATCGGCAACGTGACCTGTACACAGGACATAAACATGTTACGATACAGACGACGGACGTTTATAAAGAACGAAGCAGACTGCACTCGGCTAAATGAGTGATTTTAATTTTCTACATAATACCGAACAGAAATTACGATGATGCAAAATAATGAAAATATGTTTGATAGAGAATCAAAAACAAGTTTTCTGACAAGCAAACATGGCACTCAGACGAGATTTGAGACTTGGATGCAACGAGAAGATATGATTTCTCTCATATTCTGATGACGGTTCAGAAACAGAGTCGAAACAAGGTGCCATAATTAACTTATCAAATTAATCTTATCAAAAAAAGGCTTCCCCATATGTAGTTCATACTTTATAAGTCTTTCTGCTGCCAACAGGTTGTTGGCTTGGTAGTTCTAACGGGTATAGAGTAAGGATCTAGCACCTCGAATGTATGAAATTAAATCTCGTTTAGGCCACAAGTTTTCGTGTGGACAAAACATTGTACAGTATCTTATGAAAAAAATCGAATATCATGGCGAAGAAGATTAAAAATGTTTACGATAGCGTACCGTCACATTCAGATAGTAAGCTTGAGGCGCTGCAAATGAGTCCTCGATTTGAACAATGATTGAAACGGAATAATTGAGTTCCGGTTTGCCCAGCGGTAGTTTGATTAGAGGTGCTACACTTTTGGAACCGAAGTAAATCATTTGTTCAAAGTCATCACTGCTAGTTTTATATGCAAATGTGTAAGCTAATGGAAGATCTGTTGTATCGTCCATCCAATCTGAGCAGGACACTGTAAACAGTGTGTCCAGAGCGTAACCATTCTTAGGTTCTGAAAGAAAAAAAAGACAAGCGTTTTACCACAGACTCTGAAGAGATGGTAGCTTTGCATTTTGCTAGCAGTTGAAGATTTTTTCGCGATTTAATTTTATAATTGTAAATTTAATTTCGGATGTGTTATCATGAAAACCACCTAAAACTGAAGAGAAAAAAATAAAAGCAAAAGTGATGTACAAATTTTTGAATGAAACAGCCCCATAATCATCAACTGATCTCGTTACATATCAGAACGAGTTGTCAAACTACAAACTTCGGAACATTTGAAATGTCTACCACAACTGCGTACAAATTGCATCAAAGAAAGTTCCATGTATGAGGTAGCATAAATCTGGAATTCTATTCCTAAGGAAATTCGAGACAGCAAATGCAAGTGCTCGCTATCATTGACAGAAAATTGTAAATACTAAACTCAATTTATCTGTTGATTACTTCAAGAAACTTGTTACCCAGTCTAAGTAACAGTATACACTCTCTAACGATTTTGTAAATAGCTTTCAATTTTTTTAAGATGTTTTTCATACGCCTCCACAGAAATCATCTTCTGTTATATTTTTCGTATTTCATTCACCCAAAGTTGCCTTAGTGATGTCACGTTATCGGTTGCCTTAGTGATGTCACGTGATCGATGAAGAAGATCGGAAAAGAAAATTAAGTTAAATTCTACGTACCTACTGAACAACTGCCATCCCTTGGTGGCTGATTTATGAATAATTCCTTCTCTGCGAATCCTGTCTTACTATTATAGGTAGCATACAATCGTAAACGATAACGATGTTCGGGTAAAAGAACATCCTCTTTTAAAACAACCGTCTTAGTGTCAGTCCTTGTCAGTACCATATCTTCGGCGAAGTTTGAAACCTGTAAAAATCGAGCACATATTCATTTTTATGGATTTTCGAGAAATTGATCAAGAGATCCATGAAAATCATCGCTACCTAAAGTTGGAAGAAATGTGTGTTCCCCGAGAAAATTTTCGCGATCAGCACAATAGTTGAATTGAAAATAAGAAATATAAGCGAAGCTTGGGAAAGAACGTCTCATGAAATTTATCGAAATGGTAAGTTTAGAGAAAGATCCAAAAAAATCCACTTGTTGAGCTTGTAGCTGACGTACATCAAAATAATGTACACAGAGACAGTGCAAAGGTTAATTTGGAACCAGTTTGACTTACAATAACATTACATAAACACCAGCAACAAAAAGCTGTGAAATACGATATGGACATTTTAATTGTAAACACAATCTGCACGCGTTAACATGCATACATAAATACCTCTTTCCATTCATTTTCTTTATTTCTTGAATTTTTTCCTCCTTCGGTGGCTTTATAGAGCTTCCACTCGTAAGAAACACGTTGGGTTTGTTCTGAATCATCAACATCATTTACACCTCCTTCATACGCAAGTTTCATCGCCGAAATGCGTTTTTTTTTACAATTCGCCAAACACCTGCAAATAAGTGAACAGAGATCTAGGAATAAATTGAACAGAGATCTAGGAATTAATTGAACAGAGATCTAGGAATAAAGTGAACAGAGATCTAGAAATTAATTGAACCGAGATCTAGGAATAAATAGAACAGAGATCTAGGAATAAAGTGAACAGAGATCTAGGAATTAATTGAACAGAGATCTAGGAATAAAGTGAACAGAGATCTAGGAATTAATTGAACAGAGATCTAAGAATAAAGTTAACAGAGATCTAGGAATAAAGTTAACAGAGATCTAGGAATAAATTGAACAGAGATCTAGGAATAAAGTGAACAGAGATCTAGGTATAGAGTATTGTTGAAAGTTTGAAGCGAAATTAGAAGAGAGCAGCGATGACTCGGCCATTCTAACCAACTTTAAAAAAATTGAATTAAAACCAAGACATTGGTAGAGAATCAGAGAACGATGCTAAAATAAGGCAAAGTGTTGAAAACGATAGTAGAATGAGAGAAAGTGAGGGACAGTGATAATCCACGGACACATTCAAATGATTTGTTTTGCCAGATATTTTCTATTTTCTATTTACCTTACAATCACGTGACATGTTTCCTGGTCTTTAGTGTGTATATTATAATACATCATGGAGCGACGATGATCCTTGATGATAGTCAACCTCAAAGCATACGTGATGTTTGACAAGAGCGTGAAATTAGTGTTTAGGAACAAAAGTTCGCTCGCACTATCGTTGTAGAGAGTTTCAAAACCTTCAACAGAACATCCTGCCTCTTTGGACGTTACGTTTCGCGGTGTATTTTCTGCCTTGCATTCCAAAGAGAGGAATATATTCTCGTAGTCTTTCACACCAACATCGGGATCATGAGATCCTGATGCATCCAAAGTCAAATTCCCTCGATACCATTTAGCCACCCCTGAGCCCCCATAAACAGAGATGATGAGTTGCGATTCGACGATTTCCAAATAACTCTCATCATAGCCATCGACACCTTTTATACCGAGCATCTTGATGGTAAAACGCATCTTGTAAATTCCATACGGCAGTAAGAGAGGATCTATACGAAACCTGAATGGATGCAAATATGTTTTATACCGAGCATCTTGATGGTATAACGCATCATATAAATTCCATACGGCAGTAAAAGAGGATCTATACGAAACCTGAATGGATGCAAATATGTTTTATACCGAGCATCTTATGAATGCTTTATGCAGTGCGGTGCTTGAAATTAAATATAGAATGATCTTCGCACTTTGTTGGACAATTTAAGCAATTGTCTCATGAACCTGAAAAATTCAGGTGACTCAACGGGATCCCGTTGATGGTAAAACGCATCATATAAATTCCATACGGCAGTAAGAGAGGATCTATACGAAACCTGAATGGATTCAAACATGTTTATATTTAGGAATGTCGACGGACACCGAATAGCAGTCTACGGGTTAATAAAAAGTTAATCGGATAATAGGCTTGTTTGGCTGCCAATTCATTGTTGTAACGTGTTTATGTTATCCAAAGGTAACGGATTTTTGTAGCTATAAAATTAAGCAATTTTTCCACTCAGCAAATAATTAGAGCTATGCCATTTTGCTCGCAACCCTCGGCTGAATATAATCTAAGCAAAAATTTCTGTTTCAGAGGACAAAATTATTCCGCGTTCTGCCTCATAAACGGGAAAAGCTTTCCTATCGTCCGCTAAATATTTGGAAAACGTTCGCCGGTTATCACACTTTACGGCATTACCGGTATACAAATCCAGAACATCCTAAGGGGCTGATTACATAAGCCCGGGTAGCCGGGATTCAGAAAAAAGAGATAAATGATATTGGAAAAGATTAAATACTTATCATCAGAATAATCTTCTCGAGCATTTTCACATCATTCTGACTTTATAACTACGAAAAGCATTTCAAATGAAAACAACTATAATGAGACCTAATTTTAGAATTAAAACAGGAATCACTGGTGGCGCTTGAAAGAGAGTTGTACCTTTCACGCCTCACTGAATCTCGGTTAGCCGGGATCATGTAAACAGCCCCTTAATACATAACTGTAGCAAAACAAAAGAGAGTTGTACCTTTCACGCCTCACTGAATCTAGGTTAGCCGGGATCATGTAAACAGCCCCTTAATACATAACTGTAGCAAAACAAAAGAGTTGTACCTTTCACGCCTCACTGAATCTCGGTTAGCCGGGATCATGTAAACAGCCCCTTAATACATAACTGTAGCAAAACAAAAGAGAGTTGTACCTTTCACGCCTCACTGAATCTCGGTTAGCCGGGATCATTTAAACAGCCCCTTAATACATAACTGTAGCAAAACAAAAGAGAGTTATACCTTTCACGCCTCACTGAATCTCGGTTAGCCGGGATCATGTAAACAGCCTCCAAGTATACAAGTATTCAACGATGCTAGTCTTAAAGCGAATCAATCATTCAAAATAAGATAATCTTGTCCACTAACCTTGGGTTTATCCTTTCAACACTTGACGAAAAATTTCTGAGCGTGTCATTTTCCCCTTCCAAAGGATTCACGTCGAAAACTTCCCACAAGAATGAGGTGGTTTTGGATGCTGCACATACAATTTTGTTGGCTGTATCGACGAAGAAAAACTGCGATCGAAGAACTTTCGTTGGAGTTTTTTTGTTTTTATTAATATTGAATACATTGACAACGGGGTATTTGCAGTGATCGTGGAGTACAACTGATTTGTGGAACTGCTCTATCTTCGACACAAGATTGGAGCCGATGATTCGCGGCCAATACACATCAATGGCTTTGTAGGTGTAATTGACCGAGATTATATTTCCTTTCAAAATATATGTCTCGTTGGCAAGGCTAATAAAATCCTTTTCACAATTCGTATTATTGGCATCTTTGTAGAGGTAGTTCTCATCGTCATCTTTACCAAACCTCATCAAGTAACAAGATTCTGTGCCAACTTGATCGATAGTTATGTTGAACGACGTCGAAGTGTTCAATTTTCGAGGATCATCGCTCGTTATCGTAATTCCTCGAACGACTTTCTGAATTCGTATTGTGAAATTTGTCAAATCAAAACTGACCGCATTACTGGCGTTAACACGCGCAGTGAAAAACTCATCACGTGAATATTTGTGAGTAACTGTCGCGTTTTGTGTAGTAGTATCATTTTCACCATCACCGTAAGAGAAAGTGTAAGTAATGTTAGTTCCATCACTGGTCGTGGCATTCCAGATTACGTCATACTCAAGGGGTAAGTAGTTCATAAGTTTACCACGACCGGGAGCAAAATATCCTGCATCACCATCACTGTGAAAGGGAGTTAGCTTCAAATCACGGATTACACGTTGAATTTCCACTCTAAACGTAAAATTCCCCGAGGATATGCGATTGTGAATGGAACAGTTAACCGTAAACCATCCCCAACTTGTGTAAGAATGAACGATTGTTTCGTTATACGATCCATTATAGATTTTGCCATCACCAAAATGCATTATCATATGAGCATCGGTGGGATGCCAGTAGTACACTCCCGGTTCAGGGAAAAAGGTGAAAGTTAGATTTCCTGGAGGGAGACGTTGTGGTGAATTGGTGATAGCCGCCAAATACACCCCATGCTGGCCGTTAACGCTTTTTCTTTCAACCCGCTTCCCCAAACTCCTTTTCAAGTAATTGTTTTCCAAGCTGTTGTTAAGCGTGACTTCAATAAAGAAACGTCCACTTTCTATGAATTTGTGCGACACAGTCCAACCGCTAAATACACCCGGGAACCAACGCGTGCGAAAATTTAACTCGCCAGACGCAGGGTCTTTGAAGTCCCACGTGATTGTCACGTTGGAAGCGTTTGCAGTGATGGTGTAATTAACGGTGTGATTGGTCTCAACAAATTCGGCGTGAATCTCCACTTCCACATTTCTGATTGGTTTATCAACGATGACTGTTCTCGTGAGACTTTGAAGTGGCGTGACAATATTTATCGCAGTGATTTTAACATTGTATATACCGACACGATCCATGAAGTAATGTTTGTCAATCACAGCAGTTCCATTCAACGTGTCCGCTCTTATACTAACGTTGGTTATGTTATGGCTAATCCTTTCCCAAATGTGATAAAACGTTACAACATAACTAATGTTTGTACCATTTTTAGCACCAAAGTTCACCACCAGATCTTCGTCGTTTGGTTGAGGCTTAGGTTGAACAATATCGAATCCTGAAACATTAAAAATACTTTATTGACGGTTCACACGAATGATGAAAACAATCATTCTTAGCTGCAACTCTTAGCTTAAAATCAACGTCAATCAGTAAAGTATTTCAGTTGGTTTCGCATTTAATTACATTTAATCATTACGCTGAAGCAGGAGTGACTTCTCCCCTCCCTCCCCTCCCCTGAGAAACAAATGAGTCTTAAAAGATATGGAGGGTTTTTAATTATATCAGAATAGCGAAACCTAGTGACTAAGCTATCCTACATTATCCTAGGTTAAACGCTTCATTTGATAAAGGTTTGGCAAATGCCAAAAAAACATAACTATACTTACCAGATATAGGAACTTGTACTATGGCTGTGGTGAAGGCTCTAGTAGAATACAGTCTGTTCGTGCAGTTGATTTGAACATAATACACGCCAATATCATTATATTTATGAGAGATTATTTGACTTGTGATGGGCCATTCATACACCTAAATGACAAGAAATTATGTGAATGAACAAAAACGTTTATGTAAAAGTATATATCGGTATACTAGACAACGTAATTAGCTAAGTACCAATGATCAATCTAATATCGATAATATATAATGGTACATGGGATATAGTACGAAATGACACATAGCATTGATAATGAAATGACACGTAGTGTGAAATGACACAAAGCATTGACAATGAAATGACACGTAGTGTGAAATGACACAAAGCATTGATAATGAAATGACACGTAGTGTGAAATGACACAAAGCATTGATAATGAAATGACACGTGGTGTGAAATGACACATAGTGTGAAAAAACATGCGATATTTTTTTGATTTCCAGCAATTTGATTGCTTTCCTGAGCGGGCAGCTTTTTACGATATCTGCCCGTGGGCAGAAGCGATTATTTTTTCGCAATGTATTTGTTTACGAAGTGAAATGTAAATTTTTAAATATGATTTAAAAGCGATATAAATTGGTGAATTTTACTATGAAATGACATAAAATGACATAAAATGAAATGACATAAAATATAGCACGTAGAGACAGAGAGCAGGAAATTACATGCAGTACGAAATTACTCATTAAGAAATAAAAAATGTTTACTGTGTTGGCAGAGACTTAAGCAAACCGAGAGGTCGTGATACTGTTAATAACATCATAAAGGAAGAAAATCGATTTGCAAATTCTCTTTCATTGATTTATGCCCCGTTACACTACGCCGGATTACTATCGTAGTATGTTAAATTTCCTTTGTATTAAAAGGCAGTGAATTAATTCAACGTCAGAAACCCAATCAAATGTATAATCAGGGATTCTCATTACATAATATATGAAATCACATGTGCAGACCTGTGAGTCATCAATCCAGTAACTCGTGTGCCCATATCGATCATCGTCATAATTCCAGGTGCAGTTAAAATCCGAGCCAGTAACCATGGTGAAATTGAATTTGACAAGATCCGTGATATTCGTAGGAGATGTAGTGATCTTGAAACCGGTAAGATTTCGCACAGGCTTGTGTACTTTGACGGGTTGAGTCCAACTAACACGGGACACATTGTTCCATGCAGTAATATTGATCGGAAACACTTTCCAATGATTGTAGCTCTTCGTGATGTTCGTCTCACGCGTGATCAAAGTTGATTGATCTTGGAAATCAAAATAGTGAATCACATTTGTTCCATTGAGTTGCGTCAACTCGATTGCAAACGTTTCATTAACCTCGATATCTCGTTTCGCGTGTCTTACACGTGATTTAATGCCAACGATGGGTCTCTCGACGATGACCATAAAATACAAGGGAATTTTTTTGACCAGATTATAGACGGTGATGTTGACCCAGTACTCGATAGGTCTTGGATATATGTGAAAAACACTTTGTGGCAAAACTCCTTCGATGTCAAGCGAACAGTTCGAAAAGTTCGTCCCATCACCTAAATCAATTTCAATGGTAACGCTCGACCCACTGTCAATAAACCAATAAATTTCCGTTTGATTGCTGAGGCTGAAAGAAAAGGTATTATGGATTTACTAACGATGTAAATACATGGATTTCTTTTGTTGAATTTTAATTGCGGTGATGAAATTCGGAAAAGGACCATTGTTTTTATGAAAGTGTTCAGCGCGAGAGTATTTGATGCGGCGGATGTAGAGCTAAATATACATATATAAATATGGAAAACTAGCTTTACGGGCGATTCTCCCATCACGTTCATCACATTCACACTGTAATTATGCAGTTATTTCTTGCTCTAAGTATAGCCAATCATTTAGACCTTACAAAGTACGGCATATTTATTGTGTCTAAGGATGACATTATCCGAAAAAATATGCTGCAAAGTTTTTCACTGTTCTCCTTAGAGATTCAAAGGCAAATGTTCTGCTTAGAGATACAAAGGCAAACGATTCAATAATGTTGGCAATATTGTATACTTCATCCAATAATTCTAACTTAAACTGAAATAGTCATATTAACATGACACAACACATCATACGGGCAACTTTAAAATAGTTTCATGCCGGCTGTATTTCGAGAGAATTGTCCTTTAGGTAAATGCTTCTTTCCAGCAGGCTTATATCGAGGTAAATTCGATAAGATTTCAGCTTACTATTGCATACAGCTTTCTTTCAACCGCGCGTGGAAAGACCGAGTGGTTTCAAGCATTGACGGGTAGGAAGCATTCCAGTTAAATATTCAAATTTAATATTTCTACCATACTTACTTTGTCGGTAAAACGGGTGTTGTAAGATTCACATCCTTGATGTAGTCTTGAACGATCAACGAGAAATAATCAACTTCATCGGAAAAAAAATTGGACGCGCGTAGAGAGACGTTATAGAGGCCAGCGGTATTGTAGGTGTGATTGAAGACCACAGACTGGGATGAATTGTGTCGCAAGAAAGAATAGCTCGTTCCATCTCTGTAGTCTACAGCATAGGTGACATTAGATCCCTCGCCAATGCTTCCCGTGATTGAGTATGTATCATTGGTAGCAACGACAACGCCGTATGACCACGTCAGATTTCGGATCGGAATTACAGAGAAAATTTGCAAGCTCGAATGAAAATGATGGATGGCATTTGCCAGAGAAACTGCCACGTTATACAAGCCAGGTGGCAGCGTCAAAGGAATGGTTAACCGTTGCTGAATGACGTAGCGAATCTTAATCAAATGCTGAATGTTGACGAGCTGAAAAAAAAGCGAAATTGAGATTGCCACATATTGACATATTGCATTTTGCCACAGTTGCAGTTGACATGGAAAAAACAAAGACTTGTAAGATAATTCTGTCTGTTCTGCAAGGCCACTTCGTTTCTCGGCTCATGTGATACCATTTACCGAGCATTGTAAGTAAGATACAAACAATGTCCCCATCGTCAAATGGTTGGTAAATGGTTTCTGGATTTGTCCCGGATTCATGATGGGTGAAAAATCAATGCTACATTTTTAAAATAGATGTGTAAAACTCATCTTAAAAAACACTTCTCACATGTCAAACATGTCAAAAAAAGACACATTGGCAGAATGTGTAAAACTCATCTTAAAAAAACACTTCTCACATGTCAAACATGTCAAACATGTCAAAAAGACACATTGGAAGAATTTGTAAAACTCATCTTAAAAAACACTTGTCACATGTCAAACATGTCAAAAAAGACACATTGGAAGAATTTGTAAAACTCATCTTAAAAAACACTTCTCACAAGTCAAAACATGTCAAAAAAAAACACATTGGCATTCGAGATGGCGACAAACTTTAAAATGTACTAACGAACTTTCTCGCTTTGAAAAGTATTATGTAGATGTGATTACCTTAACAGATCCAAAACCTGTTGTGACGATGTTTCCCTTTATCAAACTAGATGGTTCAACCTTATAAAGACCTTCGAAGCTCACGTGACTTTCAACACTCAAATTAGCAGCACCGGACGGGGGGTAGTATACACAAACAACGTCATTCTCTTTAACATCAACATCTTCATCAAAGGCGAGTGCATTGTACTTTCCACCATCAGTGACAACAATCTAAATGAGAAGGGGGAGTGTACATCAAAACATTTAGTTCTGTTTTTCCTCTAGTACATTGTTGTTCACGTTTTTAACGTACCAAATGCATTAACAGTAATAATATACCTTCAAACTGCACATGTTCAACAATTGAGTAAGGAATCATTGCAATACACACAACAAAATGATTGATAGCTAAGGAAAAATAACTCTACGAGTTATGAGTTAGTACTGTAGTAACCAATCAAATGTTTAAGTAAGCTAAGCACCAATCGAGTACGGTATCTTGGAATACACACTTTGTCAATGATGCTAGCTAAGGAAATAGCTAAGGAAAAATAACTCTACGAGTTATGAGTTAGTACTGTAGTAACCAATCAAATGTTTAAGTAAGCTAAGCACCAATCGAGTACGGTATCTTGGAATACACACTTTGTCAATGATGCTAGCTAAGGAAATAGCTAAGGAAAAATAACTCTACGAGTTATGAGTTAGTACTGTAGTAACCAATCAAATGTTCGAGTAAGCTAAGCACCAATCGAGTACGGTATCTTGGAATACACACTTTGTTAATGATGCTAGCTAAGGAAATAGCTAAGGAAAAATAACTCTACGAGTTATGAGTTAGTACTGTAGTAACCAATCAAATGTTCGAGTAAGCTAAGCACCAATCGAGTACGGTATCTTGGAATACACACTTTGTCAATGATGCTAGCTAAGGAAATAGCTAAGGAAAAATAACTCTACGAGTTATGAGTTAGTACTGTAGTAACCAATCAAATGTTTCAGTAAGCTAAGCACCAATCGAGTACGGTATCTTGGAATACACACTTTGTTAATGATGCTAGCTAAGGAAATAGCTAAGGAAGCATGACTCTACGAGTTATGAGTTAGTACTGTAGTAACCAATCAAATGTTTCAGTAAGCTAAGCACCAATCGAGTACGGTATCTTGGAATACACACTTTGTTAATGATGCTAGCTAAGGAAATAGCTAAGGAACCATGACACTACGAGTTATGAGTTAGTACTGTAGTAACCAATCAAATGTTTCAGTAAGCTAAGCACCAATTCTCCATTATTGACAAAGTTATTCGCAAATTTTACGATTGACAACCCAACTACATGCGCTTAATATGTTCATCCGTCAAGCGACACTCCCGCAAGAAAAAATCCAGTGCTTACTTTAATTACACGCGGCTTTTTTCACAACCTACCTCCTTCGATAAAATCACTTCGTATTTTTGGTCTTTGCTAGGGATGAATCTGTGTGTTTTTTTAGCAGGCAAACATGTTTGATTTCCTCTTTTTAAACACCGATTACGTGATAAATGGAACACTTTATCCTCAGAACAATCATATGAAGAAATATCACACTTTGGTTGGTGATAGGAGCAATTCATTGTAATGTCACAGTACTCGCGATTGATGCCTGAACCACAAATGGGACGTAGTAACTGAAATATATGAAAATAAAATGAGGCTATGGAACAGTATAGAGAACATACAGTAGAGCCACTCCATTGATTTTTTTGTGCCACGCATATCTCATTACGCATGGGATTACCATAGTGGCAGCCAGTCAATTACAATTTCTGACCAATATGAATGATGAAATGGCTTACGGCAGCCAGTAATCTTATTAAATATACAACAGCCAGTTGCACAGCGATGTGGTCCTACTGTATGTTCCCTATACTGTAGCCATGGCATTAACATATAGATCAGTGGCGGATCTAATGTAAGACAAAATAAATTACTGCAGCATATTTTGGCATGTATTTACATATTTAAGTATCTTAGAGGCAAATCCATGGGTAAAATTATATTCTTTAGCAATTCAAAACCAATAGTGTTTTTCTGAAAGTAGCAACTTTGAATTTAAAACTGAGCAGCTATAATTTATATTGACTAACTATGGATCCGCTACTGATATAGATATCATATTTTATTGGAAAAACATTAGAGTTGGGTTGAGCTTTATTAATTGGCTGTAAGAACGTTCCCCAGTTGGAAAATATCCCCTGATTTCACGGCTATGTGTCACACAAAAGATAATGTTTCTTTTTCTTTGCTGAGAACGGTGTACTTGTTCCTGTAGGACCACAAGGCAGCCTACCACAGATTGTACAGAATTTACGATGTTTTGAGATGTACTCGAGAGTCAGGCGGAAATTGCTGTTTACATCCTTGATAAAAACAACGTTCTCCCCTTCAACATTTTACTCCCGGCGTGTCCACCCATAAAAAGTCAGTACTAGCTTCAGTCAGAATTTTATTCGATACATTTTAGTTTCATGATCAAACATTTTTCTTTCTTAAACTTACCACAACCGACACGCTTCCATTTGATACAGCATAAACTTCAATTGAATAGACTTTGCCGAGCTCGAAAAATGATGACGTAAAGTATAAGCTTCCACTTCGTAAAATATTGTAACTTTTGTTACGAATCGCACCCAATGATCCCGCGACGCCCTCTATAAAACGAGAAATGATATCACTGGATAATCATGCGACACGTAAAAGTCCGTGAAAGTTACGTGAAGTTGCTGAAAGTCATGCTATATCTCCATGATCAAAAAACCTTTCACTATCCCTCCTTCAAAAACACACTGTAGTAACATAATATTTTTGCATTTTTTCTCGGAACTACAATCAATGAAATGAATTTAGTAAAAAATGAACGATAATTTGTATGAAAACTTTGCATTGCTGGAGGAAAAACTCGTTCTGGTTTCGCAAAGTACTTCACAATACAATGAAAAAGCAACCATGAAATAAATATCAAACTAAAATCAGTACAGCATTTTCAATAGAATGAATTAATTTAGTACTTACAAAAACTGACATCGTTTCAACAGCGAGAAGCTATTCTTTTGCGCGTTGTACTTACTTGGCAGAAATAATGCATGAACTTGCTTTGAATTTATAGTGTAATTGAAGACATCAATTTCACTAGAGAATCCTTCAAGTACGCATTCGTATTGCGTGTTAGACAAGATCAACCATGGGCAATAGAAGGTTAGATTTCTCGTTGATGTGGTGACGAATACTGAACGTCGTATTTCATACAAGTTTGCAAAAATTCCACTGGTTTCAACAGATATCGTCAGAAACTGTAAAATATCATGTAACAACGATTGATTATACAACAAAGCATTGAAATCAACAAAAAAACAACTCAAATTCTCAATCTTGATTTTTTATCTTGATGATAAAACCTCAAACTGTCGTAACACGTTTACAACCGTTGAGCTCAGTTGATTATGATGTACAACCGTTGAGCTCAGTTGATTATGATGTACAACCGTTGAGCTCAGTTGACTATGATGTACGACCGTTGAGCTCAATTGATTATGATGTACAACCGTTGAGCTCAGTTGACTATGATGTACAACCGTTGAGCTCAGTTGATTATGATGTACAACCGTTGAGCTCAGTTGATTATGATGTACAACCGTTGAGCTCAGTTGACTATGATGTACAACCGTTGAGCTCAGTTGATTATGATGTACAACCGTTGAGCTCAGTTTATTATGATGTACAACCGTTGAGCTCAGTTTATTATGATGTACAACCGTTGAGCTCAGTTGATTATGATGTACAACCGTTGAGCTCAGTCGATTATGATGTACAAACGTTGAGCTCACTTTATTATGATGTACAACCGTTGAGCTCAGTTGATTATGATGTACAACCGTTGAGCTCAGTCGATTATGATGTACAAACGTTGAGCTCACTTTATTATGATGTACAACCGTTGAGCTCAGTTGATTATGATGTACCAACAATGCCAATACTTGACCTCGGTTGATTATGGTGTGTATTGCGCACATACAAACAATAAAACATTTCTCGCAATAGTTCAACAGTTTATCTATAGGGGCAGCGTCAAACCAAACGTTTTGCTTGCAGGATATGAGTTGGTGCGCAAATATTTTTATGCTTACCTGAACCCCCAAATCACGAAATTTGATATCGTATGACGATAATGACGTTGAAAAAGCCGAATCCTTTTGATATAATCGAAAAACTGTTTTATTCCGAGCATTAAGTCCAAGAGTTAAAGGCGTATCGTAAATAGCCCAGGTGGTTGGCATGGTAACTTTTACGTCATCATTCTTGAAGTTTGCTACATGATACACGGCGTAATGATTTTTGCCGCCACAAGTAAGCACTCTCTCGTTATGACAAGGTTCGTTGCATAAATCGCTCAACACAAAGTTGGTATTTTCTAGTGAACTCCTGCAATAACATTCTCCACCATTGACCAGCAAAGCGTATCTTAGGGCAACTTCACCGCAAGCAATAATGCAGCGATAAGGATCTGAGGCCGACTCAAATGGATAGCGCGATGTTGTGATGGAGGACTGGGGAAGACAACCAATGTAACCGTGATCTGAAATGATAGATTAAAATTGGTTACACGAGTAAGCTATGAAGTACTACCTAAAGCAAATCCGTAAAGTACTCAACAAGTTTTCTAAAATCAGGAACAGAACCACTTAGGATATATGATAAAATTCATCCTTTAGCTGCACACATGTACAGAGGAGTAGAGACATCCACAGCCATGTACACAACACTTCTAATGTTTTGCATCGTACGCAAAATAAAAAAAAGAAATGAAGTCAGTCAACTTACATGTTCTGTTGCCAATAAGCTCTATCTTTAAAGCAATTTTGTTGTTAAATTCCAGGGGTAAAATTCTTAACCAACGCGTGATGAAGGAAACACCGAGATGAAATACACTCTTTCCTGTGCTATTATTTGCTGAGAATACCTAAAAAGTCATTAAACCACAAAAAAATAAGGTATGTTGACTAAAGGAAAACTACTGATAACCGTTTGTTTGCACACGATAAAGAATACATAAAGTTAATGGTTTGAACCCGGGAGTATCGTTACATGTTTGTAGATGTAGATCGTCCAGGTTGGTATAGTCCTGAGAAGGACTGTTTTTGTTGTTGTTGACTGACGTTTCGACAACCTTAGAGGTAGTCATCTTCAGAGTCATTTTGACTTTGCAAATATGTAAAGAATACATAGTTAGACAAAAAAGGTCAATGTAACACTTAAGAAATAAAATATGTTTACTTCTTAGCACAGGCTAATGCAAATAAATGGTTCGATAAGCGCATGCGTCGTATTGTTGATATTTTATAGAAGTTAATGACAAAGGGAATACAACAAATGCATGTTGCGTTTTCCTTTCACGAGCACTTTATTACGAGCGTCATTAGTTTTTTCATTTCACTCGCCATCTGCTGGCAGAGCTGTAGTGAGTAAACTCATGACGATGAATAAAACAAAGTTTTAAAGATAATATTCTTTTGCTGTTCTCATAAGGGCAGTCGAAGATGTGTAACAACCTTATCACTTCCATTATTGTTCTTTAAAACGTGCCACGTTTTTGAATCATCGCTTCGAGCAATCTTTAATTTCTTTACGTAGGCATTCAACTTCTCGTTGCCTTGAATTTCGAAACCATGTATTTCCATGACGACAAGTAAATCCATTTGAAGATACTGCTGATCATCGGAGATGCTACTAACCCATCCACCTAAAAAAATGATAAAACAAAAAAAGACAATCAAGGGTTTTGAATTGCACTAAAAACAGCAAAATAAAAGGCTATTCTCGATAAAAGGCTATGGATGACCTAATAATTATGGTTCAACTGCACGTAAAATGGTTTGGCGATGACAGCAAGATCACCTTTAGGTAAAAATTGCATGCATTGATACAATAACATACAGAAATACCTAAAGACATCCTCGCATTTTGGGGAGGTCCAAATTCTGTGAAGCTGGACGCTGTAAAAAGTTTATCGGGCCAACGGAAACTGTCGATTGCTAAACTTGATGTCGTTCCAAATCCTGTAGCAAAATAAAGCACAGCAGAATTAAATTATGACCAACAGTCGTAAAACATTTTCACTCGATACGAGAAGCCATGTACATCTGAGTTATCCTTCATGATACCATTATGGCTTATCAAGCCAGATGAGAGGATAGGCAGATGCATGAAGAGATGGACTGGCTTTACAGAAAAGACATTCCTTCGAAATGAATGATGAGAGGCTATGTAGTAGCACTAAGGAACAGGATTGGCTAAATGAAAAAATCATTCGTAGCAAATGCACGATGAAAAAATACGTGGTAGCACTGAGGGATGCTGTTGGCTAAATGGAACAGACATTCAGAGGAAATGCAAGATGCGAGGATATGTGGTAGAAAAAAGTGATAGGTTTGGCTAGATGGAATGGGAATTCAGAGGAAATGCAACATGAGAGGATATGTGGTAGCAATGAGGGATTAGGTTGGCAACATGGAACAGCCATTCAGAGGAAATGCAAGATGACAGGATGTAGAGAAGCTTTAAGGGATACGATTGGCTAGATAGAACAGATATTCCATGTTGTTCATGCGGTTATAAAATGTACCATACTGGTTTCAGCATTTAATTCAATAGGAACGTACTTGGTTTTATACCAGCGCAATAATACAGTTCCTGAAATTCAGAGACCGTCATCTTTCTTTCCCAAACAGCAAAATTACTGAATGCAGCGTCGATGAAAGAAATTGGAATCACTGGTGATCCGCCAAAAGTGAGCTCGCCAAATCTCGACCCAGGATATCTTGCTGTTCCTTTGATCTTCGTTGTAAGATCAAAAAGACACAGAAGTCCGTCACTTAAATGCCACGAGCATGCAATCCAATGCCATGTTTGCAGCATTACTTTCAGAGAGAGACGCCATTGCTGTTTTGCATTTTGGAACTCAACTTCGACATCGTGAGGGTTCATACGATCTATAATTGAACAAAAAATTGTTACGAGATGACTGTATCCCAGTGGGCAGGTCTCGGAGTGTATGCAGAAGCATTGACCACGTGAGAGCAAGGCCCTTCAGAAGCATTGGACCACGTGAGAGCAAGGCCCTTCAGGCGCATTGCACCACGTGAAAGCAAGGCCCTTCAGAAGCATTGGACCGCGTGAGAGCAAGGCCCTTCAGAAGCATATCAGTAAAGGAGCTTGGACATACATCAAACAAAACAGTAGAAAATATACTACCTGTTACAACAGGGGAAAGAATTGAAAATCCTTGGTTTCTTCTTCCACCAGTAAGATAAAAGCTGATTTTGTTTGATAAGGAGACGACTTTCAACCATAAAGAAAACGAGTATCCATTACAACAAAAATTCTCCTTGTACAAGCAAGAGCTTGAATCATAAAGGCTCATGGGATCCTTGTTGATATGAATTGCTGGAAGATTTCCAAACTCCAACGATGGACCATCCTTGCTCATGGCAAGTCCAGGCGCATTCCAGTATGTCTTGCTACGATAGTCGATGACTCTATGCATAGAGAGTTTATCGAATCGCCAGTAATGAAATGCATCATCGTAACAAGACGCTATAAATAATCCAATAAAATTACTTCACTAAGTTAGACAGATGTTCATGGAATGAAATATAAAATCGATAAAACTATTAATGGCAGGTACTTGTTTTAACATATCGTGCAATTTGATTGACTGGTGACAGGCCTGGATACCCCATCCTCACCACAGTTATCCTTACTGACCATTACTTCACTAACTTAGACTGATGTTAATGGAATGAAATATAAAATCGATAAAACTATTAACAGCAGGTACTTGTTTTAACATATCGCGCAATTCGATTTGCTAGTGACAGGCCTGGATACCCCTTCCTCACCACAGATATCCCTTACTGACCGAGGACATCCCTAAAGGACGGGGATAACAGCATCTTCAATCTTCTTCAATGAAGGGGGAACGATACAATATAGAGAAAGCATAACTAAATATGGACATAAATTGAGAACAAACCCTCTTTGTCGCAGTACATTATCAACTCTGATTCGTCTGATATAAATTTTACGAAGGGAGGTGTGACATCACAATCTGTTGCAGTGTAATTCAACAGCACAGTCGCGCCTGATCCAATAACAATCGTTCCTGTTTTTCTCATGTCCAACCAGAAAGGAATCCAATGTTTACCAGCACCAATATCGGGAATTCGAGTTGGTCCGGCCAAAATTCCCTTTCCATCGAATAAATGAACAGCTTCATTGAACAAAACAGAGTATGAAATTTTTCCAAAAGAATCGTAGAACTCCAGGGTTGCGTTTTTGATATTTTGACGCCAAAACGAAAATACTTCACCATGGATGAACAAGTTTGACGCATTTTTACCAGATTCAAAATCTAAATACTTGCACACGGTGTCTGAAAAAAGTAAAATTATAAGCTCGTGACGAAACTGTGCAGAATCGTGTTACAAAAAACAACCAACGATAGATTGAATAAATGTTGTCTTAAGTTAAAGACGAAACGTTATTAATAAATCTTTCTCTATTTTATTATTGTGATGGCTTTTTTAAAAGTCTTATGTTGGGCTATTATGTTCATATTGAAAAGATCGAATAACAATGTCCGACTTAACATAACGAATTAAAGATATATGCGGGCCCTATACTAAACATCAAAACTTGTTTATAAAACGAGTATATTTTCTAAAGCAACTATCTGTATAGCATTGCGCTAAAATATCTTAAGCATATACAGTAGTCGTAAATGAACAAAAAACGTCGTTGATAATTGGCAAAGCGCGACGTGTTTGCCTAAAACAGCACAGAGTGAAATTTGAATTTGTGATGAACTCTTCCATACGCAGCTTTAATTTTATATTTCTATGTTTTCAACATGCTACAATAATTTTCAAACAAATAAACTTCACATATTACAGACAACGTGGAAAGAGCGTTTATACCAAAACAACAGACATACCATCTCTACATACGCCATTATAGACCTCCACTTCGGTGAAGCGTACGATTCCGATGTCGTATTTGAATAGGACGACCAAACGTATCCATGACACCACTCGAGGACTGAATGTGAACTCTTCAGATGCCTGAGATTCTGCCGATAATTTTATCTAAAGACATTCATAAATCGTGTTTAGAAAGATGTACGTAAGTTGTAGTAAAACTCTTCAGATGAGAAGGATACTGCCGATAATTTCATCTAAAAACATTCATAAATCGCGTTTAGAAAGATGTACGTAAATTGTAGCAAAACTCTTCAGATGCGAGGATACTGCCGACTAGTTTATCTAAAGAACATTCATTAATTATTGTACTTCTAATAGTTTTCAAAATAATCAGCCACGATTTCTACACTTGTAACTTCATTTTTTGAACTGCGCCAATAAAATATAGTTTAAAAGTCGACATTTCGTGTTTTGAAATCGATCATTTTACCCAAACACAAACATGTGTGTGTACTATCTTATCCATACCGAATGCTTAGATCCATCAGAGAACTCAACTGACATCTCACCAACGTCTACAGAACCATCATAATCCGTGATAACAATGGTATCAATAAGATATGGCCTCGCCAATTCAATTTTAACTATTTCGTCCGAATAAATATCAACGTCAGACCATTCGTAAGACAAATTTCCATCGTTCAAACGGGAACGTTTCAGTTCGACTCCGTCAACGATGACCGATGCATTTCCTCCGTTTTCCTTTAAAGCGAGATTGTAAATTGTGCATTGGACGAAATCTACAAAAAAAAGGACACACTCTCTTATATATAATGCTAAGCCCTCAATCTATCACTGTTTTCTTATAATATTAGATTTCATTACGATGAAAATTGCGGCTATGTATACAAAACCGGACAACTTTTTGGAAGTGACAATAAAGAAAAACATAGGAACTCTATCACATAAACATTGTTAAACAAATCACACGCACTGAGCTCAATGTAAATGTGAGAAAGTCCACTTTTTGCTAAGGCTGTTATTCGCATGGTTTACACATCTACTTTTCAACACTTGTGTTATTCAAAAGCCCATATTGTACAAAGTTCTCACAAAAACTGAAAATTTTTAATCGTTTTTGGTGTGGACGAAAGCATTAAAAATGGGAAATTAACCGAAGTATTGACGAAAAATATAAAACAAGAAGCGACAGGTTGAAATACACACGCAGACATTTTTAATTCATCGCTGACGTCAAAATAAAACTATTTGTTCACTAACCCCACTTTCATGATAAAAAGCAAAATTTATACTATCCATTTATAACAAGACATCTACACATAGATCGTTTGGGGCGATATAGCATTATGAAGCGAATATTTTGTAAGTGGTAAGAATAAATTATTAAATTTTCAAACGAGATACGTTCAGATAACATAGAAAGCGAAATACGGCACTTGCTTGAGAAAAAGAAAAAAACTTAATGGCTGGCGTCATTAATTAAGTTCTACATCAAATCACTTTGAAAAATAATTCCATTATACTTAAAAACGCGATTATTCAATGGCTAAACTGTCCAATTTTCCTTTTAATAGAGAAGGAATACAAACAAACAACAATTCTCAACAATGAAAACCTCTTACACATCATCAAGAAGTGAAAACTTGTCATTTCTTTTACATAAAATGAAAATGCTGACGAAGTAGATCAAAAGAGAACTTTAAAACCCAGCTGAGAAAAGGAACAAATCTAGAGCCTACTAAACCACTATATATACTCTCAAATTTACACTCATTTGTACAGAAAATCACCTGTAAGCGACCATATTTAAAATTATTGAAGAATGCAAACTCATTTCGAACAAATGTTGCTTTGCTATTCTCTACTATACAACATATAAAGGCCGAAGAAACATACCTGGCACAGTGCTTGCATCAGAACTTGTGCTCCAAACTATCTAAAATAAAGAAGAAAAAATTGCAACAAAGTGCAAGATTGAGCTGGACGAGAAATTTTACATCGCAAAAAACACACAAACTTACAGATAGGGAACAGAAGCATACAGCGTAACGCAAGAAACGCATTCCTCCGGTAACTACACCACTATTCATGTAATAAAGACTTTCTCTAAAGGCAAGATAAAACTCATACATTACCTGTACGCAATGTGCTTTCATATCATCTGTCGATGTTAATAATTGATGAATGCTCTTAAACAACGAACGACAGGTATATGCATCGAATAGTAAGTAATTAAAAAAGTCGCCATTACTCTTTCATCTAACTGCATTAAATGGGACCTGCAACAATAAAAGTAATTATTATATTCTGCATACGTTGTTACCAAGGGAAACGATACAGGTATCGCATTAATATGCCTTTGCTGTAACTATATTAAAAATTGGGGGTGGGGTCGAGTTGAATCGTCACAAAGTTTCGTAGCGTGATGCACTTGAAGAAAAAGTTAGCCACAGTAAATAGATATATGTTATAAGTACTTTAGTTGAACAACACTCCTTACCACTCAGAACTGTCCTACGTACGTTCCAGCAAGATGACACATGAATTAGAGCAATGGTTTAAGGCTTTTTATCAGATATGTTTCCACTGACGATGACCAATCTCTACTTTCATCCACAAGATCAAACTCAGATATGTTTCTACTGACGATGACCAATCTCTACTTTCATCCACAAGATCAAACTCAGATATGTCTCCACTGACCATGGCCAATCTCTACTTTCATCCACAAGAGCAAACTAAGATATGTTTCTACTGACGATGACCAATCTCTACTTTCATCCACAAGATCAAACTCAAATATGTTTCCACTGACCATGGCCAATCTCTGCTTTCATCCACAAGAGCAAACTCAGATATGTTTCCACTGACCATGGCCAATCTCTACTTTCATCCACAAGAGCAAACTTAGATATGTTCCCACTGACCATGGCCAATCTCTGCTTTCATCCACAAGAGCAAACTTAGATATGTTTCCACTGACCATGGCAATCTCTACTTACATCCACAAGATCAAACTCAGATATGTTTCCAATGACCATGGCCAATCTCTACTTTCATCCACAAGATCAAACTAAGATATGTTTCCACTGACCATGGCCAATCTCTACTTTCATCCACAAGAGCAAAGGTCTACAAGACCAAAAATAGAGCACGCCTAAAGGGAATTCTTACACGTTAAGAAATATACATGCAATTCTGGAGTCCAGGTTTATATTAGTTAGTTTACAACTCAGAAAGCAATTCTAGGAAATTTATAAGAAAACGCCGAGGGTACGAGAGAGTGAATTTCTCAGTATTTGACATATAGGAGAGAGAAAATTAGGCGATAAATACACCAGCAAGGTTATTTCATTCAGAATAACAACCCAACCTCACCTCGTTGTACGGTAGTAACTCTCGAGAAAGAAATGAGCGTTGTGATTGGCTTTCTCGAGTGTGACGCTGTTCAAATTAAGTCAAAAAACATATCACGTGAGACCATTGTGATGTAAGTTTACTTACTTTGTAACCCCATGTGATGTGCAAATGCATAATGCACACAGCTCACGTGATATGTGTTTAAATTACACGTGACCTCAACAACTAGATGAACTAATAAATTAGCGCGAACAGGAAAGATGGATAAAGAATGAAAACTTTATGATGCATCGTAAATGAAATAAAATTTATAGAAAAGTGCTGGTGTGGGACACAAAAAATAACAAGACCGAAAATTGAATTTTGCACCGTAACAACTTGCAAATAAAAAAAGACTTTTGTAGATGGAAAATTGACTTTAATCATTAACAGGAGACAAACTTTAAAGAACCAAAGTAGTTCACACGATTTCCACCACGACATGATACTCCACAGAGAAATTTGATTAAAATTAACCAAATTTCATCTAGGTTCTGCAGTAAGGAAATTGTTCATGTACTTAACTTTGCCTTGTTTAGTCATACTCCAAGTCTTCAATGAGTTTCATAAACTTTCTTCGACAGCAAACACAATCTGTATTCCACATCGTTTTAGAGATGATCAGAATCGCCTTCCCTGTCCTGGTAAAGCCGAAGGATCATCTTTGTTGGCCTTTGGATTTCTTACTGTTTCATCAATAGACAGGATCAGACATGCTGCCTCGGTTGCCGCTGTAAGAGCGTTGATACGCACTATCGCGGGCTCCCAAACACACGCCTCGTAGTTATCCGCAATATCTTCACGTGTGATATCGACACCATACCACATAGCACCTTAAGATAATAGAAAGAAGCATTTTGTATTTATCTATTAGAGTATTGAGAAGTTATTTAAGATGTTCTTGTCTATATGAAAGCCGTTCTGTAATCTATCAACTCAGTGAAGTGTGTTTCTAAAGTAGTTTTTTAATATGTCAAAGCCGCTCTATTATATCTACCTTGAGCATGTTTTTGACGTAATTTGTTCAATATGTTGGTAGCATCAAAGCCAGCGTTGTCACAAAGTTGTCTTGGGATAATTTCCAGAGCCTTCGCCATTGCAGCAATCAACAGTTGCTCCTTGCCAGCAATGCTACGCGAATGTTCGCGAAGATATCTGCTCAATTCCAGTTCGATCGCCCCACCGCCAGCAACTATGGCATCATTTTTAATTGCGCGTCTAACGATCATGATGGCGTCGTGCAGAGATCGTTCGGTTTCATCCATAAACTGCTCGGCTCCCCCTCGCATGATGATCGTACATGTTCGTGCCTCGGGGCAACCTTTGAACATGTTGTATCTACAGGAAATCAAAGAACTTGATGTAACACGAGTGATTATGAGTAAGTACGAGTAAAAATACGCCAAACATCATAACAAACATAACAACAAGAACTATGTACATCTACCTTTCACCGCCAACTTGAACTTCTTCAAACAGCTCACAAGTTCCAAGAACATCAGAAGTCAAGCTATTTGCCGAGGTCTGTATGGACCCCCCACAAGCTTTCATTGTTCTTTTCAAATCTTCTTCAGCCACACGACCGGCACAAAACATGTCTCTAAAAGATAGAAATTAATAAGAACATTTTATTCTTGCTGTGGAATCTAAGAGGCAACTATTGACATAACCAGCACAAAACACATCTCTTTAGGGAAGAAATTGATAAGCTCCAGGCATTACGTCACCTGTCAGCAAAATACTGCGTGGCTACGTCACCAATTGGTAGTTTAGATAAAATAACTTGAGCACCACTTTTCACGAGTTTCTCCAGTTTGTCATACAATATATCCCATTCGGCATCAACAACTTGCTGATAATCCTTTGAAGTTCAAAAATACGTCACGAATGTCTCCATTGTTTTATTATGTGATAAAACTTCCAAGTTTTAAGGTTTGAACATGAAGTTTTATGAACGTTAAACATGTGCTCGGTAAGAAAGCAGGGTTAGAATGAACATAGTGCAATGGAAAATTTGGAGAAGGTTTCACCTGAAACTGAGAAAATTGCACGTAGCGTGCTTTTCGTATATAAAGTTACGCATCATTTTTCCTCGACTAATACAAACTGTATAAATAGTACCTCCACAGTGTTGACTCTAACTTCAGCGTTTTCTTTCTCAGACTTAAGTTCCAGTTCAATGTTAAGGAGAGCAATTTTGGGATTGACGTATTTCTTTGGTTGCATTTCAAAGCCTGCATACGAAAATGACTTCTTGAAGGCAACACCAGCAACAAGTTGCGTGTCCTGAAAATTCCGTCAAAGTTTTTAAAGGAATTAAATATTATTTTATCATATGACAATCAGGGATGGATGTAACGGTTCAACTGGATCTATTTGCATCGATTTTTGAGAAATTCAATAATTTGGTCATAAATATTCAGATAAATCATTTGCGCATGCGCCCGTCTGCTTGAGTATGCGCAGTCGACTTGAGCAGCTTCCCAAGTTCATGGTCATGGCAACGACCAACTGCATCTACTAGCGCTGATTTTGAAGTAAATAGCATGCTTAGTAACAATTTAATAGAGAAATCATCTGCGCATGCGCTCAAGGATGCGCAATCCACTCGACTAATTGTTCATAGTCATAGCAACGACTAACTATATGTACTTGCACTACATTTGTGGCAATTATATAACTTAGTCGCAAATTATCAAAGAAATAATCTGAGCACGCGCACTAGTGACTTCAATAATACCGCAACTTTCGTAAGCATTTGAATTTTTGTATATATATATAAAGGTAAAATTTCATATAGTAGATGTCAACTAGCAGTGGAAGCCGGGTGCGATATGTATGCAGTGGCTTAGGGGCCCAGACGTTTCGGGTCGCGACCGCACTCTCCCTGCGTACCCCGAGCAAAGCCTATCGCAGGTGATCTCGGGGTCCGATGGGCGGAAGCTTGCTATTGCATCTCCCAAGTAGGATAGCGTGGAGGGGCCGAAATCTCCTACCGAAACGTTAACATGCGGCGTTCTAGTGCCTCGGCTTAAGAAGGTATCGGGAAGCATGGACCGAAAACGGGGTTTTTTGCTTTCGAATTTTATCTTTTGTTCTCATTAAATAAACCACGCAATGTTTCAATCAACTTCTTCTTCTGACACTGTGCTTTTTTCTTACAGTTATTATTTAAGACAACCTTGTTTATACAATTTTATTGGTTTATCTTTCTCTCTTTCTCATTTACTGTTTCTCATGTATCACGAGCAAACCATACATGGGCTTCATGGCAAACGAGGATTATCTGGTTCCCTTAATTGCTTTAGTGCTCAACAATCTTGGGGTATTGGGAGGCATGGACCATAAACGTTACCATGGACCAAAAACGGGATTTTTTTTTCAAAATTTGTCTTTTTTCTTTACAACAATTCTTCTCATAAAAGAAACTAGAACATCTGATGACGTTACTTAGTACACTTGTATTGTTCTTCCTTTCATCCCGAGAAGTCAAGCTTTTTTCCGAAAGGATGAAACCAATATAAAATTTCTGAAACTGTACAGGAACTAGGAAGTACAGCTTGACAATAAATGTGTGTCAACAGATGCAATAGCTATTGAACTCTACCTCAAGGGCCCACCAGAGACTTTTTTCATTCCAATCATGTTCAATGGGAGTAATTCATCTAACAGCATCACAGCATCAACAACCATTTTGGAGAAAAACTCTTTTTGATTAGCTATAAGCTTTGAACTCATGGCTGTTGCAGCACATTTTTCAATAAGCTTCTCATCTCTCTAAAATCAAAAATTTCTTCAACACATTTCAGTTTGCTGATACTGGAACATATACTCAGCTAAACTTACATTGGATCATCTTTCTTTATTTGGACAGCTATATCCCTGATCTTCTTTATTGCCTGGATGATTAATAAATCAGTAATATTACATTTGATAAGTGGGAAAGAAATGGGGGAGGGTTGAAAGAAATGTGATAATAAAGAAACCTTATAGCTATAGAACCATCTGTTTAATAGGAATCGCACAAGTTTAAAAGTGGCAAGCAAATTGAAGAGTATCTTTATTCATTTCTCTAAAAATCTATCGTTATTCCTGTTGGTACAAAGCTCTACATAGGTATCTTGGTGTTGAGCATTGCCATTATGCTTTTTTTCAAATATATTCACATAAGATGGCAACAGAACTCATCCCAAACACCAATGATACAGACCGTAGGTTCTAAAACTCAACATTTTACACACAGTATAAATGGCACTTCAATTAATATCAACACTTACAAGATTGGCAGCCTTTCTGTAACTTTTTATGATAACCTGTGGATGTACACCTTCCTCAACAAAAGGTTTAGCCATTCTGAGAAACTCGCTTGCCAATAAGGTAACACTGGTGGTCCCATCGCCGACCTAAAATCATGCGAAGACACTTAAGGGAAAATGTGAAATTTCTCTGCAAGCTGTGTCACAAAACATTTCACCTCGGCATCTTGGGATTTGGCGATGTCAACTAAAGTTTTTGCTGCTGGGTGTACAACATCCAATAAGTTGATAATGGTCGCTCCATCATTTGAAATAGTTGCTTTGCCTGTGAAATGTGAACAACATATATTAAATTTGAGCAATATAATTACTTAATTATTGATATGGTAGCAACAACAGCGCTTTCCAATAGCAGAGTAGCAAAAAAAAACTGTAAATTTGAAAACCCATAGACAAAAGTTAACATGGGATAGCTACGATTTAAATTTTGAAACATAATCAATTCTACATGCACAGTATTCAGGAATTTCCAATTACGAGCAAGTAGGACGCTTGGTCATTGTACAAAACACATTGTATAAAAATGTAAAGCATGAATCATAAAAAACTGTACATAAAACGACCGTCAACGTTGTTTGTCCTAACCTGCGCTGTCAACAATCAGTTTGTCCATTCCCCTTGGACCAAGTGTTGTCCGTACCGCGTCTGCCACATATTGACATGCATTTATATTACTGATCAGTTGCGGCTTTCCTTGGGAGGTATCTGTCCCTTCTTTTAATAAAATGATACCCGGCTGCTGTCAGAAAAAGTTACAAACTTGCAGTAGACATAACACACCTTCTGTCCTATTTTAGAGGTTTCTCTTATCTGATGCAAATAACATAAAGCTTGTACAAAATCAAATCTCACTTGGTAAAGTATGACAAAAACTGCTTACAGTATGATGGAAAAAGATTCAAAAGACTCACCATGTTTTGATAATTATGACTCCCTTTCTCTGCTCTCAGCTGTCAACAAAAGAGGAATTTTAAATGTTGAATTATTGAAAGTTGGAGTGGAAGCACGTGTGATGCAGGATTACTTTGTGTTAGGCGAGCAAATTGGACTTTGAAATTGAGAAATATGATCCGCAAAAAATTTTGTTTGTTGGGTATAGGTTCTGGTCATTAGCAGAATTCCTATTTTAAAAATCAACATCAAGTTTTATCATCCAACTCATTACAGATGTATTGGTCGATACCAATGCCCAGTTTCGATACCAAAATTACTTCAAAATCTTGAGTTGAAGATTTTAATTACGAGAATGATTAAAATACACTAAAATCTCCACTTACAAACACTTCTCTTAATATGTTATTAATATGTTATTACTTGTCACAGCCTGTCATAACTATACCAAACACATCCCTTAAATAAGCAACTTGTCGTGATCCAAATGTTGTCTGCTAGATTGGAATATGATTTCTACAATTTAACGACATATCTACAAGCATTTTAACTTCAAGTTTACAACTTCTTTACCAGGGCAATGCTACAACACTTGTATTCAGTTAATGAAATTGTGAACTTATCAATCTTTTATGAAATAGCACATCCAACGATCCTACGACTTAAGGCTAACTATCTCTCTATACTTTTACCATTTTTCCTGTGCGTCTACCCTTATTTTTAGTAGTTTTTACCAGCCGGCATTCCATTGTCTTCTCTTCAAGCAAGCTCAAAGATTATACATGATTCCCATCCTCTTCAAGACGTCAACATAGAGACATGATCTTAGCTATGACGCCACTATATCCCAAACTCAACCATTCCTTTCAAAGAAGTCTTTTACGTCTGCACAGGAACTTTTTTATGAAACGGAATCCTATTGTTTGTTTTTCGTTAATCAGTTCTATAGTGGCAAAGGTTTTAACTGTCGCCATCCGTAAAAGGTTTTTGTTTGGAAATTGGAAATTTGCAAGACACTATGCCTTTAAAACAAGATTGATCCTAATAAGGGCAAATGTATGAAAGTTAATGAAACAGCTTATACAGAATCAACACGCATTTTCCTCCCACTTCGATTAAATTCAACTACACAAAGACAAGTTATTCAAGAAGAACGAGAAGTTGTATTTGAATTCCAAGAACAAAGTGAGGAAGAAAGAAATTTCAGTCGACTTATGACAACATTAAAAAAACAATTTTTCGCCAACGATTTATCGACAATTTGGCATGATCAAATGCCATGTTATTCGTCCGGAATATATTTCAGCAGATTTTCGCCATATGTTACGATTTTTTGGTCTCATGATGTAATTCTAGATTATTATGTACAGTATAACGTATCCTTAGTGCACTGCTAATAAATATATAATTATAGTCAATGATGAGCAATTAGTTAATTACGGACATCGATTATCCAGCAAGATTAGTCATGCTATTTAAATTTTAAAACATTATCATTATTTCTATCTTGAGAATTTATTTAGTTTGAAGGTCAGAAAACGCAAATGAACTTGAACGATAAATAGGTTCATATTAACCATTCACACTCTCAATTCGTGCTAAATATTTTCATTATTTTGCAAATGAAAGTCACTAAAAGTCAGAATGCTGCAAAAACAGAGAATAATCATAGTGTTTTCGTTATTGAAACTAATTTCATCTTGCATATGGGACCACCAATAGTGAAACATGTTCTAGTTTGCTGAACATATTCATTTTACGTTTGTCAATCACTTCCCAAAATGGCTGAGAATGCTTTGGTGAAAATATGTATCTGTCTAAAATATTTATTCATCTGTTTTATATATTTGGTGTTAATTGTATCGCCAATTAACTTCTTGTTGCTGGTGCACTAAGCTGGTAGCTTTTTTTGTCTAGGGAACTTTATTGATTATCTTTAAAAGTCTTCAGTGTATGCAATTTGTCGCCGACTTCGTTAAATATAAGTTTACTCTCTCTTAGCTAATAACTTCCCATACCGAAAATTGAAAATGGAATTGTTCCAATCTTAAAGTTACAAAACTTGTATTTTAAGTCAAGAGAAAGCTTTGTCTAATCACAATGGTTTGCTAGTTTTACTTTCAAATGCCTAAATTTTTGAATCGCAAAATATTCTAGAGTTTTTTTTTAATGATTTCCGCTGCTTGATGTAACGAGAGAATTAGGAACTTGTTGCATTGTATATGCACTATTCAATTACTTTTTTTAATTTGACGCAGAATTTCATAATCATAGCGGATGAATTTGACAAATCCAACATATCCATTCGGATTTTGCTAGCTCAAACAAAAAGTAAAAATCTTAAATGAACCCATCTGCCGGAAGATCTACCGAAACACTTGAAAATTTATCGTTTTACAGTCAGTTAATTAGCTTGTAAACTGCGTGAAGAACATGTTTTTTGCAGCAAATTGTCATGTCCAAATGAACATGTTTGCAAATTTGCACCTTAGCTGCTATTTCATCACAAGATATGCATGAAAGTTAGATTTGATGTTATTCTGGTGTATGCTTGTTGATCTCACGTGCCTATTTCTTAGGAACAGATTTTCGCCAGGATCAATTTCACTAACAGTACCGCACCCAGTCTAATATACACAAAAAGTAGCAAGCAAACAATATGTAATGTACTATTTCTAATGAACAAGTATTTTCATTATGTGTTGTTGTATCAGTGACTGAAACGTGAAACACTGCTTTAAGCATTTTTCTATTTTTACGTCAACCTTACGATATACAAACTTCCATCATTCTCGTTGTATAAAAAGTCCAGTGCAAGCTATGGAGACCAAATACATCTACTTCGAGTGTTACAAAGTGATTTATCTCTTGTCTATCTGTCACTGCAAGGAGAAGAATATAAACAAAGGTAAGTTTCTTCAACCTTTGTTCAGCACATTTCAGCATAATTGGTATCATTTATCATTGTTGTGATGTGTGGAATTGTTTGTTACAATTCCATAGCATGCACTGTCTCAACACAAAGGTAATTTGACATGCCTCACTTAAGAAGTTAATATATATTTTTTAATTCATTGTGGTGAAATACGGAAACTTCTAAGTAAATGCAAGAGTCCTCGGAAATCTTTAAAACAATACCAAGAAATTCCGATTATGTTCTTATTGAGAATTCCATTATTCATAAGCTTTACGTTTTTGTCCAAGATTTTCCAGTGCTTCGCAAATTTCAAAGATGCAATTTAGTCTGTTTCAAAAAGACAAGGATTTTTATTGCTTGGGTTTATTATCGTAGAAACAAAAGTTTCAAGTTTAGTTGAACAGTTGATTTCAATAAAAGATTTCTTTCCAATGAGTCCACATAGTATAATTCACAACAAAGAAGGATTAGATGTTCAGCTGAGAAATTTTTCATGTGAATAATTGTTCATATTTTTGAGGCCATGCGACACTCGATGAGTTCTTCCCTTAGAACAAATCTTAAAATGAATGAATGAATGTTAAAATACCTCGGATATAAAAGTTTGCTTGTGTTGTCAAGAATATTGTACTCGCAGGAGAAACAATTCAGATAACTTTTTACTTGTTTGAATACATTAACAATGACTGTCAAACTTTTAAACTTTATTGAAAAATATATTTTTTCGTCGTTGGAGCCAACAAAAATCCATGAATTTAAGCAAACTACATAATAATAATTCTAATTTTCAGGCTATTCCCAAAAAATATTCAATGGATCTGTTCAAGTCAATGTTCCTGTGTTTTCTCATCGTTTTGTACCAAAATTTGGATGCCTATGGTAAACCAATTTCCTCAAAATGTAAATCAGTCGATGAAGATAAACTTGGTAATTTGAGCGCTTTCTTCAGCTCTCTGTGGTCGCAAGCTAAAACAACATACAATCAAACGGTATCTAATGTTTTCATACGTAATTCAGTTGTTCCTTTAGGGAAAAATTATCGAACTTTTGAAATTTTGAACTATTAAATCTGGCTCACATCCCTTACTGGGATCACCATCAAATCTGTCTTACATTCCTTACTGGAATTACCATCAAATCGGACTCACATCCCTTAATGGGGCTCAAAACTTCTAAGTAGAACTTAAAACCCAAATTACAGCTTGAAAAACTCTGAAGTTAGACGTTCAAATGATTGCGAAGAGAATGCATTTTTCATAATGTTTTAGGTCCATATCAGAAGTCATATTAAAATGAACCCAAAACATGGCACAATGGTAAGCACAACATAGTGGGAGATGTATGTATGTGTGTGTGTGTGGGGGCTAATTTAGAAATACAAACTAATATTCTTCGTGCAATTTTTATTGAATTTTATCTGTATTAAGGCTGAGTGGCTTCCTAATAACTAATACAATAACGTAACTTAAGCCATGAGCATACAAATTGCAATGCCGAAAAAAACATGCTAAATTCACTCTTAGTTGCCCTGTAGCTGTGATCTAGCTGAAGCATGAGGGAAGTATTGCAGCTTTATATACTCTATATCTTTATGTAATTCTTACGTTATGCTTCTATGGTTAAGGACATAAATACTCGATTCCCCGAGGTTCCCCTACTTGCATGAAGTCCTCGTACTTTGAAAAAAATGGTTCACTTGATGTTGCACAAGCAGAATGACGTGCATACTCTTGTTTTCTAGCTGTAGTTATCCAGGTGTTACTGCATGCTTATAGGCAAAGATGTCTGAACAGACTAACTTGTAACAACCGTTGATTGATGTTGTTAAAAAGCAAAACCCAAATTTAACTTATATGCTATTTCATTTTCATTTTGCTTTGAATTTTTTTATTCAGTGTCGCTTGCCCACGGAGTTTGTGTATCCACATTCGCTATATCGAGTAAATAAAAAGCAAATGAAGGTAAGTTAAAAAAGAATGGAGAGATTCTTTTAATCTGTTTCTTCCATGTCTCATTTTGTATGGTCACGGAATTAAGAGCGAATAATTTTTCGGGAGTCGGTACATTTTCACATTTCAAATTACCAATGTTTTCACCTATTTATCAAAACTTTACAGAGAAAATTGCCTTTAGTCTCCAAAACAGTCTGAGGATGGCGGTGCTGTCTTCCTACTCCAGTCTGGTATAATCCATGGGTGTTTTTGAAAATTAGCGACAGATAAATTTTATAACAGCATAATAGAGCCGTTGAAAACCGAAGAGGCTTCCATAATAAATAAAACTTATTTTTCGAGATAGAACAATATGTTTGCAAACACAAATGTCAATTTCGTGTTACATATCTTTGTTTAGATTGATGAACATTTGACAAGAATGGACAGCATGCTTCGTCCATTTTATGATGCCTTACCGTTGAATTTCTTGACCTTTGGAAAGGAATTACGTACCCATAATTCTTTACGATCAGCATTCAGAAATGTTGCAGTGGAAATCCTTCAGTGGGTTATTGCTATGAATTCTTTGGTAAGAACTTACAGATTGAATTTGTTGGTTTTCAATGTCGAGAAGCATATGGTTCACCGTTTGTTGAGACTTTTACCACAGTAAAATAATTTTAGGCTTTTTTGGAGAATGATTTCAAAAATTGTAAAGCTGGTCGATCGGACAGATGGTTGGGAGGGGGGGGTGATCATGTAACAAAGTTGATTAAGAAAACACACATGTCGGTTCCGAAATGAATAAGCGTAAAAATCCGATTTTCTCACGGTTGAATTTGATTGTCAATCCCGTTTGCCGTTTTATGAAAACTTGACTTTATACTCGCTAAAGTTATTTCCATGATTTCAGGATTGCAGTCCCTCGTACCGTTTCACATACAATTCATCGAAATTTGCCACTGAAGTGAAAAAGTATATGGTAAGAAGCGTCATTATTTCATTCATATAGAACTCTGCTATTCTTTTGCCGTTTATCCAATTCAATGGTTTAATCGAAATTTAACATCAACCGTCGTCAAATGCGTTGCCATTTTAGGTCATGCATGCTTTATAAATATATCGGTGTGTCCACTGACTGTAAAATACAAGATTTTCAAAAAATAATTATGTTAATGATCTAAAGTTTAACTTGCAGCCTGACAGCCTGGCTACAGTACTGTTCAATAGTTTATAGAGCTGACCGTATAGACTAAAAATGCACCCACGCATGTTGAATTTAACACTACGACAGCGAAAACTTTATGAAATGTGAAAATAAACGAGTGCTTTTTATTTCAACAATTCGCTAATTCAAAGAACCCCTTTATATGAAAGATTTCGTTAATGCAAGTAAATTACACTCAAAGAATTTTGTATTCCAACTAACAAGGGTAATTCTATCTTTATAGAGTTGCAAAGGAATCGATGACAAACACTTCGATTTTTTCTGGTACGCAACCTTTTCGGAAGCATTGAATTATGCTATGAACGACATGTTAACCGATTACAATTTCATTGAAAAATACAGAAAACATTGAAGAAGATGCATGTTTAATCATTGTAAATTAATTGTTTAATAAGTTCCTTTATGTTAAAGGTTGATAAGGTAATTCACAATGAATGTATCAACGTTCATATTTGTTAGTGTGTGTTTAGATGTACGTTATTTCTTTCAATAAAACTATCATTTGTTGAAACGGAGTTGCATTTTTTTCACCACCTCAAACAGCAGCGGGGTCAGTTCGATAATTTGGCCCTTCCATTCTGTTATTTACTACTTAAATAAAAGATTTCTAAAAAAAATGAATTAGGATCATCCTCTGAACTTTATATAACAGGACCAATACTTTCTGACCGATACTTGTCATAAGTTTAAAATATTCGAGTTTTACAATGCATGACAGTAATTTTTTGATCTCTCTTTCATCAAAAACTGCTGCTAGTTTTCTTCGAGGAGAGAGGTATAAGCCCTAAAATCTATTCCAACAAAAACTCTTTGCATATAGAAGTGACCTGTATAGCAGACAGCAAATAGCTTCAGCGGACGGATTCAATGTTAAGCAAAATAAACTAGCTACAACAGCCAATTCATTGGCAAAACCTTTGTCTTTGGCAATTCGTAACTCATGCTATTGTCTTAAAGGAATTTCAAAAGAATCTCTATAATACATTTTGCCCAACCATGAATCCGCTATAATGAATAGCTTCGATAAGCATCAGACTCAAAATTAGAAAAATTCTGTTTCCAGTGCTTCTGCTATCATATACGATAGCACTACCATGCAAATATACAAAAAATGATCACCCAGAACGAGTCGTCTTGATCTTCTATAATCAATTAGACAGGCAGCAAGGTGGTCGTCCTTTCTCACCATTCGTATCTTCGTTCAAGTCGACAGAACCATCTTTGTTTTTCTTGTTCATCTTTTTCCTCAACATGGATGCTTTTTCGTTTATCAGCTCATTCCTGTCATTTTCCTGCTCGCGAATTATTTCATAAATCTTTCTTAACGTGCTTTCGAATGCAACGTCGACATTCAGTGCATTCAATGCTGACGTCTCGACAAAATGCATTGAGTGTTCCGAAGCAAAGTCCGCTGCCGTTTTTTTCTCTACGGCACGCAAATGAAGCAGATCCACTTTGTTACCAACCAGCATTAAGACTACTTTGTCATCGGTATGTTGTCTTAATTCCTCAATCCAGAGCCCAACATTTTCATAACTTTTTGCATTCGTGATGTCGTAAACTATTATGGCTCCCAGTGCCCCTCTGTAATATGCACTCGTGATCGCTCGGTAACGTTCTTGACCTTGAAATCGTACATCAAAAATGATATGTAAAATTGTGAAGAAAAGATTTTAAAATGTACTCATGTATCATACTTCACCTGCAGTGTCCCATATCTGCGCACGGATTACTCTTCCATCAATTTCGATATCTTCGTGAGCAAGCTCGACACCAATAGTTGGTTTTGAACTTAACTGAAAATCATTCTTGGTGTACCTCGTCAACAGTTGTGACTTTCCTGTAAATGCAAATGGCAATAGGATACGTTGGAAATTGATGTAAATTCACCATCATAGCTCTTTCTATACAACCGACCCTGCCTGCAGACTCAAGTTGACAGACGACCTTGCCTCAACTGAACTGTTTCTATTTGAAAAATTGTTTCAAGTGAATCCTGAAATTCCGAGTTACCGCCGAATTCCATCCACATGCTTACTTTTGTGTTTACTTTATGTTTATTTTTCGTTTCCATGATAATAATTGCTTGACAGAGCTATGGAAAGTTAAATACACTTCACTTCGGACGTGTAGCCGAGGACATATTAGCGAATTACATCTACCTGCTCATGTTTACATCAATTGTTTCGTCTGTTCTATATTAATAATTTATTTCATTTTATTTTAATTTTATAACAATAATTGCACGACAATGTTTCTGCATATTATGGAAAATAAAATTCAAGCTCAACCATTTTTCAACTGAGATAACAGCAAGTTACCTCTAACTGCAAAATTACATTTAAGTCTCTTTTTTGTCAACTTTACGTTCTGTGTGTGTCTACCTTTTAGCCTTGTCAGTGTGCTGTTGTTTTTTGGCTATTTTCGTCTATTTTTTGTGTACTTCATGGAATCCATGCTAGATATTTGTGTTAGGCATAACAGAGTTCTTACATATTTGAGCATAACAGAATGTAACGAATTAAATTGTTGCTAACCGATTACAGACAAGCAACCGAAGTCTCGTGCGCATCTAAGATGGTGTGATTCTTTGATGAAATGTTTTTTGCGTCAAATACTATCATCCCTACTTCCAGCCAGAGCTGCAACAATTGCGAATGTTGAAATTCAAGAAAAAGTCACCACCATCAACAAACGCAGACAAAATTTTGTGGAAAAATTTAAAGCTTAAACAAAAAGATGTTACTCTCGTAAAATTATTATTGCTTAGGAATGCATTTTCTTTTGATGTTTGTATTGTCTAATGAGTATTGTGTTCAAAACGTAAACAAGTCACATGCACTGCTTCCTTAACAGACTTGTGAACCTGTTTAACCCTTTAATTGTAACCGTTCATGATATCTAACAATGTGCCTCCCCCCTATAAGCGATTTACTTCTGTCGCCCCTAGCTGAGAGTGATTAATAGATTCAGATATAAAAGCAAATGCGAGGCTGCATACAATGTTATATAATGGTCGCATAAAATATAGATCATGCGAATGATGCCAAAATTTTTTGACCAGATCTAGGATTATTCAGACGTAGAGTATTCGACTAAACAGTGTGTACATTATCAGTTCATTGTCGGTAAATATTTACACAGGTGTTTCATGAATGCCAACGAAGGATAATGTTTCAAATGGAAAAAACCATCGGACGCTATTAACCGTATGGCTTATCAAAACAAACATAACACACATAATTCAAAAATGTGCGAGTCTATGATATTGAAAAGTACTCACCGACTCCACTATCACCAATCAAAACGACTTTAAAAAGGTACGTATAGCTCTCTTCCTCAACGTTCGTCATGATACGAGATTATCTCGACAAATATTTTACCAGAAAGTTTTAAAGCTCGTATTCTAAGTCGATATTTCTGTTCTATACGAACAGCAAGTGTATGAATTGAAGAGCAGCACTATATACATGTATTTCTTCGTACAATATATGTCGTTGCTTGTTATTTGAATTTACAACACTACTGACACTACAATATACAAACACAACAGTCGATATATTACTTCATTTGAATATTCAAATTATTTTATGCCAATGACTTGACCAGGCTGCAATTAAGTCACTTGAACGAAAATGCTTGCCATCAAAATACGCCTTTCCTTCGAAACCTAAGCCTTAAAGAAAGTCAGGTGGGACTCATGAGCGCAAAAAAGAATCAGCGAAATTATCAAATAAATTGAATCGAATGAGTTTGATGCAAAAATTTGAAACGTTTCACAATGAAATACTTGCAATTTTTAGCAAAAATTCTGTTCATTAGGAAGCAGAATAAAGAAGTGGGAAAACTTTTGATAAGTTTTTATGCCCTGGCTTAAAAAACCTGAATTTCTCACAGGAATGAATCGAAGATCCTGTTCAAACATGTTCAAAATCTGTTTTCAAAATACAAGAAAAAAGTTATTTGAAAGTACGACAGTTTCTATCATTTCGAACACTGTCAAACTCGAATTATTGACTGCACTTTTTGGAAAAATTGCCAGTTCTCATATTCAATGGCGATATCTTCTTCATAATGATCCTGTGAGTATGCAAATCAATCGTTTACATAATTTGTACATATGATTGCAAATATGTTTCAATCGATTCAGCATTGATCACTTTATTTTCAGTTACTGTAAAATGTTTACAGTTCAGTGGTATCTCTGACTGACACAGTATATTAAAACGCATTGAGTTGTTAATAAGTAGCTCCATTGAGAACAAGTATTACTATACAGTTGTTTTAAACTATTAGCTATTTCTTCAGCTGAAACACTAATGCTATGACATACGATTTTCAAGGTTTTCCAGTTTCTTACTTTAATTTACGTTCTTTCTCCATATTTGACATCTATATGTACGAATAAATTTCTCCTTGCAGTGGTCCTAACCTGTCCCCTTGAATCCCCTTGTTTTCAAGCCTTTCAACTATATACCCAGATCTTTACATACATATCACAGTAGTTCGGCTCAGTGTTACAGTTTTATCCCTAAGGATCCTCCTTCATCCATCTCGTTTGCATAACTGTCTTCTTTGTCAATTTTCGAGCGATTGGTCTTTTCTCTTGAGCATTGCGATTCTCGAGAGCAGTTTTTCTCCTACGAAAGCTGTAGCCAATCAACGCCAGTGCGAGAGACACTACAATGATTACGGTTGAAAAGAAAATAATGTTCGTTTGCGCGGACCATTTACCATGACCTTCTGTTTTTATGGTGTTTTGGAACAATTTAAGATTGGGTTGATTGCAGAGTTCGCCATAACAGCAGCACAACGTCTCTTCTGATGTGATCTATAAAATTCCATTGTGAAGCAGTTTAAAAGAGTATTGAAAACCGTTTAGTATAATCCTTTCTACTTTAAGCAAGCGATGCAAGGGAGAGGGCAATCGTATTCTCCATTTATTCCTTCCCCTCCAAAAAAACCTTGTCTCAGTTGACTGCGCCACTGCCAACTAGATGCAAGGTTAAAACTGCTAAGGATACCGTAAATGTTTATAACAAAGCATAGTTTGGTGGCTGTGCTATTTCAAACTTTTTCGTTATTTATAATATAGTACAAATCGTTAAATTCTCGTAGTACCAATACTGCATCCTTTGAAAAACGTATTTTTCAATAATTTTATCATGCTAACAAGAGCATATTCATTATACCTGATGACATTTGCTGATGTTGAAGTTGTACTTGTCACAAAGATTCCCTTCGTCACAAAAAAACTTCGTGAAACCATTTTGATCGTTTAAAAGTGTTGCGCACGCTCTCTTCGTGTGGCATTTTGGATGGGGGGAGAGCAAATCGCCTTCTTGCAAGTTTTCGTCGAACTGAAAACAGCTATATGTAGGCGTGAGAGTAGAGCTGATCTTTTTTTCAGATGTTGTATTGTTGATGTTTGGAGGATGTGTTTCAGTGATATTAGTGAGCCAGCTAGTTGACGTTACGGAATTGACCGACGTTGACTCTATAAACAATATTAAATAAAGTAATAGCAGTTGGTACTTTCGCTTTTTCCTCAATTTTAAGCTGCTTTCCTGCCTAACTTACTTTCTTCGTGTTCTTTCACGGTCACATAAGCACTTCTGTATGCAAAGCTCATGTAAATACTGACAGCCAAGCATGTGTACAGTCCTTCATCTGCTTTAGTCAAGTTCTCCAGCTTCAAGTATACACCTTTCTTATTGAAGGCTGCTTGCTCATAATGACTTGGATGAATAATGGTAAACAATGATGCGTTTTTTAGGTTTACTGGTGAAAATATTTTCATCGAACTCTCCCACTTCAACCATCTGTAGTCAAGAAGTAATCCACTTGTATCAGCACAATACAGTGAAACAGAGCTGCCATTTTGAGCTGTTTTGTTCTTGGGATGACCCGCAAGTAGAACAGGATGATTAGTTTGCTGCGGCTCTTTGGCTGTAACAAAAGATGAACAATTCTTGTTTTTTGAGAAGCTAAACTAGATTACTAAGATGTATATACATATATATATTACTCTAATTTCATTTTTATAAAATGGACTAAAAATTCTATAACAAGTCTTTACCAAGAACCTTTAACTTCGTGCTGTGTTTGATATGACCATAGTCATTCATAATTCTGCAAGTGTAAACCCCACTGTCAGCCCGTTGCACATTTTTAATAACGAGTTGAGATTTTTCAATGAGATGTCGTTTATCTGAAGTCAACAATTTTTTGTCGAAGAACCATTTGTACTTGAGAGGAGCACCACCGCGAACCAAGCATGAAAATTTCACATCTTCGTCTTCCGTGACTGCCACAAAATGATGTCGCTTCTCCTTCGGTATTAGGAATTCTGGTGGATCTAAAATTTGTTAATTGTTGGCATGATTTGATTATGAAATGTATTATCCAATCCAAGATACACAGTTGTGTGCGAAACGCAACTACGATGGAAATGGCAGCTTCCATACAATACGTTTCACAGCTTTATCTATGCAAATAATGCTATATATTTCATATGAAGGTAAGAGAAAAGTGAAAATCTGTTTTCAAATTTGACTCGTAACTTCTTCTAGAAATTTTGATAGTTTGAAGCATTCGCTGTTGGTAATTTTCAAATGCAACTATATTTTTTTTATCTGAACGAAACTATTTAACACAAAAGACAAATTAAAGAATTTGATCAACTGAAAGAAATGATAATCATGCTGTTTACTAACTTTATTTTTACAGGAAATGGCATAAGTTTAAATCAGGATTCCCGTGGTTCTTGAAGGATGAGTGACTCCTTCAAGGTTCCACAAAATTGGACAACATAAAAATTTTCTTAATAATCGTTAATAAAAAACAATATTCAAGTAGTTTTCAATTTATACATAGAAAAATACCAAAAAGAGTTTTCAATTTACTACTAGGAACACAAATTCACGAATGACTTTCAAAGAGAAATATCCAGTGCTACCACTTGCGTGAATATAAACCTACTTTTTTATCTTCATTTTCATGTATATAACAACAGCCGTTTAGGGTGCCCCCTTGCGAGCTGATTGTTTGGGCACCCGTGGCTCTATCCATCCAGAGCTCATAGCAGTTAAGGCTTAAGCCACTGTCTAGAGACGTACTCGGGCACACAAGATACTTGAATAAATAAACCAGCTAAAATTTTTTTAAAAGATGGGTGAAGAGGAAAGATTTTCCTAAATATATCATATTGTTAGTCCATACCTGAAGGCAAAATGTTATTGATCTTTAAATATGCAGTACCATTCGAAGCACCATTGCTGTTTGATATATGACAAGTGTAATAACCTTCATCGTTTTTGGTGACGTGTTTTAATTGCAATTTAACACCATACAGTTGTTTATTTCCAATATTCACTTGAAAAGATTTATATTTCCTGGGATTTATCAACTTCATTTTATCTCCTTTATCTTGCGAAATGACTGGTGAATCCGATTTCAGCCATCGATAATGTGTTAGGTAATTACTTGGCTTCTCCAGACACTCGATCTCAACGTTGTCACCAACGCGAGCAGTAACTGATTTTGGATAGCCAGGAATAAGAGCTGGAGGGGATTGAATTCTCTCTAAAGATGAAGAATCAGAAAGTTTGAGATTTAACATGATACAAATTAAAATCTAGTTTGCAGGTATTGAAGGACATGTTGGATAAAGACCTTAGCCTGCTAGAGCAAGTGAAAATTGGAATAGAAAAGATCACAAGTTTACATTTTACTTTTTCAATGACTGACCGTTTATTTACATCTAATGTGCTCTGAGGCTTCGACAAGACTTACAATCAATTTTGGACTTTTCAAAACACTTTCCATTTCATTGAGAACTTGGTATGTCAAATGGTAAGCAAAAGAGATTTACGAAGATAATCCCAAATACGCACATTATTGGAGTAAACATACTTATTTGAAACAAAAAAAGAGAGAATCTAAAAAAGGAAGGATCTTTGAAGTATATTTAATCAGTACTCACGAATGATATTCAGGTTAAAGATATGTTTGACGTGTCCAAAATCATTCGATACTGCGCATGTGTAAATACCGCTGTCGTTCAGTTGTGGTTTACGAAATTTCAAGCTCCATTTTTTGTCTTGATAGATTCTGGCAGACTGCTGAACGAGTACTTCACCTTTAAACCAACTTATTCTTAGTTTTGGACCACCGTAAGCTTTGCACTTAAGACTGAGGGGCACGTTGGCAGGCCATGCGAGGTGTGACTTTTTGGTCTTTGGCTTATCAACTAGCTTTGGGAGGTGGCCAGCTAGTAAAGAAAATGAATTGAAATGTTAAAGCAGTTTCTTGAGCATACAAAACCAAAAGTAAACTATAGTAGAACACGATTGAAAATATGAAAATATCTCTCGCATATAATTTTTGCCTTAGTGCAAAAGCATATACGTGGAGCATGTGCATTGCCTTATTCCCTACTTCATCGAAAATAGAACGGATGGAGAACTCTCTCGTTTTATCAATGTTTTTTTCCCAGGTGAATGAATGAAGCAAGCGGCAGAAATGTGCTCTTTCAAATTATTTGATAATCACAAAAACAGTCAAATAAGTGAACTAAAAGTCACTCAAATACAGCTCCAGATTTTAGAATTCTTCAATAACAAAAAGGAATGGGAGATTTCTCTTTCTAACGATTGTTGGTTTCAAACTTTTAGGGCCAGTGAAACTGCAGTGAAACATCACTAATATACTGCCATATTATAGGATTGATACAGACTTCATAACTATGATTAGTTATATGTACTTGGTAATTACAAAATATGAATCAAAACAAGACGAGAAGTAAACTGTAAATTTTCGACTTTATTTCAAAGTCATCCTCAGACAGAATCTGACTGAGGATTACTTTGAAATAAAGTCATCATTCTGTCTGAGGATCACTTTGAAATAAAGTCGAAAATTTACAGTTTACTTCTCGTCTTGTTTTGATTCATATTTTGCAATCTCAAGATGTCTTGTTTCTTTGGTAATTACAAGGTTTATCGTTCTAAGTAGTTTGAATGCAATTACACAAACACACTAATTATTCTTATGCAAATAAACGTAGCACTATAATTTCGTAAATTATTACAATCTACAATGTCGATAATGTATAGATAAAGTACCATAAGTTTTCTTCGAACGAAAATTAAATTTGTACGTAGGCACATAATCAATTGATTATTTGAAATTCCATTCAATCTTTCAGCAGCTTACATTGTAGGGGGTCTTTCTATTTTAGCATGAAAACATAAGCTTGTTAACGACAGCAATTCAAGCTGTGTGAGGGATTGACTTCAGTCGTTACATAAACCGGATTAACAATATTTCATGACGTTTGCACAAGAACCGATGCGGTTATGCAAATTCTTTGCGAAATCGTTCAAAAGCGCACAACAAGTTTTTGATGTGAATATAAGCGCCTTAACGTAATTGGGTAAAATGAGCAATGGCAGGTCTGCAGTTTACACATTTCGTATAGTTGCGGGTAGTGCGCGTGCGCGTGCTATTAGCAAGCGAGAATGCACAATATCCAAGTCCATTAAAACTTGTTAGATTCCTATGGTTTTGTATACAAACTTTGTTGACTTTTCTTCTTATGATGGTCTGGAATAACAACGAGAAAAGGAAAAGGCGGCTAAGCGATCATTGAGTTGACGACAAAGCTATCTGTACACGACTTTAACGCATTTAACTTAATTGTAAATGTCTTGTGTGACAAACGAGCTTGTCCATGAATCAATTTACCAGTCAGTTTTGTGCAATCGAGTGTTGGTGAAATATATCCCTACGTGCGCTTTCTTTAATAACTCACTTTTGCATTGTTCGCAGTTTAATATGATAGACATAACAAGTTACGACAATTTTTCTCATTACTTTAGAGGGTTTCTACACACAAAAAAACAACAAAATCTTTACTAACCATTCGAACAGTAAAACATGTCACAGCAGACTAACAGTAGTAGAACTTTGACGAAAAAACTCATCTTTATTTGAAATGTTTAACTCCTCGTACGTTCACAAACACTCTGCTTGCTTTGTATGCTGGAGTTTTTCTTTTAACACTTAAATAGTGTTTTGTTAAATTGCATTTCCGGATGAAAAACACTCTTTGCACGTGATTGGCTCGCATTGGTGGATTCATTTGGCCCGAGAAGAGTAGACAGTGTTAGAAATTCTCGTGTCCAGTCCTCCATGTTCTATTGTTCCACAAATCATGCGCAGGTTATAGTGCGTTGTTTTTTGTATACTTTGACAAATTCAACTTCTGCATAAACAAATTTCTCTTAATAAATTTTTTATCATAACATTTTCATGAATGAATATATTTGTATGCCAGACAACAATAGAAAGTTTTCGACATGGTATAATTGAATTTTCTTACTAAACCAGTCTAAATAATTGAAGCTACGACCTCTAAACAACTGAATACCCTCCAAAAAAGGGGACTTTAGATTATAATTTCACTGTTTATCTGTTGTACTCAACTGGGAACTTTTTGGATCGACTAATTTGTATTCGTACATGTCACTGGCGTAGCCAGCCCGCAAATTTGCTCCTGCTATGCAAATTTTTCTGTTGTCACATACTGCAAAAGCAACAGATTTTCAAGGAAATGAATAATGATAATAAAACATGCAGGTTAGCTACGCCACTGTAAATAGCATGGTTTTTGTATATAGTGTAAAAATATACAGAAGATGAAATGTTTTGAATTTGAGCTAGCTTCAGAAAATTTTCTTGCAATTTGAGTCAAATCAATTAATATCATCATAAGGTATTGATTAGGTAAATTAGATTTCAAGCAGACGTAAAATAATTTTCTCACGGTGTTATATCCCTCAAGACTAAATGAGTACAATTGAATTCACTACATGACATTGTGAAATAAAACAGACCGTATCTTTCGTGCTTTGCAAAGTGTCTATTCAACACTGGAAAATAGCCCGAAACCTTGTAAATACATAAAGTTACATTTTGAACCACTACCACTGAACGATTGGAAGCTCTTCACAAAAGCAGGCGTTTAACTTCAAGCCGGCAAATGCTCTCTCTCCTTTTTAGGAATGTATTGTTGTTATATTTAGCTTGTTTTTCATTTCTCTGGATTTCTCCCATGTTGAGCATTTAGCATTAAAATAAAGCATTCCGACACCAGCCTTAGTCAATTCATGCAATAAATAGTTACTACAATGTTATGAATAATTTTTAGAAACAGTGTATATGTGATGTTGGCAATCCAAGAACACGGAAAAGTACAGCTGCGTCTCTCTTATTATACGTCTCATGAACTGTCCAATGATGTATATTCCTTTTTATTTACAGCTTGTTGCTGGGAAAATAAATAAATAAATACATAAAATTTCAAACCTAAATTTTCCATTGTTAAACAACTTACGAGAATTGCTTGCGTGACATTCTGAAAAGTCACAATAAACATATTCACTCTTCCCCTTAAAACAAACCATAGTGTATGTTGTGTTTGCAAGGAAGCTTTTGTCGATTTGCTTTGATGCTCAAAGCACAGTGAAAAGCAAGCTGAATAGAGCTATGCCTGTAGCTGATCATCAAAGAAATAGCTATTAAAAGGCAAAACAAAAGTCATATTAAAAAGAAAGCGATTGCAGCAAATTTACTACATGTGCATTGTATTTTTAAAACATTTTTCATTTTCCTAACGCGCTCTTTTATCGGATACGCAATCGGAAACCGACAATTCATTCCCCAATATGAAATTAAAATATTTTTCTTTAAAGCCCGAATAACAAGCGGTGGAAAGCGCGTTTTCTCAACAAAATCAATAAATTTTAAAAACAGCGACGAGCACGGACTAGGAATAAATTTTTTAAAAATCATTTAAAAATGCGATGAAAAGTCATGCTGATAAAAAAGTTAATGCTTTTATCACAGATAGTAAAAAACAACAAAATATCATTTTCTGAGCTCGTGCGGAAATGTCTAGAAATGGGAATGAATCCAATTTTATGATCTTCACAGCGGCAGGTTGTTTGTAATTCATCAGATTTCTTAATCAAACATAAGCTAAACAGCCAGAGCACAGTATGTTTAAGACATCAAATGTATGCATTGGGCCGCAAATTATGCAAATCTTGATTGGAAAACCTGGCGGTCGATTCCTGTTATTGAAGGATAAAAAAGAAATTTTGCCGGTAAAATAGAAAGTTTTGCTACACTTACACGAGGCCAACAACCGTGAAATGATTGAACTGGGAACAGTTCAGGTCGTGAGGCTAACAACCCCGAAATGTTAAAATCAGGAACAGCTTAGAATAAGCCTGCTCGAAGCCTACTTGAACAGAGTGTTTACGTGTACAAAAATAAATCCTATTTACTTTATGATGCCGACTAATTGTTGAAATTCCTAAGCAATGAGCCAAAAACTTCAGGATATCAGAAAGTTTCTTTGTTCCTATACCATTAAATACACAATGAAAGCAAAGTACATTTCTGCATCAGTTCACGCTATCTCAAAACATGAAAATCCTGTGAGAACACAGTCGCCTTCTTCATGCTTTTGAAATAGGATGCATATATTTACGAACTATGTTTCATACTAGCACTCGAATCATAAAAGAGACGTGAGACGAAATAAGTCATGGAAAAAATAACAAAATTTTGTACTTGAAATCCTTTAATTTACATTTGGCAGGGGAAAAAGCTAAAGAGCACTTTTGCATGCATCAACTCGTTGCCAAATTACAAAATTATAAAGGCAATATTTCGTGCCTTGTTTTAAACTGAACAAATAGTTTTTCTCTTATACACTCCCCATGATGTCATATTCTTGCATAATTTCACACTATAAAAAACCTTCTAGTACTATCTTTTGTAGATGCGCAAGGAAATTAATCACATCCCTCAAACAACACTGACAGATTAACGTTTGTCAGTTAAACTGTAGACAGAAATTCCTCACAGCGATATTTCAACTTGTAAGCTAAATTCACTGCATGACTTGACAAAGTATGTTCGGGTTTGATAAATACATCACGCAAAAAGAACTACAATACCCTTCTAAACAACGTTGAAAATAGAAATGCCCTCTTAGCGAGAAAGCCCATGGCAAAATTATACCGCTGAAATGCTAATCTGGAAGTTTATTAAAACTCCGACTACGCATATGAGAAGAGATAAATCTTAGAAGAAATAAATCCAACAAAACGAAACCGACATTTATAACAAGATAATCTTATTTTATTACAAATGTTGAAAACGATCCGTAGGACATTAGCTGAGAAGTAGCTTTCTCATTGCTTGAGGACGAACAGGATCAAGATCACACGAGACTAGAATCACAATGTCTCAGCAGTTCGTACCGAACATTCTCCATTACAAAAACAGGAAGCTGGGCTATCTTTCAATTATAAATCAACGTAACTCTTCCTTTCAGTTTCGCCTACATATTTGTAGGTGCAGATCATCAAAGAGTACCGCACTGACATGATTACATCATGGCGGTAATCATCTTATCTTCATATTATTGTTGTGAACGTCAGCGTTTACAAATATTTAACGATACTTCAGGGTTAAACAGGGACAGAGAAGTATTTCATGTTGGGGGCCTAAATGATCCACAAATTCGCTATTCCGCTATATCCCATTATTTGGAGGTATACAGTCCCTCATGCACCCTGCTCCGTGGTTCCTGTTAAAACAACAGTAAAGTATAAATCAACGCCCGGGGCGCTTAATAAATTCTAGCAGTTCCAGAAGGGACGTCATGTACATATGAGGCCTTTGTATCATTTCTATTACCATAGTTTGAGCTAATGAAAAAAAATACTCACTTTACGATGGATTGTTGTGGAAATGTCCTCAGTTGTCCCTTGAGAAAGTGAGCATGGGGGATTGTTATGGAGTAGAATGTTCTCAGTAGTCCCCTTGGAAAGTGAGTATGGTGGACTGTTGGGGAGTAGAATGTCCTCAGTTGTCTCCTTGGAAAGTGAGTATGGTGGACTGTTGGGGAATAAAATGTCCTCAGGTTGTTCATAGGAAAGTGAGTTTAATACGTGGCACGATAAGGAAATTTTTTCTCCGACCCTTTAGGTATTTGTATCATGTTGTTTGGTGTTTTTTACATCATAACGATCGACTCAACGTATGATTACAATACATAACTGCCATTTACTGTATTTTCCTTCAAATCATCACAGGCACGTAATCAATGAATTAAAAGTTTCTAAAATTTTCCATTTTGGTGATTTTGCGCTACTAACTAAACCATTCCTCCGCCGCGGCCAAGTTGTACAAAAAGTTCTCCATCGCAAAATTTAATTTCTTTTCTTTCAATTTTTCCAACTTGATAATTTTTCGCGATTTGTCATCGTTTTCGACAGCCAGACCTTTCAAATTGTTTATCAGACTCTTCGTTTTTTCCGACAGCTCCTGCGGTAAACAGAAAGACAAAGAAAGAAAGAAAGAAGATGAGGCGTTAGAACAGAAGTGTTTAAGGAAAAGATTACGAAGAACGAAGTTGATTTTCTCAATTCATATCTACAAAGCTAACGTATGGTTCAGTTCGAGTTGAAAGTCAGGCCGATGTACACATAAGCTTGCCTGCCACTTTTGTCTGCCTATTCAGGATCGGTGGTTATCAGAGTGATAGTTTTACATAAATAAGTTTATCAAAGTCTTAAATCAAAGGACAGTTCAATTTCTACAAAACCGAACGGGAACTCACCGTCACCAGATCTTCATCGCTTTTGTCTTCATCTTTCGAATTATTTGTCAAAAGACCGCAATATCTTTGTGTACTTTACCCATTTGAAATGTTTCTAGGATCAGAAATACGTAAGATGAAAAACAGGAGATGAGCTAGGAATAAGTCCGTTTGGCATGTGATGAGCATTGCATCATGAGTGAAATTTACCTTTAGCGTGGGGAGCGATTGATACTTCAACGTCAGATACTAAACAATGAAAAGTACATTGAAAAAAAGTATTACGTAAAGCAGTTTTGTGGTAAACTAATGAAAGGGAAGCAAAGTTTCAGTCACCAAAATACAAAGGGAAAAAAGTATTCTTACTATTGGCAAATATATCATAAAGATCGTTACGATTTTCGATGGAAGCGTCGGTAAATCCAGCAACATAATGACCGGCTGACACTAGGTTTTCAATCTCCGCTTCATCGTTTAAATCAACAACAGGGTGGAGAATATCCCAGTTTTGTCGATGCCAAACCAGTTGAGGTATTACCCTGAAGCGAAGAAAATATTTTTGTATTTCAACGGGCAAAACTGAAGTCATTGAAAACCGTCAATGAGCTCAACTGACGCAAGTTGGTCATTCATGTAGGTTGTGCCTTAACCAAAACTGTTATTCCCAACACTTGGTTAAAAATTGTAATCTAGGTTGCCAATGACGTAAATTGATCTTTTCAACTGGTGGTATGTAAAATCTGTAGTTTTGCAGACGAACACGTGACTATAGTGTCGTGTTTTAAAAAAGTTTGTATTGAGAGCCGTACCGAGAACGTTAATTGGAATGAGGTGGTGTGTTGAAAACATATATTCATTTGTGTTTAACTGATTTCTTTCAAAAGCATTTCACTGCAGGAATTAAGCTATTTTCATTCAAAAGAAATCAGTTGGACAGAACTGAATAAATGAATGAAACTGTCCCCCCCTCCCCAACTAACATCATAGGTATGGCACTGCCCCCTCCTCAATTAACATTATAGGTATGGCTCTGCTTGTACTTTAACTTTAGGTTTGATGATTTAGAATTTCACTTCTCTAATTCAGAATAATAATCAATCATTCAAGAGCCAAACAAGATCCAACCCCTTAAATTATAACATTTACGGGCAACAAAAATTTCAAGGTACTTTGACATAATGACGACTGCACATCATCTAACGACCCTCTCACCTCCCCTGGGTATTTCTTGCAGCATGCAGTCATTTCACCTTGTTATTTTCAATAATGTCTCAGCTTGAGGACTGTAAAAAGCAATTCTCTTTTTCAAAAGAAGAGCTGTGTAAAAGAGGATTGATTCGATGCCAAACGTGTTAATCACATCTTAAAAAAGAGAAATTTATATTATTTTATGGTGTTTTATTGAATGGTGGCAAGTCGTGTGGTCAAATTAATGCTAATATTACCTTTAATGGATGCAGATAGAAAAGCACTTTTTAAAGGGAATTCATTCAAGTCATAAATTTCCTTGTTTGATTGACACGAGCCTTTAGTGGCCACATTCAGGTATTGTTGAAGAATACATGATGGGTCTCCATTGTCCATATAATTTTGTTGAAACAGTTTACATAGACTTCCATACCTCTCTGGATTGAAATCCTGTAAGTAACTTAATGTTGACTTTCGCTTGTGTTTGAAGTCAAAAGTATAACAACATTGAATAAATGTACATGTACATGTATTTAGTAAAGAAATCAAAGCTCTGAATTTAACAAATTTGTTTTCCAAATAAAGTTGTAAGTATTTACCTTCGTGAGAATCACAACTGTGTAATGAGTGACCTAGATTATAAATGTACATATTTGGTACAAAATGAAAGCACTAGAACAGAAATATTTGCAATTACAAAAATATTCAACCTCACGTAAAGATGGCACACTTTCCACATTTCTTGTGAGCAAGTAGTACCATGTCCTGTTGTATTGACCATAGAAAAATGGGATAATTGATTCATTTTCTCCTGATTTTAAACAACATTTCTTTGATATCAATGTCTGTAGTGACGGGTCAATCATAGGAAATGACCACGTCCACATGACATCATTGTTGGTGTCTTTTTCTAAAATTTAGGATATGAAGCTGGTTTTAAATATATAAAAGAAGAGAAAAACAGAAACGCTATTTTTCAATGGACTTCATTGGAACTAGTAAGCAGATTCGAGTCAATAAAGTTGGGTGCAAATTTTTGAATTTATTCATTAAAAAAGTTGCCAAACAAAGTTCGTAAGATTACCTATAATGCAAAAGCACTTAAGTTCCGGATATATTTTAGTCATGAGTTTCGTACAAAAAATTTGGTTGAATGCATTATCTTATACGACGAAAAAATCACGCATTATGCAATATTACAGAGCAAAAACCTTACCAATTATTCCTACACATTTCAGCTCCCCAAAAGACATGATAATTTTGTGGTTTTTCAATGGATATTTCGGATTTAAGACATTGTTTAGGTACTGTTTACCTTGTGTTTTGTTCGACCAATCATAAAACAAGTATCGATCATGTGACAAATTAACTCTTGGGAGGAAATTTAAATTTATAGATTTTTAGTTTTGTTCTTGCAGATGTTGAAACTAATTTTTATCAATGGCTTTAGCGGTTTCCCTTTAGAGTTGTGCAGAAATTAAGCAAGGAGATGTATTGTGAAAAAAAAGAAATGGATGTGGCTTCTCAACAGTAAGTGTGTAAACGAAAGTTTACAATGAAAATGAGCTAGTCTTGAAATCATTTTAAAGTACGTCTTCAGAATTAAGAAGCTTGCAATAATTCACCAATGTATGAATGGGTAAATTGCATTTGTCGTAATAATATCACCATAATTGTATCAGTTATTATAATGAATGAATTCTGGTAGGTTTGCAAAATACTCAAAAAAGTTGAACATTTCTTTAAGACTTTAACCCATGGTTTTTAAACTTAACCATGCAACTAAGCGTTCTTCAGTGATCGATTGTTCATTTGTCCTTAGTGTTGATACTGTTAACAATGATATCAACTCAACACAATTAATCATTGAGAAGTTCCATGAGATGGCACCTGAGTACACAGATAGATTACAATCAATATGGAAGCGCATGGGCTTTAGTAGAAACTCGCAGAGAGATCGTGTTGAGGCAGTCATTAAATATATTGAAGAGTTGCTTTCGGACATGGTGTATGATGAAGAGAACTTGCTAAATGATTTGACAAAAAACATTGATAAATATGAGGTGGAATTGTCAAATCTTGCTGATATACTTGGCCTTCCTACGTATAAGGTACTTGCCTAAGGGATTATAACCAGTTTACCTGAAAAATAAATTCATTATTTCTTTCATACTGTTGTTTGTTGTGTTAATCATTGCAGGTGGATGAAAATCTTGCTCTTATTGAAAAAGAAAAAAATCTTCGTGATAAGTTTGATCTTTGGAATCTGGTATGAAATTGAATCATGTGATTCTTTTCCTTTGGACTGTAGTAGCTTGCCATCTCCCAAAATATTACCTTTCACCCCCCTCTAAATAAATTGCTTGTCCCTCTAAATAAACCACCCCCTCAATTTTTTAGCAAAACAAATCAATAGTATAAAAGGAACTGAGTTTTTCCGGGCAATATTTCAACTGTTTATGCTACCTTTGATGGCTACACCACCTGACTGCCTCTAACTTCTTTACTTTGTCTAACTGCACTTCCTTATCAACTCACCCCCTCCCCCCTCTAACATTCTTAGCATCACGACTGTAGAAAATATGGAAATATGTCCATGTATAAAAGTAACCAATAGTGTGCCCCTGGAAGCATCACGTGACAGCTATATTTACGTAGGTAAAACATGAAAGAAAGGAAAGTTTGAAAAATCTCCGTTTGAAAGAGAAAGGACTTTGTGATAGACTGGCGCTGCCTCCTCATGACACATCTATTTTTGAAATTCCAACTGAAACTGAACTTAAAGAAATAGAAGCAAATATACTATATATGGAGAAAGAGTTGGTACGTTATGCTTTTTTCAAACTGCCTTATTACGTAGCGCCAGTTTATGTTACGCAATAGGGCAATCTACCGTCACGTGTGGAACATTCACACCACCTGATAGAGTATATGATCTTTATAGTGTCTAAGGTTAACTTTATTTGAAAACATTTGTTACTGTAGGTTTTAACTATCCTTCTCAGATATTTACAAGCAAATGTGCTATCGTCACGAGTGCGACATGTGACCTATGCACAATTGTCACGAGTGTGGCATGTGACCTAAGTACAATTGTCACGAGTGTGACATGTGACCTAAGTACAATTGTCACGAGTGTGACATGTGACCTACGAAGAAAAATTTAAACTTTTCTAAGTCCTCTTGTTCTAAGTGCTGCAGTTTGTAAACTTTGATTCAGCAAAGTACATGGAAAATACACGAAATACTACATCAAATAATCCTAATTTTACTGAAATAATTATATCAACATATTATAACTCATAAAACAAGTAGTCAACCTTTTCAACATATTATAAAAACATTATACAAAAACATTATACAAAATGCCAGGCTCTATTTTCCAACTCGTACTATTATAACTCATAAAACAAGTAGTCAACCTTTTCAACATATTATAAAAACATTATACAAAACATTATACAAAATGCCAGGCTCTATTTTCCAACTCGTACTTCAGAAAAGTTGTTATTTAAACATGAACATCGGACTGCTATGCTGTATGGCGTCAGAATTAAATTCAGATACAACAATTTCATTCATCCCGATTGTCATTTGCAACTATCCTGCACTTCATGCATTCCTCATTGTCGTTAGCTGAGAAAGCATACATTTAATTTGATATTTTGAACTAAGACGCTCGCATTTGCAATAGTTTGCAGTATGCTCTTTAATTTACACAGACTCAAGCAAAACTTCAATTCAAACGTCTTCGCGAAAATATATTAAAGTTATGGGAAGAGTTGGAAATTGATGGTGACAACACGCAGTATGTCGACATCATCCATGATCATGCAGAGGAAAATTACGTTTTGTCTAGAAACAATCTGCTGCAATTGAAAGAATACATTATGAAGGTAGACTTGTAGGGATTTGTATTGATGAATGTGTATTGACAAGGGTATCGTTTCTCCCACCTCTATCCTCTGATTAAGATAATATATTATGAAGGTGGAATAGTTGGGATTTATATTGATGAATGTGTATTGACATGGGTATCATTTCTCCCCTCTATTCTTTGATTAAGATAATACATTATGAAGGTAGAATAGTTGGGATTTGTATTGATGAATGTGTATTGACATGGGTATCATTTCTCACCCTCTATTCTTTGATTAAGATAATACATTATGAAGGTAGAATAGTTGGGATTTGTATTGTTCAATGTGTATTGACATGGGTATCATTTCGTCACCTATATATTCTACATTTGAAAGAACAATGAAGTTAGGCTTGAAGGAATTTTTGTTGACGAATGTGTATAGACACGAGTAGCGTTTCTCCATCTCTGTTCTTCAATTTCTCCAAATCGTGAGCCCCTAATTTGATTGGGAATCAATAATTTGGTTTCAGCTTGGGCAACAACAGGATGAAGATCATGAGCTCGCTATAAAACTGACGAAACAATTAAAAAGTCTCTGGACACATTTGGAAATCCACCAAAAAGAGCAAAACGCGTTTAAAGAAAAATGTATTGGGTTCAGGCCGTCATCGATTCAAATGGTTAGCAAACTCACAGCGTCAACAAAAATAGAATAACTGCTACATAACATACAGCAGCTAGTCTGCAAGCTCGGTGGTGCTATGTAAATGATTGTGAAATCTCAGATCACTGGCATCATTCATTACTCTGGAAATAAATTGTTTTTAGAGACTTTCTCGTGGTGACAAATCTAAAAATTGCTTTAAAAATAGCTAATACCATGTTGAATGGTCAAGATAATAACGTAATAGTTCTAAAAGAACTGCTTTGAATCTTAAAGACACGATGCATTTCGGCAGACTATACTCATCATGTGTCAGCGTCTGCTAAACGAGAACATAAAATGACATTTATATCGTATCGATATGAAATTTTCTCACCTGATAAGTATTCTGTCGAAATGCATCGTGTCTTTCAGATATAAAACTGTTCTTTTAGAACAATTGGATTAGTGTTGTGGTTTTAAACAGTTCTTTTAAGAGCTACTACTTGGTTACTATTTTGACCATTCACCAAGGTTTTAGCTACTTTTATAACAATTTTTACATCGTTTTTACTCAAAATAAATGTGCAAGAGGAAATTGATGCACGAGCGAACAATACTGCACGTAGCGCTGGCTACGCTTCAACTATGGTGCTGTTTTACCTAGGTACCCAATATGGTTGGTCTTTTGATGTTCCAGATGCGTGTGATGGTGAAGCACACCCCTCGATTTTCAATTGTTCATTAGATTAAATTGTTACAGAGTTTGATATTTTCTCTGATTAGAAATTGAAAAACTACTCTGCGTTTCAAGATTACTTTTCGATGAAATCTAAGTAATTTCTGCGTTCTAAATTTTATATTACAGCTGAAAGACGAGGTGAAAAAATACGAAAGTATGAAGATGAAATACACAGAAAAATTTATTCATAGTTTAAGGTATTGTCTAAGTGACTATGATATTTGTCCTTGATGACAAATTTCAAACTACGCAGTTTGTTGTATTTCTGTTTTGCTTTCGATACACGTTTCCAGCATCCTTTTCTATCTTTTTATTCAAGAAAAGAGCTTACATCTTTGGGATAAATGTTTCTTCGGTGAAGATGAACGAAATGAATTCGCTCCCGCTTTTGATGGTAGGATAAATTCTGTATGTGTATGTTGCAAGTTGCGGACACCTTTCTTTAGTGGGCACTGCTTTTGGATCTTTACCTGCTTTTGGATCCTTACCTGCTTTTGGTTCCTTACCTGCTTTTGGTTCTTTACCTGCTTTTGGATCCTTACCTGCTTTTGGTTCCTTGCCTGCTTTTGGATCCTTACCTGCTTTTGGATCCTTACCTGCTTTTGGATCCTTACCTGCTTTTGGATCCTTACCTGCTTTTGGTTCCTTACCTGCTTTTGGATCCTTACCTGCTTTTGGATCTTTACCTGCTTTTGGTTCCTTACCTGCTTTTGGATCTTTACCTGCTTTTGGTTCCTTACCTGCTTTTGGTTCCTTACCTGCTTTTGGATCCTTACCTACTTTTGGTTCCCTACCTGCTTTTGAATCCTTACTTGCTTTTGGATCCTTACCTGCTTTTGATCCTTACCTGCTTTTGGTTCCTTACCTGCTTTTGAATCCTTACTTGCTTTTGGATCCTTACATGCTTTTGGATCCTTACCTGCTTTTGGATCCTTACATGCTTTTGCATCCTTACCTGCTTTTGGATCCTTACATGCTTTTGGATCCTTACCTGCTTTTGGATCCTTACCTGCTTTTGGATCCTTACATGCTTTTGGATCCTTACCTGCTTTTGGATCCTTACCTGCTTTTGGATCCTTACATGCTTTTGGATTCTTACCAATATGTTATTACCTCTCACAAGTGGACATCTCCCGAGCAGACACCAGGTCGTTATGCCAAGGGTTTTTGCTCGGGATGGTTGACTGTATGTGCTCAATCGAAGAGCGTGAGATGTTTTTTTTGACACAGCGCTTGGGTAAGGAAGGAATGCGTGCGTGTCTGCTTAAGAAATTAAAGTTTCAGAATTTGATTACATGAAATTAAAGTATCCAATTCAAGAAAGGTTTCTCTGGCTACCTGCTTTCATACTATTGTTTTGAATTTCATGATACCAAATTAAGAAATATCTATGGTGGGAAATTTTACCCGTGATTTTGGAAACTTGGGTTGATGAGTCTTTTGCAAAACTGTGTCTGATGAGTCTGACGTCCTTGCTGTGTGTACTGACTATTAATAAGCTTTGCTGAACTTTCAGATAACTATACAGAAGAGTTAATGAATATCCATGAACACCAGATCCAAGTGTTGCATGGCTTTTACGAAGATAATAAAGCAATATTCAAGTTGGTTGAAAAACGCGAGGCGATGTGGAGAAAATTGATGGAATTTGAGGTTTTTATTCATCAAGAATTAAAAATTATTATTTGAAAATAAATGCATTGATGATGTACGGGGAACCTTGAATGTTAGAATTTAAAGTTCGTGCTGTTGTTTTAGTGAGCTCATTATGTTGTGGTGCTCTATTTTAGAATCAAGAAAATGATCCAACTAGACTGTTTACAAATCGAGGCGGTGCCCTCCTGAAAGAACTCAAAATGAAGAATTCAGTGGAGAAAGGTCTGCCAAAGGTGAAACGCGTGAACAGTTATCAATGGGGTATTTATTTATTTGTTTGCCAACAGCGGTAAGCGTTGAATTCAATCACTCCTTTAAGGTTGAGAACGAATTGAGGAAACTTATCGAAGTTTGGCAAAAAGAGAACGAAACTTTTTTCTCTGTCAACGGTGAAAAATATCTGGATCTAATACAAGTCCAACAAGAAAACAGAAAGCGAGAAAAAAAAATGGCAAAGCTAGGGAAAGTAAGAATTTCTTCATGATATTTTAGTTTTTTTCTCGGTTTTGTTTATTTTGAAGAAGAAAAAACTTCGGGTTTCGGTCCTTTTTTCAATAAAAGAGTTTCGTGGTGATAGACAGTATGTTTGGAGGTTATAATTTATTTCATGAGAAGAACTCTGGTAAACAAAAAGATAAAATTCGAAAGCAAAAAACCCCGTTTTCGGTCCATGCTTCCCGATACCTTCTTAAGCCGAGGCACTAGAACGCCGCATGTTAACGTTTCGGTAGGAGATTTCGGCCCCTCCACGCTATCCTACTTGGGAGATGCAATAGCAAGCTTCCGCCCATCAGACCCCGAGATCGCCTGCGATAGGCTTTGCTCGGGGTACGCAGGGAGAGTGCGGTCGCCACCGAAGTGTGGGCCCCTAAGCCACTGCATACATATCGCACCCAGCTTCCACTGCTAGTTGACATCTACTATATGAAGTTTTAGCATTATATATATATACAAAAATTCAAAGGCTTACAAAAGTTGTGGTATTATTAAAGTCACTAGTGCGCATGCGCAGATGATTTCATTGATAATTTGCGACTAGAGAGCTAATTGCCACCAATGTAGTGCAAGTACATATAGCTAGTCGTTGCCATGACTCTGAACAATTAGTCGAATGGAATGCGCATGCTCGTGCGCATGCGCAGATGATTTTCTTCATAATTTGCGATTAAGTGAGCTAAATTGCCACCAATGTAGTGCAAGTACGTATAGTTAGTCGTTGCCATGACTATGAACAATTAGTTGAGTGGATTTCGCACGCTCTTGCGCATGCGCAGATGATTTATTTTATAATTTGTGACTATGCAAGCTTTTTACTCCAAAATTGGTTATAGTTGATCCAGTTGGTCGTTGGCATGACCATAATCTTGAACAGTTAGCTAAGTTGACTATTCATGCTCAAATGACATCTCCAACGAAATGTGACCAAGTGAGCTAGATATTCCAAAAGCGCTGCAATTTTATCCAGTTGTGAAATATCAAGCTATTTATTCTAAGTTATGCAAGTATATTCAGTTGGTCGCTGCCCTACTACGGTAAATAGTCGGTCATTGGACTGTGCATGCGTCAAGTGGACGCACATGCATATATCTATAATAAAATGTGACTAAGCTTGCTTTTTACTCCACTATTGGGGCTAATACATTCAGTTGGTCGTTGCCATGACCATGAAATCGTGGGCAAGTGACTTGCGCATGCTGAGATGATTTCACTAATACTATGTGACCAAGTGAGCGACGGGACCGAGTGAAGTGGGTAGCGAAATGTTGGACAATGAACTATGCGTGAGAGAGTTGTGTAATGTAGCGAACGAGGTTTTGAGGGGCTCAAAGATGCCGAGTACATGGAGAAAGAGTCTAGTGGTCCCGCTGTACAAAGGAAAAGGAGCAGCTACGGTATGTGGGAATTACAGGACTATTAAGCTGATGGAGCATGCGTTGAAGATAGTAGAGAGAGTGTTTGAAAGAAGGTTGAGGGAAGTTGTTCGGATGGGGGAAGAGCAGTATGGATTCATACCGGGGAGAGGAACGACGGATGCGTGTTTTGTGTTGAGGCAGCTGCAGGAGAAATTTTTGGAGAAGGACAGAGAATTGTATATGGTGTTTGTAGATTTGGAGAAGGCGTTTGATAGAGTTCCGAGAAAGGTGATCGAGTACGCGCTGCGTAAGAAAGGTGTGACAGAGAATATGGTTCGGGCAGTTATGGAGACTTATGAAGGTGTAGAGGCGGTGGTTACGGAGGAAGGTGTTAGATCTGGTGTTTTTGAGGTAAAAGTTGGTGTTCATCAAGGTTCAGTCTTGTCGCCGTTACTGTTTGCTTGTGTGATGGATGTTCTGACAGAGGAAGTGAGAAGAAAAGAAGGATGCTGGTGTTTGTTGTATGCAGATGACATTGTCTTGGTGGCGGAGTCGAAGCAGAAAGTCATGGAATGGTACCGAGAATGGAAAACGGCAATAGAAGTCAAGGGACTGAAAGTGAATGAGGCAAAGACGAAGGGCATGAGATGATCGAGGCAGGTGGAGGTGAAGGACAGCGATAAATGGCCATGTGGTGTGTGTGGGAAAGAGTTGGAGTGAATTCGATAATGTGGGAAATGCAGTAAGTGGGTTCATGGAAGATGTTCAGGTGTCCGTGGTGCATTGACAAGAGTAACTGATTTTGAGTGCGGGACGTGTCGAAGTGGTGGGCGAGTCGCGATTGAACGGTTTGAACTGGGTGACGTGAGTTTGGAAAGTGTATCGGAGTTTAAATATCTGGGCGATGTGTTAAATGATGGTGGAGGGTGCGAGCAGGCGGTGAGGAACAGAGTTCAAGCAGCGTGGTGGAGTTTAGAGTTGTCGGGAATGTTGTGCGGAAAGTCGACTTCGTTGAAGCAGAAGGGAGAATTGTACAAGGCATGTGTTAGAAGTGTTTTGGGATATGGAGCAGAGTGTTGGGCGCCGAAAGCAGAGGACCTGAGAAGATTGGCGTCGACGGAAAGGAGAATGCTTAGGATGATGTGTGGTAACGTTGATGGATAGGATTCGAAGTGAAGAGATTAGAGAAAGAGTTGGTGTTGAGTGTATCGAATTGGGTAAGGCGCCAGCGTTTGAGGTGGTTTGGGCATGTGGAAAGGAGGGAAGAAAGTGCTGAAATTCGTAGAACGTTGCATATGAATGTTGATGGAGTCCGCAAACGAGGTAGACCGAGAAGGAGATGGATGGATGCTGTGAACAGTGATATGAAGGCGATGGGTATAACGAGAGATATGGCGAGAGATAGAGACGTTTGGCGTAGAAAAGTTCATGGACCGGTCAACCCCCCTGGCGGGGATTAATGCTGGCCGGTATACAAATGTTGTTTGTTGTTTGTTTGTTTGTATGTGACCAAGTGAGCCTGTTTCGTTAAGCCTATTAGGAGCCTGTTGGGTGGCCGTTTAGCGGACGTTGAACAAAAAACAAAACTGAGGTGAACTATTGGTTTTTTGATCTACGTGTAAGGTTTACGATACGTTTATGACATGTAAGACTTGGACAGCGGAAGGTGGATGATTGAGGGGGGAGGGGTGAACTTCTATTTATAAATGCATGTTTTACTTTATTAGTTTCTATTGAATTGTGATTACGGATTATAATATAAGAGTGTATAAATGTGAACACCCCTCCCCCAAATACGAATCTTCTGCGGTCCTGTAGGAGAATTGTACGTAATGTTGAGTTCATATTAACATATTCTTAACTTGTCATTACATGGCTAAGTAATTTTAAATTTCATTAAATTAGCAAAAGGAAAAAAAGGAAGCACTGGTCAAAGAAATGATTTATGGAACAAAACCAGCTGTAAGGTACAACGATCACACCGTGTGAGTTTTCAAAATTGACGATTGGAGTTTCATTTTTATGCAGGACTTCAGGGGATGTTGAATGTCATTTATTGATATCATGTACAAACAATTTTTACTGCGGGTACTTTCATGTAGAAAATACAACCGAACAAACAGGATTTTAGTTGCTGAAATAACAAGTTTGATAAATATGGTGATATTTTTGGCACTGTTTCAAAGCCATTTTTCAAGTTTTCAAAATGAGCTGGAAAAAAAGACGTCCAACACTGTCGAAATATTACCATGATCGTGCATTGTGTTATTGTAATAACTCAAATGTTGGGTTGACAAATATTAAAGGCGTCATTTACTGTATCATTCTTTCAACATTTTTATTGAAGAGTGAGCAGACAAAACAACGTAGGAAATACGAGCAAAAGAAAACACGAAGATAAGGTAAACACAAATGTTTAACGATAGTCGGACACAACCATGTAATTCATGATGAAAGTCGTCAATTAGTGGTGTGAAAAGAATTGTAACAAAATGTTAACGATTTGATTAAATTCCAGTATTTATGAACAGTTACAAATTAATTTGCGTGGAAAGACTATCCTTACGATGTTTTCATATAGAATGGATCATGGACATTTTCAGCATCGTCGACGTCAAACATGACGTCATCTCAAAAAAGAGATCATACTCCAATGACAGCAAGGATCAAAAAGGTAACGGGAAGTTGCCACTTACATGTGTCTGGTTGTGTTTTGCTGTACTTCATGTTAGTGAGCATTATTCGCCCTCGTGCAGAGACTAAGTGGTGAATCTATTTCTGAAGGGTGATTTTTACTTTGTAGAAAGTACGAAATAAGCGACGAATATCATCGAAAATTGTAAAATTCCCATGACCTTACGGACTTTTAGAAGGTGGGTAATCTTATGAAGCTACGGTATTGGATGTGTGAAGCAATGATTTAGAACCCAATCCCCTAGATGTTTAGGAAGAGATAAGCTGAAGCAAAGTTTAAAAAACAAGTCTTGTCAAACATTTTAAAACCAATCTTAGACTATCATCAATTCTGCAATGTATGTCAACGCAAATAAGCAGATTTTGATTATAAATATCGATTCAGGTTTCTTGTACATTGGGTTCTTGGTCATTGGTATGAAAAGTAGAAGTTCGAACAAATGTTTGGGAAATTGATCATCAAATGTAACATTTTCGTTGTCTGATGATGCAGTAATTGTACTGTAAAAATACTATTTTCTTAAAAATACTAAAACTATTTCGAAAATTTCAATTTGAAAGTAAATTTCTTTTGAAAGGAGATTTTCCTGATGTTATGACGACTTGTGCAAATAATCATACGTTGTTTGAATGTATCGAACCTTTAATGAAAATGACTTAGTCATTGCACGGAATTTGGGGAGATAATTTTAAGTGTGATGTAAGTCTGAGTTCTTTAATGGCGCATTATTGGACAAATTTATCATGCACAACACGACGTTTTAAGACTTCGTGAAAATGATAGACTGATTTGGCTATTTTACGCTATTTTCATGACGGCTTGTAGCGCTTGCTGAATTGCTCTTAAGTTTGAATCTTTTTCGTAAATAATTATAGCTAAGTGCAGAAGCTTAACTGTCTTCATGTCGTGATTGTTGTCTAGGTTTTGTTGCAATAGTTGCAGTTCAATTCGATTTTCACATTCATTTTCAGTAAAGAAAACATTCACAAACACATTTCTCGCGAAGACGAAGAAGAAGATGAAGATGAAGATAAAAGCGATAGCGTTCAAATTACTACCGATGAATCGATGGAGTCCGTCTGCACCTACCCAGACTTTACTGTGAGCTTTTTTTTGATCAGTTTTTCGTGACTATGTCTTGTGTCCACCGCGCGCGAAGAGCTGCAATTGTTTATGTGATTGAATGATGCACTTGTTACTGAATACTTATCGTGAGAAACGATTATTGGGACAACTCATACGAAGCACACGGCGGTTTTTTTTACGTTGTTGCTTTCTTTAAAATGACCTTGGGAAAACGATAAACTGTTTTCCTTTGCTTATTTATGTTTTTCATATTGTCTTTCTTTATAGAATCACTTACGACATGGAGGTGTAAGAGAACTTAGCAGTACTGCGGCAAGTATTGAGCATTCGCATGGTGATGATCCAAGCACAAGCTCAGTGATTTAAATCAATTTCTCATGATATGAAAAAGGTTTTGAACAGGCAATAGTAACGGTATGACATGATGCATGAAAGGTCGTAGAAGAGGCTTTAGAGAAATACTTTCCATGCACACTTGTCTAAGTGTGCATTTTTGGGGAACGATAGTTTAATCCGATCATTATTTGAAAAAGGATCTGATACGGATACAGAAATAGCCACATACAGTAATTGACTGGACTTTATATATTATAATATACTCAATTATAAATCATATTGTTTGTAAACACCAATCGGCATTAAAGAATCTATATATAAGTGCATTCAAAATAGAATAAAATGTATATTTATAGCTATACATGCGATGATTTATTAATAACAGTAATGGGCATAATGCATGAAAGGTCGAAGGTAAGTTTTAAGAGAAATACTTATTACTCCATACACATTTATTGTTCACCAAAATTATGTAGAATTATTCTTCTATATCCTATCAATATGATGAACTAGGTAACGTTTAAATGCCCCAAGTAGAATAAGCTAGCTCCATTTTGCTTGTGTACGTTTATTGCGCTCGTTTATGAACATGCCATTCAATTTTCCTTCATTTACCCCATGCATATTTTACGATTGACGAGGAATGGCTATTATTTCTATACACCTGAATATCTTCGATCTAGTAAGAATGATTTGTAATTTGCGTGTAAAAGATCAGCAAGTATGTAGCTAACGACGGATCTACGACTTCGATTTTTTGATAAATATTCATTATGTGTAATTAGTGTTTGCTTTAGTTTTAGCGAATCTCGTTCTCTGCATGGAGTACATCAGATAAAGAAAAGTTGTTTACTAAGGGAAATACTGAAGATCGAAGAAAAATTTGCGTGAGAAAAATTGCATCTGATTGCGCAATTAGCTAACGTTTTTGCTTGTTTAGAAGCCCTTCCACATCTGTTATTTGCGAATAATGGAAAAGTAGAGCTTTTGAGCACCTGCTATGTACTAATGCCAAAAATCTTCAATTATTTCTTTTAAATTTGTAAACACTTGTATACATTGAAATTGGATTCTTTGATGCACCGTTTATAATGCATTATTCATATTCAATTCGATCAGCTTGGGCATATAGTAAGCTTTCTCGTTTCCCACATGCACTTAATATTTAACTAGTAATTTCACAGTTACCTCAATCGCTTCAAACTCCACTTTCTTACTTCTTGACTTAAATGAACGCCTACGCCATGTCGTGTGAACTACGCTCTGAATAATTAAATTTTGTCCGTTGACTCGACGTGTTTTAAAAAGCCACTCACATCGTAATGTACAAAATCATTATTAAATTATGAACAAAGCTTTCTTACTTGACCTTATCAACGTTATAAATGTAAACACTATATGTTTTTTTCTCTTCATTATAGGATGAGAGAAAACAGCTGGCTTTAAGTTTCGTTTTTGTAAACCTTCCCGGTGAAGATTCTCGAAAGAAATTGGCCGGTATGAATGACGAGTTCGTTGGGTTTTTTGTTTCAGTTTTCGCCTATTAATAACATCGTGTGTTGTGGGTTTTGTAAGTTTTTTTTTATGATATGAATTACTGAACATGCGTACAAAACTCTTCGTGCTTTTTGTCAGCAAGCTGCATCTTATATTTTCGTTCAATGTTATAGCAACGCGAGATTTGTACTGAACCCCCAATGACTGGCTCGCGATACTAGCTAAGGGAAAACGTGTTACAAGATCTTTTAATATTTATATAAGTTAATGTAGCTTAACAGACATGCGAATTGCTCGATGGACAAGACAAGTTTTCAACGATTTCATTTATTGAACTATATTGAACGGGCGTTAGTTCGTTTTATAAAGTTTTTTTCGCAATTTTTTGCTACACAAATACTTGGCCGTTTATAGTGCATGTATTTGTCAATGATTCTATTGTAAGATGTTGCAATTTGTCCTCATGCATTTTGCTACAGGTTTTGAGGATTTTAATTTAGATCTAGATTGTTATGGAGTCCATTAATTACGTTTTTTTAAACCATTTTGCGGAATACTTCTGTCGCATACGTAATTGTTTTAGTGTGTTATTTTTGTGTCATTACTAACTTATGACAATTTATCTCAGGTTGTCGTACATTAGAACAAACATCAAAGGAGGCGACAGTTACCGAGATAAGATATAGTTAAAGGATTTAAACGTTTATCTATAGATAACTAACATGGATAGCAGCGAAAACCAGGTTTGTAAACTCAGAAATTTTCTTAGCTCTTCGTTGACGTGAAGAATGATGTCAGTTGTAATTTTTATCACACACGACAAGATCTTGAAAAATGGCATCCCCCCCGAAAACGACCTCCCCCTGGACAATGCTGTTAAAGTGTTGACTAACGATGAAAATGATGCTCTCTCTAAAAATGACGTTATGAAAATGGTCGTGTCAAATTGGTCGAAGTCTTATACACCAAGACGACACATGCGCAAAACACTAAAGCCCTACCAGGAGCAACAGCTGGAAGAGATTCCGGGCGCCTCGAAGAAGACTGGTACCGTCATGCACGCGGCGTTGACCAGCGAGATTGACAGTGATGATCACGTGGTGGATGGCAACAAAGACATGAGAATGCGCGTACGCAATCACGCACTGATTCATTACATAGCAAAGCTCGCAGGCTCAAACCACGATAATGACACATTTGATTTTGCATTCGTGCAGAGTTTGCTGAAGAACGGTGCGGACATTAATGCCGCTGACAAGTACGGTCAAACTGTCTTTCATGAAGTAGCGCGGTCATGGCATTTGGATGTTGCTGAATTTCTTCTAACTAACGGTAGGCTCAATGTGTCATCATTTCCTTAATGAAAAAGAGGAGTAGAATAGGGACTTGCATGTATTTATGCTACTGAAGAGTTTAGGAAGCTCGACCTTTTATTTGTTCGGACATTCCTTATTATAAAGATGGCAAGTCTTATCTAAGTGTTGTTTTTTGTGGTTTGTCTTTTCTCGGAGGTGCCAACATCAACCAACAAGACAAATATGGTCGTTCACCTCTTCATGTATCTGCTGCTGTTGATTATGTGGAAATGGTCGACTTCCTCATCTCTAAAGGTGCTGAAATAAACATAAGAACATTCGGTGAGGAACAGGCACCTATACATTTCGCTGCTAAAAATGATGCATGTAAAAGCTTGAAGGCGCTCATCGCTTTTGGTGTGGATGTGAACTGTCGTGATTATCAAGACAGAACTCCTCTGCAGGTTTGTCAGAAACTAATCTTTTAAATTTATCGACTTGTTGATTTTATTTGTTTCAAAACGATGATTTTCTTGAAAAGCATATTTTCCACGAGGAATAACAACTATAGCCTTTGTCATTGTGAAAAGAACCTCGTATTTTACTTTTTAATTCAAGGACTTTGATGTGGTTTCAAACTTATAAATATTGCTCTGAACAGCGTATTTGTCACGATAAATGAAAATTGAATAGTTCTTAAAAGCAACTGTTGAAAACCAAAATGAAGATAGCTATGAAAATAAATGACACGATACATCTCCGCAGACTTTTCTTCAGGTGACACGTCTGCTTTTATAAAAACCAAAATTGACTTCTGCATATAATGAAGACAATGAAGAATGACGTCACCTCAAACGGGGAGGTGACGTTTAACGCAGAAACAAGTTAAAGGCACAATGCTTTTGACAGCAGAGCAAGAGATTTGTAAACTTAATTATATTTGTGTTTTCACAATTCTTTGCAGAACTACCTTGGCAAAAATAATTATTCACGAGATGTTTGCAGATGTAGATCGTCCAGGTTAGTATAGTCTCGAAAAGAACTGTTGGTGTTGATGTTGACTGACGTCTCGACAATCTTAGCGAAACAACCTTGTCAAAACGTCAGTCAACAGCAGCAGAAACAGTCCTTCTCAGGACTATACTACATTTACAGATATTCAACGATAACTCCCTGGTTCAAACCATTCACTTTAGTTGCTATTCACCCCAGGGAAATCTCCTATTTGAGGCAATATGTTTATATATTGCAATATATATAAGGCAATATATATTGCCTTAGTTTTCCATAATGTATTCACTCTTTTGTAGCTTGCAGCAGCAATGAGTCGATCAAAAGCTGCACGTATGTTAATCGAAATGGGTATACCTGCTGGTGTCTATGACAAAGATGGCGAAATGGCCTTATCATTGCTTGTCATCAAGATGCCAGATGTGGCGAACCTCGCATTGAATCAATTTTTCTCTGAAGATAATATCAATCACAAGCGTTATTTCTTCCTCAATTACCTCGAAGGAACGAGGGTGATAGATGGTCGATCTTCGGCTCGTACGCCATTGGAGGCAGCGGTCGCTAGTTGCAGTGTCGACATCATTATGCATCCTGTTATACAATACCTCATCTCCACTAAATGGGAAAGGTTTGGTCGTCGTTGGGCATGGTTTGACTTTGCTATCAACCTTTTATCATCTGTGATCTGGACCATTATGGCTGTGACCTTACCCAATAGTAACACCACGCTCTATAATCCACCTCATGAAAAATGGTGGCGCATGGTACTTGCATGCTTCGCCTTGTTAATAACCTTTTACGAGCTGTTAAAACAAGTCACAATAACCGTGCGGACAAAGCGTACGCTCACTCAATGGAAGACCTACAGGGAATTGTCCTTATCGCGAGATAAACCTTATTGTCACCCACAATGGCCCGACGAAGCAAGGTAACAATTTCATATTTGTTTTCAATTTACTTAACAGCCTTTTTTGTATGAAAGTAACAATTTTCACTTTATTTTCAATTTCTACGAGAATAATTCAATGCTTTGAAGCTTGATTTAAGGCGTTATTTCCATAACAATGGTCTCTTTATTGCGTTAAATTAAAAGTTGAAAATCCTCGTTTTATATCTGCGACACGTTAGCTCGAGGAGCATTTTTCGTACGCATTAAACTTGGTGCTGCAGGATGTTCTTAGCTTTCATCCATTCTCAGTGTGACCATACGTACAAATTTTTTTAACAGATTCGGTCGGATGAGCCCAAACACCCCCCCTGTTCTAAAGTATGCAATTGTATAAAGCAGGTGGGGTAGTCTGCGCGCATAAAAACCAAATCTAGTGAAAAACAGTCCATTCATCTTCTTATGCTTTCATTCTTTCAAATTTTAGAGGACAAAATGGAGTTTTTACTGCGTAAATATTTTTCATTATATATCTGCCTGAAGATGAACCTTGTGATCAAATTGTGACCATTTAGTTTAAGTCATATCGAGCAAATCAATTGTAGAAAACAACTAAAAGAATTTTCAAAGGAATTTAGGGATTTTCAAATCACAAGTTTACTAGTTGTTTGTCATTTGGTCCGAATCTCGAACAAGCTTTGAAACATTTTATTATGTAATTTACAGGTATGTGGACGGTGAAATAAAGAACATCCAAGAACATCGATGGCTTGCTGCGCATGACGTTTGGGTCTACGTTGATTGGCTAGTTTTATTTTTCATCGTGGCCTCTGCGATCTCACACGCTATCTTCTTTTCTGAAGGCACGGATGCCGCCTATTTTGTTCATGTGCGCATCATGTGCGTTCTCCTAATAGTCACGTGGGTCCGACTTATGAAATACGTGCGACCTTTCCACGGACTTGGTGCCTTTGTTGCATCATTCTCGAAGATGCTGGGAGACATATCTCTCACTTTCTTTGTGATTGCCATTGTATTTCTACCGTATGCATCTTGCTTTTGGATCATGTATGGTGGGTACAGTCCAAGACCTGCGAAAGGTTATGAATCAATGTCTGCTATCTTATACCAGGTGGGCTTCTTGTTTTTAACGCAAAGGAGTTGTGCATATAGGGCGAGCATCGTGATTTAATTGGGAAGGATATGGTTAAGATCAGAAAGGATCCGGAAGGATATGGTTAGGATCAGGAAGGATCCGGTATTTTGGTTAAATTTGTGAATCGAAAGCTCTGTATGACGTTTTAGTTAAAGTTTGAATTTGCGTTAAAGTAAAATTCAGTTCGATTTTCAGTTTGATTTTCAGTTTAGCCACTTCCTCTATTGTTATGTTGGAAATGATTGAAAACTGCACCTATGATACCCGACGTCAAGGCCGATTTCCATTCAGTGCAAATTGTCGCGCGATTGACTTTTTCCAATCACTTTCTTTTCAATTGTAAGCTCTCGACTGGAACAGTTTCACACTGCTGCACACAATTCAAAAGAAAGTGATCGCAAAAAGTCGATCGTGCGATAATTTGCACTGAATGAAAATCGGCCTTTAGTCACACTTTCACTATCACAAGCGATCATCAGTGAACTAATGGCTACTTTGTGGTATTTATTTAGGTGTTTCAGATGACCGTGCTTGATACGAATCATGATACAGAACCATTTTTCGATGTCGATCCTTCCATGGCGCGTCTTCTATCATGCAGCTACATATTTTTATCCTTCGTGATCCTCCTCAATCTCGTTATTGCCACGATCACGCATACGTTCAAACGCGTGTACAGCTATGCGCAGGAGCATGCTGCGATGGAGCGTGCAAAGACAATCTTAAACATCGAGGATTCACTACGAGTAAAGTCACGAAAGCTTTATTGGGAATACATCAGTAATCAATGCAGTCCAATGATATTACATTCTAATAATCGCGAAGATCATACAGTACTTTCAGAAATGGTACTCTGCATGTTTATACGTATATGTCCAATGATGTTACATTCCAATAATCGCGATGATCATACAGTACTTTCAGAAATGGTACTCTGCATGTTTATACGTATAATGTGAATAGAACTTCTTGTCCGTTTACAGATCTCTGCCCCTTTTTTGTGATGTTTTTCCCAGTGAGATAGAAACTGAATAGATTGTAGCGTATGCTGTTTTACCAGTTTGTTTGTAAATCCATTTTCAGTTTGTCAGTACACTCCTCTTAGATAAATGTATGAGGTATAGATGCACCTTACTAAGTCATCTTTTTTCAAGGTTGATATTAACGATCGTATTCAGGAAACCCATCAACTGGTGGAATCACGTTTTGGTAAACAGTTTGGGGAAGGCAGTAGTTCGACAATGGAAGACATGTTGAAATTTGCAAACGAAATCGTTTGTAATTATAACGAATCAAAGGAAATGCTTGTCAAGGTTTTTGCGGAGTTGAGAATTTTGGAAAATATCGTCACGCCGATGATTGCAGAGAAAGCCGCTGCCCATAAAGCATTGCAGGAATATGAAGGGATTAATTCGCTGATAAATATCACCAAAGATGATGAAAGTGAATTTGCAAGCCATGCAGGTTTTGATTCAACTCTAACCAGGAACACGTCGCATAGATCGAGTTTCTCCGTCCAAAGTGAACCTGGAGATTTGAAAGAAAAGCGAAATTGGAAATCAGTCAGCAAATCCTTATCACGCATCGCCCGTGAGAATTCGAGAAAAAGTCGCTCGAAGAAAACGTCAAACGGTGAGACAACTATATGAGTTTTGCTTGTAGCAGAGGAAACTGGAAGTTTTCATATTTTATCAGTGAGTGACGTCATCCTTGAAAAATAAAACAGTCTGACACTATACGGTTTAATAGTTGACAAATGAGCAACGATAGACCTTTATACCTCCACCCCCCCATTTTTATTTACCCTTTGTTCTGTTCTCAACTTTCCAAAAAACGTAAGTCTGTTTTTCTTTTTAATAATATCCACAAAGGTCTACAAGAGGAAGAAATTTACTCAGACAGAAGTGAAATAAGGTACGACTCGGAGGTAGATCACGTGAAAAAGTTGAGAAAACCACGAAGCAGGTCTGCCGTAAACATGTCCAAGTCTGATTCAAGGGAACGTCAACATAGTAGGTCTTCGTCATCTAAAGACCTCACACGCAGGAAAAATAGAACTCGAGATGCATATAAATAATGGCAGGAAATGGTTTCTAGATAAGGATTTCAGAAAGTTGTAAGGTAAAAACCGTTTTGCATTTAAGAACATTTATACGAGCAATATGCATTTTCAAACTGAGGAAATCAGTTGGGAACAATTGCATGACTATTTCTCACGTGATCATAATTTGTGACGTCATAAAAACGCTGCTGTCTCCACAGACATTGTTTAAAGCATTAAGCTTTTTTCTATCGTTTAATCATTTTCGTAGTTTTACTGAAAGCAGTAAGACATGTCAGATAAACGACAATATTTTAAACTGTAGACATTTTTCGGCATATCTGTAGCATCCTTAGTGCAATGTTTAATGCGTCAATTGTCTATGAATGGAAACATGTGTATAACGGAGACGGAGTTTAAATTAAAATTATAGACATTTAGAAAATATTTACTTACTAAAAATGATGTTAAAGTTAGCAAATCTTATTTAAATTCCGGTTTTGGTTTTTAACGGAAAGTGCCTTTTGAGTTTTAATTTCTATACCACGGAATAAGGGATACAAACAGAAAGGTCATTCTCTTCAAGTGTTGAAGTGAATTAACCTTTGATGTTTTTGTCGCGCGCATATCGACCTGCATATTTAACCACCCTTATTCCAACGAGATGATTAGGGTTGTCAGTTGTTACCAACCATGAAAGGTATTTCTTTTTTTTCACAGGGGGTGGTGCAAAAAATTTAAGGGGGGCGAACTGATAAGGAAATGACGTTAGACAAAGTAATGGTTTGGATTTTACGAGGTGGTCCTGTAGTATAGCCACCACTAAAGATAGTGTGAAGTTGAAACATTGCCCAATAAAACTCAGCTCAATTTTACTATTGATTTGTTTTCCTAAAAGTATCAAAGGGGTGTAGGATTTTATTAAGAAGTTGAAATATGATATTTTGGGTGTGACACACTCCTGCACCCCCAGAAAATCCGTCCGTGTTCCCAACCACTAAATTGACCTGAAGTCATTTCTTTAAGGGCTGGAATAATGACAAACGTGAAGACACGTTGCACAACCGAGTGACTCTTCTGTATATTATCTGTTATGTGATCTATAATTAATTCTATTATCGGTGATTTGAAATGAATTGCATCATTTTGTATATGAAAATTTGAGGGTTACAAAAATAGCTTATCTGTTTGATCTACTCCTGCGCATACTGGGATTTTAGCTTTCGGATAAACAACATATGTTTATTTCCATAGCTATTCTATTATTTCAATAAAGAAGCAACCGTATTTTTTAAACAGCTAAATCTTATTACGCGTCATTTCTATGAATGCAAATATCTTAGTGTTTTGAGGAAATGCGTTTTCCAACCACAATCTATCCATTGCATTTGAAAAAAAACAAAAGAAACTTTGTAGACAGCATTATGCCTTTTCGACAAAAGAAGTTTGTATTATGAGTCAAAAATCTTATAGTTTGTTTTATGATGACTTCCTCGCGATGCGCAGGTGAACGATTAATCACTACCTTCGACAGTCTTTGCTGTAAGAATGATTTAGATGAGATCTTTGTGATCAAGATTGCATTGACTTAAATGAATTAACTATTTCGATAGCCGCAAAAGCTGTGTGCTGTGATCTTGTGTTATCAGATCACGGTTCACACGTCATTGGGTAGAGATAAACATCAATCCGTGATTGACCTCAAGAAAGCTCATTTAAAGTAAAATGCGGATGTTTTTCACAAAAGCCGTACAATCTTTAAAGCATTATTGAAACAATCACTAAGTTCAAAGGAATTTTTTGATGTGTGTTCTTCTTTATGTGACGAATGCTCTTCGGCCACGAGCCAACGTGTGGATTGAGTTGATGACATTCAACAGGATTGGAATATTTTGAAAAAGGTAAGCTTTGTGGAATATTTTGAATAAGGTAAGCTTTGTGGAATATTTTGAAAAAGGTAATCTTTGTGGAATATTTTGAAAAAGGTAAGCTTTGTGGAATATTTTGAATAAGGTAAGCTTTGCGATTTTTAAACTGAATCGATGCCCTTTCTAGTATTTTCAACATTCTCTGTAGATGTGCAAGTGTGAATCACGAAAATAAAATGAAAATGTAAAAACATAGCCATATTCCAGCGACAATATATATACAATTGCAGCACTTTTCAGAAAACGTTAATTTTTACAATTGACTTGATATGTCCCAACTTATCTATATGTTTGCGTATTTGAAATAATCAGTATATCACTGTAAAGTACACTATTGGAATTTTTAAGTTGCGATTGTAGCTATACGATGGAGAATATATATCTTAATGTTATACATGAATGTTCGCTTTCATTTTTATTTATTAATTATGTTCTTACTCTTATGCGGAATGACGAAATTGAATATTGGAATATCAATCATACTGTAATCGTTAGCCAAACCATTAGTACGTAAATAGACAATGCTTATTGCTTTGTGCAGCTGTAAGTCAATTTTAAAGGGGCTATGTACGTGTGTAAGGCTACGTGGTGATGGATAGGAACTAATTTTAGCCAGCATTATTGTGTGCTAAAACTGTCAGCAATTAGCAGTTTGAAATTTGAAATAATCATTTGCAACGTAGCATTAATTGATCATTTTGTATTCTGTACGATTTTTGTACATGACGTAACAAGATAAATTTTTTGCAACAACGTATGTAGCCATGTCGTATCGCTCTCAATACTGCATTTGGCTTCAAAAAAATGAATAAAAATGACAGCTGTCTCTCCTCTAATGCGTCAAATATTGTCGTTTGATTATTTTTCATGTCTTATGGTTTAGATTCATACGTTTTGCTTGGTATCTTATATTTTCGTTTCTCAAGAAAAGATGGAAAGAACGCGCGAGGATATTTTAAAGGACATCGTCTTGGATTGGCGTGCTCTCAAACCCAGAAGACAAAAGCGAAGGCGATTCAAAGAATATCAAGAACAATTACTAAAGGTATCTATGAAGGAACAAAGTACTGTGATTCATTCTTTTAGTTTGTTATTTGGGGTGCATAACTTTTTCATCAAAATATCTTATTTTAGTTCATTATTTGGAGGCTAAAAGTTCCCACACACAGAATAGTCGTGCTTAGTATTTAAGTATGCAACTGATAAATGTATTTGACGTTACGAGGTTATTGAAAAAGTTATAAGCGGTTGATGGTTTTAAAGCTCATTATTTGGGGCTGAAACTTCTTCACTCACTAAAATTTTCCTTGCTAATTGTTTTTTCAGTTTGATAAAAACATGTTTAAAATGATTGATTGCCTCCGTTGTGTCAGCATAACACGACACAATAAGCAAACGTTTTCGTATATCAGGCAAAAAGTCGTAAATGCTGAATGTTTAAACATATTGCGTATTTCTTTTGATGTGCTCAATTATCTGATAAGATATAAACTCTAGGAGATCCCCGGGGCGGCGGATAGAACTAACGTTGCTATGCATGCTGTCATTGACGTATCAACGGCCGCAGGAGAGACATTCACAAGTGGAATGGGAGCGACCACCGAAATTCGTAACCAGGCTCTTATTCATTACATTGCGCGGCTTGCAAGCTCGAACAACGACGAAGATGAATTTGATTTTTCATTCATCGAGTCGCTCTTGGACAACGGAGCAGACATCAACACATGTGATAAATATGGACAAACGATGTTTCATGAAGTTGCACGCTCATGGAATGTCGATGTCGCACGTTTCCTGCTCAACAAAGGTATTACTCGAACTTACTAGTGCGTCCTTCCTCCCCTCCCGTAATTGCAAGCCATTTAACATAAATCAGGGGGAGATTATGTAGCTTATTCTCTCATAAGTAATTCATCATGTATACTTATGCAATGTGTAGGTGCTAATATAAACGCTCAAGATAAATACGGTCGAGCCCCGCTTCATGTTGCTGCTGCTGTGGACTACACGGACATGATAGAGTTCCTTCTTGAGCACAAAGCTGACTTAGACATCACCACGTTTGAAGAATTTCAGACCCCAATCCATTTTGCTGCTAAGAACGACGCTTGCCAAGCCATTAAATTGTTGATTAATTATGGTGCAAATGTCAACTGTAGGGATTATCAAGACAGAACGCCTATCCAAGTGAGTGCTTTAATTGTATTTTGACTTCTCGTGTATATTCTTTTAGGCCCCGTTTACACTATACCGGATTGCTATCGTAGCAGGTTAAATATTCTTTATAATATAAGGCAGTGAAATTGTTCAACGTCAGAATCACAATCAAATAGAGTAAATCTATCAGCTTAATAAGCTTTTACTCCGAACAGTTAACCCTTTAAAGCAAATGAAGATGTCGTGATGAGCGAATCTAGTATAGTGTAAACGTAGCCTTAGAGAGATGGATTGATGGTTTATTGAGATATATTATTACAGCCATGGGCTGAATTGTGTATAAATTTACGCGTATAGTTATACATAAAAATTTGATTAAAAAGTATTTTAAGTGTATTTGCAGGTAATGCATAAAAAGTTATGTTAGCTTCTTGATCTATTAGGGATCTTTCATGGATATGTTAAGGATGTATTAGGATTCTGTTGTGGGTGTACTTCATGTATTTGTAGAGCACAAAATCTTCCTTTAAATCTTGATCTTTCTAATTCTAGGTGGCTGCTTCAATGAGTCGAACAAAAGCCGCGCGGTTTCTTGTCGAGTTGGGAGTATCTACTGGTGTTTACGACCGTAATGGAGAAATGGCATTGTCCTTGCTTATCTTAAAAATGCCAGAGGTAGCAACGCTTGCTTTTGATCAATTTCGTTCCCAGGACATGATCAACAGAAAGGAGTATAACTTCCTTAACTACATCGAGGGTCCACGTCTTCTCGAGAAAGATCCACGCGCGAACAAGGCACGTTCGCCTTTGGAAGTAGCAATTCAGTACGAACAATACAGTATTGTTATGCATCCCGTAATGAAAAGACTCATAAACGTGAAATGGGAATTTTTTGGTAAAAATGGTGCGAGGAAAGATCTTGTTATAAACTTCCTTTTTGCTTTCATGTGGACTATATTGGAATATCAATGCCGATGGAAGCATCCCAGCTGTACTGGCCTCTAAAGTAAGTTCAGTAAGTTCATGTAGAAAGAATTTGTTCTTTTGTTCGTATATTGTATTTTATGCGATATGTATACATGCATGAAGTCCAAATACGATCTGTTTTTTTGTATGGTATATGAATTCAATGTCGTTTTAATTGTAAACATAACATTTATTCATTGTATTATGTGATCTGTTTTTTGTTTGATGTATGAAGTCTATTCAACGATCTGCTTTTTGTATTGTGTGTGAAGTGATGTGACGATCAAGTCTCGATCGTGTTCTAATTGCGTGAAAGTCTAATACGATATAAGTGATGTGTTTTGTATTGCGTAAGTCTATGATGTGTTTTTGTATTGCTCTATACGAATAAGTCTAATACGATTATAAGTCTAATACGATGTATGATGTATGAAGTCATTCTCGTTTTAATTGCAAACATAAGGCTCGTATAATGTACTATATGATTTGTTTTTTGTATGCTCTATGAAGTCTATGTTATACGATTAGTGAACTGACGAATACTTTGTTTGGCTTTTCCTGTACCTTCAAGGTATACATGGTGGCGTTGTCTGTCTGCTCTCGCTACACTATCTTTGACTGGCTTTGAATTTTACAAACATGTTTCCAGTTTTGTCTACATGAACAGAGCTATTAGACGATGGAAAACGTTTCGTGAGAAAACATTGTTGAACGACAAGCGATTCTGTCATCCAAAATGGAGAGATGAAAACGAATATCTAGACAAAGAGATCAAGGACGCTCGCGAAGAACGTTTCTTTACACGGCAAGATGGTTGGATATTTCTGGACTGGATTGCTCTGTTCTTGGTCTTGTCTGGAATTGCATCGCATATTTCCTTTGTCGTAACTGGCTCCGTTCTTTCGCGGAACATTCACATTCGTATAGTGTCTTTCGTCTTGATCGTACTTTATGTTAGATTGTTGAAGTTCACCAGACCTTTCGAAGGTACGTCGATTTTGTAGCTGTAATGCAATAAGTCGCGCACGTCTCAATTGCCGTTGACATATATTGACCGCTGACCCATATTCACCCAGTCCATATGGTTACATTTACAGACTGAGCCCATTTTTTCAACATTGTTTTACGTGACATGTTTGTAGATGTAGATCGTCCTGGTTAGTGGAGTTCTGAGAAGGACTGTTTTTGTTGTTGTTGACCAACGTTTTGACAACCTCTACTAACCTTGACAATCAATATCTATAAACATGCAACGATACTCCCGGCTCAAACCATACACTTTATATTTTTTACTTTGAGCGCGAAAGAACCACCCATTAACAATGAGGTAGCAAACTTGCAAGTTTCAGTCCTGCCATGCATAAATTTAAGAACAGCAACATTATTCGTATCTTCAGAAACATTTTGTTTTTACAATGAATGAAAACAAAAAAATTAACACGACAGGACCAAGTAAGCGAGCTCGCTACGCTAGCGTCGGTTGGAACGTAACTAAAATTATTAAAGTGATCTTATTGGCATTTAAGGTCCTGGTCCGTTTGTTGCATCGATAGCACCAATGTTGAGAGACTTCTTAAAATGGTCTTTACTTTTTATTCTCCTTTTCATTCCGTACGCTTCCATCATTTGGATGATTTTTGGTCCGATAAACAACGATACTCCTGCGTATCTGTCCGATATACCGGGACTAATTTTCACCGTGTTCAGCATAGCCGCGTTTAGCAACCTCTCGAAGGTCGACGACTTGATCGACATCGACAAAGATATGGCGAGAATTCTCGTTGCAAGCCTTGTCGTGATTTCAACCATCATTATCCTGAATTTGCTCATCGCCATGTTGGCAGATACGTTCACGAGGTGAGAAAATCTCAGTGATTTTCAATTCCTTTTTTTGAGGAAAGATGCATCATCAATTGCGTAGTAACCAGTTAGGTATTTACTTATTTTCAATGATCTTCATGTCAAGTAATGATGGGGAACGTCTTTTCACTCTTTAGAATGTACGAAAATTCCCTGGAGACGGCAACGATGCAGCGAGCAAAAACCATCTTGTATTTGGAACAAAAAATCTCCGCCGCACTATGGAAAAAATACTGTGAGCATATCCAAAACGAATGCAGTCCCGAAGTGGGCCGTCTTTCCGAAGAGATGTGTGCCGGTCGTAGAGATAAGAACAGAGCCAAAGAAAAGTTTCAAAGCAACGTTGAAGAAATTCACACGATAATGACAGAACGCTTTTCTCATAAAGTTGGCTCTGAGAAGTCAGATATGGATCAGTTGATGATGGAAGTTAAACAGATCAAGGAATTTGTCACAAATGATCGCTACTCGAATATTCACGGCTTTGCCAGACCTGCGAATCCCGTCAATTTGAATATTATTCTTGAGCATAAACCCGGGGGGGGACTGAACTCGCATGCTCCGAATGAGAAAAATGATAAGCATTTCGACAGAAAGAAAGATGCAAAAGTCACGAAAATGGACAATTCACGGCAAAATGCTTCGGCAAAGTATTAACTCTCCCGAAGCACAAAGCCGAGAAGTTCTTGGGAGTAAATTCTTCTAATACTTCACCCAAAATTATTCAGTGTGGAAGCCAGGCGTCAGGTGTTTCCATTGAACAGATAAAACAACAACTTGACGTCATTCTGTCTTTAGTAGCACACGGTATAAAAGTTGGAAGGTTGAACTTTAATATCAATGAAAAAGTGTTTGATGGAACCGTTTCGCCAAATAACGAGTCAATACAGCCGTTACTTGATTCTGATTCCGGAAGTGTAAAAATTGAGAAAAACGTTGACATGACAATGGGCATACACGCATCTCCCACGAAAGGCTTGAGTTCAACTTCTTTGTCTAGTCAAAGTAGTGCAAACGATATCTTGCAAGGTTCATTAGAACTATATACTTCAGGTGGTAAAGTGGGATCCCAAAGGATCTCCACGCAAAGTACACAGGGGCATGGTTCGTTAGATCTGTGTACTTCAGGTGATGTAAATGGGAATTCTTTCGAAGGTTCCCAATCGAGCCCTCTCAGGGTACAGAGGGACATAGTTCATTAGATCTATGTACTTCGGGAGATGTAAATGGGAATTCTCTCGTGGAATCCCAGTGGATCTCCTCGCTAGGCATGGAGGTAAGACATGAAGTAAACAGTTTGTTATCGACGAGCAGCAGCGAAGGAAGCACAACATGTGGCGATAAGGTTTATGACTCCGATCAAATTGATCCAGTTGGACATTTTAGTGACAAAATGTCTCATAAATCTTCTGAACCTGACAGTGAATTTATAAAGAAATTTAGACCAACACAATGGCGCTTGAAAACACTTAATTCAAATTTTCCAAGTGGTGTAGTTCACAGCAGCTATTCGGATTTCGATAATACCTCCATAAGCAACAGCAGCAACAGCCAAAACAACAGCAGCAACGGAAGCAGTCAAAGCAGCATTCCAGAGCATTTATTCGTTAATGAAAGTCATCAAGATGACGCCATTAATATACGTACATTTGAGCTTACACAAAGTAGCAGCTCTGAGCGTGGTTGTACGACGCCGGCAAGCCCATCTGTGCAGCGCGTGCTTCGTGTATGTTGGGCTGACACGGTTTCTGGGCCAACGAGTAAGCCTTTTTTGAACATACGAGAAATATCTACCTCGCCATCTAACTTATCCTCCGAGGCTCAAATTGAGAGTGACACAAGTGGTGATGATGAAGAGCAATCCAATACAGAGATGGATATGAAATCGAAGTGTCATGTATAAGTGAGTTTTGTCATGGAGGAGTATTCGAGTACAGAGATGGATAAAAATTTGAAGTGTTATGTATATGAGTAAGTTTTGTTAACGAGGAGCATTCAAGTACAGGGATGGATAAAATGTTGAAGAGTTTTGTATGAGGAAGTTTTGTCAACGAGGAGCATTCAAGTACAGAGATGGATATGAAATTGAAATGTTGTGTGCGAGTAAGTTTTATCAACGAGGAGCATTTCTGTACAGAGCTGGATAAAATGTTGAATTGTTATGTATATGAGTAAGTTTTGTCAACGAGGAGATTGCAGTACATTGATGGATAAATAGTTGTAGTGTTATGTATGAGTAAGCGTGTGTATCCCATGTGTGTGAGAATATATTTATTGTAACTAATCTAAATATATCCTTTAAGAATTCTCTTCTATGTCTACGAAGTCGAGGCGATATTTTGAACCATTAGTGTGCACAAGTGGCTCACTGATCACGAGCATGCTCAATGTTATACGTGCTTTTCATCGTCGACCAATCAAATTTTTATGCGGAAATGCAACGGTAAACATGTCGTTCAATCTGTCGACTGTTATCTTTGCTAATACTATTTCAACTGTCTATTCTAGACATGCGATCTGTTTCTCTGCAAACTTTCAACTCTCGCCAATGACTGGAATAATTGATCATGCATAAAATAACGTGAACATATACGAAGTGATAGAATATATCAACAACGTTATTTACAAACCAAAATTTGTAGTTTTTGTGTGTACATATGTTGTAACTGAAACATATTTTCCAGAATCTCGGTTCTTGAGAAAAGTTTCACGAATTGAATTCAGATGTTTCGTGAGTCTTGACTGCCTCTCTTATTAAAAATGCATCAATGATTATATCACTTGTTCTGACATGTCTGTTGTTGGTCTGTCGACAAACATTCAATAAATTGGCGAGATAGGTCAGTCACCTCTTCGTTGAAGAACCTGAAGAAATGAAATAATCTTATTACCATTAGATACTCACAAATGTTTTAAGATTAACACCCGCATTAGTTCATAATTTTCATGATTATTTTGATGTTTTTGATATTTTGATGACGTAAATAAATAGTTTTGTGCAAAACAAATTCTACGTCAGATAGATACTCGATCTTTAACTTGATTATCGTTCAATTTGACATTTATATAATATTCTCAGGACTTATCTTATTGCTTACTTTTTCCAGTGCCAGCCTAATCTGTACGTAATCAGTGTTTGGTTGTTTAGACGTTAATCCACAGCAGTATTGATGTGAGAAACACTCTTAGAATTGAAGACGCCTAAAATCAAAGGGAATGCGACTAAAAGAAGGTTTTCTCTGATTTTGATTTGTGATGTATTGTTGTGATCGATCTTACTTCAAGTTTTATAAATGTTTTAAAAAAATTACCATCCAATGGATAACGCTATCCAGGCTTCGTGCAACCGGCCACTGATCTATATTCATTCAATGTTTGTAGTTCGGACACTCTTAAATAGTCCAGGCATTGTGAAAACATTAAACAACTCCAACCCACCGTATTTCTTTTATAACTCCCTCCTCCCTGGGACACTATTTTACTGGGGGAAAGGTGAGAATAAGGCTGGGGCTGAAATGAAGGAAATATACGGTGTGTGGCCACGAGTTGTCTCCGCTGTCAACTCTGTATAAGTTATATCTGTTCATTGTCAAGGTCAACTCATTGGAAATGCATGTCTATTGAGCAAAATATGTTTTTATTCAAAGGTATCAAATTGGTTAGTAGCCAAGGAACAGCGCCCAAATCTGGGAGGAGACCCCATGCAGTTAGCACGCAGAACTAGATAATATGATACAGTGAGGTGCATGTCATTAGCGAAGTACGTTTGCAGAGTAAACAGCATTCATTTTCTTTGTTGTAGCCTTTTCCACCAATTAATTGGTGTGATTGAGTGCAGACTTTGGTGGTCAGGTTCTTAAGGAGCAGGTTGAAGGATGAGCCTGAACTTCAAGGCACTCGGCTTGGCTCAACCACGTCTGCACCTAACCATCCACTCACGAAGTATGACGTCATAATGTGACGTCGGTTATTAATAGAAATGATATTCTTTCAACGTATCTAGTTCAGTGCCGTGTCGAGAGTGTTTTTTGTGTGCGTGTGTGGGGGTGGGGAGGGGAAGTTTGTTATGAATATATTCAGATGCACCCGAATGATTTATTTTGAACTTAATTTGCTTAATTCCTTCAGTGAATTGCTTTAAAGAAATCAGTGGAACACGCTGCAATATATGAAACAAAACAACTCCCCTTCCTAATAAACGTTTAGGGACTGCCTTGATCTAGTTGTTACCAAAATACCAATGTATATATCAGTAGTGAATCGGTGTTTATACTTAGAGAATGGAGGAGTAGACTTTACATAAATACGAGATCCGTAGCATTTCTCACGTGAAATCAACTACTCTTTTAGAACTGAACAAGTCTAAGATCATTGGGAGAGGACGACTAAAACGAGGTTTTCCCGTCGAATTTTTGTGTTGATATATTGTTGTGATCGCTTTTATTTTAAGTTCTGAGTGCAAATTTGTTAGACGTGATAACAGTTCAAATGACGTGCTCATATTGTTGCAATACGTACAAAGTTGTTTAGTTGACATTGTTTTGATGCTAAACAGTAAAAAGTCAGTTAAATTTACGTTTTCAATTTTGGTTCAACGTCCTTTCGACGTCATGACCGACGTCGTTTTGACGTCATGACCGACGTCGAATCGACGTTGAATCGACGTCATTTTGCCCACTGGGAAATATCTGATCCGTGTTTAATACCGCATGTTCGTAAATAATGTTGCTTTTTACTGCCATAATCTGTTCCATAAATGAACATATTTTGTAACTGAAACAAATTTTCGGAAGTTTCGTTCGAAAAGCTTTGTTTCCGGAATATTTTCCGATTGTTTTTGAGTTTTCAGTGGCCCCCCACTCAAGCACTAAGCATGCATCAATGATCATATTAATATTCATTTTGGTTTGTCTATAACATGCGTCGTCGAACTTCCAAAAAGCCAAAACGGTTATACTCGCCTTTGTAGAAGAACGTGAACCTTGCAAAGACGAAGAAATGGAAAAAATTTTTATCATCACGGTGCTGTTGCTAACCTCTAGCGTACTAATGTAAGTTTTTAATTGTTATCTTGTTTATTTAAATATAAAATCTTCACAAATCGCTTTTTTCTTAAGTGATCACATTTTGTGACGTGGATAACGAATTTTTCATTGTAAGGAGTAAATCTTACATTAGATACTTTTCATCTTCATTATCAATGATCAGTATTTATATAACTATTTATTTGGTAAATTTACAGAAAGTTTCTGCTTTGTGTCCGTTAGACTGAATCATTGCTTGCAGATGTTATTGCACGTGTGTTAGCTAATTGCAGACAGGATTTGATTAAAATATGAAATCCATCCCTCTTCTAATGCGAAAAGCTCTTTTTTCGAATTAAAGAAGTCCAAATTGTAAACAGGGAAAGCGATTATATCGAGGTTCTGCTAATTTTTGAATCTATTGGCTCTACTTGCTCTTGTAAAGGTTTATACATATTAGTTTGCATGCATAAAGGATAAATGGACGCATTTCGTTTTTTCATAATCTTTGCATGCGTCATTATTTTTCCGTCATAAGCAGGACTCTGGTCACAGATACGCGTTCAAATTAAAAAAAAATCGATTTTTTTTATAAATATGTGTTTCACGGTCACTGCACGCATGCATGATTCATCCTCAGGACTAAATTTATGTTTGGTTCATGCTTTAAAAGTACTTCTGAAAGAAACTCGTCCTTTTAAATATCCATACGGTAAATTGGACTCTAGCTTCCGAGAATCATTTCATTAATTGCAATTTCTGTTTTCTTTATACACTTTAATCATGCAAGTCACGGATATATGATTTTGTTTACTCTTCTGAAATACACCGTGTTCTGTTAAAATGCAGCATTTTGAAGCAGAAAACCGAACCTTTTCAAGCAACGAACAAATCTAACGTTACAGGAATGATTCATTGACTTAGTGAGCATATGCAAGTCACCTGCTCAAAACCTAGGAGGATTTTATAATAGAATTATACAAATACAGAACTGACCGATTAATGTAACTTGAAGTTTTCCTACTAAGTCGTCGTATAATGAGCTATGAAAGAAAACTTTGTCCCGTTTCAAACGTCGCATTTACTATGAGCCGAATGCACTTTACTATCGAAAACACACTACAAACTACACAAAAACAAAACACTTCAACTTATCAACATCAATTCCACCGGAAAAGTTCAATTTGATGATGTAAATCACAAAGAAGACAAAGGATTCTTTTACAACATCAATGTTTGTTTCTTTCGTTAAACGTGACCGGTGTTTTTCTTAGTTCCAATGCATTTAAAGTCAACGGTGTTTCAATCACATCCTATACCAACTGGTTAAATTTTTATCTTCACCGCAGTCTATCTAACTTTTTAAGAATGCGCAATGGTTATTTGAGTGACGGTATTTCAATTTCGAGGTATTTGTAACACCCTCTTATAGATATGTGAAGTCGTGATGTTGTACAAGACATTACTTGTTTTAATTACAATGCGTTCCTGTAACCAGTGCTTTCTCTTGTAACCAGTGTTTTCTTGCGTTTGATGGCTAATGTATTCATGCCAATGTAAATATATTTTTCTTAGAATATCTGGCATCAATACTTGTGTGTACAAGAAGCCAGATTTGGAATCAAAACGCCCCGTAATTTGTGCTGGCAAAAACAGGTATGTGTCAAACGCGTGCATGCAGCGAATCTTGCTTAATTTTTCTGTGAAACTTTGAAAATACTTGTATCTTATTGTAAAGTATTGTTGGTTAATTTACAACTATGCATTTTGTTTGTGAAATACGCGAGCAAACACGACAAAGTCATCATTTCATGTGAAACATTAGATTTCGTTTATCTTTGTTTTATCTACCTTTGTCTCTACCTTTATGTCTACCTTTATGTCCACCTTTATGTCTACCTTTATGTCTAGTTTTATGTCTATCTTTATGTCCACCTTTATGTCTGCCTTTATGTCTACCTTCACATGTGCTGTAGTATCTACCTTTATTTCTATCTTTGCGTCTACCTTTTTGTCTAAAATTGTGTGTACCTTTGCATTTACACTTGGTTTTAACACTTCGTTGATTTCTTCATAAAATAAAACTTAAGTATCTACAATTCACCACTCATCAAGCAACTTGTCTCGTCCATAAACTGACAAAAATAAAAAATAAATCGAAATTTTCCACTATATTGATTTAAGGGTTTGTGCAAGATGGTCGTTGTTTAACAGCGAAACTCAAGAAGGTTATTACAAAGATTGTTGTCAAGGATGGAATAAGGGTTTATTTGGATATTGTTCCAGAAGTATGTTGACAATATAACATAAATATGTAACATAAATATATTTCCTAATTGTCAAAACCCTTAATTAAATCACGGATTTGTAGCGTTTGCATCGAATATGGAAAAGAAGAAAAAGTTCAACAGTTCAAGAACATTTTTGTTGAAGAATAGTGCAATGCAGTTTTAGGAGATTTTATCTTTAACATAATAAAAAATCGTTTCACAGACTCTTATTGCGTATTCTATCCTCAAATTCCATATAAACATGACAAATTTCATATTTTTAGGAACATGTATTGTTATATCCCAGAAGACATTTCCCTTACAGTGTCCAGCCTTTCGTGGTACAAACCTGCTCGATCAACGCCTTTTCTATCAACTATCAACACCGCTGAGAGTTCCTTTGAAATACCCCGAGCAGACAAAAAACTTTTTGAAATCTGTAAGTTTTCCATTGCTCAACCAACAAAATACCAGTGTGCTTCTTCGTACTGCTCTACGCGTCGATTTACATGAATCGGATTGGCTGTTGCATTTCATGGCCATGAACATGAGAAACCGAATGCTTAAAGGAAAAATACTTGGCAAAGAACCAAAACCTTTCACAACATATGCCGAATATGCAAATCTTCTCAAGAAGTTTCGCGAAGCACAAAAACAGCCTATTTTTAAATTTTCCGTGCCCGGACTTAAAGACGTAAGTATCAAGCAAAGTTCTCAATACACAGTTGAACAGCCATGTCTGTTTTATTCCTGAATTTCTCACTGAACTCCTTTACAGTTATTGTCCTTTGATGTTCTTCAAATGGCACCCTATTTGAAATATCCTTCACAAGAGATGCCATTTCATGACATCACATCAAATAAGCGATGGCAACAAGACGATGTATTTACGATGCAGAGGCTGGCGGGATTAAACACCATGAGCTTGAAAAAAATGACGATTAAAGGTAAGTGCAGTAATCTATTAACCATAACTAATTGGTGAGATATGTTTGCATAAATTTTGATGCGAAAATCATCTTTCAAAATGAAAGCATCAAAGAAAAAATACTTTAGCATGTTCACATATATCTTATTGTTCTGCCCTTTTTTAGATTTTGAAGCAGATTACGTCAACAAAAACTATGATTGGAACGCAGCTGTTAAAAGAGCCACACAGGAGAATGGAGGCTCTTTCATTAAAGTAAGCACAACATTATACAAATCACAACATAATAAAACTTTGCTGTGCAAGTTAGTTCATATGTGAGAGTTTTCGCTTATAGATGATCCACACAAGTCGAGTGTTCTGGATAGAGTACAAACTCCTTCACAACATCCCTACCCAGCACGATGCGAGCAAACACGATGAAACTGTTCATCGGGAACTGAGAAATTTTTCTAGCCCCTTCTGTGCTTTTGTCATAGCAAAAGAAAACAACGAAAAAAAATTAAAACCTGTGGCATGTCAGATGGATTTTTCTTCCGGTATCCTAAATACCATTGCATGGAGATCTGTCTCCGTACAGCCTCATGTATTTCTTACATAATTTCATTTTATTGTTTGAAGACGCAGATGTTTACTCCCCAGTTGATGGCTCAAAATGGCTGCTTGCAAAGATGGAAGTCCAGCAAACTGATTTCACCTACGAAGTATTTGTAGAGCATTTAACTAAGACCCACGTCTTGATGGAACCAATTTGCGTTGTCTGGAGAAGCACAATGTCCGTGTATCATCCACTTGGGCAGATATTCCAATGGCATTGTCGAGGTGTTCTTACTGTCAACTCCCTCGCTTTGCCCAATCTCCTTTCAACAGAATTTGCTGTTGGTTTTACTGGTGTCATGGAAATCGTGAGAAGAGCCTATAAAGATGTTTCATGGGATGTGACAGATTTCGAAAAAAACTTGCAGGTACTTGTTATGGTTACTAGCTGCCACTCGATGCTCTGAGAAACGATGTAATTATAAAATAATGGTTTGAGCCTGATATCAAAAAAATTGATGAAAAAGATCATTTTATGACCGGAGTCTTTACAAGATTTGCTGTTACCGCGACTGAACCAAACTCAAGTTTACGCCTTTTTAGAAACATTTTACTTTATACTTGTGTGAGTTGACTTTCAACCAAATACACACCAAGAAAAATGAGGGAAAAAAATTACAACTTTATTAATACCAAGTATTTCTCTTGTAATGTCTTTGTCTTTAGAAAAGAGGGGTTGATAAAAAGGACGAACTTCCTTATTTCCCGTACAGAGATGACGGTCTGCTTGTGTGGAGGGAAGTTGAGAAGTTTGCAACGGAATATGTTTACCTGTGAGATTTGTGTTTCTATTTATTTTTACACGTATATCATCTACATTATGCTCTTTTATGATGTTAAACGGAAATGTCTAAAGAACAAAAAATATTTACGTTTAAAGGTACTATCAAAATGATTTGGACGTGCGTAAAGATAGAGAGTTGCAAAATTTTGCCAATAAATTAACAGCGGAAGGAACGGGATCCAAAAATGGAAAGGGCATGGTTAGTGTTGAGCTCTGATGAAGTGAGGTCGAACATATTGCTTTATTTTATTTCATTCAATGTATACTTCATGTTAGCAAAATTTTTACCTCATTTCTACATGGTCCATCATTTTAGCTCAAAAAGTTTCCATCGAGAATAGAAACAATAAGTGAACTTATCGATGTTGTGAAGCGAATTGTTTTTATTGCTGCACAGCACAGCACCGTTAACTATCCTACATCTTATTACGGTGGATTTGTGCCAAATATGTCGACGAAGCTTTACGATGATCCTCGAGTACCACCGAAGGAATTTGGATTTCATACCTTGCCTCAAGTTCATGTAGCTACGGTAAGCTACAATATAGAAATTTATTTGTTTATTTGTGTTAAGGTATGACGATGTCTAGCTATCTGCGCAAACGACTATTTTATGTAAGAGTCAAACATGTTGAGCACAGATTTTATCATTAAAAAATTTAAAGAAAAGTTTCAGGAGGAATTTATACTAAAAATTGTTCGCTTTGACTGTTTTTCGGCTAACCAAGCTTTGATCTTAGCTTTCCTCTGCTTGCGTTAAACATTCTTAGAAGAAAGTAAGTTCTCTATTTTTGTCTATTTCAGCTTTCTTGAGAGCGATGCCATAGCAAACTAATAAATTAGTCATACATTTCGTCTACTATCAACCTGAAAAATATAGGTTGTACTTTTGAATTTTTGTCGTGCACAAAAGAGATGTGCGCGCAGTGACATTGCTATAATTATTGCTAGGAACGAAAACTCAGTTGAGAAATACAGTTTACAGTTGCTAAGAATGTGTTTTTAATCTTTTTTCTAACATCTTGCTTTGTCTTCAGTGGTTTTGCAACGTAGAAAGTGCTCTTTATTAACTTATTTTCACCATTTTCTTTATCTAACAAGAGCCAAGTTGGTAATACCTTGTCGTTGGGATCACTTCGTTATGACGTCTTCCTTGATTACGCTGACAAATTGAAAGACAATCGTGCAAAAGCCGTTGTAAAGAAATATCACTCAAAGCTGATTGGAGACGTGAACAAGGAAATCACTGACAGAAATACGGCAAGGTTGAAGGCAGGAAAGTTTGTTTATCCATACTTTTTACCTAAATGGATTACCAACAGCATTCAAACATAAAGGTTAATAAACTGCGTTCGTAAGTCAATGGGTTTCCGTTTCTTAATTTAATTAAATAATCATTTCTTGTTCCATATTTCTTCTCGCGTTTTTAACAATTTCCCCCTTTCCCAAGAATTTCTATATTCGTGTATTGTTTTTGTGGAATAAATAATTAATGCATCAGAATCGACATCAACTAAGAGACGAGGACATGTAATGTTTGTCAGACATGTGAAAAGTCTGACGGCAATATTTTGGATTTTGCTTCCTAAAATTGCGACCAATTGCATAATGGGTGTCATGATTATATCACGTGACATTGAAATGGAAAGTATTTTTATTAGCATTTGAATTTTGTTTTTGTGGTTCTATAAAATTTTTTTAACTCTTAATAGTAGCGTCAATACTGCGACGATTCTTTTCTCATGGTTAAAAAGTTTTCACTTCATAATTTTTCTACATACAAAACAAAGTCCGAAGATTAACATCAGTCAGGAAAAGTCTTGAATTAAATCATACCAATTAGCTGCTGTTGGTACATAGTTACAAGTGTCTGTTTAAATAAAAATTAACAAAATTAATTGTTTTTTGCATGGATTTATCGAATTGAAGATGATGGATAACAGGGGCTGGATAGACAAAAGAAGGCTAGATCGTGTAAACGAGGGTTACTTGTGGATAGACTGACTCTAACATCAATGTCATGTTGATTGAACGGATATTTTGGTTGGGCAAAACCCAAAACGCCGACGTCAGCTTAGCTTAGATAGCCTTGAATCAGACTGTATAACAGCTGAGTCACAGAATAATGATTATACATAAGGGTCACTCAGGTGTACAACGTGTCCTCATGTCGCCCATTATTCCAGCCAGATGATTAGGATTTCTCACTTGTTTCCAACCATTAACATTACATGACGTCAATACTTAATAATGAATTCAAGTATAGTTTTACTCAAGAAATGACTTTGGATCACTTTTAAGGTTGGAAAAAAGTCAAAAACCCTCATCATCTGGCTGGATAATGGCAGCCACCATGCGCAGCACGACATGCGCTAGGACAAAAACATCAAAGTTACTGACACGAGTGACTCCTCTGTATATTCTTATTCTGTGGCTGAGTGGTGAACTGACTGAGGCTATTCAAACTCACGTGATTGATGTGAAATCATGCATGCTCTTTATATATTGTTTCCTCGCAATAACGTCAATCTTCGTGATCATGGTTCATTCATTACCGGTTGTATTTTTGAATTCAGTCAATAAATGGCCAAATGTCGCAGAAATAATTGATGAAAGAATGTTTTCTGAGACTATAAAAATACTCTTAAAGGTCCTTGGCATATGACTGGATTTGAATATAAGTCGGAGGTACAACGTCCATGTCGTAGGTCAATTATACTTCTTAAAGTGCCAAAATTTGATGGTTCAATAATCTCTGCTTTTTTATAAACACCCAAATACCCTGATAGCTGACTTATTCTGCTTTTGGCAAAACATATCCCTTTCAAAGTCATCAGTGTTTAGGTGACTGAGCCATTTATGCAGCAGATGTTTACCATTAAAAATATCTTTGCTCTACGTCATGCTCCTGGCACTATTTTGGATAATAATGAAAGGAATTTGCAAACGTATTGGGATTTTTAGTTGTTTACATTTAAGAAATGACGTTTCACGGTTGTCAAGGAATCCGCTCCTCAGCTGGTTCACTAACACTCTTCGTTTTGAACCTTTTATTTTACAAGCCAAACAATCTACAAGTACATCACTGGAGTATTCTTACGCTATCTATTAGAGTTAGTTATTTACATGTTATTTATACTATCGGTAATTACATAAGTCGAGCTTTCCTTTACGTCATTAGCAGTACTCACACTTTCATTGCGTTTCAAGTTCTCACTCGTTGCAACAAAAAAGAAGAATTACTAAACAAACAAAGAACTTACAAAACGTACTTAAAAAACAAAGAAATGTTAAAGTGAACTAACATAGTTACGACAATTTTATTGCTAAGCTCAAAAGAATGCAATATTCCACAACGGTTAAGTAGTCTTTATCTTGAAATAAAAACAATAAATTTTCAACCTGTAGGGCACTTTTGCCCCCCCTGCCCATCTCCAGAAAAGGCAAGGGGTGCCGTTGCCCCCTTTGCCCCCCCCCAGTTCCGGCGTCCCTGAACCAATTATAAACGTTCATGCATTATTCACGAAAAGACAATGAAACATCCTCAGTTATGAAGTAGACTAATTATTCATATCTGGCTCTCGCGTCAACTACTGGTCAGAATTTTGCAATCGCTCCTAGACTCAAAATGTTAAAGACTTTATTTGTGTCATCTCTCCTGATTGTGATGGCTGGTTTGCCAATGTAAGTTTAAACCTTATTTCAGCCACATTTGTCTTATTTACGAATGAATGTACAGATTGTGTATTTTGGTGTCAGTTGCCACTCTGTTGAACTTTGGAATTTCATAATGCAAGAATTTCGGATTTTCTTTCTGAACTCGATTTGTTTTAACTCAGACTGACCGTAAAATTGGATGATGGTGCTATTACTTGCATCTGTTGAGCTTTTTCCTTTTGGGCTCTCATGTTTTCCTTTGACGTTACTTAAACTGAATGTTGCATGCATGTAACGTTAAAAGCTTAATGCTCCAGAAGTAGGGTTGATTCGTTCTAGCATTTATCCAATTTTCAAAGGTGGAGGATTGCAGTTAAAGTCGAAAAAAGCTCTCTCCCGTGTTGTGCAGTTTCTAATCGGTGAACATAGGCAATTTTTATTAAAGATTTCATAAAATTTTACTCTTGAGTTAAATCCTCACAATACAGCACTGCTGGCAAAAACTAATTAAATGACATTGTAGCCTACATTTTTTGTCAGGAATAATGGAAAAGTTACATAACTTTATTTTCATATCAAATCTTTACAATGTTGCGTGCAACTGTACTCATCATTAATATTAGCGTACTTGAATAATTTTTATGCTTCTTGCACTTTCTTTTCCTCTCATCCTCCGGCCTGTCAGTCTTTGCGCGTGATGTAAAGATTTCTTTGTGCTGTAGTGTTTACGCCTCCATCATATAAATCAGCTGTAAAACTCTCCGTTCAATGGACTCACAATTTCATCCACTGACAAAATTGTTTAAATCTTCGCTTACGTAAATCGTGAATTAAAGTCTAAAGTGAATTAATGGCGCAATTTCAGATCATTAGCATTATGAACATCGAAAATTTACATAGCACAACCTTAGTTGCGGGCATACTACACCCACGGAATGAATAACAGTGCTTATACCTTAAATATTCTGGATATGAAACACTGAAATTGTTGTATTCTGTAAAAAAAACACCATATTCAGCAAACAATTAAAAAAAAAATTCCGAAGAGACAAGACACTTTGAGATTACAAAATATGAATCAGAACAAGACGCCTTGTCAATCGCAAGATGTCTCTTCTCTTCGGAATTTTTTTTACTTTCTTTTTGTAGTAGTCTGTATTCTAGTGTTTGAGAGTTATGATCGACAAACTAATGAATGATCTTCAATACAACGTTTTATTAGATCCTTTGGCTTTCAGAGACAAGTCTGCTATTACAGGAAAGCCCCATTTAAGCGCCTACGAATTTGTTGGAATTCATTCAGGTATGTATCGTTGACACTTATTTCCTATTCTTCACGGTGAATTTGCAAACATAGGTATTTAATTCTTATGAACGAAATAATACATCAAAATTGATCCATTGAAATTTCGTGTACAACAGCTATTCAAAAAAAGACATCCCATATTGTTTGCTGTCTATATATAACTACAGTCTTATCATCTTTGGCAAGTTTCACACTAAACAACTGTCTTTTATCACCTACCATGTTCACAGTCATACATTCCCAATGACTCTTTTACCCCAATCAATCCCATATTGTTTGCTGTCTATATATAACTACAGTCGTATCATCTTTGGCAAGTTTCACACTAAACAACTGTCTTTTATCACCCACCGTTCCATGTTCACAGTAATACACTCCCAATAACTCTTTTACCCCAATCAATCCCATCACATACCATCGTAGGCGTGAGAACAAATTTAAACTATTTTTTTGGAGGGAGATTGAAGTCGACTAGTAGGTGACTTGACCCTTGTCCTTTTAGTCTTTATAAGGCTTTGTACCTTTTAAATATTCTAGAGACCTGTAGCTACTAACGCAGCACTTGGAGCAAGTGATGAAACCATTACTATATTGTCGTACTTCGTTACAATACACATACAACAATTAATACAAACGCAAGTGTAGGGGTCTAGTACAATCAATATATTACAACAAAAACAAAGAATTAAACTAACCACCAAAACGATTGGCGGTTCTCGATACAGGTATTTTAGTATATTGCCAGTAAGACTAAAACGATCTGTCTGAGTTTTGTTTCAACCCTCTGAAGAGTTAAAATGGTACTAGGTTAGTAGCTACTTGAATGGGAGCAAAGATGTTAGCGATATTAACAAAGTGCTGTGAATAAGGACATATCAGATTTTGGCAATGCTATAGTATCTTGTTGGGGATCTACGTCTACGGGGCACTCTAGTCCCCCGCTTCCTGCGCATATGCATACCACCTACAGAGTTGTTCACTATTTGTGACTTGTCGTCGTCGGTAAATTATTTGTTAACTTCTTTGAATTAAATAATTAACTTTGAACATGCAGGTGGCGACCAAGACTATGTATGAAACGAATAAGACCACTAAGACGTTATTACAGAGATTGCTGTCAAGGATGGACGAAAGGATTCTTTGGAAAATGTAGCAAAAGTATGTTTGATTTTTTCCTGGATTTAAATGGCTGTCTTTGCAAAAATGACTGCATGCGGCAAGACTTTTATGTAATGTTGTACTTCCAAATAATCCACCCCAATCAACATAGCTACGTAACATACGTAAACAGCGCTTCCATGCGTTTCTAAACTGGATATTTCGTTTGTAAAATGCGCAACAAACATACAGTTTATCTCGAAAAGGTATTTCTCCGCAAAATCAATTTTTTGAGTTTGGACTTTCTTGACATCATTATTGTATTTTTATTTTATATTAAATAATTTCGAAATTATTTTTTTGGGGAAAAAGCTCAAAAAGTATCCTCAAAATTTGAGCAAGATAAAATTGTTTAACAACTTTAATTTGTCGCTTTTTAGAAACATGTATTGTATTACCGCAGTTTGTATACAAGCAAATGTGTCCCTTGGCTCGTCGTTCAAGCTTAAAACTTCAACAAAAATTCTACATTTTAACGAAACCTCCCAATCCACCAAAACAGTTCCCTAATCAATCAACAAACCTTGCTGAATGCGTGTCCTATCCTTTGCTCAATCAATCGACTCCCAAAGTTGTCGCTCGCAGTCTTACGAATGCTGAACTGTACGAGAGTAAATGGTTGTTGAACTACGTCTCCATGACGGTCCGGAACAGAATACTCAGTGCAGTAATTCGTTCAAAGAATCCACAGTACAAAACAAACGATGACTACAGCAATCTGTTGAAAACGTTTCGATCCAGTCAAACAAAAGGTGTCGTTCCACTGAGGCTCCCTGGTCTAAAGGTAAATCACGACAGTAAAAATGCAAAAGTACATTGTATTTGGCACATTCATGTGCAATAGAGCTATGTTATTGTTGCCAGTGAGGTGCCACACGGGAAAAGGATTCGATCGTTAATTTTATAATATTTATTACGCATTCCAAGATAGTGTTCAGATAACTGTTTAATAAACTTTTAGATAGTTAGCTTAGATGACAGTATAAGTATTACTAGAGTATTACTGGGGAGGGGAGGGTTAAACCAGAAAAGCTTTAAATGTGGGGCTGTCTTGTAAGTTAAGCGATAACTTTAGTAAAAGATAAGGTCCATGATGAAGCTTTCGTGGATCATGAGGTCGAATATGTCAGAGCAAGATTAGATGATTTTAAATTGGTCTTGATATTCCAGTGATTGGTGAATTCCAATTTTTTCAGAGATTCAAGTGTGTAAGTGGCGTGTATTTGTTAAGGTTTAAAAAATCTCTGTCATTTTTACAGCCTACGACTTTCAATCTTACTCGTTTGTCTCCTTACATAAAATATCCTTCGCAAGAGCTGCCTTTTTATGACATCATCCAGAACGAACATTGGCAAGATGATCACGTGTTCACAATGCAACGGTTGGCTGGCATGAACCCTATGGCCATCAGGAAAATGACAAAAGAAGGTAAGAGTAAGTCTCGAGTCATTTAAACACAGAAAAAATAAGGACCAGCAGAAATTTACAAAACACGACATTCGTTGAAAGAACATTGTTCAAAACAACGTGCTTTTACTGCATATAGGTAAAGAAAATAGTTTTTTAAATAAGAATAGTAACTTTATATGTACATAGAATTTTATTCTGTGTAAACAAAAACAATGGTACATGGTAGATCTATGATTCTGATTAAACTTGTGTGCTACTCAATTGTGCATGTCTTTTTTCATAGATTTCAATGAGAACTACGTCAACAAGAATTATGATTGGGATGCAGCTATGTCGAGAGCTTCCGGAGAAATTACAACAGTCAATGAGGTAGACAGTTGTTCAGTCTGAGAATATATGAATTATAGAAAAAGATCACCATTGACTTGTGTATTCACTTTTTGCTTCTGTGTAAAATAGGAGATTAGAAATGGAAGGGCTTTCATAATCGACTACAAACTGTTATTTGGTGTTTCCAATATGGACGATTTTTATGGTAAAATGAAAGGAAGAACAATGAGGAGGTCTACAAGTCCATTTTGTGTGTTTGTTGTAGTAGAAGACTGTGGTGATTTGAGGCCAGTTGCCATTCAGACAGACCTTACTTCAGGTAAATACAGATCATCGTCCACATACGCATATGACGATGTCTGTTTGATATGGATTACAGGAAACATTTAACAAATGTATATATTAAGGTCTCATAGAGTAAAAAATATCTTTGCAAAGTGTTTTGTCTTAAAACATCGCCCATAGTTAATATTTTTACCTCATTGTGATCAATAGATATTCCTAACAGTGTGCATAGTTGAGCTATAACGAAACAAAAAAGACAATGCTCAGTGATTGAGCTGTAACGAAACAAACAAAGAGAATGCTCATTGAAGAACTTAGGTGTTCTTGCTTTGCCCTCTTTTTAAGGGTGACTTTATTTTCTTGTCAAAAACAAAATAGATTCTCCAGTGTACTCTCCAATTGATGGAAAGAAATGGCTTAATGCAAAGATGGAGCTCCAAATTGCCGATCTTACTTATGAAGAACTTGTCGAGCACTTAGCAAAGACACATCTTCTTATGGAACCAATGTGTGTCATTATGCAAAGGACTCTTTCCAAATTCCATCCTCTTTATCAGATATTTCTCTGGCATTGTCGTGGTCTTTTAGTCGTTAATTCTGTGGGATTACCTGCGCTCTTAGGAGAAAATAACTTCTTACGAAAACTGTTTAGCATTGGATATTCTGGTGGTCTTGAACTTATCAATCGAGCCTACAATGAAATTTCATGGGATACCACAGACTTTGTGACTAATCTGAGGGTAAAATTGTTGATTTTTTGTTGCCATATGATGCTCTGAATTAATCTCACTTATTGACGACAAAGTCTACAAGCATGTCAAAATCCTTTGCTTTGTACAATATGTATTGATGTTTTCTTTCCTCTTTTCAATTTGATTGGTCATTACTTAAGTCACAGTTACTTGGGCTCTCTAGTCCTTAAGTTAGAAAGTAAGTTAGAAAAATCAAAAAAAAAATTTTAAAAGCTGAGAGCTACACATCTTAAAATCATGAAGGGTTATTTCGACTTTGAAAGTTACATACGAGCAACATGAAAAAATAATTGGCCCAGTTATAAGTTCTTGTGAATTACTGTGAAGCAATGTTTTGAATTTAATTTTTAGAAACGAGGTGTTCACAGTAAGGATGAACTTCCTTACTTTCCATACAGAGATGATGGTCTGCTTTTGTGGGAGGAAGTTGGTGATTATGCTGAAGAATATGTAAATCTGTAAGAACAAGTTCACTTCTTAAAGTGCTTGAATACATTTTTTGAAAAACCACATTGTGTTTAGAACAATGAGGTCCAAAAAATGACTTTCATTAATGCCATTTCTTGCCTTTAAATCAAAAAAAGTTGTTGTTCATTTGGCAAATCTCTTGCCGCAACTAAAAAAAGAATGTTGTTTTAAAGGTATTACAAAAATAGTATAGATGTGATCAAAGACAAAGAGTTGCAAAATTTTGCAAATGAATTATCTGCAAATGGTAAAGGGAAAATGGTGGTATAGGAATGGTAAGTCAAGTTTACACAATTTTGACGATCATAGATATTTATTGCTTGAACTTTAGCAACTACAAAATGCATTCCTAAAATGCACATTTTAAAATATAAACTTATATATGTCCCATGTCTGTTGAAACTTTCACTTGGAAAAGGATTCTACTGAATTTGAATTTCCTTCGTTTTCTTTGAAAAATTTATAAGAACCCATTTTTCTATCATTGTTTGGTCACTAAACATACATACAGTGGTTTATTAGAAGTATACTCGTTCGAAGCGTCTAGATTTTCCATATTTAACTAAATGAATCAATAACCAACGTTAAGATTGAGATTATTATTTATAAAATTTTTTTCATGAAAATATGAACGACAGTAAAAGTATGTTTTGTTCCACTTTTGATCTTAGTTAAAGAAATTTCCAGCAAGGATTAGATCAAAAAGAGCACTTATCGACGTCGTAAAGAGAATTGTATTCATTCCAGTGCAACACAGTGCTGTCAATTATGCAGTGTCTTACTACAGTGGTTTTCTACCAAATCAACCATCCAAGCTTTACAACGATACTAGAGTGCCACCTGGAGACTTTGGATTTAATAGTTTGCCACAATCTCATGGTGCTGTGGTAAGATTGGATTACATGGATAAGATTAAATTAGATCAAATTAGATTAGAACAAATTAGATACATCTGCCACTACCACGCTCCGCTAATATCAAATACAACATTGACGATTGTGGGTATTATTGATGATCTAGATCAGCTATTTCTAGACACCCCCCCCCAAAATCAAGGATATTTCTCTAATACAAAAATGTAGTTATGTGTGCTAATATATTTGTTGAACAATTTTAACTTAACAAAGCCAAGGATCCTCTAATAGATCTAATTATTTAATGTTTCCCAGTATGAACCGTTAAACATATAGTTTACAAGTCCAAGGTAGCTACGTTGCTCCGTTGCCTTTCCTAAATTTAGTGATTCTTGATACCTTTCGATTTTCTTAGGGTCTGCACCTCTCGAGAGGATATTGTGATAGACGTTGATGTTCTTTTGCTGTATTCATCTTGTGTTTTGAATTAGGTTGCTATCTTGCAGTCGTTGTAGTACTGTCTAAAATCTTTGTCATCCTCTGTTTGACTATTTCCATATATTATAATATCATTTGATATGTTTTTTAACATTCAGTATTCCACTAAACACTGTTTATAAACACATTTTGTAATCTTGTACCGTTCCTTTCCCTCAAGTCCTCTCAAGGTCGATTGAGAATATTAACACCTTTCTCCGAAACCGTGACGAGTTATTGTTCAGTGTTCAAGAATATTTGTCACTTGATTTTTGCGGGCGCATTGGTAAAACTGCACGTTAATATACAAGCTGTTTTAATCGAGTATAATAAATACAGCGTTAAGTTTCTTTTGGGTTCATTGTTCCTTTGTATCGTGAAGGGTGCGAAAGATTTGGTAGTTTTGATTTCTTTCCCTCCTAAATAAATTCATATAGCCTGCTTTCCCGTATTGGGTTGCTGATATCCATCAATAAAGGATGTAGTCATTTTTGTACTAGATGCAGTTGTAGGGTTATCTTTGACCACTAACAGTGTGAAGACTGACAATTTAAGACATCGCGTACACTCTTACTCTTTAACATCTCCTCACCATCAATAATAGAGTGATGAAGTGACACATATTGCCGTGGGTAAAAACTTTATTTTACGATTTCTGTGCTTTATATTCCCAATTATCGCATTACACTAAAATTCTCACAACTATCCTAATTATATTTATGCTAAATAATATTATTATATGATAATTTCACTTAGGAAGGAGTGTCTTTATCGATGTCTTTGGGTTCGCTACGATTCGACGTTTTTCTTGACTATGGCAACAAATTGAAGGATCATCGTGCTAAGGCTGTCGTCAATAAATATCACGCAAGATTGACTGGACCAATCAACAATATAATTACGAGAAGAAATAAAGCAAGATTAGCAGTGGGAAAGTTCACCTATCCTTATTTGCTGCCTAAATGGATAACCAACAGTATTCATACATAAGTATTTTATCTCACATAATGCACGAGCATTCATAAAGTTTGTCACAGACTCAGTTGTTGTTGTAGTTACATTTTGTAGTCAAATATTGACTTTTTTCAACTCATTTATGAATTGGTAAAATGGGATTCCTTAAACAACAGTTTAGTTCAAAAGATGGTTAAGTTAGAAAGTCGAACAAATTGTTTTTCATGGCACACGAAGCAAGTAGAAAGTTGATTTGAATATGATGAAAAGAAAGAAAATATGAAGTTAAGAATTAAGTGGTTCACAGACAGCTTTAAGCGAAGGTCTTTGTTAGGACTTAGAAGATAGTGCATCTTTAACCTTTCCTATTTGTCAAACTCATCGTTTCCAGTGATCGTTTCTCCGTCCAATTAATATGACTAGATGATTGAGTTGAGCTTCCGATTCCGAAGCCACTTGAGAATACATATTTTAATACGACCACACAATATGTCGCAATGGAATCTAATTCAGGGTTGCATGGCTCCAAGAATGAAGAATCTTTGATAATTTTGAGCTTATGAAAGACAAAATTGCTACATTATTACGACTTGAATACGTTAAATTGTGATTTTGAGCCTTACAAGTAAGAAAATAGTGGCAAGGTAGAAGAAACTCCATTATATTCCAATGGTGTGATTAAACAGGGAAACATGTATATAAGCAATAAGTGTATCCACATTCGAAATTTGTACGATTAAGTTCATGAATATTGTGTTTCATAGAATGCATCGAAAATGTTTACTCGAAAGTTCATTCTATGACGCAGCAATGTATACAAGCAAGGCCATCAAAAGTGGGGGAAGAAAAGGGCGCTTGGTTTACTTCTGATAGCCGTTAGCAAAGCTATCAAATGTGCTACAATTCATGATTTAGTAAGAGTGATCTCTTTGCAAGTATTTATGGCATTCTGAGAAGTAATTCTTCTAAACGTATGGTTTTTGATGTTTCTGAATGACTGCTTTCCGCCATTTTGAAATTCAATTTGGATTGAGAGCATAAATGGTTGTTGACAATGTTGATTTGCATGTTTCCTACAACTGTTGCTTTGAAGATAATTTCAAAGATTGTTGCGGATACATTTGAATAAATCACACTAACTGGTGTTCATATGTTCATCTCGGGAGTCCGAGTATCAAAGTCCACCGCGCATGAGCGATCATTTCGGTGTATTTTGATAAGAGTTGATGGCTCACTGCTCTCCTCCATTTTATAGAAAAAAATGAATGACGATCGAACGCCTTTCGTCTGCGTTGTCTCATCCACATGCTAATTTCGGTATTTTCATACATTTAACTTTTTGCAGATGTGTGATAAACTAGACATTGTCGATGTGCTGTCGGTTGTTTTAAACTCAATTACGGACATGCATTACATTATTCATAAAGGAATATTGAATTATCATCAATTGTGAAGCGGACCGTTCATTCGGATCTATCTCTCGTGTTAATAGCTGGTTATAATCTCTTAATCGTTTAGAGACGCAAAATGTTCAAGTTTTCATTTGTGTCAACTTTATCGATTGTGATGGCTATAGTGTGTCAATTTGTCTTGTTTACAAGTTAATGCACTGGTTGACTGCATATTTTTGATGTTGTGCTATCAAATATTGTGGCGTAGATCCATGGTTGTCTTTTAGACTCTTGCTTTAATGATGAGCAATACATCTGTATTATGTTGGCCTGTTTTAGTTAAAGTATCAGAATTGGGCGTTTCCTATAAGAGACATAAGAGCTCGATTTGTTTAACTTTTACTGACCAGAAACTTGATGGTAGTGCAATCAATCAGAGTGAAGCGGACCGTTCATTCGGATTTATCTCTCGTATTAATAGCTGGTTATAATCTTTTAATCGTTTAGAGACGCAAACTGTTCAAGTTTTCATTTGTGTCAACTTTATCGATTGTGATTGCTATAGTGTGTCGATTTGTCATGTTTACAAGTTAATGCACTGGTTGACTGCATATTTTTGATGTTGTGCTATTAAATATTGCGGCGTAGATCAATGGTAATCTTTTAGACTCTAGCTTTAATGATGACCAACCATCTGCATTATGTTGGTCGTTATAGTTAAAGTATCGGAATAGGGCGTTTCTTACAAGAGCTCGATTTGTTTAACTTTTACCGACCTGAAACTTGATGGCTATGCAATCAATCAGAGTGCTTTTTCATTGTATTCTCCTTATCAAATATGATGTGAGATGAATGTCTTGTTGTAATATGCCCAACTAATATTTCCAGCCTCCGGCAAATTTCCCCCCTAAGTTTGATTTGTTTGTGCTGTCTAGTGTCAAGGTTTGAGAATCGCTGATTAAAGTAGACCGAAGGCTCTCCATTCCATTGTTCTACTTGATTTTATGAAAATAAGTTATTTTTTTTAAAACGTTTTTGCAGCACTATATTTGAAAATAGTTCTGCTACTTTGAAAACATTTCAACAGGAAATGAGGATGTCTTTGAGCATTGGAACGTAGAAAGATCCTTTGTGCTGTATGGTGTTTACGCAAACTTTATAATAACTCTCTGTTTCTTGAGGTTGTCTGAATCGACCCGGCTTTAACGGAACATTAAAACTTTTGTCCAAATCCCAACCACTGGCAACTTTGCTGTTCGCCTGTGAAATTATTCTCCAAATATACTATACATTACGAATCATTAAAACTTCCCTCCAAAGCCCCAACCACTGGCAACTTTATTGTTCGTCTGTGAAATTATTCTCCAAATACACTATTCATTACGAATCATTAAAACTATCGTCCGAATCCCACCCACTGGCAACTTTGTTGTTCGCCTGTAAAATTATTCTCCAAATATACTATTGTAGTATTGCGAACTAACATCGCAGTTAGATCAATAGCATAGCCAGTGAGCAGGTTTGTTCGTTTAGTGCTATACAAATTGAGTCAATGACTAGTTTTTGACAGTATTAGCTAAGCATATGTTTTCTGAAAATATAAGAATAATTTAAAAATCGTTGGTGCCTAGTTGGATACTATTCGGAGGTCTTAGGTCCATTTCGTGAGTATGAATGACGAACTCTTCTATGCATATATTTGGTCTGGTAGTAAGAATTCACGAATGATTCGTTCCTCTTCGACGCTTTGATGTGAATACGAAATGAACAATGTCTTATGTCTTCCGCTGAATATCAGGCAGTGAGCTTTACTATCATCTAATTACCTTAGTTACAATATTCATGAAGGAGACTATATGAAATATCGTCAATTGCGGACCGAATCATTTATTCAGGTCTGGCTCTCGCGTTATCAACTGGTTAAAAATTTCGAAATTGTTTAAAGAGCAAAAATGTTAAATTTGTGGTTTGTGTCTCATCTCCTAATTGTGATGGCTGGTTTGCCAATGTAAGTTAAGTCTTGTTTGTTGTATTTATAAACGAATGTACATACTATCGTATATCTTGGTTGGAGACGCATAGTGTTGGTCAGCTGTAAGCAATAGTGTTCTTGTACAGTGTTAACATTAAGTTTACTTTTTCACTTATAACATATGACTTACTAAAAGACTGAGTTTTCATTACTATCTGTAATTTTTTGTCTGTTTTATTAGAAATAGGCGTTGAATATTAGGAATTGGGCGTTTCCTTTGCAACATTAGATTATTTCAGCCATGACTAACCATAATAGATTTGTGTATCATGCTTTCGCTTAAGTTCTACATTGTCTTTTGTTTTATGCTGCCATTAGTTGCTCAAACATGACTAAATTTTGTTTGGAGCTCTAGAAAAATGGATTTTGGACTGTAGTTGAGTCGCAGTTAAAGAGAAGAAAGGAATTCCTCCGTGTTTTTCAATTTCTATCTGTGCAGATTGCTCTCTGCACAAAAAAAATTTGACATATATTTGGCAACTATATTTCTGTTTGGAACTATCGAGAAGTTTAGTTTATTTTTGACCTTTGCGTGAGCCACAAGCAATCTTAGGCACACTTGAATAATTTTTATGCTTTTTGCTCAACCTTTGTTTCCTCCAACCTTTCAGGAAATGAAAACATCTTTTACGCATTGGCACATGCAAAGATACTTTGTGCGTGTATTGTTTGCTTTGTGTATCGTTTTGAAAATGTTGACACAATATTATCCGCTACAACATACAAATTATTGCTTATATATGTGAATTAATGTCGAGAGTGAAACTTTGGTCGTGCTATGTAAAGGTCAGGTCACCTGATTAGCATAGTGATCATCGAAATATTTACATAGTACGATCTCACTTTCATGCAGGCAGGCTACGTCACCGAAAGGGATAACATAAGCACCATGATTGCAGTATTTGTTGGATATGAAATGCGCATGATAGACTGACCATTAAGAATACTCATATAACTTTTCATTAGATCTTTTGGACTCTTCAGTCACACTTGCAAATACAAAAAAGAGGTCGAAGTCAAGCGCTCAGAAAGGTACGTCATTGAGCAAATGAAGTTTAAAAATTTCACTGACTTGAACAAAGATAATATATGTAATATTTTATTAGAATTGATCTAAAAAGCGAATCGAATTATATTGTATTTTTAATACTACATTTATAATCCCGACAGCGTTAAACGATCTCCTACTCTGCTCAAATACAAACACACAACAAGGTTGTTAAGTCTATCGTGATGTTTGTAAACACTTTAAAAAGATTTCATTCCTCTACACTCATTATTGACTTTTGTGGATGCAGAAGTGCACATTGCTCAAAAAGCTGGTTGGAGATTAATCTCTGAGAGGACTCTTGAAATGTCTTCATTTCAAACAGAATCATAAAACTTTCGGCGACTGACTTTGTTCGTTCTTTAGATAATTCGTCAAACAGTTGATCTACAGATTATGGACAAAATTTTATACATATTTGACAAAAGAAATATGGGAGATGTCATATCTTTCTTTTAAGCACTCTTGTGTGAACAGTTGATTTATAGAATAATTTAGGTGAAGCTATTTACTTTAAACTTGCAGCTATTACAAAGATTGTTGTCAAGGATGGACGAAAGGATTATTTGGAAAATGTAACAAAAGTATGTTGAAATGTTTACTAGATTTTAACTGTCTTTGTATAGATTCCACAGACGTCTGCGTGAAGCAAATTGTTACAGCTTTACGATGGAAAAATCCGCCAAAATTGAAAACGTTTTCTTCTGATTTATAAGAGTTCATAAGCATAAAGTTCATTTATGAAAGGCGTTTTTTAGGCAGTTTTATAAGATGGACACTTTGAGTTTGGATTTATTGGTTCATTGCTGTGTTGTATTTTATATGCTTTTTGTGTAAAACACGATAATTTTGAATTTTACCACTTGAAAATCTTGACTTCCAACACGAAAGATACATTAGTTTTATCGTTTAGCAAGACGTGAGGGAAGGCTCCAAAATATCGTCGTAATGTTAAATTTGAGCAAGATATAAAATGATGGGATTTTTTCCTTTATAGAAACCTGCATTGTTTTGCCACAGTTTGTAAAGCTGGATATGTGCCCATTGATTCGTCATACGAGTTTACAACTTAATCGTAAATTTTACGTTTTAACGAAACCTTCCAATCCACCAAAAAGGTATCCTGATGAATCAAAAAACCTTGCTGAATGTGTCTCCTATCCTTTACTCAATCAACCGATTCCGAAAGTTCTCGCTCACAGTTTTACAAATCTTGAATTGCACGAAGGGAAATGGTTGACAAGCTACCTAGCCCAGGCTGCCTGGAATTTCGTACTTTCTGGAAAAGTCAATTTAAAGAATTCGAAGTACACAACAAACGATGATTACCTCAATCTTTTGGAAACATTTCGGTCAGGTGAAACAAAAGGTGTTGTTCCCATAAACTTTCCTGGTGTAAAGGTAAACTAAAACTGCGTCAGTAAAAATGCTGCAAACACGTAGGGCTACAAAGTGTTTAAAATATTAGATGTCGCAACCACATTTGAGATATGAAATGAGTTTTAGCTTTATTTGTAACGTTCATCAATGTGCAAATGAATCTCATTTTTCTTGTATTATTTTCGCTACCGTTTTTACATAATATTATATTTCCTCTCTTAAATTAATGACATGTGGTACGATGATATGATGAATGTAGAAGTTTTTATCGAACGTTATTTAGGTTCAAGACAATTTAATGAAAGCAGCAGCGATCTCCTTAGTATGAAAAAATTCTGTTATTTTTACAGCCTATGAGAATCAGCCTAGCTAGTTTGTCTCCTTACATAAAGTATCCTTCGCAAGAACTGCCATTTTATGACATCATCAAGAACGAACATTGGCAAGATGATCACGTGTTTACAATGCAACGGTTGGCTGGCATGAACCCGATGGCCATCAGGAAAATGACAAAAGAAGGTAAGAGTTAGTTTCAAGTCATTTAAACATCAAGAAATTGAACTGAGTGACAAAAATGAATTGTACATTATATGCCCTTCGTCGAAAGTACATATAGCTAGTTCAAAACAACGTAGTTTTTCCTGCATTTATAGACAAAATAGCTATATATATGAATGTTGTAATTTTAAATGTGCTTTTAACGTCTTCTATGGAAAAAGCCCTATGGTATAACAGGTCTATGTTGTTCAATTGGTATATTATAGTAAATCGTTGCACATAACTATCATCATAGATCTTGGAAAAGACTACGTCAACAAGAATTATGATTGGGACGCAGCTATGTCAAGAGCTACAGGAGAAACTACAACAGTCAATAAGGTAGACAGTCGCTCAGTCAGAGAACGTTGTAAGAGAAGACTGATAAGTTATAAAAGAGCATATCACGTACGAATGTTTGAAGTAATTTTTTGTTTGATCATGAAACAGATGATTGATGACAATCGGGCTTTCATCATCGACTACAAACTGTTATTTGGTCTGACAGACATGGATGATTTTTATGATACAACGAATGGAAGAACAATGAGGTGGTCATCGAGTCCTTTTTGTGTGTTTGTCGTGGAAAAGAGTAGTAAGGACCTGAAGCCAGTTGCCATTCAAACAAATCTTACTTCAGGTAAAAAATCATACTCAACATACGCATGTGACGATGTCTGTTTTACATGGTCTATACGAAGTATAAACGAATGTAGTGTTCTACATCAAATGTTTTGAAGATTGACGTTCACCACATAAAAAATTAACGTATCTAGATTCTCCTGTCTTCTCTCCAATTGATGGAAAGAAATGGCTTAATGCAAAGATGGAGCTCCAAATTGCCGATCTTTCTTATGAAGAACTTGTCGAGCACTTAGCAAAGACACATCTTCTTATGGAACCAATGTGTGTCATTATGCAAAGGACTCTTTCCAAATTCCATCCTCTTTATCAAATATTTCTCTGGCATTGTCGTGGCCTTTTAGTTGTTGATTCTCTGGGATTAACTGCGCTCTTTGGCAAAATATTCTACTTAAGAAAACTGTTTAGTACTGGATATTCTGGTGGTCTTGAACTTATCAATCGAGCCTACAATGAAATTTCATGGGATACCACAGACTTTGTGACTAATCTGAAGGTAAAATATTATTTTTTTTGTATAGCTATCTGATAATTAATCCTTCGATCGAGGAGGCATGCCCAACACACATTGCCTAAATTTTTAAATTAATGTCACTTGCCAGAAACATCTTCAAACTTGTCGAAATTTATTGCTCTGTGGGTTTCATATATTGGTCATTTTCTTGCTATAGTTGGAATTTTTTTGGCCATTATTTCAATCGAAGTCAATCATGCACTTCAGGGGTTAAGTTATAAAAGAATCCAGCAGCATGTTTGGTCATTATTTTAATCAAAAACCTTCATGAACGCTTGGTTAAAAGCTAAGGGTGGGATTTTCGGTTCATGACATATGAATAACAACTGTATGTATGTCTGAGTTGTAACAGTGCTGTGAACTACCTGTTTCAATGTATCTTTCAGAAACGAGGTGTTCATAAGAAGGACGAACTTCCTTATTTCCCTTACAGAGATGATGGCCTACTTTTGTGGGAAGAAATTAGCGAATATGCTGCGGAATATGTGAATCTGTAAGAACAGAGTTCGTTGCCTAAAGTGTTTGAAAATACGTATACTTTAATATTGGAATGGTCTTTTAAAAACTTCTCTCTCATTACTACTTGTTGTTTTAGTTTGATCATAAAACCCCAATATCATTGAATGAAACCATTTCTCACATATATATATTATAATTCGTTTTTTAAATTAGCAAATCTCTAGTTAATTATCATTTTGCAAACAATGTTGTTTTAAAGGTATTACGAAAATGATGACGAAGTGACTAAAGATGAAGAATTGCAGGATTTTGCCAATGAACTGTCCGCAGATGGCACTGGACCCAATGGAGGAATTGGAAGGGTAAGTCAAGTCTTTACGATCTCAATGTGAAGCTGAACAATACACAATTGCGAATATAATATGTTGTGAATTGAAAATTACTAAAATGAATATGTTTTGTTCCACATTTTTAATCTTAGTTCAAGAAATTTCCAGCGAGGATTTCATCAAAAACAGCACTTATCGACGTCGTAAAGAGAATTGTATTTATCCCAGTGCAACACAGTGCTGTCAATTATCCTGTGGTTTATTATGCTGGTTTTGTACCAAATCAACCAACCAAGCTTTACAACGATTCCAGAGTACCACCGGGAGAGTTTGAATTTGACAGTTTGCCACAATCTGATGGTGCCGTGGTAAGCTATAATTGGATCAGATTAGATTAGATTAGATCAGCTGTTCCTACGACTGCGTGCTACCGCTAAAGTCAAAGTCATAATCATTTGTTCAACAAAATTGTGCTCAAATAATTACGTGTAGTTGTAGATCAACTCCCTATTATCTTGTTAGTCATAACAAGGGGTATCGAATCCCATTCCGTATTCAACCAATTTCCATGATACAACAGTGTATAGTTATATAAACTGAAACGTTTACTGATAAATTCTAACTTTACCGAGGCCAAAGATGATATACTGGATTAATTATTCAAATATGTTTTACAAAGGAACAAGTGGCTTTATCCATGTCTTTGGGTTCGCTTCGTTTCGACGTTCTTCTTGATTATGGTGACAAATTGAAGGATCATCGTGCTAAGGCTGTCGTCAATAAATACCACGCAAGATTGACTGGACCAATCAACGATGAAATCACCAGGAGAAATGATGAAAGATTAGCTGCAGGAAAGTTTACCTATCCCTATTTCCTGCCCAAATGGATAACAAACAGTATTTCCACATAAAAAAGTTTCCATATTATGTATGAGCGTTAAAACATTATAATGTCAGAGCCACAATGTTTTGTGGTAACTTGTTTGCTGTAATTATTTACATTCGTTGGAAACTTACATTGAAATTAAAATTTTATTTTTCTTCAAATCATTTTATGAATTGGTAGAATGGGATTTTGTAAACAATCGAAAGATGGTATCGTGGTAAAGCAGAAAAAATAAATTTGACAGCACAGGAGGAAGGTAGGAGGAATGTTGTGGAAAGAACAGCAATAAAAAAGAAGCTTCATTGACTATAAATATGAGGAATAGTGTTGCTAAGCAGGGCCATAGCTCGAACGTTAATTTTCCTCGGGGTGAAGGGGTGTGTATTCATATATCCAGTTGTGCCCGACTGCTTTCTTTAGAAAGCTAAATCACTGTCAAAACTGAATATATGAATAAACACCCTACCCAAATTAACGTTCTAGATACAGCCATTTTGCAAATGGATTATCTGCAAATGGTAAAGGAGAAAATGGTGGTATTGGAATGGTAAGTCAATTTAACACAATTTTGACGATCGCAGATATTTATTGCTCATACTTTAGCGACTACAAAATGCATTTCTAAAATGCACATTTTAAAATATAAAGTTATATATGTCCCATGTCTGTTGAAACTTTCACTTGGAAAAGGATTCTACTGAATTTGAATTTCCTTCGTTTTCTTTGAAAAGTTTATAAGAACCCATTTTTCTATCATTGCTTGGTCTTTGCTGGTTGAATTATTTTTCACTAAACATACATACAGTGGTTTATTAGAAATATACTCATTCGAAGCGTCTATATTTTCCATATTTAACTAAATGAATCATAAACCAACGTTAAGATTGGGAATATTCTTACATGTTTGTAAATGTAGATCGTCCAGGTTAGTATAGTCCTGAGAAGGACTATTTTTGTTGTTGTTGACTGACGTTTTGACAACCTTAGCGGTAGTCATCTTCGGAGTCAAATGAGGAGTAAACTTCAGGTTAGCCGTATTTGTTATCTGGTTCTTACGTCATTGTATTGTGTGTACAAGAAATCTGTGGGTGTCAATTGTGTAATGTCATTGTGAATTAGTGTGAAGTTTAAGGTTTTTAGTTGATCGTTTGTTTGTATTGTGAATAAGTCGTTTGTAAGGTGCAGGTAATTGCTGTTATCTGTTCCGGGGGTTTGTTCCAAGTTGGTATACCAACTTTCTAATGTAAGCCGTTGTCTATAGTCAGTACTGTAAGTAATGCATTTTGCCGAGTCCCAGTCAATGTTGTACTTTGTGATTCGGCGATGTTCGGCAATGTGATTAGTTTTGTCTTGTTTCTTAGTAGCTCGTTTGTGTTCAATAAGTCTTATGTTTAAGTTCCTGCCAGTTTCCCCGATATAAGAGGCGTGGCAGTCGGAGCAGTTTATTTTGTAAACTGCATATTGTCATTCGTTGGGTTGTTCTTTGTCTTTTATGTTCGTTAGTACTTGTCGTAACGTTGTGATGGTTTATTTGCGACATGTATGTTGTATGGTCGTAAGATACGCGAGATAGTCTCAGACGTACCTTTGATGTAAGGTATCGTTGCTGTTGTCACTGAGTTGTTCGTTTCGTTGGGTTCGTTGGGTTTGTAAGTGTTGCGTTTGATAAAGTCAGAGTTATAGTTGTTTTTGTCAAAAACACGTTTGAGATAGTTGTTTTCGTTCTGTAGAGCGTCCGGTGAATTACATATGATTTGTGCACGTCTTGTTAATGTTCTGATTGTGGTGGCTTTGTGTGATGTAGGGTTGTAAGATGATTGGTCTAGTAGTCAGTCAATGTGTGTTGGTTTGCGAAAAACTGTTGTTCGTAGTTTTTGATTGTCTTGTTTTACCAAACAGTCGAGAAAAGGAAGAGTTCAGTTTTCTTCGACATCTTTGGTAAATTGTATGTGGCTGTTCTGTTTGTTGATGTGAGTGTGAAAGTCATCAATCTCGTCCGCATGTAGTGCTGTGATTGTGTCATCTACGTAGCGAAACCAAAAAGGTAGTGCATGTTTGTAAGTCGTGACCGCCCTTTCCTCTATAGACTGCATTACAATTTCAGCAACTACAGCAGAAACGGGCGAGCCCATTGCTGTTCCATGTAATTGTTTGTAGTGCGTACCTTTGTACTGAAAGTAAGTCGAGGTGAGGCAGAGCTCCAGTAGCTCCATAATGTCTTCTGTCGGTAATGGCAGTACGTCCGTGGTGTTTGTAATGAGGGTTCTTGTACAAGTAAGTGCCAGATTAAGTGGAATATTGGTGAACAGTGATTTCACATCAAAAGACACCAGTATATAGTCGTCCGGTATTTGTATAGTGCTCAGTTTTTTAATGAAAGTTTCAGTGGATTGTAGCTTGTGTTTTTATTTGCTTGTAAGTGGTTGCAGTATTTCAGTCAAGTACTTTGAGAATTCGTAAGTCGGCGAACCACAGAATGATAGATCGTGACTAAAACACCACACGAGTACATACGAGTACATACAAGTACATACGACTGACATACCAGTAAATACGAGTGACATACGACTATATAGGGTTAGGGTTTGGGTTTGGGTTAGGGTTATGGTTATGGTTAGGGTTAGGGTTATGGTTAGGGTTAGGGTTATATATATGTATATATATACTGGTGACCAGTATGTAGTCGTATGTCACTCGTATGTACTCGTATGTCAGTCGAATGTACTCGTATGTCAGTCGTATGTACTCATATGTACTCGTGTGGTGTTTTCGTCAGGATGATGAACTATACAATTGGTCGCATTGGTATTTGTGGTTTGTGAAGTTTTGGTAGTCCGTATGGTCTGTGTTGTTGTGGTACTGAACATCTAAGTCGATGGTAAATACGTTCAGATTTAATGATAGTTTTTGTCATAGAGAAGATCTTGCTTTTACGTTTGCGTACTAGTGATGGTGTTTGGTCTCGTTTGAGTTGTTCGTGCGTTTGTCTGTTGTCAATAAGGGTGTCCATTTTGTTAAAGTAATCATTCCTTTCAATGACCACAGTCACGCGTCCTTTGTCTTCTGGTAAAATGACGATGTTGTAATCGTGTTTTAGTCGTGTTTGAGTGAGGAGAAATTCACCTATCCTTATTTTCTGCCTAAATGGATAACCAACAGTATTCATACATAAGTATTTTATCTCACATAATGCACGAGCATTCATAAAGTTTGTCGCAGCCTCAGTTGTTTTTGTAGTTACATTGAAATCAAATATTGACTTTTTTCAACTCATTTATGAATTGGTAGAATGGGATTCCTTAAACAATAGTTTAGTTCAAAAGATGGTTAAGTTAGAAAGTTGAACAAATTGTTTTTCATGGCACACGAGGCAAGTAGAAAGTTGATTTTAATATGATGAAAAGAAAGAAAATATGAAGTTAAGAATTAAGTGGGTTCACAGACAGCTTTAAGCGAAGGTCTTAGTTAGGACTTAGAAGATAGTGCATCATTAACCTTTCCTGTTTGTCAAGCTCATCGTTTCCAGTGATCGTTTCTCCGTCCAATATATATGACTAGATGACTGAGTTGAGCTTCCGATTCCGAAGCCACTTGAGAATACATATTTTAATACGACCACACAATATGTCGCAATGGTTCCAAGGTTTGCATGGTTCCAAGAATGAAGAATCTTTGATAATTTTGAGCTTATGAAAGACAAAATTGCTACATTATTACGACTTGAATACGTTAAATTGTGATTTTGAGCCTTACAAGTAAGAAAATAGTGGCAAGGTAGAAGAAACTCCATTATATTCCAATGGTGTGATTAAACAGGGAAACATGTATATAAGCAATAAGTGTATCCACATTCGAAATTTGTACCATTAAGTTCGTGAATATTGTGTTTCATAGACTGCATCGAAAATGTTTACTCGAAAGCTCATTCTATGAGGCAGCAATGTATACAAGCAAGGCCATCGAAAGTGGGGGAAGAAAAGGGCGCTTGGTTTACTTCTGATAGCTGCGAGCAAAGCTATCAAATGTGCTACAATTTATGATTTAGTTAAGAGTGATCTGAGATTTAGTAAGAGTATTTTGATAAGAGTTGATGGCTCACTGCTCTCGTCCAATTTATAGAAAAAACTGAATGACGATCGAACGCCTTTCGTCTGCGTTGTCTCATCCACATGCTAATTTCGGTATTTTCATACATTTAACTTTTTGCAGATGTGTGATAAACTAGACATTGTCGATGTGCTGTCGGTTGTTTTTAAACTCAATTACGGACATGCATTACATTATTCATAAAGAAATATTGAATTATCATCAATTGTGAAGCGGACCATTCATTCGGATTTATCTCTCGTGTTAAAGCCGGTTATAATCTTCTAATCGTTTAGAGACGCAAACTGTTCAAGTTTTCATTTGTGTCAACTTTATCGATTGTGTCAATTTGTCATGTTTACAAGTTAATGCACTGGTTAACTGCATATTTTTGATGTTGTGCTATTAAATATTGTGGCGTAGATCCATGGTTGTCTTTTAGACTCTTGTTTTAATGATGACCAATCCATCTGTATTATGTTGGTCTGTTTTAGTTAAAGTATCGGAATAGGGAGTTTCCTATAAGAGACATAAGAGCTCGATTTGTTTAACTTTTACCGACCAGAAACTTGATGGTAGTGCAATCAATCAGAGTGCTTTTTCATTATATTCTCCTTATCAAATATGATGTGACATGATGTCTTGTTGTAACATGCCCAACTAATATTTCCAGCCTCCAGCAAAATTCCCCTAAGTTTGATTTGTTTGTTCTGTCTATTGTCAAGGTTTGAGAATCGCTGATTAAAGTGGACCGAAGGCTCTCCATTCCATTGTTCTACTTGATTTTATGAAAATAAGCTATTTTCTTTAAAACGTTTTTGCATCACTATATTTGAAAATATTTTCTGCTCCTTTGAAAACATTTAAACAGGAAATGAGGATGTCTTTGAGCATTGGAGCGTAGAAAGATCCTTTGTGCTGTTTGGTGTTTACGCAAACTTTATAAAAACTCTCTGTTTCTCGAAGTTGTCTGAATCGACCCGGCTTTAACCGAACATCAAAATTTTGGTCCAATTCCCATCCACTGGCAACTTTGCTGTTCGTCTGTGAAATTATTCTCCAAATATATTATTCACTACGACTCATTAAAACTACCCTCCAAATCCCACCTACTGGTAACTTTGCTGTTCGCCTGTGAAATTATTCTCCAAATATACTATTCATTACGAATCATTAAAACCGTCGTCCAAATCCACCCACTGGCAACTTTGTTGTTCGCCTGTGAAATTATTCTCCAAATATACTATACATTACGAATCATTAAAACTATCGTCCAAATCCACCCACTGGCAACTTTGTTGTTCGCCTGTGAAATTATTCTCCAAATATATTCATTACACGAATCATTAAACCGTCGTCCAAATCCACCCACTGGCAACTTTGCTGTTCGCCTGTGAAATTATTCTCCAAATATACTATTCATTACGAATCATTAAAACCGTCGTCCAAATCCACCCACTGGCAACTTTGTTGTTCGTCTGTGAAATTATTCTCCAAATATACTATTCATTACGAATCATTAAAACTGTCGTCCAAATCCCACCCACTGGCAACTTTGTTGTTCGTCTGTGAAATTATTCTCCTAATATACTAATGTAGTATTGTGAACTAACATCGCAGTTAGATCAATAGCATAGTCAGTGAGCAGGTTTGCTCGTGTAGTGCTATACAATTGAGTCAATGACTAGTTTTTGGCAGTATTGGCTAGACATATGATTCCTGAAAATATAAGAATAATTTAAAAATCGTTGGTACGTAGTTGGATACTATTCGGAGGTCTTAGGTCCATTTCGTGAGTATGAATGACGAACTCTTCCATGCATATATTTGGTTTGGTAGTAAAAATTCATGAATGCTTCGTTCCTCTTCGACGCTTTGATGTGAATACTAAATAACCAATGTCTTCCGTCTTCCGCTGGATATCGGACAGTGAGCTTTACTATCATCCAATTACCTTAGTTACAATATTCATGAAGGAGACCATATGAAATATTGTCAATTGCAGAGCGAATCATTTATTCAGATCTGGCTCTCGCGTTATCAACTGGTTAAAAATTTCGAAATTGTTTAAAGAGAAAAAATGTTAAATTTGTGGTTTGTGTCTCATCTCCTAATTGTGATGGCTGGTTTGCCAATGTAAGTTAAGTCTTGTTTGTTGCATTTATAAACGAATGTACATACTATCGTATATCTTGGTTGGAGACGCATAGTGTTGGTCAGCTGTAAGCAATGGTGTTCTTGTACAGTGTTAACATTAAGTTTACTTTTTCACTTATAACATATGACTTACTAAAAGACTGAATTTTCATTACTATCTGTATTTTTTTGTCTGTTTTATTAGAAATGGGCGTTGAATATTAGGAATTGGGCGTTTCCTTTGCAACATTAGATTATTTCAGCCATGACTAACCACAATAGATTTGTGTATCATGCTTTCGCTTAAGTTCTACATTGTCTTTAGTTTTATGCTGCCATTAGTTGCTCAAACATGACTAAATTTTGTTTGGAGTTCTAGAAAAATGGATTTTGGACTGTAGTTGAGTCGCAGTTAAAGAGAAGAAAGGAATTCCTCCGTGTTTTTCAATTTATATCTGTGCAGATTGCTTTGCTCAAAAAAATTTAACATATATTTGGAAACTATTTTTCTGTTTGGAACTATCGAGAACTTATGTTTATTTTTAGCATCGTGTACCACTAGCAATATACGGCACACTTGAATAATTTTATGCTTTTGCACACCTTTGTTTCCTCAAACTTTCAGGAAATGAAAACATCTTTTACGCATTGGCACATGCAGAGATTACTTTGTGCGTGTGTTGTTTGCGTGTGCTTTGTCACAAAACAGGAAAAAGCTCTGAAAAGGCTTCAATATGGTCTGAATCTTCCTACATGATGATTGAAAATGTTGACACAATATTATCCGCTGCAACTTAAAAAATTGTTCATATCTGTGAATTAATGTCGAGAGTGAAACTTTGGTCGTGTTATGTAAAGGTCAGGTCACATGATTAGCATAGTGAACATCGAAATATTTACATAGTACGATCTCACTTTCAAGCAGGCAGGCTACGTCACCGAAAGGGATAGCATAAGCACCATGATTGCAGTATATATTGGATATGAAATGCTTGAAACCAGACAATGTAGTCCGTTAAAAAAAGAACTACGACATTACGATATGATTTTTCATTAGATGGATCGTTCGTATTTAAGCGGTCATGATAGACTGACCATTAAGAATACTCATATAACTTTTCATTAGATCTTTTGGACTCTTCAGTCACACTTGCAAATACAAGAAAGAGGTGGAAGTCATGCGTTCTAAAAGGTACGTCTTTGACCAAATGAAGTTTATAAATTTCACTTACTTGAACAAAGAATCGTTAATGAATCCTCTAACATCACTTGTTATTCCATGCACACGGTCATCTTCTTTTGATGGATAGTTCACATCAATCAATCCTCTCATAACACATGTTTTTCAACTTTCACGGTCATTTACTTATTGGTTTTGCTCTAATAAATCCTCTCCCATCACCTGTTGTTCCATCAACACAGTAGTGTGATCTCTATGACTTTTTGTGGATGCAGAAGTGCACATCGCTCAAAAAGCTCAAGGAAGATTAATCTCTGACATGACTGTTGTAATGTCTTTACTTCAAACAGGAGCCGAAAAATTTAGGCCGACTGACTTTCTTTGCTCTCTATATAATTAGTCTATAGTTGGTCTACAGATTATTGACGAAATTTTTATACATATTTCACAAAAAAAGATAGGAAGTGTTACATCCCTCATTTATGGGCTCTTGTGTGAACAGTTGATTTATAGAATAATTTAGGTGAAACTGTTGGCTTTGAACTTGCAGCTATTACAAAGATTGTTGTCAAGGATGGACGAAAGGATTATTTGGAAAATGTAACAAAAGTATGTTTAAATGTTTACTAGATTTTAACTGTCTTTGTATAGATTCCACAGACGTCTGCGTGAAGCAAAATGTTACAGCTTTACGATTGAAAAATACGCCAAAATTGAAAACGTTTTCTTCTGATTTATAAGAGTTCATAAGCATAAAGTTCATTTATAAAAGGCGTTTTTTAGGCAGTCATATTAGATGAACACTTTGAGTTTGGATTTATTGGTTCATTGCTGTGTTGTATTTTATATGCTTTTTGTGTAAAACATTATAATTTTAAATTTTACGACATGAAAAACTTAACTCATAACGCCAAACAAATATTAGGTCTGTATTTCAGCAAGACGCAAGGCTGCAAAATATCGTCAAGACTTTGAATTTGAGCATAATATGAAATGGTTTGATTTTTTCCTTTATAGAAACCTGTATTGTTTTACCACAGTTTGTAAAGCTGCAAATGTGCCCATTGCTTCGTCATACGAGTTTACAACTTAATCGTAAATTTTACGTTTTAACGAAACCTTCCAATCCACCAAAAAGGTATCCTAATGAATCAAAAAACCTTGCTGAATGTGTGTCCTACCCTTTGCTCAATCAACCGTCTCCCAGAGTTGTCGCTAACAGTTTTACAAATCTTGAACTGCACGAAAGGAAATGGTTGATAAACTACATCGCCCAGGCTACCTGGAATAGAATAATTGCTGCAAAAGTCAATTTAAAGAATTCGAAGTACACAACAAACGATGATTACCTCAATCTGTTGGAAAGATTTCGGTCAGGTCAAACCAAAGGTGTTGTTCCTATAAACTTTCCTGGTGTAAAGGTAAACTAAAACTGCGTCAGTAAAAATGCTGCAAACACGTAGGGCTACAAAGTGTTTAAAATATTAGATGTCGCAACCACATTTGAGATATGAAATGAGTTTTAGCTTTATTTGTAACGTTTATGTGCAAATGAATCTCATTTTTCTTGTATTATTTTCGCTACCGTTTTTACATAATTTTATATTTCCTCTCTTAAATTAATGACATGTGGTACGATGATATGATGAATGTAGAAGTTTTTATCGAACGTTATTTAGGTTCAAGACAATTTAATGAAAGCAGCAACGATCTCCTTAGTATGAAAAAATTCTGTTATTTTTACAGCCTATGAGAATCAGCCTAGCTAGTTTGTCTCCTTACATAAAGTATCCTTCGCAAGAACTGCCATTTTATGACATCATCAAGAACGAACATTGGCAAGATGATCACGTGTTTACAATGCAACGGTTGGCTGGCATGAACCCGATGGCCATCAGGAAAATGACAAAAGGAGGTAAGAGTTGTTTAAAGTCATTTAAACATCAAGAATTTGAGCTGAGGACAAAATATGAAATGTACAAATTATGCCCTTCGTCGAAAGTACATAGTTCAAAACAACGTAGTTTTTCCTGCATGTATTACCAAAATAGTTATGTAAATGAATATTGTGTTTTAAAATGTGCATTCAACTTCTATGGAGAAACCCTATGGTAAAACATGTCTTTGGTGTTGAATTGGTCTATGGTAATAAATCATTGCGCAATGACTTTCATCATAGACTTTGGAAAAGACTACGTCAACAAGAATTATGATTGGGACGCAGCTATGTCAAGAGCTACAGGAGAAACTACAACAGTCAATAAGGTAGACAGTCGCTCAGTCAGAGAACGTTGTAAGAGAACACTGATAAGTTATAAAAGAGCATATCACGTACGAATGTTTGAAGTAATTTTTTGTTTGATCATGAAACAGATGATTGATGACAATCGGGCTTTCATCATCGACTACAAACTGTTATTTGGTGTGACAGACATGGATGATTTTTATGATACAACGAAAGGAAGAAAAATGAGGTGGTCATCAAGTCCTTTTTGTGTGTTTGTCGTGGAAAAGAGTAGTAAGGACCTGAAGCCAGTTGCCATTCAAACAAACCTTACTTCAGGTAAAAAAATAATCCTCAACATACGCATGTGACGATGTCTGTTTGACATGGTCTATACATCGAATGTAGTGTTCTACACCAAATGTTTCGAAGATCAACGTCCTTAACTTGTTCACTATTTTACAAATTAACGTATCTAGATTCCCCAGTGTACTCTCCAATTGATGGAAAGAAATGGCAATAAAGATGGATTATGCCGATCTCTTATGAAGAACTTGTCGAGCGAAGACACATCTTCTTATGGAACCAATGTGTGTCATTATGCAAAGGACTCTTTCCAAATTCCATCCTCTTTATCAGATATTTCTCATTGTCGTGGCCTTTTTTGTTCTCTGGGATTAACTGCGCTCTTTGGAAAAATGAGTTCACGAAAACTGTTCAGCATTGGATATCTGGTGGTGAACTTATCAATCGAGCCTACAATGAAATTTCATGGGATACCACAGACTTTGCGACTAATTTGAGGGTAAATTTTTTTTTTTTTTCTGTAATTCAACTAGTCCTTAGGAGATGCTCAACATTGCCTAAATTTCCTTGCAAGAATCTTCAAACTTTCAAATTTATTCCTCGTTCTCATGTAGTAATTTTGCTAGTTGGACCATGCCACCTAGGGTGAAAACAACAGTGTTTGGGTTATTATTTAATCAAAGGCTTCATGTTCAACTATGAAACTAAGAATAGATTTTACGCTCATGTGATATGAATAAAAACTGTGTATGCTGTGAACTATCTTCAATGTATCTTTCAGAAACGAGGTTCATAAGAAGGAACTTCCTTATTTCCTTACAGAGATGATGGCCTTGTGGGAAGAAATTGAATATGCTGGGAATATGTGAATCTGTAAGAACAGAGTTCGTTGCCTAAAGTGTTCAAAAATATACTTTGGTCATGGAATGGTCTTTTCAAAACTTCCTCTCATTATTGCTTGACTTGCTGTTTGTTTGATCATAAAACCCCAATATCTTTGAATAAAGCAAATTTTCACTATATATGATATTCGTTTTTGATTAGCAAATCTCTAGTTAATTATCATTTTGCAAACAATGTTGTTTTAAAGGTATTACGAAAATGATGACGAAGTGACTAAAGATGAAGAATTGCAGGATTTCGCCAATGAACTGTCCGCAGATGGCACTGGACCCAATGGAGGAATTGGAAGGGTAAGACAAGTCTTTACGATCTCAATGTGAAGCTTAACAATACACAATTAGGACGATTACGACCTATTGTTGCGAATATAATAGGTTGTGAATTGAGAATTACTGGAAAAATATATCATGTCCCACACTCTTAATTTTAGTTTAAGAAATTTCCAGCGAGGATTTCATCAAAAAGTGCACTTATCGACGTTGTAAAGAGAATTGTATTCATCCCAGTGCAACACAGTGCTGTCAATTATCCAGTGGCTTATTACGCTGGTTTTGTACCAAATCAACCAACCAAGCTTTACAACGATTCCAGAGTACCACCGGGAGAGTTTGAATTTGACAGTTTGCCACAATCTGATGGTGCCGTGGTAAGCTATAATTGGATCAGATTAGATTAGATCAGATATGTCTACGACTGCATACTACCGCTAAAGTCATAGTCATACACAAATGTTCAACAACATTGACCTTAAAGAGTTATGCGATGACCCAAATCAACTCCTTACTATCGTAAGAGCTATAGCAAGTACTATGAAATTACTAATTTCTGGTATTTCCCTGATACAACAGTGTAGTTATGTCAAATGAAACCTTTGCCGCATGAAATCCCAACTTATCCAAGGCAAAAGATAATTCAGAGTGTTGATTATTTAAATATGTTTTAAAAAGGAACAAGTGTCTTTATCCATGTCTTTGGGTTCGCTTCGTTTTGACGTTCTTCTTGATTATGGTGACAAATTGAAAGATCATCGTGCTAAGGCTGTCGTCAATAAATACCACGCAAGATTGATTGGACCAATCAACGATGAAATCACCATCAGAAATGATGAAAGATTAGCTGCAGGGAAGTTTACTAACCCTTATTTTCTTCCCAAATGGATAACAAACAGTATTTCCACATAAAAAAATTTGCATGTTATGAATGAGTGCTAAAATATTGCAATGTCAGAGCCTCAGAGATTTGTGGTAACGTGGTTGTTGTAGTCATCTGTATTCGTTGGAAACTTATGTTGAAATTAAAAAATTAATTTTTTGTTCAAATCGTTTATGCATTGGTAAATATGGGATTTTGTAAACTGTTAGTTGAAAGATGGCATCGCGGTAATGCAGAATAACTAGATTTGATAGCAAAGGAGGAAGGTAGAAAGAAATGTCGTGGGAAAAACATGAATAGAAAAGAAGCTTCACAGACTGTAAATATGAGGAATGGTAGTGTTTGCTAAGAAGGGCCATAGCTATAGAACCTTAATTTTCTTCGGGGAGAGGGGTGTATATATTCATATATTCAGTTGTGCCCGACTGATTTCTTTAGAAGCCAAATCACTTTCAAAACTGAATATATGAATAAATACCCCACCCAAATTAACGTTCTAGCTACAGCCTTATTGCTAGTAATGGGATTTCAAGGCGTTTAGAAATTTTCGCAAATAAAGAAATATCTCTATCGTGAACAGGTAATGGTTCGTTCATGTTGTATTTTAACATCCAATGGTTGGGCTGTCTTTAAAACTATAAAAATAATTTTAAACATCGTTGATACACAGTTAGATTCCAATCGGAGTTCTAAGCTACATCTCGTAAGTACTATAAATTCAAATTATAAAATCTACCACGCATGGGCAATCTTTTTGTGTGTAATTCAATGAATATAAGTAAGGAGAATTGATGGTTATTGCCTCTCAAAGTAAAAACTGAATGTTGTATATTGATGCTGCACATCATCGTCAATGTTGACATTGTAGCTTTATGTGTACCAATTTCACTGATCACAAACATCAAGGATGAGTGGCAAGTTGGATGCAAATTGTGCCGATTTCTTTATGATCCACTAATTATAACTAACGATACGTGACATATTATTTGAAAAAAACAATGAAATATCGTTACTTGTGAAGCAGACCATTTATTCACATCTGCTCCTCGCGTTAACAAGTGGTCGAAATTTCGCTATCGTTTAAAGACTCAATATGTTAAAGATTTTGTTTGTGTCAACTCTCCTGATTGTGATGGCTGGTTTGCCAATGTAAGTTTAAACCTTCTATCTTATTTATCTCATTTATAAATGAGTGCCATTGCTGTATATTTTAGTGGGAGTCTGTCGCATATAGTATTGTCATTATAGCAATGGTGGACTTGCACAGTAGTAACAATAAGCTTACATTTTACTTAATAATATATGATTTGATAAACGACTGAGTTTTCATGATTATGTATTTCGTGTTGTGATTATATCTTTACTTAAATTTATCCTTAAAATTAGGAACTGGGCGTGTACTTTTACAGATTTCAGCATTCGACTTGTTTAATGTTGACTGACCACGAATTTGGAGAAATTTTGTTACATTTGTATCCACCTTTTCTATTTTTTCCTTCTTGATGTTGTTATGACAGTAGCATCTTACCTTTTTTTCAATACCTCTCATGACGTGACAACTCATCACGTTGACCTTGCTTTGACGTTGCAACCATCTTTGACCAAATTCCCGTTTTCTTTACGTATTTTTGCCTGTTTTAGTGCGTGCTTTCTCAAAGAAAATGTATTTTCCAAATAGCAATAGATGTGTGAGATGATTACATCAATCTGTTCGTATGAACTGCAATAGGCGTTGTTTGTGCATTTTCAAGATTTGAGTTATGTATATTGGCTTTAGAGCCATGTTCCGCACAATCAACTTGTTAAATTATCAGACTTATTCTCTAGGAATGATGAAAAAGTTGCTTTACTTTACGTTTGAATTAGGTCCTCACTATACCAGCTGAGCTTTTAGTCTTACAATTATTTTGTTCTTTTCATCTCTCCCTTTATCCTTTCAGGATATGAAAATTTCTTTAAAGCATCGGCTGATGCAAAGATTTCTTTGTGCTGTAGAGTTCATGTGCGTGACTTGTGTAAAGAGCACTTACAACAGTGAAACTCTCCGTGCTTTGAGGTTGTCTGAATCAGTCGAGCTTATTTTGAAACTGGTCGCCACAAATTTATTCGTTGACACTTTGCTGTATGCTTTTGCCTATCTTTGGCACATGGAATGCAGAGTGTGGTGGTTATGAGCAAGCAAGCAAATCTGTTTTGAAAAGGGGGGGGAGAAGCGGATAACTCAGGGTATTTATTAAATTTCCAGTTTCCTAATGTAAAATCGTCGATTTTCAGAAAACGGGGGGGACATGTCCCCTCATCTCCACAGAATTCATGACCTTGGATATGAGCTGCTGGAAACGAGCCAATATCATCCATTCAAAATTAAAGCATTGTCTCGACATAATAATTTTATATTAGACTTATGATTATTCAAGTCTAGTTCCAACGTCGAACTTTGCATGAGCCGAACGCACTTATAACAAAAGGTAATGAGGAATTTCATCTCATTTTCTTCTGTCTTTAACGCGTTCGGTGCATGTAAAGTTTAACGTTTGAACTAGGCTTGAATTAACTACTGATCAGTAAAGTTTCGTCCGATCTTCTAGATTTGAGTCAGTCATGATTGACTGAATCTAAAAATGATCATTGTGTGATATTTCATTAGATCCTCTGGCTTTCGGAGACACGTTTGCTTATACAAGAAGAATTACCGAGTCAAGCGCTTAAAATGTTTGTCTGAATTCAAGAAGGTACGTCAATGGCATGAATGAAATGATAAAATTTTACTGACTTAACCATACTGCTGCATGGAAGCAAAAACAGTCGATAAAATTGATCTGAAAAGTTGATGTGAATGATGTTTCTAACGTAAGAGTTCATGCTTGTAAACCTTTCAGGTTTCATCTATACTGTCGCACACGTTCTCTGATTATTTTAATGCAAGTCACCCGTCTCACAACATCTGTTGTTCCATACACAGAGTTGTATAATCTCAATGTTTCTAGCGAATCAATCCTCTCCCATCTTCCGTAGTTCCATGTTTACAGACTACAGTCGTACATTCTCAATGAATAGTTTCACACCAATCAATCCTCACACGCCATTTGTAATTTCATGTTCACAGTCGTATCTTCCAGATGGATTTTTGTGTGTGAATTTCCCTGTTATGCCGTTTTATTCGCTCATGTTATCAATTTTTATACTTACAGCTTGTGCCCAAGAGGATTCTGGAGAAAACTACACAAATTTATAAGGCACAAATTCCACAGAAGACCATTCTACAGACGTTATTACAAAGATTGTTGCCAAGGATGGACAAAGGGAAGATTTGGAAAATGTAACAAAAGTATGTTTAGTTGTTCTCTCAAATACCTAGTTCAGAGCAATATAAATATCTAAAAGCTCATTTACATGACGAGACTTCAACTTTAACTGTGTATATGCATTGACGTCCGCATGCAGCAAAATCTTTAGTTTAACCAATGCAATTATTTGCGAAATCCATCAAATTATGATCATGGAACAGCACGATCATACAGTTTATAAATAAAATACCTATTTGAACAAGTTGTTTTACATAGATATTTTAAGTTTGGATTAATTTACTTATTGCTGTATTCTATTCCATATGCCTTACTACTGTTTAAAATAGATGATTTTGAAAATTCTCGATGTGAGAAATTTGACTCACAACGCCTACCACGTATATTAGGTTTAGAGTCCGACTTAAACAACGGGGGTGGGGATGAAGGATCGGCAAGGGGTGGTGTTTCAAAATCGTCGTAATGAGGTTGAATTTGAGCAGAACAAAACGATTTGATTTGTTGCTTTTCAGAAACCTGCATTGTTTTACCACAGTTTGCGAACAAGCAAATGTGCTCATTGCGTCGTCGTGAAAGCTTAAAAGTTCGACGTCAATTCTATGTTTTATCCAAACCTTTGAATCCTCCTAAAAGGTTCCCTGATGAATCGCGTAATCTTATCGAATGCGTCTCATATCCTTTGCTCAATCAACCGTCTCCCAAGGTTCTCGAACGCAGTTTTGCGGATCCTGGACTAGTTGAGAGAAAATGGCTGTTAAGCTACCTTGGTATGTCTATCTGGAATCAAATACTTACCAGAAAAAACAACGCAAAGAATTTACAGTACAAGACTAACGATGACTACAGCAATCTGTTGGAGACGTTTCGATCAAGCCAATTAAATGGTGTCGTTCCCCTAAAAATCGGTAGTGGAAAGGTAAATTCCTAACTTGGAACTACAAAAATATAGTTTCACATTGGTTGTAGAATAAGACATGGAGTAAAATTTCCTAATTATTCATGGGGAATTTTGATATTGAGAGCTGCTGCAGTGAGTTCTATCTGTATTGATTATGATCATATGCGTATGAAATTCTGTTTTCTTGTTTTTGCTCGTCGCCGCTTAACTTAAATAGCTTTATAAACATATTTTGACCTCAGTCGTACTGGTTGTCATAATTCAAGTAAATTAATGGCTGGTTACAAATTATTGCAAATAGGCAATGCTCCTAAAACTGTAAGTTATAAACTAAAGATATGCCATGAAGATGTGAGGAATTTGGAAACTTTTATCGAAAGTTAGATATCAATTTGGTTCGACATAACTTAAGTGGAGTATTGCAACGCAACAATCTCTTTACTTTAGGAAAACTGCTCTTGTTTTTATAGCCTACGAATTTCAACTTGTCTGCCTCGTCTCCTTATGTAAAATTTCCGTCGCAAGAACTGCCATTTTATGACATCATCGAAAACGAACATTGGCAAGATGATCACGTGTTCACAATGCAACGACTTGCCGGACTGAACCCAATGAGTATCAGAAAAATGACGAGAAAAGGTAAGGGCTGTCTTATTTAGTACATTATCATGATTTTACAAAGCTGCATAGTACAAATCATACAACAATAAAAGTGCCAAAGTACATAATTCACTAGAACGGGTATTGTATGTACTATTCAATGAAACAAACCATTTGGTATGACAGACATATCAATGAGGTTAAATAAGCTCATGTTACTCAATTGTGCATGTCTTTCATCGCAGATTTTAGAGAAAACTACGTGAACAAGAACTATGACTGGGATGCAGCTGTTTCGAGAGCTGCAGGAGAAATTACAACAGTCAATAAGGTAGACAACTGCTGTGAGTCACACAAAGAATGTCATAGAAGAAGGCTAATGAACAGCAAAAAATGTATCGCTGAGAGTCGAATAGTTAATTTTTTTTGTTCTTACCTAAAATAGATAATTGACGATGGACGAGCTTTCATAATAGACTACAAACTGTTGTTTGGTCTAACAAACATGGATAACTATTTTAGCCAAACGAAAGATAGAAAAATGAGGTGGTCCTCAAGTCCATTTTGTGTGTTTGTCGTAATACGTGGTTGTAAGGACTTGAAGCCAGTTGCCATTCAAACAAACCTTACATCAGGTAAATCTAGATCATCGTCCACGTATACATGTGACGAGGTCTGTTTGATGTGGATTATACAAAATATAAAACAATGAAAATTTGAAATGTCTTGTATTGTAAAAAATATCCATGCTAAACAATTTGAAATGTTTCCATGATTTATACTTTCATCTCTTGATGTTCGATATAAGTATCGTAGGTTGAGGTTAAGTTAAAGAGGAATAATGAAAAAGATTTCTCGATGGTGAACTAGCTTAAATGGCCCTGCCATAACATTCCCTTGTTTTGAAGATCGACGTTCTTTCCTTTTCACATTAAAAAATTAACGTATCTAGATTCTCCAGTGTACTCTCCAATTGATGGAAAGAAGTGGCTCAATGCAAAGATGGAAATCCAAGTAGCTGATGTCGTTTATGAAGAACTTGTCGAGCACTTGTCAAAGGCCCACTTTCTTATGGAACGAATGTGTGTCATTATGCAAAGGACCCTTTCTAAATTCCATCCACTTTATCAGATATTTCTCTGGCATTGTCGTGGCCTTTTAGTTGTTAATTCCCTGGGTTTAACTGCGCTCTTTGGAGAAGAAAATTTCTCACGAAAACTGTTCAGCGTTGGATATTCTGGTACTATTGAACTTATCAATCGAGCCTCACCTGAAATTACATGGGATGTCACGGACTTTGTGACTAATCTGAAGGTAAAGTAAATTTAGGTGTTAGCCACAGCAACATTTAAATCCTTCTACTTTCCAGGAAATGTGTTCATCAACATTTAAAAATCATTGTGGATGCTTCTTATCATTTATCAAAATTTCCGTCTTAAAACATTTTGAAAATCTATGCTTTGTGCGATGCTCTCCTTTCTTGCTTGAATTTGATTGGTTATTTACTTCAATCAAAGGCCTTCATGAGCTTTAAGCATAAAGGTAGAAAAATCAAAAACGTAGTTTAAAATTGATAGTAAAATTTTGTTTTTATGTTGAGTTGTTCTGATTTTGAAGATTTTTGTGAGTAAAATGAACAACAATTGGCCGAGTTACAACCTAACTTTGTTGGAAATTGCTGTTTACCTTCTATCTAAATTTTACTTTTAGAAACGAGGCGTTTATGACGAAGACGAACTTCCTTACTTTCCTTACAGAGATGATGGTCTGCTTTTGTGGGAGGAAGTTGGTGATTATGCTGAAGAATATGTAAATCTGTAAGAACTAACTTCGTTCTTTGAAATGCTTGATCACATATTTATCTTCTCTCTCCTAAGGACTGTTCTTCATTCTTAATTATCAAAAGAGCATGTTGTTTTTAGCAATGACTTCGCAAAAAGACATCGCTCATATATAATTTCTTTTCCACCTGGCATACCTTTGTCTTTTATTCAATGAAACTTATATATATTACGGTTGTTTCAAAGGTATTACAGAAATAATCTCGACGTGATAAGGGACAAAGAATTGCAAAACTTTGCCAATGAACTGTCTGCAAATGGCTGGGGACCCAATGGTGGAATTGGAATGGCAAGTCAAATTTACATAATTTAAGCGTGAAGTTTGAAGCAGCACAATTTTAGCATTTACGGTCACTTAATACTTAGAATTTACGGACTTGAAAATTCTAATAAAAAATATTCAGAGAAGATGTGTTGTAAAATTTTTGTTCATTCAAATTTGAATCAAAATGTTCAGTTTCAATAAATGTATTCCAGATTTTTTGATTATCCTTGTTCTTCCGGTGCACGCCAAAGTCAGGAAAAAATGACCATCAATAATTCTAAAACCTCATTCCAATAACTAAGAAAGGTTATTAGCATGTTTTCATTACCAAATTACTTCAATAAAATGATAAACTAGGGTAGAGATATGTGATATTTTACCTATTTTATTGTAGTTAAAGAAATTTCCAGCAAGGATTAGATCAAAAAGAGCACTTATCGACGTCGTAAAGAGAATTGTATTCATTCCAGTGCAACACAGTGCTGTCAATTATCCAGTGGCTTACTACGGTGGTTTTGTACCAAATCAACCAACCAAACTTTACAACGATTCTAGAGTGCCTCCTGGAGAGTTCGGATTTGATAGTTTACCGCAGTCTCGTGGTGCCGTGGTAAGGTTATACTGGATCAGATTAGATTAGATCATATTTTCCTGAGAACAAACGACAGTTTAATCATGTGTACAGAAATATGTGCTAATTAATTCTAATTTAATAAAGGCCAAAGTTTATTTCAGAGCACTAATCATTCAAATATGTTTTACAAAGGAACAAGCGTCTTTATCGATGTCTTTGGGTTCGCTTCGTTTCGACGTTTTTCTTGACTATGGCAACAAATTGAAGGATCATCGTGCTAAGGCTGTCGTCAATAAATATCACGCAAGGTTGACTGGACCAATCAACAATATAATTACGAGAAGAAATAAAGCAAGATTAGCAGTGGGGAAGTTCACCTATCCTTATTTGCTGCCTAAATGGATAACCAACAGTATTCACACATAAAAATTTTGTCACGCATGCATGAGAAGAAAGTTTGTTGTAATATCAGTTAATGTAACTAACTATTTGTTGAAAATTAACACTGGCATTAAAAATTGATTTTTTCAAAACATTGTATGAACTGGAGAAAAGTGAGAAAGTGGAAGAACCGAGTTTGATGGCGCAGGTGGCAAATAAAAAGAAATGTGATTGGACGAAATTAATTAAGAAATCTTGAAGGGAGTTCACAGACTCTGCAAGAAGGGAACAATGGTGTTGGGTAGGAATGGGATTTAGTTCAACGTGGAAAGGAGATTTGACGTTCTCTTTGTATTCATTATGAAAAACTTACTGTTGCCGTCTTCTTGACAATAGACAACTTAGGGCCAGCAATATAGCCATTCCGTTTATGAAAAGTGCTCCCACTTTTTTGTCATTTTGTTTATGACAAGTGCTCCCACCGAGTTTTCTTTAAACTGTGACATAGCTATTTTACTTCTTCAACAAAATTTATCGTGCTGGAATAAAAAGTCAAAATTATCTCAAAGATTTGTTGGACATTTATTCGACGGAAGGAAAGAAGCCTCACAGCTAAGTTGTACGCTTTATGCTTTTTTCTTGGGATGTTTTGCAAATTTTTGGAAGTGGGGGGACGCTTTATAAAGTCTGATTGCCATGGCTTATTGTGTAAGCTAATATGCCAACTATGGCATTTTCAAGTTACTTTTACTTAGGAAACTTTGATCAAAGCACAGTATCATGTAGTTGCACAACAAGCAAATATAAAAAAGATATCTTGTGGAGAGTATGGGTACTATATAATTGATATTTGCTAGAAACAATATTATATTACGTGGGGGAACGGCGTTCCTCTTGTCAAAATAGTTGCGAAACGCTGTTCCCCTGCGTTCCCCCGCGTCCCCCCTGCAAAACATTACTTCTCTTTTCTAACCTTTCGTTTTTCTTTTTCATTTTTTCTCACGTTTTGAGCCTGCAATTTCGGTACCGCTTTTTCTAAGTTATACTTTATTTTACAACACACATAATGTGTCAAAATGGCGACTCATCCAGCAGAAGGGTCGACAAATTCCAAGAACGAAGAACATTTTGATAATTTTGAGCTTATTAAAGACCAAATTGCCGCAATGTTAAGACACGAAGATGTTAAACTGTGGTTGGAGCCTTATACCAAAGAAAATAGTGGCGAGGCAGGGAAATTCAATGGTATGTTTATCAGCGTATGATGATGAATTGGTGTGTGATGTTTATCAGTTTGGACGACACGTAAATATTATTGGTTCACTATTTATGTCTGGAAAAAGCTATGTTTGGCTTCCTTGGATACACTTTCAAAATTTTAAAGATTAATTTGCCATGTATTGTTTTACACTAAATCAAAAATTTTCATTTGGAAGTTTGTGTATTGGCATGATTACAATGATTACAAAAGCGATCGGAACAGGAGGCTTGTGGCTTGAGCTTTCCTTCGGAACACCTTGATTACAGGCATCAACTGTGCTCCAATCCATAATATAGTGATTGCTTAGTGTTGACTTTTTAAATGTTAAATTTTGAAATTTGTATGGCTGTATGTCATGATGATATTGACACTGTCATTTTTCCCCATCCTAGGAGATTATTGAAAGATACTCGACTGTATTGCAAATTTCTTCTAACCTTGTTGCAAATGCTCTTGAACATCTACGGGAAAATGCAGTTAGAAAATTATCGGCAAATAAACAATTTAAAACCTCTGGCATTGCGACAATCAAAGTGAAATTGGTTGGAAGTTCACTTGGCTCTACAAAATTTCTAAATTTAGAGATGGGTCTTAGTGTGACTGGTGAAACTTTAATGGTTAAAATACTCAATGAAATTGGGTTAGGATCTAAAAAATGTCGCAATATCAAACTAATCTGCCATGGAAAAATTTTATCACATAATGGTACGTTGCTTATTATTGTTTGGTCAAAGTAAGGTACTGTAGATGTATATAAATGTATTTCATGTCTATTTTATTTTGTTTTTACCGATTTGTAGACTCTATATTTGTTTCAGAATATTTTTATTTTTCTATGAGAAATGAGTGGTAATGCATGAAACATTGATATTAAAGACAATTATCTTTCTATATATGTATGTACAGATAAGCAGGGGTATTAGAGAAGAAGGGGAATGTATGGGTGATCACTTGCTAATGAATAAACAGGGATCTAAAAGAGGCAAGGGGGTAAATGAACATCTAACAAGATGTTCAGTCGTGAATTGTGCATGAAATAAACAGGGTTGTGTTACAGACTAGAGGTGCAGGGGTTTTGTTGATGATCTTTTGATAATGATGGATTGAATAAATAGGGGTGTAAAAGAGTCATGGGGATTAACTTTTGTTCATTATGCACCTAAGAGCAAACTCTAGAAGCGCAAGGTGTTCGTCATAACAGCGTTGTCATGGCGATATTCAACCATAGTGAATCAGTGGAAGTAGCCAATCAAAACAACCAATCAAACCCAGTGACGAAAACGCGGAATGCAGCGAGTTTGCTTGCTAACAAAACACAAGGTAGGGAACGTTAAAGAGATCTCAGTTAACTCTCATTTCAACTGCTTGAATGCATTTTTGAAAGGTAGTAAGACAACGTTCTTCAATAATAATTTCTTAAGTCTTTATTTTCATGTACATCAAGTCAATAGAGATTAATATATAGAATGAGCATGCTCAATTTGCACGTTGATTAGAATTATTATTATTATAATAATATTATACTTTATTAATTATCCCAAAGCGCTTTTCAGAATGTAGCAAAAAGAATGTATTATTATTGTAATAAATAGAATTAAAACAAGTAGAATGTAGCAAAATTCACGAGTTTAGACTGTTTAGGCCTGTTTTATACGTCGCATTTTACATGAGTTGAATGCATTCAAAAGAAACGATAATGAGGAATTTTATCTCATTTTCTTTTGTCTCTAATGCGTTCGACGCATGTAAAATGCGACGTATAAAACAGGCCTTTTAAACGCTGTAGCTATGTTCGTGCAGTATCTTTCCTTTTCAGAAATAATTATGCTTTTTGTGGTCTTTCTTCTAATAAGATCAAATATTTTCTAAGTTTTTGTGTTTAAGATGATGTAGAATATGCGTAAGCTAGTTTTCATTAAGGCTGTGCTAAAGTTTAAATAAATATCGTTAATGACTTAAACTTTGCACAACGGGAGTAAATATGCGTGATGGCTGCTGGCTTTTACTAATGTCTTAACACAAGTAAGATAGTTACACGTTTGTGTTGACGTGTAGGTGGGAAAAGTCCGTATCAAGATTATTTACTGGAGATAAGTGACCAAAATGGAAAGCCTCTTCAGTTACCCGAGGATGAACGCAAGGTCTGTCACGCGCCATCGTCTTCAGATTCTTTAAATAACCTTTCGTTCGCATGTAATGTGTATTTTACACATTAATGTTGTTGCAAAGTGATGTAATACAAATTTTTCTAACAGTCGTTGGTTCTTGCGATGACACTTCACGAACAAGGGCGTAGAATGGCCGAACAAAGACAATATGCAGACGCCTTGCCTTTGTTTTTGGCTGCCGAAGAAGAATTCAGGTTTGTGCAAGCATAGATATGCATGAAATAGTCAGCTCGTTGTTGTTGTGTCTTCAAAAAATAAAAATCCACTCATTGCATGTAAATACAAAATCTCTGTTACTATTATTGATGTTTTTCTACATTGTCAATCGTTGTTTCTATACAGGCAATGTCGTTCTGAAGTATTGAATGCAGTTGATAATTACGCCATACTATGTTTGGATGTTGTTTGGTGTTATCTTCAACTGCAGAGCATCAGAGATCTCCCAAATGCAGGTTTGCCACTTTCTTTTGGTTTTTCCACTGAAATTCATCATTTCTACCCAATTCAACATGTTTTATTTATTCGTAGACGAATTGCTGAAGAAATGTGAAAAATGTTTGAAGAAAAGTTACGGGGAAAACCTCGAACGACTTGTCTCCTTGACGGTGAGATGATAAAATGAAACTTGTTTCTTGCACATGATTTTCTTATAAGATTTTTGTAATTCACAGCTGTATCCCGTTGACCAATTTGTCTTTAATGTGTAAACTTCAGATCTCCATTAAGCTAGTTGTATTTTTGCAAGGTGATTTTAGAAACTGGGTATTTTGTCATCTGCTTGAGCGACGTATGAATATTTGTCACGTGCAAGATGATCTTTTTTATGAATATTTGTCACGTGCAAGTTGATATTTTTTTATAAATATTTGTCACGTGCAAGTTGATATTTTTTATGAATATTTGTCACGTTTGATATTTTTATGAATATTTGTCACGTGCAAGTTGATATTTTTTATGAATATTTGTCACGTGCAAGTTGATATTTTTTATGAATATTTGTCACGTGCAATTTGATATTTTTTATGAATATTTGTCACGTGCAAGTTGATATTTTTTATGAATATTTGTCACGTGCAAGTTGACAATTGACGATTGTTATATGAAGAAATTGGTTTACATTTGCCTCATTAGCAGATGACACACCATGTTTACTGTTGTAATTTTAGGGTGGTTCTGCTAAAGAAAAAGTCCTGTACCTTCGACTTAACCTTCTTCAAGCTATCTCCGCTTTCCACAAAGGAGATATGAGGCAAGCCTCGCGTCTTTTGGATATGGTATTATATCTTCTGTTGTTGCAGTGGCAGGTCGAGGCCATCATCTAATGACAAATACTTTTTCTCTTTTTCGTTCAATTAGGTCGAACAAGAAGTCAATCAGTTAAAAATAGACGATGGATCGCTGTCACAAAGTAAGTGTTTTAGGTGATTGATGTTGTCAGTAAATGACGGCAGTGATATTCATTTTTATAAACCACGTGTTCATCACAATTTTTTACAGTGATCTCTATGGGGTTCGGTGCATCTGAATCAAGGCTAGCTTTGAGATCATGCAATGGTGATGTCACCGTAGCTGTTGATTATATATCGAAAAAACGGGAGGTAGACATTTTTATATGGACGAATTTATTAATATTCTTTGTAGTTATGGGAACGCTGATGAATGTAATTCCAGAAGCGTAAGGAATGTCAGTTGTCTGTAGTCGGAATTCTGTATTCCAACAATTCATATTGTGTCAATAATTATGTGCGTAATTCATTATATTGCGGATGGACAGTTTGGTTGTCAGGCTATCTTTGATGTGTAGTCATCATCACTCGTCTTTAATACATGTAGGCGAAACGGAAATTGTTGAAAGAACGAAAAGAAAAAAGAAAGAAACATAAAATGGCTGTGAATTTAGGAAAAACTGCAAATGGCGAATGGTAAGGCATACTTGTCCATTTCGTACAGAAGCAGAAACAGCGGCCATAAAAATTGCTGTTCCGACTGAATATTTCCCATTTCCGGCTGACGTGAATAAACTTGTAGTTTTCACACAGTTTTCCATTGCTCACTCGCAAAGTCTTTTGCATGGTTGCTCAGATACCATAATCACCATGTAACTGGTTGTTCGATTACAGTATATTGGTTACCATATTTATGGTAAAATGTGTTTTATTATTTAGAGATCCTTTTTGGTTGTTGAGCCTATATACATCTATTGTTGAGAGGTTTTGTGAACTTAAAATGACGTTGATGTTTTAGGGTGAAAATTGATCTGTTCAACAGATTATGTGAGATGGGTTATCGTCAGGAGTACGCTAGCGAGGCTTTACGTCAAACAAATAACGATATGGATACAGCCATTCAGGTGTATATAACTATATTACCTTGATCAGTGTTTATCTAATGGCTCGGTGTATTGGCATGTATAGTTCATGTAGAATTCTCAATTGAAAAATAATTCTCACATTTTATTGTGCGTCCCAAAAACCCGATCTATTGATGTATCATGCAGTTTAACAGCTATATTCATGTCGTTTGCCATGCTTTTAATACGTGTATAATAAGAGTTTCAATGTTCGTATTGTGGTTAGATTCTTATCGAAAGACCTGAATTGTTGGAGCGAGCAGTTTCCGAGAGAAGACCAAGGTCAGTTGATAGTTAGCGTTGATCTTTTAATTTACGGGAACAGAATATTTGATGATTGAATCGTTATTTCCTGCAGTTTGGAAGTATCTGATGAGTTGATTGCGCAGGTATGATCTGTGGCAATGTACATATCTTATTTATATTGTTTTTCTTGTACAAACATTGATAATACATCGTTTATTTATATTTTTGGTAATTTTTCCCCTCCAGGTGACTTCCATGGGATTCAACGTCGACATTTCGCGTTCAGTCTTGAAACATTATGGCGATATAAACAAAACAATAGGGCGATTATTAGAAACTTCCGGTGAACTTCCTCCCGAATGTAAAAATACGATCATCAAAGATGGAATTGTCGCAGATTTAGGTATGGCGAATGCGCTTAATTGTTTACATAGAACTATAATTGATTATATAGAACTCTAACTGTCGCAGATTTAGGTAAGGTGAAAACACTTAATTGTTTATATAGAACTAAACGTAGTTTATTTTATAAAACTCTAATTGTCCCAGATTTAGGTAAGGCGAATACCCTTAATTGTTTTCATACAACTATTATTTCCCATTATTACCTTCACTTTCATTTTTTAAAGTTTTTGTGCCGCTTCTATTCATCAGCAGGGAATTTTTTTTTAACATTCTCCATGCATGTTGGATATAGTTGAACGCATAAACTTATTTAAAAAGTCTTCTTCATTTCTTAATTGTGGAGATTATCTTTCCCCTCATTTGAGATAAATTCGTGGTTTGAACACTTTTACTGGTGCAGTTACTGTAATTACGTTAATGATAGGTTATTCCATTTTGTGTGCGAGTTTTCATTTTTCACGTTTACGGATTCAACTAAATATTACGTTTAGTATTTTTGAAAATCCTGCTTACATTACAACGTAATAACACAATTATCTTTTCTTTTGCATCGTTGTGAAACTCCAAACACTTCAATGATTGCGATTTCATTTTAAAATTCTCATAGCTGACCAAAGAGGAGGAGAAAATTCAGACTCGGACAGTGATGACCCAGAAGTAGTTCAGAATGCATTGAAAGAGATCACTCCTGCATTCGATGTTGAAAGCGACGAGGCTCATTTAGATGTGACTTTAGAAGAAGAAATCACTTTCCTTAGACAATACAGAGAAATGATAATGACAAAGAATCAGTGGGAGAAACGAGTATGAGTTGAATTTTTATCGTTTTGATTTGACTCTTTTGCAAAAACAGACGCTTGGCAAAAAGGATAAAGTGTGGTATCTGTTCGAGTTGTCACAAGTGTATGTTGTGTCCCTTTGTGATTCGATATAGAAATGTTAACAATTGTGGTGTGGCGGATCTGGACACATTATGCATGTCGTGAACAATTTGTCGGACATTCAACCTGGAAACATTGAATTTTTCTTCTTGCCAAATTTCTTTGCTGTATCCTTTGTAAAAAACGTATAAACATGCTTAGAGTTGGTTTAAATTATAAGTCAAAAAGGCAGAAATTGTTTGAACCTTTGCAGTATCCTTGGATGTTGAAGTTTCTTTTATGAGAAGAATTCTTGTAAAGAAAAAAGACAAATTTTGAAAACAAAAAATCCTGTGTTCGATCCATGCCTCCCGATACCCCGAGATAGTTTAGCACTAGAGCGTCGCATGTTAGTTAAGGGAACCAGATAATCTTGTTTGCCATGAAGTCCATGGATGGTTTGCTCGTGATACATGAGAAACAGTAAATGAGAGAATTAAGTCAGAAAGATATAAACCAATAAAAATTGTATAAAACATTTTTAAAGTTATCTTGAATTGTAAGTGTCATGAAAAGGGACAGTTTCAGAAGAATTTAATTTGAAGCATTGCTTGGTTTATTTTATGCGAACAAAAAGATAAAATTCGAAAGCAAAAAACCCCGTTTTCGGTCCATGCTTCCCGATACCTTCTTAAGCCGAGGCACTAGAACGCCGCATGTTAACGTTTCGGTAGGAGATTTCGGCCCCTCCACGCTATCCTACTTGGGAGATGCAATAGCAAGCTTCCGCCCATCAGACCCCGAGATCACCTGCGATAGGCTTTGCTCGGGGTACGCAGGGAGAGTGCGGTCGCGACCCGAAACGTCTGGGCCCCTAAGCCACTGCATACATATCGCACCCGGCTTCCACTGCTAGTTGACATCTACTATCCATATATTTAGCTTTATATTTATATACAAAAATTCAAAGGCTTACGAAAGTTGTGGTATTATTTAAGTCACTACTGCGCATGCTCAGATTATTTCTTTGATAATTTGCGACTAAGTCATCTAATTGCCACAAATGTAGTGCAAGTACATATAGTTAGTCGTTGCCATGACTCTGAACAATTAGTCGAATGGACTGTGCATGCTCGTGCGCATGCGCAGATGATTTCTCTAATAAATTGTTGTTAAACATGCTATTTACTTTAAAATCGGTGCCAATAGATGCAGTTGGTCGTTGCCATGACCATGAACTTTGACAGTTGGTCCAGTCAACTGCGCATGCTCGAGCATATTGCGCATGCGCAAATGATTTATCTGAAAATTTGTGACTGAGCGAGCTAATTACTCCATGATCGGTACTAGTACATACATTTGGTCGTTGCCATGACCGTAAACTTGGAGATTAGGTGGAGTTGATTACGTATTCTCAGATTGATTCTCAATTACTTTGTAACGGAGCGAGCGCCGAATTTACTGCTTGTGTATATGCCTTTAGCAAATTTTCAATCATATGTATTTGGCATGCTTTTTGTCTCTTAAGCTTGTTTTGACAAATGAATATCAAACTCATCAACACTTTGTTAAGCCACTCGTAATATCCGTGACCATGTTAGAGATGTTTTTGTTTTTCTGCATAACTTTGTATCTGCATATTTTGTGCATAAACAATGCTCTAATATTTATGACATATCATAACTCGTAGATTGAGGTAGAAGAAATACTTGAAAATGAAACTTCCAACATTAAAACAAAATCAAGCATGACAGAGGAGAAACAACGACGCCAGTTTGAAGATAGCTTGATGAAGTTGAACGTAGTTGTACGTAGTTGTACGTAGTTGTACGTAGCACATTGCGTACGCTCGAGAGTTATAGATGAGGACTCGCTGACCAATGGAAAACACGAACTGTTCATGATGTTGCTGAAGATATGTAAAAATAACTACCAGCGTCTTTCCTTTAGGACGAGGAATATGATTTCGAAAGTGAAGAGGAAGCAGTCACCACAAGAGATTTACAAGAAGATTCAAAGTGGACTCTGCAAATTTGGTATATACAGATGGAGTATTGGGAGAAGAGTACTCTAAGGAATGCTATTGATGAGGGATAATACAAGGACCAACCGAGAATGTGGCAAATTCTCCGTGAGATTGTAGAAGGATTATTTTATGTTCTTTCACTTGTAGATAAAAATGTGAATAATTTTCGCTTAGCTCAGTAAATACATATATTTAGGCTTATTATTTGCTATTTTCCTCTAATTTTTGTGAATAGGTTATGATTCAGGTAAACGCATTTCGTCATTTTTGGTTTCCTATTGTTACATCTTTTAGGAGTTTTCTTTAAAAAGTCAACTAATATCAAGGAAAAAGAAACCGCTGACCCTTTACTAAGTTGTTTGCAGTTTTGCTTTCCTACACAAGTGGCGGGAAGACTGTAATTATGGCGCGCTATTCCTAGTCGTCATTTTTACTTCGATGTCGAGCATCGAAGAGACTTAAAATGAAGCGAAGAACTTCCACGAGGGTATGTCTTACAGAAAAAAGCCATGAATATCTTTTCAAATATGCCTTGCTTTGACTACCATTCGAAATGTTGTGTCGGCTGCACATATAAGTTGTACAAATTGAAATGATGGCCACCAGGACCATGAGTTTAACTGTTGAAGTTTCATAGTTTACTGTTTTTACTTCATATTTCATACATTTACATTCGAGGTGTAATTACTATACTAACATGCAAATAAAATAGCTTGGGGTTCTCTGCTCTGTCGTGTAGAATTTAGAATTAAAATCCTCAACTATATAACCTATATATTCGTGCAAAATATCAGTGCATCAAATTAGGGTGTCTCTTTCAGCTACAACAAAGGAAATTATTGAAGCTTGAAGTGAACTATGCTGAACCCAAAGATATCAGCTCAGATGAAATTGATGATAATGAAGACAATGATAACACTCAATATGAAGAAAATTGTGAAAGTTCAAGCAGTGTAAAGAAAAATTTTTTTAATAAAAGACAACACAAGTGATGTATCAGGTTTTTCACTCTGTTCCATTTTATGATTTTGCAGAGTGAAGATCAATCTGACGACAATGACGTGCATGAAATGTCAGAGTACGAGAAACAGAGACTTGCCAACATTAGAAAGAACAAAGAGTTATTGGATTCATTGAAAATTAACGAGGTCAGTTGAAACTCTGTGGTAGTACTTTTGCTGGATTATAGTTCATGTTTTTATAAGGAGAATGGGAGTTCTAAAAGGAAAGGGTCTTGATGGATGGAACATCATTTTAGCAACAATAAATATAGTGTGAAAATATTTCCAACCAATATAGCCTTAAATGTTGTTCTTTGCAGTATCCAGAATAAAATATATTTGAATTACATTGTAACATGGGCTATCTACCGCATAACTATGTAGTAGTTTTAAACAGTTGATGGAAGTAAAATTGTTTTCATTTACTATTTTTACATGACATCATTCCTAGTTATCTCCAAGTGTTGAAAAGTACTATGTAACTAGACATTGTTATCCATATGTAGCTGTTTTGGACTTATCTAGAACTTACAGATAAAATGAATGCTCTTAATACCGCCACTTAACTTAACTTTATGGTGCATAAATGATATGTTTTAGGAAATCAGCCATCTGAGGGCTCGTAAACAGCCAACAAAGTTAAAGAGGTAATGTTGTTTTCTTGGGTGCACCTCTTTTTGGCTGTTGCCCTTGCATTGATTATATATGATTGTTTTATATATATTTTCATCAAGATTTTTCTGGTAACTGTATCATATTTAAATCTGAATTTGACTCACTGGAAAATATTGTGAGAGCACCATCTAACCTGTGTTATGTATTGTCAGATTATATGTAATGATTGCTTATGTCCATTATTGTACATGTGTATCCCAAGGATTTTATTACTTTACAGTTTTGAATACATCAATTTTGTTATTTATTTCAACATCATTGACAGTGATATAGTTATTTATATTTGTTTTTATCTTACTTTCAGGCCTGTTATGAAGAAAAAGGTTGTGGAACCAGTACGCCGTTCCCCCAGGATCAGTCAAGAACGAGCCTTGAATCAATTTGAAATGATTACTTTGCCGGACTTAAGATTTTATCCAGCTGATGTAAGGCAATGCATGCATTTCTTTTGCTTCCATACATTTTAGATAGCCTTGATCTCACACATTCTATTTTAGTGTAGTTTTTTAATGAGCTGCTAAAATTGAATAAAGACATACATGGTTTAAACTTCATACGAGACAAGGAGGGTGTAATGCAATTTATGTGACTTGTGAGAATAATTTACTTTTTGATAAATGTGATTCAGCAAGCTAGTGCAATTACTGTAGAGCAGTGCAAGGAGATGTATGTAGATGATTTTTACAGTGGCGGCAGAACATTGATAATTGAGAAGGGAGGGCTATATTCTTATATTCATTTGTTATCATCCATAAACACAATTGATTTCAATAGAAACTAATAATGTAAAACATGCATATATGAATAATAGCCCCCCTCAGTATCAATGTTCTGTCCCTTGGATTTGACCTCCATTAGTCGCTCAAGTTGACTACGCAAGTTCTCTGCCATATATTATTGGCTGGTTTAAGCAAATGCATTTTCAAACTCATTACTGCAATGGCAGTAATGGCCCTGCTGTCCTCCCATCATGTGTGAAAACAAAGTAGGCAATACACAACCATAGACATTACTTCGTGGACAAAAAGGAAACTGATTTCATGTAAAACGTGCACAACAAGACAACAACTGGTTATTTAGACTGTAGTTTGTCATAGGTTTTATTAAAAATGTTTTTATTGGCCATAAAGGCAATGAATGTTCACGCAATGATACATGAATCAAAATTAAATGAAGAAATTGACAAAAGAAATTTTTAAAATATTTTATATGGTTGATTCAAATTAGCTACTAGACTAAGAGCAGTATTTAATTTTTTGAAACTATGCACTATCCTTAGATCACTAGTTTCTTTTGTTTCGTCTTTTTATCGTCTTAATTGTTATTAAATATTATTTTGAAGTAAAGTGTTTTATGTTTCTAAATTTAAAAGGAAGAAAGGATAAAGGGTCCTGTCGATGCAAACCCAATAAACAATGTTGGAGACGATGCGAATAAGAAATTCATGAATTGCTTAGAATTGCTTTCCAACGAAACTAAGGTTGGTATTGTTGAAATAACATTATTGTGCGCCAATATGTGTCGATTCGACGCCCACTGGGCACATATTGAACATTATAGATAGTGCTAATGTTTCTATTAAAGGCATCGCATTGATTATTTGATGACTAAACAAAGCAATCTTCCTACAATCTTCAATGAGTTATACAATCTTCCTACAACTGTTTGATTCCCGTTAACGTACTTGCAGATGACGACGAGCGTTGTTCCAGTTGAAGCATCTTCCCCACAAGGTACTGACACACAATTTTTAACAGTGGCACGCGTAAATCTATGATGATTATAGATTGGTGACTACATTTCATGATGTCAACTTTTGATGCTTGATATTACTTGATTGGTGTAGTTACAAGCAGAGAATATCAAAATTTTCTTTGACGTCTGATCGAATACGAAAAGTTGTTCCAAAAAGAATAACGACGATGGCGTTTCATCCATGTTGTGATAAAACGATTGTAGCGGCTGGTGACAATGCTGGAAACATTGGCATTTGGAATGTGGTAAGACTCTTTGATTTGGTTTGTGTTGCTTTGCTCTCCATTTTGATGGCATTAGTAGTAACAAAAATAAGTGTTGTTTTCTAGCTAAACTTGTCTCTGATAAGGGTTTGTCCCATAGAGAATTTTCTTCATATAAAGTCTTGTGTATGATCAACATTTGCTAGAAACATCAAAACTTATCCATTTGTTAGAGCTTGACAAGTTAGTACATAGTAAGGTTTTTTTTATTTAGGACGCAAGCAAGGAAGATGATGACATCATCATGTATCGACCACACGCTGGTAACGTTCGACAAGTATATTTTCATCCATTCAGAAACAACAGTCTTTTTTCCTCGAGTGTCGATGGATCTTTGAGACGAGCAGACTTCAATGGTTGTACTTTTGAAGAAGTAAGTTTGAACACACGATATTTGGTGCATTGCAATATCAGCAATTTTTACCACTATTTTTATGACGTGTTCAATTTATTCAACGCGTAATTGAATTCGTTATGTAGATTTATGCAACCTATGATCACGTGATTAACGGTTTTTCGTGTCCTCTCAACTCGCGGGATATTTTTTTATTAGCACACGACGCTGGCTGTGTGGGAGTTTTGGATACTAGAGAAACAAAGTAAGCTAACAATAGCTTTCTTTTTTGATGTTAGCTTCAACTTTTCAGTAGTCACGCAAGCTTGTGTCGTTGCATTATAAAATCAAAACAATAAAACGCGTGCAGTGATTGGTCTAGAGCCGTGTTTACATTGGCCTGTGCAAAACACATTTGAGCTCAACCAATCAAATCAATCAAAACAATCAATCAGTCAACAGGAATTTACAAATCGATCATGAATACATTTTACAGGAAAAATAAAAATGTTTGTCTTTTTCGCATTATTTTATTTTATAAAAGAAATAAAAGATGTTTTTCGTGTTTGCACAGCCTTATGCAAACCTCGGAGACGTTTTTGAGAACTCTCGAGCATTAACAACCCTCAACCTTTGGTCTCGGGCTTGCACTGATCTGCTCTCGAGTTCTCCCAAAGGTCTCCTCGGTTCGCATAAGCCTGTGCAAACACACTTAACACAGTAAACATCTTTTATTTCTTAAATAAAGCACGGGATTATAAACATAAGATCTGCTTTTTCTTGACAGGAATGAAGCGAAAACTCATGTTTGTCACGGCAAAAATGTCAAATGCATCGATTCAAGCAGTTCAAACGAATATCTCTTCTGCACTTCGTCGAGCGATGCGTAAGTAGCTAATCTTCCTCAAGAAAAATTATAGAGTTCTTGCCATGATTATATATTACCTTACGTACCTAGCCGTACATTGCTGTAGTTTGAAGACTTCATATTTAGCATCTTCAATGTCTAAAATTGTGGAAACATTTCATTGCGCCTTCGGAACATTTCCTTTTTTACACTGTTAATTATTGACAATGCGAACGAAATGGTGTTAAGGTACATTTTCGTTTTGTTTGTTAACAGGATTGTTGCATTATGGGACTTACGAAATCTCAAAGGGATCAAATCAAGTTTGGACACATTTGAAAAGCACAGTCGTTCCATATCGTCATCTTATTTTTCTCCTGGTGATGGAAAGTACATTTTGACAACGTGTTGGGATGATACTGTTAAGTATGTTCATACTAAATTCGTCAATTTTGTGCTTACAATTCTTAAAATCTACAGAAAAATGTACATGAAAAAATGCATTAAAACCAGCTTTAACAGTTCGATCTCAGTAGAATTTTGTAATAAATAATATTATTTTTACATCATTTAGAGTGTTGGAAGTTACAACCTCATGGAAACTTGAAATGAAACGAAATTTTCAGTAAGATCATGAAGTTACTTTTTTGTTGATTAATTAAAATAATGAATGTTCAACTGGAGAGTCTATTGTTAACATATAACAGGAAAACGTTTAAAATGACAAATAAAGCCGTTCTACTCTTAAAGCATTGACAGATAATGTATTGTATACGACTTTGATAGAAATGCCAACAATAATGTATAAGAATCGTTATTGTTCAAATTTTAGACATTACAATCACACGAATCGTTGGTTAACGCCTTTAAAGGCTTCGTGGGATCCACGCAATGATCGTGGATTTGTTATTGGTAGTCTTTTATATAGTCGACGCGTAAGTGTGAATTAAAAATATCATAATTGAATACCTTGTCGATGTTAATAAAACCAAAATGCTGAAAATAATAATTTATCCTCGAACAGTCCGTTCTTTTTCTTCAAGTTCTCATTGCTCCTCTTTCACCTACTTCTTTAAACACCAAAACTGCTTTCTATAGCAAACACGTCGTCTATTTCTTTAAATAACAGATCTTTTTCTGTGCTCGTTAAGCCTCATTCACCTACTTCTTTAAACCGCTATGCTTTGATGTTTTGCAATAGTAAACAATCGTAATGCAGTCAGTCATCAAACTACCAATTCCCAATATTTTTTATTGTGATGTAATTTTCATTAAGATAATCATATGTTACTTGTTTGTGTATGTAGATCGTCCAGGTTAGTATAGTCCTGAGAAGGACTGTTTTTGTTGTTGTTGACTGACGTTTCGACAGTCCTAGCGGTAGTCACTCTACTAACCTCGACTGTATACATCCACAAACATGTAACGATACTCCCGAGTTCAAACCATTCACTTTATAAACATATATGAATGTTTTCCTATTTGTAGATTCAATTTTATCATGTGGAACAAATGGAAACGTCCCCACTGTTGGAAAAGTTTGATCCAAACTTCACGACAATCACATCAATAAATGTTTTTCATCCGACAAGGAGCATTCTTGGCGCTGGAAATTCGAGTGGCAAAATTTATATATGGTCAGATTAAAATTATTTATTTCATCTCTTATTACTCAGAGAGATTTTTTCCTTTTTTTTATGTATAGTTAGTTAGATGAATGGTTTTCAAAATCCATTTATATTGTTTTCATCTTCATGTGGAAATTATAATTTCTTTCAAAGAAGTTGAATTTCTTCTTAACCACACGGTATGCAGTGGTTGCCAAGATAGTGGGGCACAAAGGTGCCACTCTTGATCAACTGCTACAATATAGCTACGAGGGAAATGAGAACAGATTCATTTTGGAAACTGTTCTCAAAACTTCAAGTTCATGATATACTGTTTGTGTTTTTGTTCAACAAGGAAGTTTATCTCGTGTTATGGAGGTTTGAAGGATTTTAGACCTTTTTTAATTGTGTTATTTAATGATTACGAGTCTTTATGACAAGACACATGTGTCTTATACGCCCTTTTAAACATCGTTATTGGACATTTCCGGTTTTGTATGATTATGTTTTATAATTAATTCGAATTCCTTCAATAATTGGTAATTGTTTTACGAAACAATTTGTATGTGCGAAGCAACCTTCAATTGCTCTTGCTATTTTTCATTCGTTTTTTGTCATATGCTAGCAATTCAAACTCATACTGGTTTATAACGAATTAAAACAACAATCAGGTATGTTGTTTATTGTTTTATTACGTGTAGAATTTGTTTCTTCATATATCTAATTGACGAATATAGATACGTGGCAGCAGTGACTCTTATTTTCTCTTTTTTTATCTATGATTAGTAATACATCATCAAAGGGCATCGTTCATATGTATTTTACTTTCGTAATCGTAGTCATAACACTAAAACATTGGCTATGAATAGACATTAATTTTCTAACTAGACCAAAATTGTCGGCTCGATGTCATCCAACACTAAATTTTCATAGAATTATGTTTTGCTCTGTTTCTTTTTTATACATTCATAGACATTTATATGTTTAAGAATGTCAAAATGTGTTAATGGTGATAAGTTACAAAAATATTTGAACATTTGTGGAGGGCGTTAGGTTAATAATGCTTGAATATTAACTTTAACGCACAGCGTGACCTGACAAACGTGGCATACCACTGCATATACCTTAGCCAATCATGTATAACGTGTGTTTTACAAAACAATTTGTATGGGCGAAGCAACCTTCAATTGCTCTTGCTATTTTCATTCGTTTTTTGTCATATGCTAGCAATTCAAACTCATACTGGTGTATAAAGAATCAAAACAACAATCATGTATGTTGTTTATTGTTTTATTACGTGTAGAATTTGTTTCTTTATGTTTAATTCACAATTATTGACACGTCGCTGCATTGATGCTTATTTTCGCGATTTTTATTTATGATTAGTAATACATCATCAAAGGCATCGTCATCATCGTTCGTGTGTTTTTCTTTCGTAATCATATCCATAAATCTGCAAGTAGACATTAATTGTTTAACTAGACCAAAATTGTAGGCTCAATGTCATCCAACACTAAATTTTCATAGAATTATGTTTTGCTCTGTTTCTTTTTAGACATTTATAGACATTTATATGTTTGAGAATGTCAAAATGTGTTAATAGTGATAAGTTACAAGAATATTTGAACATTTGTGGAGGGCGTTAAGTTAATAATGCTTGAATATTAACTTTAGCGCACAGCGTGATATGACCTGACAAATGTGTCAGTGCATACTCATTAGCCAATCATGTATAATGTGTTTTAAAACAAATGCGAGGAATCTGAGCGCGAGAAAAGGTATTTTTTTTCATAAGTTTACCAACTTATTGTATGAAATACTTGAATTTTTGTATGAAATTTTCATTCGTGGTGCGTTTATCTTTAATGTACGGCTAACATGTGTTAATATGTTAAAATCGTTACAAGTTCGTGTAAAATACAGCGATGTTCTTAGGGGCTGTTCATATGGGTCCGGCTAACCGGGATTCAGTGAGGCGTTAGATGATTTTGGCAAATGGAAACGATTCTATACTTATCATTAGATAAATCTTCTCGAGCAATTTCACAATATACTGATTTAATGACAGCGCAAAACATTTAAAATTGAAACAGCCAGTTCGGCCTAATTTGAGAATTTCAACAGAAATGACTTGTGGCGCTTAGCAAACAGTTGTAATTTTTACGCTTAAAGTTTTTCCCCCTTTCAATGCATCAAAATCATTTAATGCATCACTAGATCCCGGTTAGCCGGGCTCATATGAACAGCCCCTTAGTTTATCATTTATCATCAGAACAACAATACTCAACAGAATGATTTACGAAAATAATCACAACTTTTGCAATTGAAGTCGTGGCCGTTCGCAAATTTTTATTTTTTTTGGGACGCTTTTGAATTCCTTATAGTTCATTGCGCACATTGTAGCCACCTCGAAAAACTTTATTAGACATCTTTACTAAGTGCAGTACAGTCATGACAAATATCAGTTATTAATTCAAGATTTATTTTGATGCAACTCATGCAATGGATATAAAACATTATTGCTAAGTAAAAGAAACTTATCAATCGTGCGCAAAGAAAAGTGGAAGCCGGTTTAACTTTTATAATCAATCCATAGCCTATGAATTATGATCCTAAACGAAATGTGTTTACAACTTGATGTGGATGTACGGAGTTTTTAACGTTAATGTTCGAAAACCTTGCAGTCTCTAATTATAGAATTTACATACTGGGTACATTGTGTGTATCATAAGTATAACTTACACTTTCCGACTATTGGAAAGTTGCGTTTCTCTTATAACTATAAGTAATTCAATTTCCAATGCATGCGAATTTTTACATTTAGCAATGCTATTCAATATCTTCTGATTGTCATGTTAACAACATGTCTAGTTGTACACTAATGATTCCTAGACTTGTGGACTGTTGGTAAGCACACAACTATATGCACGATTACAGCAATAAAGTACTTTAAAGTTTAAATCCAACACATGTATGATAGTTGTAACAAACACAATTACACAAATCTTAATCATCCAAAGCACCGGTGGCATATTTTAATGTCTTTTTATACTTATGATAAACCCAAAGTACCTAGTATGTAAATCTATAATTCGTGGCTGCAAGGTTTGCGGACATTGCCGTTGAAAACTCCGTACATCCACTTCAATTTGTAAACACATTTCGTTTAGAATCATAATTCATAAGCTATGGATAGATTATATAAGTAAAACCGTGGCTTCCATTTTTCCTTGCGCACGATTGGTAAGTTTCTTTTACTTAGCAATAACATATTTTATATCCATTGCATGAGTTGTATCCAAATAAATCTTGAATTAATGGTTGATATTTGTTATGAGTGTACTCTACACTTAGAGCCAGGGGTCTGTAAGATACACGTTCTCTGCTGTCTATAGAAATACCTCATAAGCGCGTTGCGTAAAATCCTGATTCATAGGCAATGTGTCTTTGTTCTATGTATCCAAGTATAATATTAATATACATACGTTATATCCACTAATCACTATCGAAAACATAGTTAGCTTTTCATTCGAAGCATCACTAACCATTCAAGATTTACTTGGATACAACTCTTTTAATGGTAATGAAGCACTTAGCTGCTTGAGAAAAGCAAATTTATAGTCGTGTGAGAGTGCAAGTTATACGTATAAATAAACCATATCTTATAATTTATGAATGGGGGGTTTTACAATTTCAATTGTAAGAGAATTTTAACGGCCCTCAAAACTAACAATAATAGACCTTTTCAAGGTTATCGCAGCCATATTGCAGGGGGTGCAAAAACATTGGGCCGAGCGCGCGGTCACGCATGGCGTCCATATAAATTACCAATAAATGCTCAAAAATTACCTTATACATATTGGCCATTTCTTTCAAAAATATTTCTCAAACTCGTCCATTTTAATAGTCGAATTATTATTTGCGATTTTTTATACACGTGAGTCCAATTTTGTGGTAATCACAAAGCGGAAAGTTAAAGAAAACATTTGTTTTCTTTGAACAACTTGACCGTCGTTTGAGCGATGTTCTTCAGTTCGCAACACACGTACATGTCTACAGCAAAGTCAGCAAGTATCGCGAGGAACTATTCTACGGCAAACTCTTATTAGTATTTCAAATTATTTGTAAAAAGACATCGCTATTTTTATTATTATGTAAGGCTACTAAACAGCCAGAAGAAACAGCCAAGTATTCAAATACACACTTAAAACTGTTAGTCGATGGCAGGCCGGTGTGAAACCTTACATCATACTCTCTCGTCAACTGTTCAAATTCCAAAGGGACAGGGAGTAAAGATGCCTCAGATTTTGCTGGATTTCCATCAAAACTTGAATCAGAATCCTCGGTGTCATAAGCTTGATGAGGACGCTTTCATGTCGTCCATGTTTCTCTTCCTTTACGTTTAAGCGGAGTCCTCGATTGCTCGTACTCTGATAGCGTAATAAAAACCGAAGGATCATCCGTTCCGCGGTTATTTGGGGTTCTTCTTCCCAAGTGAAAATAATTTGAGCAAATGAAAGTACCTCGTGCACCAGACTTTGGGTTAAAGTCATCGGCTCAGCTGTTGCAAATTTGTTTTCGCAAAATTTCAGCAAGTTCTTGATCTTTGGGCCAATAATGAAAAACTAACTTTCTACGTGAGACCTCTTAACTTGATAATCAGGATAGCGTTTATCATTATCGCAATATCCAACTGCACAACGCGCATTTTTTACCATTTCGGCTATGACTGCTCACAGCTACTCGGCTAGTTTAGGGTTTAGTTCGTTTGACTTGGCTTATGAGTTACGCACATTTGCGAACTCAAGAACATCGCTCAAACGACGGTCAAGTTGTTCAAAGAAAACAAATGTTTTCTTTAACTTTCCGCGTTTTGATTACCACAAAATTGGACTCACGTGTATAAAAAATCGCAAATAATAATTCGACTGTTAAAATGGACGAGTTTGAGAAATGTTTTTGAAAGAAATGGCCAATATGTATAAGGGTAATTTTTGCGCATTTATTAGTAATTTATATGGACGCCATGCGTGACCGCGCGCTCGGCCCAATATTTTTGCACCCCCTGTAATATGGCTGCGATAACCTTGGAAAGGTCTATTCCTCTTACTAAAACGCATCGCTTTGTATATTTATATAGGTATAACCACTGATATGTATATTACACTGGATAACGCAGCCATGTATAAAATATAGTAAGATAATTGAAGCCGGAAGTTGGCTAATTTGATTATGACCGTCGGGGGTATCGGTCCCACTTTACTATACTTTTTCTATTACAAAATCACAGTTTTTGCGTTTTTATTCGTTCTACAAGCTTTTGATTTGAGCAAAATTTTTGTGAAAGGGACAGAACAACCGGCAAAGATATTTAATCCTAAAAAGTTTGTCTTCTTGGCTTTATAATGGCAGAAAATTGAGATGGTACAAGCTTGACCTGCATTGTTTTGAAACAAACTGGAGATTATATGATACTTCTGCTTCGTAAAAAATGTAGAAATATTACAGAATCCTATTACTGCTACCAAAATTTCATCTGCAATGACGTTTATGGAAGATTGCTACAAATTTACTTATTTAACAACACTTTGTTATTCACATCGCTAATATCATAGTAATTTCAAGTTACGTCTTTATTATGTCAGTGAAGAAACAAAACAAATCGACATAGAAAAGTAATCAGAAAGACATTTTGATGAACAATTGTAAGTTGAAAACGGTATCATCAAAATATGCGAATTATATTACCTCTGTTGTCATTAAGCGAAGCAAAGTTCTCAACCAGTTCTTATGTGAACAACTTCAATATCGATGAATATGTTGAAGACATGAATACCTTTGTTCTTACTTTGTTGTAAATTTGTAATTTAAGTATTCATTTTCTAAAAAAACCTCGCACGGCTGAAATCGTTCTTGTCACCTTCAACTTTCAAATTTCAATACAACTTGCCATCTTATTTTTCAGTCTTTACAAAGCCAAAAAAACAGAGCTTCAGAGTTAAAACACTCTACCGGTTTTCCTCTACATGTCATAAAAGTTTAGCCTTAATCATAAGTTTTTAAAAGAAATAAAAACGCGAAAACTGTGATTTTGTAATACAAAAGTATAGTAAAGTGGGACCGATACCCCCCATGAAGCCAGTAGCAAATGATCGATCTTCCGGCTTCAATTTTCACAAGAGATGCGTTATCCGCTGAGATTTACCAAAATTGACTGCTTTTCCGAAAATCTCACAATTTCTCTCTCCCCCCTTAAGAAAGAGTGAGGAAAAAGTATGTGTTTTTCGCATATTTGGCAAGCATTTTATGATGAAAATCACTGTATAAACATAAATTTCATAAAAGCAGGTCTAGTGTGGTTGCCAGTTGTCGGCTTCTACGACGGATGCCTTTTATAACTATCGTCGAACGAGCTATTTGTTGGTCACATATGAATGCAGATGTGCGCGTCGTAACTGTCGTTCAATGATTTGCTCGATCAAAGTTTGTAGTACGCACGAAACAAAATATATCATATTTTATCTCTACTGTTCAGGAGAGAAATGTTAGCTCATTTATTCTCATTAGTATTTTGCTTTCTTTTATGCGATGGCCTTTTTCGCAACAATTGTAAGATTTGTTTTTGTGCATGCATCTCGCATTTCGTAAATGAATGATAAAAAAATATTGTATACAAATCACGAGAAGTCGAGAATCTTTGAGATTTTTGTGGTCTTCTGAACAAGAACTGCATCAAATACTTGCCAGTTGTAGCATATTTGATTTTGTTCTAATGATTGTAAAATGGCAAAAATCAAATAATTAAAACACTTAAATTACAATAGTGTTTATAATACTTGAAAACATGAATACACAATTGTGTATTTAATACTTCTATTCTTTTTCTCTTTTTTATATGTTTCCTCTTAGCCATGTGAGTTCAGAATTTGATTGACTAATACAGCTTTCACGCCAATAATAAATTTTATACCCATATTTGATACCAGTTGCTATGGGATTTTTCCCTCTAAGTATGCAACATCTGGTGTTGTTTATACAAGAATGATGAAGTGCATGTACACATGCAAAAATAAGGCAATAAAACCAGACGAATTAAACACATTTTGTGTTTTTTAATGCTAGAAGCATAACAGCTTTTCAGTAATTATAGAGTTATTAAACTGTAGCTACTACCTTATTTCATTAATATTATGAAATGAATTAAGAAGCAAAAAGTGAGGAAAAACTTGGAAAAGTCAAAACATTTCCCTGGATTATCAAAGGAGAAAATAAAGCAAATGGAAAATGTCCATTCTGTACTTTATTAGGTAAATGAGCTCAAAATATTTTTTCAGCAAAAACTGAAATTAAGAAGAAATATATAGCACTGAAGATTTCATCACTGAATCTTTAACGCTTCAATATGGCATGCGTTACATATAAGTAACATTCAAACAGCATTCTACTAAAATAATTTAATAAAGAGATGTGACATGATTTTACAATTTAGTCGTACAAGAATTGTACAGTTGCACTAAGTCATCATCAATCTCAATAACAATATTGACACAAGCACAAACTTTATGACCTTTTTACATTACATTTCATCAAGCATCAAGACACACAAAACCTTGTCATCTTTATTTGGTACTTGACCTTTTCTTTCAAAGCATTCAAGGCATCTTTACTAAATCCATTATCTCCATCCATAGAATTAGTCCAAGTTCAAATAACTGTTGGACAGGGAAGTCTGTAAACCATTTACCTTTGTAGTTAGACTCTGTCTGGTCAATAGCATCTTCCAGTTGTCTTCATATAGTGATCTATGAATTAGTGTTGGTACTGGTACTGCAGCATATTCCAGAAACATTTTGCTATCCAATCATCTCTTCATGTTGTCAGCAAATTGATCAGAACAAACTCTGCTCTACGTCATGGGTACTCTTTGGGGTGATCGTTTCTTTATAGTATCTGCCTGCTGAGTAAAAAGAGCAGAATTTTTTTTCGCGTCAAACATATTTACGGTTTCACACATTAACAAATAAGAGGAAATTATGTTGATATTTAAAAACAAAAACATCAGTCGGATTTTATCGCTCAGGCTTCAAGTTAAATTGCTTTTCAATTTTTGATGAACAAACAAAACAAATATCTCACCTGTGAAAGCGACATGTTCCTTTTTGTAGACACTACGATATCCAACAATTGTTTGATTGAAGTGTTGGCATTTTAAAAGAACTGCCAAAAAAAGATATCGTGTTTGTTTTTGAAAAATGCTGTATAATTAGCTATAGAGATCAGGGGGAGGTCGAGAATATAATTTTTCTGCAAAGCGATCATTTCAGCGGAAATAGGTCCATTGGCCGCCATTTTTTGGCGTCAGGTCCCAGTCCACGTAGCCGCTCCAGTTATTATAGAACTCAATGGGGCACAGTATAAAAATACACACACAAAATATGATCGCGGGCGCTTGCAGTGTCGGCTTACTCGGAATTGATCGTTTATGTTTTTAAAGTTGCTTACGATATTGCTCCCCGTATTCTGGTAAAAATTAAGGCTAATGTGTTGTCCTGATTTCGGCAACGATCCCGTCTCATTCTCGGAATCAAACACGTACTGTGATGATTTTTTATCCGAGCAAAAGAATAACATGCTATCAGCGTGTTTATCATTAAACGCTTGATAACAGGTTATTTCAATCGTGGTTATCCGTGCGGGGCAATCGTCAGACTTTTAAAAACCTTCGGTATTCTGATGTCTCTATACGGACACCGCATTTGTGACAAAAAGAAGCTTCGTCATGTGATTGTGCACCACAGTTGGCACAAAACATAATTATGCCAGGAGCGTGCAGTGCAATTAACGCTTGTTATTATTCACTATGTAAGCATTCTCGGCCGTGATTTGTCAACTCTCTGCAGATAATTCTCGATATCTATAGGCTATGACGTCATAACCTACAGATAACAGTTTCTACAAATATGGCCGCCATTGAAAGCCGGTTTTGAAAACAAATCAAACAACAGCGATGTTTGCCACAGTTTCTAAAAACGATGTGAAAGCTTTTAAAGAAAAAGGCTGTGAAAAACATTAAAAAAGCGGCGAAGCTGGCATTGAACACATTTACAACATATTTAATTTTAAACGAGACGAACTTGAATAAACCGTCTGAACTTGAATAAAAATGTTTTGCATTGATATGTTTTATAATACTTCAGTGAATAATAAAACAATTATTGAATTCGTTTTTCGCATGATATCAAGAATTATTCAGACCTCGGGCAATTTTATCTGCCTCAGCTTCGCTTCGGTCTAAGAATTATTGACCTCGGTCTGAATAATTCTTGATATCATGCTCAACCTCATCCAATAATTGCTTATTATTTCTTTTATTGATTTTTCGCTGCAGTATCGCAAGAGTTTGCTTTCGATTCCTTTCCAAATGTCATTTAAAATATTTCGCAGTTAAAACTGTTAAATACGACGACAAGTCCTAATAGACCACATGTTAAAATCACAAGTACACATATCTGATTACAACCTTATAATAAACTGATAGTAGTCAGCTATCCGACACTGCAAGCGCCCGCGATCATATTTTGTGTGTGTATTTTTATTTTGTGTGTGTGTGTAATGTATTTTGTGTGTGTATTTTTATTTTGTAGGTGTGTGATGTATTTTGTGTATGTATTAATATTTTTATTTTGTATAATTCTTATTATTTTGTGTGGTGTCCCTTGTGAGCCACCGTAAATCAGGGACTGCGGAACGGAAAAAAATTGAGCGCCATTGAGTGAAAAGTTTGAGCAAGTTGAAACTTTTCTTAACACAGCTCAATACCGCTCACCACTCCTTATTAAGGCGTGCAATTGGTTTGAACTTGACTCGTCTCGTATCGAGCGCATGTTGAGTCAAAATGCTCGAGGGGCTCGGAGCTTTACGCTTACTTTAATTTTTAACTATTCAATATGAAGATCATAGTCTTGAATGTCTAGAAAATATTCTGTCGACTGCCTTTTGCCTTAACTTTCTGGCGCCCTGATGATAATGGTAGTGAAACATTAATTCTTTTCCTTCATTGCACACTCGTAATATCGTTATTATCGTAAATTTCAAACATCAGTGTATCGTTAGTGAATTTTTTGAAAAAAAGCGCCACGTTGGACGTTTATTTTGATAAAAAAGATGAATTAAAAAAATATTAAGATGTAAATCTTAATAGCTACTTCTATATCGTTTAAAGTTATCGGCTCATTGAAGTACCAAGTAAAAAATAATGCTCGTAATATTTAATTTTTTTTTTGTATAACTATATATAGCTGAAAAAGAACAATGTTAGCTAACTATTTGATTTAAATATGAGCTCCTTATATTGCTGGTTGCTTATACATAATGAATATATTTGAAGCGACAATAAATTGCTCACAAATCTTGCTTGTATTCGACAACAATATAGGCGAAGGCATGAGTAAAAACAACCCATCAAATGACATCAATGAACAAAATGGAAAGTTAGGAGATAACAGGGCAGATAATGTCGCAATTAGTAGCATCAAAGAGGAAAATGTGGATAACTACAAAGAATATGGCAAAGGTAATATGTGCGTTAATAGGATTAAAATTATCATTGAAATTATCATTAAAATTATCAAATTATCTTTCTATCTGTTATCAAAGTAAGTTGATTTTAGTGTGTTTTAATTGCGCATGACAATACTTACGACTCAGAGTCAGGTTTTAGTTCATTTTAAGGATTGTACGGTGCTTTGCTTTTGCAAGTAAATACAAACAACGAAATAATTCTTTTTCCAGATTCTGAAAAATATGGGATTTTTAGAGAAAATGCAGACGAGTCCAAAAATGGCTTTGGTAGAGTCAGAAGTCTAATATTAATATTATCACAATGCAATAAGTTAAGCTTCTTGCCGGAGTCAAAACTTACGTTGAAACATGCACGCACTGTCGACAATCAAACGTTTACTAACGACAGACTGACTTCCCATGAACAAATTCCCAATTATATTCTTAAAACGCTAATGATTGCTGACTACCATGCACGTGAGTTCACGTTGAAATCATTAAATTATGATTCTGATAGTGATAGTGATGACGATGGTAAAGAGGATGAAATGAATTCAGATAAATTAAAAAGTGAAAGTGTTGAAGGGGTTAACCCTATGGATGCATTGTTAGGGATTTTTCATTGTTCGGATGATTTCTTACGACGAGATATAGCAGTTAAACTTAGCGCCTGTCAACTCAGCGTTCCTTTCATTTTACCTCATCCTGACATGCCGACAGAAAGCGTAACAATCTTACTTTCAGCGTTAGAAACAATAAAAAAGTCTTGGAAAGGTGCTTCATCGGACAACACTGCGAAAGAGGTGTACGCAACTGAACATCCATTTCCTGTCGTGTCATTTATCCGGGTGGGTGATGTGACCATGTCTAAATCTTCTCTGATGAATAAGATCATCAGCGATGGTAATGGTGATCATGAATTCTTTTTTCATAAAAACATCAAAGGTGGTGATGTTAAAAGGAAAGTCGTTGATGGTTTGGTAGAGCTTGTGTGGTATCTTCCTGGTGGATGTGACAAGAACGCGTTAAAAAATGAAATCTGTTTCGCCAATCTACGTGGAGATGCCCAAAATTTTAAGAAGCAAGTTAATATACTTAGACAGATATCAAATGTGTTGTGTATTTTATTGCCCTCGGAAATGCCTGACAAACACATGAGAAACTTCTTAAATGATGCTCTGCTGCTCAATGGCAAAAACATGCTCATTTTCAACGAAAACAGGCGAGAAGAAGGAAAGAAATTCTACAACGGTTTGAAAAATCAACATTCTACAAAATTATCATTTTTCACAAAAGCACAAAAGCCAAACGAATATAATTTTCTTCAAAGTATTCACCAGGCTATTATGAGCAATATAAAAAAGGATGAAGTGAGGTCTTTAGTAGAACTCAGACAATGGTCAAAAGAAAGTGGCATTTATTTTGATGATGACAAGCCTTATGTTGACTTAGGAAAAACTGTGGAAACTTGGCTAACTTCGGGGTATAACGAAGCAAAAAACCTGTTTAAGCTACAAAGTCATATACCAGTTTTTGCTGACTTAGAAAGGAAGAAACTTAATCCAAAAGTTCGTCGTAGCAATGAAAATAAGACTCGGCAAAACGAAACCGATGAATTATATAAAGAAATTGAAAAAGAAAAAGTTGCTCAAATGTGTTCTTTTGAGAGAATGGATGACGACGTCGTTCATTTTCTTAATTGGATTACTGTATTGGATGAAGCTGAACGAAATAGAAATTTGTATCGAGTAAAGCATTTGTTAGATAAGACGTCGCTTTCTGTGATGACAAAATTGCATCAACAATATCACCAGGCTTCAATTTCCTTTCGAAAAAGAAAGAAAAAAATTGATTTTGAGCCAGAGGCACCATCTCAGGAAGAAAAGCATTTAAATGAACTGGAAGCATCAATATCAAGGTCTTCGTTTGGTTTGGAGCATATCATTAGAGAACTTTCTCAACTTTATCAACTGCCGAATGTTGTAACGATTGATTATGCTGGTGCTGCAGCTGAGATTCTTCTATCTGGTCATCCCTTGGAATTAGTGGATGGTGATTCAGGTTACATACCAATGAAATGGTTTAATGCTGTTTTTGAAAAGTTGGAACGCAAAACAAAAAACGCTCGAATTTACGTAATTTCTGTGTTAGGTATTCTAAGTTCCGGTAAATCGACAATGTTGAATACAATGTTTGGTTTGGAATTTCCTGCAAGTGCAGGAAGATGTACTTGTGGTGCTTTTGCTAGTCTTATTCCAGTTAGTGAACACGTTAGATCCGAGTCAAATTTTGATTATATATTGATCATTGATACAGAAGGTTTGAGAGGATTGGATTATCCAAAATTGAGAGAACACGATAATGAATTGGCAACATTTGCTATTGGTGTGTCTGATGTCACGATTGTCAATATCTTTGGTGAAAACCACAATGAAATGAAAGAGTTTTTGCAAATGGCTGTTCATGCTTTCCTGAAAATGAAACTTGTGAAGGAGAAGAAATTTTGTAAAATTGTCCATCAAAATGTTGCTGCCACTGACGCTACAAAGATGTTAATGATGGATCGGCGAAATCTAAAACAGGATTTAGACAAAATGGCTAAGCTTGCTGCCACACAAGAAATGTGCGAAGATCAGTTTCAAAAGTTGGATGATATCATTGCATTTGACGAAAACGAAGACGTCTTTTACATCCCAAGTCTTTTGAAAGGAAGTCCTCCTATGGCTCCAATAAACCCAAATTATAGTAGAGCTGTTCAAGAAGTGAAAGAAAATATAATCCATTTAATGTGCTCCAAGGTAGTTAGTAAAAACAATATTACTGTATTTCGTGAAAGGGTAAACATGCTCTGGGAAGCTATGCTGAAGGAAAATTTCATTTTCAATTTCCGAAATGTAATTGAAGTTAGAGCTTTTATATCTTTAGAAAAAAAGTATTTTGAGGAATATGTTAAAATTTTGTTAAACGGAATGGCTGAAGTTGAAAGAAAAGTACAAGTAGAGTTGAAGAGATGCACAAGGCGAAACGAACGTTATGAACATTGGATGAGGAGTAAATATGATATTTTGAAACTGGCAGATGACCTCAAGAAGGAAATGGAAATTTCTATGAAGAACTTTTTTGAAAGCAGCGAAGATAGCTCAACCCTTGAACAATGGAAGGAAAACATAATGAACAGAATTTTGCAGCATAAAGAAAATTATCAAATGACTGTAATGAAAAAATGCGAGGCAATTTTCAATCATTTGCAGCAGCGACAAGAAATCGAAGAGAAGAAACAAAAATACGAAAAGCAGCTTCTTCAAAAAGCCCAAACCTTTATTACATCTGGTCAGAATACAGATGATGTGGAAAAATGCAAAGCAGCATTTCAACAAGAATGGCAAAAATGGATCGTCGAGGTTCCTGTTTATGAAGGAACGAAAAAAAACGTAAATAGTGAAATGGTAGACGTGCTTTGTGATACGAATCACGCTTTTAATGATGTTATGGAATCAAAACTTAACAATAAGAAATGGGATATTTTGAATTTTCACGGGGTTGATCCTTTCATTGATGCGAATGAGCTTTCTCTACAGCAATCTATTTTACAGAAGGTTGATAGTTGGATGGGATTTGGAAAAAATGAAGCTGTCGTTCTTGCAAAAAATATCAAAGACGAAGCTGTCTCTAAAGGAATTGCCTTTGCAAAGTACATATCGAAAACTGATTTTAGATACTCTCGTGATCACTTAACACGTATGTACCATGTAGTAACCTCTACTATAGAAGAAGCATCTAAAAACGGACGCTTTAAATTTAAGAAAGAATTGATTTGTGATATTTTAATTTATACCTTTGCACACACTTTTGAAATTTTTGATGAAATGGAACAGCGCTATTGTGAAGAACGAGATATCAGGCGTAACCTCGAACTAAAATTGAGACCAAACCTTGAAACTTATTTTGTTAATCTTTGCAACGAAAGAAATCTTGGCCGCTAACTCGCTGGTCGATGTGTTTCTTAAGCCTATCAAATCAGAGCTTAACAAGACCATGGGACCTACTGTGACTGTTCAACTTTTTACAAAGAGCATGTTCCAAAGAAAAGGTCCTTATCATGCCAGTGTTTTAATTCAACTTGGGGAGCTAAGTATGTTTGAATTGTTCGTTTCGTATTTTGAGAATCCAGTTAAATTTCCGGAGGGTAAATTGCAAGAATCAGTGAAAGATTATTGCTTTAAAAAACCTTCTTTGGTTCAATTGTTGGTAAAGAAGGAAACGCAAAAGATTGAGTCAAATATTTCATACGCTATTGAATTTACCAGTCAGTTAGCAAGACATGAATTTGAACTAGGAGGTGGAAAGTTTAAAGTGATAAACTTGATTAATCTCTTTGTGCTAAAATGCTCTTCTTTTGCAATCACGAATGAGAGATGTTTGCTGTAGCCATATTGGATGAAGAATTGAAAGATATTGAGGTATTCGACACAAAAATTCGTCAAACAGTTTCGGAATTTGTGAAAACGTTGGCAGAATCTGATTTGGATAAAGAAACTGTTGGGAAATGGGATCCAGCTCCACATGAAATTCTTTTCCCTCCAAGGTTTGGCTGTCAGTGCGTTTGTCCATTTTGTAAAGGTTTGTGTGATCACACTACAGAAGGCCATCCAGGTAACCACTAAACACGAATACATCGTCCCCTGGGCTTGACAAGTTATCATGGTGTCAAAAGCCAAATTTTAGTTTCCGGGATTTGCACATTCTATGTAGACGGGGAGGGAACATTTGAAATTCATGCAACAGATTGGGAACCACATCCCTGCAAAGATTATCAGTCAGTAAACGATTACTACAAATCTTGGACAATTCCTCCAGATCCTTCATTTGAAGCTTCTTAATATTGGCAGTGGCTTATGGCGAAATTCTCCGAAGAACTAGCGGAACATTATGGAGCAAAGGAAGCAATTATTCCTTCAGCTTGGAGAAAAGTGACCTTCAAGGACGCCAAAGAACAACTCAAGCAGATCTACAACCTCTGAAATTTCTGTTCAAGGCATCGCTTAAAGATTGATTTGTCTTTTATAACTTAGTCAATAAAAACCCCAATGAATTATTCATCAGTTTATTGTATAAAAACCTTAAATTTCCATTAAATAATAGTCTACTTAAATTTAGATAAATGCCATGAGTAACCTGAACATTACAATGATATAAACTGTATATAAATGTTGACACAATGTCTACAGATGTTGCGACGACTTCTGTTTACTGTTTTCTGTTTTCTGTCGACTCAATTGGTGGTGATAACTTGTAGAACATTTAGAACACGATTACGACACATCAACGTGCTGGTGGATATTGAGTGAGGTCTTTATGCATAGAGAATCATTCTGATCGAAAGAGATGTTTAAGACCAGTCATCTGGGAGGACGAAGGAAGAATGATACCAACCATCTGTGACTTGAAACTGTGGCACACACAAGCATAAAGTAGTTTTTAATTGTTTAACTTTGTGAAATTCTTTTTATTCGTTGTTTGATATGTTATACTGACCGACAAGAAATACTGGGGATAGCTGCACTAAGCTTCTTTTTACTTTAAAAAGTTAAGGTTAATGTTGAACATGCTTAAAGTAAGTGCGGTTAGCGTAATCAATTTCATAGCTACTTTTTGTCATTAAAAAGCTTGTAAACTGTGTTTTGATTTCCTATTCAGTAAATTGCTAATTCACATCTCCGCTTTTTCGGGAGATATGAAATAGCAATTTTCAATATTATCATAAATGAAGGAATACAACAGCCTATTGAACGTTTGTAATTGATACAGAAATAGATAAGCAAACGTCGATGTAAATGCTTCTCTTCGATGACACAAGATTTAAGACATGCAAAAAACACATTCAGATCGATACTTGTTGGTAGTATTATTTCATAAATTTGTTGTGATGTATGTGACTTAGCTTTCGTAAGTTTTAAAAACATTAATTTGACTTAATTTTTTCGCTATTATCGTATATTTTGTCATTTGATTTACCTAATACAATATATGATTGTCATGTATATAACTTGTAATTGAAACTAATGTGCAACTATAACAAGCGAGAATATACTCCCGCACGACAATCGAATTTTTTTGATCAACTTCTATCGTCGGGCGAGATTAAGGATCGTATTGACGAATTTGTCATGATCAACACCGATACGCGTTCTGTCTGATTTCATTTTTAAATGTTTATTGTGTGAATTTCAGATCAATAGACTGACGAATTGAATGATAAATGTAAAACGTCATTAAAACAATGTGGAAAGTACCCTTAACGATGTGCATTAAATATGCATCATTAGGATGGCAATGTAATCTAAAAAACTGTGGTTTGATGAAAAATATGACCAATTATTCTGTTCTTATGAAGATAGAATTCTGGTGTTTGTATAATGCATGAAACTATGCATACATAGGAATCACGAATTTCAAAGGAAAGATGTGGAAAACTGGATGCGTAGTTTTTGCGTCTTCATGTGTTATGTAAAGATGGAAAGTTTTTTTCGTAGCATTATGAATAATATATAAGAGAGGGGAATACCACTAATTTTACTTGGCATAGTTAATGAACAAAAGACGTACAACGATTACTCAGTTTGAAAATTCATAGACAAAGTTTAAAAATTGTGGAAAGTGAAAGGATAGTTTGTTTTGTCCAATATACAAGAACATCATGTTTGTAAATGTAGATCGTCCAGGTTAGTATAGTCCTGAGAAGGACTGTTTTTGTTGTTTTTGACTGACGTTTCGACAACCTTAGCGGTAGTCATCTTCAGAGTCAAAAGAGTCAGAGTCAATTTTGTAAATGTAGATGTGTTCATTTGCATTCTACATTTACAAACATGTAACGATACTTCCGGGTTCAAACCATCTACTTAAATACAAGAACATCGTGCAATTGTTCTCTGTAAATTATTTCATGCACACTTGTATGTGTGTCGTAACCGTACAAAATCTTTTTTTTTGCAAGAATGAACCATCAACCATAGTGTAGTTTTTTACTTTTTTCATGTCAATAGTGAAATGGTTAAAGTTTAATTAGTATTTGTAATCATGTGTGTTTGTTGCAAAATGCTCCAAAATGAATAATGACAATGGCATTTCATCCAAGTTGTGATAAAACAATTTTAGCAGCTGATGACATATTTGGAAACATTGGAATTTGGAATGTGGTGAGTCTTTGATTTGGTTTGTGTTGCTTTGCTCTCCATTTTGATGTCTTTTGTTTTAACAGTTGCTGTGTTTTCTAATTAAACCGTTCTCTGATAATTGTTGGTCCCATTGAGGATTTTGATCACATTAGTCTTGTTTTGTTTAAGACTTGCTAGAAACATCAAAACTTATCCATTTGTTGGAGCTTTACATGTTGGTATAAAGTAAAGTCTTCTTTTTCATTTAGAACGCCAGCGAGGAAGATGATGACGTCATCATGTATCGACCACACGCCCGTAACGTTCGACAAGTATAATTTCTTCCAATCAGAACGACAGTCTTTTCCTCGAGTATTGATGGATCTTTGAGACGTGGAAACTTCAATGCTTGTACTTTTGGTTGGCAGACGTACCGTAGATGAAGACTTCATAGCTATTTAGCACCTTTGCTGTCTAAAAACTGGGAAGCATTTCATTGCGCCTCCAAAACATTGCTTTTTTCATATTGTTCAACCATAATGCTATTTTCTATCAATGCTCACGATACAGGACTAAGGTACATTTTTATATTTTTTTTTGTTAAAAGGACTGTTGCTTTATGAGAAGACTGTTGGTGCTGACGTTTTGACAACCTTAGCCGCATTGACTCTACTAACCTGGACTATCCACATCCACAAACATGTAACGATACTCCTGGGTTCAAACCATTCACTTTATAAACATATATGAATGTTTTCCTATTTATAGATTCAGTTTTATCATGTGGAACAAATAGAAACGTCTTTACTGTTTGAAAAGTTTGATCCAAACTTCACCACAATCACATCGATAAATGTTTTTCATCCGACAAGGAGCATTCTTGGCGCTGGAAATTCGAGTGGCAAGATTTTATGTGGTCAGATTAAAATTATTTATTTATTTCATCGCTTATTATTTAGGAGTTTTTTCCCTTTTTTTACGTATAGTTAGTTAGATGAATGGGTTTTCAAACCATCCATTTATATTGTTTTCATCTTTATTTGAAAAAATATAATTTCTTTCAAAGAAGTTGAATTTCTTCTTAACCACATGGTATGCAGTGGTTTGCCGAGATAGTGGGCACAAAGGTGCCACACTTGATCAAAAGCTACAATATAGCTACGAGGGAAATGAGATTAGATTCATTTTGGAAACTGTTCTCAAAACTTCAAGTTCGTGTTATACTGTTTGTGTTTTTGTTCAACAAAGAAGTTTATCTCGTGATAAGAAGGGTTGAAGGATTTTAAACCTTTTTTAATTGTGTTATTTAATGATTACGAGTCTTTATGACAAGACACATATTTCTTTTACGCCCTATATAGATACGTGGCAGCAGCAGTGACTCTAATTTTCTCTTTTTTATCTATAATTAGTAATACATCATCAAAGGTATTGTTCATGCGTTTTTTACTTGCGTAATCGTTGTCATAACACTAAAACATTGGCTATGAATAGACATTAATTTTTTAAATAGACCAAAATTATAGGCTCAATGTTATCCATCATTAAATTTTTATAGAATTATGTTTTGCACTGTTTCTTTTGTATACATCCATAGACATTTATATGTTTAAGAATGTCAAAATGTGTTGATAGGGTAAGTTACAAAACTATTTGAACATTTGTGGTGGGCGTTGATGAATAATGTTTGAATATTAACTTTAGCGCACAGCATGATATGACCTGACAAATGTGTCAGTGCATACCACTGCATACACATTAGCCAATCATATATAACGTGTAAAACAAATGCGAGGAATCTGAGAGCGAGAAAAGATATTTTCTTTCATAATTTTATCAACTTAAAGTATGCAGTATTTGAATATCTAGTTTGCAATTTTTGTTCGTAGTGCATTTGTCTTTAACGTACGGCAATAACATGTTTGTTAACATGTTAAAATCATTACAAGTTTCTGTGCGCCCTTTAAACATCATTATTGAGCATTTCCGGTTTTGTATGATTATGTTTTATAATTAATTCGAATTCCTTCAATAATTGGTAATTTTTTACGAAGCATTTTGTATAGGCGAAGCAACCTTCAATTGCTCTTGCTATTTTCATTCGTTTTTTGTCATATGCTACCAATACGAACTCATACTGGTATATAATGAATTGACAACAGTAGGTATGTTGTTTATCGTTTTATTGCTAGTAGAATTTGTTTCTTTATTCATCTGATTGACAAATATAGATACGTCGCTGCATTGATGCTTATTTTCGCGATTTTTGTCTATGATTAGTAATACATCATCAAAGGCATCGTCATCATCTTTTGTGCGTTTTTTACTTTTGTAATCGTAGTCATAAATCTACAAGTAGACATTTTTTTAAGAAGTCCTAAATTGTAGGCTCAATGTTATCCAATACTAAATTTTTATAGAATTATGTTTTGCACTGTTTCCTTTTTTATACATTCATTCACATTTATATGTTTAAGAATGTAAAAATGTGTGGATAGGGTAAGTTACAAAAATATTTGAACATTTGTGGAGGGCGTTAGGTTAATAATGTTTGAATATTAACTTTAGCGCACAGCATGATATGACCTGACAAATGTGTCAGTGCATACTCATTAGCCAATCATGTATAACGTGTTTTAAATCAAATGTAAGGAATCTGAGCGCGAGAACAGGTTTTTTTTCATAAGTTTATCAACTTATTGTATGAAATACTTGAATGTCTAGTTTGAAATTTTCATTCGTGGTGCGTTTATCTTTAATGTACGCCTAACATGTGTTAATATGTTAAAATCATTACAAGTTCGTGTTAAATATATGATGTTCTTAGTTTATCATTTATCATGTTATTCGTGTAAAATACAGCGATGCTCTTAGTTTATCATTTATTATCAGAACAACAATACTCAACAGAATGATTTACGAAAATAATCACAACTTTTGCAATTGAAGTCGTGGCCGATCGCAAATTTATATTGTGTTTAGGAATTTTTTGAATTCCTTATAGTTCATTGCGCACATTGTAGCCACCTCGAAGAACATTATTAGACGTCTTTACATCTAAAATTAATATAAAGAACAAAGTTGAAACTTCAAAGTTTACATTAATTGAAAAGATTTACAAAATAGCAGTATTAAGATATAAATCCGAATTAACGTGAAAAAGAAAAGCTTTCGAAGGAATTGTTCAAACCATTCAAACGTTTGCTGGCAGATCTTTATTCAGTATGTAGTATTCGATATTTTTGGTTTAAAGGCTACCCACTAATTCAACTTTTAGGTAAACATGAAGTGCTCTAATTACTATGTGTTTTTTTTTGCATAAAATTGCATTGCTGAAACGAGGGCAATCTTAACTAATTACCCAGCTTCTATTGATTGCTCATATATAGATCTAACATTTGTTATAATAATTAATTATATATAATTAATTATATATAAATAATTATTTTTGTCAATTAATCTATTGATCTTGTTTGTATTTGAAAAATGTAGGCAAAGTCATGAAGAAAAATAAGCAACCAAAAAATATCAGTAATATTGAAATGAGTTTCGTCCGTGGGACGAATGTAGTTTATGAAAATGAAGATGCCAAAGGTAAAAAAAGTACTCATTGTCATGTTCTTTAGTTCCTTTACTACGTCTCTGACTCTCTCAATCTGACTACTACCTATGCACAACCACTGATATATGTATAAAGACTGGTAAACGCAACCTAATTCTGGAACCTAGAAAATTTTGAAGCCAACTTTTGAGAGCGGCGGTCATATTGGACTATCCACTTCTGGTATATATTTTATAATGAATTTTATAATATGTTGTATTCTTTTTATTTTCTCTTTCCAAAATCATGCCAAATCTTTTATTATGATATTTAAGCAACGTGAGAAGATTTTTATATGAAATTTAGCAAACATGAGTTTTTGCCCAAAACCGTTCTATTGCAGTCTTGTCATCATAAAAATTCTTTTTTGTCCCAAGAGTAAAACATGTGATCCAAAATAAATGCTAGAGTAGCAGTTTGTTATATAAAACCTATATAAAAACTGAAAGGTGGATAGTCCAATATGGCCACCACCCGGCTTCAAATCAAGCACTAAATTGTGTTATCCAGTTTTATACATATCAGTGTGCACAACTGATTACTGGCTATTTATATAGATAAGTATTAAAACATCCAAATAATGAATATATTTTACAACAATAAATTTATGATTTATGTTGCAACACTCCTTTAAAAATATAATTTTATTTTTAAAGTTTATATTTAGTTAGATTAATTTTTCTGTCTATCTATTTATAAATATCAACACTCAACAGATTATTCCAAGTTTAATAAACTGATTAACTAGCTAACCATTCAATATATAATGAAATCAATGTTTTGATTCTATAAGCGTCTAAGCGTCTAAGTTAAACGCAGTCTTTATAAACGTATTGGCTTTCTTACGAGACGTCCTGATCTTGTCTTCACTGGTGATAAATTTATTCCACTAGAACAGGATGTTTTTTCGTCATTTATTCTCTCTTTAAGTTGCCATTGTTCATTTTTGTCTGGTTCATTTTTCGTTGATTGCAAACGAGAGGAAGTCGCAAAGTTTGCAATAGCTTGATCACGAGTTTTTCGTGAATGTCGTCTATGTCTTCGAAATTCTGCACCATCTGGTGTCTTCACATTTAACTCCTTGGGTTGTCGGCTTTGTCTATGACAACGGCTGGTTTCCATTTCACATCTCTTTGAACATAGATATTATCCCCTTCGATCAAATTTTTCGAGGGGTTTCGGCGATCTGTCGTAGTGTTTGTTTTTTTTTGTTTCTTTTCAAATTCCATTCGAGTAATTTCAGGGTTCACTGTTTTTGAAATGAGTTGCTAAGTTGAGGATGGCATAATTGACCCAAAGCCTTCTTATTGTGCAGCTGATCCAATGTCACTAATTAGTGTATTTCTTTGTTCTAATATGGCTAAGTTTGGATGGAGATTATCTGTTCGAGATTTCGACAGATCTCTGCTAAATCGTTCGACTGTGGATATCCTGTGCTTGACTTTATTTGTTCAAAACCCCACGTTTTGGCAAATTCAGCCACTCTCTTCAAGTGTATCGTGGACCATTGTCGGATTAAACGATTTCTTGAATTATATGCTGCAATAGTGTTTCATTTTTGGTATTATTGTAAAACTCTTTGTGTTTGCCATTCTAAATATCTCCCAGAATATCCTGTAATAGTCTACAACCAGAAGGTAATTATTCATTATTCTAATAGAATATGTCTGCTGCAATAATCTGCCATAACGTCGTTGTGATCTTTGATTTTACTAAGAGCAATTAAAAACCTACAAAACGACGACAAAATAATTATATTACGTGTCGGTAGATATGAAAGTTTTTGTCTGTTGTGGTATGTTCCCTGATTGTGGTGAAGGAATGGCGCGAAATTTCGCCAATGTATCGGGAATTACATCCTGCGCAATTGAATTCATATACCACCATTGATTTAATTGAATCAGGGATTGGGTCTTTGAATGAGAAAAGGTTTTCGATTTTGAATGATGTGAAAATTAGTCGAATGTCAATATCTGTACAGAAGCGTTTCATAATGTTTGTAAGCCTGCGCTGTGTGTGTCGTGAGTAATGTCCGATGTATGGTAGTTTGAAGTAAAGAATTGTTATTTTGGAATTTTCATTTGTGTTGGTCGTGATCGTCGTGTCAGGAGTTTCGGTGTCTAGTTTGAGGTTGCTTTGTTTGTTGTCGAGATATCGTTTTACGGTTCTGTTAATAAAGTGTAGTGGGAAAGAGTTTCGTAAAAGAGTGGATGTGATGTTTTTTAGTTTCGTTGAAAGCCATTGTTCGTATTGTTAAGTTTGTATGCTCTGTCGATTAGTGTGCGTATAAGTCCGGTTTTGTATGAAAGTGGTGTGAAACTAAAATAGTTCATCAGAAGTCCTGTGTATGTTTGTTTGTGATATGTAGATGTTGAACAGCTGTCATGGAATTTGTTAGTAAAATGTCAAGAAATGGCATTTGATCTTGTTCTTCAGTTTCAAATGAAAATCTAATGTTTGCGTGCTCTGTGTTAATGTAATTATAAAACTTCATGGCCTCAGTTTCGTTAGTAAAAACACAAAAAATATCGCCAACGTATCTGCGGTAAAATAGTGGTTTAATGTCGTTGCAGTTGTTTAGCCAGTTTCGTTTATGTGAGCCCATGAAAATGTTAGCAAGTATGGGTGCTAAGGGAGAGCCCATCGCAACACCGTCCGTCTGGTCAAAAAATTTTCCATTAAATAAAAAATGCGTCTGTGCTGTTGCTGTTAAAAACAGTTGTGTGAGGTCTGTCCTGCTTATGTTGTAACCTGACCCTCCACATTAACAAAACTAACCCTGACCTCAATGTTCAAGTTTTTAAATTCAATACAATATTTAGTCTATAATACGGACGCTCCCCATTAATTTTTCTTATTTCCTTATTATTTTTGTAATTTATGTATCATATTACTTTTATATAAACTTTGTATTATTTATTATTTCACTTATACTGAAGATGGCATAATGACATGTCGAAACATGTCTATTTTAAAAAAATTTGTCGTTTTTATTAAATGCGCAATATTTGAGTATTGTATGTGGCAATATAGGCTCCTTTTGATTGTTACATCAATAGTCAGCACAGATTGAGCAACTTTTAAGAAGCGTCTCAATAACTTTATTCATAACAACTCACGAGTCCGTTACCAACTTTCAATACGATGTGAATTTGATGAACTTTGTTCCAGACCCTTACTCGTAACGTTGGTAGAATGAAAATCTTTTCGCCTATGAAAAACACACCTTCGATTAGAGTCAGTTCTTCTTTGAAGTTCCATAATGGTTTAAAAAGTATGAAGTCTCATATTATTATACCAATCTTCATTAATCACTCTCACTAGCTCTTTTATCATGTCGTCTTTCATCATATCGTCTTT